GCTCGATGACATGCTCGTCGATTTCGTCCGTGGGGGCAAGGGCAGGACCAGCTACGGCAGAGACATTGTGTTCACCGCCAAGAACAAGGGGGGACTCGGGGTGATAAGGATGCGGGACGTTGTGGACGCGGTTGCGGCACGGCTCTGGGACGTTCTTCTCGGCGGTTCCGGCGCGATTTGGCAAGGACTTGCGCGCGCATCACTCCAGCGAGCTCAGCCCGACCTCGACCTGGCCACCGATCTCTGGCCACATCCATCCACTCCCATCCCCAACGACCTTCATCCCCGATGGCACGCCGCACTGGGCGTTCCGAAACTTCACGACGCGCAGGTCAACCCGAGGGCCTTGACCACCGCGAACTTGCTCGCGCTGCCCACCCTGCTCGGCAGCCTCCACACCCCCATCAGAGGGAGACAGACCATCGACGCGGTTCATGTACCTGACTACCTTCGTCTCCAGGGCTACCCGAAGGTGGCGGATCTCTATCGACGCGAGTTGTATGCGGGTGGGGGGTTTCACCTCTGGACGCCGCCGGCGGATGTGCTCGGCAACAACAGCGAGTACGATCGACGCGGGCTCCCGCAGCGACTGGCAATCGCGGCCTGGTACCGGTTCACTGTCGATCGACACAAGAACACCCCCTTGGCGGCGGCGGTGGCGGCGGGACGACTCAACGTGCCTCCCCGGATCGGCACCAGCGCACCACTCGAGGCGATCATCCCCAAGCCCGTGGCCCGCTTCGCAATGGAGCAGCGCCTTCCAGACCCGGTGCTTCCACAACAGGCGAGCCAGTATACGCTGCTGAACATGGCTCGCCCCTACACAGTCCGTCGCATCCGCCGGGTCCTGAACGCGAAGGCATTTACCAACATGCTCGGGCTCAAGGGACCACCGCAGCCGGACGACCTCAGGAGCTTCTGGAAGGCAGTCAACTCGAAGGCACTGACAGCGAGGGAGAGGGAAGTTTGGTTCAAGCTGATCCTCCGCTTCACCCCGACGCGCAAGCTCCAGCACGAGCAAAAGCACGACACTTCTCCCGCGTGCCTCGTCTGCGAAGCGCCGGTGGACGACACCGATCACTACTTCTTCGGCTGCTTCGACTCGCGAAACGTCTGGATCGCGGCGAGGGGCGTGCTCTGCGACGCGCTCGGATGCGACACGATCGAGGACGCCGAGTACACGACGCTTCAACGACTCTTTGGCCTCCCCAAGCTCAAGGCCAAGCTCAGCGCACAGGAAGGCGCGGGCAGGACGATCGAGATCTTCACGGGGATGGTTTTGGAGATGATCAGCAGTGGGAGATGGAGGATGCAGAAGCACGGGACGAGGATGGAAAGCGTGGAGAGGAGGAGGGTGGTACTGGAGGAGAGGATGAAGTTGAGGGCGGGAGGAGCAAGAGGCAGGCGAGTGCAGTAGAGGCTAGGTTCGATTTCCCCCCACCCCATCCCACACTCACACACCCCACATCACACATCCTCTTACAAAAACTGTATACTAAATATATTTTCTTCATCTTTCTTTCTTTTATTACAGGTCTGCCTCCGTTGCTCATGGACCGGCTCGCGATTTGGGATTGACTCGACGGTGGCTCGCGCTCTCTGGCTTCGGGGTCCTGAGTGTAAGGGAGGGATCAGCAGACACAGGCAGAAAGTCGGCTTTGAGGGGCCAGGGACTGCTGAGGTGGAGGTTTTGAGGGGCCTCCACCGCGTCTTGTTGTGACCGAGCATAGACTTGGGATTTCGCGGGTCAGGGTAGCTGCGCAGTCGCTCTCCTGTCTTTGTCTCGACCGAGTTGGGAAGTGGGTGCGGGGTGGGCCTCTTGTCGTTAGTACGCCAGTTCTTTTTCATTTTCTCTCTCTCTCCTTCTCTCTCTCATTCGTCTCCTGGGGGGGAGCAACCGCTTGGCTGGGGCACTTGAATCCGAAGTATCGGATTGGTGGACTTGGCCCGTTTCTCGCATCTTGCGGGCGGTTTGTGTTATCATCGTCGACTTCCATCTAGTTTTTCCGTAGGCCAATCAGGGGGAACAGGAATTGGGGGCAATATGATGAACGGTTTCTACAAAAAAAAAAAAAAGATTTCGTTGTATTGGATCGTTTTCGCTCGGCCCCGACGGCTCAACAGCCAGCACTCGAGACTCAGCCAAGGGAGGACATCAGGCGCTGTCGGGGTGACGAGTAGCTGGGGCTTGGCTGCGGCCTGTCAGTCCCTGGGGACCTCTAGCTCTGGCTTCGACCCCCTCCCTTGGCCCCTCGGGTGTGTTCCCCTCCTCCTCCCCTCCTCTCTGTCTTAGTATTCCTGGTTCTCCGTGTTTCCAGTCGTGAATTTTTGTATATTCTCCCCTTTTCTTTCTCTAGGCGCTCTTGCCTGGTTTTCGAGTATCTTCGCTCCCGCTCTTGGGACGTGAAGCGGCAGCAGTACTCACCGCCCGTTGGAGTCCGCGTTAGGTGCTCGGCGAGTTTTGATCTGCGCAGCGCTCTTTGCGCGCAGGGGTTTGACTTTCACCCAATTGCTTGCCGTCGTTGCTTTATAACCTCTTTTAGCTCTTTTTCTAGCGGTCCCAGCCAACCCGAAGGATTGCAATTTATGAGCCCCAGTAAAAATAAAAAAAAAGATTTCGTGTTCCAGGCTCGGGAGGACGGTGGCTTGGGTTTGATTTCGATTGGCGACATCGTTCATTCGGTGGCGCTTCGATTTTGGGATGCTGTGGCGGGCTCGGACGAGGCGATCTGGGCGCCCCTAGCTCGCGAGAGCTGGAGGTGCCTCGTCGCTGCGACCCGCGATTTCAGTCCGTGGGGGTTCTTCAGCAGCACGGCTCGGGTCGAGAAGCTGTATCGCGACTCGACGCGCTGGGGGGCAGTCGTTGCAGCGGCCAGGGTCACAGTTCCAACCATCAAGTCCGAACTCCTTACGCTTCCCGAATTGCTCTCGCTTCCGCCTCGCCTCCCTTCACTCTATGCTGAAGGTGCCCAGCACGCATATGACGATGCGGACGCGGTGGCGAAGTTTGCGCAGATCGCGGACCTGTACTGGAGGGACGAAGGGAAGGGATGGGCTCTGGTTGGTCATCGACGCGGGTTCTGGCAGCACTCTAAGGAACCCGCCCTACAGCACGAGCACGTGTGGTCGCGCGTGGGTCAGTTGCTCAAGGCGAAAGCGTTGCTGCCCAAGACCGCGTTGCGACCTGCTCGGATACCTCTCAAGGAGGCTCCCCGTCCTCGGTGCTTCAACTTCTTTGGGTTCTCCCGACCTTTTACGATTCGCAAGCTTCGTCGGCTTGTGAACAAGGTGCGGTTCCCAGGGAGGGAGGACCGTGTCAAGCGTTTCCCTGATGGGACTTCTCAGAGCGATAGGAAGCGCTTCTGGAGATGGCTTCATGACCGGTTCGCGTCTGCTGTCGAGCAGGACACCCACTGGCGGCTCATGTACGACGTGACGCCGACGCGCAAGAGGCAGCATACTCAGGGTCATGCCTCTTCGCCGACGTGTCTGTTCTGTGGCAACGATGCAGCGGTCATCGAGACGGTGTCCCACTACTTTTTCGAGTGCGCGTACTCGACCAGCTTCTGGGGTGGGGTGCTACGCATTCTGCTTGACAAGCTCGGCATCGAGGATACCGACGTCGATCCGTCGACGTTCACTCCGGAGCAGCTGACTATGGGGCTCCCCCTTTTGCGGGGTCGTGGGAGAACGACCTCGAAATGGATGTGGGTTCGGCTGGCCTGCGCGATCGGCTTCCAGCGGCTGCACCTGCTCCGCTGGCGCGTTCATCAGCGGTTCGAGCTGGACAACGTCGTGGCCCCTCCCTCGCTTCCCAGTGCGCTCAGAGCGTTCGAGCGAGATTTTCTCTCTCGAGCGGGTTTTGTGCCTGGGGTTCGAGATTGGGAGGTGTGATGACCGAGTTAAGTCCTTCCTTCCCATTTTCCTCCCTTCCTTTCCGGTCAGAAGCTGACTGTCTTGAAACTTGTTGCGCAGTGGAAGGCTGCGCACCTCTCCCTCTCTCTACTTTGTGCAGTAGCGGTTTTCGTTCTTGGATGGATCGGCAAGCCGGTCGATCGTCGTTGCGTTGGAGGCTTTGTGAAGTTCTCCCCTCTCTTTCCCCTTTCTCCCTTCCCTTCCTCTTCTCGTTCCTGTTGCTCGGTTGTTGACTACGCTTCAGCCACTTCTCCTTTTATTCCTAAGCCGTGTGTTGGATTCCGTCGAATAGATCGTTCGTTCGCGTTGGTCAAGATCTACGGCATGGATCGGGAAGAAAGGTCGCTCGTTTTTTTGGTCAATATCCTCGCGTCAAGGCGAGGCTCGTTTCGTTGTATTGGATCGTTTTCGCTCGGCCCCGACGGCTCAACAGCCAGCACTCGAGACTCAGCCAAGGGAGGACATCAGGCGCTGTCGGGGTGACGAGTAGCTGGGGCTTGGCTGCGGCCTGTCAGTCCCTGGGGACCTCTAGCTCTGGCTTCGACCCCCTCCCTTGGCCCCTCGGGTGTGTTCCCCTCCTCCTCCCCTCCTCTCTGTCTTAGTATTCCTGGTTCTCCGTGTTTCCAGTCGTGAATTTTTGTATATTCTCCCCTTTTCTTTCTCTAGGCGCTCTTGCCTGGTTTTCGAGTATCTTCGCTCCCGCTCTTGGGACGTGAAGCGGCAGCAGTACTCACCGCCCGTTGGAGTCCGCGTTAGGTGCTCGGCGGGTTTTGATCTGCGCAGCGCTCTTTGCGCGCAGGGGTTTGACTTTCACCCAATTGCTTGCCGTCGTTGCTTTATAACCTCTTTTAGCTCTTTTTCTAGCGGTCCCAGCCAACCCGAAGGATTGCAATTTATGAGCCCCAGTAAAAATAAAAAAAAATCGTCGACTTCCATCTAGTTTTTCCGTAGGCCAATCAGGGGGAACAGGACTTGGGGGCAATATGATGAACAGTTTCTACAAAAAAAAAATAAAAAATTCTTCACTTCACAATCGCCCTACTTCAGCCTTCGATACTCGAGTTAACAAGTGATACACCGACAAGATGTCTACCGGAGACCCTGGGTCCCCACTGCCGGCACCGCCACCACCGGTATCCGCCACCAGCGTCCAGCCCCCCCGCGACCGGATCCCGATAAGCTCGAAGAAGACGCAAGTCACGGGCCCCGCCACCGCCGCACCCAACTATGCTGCCGCTGCGAGTCAGATGGCGACTCAAACACCTGAACAACAGCAACAACAACAACAGCGTGCCAAGGCTCTGGGCAGCCTCCTACAAGCCATGGGTGCTGTACCCGGAAACCGCATGGATCGCTGGGTCCAGGCCATCTACTTCGCCGAACTCTACCCCGTCGCCACCGCCACATCGCTGAAATTTTCGGCCTTGAACGCGAACCGGTCCGTCGAGAACATCTTCGATTACGCCCTTGAAGTACGCCCTTGAAGTGACTCTGTCTCACCAGAGCGCCTCGCGAGCGACTCATGCCGACAAGATCGATCTCGTGGCCTGCGTCACGAGGCTGCTATCGCCCATCTCTCCTATCTGCTTTGAGCCTGGAGTTCCTCTGCCGGACCATCTTGCGGCTTATCAACCACAGATCTTAGGCGTACAACATTCATCAATCCTGCGTAATGGGGCGGCTCACCATCGCGTTACGGTTGGGTTCGTCACCGGCGAGGCACGTGACGCGGCGCTCACGACGCCCCCCGCTCTCACTTGGCGATCGGCGAAGGCCCGCTTCGCGAAGTCTCACAGGTTCCACCATAACATGGTCGAGCTTCGAATCAACGTCGGTGTTCAAGGAGTGCCCTCCATGGATGCCATCATCAAATCGTTCCAATCACTTGTGCAAGACCTGTCAGCCAAGGGACATTCATGCCAACTTGTGCAGGTTCTGCGCGTTATCAGCGTGGACAACGCCTCGGCCTTCGCCCACGTTGCCGGAGACTACTCGGCTTTCCTACACTTCGATGACGACTCCCTATTCCAACGCCCCAACACGACCTTGAAGGAGATTCTACCTTCGAGGATCGACCTTCCCACTCGAGGCATCCCGGTTACCGCCCTTCGCCATGACTATGAGAAGGAGGCGGCTTGCGGTAGGTGCCACTTTGTGGGTCACGTGGGAACCTGCGGACTGGATCAGGAGAGGAAGCGGAAGGAGGCTCACAACGGCATCATCAACAGCAACAAAAACACCATCACCCACAACACCAACATCGCGGAGGCCGAGGCCCCCATTCCTGTGCTGGTTGTTAACAGGATCGCATCACAGAATCACTTCGCCGGGCTCGAGGTCGAGGAGGGACAGGAGGAAGAGGTAACTGGCCAGGGCGAACAGGGACCGGAGGAATCGGGGGAGGAAGACGCTGGTGATAAGGCGGATGACGAGGACTCGGAGGACTCGGAGATGGAATCGGAGGCGGCCGCGAAAACGGAGGTCATCAAAATTGAAAGCGAGGACGAGTCGGTCTTGGAGGACTGCAGCGGATCCGATGGAGAGGTGATTGATGAGAATGAGGTGATGGCGGATGAAAGAGGTGAAACGGAAGGAGAGGTGGCTACGGAGATGGAGGAAGAGGAGGTGGCGACGGAGGTGGGCGATGTGGACGAAGCGAGGGGATCGACGAAAGCGGAGAATGCGGAAGCGACGGACTTAGGGGAAACGAACAGGCTGGACAATGACGACGACAGCGACGCCACAGCAACCGCCGCCACCGCTTCCCGCGAATCGACGCCGCATGAACCAACCCCACCTCTGTCACCCGAAACTCTCGCCAAGTCGCTACGCGAGGGGGAGGAGTGGGACAGGATCAGAGCTAACTGGGTTGAGCAGGCACGACTTGAGCGGGACCAAAGCATCGAGAGGAGGCTCAACGCTGAAACCCCTCTGGTGCGTCACAACTTTGCCACGTGGGACGAGGACGGTGAGATACGCTCCATCAACATCAGGGGGACCGCTGCGAAGTTCAAGAAGCAGGTGATGAAGAGGTCGCAGACTGCGGCGGACCTCAGTGACCCAAGTGACGAACCGACCGACGCCAAGCGAGTCATCGTCAAAGGGAAGAGCCGCGTCGTGGTGAAGGATGGAATAGAGGGGCGGAGGGTGACGAGGTCGATGTCGGCGGCAGCGGCGATGCAGGTCGAGGTGACGAAGGTGGACAGAGGGAAAGGAAGAGGGGTAGCTGAGGAAAAACGATGGTCCGACCACGAGCCCGAGGACGATGTCCTGCCCGCCCTTCCCCTCTTTGAGGACGTCACCACCGCCAAGAGCGCCTCGACCTCGACTACCCATTAATGATCAAGCACACCATCATCACCTGGAACGTAAGAAGGGGCATGGGGGTCCCGGAAAAACGACGTAATATCTACACCTACCTTTCCACATTCAAAGCTTCCGCGATTCTCTTACAAGAGCATTTCATCAGACCACAATTCTGGCAGCTCATCAAGGACGAGTACGAGGGCAAGCTCTTCATCAACCAGCACTGCCTGACCCTGATCCCGGCCGACTCGCCCCTGATCGACGCCGAGCTCTTGCGCACCCACTCGGCACTCGACGGCCGGCTCCTCGTCACCTCCTTTCGTCTGCGGGGCGACATCAAAATTCTAGAAATCAATAACCTCTACGCGCCCGTTGACCCAAAACAACGAGCAAAATTCTTCGACAAACTGATCCTCCACAAAACACAGAAATCCCACCTCCGACTCCTTGGCGGCGATCTCAACGACTGCCCGCGCCCAGAAGTCGATCGGCGGAACCAAAGTCGGCGCGGCCACCACTGGCCGATTCTGATGGGCAAGCTCGACTCGGCCTACACGGACTGCATCCGCTACAAGCACCCCATCACCCCATCTTTCACTCGACCTAATCCCAATCGCAAGCGACCCAACTCCTTCTCCCGGCTTGACTACTTTCTCCTACAAAGAGCTCACCAAAAAAGGCTCGACCAGGCCTCGACGATCTACGACTATCCCAAGGATCTTTCCGATCACCGACCGGTCTTGATCGTACTGGCTCTCTCAGACGATCTTGATGCGGCTCTCCCACAGCTCAGCCTACCTACCACATCCAACCAACTACATCGAATCAATACCACAACCTTCAAGACGGTGGAATTTCAGCGGATGATGGAAGGATGGTTGGAAGGGGCAAGCGGGGAGGATCCGGTGCGAGAGCTTGAGGAGGTTCTGGAGGCGTGCAGGGACAGGGGTGGGGAGATGGCGAGGAGGCTGCATCGGGAGCGGACGGAACGGATGGAGTATTTGGTGGGGAGGGTGCAGGATCTGGAGGCGTTACCGGTATGGGGGGAGGCGGAAACGGCAGAATGGACAAGGACGTCCGAGGAACTCAAGCGGGCGGTCGAGGAGCGCGCGCGCCTACTCCGGATCCGAGCCCACGTCCCCGAGATCGCTTCCGAGGAACGACTGTCGCGGCCGGTCCACGCCAAGCTCGCGGCGCGGAACTCGGACTCCAAGATCACAGCACTGCGCTTGGGCAACGGAGAGCTAACGCATGACATTGATGTCGCTCTTGACCACACGCAGGCGCATTTCCAGCGCCTCTACCACATCGAGCCTCGTGATCCGGAACGCGTCGACCGACTTCGGGACGAACTCCTCGTGCCGATCAGGGCGGCACGGACTTGCGACGACCCGCGCTCAGATCCGCTCTTTCTGCGCCGACTCTCGGAAGCGCAGATTGATCTCCTCCAGCAACCCATCACCGAGGACGAGGTCGTGGCCGCGATCGGGACGACGCACCCGGGGCGATCGCCGGGCCCGTCGGGCGTGCCTTACGAACTCTATCAGACCGCACCGGAGGCGTGGTCCAAGGTGCTGACCAAGGCCTACAACGCGATGATCGAGCGCGGTTCACTCTCTCCCAAGCAGGGCCAGGGACTCGTGCGCCTCATCTTCAAGCGCCACAAGAAGAATGCCGATCGCGCCGAACTCTCGTCGTATCGCCCCATCACCCTGCGCGAGTGCGATTACAAGATTTTTACCAAGGTCTACGTCGCCCGATTGAACCAAATTCTGCCCGATCTCCTCCCGCCGCAGCAGCACGGCTTCGTCGAGGACCGCCGATCGGCCGACGCTGCACTACACCTTCGTCTCCTGATCGAGGAACTTGGCGCGCGCAGGACCGAGTTCCCCGCGGCCGCGCTCTTGTCTCTTGACCAATCATCCGCCTACGACCTCGTCGAGCATGACTGGATCTTTGCCATTTTCGACGCTCTGGGCGCTCCTACCACCTTTCTTCGCGTGCTGAGGATGCTCTACTCGGGTGACTCGACCTCGGCGCGCTACATCATCAATGGGTTCCTGACGGCGCCGGTGCGACTGACGTGTGGGCTCGGCCAAGGGGACCCGGCGTCATCGTCGGTCTGGGACATCGTGTTTCAGCCGTTCCTGGATGCTCTACACCGTCGAAACATCGCGCTGAATCTCTCCATACCTGCACTTCATCCGTACCCACAGAGCCGCGCCATTACATCACTTGCATTTGCCGATGACGTTGTCGTCGCCGTCGCGGGCTTGGAGTCACTCAACTTGCTCGATGACCTGGCGCTCAACTGGAGGCATGCAACGAATGGCCGGCTCAACACGGACAAGACGGTCGTCCTACCGATTGGACGTCGCTGGGACCCTGGGGAACGGCCAATCGTCGTCAAGGCCGCAGGCGAGTCGCTCGAGTGGATCGGCCTCCCCTTCGACCCCAGCGGCGACACCGAACTCGCCTACGCGAATCTCATCGAACGGCTCGAGGCGACGCTGGAAGCGGTTCAGCATCGCTGGCTCACGCACCACACCCGTGCCTTTTACGTCAATCGGTACGCCATTCCCAAGATCCTGCATTTCCTTGCAGCCGACATCCCGCCGCCCGAAGTCGTCAAGAAGCTCGATGACATGCTCGTCGATTTCGTCCGTGGGGGCAAGGGCAGGACCAGCTACGGCAGAGACATTGTGTTCACCGCCAAGAACAAGGGGGGACTCGGGGTGATAAGGATGCGGGACGTTGTGGACGCGGTTGCGGCACGGCTCTGGGACGTTCTTCTCGGCGGTTCCGGCGCGATTTGGCAAGGACTTGCGCGCGCATCACTCCAGCGAGCTCAGCCCGACCTCGACCTGGCCACCGATCTCTGGCCACATCCATCCACTCCCATCCCCAACGACCTTCATCCCCGATGGCACGCCGCACTGGGCGTTCCGAAACTTCACGACGCGCAGGTCAACCCGAGGGCCTTGACCACCGCGAACTTGCTCGCGCTGCCCACCCTGCTCGGCAGCCTCCACACCCCCATCAGAGGGAGACAGACCATCGACGCGGTTCATGTACCTGACTACCTTCGTCTCCAGGGCTACCCGAAGGTGGCGGATCTCTATCGACGCGAGTTGTATGCGGGTGGGGGGTTTCACCTCTGGACGCCGCCGGCGGATGTGCTCGGCAACAACAGCGAGTACGATCGACGCGGGCTCCCGCAGCGACTGGCAATCGCGGCCTGGTACCGGTTCACTGTCGATCGACACAAGAACACCCCCTTGGCGGCGGCGGTGGCGGCGGGACGACTCAACGTGCCTCCCCGGATCGGCACCAGCGCACCACTCGAGGCGATCATCCCCAAGCCCGTGGCCCGCTTCGCAATGGAGCAGCGCCTTCCAGACCCGGTGCTTCCACAACAGGCGAGCCAGTATACGCTGCTGAACATGGCTCGCCCCTACACAGTCCGTCGCATCCGCCGGGTCCTGAACGCGAAGGCTTTCACCAACACGCTCGGGCTCAAGGGACCACCGCAGCCAGACGATCTCAGGAGCTTCTGGAAGGCGGTCAACTCGAAGGCACTGACAGCGAGGGAGAGGGAAGTTTGGTTCAAGCTGATTCTCCGCTTCACCCCGACGCGCAAGCTCCAGCACGAGCAAAAGCATGACACTTCTCCCGCGTGCCTCGTCTGCGAAGCGCCGGTGGACGACACCGATCACTACTTCTTCGGCTGCTTCGACTCGCGAAACGTCTGGATCGCGGCGAGGGGCGTGCTCTGCGACGCGCTCGGATGCGACACAATCGAGGACGCCGAGTACACGACGCTTCAACGACTCTTTGGCCTCCCCAAGCTCAAGGCCAAGCTCAGCGCACAGGAAGGCGCGGGCAGGACGATCGAGATCTTCACGGGGATGGTTTTGGAGATGATCAGCAGTGGGAGATGGAGGATGCAGAAGCACGGGACGAGGATGGAAAGCGTGGAGAGGAGGAGGGTGGTACTGGAGGAGAGGATGAAGTTGAGGGCGGGAGGAGCAAGAGGCAGGCGAGTGCAGTAGAGGCTAGGTTCGATTTCCCCCCACCCCATCCCACACTCACACACCCCACATCACACATCCTCTTACAAAAACTGTATACTAAATATATTTTCTTCATCTTTCTTTCTTTTATTACAGGTCTGCCTCCGTTGCTCATGGACCGGCTCGCGATTTGGGATTGACTCGACGGTGGCTCGCGCTCTCTGGCTTCGGGGTCCTGAGTGTAAGGGAGGGATCAGCAGACACAGGCAGAAAGTCGGCTTTGAGGGGCCAGGGACTGCTGAGGTGGAGGTTTTGAGGGGCCTCAACCGCGTCTTGCTGTGACCGAGCATAGACTTGGGACTTCGCTAGTCAAGGTAGCTGCGCAGTCGCTCTCCCGTCTTTGTCTCGACCGAGTTGGGAAGTGGCGGCGGGGTGGGCCTCTTGTCGTTAGTACGCTAGTTGTTTTTCTTTCTCTCTCTCTCTCTCTCTCTCCTTGGGGGGGGGGGGGAGGGGGGGGAGCAATCGCATGGCTGGGGCACTTGAATCCGAAGTATCGGATTGGTGGACTTGGCCCGTTTCTCACATCTTGCGGGCGGTTTGTGTTATCATCGTCCACTTCTATCTAGTTTTTCCATAGGCCAATCAGGGGGAACAGGAATTGGGGGCAATACGATCAATGTTTCTACAACTAAAAAAAAACATAAAAAATGCGCGGGCGCAGGGGTTTTCACCCATCTGCTTGTCGTCACTGCTTGGAACCTCATTTAGCTCTTTTTGTCGCGGCAAATCGAATGATTGCAATTTATGAGCACCAAAAAACAAAAACAAAAAAACAAAAAACAAAAATCACACCGATGCCGGATCCGCCCGGCGCCCATGCGCCCCCGCCCGACAAAGCTCTAGGGAGGCCAGGCGCCAGTCGGGCGCGAGTCGAGGCAGTCGGGCGCGAGTCGAGGCAGTCGGGCGCGAGTCGGCACGCAGTCGGATTTTTTAACCGATCCGACTGCAGTCGGGCGCGAGTCGGCTCTAGTCGGGATTTTTAAACTCGACTTGCGGTTTCTTAGAGGATAAAGGGCGGTAACCGCGCGAGTGACGAATGACTCAACGCGCAAACTCTCGCAAACGCGTGAAACGGTTCACTGGAGGAACCGCGAATCCTCCAGCGTGGTCTAGCGCGGTCCACTGAGCGCGAGCATGAACGGCGTCTCGGGCCTCTCGGCCAGCCCAAAGTGCTTACGCAGCGCGGTCTGCACAAGACTTCTAGGCGATCCAAGACCATCCATAATGCCTCGGATCACGTTGGAGGCCGGGGTCGCGTCGTTTCGCACCGCTCCTTGGGCTGCTCGTGCGAGAGCCGGCGCTTGCAAAGGCGCGGTGTTGACTCGGTCGACAGGACGGGGGAGACGCTGGGGAGCTCGGTGACCATCTCCTTGCCGTGGTAAGGGAATGGACCCTTTGCAGCGGCTTCAAGACAAGCTTGGTCGGATTCGAAGACGACCAAATATATGTGACGCGCGGTCAGGAACATCTTCGTGGCTTTCGTCACATGTACGAGCTCGGCTTCGAATCCGACCAAGCTTGTCTTGAAGCCGCTGCAACGGGTCCATTCCCTTACCACGGCAAGGAGATGGTTCACCGAGCTCCCCAGCGTCTCCCCCTTACGCCACGTCGTTCAGATGCGATTCACCTTGCCCTCAACCGCAGCCTCCATCCCTGGCTCCGGTGTCCGAAGATCCCTCGATAACGCCCTCACTGTTTCGTTCGGTCGCGCTGGTCGCACGCAAGGTTATACCTTAATGAAGTTATAGCAGGGCCTCGCGCCCGATCAGACCGATCCGATGGCCATGACCGAAGACGGGTTTCAGTGCGCGTATCTTCGCTTACATGCTAATCTCTTCCAAGGCTCCGCCGAGACGCAGAAGGCTGCGCTCAACGCCGCTTGCCACAGGAGATCTAGATCCTGGGCGCCAAGTACGGCTTGCGACACGAATTCGAGACGCACTACTGCGCGCTTTGCGATCGCGCTGGCTTGCGCTGGCCACCTGTGGGGCGCCTGCAGGAAGCCCGTTTCGACTTCGGCCACCGCCGCCCCTGTTCCGGGGGCCTCGACTTCGACTTCGACGACCAGCTTCCGAGTTGCTGGCAAAAACGGGAAGCACGGTGGTGCTACCGCATTGACCTCTCGTGCCTCTAGCACGAACATGACCCAGTTGGGACCTCGGGCTAACCCCGCAGATTCAGCAACCGGCAACCAGGACGACGCGGACGGCGACCACGATGATTCCGCATCGATAGCTTCGACTGAACCGGAGGGGAACGACACTGGAGGCGCCACCTCGACGCACGCGACCGCTGGATCGGAGAACGGGATGCAGACGACGACGGCGGCTCCCGTTTTGACTCCGACTTCAACCCCGACTTCGACTCCGACCTCGACCTCGACCTTAGCTTCGGCCTCCGTTTCGGCTTCGACCCCGGCCCCGGCTTCGGCTTCGACTTCGGCCGCGGGATCGACGCCGTCTTCGTCATCGTCCGTGTGAGGATCTATTATAGAACCTTGCTTGTAAATATTTCCAATGACGCCGCACATAGCTGCCGGAGCTGCCGCAGAAGCTTGACACAGAGTCCAATTGGGACTTAGAGTCGACGCATTGCATTTTTTTTTTTGGTAGAAACCGTTCATCATATTGCCCCCAATTCCTGTTCTCCCTGATTGGCCTACGGAAAAACTAGATGGAAGTCGACGATGATAACACAAACCGCCCGCAAGATGCGAGAAACGGGCCAAGTCCACCAATCCGATACTTCGGATTCAAGTGCCCCAGCCAAGCGGTTGCTCCCCCCCAGGAGACGAATGAGAGAGAGAAGGAGAGAGAGAGAAAGAAAAACAACTAGCGTACTAACGACAAGAGGCCCACCCCGCCGCCACTTCCCAACTCGGTCGAGACAAAGACGGGAGAGCGACTGCGCAGCTACCTTGACTAGCGAAGTCCCAAGTCTATGCTCGGTCACAGCAAGACGCGGTTGAGGCCCCTCAAAACCTCCACCTCAGCAGTCCCTGGCCCCTCAAAGCCGACTTTCTGCCTGTGTTTGCTGATCCCTCCCTTAAACTCAGAACCCCGAAGCCAGAGAGCGCGAGCCACCGTCGAGTCAATCCCAAAACGCAAGCCGGTCCATGAGCAACCGAGGCAGACCTGTAATAAAAGAAAGATGAAGAAAAGATATTTAGTATACAGTTTTTGTAAGAGCATGTGTGATGTGGGTGTGTGTGCGTGTGGAGTGGGGTGGGGGGAAATCGAACCTAGCCTCTACTGCCCTCGCCTGCCTCTTGCTCCTCCCGCCCTCAACTTCATCCTCTCCTCCAGTACCACCCTCCTCCTCTCCACGCTTTCCATCCTCGTCCCGTGCTTCTGCATCCTCCATCTCCCACTGCTGATCATCTCCAAAACCATCCCCGTGAAGATCTCGATCGTCCTGCCCGCGCCTTCCTGTGCGCTGAGCTTGGCCTTGAGCTTGGGGAGGCCAAAGAGTCGTTGAAGCGTCGTGTACTCGGCGTCCTCGATTGTGTCGCATCCGAGCGCGTCGCAGAGCACGCCCCTCGCCGCGATCCAGACGTTTCGCGAGTCGAAGCAGCCGAAGAAGTAGTGATCGGTGTCGTCCACCGGCGCTTCGCAGACGAGGCACGCGGGAGAAGTGTCATGCTTTTGCTCGTGCTGGAGCTTGCGCGTCGGGGTGAAGCGGAGAATCAGCTTGAACCAAACTTCCCTCTCCCTCGCTGTCAGTGCCTTCGAGTTGACCGCCTTCCAGAAGCTCCTGAGATCGTCTGGCTGCGGTGGTCCCTTGAGCCCGAGCGTGTTGGTGAAAGCCTTCGCGTTCAGGACCCGGCGGATGCGACGGATTGTGTAGGGTCGAGCCATGTTCAGCAGCGTATATTGGCTCGCCTGTTGTGGAAGCACCGGGTCCGGAAGGCGCTGCTCCATTGCGAAGCGGGCCACGGGCTTGGGGATGATCGCCTCGAGCGGTGCGCTGGTGCCGATCCGGGGAGGCACGTTGAGTCGTCCCGCCGCCACCGCCGCCGCCAAGGGGGTGTTCTTGTGTCGATCGACAGTGAACCGGTACCAGGCCGCGATTGCCAGTCGCTGCGGGAGCCCGCGTCGATCGTACTCGCTGTTGTCGCCGAGCACATCCGCCGGCGGCGTCCAGAGGTGAAACCCCCCACCCGCATACAACTCGCGTCGATAGAGATCCGCCACCTTCGGGTAGCCCTGGAGACGAAGGTAGTCAGGTACATGAACCGCGTCGATGGTCTGTCTCCCTCTGATGGGGGTGTGGAGGCTGCCGAGCAGGGTGGGCAGCGCGAGCAGGTTCGCGGTGGTCAAGGCCCTCGGGTTGACCTGCGCGTCGTGATTTTTTTTTTGTAGAAAACGTTCATCATATTGCCCCCAATTCCTGTTCCCCCTGTTTCGGCCTACGGAAAAACTAGATGGAAGACTACGATGATAACACAAACCGCCCGCAAAAGTGCGAGAAACGAGCCAAGTCCACCAATCCGAGATTCGGATTCAAATGCCCTAGCCAAGCGGTTGCTCCCCCCCAGGAGACGAATGAGAGAGAGAAAGAGAGATGAAGAGAAAGAGAAAGAGAAAGAAAAGAAATGTACTAACGACAGAAGGCCCACCCCACAGCCACTTCCCACTCGGTCGAGACGAAGACAAGAGCACGACTGCGCAACCACCACGACCCTCGACGCTCCAAGTCTCTGCTCAGTCACAACAAGACGCGGTGAAGGTCCCTCAAAACCTCCCCCTCGGCAGTCCCTGGCCCCTCAAAGCCGACTTTCTGCCTGTGTCCGCTGATCCCTCCCTTGACTCAGAACCCCGAAGCCGAAGAGCGCGAGCCACACCGAGTCGACGCCAAATCGCGAGATGGTCCATGATCCGCAACGGTGAACCTGTAACAAAAGAAAGAGGAAAGCGAGCTATTTAGTGTACAGTAGGAGAAAATGATGTCACGAGAATTTGGTGTGTGTGTGGTGGTGGGGGGAAAGTCGAACCCAGCCTCTACTGCCTTCTCCTCCCCCAAGCTCCTCCCGCCCTCAGCTTCAACCTCTCCTCCAAGATTATCCTCCTCCTCCCAACACCCTCCATCCTCGTCCCCCACTTCTGCATCCCCCACCTCCCGCTGCTGATCATCTCCAAGACCAGCCCGGTGAATATTTCGATCGTCCTCCCCGCTCCTTCTTGATCGCGCAGACTGGCCTTGAGCTTCGGAAGTCCGAACATGCGTTGAACGGCCGTGTAATGCGTGTTGTCGATCGTGTCGAGCCCCAGTGCGTCGCAGAGCACGCCCCTTGCCGCGATCCAAACGTTCCTAGAGTCAACGCAGTCGAAGAAGTAGTGCTCCCGATCGTCCTTGGGCGCTCCACAGACGAGGCACGCGGGCGAGTCGTCGTGCTTTTGATGAAACTGCAGACTCCGAGTCGGGGTGAAGTTCCTGACGAGCTTGAACCACACCTCGCGTTCCCTCGCCGTCAATGCCTTCGAGTTGACCCCCTTCCAGAATCCCTTGAGATCGTCGGGCTGCAGCGAGTCCCTGAAACCGATCGTGTCGGTGAAGGCCTTTGCATTCAAGACTCGGCGGACGCGACGGATGGTGTATGGCCGATCCATGCTGAGCAAGTTGTATTGTGTTGATTGGTCTGGGAGAGCCGGTCTCGGAAGGCGCTGCGGCGGGTCGATCGGATGGGGCAGGATCGACTCGAGCGGCGTGGTGGGGCGGACTCGGGGAGGCCCGTTGATTCGTACTGCCGCCACCGGTTGAGCTATTGGTGTGAACCTCAATCGATTGATCGCATGTCGGTACCATGCCACGATGTGCTCTCGTTGTGGGCGGCCCCGTTGATCGTATTCGCTGTTGCTGACGACCACATCCGTCGGCGGCGTCCAGAGATGAAAGCCCCCGCCCGGGTACAGCTCGCGTCGAAACAGGTCCGCTACCTTGGCGTAAATGGCAAACGCAGCATAGTCGGCGTCGTAGGGTGGTCGCGACACAGCTGGTGCTCCCGGTAGGTAGTGAAGGGTGTGCAACTTGATCGGAAGAGCGAGAAGGTTCGCGAGCGTCAACGTCCTCGGCTTGACTTGCGCATTGTGCGTCGATGGTACCTTCAGCACGGCCTGCCATCTTGGGTGTAGATCGGTTCGGATCGGAGTGTAGTCGCAAGGCCACGCATCGGTTGCCAAGTCAAAGTCGGGGGCGGGATGGGCTCGTACAATCGCCGCGCGCGCAAGTCCCTGCCAGATCGCATCCGAACCGCCAAGAAGCACGTCCCAGACGCGTGCCGCAACCGAGTCGACGACGTCCTGCATCCGCATGACCCCAAGACCCCCCTTGAACCTCGGTGTGAAGACGACGTCCTTGCCATAGCACGACCTCCTCTTGCCGCCGCGGACAAAGTCGGCGAGAATGCGATCAAGCTCCTTGACGACCTCGAGCGGTGGGATGTCGGCGGAGAGGATGTGCAGAATCTTGGGAATGGCGTATCGGTTGACGTAGAACGCTCGGGTGTGGTGTGTGAGCCCTCGGTCCCGTGCCGAATCGAGCACCGCTTCGAGCCGTGCGACGAGATTCACGTTGGCGAGTTCGGTGTTGCCGGTGGGGTCGAAAGATAGGCCGATCCACTCGAGCGACTCGCCCTCGGCCTTGACGACGAGCGGACGATCGCCAGCCTCCCAACGACACCCGATGGGTAGTACGACGGTCTTGTCGGTGTTGAGCCGGCCATTGGTTGCGAGCCTCCAGTCGAGCGCCAGGTCGTCGAGCAAGTTGAGTGACTCCGAGCCCGCGACAGCGACGACGACGTCATCGGCAAACGCAAGGGATGTAATGGCGCGGCTCTGTGGGTAGGGGTGAATGGTAGGAAGCGAGAGGTTCAGCGCGATGCCTCGACGGTGCAGAGCATCCAGGAACGGCTGGAACACGACATCCCAGACCGACGACGACGCCGGGTCCCCTTGGCCGAGCCCACACGTCAGCCGCACCGGCGGAGTCAAGAAGCCGTTGATGATATATCGCGCCGTGGTTGAGTCACCCGAGTAGAGCATCCTCAGAACGCGTTGGAAGGCGGCAGGAGCGCCGAGAGCGTCGAAGATGGCGAAGATCCATTCGTGCTCGACGAGGTCGTAAGCCGACGATTGGTCAAGAGACAAGAGCGCCGCGTCAGGGAACTCGGTGCCGCGCGCGCCCAGCTCTTCGATCAAGAGTCGCAGGTGGAATGACGCGTCCGCCGATCGGCGGCCCTTGACGAAGCCGTGCTGTTGCGGTGGGAGCAGGTCCGGCAGCACGTGGTTGAGTCGCGCAACGTAGACCTTGGTGAAGAGCTTGTAGTCGCACTCGCGCAAGGTGATGGGCCGGTACGACGAGAGCTCGGCGCGATCGGCCCCGATCTTGTGGTGCTTGAAGAGCAGGCGAGCGAGTCCTTGCCCCTGCTTCGGTGAAAGCGAGCCGCGCTCGGTCATCGCGTTGAAGGCCCTGCTCAGCGCCTTGGCCCACGCCCGCGGCGCTGTGTGATAGAGCTCGTAGGGCACGCCAGATGGACCCGGCGATCGACCGGGGTGTGTTGTTGCGATTGCGGCTACGACCTCGTCCTCGGTGATGGGTTGCTGCAGCAGCTCGATGTGCGCTTCCGAGAGTCGTCGCAGAAAGAGCGGGTCCGAGCTCGGGTCATCGCAAGTGCGCGCCGACCTGATCGGCGCCAAGAAATCGTCCCTAAGTCGCTCGACGTGGTCCCGATCGCGCGGCTCGAGATCGTAGAGGCGCTGAAAGTGCGCCTGTGTGTGGTCAAGCGCGACGTCAATGTCATGTGTCAGCTCTCCGTTGGGCAATCGCAGTGCTGTGATCTTGGAATCCGAACTCCGTGCCGCGAGCTTGGCGTGGACCGGCCGCGACAGTCGTTCCTCGGTAGCGATTTCGGGTACGTGGGCTCGGATCCGAAGTTGGCGCGCGCGCTCGTTGACCGCTCGCCTAAGTTCCTCCGTCGTCCGCGTCCATTCGGCCGTCTCCTCGTCCCCCATCACCGGCAACGCCTCCAGATCCTGCACCCTTCCCACCAAGACCGCCATCCGCTCCACCCGCTCCCGATGCTCCCTCCTCGCCAGCTCCCGACCCTCCTTCGCGCAGTTCCCCAGCACCACCTCGAGCTCCCCCACCGGTTCCTCCCCACTCGCTCCTTCCAACCATCCTTCCAACATCCCCTGGAACTCCGCCGTCTTGAAGGTCGCCGCGTTGATACGATGTAATTGGTTTGATGTCGTTGGTAAACTATTGTTGGGTTGAGCCGCGTCTCCTCGCTCGTCCGAGAGAACTAGGACGATCGAGACCGGTCGGTGATCCGAAAGGTCCTTGGGGTGGTCGTAGATCGTCGAGGCTTGGACGAGTCGCTTTTGGTGGGTGCGCTGCAGAAGGAAGTAGTCAAGTCGTGAAAAGGACTTTGGTCGCTTGCGGACGATGTTGGGTCGAGTGAAAGATGGTGTGAGCGGGTGTTTGAATCGTATGCAGTCGGTGTAGGGCGAGTCGAGCTTGCCGATCAGGATCGGCCAGTGATGGCCGTGCCGACCTTGGTTCCGCCGATCGATCGCCGGCAGCGGGCAGTCGTTGAGATCGCCGCCGAGGAGTCGAAGGTGGGTGCTCTGCGTCCTGTGGAAATGTAGTTTGTCAAAGAATGTGAGTCGTTGTTTTGTATCGACTGGTGCGTAAATGTTGTTGATCTCGAGTATCCGGATGTCGCCTCGAAGTCGAAAGGAGGTGACCAGGATTCGTCCGTCGAGTGCCGAGTGGGTGCGCAAAATCTCGGCGTCGATCAGGGGCGAGTCGGCGGGGATCAGAGTCAGACAGTGTTTGCTGATGAAGACCTTGCCCTCGTACTCGTCCTTGATACATTGCCAGAGTTCCGGTTTGATGAAGTGTTCTTGTAGTAGAATGGCGGATGCTTTGAATGTTGATAAATAGGTGTAAATGTTGCGTCGCTTTTCCGGGATCCCCATGCACCTCCTCACGTTCCAGCTGGTGATGGTGTGCTTGATCATTATTGGATAGACGATGTAGACGTGCTCTTGGCGGTAGTGTCGTCCTCAAAGAGTGGGAATTCGGGGAGAATGTCATCCTCGGGCTCGTGGTCGGACCAGCGCTTCTCCTCCTCCACCCCTTTACCCTTCTCCGCTTTCGCCTTGGCCCCCTCGACCTGCATCGCCGCCGCCGCCGACATCGACCTCGTCACCCTCTTCCCCTGACCCGCTACCTCCTTTCCTGCTCGACCTTTGACCCTGTTCAGAACGCGCTTGATATCGACCGGGTCGTCGCTCGGATCGCTGAGATCGGCCACCGTTTGCGACCTCTTCATCTTCTTGTTCGACCCGGAGCCGGTGCCACGAATGTTGATGAATCGCAGTTGTCCATCTTCCTGACCCCACTCTGCAAATTGGTGGCGAACGAGCGGTTCCTCCGCGTCGAGTTGGGCGTTGATGATCGCCTCCTTTTCTGCTTGGACACGTGCAGCAGCTTCGGCGTTAGCTCGGTCCCACTCCGCACCCTCGCGCAGCGACTTTGCCAACGTCTCAGGAGATAGTGGAGGCCACGAGGGACTCCGAGGAGTCGACTCGCGGGAAACCGTGGTGATCGTCGTTTGGTCGTCGTCGATGATCATGATGCTGTCGTCCTGTACCCCCTGTTCCTGCTCGACCTCTTCTTCCACCTCCGTCTCCGTCCCTTCGTCCTCCTCCTCTGCTCCATCTTTCATCACGTCATCCCCATCGTTTCCTTCGTCCTCCCTTTGTTCGCTTCCCTCCGAGCTGTCGTCCTGTTCGTCCTCGTCGTCGTCCTTGTCGTCGTCCTTGTCGTCGCCTCCCGCCTTGTCGATGCCCGCTCCGGCGTTCCCATCCGAGTCCGAATCCTCGTCGTCCGCCTTGGCGCCCGTATCCTCTTCTCCTTCTTCGACCTGCTCCTTTTCCTCGCCCTCCTTTCCTGCATCCTCCTCCTCGACGTCATCCTCCTGTCCTCCTTCGACCTCGAGCCCCGCAAATCGGTTCCGCGATTCGAGTTGGTCGGTTCCGAGGGCGCGGCTAGGGGCCACAACCTCGGAAGCGTCGTTGTCGGTGTTGTTGGTGTTGGTGGTGTCGTTGTTGTTGTTGTTGGTGTTGGTTGGGTTGTTGTGGTACTTGTTGTGCCTTCCGGTGTTGTTGTTCGCTTCCTTCTGCCTCCTCTCCTGTTCCAGCGCGCAGGTCTCCACATGCCCCACAAAGTGGCACCGAGCACAGGCCGCTTCTCGTTCGTAGTCGTGACGAACCGCCGTATGCATGTTGCCTCTAGTGGCTAGAGAGACCTTCGACGGTAGGAGCTCCTTCAGCGTGTTGTTAGGGGCTTTGAAAAGGGCGTCGTCGTCGAAGCGGATAAAGGCCGAAAACTCGCCGGCCAAGTGCGCATAGGCCGAGTCGTTATCGACGTGGATCACGCGCAAGACTTGTACCAGCTCGCAACGGTGTCCCTTGGCTGTGATTTTGGTGACAATTGATTTAAAAGAGTCAACAATGGCATCCCTGGATGGGACCGCTGCGACACCGACGTTGATACGCAGCTCGACCATGTTGTGGTAGAAGTGGTGGGCCTTTGCGAAGTGAGCCTTTGCAGAGTGCCAAGTAAGCGCCAGTGGGGCCGTAAGCGCCGAGTCACGTGCCTTCGCCGAAACGAATCCCACGGAGATACGGTGGTTGACCACACCGGCCCTGACGAAAGACGAGTGTTGGATACCCCTAATCTGGGGCGCAAACGCCGCAAGGTGCTCGGGAAGGGTGACCTCGGCGTCGAAGCACAGGGGCGATTGCGGGGAGAGCAGTCTCGTGACGCAACCGAGCAGATCGGCCTTGTCCGCGGGAGAGGCCTTCGAGGCGCCTTGGACGGTCAAAGTGACGTCGAGAGCAAAGTCGAAGATGTTTCGAATGGATCGATTGGCGTTGAGAGCCGAATACTTGAGCGATGTAGCGGTAGCGACAGGGTACTCGTCGGTGGCGAAGGTGGCTTGCAACCACCGGTCGGTGCGATTGCCCGGTACAGCACCCATGACTTCGAACATTTGGGTCAAAGCCTTGGCACGGTGTTGTTGTTGGGTCTGCTGCTCGGGAGTCTGCTTGGTCTTTTGAATCGCGGCGGTGGCGTAGGTCGCGGCGGCGATAGGGACTTGCGTCTCCTTTGTCCCAATCGGGACGCTCGTCGCCGCGGACGCCGATGGTGGGGGTGGGCCGGTCTCGCCGGTCTCCATGCTAATGTAGGCTGATGTATCACTTGTAGCTTCGAAGGTGGTGGGTGGCGCGATTTCGAAAGTGAAAGTGAAAGTGAAAGTGAAAGTGAAAGTGAAAGTGAAAGTGAAAGTTAAAGTGAAAGTGAAAGTGAAAGTGAAAGTGAAAGTGTGTTTTTTTTTTTTTTGTAGAAACTGTTCATCATATTGCCCCCAAGTCCTGTTCCCCCTGATTGGCCTACGGAAAAACTAGATGGAAGTCGACGATGATAACACAAACCGCCCGCAAGATGCGAGAAACGGGCCAAGTCCACCAATCCGATACTTCGGATTCAAGTGCCCCAGCCAAGCGGTTGCTCCCCCCCAGGAGACGAATGAGAGAGAGAAGAGAAAGAGAGAAAATGAAAAAGAACTGGCGTACTAACGACAAGAGGCCCACCCCGCACCCACTTCCCAACTCGGTCGAGACAAAGACAGGAGAGCGACTGCGCAGCTACCCTGACCCGCGAAGTCCCCAAGTCTATGCTCGGTCAAGGCAGCAGTGCAAAGGTCTAAGGGGAAGTATTGAAGGTGTTAGTAGACCTTGCACTGATATCAGGGGCCGGATAGCTTAGAGGTCAAAGCTTTTCCGATTAATGGAAGCGACCCAGGTTCGACTCCTGGTCCAGCCGTTTCTCTTCTTTTGTTGATCATTTTCGGAATCATTGTTGATTCCAACAGTCCGGTGGCACGTCGGGTTCTACGACAATTGCGACCTCGACGAGTCCTCGACGCCCAGCGACACCTCGTTCGATCTCAGCACCCGGCAACCGACGTGTCACCTGGGCGGGATCCGCCATGCTCCACGGTTTCTCAGGGGGTGACGGCTTGGGGGGCGACAGTTCAGGGGGTTCCAGGTGCTGAGCTGAAAACCTCGAGGGGGGCGACTCTGATCTGATTTCAGTATGATTGAGTCTCTTACCGTGTTGACGTTCAACGTCCGATCGATCAAGAACGCATTCGATCAAGTCAAAATCAGCCGTTACCTTAAATCCTTACGGCCGGCCCCCGCGGCTATCCCCCTTCAAGAGCACCATTTCAGCTTCAACTCTTTGCGCGAAGGCGCTTTGAGAGTGCTTGGCCAGGGGGTCTGCGCTCCCCTCTACAGGGCATGTGCTACCGAGGCCACTCTACGACTCCGACTTTCACAAATTCCTGTTCTACTCAAAGATCACGGACCTGTACCGGCGCGAGTTCTATGCGAGTGGCGCATTTCACCATCAGACACCGCCAGTGGATGTACTCGGCAACAGTGAAATCGAGCGACGTGGCCTCCGGCAACGACTGGTAATTGTGGCCTGGTACCAGTTGGCTTACAATCGATCCATACAAGGACACGCCCTTGGCGGCGGCCGTGGCGATTCCAGGGAGGCGCTGCGAAGCATGGTTCTACCAAACAAACAAAAAGAACCCCCTGTCTCTCTTCAAGGCTCCGCATCTTCAGCCACGCGGAGTCGGCGGACGGCCACGGATTGCTCAGACACGCACAATGAGGAGCAGCTAATGCAGCCGGGCTTTTATTCCTCCGACCCGTCTTCAATTTCTCCTCGAGGTGTACCAATAGCGAGAGAGTCATGTGATCTTCACCCTCGAGCAGCTTCTTCATCTCCCAGCTCTGGGTCGCTTGTTAGTGTCTGGGCTTCATCAATTGGGTGGAATAAACAATATAACGACATGAAAATAAAATGAACGAAAAAAGGCACAATTCATACATCAAGAAATAACTAAAAGCATTACTAGACCATGCCCAACCTCGACTTGGGTCTTTCGCCCAGCGGTCGATCCGTCGCCCGTGTCCCACTCGGAATCATCCTAGGACTGCTCATGTAAACGGTCGAAGGCGTGGTCGTCGTCTTATCACGCTGCAGAGGTGCCGACCCGCTCGCGTGATAAGCGACCGCAATCGAGCTCGTGGTCTTGGCTCGCAAGTCCCCCGGAGGCGCTTTGCGCTTCCTCACCATCTCTTCAATCACTCGACTTTCCTCTTCGCGCGAGTTCTCTTGTTCCTCCAAAGCGTCGATCAGCTCCGTGACGCTGCGACGGCGACCAAGCGTCATCTCCTTTTCAACGTAGGCGGCTGGGGGATCAAATAAGGATGGACGGAGGGGTACAATCTTGCGACCCGAGTCGGTGACGGTCTCGCGCGGGATCGACATGTCGGTGAAGCGCAAGGGCTGAACGTCCTCGGACCAAACCCTTCGTTCGGCCATCTCGGGTCCGGGACTGCCCGACGAGGAAGTGGTGTACGACTCGTCCGCTCGACCACTGTCGTCTTGTTGTGCTGGTGCAGAGGGTGATCGTCGCACGAAAGAACCGAGGTATCTCATCAATTTGCGCGCCGTGCTGGGTGGGCACTCTTGCTCCGCTTGATCCACCTCACGGGGCGCGGGTGTGCCTTCTCGTTCGCTTTCGTCGGTGAGCCCCCACGACTGCGAGGGGAGCTTGGGCTTCTCGATCGGCGCGTCGTCATAAAGGTATGCAAAGCGACTGCTGGCGAGAGCCAGGGGTGGGACGATGGGCAGCTCTTCCTCCTCGTCTTCGCCCTCCTCGAGCGGCCGGATCTCGATCTCCGTGCGGAGCTTGAGCTGACGAGGGCCACGACTGAAGAAGGTGTCGTCTTCGGCGTCGTGTTCGGGGCCGTCGTCGTCTGACAACTCCGAAGCGGGCACGGACGGAGGCAAGACCTCGCGCTGCTTTCCCTTGTTGACCGCGCGAGAGAGCTCGAGGTCGAGCGTAGCGACGCGGCCTTGAGAGGGCTCGGAAGTCGAGGCGACTGAATGAGAGCGCAAGGAGCGCGTCTGTGAGCGACGAGCCCGCAGTGCCGTAATGCGCGTCACCATCTTCTCTCTGTCGAGCGTGTAGCAGAAGAATGCAGGTCAGCACAGTAAACACAATAGAAATAGCATGGAAAACGCACCTCGACCAGTCCCCTACAAGCTCAGTCTCGTGCACATGGACGCGATCTAAAAACTTCATGATGACCGTTCGAAAATTGACGGGCTCTCCCGTCTGCCTCGTTTCCCGCTCATGCTCGACCAAGGCTTTCTCCAAGGCCCTCCACTCCACCGAGGTCCACGATTCGGTGGTCGATCGCCCGCCTTCGCTCGTGGCACGCACGCTCAGCGTCTTTCGGCGCAAGTCCATGCTGGGCACTGTAGAGACCTTCTTGACGGTTCTCAAGACTTCGCCCTCGGCTCGATTGAGTAATCGGCGAACGTCGTTCTCGTCGACGATCGGCGGCCCTTCGATGGGCGGCAACTGGACCGAGATTCCCTGTTCGACGTACGAGTGGTAAACCTTGAGGATCGCAGCGGCTCGCGCAGCAGCCTGCGGATCCGGAGAAGTGATCTCGACGACCGGAAAAGTCGGGTGGGAAGGTCGAGGCGCACGGTGGCTGCTTTGAGAAGAGGTCATCGACGCTCGAGTGCTACGCGCCGAGGGGACGGGAGTCGATCGAGATGGGCCGGCGTGGGGTTCAAGACGCGGTGATGAGACCTTGCTCGCGCCGACGAACAGCACTTGGCGCAACATATCGATCCCCCTTTGGACCTTGCCGCTGCTCTGCAATCGCTCGACCGACGCGGGTATCTTGGAAGTCGATTGGTACAGGGTGCGAATCGGGGAAGCGTGGCGACGCTCGGGTGTCGAAGACGCCAACTCGGCCGCCCGAGGGGACAGGCCGGCAAGGCTGGAGAGCACAGGTCGAATCGGCGAAGGGCTGCTCATGTGGACGTCGACGGCGTTCGACGCGGTCCGCGTAGGAGTCGTCTGATCCATGGGCGATCCTTCGGCGCGATCCAAGGGCAAGGTCGACAGTTCGTCGGGAGCGAGGTCTTCGGATTGAGGCACGTGGGAAGACGAGGAAAGGGGCGAGCGACGATGGGTGAAGCCAGCCGAAAAGACGTCGGGTTTGACGTCCTCCTGAAAGCTCAGCGGGCTCATGGCGTCGCTTCGGGAGGTAGGACCGGATGAACTCTGCACCGGTGGCGCGGGCTCCTCTGCAGCCTCGAACCGCTCTTCTTCCTGCTCCTGCTCTTCCTCCTCGGCTTCGACTTCGACCCGCGCAGGAGACGGCGGCAGCTCTGGGGCGGCAGAGGGCCGCGTAGTCGCCAAGAGCGCATTTATCTGCGAGAACGGACTAACAGTTCGGCTGACATTCAGTGACGTTTCTCTGGCGCTTCGCATGGCCGTCGGACGTTCGCTCGAAGAAGCCGCTGCAAGAGGCTCAGCCGTCGAGGGCGAGACGGCGGAGACGGCGGGGGTCGGTCGCATCGGGGAGACGGACTCGACCTTAGCCGTCTTACGCACTGGAGATAGCAGTTCCGCAAGACGCGCAGCCAAGTTCTGTCGGACCGGTGATCCACCACTGGGCGAGACCGTATCACCGACAGTCGAGGGTTTGGGGTCGTGATAAGGATCTCGCGACCTCGGTCGCATGCTCGGCAGCTGGCTGAAGGGCGACCCGAGGAACATTGAAGGTTCCGAAGAGAGGTCGACACGAGCAGGATTGAGAGAGGAGAAAATCCGGGGAGGCGAAGTGGAGCGGTCCCTCAGCGAGATCTCGGAATCGACGGCTCCGGGAGGGGGTGTCGGGATGCGCAGCGACTGTGATTGCGTGAGCGGAGGCGACATGGGCGCGCGCCCAAGACCAAAGTACTCGTTGCCATCATCTTCGGTTGCCTGGGGTTGGTCGCCTTCGTTCACCCGAAGTCCATTGGCATGGTGGACAGCCGGGTCGATAATTTCATCTTCGACGTCATCCTCGTCACTCTCTTGATCCCGTAGTGCGAGAAAGTCGAACCGATTGACCGGCTCGACGATCTCGTCAGGGATCCAGTCGTGTTCCATCCCGCCATAATCAGAAGAGTCTTCTACTTCCTCCTGGACTTTGGTCCCATGACTGTCGTCAAATCCGTTGCCGAGACCTTCGTCGATGGTGCCGGATCCGAGTGGTACCAAGTCCATGTCGTTCCAATCATACGGCTCTGCTTCGCGCGGCGTTTGACGCTCTGGTGATACTGTGGACAGCTGCCTGACCTCGATGTCGAGCTGACTGGCATCGCTATACTGCTGGCCCTTGGTTGACACTCGTCGCGACCTTGCCACACTGCTCGTGCGTGATCTAAGCCTCGATGATGTGGACTGCGATCGCCACGAAGCTTGTTCGGCTGGCACATCTACGCTCTCGCTCCGAGGTCTTCCTTCGCCTTTGCCGCGTGTCTCGTCGCTGCCCTTGAGCAAGATGGGGTCGTCGCTGTCGCTCTCGGGGTGGTGGTGGACGGAGACGGGCAAGATTTCGCTCGGGACGGGGACAAACGAGCTTCTCCGTCGCTTCGCCCCCGTTCCCTTGCCTCTCGGCGTCGTCTTGAACGTGGTTGCCGTTGATTTGGGCGAAGCGCGTGATGTACCCGACGATCGTCTGCGGTTGGTCGCACCGGCTTGGGGCGAAGGGAGTGGTGACGCCGAGGTCGAGCTGCGCCGCCGGGTGGGTTTGGTCTTGTGAGCCGCGGTGACCTGAATCGTCTCGAGATCTACTGTGGTCGAAGGTGGGGCAAGAAGCTACAGGCAAAATGGGTCGGGTCAGCAAAGATATAATGCGTCATCTTTGGGCGAAAACATGCTGACCTGAGTGCTCGAGCGCCTCGGCCGGGACGATCCTGCAACCGCTTCCGCCGCCTGTGACAGTCGAGATTTGCTGGTCTTTGGCACCGCTCGCTGAGGACTTTGACTATTAGGTGGGGTTGGCATGATCGAGGTCTCGTTCGAATCGAAGTCGAGCTGGGACTGCGAACCGTGGCCGCCGTCGCGAGCATCACGTGCTTCGGCGTGGTCGTCCGGGTCTTGATGGTCGCTCGTCGGCAGTTGTACCAGCAACGAGGGTCTTGCGCTCGACGAAGGTTTTGCAATTCTGCGGGGCGAGCCGTCTGTGATGATGACGTTGGTCACGGCGGTAAAGGGTTGTCGTCGGGTCGTGGCTGGGGACGCTGAGAGGGCGGTCAGAGGCTTCGTTGAAGGACCGCGTGCGAGAGCGGGCATCAATGGCGGTGCGGGTGACGGAGCGCGTTGCAAGGCTTTTACACGTTCCTGAAGCAGGCCGACGGAGGATGATCGATAGGGTGTGTTCTCATCGCGGGCATGGGCTGGAGTCGAAGAGGGTTGAGGTGGGGCAAACATCCGGGAGAGGGGCTAGTTCGTTGCGTGTCTGAGCGTGTCTGGGGCCGCTAAGTCCAGTCAGCTGGCCGGTCGGTCGCACGCGTTCCTGCCAGAAGTCACTACTGGCAGTAGCAAGCGCGGTGCTTTGAGCTTTGTCAGTAAATATCCGTTTTGGGTGATACATAGGACTTGGGCTTCCCTTCAACGTACCTCTTTTGACGCGGCGTGGTCCGGTCTAAAGCGCACTGTTGATCGGTCAATCAACAATCCCCCAACTTCGGTGATCAAGGCGATTGAGGGTCCGATGCACTGATGCACTGAGAATTTTCGGCGGCCAAGAAAGGAAGCGTATTGCTAGAGAAGTAGCGCTAATAACAGAATGGTCGCGTCGAAGGGTTCGGAGTTGAAGGTAATGATCGCCGGCTGAGCTCTAGCGGCGGCGAGCCAATGAGCTCATTCACGCGCGTTGGCCAGCGAAAAGCGACGAAATGCGGAAATGCGGGAGGTCCGAGCGCTGATAACAGCCTCAGCAGGCTCTAGCCAGGTGCCCCACCCCAATCACCTGAGCCTGATGCGAGTCGGAGCCATGAGCTAAGCATGTCTACGCAGTCCCACTCTTCAACCAAGTCGAATATCTAGGTAATTGAATATAATTGTCCCGTGGTATGTAAAAAGCTGACTTGCGGCGCTGGCGTCGAGCGGCACTACTAGTAGTAGTAGTAGGCGTCGGGTAGGTCGCTGGGCCGCTAGGCGCAGTCGAGCGTGGAGTGTGAGAGCGACTTACCCTCTTCGTTGAAGCCAGTCGAATCGAAGGTGTAGACCCCTTTGAGTAGAAGTCAATGTGGCCGCGCATCAGTCCGCCCGCCGTGGCTCCCAATGGGAGGGAGAACCGCCGCCAGCTTCTACTCTTTGAGCCTTGCGACAAGACGTATTTCTGTCAGGAGGGGAAAAGATTAGCTCAGTTCACAACGCGACTCGCAAGGCTCGGACTCACGGTCTTCTCGCCCGCAGATTAGGCATCATCATAGTTGATCCTTACTTTGGTATTCGGTTGAACAGGAAAGGGGTGACGGAGCAGGCATCGACATGACGCGTCCATCCCTTCAAACGGACCTTGCCGTTTGAAGATAGGAGCTGTGGCATAAAAAACGTACCGGAACTCGATTGAAATGAATGCACGAACAGGGAAAGACTTTTATGAGCCGCTCCATACTCACACCTTCATCGATAAGATCGACATAATGCCACATCCCGGTGTACGAAGCCGTTCTCACATCACAGACATCGACGATGGGCTCATTGGTATCCGTCCTGTTTCCCTTCAGGATTACATCACTCTTGTCCTGGTAGACTTGCGTAGTGAGCCCTTGATCTTCTGAGACTTGAGAGTGGATGATTTGAGCTTGTACGAGTAGCCATAGGCAGGGATGCCGAGCATCATCTTGGAAGCGGGGATCCCAGCCTTCTTGAACGTGTCGATCACCTCGACGACACTCGTCACGCTCTTGTATGTCCTCAGCGGGTAATTAGGCCCCGACGGGGCTTCCCATGATCCACCGACATGGTAATTCATCAAGTTAATAATGTCAAAGACTTTGCCGAGATCGCTCATGTCCGCCAGGGGGCTGCCATCGGGTTCTACCAATCCCGAGGTTGCAATGGCGGCGGTGATCAACTTTGATGGACCAATCTCTGCGCGCAGTGCTTTATTAGAGAAAATTGGCCGAGTCGGCAGGTCGGACTTTGCTGCACCCGATACATTGCGAGCCGGGAAACTCCCAGTCCTTGACGGCCGACAAGCGAGTAGTGGGGTCAATTTCTAGAGCTGCGCAGGAGCCCCTATCAATCATGGTGTCCCGATGTGTCGGTAGAAAGCTTACAAAGTCCACGCCATCAAATGTGTACGTGTCGAGAAATGCCTTGACGTCTTTCACGAACGCCTGTCGATTGCGATCTGTCGCGACTACACTTCCGGGTGGCCGTGTCACTTGATCCTCATTGGAGGCACCTAATCTGACGAAGCGAACTCACCTCGATCCGAAAAATCGAGAGCCGATCCAACCCCCGATGGTGAACACCGCTTTCTTGCCATCTACCGTTTAATAATACGCGATTTGGACGTCAGACAAATGGGTGCGTACCACCACGACTGGGGTAAATACTACGGCGTCAGCTAAGGCGCAGTGATCGAACGCGTCGCAATTCCGAGATCCGACTCCGCCAAGCGACAGGCGCGAGCGAGCTCCGATCCGGATTCGGTTCGGGATCGGGTTGAATGGACTAACTCGCTTTGGCGGCGGTAACAAAGTCTTTGACACCAGCCTCGGATTGGACAACTGGGACCCTGAACCCAGTGGTGTCGGTTTCCGTGACTGTGGGAAGAAGCGATGTCAAGTATCGGTCTTCACGCGGGCTACCGACTCTGACAAAGCAGGGGCACTGCCAGCACGACCGCGTAGACCAACCAAAGTAGTAGCCGATATCGGTTCGTGCCCAGTCGAGGTCTCGAGGTTTCTGCTCTCCATAAGCCGGCCAGTACTGCCTGCTTGCAGAAGAATCATGGCTTAGCGCTTGTGAACACTTCCCAAAATGATTGGGGTCGGCGACCGGCTTGTTGGACAATGACCTCCGTTGGACTCGGTGAAACTTGAAGTCTACGCGTGAACCTTCCCGAGGTCAGGTGGAGGACGTACAATAGTGCAGAACCGACTGCAACTTCGACGAGCGCGAGAATCAAAGCTACTGGAAATACACGGCCTCCTGAGGGATGAGTTGCTGGAGAAGAATAAGGCGACTCGGGACCTTGGAGACTGCTGTCGAGTCTCGGCTGCAAAAGCTGGAGAAACGTGCGAGGAACCCTGTTCGGATCGAGCGGCGATACCGTTACTTCACCAAAAAAAGATCCGGGTTCGGTCAGTCGCTCTTGTGCTGTAAGTTGCTAAAATTCAGGTGCTGGTTGTATCTTCTCTTTATATGTTTACATGATGTGAAGAAGCCGTTCGGCATACTACGGCCCCCAGCCAACCTCTTGCCCAAACGCCACGTGACTCGAGGGCATTTTTGAGGCGAGTTCTCTGACATCAGGAAACACTTCTGAACGTTGCCAAATTACGACATGTTACTGGTTTTCGAAGTGAAGGGTGCCTTCTTGCACTGTAAGACCCTTGGTAAGCATCACACAAATTACTCTATTGGATTCTGTGCCTGCAGCAGGTAACAGTGGCGTGGTATCCGCCCAGACCTGAGCGACTTGCCTTTCACAGTCGAAGTTAAACGCGTGGAATGGGAATGCACTTACGCGCCTCGGGCCTCGGCTAGCTGAATCTGCGTCTCATCTGAGACCATGGAAAGCACTCGCTATCGAGGTCCAGTATCACTGAGAATTGACTTATTGAATATCATACAAGTGTCTATAGCTACCTGCATAGGATACACAATAGATGATCCGCCGCTCTACATACTCGGATCCTTTGTAAAGCCCATGGGTCCGATCTCCTCGAATCTGCGCGTGTCCGACCCACCACTTCCCGCAGAGACTTCATCACGCAACGTTACAGGAGTCTCCGACACCGAGCCTCCGGGCTCACTTGAAGACGTTGGAGCTCGACGTAGCAGGGACATTTTGTCACGTTGCTTGAGCAATGCGTTGGCCCAAGCCGTTTCGTAAGTCAGGAGGACTTTGGAATAAATCACCGAGAGTTGTTGCGTGCATTGAGACTGGTCGGATAGTCCCAACATCAAAGCAACTTTCGGCCATGTTTGATCCAGTTCAACCTGTTTGAAAAGATCGGATCAGGAATGCATCGATACACCAGGCGGTAATCTTTTGCAGGCTCACTCGCTCGCCTCCCGGACCTTGGAGCATGACGGTTTGGAAAAGCTTGAACAGATCGACCTTGATGCCATCGATTCGGTACCCGTTCCTGTCGACAACCACTCCTCCTCGACTCATGACCACTTCCAGACTTGTGTAAAAGTCCGCCTCTTTCAACTGCGGTCAGGTTGATCAAAAGTTAGGGGTCAGATCTTACATGCAATCGAAATCACGACAACACCGTAGTTCACCTCGTCCTGCATGCTCTGAAGCGTAGGATAACCCAGTACAGAGCCCTCCGCCAAGCATTCCGTTGCTGACTTGGTTCCGACACCAGAATCACGAAGTACGCCGCCTGAAGCCCACGACTTCCGCACCAAAGTTGGGGAAGCGTCGGCGCTCGAGATCTTCGGAACCCAGGGCTTGGAGAGAGCGGGCAGATCGCCTGTCGCATTAGGTGGAGCAGGTTCGGGAATGGTCGGATAGGTCGATGGGTTCGATAGAGCGGCGTCTCGAGCGCGGTTCGCAGCTGCTACCTGGGCCCGAAGGCTTGGTGGGAGGTGGCTGAGATCGGGGCCGCTGAGAGTAGGTGCAGGTTGCTTCTTTGCTCGTCGGGTAGTGGATGCTTCCCCGGTGGTCGCGGATGTGGAGGTATTTGACCACTTCGTCAGCTCGGAGGGCGGCAGAAGAGGAGCGTCCACCTCAGCCGTAGAAGTTGTTGCGGTAGGTTGGAATGATGGGGCCGTAGAGGCTACGGGTAAAAGAGGTGTCGGCTCGAACCCGGACATGGAGGAGGAGCTCGAACTCGCCAACGGCACCTGGGAAGGCGGTACAGAGGAGTGAGGCGGTGGCGGTGGCAGTCCATACGGCGATATAGACTGGAGAAAAGATTCTAGCTGTGTACTGTTCCATGCCGGCTGTGAGGAGGTGGGAGAGGGAAAAGTGGGTGGAAGGCCCAAATCTGCCGCCGAGGAGCCCTTCAGTGGAAGCAGGGAGCTCTGGTGTAGATCAAAGCCCTGAGAGACCAGAGAGGAGAAGCCTAGGTTCGCATCTACGGATGTCATGTTATTGTCCGGATAGTTGAGCCCGTCGATCGGTCGTTCGCTGGCAAAACTGGGTACAGCGTCCTTGAAGGCCGGGAACGACGATGCGAGGAAGAATGTTTCATCAGAACGCTGATGGCTTGGGGTTGAGTTGGTGTCGCCTAACATCCCGAACGGGGTAGAGAACTGTGTCAACAGCGCCTGCAGCGTCAAGTTGGCGTCCTCTTGCGAAGTGTTCCAAGGCCTATCCGAACCAGGGATCTGCGGAGGAGCATCACATCGTGCGAGCAGGCCAGATGAGCCCGGTGGAACGAGGATATAGGTGTGCTGACTTGAATCTAGAGACATACCTGGGATGTTGTAGCATCGGAGCTTGACTGATACGGGCCACCCGCCTGCTGTGACGGCACATTGAACGCTTGATCGCCGTACATCGCGACTGAGACTCGTTTCGCGCCGATCGCCTCTTCTTTGTTGTTTAGTACCGAGTTCGATTTAAGGTAGGACCACCATGAGGGATGGACGGAGGTGATCACGTCGGGGTGTTTCGCTCGTTGGTGTATCGGACAGAGAAGCGCTGGCGGCGCGTAACTTTCGTGGACTGGCTGGAAATCGATCGCCGAGAGTCGCCGAGAGTCGCCGAGCTGACTCATCAGCTTGAAGATGGCTGAGACTCGGAGCGGCCCGATTTTGAAACACTTCATTTGCATCACGGAAACAGTACCAATTGATTAACAGACCCGAATTGTAAGTAGTTCGAGTTACGCCAGCGCCATTCGCTTCCCAGAAAAGATCATTACGTTGATCATGACCAAATTGGCAATCACGAGCGTGACCAAAAGAACCCCCGAGGTGATCAACATGACCTTCCAACCTCTCGAAAGACCCAGGCCCGTGGTCCCTCGGTCTTCAACCGACTTGCCCGGCTCTTCAATCGAGTCCCAAGGGGCGATCTTGACGTGCATCGAACTGCGACGCCGGGCTAGGAGCTCGGCCCGCGAGCAACGTGACACTGTGGATCGGTCCGATTTCTCCGTCATCTCGCCATCGGGCGAGGCCACCTTTCCTTTCGAAAGATCGCTGACAAAGTCGAGTCGGGTGAAAGGTCGGAGTTCGTCCTCGTTCGAACCAGGGAAGGTCGGAGAGAGCGTGCGCGGAAGGTCTTGGACTCCGCGGAAGACAAAATCATCGATCTTGGGTCGGCCTCGGACTGCGCCCACACGAGCGGGACGACATAACTCAATCGTTGAGGGCGACTCAAAGTTTGGAGGCTCGAAGTCGGGGATGGGCGGACGTTGGATGGGGTGACGGATTATGCGAACTTGTAGTTGATGCGGTTCGAGATGGGCCCGTTTTCCTTCCGTAGCATAAGTTTGGACCGAGGAGAGATCAGAGCTGTGGCAGTTTACGCCGAGCGAGGAGGGGGCCAGACATTGGAGTGATGAATGGGTCGAAGGTGATCGAGAGATGCTTGAATCCGGCAGAGTTAAGGGGGGCGGAACGATGACGGGCGGCTCCGACGAAGCTCCATGGTCGGTCGGTATTGGCGGAGTGCGCATGGGGACAGGGGAAGAAACAGCTCGACGAGCGTACGGGCGAGCGTGCGAGAGTCCAATGATCTGGGCGTAGGCGATGTGCAAACTGTCATCCCCGGCCGTGGAAGGTGTCGACGTCGAAGTTGAAGGTCCAGGAGTCCAGGCCGTCGGCTCGACATCAACAGCAGATTGACAGCACGACTCGCCACCGGTCGAGAACGAGGAGGGCAGGTCCTGGGTGCTCGTGTGTGAGGCCTGCATCGAGGGTGCACATGACGCTACGGTTCCAGGTGAGGCTATTTGAGCGTAGGGCGAAGGCAGAACCCGGTGCGAATAAGTCGAAATGATTCCGAAGGCGGGCCCGAAGGTCGAGGATGCATCGTGTGTGGCCGATCGAGGGACTCGAACACGGAGGGGAGCAGAATTAGGCATGATCTTTCCACGAATCAACGGTGGGATCGTGAGTGCTGTCAAGTGGTGGAGGGAGCTTGGGGAGTTTTAGAGAGTATTCAGCCGACGACAGAGCACTGAAGTTAATATCTGTACCGGCGTGAATAAAGGGCCTGGTCTATGTCCAGGGATCTTTTGGGAAGGCGAGGGCCGAGGCGCGCCGGGAACAAGGGCCGCTGATAGGGGCCGTGCGCTCCGCTGCGAAACAAAGGCCCGAGGCCGAGGCTGAAGCGGCCAAACTTCGGCGTGGGTGCAGACTACATCGTCTCGGAGATCTAAACTCAATTGCTTCGTTTGTTGGTTTGTTGCATTGTGAGCCCGTGGGTTGCTGACCGCTCGAAACTCGAGATGCCGATCAGTTGATCGACCCCGCCTAGGCCGCCCCCTGGTCATCAGCCAGCAGGGCCCAGCAGCCAGCAGCAGCCTCCCCACATTTTTCCCGCCGAGGTGCATTTCTACTCCGCTTCCGTCTTTGTTCTTTGCATTCGCCCTTCCTTTCGCATCCACGTTCATTCCAATCGATCTCTCAATAACATGGCTGTCACCGCTTCCATGTCCGCTACTGTCAAGTCTGTTCTCTCCGCAGATACAGTAAGTTCTCCATCAACGTGGTCCAGATTGCTCGCGTGACCTCGAGACCGCCTTCGCTGACGTCGTAGAGTGCCGCCTTCCTCCCCTCCGTACAGCTCGTGTTGAGGAGCAAAGTTCTGTCGCCCAATAGCCTACCTCGTGAACGTGTGGTCCATCTCGATGACGGCCTCACGGCACCGCGAGTAGGCAACAGGGACCGCGAGGACGAGGTCAGTACTCTCCTTCGCTATCCCCCTCACCTTCAAAGGGCGACGAGCTTTAAACATGGTTCTCGTGGATCCATTTCGGTTCGATTGAGTCTCAATCCCATAGTCGATTGAATCTTCAAGGTATGACAGATGCTGACTGGGACTACCCCTCCGAAATGCACCGCGTCCGCGCCCAATTGCGCCACGTCAACGCTCACGATGACGACTGATCGATGGCTCGCACCGCTCACCGCTTAGCCCTGGGCGTTCGATGCTCGCGAGTACCTTCGTGCGCTCTTGGTCGGCAAGACGGTCAACTTCCAAATCACCCGCACCATCTCCACGACAACGCCTCCGCTCGAGTTTGCGCGTGTCTTCTTCACCCAGCCTGACGGCGAGCAGCTCGATGTTGGTCTCGCCGTCGTCAAGGCTGGTTGGGCCAAGCTGCGCGACTCGCCCAAGGGAGCTGCCGACGGTGACGAGGATCCTCGTCGTGCCGAGTTTGTTCAGGCCGAGGAGGAGGCCAAAGTCATGGCGCGTGGTATGTGGGCAACGAGCGGCCCCCCCGAGCAACACGTCAATTTCTCCATGCCCGAGGACCCGTCCACTTTCCTCGCTCAGTATAAGGGCCAGCCTCTCGACGCCATCATCGAGGCCGTCCCTAACGGTTCAACTGTCCGGGCTCGGTTGCTACTTTCCCCGACTCACCACCAGGTCGTCGGTGTTGGACTCGCCGGCGTTCGTGCCCCACGTGCCGGCAACTTGTCCTCTGCCGAGAGTTCCGCGCCCACGGGCGAGGAATTCGGCGATGAGGCCCGCTTCTTCGTCGAAACCCGGCTTTTGCAACGCATGATCACGATCACGCTGCTGTCCCTCCCCACACCCGCCGTCGCTCCTTCGGCCTTCAACTCGTTGGGCCCTGCCGCTACGCCCGCTCCGGCGACCATGTTCATCGGTACGGTCGCCCACCCCGCAGGCAACATCGCCGCGTTGCTCATCGCGACGGGGTTGGCCCGCATCGTTGACTGGCACGCCGGGTTCTTATCGCAATCGCCAACGCCCGGTATGATGGCCGAGTTGCGGAAAGCCGAAGCCGAGGCCAAGGGCGCTCGACGTGGGGTGTGGAAGTCCCTGCCCGCAGCGACACCGACCGCTGCGGCTCAGGCGGCTCAGCATGAGAAGGAGCGCAAGTTTGAAGGTGTCGTCACTCGTGTCTGGGGCGCCGATATGCTCTCCATCGTTAAGACAGGCGAGACGAAGGAGCGCCGCATCCAACTCGCATCGGTTCGACAGCCCAAGCTTAACGACCCCAAAGTCGGTGGTCTGCAAGCCGAGGGCAAAGAGCTGATGCGCAAGAAGCTGATCGGCAAATCCGTCAACGTCAACATCGACTACGTCAAGCCCGCCGAGGGCGACTACGAGGCTCGAGAGTGCGCCACGATCCGCGTCGCAGGTGGCGCCAACGTTGCCGAAATTCTGGTTGAGAAGGGTTTGCTCCACGTCATCCGACACCGACAAGGCGACGAGCAGCGATCGTCGGACTATGATAAGCTGTTGGCCGCCGAGGCCAAGGCTTTGGCCGAGACAAAGGGTGTGCACTCGGGCAAGGAATACCCCGTCGGTCGCATTATCGACGCCTCCGAATCTGCGCAGAAGGCTGCACCTTTCCTCTCGTCATTCAAGCGACAAGGCAGAGCCGCTGGTGTCGTCGACTACGTCGCTGCCGGTTCGAGATTCAAGGTCTTTATCCCCAAGCAGGATATCAAGCTCACGCTCGTCCTCTCCGGTATCCGTGCGCCCCGAACAGCACGAAACGCTTCCGAGAAGTCGGAGCCGTTTGGTGCCGAGGCAGCTCAGTTTGCTGGGAGAAAGTGCATGCAAAAGGACGTCGAGATATTGATCGATTCGGCTGACAAGAGTGGTGGTTTCATTGGCAAGGTCAGTACGGCCGGGCGCGGTTTTCTATATTTATATTTCGCGATGAGAGGTGTCGAATACTGACATAGCGGGTGTCTCTTTAGATGTTCTTGGGCAAGGATGACTTTGCTGTCTTACTCGTCAAGGAGGGCCTGGCCCGAGTCGACGAATACGCCGCTGAGAAGGGCGCCAAGGACCTCGTCGAAGCTCAGGACGAAGCCAAGCGGAACAAGAAGGGGATCTGGTCCAACTACGACGCCGCCGCCGACGCCGCTGATGCTGCTGTCGCCTCCTCCGAACCCGCCGTCGCTCGTCGAGAATACGTCGACGTCGTCGTTTCCGACGTCCGAGGAAGCGCCGACTCGCCCTTCTCTTTCGCCGTCCAAGTCCTCGGCTCGAACGGCTCGATCCCCGAACTCGAACGCCTCATGTCCGAATTGACCGTCTTCCACGAAGGAACGTCGGGCGACCCCACGCCTGCCAACTTCTTGCCGCGCAATAACGATCTCGTTTCAGCCAAGTTCTCGCAAGACGATGTTTGGTACCGCGCACGAATTCGCCGAGCGAACCCGGCCAAAAAGGAGGCCGAAGTGCTTTATGTCGATTGTGAGCGACTGTTACGAATGCTTTAGAAGTAGTACCAACTGACATCCGCTTTTTGTATTGCGTACAGACGGCAACTCGGAAACGATCCCTTATTCACGCCTCCGACCCCTCGCGGCGCAGTTCAAATCCCTGGAATCGCAGGCGAAGGATGCGACGCTCTCCTTTGTCACCCTTTTGGACCACTCGACCGAATACGGCCTCGAAGCCCAAGACCGTTTCCGGGACTTGTGCGAAGGCCGGCAACTCGTTGCCAACGTCGACGCTCGTGATCCCGGTCTCTTGCACCTCTCCTTGTTCGACCCTAATGACCCTGAATCGGCCAAGGGTCATGAAGCTAGCATTAACGTCCAACTCGTGAGGGAAGGCTACGCCAGGGTCGATCAGAAGAGTCGCTTCAGGCAGGCGTACCCTCAAGTCGTCAAGGCGCTCGAGAGGGCCACCGAACAAGCCAAGAGGGACCGTGCCGGTGCCTACGAGCTCGGTGATATCTTCGAAGATTGATCAATCGATCGCGATCATCTAATTCATGGTATAACCCCCTTGACGCTGGAATTCAAAAGCGATACGTCGCCAGACCCCGTAGTCTCAATTCTCATGCTCTGTTGATGAAGGTGTCTTCTCAGTAGGGCCATATGCAAGTTTACGTGTCTATCCAATTGCAGTTGCTTCGATGACTAGGATCAAACGTCCATCAAGGGAGAGAGAAAGAGCTACCTCAACTCGAACCCGTTTGAGCTCAAGTAAGCCAAAAACGGCTGCGCAAACTCGGGGTCGACCGCCTCGACGAGAGGACGGATCTGACCCGGTTTGGCCTGACTTAACTCGCTCAACTGACGCGCCAAGTGGGCCCTCGGATCAGCGACGTGGGCGACGGGGTCGGGTCGGACCCTTTCCGATGCACCGAGTTTGGAGAATGAGGCTTGGTAGCCCGTTTCTTCGAGATCGGCAACTTCGATCTCGTCGGCGTCGGCGGAGACGTTCTTGGAAAGCGTCGCAGGGAGGAGGAAGAGCTTGAGTAAAGCTTCAAGCGTAGGGGACCATGCGCGCACGTGGGGCTCTTCAACCATGATCAACGAGTGGGTCAGGATGTTGACGAGGCCGACGGCGATGACCTTGCGGTTTTGTTCTGGCGCTTTTTGCACCTCAGGAAAGAGCACGGGGAGCACTTGGCCGAAGAGACTGAGGGGAACGGCCGATATCATCAGTACACTGCGATTTCGCCAGGATGTATTCTCACGTCTACCTACCCTGGTTGGGGTTGCACCCCATCGAGCATCCGGACGACCCCATCGACGTCCAATCCAGGCTTGTTGATCGCTGCCATAAAGCAAATGAACCTCAACAACCCTTGCGAGAATTTATCCGTCTTGCTAGTCTGTAATCTCGTCAGCAAGAGCATGAACACAGGGTTCGACATGTACTGTCGGATCGAGTTGAGCGGCACGTATTCGACGATCGATTCGAGCAACTCGAAGCCGTACGCGTCGTTGGCCTTGCTTCCGACGAGGTGCTGGAAGATACCGAGCATCGGCGGCAGTTGGTTCGCTTCGACGATAGAGGGTGCTCCGCGAGCGAGGAAGGCGCGCAGCAGTCGCACGAGCGCGGGAACGTTGCCTTTGGATTCCCACAATGCCGGGGTGAGCATCGGCGGCAAGAGCACGCGGTACGCCTCAGGGAAGTCGCCTTCGGCATGCAGCTCGAGCAACTGCGACAAGATTTGGAAGACGAAAGGCGTGAATTCGGATATGTCGTTCTGCAGGATGACCTGGAACGGCGGAAAGAGGGCGCTTTCGAATTCAGGTAGGGTCGAAGGGGTGCCAGCGGTGACGAAGCGTGCGAGCGCCGAGATGGACTCGAAGGTAAAGTGGTTGAATTTCGGGTTGCTCGGATTTTTGGAAATTTCGCCGAGGATGCCGGTGAGGTTCCGCAGAACAGTGACGTAGATCGGGGTCAGCGCCTGTCGTGAGGTGATGATGACTCGCATGACCGCTGTGGCATCGAAAAACTCCTTCAGCTCATGGCCGACAAGCTATGATTTCGTGTTAGCGACTCACATTTCATGAGGTGGTCGTTCGCAGCGATCAACTGCGGCGTTTCGCCTCTGAGAATGACCTTGAACAAGGCGTTGAGGATGTTCTCCGAGTAAGGTCGAATATCGGCCTGGCCACAGAGGAACGCGCCGTTCTGCTTGATGAACAAAATGCGCTCGATCGTGATCGAGGCGTAGGTGTGAATAACGAAAGAAGGGTGCTCGATGTGAGGGACGAGCAAAGGGAGCACGGCGAGCAGTTGCTCTTTTGTGAGTTGGTTGCGGAACGTGTAGATAAATTTGATGGCGTCAGAGAGGATGATGGGGTGGATCGAACCGGGAGCGGCTTGCAGATCGCCGAGGACGTGCTTGGAGAACCAGTCGACGACATCGACAAGCGCGTTCGTCGAAGTGACACCGTGCTGGGCTGTCGAACCCCGCGAGGCGATCGAGGTGAGCAAGAAAATGGCCGTGTCTTTGCTCTTCCAGTTGGTGGCCGGGTTCGCCTCGTATTGCTAAACGGGCCAAAGACTGCGTGTCAGCCTTTCAGATCATTTAACCGGTCATGGCGGCCAATGCACATACCGAGAGGTATGCGCCGACGTATTGCAGCAAAAGCTTCGTGACTTGGCTCTCGAATTGCTCCATCAACGCCTTGGTGAAATCCGACGCGGCCTGCCTCCTCGTTTCGCTGCCTGTTAATCGCAGTGCTCAGGGGTCAGTTCTGGTCTCATCACATGATCTATGACCGAGCGTGAACGTACTGGCACTCTCGAGATCCCTCCTGACATACTCAGGAGCATCGTCCTCGAACATTTCCTCTTCGAACGTCCGCAAAGTCATGTTGGGCAACAAGATCTTTTCACAAATGGAAGGGAATGTGCCCTCGCCGTCGAAAAGGGCTCGTTGGGACGGCATTTTGGCCACAACGCCAAGGAATCCGGTGGCTTTTGAGACAAGCTGATGAACACGACACGCAATGGGTCAGTCTGATGCAACACTACGCAATCTGGTCTGGCACATGAACTGACCCCATCATACTTGACCGCCAAGCCCAACTTGGTCAACAACTCCCACGTCTTTTGGACGAACGGGCCGAGATAGCCACCCTCGCCGAAAGCATCGAGATACCTCAACGAGTACAACTGGGCAATCTCGCACACCTCGGCCTTGATGTTCTCCATATCTCCCGCTGCTTCCTCATCATCGTCATCCGTATCGGGTGTCTGCAGTGCCGCAGGTGGGGAGTAGTCGAGGTACTTGAGCAAGAGCGTCATGAAGTCGCCAAGTCGGTCCTCGAAGAATTCGGGCAGGTCCTGCGAGTTGAGGTCGTGGTAGATTTGAAGCAGAAGTAGGATTGTCTTGAGCAAGAGAGCGTGCTGGTCCGCTGTGAGGGTCGGCGACGAGAGCAAGGCGTCCGTTTGCTGCGTGGGATTCGGGTTACGAGAAGATTCGTTTGACCGAGGTCAGCGCGAGCCATGGGTCGGACAGATAGACGAGTGCATCACCCACCTGGAAGAGCTGCTGGTAGGGAGCACAGAATCGATCGAGTACGAACTTGATCTCGAGGAAGAGGATGTCGGTCCTAAACTCGGATCGCCACCTATTTGCGTAGTCGCGTCGCATGGCGGGAGGTGGGGGTGAGGCTGTCAGCGTCCAAAGAAGCGCCTCTGCATATCGAGAGCGAATCAGCTCACCTTCGGAATATGGAATGAGCGGTTTGCAAGACGGCGTTATTGACGACAAAGTCGTTGGGTGTGAGCGATTGTACGAGTTGCTGCCCGTGCAAAGGCAAGACGAGCGCTCGCGGCCGGTCAGCACGAGGCGTCCACTCCTCTCCCGGGGTCATTCCCAGCCTTTGCTCGTCTAAAACTGACATCGATCAGATTCTCCCAGCGGTCAGGGAAGTCGGCTTCGGCCATGATGGCGATCGCTTCGCCGATCTGGACCTGCAAAGCAGGCGCGTTGGCGAGCGAGATCATGATCGCCACGACCGACTGCTTCAGCCCCTCGGCAGTCGAGCTCGTCAACGGTGTCGGGGCTTCCTCGAGCTGCAGTTTCCTAGTGTCAAGTGTCAGTCTGCGTCCGTCAAGCAGCCGCTGTGCACGCGCAACTCGGCGAACGCACCGCCCAATTGGCCTTGATCCAATTCTTGAAGTTGAGCGCCGCACTCTGTCGGATCGTCTTGTTGCGATTCCCGTCCTGAGCCAACTGCAAGATCCACACCCCGAACGAAGGGTGCGTCTGGATCTGCAACAGGTTGCGTTCGGCCTGCCGACGTGTCGCCGCGGACGAGTCCAACGTCGACGTGAGCATCTGCGCGAGCTGCTCCAGTTCCGCCATCTTGCTCGAGCTGTTCCGGGGCGAATCAAGGAGTTCTAATGTCAAGACACCACCGATCGGGTGGGTGGGTGGGTGGTACGTCGGGGGGAAAGCGCGTCGTAAGGGCACGAGGAGGTCCAGAGCAAAAGCGCGCAGCGACGAGGAGCGCGCCTCGCAGTTGTTGAACGTTGAATGAAAAGGAAGCCAAAGTGAGGGTGCATACACCCAGCCGACATATCACCAGTCCGGTTTCATATCCTCCTATGATAGCAACAAGATGACTAAGACAGAACAAAAACAGAGTGAGCACCCCACTAGCACCGAATACCACTCGACCGGCCGCCTCTTCGACCACCTCGTCCGCCAGCAGAAGATTCTTCCGTCCTTTTCCTCCGTGCGTGCTTCTTCAGGATCGTCTCCGCCATCAAAACAATCTCACGAGCTTCCCTCATATCAATTTCATCTCGGATCTCGTCCCTAGCTGAGATCGTTCTGTAAATACCTGTTCTTCGTGTCTTCTTCGTTGGACGTGTGGGAATTTCGCACGAACGCTCGCCGAGATCCGATCGCGTTTCGGAGCAATTCCTTGTGTGCGCCGACGGTATCCGACCCTGGTGTTCGAAGTCGGCGACAGAATGGGTAGCAATATTCTGCTCTCCTTTCGTAACCATCGAAGTCATCGGCATAACCGAGCGGATGAACGCCCTCTGTCGTTTCTTGACCCCTCTCCAAGCTTGCGGATCCGCAGCTCTCCACTCCGTCCTGATCCTGTTCACAAACTCATCACAATCCGCCATGACTACAACCAGAACCGAAGAATGACATGACCAAAACCATAAGTACAGGTTCACATTTCCGGCGACCCCAAGTTCCGCGGAGACTGACCATGATAATGAAACACCTCCCAAGAACTCGCGACCCTCTCCCGATTGACCAGAACGCACATCCCACCCCTCGCTCTCACAGCACCTGCAAAACTTCTCGCCATCTTGACGAATCCATCGATTCGAAGACTGCTGCCGCATACGAGGAGACAGTCGATTTGGAGGATGTCGTGATTCGCTAGACGGACAATCGTTTCCGAGTGGGGGATGAGTTCGTCGTAAAGGACTATGGAGGGGCGGAGATAGGAGCGGGACCGGATCGTTCGTTTGCCTAGGATGGAGCGACTTTGCACTGAAATGATAAGGGGTTGTGGGAGTCAGTCCAGTCCAGCGCCTCTCGGTGAAGATTGCAAACTCCGAAAACTCACTTCGGGCTTGACACTTTGGACACTCGGCCTTCTCCCCACTAGCCCATTCTTGCACGACCCAAGCTCCACACCATTCCTCGTGGTCGCATTCACTACATCTCGCGTCTTGAACTGTGCCATGCAATTGCACCGTATCCCCCCTCTCCCTTCCCACCCCTCCCCCAGCTCCCAACTCGACGTTGCTCAACCCACCGCTCCTTTCGAAGCCATCGATATTCTGACTATACACCCTCCCCAGCTTGCGCATCACTTTCAACTCGCCCAAAAACCGATGGAGATTTGTCACGCCTCTCGAGGAGGGGCTTGAGGCAAGACTTTGATCGACTTGGTTTTTGAAGGAGGCGAAGAATTCGAGTGATTGGACGCGGGTGGAAGGATTGCGGAAGGAGGAGGAACTGAAGAAGGATCGGAGTTGAGTTGGGGTGGGATCGTCTTGCGACGAGGTTCGAAATTGGCTTGATGTACTGGCTTGAGAGGACCTGGGAGAGGACGAGGCTTCGTCGCTGAAAGGGGCGTGCGCTGCTTCGGACGTTGAATGGTGAGTCTGACGGGAATACAAGCCTGTTCCCTTACTCCGAAAGTCCTGCAGTATGAAAAGAAGAAGAAAAAAGTCAGCACTCCCGAACATCACCTCTTAATCGAACAAAACTAGTAGACGCACCGCTATTCCGGCCTTTGTACTCGCTCCCGCTCCCAACATCACGATCGTATTGCGAGCTTGAGCAATGGCGGTTGCGCTATCCGACAGCGCCAACGAGACCTCTTCCGGTTCGAGGTGGGGAGGTGTTGATGCTGAATAGGCGATCAGCATCGTGCTGGTGCACAAGTGGATGCGTGGGGACGGATAGCAAGAGTGATGGCGGGCGCGATCAGTCGATTAATTCCACACGTCGCGTCGCGTCGGCCTTCGGGGTTTCAAGTTCGTTCAGATCGCCGCTCAGCGCTCATCCGCGATTCTTCATTCTTGTTCGGTATGTTCTCGAACATCGAGTCGATAGCTTTATTTTACATTCACATCAAGTTACAATTCCTTCTTCTCCCCCTCATATCCCTCCATCGAGTTCTGTTGTTCCCACATACCTCGATAAACCCCATCCTCCTTGGCCATCAATTGCGCATGAGTGCCTTGTTCAGCGACGTACCCATCCTTGAGTACGATGATGAGATCCGAATCGGCAACTGTTTTAAGGCGATGGGCGACGAAGACGGATGTGCGTGCTTTGGACAAGAGGGTTTGGTTGATGTTCTGCATCAACGCGGCTTCGGTCGTGGAATCTAGAGCCGAGGTCTGGAAGAGCAAGTGAAACTCAGCAACGGAGAATCCTTCCCCAGCCTCGTGATGTGCACTCACCGCCTCATCAAAGAACAATATCCTCGGGTCCTTCAACAACAATCTCGCCACCGCCAACCTCTGTTTCTCCCCGCCCGAAATCATCAACCCCCTCTCCCCCACCTTGGTCTTCCATTTCTCCGGCATACTCTCGACCGTCTCACTGACCCTCGCCAACCTCCCCGCTTCGTGCACTTCCTCGTCCGTAGCGTCCAAACGACCGTACCTCACATTATGCAAAATGTCGGAATGAAACAAGGGTGTATCCTGAGGGACGACCCCGATTTCCTTCCTCAACGATTCGAGCGTCACTTGATCCAAAGGTTGACCATCAATCAGAATCTGTCCTGAAGACGGTTCGTAGAAACGGAACAAGAGGCGAAAGACGGTCGATTTGCCGGAGCCGGAGGGGCCGACGATGGCGACTTTCTTACCGGCGGGGATGGAGAAGGAGATGTCCCGGAAGATGGGTCGGGAAGGGTGGTAGCCGAAGGAGACGTTGCGGAATTCAATGCGGCCACCGTCGTGGAGCGATAAGGGCTTGGCGGTGGGGGAGTCCTGGTGAATGTGACGCAGATCAGCTGGGAGCTCAGAGGTGACTTTTCAAGGGAAGAGCAACTGACCTTGATGGCTAGCCCGACGGACTGCAGGCTAAACAAAGTATCCATGTCGATCAAACTTTGACGTAGTTCGCGGTAGACGGTACCTGCAAGAGTGAGGCGGAGCCGATGAGCTTAGTACATAGTAGATAATACTATCCGACCTAAACATACCGAGAAAGTTGAGCGGCAACGAAAGCTGAAACACGAGCTGATTGATCATGACCAAATCGCCCACCGTCATCGTCCCATTAACGATCCCTTTGGAAGCAAGGTACATCATCGCCGTCAAGGCACTGGAGAAGATGACGTTCTGACCAATGTTGAGAGCCGCGAGCGAGGTCGAGATCTTGACCGAAGCTTTGGTGTAGTCCTTCATCGCTTGGTCGTATTGCGCAATCTCGAATTTCTCATTGTTGAAGTGCTGAAGTGAAGTAGACGGGACTCATTAGTCTTATTTGTGGGGCTTTGGACCTTGGGGCGGCTTACTTTGACGGCTTCATAGTTAATCAGCGAGTCGACGGACATGGTCGCGGCTCGATTGTCAGCAGCGTTAGCTTGCTTTCGGAACTTGGTCCTATCGTCGAGGCACTTCGATGTAAGTTCGGCGACCAAAAGTACATGCGAGCTTATGTGACTAACCTCCAGGACGTCGTCTTGATGGTGAACCACGTGTATGCTCCCATCGTGGCCAATGTGACCGCAGCAAAGTCCCAGCCGAATTTGTAGGACTAGATCAAGACCAGGTGAACGGATCGAGTCAGTTCCTGGAACTAGGATGGGCGCAGATGCGGAGATCGACTGACCAAGATACCGCACACCATCGAGATTTCGAGCGCCGTCGGAACCACGTGGAAGACGATCGAGCTCAGGAGGAACGAAATACCCCTGCGTGCAGAGAACAAAATGGCACGATGTCAGCTTTCTACCCTACCGTATCCTCAGTGGGGATACCTCCCCGAGACCCACTTTGTACCACGATCAATAGCCCGTGTCAGTCCACCCGTTTGTCTTGTGAGGTGGAACTGAACGTCGAGGTTGAGTAAGTGGGTGAAAACTCCGTGTGCGACTCGTCGGATCGCCCCTTGAGCGACATTGGCGAAAACAGCGTTGCGCAGTTCGGAGAAAACACCGGCTCCGATACGTGCGAGACCGTCTGTGTGGTCATGTGAAGCCGCGCATATAAGCCTCGCATAGATAGTCTGCTGGTTTCATATGGAGGCGACCAAGACTCACACCCAACAATGACCGTCCCGGCAATGGCGAATACACCCCCTCCGGTGGTAGGATCAATCTCGACGTTGAGAGTGTCGATGATGCTTTTGAAAAAGAATGGGACTTGGATGTTGAGGAGCTGTTTCGGAGCAGGCACGTGATGTCGATTAGCTCGTTGGTCGGAACAGCAGCAGCCCCCGACCTGAGGCTGGTGCTCACTTTTCCACCAACGAGCAAGCCCAACGCCAACAGGACCCTTGTCTTTGTGGACCAATCGTTCTTGGGCCATACGTTGGGCACGAGTTTCTTGATGATCTCCCAATCCCTCCTCGACTGCTCCTTGTCCGAGATTTCGGTGGTTTTACCGACATCCGTAGTGTTCGACTGATCACTCTTGGCTGGTGGCACTGGCGAAACACTCGTTGCTGTTGTTTCGGATGTACGGGATGTTCTTGCGGGGGGTGTTGTACTCGGTGCACCATTGCTTGACTCCTCCTTTTGGTGCCCTTCAGGTCCCGAATGTTGCTGAGTGGCCTTCTTGGCCGCGGAATCATGGTCGTCTGGTTGGTCCCTCCGAGCGATATGAGCGTGGGACCGTACCCAAGCACATGCAGGAGCAAGATGTCGTGGTCTACGTCGGAGGTGGTCGATCGACACGGATGGGGAAGCACGTGACGAGCGCGAACGGGTCGAGTAGGACGCCGATTGGTGGACGTTCGGCTGCGAGGGGAGAAACCGTTTCGGTCAGATAGAACACAGGATCAGTCCGAGCTAGCTCTGTCCACTCACCGCGGTACATCTCGTCGCGTTGAGCCAAGAATGGCATGGCCGTGTGAAGCTGCTGGTTGCGATCGCTCTCGTCGAGCACCTCACCACCGCGGCGGCCATCGCGCGAGACTACCGACCAAGTGACCGACGCAGAGCCGGAGTCGAAGCAGACCTTGCTCTACTTGGAGTGGGCGAAGAGTGGGTGCTGAAGGCGTGGCAGAACGGTCAAAGAAGACGAGGCAGATTCGCGGGCGGCGATTCCGTCACGCGCCGTCACGCGTCATCGTGGCGCAATTTCAGATTACGAGTTTTTTTTTGAAATCGGAAATCTGTGGGGCTAATCAGATCCCGATCAGCTGTTCAGCCTGTTCAGCTTGTTCAGCCTGTTCCGCTTGTTCCGCTGCACCGACCACTGCACCGCGTCGGATGAGCACGACCGACCGTGTTGTTGGACAGCGCAGGGTCGCCTACATCCACTCGCAACAGTTGGTCGACGCGGCAGATGCATTGCCTTCCAACCCAGGCCGTGCATCGCTCGTGCATCACCTCGTCGACGCGCTCGACCTGCTCGACCTGCTCGACCTGCTCGACCACGACCCCCATACGGCGCACGAGCAAGCCGAGCAAGCCGAGCTCGAGCAGGCTCAGCCTCCGCGTCCACGTCTTGCAAGAGCCGAGGTGATGCAGCCAATCAGCACTACGAGGGATATGCTCGCCAGGTTTCATGACCTCGAATACATTGGTCCGTTCCTTCTCTCACTAGTCGCCCAACCGCTCCTAACCAAGCTCTCCCGGGCACCCTTTGCAGATGCACTGCTGGGCAAAGCCGACAGTTCATCGAACGACTCAGACTCAGACTCGGATGTCACTTTTTCAAAAGACGAAGCACCGTTCGACCCCTCCTCCTTCCGACTGGTCGCAGCCACGGCAACCGCCGACGACCCCGTCAGCCGTAAGCGCCGACGACTCGACACGGCCCAACTCGTCGACGACTGTCCCGTCTTTGACCAACTACCCGACTACGTCTCACTCGTAGCGGGCGCTTCGATTCGCGCAGCTAGGGCGTTGAGGGATGACGAGGCGGATGTGGCTATTGCTTGGACGGGGGGCAGGTTCGTCGGCGCTGCGAAGAAATCGACGAGATTTCGTTCAGCTGACGGCGCTTCCGCTACTACAGACATCACGGAAAGCGAGGCGTCGCAGCGGGGTTCTGCTACATCAACGATATTGTCCTCGCGATACAAGAATTGAGGTCACCACCAAAAGCCCGACCTTCTCCACATCCCGCTTCCTCATCCGAGGACGAGCCTACCCCTCCCCCACCTCGACCGAAACCCGCCAAGATCTCTCGGGTGCTATACCTCGACCTCGACCTGCACCACGGCGACGGTGTCGAATCGGCCTTCTTCACCTCACCCTACGTTCTCACTCTATCGACCCATCTCCACGCCCCTCTCTTCTTCCCCAGTACAGGTTCCCTGCACTCCCACGGTCCTGCGACGGGTAACGCCTCGTACCACGCTTTGAACCTCGCTCTTGAACCTGGCCTGTCCTCCTCGACACTCTTGCGCTTGTTTGAAAGCTCCATCGACCCCATCTTCCAAGCTTTCAGTCCCGATGCCGTTGTCGTACAATGTGGGACCGATGGACTACAAGGTGACCCATGTGCGGAATGGAATCTATCCGCTTGGGGGATGGGAGAGGTCGTCAGGAGGGTGGTGCAGATGTGGGGTACGAAGACTTTGTTGTTGGGTGGGGGCGGGTACGAGAGTGCGAATGCGGCGAGGTGTTGGGCATATCTGACGTCGGTTGCGGTAAGTCGCCATCCTATCATGATATAAGTCTTGAGCAGCGATGTAATGATGCTCCTCCTCCTGCGAATAGCTCGGTCGCCCCCTCCCTCTCGACACCGAGATCCCTTCCTCGCTCGAGTCAGACGAATACGAACTCTACCAAGACAGTTTCACCTTGGACGCACAAGAGGGCCAGAGGAAGGATATGAATACGGAGGACAAAGTGAGGCGTGTGGAGGAAGTTTTCAGGGCGTATAAGGAAAAGTTGGAGGAGAGATATAGGGGGAGGAAGGGGAATGGCTCGCGGGAGGGGAAAGATGTGGGGGTAGGATTGGAGGGGCGACGCGAGGAATGAAAATATAGCGTCGAACGACGTGAAGGGTGAGATCTTTCTTTCGTGCGCAATAGCAGTTTTCATAGAAATGCTATAGGTCAACCCCAGACCTAAGACGGGCCGACGTCGAGGCCTTGCTGGCTTTACCGAACCGGCTGCACCGCTTGCAGTGATGTTGACTTCTCGCTGAGGCAACGGGGCGGTGGTGGTTTGCTTCCCGACGCCCGTTCGGCTCAGCTGCCATCGCACTCACAATCGCTGTTGCGCATCATGCGTTGAGATCGATCATCCATCGACCAACCAGGAGGAGGTGCCTCATTGCCACAGTCCTTACACAAGTCCTGCGCTGTTGCAGCTTGCGACCGAGGCCGGCAGACTGCGAGTCGCTCCGCAAGCCCACTCGGTCGTGTAGCACTTCCTCGCGATTCAACTCTGGATACAGCTGTCTGACAGCGGCTTCGAACGACCAACTTCAGAGATTTCAATCAAACGAGCAATCGCTGCATCGACCCCCGACTTGCGCGCGTCGCGGCGCGCTCAACAGTGCACAAGTCATGGTCCGCTACCTCTGTGTCGCCGAGAAGCCTTCCATCTCAAAGGCCATCACCCAAATTCTGTCAGGCGGACGTTTCACAACGGTCAGTTGACCCGCCCTACGACACTCACCCAGCCGGTCGTCCAAGCGTCGTTAATTGATCATCTCCTATTCACGTTCCCAACAGCGCAACGCTCGACACCCCCAATGGATCAAGAACTACGACTTTTCGTATCGACTACCTCAACATGGTCCGGCCTTCACCGACTTCACCGTCACCGCCGTTGCGGGCCATCTCATGACATCCGACTTCCCCGAAGCGTACAAGAATTGGCGAGGTTGCGATCCGTTTACCTTGTTCGATGCACCCATCAATCAAACGGTCAACTCGGTCAGTCCGATCAAGACCATACTTGTCCAAAAGCATGTGTGCTGATTCATGAAGACCTCTCCGACCTCAGGATCCGAATCAACAAGGCATCGCGGCAAATTTGGCCGCCGAAGCGAGGAATGCGACCCACCTCATGATCTGGACCGATTGCGATCGTGAAGGCGAACACATCGGCAGTGAGGTCGCAACCGTGTGTCGCAAAGCCAATCCGAGGATCATCGTCAAGCGAGCGAGGTTCAGTGCCATCATAGCCAAGTCGGTGCCTCTCTGCCCCGGAGCTCAATCGTGATCGGCCCGAACTGACGGTTCGCTCCTTTATATAGCCAAATCAACAACGCTTGTCAGAACGCAGTCGAACTTGATATGCGACAAGTCAATGCTGTGGCCGCTCGGATGGATCTCGACCTCCGTGTTGGAGCCGCCCTGACTCGGACGCAGACGCTTGGGCTGCAGGGCCGTTTCGCAGCTCTGGCGGAGAAGATCATCAGCTATGGCAAGTGAATGAAGCTGGCTACGAGTCAACTGACACCAGACTGATTCCAAGCTCGCACCGAACTTGCAGGTCCTTGTCAATTCCCTACATTGGGCTTCGTCGTCGATCAATACGAACGTGTGCAGGCATTCATCGCCGAGCGATTTTGGTTCATCCGAGTCGCGATCACGAGGGAGGACTCGACAATGGTGTTTCGGTGGCAACGAGGAAAATTGTTTGACCACGATGTGGCGGAAGCCCTATTTGAGCAATGTCAGGAGGAGCCGGAGGCGACGGTGCTGTCGCAGCAAACCAAGCCGACTCAGAAATGGTCAGTCATTTTGAGGCATCAACAGCCAGAGCCTGGTATTGACTGATGCTCGGTGGATGCTCTGATAGGAAACCTCTACCACTGACCACGGTTGAGCTGCAAAAGACGGGATCTCGACTTTTGAGAATGACGCCCAAGCAGATCCTCGATGTAGGCTCTATCCGGGCGACTCATCCGAGTGTCACACTCTTACTAATGAAGAGCCGGTCGATTCGTACAGACCTCGGACAGCTTGTATCAGCGCGGTATCTTGTCCTACCCACGTACGGAGACCGACATCTTTGACAAGGATTTCGATTTCATGGACCTGATCCAGAAACAGACTGGCGATGGCGCTTGGGGGCCTTTTGCGACCAAGTGAGCCGGGCCGGACGACACACATCACTACGCTGTATATAGATGATATTGATGATTGATGACTACATTCCGTTCACCCAGCCTCGCGAACGGCGGCTTCGAGCGACCCCGGAACGGCAAAAAGGACGACAAAGCCCACCCCCCTATCCACCCGACTTCCCACGTCAACAACCTCACAGGCGACGACAAGAAGGTCTACGATCTCGTCGTGCGACGATTTCTCGCTTGCTGCTCCAAGAATGCTCGAGGCCTCGAAACGACGGTCGAGCTCTCGATCGCCGACGAACGCTTCACCGCTTCGGGCTTGATCGTCCAAGAACGCAACTACCTCGACGTCTACATCTACGACAAATGGGCCGGCAACCTATTACCCTCGTTCGAGGTCGGCGAACGCTTCGTCCCCGACGAATGCTCACTCGATGAAGGTTCTACGACCCGCCCCAATCTCTTGACCGAAGCCGATCTCGTTTCTCTAATGGACAAGAACGGCATCGGAACAGACGCGACGATCGCCGAACATATCGCCAAGATCATCGAGCGCGAATACGTCATGAAGCAACGCCAAGGAGGGACCGAATACCTCGTTCCTTCGACATTAGGGATCGGCTTGGTCGAGGGGTACAACGCGATTGGGTTCGATAAGTCTTTATCGAAGCCTTATTTGCGAAGGTTGACGGAACGGCGGATGGATGAGATTTGTCAGGGGAGTAAAACGAAGACGCAGGTGATTGATGAGACGTTGGATGAGTATAGGCAGATGTTCATCAAGGCCAAGAGGGAGTTTCAAACCTTTATCGATTCAGTCGCAAAGTATATCGATGGGGACGGAGGAGGAGGTGCTGGTGGGGATGGTCCGAGCGATGATGATCAGGGTGGAGGGGGCGCACCCGCGGCTGGGAGACGACCGAGGGGAGGGGCAGCTGAGGGGAGAGGGAGGGGCAGGGGCAGAGGGGCTGCTGCAAGGGGACGTGGTGCAGGTCGAGGGGCGGGAGCCGGGAGGAATAATGAGGACGATGACGATGATGGATCGAACGGGCCTACCGGTGGAGGAGCAAGAGGTCGTGGACGAGGGAGAAGCGCAGCTGCTACTGCCACTGCCGCGACAGGACCTACTCGAGCGGAAGCTGGACGAAGTCGAAAGAATGCACAGCCGCTTCCACCCGCGGTTCCCAAAGACGAAGTCGAAATTGAAGACGAGGCCGAAACTGGGCATGACAACTACGAGTATGACATGGAGTCGGTTGGGATGGGTTAGTTTATGTGGTCCCCTTTTCATCTAAACTGCTCCCTGATGCGGGTTCGCTCTTAACAGAACAAGCCATAGCGATCGGACGGAAACTCTACATCCGCGAACGGGAGGCCATGCTTCGCAACACCCCACCCGGCATGCCACCTACCTGCGATTGCGGTGATCTATCGGTTAAGAAGACGGTCATGAAGCAATCCGCCAATACGGGTCGCAAGTTTTGGGCGTGTCATTTGGGCATGGGTGGTTGTGGTTTCTTTGCGTGGGCCGATGAACCGGGGGCTTCCCGAGGGAACACGGCGTCACCGCCGAAGAAACGACCATTTGCTGGTCCGAGCGACGTGAGCTCTTCAGCCTGTGCATACAGAAAAAAGAGTTCAGCACTGAACTCCTTGTCCGTCACAACAGTCGCGATCGCCCGTTCGACCTCGCTTCGCCGCTCCGACTGGGCAAGATGCAGCGGAGGGACAACGATGCGACTGCAACCTCACGCCTGTCGAACGCACCGTCACCAAGGAAGGCCCTAACACCGGTCGACGATTTCTGATGTGCAATAACACGTCCAAGAGCGCACAATGCAAGTACTTTGTGTGGCTTGACGAGGGGGATGCTTCAGGTCGGGCTGGAGGAAGTGGGAGTACAAATAATGGTGCAGGCACGGGAGTTGGAGGAGGCCGCCCCCCGACAGGAGAATGCTTCATTTGCAAGCAAGAAGGACATTGGTCACGAGACTGCCCGAGCAAGAACATAGCAAAGGGTGACGACTGGAACGGTAGTGGTAACGGCGGCGGTGTTCGAGCTCCGACGGGCGAGTGTTTTATTTGCAAGGAGGAAGGGCATTGGTCGAGGGACTGTCCCAGCAAGAATGAGCGAGGAGGCGGGGGTGGAGGGGCTTCGAATGGAGCCAGAGCTGCTGGAGGCGGAGGGACATGCTTCAGTTGTGACGAAGAGGGCCACTACTCGTCGGCTTGTCCCAATCCCAAAGGCGGTAGTGGAACGGGTGGGGGTTCGTCCAAGAGGGGCCGTGGTCGTGGTCGAGGGGGCTCCACCGCGCGTGGGGGTCGAGGTCGAGGTAACAGATACGGGTGAAAGCTTACTGAGTGTCGCAGACGATCAATTCAGGGTCATATTTACTTTGTGCGTTAGATCAAAGTGTTGTCGTACCATCCACGCAATCTCGCATCTCATCTCGTGGGAATTTCACCTGCCGGCATGCCAGCAGTTGTAGGCTTGAAAACTGACGGTCAATCTGAGAAAGTTGATCCGCTATCTGTAGGGAAAGAAAGAAAGTAAAATACAAGATGAGAGCGGGATTGTGACAAAACTATTTCGTCACGGGTATTTCCGATTTTGTAATGAGAGACTCCCTTTCAGTGTCATCGTTGAAATCGACATATGACGCATCGCGCCGGTCGCTGGGCGCGCGCGCGCCGTCCAAAAGGGGCCAGCGGATCCGCTCAGCCGAACAGAATGCGAGCCGTCGCCCCCCGCGTTTCCTTCCTGAAACAGCACAAAAGCGGACTTGAGCTCAGGCGCCGTGGCTCGCGAGTCGCCTCGCCTTTTGCCTCGCGATTGAGACTCCCGCACTCGTAACCAGCCGAATCTCATTCTTTGTTCCTTTCCTCCAACCACAGTATGTGGAACTAGAGCTGTACGACGTCTTTGACCATGCATTTGGGCCTGAACGTGCACCAACCTCAGCGGGACCATGCCGTGTTCCCCGCGCGTCGCCCAGGAACGGACCCGAATCCGGCGAGCACTCGAACCGGCGAAGCGACTGAGCATCGACTCTCGTCCCTCGTCGCTGCGTTGATTGGACCTTTCATCGTGCTCTTCTCTATCCCGGGGTTAACTGAATACTGGTCAGTATCATCCTCTTCGTATTGCGTCTTTACTAAACCCAACTACCTGGGTGTCGTCAGCATCGAGGTCGATGTAGATTCAGACTCAGCTCGGGCAAGCCGACATTCGAGGCTCCGAATTGGGCGGCCGATCCCCTTCGCCGCCTGTCGATCAGGAATTCCGATCGAAACTGACGGCGGGATAGACCCGATTCATGCATTGACAATGAGGAGATCAGAGCGGTACTAAATATATATATATCTTATTTTCATAAACAGGTATACTCAAAAAGGCTCGACAGAAGAGCCGGACTGGAGCCAACCGGATCCGAATTTGATTGTCATCTCGGGCACGATCACGCTCGTACTCGGAATCATCGCCAACATTTTGCTCGCGCTGAGGCTGGTCGAAACACATGCTGTATGTCCGTCTCGTGGTCTTTCATTTCAAATTCACTCGACCAATATCTAACACTCTTATTTTCCCGTTCACCAATCAGCGATTCTGCATCTTCTCGGGCTTGTTCATTCTATCCTGGTTCACATTCATCAACACGATCGCCCTCATCCTCTTCACCGTCAAGTCGAGCAAAGTCGATGATGGGTACACCTTATCAACTGCCTTCTCCCTGACGGCGGCTTCGACCGCTCTGGCCGCACTGGTGCTAGTCATGTTTCTCCTTGAAGGCCTCCAAACCAAGTGGTACCAATAGGGTGGATCGGGGCTCAGTGGGAAGCAGAGGAGCCTGGTGGTCGCGTTTGGGGTGTTCATGGGGACGATCTGCGTGGGCTCGGTCATGGCCAAGTACCTGAACAATTTTAGCTCGTAAGCTTAAGGCTCTTTTAAAGGGACGTGAAGTGAAGGAGAAAAACAAACGTGCTGACATGCCGAATGCTCTCCTCGTACAGGTTCCTTGACTCGATCTACTTCATCATCCAGACAATTACCACCACAGGTACGATTAACCCGAAAGCGGCCAACAAGAATAATCCATTCTCACTTTCCCGTTCTCGTCCCGTTTACAGGTTTCGGCGATCTCGTCCCCAAAACGACGGCTTCGCGCATCTTCTCCATCTTCTACGACACATGGGGTATCCTCAGCTTTGCCGTCGTCGTCGCCTTCGTTCGCTCCACAGCACTGGAAGCGATGCAGACCCAGTGGGTTCAATTCGCACTGCCTTTGGATCACTTGGGTCACCAAAGCTCATTTGTGATCTCCTCTCTTCTCTAGATACAAGAAACGCGAGAAGATCATCCTACAACGGATACAGGGTCAGCGGCTGGAGAGGATCCGAACGGGCGACAACAGGCAAGTCGAAGCTCCTCGCACCTCCTGGCCGCGCCGATTCTTGAACCGCTTTGCGTTCTACTCGGCACCTACACCACGGCCGCGTGTTGAAGCGCAAGGCGTTGGTGAAGAGCAGGACATTGATGCTCAGCGGATCGAGATGATGAACCCGAGGTTGTTGAACGGGAATATCATCGCCGATGCGGGAGCGCTCTTGCACGAGGATGATTACGAGGAGACGATCTTGGAGATGAAGAGAGAACGAGCCAGGGAACATCGATCTGAAGTGAGTACGATTCCCGCTGAATCTCATATTTCAGGTCAACTAACTTGGCTAGTATCTTCCACGCGTGTGTGCAGCTTGTGGTAAGCTTGCTCATCTACCTCACCACCTGGGTAGTCGGAGCTGCAGTCTTCTCACGGCTGGAAAGCTGGTGAGTGGGCTAGCTGGCTCAGCGCCTGCTTTAGAGCTGCCCTTTGTCCCGTGACTGACCCACCGAATCATCGAGTAGGGACTACTTCATCTCATTCTACTTTGTCTTCATGACCTTCACGACGATCGGCCACGGCGACTACGCGCCAAGAATTCAGGCGGGACGAGCCTTCTTCAGTGCTTGGGCCCTGGTCGGTGCAGGTGTCACGACCGTCTTCTTCTCAATCTTGGCTGACAGTTACTCGTCGCGCTTCAACGGACTTGCAACTCGGAATCGGTTCAAACGCATGTTGTTGCGGTTTCATAACAACCCCAAGGCACGCGCGGCTTTGGAAGAGGAGGAACGACGATTTGGAATTCGACCTAGTGTGAACGTCGATGATGCTTCGTCTGGGTCCGTCTCGACTTCATCCCGGGCCCCCAAACCGACAAGCGAAGGGGAGGAGGATGTTATCGAAGGCAACTCCAGCGACGTCGAGGACCCCGCCCCGTCGCAGACTGCAAGGCTATTGGAGCTTGTCAAGGAGACTCGGGAGCACGTCGATGATCTTATCCACTATGATGGCATGTCATCGATGGGAGAATGCGGTATGGGTATCGATCGCGAGGTCAAGCAATTGATGGATGAACAGAAATTCAGTATACCGACGCGATTAGAGGTGATGAGTGACGAAAGGATGAAGAGGTCCCTCTGTAAGTTATTCCCTCCCAGAGGTCTTGGCAGCGCACCAAGACTTTGCGCACTGATCTCGCCCCGGCCCAAATATTCTCCATGATCAGACCTGAGTATGAGAGGTAGAAGCAACGCACAGACCTGCTCAAGCAGTGGTAAGTCTCTGATCGACGGACCAAGGGAGACCAGACCAAGAAGTTGCTTGAGCAGGAGAGAGAGAGTCGTGCGGGGCCAGCTAGCTGAGAGCAAGTGCGCGAGTCTGGCCAGAATGCGGAAGATAGACGGCAAAGCCGGGTCAAGAAGGAGAATAAGGGAAGAGACACAGGGGCCATGATGCTAGAAGGAAATAAGAGAGAATTAAAGTACTTTGACAATCTCACACCCCCCCGACTTCGAGCATCAGGGAGGACAGATGCCAAGGCGGCCGCGGTGACGCGCAAAGAGGTCGCGGGCTAGAGCCTTGGTGAAGATGTCGGCGGTCATGTCGGCTGTGTTGATGTACTGGACCGCGATATCACCAAGGGCGACCATGTCGCGGACAAAGTGCTCACGAAGTCGGATGTGGCGGGTGCGGGCATGGAAAACCGGATTCTTAGTGAGGGCGTTGGCACCTTGATTGTCGCCAAGTACTAGAGTCGGAGCAGAAGAGGGGAGACCCAGCTCACCAAACAGTTGACGCAGGAAAATGGCTTCCTTGCCGGCATGCGAGAGAGCCAGGTATTCGGCGTCGCAAGTGGAGTCTGCCACGCGAGACTGGAGGCGCGAGGACCACGAGATGGCGCCACCGGCATAGAGGAACGCGTAGCCCATGGTCGACTTCGAGGAGAGCACACAGGCACCCCAGTTGCAATCAGAGTAGCCAATCACGGGAGCAGGGTCGCCGCGGGAATAGCGCAGGCCGTGCGAGAGCGTTCCAGCGCGGTAACGGAAAGCGTGCTTGACAGCACCCCAGGCAGCTTCGGATGGAGACTGGGAGAATCGAGCCAAGTAACCGACAGCATAGGCCAGATCGGGGCGAGTGCCAGTGGATGCGTACATGAGCGAGCCAATGGCCTGAAGATAGCGGGTGCGGTCCGCAAACGGGGCAGGGTTGATCTCAATCTCAAGGTGGAGGTCGGATTTCATCGGGGTGGCAACCGGGTGGGCGTTCGACATGCCAAAACGAGCGAGGATGTCCTTGAGGCACTGCTCCTGGCTTAGCGTGATCGAGCCGTCGGAGGAACGCCGGATCTGGATGCCAAGGACGTATTCCACTTCACCAAGGCGCTTGACACCGTAACATCGTTCAAGGCCCTGGAGGGTACGCTCAATTTCGGGTAGGGAGGGGCCAATCATGAGGAGGTCGTCGACGTAAAGCGCGATGTAGTGGTGCACGTCCCCAACGGTTTTGATGTAGACGCAATGGTCGGACTCAGTGGCGACGTAACCCAACCCAAGGAGGGTAGAGTCAATTTCGTCGTTCCAGATGCGACCAGCCTGGCGTAAGCCGTAGAGGGAACGGTGCAATTGGAGAACTTTACCGGGCAGGGCAATGCCCTCGGGGACACGCATGTACAAAGGCTTGTCAAGCTTTCCATGAAGGTACGCTTTGTCGATGTCGGCCTGGTGAACGTGATAGCCTCAGGCAGCAGACAGGGCCAGCAGAGCACGGATCGAAGTGAACTTGGCAACGGGCGCAAAAGTCTCATCGAAATCGATACCAGATCGCTGGGAATCGCCGCGGGTGACAAGGCGGCCTTTGTAAGACTTGATCTTCCCGAACTGGTCGCGTTTGGTGCGAAAGACGAAGCGAGAGCCAATGATTTTGGCGTCGTCGGGGACAAGTGATTGGTCGATGGGCGTGAAAGCGGAGAAATCGCGAGAGAGTGAGTCAAATTCATCATGAGCCGCAAGACGCCACTCGTCCGCCTGGGGCGAGGCCATGGCAGCACGCCAGTGGGGAGGGTCGCGCGCAGGCGCAACGAGCTCCGCGGGGTCGACGGAAGAAGTATCGAGGAGGGCGGCAGCAGTGTCCACAAGGTAGCACACAGGCGCAGGCGAGTGAAGGGCATCATCGACATCATCAGAGAACTCCGGGGCAAGGCACAGGGCGAAGAAATCGTAGGAGCCGGGCCGGAGTCGAGGAGAGGGACAAGGCGTAGAAAGTGCCGAGTCGGGGCTGCCCTGGTCAGGGGCGCTGCCTTGGTCAGAGGCGAAGGGTGCGGGCAATTCCTGGTCAGGGACATTACGAGCAAGGGCCGGCGAGCCTTGGTCAGAGGCATCAGGCGCGGGGGTAAGCTGCTCAGCGCGAGGCGCAGGGGAGCGGGGGGGGACAGCGAGCAGTGGCTGGGGGAGGTCAGCCTGGTCAGGGCGTAACGCAACAACATCCGGGAGAGGATTGGCCGGAGAGAACGAGGCGGGGAACTCGGATTCATGGAAAAGGACGTTCCGGCTGAGGAGCACCTTGCGAGTCGCCGGATTGAACAGGCGGTAAGCCTTCGAATGGTCGTCGAGGCCAACGAAGATGAGAGGCATGGCCTTAGGGTCGAGAGCAGAGCGGGACGCCGAAGGAAGGCAATGCCAGGCACGGCAGCCAAAGGTGCGAAGAGAGGAAACATCCGGTGCATAACCATACCAACGAGCGTCGGGGATTTCGCCACTGACGCCGGCATGGGGTGTCATGTTCTTGCATCGGACAAAGTACATGGCCGCTTCACCCCAGAGTCGCGAGTCGACACCGGCCGAGTAGGCAAGGGCAAGGATGCCCTCCTTGATGGTGCGGTTGGGGCGCTCAACCCGTCCGTTTTGCTGTGGCGTGTAGGGTATCGTGAGTTCTCGACGAATGCCCTTGCTGCAGCAGAAATCGACGAAACTGCGCAGCGTGAATTCGCCGCCGTTGTCGGAGCGAATGGTCTTGACGCTGTCGCCGGTCGCTCGCTCAACCTCAAGAATCCAATCGCGAAGGCGCGGGAAGGTGTCGCTCTTGCGGGCAAGGAGGATGCACCAGTGCTTTCGGGTGTGGTCGTCGACGATCACAAGCATGTAGCGATGACCACCGAAGCTAACGTGTGGCATTTGGGCAAGGTCGACATGGATCAGGCCGAGGCGCTGCGAAGCAATCGACTTGGAGCGAGCGAATGGGAGGGCATGCGCTTTGGAAGCGAGACATGCATTGCAATTGAAGGTTCTACACTCCTCGTCCGAGTAATCCCACGCCACACCGGTAACCATCCCTTTCTGAACGATTCTCTTGAGAAGGAGGACAGGGAGGTGCGCGAGGCGGTTGTGGAGGGTAAGCAAGGACACCTGGGAGGGCGAAGCAAGCAGAGCGTGGGGCGTACAAGGTGCAGCGGCGAGGTCCAGAGTGTACAGGTCGTTTGCGATGGCCCGAGCGGTGGCGACAGCGGTGCCGGCGGCGTTGCGGATGGTGGCGACGTTGGAGCCGAACGAGACCGTGAAGCCGAGGCGGTCGAGGCGTCGAACGGACAACAAGTTGCAAGGCAACGAGGGCACATGAAGAACGTCAGCGACGGCGACGCGACCGGAGGTCGTGTTGAGCTCCACGGAGCCGGAACCGGTGGAGGGCAGGGAGCCCGCAACACCAGCAACGTGCGGTCCCTTGACGGGCTGCAGGTGCGTAAATAGACGAACGTCGTTGGCCATGTGCCGATTGGCGCCGGAGTCCAGGAGCCAGGCCCCCTTGTCGAACGGGGAGGAGGCGGAGAGGAAGCAGGCGGCGTAGGTCGCGGGCGAGAGGTGCTCGTCGGCGACAGCCGGTGCGGCAGCGGGAGAGGCAGCGGGCTGCGAAGACTTGCGTTCGCCGGCGGGCTTGTTGCCGTTCTCGGTGGCACGACGCGCGCGGAAGGAGGCTGCCCAAGCGGTGTCGGGACAGTCCCTGAGCCAATGCATCTTGCGACACTTTGGGTTGGGGCACGGGGAGCGAGGAGCGCGGGCGTCGCGAGCGGACGATCGAGCAAGCGCCGCGGTGGGAGCGTCGACTGGACGAGCGCGAATATCGCGTAGGAGGCGATCGAAAATCACCGAGACAGACGGCAGGGTCGTCGAATCACCTTGGTCGTTGACAAAGGTCGAGCGCCGCGACTCGAGGGACGGCGGCAGTCGGGAGAGGAGGTGCGAGGCGACCAGAGAGTCGACAGTGACCTTCGACGAGGTGAGCAGACGAAGCTGGTTCTCGAAACTGTCACGGAACTGTAGGAACGAGTCCGTGGTGGCGGGGAGCTCCTCGGTGCTGAAGAGCGTGACGACGGCCGGAAGCAGGTCAACAGCCGAGGTGGCGCCATACCGAGAACGGAGAGCCTGCCAGATCTTCGGCGCGCCGTCGCTGTCGTCGAGGAAGGTCGACAAGCCGGGGAGGACCAAGCGAGGGTCGACAGACGAGCAGAGCGAGGAAAGGGCGTAGTGATCCCATAACGGAACGAGCGAGGGGGGCCACGAAGCGCATGGCTCACCGCTCTCCAGGTACCGGAGGACACCGGCCTGCAAACGCGAGCGGACGACGAGGAGCCAATCCTGGTAGCCCGCCGAGTCGCGGAGGAGTTCCGTCGCGGCAAACGAGGCCGGCTGCTGCGGTGGACGAGCGACGATAGGGGCGATGGCGGCCTCAAGGGCGGCGTCGGGCTTGGAAATAGCGCCGGGCGCGGACTTGGAAGGCATAGCGGGGGCGGCGCAAGCGTGCGAAGTTCGAGAAAGAAAAACGAAACGGACGCGAAAGCGACCGTGCTGGTAGATTGTTTGGGCTTATAACCTATGAGAGGTAGAAGCAACGCACAGACCTGCTCAAGCAGTGGTAAGTCTCTGATCGACGGACCAAGGGAGACCAGACCAAGAAGTTGCTTGAGCAGGAGAGAGAGAGTCGCGCGGGGCCAGCTAGCTGAGAGCAAGTGCGCGAGTCTGGCCAGAATGCGGAAGATAGACGGCAAAGTCGGGTCAAGAAGGAGAATAAGGGAAGACACACAGGGGCCATGATGCTAGAAGGAAATAAGAGAGAATTAAAGTACTTTGAGAATCTCACACTGAGAAGGATGTTGGCCAAGCTAGTCGAGCTAGAAAAAATTGTCCATGTCGCCGTCGAGGATTACGAGACCACTCGGGCTGGAGCCGAAGGGAACGAAATTTACATCGGCGAGCTTGGGACCCACGTCCTCAACAGTCCACTGGCAGCCAGGGGAGGTCCGTTTCGAACGGATACCAATGAAACTTACAAGTGACGAGAGGCCGGAAGCATATTGTTGGTTTTGACCTGTTGTAGACTAGAACTTTTAGAAGTAGCATCTTGCAGTCGTCGTCCGTGCATCATCTGTCCAGACTCCGGACGAGGCAGAATTTGACACGAGAAGGGGTCCGTGCGCGCACGCCTAGAGTAGGCCAAATTATAAAAGTCAGTCTGGGTTGTCTCATTCAACTTGTGAGCGCGATCAACCTCGGCGCCGGGTCACGCTCAATTCGCACTCGCCTCGCACACACGACACACGGTACAGCCATCTCCACGCGATGCAGTTTCCCAAAGCGAAGCGCTTTGCATCCCCAACACGTAAGCCACCCCACAACTCAGTTCTAAGTGCAAGTGTTGACCGCGCCCACAAGCTGACGATGCGCAACCGCCTGCTATCACGCGGTCATGTGACCCCAGCGGACGATGTCCCCCCCGTCGGCGCGTATTCGATCGAAGCACCCCTGGATCCCAACTACAAACGAGGTCCAATGCGTCTGACCGACAAGAGATTCCATGACCCGAATGTACTACAGCAACCAGGTGTGTTCGCACCTCCGCCGGGGCTCTGCGAGACTGCGAGACTGCGACAACGCGCCGCCGTCTGATGTTGATTGACCTCCGTTGCTGATCGACCCCGCGCGATGACCGTTCCGGAGCAGACACCTTTGGCTTGTATGATCCGGCGGATAAGGAAAATCCGTTGAAACGACCAAGATCGAGCGCAGTGGCTGGAAACGGGTTGGAACGGATGAGGCAACAGGTACGTCGGCATAGAACTCTCAAGGCGCGCCCGTTTTCGCCGAGGCGTCAGGTCTGACAGCCCCGAGATGTGCTTCCCGCGTGATATCCAGATGGACGAACTCAAGACACGGATATCGAATCAACACGAGAAAGAATTGGCCAAGCTGCAGGGCAAGATCTCGCGATTGGAAGCTAGTCGAGAGGAAGGGGTCAAGGAACGACAGGAGATGAGCAAGGAGTTGTTGAGCCTCAAATCGGAGCTGAGTGAGTGGACCAAGATCTCTGTTTCTCTTAATGCAAGAATGCCAACACATCGTTCCCCTCGCAGGATCCACAACAACGCGCGAACAAACCCTCGCGGGCAAACTCGGCAAAGCCGAAGCGTCCCTGTCAAAATATCAGACGCTCTTACCGACACTGCAGACGAAGCTCGATCAATTGACGACGTCACACGCCGATTCACGCAAGCGCAAGGACGACGAGATCACCGAGCTCAAGGACAAAATCGAGAAGAAGAACGAAGAGTTGAGCGCCGCGAAGGATGAGGCGAAGGAGTTACGTAGGGCTGCGAGGGAGGAACGATGGGCTAGGCAAGAGATGTCAAGGGTCGGGGAGAAGACTGTGCGAGAGGTTTGGGAGAGGACGCGGGCGTCGTCTTTGGCGAATCGACTGGAGCATGGCAAGATCATCGCAACACTCCAAGCGGATCTGTTGGACAGGGAGAGCCGTCTCGAGGAAGAGACAACTTACTGTGAGGAGCTTCGACAAGAGCTCGAGGTGGCGGAAGAGCTACTCGAGGATGCACATCTCAACCTGGAACGACTGATGGAAGAGCGGGCACGAGATCGGCAGGAAACGCGCGCCGAAAAGGACTGGCGACAGCGAGCAAGGTCGGATCAGCGCGACGCTGCGGGCCTTCGCAACGATGTTGCCCATCTCGATCGATGCATCGAACTCGACCAACAACGCGCTCAGGCTGCCACATGGCTACACGATACGCTCTACGCCGATCTGCGCGCCCAGATCTTGGAACACGAGAAGGAGCTCGAGATCGTCGAGGGCGAGTTGGACATGGCGCTCAACGACGAGATCCCGCGGTTAGAAGAGGCTTGCGACCTCGCGAATGAAGGACTTGAGGAGATGCGTGATCGGGTGCTCGAGCTGCAGGAGACGCTGGGGCAAAGGGAGGGCGAGGTTGAGGAGTTGCAGGCGCGCGCGATCGCCGAAATTGAGCGGTTCGAAGGCTCGCTCGAGGAAGAACGACGACGTTATGCGGACAAGGAGAAGGAAGTCGAAAAGGAACGGACTGAGAAGCGACGGATCGCTTCCTTGTTGGGCCAAGCCCGCTCTGCCGAAGCAGCGCTCGTGGAGGAACGCGACCTTTTGCTCGCCGAATTGCACGAGGCCGAGAGCCTGCGAATGACGCACCAGAACCTTGTGGCTAACCTCGACTATTTGGCTCGCGAGAATGCGGCGACGCGCGAGGATAATGTTCTGCTGGTCGAGCAGAATGCGGAATTGGCGAGTCATCAAAACTCGAGGCAGAAGATCCAAGTCCACGCTGCGACGAGGGCACAATTGGCTGACTCTAGGAGGGTGAGTTTGAACGCCAAAGCTGATTCCAAGCTTTTCCTAACGATCAATGCTGCTATTCGTGTCCATGACCAGGCACATCTCGCGGTCACGTCCAAGCTGGCAACGTCCGAGGCTCGCATCGTTCAGCTCCAGAGCGAGCTGCAAGCCTACAAATCCGTGTCGTCGCTTCCCTTCACGACAACCTCGACGATGATCAAGAGTACGGGTCGGACAAAAGTGACTCGACCTGTTCTTTTGCCTCTTGAGGACCTACCCCCTGCACCGACACCGATGGGTTCGATCCTAGGCGACTCGATGCCCCCTCCAAGACTGCCCATTCCCAGATCGACGGTCTCGTTCGCGCCAAGCAACGTGTACGATGGCTTTGAGGCGTCTTCGACAGAAGGGCCTACTTTGGTGGCTAGTTCGCGCGCGGCGAGTCGCAAGACACCGCGGTTGACCCTCATCGCGGATGAAGAGGACGTGCGACACAGCGAGGACGGTGGCTCGAGGTCGAGGAGGATGAGCAACGGTGGTGTTCGGATGACGGGCAAGATGAGCCTGAGTGAATTAATCTGATATTGGAAGGTGCATTTTTTGGCGCTCTTGGTTTGTGCCTGTCGCCGTTTAGTTTTGGACTGAGGGTTTTATTCGATTTTCTCTCGCGCGACGCGTGTGTACAGTTGTGCCTTGTTGGCGTTCGTTGAAACAGTGGAAACGTGATGTAGACATTTCGTCAATCCCCATCGCCACGAGCTAGCATCTGGTTTGATCTGCATGACCGGCACGGCTGCGGTCCCGGCCGGCGCGACCTCTTGGGGTCCGGATAGGAGCTAGGGTTCGCCAACTGGGTGTCCCTAAGCGGATGGAAAACAAGACTCTTGAGAGCAAGAATGAGGTTTGTGCCGTGCGCCGAGTGGTTGTGTCCGTTCCCTCCATAGGCCATAAGCAAACTCGTCAAAGAGTTGTGCTGTTCGAACGTGCTTATTCAAGTGCCCCCGCGCAGCTTCTACTCCGGCACTCACTCGCTCTTCGTAAATCTGGCGCTCACTCGAGGCGCGTCGCACCCAGTTGCGCCTGCATTCTCTCTCTCACCCGCTGCTTACAACATCGCAGTCGGCCACAACTCGAACCTGGTGGCAAAACACGACGCTTGGCCCAAGGTGAACGAGTGACGACGTCGCATGTCGAGTCCACCCATCATCACGTCGTCCTCTCGATCGACGCTCGACAGCTCGTCGCAGCACGGCCCAGCAGCCTCAGCCTCAGCTCCGGCAGCGGCAGCGGCAGCCCAGCCGCCCCCCGCGCCGGCAGTGATATCGCGCGACGAGCTCGGCAGCGAGGACGGCGCCTCGAGCGACGATCCGCTCGACGTGCTGCCCCCTTCGTCGTCCAGTCCGATCGCACTTCACAAGCCATCCGCTTGTGCATCTCGTCGCAGCAACAGCCACGACGCCTCTCCTTCGCTTGCACTCGACAGCGGTCGTGGGAGGAGTAGGACCCGGAGCAGGAGCAGGAGCAGGAGCAGGAGCAGGAGGAGCAGCATGTCGTCGTTGAGTTCGCTCGACTCGGAGCCAGACGAGATGGAGACGCGTCGAATCGATCACGACCGCGCCCTCGAACGCGCCCATCCTGGCTCGGCCAAGACCAACGGAGCACGCCGCAACATCTTTGCGAATGGGCATGGATCGTCGTCCAAGAAACGCGCATCATCGCCGTCCCACTTTGGCTTCGTCTCGCCGAAGCGCCGCACGACCGAGGCCATCACGATCGACGATTCCCAAGACGAGATTGACGAGCTCGAAGACGACGACGATGACGACAACACGGGGCGACAGGCCGACGACGAAGAGATTGACGAACTGCACCAAATCCAAGACACGACCTCGATCAGCAACGGCAAGTCCAAGACCAAGGGTAAGCTCGTGGCGGTAGCATCCTCTTCAAAATCCAAGGCCAAGGCGACAACGACCGCGGCCAAGGGCGAGCAAAAGGCTTCCGACGATGGAGGCACGCGGGTCTACTGTCACCAGGTGCGTGTTATTCTAATCTCGATCTGATTTCAATCACGATGAGCTCATCAAGACCCTAACCATTTCGTGCAGGATCACCAAGCCCACGATCCGCTCAAGCATACCATGTGGAGATGCTCGGCGATAAAGACCTCCGCCAAAGGGTTCCAGCGGGCGTGCGGTCTCTCCTACTGCGAAAAGTGCCTCAAGAGTCGCTACGAACCCGAAGCGAGCGGGATGAACGCCCCGGGAGCTCGAAAGAACTGGTCGTGCCCTCTTTGCCGAGGCATCTGTGAGTTTGCGAGTGCCAGGCGCCGCTCCGAGTTGGTGTGTGCAAAGCTAATCGTGCCGGATTCTCGCTCTGCTAGGCAATTGCTCGGTGTGCCGCAAGTGAGTGTTGTCGAACCCGCATTGAGAGACCCCAGGTGGCGCGTATTGACGCAGTGTGGCTTTGCCGCTTCTCAGGAAGCAAAACTTGGCTCCGGTGGGCTACCTCAAGTCCAAGAAGGAGAAAGCCGTCGCAGTGGAAACCGAGAAGGCTGAAAGGCCCAAGAAGGTCGGTCTGAGCAGCGGCATGCATGTACTAGTGTCCTGGACTGCCGATACTGATCTTGTACGTCGCAACAGGAGAAGAGCGTCAAGGGGAAGGCGAAGTCTCGCATGGAGAAAAATGAGGCTGGGCAGCAACCGAGGTCCAAGAAGCTCGGCGCCTCCACAAATGGCAAGCCCACCAAAGGCACCGCAAAGGCGGCCAAGACGAAGGAGCCCAAGGCCTCACAGTCCCGCAAAGGTGTTCGGGGCCCATTCTCGATGAATGTCGACACCGATTCTTCCTTGTCGTCGCTCTCATCAGACGAAGACGACAAGCCCTCGGCCACGACGGCGGGCGCTGCCGTGGTCGTACCCGTCAAGCGGCGCAACCCTCCCCCGCGCGCGCCCAAATTCGTGCGGCCGCCCAAAACCTATCCTCTCACGCGATCGACGATCGTCCCTTCGAACGGCTTGCTCATGGCTCGTCTCCACCTGAGGTCGTTCATTCTTCGGTTCAGCGGTTTTGCCCCGGTGCTTACGACCGAGTCGGCCAAGATTCGATCGGTACTGGGGGCGTTAGCCGATGATCGCGATGGGTGGGTATGGTCGCGGGAAGGCGATGTCGTACAACGATTTATGCTGCAGGCGCTGTGCGAACTGCTCGACCAGGAGGAGGAAAACATCGCGACCGAGGAAGGCAGCGCAAAGCTACTGCGCCGTCTGGCGCGCGAGGCCGTCGGCAGCCAGATCGAAAAAGATCGAGCTTGGGACACGTTGCGGGAGATCGTCGAGCAGGAGAACGTATGGGATGATGGAGGATGGGGCGAAGAGGTGGTCAACTGGGAGGCCGAGCGCGAAGAAGCTGAGCGGGTGCAGTTCGGTGGCCAGAGGGAGACCCGAGGCAGGCGAGGGGAGACGGGTCCGGACGAACGCTTGGCGCTGATGCTCGCTCTTGTGGAGCTTGCCTATGCTGCTGAATGCGTGCGAAAGGACTTCACTGACGTGAGTGTCAGAATACTAGGCTTGTTCGATCATCGTTTCCGCTGACACTTTTCAATTTCTCGGTCGCGCGAGTAGGGCGTCGAAGCGGAGAAAACAGCGATGGTGACCCATAACCGATCCAAATTCCAGCACCGCCACGATTGCGAAGACCGTCGCAAATCAATCCTCGCCGAAAAGCCCGAGAAGCCCAAACCGCACATCGACGACATGCTGACGGACAAGGATCAAGCTAAGCCCAATCACGATCGTGAGCTCGCGGAATGGGCAGCCAAGTGCGCCGACATCGACGATCGACTCAAGGAGGAGGAGAAGGAGTGGCAGAAGGAACTGAACGAGATCCATCGCGACGTCTACCTAGTCACAGCCGAGAACCGACTGAGGTTCGCGCCGACGGGAACCGACGTGCACGACAACCAGTACTGGCTGTTGTGCCCTTCGACGGCGTCCAAATTCCCCACCGAGGCGGACCCTGCTACGGACGACTACCCGCTGTCATGGTCGATCCTTGTCCATGGCTCGCCGTTCTCCGAGATTGATCCCGTCGCAGCTGCTGCAAACGGTAACAAGGGCAAAACGATCGCCGCTCCACCTCCTTCCCCTCCCCCGACTCCCGGCACGGTCGCGTCGATCAACGCCTCCCGCGTCGACAACAAGGATTCGTGGTTCGTCGTCACCGACCCGGAAGAAATGATCCAGCTCGTCAGCCACCTCGAATGGCAACACAAATGGGCCGAATACGAGGTTCGACTTGCTCGACACGAAAAGTCGGACGCGGGGACTCGCAGCCTCACGCCCTTGGGTGGCGAAGACGACGAGTCGACGGTCAAGAGCATCTCGGACCTCGTCGCCGAGTTGAGGATCTTTGCTGATTACGTCGCTGCGGAGAAGGAGGACGCGGTGAACGGGAACCGCAAGGCTAGAAAGAACAAGAAGAGAAGGTTTTGAGCTTGAAATGTTACGTGGACGTTGGGTCTTTACATTACATTAGACTCCTGTTGTTACGGACGCGCGATCATGACCGGCCCCACAGGAATGTTGGAATCAACATCACCATAACAACGTCTTTCATAACGTATGCAGTAGCGGGCAGGATGATATTTCAATCATCCAAGCGGTGCGTCATACCGTAGCTGTGCCTTCATTCAGAGGGGTCTGCGTCGTGTCTGCTGCGACTGCATCAGACGGCATTGAAATCCCCATGCCTCCGCCATCCCTCTTGCGAGTCAACTTGCCCAACTCTTCGAACCACTCATCCACCTCCTTGTTTCCTCTCCGTTTGCCCAAATACGTCAACCTCCTCAACCGATGCTTGACGAGCAAGATCCTCGCCAACAAGACCTGACTCTGCTTCCTCCTGACTCGACTCCTCATCGCCCCCAATTCCTTGGCCCTCTGTGACTTATTCGCGCGGGGTCCCGCCGATTGATCGCCCGAATTGTGCGTATGATCATGTAACTGCCTCATCCGCTTCGACAACCGGGTCTCCTTTCTCCGTACGTCCCAATAGGTCGTGTAAGTGTTGGAGTCGAGTTTGACGAGTTCGAGCATGGCGAGCATGCGCTTCCTCTCTGCATCGAGTCGATCGATTTGATGCGCGACGCGTTGGTAAAGCGCCGCATCGACGTCTTCGCGCAATTTGGTCGATTGGAGCAAGGTCGTCAAGCGCGTCGATTGCGCGTCCATGAGTTGTAGTACTCGAATCGATCGTTTGCGTAGGAAGCGTAGGGTGACGTGATCGTAGCTTTGGCGCGCGTGGCGCACCATGGACTGCAGGATCGCCCAGGGGATGGTGTAGCGTCTCGAATCGGCCGTCAACGGCAACTTGATTGAGAGTTGCGACGAGGACGATGGAGTTGCTGTAGAATTTGATTCGGACAGGGCTGTTCCAAAGATAACTTTGTCAGGATATGCCTGCGCAACTCGTATTCATTTCGAGCACTCACTCTGCTCCGGCGTGATGACCTGCTCCAATTCTTTGAGCTGGGCGTCGACGATCAGGGACCACCGCTTGTACAGCTGATAAAAGTAGTGTCGCATGATGGCACCATTGCCGACTTGTCCTGCGAGCTCGATTACGAAGGCAAAAGCATGCGGCCCAATGGGATGCGGCACGGGAACGACGGGTGGTTTCGCATCTGCTGTGTGTTCGGGTGGAACGCTGACCGCCGGTGTCGGTTTTCTCCCGAACGAGAACGAGTTGGCGAAGAACCCGACAAAGGAGCCGTCCTCCATACCCTGGTCCGGCAGCGATGGCACCGGTAAAGGATCGTCGAAGGATTCAAAGACGGCCATCATGGAAGAGAGGTCTCTGCTCTCCAACAGCATCTCGAGGATGAGCGCAACTTGCTCCTGCCCGATCGGTCTTCGCCCCGGTGCAAACTCGATCGGCGCGCCGGGCATGTCGATGTCAAAGCCATAGACGGCTTTGATGGTCGAGAAAAAGACGTGCGAGTTGCCGCCTCGGATGCAAATGCGCAAAAAGGGTGCGAGGCAGGCGTCGGTCCACTTCGGATTATCGACCAGCTCTGCGAGCATCTCCATCGCCTTGGGCACGAGCGGTTGCGCTGCGGTACGGGCGAGTCTCTTACCTCCGTCGACCTCGTGCATATCGATCCAGCCGAGCATGGTCTCGAAGATGCGTTTGTAGTGCAATGGCCTGAACCTGAGTCCGGACTCGATCGACTCGTCCCAGACACGCATCGCCCCCGGGGCATAGTTGAGCATCTGGTACGCGGTCGCCATGGAGACAAAGTCGCCCTTGAGCATCTTGGCCTCGGGGTCACGCTGGGCGATCCTCATCCTGATGAGCTGCACCTGGCTCGAGTAGGCGTTGGCGAGTTGGGTCGCTTCGTGCACCGAGAGCGGAGGCGCGGATTTGGCTCGTCGCGGCACTTCGATCGCCCACAGCAGTCGGTGCAGCTCCTGCAGCGGGAGGAGATATGTCTGCCCCTCCGCCTCGAGCTGGCGGAACAGTGGCCAGACCCTGTCCGGGTTGGGCGTGTCGAGCTGGATCTCGTGCAGCAGGTCGCGGGCGGTGGTCGTTGTCGGCGCCGCGGTTGGTTCGGGTCGGGCTTGTGCGTTGACCGGCTGCTGCGCCTGCGACGAACTGGCGTTAGAGTTGAGGGTCGAGTGGGAGGCAAGTGAGAACATGTTGCGGCTCCAACTATCGGTCCAGGTGCTTGACGAGGTGAACTGCTGATGGTGTGACGTAGACGAGGACGAGGACGAGGACGGCGCCGTGTTGAGCAGGTTCGCACCGGCTGCGACCGAGAGGTGGCGTCGAGCGAGGGCGGCAGTCGTCGCAGCCGCTGCAGCATGCGATGACTCGGTCCACGAGGCCAGAGGCACCAATCGTCGAGCAGCCCGCTTCATGCTTTGCGGGGAAACAGGTGTCGAAAGGGAGCGTCCGGGCAAATGAACGAAGCGGCTGAGCGCGAAGGACCCAGCCAAGTCGGGGAAAATTGAGCTCGGACCTCCCGTCAATCTCTCGGCTCGGCGACTCGGAGGGCGCCGCGGTCTCCTCATCACCTCGGATCTTTGTTGCAACATCAAGACATCGAATATTGCACCACATCCACATCGACTACACCAGCCCTTCAGCTCAACCCTCGTACCTCTTCCTCGTCAAATCGCGCGTCGCATCCTTGACGCTCGCCCCCGAACGACCAATCGCCAACGAAGGCAGAGGCTTGGCCGAGCCCAGGCCCGCGCCCTGAGCGAACGAACTAGCCATCACCGGCGCCCAACGACCTTCGCCCGTCGCTCCCAAGCCAGCACCTTTGCTCCAACCCTGAAAAGGACAGCCAATTCAGCATCGGGAAGTGTATCAGACCCGTATACGCCGGAGAAGAACGTACCATCTTTTCCAGCATCTTGCTCCCGACATTCGTATCCTGGATGCCGTCGTTGTTGGGCTGCACCAATTCCTCCCTCGGCGGAGGGCCCTCAAACTTCTTCTTCTCCCTCGTCTCTCGCTCAGGTTTTTCCGGTTGATGAAAGTGTTCTCGTCGCGCAGCCGCCCGATCAATGTACTGAGGCGACTTGGCTGCATCGGCTTTGGAAGCGACTGCAGCGCGTTTGGCGATGTTGTCGGCCTTCATAGTCGTCGCACGAGAGACGAGTGCGGAATCAGAGAGGTTCGTGAGATGCAGTTTCGACAGTCGGTTGTGCTTGTTGATCTCTTCGAGCGACTTGAACTGGCGGGCACAGAGCAAGCAGATCTTGTTGACGCTGTCGCCGTAGGGAAGATCGTCCCCGGGCACACTGGTAGAGCTCGATGATGGGGCCGTGGCCGGACCTGACTGCGCCACCGCGATGGCCTTCAAGCTGGAGGCCGGTTTTGAAGAAATTCCTTTGCCAGCAGTGTCTTTTCCTCTCGAGGTGGCCTGCTCTGGCTTTGACGTCGGTCGCGCAGGCTCTGATGAGGTAGAGTTCGTTTCAAAGATGTTGACCGCCTTAAGCTCGGCCTGCTTCTGAGACCATTTGTCAAGGTGAGACGCCATCTTTTTGGCGACGATCGTCTCGCCGCTCTTCTTCTCCTTGCGGACTACAAGACAAGACGAATGCGGCATCAGTAGACTGTTAGTCGGGTGAGACAGATGCACAAAGGAGAGCTGACCTTGAAGGTTGGGTCCGATCCCCGCCGATTTGTCCCATGTAGTTGTTGACGAGGATGCCTTGGCGCGAGGAGTGGAGGTACTAGTACTAGCCTGCTCAAGGTCAGTGGGAGCACCTTCTGATTTGGAATTAGAGATGACGGGCTTTGGCGTCGATCGTTCCGGCGGTGTCGGCTCAGCAGCGAATAGCTCCGGCGGCAACTCGGCAGCGATTGAGGACAGGAACGCTTCCATGTCCGCCTCGGCTGGATCCATCTCCTTTTCCACTTCCACATTTTCTTGCTGTGAGGCCGATGCTGCACCTCTGCCCGTGCGTAGGGAGGTAGCCGGTGGTATCCAGTGCGTGACGAACGACTTGTCGTCCCAGTAGGTCAATTGCTGTCCGCCATCACCGTTGAATGACCACTCGGATTTAGCGTAGATGGGCACGAAAGAGTTGTCGTGGCAAAAGGATACGGCGGCAGCAACTTTCCGTATACGAAACCCTTGCGGGTACGAAATCGGGTTCATGACGCTCGCCATAACCGAATTCGCAAGCTGTTCGAGGCGAGGCCGAAGAGTGAGCGTTACTCTGGATTTCGTCCTGGAGCATGGGCCTCTGCGACTCACTGCAATATCCTTGAGCTTGACGAACGCAAAGCCCCAATTACTCCTCGTTGCTCTTTCTCTCGCCATCATGATCTTGACGATCCCACCGCGTTCCCTGATCGCTTGGCCTGCCACCCCCTCGAGTCCCGCCAGTGCTTTCCAAATCTCATCCTCCGAAGTTAAAGCGTCCAGTTTTCGTAGCAGAATGAGCGAATTCTGCGTGGTGCCGATGTCCCTCGTCCCATCGTTGACGTAGACGCCTTGTTGCGGCGTGTTGACCCGCCGTGGCAGGAGGCCGTCCCTGCGCCGATCTTCGTTCCACCTTATCTCGGCGCCTTGCTCGTTCTTGTGCCCTCCCGCCTTGGAAGCAAAATTGACCTTGATGATGTACTCTGGGGGCCCCGTCGCGGCGACCTCTCGATTCGGCACCCGATCGGTCCAAGGGATCCCTCGTTGGAAGTTGGGCTCGACGACCGACCTCGCATGTTCAACCGAGGCGAACTTGCCAAACCCATACCGCCTCGATTGGCCGGTCGAGCGATCAACGATGACGTTGGCCGATTCGACCGAGGTGGTCAGGGATTGGATCCATTGCAGCAGGGCTTCATCGTTGGCGTAGGGGGGGAGGCCGAGAAAGATGACCGAAGGCGAGGGCGCGTTCATGGGGGCCGGCGGGCGACTCGATGGGCCATCACCTCGTCGCGAAGGGTCCCTTAGGGGTGGGGGATATGGTGCATGTGGATCCATGCCACCGATCGGATAGGGATACCCTCGGTCGTCGGCTGGGTGATCGTACCGTTCGCCCCCGGTTACAGTGGGGCCCCTCGCGGGGACGTAGCCACGATACTCATCCTCGTTGTAGCGCATCGAGGGCGGCTCATACTGCGCGAATGAAGAAAGGTTCTGAACCCCAACGTCAATGCCAGGAAAGGAGGATGGAGCAGGAGCATTTCTGTTTCGCCCTTGTCCTGACCTCGATCCGACTTCGTTTGGCGCCGCGGCGATCGTAATCGTCGTCATAGTCTACGGGATCTCGATAACCCTGGTGGTCGTTGCCGTGATGGAAGGCAGCGTTGTATGGGTCAGGATACCCTCCAGCGTGCGGTGGCGGTGGTGGTGCGCCTTGTTCATCCCGGCGCCGGTCGTCGCGGTCATAGCGATCCCGAGACAACACCGCGATCGAGCGACCACTGCTCGGGGGATCCTGGTTGCCGTAGTACCTGTGAAGGGAAAGAGTGGAACTTCAACACAGTGTTCATGGTATCGGCATCCCCTGAGACCCTGCTTGGCGGGACGTACGGCAGCATTCTGTGTCGTGCAGGCCAATGTGCAGCTGCAGCTTTGCCTTTCGCGAAGCAGACCTCTGCAGGGTGCAGGGCGTGCAGGGTCAGACGTCAGACCGAGTCATCGCTCGCGCCGCCCGACTAATTTTGGCAATCGCATTGATCAGTGACCAACTACATGATTTTGCTTCGTGCTATATCAGGACGTAGATATTTTAGTTCTTTGAAATCCTAGTGAAAGTCGGAGCTTCCGGTTCACGAATGTAAAGGAATCGAAAATCGCGACTAGAAACAGTGATCAGATAGTTGAAAAATGCCATAAGCACTTTTTACGCACCGGGTGATGCGCCTCCGCGCGACAGGAGCAGCGTACACGTCTCCTCTCTAGATGAGCCACTGCAAACCACCTCCCTTCGAAGAAAACCTTGCAATCTCGTTGGCCTCGGTCTTCTCGGATTATCTCTTGCTGATCGGATAGGTGGCGACCATAGGCTACTCAGAGACTCGTCTTCGACTCTTCGCAATGCGGAGCGTCTTGAATGCAGTGCAAGTCGCGAGAAATAGGGTGCGGTACGTACGCTACGAGGAAATAAAATCGTGCTTCCATTTTCCACAGGACGGTCTGAAAGTCTCTGGCCGACGTAGCTCGGCCCGCGGACATCACTGTGACGAGTGCCGATCCGACCGGACCGCTCTCGTCGCCTTTCTTCTCCCTCTAGCCATCATCCCCGCCCTCATCGACGGCCCATCATCATGTTCGACTGGTTCAATCGCAAGACGCAACAAGTCGTCGAGGCCGTCAAGACGACGTGGAAGTTCGTGGCGAAGCGTGAGTACTCCAAGTGTCGTGCACAGCAGTGGCTAGTGGCAGGTGAACACGCCCGGCGCTCATGCAGTTCGCATCTTCTGCAGCTTCCACTCTACTCGTCATCCTCGCCCAATTCTACATGGGTGGCTTCTATTACCTGGAGACGTGAGCTGCTGCGTCGACGCCATACGGTGCCTTTCTCGTGGGGTACCCGATGTCGTGCGGCGCACCAAATCAACGCGCTACAGACCGTTCGACCTCGCCCTCGACCTCGAGCGAACCTCCACTTAAGTGAGTGCGACCATTTATCACTTCCACGATGGCTCCGGTTGACAATCACCACCGTGTTTTGCTAACATCCGCTAGCTCGTCCGGGCTCCAATCAAGATGTCCGCCGCGCTCACCCTTTTCTTCGAAACATTCGAGCTCGTCTTCGCCAACAGGGGCTTGATCGCCCGCGCCGCCCAAGTCCAAGACGATTCAATTCTCGCGACCCCACGAGAAAGGCACCGTATGGCGTCGACGCAGCAGCTCACGTCTCCAGGTAATAGAAGCCACCCATGTAGAATTGGGCGAGGATGACGAGTAGAGTGGAAGCTGCAGAAGATGCGAACTGCATGAGCGCCGGGCGTGTTCACCTGCCACTAGCCACTGCTGTGCACGACACTTGGAGTACTCACGCTTCGCCACGAACTTCCACGTCGTCTTGACGGCCTCGACGACTTGTTGCGTCTTGCGATTGAACCAGTCGAACATGATGATGGGCCGTCGATGAGGGCGGGGATGATGGCTAGAGGGAGAAGAAAGGCGACGAGAGCGGTCCGGTCGGATCGGCACTCGTCACAGTGATGTCCGCGGGCCGAGCTACGTCGGCCAGAGACTTTCAGACCGTCCTGTGGAAAATGGAAGCACGATTTTATTTCCTCGTAGCGTACGTACCGCACCCTATTTCTCGCGACTTGCACTGCATTCAAGACGCTCCGCATTGCGAAGAGTCGAAGACGAGTCTCTGAGTAGCCTATGGTCGCCACCTATCCGATCAGCAAGAGATAATCCGAGAAGACCGAGGCCAACGAGATTGCAAGGTTTTCTTCGAAGGGAGGTGGTTTGCAGTGGCTCATCTAGAGAGGAGACGTGTACGCTGCTCCTGTCGCGCGGAGGCGCACTAGCGAGCGAAGCCCCTACGCCCGACACCCCGTCACACCGCCGCCGAAGAGAGCACGTGCACGCGGGTCGCTCATGCAACGAAAAGATGCGGGGCTCTCCTCTCAAAACACAGAACAAAGAGCCGCGAATCGAACTCCACCCAAGCTGGGCACTGAGCTGAGCAAATCTTCCCAGGGTGTCAGCGTACAACCCCAAGCCATCCCACTCTCGCCGAGAGCTACTGAGGGACTGCCGACTCCTTGGTCGGTCCGGTGGCAGACACATTCGTGTTAGCTTCATTCCCCCCTTCTGTTCTCATTTCAGAGTCTTTGATAGTATCTTACAGCTAGCTTGTACACACGTTCACGGTTTCAAGGCCCGTGAGAGCCTGTCGGGCAAACTTACCTTTCGCGCGACGCCGTTTCAGTGCCGGCGCAGATGAATGAGGTCGCCTCCTGTCCATCGGATCGGGCGCCAAGGCCGCGCCAGAGATCGAAACGTCACACTGATCTGGTGGGTGGTGGAGAACCGGTAAAGAACAAGACCTGTGTTCAATTAATCTCATCTTTATCCACAACATCATCACTTTCATCTATGCAATCAAGTATCTCGTGCATCTCAAGCCGTGTCCGGGAACGACTGCGCAAAGCCCAATACTCGCTGAAATGTCCGCCATGGTTGTGAGCTACAACAGTAATATTCAAATTTTCAGAATATGAATCCACTGCTACGGTAAATATCGCTCAAAAGATTTTTCACCACCGACCTCTCCTCCTCACTCGTTCATATCCGAAGGAGCGGGACGTTGGAGGCCACGGAAGAGACTTGCTTCGATGAGAACCCCTAATGATGAGACTCCTCGGCACCTGGGATTGATTCGATCTGTGGACCACACAAGAGAGCGAAGAGGAGTTAGTTCGAAGTGACATCCACCTTCCTTGGCGGAAGAGTGACGCAAGGTGTACCGTATCGAGCTCCTCGAGCGATTCCTTGATGATCTGCAACGTCCTCTCGAGATCCTCCTCCTCGATCACCAATGGGGGTGCCAGGCGAATACTACCAAGTAAGATCACGCGGTCAGCTTCGAGACCTTGTTCCAACTCCACATTGTGCGGTGACTTACATATTGACATGCGTCGGCTTGGCTAACAGACCCTTGCTCTTGAAGAGCAAGCACAGATCCCATGCGCCGCGACCCTTGGTGCTCTTGGTCTGGTCGATGACGATGGCATTGAGAAGACCTTTGCCTCGTACGGTCGTGATCCACCCTCCATCGGGGCCGACGGACTTCAACGCTTCGAGCCCTTTGCGCATCCTCTGGCCCAAGCGTTCGGCACGCTCCGAGAGCTGTTCGTTGACGAGCACATCGAGCGCGGCCGAGGCGACGGCACATGCAAGAGGGTTTCCACCGTAGGTCGAACCGTGTTCACCGGGGAGGATCTGCAGCATCACCTCCTTGGTCGAGATCACCGCCGAGACGGGGTACACACCACCCGAAAGGGCCTTGCCGAGCAAGACCATGTCGGGCTTGACCTTTGGGTTGTGTTGGTGGCAGAGGAGTTTGCCTGTTCGTGCGAGACCCTATGCCGTGGACCCAGAAATCAGCGACAAGCCTTGTATTTAAGCCGACTGTTATGAGACTCACGGTTTGCACTTCGTCGCAGATCAACAGGACGTTGTGCTTCTTGCACAAGGCCTGGACCTTTTCAAGGTAGTCCTCCTCGGGAACAACGATACCAGCCTCTCCCTGGATGGGCTCGACGATGAAGGCGGCGACGTCCTTGCCATGAGCATTGAGGGCGCGTTCCAAAGCGGCAACATCGTTGTAAGGCAATCGTCCAGCGTCACCTTTGGCGACGGGGCATCGAGGGCCGAGGTTGGGCGTAAAGGGGCCAAACTCGCGGCGCGACTCGGGGTCGGTGGACATGGAGACGATGGCAATACTGAAAGTGGGGAGAGAGATCACGATTGGGTCAGATCTATCCCATGCAAGCTGTGCTATCTAGACGAAAACTCACGTTCGACCATGGAAGTTCTCCTCGGCACTAAGCACGATGGCCTTGCCGTCCTCGACACCCTTGACCTGTCGGTCGCCAACAGTGTCAGCATCGATTGAAAGAAATGCGTCACTGTGCATGTACCGACCTTGTAGGCCCACTTCCTGGCGAGCTTGATCGCGGTCTCCACGGCTTCGGCACCCGTGTTCATCATCAAAGCCATCTCGAAGCCGGTCAACGAGCTGCAATTGCACCATCAAGGTCAGCATGGTAGGCAATACGTATACGGGGTCATTTACTCACCAAAGCTTCTTGCTAAAAGGTCCCAACGAACTCGTGTGGAATGCTCGCGACGAGAGGGTCAGTTTTTGAGCCTGGGTCGTCAAGGCGTTGACGATGTAAGGGTGGCAGTGACCTGGCCGGCGCAAAATCAATGAATGCGCGGGTCAGCTTGCCGAACACGAAGGACACCCCGTAGCATGTGCAAAGATGTGACGGACCTTGGTTGACGGCACTGTAAGCACTTAGGCAGTCGATGTACTTGTTTCCCTATGGTCATTTCGAGCCGAGGGGTTTAGCTCGGACCGAACGAGGAGACCTGTCAGATATGCGATTTACCTCGGGATCCCATACATGGGCACCGGCAGCCTTCTCAAAGACAATGGGAAGAGGGTGGTAGCTGTGGGAGTAATGAGGTGCACGGTCCGTGGTTAGCGAGACGGGTCTCGGAAGGGCACGGCCACGGGTCAGGATTCAGGGGGGCCAACGCGGTCCGAGCGTGTCGTGTCGTGCGGCCGCGGGCCGAGATCGGTACCGCAGAATGACCTGCACAATGCCATGCAGGACTACTCTCGATATTACGCATCTCGCGGCGACTGATGATGATGCATGTCCCCTAAACTTTCCGAACGTGATTCCCGTGGTGATGTGTGTCCCGTCGACGAAGCTCGAGCTCGGCTCGCTCGAAAGACGTGTAAAGCAGCCTCCTGTACCGACAGTGGACCTCTACAATAGACAATCATATTGTGCGCGCGCACTCACTTGTGGGCGGCAAAGTTCTGCTCGAGTTCGATGCAGTCTTGCGAGGACAACTTGGCCGAGCCGGAGCCGGACTGCTGTGTGGAGGAAGCGTCGGGCGACATGGTTTGTGGTTTGTGGTAGTAGAGGGTGAGAAACGGGTAGTGGTGATGTTGGTGATTGAATCAACTTGCAGCAAAGCAGGTGGTACCTTTGGCTGTGTAGGCTTCGAAGGAGATCCGGTTTGCGAAAACGAACAGTCGGTGAAGTGCAGTAGAGATGGGTGAGGGAGGAAGCGAACTCAGCGCGCGCGACCGCCGACGTGTGTGCCGCCAGTCTCGTCACAGCTTTGGACGAGCCGAGAAATGCCGAGCGGCTGGCGTCGGGCCAATCGGCTTGGCGCCAAATCGTTCCCCAGCAGGCCAAGCGCACCCACAGGCTAGGTTGGAAGTAAGCTCAACTAAGCCCTCCCTCTGGGAGGGGCTTACGAGTTATCCGCGCTTTTGGCTGAGTTGCCCTCCGAAATTTCAGGGCCATTTTGGGGTGGTTCTCTGTAACTTGGCAAGTAGGCGCATCCATGCAAAAGTGAAGGACCCTATTTTTCTTTATGCTCTAAAAATGACATACCCCAAGTGGCGAGAGCTTTCATAAGCTGTGGGTGGAGCTACAGCGATCCGAAGTCTGCGATTTCGGTCGATCGGGCCTCAGATGGTCCGAGCGCATCGTGTAATTGGCGCTCACATCATCGGCGAGCCTGCTAATTCGGCTTGATCCCTTTGCGTACGCTTCGCTATTCTCCTCTTTTCACGATCACCGTCGTCCACGTCAAGCGCGACAATATCTAAAACCAAAAATGACCCGAACAAGCACACGCCGTACCTCATCAACTCGCCAGAACAACCGCCGCGAGGCGGATCTGTTGGCTGAATTTCGTAGCCGCGATCTATGTCAATACCTATCGTGGTACTTCAGCCCATCCACACGATTTGAAGGAGTTCAAACACACCGACCAAAGCTGTTCAACAGCAAGTGGTCCAGCCTCAAGCGTGTACTTGATCTTATTCTACGACTTGCACGCGAGGATGGCGCAGAGTCAAGAAGCCGAATCAATTTTTTTGTGTATCAATGACTGGATCGCCGAGCAGGTGGGCAACACTTCGTACTTCTCGGATTGATTCTCCGGGTTCGAAAAAGCTACTGAATACTTGCCTTATCCGCGTGCAGGCCGACTCAATCATCATTAAAGAGATGAAGCGAACCAAGTCCGCCTTCGTCGCTAGCCATGACTTGACTCCCGAAGTCCTCGCATCCGATTACATCGACGCCCGGCTCGATGCAATCGCCGAAGACAACTCTTTAATCAGCGGATGGGTTCGTACCTTGCTATCACAATGCGGAGACCCTCCACCGGCCGAGCCAATCAATCGCGACAAGGACCCAACAGCTTCCACTGATGTCGAGATGGAAGAAGCCACCCCGGAGAATGGTTCCGATCCGGGGCAAGAACAAGAGCCTGGTCACGAAAGAAAGCGTATCGAGTTTGTGAGTGTTTCTGACCATGGCTCGGCTGGGTATCGCAGCGAACTGACACCAAAAACTTCAACACGCTGGCCGCAGCTTTACCGCAGTGTCATGGGTCAGTTCGCATTCGCTTGCAACCGAAGGAACAACGCCATGCAGCATCGCAACGGTCTCATGATTCTCGCATGTGGAGCGAACGACCGATTGACAACATTTCTGTACGATTGCGGCTTGACGACATCTCGCTGGGCGACTCTCCAGGCAGCGGCGAGCTTGACGAAGGCGAATTCGACGAAACTGAAGGAGATTGGCTCGAACAAGTACTTCCATGTGACCGTTGACAACATCGACGTCACACATAACGTCAACGATCGGCAATTGGATCGACGTACCGAGCTGCTTCATGGAATTTTTGGTTACGCCCACATTCAGAGCGGAGATATTGCCGGCGCTTACAACCTTCGAGCCTACTCTGCACATCAAGTGTCTTTACCGCGAGTCAATCTCCAGCATCTCCTCCCAACTCCCCAATCCGACTCGTCATCTACAACCGGGATAAAAGCTCAGATATATCGAGCGCTTGCTCGACTGGTCCCTCATCTTGGCCTCAGTCTTCTTGATGCACACCACCCCCTGTCCTCGTCATAGACGGGAACTTGACGCGCTCTCGAAAGGACTCGTTAGAGATCAACTTTGCCCAATCTGCATTGTTCATATGCATTTCAGGAGACTTGACACGCAACAGGAAGGAAAATCAACAAATGTGTACTTCACTCAAACAGGAGGTCAACCGGCACATACGATCAGAATGAAGGAGATCTTGTGATTGGGGTCGTCCAACTGCCTGTACAGCTCGCCGTCTCTCCAGGTCTCCTTAGATACGACAATCGCGTTCTTTCCCTTTCAATGGAGATTGGCAGCCTGAAAGAAGCATGTGACTGCGGAAATCAGCACGAATGTCGGTCCAGCAAGCCCAGTCGGCAGAAAAACTCACCTGATGCAGTGATTGCTCAGTGCATTCAGTGGAATGACAACAATGGTGACGGCCCGGCGTCCGTGAATGAGATAAATTGCTTCGAAGATAACACTTTTGCCTGAACCGTTGGCGCTGTGACGAACACAGCGTCATATCGATTCCGGTTCCCAAATTGATCGAGTTCGAAAAGGGCAGCAATGGCCTCGATCTGCACAGGCCGGGGGGTAGAGTCCTCGCCAAGACTTTCGCCCAGAATAACTTTGATCTTCTTGCGTAATTCGCTGGAATCTCGTCGGTCCTCGTGAGTCAAACGTGGCCTCCAGTGACCGAGAACGGCTGTCGGATTGGTTGAATGATTCGGTGCTGGGGTCGTAGGACTGGCCCTTGAAGCTGATCGCAAGGGAGACGCCCTGAACTCAATTGATGGATGTCGACGGGGCGGTCCCCTAACCGGCCTGGGTGTTTGTACCGACATGGCTCATCATGAGGGGAGGTGCGATGTTGAGTGGAGGAGAGAGAGGATGCGTGAGGCGCAGCCGGGCTTAAGTGACCTGGCTCTATGCAGCCTTCGACGCGGACTGGACTACGACTGGTCCGTGCGCCGACCTGCGTCTCGTTCGGAATCAGTTGATTCAATCTGCTGTAGCGAGATGATCAAGCGTTCCTAGACTTCAAGCTTCGGTGAAGCCTCATCAATAATGATGAAGTAAAGACGTATCCCTCCACTTTTCAGATAGCACCAATATATGCCATGCTACAGCAAGGGGGCACTTTTCAGGGCCAAAATTTCGGAGGGCAACTCAGCCAAAAGCGCAGATAACTCACAAGCCCCTCCCAAAGGAGGGGCGTCGAGCTTAGGTTGGAAGCACCTTACCGCGACTTTCCACGAGAGACCAGTACGGGAGACCTCTGCAAGACGATCGATAACGTTGCTATAACGCTCTCTCCTTCCTCGGCACACCAAATATTGATATTCATCCCCACCCGGATAGTACGATTGCAACAGACAGAAATAGAGATCGTGTCAACCCAGACCTCGCAAAATAGAGGGAGAAAACGGTGACGAATATGACCTAGAAGAGAAGGAGAAAAAAAAAACCATACATCCTCAATGCTCTGATCAATGAAAAAACACGTAATGGGTCCACGCACTCACACAAGTAGCCCAGCACCCTCAAAAGCGCGCGGATAGACGCTGTCCCCCTACACAAGCATGGTACCGTACAATGAACCCATGACCAGACCATGAGCCCCCTTCCTCTGGGCCCCTTTAAGCAAGCGTAAATAAAAATGAAGCCTGATAGGCGATGTAATGTACTGTGTTGTTGTTCTCCGGATCTCCGCTCAGGCGAGTGCTACTGTGGCAATTTTGGGGTGCTCGGCTCGCTGCGAAGGCACAGAGGAGAAGGTCAGCGTAGGCATCAGATCACTTGCTCCCTCAGAGAACACTCACATAAGCCAGTGCGTCCACCACCCACTGGACCATGTCGACCTCCCTCCCGACGTCCCCCTTGAGGAAAGGGTGTTCCTGATAGGCACCACGAATTGCGTCAAGACCGTCGGAATACAGCCCCACATGACCAGCAAATTAGAGCTCACCAGTAGTTGAGCATAGTTTGGCCTTCGCACCGCCGACTTTTCCAAGCAGCCCATCACGAAATCCCTCGCCGTCTCCGAGTATCGCGTTGGCAACGCCGGAGGGTCGCCGTGGACGATCGCGGTCAGTTGCGCAAAAACGTTTGAGTAAGTTTCTGGGGGGTAAGGGTAGTGCCCGATCGCGAACTCGATGATGGATAGGCCGAGAGACCAGACGTCGGATGAGGCCGTGTAGGTCGAGGCAACACCTTGCGATTCACCCTTGATCCGTTCAGGCTGAAATAGTGGGCAATGAAGTCGGGTCAGGTGCGGACCAATTAAACGTGGATGTCACTATGCACGTACTGCCATGTAGCTTTGACACCCAATGTTGGTCTTTGCCATCGATCGATCGAGCTGACCCGAGACACCAAAGTCGCACAACTTGACAAAGCCTCTGCGGTTGATGAGCACGTTCGTGGGTTTAACATCTGAAACAAATCGCGAAAATAAGAGGTCAACTCGGATGTCGACCTAGTTCTACCGCATCCTTTCAGTACTCACCTCGATGCATGATCGCGAGCTCATCTTTCAGGAACTTGAGCCCGTGCACGATACTGCTCGTAACTCGCGCAAGCACGTTCTCCGGCACATCACACCCAGCGAAGAGCTCGAGCGACCCGGCATCCATGTACTCCATGCAGTAATACACGCATGAATCGATAAAGAAGGCGCCGTAGAAATCAATGATGAACGGCGAGGTCGCGCGATGCAGGATGTCGAGCTCGGTGATGATCGTTTTGAGCTTGGAGTCGTCGAGTTCAAGACGGATCTCCTTGAGCGCCATCGTCACTTTCGTCGGCTTGTGCCACACCTTCTGCACTGTGCCGTAATTCCCTTGCCCCAACTCTTCGAACAGTTCGAAGTCCGCCATCTTGATCTTGAACGAGGCTCCCGAGGAAAAGTCAACACCGTCGGCGTGCAGCACCGCCTTGGAGGCAAAGTTGAGGCGTCCAGAAGGGTCACTGGGGGGAGGGTCGGCACCGATCGTCAGCGTGGTACTTATGAGTACACAGAGTGAGCTGGACTTACACAATCTTCCTGAAATTTGAAAATGGCGTTCCTGTCCCATCACGAGCTCCCGGACTGGCCACACTCGGCAGTGACTGTCCAGAATCCCCACTACTCGAGATCATTCCCGAGGTCGACGGCGAGTCGACCCCTGGCGATGACGTCGCAGCCCCTGCTCCCATCGCACTCAAAGTCAATCCTGGACCTGCCCTGCGACGAGCCATCATGCCTCCTCCCCTCCCTGCCGCTGGCCCCGTCGCAGTCATCCTTCCTGGCACGGCCGCCGGTGCGCTCGGTCGGAACGAGACGGTCGAGCTCGACGGTACGGGCCCACTGTAAGGGGTCGCCGGGGAAGAAGCCATCGCAGAAGCTGGTGGAGTAGGGCTCGGCGTCGTGTTGCGCGAGCTCATCTGTTTTGCAAATGTGTATGGGCTATCGTCAGAGATTAGGTCCGGCCGGAACTCTATCGCGATCCTCATGACGAGAAGGAGAAAAAAGGACTGACCGCGGCCATCTTGGCTGCTAGACTCGGTGGGATCTTCATAGCCCCTCCTACACCTATCGGAGCACCTCTTACACCAGCCTTGAGCCCACTGCTCGCCGGTCCCAACGGGGCCTTCCTCGTCGCAGCCGAAGGTGGTAGACTGGCGGGAGCGGTTGCACGAGGGAACAAGGGGGGGGGCACGCCGCTCCCGGGCCGCGGCGCTGCACCTGGACTGGTCGTCGAGCCTATGGGGTTGGGGATGGGAGGTGGTGACGCGGACAGTGTCGGGGTGCCAGAGCTGGAGGCGGTCGAGAGCGCGGGTTCCGAGACGGCGGGTGTGCCGAGCGGAGGTCGGCCTGAAGCAGCAGACGCTACCCTCGTCGATTCTGCTCCTTGAACTGAGCCGTTACTGATTAGCTTTGCATCATGCTCGAGGTTGGATATTGTGGAGGAGGCAGGGTCGGAGTGCTCCGAGTTGTTGGAGGGTGGTCCGTTGTCGAGGTCGAGTCGCGCGACACTGTCGATGAGCGCAGCATCCGTGCTGTTCGTCGCCGTCGATGGGTCGCTCGACTGCGCCGACGGATCATTCGAGGTGTTGTTCTGATCCGACATCGTTCTTCAGACCGGAAGGCGATGGGCGAAAGTGAACCGCAAAGCGAGCAACCGAGCGCAGTGACCCCCAAGTAGCTGTTTGTCGAGAGTCGAGTTGCAGGTCGAGTGGACGTCGTACGGAAGCGGTGAATGGCCGAGCGAGCGAAGCGGTCAAGAAGAGCGAGTGCCGAGCGAGCTACACACGAGGTGAAGGCGAGGCGTGGGGCTCGAGCAGCAGAGCAAAGCAACTACCGACAGGAAGAGCGAGAGAGAGCGGGGGTGGTGGGGGGGGGGGGGGCGGGGGAGTAAGCGTCGAAGTGGAGAGCGGCTGCTCACGAAGCGAGGTAGAGCGAGGTAGAGCGAGGTAGAGCGAGGTAGCGCACGCCTGCGCACGCTGACATGCACTGTCACCCTCTGTCACCCTGCGCTGCCCGGCTGTGGTGCGCTGCAGGCTGTAGGCCGCGCTGGCAAGCAGATCAACTTGAAGCTGGTAGCGGCACGCAGCCTGTTGGCTGTTGGAACAATTACGTAGAGATGCACCGAAAAAAATGGGTGAGCGAAACGACTAGCAATCTGTGTCGACCATTGACTGCAATTTTCGTACCGCCAACGGCGTCTTACGGTCTTGTCATCCGATCCTTCCCACTGCCCACCCCACCGCTCCCCACCGGCCACCGTCTCCCTCCGTCTCCCTGCCCGAACGGGGCGCGTCGATCGTCGACGGTGCTCCCTCCCCACCTGTCACGGCTTCATCGGATATCGACCGGCGGCCCGACCGCCTCTGTCTGCGATCAAGCAGGCTCATCGTCGCCTTGGGACTCCAATCGTTCGAACCCTCGGCGCTCAGTCTAGTCCCAGCGCGACTTTGACAGCAAGTCTTGGTGCGCCGCCATCCGCGTGACCTCGATCGCGTCAACCCAAGCTCGCTCGCTCCGAGGCGCAACAGGGCGCAACAGTGGATGACGATATCGGTCGTACGCGGCCAAGATCCAAGATCGATCATCGCTAGGCGTCACTCGACCGGGATCTTTCGTGTAGCAGTTCGCTCACCCTATATCATAGCTCTCGCACTGAATCGGGAGGCACTGCTTCTAGTACCCCCAAACCCCTTCCAGTGTTGATCGGGAATAGAGCCGCCGGCCTTCTCTCCGGGCCACACTGCGGATCAGTCCTTGATCTCGTCAGCGGCCGGGTGAACGCTACGTTCAACACCATATCCAAGGGCTCGTGGCGGTTTGGTCCTCTCGCGATTGCGCTAAACTGCAATGACGAGCCACTTTGGTGGGGCACCAGCTCTCGCCTCTTCAGGGCCGTACTCTCAATCGGCGTACCCGACGGTTCAACCTTCGTTGCAACATCGGCGCACCTCACTCGAAGATGACACGAGAAGGTCAACCAGAGTCGACCCTGGTGCTGCCAAGGCCGACCAAATCGTCCAGGTGTGTGAACTCGCGCCTATCATGTTGGGCTGATTCTGATTAGCGGCAGGGCCGAGCTAACCGCTGCCGCCGATCCACCATTCGCTCAGCATTTCTACTCCAAAACATGCACGATCGTCACTCAGTCGCGCATGACACATCTCCAAACCGACGAAGGCGGCCTTTCTCCGTCGATACCGAGCTCGACAGCTGGAGCAAAACGATCCCCCCTTCCCGCCTCGGGATCGACCGCCAGAAAGGCCAGCACACCCGCCGAGAGGATTAAATCGGTACATAAATGGGTGAGTAGCACCATCTACTTCTTTTCAGCAGGGATTGACTTTACATTGACTGAACGTCGTGATGCGGCCTTCTTCACAAGTTCAATATTGAACTGGCGGATTCGGACGTGTTTCGGAACGAGCTCAAGACTTGGCGCTCGGTGTCGGCGCTCTACTCGCATACAAACTCGCCCTCCTCGTCGTCCCATCCAACGCTGATAACAGACCCTCCCGTCGTAACGGCTGTACCCCCGATGATCCTCGACGTCCTGCTCGATACCCAGGAGATGCTGCCCAATCAAGTCCTGGTCCTGTCCGATCACCGGGGACGCCGCGTCCGGGTCGACCCTACCTTTGCTAAAGCCTCTCGGCGGACTTCCAACACCTCCTTGCCACCGAGCGGTGTGCGATCACCTCTGGCCACTGGTCCGAGCAGCGGCGGAGCTCGGTCGCATGCCACCTCTGCACCTGCGACGGTCGTGCTCGAGCGATGGACTTTGTCGCTTACCCCACATCCACCGACGTCGCTCCACCCATCACCCTCGAGCGCGTCGCCAGTTCCAACCACAGCGGACCTACCCGCAGTCTACAAACGCGCGATCGTGCACTTTCGGGCGCTCTACTCGACTGCGCGTGTTTTGCCCTCGTGGAACCTGCACCGGAGGCTGGCGAGACGGAGGGCAGGGAATGGTGTCGTTGGTGGAGGGGTATTGATGATAGGCTGCAGGATGAGCATGAGCGAGCAGGAGATGTCGAACGAAGAGGGGAAAGAGGGCGAAGTCTCCTTGGATACGCCCATAAGCGAGGGCGAAGGCGAGCAAGTCACAGAAACGATCGACTTTCCCGTCGTGGCAACTCCTATTGGGTGAGTGTGTTACGGCTAAGCTCGACCGGAGGTTACATGCTGAAACCCTCTCGGCGTGGTCACGTCTCGCAGCGGCCTGAAACTCGTGTGCACATATCGTATCAATGCCGACTTTGCCGTCGAGGACATTGAGACTCTGCTCAGTTCGCGCTTCATCGACGAAGACTTCTTCAAGCCGACGATGGCACGGTACCAGCAGGATCCAGCTTTCGCCGCTATGGATCGACCCGGTTCGTTGCCTACCTCAGCAAAAAATCGGACCCTCATCTCTCCGTCGACCTCACCTCCGATGACAGGCTTCGCACCCAAACCATCCTATGGATCACTATCTTCGAGGCACCACCTCACCTCGGCCCCGGTTGCCATCAGTCCTAGCAACGGCGCCGTCATCACCCAAGCGTCGACGGCGAGCTCCCAGCGCGAAGGAAGTGCATCGAGCAGTGGCAAGCTGAGCATTTCCGGTTCGAGTACGGGTATAGGGAGCCATGCCGTCGAGCCAGCCTTCATTTCGCTGTCTCGCACACGCGGGGCATCCTATTCGAGCCAGATCCAGCGCGCTACAAGTGGGGGAACGGCTGCGCAGCAGATTCAGGGCAGCTCGTCGCTCCGACGGCCCTCGTTCACAGCCTCCAACTCGTCGCCCGTCTCGAGTTCGCCGATCTTTCGCGCTTCCTCTTACCTTTCTTCACCACCGTTGCCCCAGCATGCGCTGTCATCGTCGCCCTCGATTGGGCCGACTTCGAACATCCACCGGTCAGGTGGCCAAAGCTCCACCAACACCCCTTCGTCGCTCGGCCTAGGGTTTGCTCGGCAGCAGCAGTACTACCAACAAGAAGTCGGTTTTGTACCAGCGCCCAGCTCGGGTACGGGTGCTTCATCGGGGACAATGACCACCGGATCCACGCCGATGAACATGGTAGCTCGGTCTCCCCTCTCCGGCGCGACACAGACAGCCCCACGCCCCATTCCCTCACCTTCCTCTGCTATTGCTATGCCGCGGTATTCGTCCGGTGGGGGAAGCTACTCTCGCTCGTATGGGCGAGGTTCGTCTGGCCCCGGGTCGTATGGCTCTCTAACGGGAGGAGCTCTGACAGGTGATCAGTGGGGCGAACGAAGGGCGTCGCTAACTGCGACGGGTCAAGCCCAGGCAAGAACACCCTTCGGTGCTTCCGAACCCGATCCCAAAAAGTTCCTCGAGACCGCTGAGGACGACTCGGACGACATCAACTCCTTCTTAGGCATGATCGATTCGCGGCCCGAGTTGTTGAAGTCGAGCATGATCGCCTCGAAAGCGTCTCCGAGCGGCAGTGGTGGTCCCGGCGCCGACAACGGAGGCGAACTTAGTACACGGAGTCAGGTCGACGAACAATTGCGAGCTTTGCGTGGATCGGTCTACGTCAACTTGGGCGCGGTCGGTGCTAGTCCTCCTTTCGGCGGAGGAAGCGCTGCTTCGGCTGGTCTGGGCCTTTCGACGTCTGGAGGCCCCGGCGGGAACCGAACGTCTTCGATGAGTAGTTTGAGGCGACAGACCAGTCGACAGGCCATCGAGGAAGAACCAAGTCAGACTGGACCTCCGCTTGGGGAAGGAAGGCCTGAGTCGACGACTGCGCGCCACGCCTCGGTGGATCAAGTGCTGCGTCCCATGCCGAATACTCCACGGTACTCGGCACCCGGCACGGCCGCCACGACGGCAACGACGACGATAACGTCGGTTGCATTCCCGCAGTACACTCCTAATTCTTCCAGAACTCGCAAGCCCACCCCCGCGGTCACCACCACCGGGTTTGACTTGACCTCGCACATCCCCTCGGCATCTGCTTCTTCGCGAGCATCCCCCGCCATCCCTGCTCTGGAAGGGCCGCCCTCGGGCACCGGTTCGATGACGGTAGCGCCTTATGACTCCCCAAACACGAACACGGGCCACTCTTCGGTGACATCGTTCAATTCGGTTCGGTCGTCGATATCAGGATACACCGCTGAGGAGGAAGCGGTGGGGCGACTCGAACTCGGCGATCCGGATGATGAACCGCCGCAGCGGCAGGAGGGAGGGTATGATCGACGGTCTAGCTCTAGGGAAACCGAGGAAGAAAACGCGGGCAACAGGGGTCGGCACAGCCATGCGAGGGAGGCGCCCGTGGCCCACACGCCCGCCGGAACCCTGTGGACCCTCCATAATCCCTCTGGTGCGGCCGCGGGAAGTCGAGATCCTACCCCGGCTGGGCGTCCTACGGGAACGACGACGACCATAGCGTCGCTTCCGCATCGACCGAGGCATCAGACGGATTATTTCTCGACGACGAGTCATGGCGCTCGAACAGCCCAGGAGGACGAGGAGGCGGTCTCGCCCGATGTGGAGGTGGAGGAACAGCCTGCTCGGAGTCCAGGCGAGGCGCCTTGGATGGATTAGGGGTACGGAATCAACTGCCGTAGAATGTGTACCTACTATGACGACAAGGACTAAGAGGTACTCCACGACTCAGCTCCGAGGTACACGAGTGAGATGATGAGAATAGCGTGGAGAAGGAAACCCAGAAGGAAAAAAGACGCAAAGACAGAGATAGGCGCGCGCGCAGAATAAGGAATTAACCAAGACTAATAGCAATGAGTTAGGCTCTCAGACCCCACCTCTAACACTCCCACCGGTCAAAGAGACTAACGAGACCATTCCAAGTAGCGCACGAAGTTGATCAAAGCGTTGAAATCCCAAAGGCTTTGTCATAATATCCGCGGCATTGACGTGGGTAGGGCAGTATTCAAGTTCAACCTCGCCAGAAGCAACCCGTTCTCGAACAAACAAGTGAGCAATGTCGAAGTGTTTGGTTCGCATGTGATCGACCGGATCCTTGGCGATCTGGATGCATGCAGCGTTGTCCTCTTGAATGATAGTAGGGTGTGCTTGTGGAATGCCGACATCACCAGCCAAACGACGGAGCCAGATTGCTTCACGAGTGGCTGAGGATGCAGAGAGGATTTCGGCTTCGGTAGTGGATGTAGCGATCATGGATTGTTTGCTTCGACTGCCAGGAGATGACGCCACCAGCGAGCATTGATGCGTAGGCTCCCACCGATCTGCGAGATTCCGGGTCGTCCGCAAACGAGGCATCGGAGTAGACCATCAATCGAGTTGTAGAACTGTTGCGATAAAGAATTCCCAAATCGATGGTGCTGTTGAGGTAGCGAAATATACGCTTGACCGCAGCCCAATCGTCGACAGTCGGACAGGAGTTCTTTTGAGCAACAGCACGAACAGCAATCGCGATATCGGGTCGACATCGAGTGGACGCGTACTGGAGGGAACCCACCGCCGATTGGTACAATGAAACATCGGCAAACGGAGTAGTGTCGATTCGAAGCGAGGGGCGATCGTCCATGGGCGTGACTGCACGGCGCTTGGATAGAGAAGCGAAATCGAACTTCTCGAGCATAGTGCGGACATACTTGCTTTGGTGGACGAGGATGTGATCCTTGGTGCGATGGATTTCGAAGCCCAGAAAGTAGGAGACGGGTCCGAGACGCTTGAGCTTGAAGGCCTTGTGAAGCGATGCGAGCTCGGAGTCCAAGAAGGACTGATTGTTGGACGCGATGAGACCGTCGTCAACATAGAGAGTGATGATAGCAAACGAAGTGCCCGAATGTTTGATGTAGAGGCAAGCATCTGCAGTTGCCCTCATGTAGCCTCGAGACACCATGAGATCGTTGACAGCTCGATACCATTCACGAGGGGTTTGCTTGGTACCATACATCGAGCCCACGAGCTTGAGACATTTGCCAGGGGATTGAGGACCATTCCATCCTTTCGGATATCGAACGTAAACATCCTCGGTCATCTTGCCATTGAGAAAGGCGCAGTCGAAATCGAACTGTTCGAGATGCAGACCCTGAGCAGCAGCCAGAGCAATCAAGAATAGGATAGTCGACGAGCGAGCGACAGGAGCGTAGGTGTCATGGTAGTCGATGCCAGGACGTTGGGCGAAACCTTGAGCAACAAGGCGAGCTTTGAAACGAATGATTTTGCCGCTTGCATCGCGCTTGATACTGTAGACCCAGATCGTGCCGAGTACCCGAATTCCTTCGTGCCACTTGACTTCCTGAAAGACTCCATGATGATCGAATTGTAGAAGTTCTGAGACCATTGCCGCACTCCAATGGTTGCGATAGGTGACTTCATGGCTTCCTCGAATGTCTTGGGTATCTCGATGTCTTCTTCGGCGAACACGGCAGCACAGTAGGCATCGTAGGAAAGCTTGTCGAGGAACATGGGTGGAGTATCCAATACATCGACCATGATAGCCGCAATGATAGGAAGGATAACTTCCGGAGGTTGAGGTCGGCGACGAGACCCAGCAGGAAGGATGTTGGAAGAGTTGACATTCTCGAACTGCCCAGGATTTGGACCAGTGCGCACGATGGCGTAACCTTCACGAGGAGCGAGAGCGACTTCCGCCTCACCGTCGAGTGGTTCTTCTGCGTCATGGTAGTCATCAGGTCCATCGTCAGGTCCATCGTTGTCGTCATTGTCGTCATCCTTCCGAGGAACGACTGCAAGATCCCCCCCCTGTTGACCGACGCCAATTGGGACCACCGGAGGAGGCTGTGGATCCGGAAAAGTTGGACCCACAACAGGCGAGGCCGGTGTAGACGGCAACACATCTGGCGGATGAGGTTGAGGATGATGAACGGGACCGGAAGCGTCCGCGCGATCTTGAGACGAAGTGACGACGGAAGGAGTCCCGATGATTGTGACGTGACGCGAAACGTAGACCTGGTTCGACGATTGGACCCAGACACGGTAGTTGTATTCACCGGAGTACCCGATGAAAACTCCCTGAATGGAGCGAGGTACAAGCTTGGTTCGACGCTCCTTGGGAACGTGGACAAACGCCGTAGATCCGAATGGCTGAAGATGAGCAAGATTAGGCTTCTTGCCTAGAAGGACTTCGATTGCCGTTTTTCCTTGGATACGAGGATGTGGTCGACGATTGAGAACAAATGTCGCGACGGCCAGAGCATCTGACCAGAATCGCATTGGAAGACCGGAGTCGAGGAGCATCGAGCGAACGAGACCCATGAGAGATCCATTGAGCCGCTCTACTTGACCATTTTGCTCCGGAGTATAGGGGGCCGTGAATTCCACGATGATGCCCTGCTTTACAAGAAGATCCCGGAACATTGAGTTATCGAATTCACGACCATTGTCCGATCTGACCCTCTTGATCTTCTGACCCGTTTGACGTTCAGCCTCGACTTGAAACTTCGACCAAGCATCGACAATCGATTCAGCCCTCTTGTCCTTCAGCACCATCGTCCATTTAGCCGTCGAATACTGATCCACAATAGCGAGATAGATAGTATCGCCATGGTGATTGGGATGCTCGACGAACCCAAGATCGATGAAGACGCGGTAGAGGGCATGAGGTGCTTCGGTACTCTTGGCGGAGAAGGGTGATCGCTTTGACTTGGCCTGGATGCACGAGAAGCAAGAAGTAACCTTTTCGTCCTTCAGAGTGATGCCGGTGATAGCTCCGGATTTAACGGCCAAAACGATCGCCGCAGGAGACTGATGGCCCAGCTTCCGATGTGCTTCCATCAACGTGCACGTTCCAGTGAGACGATTGGCTCCGACCATGGAGGGTGATGAGGACGACATAATAGGCTGAACCGGAGTTGCGTCCATGACAAACCCTCGACCAGGACGTGAGCGTAGAATCGACTTGCCGCGGATGCTGAAGATGAGATTGTTCTGAGGACCAACAGCATACGTCATCGATTCCAAGAGACGATCGATCGAAATGAAACCGCACTGAGCACCGGGCATGTAGTAGACCCTTTTAATGGTGATACGAGAGCCATAGGAGGTAAGGAACGTCACTGAGCCATGACCGGGAGAGTCGATTTGGGATTGATCGGCGACAGAAATTTTGAGAGGCTCAGAGATAACGTCCGATAGTACCGACTTGTCTCCAACGCAATGGACTTTGGCACCCGAGTCGATGATCCATGGAAAACGTGGCATCGTTCGAGAATAAGGGAAAGTGTAGGTCATCAATGCAGATTCATCTACACCAATGGCAGCTACGTTCGAGTTTGAGTCCGAGGAAACGGGAGCGCTCGCATCCTTGTTCCTGCTTGGACAGAGACGCCAACCACGCTCGTGTCCCAGTGCTTTGCAGCGCGAACAGTACGACTTGGAGTAGTCCTTCCGCGCCGTGGTGGAAATACGGGCGACGAGGCTGGTATCGTCAACGATCCGAGCGGATAACGATTCCTTTTGTTTGTTTCGGGAATCAGCCATCTCGACGTTCATCAGGAGTTTCGGATAGAACGTGTTCCAATCCATGTGAATGTCGATATCTGAGGCAAGGTTCCCAACGATCGAGTCATACTGGGCTGGGAGCGACGGAACGAGCATGCCTGCAAACAACCAATGCGGAAGCGGAGCTCCGAGGTTCTGAAAATCGGTCATGGCAATCTTGACCTTGTTGACGAATTCTTTAAATGGGATATCCCCAGCGTAGGGTTGTGCCAGAGTATTGAGGAGGTCCATAGTACGACTCGGGCGACCGTGAGAGTGGAGGCCTCGGAGGGTGTCCCACATCTCGTACGCCGAGGTGAGATGTATCAGGTGAGACATCTGCTCCTCAGAGATCGAATTGGCGATGTGTTTGCATGCCAAGTCGTTGCGGCGGATGGCCCGTTCGCGATATTCCGCGACCTTGTCCGCAACTTGAACGCTGGTGAGCCTGGGCAATTCGTCCGAGTGCGCAGAACCAGAGCCCCCCCCCCCCCCCCCCCCCCCAAGCCCGCTAAAGCCGGGGGAGGCTGGTTCAAGTGGCGCGACGGACGCCGTTGGATGTGCGATAACGAGCGTGGACCGATAGTCCGCGACAAGGGAGTCGATGGATTGGTTGACGACATCCCATAGTTTGTCGGCTCGAAGATTGATAAACGCACGTTGTGACCAGCTCTTGTACCCTTGTGTGTCCTTGAGGTACAAGCGATTGCCCGACCCGTTAGGGAAGTCGGATTGGCTCGTTGAGCTCATAACCTATTACGACAAGGACTAAGAGGTACTCCACAACTCAGCTCCGAGGTACACGAGTGAGATGATGAGAATAGCGTGGAGAAGGAAACCCAGAAGGAAAAAAAGACGCAAAGACAGAGATAGGCGCGCGCGCAGAATAAGGAATTAACCAAGACTAATAGCAATGAGTTAGGCTCTCAGACCCCACCTCTAACACCTACCATGACGTTCTACGCAGACAGTGCTCTTGAACCGAAGTTTTTCTTCTTTTTCGCTTTGTATTGCAATCACCAGTCGTGCTTTGGCAAGGGAATTCTCGCTGCAACGCCAGTGGGCCCTCTTCCAATGGTTCAGTCAGCGCTCGATCGCGTCGAGAGGTTCACGCCAGCGACGCAGGGAAGAGACGGAAGTTGGACGCCTGCCGAACGCCGAAATTGGTGCTCAATCAGTACCGATTATACAGGATTGCATCTGGAATGAGATGCAGTGGCAGCCACGTAGCATGATTTGAAGTGCCCTGATAGAAACCTGAGACCATCCATTGATCGCCAATTAAACACCGGCGCTCGTATACAGCGCCTCCTAACTTTGGCCTGAAGGCGCATATCTGAGCAGAGTTGCTGAGAAGCTTCCGGAGTGAAATGTCCAAGTGGGTGGAACGCTCTCTTGAGCCTGAAGATCCACCTATAAGCCATTGAGATAAACCAGATCCTGCCAAGACGATCAGGCTCACTGGATATCTCACGAACGCCTCTCAGGGAAGAAAGGAGGGGCGATGCCGTACCATCGATCCCGCTTGGACAAAACACTAATACTTAACTGGAATGCCCTGGGCTGATTTTCTGTGACCGTCCAAAACGTGAGATTAGGAACCTGCACTGGCCGGGGTCCGTACTGGGGGATCATGGATTTGAGCACTGTGCGTCTGCCGTAACCCAAACCGGAATGAATACGGCCCCAGTCAGTACAAACTCGCTTGGTAGGGTTCAACTCGAGAATACTGATGCTGTTGGGGTACCTGATAATCCAACTGCTACCGGACTGATCGGAAATCGAATCGGATCAGCATTGAGCTCGTCACTCAAACTCATGATCATTCCGGAGGCAGTATCAAATGCTTACCATGAGTTCTTTGTAGCTCGGTAAGGTTCAATCCTCATAGATGTTCGTCAGCTCCCTCCTCTGCCGTCCAAAATGCCGCTCGAATAGGGCAATCTCTCACATAGTGGGGGGGAGGTGAAGGTTTTGAAACGATGTGGCAAGTGAAGCCTGCAGAGTTGAAGATGCTGTAGCGGCCGACCTGAAGCGGAGAGTGGGAGAGGGAAGGACGGAAAGAGAAACGCAACTTGCTGGCGACGTGGTCGCATCATGATCGCGTGATCTGCGCTGTCCGGCGGGTCATGGAACGCCGGGCATTGTCGGCGAGCGCCGTGGCTCCTAGTCGCTGCGGAAGGGCTGAAGATGCTGCCGACACCTGCTACTAAATTTGGCTTGATTAATGGTTCGATTAATGATTATGAAACCTCTCCTGAGCTTCTGAGCTGGAAGCCTCTCAGAGCAGTGACGTTAAGTCACATGGTCTGTCACTATATTTTGTTGAGATTCTTTGTTAGGAGGTTTTGATGAAGAGCTGTCACCTGCGCTAGCCCCGCCTCAAAAAAATGTGAGGAGCTTTCACCTGCGCTAATCCCCCCTCGTAAAAGACATCAACGAGTCAGTTCTTCAAAAACACGAGCCTGCGCAAGCTTGCACACAATCGCGCTCAAACGACTCAAGCCCAAAATTTCCATGCGCGACTACCTCGGCACCCAGGCGGCCATATGCACCAATGCAAGGCTCGGACTCGATCATGTTGGGGGCAATCTTTCCCCGCATCCCCTTTTCACTCCTGTGTAGCTATATGAGGCATTGTCTCGAGCCATGAGTGTTGATCGAGTCAAGGTGCTTCTCCCCGCGACCGACGACTCGCCGCACGGCCGTCGATCGAGCGGCAGCTGAGCCACGACCGTGACCCCGCAAACCCAGTATTTCGCAGTTTTCTCAGGGCGATGAAGATATTTTTGTTGTTGTTCTTTGTAGTGTGTGTTTATACCTCTGCTGAGATTAGGTGCACTGCTCAACTATCCTGCTATCTGAAATTTGATTATCCCATTGATCTACTAACGCCGGGTCCACACAGGTGCACAGGTCCCCACTACTACGAAATCGCATTCGGGCCTCCAGCTCGTCCGCCTCCGACGTCGTTCTAGCCCTGCTCTCACTCTTGGGCCTTCCTTTGCTCGGGAACTCCTTTTGTTCTTGTTCTTTCCTTGATGCCCATTGCACTGGCGCGCCGTCGCACCTGCCTCGCCTTTACACTCGCCATCGTCGCTGCCTCACTCGTGCTCATGGCGCTGCGACCGACGTTGCTCAACTCGTCGTCGAGGATACTATCCCAGTCAGCTCGGAACGGAGCAGCCCAACTGAGCAGTGCTCCCCGACCCAAAGTCGTAGGCGCAGCGGCGGACCAATTGCTCAAGCAGCAGCAGCAGCAGCCGCCGCCAGCAGCAGCAACAGCAGCTCCTGCTCGGGCTCAGCCTGCTGCCGCTCCCGTCGGAGGCGCCCCTCTTCCTCCGTCCCGACCGTTCTCCAACCAAGCCGCTGCCCAAGCCCAACGCCCCGCCCATCCCGAACCCGCTACACCACCCCAAGCAGACAACAAGATGTCCGTCAAGCAGACCGTCGACAAGCACATCAAGGACGGCCACGTCGTCGTCTTTTCAAAGTCGTACGTTTGCTCCATCCCCACTACGCTGACAAATCAAACCACGGCTCCCTTCCTCCCCCGGCGATCACTACTCGTCTCGACACCATACAAGCAAGATGCTGACCACGTAGTGCTCTGTATATGACTGGCATCAGGTACTGCCCTTACTGTGAGTAACGCCATCTATTGTGACCATGCCCTTGCCTCGGCATCTGACCCAGAGCGTCTCGATCGTTCGATGTCGTCATCCACCCTTTCGCCCATCCACTCCACAGGCAAGGCTACCAAGCAGCTCTTGAGTCAACTCGACGCCAAGGCCACCGTCTTTGAGTTGGATCAGATGGAAGAAGGTGAGCCTGCGGTGTGGATGTAGTGCCGATCTGTCCTTTGATGGTACGGCGCTGACCTAATTGCCCTCAATCCGCCCCGCCTGCCAGGCTCGGACTGGCAAGCTTACCTCGGCGAGAAGACCGGCCAGAGGACCGTGCCTTCCGTTTGGATCGATGGCGATTTCATCGGTAAGCTCCGGAGCATATCCGATTCGCGGTGCGTTGCTGTCTAGCTGACATGGATGCCATGCCTCTTGTCAACCTCAAGGCGGCAACTCGGACGTGCAATCCGCCCACGGCTCGGGCAAGTTGCAAAAGCTCCTCAAGCAATAAGGCCTTTTTTGCCCCTCTGCGACCCTTTTACAGACCTGTCCAGCGCAAGCCACTGTCATATTGCAATGTCAACATCGTCACATACTTGTGCGAGCTCGTGATTGAGTGTGTGCCAAGCGAGCGGACAAGGGTTGCATGCTGACAAATTCTCACCCTGGGCTCTCTTTGGGCCGTCTTGCTCTTGTATCCGACAGAGGCGGCAAGCTGTAATTTTGAAGGAATGAGAGGCGGAAGTATTCTGGTGTGATGGATCGAGACCGTTCGTCCTGGGACACGACGGCATTACGGATCGATGAACTGTGGACCGAAGGCCTCGAGGCTCGGGAGCAGGGTTGTGCGAGCAGGGCTGTGACTGTGATTCGAGCAAGCACGCTGTAGAAAGTCCTAGGGCTGTGAGAGATGGCTAGAAAAGCCTAGCAGGGGGAAAATAAATTTGAAAGCCCTCGGCGAGAATCAGTGTCCGGGCATCTACCATTCAGTCCTCCTAAGGTCCGTGCGCGATGACGACGCGCTGGGATATCGTCGCGCCGGGGCTGCGCCGGGGCGGTTTTGACTTTTGGCCACGACCTCGTACGGCGTACGCTCGGCTCGCGAAGGCTTTCCATCAAGGCGTGGTTGGAGTGCACGTCCACTTGACAGGGCTTCAATCTGGCTGGTGATAGTGTGAGGAATGTGAGTCCTAGTCATGAGCGCTGATCCAGCGCCCATGGGCAAACCTCCAGGATCGCTCAACTGACGTCGCGTGCGATCGCCTCCATGCTCCATGACTTGCTCTCCTCTAACTCGCACAGGGCCGAACTCCTCCCTTACATCTACCACGAGCGTTCCTCGTCCCCAAACTCTGACGATTGGGGCCATCATGCGATTAACAACCTCTTGCAACGAGCTGCATTTCAACCGCAAGATCTGGCTTTGATCGCCTGTGACTCCCACCCTGAGCCAGACGAAGACGACGACGATGACGACGACAACGAGGACATCGACGAAGAAAAGTGGCTCACACAAGATCGTCGGAATGAGGCATGGAAATGTCATGCGCCAAGCAGGTATACGACCCCAACAGGTACATGACGGTTCTTCTACGCGGTTGTAGATCCCTGTTCCTGAGATCGGCGCAATCCTGGGGGTCTCGTCTCGGCGTTCGAACGACAATGCTGACCGACTGGTAGCTGCCTCGCCACCTCGACTTTGATCAGTGATGAAAAAGACTGCGGGGAAGCACCACATATTTTTCAACTCTTCTTCTGATTTTGAAGTGTACAAGCGTCATCCAGAGTAAGTGATCTGGCTTCCGTGACCGGAGGAGAGGGCGGATGATCAAATCGACTTGTGGTGATCATGATTCCCGCCGACTCGATCTGACCCGCGCGCTCTCCTTCGGTGCCCGACTTGCAGGGTGCTGGATGCCTTCATGTTGACGAACGAGTCTCATTGGATCACGATACGGTAAGAGCTCTGCATCATATACCGCTCTTTTCCACCTCTAGCTTTACGCTGAGTCGATGATGACTCCCTTGGCTCAGGCGTTTCGAATCGTCAGAGTGGTTCTACAACCTCGACTCTCGCCTCCCCCAACCTGGATTGATCCCACGTACCGAGCTGAGACAGACCCTTAGGATGGCGAAAGCAAGTGGTGAGTTTCAATATCTCTCACCATGGGCCCATCCCAGTCGTTGACCACAGACTTTCTCCCAATAGGCTATACCGTTTTTGTCTGCGAACCGACGCTCGTCTCTGGTTTTCCACCATGTGGCGGCGGCCAGGCAAGCACGTCAAACCTCAACTGGATGGGCAGACTGCCGGGATCAACATCGACTTCCCACAACACCCTTGCGATGAACGGTCACCTTGACCCCAATCTCGACCCCCAACCCAACGACCCGCGCCGATCGACAATCTCGAGCAATGGCAAAGGGAAACGGCGCATGATCGACGAGGAGGACTTGACGGATGAGGATGGCGATGACGACGACGTGATCATTGATGATGGAGACGCCGACGAAGACGACGACATCATCATTGTCGAGGACTCTGATGGACAAAACGGAGGAGGAGGAAGAATGAACCCGTCGACGAAACGAACTCGAGGGGGAGAAGCCAAACGCAAGAAACGACGTTCCAATTATGGTGGTGGAGTAGGAGACGATGGAGCATCGTCGACACCACCCACGAACATGGCATCGACCTCGAATAGCACCATTTCGGCGGCGCCTACGCGAAAAGAAATGTCCGAAGAGGCTCAGATGAGTCGAGCGATCGCCGAGTCGATGAAAGCGGCAAGGGAGAGCTCGACTTCGACGTCGACGTCGAATCAACACCCTGGCCCGAGTTCCGAGACGACCGAGGACCTGGAATTGCAACGGGCGCTCAAGGCAAGCTTGTTGGATGATGTCGAAGTCGACGAGGATGACCATGCACTTGATGATACCCCTTCGATGGAGGAGCTAAGGAGGCGGAGGATGAATCGGTTCGCGCTCCGATGAGGTCTCGAGGGCGGGCTGGGTCGGGTCGGCATATGAGGCCAAGATTCTGTTTTAGCAAATGCATTTCGTTCTTTTCTGACGCTCTTTCTACTTGCAATTGTTATATCTCGCTTTGTCAGTCTTTGTACCTATCTCTCTTTTCAATCCCTATTGCGCGATAACCCGGGCCTCGGACGACTTCGGCCCGGGCTCCTCCGGTCTCACGCGATAGCGTACGATCACGGAACGGCCGACCGAGTTTACGTTGACACCGTTCCTACACTAGCTACCGTCTCGAGATCGACTTGCACCTCGACAAACATGCTGCTCGAACCATCATACCTTCCCCTAAATCTCGGACCCTCTTTGACGACCCACCCATCCACGTGCTACTACGCACCAGACTCGTTCCCGTCGCCGTCGTCGCCGGATCCGCCGTCGTCGAGTTGCTCGATCGAAGCGCTAGTCAGGACGGGGCTCCGCCCGTTCCCCGTGCGTCACGTCACTTCAACGACGACATGGCGTCTTCAAGTCGTTGATAAAGTACCTGTAAAGTCGATCGAGCTGGGGAGTATGAGGACGAGCGATTTGGAAGGCGTCAAGGTGTTGCATGTGAGTCGGACTCCTCGAAAGCAAGCTGGGGGCAATCCGGGGTCGGGCCCCAGTCATCTGGTCTCGGAGATTGAAGCGATCGCGAGGAGATGGGTTACGGCTATCCCCGGAGGGCACAGAGCTCACCTGGCTCCCTCTCGCACCTGCCTCAGGATTTGAATCTACCTCTAGTGTACCCAACATCTTTCTATACACATCTATTGATCTCGCCGTTGTTGATGTGCCTCGTCGCTCGGCCGTCCCCTCCAGCAAGCTCCGTGCCACGGGCACCGGCAAATCATTTCCCTTTATCAACCGCGGCATGCTCCCCAGTAGGATGCATCTCGGCGCAGGTCTTCGAACCTTTCAGAACCACCTCCATGCTACCCATCCCGACCCTTCAAGTACTCTCGCTCGTCGTCGATAGTTCATCACGGAGATCTGGCCTGGCGCGAAGATTATTCAAAGCTTTGCTCGATCAAGCCTTCCGAGAATTGTCGACCGGTTCGACGTCTTGCGATCAAGTCTATGTCAAGCTGCACCTGCTGGAACGCAACGATGCGGCGATCGCGTTGTATCGTGATCTGGGTCTAGCCGAGACTGCGAGGTGTAAGAGGTATTATCAACGGCTGGGAGAGGATGCGATCGAGATGAGCGGGGTTGTACGGCTCTGATTCATGAGCCGAGGGCTGTTCAAGGGATCGCCTGGCGTGGCGGAGGTGTCCGAGGAGACTTTTATCTGTTGTCAAATTATGTGTTGTGTGATGTTGGATGAATCTTGTCGTTGCACTCAGACGCCTCTGGAAGACAGAAACCCAGCTCCCTAAGCTGCAAGCTGCCCACCATTTGTCCTCCGTAATGCGCGCGGCCGAGCTCGGCGTCGGAGTTGATAGGTCCAAGCTCAAAACGGCGTGGCGCGCAAGTCACGGGATGTACAGGCGGCTCGTATCTCTGCTTTCTTTGGCCTTCGGCACGTTTGCAACCTTCTGCGCCACGCACGCCTCTCGAGTCTCGACGCGACACTCAGCAAATACACCGTTCTTCTTCTAATCAAACTGAGGAAGTACGGCCTCTTATCTCGCTCCAGAACTTTGGTCGGATCGCCGGTGACGAGCGACGAGTGTGCGGAGCGGCGGGGTGTCACGTGAAAAGAGGCGCACGCCCGTTGGCGCGCCCACTCCGCCTCGACCCTTCCCCCACACCCGCCGTCGGTTTTGAATCCCTGAGCGGTGCTGGCCACCAACCCAGGTCCATTCGTTTCCTCACTTGCGGTTGTGGTGCCCTTGTTGGGGCCCCACATCACCCGCAACACCTTTCCAAACAAACGAAATTTTGGGGGGTTGGCGCAAGGTAGTGGACCTGTGAACGCGTGATTGGCCACGAGGTCACGAGATGTTGGATCAGATATACGGTCGACCGAGTTCGAACTGGAAACGATCCCAGGTACGCCGAGGCTACATCACGGCCGCGGCTCGATCGGCGACCCCACGGCACTCGCGCCCGAGCCTGCCAGGACGGGTTTGGCGCGAGGAGTTGTGAAACACGCTTGCTGACCATTTCCGGTTGACCACACTGCCCTCCACAGGTCTTCCTCGTCCTACTCTTCTGGATCTCTCGGATCCGTTTGGGCAATCGTCATGGACCTCGCTCGATCCCAATCTTACGCAGACTCAACCTGTACCTTACGCGCTTCACGCCATGGCAAATCGTCGTTTCGACCCTGACGCTCGTGTACGCGATCAAGAACTCGGATGCGATTTTGGGGCTCCAGGCGCCTGAGCCTTTAGCGAGGTTGTATTCGCGGGAATACTACAGGTTAGTCGGAGGGCACGGCGCGCCGTCGTGGTTTGGGAAGGTGGTGGGTACGAAGCTGACGCTCGGTCGCATACCTCCTCTGGCTCGAGCTCAACAGGGCAACTTGGATCGTCACCGCTTTGGATGCAGGTTTTGCGACGGCCATGACGATAAGGTGGAAAAAGTTACGCGACATCGCATCACTCGCCTTCTCGTTGTACTACCTCATCTTCCCCAATGAAGCCGACGAAAAGGTGAATAATCTTTTCCGGCCTGCCGTTCAATCATTTACAGATTTTTGACCGCTCGTATCCTCTCTACAGCTGAGACGATATCGAGCCGTCTGCACAGTCGAGATGCTACGCGCGACATGGGAGAAGACGAGCAACCCCTACATCCGCTTCGCGACACAAAGGGATCGGCCCCAAGTCGGCGTTCGTCGAAAAATCTTGTTGCCAAGACCGGCTGGGTCGTCGTACGAGTCAGTTGTGACCCGTTTTTCTGCGGATGACTCTGTCCCTACTGACGCGCGTAATTCGTATGACCGGGACCTGCAGCAAACCGATAGTGGCCTGGGTCTTGTTCAATGGCACGGATGAGGAGTTGGCCGAGCAGACCGAGCTGATCTTTGACGTGCCGGGCGGGGGTTTCATTTGCATGGATCCGACGCATCACGAAGAGCGAACGCTGCGGTGGACGATCAGGACGGGAAAACCCGTGTTGGGCTTGGATTACGGCAAGGTGAGTCAGGGCGCGATCGCACCAACCGCTGTGAAGCGGCTGATCGTGGTAAACATCTTTCTCGCAGGCCCCCGAATACCCGTTCCCTTACGCCATCGATGAAACTTATGACGTCTACAAGGTTTTGCACGAGAGTAAAGGGAAATGTATTGGGATGAAGGGAACCAAACTGGGCATTGTCATGACCGGTGACTCGGCGTGAGTAGCCTGTCAAGTCGGGTAGAGCACCTCCTCCGAGCTGATGTCGGTGATATCCCTTTGGACTCCAGCGGCGCCAACATCGCTACGGCCATGGTCGTTAAGATCCTCGAAACTCGACCCCGCCTTCCCCTCCCAGTCTCACTCGTCTTTGCCTACGCCGCTCTCTCCTTCCACTTCACCTCGTGGATGCCATCCTCCGACGTCAAGGTCCTGCGCCAGCAGTCGTCGGGCAACATCGCCGACTTGCTTCGCGGCAAGGACCACCTCGATCGAAAATCTCCGTTGAGTGTGGTCGAAGATGTCGAGCGACCGAGGCCGCGTAGGAGACGCTCGGCCGCTAGTCTCTGGGCTCGTCGACTGTCGGGAACGAGTCCTGCTAGGCTTTTGGGGGCGGGTAGGGGGATGTCGAAAGGGGATGAAGGGGACGATGAGGACGACGATGGCGACAACGCCGAGGTCGAAGCGAAGGACAAGTCGCTCTCCGATCGGGTCGTTTTCTGGAACGATGAGGCGAAGCAAGCCGAGCTGCAGGCCAAGGCGGAGTCTCTGGGGAAGGAGGTGATCGAGAATGCCCACAAGGCTCCGATTCAGACGAGATTGGCCATGACGAGTCGAACGGCGTTCTTCAACGGTGAGCTCAAGATGTTACCTTCCAGGAATGGGCCTCATCTAACGCCTCTCTTCCGTGCTCAAAGATCGCATCATCTCGCCGTCAATGGTTAGTGCTTGCTGGCGTCTCACTGATTGTGTTCCATATCAATTCTAATCTCATGGTGGCTTATCGAATAGTGTCGAGCCATGGCACTATTGTACATTGGGCCCAACAATACTCCTGACATGCACTCGGACTATCACATCTCCCCCATCTTTACCCCCGCCAACCTGCTCGCGCAGTTCCCACCCGTCTACCTCTCTTGCGGCGAGCGCGATCCGTTCGTAGACGATGTGAGTCGTCACGACGTCGCGTCGTCGCGTCGTCACCACTTCAAACGAATTTTATTTGCGAGCTCGATCTGACCACTTTCCCCTCGGAATGCCATAGACGGTCATCTTTGCTGGCAAGGTTCGAGAAGCAAAGGAGGCTCGGAAGCTGGAGCTGCTTGCTCGCGAGAATCGACACGGCGAATCGCTGCGCATGTCGGGCTCCTCTGCCCCTCGAGATCCATTGCTCGATCAAGATGAGGACGACTGGGCCAAAATGCAGATTCTGGGTGGATGGAGTCATGGTTATCTGCAGGTATGGGCGCGATTACCTCTTGGTCGCACGCCCAACAGACACTCATCAGATGTTGAATTTGCACAGATGATCGCTCTGCTCCCCGGAGCCGAGGAGGCCGTCAACATGCTCGCCGACTCGATCACCGAATCGTTCGAGAAGCAACGCGCCAGGGAAGCGGGTCATCCAATCCCTTCACCCGCCCTCGCCGCTACAGCTGCTCCACTCACCCGTCGACAGACTCCGCCTGTGCTTGCATCGACTCCGGCGCCGACGCACTACTCGCCGCCGCCCATCCCTCAGCTCGAGGGCATGACCTCTGAATCCGATCGCGACGACCAAGACAACGTTTTGTCCTTCACTCCGCGCAAAACTCGTTCTACCTCGAGCTCGAACCCACGATCACGATCGGATTCACCCGCGTTTGGTTCACCGTCGAGGAACCCTGACGGATGCACTGTTCGCGTCCCTGCTCCGAGGAGCGGGCTGGCTTCCAGCTCGGACGAGACCGTCTCTTCCTTGCCACGAACACCTGGAGATCATCCCGCAAGTGGTCTATCACCCCCCGTGATCATCGAATCGACCGGTGACGATGAACAAGGTCGGGCGACGGGCGTCAAACGGGCTTCTTTGCCGATGCCGGCCAAGATGATGGCAGGCAAGACGAACCCATCGTTGTTAATTGACGCCAAGGATTTGCTGAAAAGGAGACGCGAAGAAGCCGTGTATGGGATTTTGTCGACGACCAACTCGAACGTACCTTCAGATGACGAGAGCTCGCCGAGGTCCGCATCGAGACAGTGAGGCACGGCTCTCCGAGCACAAGAGCAGGCCGAGAAAGCGCTTCTCTTCAAGGCGCTGCGCTGTCTTAGGTCCTGTTGCTTTCCGGTGTAGGCCTTGTATGTATGTGTAGCGTATACAATATTTTCTTCTGTTTGAAATCAGCATCTTTTCGGAAACGATCGCGTGCCGTCGAGGTATCGCGGCCTCGGTCGCCAAGTAAATCAAGGTAGTCATGATCACGTAAGATCAGCACCGGCCCAAGTTGATACCCGGCGCGAGCCGACTCGGACTTTTGTGCCCAGCATTTCGGCGAGCTCTCTTGGCATCGGCATCGTTTGCTTCAACCTTGTCGCAGGAAGCTGAAGCACTTGGCATGGGATCGTTGACAGAAGTCAGCTCGAATCTTCTCCCAGCTAGCTGAATCGGTGACTGACCTATGTGCACCCCCACCTTGCCCAGGCGATTCGAACCACGTTCGCTTACGAGCGCCAGGACGGAACCCGAGTCTACAAGGGCAAGGTCGAGCACTTTCTCATCGGTAACGCCCCCCATGGAGGCTATATCATCTCACTATGCACCAATGCGACGCAACAACACCAATCCTCGACTCCGCACCGTGATCCGGCGCATCTGACGGCCCAGTTCTTCTCGCCGTGTCAACCCGGCGCCGTCCAAGTCGAAGTCAAGACCTTGTCGGCTTCGAAGCGATGGACTCGACTCGACATCTCGTTGATGCAATACTCGAGGACAGATGATGTCGCTTCTTCACCGGTGGAGCGTGTTCGATTGACGTACCTCTACACCGACCTGCCGCACCCCGCCGAGTGGGGCTCCAGCCTCAACGGCGACAATCTCTCCGTCCTTCCCTGGAGTAAATCTCCCTTCGCTCGACCAACCCCGTTGGCACAACATCCCTCGGAACTCAAAGAAGCCATGATGTACCCCTCGTTTCAATTTAGGGACGTGGTAAAGTGGTCCGAACTCGTCCCCATCGGTCCCGAAGATTCGCCCGACCCTTCCTCGGCACCGTTCCAAAGAATGCATTCGGCCTTCTACTGGTCCCAAGTACACAAGGAAGATGACGTGACCAAGAACGTCGAGCTCGTCTCCTTTTTTGCAGACATGTTCATGAATGGTCCCGAGTTGATTCAGGGCGCTCATCAGGACGTCGGACGCAAGTATTGGTTCCCGACGATGACCTTGTCGCTCGATTTCAAGGCCAAGTTTCCTCTCGTGGGAGTTCCAGGCGCGCCGAGTGGGTCTTCGCCTTCGAAGTCGACGGTGGGGATCTACTTTGCGACCAAGTCCATCTCGGAAGGGCGGCATGACCAGACTGTGGAAGTGTGGACCAGTCCTGGAGGGATCGGGGAAGGCGACGCCAAGTTGGGTGGACCTGAGTGGAGGAGGGAGGCTCAACTCTTGGCAGTGTCGACTCAGGTGAGCATGGTCTTCTCGACTCGCTCTCAACTACGATCCTCGAGTCTGAGTCTCAGTTCATAGTGTCTGACACGAACGTCCTCCCGACCCTTCACAGCTCGCTCTGGTGATTCCATATAGTGTGAACGAGAAGATGGCAAACAGGAAGGATGATAAGAGTAGCAAGCTCTGAGTACTCTCGGCTTTGGGCCGTAGACTAGGAAGAGTTGACTGGATCATATATTGTCTCTACAGCGGAGTAAAGAGGTGCTGCAACTATACCTGGTGATTAGTGTCGATGGTCAGGAAGTGGGACGCTGCTGTTCTCTGGTGTGCTTGGTCTGCACCAAGGTTCCCTTCCAGAGCGTCATCGAGGTTCCTTCGGATGGGAATTTGAAAGCTTGCATCGCATGTGTACGTGTGAACAATAAAGGTGAATTTTGATGCGCTTCTATGCACTAGGGTCTTGCACGACGATCTATTGCGAGAGAATGGGGAAAAGCTTGACGCGTTAGCGACATCTGAGGAACGTGAAATGAGGAAGAGGTACGCACCAAGATGAATTCCGGATCTGTGGTAGGAGATTGAAGAAAAAAAAAGTGAGGTATGGTCAGCTCGAGCTTTGAGACGGCGATGAGGGTGAGGCAGAATGAATGAAGCTGACGGACCCGGGGTGACCATGATTTCATGTTTCTGCGTCCGTACGCGTAAGAATCTCAGATTGTCCTGTGGTCGAGGATCAATTCGACGAAAAACTGATGGTCAACACAAGCTCTCTACGAACGAAAGACCACTTGACCGTTGCGACGACGACTCACGTCCTGATCGACGGCTTTGACTTCCTCGGCGACGTTTTCGACCAGATTGTGGCCGAGCCGAGCATAGCTAAGCGCGAGTTGATCGTTGGTGCTGTGCGTCTCTTCTTCACCTGTACTTGTTTCGGAAGGTTGAGATGCGTCTTTCCCACCTGTATCGGCGGCGTTTGGGGTTGTTGTGGAAGGTCCGGCAGAAGAGGTGGACGAGGTGGAGGTAGGGAAGAGGGGTCCTGCGGTCCTGAGGATAATACCTAATGGCCGGCGCAGGATCATTACACCCTTGACATCTGCAGGGAAGCCACGAAGGTGAGTTGAGCGATCCCTATCTTATGGAGACCGGGCGGACCTTACTCTTGTTGGCTGTGAGGCGGGATAGGGTCGCATCGACTTGAGGAGGTACTTGCGTAGACGACGACTGCCGGCAAAGGGAAAAGCGGCATCGACAAGCTCAATCCGAGAGGTTCAGATATGTCAGATATTTCTGGCAGCTCTGGCTCACCATGCTTGAACGATGGTCGCTCGAAAAGGCCAGGTTGAGGTGGCATGTCAAGGAACGCGATTCGAGTGCACGGTCACGTGGCTCGACGCGCCTGCCGCTGCTCGCGCCAGCAGCCTGGCAGCTCGCGCCGGCGATTTGCACGGGCGAAATCGACCGACTGTTACACGCGCTGCTGCTCTTTGGCTTCCCCCACAGGGGCGCTCGAGACTGCGCATCACGTTCGCAGCAAGTCGGGGCAGAGCACACGGAAAAGGACGCCAAGGAGAAACGTCACGTAGGCGGCATGGCCGGCTCAGGAAGCATTACAGACTCGCCGGACGAGGCAGCACCGCGAGGCGCACGTCCACGCAGCAACCCACGCAGCAACCCACGCTCCTCTCAGCAGTCTCGGAGCTGCAGCTTCAGCACCGACCCATCCGGATGGGGCCTGTCGCAACCTCAGTCCAGCACATCTCCTCGAAAGCGCAGTCGAGGTGTCTCCAGACCGTCCACCCATCCCAAGTTCGTCATCGTCGGCGACAACAGCTCCGACGAAGACGACGACTACGACGATTCGGGCGACGACGACCGGCAAGAGCGAAATCGCGCTCGACGAGGCTCAAAAGCTGACTCATACAACCAGGGATCCTCGCAGAGTTCACCTCATCGTAGAGGCACGAGAAGGACCCAGCATAGGATCAACAGGTCAGTACTAGTCTGACCCTTTGCGCAGGGGATCACAATTTGCAAACGATCTTCGCTCCTGACCTAACGTGAATCCTCAGACCAATCGAGCCTGGCAAGCGCATCGAGGTGACGCTCATAGAAGCTAAAATCGACCCAAGTCACTTGCCAGCATCGATCGCCGACGAACGTGCCTCCTTCCAGCTCCCTCTCGAGTGCAAACTCTTGCTCGAGCCTTCGGATCCGACACCGGCTCGGCGCAAAAAATTGCTCCGGTTCCAGCGTCGGCCGATGCAAGATCAGATTGAGACCGACTCTGCGACCGAGCTAGACTGGATTCACGTAGTACCGGTACAACGTCGATTTGCGCATATCGCCTTTGAAAAGCGTTGGCCGCACTCGACTGCACGGCTCGCCTTCGATCTGGCCGGATCACAGTTCGCGCTCGACCTCCTCGACCCGGTCAAGGATGCTTGGCGCGCTTCGAGCGAAGCGGTTCTTGCATCCGAAACCGATGGTGCTTGGATCCAAGTGGCGTGGCGCGTCATGGACCTTACTTCCGACTTGAATGAGGAGACAAAGCCAATAGTCACAGATGGTCAGCTGCGGGAACGACTCGAAAGTGAATTGACAGCGGCGCACATCGACCTCCGCCGCGAGATCGCCCGACGCCATCTTCAGCTTGCTCGTGTGGATAATGATCAAGCTTCTTTACGGCGCACGAGTGAACCCTGCTCGGATTTTCGGCCGCCGCCTGGAGCGACCTTCAAGAAGACCAAGCCGATCCCGCTGAGCAAGTTCATCTACGATCCCCCACCGCCGTTCACGCACACGAGCTTCCTCTCCCACGCTATGCCGACGGATCTACCTCCTTTCGAGGTCGTACCACCCTGGAAATGTATCGCTCGACCGTCGGCTAATTTGACCGAGAAGGAGGTCGACCAACTTATTGCCGAGGTCATCGCGGAATATGCGAGAGCGAGACCGGACGAAGATTGTGAGCGCGTGCACATGGAAAGCTGGGTCAAGGCGTCGATCTTCAACGAGAACAGCTTCGAGAGGGTAGACCCCATGAGTGAGTGTCTGACTGGTCATGTTGCCCTGTTCCCAGTCGACGATACCAGCCGACGAACGATTTTCAAAATATCCTCCTAGGGCTTCGACGAGATTTTCAGGCGTTAAAAGGTGTAATGCAAGAAGTTGGAAGCGAAGCCGATGAGGTTCCTGGATCGGAGGACGTTCTTTACAATCGTCGCTTTCGTGCCCAAGGGGACCCCAAAGTCGGTCCGAAGTTGGCTCCGATCGTCGAGTTGTTCCAACAGCGCTTGGGCATCACACCCTGGGAGCTGCAGTCGCAGTGAGTAGCTCTCTGACGTCTCCTTTGGTTGCTGAAGTTGACGCCTGAGCGGATGTTTGGCGACTGTTATTAGAGCTCAATGTTTCACAACCGATCAAGTCATCCCCGAGTACGTATATCTTCTGTGAGTCGGGCTGGAGTCTCGCTGACTGGAGCTTTCATTCTGGGGTAGCCCACCGGTCGTGGAAATTTGCGAGCTATGCGGAGCGATCTCCTGTCGCGTTCATGAATGTAAGCCGACCCTTCTCTCTCTCGATCAAGGGAATGGTGAGGCCTCCTGGCTAAGCGCCGATACCGTTCTCATCGTTTGCAGGGTTCTTGGAGGCTCCCAACGTCCCGACCGCACACAGCGCCAGGCCTCCGCTCGCGCCGCCGGAGGACGCACAGGCTAGTGACTGCGGGACCCACTGTCACAAACGGCCCGAAAATAATGAGCATGTGAGAAACAGCTACATGTCTCGTTGCTGCTCACCTCCAATGCTCGTGCTGACCCAAGCTGTTCGTCAACAGGTGGAGCGCTACCTCAACGACGCCTCCGCGAGGGACCTTGCGACCTTCAAGTGCTACCTCGATGAACAACCCAAGGTCCCTTCGTGCATCCTCGCCAGTATCACCAAGAGGAACTGCTTCGAAGTCGAAAGCATACGTCGTCAACTCGGGCGGACCAATGATCCGATCGAGGCCGAGCCCGAGGTCGCGCCAGTCCGACAGCCACTCCGGCGGCTGAAGGCAAAACCTCTACCCGTGGGTAACACCCGAGGCTACGAGCCGTGTGGGTGCGATGGGCCCTGTCAGGGAACGACCATGACCAATGCGACAGTTCCTGGAGGTGGAGGGAGAACGGCGAAGAATGATAGGACAACTTGCGAATGCGTCAAGTCGGGGACGTGGTGCGATCGCTTTTGCGGTTGTCACGAGCTATGTAAGTCCTCGGCGCTGGCTGAGAGTGCGAGAACGTATACATGTGGCATGGTTCTGAATGCTGATCAATAATCTTGCAACCCGACTCTTCACTCGATTGTTCATTTCAGGTGCTCGACGCTTCCCCGGCTGCCTTTGTCGCCTCTCGCCCACCTTCGTTCGATGCGTACGCGAGGACTGCGAATGTCTTAAAGAGAATCGCGAGTGCGATCCTCATCTATGTGCCAGATTCGATGGACCCGATGTAGCGAGCGGGACGAATGATCAAATTCGCTACAAGAAGCTCAAGCGCACGGCGATTGTACGCTCGACCCTACCAGGGGCTGGCTTTGGGTCAGTATCGTCGATTCGCTTAGCTCAGATTCGTGGGGATATAGGCCTGACGTCGGTGATCCGTTCGATGATGACCAGTGTCGAGCTGCTAGAGGATGCATCGGCAGGCGATTTGATTGGTCTCTACGGAGGCGAGATGTTCGACGTTGAGGAGTCACCTGCGTTGATCCGACAGTACGTCTGCCGGCCTCTGTTCCTTCTCAGGCGTGTTGCTTACTGACAGCTTTTCGATCATTTGCTCACCCACCCATAGCCAACTTCAAGAAGGAGCTCGAGCAGGTTATTGGTTCGACGTCGACACGTTGCATGTAATCGACCCACTCGCGTCCGGCAACCACATGCGCTACATCAACGACTTGGGAACCTGGAACTGCGAAGCCAGATGTCCGCCGAATTGACTGGTTCCGTATCACCCAAGTTTGAGCTGCAAATCACTGATGTTTCATGTGTTGTTTTGGACAGGGGTTTACATCGACGGGACGCACCAGCTGGGCTTTTACGCCCGGGTCGACCTCAAGAAAGGCGATGAGATCTCGCTTGATTACGGACCTACGTATTGGGGTAAAAATGGTGGCTTGCAGCAGAAGAAGAAGACGGCTAGTGGGGTTAAGCAACACGAGGGGAAGGACAATGGAAAGGCTAAGGGCAAGGGCAAGGAGAGGGAGAGACTTGATGTGCCCGAAGGAGATGCGTGAGGTGGTGTGAACTTGATCGAAAAGGTTTTCCGGGAGGTCAGACGCAACAGAGATATCGGAGCTTCTGCCTAAGCTCGAGATGCTGCAGACTCCGCTCACATCCTACAAGGAAACGACAAGACGGAAGATGCAATTCACGATTAGAGGGAAGCGCGTCCGAGAACGAGTCCGAGGCCGAGTCTGTTGATCAGGGCAGGTCGTGGCAATCTATGCCCCGAGACCTGCCTGCTCGGAGCGGAGCACGTTGGTGGTCCTGCGCCACCCCGAACATCAGCAATTTCAATGTGTCTAGATAACAGTGAGACAATGCGCATTATTCTGTACTGCTCGTGTCTTCTTCAAATGCGCCAACTGGCCAAGAGAGAGCGGGAACGTTGGGACTGGAGTCGTTGACAAGATGTGCGCGGCCACTGGCAGTTCAGGGGCAGGGTGACGTGGCGTGCGACTGGCCCGCGGAACGTCCGGAGCGCGATCAAGCGCGATTGGGGCTGCGAGCGCCAATTGCGCTGGGAGACGCTTTCACTCTGCACTTCCTAGTCCGAGGTCGCTGTATTCCAACCATGTCAGTACCTCTCTTCTGGTACAGAGGCCGAAGATAGTCTTTTCTTCCTGCTGACGATGCTTCCGACGTCTCTACATCTGCACATCTTCCCATCTTCCCATCTACACATCTTCCCATCTGCCCACCCCCTCTGTGCATCTCTCCCCACGCCCGGCGGTTGCTTCCCCTCGACCGACCGGACCTCGAACCCTCCCTATCCGCACAGGCCCGCCCCTTCTTTTGACGCCAATGCTGGTGTCAAGATCACCAGCCGCGCCGCGATCGCCAACGCGCCGTTCCCGATCGAGTCCAATGGCAGTTTCTCCAACCTGACCCTCGCGGCGATCGTGCTGCTCGCGCCCTATCTCGTCGCGCGCTGGGTCCCCTTGCTGCCGACCAAATGGTCCTACTACCTCCTATTCCTCCCCGTCGGGCTCGCGTCCGTGCTTGGCTACTGGATGCTCATGAGTCGTATCGGCGGTAAGAAGCGCGACTATGGCACCCGGTTGCCCGGCAAGCCGCTCGAGTACTACGTCGAGATCAAGGATGCCAAGCTGGCCCAAAAATACTCTGGAGGCAGGGCCAAGATCCCCGTTCAGACCTTTTACGACGCCTACTTTGCCGGAAAAATCGACCTCAAGGGTCAGTTCATGGCGACGCTTGCGGGGGAAACCTTATCTTGATCGACCGAGGAAAATCGTGGTACTGACGAGGCCGTCTGAAAATTGATGCATTCGATGCTGCAGGTGACATGCTCGAATTGCTCGAGCAGCGCCATGACTGGGCCTCGTTCGAGTTCACGTGGGACTTGTTGAAATACGTCTTGACCGTGCTCATCCCCGACGTCGTCTGGCACTCACCTTCCCAAGACGAGGAGCAAGTTCGCGACCACTACGACAGAGGAGATGACTTCTGTGAGCATATAGTCTGGGAATGATGTGCAGACGAGTTCCAAAGGAGGCTGACACGACGAATCGTGTCGCGCCGTATTCCCCACCGGCCCACAGACAGCTGGTGAGTACCCACTGTCCTTCGCGAAATTCAAGATCAGGTCCATTGGCTGACACGCTGTGCGATCTATGCATAGGTTCTTGGGACCCCGAATGATCTACACGTCCGGTGTCATTAACGATATTGACCGCAAGGAGACGCTCGAGGAGCTGCAAGACAACAAGCTCGCGCTCGTCTGCCATAAGCTCGAACTCAAGCCCACCGATACCCTTCTCGACATTGGTTGCGGATGGGGCACGCTCGTTACCTATGCGGCCAAGAACTTTGGCTGTGACGCCACGGGAGTCACACTCGGCAAGAACCAGACCAAGTTCGGCAACAAGCGCATCGCCGACAACGGCTGCGACGCCAGCCGCGCCCGCATTTTGTGCAAGGACTACCGCGAAATCGGCGTCGACAAGAAGTTCAGCAAGATCGTTTCGCTGGAGATGGCTGAGGTATGTTATCCTGATGCCGAACTGGACTGGCCTATGCGGCACGCGCCCTTGTGCACCACATCAGATCCAGACTTGCTGACGATTGAGCCATCCTCAACGATACAGCACGTCGGCATTCGCAACTACAACTCCTTCTTGCGCCAAGTCTACAATTTGCTTGAGGATGACGGTATTCTCGTCTTCCAGGTTGCTGGTATCCGCCCCCATTGGCAATACGAGGATCTCATCTGGTCAGTCTAGGGTCGCGACGTGGAATGGGCTCGCAGTCTTTTCGAATCGACGTATTCGAGGGCCGAACCGGGTTGTAATTGCTGAGTATCCCACTGAGCACATACATGTATTACTTTCAGGGGTCTTTTCATGAATAAGTACGTTTTCCCCGGAGCCGACGCGTCGTGCGCCCTCAACTGGGTCATCGGTCGCCTCGAGGGTGCTGGCTTCGAAATAAAGTCGGTCGATGTGCTCGGTGTCCACTGTGAGTTTCCCCGTGATTTCGTCACGATACCGAAGTGAAGCTGTTTGAATTGAAGGTTAACGATTGTCCTTTTGACTCCTTTAGACTCTGCGACTTTGCACCGCTGGTACGAGAACTGGATGCAGAACCGGGATGCCGTCACCGCCAAGTATGGCGACCGATGGTACCGAGTGAGTATTTTAACATCCGTGTCCTCCGTGGTCTCCGTGCCATTTCGGAGGATATCATAAGGTCAATCATAAAGTCAGTTGCCGGGCTACTGACACTGGTCTTGTGGTTCGCGCGCAGATTTGGCTGTATTTCCTGGCGTCCGCAGTGATCACGTCTCGGTACGGCCCGTCTTGCCGACCCAGCTTCCCCGGATTTTCCGCTGACCCAAACTCCCCTTGTTTCCCCTTGCGTAACGCATTCTATTTCGATCCCGCAGCCAAGGAGGAGCTTCGGTCTTCCAGATCAGCGCACACAAAAACCTTAACTCTTATCACCGTGTCGAGGTACGCACCATTTCCCCAGCTTCTGACTTCGCACTCTTCCCGCGGGAAGCGCTCCCGTCCCCGGATATTTAGGGCTGGCTGGCTGACCATCTCTCGTCTCTGCCGCGTCGCTACCGCCTCTACCCACGTGACTTCCGAATCACAGGCTATCCCTTCGCACACGTCGTTGTTCTTCAAGCCCGCCAAGGAGCCTTCGTGAGTGCATCGACGTTCGCATGTGGTCGGTTCGATCACTGGCTGACCTTGATTCCCGTTGTTCGCGCGCCGTCTCATCATTGCAGGCTTGTCGAATAAACTTGCGCGTGACACCAAACGCCATTCACCTCCACTGCACCAATCTCTACTCTCCGATTCCTCATTTCTGCCAACCCCACAAAATGTTCTCACCATAGATCCAAACGGACACTACATTCACGCTCCTTTCCTCCCGCAACAGCAGCCGCCGAAAGCTCGGTGTCATTGCATCCTGTGAATCGTGCCTCAAACTTGCTATGCTGTTGAAATGGAGATCATCTTATTTCCGGACATTGAGTTGGACATGATTCATGTTGCTCTCGTGCTCGTGCAGCAGAAACAGGTGCCATCGATATCAACTACAGTCAGACCTGAGAAAATTTATATTTTCGGTGGACGGATTTTCCCATAAATTAAGACAGGTATAAGCTTGGAGAGTGCGGCTTCAGATCACTACATTATGACCTGAAACTCCGTTTTTGAGCTTCCTATGTCAAATCAAGAATTTTCGTGCATCGTTTGAGTCGATACATTGACTTTTGAGGGGGAGGAAATTCATAAGGCCCGAATTATTGAATTGCAGCCAATGTACGGCCTCTACTGAGGCATGATGACATCTAATAAGTTTTGAAAGCTCCAAGAAACAATATCTTGACCTACTGACGCTGGAAATACGAAGTCACTGTCGTCTGAATCCTCGCAGCATCCTGCTCGGCAACAAGAGTCCTGCGAATCCTCCTAGCCTCGTCCTCAAAAGAAATCAAATCCGTTGGACCTGAGTATCCATTCATAGCAAACGTAAGGAAAACATCAAGCGCTGAGATTGCCTCCTGCAGCGTCGTTCGCTCCGCCGGTCGGAGCTCTATCTCCGCTTCCTCCTCTCCTCCTTCTCCCTCGCAATTCTCTTTCAACTCTTCGGCAATGACCAGGTCCACAATCTCCTGATCGGTCATTTCCGCCCCACCAGCAAGGTTCTCCTCCACATCGACGAGAAAGTGGATACTCATCTTCTCGTTGCTCGTAACTATGCCCTTTTCGACCAGCTTATCGTTCGCCGTCTTCAGAGCGTTCATCGCGTTGATGATGCCGCGATCGCCATTGAGAGGCCCGCCACCGTTGGGAAGAGGTGTATGGTCGGTCAATCCTTTGTTCTTGCGATCAGACAAGATTTGAGCGTGGCGCCAGCAGTTGGCAATCGTCTCGGGGCGGATGTCGTTCCACGCCTCATGTCTCGCAATGATGCGAGTCTTATTCATCTTGACACCATTTCGACCGTTCCGAGCAAGGCCCGTAGACGGACGCATAGCGTAGAAGAGACCGGTTTCGTCCATGTTGAAGATGTCACTTGGGTCGTACCTGTTCGTAAAATTGACAACCGCCGCCTTTGCTCTCCTGTGCTCGCTTCTCGGCTGTTTCGGGGCATTTCGGACTCTTCCAGCAGGCGGCTCGTCAACAAGAACGCCGAAGGAGAGGCCAATTCCTGATCAATCGCTCATTTCCGGCTCTCTCTTATCTTATAATTTGACCTGTAAACCCATAAATTATAAGGTATAAGATTTGACAGGTTCTGTCAGCCAAAAAAGTCGGGAGATTGAAAAGTCCATAAATTTTGACAGGTATAAGATTGGGCGATATAAATTTTCTCAGGTCTGACTGTACATAGCAACGAACCCCCAACCCCCCCCCCCCCCCCCCAAACCGGACGTTTGAGGAGCGAGGTAGCGTCTGACTCCTATACAGTGATGTTTGCTCCCTAGTTACTACACAATGAATTCTCACGACCTTATTGAACCATCAGAGTCGGATCCCAGCCTCTCAACGCTTCTAACGGCTGTCCGGCGGTGCCAGAAAGATTTTGACGTCGGGCCGTGGGGGATGACAGCACCTAGTCCGACACCAAGCGAAGGTGGCCGGGCACGACGACATTGCGCTGGGATCGACCATTTTCTGTTTAAAAAAACCTGAAAAACATGACTAATAGTAGTGTACATATATCAAAGCCTACAAGAGTCGGAAAGGTCGCGGGAGTCAGGCACATGTCTGGCCACTTTTTCCTTCCGGATGTAGTCGACTTTTCCAAAAAATATTCAATTTTTGAAAGCAGACTGAAGCAGATGTCATTATTGAAAGCTCCGGGCCAAAAGATATTTTTAGGAGGCAGCGGGAAGTTCCCCAACTATGTACTAATTAAGTGATGGCGGCAGCACCGGTGCTCACTGGACACCGTTTTGAAAAGCGACTCCGTGACGTACTTTTGTAACCAGAAAAAGCCAACTGTCGCTGTGATTGTCTGCTTGCAAAAATCATTGACCGCGGTGAACAGGCACGATGAGCCCGTGGATGTGTTGGACTTGCTATAATTGAATTCGCCGGCTCGCGAGTACGGAATCTAATGCCAAGGCGAACCAATCGACGATCGTAAGTCCCTCCGAGTGGATCGCCGCGCTCTGGAGCCGCGCGCCCCATTGCGAGCGCTTCTCGGTGCTTTTTCCGGTCCGTTATGCCTCGCCGCTCACCAGTTGGCTTGCTCCTCTCAGCGGGGAATCATTTCATCGGCCCGCCCATCCAGAGGAAAAGCAATGGGAGATTCAACAGCCGAAAGTCTCCTCTTGGGTCGGACTTCAGGCTTTCTCTTTCTTCTCCTTCTTCCGTTCCTTACCTTTGACTTGCTCTTCGATCTCGTCTCGCGACGAAGCGTTCAGGTTCGACTCCCGGTTCGCTTCTCGCGCACGCGCCCGCACTTTGACCCCTCTCGCTCCCAGCTCGCTCTTCACAACGACTCCCCTTCCCCTACCTCACCCACTTGCTCCAACAATGGCTGGCAGTGGCTCTGTTACCGGCGTCAAGGCTGCTGGACCCGATGTCTCGAAGCGACAACAATACTTTGCCTTTGGACTCGTTACCTCCCTCTTCTTCCTGTGAGTATGCTTCGGTAGGGCTCGCTGACGATGCCGAACGAACAGCTCCTGACCGAGACGCGCTCTCGTCCTGGTCCGATTCTCTACAGCTGGGGGTTCTCTTACGGTCTCCTCGATGTGTGAGTATGACTCAAAAGGCTTTTCCGGGTAGATCTTATTTCGAAAAGCTGACCTTCAGATTGTATGCCACGCCACGCAGCCTTAACAAGCATTTCCAGACATTCTTCGGCATCACCAAGCTCCAGTCGACGATGATTCAGGTCGCCTACTTCGGTGCCTACGTTGTCTACTCACCCGTTTGCGGTCAATTCATCTCCAAATTTGGCTACAAGAAAGGTATCTACATGGGTCTTGGGCTCTACTGCATCGGCGCGCTCGGTTTCTGGCCCTCGGCCAAGTTCCAGAAGTACGGTGGCTTCGTCGCGTCGGCTTTCATCATCGCGTGCGGTCTCGCCACACTCGAAGTCTGCGCCAACTCTTACGTCACCGTCCTCGGCTCGCCTGAACAAGCCGCTTTCCGCCTCAACTTCTCGCAATCTTTCAATGGTCTGGCGTCGTTCGTGGGCCCATTGATCGCGTCTAAGTTTTTCTTCGGCGACGAGAAGGCGCAGAACTCGCTCGGCGCCGTCCAGTGGGTGTACCTCGCCGTCGCCTGCATGGGTGCTTCCGTCATGGTCCTCTTCTCCTTCGCGACGCTTCCCGAGATATCTGAAAATGACATGAGTGAGCAGCAAGCCGCCGCCGGTTACGTCGATGACCGACCACTCTACAAGCGCCGCCACACCGTCTTCGGCTTCCTCACGCAGTGGATGTACGTCGGTGCCCAGGTCAACGTCGCGACCTTCGCCATCAATTACCTCACCGACAAGAACGACTTCACAACCTCGCGCGCCTCGCAGCTCTTCGGATTCATGCAAATCACCTTCATGGTTGGTCGCTTCGCCTCGACCCCTCTGTTGCGCATCTTCAACCCTGCCACTATCTTGGCTGTGTACGGTGCGATGTGCTCCATCTTCACGCTCATCGCAACGCTCAAGGGTGGCAAGACCGGTCTCGCTTGCTTGTTCATCGTCTTCTTCTTCGAGTCGGTGTGCTACCCGACGACTTTCACCCTGGCGACGTGCAACCTCGGCAAGTGGACCAAGCGAGGTGGTTCGCTCATCGTGATGGGTGTAGGTGGAGGAGCCATGTTCCCCCCGATACAAGGCGCGATAGCCGATCACAAGGGTACCCAAGTTTCCTATATTATTCCTTTCATTGGGTTCCTCTGCGTCTTTGCGTACGGTCTCGGCATGCGCTGGTACCTGGCCAAGTTCGACAACCTCGTTCCTAACCTCGATACGGCGATCCCGATGCTCGGCCGCATCGACTCTGACAAGGCGTCGACCGAAGTGAAGGCCGAACCAACTGAATTTCGTCTATAGACGCCTCCCAACTTTGTCCGCTTTTTCTGGGTGTCCATTTCTGTCTCTCATTTTATATAGTAGTTTTCCGAGGTCTCGGGCGTCGGTGTCATTTTCTCGGATGAGTCAGACGTGGTCGGGTCTTTCCGGCCGGGCAGACCGGACCGTTACCACGTAGTGTGAGCTGCTTTTGGCGCCCTCGAAGCATGGGGCATGTTCATAAAACAAAAGGCATTCAAGTTGCCCGCATACAGTTCAAGAGAGATAGTTTCTTGGACCTATAAGCTGAAAAACCGAGACAGCGCCTCGACGGGGACCGTGCGAGAGACTGGCGCGTTTCAAGGTGTGCCAGCGAGCTGTCTCGTCTTGGCCTTGACCCCACCCCACCCCACACACTCTAAGCATGCCTGCAGTACGTACCTATCTGCCTGACTCTAAACGCGTCTGTCTGTACACAAAGCTGAGCTTGCTCCCCTGCACCACTGCCCGTCGACCCCCGACCGCGACCACGTCCAACCCCACGTCCAACCTACGCCCCGACCAGAACCTGTACCTGCAGCAGATCACCTGCGTTCTGCTGATCGACAGCGACTCGAACCGATTGTTGGCCAAGTACTACCAGCCGGCGCAGATGGATGCCAAGGCGCCAGCGCCGTCGGGCTCGACCAAGCACGCGTTGCATTCGCTCAAGGACCAGAGAGCGTTCGAGCAGGCCATCTGGGACAAGACACGTCGAGCGAGTGGTCAGTTCCCCGTCGATCACGGTCTGCCAGCTGAAGAGTGCGACTGTGCTGATACAGGTACGCAACGTGCTCCCGCAGGCGACATCCTGCTGTACAACAACCACCTCGTCCTGTACAAGCCTTCGATCGACCTCACCTTTTACGTGGTCGGCCCCGAGGGCGAGAACGAGTTGATGCTGCAGGGCGTACTCAACGCCTTCTACGACGCCGTATCGCTCTTGCTTAGACACCAGGTCGAGAAACGTGCCATCCTCGAGAATTTGGATTTGGTCGTCCTTGCTTTGGACGAGACGGTCGACAACGGGTACGTGGCCGCGCGCCGAAAGGTCCCTCAGGGGGCTTCCTAACCTTCCTTTCGGCGGCAACGAGCAACGAGCGCCACGAACCATCACGATGCTGACAGTCAACTCTGTCTTGTGTTTCTTCGCAGAATCATCTTGGAAACGGATGCGATCGCCATCGCCTCGCGCGTGTCCCGACCACGACCCGACGCCGGCGTGAACCTCAGCGACATCACGCTCAACGAACAGACGCTCCTGGCCGCCTTTTCGAGCGTCAGGGATCGGCTGGGTCAGCGTATTCTGTCATGATTGGCGGTGTGGGGTGCAGTGTTCGCTTTCGTACGCCGAGGGGCGACATTTTCCCACCGGCGCGTGTAGGCCGGGGATGGGCCTGTCTGCACAAACGAAAAGGTTCTCTGTGGATAAGGAGCCATATGTGTGTAATTCTACCTCCCGATATGATGTAAACGATGTGGGGCAGTCGATGTCATCATGGACGCGTGCCTGGCCGGTCCGCACTCGCCAGCAGTCGCCAGCCTGAGCACTCGCCGATCATCTTAATAAGAGTCGCCCCCACACTGCCCACACTGGGCTTTCGCAACCGGCAACCGGCTCCGCTCCTCTCCTCGGCTTGCTTCGATCCCACGCCCTTCCTTCTCCGCCCAAGACCCGACCCATTGAATGGCATCAACTTCCTCCAACCCGATCCCACCCGAAGCCGGGTTCCCTCCTCTGACCAAAGCAGATGTGATCGCCTGTGCGTTCTCGTCCTGGTACCCGACCTTTCGACGGCACTCTCCCAAAGCGACGGTGATCGCGCCTCTTTCGGACGAGTTCATCGATTACCTGCAGAGCGATGGCGTGTTCTTGCCCGAGGGGAGTGGGCCTATGGGGTTAGTCGCGCAAAGAATGATCAAGTCGAGGTGCTTTTAGCGATCGTGTGCTGATCGAGTCAACTACATCAACCCCCTGTCCCCGATGTCCGGAACAATTCGCGCACTCTCGACACCCCACGAACTCGAATCAATCTCCAATCCTACAGGATCAGCGAATTGAGCGATTCGGAAGACGACGAATCAGCGAATGGGACCGAATCCAGTGACGATCAGTCCTGGCAGGTCAGCTTCCCCAAACTCGACAGCGAGATTCGCGACGTCCTCTTCAAGTACGACGGGGCCGCGTTCCCCAAATTGAATTGGTCGTCTCCGAGGGTGAGTCCTGTTGGTTGGTTTCAGGCTACGGAAAAAGAACTCGAAAATTTGACTTCTCCGTTCATTTTGTTTAGGACGCCGCGTGGATGCTACCCGGACAGAATCTTAAATGCCAGACCCCGGCCGACGTCTACCTTTTGCTCAAATCGTCCGATTTTATCACCCATGATCTGGATCACGCTTTCGATCTATGTGTCGAGCAAACACCTTCAACGCTTCCGGACTCATCGGTGGGACCGGTGGAAGGGCTGGCTGAGGGTGCAGGGGGTTTGACTCTGAGCGACGACGAGACGGACGAAGATTCGGACGAGAAGCGCGAGGGACGACGGATACGGAGTAGGAGACCTCCTTCGTTGTATCCTTTCGAACTCGTGCTGAAGAAGTGGTACGACATTCCGAGGTCGCAGGAGTGGAGGTGTTTTGTGCGGGACAAGCAATTGATTGGTGAGTGGAGTGGTTCGAGCAGACTCGCGGAGGAAGAGATGATCGGTTCTTGCTCATCACGATACGTTACAATATGTGGACCCATCATACAGCTATTTCGCAGCGAGACACGAACTACTACGACTTTCTGCAACCCGACTCCGTCACGGAGGAACTCGAGGACCAAATCTCGGACTTTTTCGAAAAGGAAATCCAGCCCGTTTTCCCGTCTACGAATTGTGAGTTGCCCACGACTCGCACAACAAACGTCAAGGGTTGCTGATTCAATTACCTAATATGACAATGAAAGATGTTTTTGATCTATACCTGACCCGAGCTCGCGATCGGTTCTTTATCCTCGACTTCAACCCTTACTCGAGCACGACCGACGCGCTCCTGTTCACCTGGTCCGAACTAAACGAAATCGTCATCCCCACCTCCGATGCCTCTCGTACATCGACCCTTCCCGAGATACGCATTGTCACCTCCGCAGCCATGTTAGCGAACCAAGCCTTGCCGGCTTTTTCCCACAACCGGTACCCCAAGGATGTCGTCGAATTGAGCGACGGGGCGAGTATTGCCGAGTTTGCCAAAGAATGGGCGGCGAGGTTGGAGGAGGGCGTTTTGGATGGGTTGAAACAGGACGAGGACGGACGCGACGAGGTGGAGGAGTTGGCGGGTCGGTGATTCCTTTGATGTGCGGTGCTTGGTTTTGGCCTGTAGCCGAGGGCATTGAGTCAGTGAGAATGAGAATTTGAATCTGAATTCCAGCTAGTCTACAAAGAGAGACGACCCTTATCGGGCGCTGGTGAGAGGTGGTCAATTTTCGCCTGCCGATGAGCTGAATGAACACATTCAGCGATGTATAATAAAACACGGTCTTCGACTTGGTAGATTCTAGTACCATCGACCTTTTTTATTCACTGTGCGTACCGCTTACAAGTCCGGCGAGAAATCGCTGTATGGGACTGCAACTTTTCGCCAACGATTGTATTTGTAACGTTCGTCGCTCGAGGTCGCTCCTGGTCGCTCGAGCGCGTCGCTCCCTAATAGCAGTGTGAGCCGGCTCGTCCCTTCGCCTCCGACTATCATCGCATCGACCGGGTGCGCGCCCAAGCCACGATGGCAGACCGGTCACCGTACGGGAAGCCACAGACGCTGGCGAACCGCATGAGCTCCAATGCCGGCGAGACGTCGTACCATTTCCAAGTGCGACCCAAAGTGTACCATCAACAACCATCGGTGCCTCGCAGCGTCGGGGCCTCGGCGGGTAACCTGAGCTTGGGCAACCACTCGGTCGATGGGCGACTCGCACGCCCTGCGTCGTCAACCCAGCCTACCTCGATCGCCGCCACGCCAGGCTCAGCGTTCAGCAAGTCGAGCACCTCGATCGTGCATCGACTGGACGACTTCCAGCCCAACGAAGGCACCATACGCACGAGCGCGCCTCCGCGTATCGTCTCCGCCGCCGCCCCCTCGACCTCCCACACAGCGGGCTCAGGCTCGGGCTCGGGCTCAGGCGCAGGCTCAGGCGCAGGCTCAGCTTCAGCGTCGACATCGACCTTGAGCTCCTACAACGATTCGGCACCGTTGCAAATTGCGAGACCGCGTAACCCGGGTGCCAACTACAAGACAAACCTCGCCGGTGGATGGAACGACTCGGCTGTACCCCGCGCGCTCATCTCGATCAACGGCAACGCCAATGGCGGCAGCAGCGGTAGTCTGCTCGACCGGGTCACCGGTGGCCCCGGAGCAGCCTCGCCATCTCGTACGAACAGCAACGCCAACGGCAATGGCACCGATGCGGGTGGTCTGGCTAATCGGATAGGCACGTCGAGGTACTCGCCCACGTCCGAGCGGCGCAGTCGTCCCTCGTCCCCCCATCGCGCGTCGTCGATCCCGCTCAAAGACCGCATGCCCTCGATCAGCCACGACCGAGCGCCTTCGAACCAGTCATCTCGCGGCCCGACACCACCGCTTCCCCTCACGCACAATCCACCGGGCGCGACGACGGCGACGACGACAAGCACCTCCTCGACATTGCGCGATCGTCTTGCCGCCTCCATCTCCTCCAGCAAGGCCGATCGTCGCGACGACGAGGATTACGTTGATCGACGCTGTCGCAGCCTGCTCGAGCGACACTCGGAGCTTGACAGCATCAACCCGCATCGCCTGCGCGTCGTGACCGTGTCGAATCTACCCCCAAATGTGTCGCGTGATGATGTTTACGTCAACATGGAGCTTTACGGTGACATTGACTGCCTCTCTATCAACTCTGACCACGCTCAGCCCGGCCAGCAGCAGTTCAAATCCGCCGACGTCCGCTTCAAGCACGCCGACGATGCGGCCTGCGCAGTCAAGATCGGCAACATGAGCCGCTTCTGGGTCAGGTCAGCCACCAGTCAGTTCTACAAGATTGTCAAAGTGACCTTCATGAAACCCGCTCCTCCCGGTGGTTCATCTACCTCCTCGTCCCTGCCACCTAAATCGGCCGTCTCGAGCTCGGCGACGGCGACGGCCCCAAATCGCAAGAGCACCTCGTCAGCGCCTACAAGTGCTCCACCACTCGTCCCGACTGAACCAGCTGCGTCAAAACCGATCTCTGCGACCGCGCGTGCTCCCGAGACTGCCCCTGCTGTGGTCGGTCAAGGGAGCCTCGCATCCGCGTCGGCCCCCTCTCGTCCTTTAGCACCAAAGCCCGCGGTCGCTCGGTCCAGTCGCCGCTCATCTTCGGGAACACCGCCGCTCCCCAGTGGTGACCAAATAACGACTCCAGCACGACCTGCATCGGCTCTGCCTCTTCCTTCGCAACCCGCGGTGACGGTACCCCCTGGGCTATCGGCGCCTGCCCCTGTTGTACCGCCGTCCGTCGCTCGGTCGGTGATCGATCCCCAGCATCCGAGGATTGTGTTCCCGTTCTCCAAATTTCCGCCTCAATCTGGGTCCACAAACCCCTTCTCCAGTGCGCCAACTTCATCCAGTATGGCCGAGCCCGCTGCCTCAAAAGGAGGCGCTGGCGCACCGTCGGCATCCGCGAATGGCGCGACTTCCGCTCCGAGTGCTCCTGAGACGCCTCAAACTACGGTGAGCTCCACTCCTGCACCGGTGAGCACAGCTGCTGCTGCGATTCCGGAGCCGACTCCTGCATCCGCGACCTCGAATCCGGCGCCTTCACCTGTCGCCGAGCCACAACCGAGCCAGCTGGACAAATTTACCGTATGCGGCCACGACTTTGTCAAAGCCGCGGTGCCACCCGGAGCTGCTGCTGTGTTGCCCAAAACAGCCACCCTTGCTTTCAGCTCTCCCACGTACAAGAACACGCATACCTCGATCGGATCCAAAATCGGCAACGGCATCTCGCTCCATCTCTCGCAGTGCGGATTCGTCGTCATGCGCATCTCGTGGTGGCGCGACGTGAAGGCCCCGAAGCCCGGTCAAGGCCTGATGATTGCCCAAATCGTACCCAAGTCGGCACCGGACCAGATTATGAGAATGGCGAGCGCTGCGTTCAACAATGCCAACAGTGCTCCGCCCGCTGGGATCCCTATAGCGGTACCTTCAAACTCCAGCAAACGGCCTCGCGATGAACCTCGAACTGGTGGCTTGGCGTCTTCGACTGTTTCGAAATCGACCGCTGTCACCAGCAGCGACAAGCGAGCTCGAATAGGCCCTGCACCCATGGCTCCAGCGACACCCGTCGAGGATGTGCCGATGATCACTCTCGACGACGACGTTCGTATTGTGCGCATTGAGCTACCCGAATCGGCGCGTGGTCCGACTCCCGCCGCTACCAAGGCACGCAAGGTGCTGCGCAAGCAGCATACGAAGAGGATCAATTCGGAGGGGACGATCGTCTTGAGCGCTGTGTGAGTTCCCACCACAGCGGGGATCCGAGCTAGCTGGCCCAGTACTGACAAGGACCACTTTCCATCACAGCTTCAAGGGCGATGTGCTCGAGATCGCGTACGAAGTCGATGATGACGACGAGGAGGAGGTGGAGGGCGATGTAGCGCAACCATCGGCAGCCAGTGCGACCCCGCAACAACCCGCCCCTGCGGTCCTTGCGACCAGAAGGGAGTCGTCCGTCAGTAACGTCGATGAGGATATCAAGCCCGATAAGAACGCTCTTTCCCGCGTCGACCCAAATGACGAAGAGTTGGATATGATCATGTCTGAACCAGAGATACCCGAGCCCGACCCCGTCTACTTCCCTCGCGAGATCAGGGTGGTCTGCACCGCCGACTCGATCGAGACTCAAAAGGCCGTTGAGAGCTTCATCGACGATTTCTTCACACGCTTCGACTCGGATCGCGTCTCACTGCAGTACCTCTACCACCTCGAAAGCGCGTTCTCGGTTCGCGTTGTGCCGAATGTCCCGCCTCGCATGCAAGGGATGTACGAGCACGTGCATCCGTTCCAGCGCAAGTTCATGGTCGCGGCGGGCAAGACCTACCTCACCCCGACCGCCATCGCCAATGCGATCGTCAAGCTGCCGGCCGGGTCCCACGACATTGGGAACCTCATCTACGACGCGCGTGTCGTCAGTGATCTCCGACGTGGTCTGCCGCCGAGTCGGCTCGTTCCCATCGTCCTGCATCTGCATGGAACGTTCGAAGAGTTCCCCGAGCACATTGTGCGTAAGATCACTCGCACATTCGTCCTCGTCCCTCGTGACGCCAGCACCGGCGGGCTCAACATGCAGCGGTCGCCGTACGTCATCAAGACGGATCAGCTCGTCTTCTCGCACTACGACCCCAAAGCGCCGACGCAGCTCCTCGTCGACCCTGCTCAAGGTCCCTTCGTCAAGAACCAAGGGCAAGGGAGCGGCTCGCCGAAGAAGAAGCGGGTCAGCGAGACCGCGAACACCGGCCCGCCTTCGATGGGAAACGCTCCCATCTCGCAGGTGCCTTCGTTCCGCAAGCAAACCCCTCTGCAACCACTCGCGCAAGCGCCAGTCCCAGGTCCAGAACCACCTGTCCCCGTGGCTTCCGACACTGGTGGCTCTGAGTCGGTCGAGCCCAACAATGCTCCCGTTCCGCAAGCCGGCCCTTCCAACCCTACCCCCGCACCTGCCCCGGGGCTCGCTCCTTCCCTCTTCAGCGCTCGCACGACTCCTGCTCGGGCGAACCCTGATGTGCTCGTCATCTCGGACTCGTCCGACGATTCCGACTCGGGCAGTGATGCCGCCAGCTCGGGCACGCCAGAACCAGTATCTCGACCCCGCGTACCTGTGCACTCGCCGCCGAACCCACTTCAGGGACTTCCGCCCCCGATCCTGCGCCCTCGAGGTACATCCGAGTCTTCTTCCTCTTCTCGACAAGAATCGATGCCTGTGGACGAGGTCGACGACGACGACGACAGCGACACGCCGGACCAGCCGAGTGTCGATGTCGGCAAGAAGAAAAAGAAGAAGTCGGCTGTCACACCCGCAGCTACATCCACGGTGACGCTCTCGGTTCAGCAGATGGAGCGTTTGGTCGCGAAGCAGGTGCGAGCCGTGATGCGGGAACAGGAACGCGAGCGTGAGCGCAAGAAGAAACGGAAGCGTCGCCGTGCGCGCTCTGACTCGGATGACAAGGACGCCGATGAGGATGACGATGACGGCAATGAGGATGACGAGGAGGGGGATAGTGACGTCGTCATTGCTGGTGGTCAGTTGGCATCGGTTTCGGGTCATCGCAGCGACGTATCGTCGACGGCGCGTGCAAAGAAGCGATCCAAGGACAAGAACCACTCGGTTGCGGCCTCGGCCGCGAATTTGGCCAGTCCTTCCGGCAGCGATGGTCGTATTGCCATCTCGATTGGCACTTCAGCCATGCCGCACGGCTACGATGGCAAGAGCAACAAGATGCGATGGATGATCGACATTGGATCCTCTTTCTTGGGTGTCTCGATGTGGGGGGACGTGATCGAGTGGACGGGCAAGGCCGGCCCGAATGCCGTGCGCAAGTTGCATGAGAGCAAGGGCAAGACGTTCGCCGTCGACGACATCGCTTTCTCGCGCAACAAGAACGTGCTGATCGTACCTTACCTTGGCGGCAAGATCGACAAGGCCGGTACCGCGCCAAAGAACCAGGTCACGTTGTACGAGCGCAAGGTCGATCGTCAAGGCCTTTCCAAAGTGATCGAAAGCCCTCTTTCTGCGCAACCACATGGTAGGGGTGGTATCACAGCAACGATGGTTCTCCCTGGTGCCGCGTCGGCTCGATTGCAGTTCATCACTGCTGGTGAAGACAAGATGTAAGTGCCCACTTTGGTCGCTTGTTTTGGAGCCACTTAAGACTCATCCCAAGTTCGTGCTCTATGGTGCAGGATGTACCTTTGGACGCGCGCTCGTTCCGACCGATCAATCTCGACCGAACGACTACCTTGCGAACACACGTCGACCATCACCTCCCTTGATCACCTTGCATCGGACGGTTGGCTGATCTCGGGAGGCGCCGATAAACGAGTGAGTTTGGATGGCGAGCGTTCTCGATCGTGAGTTGCCCATTGACCATTCGTTCCTGTGTTGTCTCGTTCAGGTCGTCGCAACGAACATCGAACAAAGGCGAAACATGTGGTCGGCTCTGCTCCCAAATCCCGTCTACTCGGTCGAGCCTTCGTGAGTTTTTCAGCGTCACGATCTGGGTTGTCTGCCTTGTCTCGAACTAAAACCTCCACTTTTATTCGACGCAGACCCATTAACCCACACCTCATCCTTGCGCGGCAAAGCTCATCCTCGGATCAGTTCCGTCTGTACGACACGCGCCAGTCGGGAGCGGGACCGGCAGTGTTGACCTTTGGATTCCCTCTCGCGCCTCGGGCGATCTCGACCTCGAGTGTTCCGGTTGCGCCGAATCTGGGCCGGTACTACGCGGGCTCGCCCTTGCGCGAGTTTGCTTATGCGTTCCCAGACTTGCAGCAAGGGGTCAAACTGTGGGATCTGCGCAAGGCAACGAGCGCGATCGGTGGGGGTGGATCGGGTTCGTCTTCTTTGGTGCCGAGGATGCAGAGCATGCACGGTGTGGCAAGTAGCAAGGTGGTGCAGGTGCTGTGTCGCAACGACGAGCTTGCGTTGATGGAACAGCAAGGTTTCACCTCTGTTCGGATTCGATAGGCGGCTCGGTCCGTTAGGGCACACTTGGGGCAGTCTGTCTTTGGGGAGTCTGTCTTTCGTCGTCTTAGCTCACAGGGGTCGCTTGGTCTTTTTTATAGATTTGCTAATTTCTGATTTCTGTTATTTCTGTTAGTTTTGGGGCTAGTGCTTGCATAGGCTGCGCTCAGAAGTTGTTTTTTTGCACAATGATGTTACGATAGTATTTCATCGCGAGATATAAGCTTGATTTGACGATGTGTTATACTCTTGAAGCCAGCACCAGGTGAGAGGTGAGACATATCTTGCGACGCGCGTCGATTTGTGAGCGCGCCCGCTCACGCCTGCTCACGCCGGAAACTGCCGTCGCGTTGACTTTGGCTCTTTCCCCCTCGCTCCCTCTGTCTCCGTCTTCGTCTCGGTTTGCCCGTTCGATCGTCGCTGTGCGGCTTGGGTTGGGTCATGGCTTCCATCTTGTGCGACGTGACGAATGTAGTCTCCGCAGGACAGTCGACCAGTCCTTCGACTTCTGCAGCTGCTGCTGCGTTGAAGCACAGATCTTCGTCGTCTTCGTCTTCGCCTCCCGTCGCGGCGCGCCTGGCTTCGTCATCGTCGGCGACGGGCGCGAGTTCGATCACGGCGCGTCGTCGCGGTGCAGCACGTCCTCCCGTTCTTCGTCAAACCAGCTTGGACTTCTTCGCCCCTACTTGCACACCGCCTGTCGCAAACTCGTCTTCGCATCCGGGGTGGAGCTCACGCGCGACTCGCGTCGACGACGTGAACGAGAATGAGACGCGCTCGCAGCCTCCACCTCCGCCGACGCAGCCGCACGCGTCATCCTCGTCCTCGCCAGCCGGTGCTGCCTTCGCCTCGTCCCCGGCAACGACCATCACCTCCGCCAGTGGTAGCTCGTGCCACGATGACGGATCGGAACAACGATCCTCTCCTCTCGCGTCTCGTTACCTTATTGCACTGCGACACACTCGTGACGAAGCCGATTCGAGCATGGACATTGACGAGGACGACGCGTTTGTTTCATCGCGCAACGTTCTCAAGCGAGCTAGGAGTCAATTCGACGGCGACGGCGACGAGGAAGACGAGGAGGAATCGCACGGCGCTGCTCGATCACGCCACCACTCGAGTCGAGTTCCTACCCCTCCCGTTCAAGTTCACTCTTGGTCGACCACGTCTAACCCGACGAGAATGATCGAGTCGATTTACAATATGCCTCAGCGCACCCTGTCGGTCCACGAGATGCTCCGCCGCAGGGCTTTGGGGATGAACGTCAGCATGCAACAAGGTGAGTACGAGAAGAAGTCAGTGGTTGAGTACGTATGGAAATCGACGCTGATGGTGCATTCATTGTCTTCGTAGTCGCCCTTCGACCCGTTTTACTTGACTTGGTGTCGAGCAATGAGCACCACGTCGTGCGCTGCCCTTCCTCGAGATGCGATCGCATCCTGGCGTATCCGTTTGCGTCCAAGTTCAGCAATGGTCAGTCTCGTTGACTCCTTTCAGTTGGTTTAGACTGTACCTAAGTAGGTAGGTTTACTGATGGATGCGATTCGCTCATCGAAACAGCTGCGAAAGCTGGAGGCAAGCAAATCCTTGCGATTGGTGACGAGGAAGGCGGTTTGACCTTTGTCGATGCGAGCAAGCAGAGCCAGTGGGATACAGGTGAGCGGCATGATCGGGGGTCCCTTTTTTCTGTAAACGGTTACTTAAATGCCCTGCCCCTACTCCGAATTCGTAGACACCTCGCGCACTTCGTTTCAAGCTCACGACAACGCTGTCTTTGACATTGCTTGGAGCTCGGACGATCGCACAATCGTGAGTGTACCGCGAAGAACCCGCTTGATGCACTGTGTTCCAGAGGACTGACGCTCCATCGCGACCATGTCAGACCACGGCCAGTGGTGATCAAACAGCCGTTTTGTGGGATGTCGAGACCATGACGTGCACGGCTAGGCTCTTAGGCCACTCCGGCACGATCAAGAGTACCCAGTGGGATCCCAAGAACCCGAGTACGTGTTTCGACCAAGGGGCTGCCTGAGAATCTCAGCTCAACCCTCGCTCGTATCGTACAGACCTACTGGCCACGGCTTCGCGTGATGGCTCGATCAGGATCTGGGATCGACGGATCGACAGCCGAGGGGAGGATGCTCGTAACAATCGAGATGGCTCAGCGATTGGCTGCGTCAACATGATCAGAAATGCCCATGGAGGGGCGAAGAAGACCAAGGAGGTGCGCATGCCCATCGACTTGATTTTTCTCGACGTAAATGCTGACGTTGTATAGCACTACACGTTGCAGTCACCCAAGAGTGTCACCGCGGCCGTGTTCTTGCCGCAGTCTGACAACCTGCTCGCTTCGTCTGGGTCTGCAGACTCGTGAGTGCTCGAGCGATTAAGTGCTTTTCTGAAGCTCTGACTGACTCGACTTTATGTCGTCTTACTTGTTTGGTAGAGTGATCAAAGTCTGGGATCTGCGTCGATCCCATTCTCGTCGGATCAACCCCGCCTCGTTCGAAACGAACGAAATTGCAGTCTCGAACACGTCCTCGAAGCGACCGCACGGGATCAGTTCGCTCGTTCTATCCCCGGACGGCAGAGCACTATATTCGCTCGGAACGGACGCTGTGTACGTCCCGAGCGTCCCACATTGAGCATTATCCTCTGAGCTGACATACTCACGCTCTTCAACAGCATCTCATCCTTCAAGCCAGGCAACTTGACCCATTCTTATCCCCTGGCGACGTACCAGCACCCCACCCTGGTCGTCAACTCGTTCTACATCCGCTTAGCCGTCTCTCCCGATTCGCGGTTCATTTCGTGTGGTTCGACCGATAACGCCGTTTATGCTTGGGACACGTGCGCCGCTGCGGACCAAGGGGTTAGGATGGTCGGCCATGAGAAGGAAGTCAGTTGTGTCGATTGGTCTGCGAAGGGTGGGGTGAGTCAAACTGTGTCCCCCAATCCGGCGAAGGCATGAGTTGACCAATTTTTTTGATCCACGCCCTGTGCAGTTGGTTTCCTGCTCCGATGACGGCTTGGTCCGACTGTGGTCGACCGATCGCGAAAAGGCGCGTAGGATCCGTTCGAACGAAGTCGAGGATCAGGAGATCGGTTGGAGATGGTGTGGAGCAGTATAAGGGACCTGCTGTCGGTGAGATCGGGGCTGATATTATCTCTATACCATGTGCATCTTTGTCCTTTAGTAAATTCCGACTTCTGATGTGGGTGTGATTTGTTAAAGCTCCGTGGGTCTTTGTTTTGCCATGCATCGCAAGTTTCTCTCGAGGGCGATTCGCTTCCCCGGTGCGCCATCGCTGAGAAAACCGCTCGAAGCTTGGCCTATCGAGCCGATGCAACAAGGTGAGGTGATCTGTTGGAAAGTAGGTCTGTGCTCGGAAGTGGAGGGGCCGAAATAACCACCGAGGCGGCGTCTGAAAGCCGGTCGGGTCGCAGGCGGCCATCATCCCAATAGATTGTCACAGTTTGTGGGTTCCCTCTCCTGCAGCACAGCACACGCTGCCCTGCTGCCCTGCTCTCAGTGCGCTGGCCTCCGCTGAGCGCTGCCCCTCGTTCGCGGTCAAAGTAGTGGTCCTCAAGAGCTGTTGCTACTGTTACAATGTTCATTGCAGCGCCATCCCCAAGTTGTGGCGAGTTTTGGTGAGAGGGATATACGAGTCGAGGGTCAGTGGTTGGGCACAGAAGAAGGTCGGAGCGGGATGTGGAGATCAAGCGTCGGCTGCTCGGATGCTGCGAGGTGCGCAAGAAAGGCCAAGCGAGGAAGGAAGGGTGTGTGAGCTATATTATACAGCTGTTGGGTGGGTCATGGAGACCGGCGGGGATGGGACTGACTGGAGCACGTTGTTACACCTTTCAGGCCGCAGGCAGCGAGGGGTGGGTCAGTCGCTGCGGGACTCGGCCATACGTGCGTATCGCGGACGTACCGGATGAAGACCTCGCCCAAGGATCCTACACTGAGGCCATCCTGGTACTCTTCGGTATTTGCGAGCTGGGGTGGCCAGAATGGTGCGCGGTCGAAAGCAGACCGTCAGTGGGCAGTGCGCTTCCCCCAAACGAGGACGGGGCGTGGAGGCCATGAGGTGCACTGACCTGCAAGTTCATGTAGCCATCCGTCGAGACGAGGTAGCCCTTGTACTCCATCCCCCACTTGAGGCGGACCATGACGGGCTTGCCGGTCAGCTCGGACAGGAAAGGCTTGGGGTTCACCGGTTGTACGAGCTATGGTGCGAGAGGAGGGAGGGGTGAGTTGTGCGGAAGAGTGGAAAGGCTAAGGGGAGAAGGGTGCTTTACTTACAGACATGCTGGAGACTGAGATGACGCGGGTGGGTCAGGAAACAGAGAGAGAGATCGAGAGAGAGCGCGCCGGCGCAATACGGCGCAGGTAAGAGCGCAGGCTGGCAATTAGGCTGGCCGCAAGTGATCGGATTAGTACTAGCGGATTATTAGCGGATTATTAGCGGATTAGCATCGGATTCAAAGCCATTGGGAATCCACGCGCCTTGCGACGGGTCTCCCCACACGGCTTCTGCTTCCGCTCCCCCTTATTACCATCTACACCTACCCCCTAGCTTCCACGCTTTGCCTCGCCATGGACTCGGACGAGGACGAACGAGTAGGAGCTGGCGCCGGAGCAGGAGGGCTCTCGGTCGGCGGCGATACGGACGACGTCTCGTTGCCCAAAGCGACCATCAACAAGCTCCTGCACGGTCAGTTTCGCCCCGCGCGTCGTTCGTGGTCGAGGCGGCGCTGATCTTGGCATCTCGATCTGCTACAGAACTCCTACCACCGGGTTACTCCGTCGCCAAGGAAGCCAAGGATCTGATCGCCGATTGCTGCAAAGGTACGACCTCCTACATCTCATTCACCCCACTTGCGCACCAGACTGATCCCCGTCTCTCTTGCTCCGGTAGAGTTCGTCCTCTCCATCGCATCCGAGGCCAACGAGATTTGCGAAAAGGACTCCAAGAAAACGCTCGCTCCGGATCATGTCATCAAGGCGTTAGAGGTGCGCGACGACCTTACTCGCGACTGCAGAAACCAGCCAATCAGCTCATTCCTGCCCCTTGTACCGACAGGCCCTGGGGTTCGAGGATATGGTCCAACATGTATCGGACCAACTCGTCGAGACAAAGATATTGGCAAAGGTAAGAATCGATCGCCTGCCTACAGCCACGATCAATCCCCTAGCTCTCCAATCGGCAACAATTCTTCTCATCCAACACAACTTGCATCCCTCGCACAGGACGAACGACACAAGAAAGCCAAACGGGCCAAAGGATCGGGCATGTCAGCCGAGGAAGCCGAGCGGATCCAAGAAGAACTCTTTGCCGCAAGTCGCGCACGCTTGGCCGCGGGGGCAGCTCCGAGTTCGGCTGGTCCGCCTTGAGGACGGCCGGCTCATAAAGAAAGATGGGCGATGGGGTTTGTCTGTTTTGGTTCGTGTATTCCTTGCCGCCCTCGTGCAATGCCTATCGCACTTGTTGTACTCATCAGATCCGACGTTCGCGCGCGAATCCGAGTTGGCACGGCGGAGGGATCTCGGACATATTACAACATGGAAGAACGATCTTGAAGATTCCGGGACTACTTCTAAGGGAATGCCCAAAGGATACTGTCGCAAGCCGAGACGAGGTGACATGATACAAGAAGGACGTTCACGCAGGCGAGCGCGATCGCATCTCTTTGAGCCTGTCTGCCGGCAACGCCCCATTCCACAGCTCATTCCCTCCCTCATCCAAGGTCATCGAAGGCAAGCCAAACTGTTCGATCGTGAAAGAAGCCTGCGGACACGAAAGAGTCGATGAGCGATAACTCCGTCGAACGTCTCGACTTGCACTCCACACTCACCGAGATACTTCCCATCCTCACACTCTCCCTCAAGCTCTTCCCCTGCACCAGCCCACTCATCAACCCCCCCATGAAACTATTCCCTGCCCCCGTCACATCCTTGACCTTACCTCGCTCCACACCAACCACCTTCTCATACCCATGATAAGGGCCCATCCAGAACGCCTGATCGGGGTGATCTCGTTCTATGGCATAAGCGCCCCAAGCGCCCGAACGAAGGACGACGTAGGACTTGCTTCCTAATTCGAGGAAACGGTGCGCCAGCTCTTCAATCCCTTTCAAGCCTCGGTCGATGACCTCGGTCGTGGAAATACCGAAAAAGGAAGACGCTTCTTCGTGATTGGGGGAAAAGACGTCGATTTCGCCTAGCACTTGTTTGAGCGCGTCAAGTTCTTCGGGGATGCAACGGTCGGGAATCGGTTCGTAAAAGGTTAGAGGTCGGATCGGGTAGGTCGACGTGGGTTCGAGTTGGGATATGATCTCGAAGGCGCGGCTGGGGGAACAGACGAAATGCAGGGAGTGAGCTGAGCGGAGACGTGGAGGGAGGACGGAGGGGTCGAGTCGTATTCGAGGGGTGAGGTATTTGAAATCTGGGGGCGATTTGGAAGGTGAATGGGTTAGCACGTGCCGAGTTTTCGCCCGAGCGAGTAACATATCTGCCCCTTGCTGCGCTTGGGCTTGGATGATCGCATCACAAGTATTCAATCCTTGTGGTGATTACTACCATCCTCTCGGTACAAGTCCTATGGCTCACCCCGATGTTCCCCCCGATACAAATTTAGCGCCTTGCACGTCTCGACGTCCTTCTGATCCCTCCAAACCCACATTTCCTCCCCAAACTTGACCAACCTCTCCTCCACTTCCCCCAAAGAGTCCCAATCATTCCCTCGATCGACGATGATACCCAATTGACGAGGAGGTAACCACATCCGCGCACCTAGGATTGCGTAGGTGCCTCCTCCGCCGATAACGAGGTCCGAACGACGGAGGATTTGGGCGGGGTTCGTGGTGGATCGCCATTCGAAGGTGTCGAGGATGAAGAGGCCTAGAGTGGCTACGAGGACTTGGTCGTCGGCGTTGGCTGGGGTAGCGTTTTTGGAGGAGGTGCTTGTAGACTGTGCCGTCGTCGTCGTGGCAGGATCAGGCACAGGCACTCCAACTACGGCAGCCACGTCGGAGGATGACACGGATGCCTGTGCGAACATCCTCGACGGGTTCAGCTTTCGATTTCAATAGCTGAGGGGCCGGAAGAAGGTATGCTCACCATGCTGCGATGTGTGAGGGCGAGAGGAGGAGCTTCGCAGCGAGCGGCCGACCTGGCTCGGATGTGGGGCGCAAGATAGCGCAAGACTGCGCAAGATTGGTCTTGCTCGGATACCGATTCTACGGGCAATCTCAATGCATTGGTAAGCCAAAATGATGCCAATGTTTCGATTGAAGCCAAGTGACAAGCAATGCGGGTATGTCATTGCGTACACTGAAGCTGTATAGAAGATTGATCAGAGAGCTCCCTAGGAATCAGAAGTTAGGATTCTCCACGGGAGCACGCTCAGGTGCAACCTCGAACGTTCTCCGAGCCGTATCTAGCCGTATCAAGCCATCTCCTCCTCCTCCACCCCCTCAAACTTGAGCGTAGTCTGCTTCGCATTCTTCCCCTTCCCCTTCCCCAAACCCTTCCCACCCTTCGTTTTGGCCTTCTTTGCAGTCACCGCTCCCTTCCTCTTGGCATCCGCTCCCTTCACCTGCGCGGTTTTCCGCTTCGTCCCGATCGAGACTTTCTCGTCCGTTTCCTCGTCCTTGACCTCGGCATGTTTGGGCAAAAATGTCTCGACGTATGCGTTTGCTGTGCCGTCCAATACTTTGGGATCGTCGCCTTGTAATTTGGCTGAATAGGCGGCTTTGATCAACGTAAGCGCTTTGGCTTTGGCGACTTTGTCGTCGACCATTCGCTTAAGGAGAGAAGCTCTCGGTCAGCACGAGAAGACTCTCCAACATTACACCACGGTAACTCACTTCAGGATATGTTGTGCCCAACACGACCTTGGCCTTCTTCAATTCCGCCGGACTAGCGTTCCAAGGTTCGTAAATGTACTTGTTGCTCACTCCATCCAGCTCGGGACAATACTTCCGAATCAATGCCCCCGACTTGTCGCTCTTCTGGCCATAGGTCGCAGGTGAATACACACGAAGGTATTGCGAGAAGAACGCCGAAGCCGATAACCACATCCAGTTCCCAGAGTTGAGTGCTGGGTCCCAATCTATCAAGTAGCGATCAAATACTTCGGCACCGCGTTCCCATGAGATGTAGAGTTGGCCGCGCGTGAGGAAACAGGCGAGCGAGTGGCGTCCGAGATGGTGAACCCATCCCTCGTGTCGCAGTTGTCGCATCAATGCGTCCTACGAGCCGGAGGACTGCATAAGTTTTTTGCTGATGACAACTTCTTCACCTGCAGCATGACTCACAATCCACGGGAAACCGGTTCTGCCCTCTTTCCAAGCCTGAAACTGCTCAAAAGCTTTGGGCTCTTCTTCTTTCCAGATCTTCTCCATCTCGGCTCCGGGCAGTTCATTGCCTTGGTCGTCGTATCGTGTTTGTAGCGACCAAGTGATGTAGCGAGAAGCATTATTGCCACGGATTCGGTTGAAGTACGGAGTGGCGGCTTGATTGGCGTGATAGAACTGGGCGAAGGATGGCCAGGTCAGTGACGAGGGATAGCAACCTCGCGCACAGCCTATGCAGCTCCATACTCACCTCGCGCCAAAGAAGCTGACCTATCAAGCTCTCAGGAGGCGTTGCATGGGCTTTGAATTTGGCCTCAATCTCCTTGACGCGGTACCAGAAGAGCCGACAGCTCAACGTCCCAAACTTCATATGCGGACTAAGCTGGGTCGTGGCCGGTGGCTGGAAAGCCGCAGGGGACGTTTTGGGCTTTTCGAACATCGCAACCGTGATTTCGTCTTCCATGAACGCTTCGAAGGTTTTCAAGGCATTGGTTTCACCTCCACGAATCGTCGTCGTTGCTTCCATGCCCAGTTCTTCCATCGTCGGCACCGAAAAGTCCCCTTTCGGTCCAGCGAATTGAGTTTCGTACGTACGCTCTTCCTCCGTCGTACGCCCTTTGCGTGATTCATGATTGACGTCGCCCTTGCGCCAAGTCGAAACGTCGTGTGCCTTTTTGTTCTTCTCTAAATCATTAAGATCGGTCGGCCCCGGATCAGGAAGGTTCTTTGGTGCGTCGATCGGTTTCGAAGGGGTTGTGGCCGAGGCGAGAAGTTTTTGAAACCCTTGCAAGGTGCGAGGGAAGTGTGTCGCGGTTCCATGGGCTTTGATGAGCTCTTCAGGGTCCCAGAGGGTGTGGCCGAGGACGGTGTGGACGTTGACGCCCGCCTGCGTGGCGAGTTCCTTCACGGTGGCATCTCGAGATCCCGTATAGGGGTCATCATCCTTTTCCCTGCGCATGGAGGAAGCCGAAAGTAGCTCGTCGTGTCAGTAAAAGGAGTATGAGGAGTATCAGATGAATTTACAACGGGCACCCACCAAACGATGTCGGTGATCTTCCACTGCTTGAATAGAGCCGGTAGCACGGTCGTTGGCGGTCCTCGGACAACAAAGAGCTGAGATTTCTTGTTGATCTTGGTGATGCTCTCGGACACGTCCCTCATCGAGTCGAGTCTGAGCAAGATATAGATACGTAATTAGTATCAAATTTGGGTCGAATCGATGGCCACCCAGGGGCTGATGTGCAAACGTGCAGAAATTGCCATCGATTCTCACCGACCGACTGGGAGTAGACGTAGTGTGGGCTGTTGTAGAAAGTCAGGGTGGTGAGTACTCTCGTCCAGAACCTTGCCTGCTGTCTTCACTCACTCCCATGTCCATACGGGGTACAACACCTCGGGTTTGAGAGCCAGAGCAGCTACCAAAGCGGGCGAGTCTGCCGCCAGCCGTGCCGATCGAGTTCATTAGCAGCGCGATCGACCTGAGCTGGGCCAACGATCGATCGTCGGCGTCGAAGGAGATGCAAACTCACCATGTAGCCTGAGATCGGTCCTGAACCAGTAGATGACCCTCTTTGAAGCCGAGGCGGATGCCATGGTCCGAATGAGAGGTGCAGCAGTCAGATTCAATTAGCGAATGGTCGAAGGACGAACCCCGATTCCGAAAATTGCCTTCTGGTCGATCGCCGACGCAAGCACACGCCCCACGTCATGGCGCCAGGCTGACGGAGGCTGACTCCCTGGCAGCAGCTCTGTGGCAGGCTGCAGTCAGGCTGCGCGGTCTGCAAAGGCCGGGCGGCTGCTCCCGAGTCAAGGCGCTGCTTCTTGGGCTCTGCCTGCCCCTTCTCACAGTCACGCCTTTCATTCCTGCATGCCAGTGGTCAGTTGAGCTCGTACAGCCATGTACACACAATGCACCAAAGCTGACATCACGTCTCTCCCCTGCCAGCCTCGCCTCTGTGGAACTTCGTCGTCGCTTCTTTCCCTTCGTCATCGCAACCTCTGCCCCACCTGGACGACCACCACCTACTCTCTACGGCCGAACGTCCCAGCGCCTACCTCCATCCCCCATAGTCAACGCTCGAGCATGAGTTCTTCCACTCCCCAAGCCCAAATCAAGATTGACAACCACGAGACCTACCTCTCGCAAGGCATTCCCTCCGCCTCTTCCCTGTCCCCGGACCCGATCGCCCAATTCCGCGAATGGTTCTCCTCCGCCCTAGCCGACAAGGACGTGATCGAACCCGAAGCCATGGCCGTATCGACCGTTTCGGCCGAAGGGATCCCTTCGACTCGCGTCGTGTTGCTCAAACAGGTCGATGATAAGGGTTGGATCTTTTATACCAATTACGAGTCAAGAAAGGGAAGAGAACTCTTTCCCCACACCGAAACCGAAACGGAGACCGGAACCGAGACGCGAGGAAGCTATGCGAGCCTCGCGTTCTATTGGAGGGCCCTCCATCTGAGCGTCAGGGTCGTTGGACGAGCCGAAAAGGTGACGCCGCAAGAGACCAAAGCCTACTTTGATTCGAGACCGGTCGGATCCAGGATCGGCGCATGGGCTTCCAAGCAGTCGAGCGAGTTGTCGGGTAGGGAAGAGTTGGAGGAACAGGTCAAGGCGATGGAGTGGCAGTTTGGTGTTCCCGAGGGTACATCGACAGGGACTGCATCTGCGGTCGACGCTGGACCCCAAGGGCAAAACTCGTTGAAGGAAGCAGAGAATGTCGAGGTTCCCGTGCCGCCGTTCTGGGGTGGGGTGCGCATCGTGCCTTTCGAGGTCGAGTTTTGGGCAGGTCGACCCAGCAGGCTGCACGATCGATTCAGGTACACGAGGGACGAAGGCTCAGACGGCGCATGGCAGATTGTCAGACTGTCCCCGTGACGGAAGGCTGGGATGAGACTTAGTGCATACTCGGCAGTACCTTGTGCAATCGCAAATCGCTCTGCTTATCGACTTTCTTCCTAAGAAGCTCCGACAAATCAATTACAGCAATCCGAAAAACGTACATCGCATTGCAAGCCCAGTAACTTCCGGTAAGACACTGGCATATGGCGCTAAATCGAAAGAAATTAGTCAAGCTAAGACGAAACATTAAGAGGACCCCAGGGACTCGGCACACAGAGGCACCTGCTCAGACACGCTCCTTGTACTCGACCGCATCCTTCTCCGCCTCGCCATCCAGACTCGGATTTGATCGCGCATCCTTGCCTTCGATCTCGGTGTGACCCCTGGGTTCGAAAGCCGCCTTGGCGTTCTCGAAATGAGCCGAGTGGTCCTCGGAACCAAAGATGCAGCACAAAATGATCCAGGCCGCGACAACACCGATGAGGATCGCCGAGACCTTGCCGTAGTCGGGCAATCCGCTCTTGGTCTTGATGTTGGCGCCGGCGGTCGACTCGATCTGCGCTGAAGCGGAGGAAACCATATTGCCCAATTGGTACATGAGACTCGGGGCCGTCGCACGGAACGCGACGGGCGAGATCTCGGTGAGGTAAATCGGGATGACACCCCATGCGCCTTGAACACCAGACTGAACGAAGAAGGCTCCTGTGGGGTGGATCAATGCGGCTACGTCAGTCATTGGAACTTTCTAATCGGCGCGCCTTTTCGTAGAGCAGAACGCACCGGCGGCAAGAGGGCCGAACTTGTTGGGCAAAAGCCACAGCGGGATCCAGCAAATTGTCCAAATGCAGCAAATGATGATGGTGATGCGGCGACCGAGGCGTTGCGAAACGGCTCCAGCGATCGTACCACCGACGATGGCACCGCAATTACCGATGATGGTGGCGACCGTACTGGCGTGAGCGGAAAGACCTTTGCCCTTCTGGAGGTAGGTAGGGCTGTTGAAGAAATGGTGAACAGAGATGTTTAGCCCATCGCCTCGGAAAGGGGGAAAAGGAAGGGGGGGGGGGGGGGGGGGGGGGGGAGGGGGCGGATTTGACAGGAATTTCTAACTTACTAGAGATCCTGGGAACCGTGGGAGAAGAAGTTGAAGCCGGACATGAGGAGGACCTGGGGAAACAAGGGCCAACAAAAATTCAGCGGGGTGCCGCGCGAGTGGCGTCTCACGCGCGATAACTTACACCAAAGACGAGACGGCCCCAGTCCGTCTTGAAGGCGTAGCCGATCTCGCTGACGAAGATCTTGGACTTTTGTGCAGACGACATGTGGTGCCCACTGGCTTTCTCGGCCTTCTGTCGCTCGACGAAGTAGGTCGACTCCGGCACCAACGCGCGGAGCACGGCCGAACCAGCCGAGATTCCGGCGGCAACATAAAAGAGGACGCGCCAATCATTGTAGTGCGGGACGACATAGAGGTTGAGAACGGCGGCAAACAAGTAGCTGTGAATGGACGAAACAACAGGATGGTGTCTGCAGCTCAGCAAAAGAGACCGAAACGGCTCGTATACTTGCGAAGCCGGACTACTCACCCCACGGCGTAGCCTGGAGTAGCGAAAGCGACGGAGAAGGAGAAAAATGAAAGGCACCGGAAGATGGTCAGATAACATGCACACGAATCGTTGAAAGACATCATTCGGCGTACCTTGCTGCATGATACCACTGAAAAGACCACGGGCCTCGACAGGTAAGTTCTCCAACCCCAGAGAGGCAGCTTGACCCCAGATACCGCCCATGGCGATCTGATGCATCAGAACAGTCGCCACGTTAGCTCCAAGATCACTCAACCGTTCATCTGAGAGACCGAGTTCGAGCAGCTCACACCAAAGAGCGACCGCACGGCCAAGAATTCGGAGAACGTCCGGACGAAGCCCGTTCCCAGGGAGAGGGCAGCGCAGACGAGCAGGTTGGCGATGAGCGGCCACTTGCGCCCGTAGCGATCGGACATGAGACCAAAGATGATCGCACCGAGGGGACGGAAGAGGAGGGTCAGCGTGATCGAGGTCGTGATCTCCTTGGCCTCATTGTTGAACGTCTTGGCAAGTCGGACGACGGTGAGCGAGACGGCGAAAAAGCTGGGCATCGGAAAAACCGGACAGAACGTTCAGCACGGCTGCCCTGCGTTGTGCGACGGCGTAACCCCCACTCTCGGACTCACTCAATAGCATCGCAAAGCCAGGCTAGCCATCCACCTGAAGTAGGAAAAGGATCGTTCGGGTGGGGGCACCGGTTTCAGCAGACCTGTCTCATAACAGAGCGCTGTCCGTGCTAGTGCCTTTGGGCGAGTCCGCTCTCGACAGGTCACGCGACCTCCGACTTGCTCGACTCTGCGCGCACTTCCGGACACGGGGACTTACAGAGGAAGAAGGCCCACTGCAGTGCTGTTAGCGAGCGCAAAAGGGTCAAAGGGTTCGTCGACGCCTTTTGCTCCTGCTTCGGGGGAAGGCGGGGCCAGTTTGCGACTGTAGCATCACGCGTCGAAGCGGTATGGGTGGGCTTAGCGAGCCTGGCGACAGGAGGTGGCGATGTGCCCGCTTACCGATGTTGTCTACGAATCGGCCCATCTTGACGAAGCTGTCGGATGAAGGAGGAGTGGGTAGGATGGGGATGGAGAAAGAGAGGTGGAGGAGGAAAGAGAGGAATCGAAGGAGGACAGAGTTTCAGTTTTTTTCATTCCCGAGTCGGAGGCGGCTGAGTTCGGTGGGTCAGTACTACCGAGGGGCCCCAATCTCAAGCCTGCGTGGTCGGACCGCCATTTTCACCTCAGGCGAGCGTTCTGATTGGGCCGAGGCCGCGCGCACGAGCTCACAGTCGGGAGTAATCGACGGTCGAGTGCTTGATCCCGTCCGCCCCCACCCCCCCACCACTCCCCCACCCCACTCACTCCCAGGAGGAGCGTACTCGGCGCTAGCCATATTTTTTTATAGTGCTTTTTGGAACGGGGGGTTTCGCCCAATCGCGTGGGAGCGAGACGCGCGCCTCTAGATGACGTCCTTTTCTTTTTCGGTCCTGTAGTCGACCAGGGTTTCAGCCCCGTTTTTCTCCTGGTTCCTGGTCTTTGTGCAGTTCGGGTCTGGCTTTACTGTGGTAGCCACCTCGGTTGCCCAGGCCCAGGGGCCAGATGATGACAGATCAATGTCCCTTCCCACGGTTCGTATCCCGAATGTGAGCAGCACCTCAAGTTATCAAGTATAGTGGCGCTGACCCTGGGTAGAGGCTTTTGACGTAGCAAATGCGCCGTGTGAAAATGATGCGCCGTGTGGACGATTTCATTCATCGAGCTGTTGCATGTAGCGGAGATATTTGGACGGGCCGGGGCACCGGTCATTTACTTGTTAGGGGCTGTATTCACAGAGATCACGTACGTACGTCTAGTACGCCAGGTACATACTTTAAAGTGGCTCAAAAAGAACTGTCCAAAAGCAAAGGTAATTTGGGCACTTACTCTACTGCCACGACGATCAAAGTTTTTGGCAGCTCGCCCAGAATCCACTGGTTTGGGCGCTAGCGCGCTACTAGCGCGCTGCCGGCCCTGCCAGGTCTCGACGATCCCTCCACCGGGCTCTTGATCGGACTTGTCCTCGAAAGCTCCACATGAGCTTGGTGCCTGGAGTAATCTCGAGCGAGGTTATCGCTCGGAACGAATCGGGATTGGTGAGTAGACAGATACTGACTGCCGTCGCCGTATCTTTGGCACGGTGTCGGATCATTCGGCAAATGCGAAGAATTGAGCCAGCTATTACCACTACTGCAGAGCCAATTTTTTGGAGGGGTGGAAGTAAGACTGGATGTTGAGCTTGACCACTTTAATGGTAGCTGAGAGCTGCAAAGTCATGCGTAACTGAGCAGTACATAGTGCCAAGCAGCGGGGGCAAATGACCCAAAAAGTCCGAACCCTGACGTAAGTATCGATCCTGATAGGGGAGGAGTTTGCTTGTTGTAACATGGCAAGGCAGGACTTATTTCTACATAAGAAGCAATGCGAGTGTAATATATACATCGAAGGAAAAGGAAGAACGATGGTAAGAAGTGCCAATGCTGTGGTGGGAGCAGCCTTAAGGGAGGGGTTTCGGACAAACTGAAGTGAAAAAAGGGGATGCCGGTAAAAACCGGTCTGCACAGAGAAGTGTTCGACGACACCAAACGGTCGTCGAGTCGTCGAGTTCAGGAACGAGTTTAGAATACCCATGAGAGTTACTTTCGGAGGGGGGGGGCGTGCCACGTCACTCCTTGCGCATTGCCCAAATCAGGCGGCCCCGGCGGCTTGCGGAAACAGACCTGCGGGGTGGGTCGGAAGTGAGATGCGCTAAGCGTCAGCTCCTTGGAACCCTCGATTTCACCCGATTCGACACCGTCGAGGACCACCAGATTATTTATGGTCTTATGGGTCTTATCGATGATCCAAACATGTGACGCAATGTACTTACCGGCACGTCTTCGCATCACAATCTGTTGAGACCCCGCGGAGAGCGCAGTGCAATATTATCTGTCAGCTCCGCGTCGGGACATTTCGCCACACAGCGACTGAGCCACGCGTTGGGGATCGGGAACTGAACTGACCTTGTTGATTATAGCCAAAAGGTCGGGCTTGCGCAATGGCTTTGTGAGGTAATCGTCTTTACAATCGCAACGGCAGGAGCCTGAGGGTCAGCGATGGCCGAAGAAACAAGGAAGCGGCGCGCTCGTGAGCATCGTAGCCTTTGCTCACCCATGCTGTGTGTTGCGAGCCGCCGTCAATGCCAAGCCATCGTCAAGTCAGCGTTTAGCAACCGTTTCTCGCATCACAGCAAGTCAAGAGCCACCACTGGATACGTACCCAGCCTCGATACACTTCTCGCGATCACCGAGCATAGCATGTGCGGTAAGCGCGACGATCGGTAGGCGCTCCAACCCATTCGTCTCCTCGAACCGTCGAATGATCTGAGTCGCCTCCATCCCACTCATCACGGGCATGCTGAGATCCATTAGGACAATGTCGTAGAAGCCACGCTTGACGGCCTCCAACGCGAGTGCACCGTTCTCGACGATCTCGACTTGGTGACCAGCGCTTTCGAGGAACTTCATCGCCACCTTCTGGTTCACGACGTTGTCCTCGGCGAGCAGGACCTTGAACGAGGCATCGCCTCCCCGCTCGGTCGGGATGCGGTTGCTGGCTTCGAGCGCGGGCAATAAGGCGTTGCACATATCCTGTGCGTTCGTCGGGGACTCGACGCAGTTGGCGACACCAAAGTCGAGGCAGTACTTGAGATTGAGCTGGGGGATCTGAGGGGTGATGAGCACCAAGGGGATGTAACGCAGATGGTCGACATCGCGCAGACCTGACACCACATCTAAGGAATCGACGAGCACCGTGTCGAAGTAACCCATCTGGGCCTGGTCGAGCAATCGGGCTTCCTCGAGCGAGTCGACGACTGTGATCTCGAGCCCAAGTTGCTCGACGGACTCGATGACGCTCGGGTCGTGGTGCAACGTGTCGATGAAGAGGATGCGCCGACCGGGGTGGGGGATGAGTGTCTTTTGTCGTACAGCTTCCAGATTCCATTCCCCAATCTTGCATTGGATTGTGAAATAAAAGTTGCTGCCGCGCCCGAAGTGACTCGTCACCCAGAGCTCGCCGCCCATCAGCTGCACGAGCCGCTTCGAGATCGTGAGCCCCAAGCCCGTACCGCCGTACTTGCGCGTCGTTGAGCCATCGGCTTGGGCGAAAGTGTCGAAGATGAGGTTCAGCTTGTCGGGCTTGATTCCGATACCCGTGTCGCTGATACAGAACTCGAGCTGGTACGTTTGCTCGTCGAGGTCGGCGGCTTGCAGCCGGCACGAAAGCGCGACCTGTCCTCGCTGCGTGAACTTGATAGCGTTACCGACGAGGTTGGTGATGACTTGTCGCAAGCGGAAAGGATCGCCGACGAGCAGGTCGGGAATGTCCGATTCAACTGCATACATGAGGTCGAGCTTGCTCTGGGTCGCCTTGACAGCCAGTGTTTTGAGCACCCCAAAGACGGCGGATCGAACGCTGAAGGGGATTGTTTCGACCGTCATTCGACCGGCCTCGATCTTGGAAATATCGAGAATGTCGTCGATGATGAGTAACAATGAGTTGGCGAGGTTTGATACAATCATGAGATTCTCCCGCTGCTGTCGAGTCAACTCGGTCTCCAGGGTCACGCCTGTTAGGCCGATGATACCGTTCATCGGAGTTCGGATCTCGTGCGACATGTTTGCCAAGAACTCGGACTTGGACCTGTTGGCTAGCTCGGCCGCTTCCCTCGCCATCGTGTTCTTCTGCAGACTATCGCGCAGCGAAAAGACCATCTTGTTGATCTTGGTTTTGAGCGAATCCATCTCTCCGCTGGCTTCGACTGTGACGAAGGAGCTGAAGTCACCCTCGGTCGCGGCCGCCGAGATCTGAGCGAATGCGCGCACTTGGGATGTCAAGTTCGTCGCCATCGTGTTGACGTTCGAAGTGATCTCCTGCCACGTCCCTTCGATGTTATCGACCTTGGCCGTCACACCGAGGTTGCCCTTGGTCCCGACTTCGTGGGCCACGCGCGTCACTTCAGCAGCGAAGGTCGCCAAACGGTCGACCATCGAGTTGATAGTATCCACCAGACGCAAAACTTCACCATCAGCGGCGATCGTCACTTTTTGACTCAAGTCACCTCGAGCGACGGCAGTGGTCGCTTTTGCAATTGACCGCACTTGATCCGTGAGGTTACCGGCCATTTGGTTGACCGAGTCGACAAGCGATTTCCATTCACCCGAGACGTTCAGCACGTAGGCCTGTCCACCGAGCTGTCCATCGATACCGACCTCCTTTGCGACTCGAGTGACCTCGGCTGCGAAGAGGCGGAGCGAGTTGACCATGTTGTTCACAGTTCGCTATATCGGAGTAGATGACGTTAGTATTGCCAGCCAGCCAGTTCTCTTACGCGTCGACAAGTCACTTACCTTGAGATCTAGCATTTCACCCCTGACTTCCACCTCGATCTTCTTGGATAGGTCACCTTCCGCGACAGCTCTTGTGACGGTCGCGATCGACCGCACCTGATCGGTCAAGTTGCCAGCCATCTGATTGACCGAATCGACGAGCGACTTCCATTCCCCTTGCACACCTTCGACATTCGCCGTTCCTCCGAGCTGCCCTTCGGTGCCGACCTCGAGCGCGACCCGTGTCACCTCGGCGGCGAATCGACGCAACTGCGCCACCATGTTGTTGACCGTCATCTTGAGGTCGCGAATTTCTCCCGAGGCACCGATGTTGACCGTCTTGGTAAGGTCACCCATCGCAACGGCTTTGGTGACGGACGCGATCTCACGCACTTGCTCCGTCAGATTCGAGGCCATGCGATTGACATTCTCCGTCTGTAAGAGATTGAGTATGTCAGTCGGTGAGCCGCGATATTCGAGGACATGCAGTGCTTGAAGTGCGTACCATTTCTCGCCAAGTACCCTCGACGCCGTTCACCACGGCCTGGCCCCCTAGCTGACCCATTGTTCCGACCTCGAGGGAGACACGGGTGACCTCGGACGAGAACACGCGCAATTTGTAGACCATGTCGTTGACCTGGCATTATAAATTCGTCAAAAATGGAAGCGTATGCGTTCATTTCAGTCACAACCCACCGTCTCTTTGAGGGTAGCCATTTCACCCTCGACCTGGGCATCGATCGTTTTCGACAAACTGCATGCAGTGAGCTGTCAGCTTCGTGTTCGAGAATCGAGCTTCGAGCTGGTAAACCGGGTCGCAACTCACTCTCCATGGGCGATTGCGGACGTCACGATGGCAATGGACCTGGAAGGATGGGAGAGGCAGCTGTCAGCCGGACCGAATGCCCGCCTCGGGCAGCCTTAGGGGTAGCTCACCGAACTTGAACAGTAAGATTGGTCGCCATTTGGTTGACCTGTGAGAGATGGAAGCGTCAATGAGACCTGAAATGCTCTACGCGCAGACTTGTATCAACAAACCGTTTCAGTCACTGTATGCACGCGGAGAAAGGTGTGTCAACTAGATGAATCATGCCGCTAAGAGCTCGCTTCCACGACTGACAGGTCTTCCAGGTCCCTTCAACCCCAGTTACGATGGCTTGACCACCCAATTGACCCATGGTTCCGACATCGAGAGATACGCGCGTTACCTCGGACGAGAAGAGCCGCAGCTTGAACACCATCTCGTTGACGGTCTCCTTGAGCATCGCCATCTCGCCTTCGACCTCGGCATCGATCGTCTTGGACAAGCTGCGTGAGGGAAGCGATCGCATAAATCAGCAAATGAGGGCTTGAGCCTTGGAATCAAGTTCGACAAGTCGGGATCCGGGATACTGACTCTCCACGTGCGATTGCTGAAGTAACGACGGCGATGGATCTGAAGGAATCATGAGCACCATCAGCTCCCGTTCCGTAGGCGACAAACCCGAGGACCCCAAGCAAACTACGGACCTGACTTCTTCGTCGTGGGAAGCTTGGGCTCGATGCAATTCTTCGGCGTGCAGCATCTTGAGGGCTTTGATCTGGATTTGGGCCGATTTCCGCACCTCTTCGACCGAGTTGCCCACGACGGTAACCGCTGCCCTCGACTTGGCCAACCTCTCCACGTCGGTGAGCTTGAGGTCGTCTTCGTCGTCCTCGTCGTCCTCATCCTCCTCCTCGTGGCCGATGCCGTTGTTGGCGGTATGATCGTTGTTGTTGGTCTGTTCGTCCAGCTCGGCCGCGGCCTTCAGGTTGCGGATTGAGTCTGGCTTGGGCCCACTGTGACTCTCACGTGGCGCACTGACCGACTTGCGCGGGGCGCCGTTAACCTTCGCGCGCTGGAGCTGCAGTTGCTCGGCGATCCTCGACAGGCTGTCGATGATGTCGTCCGTCTCCTGGGGTTTCCCCTCGGGCAAGGCGGAGAAGGTCGCTGGGGCGGCATGACTGGCGCGTAGGTTGGCGAGATGATGCGCGAGCGAGGTCGGGTTGGCTTCGATCGAGGTCAGCAGCGAGAGCAGGAACGCCGGGAACGAGTGGATCGCGGTCGCAGCCGAGGAGGACGGCGACGATGCCGACGGCGATGAGGAGGTGGGCAAGCTTGTCATCCCCGAACGCACCACAGCTCCACCATCTCCAGAGCTCATCGTCGTGGTCGTCGCGTTGAGATGGTTGTGGTCGTCGTCGCCGCAGTTGCCGCTGTCCGGGTGCTGAGACTATCTGCTCGGAGGCTTTGTCTTGCCGCCGCGGTCGGTTCCAACTCGCAAATGGTGAGGAGGCCAGGCGCAGCTCGTTCGACGCTTGTCGGTTCGCTCGCTCGTTCCAACGCCTCCACTGGCTCGGTACAGATTCGCAACGCGTCTGCAGAGGAAAAAGGGCGATGGGTCTTCGAGCGGGTCGGCGTTTTCCTACGCGAGATAAGTGAGGGGGAGAATAGAAAGGGCGCAACAGCGCGTTGACGACAGTTTGATTCCCTCGGGAGCGCGCGCCAAAGCGCGCCGTCCGAGCGGCGCAGCAGCAGTGGTCGGCCAAGCACCCAGCCGCAACGACGTGGATCGTTTCTTTTTACAAACTCCATAAAAGCTCGCCCCTTTGCAAGTTTCAAATCACGATGTAGGTGTTATCTGGAGGAAAAAAACCAAGGAAGTGGAGTGAAAAATCTCACGCTCGGGCGCCTGGTGGGAAGATCGTTTCCTTAGCACGGAATCGGTTCCTAGCAAATTAGTTGAGCCCGGCCTCCTCTTGCTGTGTTTCGCGCGCCAGTCGCACCGCTCGGTCAAACGCGCACCCGTTCGCCGAGAAGTTTGAGTCGGCTTACGGGCGCGAAACGGGTGAGACCTCCAGGGATATCCCCTGCGAACCCCTGAAACCTTACCCCATCATCGTGATGCGCGTCATACCGTTCGTCTGGTCTCTTTTGAATCAGCGATAAAGGGAGTCTACGCCAGGATTAAGAACTGACACTGCACGCTGTGCGACGCGTTCAATAAAAGTCTTGGATGAGAAGCTCGAGCTCGCGCTAGAGAAGGAGTTGCTTGGGGGCAGCTGCGGGCAGTAGTGAGGAAACTAGGGTCAGAATCAGCTTGACCTGCATGCACGGGCCGCGTGCGCTACCACGGTAAAGGCAAGACTAACAGAAAACACCCCGAAATGGAGTCCAAAGCGATCTACGCTACCACAAGCTGCACCTGAAGTTCTGAACCCTGCCCAAAGTGTGAGGTTGCACCGCGTGCACTGCAAGCTATTTGCGCTTCGGTAGATCTTGCGCGGATAATAACGATGTCGCCACGGTGGGCGGAGTGAGTCGCGTATTTATCCTGCTCGTCCTTCGTGGTCTCTTGCAGTTGTTGACTCCTCAGTGTTGGTTCTCTCATGCTCAATTTCGCGAACACAGATATTTTCGTTGTACCGACTCTTGTGTTTGCTCCACTATGCCTTGGGCTCTACGTTTTTGTACCTGCCAAAACGGTCGGACCGTTTTCGAACGCCACACTAGTGGGACTGATCGGCCGATGCCGAGATCGAGAGGGAGCTGCCGTAAAATAAATCTGGATGCCGATCCATGCATGTATCACCGAGGCGATGCACAATCGATACTTGTGAATGACTGGGTACGTATGCCTCCCAAAAAAAAAGGAAGGAAGAAATAGCATGGTACCATAGGTGCAATGCACTGGTGGCGCGAACTTACCCACCGCAGGACGCCGGTCGGCTGGTTCTGGCGCGAGGGCAGCAGCCTGGCGCGCGGTTGTGATCAATTATACCGAAAGCTACCGAGACAAGGCCCGTTGGCGCGCTCGGCTCTTGTTCCTGCACCGACGACACTCGAGCTCACTCAAATCGACAAGACCTCGGCGCGACTCCTCGCCGCTCAGCCATCAACGTCCTCAGGTGTTGCGGCTGTTATTGCCGTGCCGTTCCTTGTGGCCGTCGCCCCTGCCGCCAACGTCGTCGTCGTAGACAGCCGCAGCCGAGCGAGCGACCAAGCATCTGCTCCTCGTCCTCGCCCCTGTGCCTACCCAAGAGTGTCCCTCACAATGGTCTACTATGTGAGCTTGGATGGAGCCAGTACGCCCACTACACGACGACGTTTGAACCCCCATCGTCGGCCCGGGGGGGTCGCTGTGTGTGGTGGGCAGGCTACGACGTGTGCCTTTGTTGCGGGCGTTCGAACGAACCCGCAGCTCCGTACGCGCTCAACTGATCGCATTGCCTACTCTCCTCCCATTCCAGATCTGCCCGCAATGCCAGACCCGTTCCCCAACCTATGACGAGTCGATGCAACACTGTGCGTTTCATCTCTCACCAGCGTTGAGGCGTTTGTCGCAGCTTGGTGCTGTTTCTCGCGCCGCGCTGGCCGGCCGCTTCCGCGAGTCCGGCGTCGAATCGCCTTGGGTTCACAGTCTTGGCGGGTGTGGGGGGGTTATTGCTCGTTCAGGGCGTCGACGCATTCGTCAAGGGTGGCTTCGGGGATATATACCAGGCAATGTTGAAGTTGACTTTGGACACTACTCGTTGTGTGAACAGACACAAATTGCACGGTCGTACGACCTGCCAACATCGACGCTTTGGGGCGACCGATCGTACCCCCACCGGGTCGGAAGAGCGACGGCGACAAGGACAAGGACGGCGACGATCCACGGAACGAGGACGAGGCACATGATCCGTCGTCGCAGCAGCATCAGCGAGTGTACCAGACTCAGAGCGAGACCAAAGCAGACAACGCTACACGGCAAACTTTAGCAGACTCGAGACCGGACGAATCAACGCACCCCCAGTCGGTGCAGGAACGGCAAGATCCGTAGTGCCGCACTCGGTTCCTCCCCCCCTCTCACGGCACCAAGCTCGTCACGTATCATTCACCCCCTCGCATTGTTCTCGTTATCGCATCTTCTACTTTTCGCTTTCGTCGGCTAGGCTACGACTTCTTTCCTGCTTCATGCGAACGTTCATCCGGAGTTCGGATGTTGTTTTTCTCTCCGTTCTGCTTCTCGTTTCAGTCTGCTCTCCTTTTGCGCTGCGTGAGTTGCATCGCTGATCAGCACGATTCCTCTAGGCTCCAGTCTGACTCCGGCATTTCGCCATCGTCGCACAGGTGCTGGGTGGCAAATTTCTGCCAGTTTGTGGGCGACCGGCGTTGTCGCTAATTCCTCTTCCTCTTCCTGGGTTTCCCCCGTGGTGGTACCCCGTTTATTTGTTGACCCGTGCGACGAGGTGACCGCATTCACTTCACAAGTCGGTGCGGTGCATTCGTTTCGATTGCACACTTGAGAGCTCATGCTTGTGTAATAGATGAGGTCCGATATTTCTCAACTGCACTCCAGCTTGATGGCAATGTCGACAGTGTGCCCTTGGTACCCTTGTATGAGCATGTGCACCGACGAGGCCGAGCCATTAGCGATCAAGCCCCGCATTGATAAGCCCTCTCGGAGTTCGTAATCGCGAATTGGAACCGCAGGCGATGCCCACGCACCAGCTGATCTCGCGCTCCCCTCTCTCTCTCTCTCTCGGTCTGATCCCTCTGGAACAAGACAATTGATTCGAACATGGGCGATGTCTCTGATTCACTACCCAACGGCGCAGGAGTCGAAAAGGTCTCCAATCCGGTTGTTGAAGTGACACTCTCCCCGTCCTCGCCCTGCACGGCCGGCGACGACATTCCATCGTCATCGTCATCGTCATCGTCATCGGCCTCGACCCAACCCTCCACGCCAATCGCCGTCGGGCCCGCCGCAGCCTCCGAAACAGCGTCGCCGCTGAACCCGACCGAGCTCTTCCTCGACGCAACCCGAGGTTTCGACTCTCTGCTCAACAACCAACTCGGCGAAGGCAAACGCATCTTCGAACGCTACCCCGACTCGGCCGCGCACAACGTCGGACAGGGTATCGCCGTCTTCTTGCAAGCCGCGCTAGGGCAGGAAGATCAGGCGCTCTATGGCGCTCTCAATGCGTTGATGAAGGCCGAGACCTTGTCCACCAAGGAGGTCAATGCCAAGAGGAGTGTCGGAGCTGGGGTATATGCTCCTGGTTTAGAGTACAAGGTACGTCCGGCGAGGTGGAAAAAAATCGCGTTCGATGTCCGCAAGTGGGGCGCAGTACCGACCGACCCCGCCGCTGCGGTCACGCTCGAGCACCTTCGCAGCATGACCGGGACCAACACCAGGCTCACCTTCGCTTTCATCACCCAACAGGCTCTCGTTTCGGATGCGGTCATGAGTCAGGCCCTGTGCCATGTCCTGACCGAATCTTATGTGTCAGTCCTCCAGCGCCTCTCGGCCTGGACTGTGCACAGCAATCTTGGTGTTTTCGGAAGGCTGACTGGAACCTTGTTTTGGAATGTACAGAGAGTTCATGAAGGCCATATACAAACTCAACCGAGCATACAAAGGCTTCAAGTCCCTTTACACGGTGGGTCTGGTCTCGGAGGCCGGTGAGCGCGTGCAACTGAGCCATACCTCGTTCTCGTCCAACTTCAGGTTGTCTTTCCCGACGGAGTCAGCGAATCCGACTCGCTCGAGTATATCTTTACCAAGCTCAACTCCAACTACCTCGCCAAGACCCAAGGCGCACAAACCTCTTCAACTCCGGGGCGATTGACCCCGAACGGAGCCTCGACTCCCACCTCGGCCACCACGCCGGCCTCTTCGACCTCTTCCTCTTCTTCTCTCTCCTTCTTTGGGTCTTGGGGACGAAAGAGAGCCGATCCGAACGCAGCGGCCATAGTGGATGTCCCGTCCAACCTCTTACGGCACTCGTCCTCGGCCGTCACCTTACCCTCGCAAATCTCCAAGCTCGGCATCACCGAAGAGAAACCCAACATCAAGATCACCACCTCGACACCAGCGTCCAACTTGGCGAGTCGGAGTGCCAGTTTCGAGAACCTCAAGGGACAGAGGATCGAGCAGGGCGTCGATGGATCTCACCCCGCCCCTCTGTGGAAGGACGATCCGATCACATCCCTCGTCATCGGTGGAGCTGCTTTCGGTTATGGACTTTTCGGACTGATGTGAGCTACAAGATCATCTTTCATGAAGCTCGATCGCTCTCCGATCTAATGCACTGCACTTTGCCTGCAGCTTCTCTCTGCTGCCGCCCAAGCTGCGAAAACTCATCTCGTGGTTCGGCTTCGGCAACTCCAATCGATCGGCGGCGCTCAAACTGCTGACGGTCGCCGCCTCGACGGGCAACGACACCCATGCTGCTTTCGCATCCTTGACTTTGCTGACGTTCTATTGTGTCGTGCTGCTAAGTGGGCCATATGAGACGAGCCGCATCGGGACCATCAGCTGACGTCGCACATCTTCGATTACCCACAGTGAGTGGATGGCAGTCGGACGAGGAATACCTACTCAGTCAATGCGAGATCGTACTGGAACGCGTTATCGAGCGTTTCCCCGAAGGCACGTTGTGGATCTTACAGCGGGCCAAGATCGCTCGCATGCGCCACGACGTCCACACCGCGATCCAGGTCCTCGAGACGTCCCTGTCAAAAGGCTCGTCGTTCCGGGAAGCCGATTCGTTGCTCCAGTTCGAATTGGGGTGGTGCCTGCTCTCGGATGGGCGGTTCGTAGCTACGGCTGATTCGTTTGAAAGAATGTGCGAGTTGAACAGCTGGAGTCATTCGACCTACGTTGCGATCGCTGCGGGTGCGTTGGTCGATGATCGAAGGCTGACGGGTGGATCGGAGGAAAAGGACCAGAGGATCGAAGCGGCATTCAAAAGGCTCGAAGATCTCTTGGTCGGTGGTAAGAGCAAGAGGATGATGGGTGAACCACCGACAACAGAGACGTTCCTCAATCGGAGGCTCAACAGCTACAAGGCCAAGCATGCACGCTGGATCGAAGAAGGACGCTTGCCCAAGACGAGCAGTTACTGGGAAGCGGTGCGCATGACTTCGGCGATGGAGTTGGGCTTCGTTTGGGCGACGATCGGGGGAAGATCCCCTCCTGCGGCGATCAAGGCGCAGATCGACTACTTGGCTTCGTTGACGCCTTCGCCTGCTTTCGGACCGCATGCCCAACATCCCGCTTCGCCCTCTCCGCTGCGACGTTGCTCGACCTCGGATGATCTCGACACACTGGACGAGATCGCGACGAGGTCCTTGCTTCTAGGTGCCTTGTATCGCTCGCTCGACGACGGACCATCACTCCATATCGCGCGCGAATTTCTGCAGTCCATCACCAAGCACAAGGAAGGGATCAAGGAGGAGAAATGGGTCCCTAGTTTCGCCCTGTTCGAGCTGGCCGTTGTAGAGTGCAAGGAATGTGAGTTGGAGACGAGGAGGCTGGAGAAGGAGGGGGTGAAGAGGAAGGTCGTGGTGGGGAGGTGGAAGGATGGGTTGGGCAAGGCGGAGAAGTTGATTGAGAACCTGTTCGCGAGTGGAGAGTATGATTTGAAGAGTGAGTTTTGCGGGTTCTTTGCGAGTTGAAAAAGGGATGCGGGACTTATAGCTGATATGCCTGACTGTTGCTTTGTTCTAGGTCGTTTGGAGTCGAGGACGATGCAGTTGAGAGACGAGATTGCGGCCAAGAAGAAGAAGTTGGGGATCTGAGCAAGATTCTACCCCGTTTTATATTGTACCATCTTTGGGTTCACATGTACACCTAGACGTCTAGCGCATAAATCACCCATTTTCTTTTCCTTCCGACGAGATACAACACTGTTCTAAACGCACGAAATGTCTTCGCCTTCATGGCCACGCATACAAACTCATCCTGACCCTCCCCCCCGAATTGGCACCTCGAAAACCCCAGCCATCATGGGCCTCGCCTCCCCGAGCCGCAGGAGCTCTATGCTGTGGAGGCTGGTCGGGGATATCGTCGACTTGGACCCCTTCGGCTATGAGCCATTCCGCTTGACGCGCAACGGAGACGTCGTTCATCCGGGGGGAGATTTGACCGTTCGAACTGACGACTCGATGCCAGGGGACGAAATCTGGGTTCGGGTCGGGTTCGGCGAGGGGGGCATCGGGATCGGCGACGGCGACGGCGACGGCGTCGGCGTCGGCGTCGGCGTCGAGTGGGGGAGTTCGTTGTGGGAGATGAGGGGAGGACAGGTTACGGGGAAGGAGCTTGAGTGTTGCGCCTACGTGGCGGGAATGTTTGGGGTGGCCGATCAGGGTCGCGATCCGACCGTAGGAACTGACCTGTGTTGGACGCGGAGCAAGTCAGCTATCGTCGTAGTAGAGAGATGGTAAAAAGATCAAGAGCCGCTCACCCTTCCCTCCGGTATAGACCTGACCGCATCATACACGAGCCGATGGAAGTGCAGGTCAATCTCCACCCGAGCCGCACCGTCGCGGTGTGGGGGTGGCGTCGCGAGGCGGAGGTTTAAGTCATCCCCTCGGTTAGCTGCTGCACGTCTTGGTCGATTGACGCGCGGCATGTGGGGAGAAGAACACAGCGGTGACTTGGGATCCCTACTGATTGTACCGGGAGAGACCAGTTCGAGAGCAAGGAAAGTGATGAACCGCGCTCGGCACCTACTAATGCTCCGCAGCCGCGAGCTCTCTTCCCCGCCTTTCGTCGCCCGTTTGAGACCCGACTAGTTTGTGAAAGGGAACACGATACATATGCAAAGAATGACCGACTTACAAAAAAAAAATCCACGGCGACGGCGCTGGCAAGCACACCAAGTCTTCTCGGCGAATTGGGGTGGGGGCGGGGCGTTTGAGAAAAATGCATGCAGAAAGGAAGAGAACGGCGGCGTGTTTGGCAAGGTGCTGTTCCGGAAGATTATGCCAACACAGAGAGCAAAGTCCTGATCACCCTCTCTGCCCAAGTTAGAGCAGCGGAGGGGAAAAGCGTGGCCGCGATCACTTTTCGATGTCATGCGCACACCAAGTGGGGCTCGGTCGGCGCTGCGGCTGGTACATCGCGCTCGTCGCCGTTCGACACTTTGGTCTCTGATCACCCCGAACCTTCCTGAGCACTCGCATTTCACTTCTCCGGGCGGTGCATACCTCTAGTCCTCGAGCAACACGCTACAGCCCTTACAAGTTACCGGCTTCCCCACAACCTTGAACTTGCCCACCTCAGCTCGACCTCGGTTCTATACCCCGCACGATGACTCGGAGCGGCAAGCTACCGTCGCCGACCACACCCCTCGCGTCATGTTTGAACCTTCATGACATTGAAAAGGTCGCTCAACAGACACTCAAGCCGAAAGTACGTCACACCTTGCATGATCACTCCCAGCTGAGTCGATCTACAGCCAGCCACTGCAGGCGCCGACAACCTCAGCTCGCCGGCCCGGAGCAACCGGCCCCACTCCTTGCCTCGGCCCACCCCACTGACGTCCACTTCCCCGCACACAGAGCTGGGCTTACTACCATTCCTCCGCGGACGACTCTCTCGCCATGGAGAGGAACCGCTCTGTCTACTCGCAGATTCGCTTCCGACCACGTGCGCTGAAACCGGTCGCGCAGGTCGATACGTCGACCTATATTCTCGGCTACAAGTCCAACTATCCATTTTTCATTAGTCCGGCGGCGATGGGCAGTGCGTGTGACGAAGAGTGGATTGTTGTTGGATCGTCGGGTCTAGGTCGGGAACTGAACCTTGCTTTGATCGCTTGGTACCATTCCGCTTCATCAGAACTCGCACACGAGGATGGAGAAATCGCTCTCGTCAAAGGAGCCGCTCGAGCGGGGATCCCCTATGGCTGTTCGACCGCAGCCTCCGTAAGCCCGCTTGACATAGCAGCTGCAGGGAGCGAAGATCAGACACTCTTCTTCCGTGAGTCTTCCATACATCTTGAAGGTGGGTGATTGGATCTGACCTTCGAACCTGGATCTCCGCGGGGAACGAAAACTTTTTCCGCGTCAGAGCTCTACATGCTCAAGGACAAGCAGAGGGTCGAGATGGTCCTCGGGATCGCCAAAGCCATCGGTTTCAAAGCCATCCTATTCACAGTTGGTCAGTCGTCATTGCCTCGTTCCTTCCTGTCGGAATGTGCTGATCTCCGACACCGAGCTCGTTCTTACAGACGCCCCCGTGCCGGGCAAGCGCGAACTCGATCTCCGGACGGGCCTCGACGAGAACACGATCGTGCTCGACGAATCGGCGGGCCAGGTTGGAGAGAAGAAGTCGGCCATTGCCGAGTCATCTCAGTGAGTTATTGAGAAAGCTATCACGACAGCATGAGACCACTTCTGACCAAGGTGCTACCCCTTCTTGCGCAGACTTTTGACCGCGAACTTGACGTGGGATCTCATCGCTTGGATTAAGGAGAAGAGTGGGTTGCCCGTCGTCGTCAAGGGAATCCAGTCCTACGAGGATGCGGTGCAATGCGAGAAGTATGGTGCCGCTGCCATCATGCTGTCAAACCATGGTCAGTCCGTTGATGTCCCGAGGTGAACGCAGCGCATCTCTTTTGATCATTTTCCTCTCGCTTGATTCATAGGCGGTCGTCAGCTCGACACGTGAGTGACATGCTCCCGTTGATACTATCTGAGACCCTTCCATGCTTCTGACACTCAACTCCGTTCCTTATTTACAGAGCATCGACCCCGATCGAAACCCTCCTCGAGATCCGTCGATACGCCCCTCACCTCCTGACCTCCTCCATGCAAATCATCGTCGACTCCGGCATCCGCCGCGGCACCGACGCCGTCATCGCCCTCTGCTTAGGCGCCGACGCCGTTTCCCTGGGTCGACCGTTCATGTATTCTCTCTGTTATGGTGAGGAAGGCGTTGCGAGGTGTGCGGAGATCTTAGGGGAGGAAATTGCGAGGGCCATGAGGTTATTGGGTGTTAGGAGTGTGAGGGAGTTGGATAAGAGTTTGGTCAATACGACAAAGGTGGAGAGGTTATTGTTTGCGGAGGGGAATGTGAAGTTGAAGTTGTAATCGAGGATGGTTTTGGCACGGACATTTGTTTAGGGGTTCACTTGGTGCGTGCGTCACGTGTCAACAGGTGCGCGACTCGAATGGGGGTGATGCGTGAATACATCAATAGCTCAACGTCAAACCCAACCAAAGGATCACCTACAAGTACCCCACACCGTTACCGAATTCGACGCCCAAACGATCTGCAACAAGTCGACCTCCGCAACCACTTTACGCTTCGGGTCTGCAGAATGCATCGTCCACTGATGAGCTCATGGTGAGTCAATGACTCGACGACCAAGTTCTACTACTGTAGCGTGCCGACGCATTGTCAGAAGGGAATGTTTGGGATCCTCAATGTTAGTGTTGGAATAAATCGTGTGATTACTGATTGCGACTTTCACAGGGCCAAGGTCTTCGATGCGCAGTGGAAGATGACGATGGACAGGATCATGGGCACCGATGCGGAGAAGTGAGGTGAGTCGCTCGATGTGAGTATCTTCAGCACCCTGGGAGTGCCTATACTATCGAGTTGATACCACGTGCTCTCCCCATAACAAATGTAAATATCGCAAGTGCCCGACTGGGCCCAATCCATGGCCGGCTACTCGATTTTCGCCACTCGTGAAGAGTCCGCCGCTGCCCCTCGCTTGCTCGCAGTGCTCAACGGCAAGGGGACCTCCTCTCACAACTCGACTTCTTCCAGCTCCAAGTCGACGACCCCGTCCAAAAATTCGACAGCTCCTTCGGGAACTCGCATTCGAAGGAAGAATCTTCGCGAGGAATCGGCTTCTCCTACTACTGCCTTGGAGCCCTAAACCACTCAATGGGTTGAGTTCGGGAGTGAGTCGAGCGACCGTCACTTCTTCGTTCTGGATCGGTCTCGCACTTGCCGGGTCTATTGCGTTCTCGCAATAGTGTTCCATGTTCAATAGATCGACAAGATCGACCTAGGGACGCGTGTGTGCCCGCACTCCAGTCCTTTACGCTTCTTCCTTTCGTTTGGTTGCTGGTTCACTCCCTTGTTCGCATTTGATGTGTCCCAGTTCACCGTTTAAAGACCACTATCATTGATCGAGAATAAATGTTGACTGACTCAAGACTTTAAACGCATGTCATCGTGCCCTTGAGAACATGTTTGATTTCGTGTTTCGTCATTCTCGAGATGCCAACAGGATGGTATGGAATAGATCTAATAGGTTCCGCAAACTACACGTGGATAAATATAGCAAGAGATGGGAAGACAGTTCCCAAGAATCATGATAAAAGAGATGGGAAGACAGTCTCCAAGAATCATGATAGAAGAGCTAGAACCACTTCCGAATGCCACGGGCAAAGCCGTGATCTACTTGGGTCTGTCACCCTTGCATTTTGAACATGACCAAACCGGTAAGAGCAATAATATAGCCAAATATTTGAGTCCCGGTGATGGATGAACCGAGGATGAAGTAACTTCCAGCGATGAGCAGGATCTGAAGGAAGGGGGAAAAAATCTGATCAGCATCACGCGTTCCTTGGAACGAGGAGAGCTGCCATAGAGTCTTACATCTTTAAGTACGCCAGAGAGCGTCAATACCAAACCACTTGCTTTCCCGATCAACCACACGGATGTCAAGTTGAGAGCGAAGGTCATGCAAGCACTGCGGGGAGCAAAGGGGGATCAGCTCAACCGACGCTCACAAGTGAAGGGCACTGGCTCGAATGATGTTCGGGGACTCACTTTCCCAACAGCATAGGAATGCCAACTTTCTCGATCGCATCAGAGAAGACGGAGAACCCTTCAACAGGCAAGAGGATGATCGAGTTGATGACGAGGCAGACGGGGGCGAAGTAGTACAACGAGGTCAGAGGGTCAAGACCCATGCCTATTTGAATTGAAGAAGCACATTATCCGAGGTCAGCACGAATTACGGAGTATCAAGGCGGAGCCATAGCTTGTACCTTGGAGCAAGATTTGGACGAGCACAAGTCGGCACGACTCGATCGCGATAGCTAGAGCCTACCGGAACACAAGTCTGCGTCAGTTCGGAGCGTCCCATCCTCCCAAGATGATACAAAAGCTCACCTGTACGAGGAACCCAATCATCTCGAATTCAATCTCGGCGAACGAAGCGATTGCCACGCCCAATGAGATGGCCCCGACGATCCCCATGATCTTCCTGTTGAGTTCTTTCAGACCGAAAGCCGCCGAGACAAGCAAGACGGATACTGGGGTGAAGGCCTTGATCCTGTAATAAAAAGGTGTGACAGAGCGTAAGTAGTAGGTAAATGCCCAGCAGTAGCGAGAAGCCCCCTGCATACATTTGAATGAAGCTAACGGTCAATCGCAGGTAGACCCAGTTCGAGAGCACGAGCGAGGCGGAAAAGAGCGCGCCGACGGGGACGATTTTGCGAATGAAGACGTCGCGGTTCATCTTTCCTGTCGCTTCGAGTTCCTTGGCCTTGTCGACGAGAGGCGTATATCTGCGTAGAGCACGAGTCGCAAGTGTTTGGAACTGTGGTTTGGCGGCCGAGGACGAACAATGCGAGTCAGACGGCCCTCATCCACATCAAGAAGAATGCCGACGAGATGCATCGATGACGTACAGTCAAGTGAACTGTTGTCAAAGCCTGTAAGACATATCAAGAGCCTCAGCCAACAAATTCGCGGCTCGGTCGTGAAAGTCTTGCCGACTTACGACAGGGTGGTTGAACTTGAGGTCGTAGAGGATGTACTTGTTTTGGAGGATGATGAAGGAGGATGTACCGATCCAGCAGACGATTCTGTGCGGCGACATGACTTGGTAGTCAGACCTAAGCCAAGTGTGAGTCGATCTCGGGGAAGAATTTACGGTACCCAAGCCGGGAGCCTCTGCCAGAGCGGTCGATCGAGCTGTTGCTGCTGCTGCAGCTGCGGGTTGTTGGGCTCCTCGTCGACCCTCTTGCGATCGAACTTGAGGGCATTGACCTCCCTCAACGGACGCTGGTTGAAGGGCAACTCGCGTTCACTCTCTTGGAAATAGCTCGTGAACGAGAAGCCACCCGCGGCGGCTCCTGCGCCGCTGCCTCCCGCCTCGTTGCCGTTCGAGTTGAAGGCCATCACTGGATCCGAGCAGGGCTGGCTCGTCGTGCAGGGCGCTGATGGTTGGGGTTCGAGTGTCGAAGCACCGGCTCTTGGAGGGGATGACGACGGCGAGGACGCCAATAGACTGCGGAAAGTGTGATCGGCGGGTCAGTTTACAGTCCGTGCAGTCTCGGTCAGGTGGGAGCGAGCGCCATCTGGGGAGAAGCAAGCACGAGGCCGGCCGCAGCACGGGCGCCCGAGACTGACGGGATGTTGACGACTGCGCTCGACGAGTCCTGTGGTGGATCCAGCTTGAACAGAGCACACGAGATATCGCGCACGGGTCCGACGGTCGCGAGATCGGGTAGGCAGGCACACCACCAGAAGGGAGAAGGTTCCGAGGAGCGCGTGAACGCGTGAACGCGTGAACGCCGACAAAGTCCCGAACACGTTCAACATTCGCACGGACCGCTTGTCGAACGTGCCTGAGAAGAGATCACCCACGGTGGCCCTGCACCTGGGTTCTCCAGTGGTGTCACTGTTTTCATCGATTCACGCTGGCAGTATACAACACAGTCGATTGCAACCGTACTCCCGAACAAAAATTAGAGCTTACACAGGCGAAACTCTGCCGAAACCGGACAAGCGCTGCAAAATCGTGCGCAGCTCACACAGCACACCACATCTTGAGCCAGAGCGAACAGCAATACAGAAACCCGAACGGGGCTCAGTTGAGGTATTTGCGGCACAGCGGGTGGCCGCACAGGCAAGGAATCTTGACCTCTTCATGAGGGAAATGATAATCTGAAGAAAAAGTCGTCAGCGATAATTTTCCGATCCTGATTCGAGGCAAGACGCGTCCACTGACCATAAGTGACTTCTTCGCCCGGCTCAATGTCCGTCTTAGCGTAAATGACAATCTTCTTGACGCTGTTGATGGTAATGATCTTGGCCGTGCAGTTGGGCGCGCAACAATGGTTGATCAAGCGGCTGGGTGCAAAAATGTGTGAGTTGTCGGCCGTAAATGAGGACACAGCGAGCAGCGGGAACTCACCCTAGGTTACCCTTCTTCGTCGCATCGACCACCAAATCATCATCGACTCGGAAAAGGTAACTACTACCGATACCTTGCCTCTCGTACGCCTTCTCACGACGATCGGCAACTTGCTGGCGGATCAATTCTCCGACATACTCGATCACCATTTCGCCGGCGGGGATGTGTCTATAAGTCGCCGGCGACGACTAGTCAGCTCAATCATTCGTGCCTGGTGATCGGCAAGCAAACTTACTCGAGTGCAAAGAGACCATAACCTTCGATGCCCGAACGCGAGAACGTGAGCTGCTTCTTGCGCGTCCTCAACTGGTTGAACTTGAGCACGTCCGTATCGGTCTCGGTGACCTTCTTGTGCAACTCCATACCGCGGACCAGTCCCCGCACATTCGCGCGAGCGGACCTTGACACTGAATGCCCCGATGTCAGCGTAGGAGCAACGACACCATCCGTCGCAGCGACTTTGGTCTTGCTGCCCGTGTAAGCCGGTCGATTCGCCATCTTCTCCGCGACCGACACTTGGTAGTAGCCTTCCGTCTTGGCGGCACCGGTCGTGTGGACTTTGCGCACCGGGATCGGCTTCTCCTTGATTGCTGCGCCCTCTCCTTCGCCCTCGTCTTCCGAAGTAGGAGGGGTGGGGTGCATCGCCGCCCCAGCTCGCACACGCTCGATCGCCATCTTGACGTAGTAGAGATCCTCTTCGTCGGCCGCCAAGCCATCCTGCCAAGGGTCGAGAGGGATGAGGCGTTCAGCAGCGCGTCGGACGTGCCAGACCTTCTCGGCGCGACGTTCGCTTCGGGCGTGCTTGCGATCGGCTTTGGCCTTCTTCCACAAAGCAAGCTGCACTGGCGTCGGGATCGGGTTGAGGTACGCGGAGGAGTACAGCTCCGGCTTGGAACTCTTCGACCATGATGCGATCGGCTTTCCATTGGCCGCGTGACGAATGCGCTCAAAGTTGGCGGAGACGCATTTCTCGGTGAAGTCGGAAGAAATGGGGCGGAGGCTTTCGAGCGCAGAACTGAGCGCCGCGTACAGCGTCTCGCGGGCACCGGCGAACTTGCTGCTGGTCTGGCTAGACGTGTCCTGATGACCCCTACGCGCGAGTCGGTTCTGGGCAGAAGGTCCGCGAGAGTTGGGCGGAGCATGAAGCTCAGGCGAGCGAAACTCGCGGTTGCCGAGCTCGGGGCTACCGTTGCGAGTCGATGCAGCGTCAACGTCGACATCCTGGACCACGGGGACAGCAGCGTCGAGCGCCGGAGTTACAATGTCAGCCGTCGAAAGACGTTGCTTCGCCTCCTCGTCCTCGGCTTCGTCTTCACTGCTGGTGTAGTCGAATTGCGTCCTCTTGGCTTTGTAAGCCGCTGGAACTTTTCCTTTGGTTCTCGGCATGGCGAGTGCCTTCTTCTTAGTCGGCGACGAATTGGCGATCTCCTCGCGCTGGCTGTCGTCGGCATCGGAGTCAGAGTCGGTCGGCTTTGGGCGCAGGGTCTTTGATTTGCTGTGTTTACTCGGCGAGTTGACCGATGCGTGCACACTCTCGCTATCGGACTCTGATGCCGAGGCCGAGGGAGAATCTGAACTTGCTCGCGAAGAAGCTCCGCGGAACACACGTCCTGCCGGCGCTGCGGCAGTGCGTTTGGCTTCCTCTGGAGGTGGCTTGACGCGCCGAGAGAATGAAGGCAATGTCTTGAGCGCCGAGGTAGTCACCGAAGCGGTCGTAGGGATCGCCGTCGGCACGATAGATCGAAGAGATGATGCTTCCGGCAAAGAGGCTTCTTCCTTCGGCTTGACAGGGGTAGACGGAGCGCTCGTAGCATGCACCACCGTCGTCGACTCCCAACTCGCGACATGCTCGACGATCTTCGGCATAACGATCCGGCTCTTGAGGTCTTTCTGGAACGCTTCCAAAAGATCCTGAACAACGATGTCGCGCGCCTCCTGGAGCAGCTCTGCATCGGACCAGCTCGTCTTCTTCGGCTTCGCAAGGGTGGCGTGTGCGTTTGACGGAACACTGGCAAGAGCAGAAGAAGTTTTGGGTCGACTCGGAGACGTCGCATTGCTCGTTACGGCGTCGTGAAGTTTGAGGTCGAGAGGGCCAGCGATAAAGATTCGCCCCTGGCCGTGATCGTGCGCGCGTTTGGCGCCGGTCATTGAAGTGAATGTGACGAACCACGCATCTTGAGTCGAGAGCGTCTGAGAGCCAGGAATGGAGGGTGGCCCGTCAGAAGCAGGGTAATCACTTGTCACTTGCAGGAATAACTTACGCGATCGAGTCCAAACCGGTCAAACACCCCTTCAAGCTCTCGGGCGTTCATCTCGGCCCCACGATGGAGTCTGCGCGCCGCGGCAAACTTCTTCTTGTCGATCGACACAAACGCATGACCATTTGCAGCTAGAGCTTCTTGCAGCTGTCGCTCGGTGGCCATGAAAGTGAGCGGCGTCTGTCGAGCATCACGACTCTGGAGTAGGCCACTCGCACGACTCGATTTGACGGGCGAGTAAACGACATCGAGTCGATCATCCTTCTCTTCGTCGTCGTCGTCCCCGTCGCGCCTGAGCCCCTTGGCTTGATTCTGCTTCATGCGCTTCTTGGCTTGCTCAATCACGTCTTGAACGCTGTACGACGAGAAGCGGCCGCGCTGCTGAGCCGGCGAGATCGGGTTCATCGAGCGAGCAGGCCCAGGTCGACTCGGTAACACAGGTGCAGCTCCGTTGGTTCGAGGCTGAGCGAACGACCAGGCCGAAGCTTTGGGTGGTAGTGCGGGATGATTGATAGGCAACATGGGCGGTGGTGGCGGTGGCGGTGGGGCATCGGAAGATGGAGGCAAAGCATTGGCGTTCGCAGCTCGAGGCGTAGACGTGGAGCTGGACGGTCGAGTCTTGGCATCGAGTGCGGTACCTCCTGCTCGCGCCGAGCTCGATGTAGGAGCAGCTGCTGCAGGGTATCGCAGCTTGAGCTCGGCATCATACGCCGCCCTGCACTTGGACCCGTCCTTGTCGATGACGACCTTGATACGCGAGCCATCGAGCAGCATCCTCATCCCAACCTGCGACCCGTTCCCCTTTTCGACCGCGTTCACCGCAGAGGCATTCCCATTCTGCGCCTTGCCCGCCTTAAGATTGGCCTGATACTGCTTCTTGACCTTTTCCTCGGCATCGGTCATGGGGCAATCATCGACGTATTTGATCCAGCACATGCCGAGATTGCCTCCCGTACGTCGATCGATCTTGACATCAAGAGTTTCGATGCGACCATAGAGCACAAACGACTTGCGTAAATCTTGTATCGTCGTTTGCGAAGGGAACCCAGTGACGAGAACCGCCGAGGGTGCTCTCGAAGGCGCGGATCCGATCGAGTTGTTGTCCCACTGCGAGCTCGCGATGGGTCAGCAAAAATCAAGCGGTCTGAATGATATTACCAAGACTGACAAGATAATGCAGCCGCCTCAGGGGTCGCTTTGCGCGCTCAAGAGCTTTCGCGCGACGCTCGATTGACTCGGTATCCTCGCGTCGAGGGTCCGTCACGTGACTCGCATCGATGCCTTCGCCGTCGTAGCGCGTCAGCACCTCCTTGCCTTTCTTGCTCTTGTCGGTCTCTGGGTCGTACAGCACAAAGTAGTCCTTTGCCCCCAAGGGCTTGTAGTGGAAAGGTACAATCGGTTTGCGAGGACTGCTCGGCTGCGTCGTGCGAACTGGCTTCGCAAGTGCTGTCGACGAGGCGCGCTTCTCGGGGGAGACGGGCGTCTTCGACGACGAGGTCACCTTGGGATCAGATGATTTAGATGGCAGAGGCAGGGGTGCGGAGGGTCTTCCTCGGGGTGGTGACCGGTCACGATCTCGACGGGAGGAGGAAGCGGTCGGTCCCGGCGTCAATGAGTCACGGTCTCGGTCATCTCGGGGACGGGTCGATCGTCGATCGTCGTGTCGGTGATAGGAATCGGATCGCCTTCGCCGCGGGGGCGTGTAGGAACGCTCCCTTCGACTTGAGTAGTAATCATCATCTCGCGAGTAACGATACCGACGGTCGTCGTCGTAGTCGTCGTAGTCGTCGTAGTCTCGGTCTCGGTCACGGTCTCGGTCTCGGCGATCGCGGTCCGACGGGTGGTAGCGACGCGAGGATGGCGGTGGGGGTGAGCGCGACGAGTAACGCCTTCCGCGGCGGTCGCGATCATAGTCCGAATCGTAGACGTAAGGATCATCGCGGTAGTCGTCCCGGTAGTCGTCCCGGTAGTCGTCACGGTAGTCGTCACGGTAGTCGTCGCGGTAGTCATCTCTGTAGCGTGACCTCTTGGAAGGGCGGTAGGGCGAATAGCCTTCGGACGGGGACCGCTCCCTCCGACTGGACTGGCGCAGTGGAGGCGGCGATCGCGAGTCACGGTATCGCCTCGATACGGGGGGCGAGCACGACGGCGACCTGCGCGACGAGGCCGACGGTGGAGGAGGTTTACGCGCGGACGAAGGACGTGAATCTGCTGAGGCCACATCGGAGCGAGAAGTTCGAGGTCCGGCGGAGGAGGCGCCATTGAGGCCAGGGGCGGCTGTCCGAGTTTCAGATCAAGCAGCCAGCGCGTTCGAGCGAGCGACCGAGAGAGCACGAGACAAGAACAAGTCAGGACAGCCACAGTGGGAAGACTCCGAGAGGTCAGCAGGCTCATCGGAGACCATAAGGAATCTTTGCCTGCATATTTGAGCCAAAAGGAGACCTACCCGGGACTGTGGTGGCTGCAGTAGCCGACCGATTCGCGCTCGAGGCTGAACGCGCCTCGCTCGTCGTCGCGGCCGCCGTGGGGGTGGTCTTCGCCGCGGTAGTGGATGTTGCGGCAGCAGTCGAGGGTCGAGAACGCGTGGATGAGCTGGATGAGGATCTGCGCCGTCGGGATGTCGAGGCCACCGGCCGCCTCTCGTCCTCAACGAAGGGTGCCGGTTTGGCTGGCAGCGACGCGAGCCCACCCAAGCTCATCCTGGCTTGAGGTAGAGACAACCCTGTACCAGATCAGGGATGATACCTCTCCAAAGGTGGGCCAACCTCTTTCTTGGACCTCACTCCGGCAGAACAGCCAAGTGCGAGACCCTGAACGGCACCGCAGGCACTGGTCGTGTGTGGTCAAGCACAAGGCCACAGCGCCGCCGAGCCGAACGATATTCAGTCGCGCGCCGAGTGGGATTCGAGCAGATTCCGGCCGCGTCGGCTTGGCGTTCTGCGAAACGTAATACATAAGAGAAAAAACCCGGCTCTCCTGTCCCGTAAGGGTTCGATCACTTTTATATCCTTGATCAACACGTTCTTGACATCTTTACTAATTTCAAAATAAGGGGGAAAATCTACACCCCCTAACCCCAAGTTTCTACCTCCAAAGTCCTTTCCGGCGACATGCTGGCAATGAACTCTAATCCAATACGTTTAGTTGACCCACTGTCGAGCGTTTTCAAAGATACACATCCAAGGGCCCCTTCCTTGCCATGTCTTGGCCTCTCCGACCGGGTACCAACTATTGCTCTCAGTCGTGACGACGCGTTCAGGGTGAGGCATCAACGCCAACACGCGGCCTCCGAGCGCCTCGACACCCGCCACGCCTTCGGGCGATCCATTCGGGTTGAAAGGGTACACCTCCGTTGGCTGGCCGTGCGAATCGACGTAGCGTAACGAGATCGTTTTGGATCTGGTCGCTGTTGCACCAGCTGCCCAGGTCGCTCGACCTTCTCCATGGGCGACCGCGACGGGCAAGACGGACCCGTTCATTCCGCGCAAGAAAACGGATTCTTCACCGTGGTTCGAAGCAACCTCGACCATCGAGACGCGGCCTTCGAATCGACCGGAGACGTTTTGCTTGAACAGCGGCCACTCCTCGGCTCCTGGGATCAACGACTTGAGCTGGCCGAAAAGTTGGCAACCGTTGCACACGGCCAACGCGAACGTATCCTGGCGTTGCTGGAAGAAGGCCGTGAACTCGTCGCGCGCACCTTGGTGTAGGAGAATCGATTTCGCCCATCCGTTGCCTGCACCGAGAACGTCACCGTACGAAAACCCACCGCATGCTGCGAGACCCTTGAAGTCGGCGAGAGTGACCATACCCGAGATGATATCGGACATGTGCACGTCGATCGCGTTAAAGCCAGCGGCGTGGAACGCCCATGCCATTTCGATGTGGCCGTTGACACCTTGTTCTCGCAAAATCGCAACCTTGGGTCGATCGTTAAGCGTCGTGCCGAGCGAAAGGTAAGGGTCCGCGACATTCTTTGTCGGGTCGAAAGCGAGCTTGTAGAAGAGGCCCGTGTTGGACTCGTCGACGATGTTGTCGAACTCCTCCTGCGCACCTTTGGGGTCGTCGCGAAGGGCTTGCATCTTGTACGACGTCTCGGCCCATGCTCGCTGTAAGTCGGCACGCGTCGACGACCACAGCAAAGAGCCCTCGGCGGCGATGCTGATCGCTTGATCCGAACTGTCGACTCAGTTGAAAACTTCTGTCAGATCCCAGGCCGAGGTACACAATGTATGATCATCAAGCCACAAGGCACTCACCGATCAATAGCGACGCGACCAATGACGTGAATCGAAGTGGAAGGGAAGCCACTCTTGATAAACGCCGAGCTTAATGTCGGTGCGTCCGATTGTCTAATCTGGACAACGGCACCCAACTCCTCGTTGAAGAGCGCCGCAATGGGCTCACCTTGACCCCTGAACGAATCAACCATGATTTCAGCTCCGACACGTCCAGCGAAGCACATCTCGACCACGGTCGTGAAAAGACCACCGTCGGAGCGATCGTGATACGCGAGCACCACCTCGGGGTGGTGCTTGCGAATGTTCTGACAGCCGTTGAAGAAAGCCTTGAGAATCGCAGCGTCTTCGACATCGGGTGCCTCGGAACCAATTTCCTTGAAGACCTGGGCCAAAGCCGACCCACCAAGGCGTTGCTTGCCTTTGGCCAAGTCGAAGAAGACCAAGACGGTAGGCTCGTTCTGGTCGGTGCGGAGCTCGGGGGTCCACGTCTCTCGGATCGACGCGACGGGTGCGAAAGCGGTAATGATGCACGACATGGGTGCAGTGACGGTCTTGCGAGAACTCGTCTCGGCATCGTTCCAACCCATCGACATCGACATCGAGTCCTTACCGACGGGGATCGCAAGTCCAAGCTTGGGGCAAAGGTCCATACCGATCGCCTGAACGGCTTGGTACAAGCCTGCGCCTTCGTTCTTGTACGATGCAGCGCACATCCAGTTCGCACTGAGCTTGACGCGCTCGAGCGAGTCGACCGAGGCCGCGGCGAGGTTCATGATGGATTCAGCAACGGCCATCTTGGCCGAAGCAGTGGGAGACAGCAGGGCGAGAGGTGTCCGCTCACCCATCGCCATCGCCTCACCAGTGACAACATCGAAGCCATACGAGGTTTGCGTGACCGCGACATCCGCGACGGGCGCTTGCCAGGGCCCGACCATCTGGTCTCGAGTGACGAGACCCGAGATCGTACGGTCACCAATGGTTATGAGGAACGACTTTGACCCAACGGACGGTAAATGCAACACGCGATCCACGGCTTCGCTAATCAATTCCCGCGGCGATTCAGCCAGCGACGGAAGGTATGAACGCAGTGTCGAGTCAAAGGGACGGAGAGTGGGTCGAGTCGTCTCGGATCTTCGAGCCATCTTGGGCGGCTTGCCGAATAGGACCGACATCTGCAAGCGAATTGCATCTTGACCCAGCAATCGGTCGGTGACGACCAGTTCTTGGGCCTCGGTCGCGACACCGACGATGGAGTAAGGGCATCGTTCACGCTTGGCGATGCTTTCGAACTGGGCAATGTGCTCAGGTCCGACGGCGAGTACGTATCGCTCCTGCGACTCGTTGCACCAGATCTCCATCGGCGACATGCCCGGATCATCGATGAGGACGTCGCGGATCTCGAAGATGGCGCCGAGGTCGGCATCGTGAACAAGTTCGGGCAAGGCGTTCGAAAGACCGCCGGCGCCGACATCGTGAACGGACTGAATTGGGTTCTGAGGTCCGAGTGCAGTGCAGCTGTCGAGCACTTGCTGGCAGCGTCGTTGCATCTCGGGGTTCTCGCGTTGCACGGAAGCAAAGTCGAGGGCGGCGGAGCTTGAGCCCGAAGCCATCGACGAAGCGGCACCACCACCGAGTCCGATGAGCATGCCGGGTCCTCCCAGAACAATCAAGTGAGCACCCGGCGTAATCTTGTCCTTGAGTGCAAACTCGGGTCGAACGGTACCGAACCCTCCTGCAATCATGATGGGCTTTTGGTACCCTCGGACCTCGGTCTCTCCTTGCTCGATGGCGGGTACCTCTTCGGCGAACGTGCGGAAGTAACCCGTGAGTCCCGGTCGACCGAACTCGTTGTTGAATGCACTCGAGCCGAGGGGGCCCTCGATCATGATGTCGAAAGCGCTGGCGATGTGGGCCGGCTTGCCGAAATCGGTCTCCCAAGGTTGCACAAAGTCGGGGACGAGCAAGTTCGAGACGGTGAAGCCGGAGAGACCGGCCTTGGGCCTCGAACCACGTCCAACAGCGCCCTCGTCACGAATTTCTCCACCAGAACCAGTTGCAGCTCCGGGGAAGGGAGACACAGCCGTCGGGTGATTGTGCGTTTCGACCTTGATCAGGATCGGCATCGCTTCCACCTTGGCCGAGTAGACTGACATCTGGGCGTTCTCCGAAGCCGGTGCGGCCGCAAATCGGGGGGCCGACGAGCCCTCAATGACGGCAGCGTTGTCAGAATATGCCGAGATGGTGTGCTGAGGGGTAATGTTGTGCGTGTTTCGGATCATCGCAAAGAGCGAATGGTCCTGCGCGGCGTCGTCAAGGGTCCATGCGGCGTTGAAGATCTTGTGTCGGCAGTGCTCCGAGTTGACCTGGGCAAACATGAAGAGCTCGACATCGGTAGGGTTGCGCCCCGAAGCAGAGGAAGCGACAAAGGCATCGACGAGATAGTCGAGCTCGTCGACGGCGAGAGCCAAGCCGAGTTCCTGATTCGCCTTGATGAGAGTCGTCTTCGCCTGTTCTCGATCTGCCGAAGCCGACTTGTCCCCGAGAATATCAATCGTTCGGAGTGGCGCGGGTGAGCCCCGCTCGAACATGGACTTTGCGGCCGGCTTGGAGTCGAGTAGGAGCTGGGTCATGCGGTCGTGAAGATGATGAGCCACGGGCGCGAGGTCGGCGACGGTGAGAGAGCCGCTGGCGCGGAAGACGAAAACGATGCCACGCTCGATGCGTTGCACGACGTCTGCGAGCTTGCACATCCGGGCGATGTCGGTCGCCTTGCTGGACCAGGGCGAGATGGTCCCAGCGCGAGGAGCGACGAAAATGACCGAGCTCGACGGAGAAGTGGTCGAAGCTTCAGCCGACGAGCCCGCCAAGGCCGCCGCTACGGCATCCCGAGTCCCCTCGAGAGCGTAGTCATCGCCGTAGTCGAGCAAAGTCTTCAAGATGGCCCGCTCGGAAGAGGACTCGGAATCGAGCTTGAGCGCGGCGTCGTCCGACCGGGCGGCGACGTAGTGAACGTAGACGGCATCGACCGACACGAGCGAAGGCAACGCGATCGACAAGCGATTGAACAGAGCCGAGCGCTGGTTGGGGTGGAGCAACGAAGCACCGGGGAAAGCCAGCATCTATGTGAATCGGTAGCGTAGAGGAGAAGCACCGAGGCCGAACAGCGGAGATGAATGGCAGGGTAGCAGTTCCAGGACGGGAGCCGGAGACGAAGGCGGTTGCGAAGGGGAAAGGGGTGGGGTGGGCACCGAGTGTCAGTGCCTACATCGAGCGCCGCAGTCTAGGACCACCGTGATCGCTCTCAGTAGCTGACCTTGCTCAGACCCAAGGTACAGGCTCGAAGGTGACGAGGCTGGTGAAGATGATGTAGCTGCCTCGAGTCGATCTAGCCAGTGCGAGGCTGTAGCTGCCACTAGCTGGGCGCAGGCTCGGCCCAGAGTCAGTCCAAGGACCAATCGCCGTGGAAGCACAAGTATTGAGGCTCACAAGATGATCTGATCGTCTACCGAGTAGGAGTCGAGAAGTACCCCCCTCCCCGAATCCACAGTACAGCGTCGAGAGCACGAACGCGACTCGTCGAGAGACTACTAAGTACCGAGGTGAGGACCACCGACCGACGACTTGGCGAGTCAACGACTTAAAGCTCAACGTGCGCGGCAGTGCGCGGCGACGAAATCACCGCAGGGAGCGTGGGCCTGCGTGGGCACGGTCCATCCAGTACAACGGTCCAGCACCATCATCGCGTCGCCTTCGGACTCGTCAATCTTTTCTGCCGATATCGAACCATGGTACATTATACAGCAACTTGCAGAAGGAATATGCCACGAGAAATGCAACAGCTATGGCATCGCTTGATTCAGGACGCCTGAAAACCCACGATAGGATTTTCCAATCCCGGTCGATGTCCTGCATCTGGGTTACCCTTCCTTTATGATTCTTGTACACCTCGTAACAGTCCCTCGTCTATTGAGTTGACTAACAGACATGCTTCGTCTACATCTACTTCTGCGCCGGCTTGCCCTTGGTCGTCGAGGCGAGCGCTTTGGCAATGTTGAGCGCGTTCGTCGGGTCAGAGGCGGGTTTGACACCAATGTCTTGCTCGGCCAAACGTCCGCCCTTCTCAATCACCCAGTGGCACCGTCTGAAACGGGATCGAAAGAATAGTCGTAAGTGTCATTTGAACCTCGCCTTGGCCCTGGAACGCTGACCTACTTCTTCGCATCGGTGGCGCCCAGACGAGACAACAGCTCCTTCTTGGGATCCGACAACAACGTGTACGGAAGGTTCTTGGCCTTCTTCCAGTTCATCTGAGCACCCGGCTTATCCGTCGAGAGCCCGACGACTTGGAAGCCGAGCTCGATGAACTCGGCGTGGATGTCACGATAGCCGCAAGCTTGGTTCGTGCAGCCCTGGACGTCAGTGAATGGAATGTCAAAAATCGTGATGTCAGTCTCACGACGACGTGGAGGGAGGCGCGTGCTTCGTCGGGACAGGGTGACCATCCGACCATCGTTGATGTTCTTTGACGTGTCCCAGCGTTGTCCTCTCAGAAGTGGTGTAACTCACGGGAGTGTTCGCTCGAGGGTACGAAAAGATGACAAGTCTGCATTCCCCGGAGTCAATCGGAGCATTGGTCACGGGGCACAGGAGAGATAGTCAGCGGTCAGAACGAACGAGGTACTGTTGAACAGTCACATATTGTGTAGAAGACCGGTGTCGTAGCTTACCCGCTGGCATCATACAGGGACTTGAGTGACACCGGAGAATCGTTCTCTGTGGGGTCCATGCCAACACCGGAGAGGTTCTTCAGCAAACTTGTGCCGCGCACTCCAAGGCAAACACCCGACCTAAAGTCGAACCGACCATCCTGGAGCACGATGTCCTCAATTATGTCGTTGCGCTTGTAGACGCCATCCTTCTTGGCCTTTTTCGCAGCGGGTTCGGCCTCCTCGGCGGCTTGCTCGGCCTCACCAGCCTGGCTAGCCTTGCCAGCGCCAACCTTGCTTGCCTCGGCGTCCTTGGAGGTCAACTGGGCCTCTTCTCCCTTCTTGTCCTTTGTACCGTTGGACGAGGTTTTGGTTTGCTCTTCATATTTGGTAGGGGAGCTGGTCGCACCACCGGTACCTCCTAGGCTTGAGCGCGTCGAACGGCGGGCGTTAGCCTCGGATGAAACGGGGAGAGCAGCCGACGAGTCTGCTGTCGAAGTCGAAGGTCGCTTGGGTGCCATGGTTGAGGAGCTGGGGTAGGTCTCTGCGGTGTTGTCGGAGGCGGGTGGGTGAAGAAAGGGCCCGGGGAGTCGAGGCTGCCCAGGTGGGGGTCAAACTGCCGGATCTCGTCACGGCGTCACGTTAGTTCCCGTCACGCCGCATGGTCCCAATCCATGTAATCTACCGCGGCTGATAATCCGGAGCCCCAAGCTCCATTCTGAGAAATCAATGTTCTCTCATACGAATCACTGTGCGTTCAAGACATGGTTTCAATCCGAAACCCATATCCAAGATTCTTCAGGCACCGAAACAACCGTCACTGCTCGACTCCACACGAACCCACTACATAATATTATGACGATAGTTCCGAGACAAACTAGGAACACAATATCAGAAATTAAAGTATAGTCTTCTCCTCTACAGCCTCACGAACGGAGTCGTACTACCAAACGCTCTCCCGGATCTTGAGCCAGGCGTAGCCCAAGTGACCCTTCTCCGCCTTGAGCAACCTCTTCTCCTCAGCATCCTGAGCCTTGACCGATTGACCTTCACCGACACCCCAGACGGCACCGGTATCGAAGTCGCATTCGAGTAAGGGGACCAAAAGCGGGCGGTCGGACTTGATCCAGAATTTATGCCAGATGCAGTAGCCGACAAAGAGGATGATGAAGTAGACGAGGCCGATGTCTGCGCGCAAGAGAAGACCGACCCACGCGCTTCAGCCCATTGCGATACACACTGGACCATTTGCACCATCACTCGTCACTCACAGACTGCGACAAGGTCTTGAGCCATCTTTCCATCCTCGTATGTCGTCGCGGCCCAGCCTTGGGCACCAAACATCGCAGCTCCCAACACGATCGCCAAGACTAGATCGGCACACGTTCAAAAACCTGGTCAGCTTCCATACCTATCACCGCATCTCAGCAAACTCACTCGGTAGCAGAGGTCCGAGAGGAGCACGATACGGGAGGTCGGAAACGTCCCGACCCTGTGCCTTGAAAGCGGATCGGAAGCGGAGGTTGATCGCCGCGATCGAGATCCAGGTTACCAAACTCAAGATGCCGGTGATGGAGAGAAGCCAGGTGAACGTTGCGCCCGTACCGATCGCCGAAGTGAGGAACGTCAGGAAGGAGATGAACAAGGTGAGGAGCAAAGCAGGAATGGGCACTCCTCGCTTCGTCGTCCATCCCATGATGGCAGGCGCCTTGTTCTCGCGGGCGAGGGCGGTCATCATTCGAGATGACGCGTAGAAGCACGAGTTCGTGGCGGACAGGACGGCCGTGAGGAGCACCGCATTGACGACGTGAACTGCAGCGCCAAAGCCTGCTTGGCGGAAGACGGTCGTGATGGGACTAGCAGCGACGTCCGAGTTGTCGTAGGCCGAGAAGAGTGAAGGGTCGTTGCGGTTGATGCACAATCCGACGACCAAGACGGTCAAGACGTAGAAGAGGACAATTCGGATGAAGGTCGCTTTGATCGCACGAGGAATGCTCTTGTGAGGGTTCGCACTCTCACCAGCGGCAAGGGCCACGAGTTCGACACCTCCGTAACTGTAGAAAGCGAAGGTGAACGACTTGGCGACACCGGAGAAGCCATCGAAGAATGGTCCATCACGGAAGTTGCTCAGGCCGGGACCGGGATGCCCGATCACTCCGCCCCAGTCGTATATTAGGCCTACGATAATGAAGAGCACGATCATGATAACCTTGATGAGCGCGAGCCAGTATTCAGACTCTCCCCATGCCCTTGTGCCGAGGCAGTTGAAGGCAAAGACGGGCAAGATGACTGTGGGCGAGCGAGTTGTGTCAGGACAGGGGCCACCGCTGAATCGTCGACAGGTGAAGTACTTACTGATGAGACTCCACTCCCACGTCTTGAGCTTGTCGGTCCAATAGGATAATCTTGATTAACACGGGTGGGGTGTCAGACAGGTGTCTTCGTCACAGCGAAACATGACAGGGACGACCTTTGGCCACCACGTACATGATCGAGGCGGCGATGAGCTCGGAAGGGATGGAGAAGGACCATTGCAACCAGTAGGACCTTATGAAGTTTGGGTAGATCATAGACTCAGCCCTTGCACAGTGACAATCCGGGCGAAACCACTATTTACCATCCCAGCGTAAATCCAAGAGCGGGCGAAACGAAGCGCGAGCCAAAGGTCGAGAAAGCGCCCGAAACGGGGATCAAACTCGCCATTTCACCCAGGGTAAGGACGACGGCGAAGCAGAAGATGCCTGGAAGAGAATGTAGAAATTGTTAGAGGCAAGCGTGTCAATGATTAGGCGCCCCGCAATCTCTTGCGTTGAGGCCGTATCATCCCCACCTCGTCACTGATAGACTCACCGACGAGGATGTAGGCGACTAGGGCACCTCCGGCACCACCTGTCGCGACGACGGATCCAAGACTGAAAAAGATGCCCGTCCCTGTGGTCCAGGAAACATCCGGTCAGTTGCGTGCTCATTCCCAATCAAAAGTTAAGCGTGTCCGTGTGCGATTGCCCCTCGGCGAACCCGAAACATCTTGAGCAGCTGCGGGTGGGTCGTCTCGGGTCGACCGCCCCGTTCGATAAGAGCCAGCGCCAACCTGCCTCACCAGCGCACACAGCACGGACACGCAGAATGACTCATTCATATACAGGAACTAACCGATAGTTCCTCCAATCGCAACAAAAGACAAATGCCTTGGCTGCAGCGTCCTAGGCAATGGGGCCTTATTCCCTGCGCCGAGCAACGTGTGGAGCGCTTTGGTGGGCGCTTGGTTCTCGCTGGCCGACTGCGAAGACGGCGAGCGTTCCAACGAGTGTTTCTCGGCCGAGTCCTCGGCGGTGTCGATAGGTGACGGCATGCTTGTCCTATGCGGGGCTGCCCGTGAGTTCTTGAGAAGGGAGTGGTCAAGAGGGAGAGGGGGAGCACAGTCGAGTTGGTGGCGGGGAGAGCGGACGCCGGAGGGAGAGAGGACGGAGGCCAGCTCTGGCCAACTTCGCAATCGTGTCCCGCGCAAGGAGCGGCCGAGTCCCCGAATGTCGATCACGCAACCGGATCGAGCTGAACATATGCACTTTTTCTGTTCCGGTGCTTGATCAATTCCCACGAAGACGATAGTGGGTCAGCACAGCACTACATGAAATCACAGTGGTGTTCTCGAAGACGTCGATTTTGCTTACATGTATTTCATGTTTTCAAAGTGTACGAGCAGATGCAAAGGGTACACCGTCCGAAGTGACTACATCACGATCACGACGAATTCGACCAAGGCACCGGCAAATTGAGCTCAGCCGCCAGTTTTTCCACGACCGCCTCATGCGCTGCCTTGAACCGTTCGTTCGAGGTTCCCCAAGCATCAGACACATCCTTCCACAATTTTTGCTTCATTTCGGTGTGCATAGAGAAAAAAGCGCCCTCGCCACTGCTCCCGCCATCCGCCTTGTTCGTCAAAGTTGTCGAACCGTCAAAGACCACAAGCAAGTTCCAGAGCACGCTCGACATCTTGATTGCGTTCGTCTGGCACATCGCATCCGTCGTCTCTTGCAGAGTGAGAGTTCGGTACAGGTCGTAAGCTTGTTGCTGTCGGGGTGAGAGTCCTCTTGATAGCGTGGAGACTCGTGCAGTGGCCGGCGGCTTCGGAGTGGCGGCGGTCGACTTGGCGGTTCCAGTGACGGATCGAGGGGTGGCTCGGAAAGATGATGCGGTGCTCATATCGTGCGAGACTTGGGACATAATAGCATGTGCTGGTCCAGCTAGCGATTCGAGGAAGCGAAAGACGAGAAGCGAAGCCCAGACATCATTTGCGGCATCTGCGGTTACAGAAGAAATAGAATTGAGTAATGTACATACCGAGCTTGGACGATCGACGTAACCCGAGACCTACAATGCTGCTGCTCGGCTCCGATCGTACCACTCCACTTGCCACACCTCACGGCCCCTTCCTTGGGTAAGTACATGTCCAAATACGTCCCCGTCATCTCTTGCAACCCGATGAGGATCCGACCGGCATACCTCGGACCATCAACCAACTTGCCAACGTTATTGAGCTCTAGAAGCCCACGCGGCGTATGACCAAAATCTCTCGACAGCTTCCTGGCATCCCCAGCAATCTGGACCCCAAGCTTCACTTTCGTGGGGTCTTCGATGAAGTCCTTGAGCGCTTTGGGGAATGTCGACATTCGGGCAATGTGAACGAGCAAGATCGTTCGACCGTCACAGACCTGAGCCAAAGCGGTCGGATTCTCCACCCCTCGCCTCTTGGACGGTTCCCACTCGAGGTCGAATCCGTAGGGCCCGTCGTCCATTGCCTTCAAGACTTTGGCTACCTCGTCTGCCGAGTTCGTGTAGATCAGATTCGGCTTCGTCCTTCCGCCCGTGCGAGTAAAGTCGAACACGGTCTTGTACTTTTCGCGCAGGCTTCGGTCAGCCTCGACTTTGCGCTTGTGTTGAGCCGCCTTTTGAGCTCGGGGGCCTAATTTAATTGGGGCTTCGTTGACAGGCGGCGGTTTCGCACTCGAGGCGAAAGATTCCTTTTGTTTAATCGAGTCAGGTTTCGCGAACCACCTCTGATGTCTCGTGGCGGTTGTGTTAGTCGATGTCACTGAAGCAGCCACGGCAGGGGCGGAAGGCCCTGGACTCTTGGCCGTCTCCGGTTCGACAATTTGGATGGAGTCGTCGGACGCGAGACTAGACTCGATAGATATGTCGCTGCTGACGTCGATGAATTCCATGAAACTCTCGAGTCTTTCGGGCGACATCTCCGGGGCGAGACTTGACGATCGAGCATTCGAGACTTTGTCCTCGTTGGCATCGAGGCTGGGGTGAGCTGAAATCGAATAAGCGCGAGGTGGCGAGACACGCCTGTAAGTGGAAGGGTCGATGTTGATGCGATTCGACGTTGCCAACGAGCCGAGCAAGGTTCGTGGACGCGGGGCATGGTCCCATTCTGGATCGGTAGCTTTACCTTTACCCTTCGCTTGACTCCTCGACGCCTCTTCCCTGCGTTTGGTGAGCTGGACCAGTCTCGAGATCTCTACTTCGAAGCTCGTTCCCGACTCCTCTTCGACGTCACTGAAGTCTATCCCTTCGACCAGTTGATCCATCTCGGCTTGCGATAGGACTGCAGGTGATGCGGGGCAGGTGGACGATGCCGACGACGACGGTGGTGCACGGCCCGAAGAGGAACCTGCTTCGGATGGGGGTGTGATAGCATACATGCTGTTCGGCAAGTGCTGCGCTAGCCTGATTCCGACCAATTGATCTCCCTTCTCCATGCGTGAGGAAGGAAACGCCGCCACAGGGGGGGCATTCCATTTGTGGGCGAGGGGTCGACAAAAGCTCGAGGGAGGGGAGGAGGTCGTCCTGGGTCGATGTGGCGAGAGGTGAGCTATACCAGACGCCGAATGTTCGGGGCATTTCTGCGTGGATATCATTTGCTGGGAGCTGCTCAGCATCCAGTCACATGAAAATTAGCAAACGTCCTGTCCTGGAAATGGAGCATCGGCTCCCTGACGACCGCCACAGCGTCGTCTCTGCACACTGACCGGAGTTCGCGGCTGGGACATCCAGACGGGGAGGAGCCAGGTGAAGTCGAGCTCTCAAACACAATGGCTTGACCTGGTTTCCATGCTGGCAACAATGAGCCCTGATCGGGCGTTGATGCGGCAGAGGAGGTGGCCCCTTCGGCCGATAGCGGTGTTGGGGACATCGTTGCCGTTGACTGAACCGCGTCGATGGGTTCGCGACGCGAGGTCGGGTCTTTGCGAGGCGATACAGGGCAGGTCCTCTTCATGGGCAGTGATGTGCGACAAGTTCGGCGCAACATCCTTCCACCAGCGAGAGTCGAAAACGGGCCGAATTGAGTCGAGTGTCGAGTGAAACAAAGAGGGGCAAACACAACTCGCGGCTAATTTCGAACCGGCGCGAGGTGCACTCTCAATTACTCTCAACAGCTCTCAACCTTTCTCAACTGTCTCAGACGGGGTGAAACGTGCCACGGAACCTATGCACGGACTGAGTCCTAGCCTAGCAAAAGAGCCGCCATATCGACGAACGAGGTCACATCATCTCATCTCGGTAATCCCAACAGCATTGAAATGAAGGGTGAAAGCCTCATCATCGATCGCACCACTGCAGTGGTCTCGGAGATGACCGCGGGCATCTTGTACGCGATGCCAATATCCAATCCGAGCACATTAGGAAATGTCAATTTGCAGCTTTATTGGACAGATGCCTCCTCCTCTACACTCTTGCGAGCTGTCCAAAAGCTCGCCGCGTATTCATGTCGTAGTGTTGATCTTTTGTTGGTTGTGTAGCTTGTCCGGACTTCACGTTCGTTCTACGACGGTCAACAAGAGCGGGTGCTCGCATCAATGGCCAAATAAAGTCCCGAGGAAAACTGCCACTCATAGGGGGAACGCACCTCCAAAACAAAGCCTACCCTTTTAGCGAGTGCCTTTATGTCCTCCAAACTCAATTCGATACTGTTGCAACCCTCTGTGTTCTCGAAATGCCACAGCGTCGGTCCGCAGTTGATCCAGACCCCGTCTTCTTTCAGAAGGCTCCATATCCGCTCGAGGTATTCGACGATATTCTTGGCCGTGTCGATAAAAAAACAGGTGACGATGACGTCAAAGTGAGCCTGCTGTGACGGTTGTGCGTATATTTCGAGAAAGTCGCCGGCGGCAAAGGAAAACTCGCCCGAGGATGTCGAGGCGATTGTCGAAGGATCGACATCGGGGATTTGGACCGAGCCTAGGAGATCGGCGTTCGTCCGAATATTCGAAAACGAGTGAAGGTACGGATGGATCGTGTGTGCGTTGATGGAGGTTGTGCTGTGGAAAGGATCCAAGACATGATTAGTCTGCTGTTTAAAGATCTGCTCATACCGGCTGATCTACTTGCTGGTTAAGGATATAGGATGAGACGATGAGCTGTAACAAAGGTACAACAGGCAATGATCAGATGACTCCCCTCAGATCATCAGCAGCGCTCAGAGCTGACCATGTAGAGGGAGAACTCGTTGGCTAGGCGAGTAAGGGTGGCGACGAGTTGCTTCAGCTCAAGATGAACGTGCAGAGTCGCTCAAGAGCACAGGACCCACCTTGGCATGTATAACCTGGTTTGTTGACGAATTCGACAACATCAGTCCGCCGGTATATCATTAGCCGTGAACGCATAGCTTCGACTGACCTGCATTGACAATCTCCCATGCGAGTCGTCCCAAACCGGCTCCGGGGACGAGGACGTTCAGCTTGGCCTTGTCCTCGGTTTCATAGTGGCCGTACAGCTCTTGCAAAGCATTCAATATGGGCGTATAAGCGGTCTCCCTTTCGTGTGCACCCTATAACATCGAGTTCAAGTTCAGATGTCACTGGACTGAAGCCGGTGTCCGAGCGGGCCCCGAATAGCTGACCTCGACACTCCAATCCCGTGCGACCGACCGCAGTGTTGACCTCAGCCGCTGCGAGGAGTGGAGAGCAAGATGAGACTGGGCTATTACTCGGCGCCCGTTGATCCGTGTAGAAAAAGTCCAACCTCGTGATCAGGTTCCTGCGGAGCTTCTGCGTCGACGATTTGCTGCGCCGGTGGAAAAGGGTTGAGCTCGACAACAGCATGCAAGAAGTGTGCATTCTGGCTCAATAACCCATCGACCTTGTTCAACAACTCGGCGTATCCGGGCAAGAGGCGTCGGTGCTGTGGAGGCAGTTGGAAGTAGTCTGCCCGTCGTCTCTGGTTCGCGGAGAGGGCGACTCGGCGATACGAGTCGAATGTCGCTACGACCGTCGCTTGATGGTGCGCCTCGGTATCATTGTTAGGAGCTTCGGATTCGGATTCGGTGGCGGTGGTCTGGCTGTCGGGGTCTTCCGTAGCGCCCACATCAGTCACAGGTGCGACGCCGCGGGTGTAGGGCGGAGGAGGCGCATGTGGGGAGAGCGATGACGGGGAGTGCCCGTGCGAGTGCGAATGCGATGGCCCGGCGTGTGGGTGCGAATGACCACCATGTGACCCATGGGGGTGCGAATGGGGATGCGAGTGCATGGCAAGTAGTCGGAGTAGCGTGCTGTGAGAGTGCAAGGAAGTCCTGTACGTCGCACGAATTGGAGCGCAGCACTTGAAGCTTGGCAGGTTCTGGCAGTGTTCTGGCAGGTTGCCGCAGGCGACCGACGGGGCGCGCCGAAGCTCGCGGAAGTGAAGCGCGCGGGGCGAGACGAGGAGAACTTTGCGCCAACTGAGGTGCTCGAGGCTCATTGGTTCTCCGTCATTGATTAATCTCGTTCGCAGTCAACCCTAGTCAACCTCTCTCGCTAATGGTTTCCAAAACAAAAAAGCTTTCCCGGCCGCATCCCCGGTTTTGCTGCCCCTTGCTTTCGCTGCCCCGCCGGTTTCTTCGGCGGGGCCGTGTCGTGCGTGACCCGGGGAAACTCGCCCCGTAGCCCAAAGACACTTAAGACACATTTCTGATACTGAATAACCACAAAGTGTTGGTCGATCGATGAATTGTTGGTCGGTCGATGAATTGATCGCCAAATTGATAAGTCCGAGGATATTGACTCGCCTCGACGCTTTCGACGAGTCGAGCGGCGATAACCGCCTGCACAAGGTCACGTACGCGCGCACGCGCGCACGCGCTTCATGTGCGCGGCACGCACGTCGAGTTGACTTATGAGCGAGCTCCTTCCACTGCACGACGCTCGTGTCCGCATTGTGTATTGATTATCTCGATTCATTTCAATTCTACTTCGGAAATTTGCCAGCCATTCTTTCTGTGCCATCATGTTGAAGAGATCAATCCTAGATGATGGATTAGAGAGATGGAGACTGTGCAAGAAAAGAGAGGTGAAAACGGTGTGCCAACTTGGTCAAGGATCGCGAGCAAGCAAGTATGGGTAGGGGTTGGCGTAGTGGGACGCAAGGAGTCGTTTAACCGTTTTACCACCCAGACGATGTGAGAGCTCGTTTCGACCGTGAAGGATCGTAGGTCGAATAAAAGCGGGTGAATGACCCCTCCAACTCGGTCAGCACTGACTAAGCCCATGCGCGATGAGGTCAAATGCATACTGTATTGATCAAAGCAATGATTATGCACAGACTCGTCAATATAACTGCCTCTTGCACGACACAATGGGATAATTCGGTGCCTGTACTAATCGTCGTCACGGGTGCTGTGGTACTCGGGATCCCGTCGGAAGCAGCGGCTGTCGCGGGCCGGGTTCAGGAGTCATTCGGTTGTAGCGGGGCCGAGTTCCGGAGTCGTTTCAAATTGTGAAGGTCAACACCGGTTTGGGCAGGATCAAACACCGGTCTCGGCAGATTTCTCAGCGATAAAGCGCTCCCGGGTAAACTCAGCACTTCGATGACTCAAGGATTGACTGTCCGCAACGAATCATGTGGCAGGATTTGAGTGGAAGACCGGGCCGGATGCGCGGATGAAAGGGTGAAGGGGAATGAAAGGAGAGCAGCGGTTTGAATGGCCGGAACGCTTGGGGGAGTTTGCTTCTAGTTCTTAGCTAGACCACTTGCAGGATCCAAAACAGATTCTTGCCCGGCTCTCACTTTCTGCGTGTTTCAAGTCTCGTTCGGCATCGTCTCCAGTCTCCAGTCTCAGCGTTTCGTTCTCGTACTCGGTCTCGTTTCTCGGTTCTGCTACTCCCCTTTTCCGTCCCTGTCTCTCGGCCGTTCCGGTCGCTCTCTCGTCTCGTCTTCGGTCTCGGTCCCATCTTTTCCCTTATCTTTACATATCATCTTTGATTGACCGCTTTGCTATACCATAGTGCCTGTTCTGATCATCGTCACGAGTTCGAATCTGCAGACTTGGTCCCAGTTGACCCCTCGGCATGCTTCCCGCTGCCCCCCGTGAACGTGTGCTGGCTGTGCATGGATGTGCACCTAGTTGCAGAGACAAGCATTAACAAGTGAACAGATCCTGTCGTCAGCATACGGTCTATGTCATATAGTTGCCTGCACCCCTGTACACCGCTTTGCACGAGCCCAATCGAGGCGTCGCCGCCGCCCGATGCGGTGGTTACCACGATTCACAGGGGTCAGCAGGGCCACAATCCAAGTCGGTCTTCGTCATGAGTGCATAGCGGTGCAAGGGGATGCATTGGGGTGCATCTATATGCAACTTCGATCTCAAAGGTTTGTCGCATTAGAAAATATGAGAGTCAGATTCATGCACTTGTTTGTGTCCATGTACGGAGGTCCCTCGGGTGGCCATCGGTCAGACGGCGGTCTCCTCGCATGGCTGCAAGCGCACCGGTCCACCGACGGTCAAAAGTTTGGTCTCGACCACGCGCTTGCACGTGTACGGATGTGGTATTCATGTGAACGGTGTGTGATGAGATGCAGTGTGCCCGTTTTGAAAGCGTCGGCGCCGGCCAGCAAGCGCTTATGCGTGATCACTGTGATGATGAGTCGCCGCGATGCCCCAGAGTCGGTGTGCATCGGGATGCATTGGAGTCACACGCTGGAAATAGTTTTTACAAGGTAGCAGCTTCGCTTTACAAGCAAGTGCATTGATGGCTTGTGCACACGCCTCTGAGTCAGATTCTCTGAGCGCGCGCGGCAGTGGTTCAGTCGCCGTCGACGGGCATGGGCGTGCATCAGTTTGAACGGGCGTGCACCGACCTACTTTTGTAAAATTTGTGTAGACCAATCTCTAAACCTTTGCAATAATCCACACGTCTGTGCAGGTTCATGTATCGAGGGAATGGCCAGTGTGGGTGTGGGTACATGAGCACGCATTGTGATGCATGGTCGTGCAGTGGCATCGTATTATTTAGGCGCCGGTGAGGCCACCAGACCATGTGCAAAAGCTCTGATGCCTGGCGTTAGTACCGATTTAATCTTTACAATCCCACAAGTCCTTTCACGATGGACCCGACCCGAAGCAGACATTGCTACACCAACTCCAATGGTCAAGGCTATCGTCCCCAACAAGGCAGAGCGTGGAAGAAGCGTGGCAAGACGAAGTCTATCAAGGCTGCCCAGCCTGCCTCCCACCAAGAGACTGGGGTGTTCTCAATCATGGCCGCAGCGGTCGGAAAGAGGATCAAAACGCCGTTGATTCTGGTGCAGACAGACACCACGCCGACGGTGTCGCGAGTAGCCAATGCGAGACTCGGGTTTTGATGTCGAGTTCGTAAGGACCATCGGAAATGACAGTGTTAGCGATGAAGTCTCCCTTGCGTGAGATGATGCAGCTCTTATCGGGTTTGAATGCAACGGAGAGGCCATTGTTCGTCATGAGTCGAATGGAGAGTAACCCCACAGACGACTCACCCAGGCATAAGGTAGACTGTTTGGAAGGTCCGTACGTAGCCAAAATCGCAGACGGCAAGTTGGTCGAATGTCCGGGACACGGAACGCTCGTCATACACACCGCTAGTGGTCGTGAGATACTGGGCCTCAAGTTGAAGTCTGCGTCAAAGACCCTCTCGGCTGCTCTTCGAGGCTTGAGAGGCTTAGGGGTTGGCATGTATGACCCGTTCCATTTAAAATGTCCTTGGAAGATGGAGAGCAAAGTGCAATGGGGCTCTCGAATTGGTGTGTGGTGCCAAATTCTTGTGGGGCCGCATCCGAGAACCTCAGCGCTAGCTGCCCCCTTTGCTCAAGTGAAATGCGCCGAAGTCCCGGCAGCTATATATTAGGCTTTAGCGCCATCTGGAAGGGGGGACCGAGCCGAGCTCCTTGTTCAATGTACCTGAGAGACTATGGCTGAATGCTTATTTGTTGAAGGTGTTTCCTAGTGCAATATCTCAAGGATTGTGGACAGAAAGATGGCGCGAGAAGCTGAGCAGCACGAGTTCGCTCGGTGATGGACGACTTCAAGTTGACCTCGGAGCTAAAAAAGCCGGCGACTCCGATCGATTCGTCATTTTTCGGGCATTGAGGCTACAGCAAAAACAAATGGGACGGGGCGGCCTAGTGCCAATCAAAGTGAGCTATGGGCAGCTCGACCTTTCCTGTAGCTCAAAGTTATGGGTTCCCGACGTTGTCCTTGATTGAACTGTTGCAAGGCTGGCAGGCTGCAACGTCAAGTTGTGTCGCGTGATAGGACCGGCAATCTATTCGACGACTCAGGATTGGCCCGGCCGGATGCTGAGCGCTCTTGAGCGCACCTCAGCGCGGCTGCCGAGGCACTTACCCGGTGCAGCTGTCCTCGCCTCCTCCCCCCCCCTCCCCCCCACACACTCACTTGCGAGGCAGTACCCCCGCCTCCTCCCCCAAAGCGACTTGTGGCCCACCATGTTGTCCCGCTTCAGCACAGTGCCCCTGACGTCGACGATCGCCAAACGAACGGCGACCGTCGCGGGCCCCACCACCACCACCGCTCGTCTCACCCCCGCGATCGCTTCCCTTTCCAGCACCAGCGCCAGCGCTAGCACCAGCCGGAGCTTCTCTTTTCAACGCACCGCCCAGCATGATTCTCTTCGCAATACCAAGCTGGCCTCGGCCATGACTTCCTCGGCCCGACTCTTCTCGACATCGGCACGCACGGCCCAAGCCACGCCCATCGAGGACGAGGAGGCCTTTGACCTGTCCACCGTCGAGCGCGTCGCCGATGAAGTCGATGTGTGCATCGTCGGTGGTGGACCTGCAGGGTTGTCGGCCGCCATCCGACTGATGAAGAAGGCTCAAGAGGAAGGAAAGGAGATTCGCGTCGTCGTACTCGAAAAGGGTGCCGAAATTGGTTAGTTTCCCCGCGCCCGGCTCCGAATGATCGATCCGTCAGCGAGTGGCGCTTGCCGCTCAGTTAGCTTTTGACGCTCGAGACTGACAATACCATTCATGCTCACACATTTCCGATACTGAATAAACCTGCTTAATCAGGTGCCCACATCTTGTCAGGTGCCGTGATCGAGACGAGGGCCTTGGACGAGTTGATCCCCGACTGGAAGGAACTCGGCGCCCCGCTCAACCAGGAGGCGACGTCCGATTCGATGCGATGGCTCACCCCGACCGGCTCGTTCCCGATGCCGCACCCACCGCAGATGTCCAACAAGGGCAACTACGTTATTTCATTGTCCAAGCTCACGCGATGGCTCGCCGAGCAAGCCGAGGAACTCGGCGTCGAGATCTACCCTGGATTCGCCGGTGCCGAGATCTTGTGGACCGAAGACGGCAAGGGTGTTAAGGGTGTTGTCACCAACGACATTGGCCTCGACAAGAACTTCAGACCCAAGGACGCGTTCGAGCCGGGGATGGAGTTTCATGCCAAGGTTACCTTGTTCGCCGAAGGCGCGCACGGTTCGCTCTCCAAGAAAGTCATCAATAAGCTGAATCTGCGCGAGGACAAGGACCCGCAGACGTATGGACTGGGAGTCAAAGAGGTTTGGAAAATCAAGAAGGAGAAGCACGAACCGGGAAGGATTCAACATACGCTCGGATGGCCGCTCGATAACTCGACCTACGGCGGGACCTGGCTGTACCATATGGAGGATGAGATGGTCTCGCTCGGGATAGTCGTCGGCCTCGACTACCCCAACCCGTACATTTCGCCTTTCCGCGAGTTGCAGGCAAGTCTTCATGTTGCTGCGTTAGAGATTCAGATCTGGGCAGAGCTGATGAAGATGCATTTACTGAGACATGCAGCGACTCAAGCATCATCCGATATTTGCCGATTTGCTTGAGGGCGGTGAATGCATCGCATACGGTGCCCGAGCGCTCAACGAGGGTGGTTACCAGTCGATCCCCAAGCTGTCGTTTCCTGGTGGTGGACTGATTGGTTGTTCAGCTGGTTTCCTCAACGTGCCCAAGATCAAAGGTCAGTTCTGCGTCTGTCGTCGCGCAATAGGTGTTCGGGCTGACATTTTCTGGTCGTCAGGCACTCACACGGCCATGAAATCCGGTATGCTGGCCGCCGATGAAACGTTCAAGGCACTTTCCGCCCTCCCCGAGGACTATGATCAGTCTTCCGCCGAGTCTGTGGATATCTCGTCGTACGAGGCCGCCTTTGAGGACTCGTGGGTCGCCAAGGAGCTCAAGGAGATTCGCAACCTGAGGCCGTCGTTCCACAACCCGCTTGGCAACTGGGGTGGTATCATGTACTCGGGGCTGGACTCGCTGATCCTCAAGGGGCGTGTACCATGGACTTTCCATCACCCTCAAGAAGACTTCGAATCGACCAAGCCTGCGAGGTGAGTCCGACCTTAAACGACCGACGAACAAGTTTTCTCACCCCCGAGCTGACCCTTCCTCTCACCGTGAGCAGGGATTTCACACCCATCGACTACCCGGCACCGGACGGCGTTCTCTCGTTCGACATCCTTACGCAAGTGTCGCGCACAGGCACGAACCACGCCGAGAATCAACCGGTGCATCTGCATCTTAAGGACTCGGCGCGTGCGTCGCATGTGCGCGACAACATAGAGCAGTTCGATGGTCTGCTCGGACGCGTGTGCCCCGCTGCGGTTTACGAATACCTCGATGCTGACGGCAAGGATGCGGATGCGGTCGGTAAAAAGTTAGTGATCAACAGCCAGAACTGCATCCATTGCAAGACATGTTCGATCAAGGTGCCGACGCAGGACATTGAATGGCGCGTGCCCGAAGGCTCGGGAGGGCCGAAATACAGCTTGACCTAATTGCGTTTTGGTAGACGGCGCTACGCCATGTCGAAGTGAATTTGATCAACCTGAACTCTGGTCTTTGTTACTACCTCTACTCCCGCGATCCGCTTGGGCCTGTTCCCGCTTGATCTACGTCGGCGAGCTGGCGCAAATACCCTAACGGAATTTCGCTCTGGCGCTGGCAAACAGTTATTAGCGGACAACGAATTTACCAACTCAGGTCGAAGAACACTAGGTCCACGCTTGCGCCGGTGCGCCGCTCCTCTTCCTACTCACTACAAAGTCACATCCGCGGCAGATCGACCTTGTCGTTCCTTCATCGAGTTACACTTTCGACTGCACTCCTGTACTCCTTGTTGTACAGACGCACTCGCCTAGGCCCGTGCAATCACTGCCTCGTGTTCTGGGCTGTTCTGGGTTGCTTTCGCGCGCGCCTCGACCCGAGTCGACTCGTACGATTGTCCTTGCTTGGGCCTGCTGGGTGACCCTCTGTCCCAGTCGATGCCATCCTTCAACCCGCTCCCGCTCGACTCCCCGCCAGCCTCCCCTTCGCTCGACCAGATGTCGTCGTTCCAGACGCAACCCAACCTGCGTCGACCGCAACACTCGCCGCTGAACCCGTCCAGCAACGGCTACGGCGGTGGCGGCGATGGTCGAACCGAGCGCCAAGGCTCAGCCGGGTCCGGGTCGGCATCGTCCTCGGCGGAATCGGCGCACCATCCGATGCATAACAGTGGCAACCTCGCACGCATGAGCAGGTCCAGTACTGCACCGATTAATTCGATGGGCGTCAGGAGGGGCGATTCGTCTACGTTGGACCATGCCTCGCTCGGTGAGTTGCACTTTTCGGGTGTGTGTGTGTGTGTGCTGTGTGTCTGTGCGCTGGGCTCGGTCGTGGCGCGTCCAGTTCACACGCGCGCGCCTGCGCCAGTCCTGCGCCCGTTGGGAAATGCGGTGCTGTTCGCTGGCCCGCCCTGACCGGCCGAGGCGTAGCCATGTGCTGCGATGTGTTTCAATACCCACTCGTCATGGGGCCATCTGCGATCCCATACGGGCGATAGCATCATTTTTGCGATCTCAGATGCAACGGATGAGCTGAATCTCTTGAGTGTCTACCTTCCACAGGCGTCTTGTCCGGCACGATCGGCGGCTCGTTCGGACCCTTCCCTCGATCATCGACCTTCTCGACCTACGCCGATGGCAAGGCCCCCTTCTCGCGACGTGACTCAATGGCCTCGTCCGATGTCGCAATCGACCTTGTCGGTGGTGAACAGGCTTACCTGCCGACGTCGGGCTACCACTACTCTCAGTCGGACAACTCGCTCGCTCAACGCGCCGGGGCGCAGACCCCGCCTTGGCACGACAACTCGCCCCTCATCGACGGTCCTGTGGCGCAGAACGGCGCCTTCGCACGCCACAACGAAGATTTGCTGTGGACGAAGGAGAATGCAGCGGATGACGACTACCTCCACGAACCCGACCCGGCCGTCGAGGCGATGATGGACAAGCAGTGGGGAGCACCAAGCTGGCGCGGTCTGTTCAACGTCGGTGTGCTAACCATCGTCATCGTCGTCATCGTCGGCCTCTTCGCCGGATGGCCCATATACCAATACGTCCTCACGGGCCGCTTCCCGAACAGTGCATCTGGGACCGGTATGACCTGGGGCTGGGGTCCGGGTGGCATCAACGGCTCGGGCCAGGTGCCCAAGATCACGGGGTTGCCTTCGCTCATCGACAAGGAGACTCCCCACTCGGTCTACACCCGCAAGGGCCATGATGGCAATACATACAACCTCGTCTTCTCGGACGAGTTCAACGTTCCCGGACGCACGTTCTGGGAGGGAGACGATCCGTGGTGGGAAGCCGTTGATCTGTGGTACTGGGGAACCGTCGATTAGTGAGTCGCCTCGCTCTGGGCTGCCCGTGTCGACGTTATACCATCGCCCGATAGGTAGCTGACCATATAATGTCGACGCCTTCTCTGCTCCTTCGCAGCGAGTGGTATGATCCTGACGCCATCGTCACCAAGAACGGCAAGCTCGAAATCACTATGACGCAAGAACCGATCCATGGACTCAACTTCCGTTCGGGCATGCTGCAAAGTTGGAACAAGTTTTGCTTCAGTGGTGGTGGTATCATCGAGGTGTCCATGTCGATGCCCGGTACGAGTAAAGCTATGGGTTTCTGGCCGGGTGTGTGGACGATGGGCAACCTCGGCCGACCTGGTTACGGCGCGTCCAACCACGGCATGTGGCCTTACACTTACAACTCGTGCGATGTCGGAACGTTGCCAAATCAGACCTGGCCCAACGGAACCTCTCCTGTCGCTGCCAAGACGTCAGGATCCAAAGACTACGGTGGCGAGCTCTCGTACCTCCCCGGTCAGCGAGCCTCGGCTTGCACCTGCCCCGGCGAGGATCACCCGGGCCCGAACGTCGGCGTTGGACGTGGCGCTCCCGAAATCGATATCAACGAAATGCAAGTCGACTACCGCGGCACGGGATCGACGTCACAGTCGATTCAGTTCGCTCCCATGGACGCTGGCTACCTGTGGAAGAACACGACCCCGGAGACGGTTATCTACAACTCGAGCAGGACGTTCCAGAACCAATGGCAGGGTGCCATCTACCAAGAGAGTGCGTCGGTCATCACCTTAACGGATGACACGAGTTACAACGATGCTGGGTACACTCGATTCTCTTACGAGTACACGACTGGACCCGACGGCTTCATCACTTGGGCTGTGAACGACACGGCGACATGGACGATTAACGCCGCGGCGATCGGCCCCAATGCGGAGGCCGGCATTGGCCAGCGTCTCATTTCCGAGGAGCCCATGTCGATTGTGCTCAATTTGGCTATCTCGGACAAGTTTCAGCCTCCCGAATGGTCCAAGATCACCTTCCCAGGCGTGCTGCGCATCGACTTCGTGCGCGTGTGGCAACAAGGCAAGGGCGACGTCGGTTGCGACCCGAGCCACCACCCCACCGCAGATTACATCAACCGGCATCCCGATATTTACACGAATGCCAACTTGACCTTGTACAGCCAGACCAACTACACGTGGCCCAAGAACAGCCTCAGTGCGACCGGATGCAACTAGACGTGATTTGGCAGACTTCATTTTCCTTTGCTTTCTCTCGTTTGACTTTGTGCTGGCGGAATGACCGAACCGCTGTCTCTTGTTTACTCCTTTTTTTTACGACCTCTTCCTTGTCTTTAGTAGTCAGTTGCATTGTTCTGAGATTCTCCTACTTTTTACGTATACTGTGCTCCTGCCGAATTGACACTTTCAGCTTCACGAACGCAAGAAAAGGAGATGTGTGGTGGGTCTTCTCGAGGAGCCAAAGCGAGTGTGCTCGGCCGAGATCGCCGAGCTTGAACTCGATCAACTCCGCCGGTCCATGTGTCGTTTCTGCGTTGCTCCCCCATCTCCCATTTTTCGTTCCATGGGGCTCGATGACGGCGATGTCTTGTTGGACTTCGACACCAAAATGCCCGACTTTGAGGACTTGGCCGAAGCTGTCGGTGACGTCGATCGCGCAACAGCTTGGTCGTACGACATAGTTGGCGCTCCAGGGCGAAATCTCGTCGGCCCTCCCATGGAGAGCTCATCTCAGCAAGATGCAACCCTCTCCTTAGGGGTACTTCATCTTGAGAAGAATTTAGCGTGGACACTCAAGGCTCCTCGTGTCGCTGCCCACGAAGCTGCAGTCCCTCCAATTGTCAGCCTCGTCACGACCAACAGGCTGGGCTCAATGGCGGGGAACGATACTACATCATATCCCCAAGCCGAGACCCTCCTGATGGACGACTTACACGATTCCAACTTCAGTGACGGTTTGCAGACCCAGAGCTCGTTCGACACCACTTCATCACTTACGTCCCAGTCGTCGCGGTCTTCGATCACCTCAGGCCCGATCGAACTCGAGCTCTTGCATTGCGTCCAAAGATTCGCGCCGTTCGAAGTGGAGCTTGAACCAGCCGACCTAGTATCGACCGTCGCATCTCAACCCATCCAGCTTCAAGAAGTGAGCCAGCGACGTGACGACTTCGCTCCTCGCAAATTCCCTCGGCTTGAAGATTTTGATCCAGGAGGCACGATCTGTGGCTCGAAGCGACTTTGCGGGACAAACGACGGCGAGGTCGGCGATTACAACCCAGAATGTTGCACTCGTGCGCTAAATCATTTGCCCACCCTTCCGAGTACCCTGGTCTTTCCTGTGGAGCTGCCAGACATTCCTTGCCCTAAGGCGCTGTCGAATCTCGCCAAATTTCAACTCAAACCACTCGACCGTGGCTTACATGGTGACGCCAGAAGGTTAGTGTATCTAACGTTAATCGAGATGATTTTTTTGGTTGGGTCTGACACTCTCACATCGTGCTCCCGAAGACGTGCAATCATTGGCGCACTCGAGCAGCTGGCGGTGTCGATTTTTGCGCAATTAGTGCAACTCGCCTCGCGAGCTCCTTCCAAACCCATGCAGCCAAAGAGAGGATCTGCTATCCGCATCCTCCTCGCCAATCGCGACAAACTTCGGAAAAAAAAGGCTACCACTTTCCCGCGCAACATTGGTCGTGATACTGAGCCTAGACTCGGGGGAAGGGAACTAGGTGGGCGACTGAGGTATCAACGATCAGCGGTCGATGACTAACCGGGATACTCTTAACAATTCTCAGCATCTGTCCTGAAAGTCATCGAGTACATTCTTGATGGATTTCACAAAAGCGTCCTCGCCTCCAAACGCGATTATTACTACCGAGCCGTTGAGCTCTTCGGCAGGCAGAAAGTCGTGGACGAGGTGAGCGTCGAGCCACACGCACCGCCGACCACATTTTATCAATGCTCACCATACCACATTCTTTGTAGATAGTCGACGATATAGCGGCAACACTGTGCATACGGCGTTCCGAGCTCGGTGTTGGTTCTTCCCCGAAAGGGCTCGTTTCTGGTCAAATAACGCTCCTTATGTCGAACGCAACGGTGATGCAGGGGTCGACTTCGCGAACGGGAACGCTCATACCACCCATTGACCAAATTATCGGCATTCGATATCCCGCGGATGGGGCCGAAGACTACCCGGGACGCATACGATGGGTCTTGGTGGTCGAAAAAGAAGCCATCTTCTCGGCCCTCTCGTCATCTTCTCTACTTCTCGACTCTATACTGGGTCGCGGCGTGCTGATCACTGGCAAAGGGTATCCAGACATGGCTACACGGCATCTCCTCAAGAAGCTTTCGGTAGATATGCCGCATACCCCAATCATGGCGCTAGTTGATGCTGACCCGCATGGGATCGAAATTCTGGCAACGTACGCGTGTGGCTCGAGATCATTGCGGCACGAAAAGGAAGAGCTCGTCATCGACCGTATGGAATACATTGGCGTCAAGCACGACGATCTTCACAACTCCAATATCGATCGGGACAATTTGATTGAGCTCAGTGCGAGAGATCGGAAGAAGGCCTTGAATCTGTTGAAACGGACTGACCTGAAGGATGACTGGAGGTGAGCAAGCCGAGCCGTCAACGAATGGCGCAGCAAGTGAACTGGACTGATTATGTGAATCGATGACGATAGGAGAGAGTTGCAACATATACTTCATCGAGGGTACAAAGCAGAGATCGAAATTATAGGAAGCTCGTCGTCCGACGTTAATAATGACCAAGGACTGCTTAATTATGTGGTCGACCGTGTCAACAGAATGCTGCGCCATTACGCGTGATCTGACCTGGGCCGAACATCCAAATATTCGACTCCCAACCAAAGCCAGAACACCAGGATTGTAATACTAAGCAGAAACCCGACCAGGATTGACTTTCGTAGAGGCCCCTACCAAGCGCGAAGCACGCGCCGGTCCTGGGGAGCCGCCCGGCGCCGAGGCCGAATTGTGTCCCCTGTTGGCCCCACCTAAATGCGAATGCGCTGGCACACCATGCCTAAGAGCAAGTCCTCGATTTGAACTTGCCAGTCCTTCACTGTTGCCCCTCGCGTTATCCGGAGGAATGAGACAAAGATGTGCCCAAAGTCGTACCATCCAGCGGAATCGACATTCTTCGACGAGACAATTCAAATGCGCATTCTCGAGAATGTCGATGTTGACGCGCACGTCTGTGCGACGGCGGAGCGGGACAGGGAGGACGGGCCCTTCGCCGCGGCGGGAGACGACATTCACGAGTGGCGAGAGCAAGTGCTCTACATCAATCACACGACTCGGCACAACATGTGGAACAGGTTTCGGGTTTCGGCCATCTTCCCGAGAACACCGTGCGCTTCCGTCCTCGTGATCAGGCACTGCTCAACTGTCGGGGCGCGGTACGTACACTCATTTCGGGGACTACGTCACCGGACGCCGCATGAATCGCTGACGTTGCTCTCGGACCGCGTTGCAGGTGTTGGGCAATGTATTGCAGTGATTGCTAGGAAGGGAAGAGGCATACAGTAGATATGAACCTAAGCTGTAGACACACGACATTCAATTAGTCTGCTGTGTTGCTGTCAGTGACCAATGCCGGTATTGCTAGCGCAGTCATGAGGAAAAGTGGCTCGGAGTTTCCAAGCGTTGAGCTCGACTGAGGGTGGCGACGTGATCAAGATTGCCCGTGAGAATGTGCCGTGGCACACCAGGGCCCTGGCTGGCGTGCTATCTTGGTTCCGGCCACTTCACTGCGTTTTGATTCGACAACACATCAAAGTACCAGGCAAGCGAGAAGTGCTCACCGCCATGGGCAACACCTTCTCGCTTGCCTCCTCGCCCACACCGCCCAGCTCGTCAACAGTGACATCGTCTGCCCCTCGCTCGGACCCGGCGGCGCGCTCGCGAGTCACGGCGCTGCGAGGTTACCCTGAAGGTACCAGCGCTGGTTTCCTGTCGTGGCTATCGCGAGGGCAATCTTTCCAAGCCGACGCGGCGGATGCGAACCGGACTGTCGACGAGTTGACGTTTGTCGGTCTCCCTCGGGAGCTGGCCCTTTACATCGTTGACCTGGCGTGAGTAACTCTACCCTCCGCTCTGAGTTGCCTAGGAGTTTGCAGAAACAGAGTACCAAGAAAATTGGCACATCTAGGAAACGTGTCGCGTCTAAAAAAAAAAAAGTTGCCTAGGAGTCGCTTCCTCGGCTATCGCGGCCAAAAAAAGAGGAGCAGCTGAGAACTTCACCTGAGGCGCCACCATGACACGACACATGTCGTGGCGCGAGCATGTTTACAGTTCTGAGTGCTGACTTGTCATGTGGAGCAGAGAATACTGGCCTCTCCAAGTCTCTCAGACTCAAGCCCACATTATTGTACGAGCAAGCAGTGCACGCCTTGCCTCCGCCTCCGTCTTGATTTCGTCTCCAATCCCGGAGGTCCCGTCTCAGCATCCAGTGCGCAGGTAAGTGCTAGGCCCAAAAAACAATTGCCAAAGGAAATCTAAACAGATGTAAGAAGCACGAGACCTTGCTTGTTCACGTGATTTTGTTCTGTACACCACCCCCCTCCACCTCCAGGATCCGCATCACCACCGAATCTCGAGACCAAGGTTCGTTCTGGCGTCAGCTTACTTACTATTGACCTTTGGGTTGGGCAGTGACTGAACAAGAAGCTTGTATTCTTTGATTTGTACAGGATTCTCATCTTTTCCCCAGCTGCACGGGACCAGGGAGGGCTCCTCGTCCTGGTTCGAGCTCGCCTTGATCAGGCCGGACACCGAAACAGCCTCCTCGGAAGCGCCAGAACGGTTCATTCCTCCACCCATCACAGGTCCCTCGTCCAGCCCCTCCCAACCTTACGGCATCGTTACCTCGCAACGCCTCCACTACAACATCCATGCGTCTCGCACCTTCGAATCGCACATGGTGACATTGGAGGCAAGACTGGACATCGTCGACAGGGCTCGAGCAGGCGACCGACTCGTGCTGTACGCCTGCGCGCAGTATCCCGCATGGACCAACGAATGTCGAATGGCGAGGATCACGGTCAACTACAGTGCGCTATGATATTGGCTCTTAGCCCCGCGTCCAACTCGACCCAACGAAAGCAAATCTCCATGACAATCTTGTCCATCCCATCCTCCTTACGATGTCTTTTGCTGCTCTCAGCATTCGTAGTCCCACTGCGTTACGACTGTTTTGAAATGTAAATGCAACAAGCGACTCTACTACTCGCACCAGTCCAACAAGCGTGAAACTTCCCGTTCAGACCCGTAAGACCCCAAGATCTAGTTGCATGCACGATAACTATCCCCGCAAACCTATCGAACAAGCGAAAGCCTCTAGTATACTTCCAGAACGTATGCCTCCTTCTCCTTGAGCTCCTCGATGTAAGCCTCAGCTTGCTCCCTCGTGCGACCATGTTTCATAAACGCCGAACACAGCGCCTCAAACACGTCGGCGGCGGGCCAGGTCGGTCCGCAGAGGTAGAAGGCACCGTTCTCGAGCATCTTGGCCAACATGTCGGCGTCCTCGTTCATCTTGTGTTGGATGTACACCTTTTGAGCCGTGTCACGAGAGAAGGCCAAGCCGGTCTTGGTGACGATGCCTTCTTGCAGGTAGGCTTCAATCTCCTCACTGTAGGTCAGACGATGGCAGTCAGCTACAGCACTCTTGCTTTCCTGAGAATTGTCCAGCAAGCGCGTACCCGTAGAGGTATTCCTCGGAGCGATGACGCGAGCCAAAGTAGTAAAGCATGGGCCCGACGTTGTAGCCCTGTTCCTTGCGCCAAGCGCGCTCCTGGATGAAGGCACGGAAAGGCGCAGCACCTGTTCCGAGACCCGCCATGATCACGGGTGCCTCGTCGAGGGCCGGAAGCTTCATGACGGAGGGCTTGATCGAAACCATGACCTGGTCACCGGCCTTGAGTCCAGCGAGGTAACGGGTGCACTGGCCGAAGCGTTGCGAGCCTATACACCAAATCAGATACGGACGTCAGCAAGCCAGCCTGGCACCAGACAGGGACAAAAATGAAAGCAAGTACTCACCCTTAGGCGTGTTCCATTCGACGGTGACCACGAGCAAGTGGACAGCATCGCCAACGAAGTTCTGCGAGCTCGAAATTGAGTAGTGACGAGGGTGGATCGGATCAATCTCACGCACGAGGTCGGCGATAGTCGGGCGAGCCGAAGGAAACTGGCGTAGCAAGTCAGCGTAGGTGACCGTGTCCATCTCGCTCATCTTCTTGAACGTGGCGTGACCATCGGCGCAGGCGATGAAGCGCAGAGCGCGCTCCTCGTTCTTGTTCGTTGCGTAGCGGGACAAGGTCTCGTAGAAGGACTTGCCGGGCTTGCCAAATATGTCAAGGTTCTGCTGGAAGACCTGGAAGACAGTGCGCTGCTCAACGCGCGAGGGGTCGAGACGCGAAGGGACCGAGATCACAGCGTCGGGGTCGAGACCGTACCACTTGAGGAAGTCGAGCGTCTCCTCGCCGTCGTTCCAGCCGTGAATACCAAGCGCCTCACCGATCGCGTACTTGAGACCCGTACCGGCGGTGTCAAACTCAAGATGGAAGACGTAACGATCGTAGTTCGAAGGGGTCAAACGACGGTTCTCGTAGACCGTAATGAGGAAGTTTTTCTCGAGGAGGTCGGGGCGCATCTTCTCATCGACCTTTCTCTCGAGCTCGTAGGACTCGGGAAACAGGAGACGCTGGGCTGCGTTGTGCCACGAGTCCTTGGGCTTACCCACAATTTCGGCGACGGGGTCGGCGAACGTGCGATCGGGGTTGGGTCCAGCCGCGGTGGGGATGAGCGAAGTAGGGAGCGAGACGGATGCGGCATCCTCGCCATCGACGGCCATGGGCTCCTCAGCCCACGAGCTCTCGACGGTGACCTGGGTGATGGCGTTGCGAACGACACCGTTGACTTCGACGAGCTTGGCCTTCTCCCACGAGCCGAACGAGGGGCTCTGCGCGAGCAGACCGACGATCTCCTTGGCTGAGATGGACGAGGGCAAGTACAACGACCAGAAGACGATCTCGGCGACGTCAGCCGAGCGAATCGAGTGCGCGGCCGCGATTTTGTCGGCGTCGATGACGAAGAGGTTGCTGGAGCCGGCAACGGCCGCGAGCACCTTCTTGGCCGGGTGAGCGAGCTTAGTCGCGACCTCGTCGGCGGTCCAGTTGGCCGAGATGACGATGCGCGTGTCGCGTCCAACCGAGGTCGAGGAGATGGGCTCGTAAGCCTTAAGGATGGCCGCCGGCGACGAGAGGAAAAGGAGCGACGCCGGAGAGGTCGCAGCTACGGCAGCGATGGTGAAGTCCTTAGTCGCCTTACCGAGGGGCTCGAGCAACAGCGAGGCTTGCTGAATACCACCCTGGCGGAAGTTGTCGTAGGCGATCGCAAGCTTGGCATCGATGCCGGTCGAAGGAGCGGCGAAAGCCGCGGCGAGGCGCAAGGGCACGGTCTCGGTCTGGCCGGTCGTCGCATCCAAGTCCCAGAAGACGGCGAGCTTGGCCTCGGCGGGGAGGAGCGACCTGAGCTCAGGCACTTGCTGGTTCGACGAAAGCGCGACGACGGTGCTGATCCAGTCGTGGACGGACGGCAGCGACGCAGCAGGGACGGGAACGGCGCGGACCTTGAGCTTGAGGCCCGACTGGATCAACGAGCCCAAAATGTCGTCGAAGAAGGGACCGCTCGATTGCTCTTCCTGTTCCTCGGCAAAGACGTGCAACGACTTGACCGACGACGGGAGCGCGGCGTGGAATTGCTTGGCGTCCCAGGGCTTGACGACGCGAACGACGAGCAAGCCGACCTCGGCGCTCTGTAGCTGCGCGATCGCGGCCTTGACGGAGGCCGAGTAAGTCGAGGCGGGGATGACGAGCACCCGGGTCGCGTTGGCCGATCCAAAGTACGAAAAGTAAGGGATCGAGGCGGCGGTCAAGATGGACGAGATGGCCGATTCACCCGCAGCCGAGGCTGAAACCGAGTCGAGGACCGAGAGCTGCCTGCCGGCGGTGAGGCCGTCGAAAACGTTGACGAGGTCGTGGCCGGCCAAGTTGAGGCGGTGGGCGACGGTCGTGCCAACAAGAGCAGCTTCCTCGGCGGTCTCGGACAAGACGACGGCTCCGGTCCATCCTGCTTGGTCGAGCGTCTTGACGGCTTCGAAGAGCGAGCCGAGCGCGGGGACTTGGGTGAGCGAGACTTCGCCTTGCTCGTCCGACGCAACCGACGAAATCTGCGCCGAGACGTGAATCGTCAAAGCGGGACGCACGCCGGCGCGAGGCAGCGACAACAACGAGGGGGTGAGGGCAAGGAACGAATCTGTCGAACCGAGGACGACGATGGGCTTGTCGGCCTGCGAGACGGCCGAGGTGTCGACCGAGGTCTTGGCCTTCTTCTGCGAGTCGGTGCGGGCACGCGAATGGCGCTTGGACGGCACGGAGCTGGCCTCGGAGATTGTGGCGTCGCCGTCTGCCTCTGCTTGCGCCGACGAGGACGACAACTGGGCACCCTTGGAGGTGAATGCGATCGACTCGACGAAACCGACGAGGGAAGATCCTGCACCAGCACGGGTCTGCATCGAGTAGACCTCGGCCGGGGTCGAGTCGGAATCGGCGCTGCTGCGAATCAGCGACTCGCCGAACGCGGCCGAGGGCGTCGTGTCGTACACAAATACGGCCGACGACGACTGGGCGGCGTCAGCCTCCAGACGTTGGTGCAACGACTGCATAATGACGATGAGCCGATACGATGACGCGTGAAAGGGAGGGCAGAGGGGGGTTAGATGGAACAGAGAGCGATCGAGACCGCGGAACACGGCTCAAACCGCCCGCCGCGAAGGCGTGATTTCGCGCTTGCTGACCGTTGGGCCTGCTGGGCAAGCGGCGATCGCCAACCGCTGTGGCCGCGACCAGTTGCGTGGGGGAGAGCGTGCAGTGGCGCGGTTGCGCGCCGCCCCCCTGCAGAACTGACGGAATTCCGGAGACAGAGCACTTATGCGGTGCTCAGTTTTGTGGTTAATGTCAGTACAAGCTTTATGACAACCAACAACCCCTCGTATCAAATCGAAGGACCTTTCGATAAAGCCGAAGAGCTGTCGTTACGTGACATGGGTGAGAAATGGTTGGTTGAATTATGAATAAGGTGGCGGCTACAATGGATGGTACGCTACATGGGTGAGAAATGGTAATAGATATTTTATGGAGATGTCCCTAAATCCTCGTAGATTATGCGATCAGAAGGGTCGAACTATGAACATAAAAAAAGAGCGAGAGCATCAGTTTCAATGTTTGCCACGGACTGCAGCCTCAAATTCGAGAGAAACTCACCTTGGTAGTCGCCATAGTAGCCCGAAGCAGGTCCAGGAACGGGCAAAGTGCGGTACAACCCAAATTTGATCGAGGAGTTGGTCCCCGTGTCACCGGTGGCCGCGTAAGTCATGAGCCGCTTGCCGTGGTCCAAATCGGTCGCAACGTAACTGAGCGAACCGTTCGTTCCCGCCACGACCCAAAGGCGATGTTCGATGACGCGGCCTTGGAAACTACCAAGCGGGATGGTGACCTCTTGCTTGCGCACGTTGTCCATCAAGACGTACGAGTTGCCCTTGACGTCGCCGGTAAGCACCGCTCCGCCGGTGCTGTCGCGACGGAGCAGTTGAAACAGATGGAAAAAGTTGGTCCCGATGATTGTCGAAGGAGCGTTCGTGAGATACGATCTCCAGATGTACAAGTTGCGGGACTTGGCGGGGGCGGGAGGGAGCGAGAAGATCTTGATACGCTGGCGTGCTGACGCTTGGCGCTTCTCGAGTGTTTGGCCGGTCACGTCCTCCTCAAAGGTGTCCAAATCGTCGCCGAGAGTCGTCGTCGACCTCCCATTTGGGATCGGAAGGGTCGTAGGAGTGCACGACAGAAGAGCCATTCTCGGATCGTGTGGCAAGATTCCCGGTGGCGTTAAGGCCCATCTGCCAGCAGTCGCTGATGGCGATGTGACGACCGCACCCTCCGTGGATCAGAACCCCTGAGGATTGGTACCCGAGCTTATCGCTGATTTTGCCCGAAGTCATGCGAGTACCGGTCGACATAATGACGACGTCCTTCTTTTGGATGTCATGGGCCGGCAAGGCGGACCCACAAGTGGCGAGGGTGCAAACGGCGACGACGGCGCCGATAAGGAGCGCTCTGATCGCGACAGGGGTCGCTCGAGCGGTGGAACGAGTGGGCAATCATGGGCGACGAATGGGTGGACGACAGTAAGCCGGAAGGGACAGATGGGTGGGGAAAGAGAAAGAGACGTAGAGAAGTAAAGACTTGGAAGGCACAAAGACAAAGTGTCATGCATATTTAGGGAGAGGTGGGAGATGTTGAGATAGCCTCGAATCTCGCGCGAGCGAGCGAGCCGCCATTGACTGCTGCGAACCACTGCCGACGCTGCAACACTAGTCCAAGCCGGGCGGACGGGGACTTGGAGGGCCCGGTCTCGCCGAGCAAAAGGTCGAGTGTGCGCGGGGGCTCATGTTGTGGCGGTGGGTAATGAAAACGCCCGGACCGCAGTGAGCTTTAGTCCACCAGGAACACGCACGGGCCCTCTCGTCAAATGATCGGTGTCGTTTGGCGCTTACCGGAAACGGCAGAATCCCAGTCGGTTCGGGTAAAGCGTGCGCGAGCAGACGCGCCCGGCGCGCACGGGCCTGTCGCTTCCGTCATTTCATTGCTCCAAATTCCCTCGCGTGCGCTCGGCTGCTGGCGAAGGTCTCGAATATTGCGAAGAAGATACAGACGGTGTGGCATGATGACATAATCTGCGTGTGGCCTCTAAATTGGCCTTCATCGGCGCGCACAGGCACAAGATAGAAGCCGCCTCATGCAATTGATCTTGTGCCTCGCGGCCGTCGGCCGTCGGGCCTTTCGTAATCGAGAATAGCCGACAGAAAGCGGGGGTTCGCGAGGTCTGTGCAGAAGTTGCAACGGTCTGTGCCGCAAATCTGGCCGTCTGGATGACACGGCGGGCTTTTTGATGTAGTAATGAGTGCGACGGAGGATTAGGGGGATCGGATCCGCAAGTTGTCGGGGTCGGATAGCTTCGTGCCTCGACAATTCGCACAGTGGTTGGTAGTGGCGCAATACCACTGATCTCGATCGAGATTAACGCGCCCCCGGAGGGGGCGACGGGTCCCTGAACCTCTGACGGAGTAACACCGACTGACAACGTCAGCTAGTATAACTAAGAACATGCCATGGATCGGGCATGCAGCACCAAGTTGGCGAGTCGGTTCAATCCACATCAATGAGTCGTGTAAGTATGTGCCAAACATTAATGAACATTGCAGACAAGAAGAGATCGAGCCAGAGCCAGGGTGTACATGCATAAGTTGAGATCACTCGACATCGCCCATGCCACAGTCCGTGTCTGGTCCGACTCCGACTTTGTGTATGTATGTGGTCGTCAGCGCCGGGGACCCACATCGCGCTTTCACCGAACTTGGCTATAAGAAGTGGTTTCAGTTGACGTTGAGAGATCGGGACTTCAGGGAGCGACTTACGTTTTTTTTTGGAAGGGGCACTGTAAGGTCAATGTCACGGTAATGGACCTCTTGACCGGTGATAGCTTTTTCTTGGGCGACGGTGGACGGTCGGTGAGAAGAGGGGGACAAGGGAGAACCGCCGCCGGCTTGACTCGGGTGCGCCGCTGCTTTGACAGCCGCGGCGGGCGGACTGGTGCACGGCCACATTGACTTCTACTGACAAGGCTGTAATGATGACGATGCGGTAGACATGTTAAATCAGCTTACCCATACAGGAATTTAGTTGATTGTACGCGAGACTTGCATGAAGAGGGGCTTGTTCCTGGCATGTACCCGGATCCGATGCGGCACGAACTGAAAGCGAGCGTGTGGGGCTTGTCTCGCCTGGTTGAAGTACGTGTGTGCTTGGACGAAACGCCAGAATACGGTCGATATGCGGTAAATTTCGAGCAGTGCTGCTGCGATTCGAGCCACCTTCTCTTTGGGGACCCGAAAAGCGAGGTGGCGAAACACGTCTCGTCGGCGGAGAATGTTCGAGATGATGAACGGGAAAGACGGGTCGCACCAAAATCGCTGTCGTATAGATTGAGCCAATGTTTGACTTGCTCCTCCAGAGAAATCTTGACGTCGCGCTCGACACAGACACCGACGAGACCGAATGGATCGAGGTGTGACCACCTTGCAGCTTTGAGAGCAGGAAGTCATCCGAAGATCCCCACAAAGGGTCGTCGCCTGTCGGAATGACATGGGGGGGCTGGTCTTGCAGTGGTTGAAATAACGGAGAGCTTTCTCAGAGAACTGCCACGAGTGAACTGGTTCGTCGGTAGCGGGTGGCGGCACATGGACGTGTTCGAATACTGGTTCATCAGAGTCGTTATGCGCTGTTGCGTAGCCTTCAAAGAGCGATGATGTTGGTTCCACTGTCTCTGCGGTAAACACATTCGCCAAAACTGCGTCGGGCACGAGACTGTCTCCATCCGAGGTTTGTCCATCCGACACTTGGGGAGCAACCGAGACGGAAGCCGAAGCCGAAGTGGAAGCTGAAACCGCCGTGGGTGCTGGAGAGGTAGAGTTGAGCACACCAGAATTGCATCGAACGAGCTGTGCAAGTCTTTCGCCATTAAAAAAGGAGACGGCAGAGTACGCCGGATTCTTGCTTTCGTTGATCAACCACCTGAGCATCTTTTGGATCCGACTCTGCTTCACGATCATGGGTCGACACTTGTCCAGCTCCGCAAGGTTGGGGTTCCCTCTGCAGAATAGAACGCACACACTGTCAGCGAGTTCCTCGACTAACATGGGCAGTACATCGGTGAACGAAGCGGTGTTCTGGCTGAAAATGAGGGTGTTTCCGCGCCTAAATTCTTGTTGAGCTTTGCGATCTCCGAAACGAGTTAGCTTGTACATGATCTTGTAGGCTCTGGCGCGCACAGTGACGAGGTGCTCAGACTGACTCGTGTTGGAGAGGCAATCTCGGACATCAGCGGGGACGTGATCCAGTGCGCAATAATCCGTTGCTCAACGACCGAGGGGGCTTAGTCAGTGGCCCTGTGGTAGGGAACAACCGTTTGAAGCAGTCTGGCCAGAGTGAGCACTGAAGCGTGTTGTTCATGGGCGAGTACGCGATCTGATCGATTAAATCTTTCGGTCGCTGAAGACGTCGGGGATGGATGAGTGCGCCCCGCCAAGCTGAAGAATCGTAAGTCGGTGGTCGGAGGTCCGTACGTAGTGTAGAGTTGGTTAATATCTTCCAAATACCTGATTCCTCACGCTTGATGTGGTGTTCAGGCACCCATCGTACGTTATGCCCGAAGACTCTCTGGGGAACACACCAGGTAGCAGAAGAGACGGGAACGAGCGTCGGTGAAGTAATCATTCCATTCAGAACGGTTCTCGGTCTTGAACTGATCGGATGCTGCCGCAAAATGCGATGTCACTTTACCGGGTTCTTCTTGTTCGGGTTCGGGATGCAGCGGTGGACGTCTGTGCATCGTTTGTTTAGAGGTAGTCGCCGAGACGTTCTCGCGATTCCTCTGGGCTTCCTCGTTCAGTTCGGTTTGGAGCACGTCAACAGGTTTTGATGCGTATGCTCTGTGCTCGGGGAAGCAATGGGGGCGGACTCACGGGACTCGCCGCTTGTTGCCTTCTCAAAACATACCCATTTGAACAAGCATTACAGTTGGGATCGCACGACCAAAGGAGCGCTTGTAGGAATAGCTCTTTCGCAAACGGATTGCTCCTGGAGTATCCTTCCACGTGGTGCGCCCGACAAAGCTCCTTCAGGAGATTCATGCTGAATTTGATGCTGCTGAGCACGAGTCGCCCCAGACTGCATTCTACAATGCCAACACTGGACTGTTGCGTAGGAGCGGACCGGAGTACATATACTGTGCGTGTCCGGTGCGGCGGGAGGATCGGCTGTCGCTAGCGGTGGACGCGAGGCTTAACACGTCGTCGAGATTCGAGCGTTCAAGTTGTGGGCTGACCTCGATGGTGCGGAGGGGTACAAGATCACAAAGAAGTCACATGACGGCGGCTGTGTGATACGGGTCTTAGAGATGCGAGGACACTCGGTCCAAGTTGGAGCAAGGCGAGTACAGAGACGGAAAGGAGAGGGCCGGGCAGTGGCAACTTGCCAGCGGACCGGGCCTGCCGCGGGGACTCGGGGAGGCTGATGACGCCCAAGCTGAGTGCTAAGTGCGAGGGGCCCTCCTATCCGGGAGGCATTGTTTTAACCGATCGGCGCTGAACTCGGACTCTCCTATTGCGCTCAGGCAGGTTCCTCCCATCCGCGGTAGCATTGTTCGCACCAATCAGCGCTGAAATCGAGCTCTCCTATTGGTGCTTCAACAGCCACGCGCGTGCGGGGTATTTCGGCCATTTCGTCCAATAAAATCTCAGACGTGCACCATTTTCGAGGCTGGGACCCCCCCCCATTTTTCGAAACGAAACCTTCAGCTCTAACGAGCTTCAGGGATTTTGATGAGCCATTACTCCTTGCTCTCACTACTTCTCGGAAGGAGATCACCAGAATACATCTAGATCGGTTGCAGTGCTGATGTATAGTTTGTGCAAATGAGACAAGTGTGCAAGCTTATTGTGTAGACCACAGAGGGCCGGGGAATAGTGTTGCGATGGGAATGACATAACGCCACGGGCCTTGCCAGTGTTGCGGTCGGGGTATACCTTGAGCGATGCCCATCTCGAGCCTGGTTCATGAAAAAGAGTGTGGTCAGCGCCTAGGCTTATAGAGAATCAATCAAGGCAACGCACTGACCAACAACTCGAAAGAAGCACTCCCGGCGCCGCGATCCAGAACAGCGTCCACACCGCTCCCAGGGTTTTTCCCACCTTTCGCTTCGTCATCGAAGTGAAAACCCCTTCTACAACGACACCCACACCTTGTGATAAAAAGTAAATGATTGAACCCCACCGTGTTGTCCATGGTAGATGAGCGGGGTTAGAGATGTGGAAGGTGTGCAGCGCCGACCACAAGGCGTGTTCGTGCAGCCAAGCACTGATGGCGAATACAGCTATGACGGCGGCGACTTGAGCGATGGTCTTCCCTAAAATAGGTGAGACGATAGCCATCGTTGGTTCGTATCCGAGGACCTTGAAGGGCCGTGCGAAGAAGTAGTGCCACTGCTCCGACCAGAATTTAGCCACGCTCGTCGGGAGACGAATCTGGAACAGTTGGGGATACTGGCGCGGGTCGAAAGGTGGCGGTCGCAGGCGTGTAGGTAAGATGATGCGGAGTAGTCCAGTCAGCGTGAACAACATTAACGAGGCGCATGTGAAGCCGAGGGTCAATCCAGCGAGGGCAGCCACGCCGAGCGAGAGCGCAGCACACGAAAAGGCTAATGATTCGACGCGGGCAACCGACAAGGAAGGAAAGTGACGTGCAATCGCGATCGCTCGGGTCGAATGGGGCGTCAAGATGATGTACGAACATGTCACGAGGGTACAGTGGGACCAGACCAGGTCGAGTAGCACTCGTCGGAGGTACTTGACGTGACTCATTGGGTGAGGTCGAGCCGAGCATCGAGGTGGGGGTCCGAACGCCCATCCTATCCCCCGCATCGACACGAGGAGGTGGAGTGTCCAGGACAGAATCTGAACGGGCGAGTCATTCTCTGCGGCCTTGCGACGTAGTGTCTCGAGTTGCTCCTTGCGCTGGCGAGTCGGATCCACCTTGCTAGGCTTGCCGTGGCCATTTTTGGAGCTCGTCTCGGCGAGAGAGTGTTGACGGGTATATCCTCGTTCGTCAAATCCAACCCATGTATACGGTGACAGGTCTTGTACAAAGGCAAACTCGAGGGCTGCATACGGGAAATTGAAAGTGATTAGGCCTGCAAAACCTTCGGCTGCTCGATGAAATTAAAGATCTGCCAGACACTCACTCTTCATGATGGCATAGGCCCCCATGACGCCGACGACGAAGTTGACGCCGACCGAGACCTCCCTCGGCTCAAAGCCATAATCGAAGCTCGAGCGCGCGGCGTAGGAGAACCCCAAGGGCAGCAGCAGCAGCCTAGCCGGGGTTGAGATGGCTCTTGGGAAAATGGGGTGCAGCAGCAAGGCTTGGAGGGAGACGGGCATGAGGAAGGTGAGGATGGCGAGTGGTGGATATCGGGGAAGGGACGAAGGCGACGATGAGTGGGGCCGAGTGAGTAGATGGTGGGCGTTGGCGGTGCCAGGCAGCTCCAACAACGACTGTAGCCAGCTCTTGGCGAGCGTCGTATCGAGCATGATGGGGCTCGATCGCAGTCGTGCTGTCGACGGCTGTCGGGGGGCCGAATTTGGTCCTGTATACGATCGTGAGAAAGCGATCCCGTCGATCAACGCCCAGGCTCACAGGCTGTCGACGCGCGCGGCCGAGGTGGAGCTGATTTGTAATGGCGAACTCCATTATCCGACAAGCAATAATAATGCGCATGGTTTGGCCCCCCACAGTCTCGGATGCCCGAGTCGCGGCTGTCCCCCTGTGTCGACGCGCTTTCACAACATCCCTTCCGACCTCGCTCACGAAGACTGCCTTACCCCCACGCCAACATCTCACACAAACCACTCCGCCACCATGTCCGACATCCCTACGTCTGTGCCTGTGCAGGAACCGGCTCTCGCGGCGTCGGCTCCGTTTGCGACGTCATCCGAGCCCCAAACGGCGCCGGTTGCCGCTGCTGGTCAGGCCAGCGCCTCGAGCGACGGCAATGAGAACAGTACCATCGGCACCACCGTTACGAGCACTGATGCCCCAGCCCCCTTTCAGACGGGTACGCCTGCCAACGAGGACATCTTACCATCAGGCACGGGTGCGACGGGCCACGCCGACCTGGCTGCTCCCTCAGCCTCATCAGAGGAGCTCGCCGCCGGTGGCCCTACCACCGCTGCTGCCACCCCACACGAGGTCGTTCAGGAACCGAAGCCGATCCCCACCACGCCTGCGCCTGCGACCGAACCCATCGTCGAGTCGATCGAGAAGGCCCAACGAAGCACGACTAACGGTCACGGTCACACCAAGGGCGACCAGACCGAACCTGCAGTCGCTGCAGCACCCTCTGCAGCCACCGAGCCAGCTGCTGAGTCTCCCTCCGCTAGCGCAACCGAGACCATTGCCGAATCAGGATCGGTCGTCGACAAGGTCGTAGACGTCGCCGAGGGAGTCAAGGACGCCGTCGTTGACAAGTTCGAGCAAGTGGAGGAATTCGTCGTCGACACCGTCAGCAATGGAGAACCCACAACGGGCGACAAGCGACCCTTGGACGGCGCCGAAGCACAGCAGAAGGTGAGGTCCAACGGCTGCCACAGGAGGATCAATGAATAAGAATTCTAGATGAGCTTCTTGCTGACGTGCATTGATTGCACTTATCTAGACTGCCGAAAGCGAGGGCATGTCGGTCGATACCCCCGAAAAGGCTGAGCCTTTATCCGAGGCCACCCCAGCCGACCCCGCCCCCACTGCAGAGGCAGAACCCGCTGCCGAGACGGTGAGTTTGCCACAATCCTAGCCCCTTCCGACTGGCTTGACCAACACGTTGTCATCACACCAGGGCGAACCCCCCGTGAAGAAAGCGAAAAAGACCGCCCCCGAGAAAACCGCCGTTGCTCCGACTCGTCGCTCATCACGTTCGACTCGATCAACGGCCAGTCTCGCCGAATAGAGCAAGCTCAGACACAAAAATCACAAGCCTGAACGGAGGGTAGAAACATAAACCCAATCTCTAAAACCACCAACCTCTCTTTCTTTTTAGACTGTAATGACTTACAAGGAACATCAGTGTCGCGCTCTTTGTCGTACACCCTATAAGCGCATACACCCATATTTAGGAGCCATACCCCACAATGTCTCTTTTTACAACGAGTTCCCTGAGTGTACCCTACAAAAGCCCTATGATAAGACTCATGACGCCCCCTCCTCAAACTCAAACTCTTGCCTTTCATCGTACTCCCACGTCCGAATTAGCCCATCCGATCCATGACTCGCCAACAAGCTCTGCTTATCATTCCACACCGCGCCGTACACGATCCCACGGTGTCCTTCGAGCGTTTGCAACACCTCCGAACTCTCCCGATCCCACATGTACAAAACGCCATCTTCGGATCCGGACACGAGCAGACTCGCGTGCGCGAACGACGCTCGAACGAAGTTGTGTGATGTGTTGGAATGGGCTTTAAAGCGTTTCAAGGGCCGTAGCTGTCCAGAAGAGATTTTCCTGCGTCAGATAGATATTCACCGAGCCCGTATGCGGCTGACTCTCCACTCACCATCCTAACATCCCACAATCGCACCGAGTTATCCCTCGACGAAGTGAGCAGATACGAATCACTCATATCGACGGACGTGACCTCTCCAAGCTGGGCATTGAGCGTTCGGATACACAGGCCTGAGACAGAATCCCAGAAGCGCACGTTCGAGTCCTTGGACCCGCTGACGATGAGGTTGCCCAAGGGGTTGAACATGACTGATGAGATTGAGAGCGAGTGGCCTGCACGTGCGAAGCACCAGAGACGTTCAGTCAGTAGCTTCTAAAGAGACATTGATGTCCGGCTTACCAGTGAAGGTTTTGAGTATCGTCCCCGTTTCGACATCGAATAGTCGAACGATCTTGTCATATCCACCCGTGACAAGATGTTGCTGTGGGCCCAACGACAGAGGATCAGCTCCAGGCACCTAGGTCAAACGTGCTTTCTCGGTCCCACTCACTCCACTAGGGTGCCACCGTGCCGAGTAAACATCACCATGATTCCCTTCCAACGTCGTCACGCATCGCTCCGCTTCAACCTCGTTCCGCCAATCCCACACCTTGACCGTCTTGTCCCCACTCGCACTCAGTAGCCGCTCTCCATCCTGCGTCGCGTCAACATCCCATACCCGACTCCGGTGACCCGTATAAACCGCCAGACAACGCGCCGAATGTGTCTCCCATACTCGCACCGAGTTGTCGGACGAGCCCGAAACGAGTTGTGCCCCCTCGGCCCCGATGAATCGTACGGATTTGACGTTCGCGCGGTGGCCTTCAAACGTGCATGCGACAGCGTTCGGCACGACAAAAGGGGTGTAATCTTTCAAGAGACTTTGACGATGTCAAAACCGGTGCGTGTCAGTCGACGAACAGCATCACGGTTCTTCCGGGCTGCGCACTCACGTGCGTATGACAGGAGCCTGCCGAGGTCGAAATCGAGACAGCTCGAGCTGGAACGAGACGGCTTGTTCGAGCATCGTCACAAGGCGCCCGGGTGGGACGTATGCACTCTCTGTAGCACGGATTCGGGATGAGCATTCTCGGGCCTTCATGAAGTTCATGAAGTGTCGAACGTCAAAACACACCTTCCTCTTTCTCATCCCGCTCTCTTTCGACCATCTGCTCAAGCACATCACAGAGCTTCTCGCGCGCAGAGCTGACCCCTTCCCATGCTTTGAAGGAAGGAGCGTCGTGAACGGATTTGGCAGAAAGCAGATAGCACAAGTCCTTGAAGTCGGCAGGGGTCGGTTGATAGTGCTCAAGGGGTTTGAGGCGCTTGTTGAGTAGGGTGAAGGCCTGACGGAAGTGGAGGGGACTCGTCAGCCTGGGTCTAATGAGAGCTCAGGGCTCATAGCTCCGCGGACGCACCTTTTGCAGCTCGCGATATTCGATATCTGCAAAGGGTGTAGGGGTCGAAGTCCGCATCAGTATTGCCCCAAAAAAAAAAAAAAAAAAAAAAAAAAAAAAAAGGCGGCTCAGAGCTCTGTATGGTTGAGGGCTGGCTCACGTTCAAGGAATTCTATCGCATCACATGCATAAACATTGTCAGCAACCAGGCAACACTCGCACAGAAATCGCGTGGATTGATTCACGTTGGCGGTAAAGAGAATAGAGCAGAGCATTCTGGGTCCTGACGAGCGGCCCTTTACTAACGATTTGATCGACTTCGGCCCAGTCCCCCTCTGTCAATCACGGAGGCCATCAGTATACATGGCTATGCCCAATGCAAACATCAGTTCGAGAAAGTCCCACCCAATATGGCTCGCTTGAGGTTCCTGGTCTGTACTTGGCGCTCGCCCTTTTCTTTGGCTTTGAGGTTGGCTTCGTCGTGCAGGACCAACTTGGTCGCCATGTAGCCTTCCTCGCTGAGGTACTGTTCTATCAGTCGGAGGATGTCCTGTGGGGGAGGATAATGCGATGTGCTTGTCAGCGACGAATACATCTCCCTGCCGCAAGCTCGGCACTCCCTGAGGCCAACGCTCAAGTGGGGGCGGAGGCCATCGACGGCACATGTGGGACGCACCTCCTTGATCTTGGGGTCGTCCTTAGGCAGGGAAGTTGAGGACACATCCAGTGGTGATCCAGCATCCTCAAGTGCTCGAGCCTTCTGCAACAGTCTGTAGGGTCATCACAAGTCCAACAAGTCCATCTCCCAGGGTCAACTACGGTCTGGTCACTTCGACTTGTTGCAGCACTTGCACTTGTCTTCTTGAGAGTGGTCGTGCCGTGTTCCTTCTCGCAGACGGGTAAGCTTCACGTGAAGGAGGAAGTTGCTCGAGACTCTCTGCGAAGCGATTTGAGCCGCTGGTCGAAGCCACCAGAGCACTTGACGAGCCTGTCGTCGTCGGTGCGGACATCGTCATCGTCGTCGCCATCTCAAGGTGGTGTCGAGGCCGTTCGTCATCGTCATCATCGCGAAGCTGTGGCAATAGACCCCGTTGAATTCGGTTCGAAGGGCGGGGTGTCGAATGCCCTTCCTCTTCGCCCGCGAGATGGTCCATCGCCGGCGACGGTCGAAGCTCTCGCGCGCAGAGGGAGAGGGAGAAGGAGAGAGCGAGTGTCGAGCTCATCACCCGACAAATTGGACGATTTGTCCGGACAAGATTAGGCAATCCGAGACAAATGCGTGATTGACAAGGGAACATGGGCCACCCTGGGGCATATAGTGCTACGACCCGGACACGAGGGACAAACAAGCACGCATGAAATAGTGTATAATAGGCGAGCATCCGGAAGGTGGCATCGGCGACGGGAAAGACCGAGCGCCTGGTAATATGGGGTGGGTGGCGGGAAAGTGGCCGACAGAGGACGATAGCGATAGGAATACAACAGCAAAAGCAAACGTGTGAGGAATGAAAGGATCACCGTCATCGATATACAAGGGGCCGCCGACGAAACGTCGACTCCTCAATACCGCTGCTGCCCGTTCGGTGCCAGGTTTTGCACCGCTGATCCTCGACGGTCGGCACCGCTAGCGACAGGGCAGTTCGCATGGGCTTGCAGGATGGCACGAAGGGATTGTATCTCCTCCTTGAGGTTCGTCACAGTTGCTTGGAGCGTGTCGTTGTCGATCGTAAGCGACTCGACCTTGTACTGCAGGTTCGCGAGCCACGTCTTTTTGCGCTGGCGACACTTGAGTGCCGCTGCAAGGGTGAAGGGCCGAGTAAAGGTCAGTCCGAAATCATCTTCGGACGAAGATACTGATATAAGCTCACCTTGTCGATTCCTCTCCAGGAAGTTCTTCCGCTTCTCCTCTTCCGTCTCGTTGGGGTTCGATGGTGCAGGGCTGGCATTGCTCTGCCCCTCCTCGTCAAGCTGATCCATGTCGTCATCCATGTCGTCGTCCATCCCGTCCAACGAGACGGCCTTGGCTGCCGAAGCGCGCTTGCCCTTTTTCGCAGGCGTGACCTTGGGCTTGGTCTCCTCAGCCTCGGCCTTTTTTCGCTTGTTCGCTGCAGCTCCGCCACCCGCCGCTCCGCGCTTGCCCTTCGCCGGGGCAGCTGCCCCATTCCCAGGTTGCGAACCTCCGTTCGTCGAGGGCGCGGAAGATTCCGTCTGGATGGGATTCGACACCGAGGTCGTCGATGTAGGTGCACCAACGGAGGTCGGGGCCACGATGCCAACGGTCGTACCACCCGCCTGCTTCAAAGCCGCCGCCTTCTCCTGGGCGATTCGCTCCAACGGAGTCGTGTGGCCGTGGAAACCGGGTGTGGCGAGGCCTGACAGCGCTGCCGCAGCCACGAGCGCATCGTCGTTGTGAGAGTCCGTTTGCCCGAGGTTGTAAAGGTTGTTGGGGGGGAAGCCGGCGGAACCAAGGTGCAGAGGGCCCGGTCCAGGATGGTGGGCACTTTGCGAGTAGCCATTATTAAAATTCGACTGAGGCTGTCCGTACGGAGTTTGTTGTGGGTAGAAGGCGGCCTGAGGCGGATGCACCTGATTCTGGAGATGCGAAGGGTGCATCACACCGTGCCCTACTCGGCCATTGGGACCCATCTGAGATTGCCGATGGTGAGACGAGAAGTCGGGCGCTTGCACAGAGCCACCTTCGTGCTTCCCCGACGCCGCTCGTGCAAAGCTGGCCTCGAAGTTGTTGGCCTCGTTCGGCCCTTCGTGTGGCCTAGGTCCTCCACCCGCCAGCCCTGCCGCCGCTGCTGCCTCGGCCGTACCAGGGGTGTTGTTCGTCATCATCGCGAACAACGCCGCCGTCGCCGGGGAGGGCGGAGGGAATGAGACGCCGCCAGACGAGGTCTCACCTCCGAGGGGCGTTAAACCAGTCCGCATCATTGAAGGGTCAAAAGGCGCACTGCCCATCATTCCCGGCGTGAATGATTGCTGTGGCCAGCCGAACTGAGAGAGGTCGGTCCCCGGGGTCGGGATCATAGAAAAGTGCGCGATCTTGTTCAAGCCGCCAGGGGTCTGACGGTTCGCGAGACTGTTGGGACTGATCGAGCGAGCTCGACGCGACACGTGCCCCGCGAAAGATGGCGTTTGGCTACCGTAGCCACTGCGAGCGATGATGGGCCCCGAGGGCTCCGGACCCGAGAAGGACTGCTCAAAAGGGTTCGGCTCCTGGTCGAGGCGGTGTCCTCCATCCGGATCGAAAGCGCCGCCGCGCGAGATAGGGTCGGAAGATGCACGCACGTGACGTGAGTGTCCTGATCAAGATGGGGTCGCGAGGGTTGGGCTTTGGGTTAGCTACGGTGCTATCATAGATGATGCGGTGTGACATCCAAAGGATAGTGCGCCAATTCACACTAGGATCTAAGAGGGTGCGTGAATCGACATTTCCCGGCGCTTCCTGCCCGAGAGCGCGGTGGATGCCATGTCTGGCTACCTCAGGGATAGGGCCCATTCTCTATCACCTCGAGGTCGCGACCCTCACAAGTTCCAGAAGGACCATACTCGAAGCATCTGTTTCCAAGGACCGAACGTTGAAGTTCGGCGATATCACAAGTGGAGCGCTGCTCGCCTCGGATATCAATTGGACAGCAAAAGCCTCCGCAGCTGACATCGAGAAAGTTGGCGCTGATCGGCGCGCACAGCAACAATCGGCATGCGCGCCAGCCTTTGCCCCGGACGAACGATGCAGAGGCGCGAGACACAAGACGCACCCAATTGCTCACTCTCCTCGCGCTTGGGCATGCCGTTGTCCATGCCATGAAGCTGAGGTGGGTACTGATACGATGCGGGCGGTCCTACGGAATGGTGGTGTTGCTGGTGCAGATGCGCTTGAGGGTGATGCTGCTGCTGCTGAGCTTGAGAATGGTGCTGGGCGTGAGCGTCGGTCGAAGGCGTGCCGCCGTGGCCGCCGTGGCCGCTGTGGGCGTGGGCATCGGCGTGGTGCGGCGCGGGGTTGGGCGCTGCGACCGGGACTCGTCGAGATGAGCGGGTCGTCATCGTGACGAGGCAGCGTCGTCGTCGTGCGTCGTTGAAGGAGGCGAGAGTGACTAGGCTTCAGTCGAGATCGCGCTATGCCAAGGTCGTATAGGGGTCTAGGCCCTGCAAGGGCGATGCCGAGCGATCGCGAGAGGGTTGGTGGGCTCGACAAGCTGGCGTGCTGGCAGTGACGTCGATTTTTGTCGGGCGGCGAGCGGGCGGGCGAGGGCAGGTCGTCAGGGACGGTGGCGAAGGGGTGGCGAGAGTCGATGCACCAAGCCGCGAAGAAGCAGTGTGATCGCAGACCGTCCTTTCGGCGTCGAACACACCTCGATCAAGCGTCGAGGCAAGTGGGGGTTGACGTTGTGGTGTTTTGCGAGGCCCACAGGTCGTCGTCGATGAGGTAATCGTCCAGAGGGCAAAACCCACAATGACGTTGCCCTTGGCCCAGTGCAGGTCTGCGGGCGCTTGCGGGCTCTTGCGGGCACTTGCGGGCACTTGCGGGCACTTGCGGGCATGCGGGCTCTTGCAGGCGCGCGCCAATCTTTGCCTGTGACTTTTCTGAGCGGGCGGCGAGCCGGCCGCTCCCTGTTGGTGGCCTGCTCCTCGGGCGGGGCTTGGAGCCGAGGACGGCGCGGGGCCTGTGGCGCATTGCGAGGCTCAGCCTCCGTACGCCTACAGCCATTCGTATCGGCGAATTTGAGACGACACAACGATCCGATGTTTCGAAGATCGACCAATCCGAGCTCCAGATCCTACCCCTACAACGAGGGCCCATTTCAATCGCCGCAGAACTCGGTTTCTCGAGCGTCGACCGTATCGGGTTCCTCACGTGGGGCGGTTGTGGGCTCCAACAACCCCTATACCGCTGCTGCCACGAGTAACACACGCTCTGGCAATGGGACCTTCCCGGAATTGGCTGCGCTGAGCCTCAACGACGACACACCTCCCCCACCGACCTACCAGACCGCCGTCAACCAGGGTTTTCGGCAGTCTCAGGAGCTGGAACGTCATCACCCACCACCCCCACCTCAACTGGCGCCGAGGACTCCGGCCTCGGCTTCCTTCAACACCGGGGGCACGCAAGCGCACCAGCCCACTTATGGCTCTCCAAACTCCCAACAATACACCGAACACATCAGAACGCCGTCGATCGCCTCATTGGACCGGAGATCGAGCCTAGGAAGTGTCGCCGACAGTCCTTCGACTCTTGCACAGCCTTCAACGACCACGGGCTCTCTCGTCCATCCATCTCGAGTCGCCAGCACGTCTGCCCCCAATCGTCGCTCGAGTATCGAAGATCCTCTCGCCCCATTGGGCAAATACGACCTCTGCATCCTGTTGGACGACTCGCCGTCGATGACGGAGCATTGGTACGAAGCTCGGGATGCTCTGATCGGCGTCGCGGAGCGGTTCGTCAGATACGACAAGGACGGCATCGACCTGTGCTTTATGAACAATGACAATCTCAATCTCAAGAACGTGGTTGATGCTTCGACTGTTCGGGAAGCATTTGAGAATATTCAGCCATTCGGGTCAACGCCGTAAGTTTGGGACCGAGCCAGATCTTCACGGTCTTCCTGGTTCTTCGTCTAAGCCGACCTTCGTCTCTTGCTTTCTAGAACGGCCATGGTACTAGACGACATTCTACGCGACGTCGTCGACCGGATAGAGGATGCCAAAGCGGGCAAAGGCCCCAAAATCAAACCCCTGATCTGTATCGTCCTAACCGACGGGCGAGCCGACGACACGGACGGGTTACGCGACCTACTCGTGGAAATGGCCGGTCGTCTCGACGAGGTTAGGGCACCGCCATTCCAGTTGGGCGTGACGTTCTTGCAAATTGGTAGCGATCCGGATGCGACGCAGTTTTTGCAGCAGTTGGATGATGATCTCAAAGCGGAGAGTGGGGTGAGGGATATCGTCGACACGTGAGCTTTACTCTTGCCTATTTTCCAACCTTGTGGGTGTGAATGTCGAGCTAATGTCTTGTCACTCATCTTTGGTATAGATTAACATATCAGGGTCAACTGACGCCGGAGTTCGTGCTCAAGGTGGGTTCGCATACATCGAGGTCAGACCCCTTCTCGTCTTGCCGGTCGCTGATATTTCCACTTTCAATCACTCTCAATCTTCTCGCAGGCCGCTCTCGGATCGGTCAACAAGAGGCTTGACGGTTGAGAGGAGGTTACAGTCGAAAGAAACCGGACTTGTTGACACAGTAGTCGATATACTTTTTGACGAATCCGTTCATGCCATAGTCTTCCCTGCCGCGACCCCCTCCGCGACGTATGAGTCTCCGCCTTGCCTTTTTGACCTGGAGAACATGCTTGGCGCGGTGAACCGACCTTGATGGCCAATTTGTTGTTCGTCCGACTCGAAGCGTTCGGCTGACTCGAGGCGTGTGTTCGCGTGGCCTGTGACGCGTGATGCAATGCCTGACACCACCTCACCGCATCCTCGGATGGTCCCCACTCTCCCACCCCATCGCTATCCATTCACTGCTCCCCTTACTCAGGCTCGTGCAACTCGCCCGTACTCTCGAGGTTATGGCGAGTCCCCCTCTGCAACGACGTCCACAGCTCGACCGTCTCCGTCACTTTGACGTTGTACGTGTTGGTTTCCTGCGGTGGGAAGGTGGATCACGGTCAGCGCAATTGGATGGGATAAGAGGCGGAGGATAGGTCGACTCGCCGAAATGGCGGAATTGAGATGGATCATGGACTCGTTCAACTTTGCGACGGTCGACAGGATGCGCGCGATCGTGGCTGGTGGGGTATTGATGAGGGAGGAGATGGTCAACATGGGGGGATGAGAGGTGGGGCAAAGGCGAGGTGATACATACCCTGTTGCTGTTCCTCGTAGGGGTTCTCCATTGCTGAGGGTGTTGTGAGTTGGGGCGCGTGGAGGGAACGGGAAGGACAGCGGAGGACGCGACGCGACGAGCTCGTCTTCGTCTGCTCCGCGGTACATAATATGAGGACCCGGGAAAACTCAGCCCAATGTGCGTCCGAAAAAACGGCGATTTTTGGCCGATTTGTACATCGGGATGAGGTGTCTGAGGGGTCGATTTGTACCTATTTTCGGTCGTACATTGGAAGAGTTCCGAAACATGAAAAATTCAATGTCGTGAAATTGCCCAAAAATCGCTCTCCAACAGCCAGAAATACGAAAAATCGCTCCGACGACCCGGTACTAACGTCGCGTCCGCTTTGACAGCCGGCCGCTTGGACCCTGCGAAGATCCCGACCGCTTATCGGCTCCGCTCCCTCCGTCTGCATTAATACCCCTCTCCTCGCCAGCATGCGCAAGTCCCTTTCGAATCGGGGCCAACGACGCTACAAGGACCCCTTCGAAGCTTTGCAGCTGGTAATATCGCGCTTGCGCCTGTGGGCCCAGGACTCGCCAAGTGTGGCCGTCGAAGCCAAAACCAGCTGGGGGCTCAACGGTCTGCATGCTCGAGTTGTAAGTGTCAAGGCAGCTGACGACCCGGTGACCATTCAAGAAGAAGATTCGAGCTTGGCCGCGGCTGTTGCGATTGGTGAAGACTCCGGAACTGGCTTGCGTAGGAAAGAGCTCCTGAATCACAATGTTGGAGACGAGTCCGAGGGATTCGGTGCTCTCAACACTGCAGTGAGGCATTGCTGGTGACGGCTTTGTGTAAATATAGCGCACTGTGGTGCATGCAGACGCCGACGTGATGAGCAACTTTTCTCGATTGCAGTGAAGGGGTTCGAAATGCAACAAGCAAGGCGCTTGCCAGCTTGATGTACGCGGCGTCGCGTTTGTCATTGACCTCAACATTGCTTAGCCAATCAACGTTATCCGAGATGGTTGACTTCAGCTGCTCGACAGAGTCCAGATGTTGCCAGAATGCTTCGGAACCGATTGGCATGTGTTCCACTATCGACGTGCAAGGGGATCGAACCTCGATGGATCGATAGCCGGAGACGTACAATTCTCGAAGATTGTGAGCTTTGTTGAATAATACACGGGCGTTGCTATCGGGGCGAATCTGATGCTCATGGAATGTCGGCTCGAACTCGGATACGGCGAGGGTTGCGGTCAGGTCAGGCCGGGTAAATTCGAACGCAAGAAGCTCGCCGACAATGAGCTCGGCAACAGGAGACATCGCGGCGAATTGCTCATCTGGAATCTCGAGCACGTCGTCTAAGAGCACTTGAATTGGTGCATCTGGAGGGGCTGCTGTAGATGACATGCTGTCCTCTTAACCCTCAGCAAGGGCACGCAGGGAAGTGCGCAGAGGGTAAGATGCTCGCGACGTGGCACAAGGTGAGGGTGGTCAGAGGCTGTCAGGGGGGTCTATTGGCATTTGTTTCACTTCCAGCGCCCTTGATTTGGTGAGCGTCTGTGAGCTCTCTGAGCGTGAAGCGCATTTTTTTGCATTACAATCGGCTCGCGCGTCCAATTTTGTTCCGAAACTCATTCAAACTAATGGACCGCCAGCTGGCCCGCGGCGCGCGCCTACTGATCCCAGACCGCCGCCGCTGATACGTGCTCGGCCATCGGCCGAGCAGGGGACGACCAGGGAGGTGCGAGGTCGGGGTACATCGATTTGTACCACATCCAGGACGTACATCCAAGATCTGGAGTGCCACATTTTTCGATTTGTACCACTTTTGAGTCGCAGTTTGGGGTTCAGAGGGTCCGATTTGTACATTTTCGGGGACGCACATTGGGCTGAGCTTTCCCGGGTCCTATAATATGTAGGCGGTAATTTCCGCAGGTTGATTTCCGCTAGTTTCCGCAGGCTTACGCTCTGGTTCCCGCTGATGGCCGCTGAAGATCTGAAGGCCTCTGACGGCCTTCGCGCGCGCTTTCGTGTCGCCAAAGGCTGTCTACCGCTCTCTCCGCTTCCCCTCTCGCTTGCTTCTGCGCGCCTATCTCTGTTCGAGCGGATTCGGCGTCTCATTATTCTCATTCCCAGGCTTCGGTCCTCGCCTCTTCATTCCTACGGCGTGCGCTGCCGAACCTCCCTCGCAGCCCGTCTTGGATCCCGCTGCTCCGACCCCACCGCCCGTACGAGGACTCAACGTAGCCCTCGTATGCGGTGACATCTCGGCCCTGTGGAATGGAGGATGTCTAGTCCCGGTCTCGACTCCTACCTAGCAACACTCCAACACCAACACGACCCACCATACTCACCGCCGAGTCAATTCGTCTCGCTCAGTCAACTGCACTCCGCACCCGCTGATACACAGTTCACGAACATGACCGCTACTACGACCAACAATACCGCCGATTCTACCAGTCGATATGCCAAAAATGGGTCCGAGACGCCCTCCATCTCGTCCGTCGCGTCCTCTTCGGCTTTGTCGCTCGATGATCCTCCTCCGAACGGGGTCGCCGACCCCCACAAGGACGACAGTGACGACGGCGACGATGACGACGACGATGACGGGAACGAGGAGTTGTACGTCGTCGAAAAAATCATGGATGACATCCAATCATCGAATGGGGAATCCCTCTATCGTGTAGCAAGTAAAACTTTTTTTTTCCTTCCACTGTGTTCCATGGAGCTGACCTTTCTCTGGCCGCGCCTCGAATAGAGATGGCACGGGTACGGACCGCAAGACGACACGTGGGAACCCGCCATCAGTTTTGCTGGTACTGCCGATGCCATCCTCACTCAATATCAACGTACAAAGGCCAAGAAAAAAAAGACGTCTCCGGCAGCTTTCACCCCGAGTTCCAAGAAGACGAGTCGGAAATCGACCCCATTCAAGACGACGACGACCAAGAAGAAGGCCATCAGCCCAGCAACCGCCAAGGCAAGACAACCCGCACGACCAAGAGGACGACCAAAAGAGGGCGAGGAAAAGAGCGGCGAGGCATCATCAGAGGTCAACACTCGTCAATCGAGCGGCTCTCAACCTCCTGAACAACCATCGAGCACCCTGCGTGTTAGGCTTAAGAACCAGCAGCAAAGCGCATCACTCGAGCCTCCTTCGAATACAACCCCGTCTGTGTCGAGAAAGGCTGTGGCTTCGAAATCCAAGAATGTACCTCCTTCGTCGGAAGATGAAACGGCCTTCTCCCGACCGTCAGACGGGCTTGCTCATAGCCAGAGGGAGGAGGAAGCTGCGGGCATACAAATCAACGGTGACGCACGGCAGCCAGCGGGGAACATTGGGAGTCAGATACCTGTACCAGTAGAAAAGCTGCCTGTTGTAGCGATGGAGAATGGCACAACTTCAGATGGGAAACGGGCCAGGAATGAGAGCTCAGAGGAGCCTGAGAAAACACTGGTGCGTCCGTCGCGTCCAGATGTCTCAAGTGTGCTGCGTACTGATCCTGTGGGTATGCTGATCAAGCAGCTGGTAGCTAGCAAAAAGTCTAGACCTGCACCGAGCAAGGCTGTGTCCCGGGAGGTTTCGTCGTACGTGTAGGCTTTGACGTATCTTTGCGCGATGCTACCGGTGCTAACGATCTGCCAGTTTCACAGATCTTCGAAGGCGCCGACACCGTCAAGCATGCGGCCGAGCGCACAAAACCCACCCGGCGTTCCCGCTCCACCAGCTTCCCCCAAAGTCGCTTCTGATGTACAGGCAGGCTCAAAGACTGCACGACGACCCGTACCTACCAAAGAGCCTCGGGCCAAAGCCCCTGTGCCAGCCCATGTCCGGACGGTCTCCTCGTCCTACGAACGTATGATGCAGCAATCCAAGCTACTCAAGCAACTACCGAAAGCCAAGAAGAATCCGACATGCGCCCCACCCCCACCCACAGCTTCCGCAAGCACAGCCGCTCCAATTGCTAAAGGGCCTCAACCAGTGCAGCCCAAACAGGGCTTGGGGCTGGGACCGGCCTGGTCCATGCCACCTCCGAGCCTGAAGGCAGTAGCAGGATCCATGTTGCGACCTTCGGCCTCCTCTGGTGAGGTAGCGGCCCCACGGCAATTGTCGCCGGCCTTTCGGCAAGACTCGCCTTGCCTCCTGCTTTCACCCGGACGGGACTCGATCAACGGCGTGCAGCACCGGGTGGCAGGACCGTTCAGTGCCGATGCGGCTGCTGAGCGAGCCAAGACCGCCGAAAGAGCGGTCGATCCAAGGCACCGCGGGTCCACGGTACCACCTCAGGGATTACGAGCAGGTTCCGTTGCGCCGACCAACAGCGCTACGAAACGAACTCGATCTCGGGAAGAGCTCATAACGACCATTACGGAGCAGCTTCGACCGTTTCAGGAGACGCGCGTGTATCAATTCCACGCGGAGGCGTTCGAGAACCTTTCGATCGAGGCCGCATGTGCCAAGATGATCGGCATGGATTTGATGCTGGCCAGTATGCTCCGAGGGTGGGTCGACTTCCTTCGGGCGTGATGAGCATCGCTACAGAGTGCTGACTTTTTTTGCGGAAGGCGTCGTCTACCAGACGAATGGTCTTGGCGATGACCACTCGACAAAGTGATTCCGAGGACAACGCCGAATGCCAGGCCCTGTCTAGTCTCCTCACAGCGAGCGGATGTCAAATGCCGCCTACGCTTCCTGGAGGCACGCTTGGTCCCCCTGAATACGTGTTCGTGCATCGCAACCAACCGTTGGCGAGACCAGAGCTATCAGATTGGGTCAAACGCGTGCCGTATATACCCATTTACCTATTCGGTGACAGGAAGCCGACGGTGCCCGTGCTACTGGGCGGCTTTGAGATCACCCCGAGCTTGGCGGCGCTAAACGATACTGGAAACCGCGACGCGTTCGTCAATTTCTTCGCAATGTATGCTACGACGTCGACAGTATTTGTTCACCCTTTGACGTTGCTGTGGTCACGCGCTCACAGTCCGCTGCTGTGAGTAGGATCTTGAGCGTGGTAGATCCGAACTGGTGCTGACCTTGTTCAACGAGGCCACCTGTCTCAGTGCCCTACGCACCCTCTCGATGATGCACAACAACTCCGGATTCGAGTTGACAGCGGCGAATCGAATCGAAAGCGGCTCTATCATGCGTGAAACAAACGAGGACAAGTTCCGCGAATCGTTGCTTTGGTCCAAGCCCGGTCCGAGTGATCGTGAACTCGTGCAGGAGATCTTTGAAGAAGCGGGTCAGTCGGGGGTCTCGATCTCGTCCGGCGTGTGTACACCGCTGACAAAAATGGGATCGATGACCATTCGACAGGTGCTTCCTTTTCTGCCGAAATGGAAGCGAAGGAGATCTTGCTCGCTTTATCCCCGATGATCTCAACCGAACGCTTGCAGTCGGCGCATCGTCGCAAGGTGCTCGTGTGTGATCGGAGTACGACCAAGCTTGAGCAGGACGCTCGTAATTATGCGGCAAGTCAGCCGTGCAAATAGTTCCTATGGATGCAAAGGGACTGATTTACTCCTGTGGCCTCCATTATAGGTGGAAGTGATGACGTGGACGCAGCTGCGCGCGGCGATGGAGGAATCGTTCTTTTGAGACGCTTATCATCGTCCCGATACCTTGTGTTGTTGATTTGGATCAGCGTTCATGCATCGCAGTTGGAAAATAAGGCTGTAATGTATACCACCTTATGCCATCCTTCCGATATTCAGCAACAGCTGTTTTCGAGAAGAAATGCGCATGCGAACCCCGACTCGGCTTGGACTTGGACCGGCCGCTGGAGCTCACGGTACTGTCACAGACCGTCACAGACCGTCACAGACCGTCACAGACCGTCACAGACCGTCACAGACCGTCACAGACCGTCACAGACCGTCACAGACCGTCGCGGTGACGCGCGCGAATGCAGTTCGGTCAGGAGCACGGCGGCGGGTGCTTTCTTCCCGCCATCCTCGTCGTGCAGCACACTCGCACTCGGCCAGCATGACCGACCCCACCCACCCTACCCTTCGAAGACGAACGAACGAGCCTCTCGATGGAGCACAAGCCAGCACGCGCCAAGAAACAGCTGTGGGAGACGCCGAGTCGAGCAGCACGGCTCCAGCTGACGCGACGTCATCGTCACCTTCGTCCGAGCCATCGACCCCCTCGTCGCCTTCGTCGCCTTCGTCATCGCATCATCAGCCGCACTACGGCGCACCTCTGCGACCGACCCTATCCCGCTCAACAACGAACGACTCGCCCACAGCCTCGTTCGAGCTCTCGGACGACGAGCCCATCTTCTCCGGTCTGCCCCTGCTGGACCTCTTCGTGCTCGTCGACGCCCACCTCGAGCTCTGGACGCGCGGGATCCGCCGCAAATCCGCCGACTGGCGCTCCAAAGCGGACAAGCTCGTCGAGGAATCCAAAGCCCGCGCTCAGAGGATCAAGCTGCCGCGAGTCGCGAGCGAGACGTTCCTCAATGGGATGAGGAGCGAGGAGAGTAATGGGGTGTTGAGCAGTCGCGATCGGGAACGACTGGAGAAGAGGGTCAGGGAGGTCAGGGCGAATGCGAAGGAGCAGATGAGGAGGTTGAATCAGAAGTGGGAGCAGGAGTAAGGGCGTTCCGTTCATCTTCCAGTATCGCGGGCAGTGGGCCGCTGTGGTCATCGAAGCCGAGGCGGATCACTCTGGCGCACACAGCTGATCGCTGGCGGTTTACTCTTGATCCTCGCTGAGCAGGAAGACTGTCCGGCTACGTGACAAGGTAAGGATCATCTCACGTACACACGCGTCAGCTCACTCGGGACCGGACGGTCAGGGCTTATCTATCGACGACCGAGTTTCGAAGCCGCCGAGGTGGTCAGTTTGCTGACCCTCTTCATGGCCTATCGCATCAGATCTCCTTCTTTTCAGGTGTCATGAATGTTCTGATCTCGGCTCTGCTTCTTGGATTCGAGCCGACCTGGATTCCCGCATGGTATAGCGCCCAAGTGATGGCCTATCTGCCCTTGCGCGTCTACACGTACAAGAAGCGGTCCTATCACTAGTCAGTTGCCAGCGAATCCCGCCCAGTCGAGTGATGTTCGCCCGAGCTGACTTCACTTGTATGTTCCCAGCTTCCTGTTTGATCTGTGCGCTCATGATCATCGTTCACTCGCGATGAAATATCTCGGCTGGGTGTGCTCATGTTTGAAGTTCTCTCTTCCTCTCTCAGGTGCTACGCCATCAACGGCCTCTGCCTTGTTTATGTAAGCCATTGAATCTCCTCCCAGTAACCTCACTGAACTAAACAATTATGTTCTCTACTCCCAGCTATGGATCTTGCCCGGAAATGTATTCCTCTTCCAAGCTTGCTACGGCTTAGCACTTGGCTCGCTTGGAACAGCGATCGCTACCTGGCGCAACTCGCTTGTGTTCCATTCGCTCGACAAGGTCATCTCCCTCGCCATCCACATCTTCCCTCCCTTCGTCTTCACGACGATCCGTCACTTTTACCCCAACGCTGAGGCTCGTTACCCAGCACTTGTCCACCTACCCGACCTGCAGTCGTGGTCTGCGCGATGGAAGAGCATGGCCGTGTGCATGTTCACGTATCTCATCTGGCAGGCGCTCTACTTCCAGTACATCATCGTCGCTCGCAAGGAAAAGATCAAGCAAGGACGCGCGACCTCATTCACGTTCCTCATCAACGACCGCAAGCGGTTGATCGGCAAGATCGCGGCCAAGGTGCGACCCGAACGACGCGAAGCCGCCTTCATCTTTGGTCAAGCCGTCTACACGCTCGTGACGCTCTTGATCCCCATATTTGGGCTCTACGACTCCAAGTTCTGGTCATCCGTCTACCTACTCACGCTCTTTGCGGTGTCGGTATGGAACGGCGCGTCGTTCTACATGGAGGTCTTTGCGCGCAAGTTCGAAAAGGAGTTGATTGCGTTGCGGCGCGAGTTCGAGGCGCAGCAAGAGATCTTGTCCAAAACTTCGAGTGGGATCTTGGGGGCGGGAAGTGTGGACATGTCGAGGAGTGCGAGTCAGGCTGACTTGCCTACGACGGTTGCCGAGGTTGACGACGAGGTCGACGAGCGTGAAAAGGTAGACGGAGCAGAGATGGATGGGGAGGCTTCGGGAGTGGTGGTCGAGGTCGAAGGTGTAGCAGGCCAAGACTTGGTCATGGTCGATAAAGAGGCCACCGCTGCGCATGAAGCTGCCGATAGGGGGTGAGTGATTATCCATGCGCCCCTACTCATCCTGTTGTATATTGGTTCGGGAGCACTTGACTGTTTCGAGGCTTGCTTTGCTACCTGCTGTGAAAGGATTGGTCATTTGTCCCCATTCTTCGGTCCTTCGGTGCTGATTGGTGGCAGAGAAGAATTAGAGCGACGTCTGTGCCGGACTGGTGCGACCAAGGCCTGCTGCCGGAGAAGGTCCGTGCGAGCAGCCAGCCCGATCTGAACCGGCCTCAGGTGCAAGTGTCGAGCACTTTGACGGGCTTCAACTCTTCCCCCACCCCGGCACCACCTCATCTCCTCGTCATGGCCGTAAGCATCTTCATCGCCGAGCATGTACCACCCATAACCACCACCAGGAGCTCATCCTCTGCTGTGATTCCTGCATGCAGGCTCGTGTCGTTCTTTCGCAAACGCTCGCTCGCGTCGCACCGGCCTCGACACGGTACATTGGCCCGATCTGAAGGGGTTTCGCTCACGTTGATCGGTACTGACCGCTGCATCTCATCGCAACCTTCCCCCAGGACACTCGCCCCTCGCTGGTCCGCAGCGCGATCGTTCTGCAGCTCTTCCTCCTCGCGAGCCGAAGCGACCTCGACCGCCGCTTCCTCGACACCACCGCCGCCGCCTTCCAACTTGTCCCCCAAGATCTCGCAGATCGTAGACCAGATTTCGACTTTGACCCTGTTGGAGGCCGCCGATCTTGTTGATGCTCTCAAGGTGCGATTTCGCAATTTTCGAGCCAGGCCAGGCTTCTGTTTGCCCTGCTTCTGCACGCTGCTCGAGTGATCCCTTGAGCTGACCGTCTCTTCTCCAACGCTGAACCAGACACGACTCAACATCACCGACGTCGCGATGCCGACCATGTCCGCACCCTCAGCGAGCGCCGCCGCTGCGCCCGTCGTCGAGGAAGCCGCTGCGGCCGCACCAAAGGAGAAGACCGTGTTCAACGTCACGTTGAAGGCGATCGACGCCGCGCAAAAGGCCAAGGCGATCCGTGAGGTCAAGGCCTTGATGCCCAACATGAACTTGGTCGAGGTCAGTCGACGCGTTCGATGCAAGAACTTTCCGATCTTGCGCCAAACGACCGTGGTTCCGTATTCCATCGGAAGGGACGGGCGATACTGACCTCAGACACCTTCGTTTCTCCCCTGTCTTCCTCGATCCACAGGCCAAAAAGTTCGTCGAGTCGTTGCCCAAGGTGCTGAAGGAAAACGCGACCAAGGAAGAAGGTGAAAAACTGCAGGCCTTGTTCAAGGCGATCGGCGCCGAGGCGACGCTCGAGTAGACGCGTGGATCGGTGCACGGAGCTTTACTTGTAATAAGAGATATTCCGAATCTCAAAACCTGCCGTTATGGTCAAGCTTCGAGTTTGGTTCGGCCGGCCAACACATATGGCGCGGTGATCGCGATCGGGCAACCGGGAAACTTGCTACTCTAGTGACGCCTCGTGCGAAACGGCAGGCTTGCGAGCACACCTCGCTTATGTTGGCATCTGGTATGCAGGACGAAGCTCGACATGAAATGGAATCTCGTCTGTCATCTTTCAGCGCCAGAGGTGCCTTCGAGAGATTGTTCGGTCCCTCTCTGAGCCGAGCAAGACGAGGGGAAAATAGCGCGGTCACACATGGTCATAACCAGAAGAGAGCTATGCTACCAAGCTAATGACGGTAGAAAGATCTTTTGAGAAAAGCGATTGATGAGAAAAGCAATAGATGAGAACGAGGACAATAAACCGGTGGACCTAAAGAACCCAAACGAACAAGACAGGAAAACTACGTTTGCGAATGCGATGGGAGTAAGAGAGAAAGGAGAAAGTGGACTATGTACACAACAACGAGCCCTTATAAGGGACAATGCGATGCGAGGTTGGAATAACCCAAGAAATCCAAGAGGGTGAAGAGTCTGGGGGGTGAGGGCTGGTCGGAAGAGAAGTCTGTGGCGAAGGTAGGGTAGCTCATGCGCAGCACCATCCTGCGGTTGCAGGGTTGGGCGTGTCGTCCCGCAACATGATCGAGCCGCGGCTGCGCAGGATGCGAGCCGATTCAATCTGCGCTTTGCGTTCCACCAGTCGCTGTGTGATGTGAACAAACATCTCTTCCACGCCTAGGAACATATTGAAAGTCGTCGTTCGTTAGCATCTGTTTGGTCCATACCTGACTGAAGGAGTCGTATGCGGGAATGACTCACCGATGTCATCTTTGGCGCTGACTTCAGTCACTTCGATGGAGCAGTCTTTGACGAGGCGATCGATACGAGCCGCCTCTTCCCTCTCCACGTCTTCGGCAGCCCGGCGTTCATCATCCTCGTTCCGACTCCTGCTTCGACCGGCGAGCCCCAATGATCCCAGGCTCAAGCTCATCTTGCTGCCACTGCGACTCATGTTCTCGCTCGTCGGCGCCAACGAATCGTGCACACTCAGGGTACTCGAGCTGTTCGTCCCGAGACCGATGGTACCTCCTGATGGCGCGTTGGTAGCGGCAAGCGTTGCGACGGTTGGTAAACTACCCAGCTTTGTGCTCATCTTGCGAACCCGTGCACCCAACGAGTCGTGGACGGGCTGGGCAGTCGACATTGGGCTGAGGGGTGATGTCGTTGCGATCGTGGAACCGTTAGGGATGAGAGGTCCGGGAATACTTCCCTGTCGTGCTCGTGTTGACGCTCGGGATCGATTGGGCGACGAAGGTGAGCTCTCCCGCTCACGAGCGTTGAGTGGGGTGTCGTCGTCGCCGCGATCGAGCTCGTCAGCCCACTGTGCGATTTGGCGCTGCGCATCGACGAGTTCGACTTGACGTTGGCCCGTCAGATCCAGCTTCGACCCAACCACGTGGATGATAAGATCCGGGGCCATGTTTCTGCGCAGTTCTGCACGGGGCGGAGCATGGGTGTGAATAAAAGAACCGAGTATCGATCGCGCCGACGCTGTCTCTTACCATCCATCCATAACCGGATGTCCAAGAAACTTTTTTCGTTCGTGATATCGTAAACCAATATGGCTGCTAGTGCGCCTCGATAGTATAGAGGAGCTATGGGCCTCCACAAGTCAGCATTGCGCGCCATCCAACCTCCACATCCGGTGTGTACTCACCCATGCTACGGAAGCGCTCCTGCCCGGCCGTGTCCCAGATCTGCAACCGCACCTTGCAGCCTTCAACCACTAATCGCTTGGCCAAGAAGCTTGCACCAATGGTCGACGTGAGCGAGTAACTGAAAACACCCGTTGTGTACCGGTGGACGAGCGAGGTCTTGCCAACGCCTTGGCTGCCGACTGATCGTGGGGGAGCAGTGGTCACGACGTCAGCCATGACCTCCCGTTCACACACTCGGCTGCACAGCGTATGAGACTCACGGATTACGACTTTGGCCTCGAGCTGGTTCGCTGGGTCTCCACCAGATGGGCTCTGCGGGTTGCCAACCGTGAGCGCATTGGGCCCGTAAACCTTGGTCGACTGCCGCCTCGCGCGAGGCGGTCTTGCATGGTTCTGCACGGCGGGGGAGGTGACGATGGTGGGGGAAGAAGGTGTTCGTGACAGACTCGGCTGTGTGCGGTGTCGCTTCGAGGTCGTCGGCGTGCCTTGCTCGTCGATGTCAGGCGCGCTATGTGGGGTGGCGGAGGTCGACGCTGCTGAGGGGTCTGCGGGGATCTCGGCGATAGCAGGGAACTGGAACGTGGTCGGGGAAGCAATGGTGACGGATACGTTGGAGTCGATGGTGGGGAAGAAGGGTTGCGGGTTCGCGTTCGACGTCGTGGCCGATCCGACGAGTTCGGAAGGCGACTGATCGATCGCGACGGTTGGAATCGCATTCGTCCCAAGCTCCAAGATGGCCGGTATGAAGCGTTCCTGCGCCTTGAGGGTCGCGGTCGAGAGGGACAGCGACGTGACGGGGGGTGGGGATGCCGGTATGGGTGCAATGCGAGGCGATACGAGCGAGGCGTCGTCGTCGTCGTCGGTAGTCAGTGAGCCTGACCCGCTGGTCGAGCTAGAACGCGAAGACACGCCGCTGGGATTCGCGGCGGCCCAGGTCGGTGAGACCGAGACCGGCACCGACACCGGCTGCAATGGCGCATCGAGGAGGATGGCCATCGTGTGGCACAGCCAAGCCGAGCGAGTCACGTTCGAGTAGGTAGATATCTGCACGGGGGTGACACGTCCGGGTGGAGATCGCGCTCGGTCCAGCAGCTGCACTTGTAACTCGATCTGGAGCACCGCACCCGCACCCGTGCAGGCTGTACTTGGCGAACGCGGTGTCGCGCGCGATCAACGTGGCGCACCCAGACGGCTCGCAAGTGCACACGAAGGAGAGGTCGTGAGACGGGTGTGGCAGCAGTGAGATAGGGTATCAAGCGTCGAGGGACGGCAAGTGGATACACGTCTCGTTCCCAAGAGCGGCGGCGATCTGCCCGCAAAGAGCAGCACGCACGGTCGTCGGCTGTGAACGTCCGGCACGCGTGACGGCAATTTAGCACGGGGTCCTCACCGCTTCGAGAAGATCGATGCAACTGTAGTAGCGCCTACCTAGTGCGACGTCGCGATCGTCAGCCAAAGGAGAACCTGTAGCAAAGGTACCTGCTACCCTAAGTACCGAGGTACTGGACTCGAGCACGAGCACAACGCCACAAGGTGGACGAGGTGGGAAGGAAGGAATCAACGTTCAACAATGCCCAGCGACGCTGCGACGGCTCCCAGCGCGAGATTATTGAAAAGAGGCCCCTGCCAGCAGCTGCCAGCCGGCCAGCCCCTGCCCAGCCCAGTCGACCTCAAGCTCGTCGGCGTGTCGACAATTCTTTTCATGAGCGCGGGCGCGGCCTCGTAGGCGCGCGAAGCTTTCGAGGATTCTGATTGTTCCTTTGCAAATTCAGGGCCCGAAAGGCTATGGGGCTGATCGGTTTTCTTCTGCTTCTGTTCTTGGCTCCAGCCGGCCATTGGCAAGCTCGAAGAGGAGTGCATTGCGCTCAGGCGCATTCCAAGTTCTGCGTTGAGCCCCGAGATGCACCGAGTGTCAACTTGAATCCAACATGCGCCGAGAACCAGGTTTACGGCGTGGACCTCTGACTCCGTTCAGAGCACATAAGGAGCTTTGGCTGCCCACCCCTGAACATTCGGACGTGTACGCTTCTCACGCCTGATCCGCCTCGCGCGCGCGGCGCACGCCGGTGGCAACTGACGTCACTGCACCTTCGTCAAAGCACGGGCTATCGGCGTCGGTGGTCCCAGCTGGCAGCAGGCCAGCAGCCACACACGTGCTGGGAGCGAAGGCCGCCGCTGAGGGGAGGATGCAGTACCAAAGCAAGTCAAAAAGCCATGACATAGAGGGTCTTTGTGTCCGGGTACGCCCGCACTCTTGATGTTGAATCACTGGCCCAAGCAACCGCCTGGTTCAACTCCGGTGGCAACGACAACAACAACGCGCATTCAATAGACTCCGAACACGGATCTCGATCGCGATCAGCGATCTTGATCATGTGACCCGCTGGCGCGCGCGCACGCAGGCCAGGCGCCAAGGCGCCGCCGCAGGATTCAGTTCAGCACCTCGCCACTCGCTCGTCATCGTCGAGGGTTGCTTACTCTTGGGGAGACCAATCATTACAGATGCAAGTGAATAATGAGGTTATTGAATATTGAATAGGCACAACAGTGGCCACAGAACCTGCGAGAACAGTTGGGTTCAAAGGACGACCTATACTCAAACAAACAAACTTCTGAGCGCTTTCAGGCTATACAGATGACGACATCCACCACTCTGGGAACATCGCGAGGCCCACCCACGTCAATATCACTGGGTAGGATAATGATAAGAAGACCCGACAAACTGGGCATTGACCGGCCAGTTGCCGTATGCAGCGCTTTCGCGCGAAGGAGCCATCGCGCATTCGCGCGGAAGAAAGGGGCCCGCCGAGTCTACGGTTGCGGTCCGACCCATAGCCGAGGGCACGGGACCGATGGTATCATGAAGAATTTCCCCGCCGCGACGATTCTCGGCCGAATAGGTGTGCGACGTCCTCTGCGTGTTTTCAGGGGGTTCGGGCACTGGTTGTGCATAGTAGTGCTGGTGCGAAGCTGATGCCGAGGGCATGTTCGCATGGTGGGCGTCCGGCAACGAGTACAAGAAGGAACCGGACTTGGGTGGGACAAGTTGCGAATAGGCTACGTATTCCGTCGGCTGAGATTGCCGACGCTGCTGCTGCTGCTGTTGGTGCTGTAGCGGGTCTTGTTCGGGACCCTGGGGCATGTATGAAGTGTACACCGGCGAAGCGATGGGCGACGACCAGGCGAGGCCATTTGGAGGCTGGGCATGCTCGAACGGTGCGACAAGGCCCGACGGAAGAGTCCTCGTAGTGTGCAGGTCATTGTACAACAGTGAAGGATCTTGATTCGATGAACCTGAGGCGTGCGAGAACGATCCACTGATACTCGACGAGCCAGAATGATAGGGCGGGTAGGTTGTGGCCGGGGTCGGATAAGCGGAGGCCGAGGGCGACTGGTACTCGGCCGTCGAAGAGGTCGACGAGGTAGACGTGCGGGGCAAGCTGATGCTGAGGTTGTAGCGCTGCTGAGGGCTTGTAAGGCAGTCCTCGTATTCGTCACCCTCCGTGGGCGACGGGAGGCTGCTGGCGCCGAACCTTTGATCGCTGACGCTGTGGGATCTCAGGGTGGGAGTTGACACCGAGCATGCGTCACGTCGACCTTGCGATGACGAGCCTTGGGTCGGCAAAGACAGATTTTGCCCGCCATCGATGGTTGGTGTGTAGCTCTTGGCGAACAGGTATTGGGCTGGTTCTGCCGGCTGCGCGGTCGGGTAGGAAGGGAGGCGCAGCGGTCGATTCAGATTGGTGGGCGAGGTAATCGACGATGTGAGCAAAGACGGAAGCAACGCGCGTCGCTCTTCTCCATACTGCGGCTCGAATGAGGGCGGCACAAAGCCTTCGAAAGACGGCATTCTATCCGCTGATCCGGTCGCTTTGCCGGAACTAGGAGGCGAATGAGAGGAAGAGCCTTGGCCTTGGGCGCTGGTTGAATTGCGACTTTCCGGCCGGTTCCTCGCCTTGCGAGTGATGAGATGCAGTCGAGATTTGTCCTGCCGAGTGAAGTACCCGGAAGGATGGCTATCGTGAGGGTCGAGAGAATGTTCGTCGACCATGAACCATGAAAAGGTGATTGTTGGGGTGCATGGGCGGTGGAAATAGGGGCGGTGGGGAGTGGGAGGAAAGATACACTGGTCAGTCAATCCGATAGGACTGGTAGCGATCGCGCGATCTCATGATCTCGTATGAAACAAGCCCGACGAGGGGGCGTCTTGTCGCTAATGCTTCGAAGGCGCCGCATGCTACATAGTCATCCCGCAGGCCGAAGCGAGGCCATAGCCAAGTCGATATTGACGAGGCATCGCAGAAAACAGGGGGGCATCTTGATGGCTTACGAGAACACAACGAAGCCTGCATTCGAGCCTTTCCTCTCCCCCGATCGCCTGCGGTCAGAGAGCCTCCTTCTCAACGAGGGAGGGAAAAGGGGAAACAAGGAAAGAACAAAGGTGAAGGGGGCACCGAATACCCGAAAAGAAAAGAAAAAAAACCCAAAAGTATAGGTCAGTGACATTCTTCTAGAGGATAGGGTCCGCACAGCCGACTGGGAACCAGGGCGACGCGGCTCGGTATGGGGATGAAGCCCCTAATTACGGCGGGACGCGCCTGTACAAGGCACCAAGCAGCCATCAGAGTGCGACAGGTCGCCGAGGCAAAGACGGCGCATATCGACCTCGACGAGGAAAGCTCTGTCCCGAGCAAACAGGACAATGCCCTCGATAAGGCAGCGGCCAGGCCTGCTCAACTTGAAGCGAAATGTTACGGAGCCCTCGGACGGGGACGCGCCTTGCGGCAGCGGCGGAAGGCACCGAAGCGAGCCTGCCCCTGCACGCACCATCTCCGGGCATGCCGTTGGTCGATGTGGACGAAACATGTTGCAAATCGAGGACTGAGCCAGAATTGATACTCACGTGAAGTTGTAATAGCTTAATTGCCGTATGAAGCTGCTGAGCCTGTAGGGGCGTGCATGGCGAACCCAAATTCAAGGTGTCATTAAAAATTGCGAATTCGGCGCAGAAGAGAGGCGAGATCGAAAATTAAGGTTCGGCAGCGCAGGCACTCGGCGGCAGGTCAGCAGCAGCACACAAATCGGCTCGGAGGTCGCTTCGGCGCGTCGGAGGTTGTAAAGCGAGATAGGGTGGCAGCACGGAGCGACTGAGTTGAGACCCGAGGGTGAAGCACTGCCCAGCGTGCCGGACGTGTGTCTCGTCATCGACAAAGCACGGCTGAATTGAAGCGATGGTCGCCACCTGGCCCCTCGAACACCGAGTTCGCTCTCGGCTTGGCGCGGCGGATCTTCCCCACGGAGCAGTCGGCACCGCGGCGGCCGAGCTAGTGCGCCCGAGTGGTGGTCGTCGTCGCTGATGGCGCGGTCGCAGGCGCGTTTCATCGCGATCGCGAGGTGTAGACGTCCACCTCGAGCGGCGAAAGAAATAGAAAAAGGTAATGTAGGACTTACGAACGAAATTCCCACTTGGGTGAGAGCGCGACTCGAGCCCGCTCTTCGTCGCAGGTGATCTCGAACGCGCTGTTGCTAATCCATCGAAGCGAGTCAGCGTCGTGCGGATTGTCGAGCAAGCTGTGGAGCGCAGATCGCCGAGGCGCGACAAAATCAGCAGACCGAGATGTGAAGAACTCTGAAAAGCAATGCATTTGGACTTACTCCCACAGGCGCTCTATGAATTGAGAACGGGGTGCCTTGGTCATGGTTGTCGCGGGCGCGGGGTGGTGGTGAGCTCCGAAGCCGGCGCGCGAGAACGGCACAACGTCAACGCGAGCGATTTTGAAACCTATGAGAATCGGCGTCGGAGTCGGCGTCGGCTCCGAAAGCGATAAATCTCAGACGTCGTTTTTAAACCTTGACAACTTGCGTTGGACCTGTATTGTGATTGCTCGAGGGTAATACGGAGGACACGGCGATACCTCACTTGTCAAAGCTGCGAAAGGGTGCAGGGCGAGTCTCGAGAATCGGATGTCGGGAGTAGGAAGTAGCAAGGCAATAAGGTATGCAATGGCTGAGCACCGGGACCGTGGCTGAAGATGATGAGAAGAGCGTGATTCTGGGGTTGACGGGTCCCGATTCAGCTGGTCCGGTCGGAAAGAGGATGGTGCAAGCCAAGGCGAGGGCGTACAGGCAATCATTTCTTTTCAGGCACGAATCGAAGCCGAAAACTTCCTGCCGTGACTTTGAAGACGGGTCCGCTGTCACTTGTCGGTCGATGGCGAGTCGCGACAGGCGGAGGCTGCCCGAGCGCTACCATCGTGTCTGCTGGCCTGCTGGCTACGTACTCTCCCTTGGTACCAGAAATGAGGGAATGCTGGACTCTGGCTGGTCTCATTCATCTGATTCAACGTTCCGCGCAATTTTTTCTTGTTAATTTGGAACCCCTGGGTCAGCTGCACCTGAAGAAGGTGTCCGTCTCCCGGTTTGTTGACCAGGGCTCGATGGCCAATAGGTTGAGTCGAGGCACGTCGTTCTGCTGTCCTGTTTTTACACTCTAATCACTGCGCTCGATCCTCCGCCGACGCTTAATTTCGAGCTCACGGTACCTAATACGATACTCAGCTGGACTTTGTACCTACATACCGCTACCTACCTACCTTCTACGTACCTACCCACTTAGGACCCTACCTGTCTACCTCTACTTTAAAGACCTACCTAGAAAGGTAGCAGCATGCAAGGGGAGTAATCGGTTAGCAGATCACTGTTTCGGACTTTCGATCCGAACTCTATTTCTCGAGAAACATCAACGCTGCTGAGAAGATCTGGCCGGCGCTCTTGCGTTCGGACACTTTGTCGACACACAGCAAGCTATCTAACGTCGAGGGCGCGGTACATTTCACGAGCCACGATACCTAGTACCCAAGCATGTATGACGAGCTCTTGTGCACACTGCAAGTGGAGTATTATATGCAACGTCCCTGAATGTGCCTAATTCGCTGGTCCTGGAACCCGGTCGGAAGAGACCACAACAATGCTCATAACTTTGTCATTTAAGCGGCTTGGACAGCCAGGGCGCCAGGCACACCCCGCCCCTTGAAAAAGTCCACGCCGCCAACACGGACCGGCAAAGCCTAGACGGTCATGCCGAGGCCCGATCCCATCAACCCCCACAAAAACTGTGCAACTGTGCGGTGCAGCGTCGACTCGGCGATATTTGGACCACGTAGAATCTGGGGACTGATTTGGTGATGATTGTACCTACCGAGGTACCTACTAATAAAGTAGACCCTTCTCTAGCGTACCCCCCCGCCTACTAGGTTAGTACCTACCCATCATGATGCCATGACTCAGTACCCGGGAATTGGGGACAAAGAGTTTCGGCCAAGATGCTTAGGGACGATTATGCCAAAGATGCGGCAGGAAACACAACACAGAACAGCTGGTCGGGGTGAACAAATGGTCCGTCTGCACGTTCGATGGATTAAAAACCCTGCGGACGGACGTGAGATCGGCTGCAGCGTGAGGTCTGTGACGAACCTACTTGTATCCTGCTTTTTAAGTACGCGTCCCGAGCATCCACGAGCCACTGCTTAATATCAATCTCCGTTAGGTGCCTGGTGCTCTCGACCGTATTTTCCACTTCAGGAAGAGCGAGACTGTATTTGCTGCGAGGTCTGCGGCATGTGGCGGGCTGGGGGCACAGGGGCTGGCTGCTGGGCTCCCGCGGAAGCCGGATCCAACAGAATGCCCAAAACGTGCACGACAACAGTTGCATGCTTGAGCATAGGTAGGCAGCGCGGTATCTGCCATCTGCTACCACTTGTTCTTGCTGTTCATATTGAACGAACATGTGTGGGGTTGGCATTCGGCTCGGAGGCTTCATCTAGGGACTCAATCAGGTTGACGTGCTCCGGATGAACAGTGAAGTAGGTGTTAACGATAGCATCAACATCGAAGTATCTGGATAGAGTTTCACATGCATAAAAAATAGCTATGCTTCTTTGGAGAATTCTGCAGGGGCCTAGGTCCGTGAAAAGCGCGTCAAAGTTCCTGATTGAGGCTCACCTAACCTGGGAACCTGCTTTTGGCTGCGCGTGCCGCCGCCACGAGAGTTCGTCGGCGGAGTCGACTCGTTCCGAGTGCTTCCTGCCATTTTTTCTACATGGCCAAGTAAGCCTACAATGGGTAAATACCAAGCTTAGCTGCGTCGCCAGTGACTGCAATCCGCCACCCAAATTAAATTGGCAAGTAGCAGACACCCGGCTACACATGCGCGCGCGAAACTTATGGATTTCCTACGGGAGGACCCGCCGTATGTCTTCTCTACGGAGGTGTTGCAATTTCTGTAAGGCGGTTTTATAGAGCTCCCGTAAGGGCAACGCTACTTTATGGCTGCTTTAGGCGTTCGTCCTAGATGGGCATAGGTGCCAGACTGCAGTAGATCACTTGGCAAGGTCTCATTTGAAAGTCACCATGCTACCCCGCAATCCGATGGTGTCGCAACCGTACATTCAGCTTTGCGCAGCCGGCCGGCATCGGACCGTGTCTCCGCCCGACCAGGCAGCCGCGTGGACTCGACCACGCCCACACCTCTCCGACGATTTCGGCGGTCAGACAATCTGTAAGCTGCCAAGAGAATGTGCCTATCTAGGCCCCCGGCTCGTCAAGATCTGCTCCTTCGTCTTCAATTGTTTTGGTTCTGTTGAGATACCGGTAGATTCTAGCACCGTAATTTACTAGGGTACGTGACCTGACGTGAACCGGAACGTGGGTTGAATGAGCGCAACACGCTCTGTGCTCACCGGCAAGCGATGCAGAGAGCGAGGTGCATTTTCGTCGTATGCATCTACACGACATCATCCATCTGCACTCGAATTACTGTGTTAAAGGCGCCGACTAGTCCACGGCAGGGGTCTCTACAGGATGTATAAAAGTGATCATCGCCTCCGGCGAGAGACCGAGCTCAGCCTTCGGCTGCCTTCGGGAGCTTGCACGCGCAGTTGGGGCGGCTCGGAGCGACAACATTGCGCAATTGTGTCTCAAACAACTTCTTTTGCTAGATAGGTGGGTACATAGTCCAGCCCGGTCAGTGGGTACCTTATAAGTTAGGTAGGTCTAGGTTCCTAGAGCTTGCCTCCACGGATCGATTCAGAGAGGTCCTATGAGTGGTGACATCATGCCGGTTCAAACACCCAGAAGTGCCGGTGCCCACCTATACTAGTAAAAATCCTCGTCTGACTCGAAGTCAAATACGAGACACGATACTTACAGGGCATTTGGACCACGTGGACCCTACTCAAGATACGTTCATCAATCCGCCGTTACTCTACCGCTCCGACGCCGCCGCCGGCCGGTCGCATGTATGCCGTTAACGCCGCTATACGTTTTGGGCCTGCGCCTTGTAGTGGAAAGAAAACTGGGATGCTCTGTCTCATGTTCATCGGATGCCAAGTATCTACGATGTACAACGATGCGGGGAGCGAATTCCTCCCTGAGTCCAATCGGTGCTCATACACTGATGCTGGCAGACCAGCCGAGGTTCGTGCGTTCGCGCGCTGAGGTGACGCTCATCGCGCGCGCGTGCAGCAGGTCGGCGTTTACACAACGTAGCATGGGGCCCCACTTGATGTTCCAAACACTCGGCCTGTCCATCATCGCTGACTCAGCCGGGCGGATTACGGCAGACCAAGGTCACGCATTAGTTGGGGAGATAGATATCACTCTGGACCCCGTCTTTCCGTGTCAACTCAACCTTCGACCTCGACGATCGGCACGAAGCGCATTGCTTCGGCGCGCATGATCATCTCAGCGGTCGTTCTGCTGCTCCAAATGCTCTGCTCCTCTCCAATAGTACCGTTGGTCGCACCACCGCCAACGTCGATATTTTCAGGAACTGAGGCCGAGGCACGAAGTGCGTAAGTACGAGAGCCGATGAAGATAGTAAAGATAGTTCAAGAATTGCACAGTAACTAACCTGAGGCCGAGGCACGAAGTGCGTAAGTACGAGAGCCGATGAAGATAGTAAAGATAGTTGGAGAAAGAAGATAAGCGCTAAGGGAGCGCGCGCGAGGCAGGCTCGAGACGCGCGGGGCGACTAATATCAACAACTAGTAACTAATCATAATCGGGAATACCAGTGGGATGAAACAGCAATATATTGACACCCCCCCCGTGCTGTCATACCACTGCACCTCGCAAACCCAAATTCTCCCGATGGAAGATGAACGGCTTGGGACCCAAGGCTTTGGTGAAAATATCGGCAATCATGTCGCCGGTGGCGATGTAGCGGGACCTCGATCTCCTTCTCAGCTACCCTCTCGCGGACGTAATGTTCCGAGATGCGAACATGACGAGACCCCTGATGGTTGGTCGGGTGCTGCGCAAGAGCCAGCGAACCTTGGTTGTCCCCGTAGAGTACGACTGGACCGGAGACCGGAGCGCCAAGTTCAGCCAGGAGTTCGCTCAGGTGGATGGCATCACCGCTTGTGTACGAAAGAGAGAGGTACTCTGCGTCGGTAGTGGACTTGGCCACCCTGTGCTCGCGTTTGGAGCACCAAGCAATAGTGGCTCCGGACAAGATGAACGCGTAGCCCATGGTCGATCGTGAGGTCGTTAGACAGGCTCCCCAGTTCGCATCCGAGTAGCCATGGAGTGGTTGGCTGGTCTTGCGATAGGTGAGGCCCAAGTCCAGCGTGCCTTTGATGTAACGGAGGACCTGCTTGATGGCTGTCCAATGCTCCGGGTCAGGCTGCTGGGAGAAGCGAGCGAGGTAGCTGACCACGAAGGCGAGGTCCGGACGAGTTCCAACTGCGGCGTACATCAACGAACCGATGGCCTGCAAGTAGCGCGTACGATCCTGAGGAGTGGCCGCCAAGTCCTCGAAGTCAAGGACGACACCTGGCTGCATTGGAATACTTGCCGGCTTGGCATCGGTGAATTGGAACCTGGCAAGGATGTCCCGAAGGTAGCGCTCTTGTGAGAGCGTGATAGAGCCGTCTTGTCCACGTTTGACTTGGATGCCTAGAATATATTCGGCAGGTCCGAGACGTTTGATGCCGTATGCGAGTTCCAGCGCGTCCAGCACCCGCTCGATTTCGGCGGTAGAGGGACCAACCAAAAGCAAGTCGTCGACGTACAAGGCAATATAGTGTGAGTGCCCGTCGTGTTCGCGGCGGTAGATACAGATGTCAGACCTGGTGGGGACGTATCCGAGGGACCGCAGAGTCGAGTCGATCTCAGCGTTCCAGATGGTGCCGGCCTGGCGATGGCCGTAGATGGATTTGGACAGCTTGAGGATCTTGCCTGGCAGGTTTATGCCCTGAGGGACGCGCATGTAGAGAGGCTTGTCAAGTTTGCCGTGTAAATACGCCTTGTTGACGTCGGCCTGATGGACGTGATAGCCGTTGGCCGCGGCGAGTGCGATGAGGGCTCGAATGGACATGAATTTGACGACAGGGGCGTAGGTCTTCTCGAAGTCAAGGCCAGGGCGTTGGGCACATCCGTGAGCAACAAGTCGGGCCTTGTGATCGGTGATGTCGCCATGCTGGTTGCGTTTAGTCCGGAACACCCAGCCCGACCGCAGGAGGATCTCACCCGCTGGGAGCTCACAGGATTCGACGATTTGAAAGACCTCGTAATCGTTCAGAAGCGAATCGAATTCATCCTGTGCCGGAGCGCCCCAAACGTCCTCTTGTCCCGATCGGATGACGTCGCCCCAATTTGCCGGATCGCGAACAACCGACAAGTCATGATCTGCGAAGCCGGCCTTGGTGGATGCGAAGGCAAGGAGCAGGCTCTTGAAAGAGGCGGTGGGTCCGTCGGTGCCGTCGACTGGCTGTTCCCGCGTGATCATGGTGGGAACGGGTTGGCGGCGAGTCCGGGGGCCATCAATGATGTTTCGAGCGTCGACTTCACCGTACTTCCCTGGATCGGGACCAACCTTGGCGACGTCGCCGTACTCCCAACTCGGCTTGACTTTGGCGAGTGGAGCTGGATCCGGAGGTGGTTGCGGCAGGTTCACGGCTGACTCCGTCGTTGCGCTCGTGGTCGATGAGGCGTCGTCGTTGTCGGCCGAGCTGGTCGATGCGGGCGACGCGGGTGCCTCGACAGGCGTTGGGGCCGGTGGCCGTGGGGGAGGCTCGACGGGTGTTGGAGCTTCGACGGGTGGGGGCTGGGGGCGTAACCCGGGATGGACGGCTGCGTCACTCGGGTGGGCGCGATAGCGAAGGGGAACTCGGTTTCTACGAACGTCACATTGCGGCCCAGACTCACACGCATGGAGGAAGGATCGAGAAGACGGTAGGCTTTCGCGTGTCGATCGTACCCGACGAAGACCAGAGGAATCCCTTTTGGGTCGAGCTTGTCCCGTCGGTGAGCCGGCACGGTGGTCCAAGCGCGACAACCGAATGCCCGAAGACCCCCTACGCTTGGTGTGTGGCCCGACCAACGATTGTTTGGGATGGCTCCACCAAGGGCCGCGTGAGGCGAGAGGTTCTTGGCGTGAATGTAACACATTGCAGCCTCGTCCCAGCACGATCGTGGGAGTCCCGAGTGAGACAGTAGAGCCAGGGTGCCCTCGACGATCGACCGGTTGGCTCGCTCAGCCCGACCGTTTTGCTCGGGTGTGTACGGTATGGTCAATTCGCGATGAATCCCGCGGGCCACGCAATAGCCGTTGAAAGCGGTAGAGACATACTTGCCCCCGTTGTCCGAGCGAAGTGTTTTGACCCTGCGACCCGTGGCGTTTTCGATCTCCAGAAGCCAATCCTTGAATGTCTGAAGGACCTCGCTCTTGTGCCCGATGGGGTAAACCCAAGTCTTCCTCGAGAAGTCGTCGATGAACGTGACGAGGTATCGCTTATGGCCTAAGGATTCCTCGGGGAAAGATAAGACGTCCGAGTGCACCAATGCGAGTGGTTCCGCGGCATGCGACGACGAAGAGGGGAAAGGCAAACGATGCGCTTTGGAGGCAAGGCACGCGTTGCAGGTGAAGCCATCACACTCGAAGTCACTATAGGGCCAATCTAAACCCTCCACCTGGCCAGAGGCCGCCAGTTTTTTAAGTGTCTGGACAGAGGCGTGGCCGTAGCGCCGGTGAAGGGTAAGTAAAGGTAGCCTATTGGACTTGGTGGCAACGAGCGTGTGTCGCGCATCTTTGCTGGCAGCTTGGACCGAAGCGTTGAGTTTGTAAACGCAGGACGCGATGGCTGATGCTGTGGCGATGCACCCTTGCGGCGTGCGGAGCTCGACTTGTCCGTGTTCGAAGGTGATGCGAACGCCTTTGCGGTCGAAGGCCCGGACTGAGATGAGGTTGGCAGGGCTCTCGGGGGCGTAGATCACGTCGTTGAGGGTGAACCTGGTACCATTATCGGAGACGAGCTTGACCGAGCCGATTCCCGAGGCCTTCACCGTTCCCCCTAGACCTTGCAGGACTTGCGGGGTAGGTGAAAGGGGGCCGTCAAAGAAGGACGCATCGTTGACGACGTGGCACGCCGACGCCGAGTCTAGCAGAAGGATTTCCGCCGGTGGCCCGATGTTGACAAACGTAGCAGAAGAAACGACGGACAGGTGTTGATCCTTGGATGCTGCCTCGGTGGCCACGAACGTGGACGCAGGCGATGATGAGCCTTGGAGTTCCTTCATGGCGTTCTTGAGCTCGAGGTACTTGGCTCGCTTGCGCGATTCCGGACACTTATCGAGCCAGTGTTTGCCTTGACCACAAGCTGGGCAGTTGCTCGGGGCAGGACCAGAACGATCCCATTTTCCCTTCTTGCCTGGTGCAGAGCGTTTGGTCGGTACGACCGCCTTCGCAACGGGGACCGTCGCTCGATTCGTCCGAGCGTTGAATCCAGCCCAAGAGGGCGGGCATGGCGGCATCGTGGGGACCCAGTCAACGTAATTGTCCTCCGTAAGTTTCGAGTCGTCGGGGAAGACCGGAGGGTTGGCTGGGGGTAGGCGCTGACGCATGGAGAATGCGTCGTCGTCCCGTGCGGGGCGCTGGTTCCTGATCAGCTCGTCGAATTGCTCTTTAGTGAGCGTGACGGAGGTAGTGGAGGCGACGTCGTTGGTATGGTACGACGTTGATGACGGTGGTGGAGGCGTTGATGCCATGTCACCGTGGACGTCGAGGTCGCCCGCCGCTGATAGGCTAGGTGGGCTCATAACCTTTCAGGAACTGAGGCCGAGGCACGAAGTGCGTAAGTACGAGAGCCGATGAAGATAGTAAAGATAGTTGGAGAAAGAAGATAAGCGCTAAGGGAGCGCGCGCGAGGCAGGCTCGAGACGCGCGGGGCGACTAATATCAACAACTAGTAACTAATCATAATCGGGAATACCAGTGGGATGAAACAGCAATATATTGACAGATATGAGATGTGACACAACGGATGAAAGTTGATGGGGCATTCGCTACCTCGTTGGTGGCGCGTTGAACTCCTTCCTTCAGTCCCGGGTGACTTCAGTACCCTGCAAGCTTCGCTGTGGCCTGGAGGAGGGCGGGTGGTAACTCGTGCGGCTATGATGGGCGTAAGCGCAGCAATCGGACCACGGCCCCTCAGGCCCCACCTCCATCATTGGACTACCGGTGTGACCGCATAGGTCGAGCACCACACGGAGCTCCACCTAAAACTCGAAAAAATGTCCCCTTGGAGCAGCTAGGTGAGACAGAGGTTCTGAATACCCATGATTTTGGGCCCATTCACAGTCTTCTCTCGATCTCGAACGCAACAATCACGATCGCGCTCATTGCCGACGTCCCTCACTTTTATCTCGCAGTCATTGTCTTGCTTCCTGTTGGTAAGAGGAGAAGATCTGATCAGACCTTAAGGCTTGCGTCTGGGCTACATTAATCATTACATTTCTCTTCAAGAGTGTTTTACTTCCTGTGTAAACGAGCCAACAGAGGTTTTCAATCCATAGCCACATTTATCAAAGCTCGTCAGTCTTGCCCGCAAGTACTTGTACAGGAAACAACAGGAACACTTGGTAGTGTCTCGCTAAGCTCGGGCGTCGTGTACCGAGTAACGACGCCAAGCATGTACGGCAAGTCGTCTCATCCACCACTGGCTGGGCTGCCATCACTGCATGGCCGCCATCGGACTCGTTTCGTTCGACCAGCTCCGAGTGAGCGGACCGTGGACGCGAAGAGCCGTCAACAAACGTCCATATATTAGTTCGTCTGATGGCCAATCGGTTATACCCTCGCTTCCGAGGTGCTACAAAGCATTGGGATGACTCGACATGCGGGCCATCTAGTGCCAGTCCGAGCTCCCGGTTGGTCGATACTGAGCGAAGGATGTCTGTCTATGAATTATCAAACACCGCTTGGGCCTGCGGATGTCCAAGAAGAACAGATCAATTCCGCTCCTACCCCTCCGAGTCGTACTCCGAAGGGACAATCACCGCGCGGACGCTGCAGACGGGAGCGATTCACAGTCGATTATGGCCATCAGCTGGATGCGGACGCTGACAAATGCTTTGCTGTTTGTGCTCGAGAAAAAAATGACACCGTATAAAACGCTCTCGAACCCGAGCGCAAACAGCATAACATCTGTCAGCGTGGGTTTGGTTTATGCCGTGCTTCGTAGTCAAACGGGTCAGTCTCGAAATTTGAGATATCCATCCTTTTTATATATGTTAGGAAGGTTCTGACTGTGAGAGGTCTCCTCGAGTGCTGTGACAGCTGCATCGTGCACCTGATCAAGGGCTCGATTTTCTTCCTCTACAGCCTTTTGACGTGGGAACGCTATCTCGGGCTTTTTGAACCACAAGGATGGGCTTGACATTGTCTACCAGTGGCCAAGACCACTGGGTGGACCGAATCCTTCGAGTCCTTCGCGTGCTTGGCGTATGGCTCGGCGAATGTGTGGCTCGAGCGACTCGGCGAAGAAGGAACCCCCTGGGATCAAGGACATCCACAACGTCTCCATCGACGTGATGTAAGTATTGCCGTAGCGCCAGTTGAGACTTCCAGCAAGATCGAACAAATCCGTGTGAGGTTTGACGACTTACGTGCTGAAAGTCTCGATGCAAGCCTTATAGGGTTTACTACTGTGGTACTCGGGATCCCGTCGCGTGCAGCATAGTCGGAATTGAGACTCCTGTTGTCGGAAATGAGATGGGATTCGGTGGTCTCGGGGATCGGGCTGGAGTGGCTTAGTTGGGAAGCGCAGATTCGGCTAACTCGGCCTAGCGTCACATGAGCGGATAAAAGTTCAGAGCAAGGGACCGTGTGACAGGCGCAAGGAATGGCGTGATCAGAAGGCCGAGTGTCGGAAAAGAGGAGGAAGCTGGCCCGGAGGGATTGGAGTGTCCTGGCGTTGGAGGGAAGACTCGCTTCTTGTTCTGGGATAGACTACGACACACAACTCAGACCACCTTTGGGGGGGGAGGCGACTTTCGGAGGGGTTGGACCACTTGGGGAGAGGACTTTTCTGCGAATCTATCATTATCGGTTTCATTATCTGCGTGTTTCTCGGTTTCGGCATCTCGGTCTCTGCGTTTCGATAGTAATCAGCCCCCTGTCTCTGATCGGCCGCTCACTATTACCATAACTGGGGAGTCAGCCGGGGTTTCTCTTTGTTTCTGCACAAAGGACGCCCTCAAGCCCTAGCCCGTGGTCAGCATCGACGATCTCAACTTGCCTTCGACACATCGTCATCGGCAGCCCCTGGATATCTCGGAAGGAGGAAAGGAAGGAAAAGGAAGGAAGAATGGCGGAACACTTGGCATTACATGATTTGGAACGAAATGGCGAAGGCAACGGAGGCGGAATGGGAAGGGATGAAGTACACACGGCGGATGGAAATGGTGACGAAAGGACTAGGGACTTGGGTGGTGATAGCAGGACTCACGAGGGGCTTGGAGATGGAAGGGAGGAGAGGTGGAATGGTAGGAGGAGTGGAGGATGGGACAGAGGCAGGGATGAGGGATGGGGAGTGCAAGGAGGAATGGGTGGAGCAGCTGCGGCGGAGATTGCGGAAACATTGGCAACCCTTGCAACCCCTTACTTAGCGAGGAATGTTGCGTACCCGTTGAATGGTCGTAACGCGGAGAAGTTCTTGAGGGAGTATGAGCCCCTATTTAGCGCCGCTTCACGACCCCTGAGATGTACTGCAAACATCTTCACAATGCGGTGCCTCATCGTTTCATGCGAGTGATTGAGGAGTGGGATGAGTTTAAGGATTTGGACTGGGAGGGGGTGAAGGAAAGGATGGTTGAGGAGTTTGGGGAAGGGGACGATGACGATTCGCCGGACCGTCTATATGAGGTGATTGATCGTCAGTTGGAGGGACGGAGGAAGATCAGGACTCGGCAGGACCTGGATGACTACTACCGCCGCTTCAAGCGTCACTCTGAGCCCCTGGTGAAGAAAGAGATCCTCTCGTGGCAGAGTGAGTCGTCGCTGTTCCTCGAAGGTGTGCCTAGGGAGCTGGTGAAGGAGTACGAGTCACTTCGTAAATTGGCGCGTTCCCTTCTTCCTTCAGTGGAGCAAATGGCCAGAGACAAGGAGGCGGCAACCGGCTGGCGAGTCACAAGCGCTGAGATGGTGGAGATCAGGAAGAAGCACAAGGAGGATGACCTGAAATACCGTCGAGAGCTTCATATCGGGGAGTTGTATGGAGAGATGCTCAAGCTGCTCAGAGGAGGAGGTCGTACGTCGCGTCGAGGAAGGGATACCCGCAGGAGAGACTTCTACGATTCGGACTCAGACTCGGAAGAAGAGGCAAAGGATCGCAGGGATAGGTGGCGCGACGACAGGTCGCCCAGTCCCGCCCCTAGGAGTGTTCGTTTCTCGGGGTTGCCCCTATCTTTCATTCGTCGTCAGGAGTCAGAGTCCACGCCATCGACTGCCACGCGATCAGCCTTGTCTTCCAGGAGTCGATCAGGAGCGGGAACGGAGGACAATGGATCGAGGAGCTCGAGTCTGCCGGACGACTTCATCAACGACTTTCGCCGCTTGGTTGTGAACACGACGACGATGTCCCAGGAACTGGCAACGATGAAGCAGGAGTTTGCTCGCTTCCAACAACCTGGCTCTTTCTACGGCGGTAATGTTCAGGGTCCTCAGCAGGGGCAATTCGGTAACCAAGGGCAAGCTCAGAGGGGTTCTCAAGGCTTTGGCTATGGAGGAGGACCGGACGCGAACATGCGAGGGGGACAGACTCGACCCAACGGATACGCTACTGGCGCCAATGCAACTCCCTATACGCCTCGTAATTCTGGACTCGACTGTCGTGGTTGCGGACTTGGAGGTCATCCGACGCGCGCCTGTCCTAAGGTCTTGGAACGTAAGTCGAAGGGGGACGTGACTGAAGGAGAATCGGGGAGGTATTATTTCCGGGGTCGCGAGTGTCCATTGCCGCACCGTTTGCCGGAGGGGATGCCGACGTCTGAGGCTCTTTGGGATGCGTGGGAGAAGGGTGTGGAGAAGAGGAACGGGGCGAACCGGGGAGGAAATGGATCGATGGGACAGGACGGTCAAGGAACGGGATCAGCGATGCGCACGAACGTTGGATTCTTCTCTTCGGCGGACGAGCGGGATGAGGACGAAGCCCCTTTCGATGTTTACGCGGCTTCCCGACAGGTCCGTGCGCGCACTCCCAGTGGACCTTACGAAGAGGCGGCGAAGAAGCGTGCGGCGGAGAAGGCGGCGAAGGACAAGACTGTTCGTGGTGAACCTTGCCCTGTTTCAATCCCACCTCGTGTTTCGTTCGATCCGTTGGCGAAGGAAGTAGGAAAGGTCAAGATGGAAGCATCGGAGGCGCCGTTGAGGGACGAGGAAATGACGGAAGCATCGGCCGCTACGAACGCAACATCCACTACTCGTCGCCGGACTGCTCAAAGTATGCTGCGCACTCCTGTCTCACAGCGTTTTTCGGTTCCGTCGGCTTTGGAACACGTCCTCAATGGCACCATGGTCGAACTTCCTCTCGGTATGCTTCTCGCGGTTTCAAACGATCTTTCCAAGCGTGTAGCGCAGCAATGTCAACGTCGCCGGGTCCCTATTGATGCCACGACTGCGTCCGGATATCATGACGAGATGACGGAGGACGACTACGACACTCACATCCTGCGAACGAACTCCGGTTTCAAGGATCAACTCTCCGCTTACTACTGCGAACCAATCGGCTGTATGAGGGTCGTCATCAACGGAAAGTCTGTTCTCGCCTTGGTCGATGGTGGTTCTCAGGTCTCGCTCATTCAGGAGGCTACGTGTCGGGAGCTCGGTATTGCATGCACTTCGACGGTCGGTCATTCGTTGCGCTCTCAGAACGACGGAGTTAAAGATCTCGGAAAGGTTTGCAGGAACGTGGCAGTGGGAGTGGGAGGTTCGAAGGTCATCTGCAAGTTCTTCGTGTCCGAATCGAGTTCGACGCAACCGGCGATTTTGCTCGGAAGTCCTTTCATGGCGGCGGCTCGCGGCAAACAAACGTGGCATGCGGATGGTACTTCTTCGTTGAACATGGAGATCGGAGGGGTTTCTATGACGGTGGACCTTTTGTCGGTTGAGTCGACGATGACGACGATTAGGGAGGACAGAGTTGGAGACGGGAACGTTTGGGAGCATGACAACACCCGGGACGACTCGTCGGAAAACTAGTGGAGGTTGGACCTGGCGCACTCAACCTCTTTCATCGAGCCGATCCAGACTGTAACTCTATCAAGGGGGAGGTGTACGATACGGAGGACGACAACTTTCCATCATCTGCGCGCGGCTATGGCTTCTCCGCATCTTCTCGCGGTTTCGTCACGGCTTTTAGGCACAAGGAGTTCGTTAGTGAGGGGGGCAAGGGGCGAGGGGTGCGAGAAAAAGGATAGGGGTCAGGCGAAGGGTGTAGGGCCCAGAGGACTGGGGACGAAAGTCTTGTCTGGGGGGAGGGGAAGGCAAGGTTGGATCAAAGGAAGGATCGGCAGAGGTAGGGGAGTCGGGAGCACCGGGTGGCGCGGTCGAAAAATTAGAAAAGGCGACAAAAACAGGTTCAGTAGATTTGAGGCATGGATCGGCTTCGATTTGTACCACTTCAGTCAGTAGCAATTCTACCGCGACTCTTTCAACTTACCCAAGTGCCGAACCTGGTGTTGCTGAGAGTTTTGCCGAAGGCCTACGACTGGAAGGGAACGTTGATGGGGCCGCACGGCTGAAGCAGTGGCTGCAGGATACTGAAGGGAAGGCGGAGAGTGAGGGGTCAGAATCGGAGGAGAGGGAGGCGTCGAAGGAGTCGGAGGAGTCGGCTTTTAGGGTGACTTGGGACGATTTTGGACGACGCGAATGAGAAGGATGAGGGTTAGGACTTGGAGGAAGGTGAGGAAATGACGGTCATGACGGCGTATAAGAAGGTGGGGGTCAAGGTTCATCCGGTATCGATACCGTATCCACCAGAAAAAGTGACTCGGCTCTTTCCTCCGACCTGCACGCGACGGGATCCCGAGTACCACAACTCCCCCCAGACGAGGAGGTCGCCCCGACCGACTGACTTAACGCGTCTGTGTTGAGAGGCCTCTCTTTCTCTCCTTCTTCCACCGTGACCATCCGCGACACTCGATCCTCCAGCATGTCCGACCTATCGCAGACCCCCACCAACTCTGTTACTCCTCAGTCCCCCTCCGCCGACGACTTCCAGGCTCTCAAGGAAAAGGTCATCGAGCTCGAGCGGCAACTCGCCGAGCTCAGAGGCACCATCGACCCCGACTCCTTCAACAAGCGGTTCTCCGACGCTATAACTGACTCGCATAAGGAGCTCTGCCGAGTCCTTACTTGGCAGTACGTCTCGATCTGTCGGCGTCTCCTTATCATCGAAGGTCGTCTAGATATCCCCGATTCGTACATTTCTTGTGTCGTGCCGGTCGATTTTAGATGCCATGATCTTGTCGTCACTGTCCCAGAAATCACCGTCGCGGACTTTGCCAGGCGCCCCATGCCGTTTGCGCTCATGCCCGACCCTACGCGACGCTTCACCCGGGCCAGTTCTTCGTCGGTCAGGTAGTGGAACTCGCCTCGGGTGAAGCGTCGCGTAGGGTCGGGCATGAGCGCAAACGGCATGGGGCGCCTGGCAAAGTCCGCGACGGTGATTTCTGGGACAGTGACGACAAGATCATGGCATCTAAAATCGACCGGCACGACACAAGAAATGTACGAATCGGGGATATCTAGACGACCTTCGATGATAAGGAGACGCCGACAGATCGAGACGTACTGCCAAGTAAGGACTCGGCAGAGCTCCTTATGCGAGTCAGTTATAGCGTCGGAGAACCGCTTGTTGAAGGAGTCGGGGTCGATGGTGCCTCTGAGCTCGGCGAGTTGCCGCTCGAGCTCGATGACCTTTTCCTTGAGAGCCTGGAAGTCGTCGGCGGAGGGGGACTGAGGAGTAACAGAGTTGGTGGGGGTCTGCGATAGGTCGGACATGCTGGAGGATCGAGTGTCGCGGATGGTCACGGTGGAAGAAGGAGAGAAAGAGAGGCCTCTCAACACAGACGCGTTAAGTCAGTCGGTCGGGGCGACCTCCTCGTCTGGGGGGAGTTGTGGTACTCGGGATCCCGTCGCGTGCAGCAAAGTCGGAAATGAGACTCCTGTTGTCGGAAATGAAATGGGATTCGGTGGTCTCGGGGATCGGGCTGGAGTGGCTTAGTCGGGAAGCGCAGATTCGGCTAACTCGGCCTAGCGTCACATGAGCGGATAAAAGTTCAGAGCAAGGGACCGTGTGACAGGCGCAAGGAATGGCGTGATCAGAAGGCCGAGTGTCGGAAAAGAGGAGGAAGCTGGCCCGGAGGGATTGGAGTGTCCTGGCGTTGGAGGGAAGACTCGCTTCTTGTTCTGGGATAGACTACGACACACAACTCAGACCACCTTTGGGGGGGGAGGCGACTTTCGGAGGGGTTGGACCACTTGGGGAGAGGACTTTTCTGCGAATCTATCATTATCGGTTTCATTATCTGCGTGTTTCTCGGTTTCGGCATCTCGGTCTCTGCGTTTCGATAGTAATCAGCCCCCTGTCTCTGATCGTCCGCTAACTATTACCATACTACTCGCCTTCTTCAGCATATTAGCCTCCTTACCTACTTCTTCACTTCAAAAACAATCGCCCGTCTCTCCCCTGCCAAGTCGACCACCGACCGAAACTCGGGCGTCGCTGTACCTCACTTGTGGTGACGTTCATCCTCTCGACTAAGCGAGTCACGTAAGTTCGCGGCGATGAGGCACGGCTGGGACGACGTCAAGGCTTGCCTCAACCAAACGGTTGCGTTTCAGGTCCATTCTCTTTTCCTGGATCCTCGTACTGTTCATGACTCGAAGGAGTTCTCCGTCTTTAACGCTTGCTGAAGCGGATGCGCCAGGAGTCGGTCGACGAGTTTGCGCATGAACGTCGTTCGTAAGGCTGTATTGCAATCCAACATTTCTATCCGGTCCTCATAAGTATCTCTTGATCTCACGCTCGTAATCATGCATCTCGCAATCGGATCGCACTATAGATACTCGAATCCCAGCTACCTCAGTAGCTATGTTGCTGCAACTAAGACCAAGTGTGTGTAGTTTGCTATCGCCGAAAGATAGTGTGCAGAGAAACAGCCTCTCTTGGGGGCTGTGAATCATGTCGAAGCCGAAGTAAGGAGCGCTATCGCAAGTGCCAATTTCAACCCATTACTCCCACTGCCGGCGGTGCATAAGTCACCGGAACGAGTGAGTTATAATGCTAAAGGAGAGCGAGGATCAAAGCTTAGCTCCGGAGCTCGACAGGCAAATACGACCACGCGCTTGACTCACCTCGCCAAGACCATACATCTTTCGATGATATCTGTCCAGGTCAAGAGGGAGGTCGAATCCTTAGTGTGTTCACAATGTTAAAGAATCTCCGAGACCGTGCACTAACGAAATTCGTATCGGTCCGGCAGGACCCAAAGGAAGATCGTCCTCCCCTACTTTGAGAAGGTCCGTTCCGGCTTGGAGGACGTGGATTTGGATGTTGTAGTGTTTTGCCAAGGCCCGGATCTGAGGGAGCGGGTTGGACGTGTAAGGTCAGATCGAAAGTTAAGCGTTCATGAGGGCCACGGTGAACTCACCTCGGGTTCTCCTCCCCACTCGGCAGTGTTCTCCACTGTTGCGCAGTAGTTCTCGTACTCCTCTGTAATCGTGTCAATGAAAGAGACCGGTATCAGCCTTTCATGTATCTCCGAGCACGCTTGAAAGAGCAAGCATTAACTGACCAGGTGTCATCAAAGCTTCGGCCTGATCGGAGCTTTCGAGGAATGGCAAGAAGTCATCGGGGTGGCCGCGCATATAGGCTGCTGCGTGCTTGCGTGTTGTCGAATACGTCTCCTTGGTCGTCTGTTGTATCGTCAGGACAGGTCAGCGATGAAATGCATCTGGCGTGTGCAGAAGAAGATCCTTACGGATAGCCGCAGGTGGTTTGCTTGATCGGCGATGGCGCTGTACAAGCTGTTATATGGAGGTAATCGAGCGTAAAGTCAATGTCCAAATAATCATAGTACCCCAGGACGAATCAAACGCACCAATGCCCATCCGGATCGATCTCTTTGATCCTGACGCCCAAGCGCGTACATCCCTCGTGCATCGCCTGCCTCTCCTCCTCGATTGAGTTGTCATTGGTATGCAAGACCTCCTGCTGCGCCTGGTGCTTGATCTGTTCGAACTCCTTCTCCTTCCGCATCTTCCGCATCTTTTGCCTCGACATCCCTTGCGATGCAAAGAAGCCGCCTCGACCCGAATCCTTGTCCTTGTCCTTATCTTTGTCTTTGCCGTTGGCTGTGGAGGTCGCGTCCAAGGTAGGGTGTGAATGCACGATGTGGGCGAACGAATTGGGGAGAAGGAGATGACGCATGTCGTCGCTTAGGTTGTGGAGCTTCTCTCGTTTCGAAGTCGAGGTGGAAGAGACGCTCGTTCGTGAGCTACTGGTCGTCGTCGTCGAGGGGGTGCTTGTGGAAGGGGGCGCGGCTGAGGAAGGGGACGAGGTCGTCTCTGCAGAGGCAGCGTTCCTGGTCGCTTCCAACTGGGACAACAACTGATCTGCTAGGTCCGACACCTCGTCATCTTCATCGCCATCCGCCCCGACAGCCCCTCCTCGAGGAGATCCAGTCGACCGCGTTCCCGTCCCAGTCGGCGTCACCGCGCCAGACGAAGTCGACGTCGAAGCTCCAGCCAGCGTCTGCTCCGCGGTGATCTTGTCCTTCTTCTTGGTCTCCTTCTTCTTCTTGGACGGAATGGCCTTCTTTAGCTTGCCGCGGGAAAGCAGGGGGTTCAGACTGGAGGCGAGCGATTCGGATCGGGTCGGAGCCTGGCTTGAGGATGGGCCTTGCGAAGCGTCGACGACGGCTGCCATGTGGAGGGAGACTCGGGTAAGCCGAGTCGGGGTGGGCTGAGGAGGATCAGTGGAGGTACCAAATAGATTCAAGCGGAGGCGAGCGGGGAAGATAACAGGCGGTCGCGGGCTGGGAGGAGCTGGGTGGGCCAGAGTGGCGCTCTGAAGCGCTCTGAATCCTCTGGAGTCGCAACTTGTTCACGTCTGTTCACGTCCGACACGACGTGAGATTCGGGAATCCCGTCTCAATACCTCACCGCAAAGGGCTGTCTCCATTCCTCACCTCGACTTCAATTATGACGATCACACACGGCCATAGACTGCTCGAGCAAGACCTCGGTACCGCTCCGAAAGCCTTTTTCGGTCAGTATCAAGACGTGTGCCAGAGGCGTTGGTTTTGCTGTTTGGCGTGACCGTCGACAGTGGTGAGTCAGGATTCACCCTATGGTGATAACCACACGAGCGTCTTTCGTCCATTTCTTTTTATTTGATTTTTCTTCAACGCCCCAACCCCAGCCTTACGTGGGACCCCGCGGACCGGCATGCCTTGCCGTCACTGCCACTGCATCATGTCGGTATACTAGTCGGAGAGAGCGCCATGATCACGGCTGTGGACTCGGCAACCATCTCCAATTCTATCTGCAAAGTGGAAGGCTAGGATTATCGTCTGGGGAAAGTTAGGGTCTGAACAACAGCTGCATCACGCCCTCGCCGTCTTTCCGCACTGTATATCAGCTCTGCTCCCTTCGCCGAGAATTAGAAAATTGGTCTGCTTGCTCCGAGTCGCGCTACCGCGGCGGCTTTTTTTCGAAGCCGGGACGTTCTTTGCATATCATCATGTTCATTTTATTACACAAATCGGTCCTCAAACTGGCGACGAAAGCGTGCAGAATGAGGTAAAGCTGGTTGGGCTTGTCCAATTACTGGGCTTGACTGACAGGTCCGGGCCTGCCTCGAACGTGAGCCTTTGTCATTGTGCAGAACCATGGGAATCGTTGAGAGGAATCGAGGAGCGTACTTGTTTTCTTCGTCTGTCGAGAAGTCGTCATCGTCGCGATCGGCCATTTGATTGAGAGCTTCGGGCCTGCGTTCGTCTTTTTCTTCTCCTGTTCGGCCCAGCCTTCGGGAACATCCGGCGCCGAGTGCCATTCGGCCGTGCAGGTTCGCGAGAAGTGGTCGACATTGATTCGGCGGCAGCTGAAGCATCCGTTGTTGCGTCGCAAGTAGTCCTTCATCGCGTCGGTGAGCTTGTTCGGCGTGCGGCTGGTGCCGGCGGTCGTGGCGGCAGAAGCCCGGTAGGAGTTCGGATTTGTTGCGGTGCCCGCCATCGCCTGAGGTCGTGGAGCGGCTACATGTCGGATCGCCGACATCATGTTCCATTGAGACCTCGCGAGTCGTTCGAACGCTTCGTACGAGACCGCTTTTGGTTTGGCGAGTCCCGCCTTTGATGCTGCTACGTAGTCCAAGTCGTCTTGGTGCAGACTGGTGTTGATAAGGAGATCGTTCTGGCGCAGTACTACACTCAGTTGGGTGTCCATGTTGAATAAAAGGATCTTGACGAACTCCGCGTCGCTGAGGGCCGCGCTGCCAGCACTTTGTAAGGACCATCGAATCGTGGGAAAAACTTCGCCGACCGAGTCAAGATCCTTTTATTCAACATGGACACCCAACTGAGTGTAGTACTGCGCCAGAACGATCTCCTTATCAACACCGGTCTGCACCAAGACGACTTGGACTACGTAGCAGCATCAAAGGCGGGACTCGCCAAACCAAAAGCGGTCTCGTACGAAGCGTTCGAACGACTCGCGAGGTCTCAATGGAACATGATGTCGGCGATCCGACATGTAGCCGCTCCACGACCTCAGGCGATGGCGGGCACCACAACAATGCCTCCTGGTCCCACTCGCCTTGCCGATCGATTGAATGAATGATAGCCAGTTTGGGAGTAGTCGCTGGTGACTGGACGAGCCATCGACCCAAGGGATCATCAATCAAAGCCCAGAATCTACTACGTCTTCAATCCCCTGAACTCCCTTGATGGGGTACCTCGAGCAAGCAAGCCGATGCGTGCAGCCCCCACCCCCACTAGGTGAGTTGCCTTCGCTGGCAGCCGCCCGGCCTTTGTCGCGCGTGCATACGCATGCATACCGTTGCATGCACATGATTGCATACGCATGCGCTTCCAGTCCAACGTCTGTGCACGACATTGCACACCTTCGTGCACGCTCCGATCGAATCGGCCTCCCGCGACCTGCTTCGTTGCGAAACCCTGTTTCCGCCCTTCGCCGCCGAGTGCACGTCGAGCCGACGTGGAGTTGGAGCAGGGCGAGGACCACAATTCACGAGAAATGATCAGCGGGACAGTACTAGACGATATGACGAGTCAGCGACGGAATGAAAATAACTGTGGGAGTCTTGGCAGGAACGTGCAAAGAGGCAGGGAATGGATTGAAGGGCACGTACTACAAGAATGCAAGTACAGAGAAATAATCACAATTGAGTTCACCGCCAAAATATACGCCAGGTCGTGATGTCGCTCGGAGCATGCACGCCAACCATTGCGAGCATCCAATTCAGTCTCGTCCCCAATTTAGTACATGGAGCGACCCGTACCCCATCGATGACCACGGCTAGAACCTCCGCGGTAGTTCATAGCGAAATCTTCTCGATAAAGCCAAGGTTGGTGGTCTGTTTGCAGTGAAAGAATGAAGTACGCTGAGTACTAGTCAGCGTCATACTAGGGTTGCAAGCCGCGGCCGTCGCCCAGGCATACGCACAAGTTGAGGTGTCACGAACGGGGCTGATACCCAATGTTTGTCCAAGGTTGACGTAGCCCTCGCTGGCGGAAGCACCTGCACTTTTGGCAGCCGATGTCGAGCTGTCGACCCAAGGCGCACGGCACATAACACACGTGCTTTTGGCGCCCCAGAGAAGAAGAATGAGTTATCTGAGGTCAGAGGAATGACGAGAAGAGAGAGAGAGAATAAGATCATCTCACTTTTGTTGCCTCGACCAGGACCTGAAACACTCGGCATGAAGACCGTTGCCACACGATTCGCAAAAGACGAGTCCTTGAACCTTGCCCGCTTCGTAGTCCTCGTCTGCAGAGTGCTCGAACATGTTAGCAAGGCGAGCGAACACAACCACAGAGACTCATTCCAACTCACAGCAGACGGGACAGGCATCTCCTTCTTCAGGTACGCGGTTCTTGGACGACGAGTCAGGGGCTTCGAGCGCATCGGACTCCTCCTTGCCGACCACTTTGCGATAAGCGGCTTGCGCTCGTCGGGTCTGTTCGTCTTGAGGCGTCGGTCGAGCGCTGGCGAAGATCTCCTCGAGTTCAGTTTGGAGGAGAGCGGCTTGATACCAAAGATTGGAGCTATGGTTGACTTGAAGGACTGGTTGGTTTCCGCGGAAGAGCACCCAAATCAGCTCTGGCATTATGCAAACTTTTCGAGGTATGGGACCCACCTTTGAGCATGACAAAAAGCTAGAGCACAAGCGCGAGCAAGACTCTGAGCAGGATCCTTCTTGTAAGTAAGACAATTTGGTCAAGACTGACAATGTGCTTGCAAAAGTTGCCTTTCTGCGCATCGGGGCAGGTGCAACCCGGTTCCGAGTCAATCGTCACGATATAGACTGTGCGGGCGGCAACATCAATCAGCCAACAGCCCATTGCTCGGGATCTGAGCGGAAGAGATTGAGCATACCATTGCCTGTTATTTCAAGCGGTGTTGAGCATAGGCATGAGTACTGCGGACTCGATAACGAAAAAAATAGGCGGACTGACCGGTCGATCCGAGCACGCTGAACTTCTCCGAGGTTGGCGAGGTACGCGTCCTGTCGACGCAGAAGAAGCGTTGGCTCCACACGCGTGCTACTCGATCTTGAATATTCTTGGGGCATGCTGGAAGCAGCGGCCGGCATACCCATGAGCGGAGAAGAATGAGCCAGGTCATCTGATGCGCGCCTCGTTCATCATGGCACTGCGGCGCAGCTGGAGGCGAGCCAGAATATCGGAGGACTAACAGGATCTGAATCTCTTGCGTCGTTTCTCCTGATCGGTTGCCTTCGGATTCGATCCAGTCGCTTTGTTGACCTTCTTGCGCGGCTGAGTGTTGCTGGAGCTGGAGCCAGCGATCAGGTTGGTCAGGTTGGATGATGACGACGAAGCCGTTTGACTGTGTGCGGTCGACGTAGTCGGCGAGTCTGGTTGGTCACGACGACGCTTGCGAGAGGCACTCGTGGTCTGCGTCTGGGTACGTGAGCGTGCTGCGACGCTTCCTCGGCTGGCCATGGGTCGAATTGGCGGTCGGGGGTCTCGGCAGGCTTGCGGGCTTGAGGGGGGGAGGGGGGGATGGGGGGAGGGGGGGAGGCTGATCCGAGGCGGCGCAAAGTGGCGGTTGAAACGTTGAAACAGACGCGCCGAACCCGATTAGCGCCTATTAGTGCAGATTAGCGCCGGTTAGCGCCTGGTATACTAGCGCCGATTAGTGCGCACTGCCCAAGAAAGGAAGGCAGCTTGCTAAACACTCTGCTAATGAAGAATTGGGATCGCGAGCCCGGCAAATTCTGTGACCAGCCAGGCCTCTCTGGACTCCTCCGCTCGTCTCAGCGCCGTTACATTATCTCACAGCCATGGCAAGTAGTAGCAGCATCCACCGCAGCCTACACCACGAGCCCATGTTAGTACGTACTAACCCGATGCTACATCACCATGCTTGGCCTGCCATCTCTCAGAGTCGTCATCGTGCGGTCAAGCAGCTCGATCTCGCCGGTCAGTGGCCAGACGTAGAGATGCTGCTGCTCCATCTGTCTCTGCATCAAACACTCATCTAGGCCTGATCTCGTACCCGATCCAGAGCAACTCGATGATGATGCCATCGACTCGGAAGGAGACGACGCCTATGGTCAGTACCGGCTGACCCTGATCGACCCTAGAGTCCTTGTCCGAGGACTGATCATGCTATGCGTTCCTTTATGCCTTGCCCAGATATGGACGATGAACAATACGGTCAGCAAGAAATAAGCCATCGGCTACACACCACCCAGCGTGCTGACTCGGCCCTTGTGACCAATAGCCCACATGGAGTCGGGCTTGTCGGCAGTGCAGAACCTGCTCGGCCCCAACACACCCATCTCGGACAAGGAGATACGCGACTCGTTGTGGGACTCGTACTTTGACATTGATGGCACCGTCGCATATCTTCTAGGTGAGCGAGCGCATCGTGCCATCGCCCCTCGGAACACCAAAGTCTTCTTTCCCCTAACACAGATTCCTCTTTTCGGCAGACGCGCAACACAAGAGAGAAGCCGCAAAGGCTCGTGCCGAGGGTGAGCTAACGAGTGCCATGGCTGTCGAGACCGTCGAACCTCCGACGTCTTCCCTGGCCAGTCTCGACATTTCGTCGTCTTTCATTTCACCCACCCCGAGCGCGACGGCGACGGCGACGGCGACGGCGACGAAACCGCCCATGAGCAAATTGGCGGCCAAGATGGCTGCGAGGAAGCAGGCCGCCGCCGACTCAAAGGGCTCGACACCAACGGAGACCTCACTGGCGCCGGTTGCCGCAGTGGAAGGGCCCAAACTGTCCAAGCTGCAGCAGAAGATGCTAGCTTCCAGGCAGGCTCGGGCTGCAGCGACAGCGGGCGCGGCAGGTACATCGGTCACAAGTGCCGATGCGCCTTCTGTCCCACCGCCTGTAGATACACAGTCGAGGGTGGACGTCACAGTGGCACCTGCGAGTGGCTTCGTCGTCCCTCCTGCGTTGCTTGCTTCTGCTTCCGCGTTTGCCCACGTCCTCGTCCCCCCACCGCCTATGTCGACTGCGGATCGATTGACTCGAATCGAGCAGACCTTTGCGAGGCGCGGTGGGGCAGAGAATGTGGCAGAATTTGGGCTCAGTCCCGACGACAAGGTGTTGGAGGCGAGGAAAGGGACAGCCGTCGCAGCTGGGGCGCCGATTCGCAAAAGGGTGTGATGCGGATGGGCGAAGAGGGGTCACGGGCCCAGACCAGATCGAAGTGCCTGAGCTTTGTCTCGAACAGACCAGGTACTGACTATTCCCGTCTGCTTGCCTTCCCATCGTATCTCTTTACCGACGGTCATCGATTGCTTGCCCATTCTCTTCGTGCAGAACAAAAGGCCAAGAAGGCCAAAGCAGCAGCCGCGGCCGCCAGTAGTCAACCCGCTTCGGCCAGGAATTCGCGGCCTTCGACACCCGCGCCTTCGGCTCAGAAGAAGACTGGCACCAGAAACCTCTCACCGACGAAACGGCCACCACCAGGTCCGGTCAGTCAGCTTCGAGCGGACCTTGAGGGTCTCAATCTTTTGCCTCGAAATTCTTCCTCGGCGTCATCGACGGGTGCGACCGCCGGAGGGTCCACACCTGGGACCTCGTCGGGGGCCCATACACCTTCAGACATAGACAATGTCGAGATGTCGGGACCGCCACCGGCGATCGCGATGGCCAAAGACAAGATCTTGGCCGAAGTGCGGGAACGAGAAAAGGACCGCAAACCCGTGTTGTCGCTCGTCGTCGTGGGCCACGTCGATGCCGGGAAATCGACTTTAATGGGTAGGGTATTGCACGAGTTGGGCGAGACGTCGGACCGGTCGGTCGAGCAACAGCAACGAAACGCGGCCAAGATCGGTAAAGCTTCTTTCGCGTATGCTTGGACGTTTGATGCGATGGAAGAGGAGCGTGCGCGAGGTGTCACCATCGACGTCGCAATCGATGGGTTCGAAACAAACAGCAAAAAGTTCACCTTGATCGACGCGCCTGGTCATCGGGACTTCATCCCCAACATGATCTCCGGCGCTGCACAGGCCGACACGGCTGTCCTCGTTGTCGATGGTTCAACCGGAGCCTTTGAGAAAGGCATGGAAGGTGGGGGACAAACTCGAGAGCATGCAGTACTGGTCAGGAGTTTGGGGGTTCAGCAACTCATCGTCGCCGTCAACAAACTCGATGCGGTCGGCTGGGCCCAATCGAGGTTCGAAGCGATTCAGGAACAGCTCTCGCCATTCTTGACACAATCGGGCTTCCAGCCTAGCAAAGTCTCGTTCGTGCCCGTGGGAGCCATGTCGGGCGAGAATCTGGTTGAGCGACGGAACGAGATCTTGAAGGCATGGTACGAGGGGCCGACATTGGTCGAGCAACTGGATCGACTGGAAGTCCCACCAAGAGCGCTCGAGACACCGTTGAGGATACCGGTATCGAACGTGTTCAAGGGTCAGAGCGCGACCGCGTCGGGCTTGGCCGTCTCTGGTCGAGTCGAGAGTGGGATCGTGCAAGTGGGTGAGAGACTGTGCGCTCTCCCTGGTGATGAGAGTGGTGTCGTACGATGTGAGCAAAGTCGATGCTAGCCGAGGATTTTGAAGGGATGCTGACGCTTATCCGATCTCAGCGTTGGAGGTCGACGGCGAGCATGTCTCCTATGCGATCGCAGGAGTCAACGTGACTGTGTTCCTCTCCAACATCGATCCGCTCCAGCTTTCCGTCGGGTCTATCCTATGCCCGCCTTCAGAGCCCATTCCCGTCGTCTCATCCTTCCTCGCCCAGATCATGGTCTTTGACGTCAAGTACCCGATCACGGCCGGCTATGCTGTCGAGCTGTTCCACCACTCTCGAGATATTCCTGCGACGATCACGACGCTCGAGGCGACGCTTGACAAGGCTACAGGAGCAGTGCTCAAATCCAAGCCGAGGTGACTTGGATCTTTGTGCTCATGAACATAGAGGTGCCGTCACCTCCATGTTGACCGTTGTTTTATGTTACTCTCAGGATGCTCACCAAGGCCTCGTCGGCCAAAGTCCGCGTGCAGCTACGTGCACCAGCAGGAGGATCTGCTTCGAGTCGAAGAGCAGTGATCCCACTCGAACCATTTGCGGTCAGTAAAGGGATGGGAAGGGTCTTATTCCGTCGTGGTGGCGAGACAATAGCGGCGGGGATCGTGCTCGAAGTGGGACCTTGAAATTGCAGCATCTGCTGCAACGTAGCATGATGTTTGGGGTAGATGGACATAATGATGTATCAACCTTTATATGGATCAGTGTCGAGGAGAGATCTGAGGATGATACCCTTCTCAGTTCCTGTATCGTGTCGAAGCGGGCGAAGTCGATAAATTGAGAACTTTGGATCCAGCCGCGGCCGGCGACCACTTTCCGTGATGCCGTTAGCATTCCGTCAGCTGAGGCGCGAATGGCGCATGGCTCCTCTCTCCCTGTCCTGCCAACGCCTGTTCCCTCCAAGCCATCACAGTGTAAAAAGTGATGTCCTATCCCTCTGCCACGCTCAAAAGCGAGCGTTTCCACCCCTCGTTCGAAGCGAGTGAACTCGAAGGGCTGCGATCGACCTTGGCGCAATGTCGTACCGCCTTGCCGGCGCCAACGTATGCGAGCACCCAGGCGAGCAAGGACGGGAAATATTATGGGGTCACGTCGGAGTGGATGAGCAACACGCTCCAGTACTGGCAAGAGTCGTTCGATTGGTCAGTCCCGTGCCGAGCAGCGCTCACAAGGAAGGCCAGACAGCCGCCAGGTGGCACTGTGGGGCTCCGGCCGGGCGAGCTGACATAGGCCGTGCCTGGGGAATCCAATCGCAGGTCCAAACGCGACAAGATCATCAACTCGGTTGATCACTACATGACCACCATCAAGGATGATGAATGTGGTCCATTCAAAGTTGGTCCCACTATTCTCGGCCACGACCTGAGCGGCTTGCATAATTTTCCTCTATTTGCTCACAAGAAGACGGTTCCCTTTCGAAAAGGTCCACTACATCGCTCACATCTCACCTGATCCGAATGCTATCCCTCTGCTTTTGCTTCATGGCTGGCCCGTGCGTTGCTCTCAATGCTCTGGGCAGTCATCGGATCGATTCACTCACTGACGCCGGGAGAGCACAATTCTTCGCTCTTGAACAGGGATCGGCCCACGAGTTTACAGAGGCGATCAAAATTCTCACCCAACCCTCATCCGCTTCTTCTGGACCTTCCTTTTCCATCATTTGCCCCAACCAACCGGGGTATGGCTGGTCCTCCGGCCCGCCGCTCGATCGTTCCTTCGGTATGTACGACGTCGCACGGATTTGCCACTCGCTCATGCTCGGTCTCGGGTTCAAGTCCTACGTCGCACAAGGCGGCGACATTGGTTCTGTCATTGCTCGTATCATGGCCAGCCGGTACAAGGAATGTCGAGCGGTGAACCTGAACTATCTCCCTCTCCTCCCTTCCGCGGGTCAATGGAGCCCAGGATGGGACGATGGACTCACGCCTCGTGAAAGGGACAATGCGTCCAAAGCTCTAAAATTCGCAACGACAGGTCGTGGGTATGGGACCATGCACGGTACTCGACCCGCCACGATCGGTATCATCGTTCAATCGAGCCCGACGGCGTTGCTCGCCTGGCTAGGTGAAAAATTGCTCGAGTGGACGGATGAGGATCTGGAGCTGGATCATCTGTTGGAGATCGTCACGATGTGGTGGCTGTTGGGGACGTTCCCCAAGTCGATATATGCCTATGCCGAGGTCAGTCCCTAAACGAGCACCGCTGCATGCAACCCAAGCAGGACCTGGGTCCCCTCTGGAGAACTTACATTGCTCTCGATGACACCGCAGCTCACCACCGGAGTAGGAGGCTGGCACCGTGATCCCAAACTGTACATCCGGCAACCCTTTGGGTTCTCAAGTTTCGGTCACGAGATCGCATCGGCTCCCGAAGCTTGGGCCAAAGAGACGGGACGATTGGAGTTTTATCGCTACCACGAAAAGGTAGGATTGTTCCCTCTTTGAGTTTTGGCATAACATTCGCTCATCTTCACCGGTATTACGCCACTGTCTTGTCTAGGGTGGTCATTTCGCTGCGATGGAACGACCGGAGGAGTTTGCACAGGACATGCGGGATTGCTTCGGCAAATTATGGCACCTGGAGCAATGAAAGCAGGGAGAGCAGTGATCAAAGGTAATCTCGGTATTAACACGACTGGATAAATTTCTGCAAGACTACATGTGGTGACTGCATACGACAAGGGTGCTGAGAGACTGGGAGACAGGGGATGCTGAGACAGAGAGCATTACTGATAGTTGTCAAGAGGGAAGAAATCCTGCGTCGTGAAGGCGTCGAAACCGAATGCTACATCGGCATACCTGGTGAATGATAGACGATCGGGATCAGCGGGATGTCTTCTTTATAGCAGACATGACGCAATGCTTACTCGGGTACCATCAAACCTTGGAGGTCGAAGTTGAGCGCGAGATCCGTCGGACTCCAGCTTGTGGCTAGCTCTTCATTCGCAGAGCTGTAAATACGAGTTTAGACTCAGTTTCGGATTGCACGGCCGACGTAGACACGGTGGTACCCACTCGCTCAGAACAGCCGAAGGCACCTCCCCGTCCCAGCTGTTGACACCCGTTTCATTCTTGTGCTGAACGAGCAAGCTCGAGGCAGGCGCCGAGGAGGTGGCCACCGCATTAACACTTATAGGCGTCGTCGATCCCATCGGTGTATTGTTCGTCGAGCTGGTACGATCACCTCGTGAAGAAGTTCCAGGCTCCAGCTTGACGTTGCGCGACCAGTCGTGAGGTCGGTCGGAGAAGATATGGTCGGCTGCGTCTCGTGGATTCGAAAGCCCCATTGCTGCGATCATCTCCTTCGGTGCGCCTAAGCGCTCAAGGAGCTGACCAAAGCTGCGAGGAGGAAGACAAGAGAAGTGCTCTGAGGTCAGCATTGCCAAACGTACCGGTGCAAATGTTAACCTACGATTCGACGGTGCCAAGATCATCCCAATGGCCACCTGCGGCCACTCTGGACTCGGCGGCGCTGCGGCGCTGTTCGACTTCCTGCGACAGACGTGCTGCGAGAGAGCAACGACCAGAATATTCTCTCAGTTTACCGATTTGATTCTGAACGCTATCTTCCGCCTTTGCAACTCACTGATGACGCTATGAGTCTGCATAGCGACATGCCTAATGCTGGCTTCCCTCGAGGTTCTCAGGCGTTCGAAGTACCCGACAACACCTTGGATCAATCGATAATCCTCTCCCTCAACGACAGTTCGGGTGAAGTCCTGCCAAATGGCGAGAAACAGAACCGTGACGGCCATCTGAACGGCGAGCGGTTGGAATGCGCCCTTGACGGGTGGTGCGCGATCCAACGATTGCTGGCACATCAAAACGGTTCGAGCTCCAACGATGGCGTTGTCCGTCGAGATGCGGTACTTGGAGTCGGTGTAGCCGCGATACATGAAGGGCCGATGCAGTCGGACGAGGCGAGAGTTGATGGCTGTGCAGGGCTCAGATGGTGCGATTAGTTTCACAGGTGCTTTCGAGCGCGTGAGAAGCAGGTCTCGGCAACATACTTTGTAATGCCATTGATCTTGACCAAAGCGTCGTCAACGGCTCCCCGAAGGGGGCCACGTAGCTTGGCAAGTAGCGCGTCGGAAAGGAATCGATGATCTCGCGATAGCTGCGATCGAGATCAAGGACGGAAGAATAGCTCAGCGGTCCCTCGCCATGGACGATATCGTTGAAGGCCCTTTGTACAAGCGCTATCCGCCATTTGATCAAGTCGTACGAAACGTCTGTGGCATCGTAGTATGGCCGAGGTTGGACAATCCCTTCGCGCAGCAAGTCTACGTCCTCGAAATTGCCGGGTAGAGCCGAGTCGACTGTGCAGAAATTCGAATCTCAGTCTTCGCTCTGGCGCTCGAGGGTGCAGTTCTCACGGGCTCACTAAGGTTCGGTGTCATCTCCGGCGGAAGTTTGTTGGTGCTGACCCACTCGACAAAGAGCAAATTTCTGAGTAGCCTCAGCGCCATCTCGCGACGCAGAGTATGCGCGCCACTCGGCAATCCCGGGCCTTCGACTGGCATTGTAGTAGGGTCTTCGCCGAGTTTGTGCAGGCCAAGTGAGCGAGCCATGCGCACACCCGCTTGGACATAGGTGCGAAGACGTTCACCGGTTCTGTCAGACCATACACACGTCAGAGATACACTTGGTAAGTAGCATGTCGAATCGAGGACTGACGATGGGTTGCCCATCCAGAGGAGGTAGGGGGAGAACAGCGAGATCGTCTGAAGTGTACGGTATCGAGGTCTGAGGACAAGCTCGACATCAGACGAGTCAGCATCATCGCACTCGTCATGAAAAAACCGAAAGTAGCACGAGCACTCACATGACCTTCCACTCTGCGACCTGGAGCATCGCCTCGGCTGCCTCAAAGTATTTTTGCGGCAACGTCATCAAATCCTGCTTTGAGATGGTGACCGTTGGACTCATTACGGGCTCCTCTAGGAAGTGCACGCTCAAGCACAGCGTCTGGAAGAACACGGCCAACCACAACGGATCGATTTCGTCCCTCCTTCCCTGCTGACATAGACTCTGGAAGGATTCGTATTCGGCCTGGAAGAGCGGGATATGGTGCAGATGCCACGACCAATCGTAGTTGGCGAAGTAGTTGTGGACGAGCCAGTCGACGAACTGCTTCGAAGAAGGAACGGTCCGCCAAATTGAGTCGAGCATCGTTCGACGGGCGCCTTCGGCAAGTGGGACGAGCAGCGACTCGGTAGCACGCGACAAGAGCAGAGGTACGGCATGACCTGGTCGGATGATTGCTTCCGGCGCTCGGAAGCCGGCTGTACAAGTGACATCGGTTTCAAAGATCAGTACAAAGGCTACGATAAACAAAGAGTGCTTGGACGTACTTGTGAGAACCAATGCAGCGTCCTCCGTGGCTGCATCTCGTTTGCTCGTCAACGAGCCGGCGACTACTGGATGATGAGGACTCCTCGGCGGCTCAACTGCCGACATCTGCATAGCTACCAAGGGCGCCGGAGTCGGCAGAGGAATATTGGGCTTCGGAGATGACCGACGCTTGTCGATGTAGGCTTCCAACTCGGCGACTCGACCCTTGAGTGCATCGTGCTCGGAAGCCAAAGCGAACGGTTGCCTGGTCAAAGAGCCGCCCATACGAGGCTCAGTCTTGTGAGTCTTTCGCCTCTTCGACCTCCCGAGGACCACGAACGCAGCACTCACGGCGGCACAACAATCTTCTTCTCCTCCCACTGGCACGTGTCGGCCTCTCCGCGTTTGATGCACGCCTCGCAGGGTATGTGGCGGTCACACTTGATCTTGCGCCTCTGACACTCGCTGCAGCTCAACGCCTGACGGTTGCGTTTGCGCTTCTTCCTGTCCGGCTTCTTGGCCCCGGCTCCTGTACCACCATTCCCTATTGAGTTGGGAGTCGCTTGTGCACTTGGACCGGCACTGTTGTCATGATCATGGCCGTCATCGTCGTCGTCGTCGTCCTGCGCAGCGAATCGCCAGCTCGTGTCAGCGCTCGACCAGGTAGATCTTCGGCCCCTCGTCTCGAACAGAGATTCAGACCTACCGAGTCATCACTGGTATTGGTGTTGGTGTCGATCGTCTGCTCACGAGCCTTGACCAGAGCTGCAGCCGCCGAGGCTCGCTTCGCACCCCGCCCGCTCGCTCGCCCGCCCGCCGTTGTGGAAGCAGGTGAGGCGTTCGATGTCATGGTGTCCACGACAGCTCAAGCTTGGGAGTCGAGCTTGGCCCAGTTGGGTCCCAACAGAGCAGTGGCGCAGTGGCGCAGGTTCAGGCCCCCGTGGTTGCGGTCGTCTGTGGGGGGTGACAGCACTCCGCGAAGGGACCTGCTCCGGTCCTGGCCTCAAAAGTCATGCGCACTCTGGCTCCGAGTCTGAGTCAACAACGTCCGAAAACAGACGGCACCGACGGTACTCGCCGAGGATATCAGGCGAAGAGACCGTTTTTGACGAGTATCACATCACGCTTTCTCTGCGGGAGTTCGCTGATAGACACAGGATCAGAGTCCGAGACTACTACACGAAATTGTCTTCTTAGGGTCGGTGACCAATCACAAGCCGGCGAATGCCATCGGGGAATCCGCAAAGCGTATATTACGAATGAGCTCTACCACAGCCCTACAAGCCATCGTCGTACAATTTCCGACAAATCGCGACCGTCATCTTCTCCAAGCTAAACTTCTCCTTCTCCAATTTGTTCGCCGGCTTGGTCGCTTCCGCCGCGCCGTTCGGCCCTCGCTCCGCCGAACCCGAGGATTTGGAGGCCGAGCCAGCGCCTCCGCCGGTGCTCGTCGGGGCGCCGTACTGGATCCGAGCCGTCGCTGTCATGGCTGCTGGTCCACTCGTCGTTGTACGTTGGGGACCGGCATCGGTGGCCCGCACAGAGTTTGCGACCGTGCCAGGCCGAGGGTCGTCTACGACTGTTCGAGGGGAGGAGGTCGAACGTGAATTGCTACCCGTCGGCGAAGCTGCGCCAGCGAAGGAGCTGATCGAGGATGGGATCGGCGATGGGATGCCTGGAAGAGCTTTTACAATCCAAGATGCCATCGATGTGAGGCCGGAAGGCTCATCTGAAGGAGACGAAGCGGTCGACGAGTGCGAGTTTCCTACAGTGGCCGCAGCCACCGCCGCCGGTCCAGGCGGAGACGACTTGTTCCGACTGCTTCCAATCAATCGGTACAAATCCTGCCACTGCCAGCCTTTCTTGGCCGAAGTTGCTTCTGTCGCTTCGCTCTTGTCCTCCCTTCCCGGTCGAGTGGCCATCTTGGCCAGTTCGGTCACCGCTGACGCCGAAGCAGCCGCGCTGATGAGACCTGAGCTTCCTCTCATCTCCCAGTGGTCGCAATTCTCGATCACTCCGAGAAATTCACCCCACTGTGCGCTTTCGATCGTAACAAGTCCGTCGTTGCCGACCCAGTTCGGTCGAGTGTGAATCCCTTTCGCCAGCCGCGCAGACTCCGCACCATCGAGCACTTGCTTGGGCAACCAAAGCGGGTGCCAGATCGGGATCTTGTCCGTTCGACTGGCAACCGAATAGTACTTGATATCGTCGCGATTTGGCGTCAATGGATTGAAAACCTCGCGCAAAAAGTTGGGGGTCAAGTTGGCATAGGCGGGCGAATCGAGCAGGTCGAGGAGGTAGTTTGATAGGCTGGCCGTTAAGGTCTTGGGCAGACCCGCCAAGTTCAGACCGGTCTTGATCGTCTTGGCAGCCGCATCGATCTTCTCTTGCTGCTCGGCAGCCTTTATAGCTTCTTCCTCCTGCGGTGGGGTCACTCGATGCAGAATCGGGGACTTGAGCGAGAACGGGAGGGGGACCGAAGTGTCTTCGTGGGCAAGCCTGGCCGCTTCGGCGGAAGTGACATCGTAGTCGGTACCAATACCTATGTTGGCTCGGCACCACGCCATGAATTCGGATCCCCGGTGTGGCGTCGACAGCGTTGTCAAAGAAATGGGGTGGTATGTTTCGGGTCGTATTTGCGAAAACAGATATCTCGCATCAAGGCCACCCTGTGGAACGAGGCGTCGAGTGATATGAGTAAGCCCAATAATGTTGAAAAGACGACGAAGATCTTGTTGGAACTCACCATTGAGTGAGCTAAAAAGTTGAGCTGCTGGCCGTGGAGTTCCTGGTTTTCTTCAAGCAGGCGATGTAGCGAGTGAGCTCGTTGCTTGATCGACCCCGTCCTGCGAGGTGATAGTATGTGGCGAGTAAATACTTCTGTGACGTCTTCGTGTCATCCGACCAAGTCCCAAATCTGACTTACCCTGGAACGGCAGTGACAAAGACTTCGGCGCCGACTTTGCCTCTCAAGATCGAGAGGAGATCGCCCCAGTAGTGCAACCGCAAGTAGCTTGGACCTCGAACATCGAAACCATAAAGACCTACATGATGCAAGCAGAAGACGATCAGCCCTTGGAAGTCTACTTGGAAGGAAAACCGAAGGGACTGACCATGGCACAAGACGATCGGATTGCGAGGTTTGCGAATTGGGTCGTAAAGAGTCGGGTGGCGCAAAAGCGAGTTGATCTGGTCCACCCTAGGCTCTGCTTTCTGAGAATTGGGCTCATGTTCGGTCTTGGGCTGCGTGGAATGATTCGATGACGGTGAGCTGGTACTACCTTGGGCAGAGCCGGGTTGACTCGGCAGCGTGTTGTTCGCTTCAGTCGGTAACCGGAAACCGTCCGATGGCCGGTGTGGTCGAGGACTTGAGCTGCTCTCGCGGATGGAGTCACTTGCTGGGCGGAAGGATGGAGGTGGGCTCTGAATGCTGCTGTCGAGTGGTTGTAGCGACGGAGCAGCGGCGTTTGCGGATGGAGAAGAGCGAAAGAGGGAGAAAGCCCGCGACGGCTGCAACGACAAGGGAGTTTCGATGACACGGCAACGCGTAGATTCGTGCTTGCATAGCTGTGTTCGACTCGACGCAAGCGTGCGGTGACTGGGAATGGACAGGGATGCCTTCGTCCGGGGAAAGCACGTGGGATCGACTCGTGCACGTTCGTCCATGAGCTCGACCCTGGCGCGCTTCCTCGGCGGTGCACTGGGTACATCGAGGTTGACTGCAGTGGTAACAGATGCGGACGCAGTTTCGTATACGCTGGAGCTCGTACGAATGTCTCCCAAGCTCGATCGAGGCCATGAGTTCGCACTCGACGGCGAACTGGCTCGTCGTGGCTGCGGCTGCGACTGCGACGGTGACGCTGCTGGCGCTGAGGCTGAGGCTGCGACGGCGGGCGGCGATGACGTTGTGCTCGTGCGACGGCGAAACGGAAGCGAGCGTCGGCTGTCTTGACCGGGCAGCGACGGCGACCCGTTCATCGCGGTCGCATGCTTGACCTCGACACGGTGCGAGTGATTCCCTTCGTATTCGACCAAGCCCAACAGCGCACTTGTGCTTGGTGCTGAGGCTGTAGTTGAAGTTGAGCGGGGCGGTGCCAGCTGAACATCCGCAAGCGACTCGGCGCGTTGGGGCGACGACCTCGACGACGAACGCGAGCACGAGTTGGAAGTCGAAGCGATCGCGGACACGGACACGGTGGCACTGAGCACACCCACGCGCTTCAGTGCCGCGACCGTAGCCGCCAGTGGAATCGTTGACGAAGCCAGCTTGGAAGCAATTCGAGGGCAGTGACGCAGTGGTGAGGGGAGGAAGAGACCGGAGTTGAAAGATCGCGCGACGAACGATCCGCGGCCGGCGCGGTCCCGTGACTTGGCTTTGGTCAAATGATCGCCGCATCGAGTAGTCGACCCCGGACCTGGCCTAAGTAGTAGCACCCTCGCCACTCCGACACTGCGGCAGGCCTTATTCAATGCTCACCCTTCCCAATCCTTTGCGACTTGAGAGGCCAACCCGTAGCTAGGGGTTTCGTCTGCAGAGAAACAGAGCCTGGACCATAATGCACAGCCAACTTTGGAAGGTGCTGCAGTGAGGACTCAAGAGGATGGAGACGTTCAGATTCATTGAGGGAGGAATTGGCCATCTGCGCTATCATAGTAATCAGGTGCTCTAGTACAATTAAGAGAGCATTTTTAAGCTCTGTGATAATTTAGTTTGAACGTATGTGGTCGCTATCTCAACGTGAAGAAAGCGTGACGCCGATTCGAGCAGCCAGCTACTACACCCCCTGTCTCCGCCTCACCCGCCGGCTCGCCTCAAGCCGATGTCAGGACTCTGATTCTTAGGTGAAATATTCTTCGAGTCTTTTTCAAAAGATACGAAGAGATCCCGACCTAGGCTTGAGATGCTTGCACCTATACGGATCCACCCCGTGCAGAGACTGATCAGTGTTGCCAGCCTATGCTTAGGCCGGCATCGAGCTGCCACTGGCCGGGGGCTTCCCTCGAAGAAACCCCGAAGGATAGTATCTTGCTCTGCTGCGTGTTCCTTGCGGATTTGAGGAGATGTGACCAAAATAAACGCGTCTCACATGCACAAAGCTTCGAGCGATAAGATCAAGGCGTCAGCGATGTGGGGACAAATGTGGAGGTGCCTCAGCTCGGCATGGAGTGACCTGGACTGACTCGAATTCCATGCAGGGCCTAGAAACCGCTAGCCGGAATCCGGGCTTTAACTTCCCTCTTCCACACATCTCCCACTAAACACGATGGCGTCGTCCGGGATAGAACCGATCGAGTTATCTCGGGTGGAAACCGCAGTGTCGTCGTCCCATCTGCCACCTTCGACACCCACCACGTTGGCCGAATCGGAACGAGGTCCGCTCGAGCTCGCCTCCGCGGATCTGCTCCCTCCACAAGGAGCGAAACGCTTCGAAGCACTCGACTCGTACCCCGATGGTGGGGCTGAGGCATGGCTACAAGTACTAGGATGTTCGGCGTGCCTCAGTGTCTGTGTTGGAGGTAAGTCAACACAACATCTCTGACCTTCAACGGCCCGCGCCCGGCCGACACAGTTCCGGGAGCACTCAACTCATTTCGCTCCCCTTCGTGCATGCTCATGTGTCGTGGACGGACGTGTCTCCAGGTATATACAGCTGGTCAGTAGCCCAGATCCACTTGCTTATCCGTACACTACTTATACTCACGCCAGTCATCTTACTCGTGCAGGGGAATCATGGTTCGTCCACCGGTGTCGGTTCCGAAGGATTCCGGCGCGTGGGGGCGTCTCGTTTCGTGTGACTAATCACGTGACCCAAACCACGCCTCAAACAGCAAGACGCTCTTTCAGACCTGGGGCCCGGAACAAGTTGGATTGGTAGTATCCAAGCCGCTTCAACCGCCGCTCTCGCCATCCCTTGCAACCGCCTCGTCGCTGCGTACGGCCCGAGGAAGATCGCATTGATCGGCACCGTCATCACCAGCGCCGGCCCGCTACTCGGCTCGTTCTGCTCCAAGTCATTCGCCGGTCTCATGGTCACCGAAGGCTTGCTCTTCGGTGTTGGCCAGAGTCTCATCTTCTTTCCCGCTGCTACACTCCCCTCGTCTTATTTCCTGAAGCGACGCAACTTGGCGACGGGGTGTACCTATGCCGGAGGTGGAATTGGAGGCGCAGGGTTTTCACTCTTGTCCTCGGTCTTGATCAAGCGAGTCGGGATTCCATGGGCTTTGCGAGTGACGGCGCTCGTATATTTTGCCATAACTCTCCCTGCATCCTATTTCATCAAGGCGCGACTGCCCAGAAAACCACTGCGGGGGGGTGGCCCGGCCATAGACTGGTGCGTCAGCCTTTCAAGCCTCTACCGCGACTCTGACTGAGCTGAACCCGCGCTGATCTACTGATCTACTCCCTAATCCAACGCAGGACACTGTTTCGCGATGCCAGATTTGTCTTCTTATTCTGCGGAGGAGCGTTCGCACTCTTCCCACTCTTCGGTCAATCGCTTTTTTGTCCTCATTTCCCAACCGGTCGCGCGATAAGTAAAATTGACTCCTGTTCCCCCTTTCGCCTCACAGTCCCGCCTTTCTTTTTGCCGCTTTATGCCTCTGCCCTCGGCATGTCATCCCTCTCCGGCTCCCTTCTTCTGGCCGGATTCAACCTTGCCTCCGCAGCCGGTCGGATCGGATTCGGCCTAGGCGCAGACCGCTACCTCGGTTCCCTGAATAGTCAAATCCTGTGCCTCTTCGTCTTTGGCGTCACAACCTTTATCATCTGGCCATTGGCGACGACTCTCACACCTTTGGTCATCTTCGCCGTCGTTAATGGGACCGTCAATGGAGGATTTTTCTCCCTGATGCCAGGAAGCGTGGCGAGTCTTTTCGGCACAGCGACGTTCTCGGTCACCTTCGGGATGATCTTGTTCAGCTGGGCACCAGGCTACTGCATGGGCGCGCCGATCGCGGGCTACATCCTCGAAGCTGCAGGGGGATCCAAAGCCGGTTATGGGGCTTTCCGACCTGCGATCTTCTACTCTGGTGCGCTAGCCATGGTCTCGTGTGCAATGTTGACCGTCGCTAGGGTTATCGAGTCGCGAGATCTTAAGAAACGGGTATGAAGCTGCTTTTGGGTGTTTGCGGAAGGTGCAGAATATGAAATATCATATTCGCCATAGCAGGTACGGATATCTAGTTTCGAGGGGTTGTGTGCATGGAACTAGATTGCAAGGGCCGTCGTTGACTTCTCGTCAAGCGACCTTTTGTCGCTTACTACCACCGTTCACTTCGACCGCGCCAGGCACAGCGGGCGAAGGCAGCGGCGTCATTTTCGTCGCGACTCCTTCTGCAAGAGCCACCGCATCCTTAGCCAATTTGTCCCTCAGACTCCCCTTGCCTCGTTCTTTGTTGACCCGATCGAATTCTCGCGTCGCGTTCATGACGACAGCGTACCCTCTCCCTCTGTACTCGGGAACTTGTTGATCCTCGTAGGTGTCATTGAACCTCTGCACCTGTAGATCGAATTCCTCCTTTCCTCGTCTCAGGACATCGCGGATGTTTTGGAAGAAACGATGCATGACCGTAAGGTTGTGCTGCGCTATGATGACGTAGGAGGTCATCTCCCTCGCTTGCAGCAAGTGGTGCACGTAAGCTCGCGTCGGTGGGATCGGTCCGAAAGCATGAAGCGCTTCGGGAGATGGAGCGAGGGTGGAAGATGAGAGGGGGATAAAGGATCGATCATAGGCGGGGTCATAGAGGTCGAGACCGATGGGCCGCTGGTGTTCCCGATCGTACTCGAGGGTATCAGCCTCGTGGGGCACGGGAAAGCTGAAATCGAGTGCCACGCCGACGGTCGACATCTGAGATGACCATTCATCCACAAAGACGTCCAACCCGATCTCCTGGATCGTTTTCAGGATCGCATGCGGGCCACTGACGCCCAATGCCAACCGAGGTTTGTGGCTGGGAAGCGGGTCGAGCGATGCGTGACACAGCTCGTGAAGGTCGGGCAAGGTCGAGTCGATAGTCAGAACATAACCATTAATGGAGGCATCTAGAGGCTTTTGACCCGGCTCGACCTTGGCGGGCTGACTGGCTCGGGTTGGAGTGTCGCCGAGGAGCGCGTTCGAGAATTCGCTCCGTCCGATGGGAGACTGTCCACCGACGAGCGGCACGAAAACATTTGCCCGACCCTGGAAGACGATTCCAAAGGGTGAGCACGGTGTACGAAGATTACCGCAGACCTCGGACGCCTGTCAGGCCCAGACTCACGTCGACTTTGGCTATAAAATCTGATGCCCACTGCAGCCCTCGACGGATGACTTTGTCCAGTTTTTTCGAACTCAGCGAACCTCGTTGCTCGTCCGAGGGAGCAATCACGATCTCGGTTGGTTGAGCAAGAAGATAGTCACACATGGCGTCGGAAGAGATCTGGATCGTAGTGGGAATCATTCTACTCAAGTCAGTTTTAGGCATTCGCAATTTCGTCACCATCGCTAACGGACCTTTGCGGACCCTTGCAGCGTCGCAGCCATTATGAGTTTGTCCTGGTTCGGCGCAAGTGGCTTGTCGGAAGAGGTGTCCCGTAGACCCAAAGCAAGGATGGGCTGTCGATAGGTCGGGGTTTCGTACAGGCCGATGAACCTGTGCAAGCTCATCGGCGCTCGCGTAAAGATGGGAGGCGATATGTCCAGGCTGTAGACAGATTTGAGGGTGCGTCGAGTCAGCCCAATGAAGCACATCAAGCTCCAAGAGCCGGAACCCAGCGCGAATATGTGCGATCTTAGTTACTGGTGACTGACAAGTGCTCGAGGGACAGATGAACCATCTCGTTCGGCAACCGAGCGACATTGTCTCGCGTGAGATGCGGGATCGCCCCCTTCCTCGTGTACGCCATCACAGCAGGTGTAGAGATGCATCGAACCTCCGATCCAGTGCGAGTGAAGCTCAATTCGCCCGATCGAGGCGAATTTGCCGGCGCGTCGTCGAGTGCGAAGGTCATCTTGGGCCACAACGACGGAGACGACGATGACGACGACGACGAGCCGCTGCGAGCGGTGCCTGCGGTCATGATGGTGCGTCCGAATCGGAGCAAGCTATGGCGAGGATCCACAACCCGTTCCAAGAATCTGAGCGTGACGGACGTTGCGAAATGCGAGATCCGAGGCGCTGTGACAGCACCTTTCGCTGGCTGGGGGATGCGAGGACTGGCGAGCGGGAGGACAAGCATTGCAAGGCCACAGATTCGGGGTCAACTCGGAAACCCGCACGGGGGGCTGCTCTGGGCTGCTCGGGGTGTCCCGCGTGGGGCCGTCAAACGTCTACGACAAAATGGGAATTATGAATGACAAAAGAGACAAGCGCGCCAGTCACTTGGTTACTACTAGTACTCAGTGAATTCTGCCAGGTCTGGGCAGAGAATAGAGGCCAAAAATCCCAGGCCCGACTCAGGCAACGGATTGGTAGCGCCAGGCCAAGGTGAGACCTTCGAGTGATCGACTTGAAGGATTCCCCGTGAGAGAATCCCCACATGATCCACTCAGTATGCAAAAAAGGTCGAGAGATGACCGGGTCTACAACAGCAATAGTCAGCAATAGTCAGGACTATGATGGCATGTTAATGAATCACCATGATGACTCACGATGATGATGGATGTTCGAGCGAGGTCGAGTCCGAGCTGACTAGAGACGACCCCTGTGCGACCGAGTGCGAGAGGGGAACGTCGCACGAGCCGACTCACACCATACTTCGCGCTCTCCGAGTTGTGTTTGATCTGGGAGAGGGGAGGATGGGCTTTAGATCGTCTTTTGAAGATGTCAGAAGTGTGGCATGTTCTGCTGGCGAAGCTCACAGGATGTCGAAGTATGGTGAGTGAGGCTTGCAAGCTTGGAAGGCTTATCGAGGTCGATCACTTACTCTTGTAGCCCCAAACACATGCAGATTCCCGTTCAGAAGGCGGACCGGAGCGTGGCTGTTCTAGATGGGTCCTGCTCGATCTAGTGCAGAGTATCGAACAGGTGGCAGTGTCAGTCACCAGGGTCGCGCAGCGGCAAGGTGAGCACCATCAGGTCGAGAGAGCTCGAGGCGACCTCCTCTATGCGACTGTCTGCCGCGCGACCGTCGACCGGCGCGGGCACCAACGTCGCACGACAAGCTGACTCATTGTTCTTGACAACAAGTCGCATGGGTAAGGTTCACTAATCTGCTCGGATGTGCACTGTCTTGCACCGTCATGCACAGTGGTGCATGCGCTGGGAATCGGATCCGAGTGTCACACGCCCGAACCGGGGCCGTTCGAGGCGCCGAGACTGCACAGCGGTCCATACGGGGGCATCGCTGTGCATCGATGTACACATGTGTACATGAATATCATTGAGTGTTTACCTGAATTCTACAGGAATATGGACTGGAACTGACGTTATCTCAGGCTGCTCCGAAGGTTGCACTGGTGTTTGGTCGCCGGGTGCCTCACGTGCCCTTCAATCGATTCACTGCCCCTTGGCAAGGGTGATTACAAGAGTGACGTGTCCCGGGCGTTCTTGTTTGTCGCAAGGGCAGGGTGCGTACCCCATCAATTGGGTTCAGAGGCTCGAAGATGTACTGGGTAGATGGTGGAGCCAGAGTCGCTGCCGAGTCCCGGAGAAGTGCCCAAGACCAATTTGGGGAGTATTGGAACTTGTTCAAAAGTACTGAGAGCACTACGAGTTGGCCAACATAAGTTTAAATACTTTCTGCTCATATTACGCGCTTCATCTAAGCATAATGCTGACAGTGGCAGCTTTTTTTCCAGAGCACGGTATAGGTCGGAAGGCGCGACAGCCTCGCCCTGGATCGATCTTGCGACAAAACCGGGCAGATTTGTCTTATTTCCCTCCAAAGTGCATCCTGTACTTGCCCGTCTTGATCTCGGGTAGTTCCAGCTCCTCGCTCAGCCTTTCCTTGATCGCTTCGATCCACTCGCTCGGTGCTGGGGTCACCTTCTCTGTCCCTCCCAGCCAGACTTCGATTCGGTCACCTCGCTGAGGAAGGAGAAATCCCAGGTCAGTTCCAGTTCCAGTTCCAGTTTCATGATTCTAGATCGACTCACTGCTCGACGACTGGCAACAGCGCCAATGATGAACCCCTCCTTGCTCGACTTGCCCGCCTTCTTCAGGATCTCACTCGCCGCTACTTCGACCGCCGATCCCGCGAGCAGGAACACAAGTCGCTCAAACACCGTCTCGAACATGGCTGGTGTCGGCTGGATGATCAACCTTCCACCTTTGCTGTTCCATGGGTCCTCCCACGTGGGCGACACCCCAGCTCGGAAGAAGTGCAAGTTCTGCCCCGCTCGATTCAGCCCCAGCCCACCCTCCTCGATCGCGCCAGCAGGCTTGACAGCGGCAGGGCCGCGCTTATTCGACGACGAGAACTTGCTTGCGACGATCCGCTTGTACGCCTTCAGCGTCGAGCAGAGATCATAGACGGTCTTGGCGGTGAAGAGCGCTTTGACGGCATCGTCGTAGTCGTCGGCTGTCGTGTTGTGGGACGATTTGGCAGCCACGGTCGTATCCGAGAAATGCAGTGCTGTGGGTGGGGATGGCAGGCAATCAGATAAGGGCTCCAGCTCAAAGCCTCCCTTGCAGTGCCGATGCTGAGAAAGCCTCACTCCATGCGGCCGTCAACGGCAGATCTGTCGGGTACGCCGAAACGCGCTCCAAATTCTTCTGCACCACGGACCGCTCCTTCGACGGCATAGCTTCGAGCTTCTCGGACAGCCTGGTCAGAGCTGGTACGTCCTCTCCACCTGTTGTCGAATCCGTCTTCTTCCATGTCGCATCGGGCGCGCTCTTGTCTTTACCATTGATCTTGTTCGAGTCGGCGGTGGTGGGAGCAGAGGCAGAGGCAGAAGGTGGGGAAGTGGCGGACGACGGCGACGACGAGGACAACTTCCCGCCTGTTGACTCCCGTGCAGCTTCTTGAATGGTCGATAGCCGATGCGGCGACGCCGACTCTGATGCACCCTGCTGCTGTTCTTTGGCGTGGCCATTGACCGGCGTGGGTTTGGCCTCGTCGCCCGATTCGTCCGGCAGGACCTTGCCGCCTTGCTCTACCTGAAGCTTCTCGCCCTCCTCGATGTCCTCCAACGTTGCACTGCCTTCACTCGGGCCGTCCTTGCTACCGGTCGGAGCTCCGTTCGTGGCGCCCAGAGTCGGCTCCACTTTGCTGTGGTCCCGTGCTCCGCTGGTCTCGTCCGAGGCGACGCCGGCGGGCGATAACGTCGCATGTTTCTTGGATTCGGGAGAGCTCGAAGGGCAGGCAGTTTTGGTGCGTTGAAGTGCGGCGTGGCCTTCGAAGTGGGAGACGAGGTCATTCACTTTGCCAGCGGTGCTCGGGGAAGCTGGTCGAGCCGAGCCGGGCGAGATTGATGACGGCGCTGCAAGGGCCGAGGAAGCCATCATGTTTGTGTTGGTGATCGAACCGAGGATGTCGAAAAGAGCTAGGTCGTGCGGACTTCCTGCAGGCGAAAAGGGTGCCCTACAACGTAGAGCGTCGGTAGGCCCGAAAGCCAAACGTGACCGCCAGCGGGGGCGGTGGTCCGTCCCAGTGACGCAAACACCCAACGCAGTCCCAACGCAGCCCAACGCAGGCCAAGGCTGGCTGCCAGTACCAGTGCTTCGACTGGCATTTTCGCCGCGCCATACCTGCATTCAGGCGCAATCTCGGACTATGGGAGTCGTGGGCGAACGACCCAACATAGCAGTTTAACATGCTCTGTCCACGCCTAGTCAAGAACTTCTCAAAAAGACCAAACAGTCCATCTTGGGGTTCCGTCTCACGGTACAGAACAGCTCTAGCCGCATGCAGAAAAGTTGACGGATTGGGATTACAACGGTCCTTGCTGGGTGTTGGCAGACACGAGAAAGACAACGTACAGGCCGGTGCATGCGAGGGTTGGTGGCAAGAGTGAGACAACACGAGAACATGATGGGCGGCAAAAAGTAAGAGAAAGGGCGCAGCCGACAAGACAAGCAAGGGAAAGGAACCGAAGCGATCAAAACCATATCTAATTTTTGAGTCGTGGCTTTGCCGATCCCAGGCTCATGCCACTGCCACCGCCGAACCTGTCGTAGAGGCACAGTTCGATTGGCACCATGACAGAACCGCAGCACCCTGAGTAACGGCTTCGACTTCAGAGGTAGAGTCGACGGCGAGGGTCACGGCGGCAGGGTTGCGCGCCGACGCCGTACGACGCACGTTCGATCGAGTCAGAGGAATTGCGGCGCGGCGAGTAGGCATCGCGCGAACCTTGCGACCAGCAAAAGACGACTTGACCGAATGTGATGAAGCCGAGCAGTGAGAGGGTGCCTCGTCGTCGCCAGACGACGTGGCATACGAGCCGCCGTCATCAGAGTCCTCTGGGCTGAGTTGCTGGCGAAGCGCCATCGGGCCCGTAGAGAGCCGAGCCGAGCGAAGGCGGTCAAGAGCTTGCTTGCTAGAGTCACCGACGACTGGGCATGGCTGGCGCGCGGGTTCAGCAATCGGAATCTCCGCAACGGAGAGCGTAGGTCGCAATCGAACGAGGCTTGCGGACGAAGCCGCCGCCGATTCAAGCGCGGCGCCTTGACTCGTAAGCGCAGACAGGCGCTGCGTCCAACGACAAAAGTCGGTGGCATCGAGGTGCAGCGAGAACCCGATCATGACGAGGAAGGCACGTTCGTTGGCGTTGACCTCGAGCACGGGAAGGCCAGAGATGCGAGCCCACGCTCGGTTCGAGTAGTTGCGATCTTGAAGATACTTGCTAGCCGCGATGAGAGCCGCGAGGAACATGCGTCTTCCGCAGAGCACAGGGCTTTGTTGCGACTCGGCCAGTTGGGCGAAGCGGGTCTCGTCAGGAACAACGTGACGATCCGTGGGCAACAGAGGTGGAGACGGGTACGCCGCATCGGCGACCGCATCCGCACCACGACGAAGACGGACTTCGAGGCGGACGTACTCTGGGCGCGAGTCCTCGGCGCGGGCCACGGTCTCACGAATCGTGCGACGCGACTTGTGCAAGTAGTACAAAGCGAGTTGCAGAGTCGAGCAAGAAGTGCGCGAACGACGCAGAACCTCCTTGACGAACCAGTGCAGGGGCAGCACGTTGCCATCGGTGACGGTGGCCTCGGTCGTCGAATGGCTTGCGCCCCAGATTGACTCGATGGCAAGCACAGATGCACCTGGAATATCCCCACACCAGACGCCTCTGTCAGCAATCATGTAGACCTCTGTTATCTGGTTGTGTGCAGATGGCGAGGCAGCTCACCAACTAGTCCCGCGACGAATCGATCCTTGTTAAGCGAAGCAGAAGGTGCAGATGCCGAGGAAGCAGCTTCATCGGAAGGCTGGGCACGTTGAGCCGCATCGTGCAAGAACGCAGCGTCGATCTGGGAGTCGTGAGCCTCGGCTTGAGCAGGGATGACTTGCAGCGAGGAAAGGGCTTTCGACACCGATTCGGCGAGGCCGTCGCCACTTGGAGCGGTGAAAGCTCGGGCCGCTCCTGGACGAGCATCGAAGCGCGATGACAAGGTCGCAGGTCGAGGAGAAGGAGGTTCGTTGTCGGGGTCAAAGGAGCCCGGACGAGGGGGAGAAGACGAGCGACGCGTCGGTGGTGTAGGCATCGAAGCAGCGGCCTGCAATCGCGGGCGTGGCGCCGGAGCACCCTCTTCCTCGGGCAGATCGATGGCAGAGTCATCCGAGCATTCCGAGGCAGAGCCCCTCGAAAAGCTAGAGAGACCCGAGGCAGCGGTCAAGACCCATCGATCGAGGGTAGTGGAGGATTGTTGAGACGCCGACGACGCATCGGAGAAGTAGCCCGAGTCAGTCGGACCGACCGAACGAAGACGCTTGCCCTCGGGAGCGGTGGCGTCGATCGAGTTGGACCCGCGTCGAGCTCGGGGCGAGATGTGATCGGGTGCGGAAAGGGGGGAAAGGGAGTCGGAGGAGTTGGAAGGGGAGGTATAATCCATGATGGAATCCATTCTGTAGAACGAGGACGTCGGTCGCATAGGGGCGGGAGCAAAAGTGCGAGTCAGCATCGCGTGACTCGACGGTGGCGGCAGCGTCAGGTAGAATCAGAGGCAATCAACTTACTCTGACCTGGAGATATAGCAAATCTGCCTGTTCGGATATGAATGCTCAATCAAGGACAAGTATGGTGTGCACTACTATCGCAGACGATAGGAGAGGGCACCGAGTAAGGGCTCTGGAATGGGTAGCGACGAAGAAATACGTGACCGGTGTAAGAGGGGGGGACCTATAGACGTGGGGGGGAGTGAGATCGAGTGATGGCACGAATGGTGTGAATCACTAAATGCCAAAGCAAGGTGGTTGTTGTTGTTGAGCTCGCGGAAGGGATGTGAAGGCAACAGGCAACGATTCCTCGACAGGATGGAAGGAGAAGCTAGCCGGCGCTCGGAGGAGTGGTGATGACGCTGGTACTATGTTTCGTGGATTGTGTGTATGGATGATGGGTGGCAGCACGCTCGCGTAGTGACGAAGAAACGACAGTACAAGGGGTGCCTCAAGCGATGGTCTTGTTGCCGCAGCGGGCAAGGACGGCGAAGATCATGGCGAATGTGAGTCGGTGGCGGTGGTGGTCGGTGGCGGAGGAAAGGCGAAAGGAGACACGCGGACAAGGCGGAAGGAAGGTGAGGGGTGTAGGGATCAAGTTGTCGAACCAAATTGGATGCACCAAGTCACGTCGTGCAGTCAAGACCACGGTGGGCGTCTGACTCGGATCGGCCACACAAGCGAATGTGTGCGTGCGACTCTGGGGTTCTGACTCGGGCAAGCGTGATCGACACTGAAGCGTTGAGCACGGCGCGGACCGACGGGCGCAAGAACGGCGCGGTGGCAACACGGCGACACAGCAGTGCGACAACAAGAGCAAGCAGAGCAACGGTCAAGCAGACGCAATGATTCAGCATCTGGGAACCCATTCCAACCCGTGAAATCCTCCCATGTCGCATAGGACCGCCAGGCAGAACTCACATCGCTCGAGTTGCGGGGGCTAGTGGCGTCGAGGCAGCAGCAGGCGTCGGCGGCGAGGCAGCGATGCACGAGGCTCGAAGTGGTGACGTGGATGAGGATGGAGACGCAGTCTGAGGATGTGAATGCGGTCGGACCACCGATCGACGATGACTGGTTAATAACCGAGTGATGCAGTGAAGATAAGTCGGTCGCGATCGGAGGGTGTGCCGGAGTCAGCAGGGCAAGCGTGACCGGACCCGCGAGGACTGACCCAACCGACTCCACACCAGCGCAAGCCTGCGCAAGCCAGCGCACGCCAAATGGAGCAAATGGCATTGACTCGTCCTGACTCGCCCCAGCTCGCCATGCGGTCCGGTTGTGGGCGCGCGCTGGGCCTCGGCCCGCTTGGACCTCGTCGCTGTCCTTAGGCCCTTTTCGCCAGCGCAACTCTTTTTGAGTCAAGCGGGTTTGGGTGAGTCCGAGAAGTTGATTCACGTGTATGAAACGTCCGTAAAGTCCGTTCGCCAACCCGAAGGGTACAACAACCACTTTTCACCTTGCAAATCATTTGGTTCAAACTGCCCAGTCCTAAATTAGGTGCTCTACTACATCAATGGCTTTACGCCGGCTTTGACTTCTTGCTTCCACTTCGCGACCCATTCTTCGCCACGGGGTCCCTTGGGTACGGCCACCAGTTCGAGCGCCCACCCTTCCTTCAACTCCCACCCATCATCGGCTGCTTCCCCAGCTGCGGCCACGAGAACCTTGCCCAAGGTCAATTTGTTGCCGACCTTGAGCACTCGGCCTTCTTTGGTCGCGATGTACATTGCTATCGTTGTAGGGTCTTGGTCCATCGAGGCGAGTAAATCGCCGAATGTCGCCGCGGTGTGGAACTCCAGGCACAGGTCGCGCGTCGGTGGGTTATTCAGAGGCATCATCAAGAAGATGGGGAAAATGAGGCTGGTCTCGGGGGGTGGAGCGGTCCACCGGATCGCCGCAGCCGACGAGGCTTCAGAATCCGCTTTGGGCGGGAGAAGCGGGATCGACGGGGACGAGCTCGACGGCAGAGATTTCGGATCGAAATGAGGAGGTCTAACGTCGCTCGGGCACTCGGAAAACAGAGGCTTAGAAGCAGTGATCTTGGGGAGGGCGACACCCCGCAACTGTGGGGGGAAGGGAATCATAGTACACACATAGGGGATTGTGAGAATAATTTAGCAGTCATGTCGCGCGCGGGCCGCCACAACGCCACTCACAGTCATGGCCAGCACCAAGGCCTGCTCCTCTTCTTTCCGCCTTCTCTCCTTCTCCTTCTTTCCGAGCTCGAGTCGCTCCCTCTGTTGGATCTTGGTCTGTACCTGTTCGCGCCATTTCTTGCCCGAATCGAGCTGGGCTTCTCCTAGCCGCTCCTCGAGCACCTGCAATCGCAGCAACGCGTCGAACGCTTCATCTAGCCGGTCGAGACCGAGCAATGCTCTGGCCGACCGCAGGAGAGCTTTGGCGTCTGTCCTCTTCCATGCTTCTGGCATTGGCTCGGGATAGTATGTTTGTGGGGCCCCTAGGACTTGGGCGACGTCTCGTAGGCACGATCCATAGTTGGCTGCGTTAGTCATGGCCGACCGGGAACAGATGATTGCGTCAGCGCAGAATATGGTATGTGCTCAAATCGATTGTCTGGTATGCCTACCTAGTTCGAGATTGGCCGCTGCTCTGTTGCTCCACAGCGTCCGCTTCTCTTCGACCGAGAGATCCTGGCCGAGTTCATCCAGCGCCCTCGAGTAGAACCCGATCGCATCCTTGAACTTGCGCTGCTTGAAGAGCTGGTTGCCTTGATTGCGAAACTCTTCGGCGATTTCTGAGATTCATGAAGAAGAAGAATCGAAAGACCCTCTCCGGGGTGTCAGTGCATGGTCTCGACAGCCCAAAACAAACTCAGCTCGCAGCTCGCAGCTCGCACGGACCCGATGGTGATCCATCGTACGCGAGGGCCTGCAGGGCAGCGAGGGTGTTTTGCCCGGTGTTCGCTCCCGAGGCGTCGTTCAAAGCTCCATCCGAAGGCAATGCTTGCATGAACAAGGGTGTTGTGTCCCAACCGGCGAACGGATCGTCCTTGCCAGCGGCCGATCTGAGAGTTGCCGTGGTCAATTCGGGTAGCTCCATAGCCCCGTCTGAGTCGCGCAACGATGACCTACTCTGGAGGTCTTGCAGGTGCAGTGGCCATTTTGTGAAATATTCGTCGAGGAGAAGACGATCCGAAAGCCAGGAGGTGGAAGAAAGCCTAGCCAAAAGGTAGTCACGCTCCGGGTTCCAGGCTGCGAACGATTTCCACTCGCACGGACCCACTGCGTCATCGCTTGGATTGGCTAATAGGATTGGCACTGCAGGGATTGGCAGATCCGATCGCGCCTCGAGCTTGCTCTCGCGCTCTCGCAGTCGTGTCGCGCTGGCCGGCATCGCGGGGGCTATGCTCGCTCGTATCTGCAAGGGCAAGTCGGTCGTCGACTCGGTACTGCCTTTCACCTGTCGTCGACCCTTTACATCCGGCGGATCATCGACCTACTACAGCTCGCGAGGCGCGCCATCGTCGAACTCGTTCGCTTCGACGTCGCAGGCCACGCTCGACCACGCGCCGTCCTTTGATCATCTCACGACGTCCACCGCAAAGTGGCCCCCTCGTTTTGGCTACTTCTTACCCAAGCAGGCCGTACCCGCTCCCCACGCGTCATCGTCAGCCAAGGCGAGGCAGCGACGACGACAACAAGGACGGCCAGACCATCTCGTCGCTCTCGTGCCCAAGCGGCCCGTCGTTCGAGCTGGCGGGGCTTCGGCTTCTAATCATCGATCCTCATCGCCGTCGAAATGGTCGTCGAACAATCGGGTCGACCAGCAGATATCGCCTTACCTGCCTCTAGTGACCCGCGAGCGATCGCACCTCTTGTTTCAGCTTCGCTCCGCTCTCGCTTCCACAACCCCGTCGCCAGAACGCACCTGGTCCACGCTCACCGAGGTCATTCGCTATCCCAACGTGCTGCCCGATCTACCGGCATCGTCTTATTCCACCTCGTACAGGGTCGCCATCGATGAGTACAACCCGGTCCAAGACCCGAGAAAGCCGATTCGGCTGTCCCTGTCCGAGCTGCGCAGAACGTTCGACATCCTCAGCAGTGCGCGACCGGCGACATGGAAACACTTGACGAAGCTACTCGTCTTGGTCGAGCTGTACGCGTTGCATGGCGATGCGTCAACGACGCCCGCAGTAGGAGCGAATACCAACGCGGACCTCGGCAAGAACTCGCTGCTGACGCCCTTTACGGCGGATGCTGCCTCGGTGCTGCGGCAATGCGACCTACGCGCCTTGATGATCTTTGCTGGCGCCAACATCCGTAGCCCTCGGCGCCAGATCGAGCTGGAGAATGCATTGACCATGTTTGGTCACATCCGCGGCGAGATCGGAATCAAGACGTTCAACACACTGCTCAACTTGGCCAGCCTCGCCCGCGCTTGGGATCTGTACGACAACGCTCAGGCGCGAATGCACTCGATGAGGATCCACGATGATGTCGCCACCGTTGGTATTCGAATGATGATGATGCTAAGGAGAGGGGCGAACCTCGATGCGATCTGGCGCGAGTTCGTGCGAGGCGTTCAGCGCTATGGTCCGGAACAGAGCGATCAACGACTGTGGGGGTCGATGGTGTGGTGCTTTGCCAGACGTGGCAAGATGGAGGAAGCGATGAGGCTATTTTCTACGATGCAGCAAAGGTCTGAGAATGGCCATCAAGTCGACTTGCTCGCCCTTGGTCCCCAACAAACCCGCTTCGATCACCACGACGACGGCACGATACCGACGTTGTGGGTCCATGCGCGTCGACCTGACAGGTCGACGTTTGAAGGCCTCGTTCAAGCCTTTGCGCACTATGGCGATCTTGCTTCGGCTTTAGCTGTTATGCGTGAAATGCTCGGCTCGGACCCACCCATCGCACCATCGCACCAGACGTACGCATCACTTTTTCGAGGATTTACGCGGCATGGACGAGCGCCGTCCGGTCTCGCCTCCCGTCACTTGCACGGCGGTGTGTACTCGACCGATCGAGGCAACTTGTCGGCTTATCGTGAAGCTCCCCTCAGCGCGCTTTCATCGCTCGTGACTGGCAACGCTCGACCGACGCAGCCAGGGGTGGACTGGACGCTCGAGGTGCTCGATTCCTTGTTCGACGGCTTTATCGCTTCTTCACCCGCCTCGACGACCGACTCGGCAGGCCTTCCGTTTCAGGGAGCTCGTTCTGCACCCCAACCGGCGCAGTTGTTCTGGCTCGTCCTGGCATACGAAGTAATGACGGGTAACGATAGCACGGTCGTCTTGGATCGATGGGCAAGGGTGGAGCGGGTTTTCAATCGAACGGATCGGTCAGAGTGGAAAGGTTGGAAAGTCGATGGCAGGCTGCAGCGAAAACTGGAGGCTCACAGGCTGAGTGTGGAGGGGTCGTAAAAGTTGGTGCAAGCATTTTCTTACTTGTTGTATAATCTATCACGGCATATACCTCCTTGCAACTCCGGTCCTAGAGAGCCAGACGCCGATTCGCCGCAAGCTCGTGAATCAATCGACGTTCAGCATTTCCACTTTGACTCGCATATTTGCACGATCAAAACAATAGCATTGCTCTTGCAAGAACACGCGCCCTTACGCTCTGTCGGCGAAAGCGTACGCTTAGGGACAAGGTGCTGCAAGACGACCAACAAAGATCCGCGATAGCCTGGCTCAGTTCGACAGCGGCATTGCACGCGGTTCCGTCTCGAGGATTCCCCTTTTAGCTCCGATCGGTGTTAAGCGACATTACTTATGAGAGTTTAGAAGATCGCTTCTATCCTGGCGGGTTGGTCCCAGATCGTCGGCAGCCGACGGTCTCGGATCAAGGCAAAATTTGTGTATGTGTGATGTGTGTACTATTTGGCAATTACCTTCCGACTGCCAACTCCTGCCAACGCAGTTGCTTGCTCACCACTTTCAATGAACGCATATTGCTCCATAGCCAGAAATGGGTGCCCAGCGCTCCCGGCCTCAGACCCCCTCAGACCCCCTCAGCCGGGAAACTTTTCCAACATCGTGAATCAGACCACCTCGGCCTGATCTCAGCCTGACCCAGACTGTAATCAGAGCGTGAAAAAAATTAAAAAGAGTGATGTATTATACTGAATTCAGTACGAGGGTGCAGTCTGGCGTATTATGTGGTGAGATCGAGCTGTGATTCGACGGAGATTAGGCTGGCCACGCGCGGAAGGGGCGTGGCGCGCTCTGAGATCTGTCTGAGACGCGGCTGAGAACTGTCGGAGCCAGCCTGAGATCCGTCGGACGCGCAGGCCTCGCTCGGAGATTGCGCTGACTCCAGTCTGAGATCGTTCGGATCCGCTCTGTTATCTCGTCGAGGTTCTTGTGAACTCTGCCGGATATGGTCTGAACGCGCCTGACCAAGACCTGACATGCTCGGATCCGACGGGTAAGCAAGCCGAAAAGATAAAAAAATTAACCCACAAACCCCATCATACTCAATTCAACTACTCTATCAACGTTTTGATTCGCCCTCTCCCGAAGGCGCTCTTTGTTCTTTCCTTAGAAAAGTTTATCGGTTTCTTTTAAAGGCTGTTTCTTATTGGGCTTACAAGTGCCATCAAGACGTACTTTGCTTATATCGAGTCAGTTTCGAATCAATTGGTTTGTTAGGAAGAAGGTTTTTAATTTTCCTAAGGACTTTAATCTTCACTTCAAAGTTCACTTATTGGAACTAAGGCTCGGATTTAGCAGGCCGAACACGGTGCAAGGCGGGCGAGATTTTTTTTTTTTTTGCTCGCTCGAAGGGAGCGAGAATCGAACCCGCGCTTGCTCGCGCGCGTGCGTTGCGCAGTGGAAGGCTACGCACCTCTCCCTCTCTCTACTTTGTGCAGTAGCGGTTTTCGTTCTTGGATGGATCGGCAAGCCGGGTCGATAGTCGTTGCGTTGGAGGCTTTGTGAAGTCTTCTCAGCATGGATCGGCCATACACCATCCGTCGCGTCCGCCGAGTCTTGAATGCAAAGGCCTTCACCGACACGATCGGTTTCAGGGACTCGCTGCAGCCCGACGATCTCAAGGGATTCTGGAAGGGGGTCAACTCGAAGGCATTGACGGCGAGGGAACGCGAGGTGTGGTTCAAGCTCGTCAGGAACTTCACCCCGACTCGGAGTCTGCAGTTTCATCAAAAGCACGACGACTCGCCCGCGTGCCTCGTCTGTGGAGCGCCCAAGGACGATCGGGAGCACTACTTCTTCGACTGCGTTGACTCTAGGAACGTTTGGATCGCGGCAAGGGGCGTGCTCTGCGACGCACTGGGGCTCGACACGATCGACAACACGCATTACACGGCCGTTCAACGCATGTTCGGACTTCCGAAGCTCAAGGCCAGTCTGCGCGATCAAGAAGGAGCGGGGAGGACGATCGAAATATTCACCGGGCTGGTCTTGGAGATGATCAGCAGCGGGAGGTGGGGGATGCAGAAGTGGGGGACGAGGATGGAGGGTGTTGGGAGGAGGAGGATAATCTTGGAGGAGAGGTTGAAGCTGAGGGCGGGAGGAGCTTGGGGGAGGAGAAGGCAGTAGAGGCTGGGTTCGACTTTCCCCCCACCACCACACACACACCAAATTCTCGTGACATCATTTTCTCCTACTGTACACTAAATAGCTCGCTTTCCTCTTTCTTTTGTTACAGGTTCACCGTTGCGGATCATGGACCATCTCGCGATTTGGCGTCGACTCGGTGTGGCTCGCGCTCTTCGGCTTCGGGGTTCTGAGTCAAGGGAGGGATCAGCGGACACAGGCAGAAAGTCGGCTTTGAGGGGCCAGGGACTGCCGAGGGGGAGGTTTTGAGGGACCTTCACCGCGTCTTGTTGTGACTGAGCAGAGACTTGGAGCGTCGAGGGTCGTGGTGGTTGCGCAGTCGTGCTCTTGTCTTCGTCTCGACCGAGTGGGAAGTGGCTGTGGGGTGGGCCTTCTGTCGTTAGTACATTTCTTTTCTTTCTCTTTCTCTTTCTCTTCATCTCTCTTTCTCTCTCTCATTCGTCTCCTGGGGGGGAGCAACCGCTTGGCTAGGGCATTTGAATCCGAATCTCGGATTGGTGGACTTGGCTCGTTTCTCGCACTTTTGCGGGCGGTTTGTGTTATCATCGTAGTCTTCCATCTAGTTTTTCCGTAGGCCGAAACAGGGGGAACAGGAATTGGGGGCAATATGATGAACGTTTTCTACAAAAAAAAATTCTCCCCTCTCTTTCCCCTTTCTCCCTTCCCTTCCTCTTCTCGTTCCTGTTGCTCGGTTGTTGACTACGCTTCAGCCACTTCTCCTTTTATTCCTAAGCCGTGTGTTGGATTCCGTCGAATAGATCGTTCGTTCGCGTTGGTCAAGATCTACGGCATGGATCGGGAAGAAAGTTCGCTCGTTTTTTTGGTCAATATCCTCGCGTCAAGGCGAGGCTTGTTTCGTTGTATTGGATCGTTTTCGCTCGGCCCCAACGGCTCAACAGCCAGCACTCGAGACTCAGCCAAGGGAGGACATCAGGCGCTGTCGGGGTGACGAGTAGCTGGGGCTTGGCTGCGGCCTGTCAGTCCCTGGGGACCTCTAGCTCTGGCTTCGACCCCCTCCCTTGGCCCCTCGGGTGTGTTCCCCTCCTCCTCCCCTCCTCTCTGTCTTAGTATTCCTGGTTCTCCGTGTTTCCAGTCGTGAATTTTTGTATATTCTCCCCTTTTCTTTCTCTAGGCGCTCTTGCCTGGTTTTCGAGTATCTTCGCTCCCGCTCTTGGGACGTGAAGCGGCAGCAGTACTCACCGCCCGTTGGAGTCCGCGTTAGGTGCTCGGCGAGTTTTGATCTGCGCAGCGCTCTTTGCGCGCAGGGGTTTGACTTTCACCCAATTGCTTGCCGTCGTTGCTTTATAACCTCTTTTAGCTCTTTTTCTAGCGGTCCCAGCCAACCCGAAGGATTGCAATTTATGAGCCCCAGTAAAATAAAATAAAAATCCTTTAGTTCCGTAGGGGGTTTTCTCGTCTTGCAAATTAGCGATGAGTTTCATACAAAAATAAAATAAAAATAAAAATTTAAAGCCGTAGGGGGTCTTCTCGTCTTAAATTAGGGATGAGTTTCATGCACAAAAAAAAAAAAAAAAAAAAAAAAAGAGACGCGGCGGCAAGCGTGGGGCCGGGGCCGCAGAGGTTGGCTCGAGGTCGTCGTGAGGCGTAAGCGGAGCGGCGCGTTACAGTATCATCGTCGACTTCTATCTAGGACCTAGGTTCTCCGTAGGCCAATCAGGGGGAACAGGAATTGGGGGCAGTATGATGAACAGTAAACTTTAAACTTTAAACAGTTTCTACAAAAAAAAAAGGTATCACCGCCAGACAGAGAGAAGAGCACATCCTAGTAGTACACCCAGGGAGAACACCTTGAAACCCCTGAAAACTCCAATCCGATTGTTGGTTCACCTCACCCTGGGGTTGATGGTTCAGGGTTGACTCAGACGGAGACGCGAGGATCCAGTACCAAGCGTGAGGATCCGGAGCGGGCTCCGGGCGGGCACAGGGGAAGCTCGGTGTGCGCCGGCGTTCTCTCTGAGATCGGTCTGGACCTATCCGGAACTGCAGTGCGCGACGAGCGCGCTCTGACTTCGAGCTGAGCCCAGGCAGGGATCCCCCTTTGTGCCTGCAAAAAGTGAATACTTTATGATTATGCACAGATTTCCGTCTGAGCGAGTCTGATATGTTGATTACTTTGTGATTAAGCACTAAGATCAGTCTGAGCGAGCATAATCTGGTGATCACAACAAGTGTAGCGGGGCACTGTCTGAATTGGGCGGGTTCTCGCTCTGAGTCGCTCAGAATCGGCGCTCCGTCTGAGATCGGTCTGAGATTGGCCTGAGATTGCGCTGAGCGGGTCTGAGGGGGTCTGAGGCCGGGAGCGCTGGGCACCCATTTCTGGCTATGTCGTTGCAGGAACATCCGCCGATAAATCACCTGCATTGCCTTCTCTAGTGATGTCCTCAAATTTAGTACACCTCGGTCTACGAACTCACGATCACGCAGCGTGTTGCGGACTCGGAAGTTCAAGGCCTCCCTCCCCGTACATGCGTCCGACAGGGGCTCTCTGCCGGCCGCACGATCAATTCCATTTAAGAGCCACCCGCGACCGTTACGCGCCTGCTGCGCATCCGCTGGGGACCAGCGCCGCCAAGGATTGAGGTAGGTAAAGTGTCTCGGATCTGCGAGGAGAACGGCGCCGGCCGGTGGATCGGCAGCTGGTTGGTCATGTGCTGACCGATGACACAGCACGTACAAAATTCTTGATCCTCTTCTGCTGCCCAGCTTGAGACCCAGTACTTAATAAGTAGCTAGTAGGCACGAGGCATATGTGAATTTCTTCCGATGAAATGATGGACGTACCCAGATTTGGGTATTCGACGGCGGTGATCCCTTTCCGAAAACAGCCAGAATTCTCGGCCATCGGCGGTTCCTCCACAGTTTTCCCGTCATCTGCGCAGGCACGTATGGTAAGGACATTTTCGACACAAATGCCTCTCTAGGAACAAGCATAAAAATGTTACTGGTGGGATGGTAGGTAGGTAAGCACACTGTGCTATCCGAGGTACCTATCGGTGTCATCGGCGCTCGCCGCACCCCGAGCCCCACCCTACAGCCGTCGCACTCGCACCTCAAATAGGTGCGGATTCTTCATTGCGGATAAGTAGGCCGGTGCCACGTTACGCAGTTCCGAGCATGAGCGCAAGAGTGACGATTTGCCAGGTAAGTACGGTATCTAGTCCTGAAGGTGGTGCTCTGTGCCTTCATTGAAACAAGCTTCATTCCGCCAGGTTTAAAACATGTCCGCCACTGCCACTGGCACCAATGAGGAGCCTGTACGCATTCAGAGTCGTAGGCTTTCAGGGGTAGCGGGAAAAGATTGCCTAGCGTACATCAATCCCCGGTTCTTGGAATTTGTGCGCAGTGGGTAGATCTCGCGATGTCCAGGTTACACGGCAATCGGTGGCGGAAAGCAAAAGCCCCCCTTCTTTTGTTGAGAAGGATGGCTGCCGGCGTTTCTAGAGAAGAAGTTCAGATTGAGTCAGCCTGCTTCTATTAGCAGCGTGTAGCGTGGAACAAGTTCTACCACTGTCGATCAGAACGACTTCTTGGAGCGACTCTTTCCACCGACCGTGCAACCCAGTGCATGCAATTGCGACCGCGCGCGAGGTCGAACGCTGATCGCCGCCTTTGTGGAGGGAGCTTTTGTCAATATATTGCTGTTTCATCCCACTGGTATTCCCGATTATGATTAGTTACTAGTTGTTGATATTAGTCGCCTCGCGCGTCTCGAGCCTGCCTCGCGCGCGCTCCCTTAGCGCTTATCTTCTTTCTCCAACTATCTTTACTATCTTCATCGGCTCTCGTACTTACGCACTTCGTGCCTCGGCCTCAGTTCCTGAAAGCTTTGCGATCAGCCTACGTCAGTGCACGGGCTCTGGTTCGCTTCACCTCTCGGACAGGTCGCCCCGTCGGGTGGCGCACGAAGATAAACAATGGGTCGACGGAGAAGGGTACGCACCTAGGTTGTCATTACTGCTTGACCCTTCACAAACAGTTTGGACAGCTAGGTCTAGGTACCAACACCTACCTTCCCCAGTACCACGGCCAGAGCATCGGATCACGTGCCGAACATTTTACCTGCCGTTGTCTAGTCCTGCGCAGTTTGATTCACGAGCCCTATTTTTGATTCACAACTCACAAGCGTCAGGGCTCAAATTGGACTCCGCGGAGATCCCTGGACGAGCAACGAAGAAGGTGGTAGCCACTCATGGGACGTCAGCGCCCGTATATAGTCAGAAGTCGTCAGACCCCTTAATACGACGCCCCCAATCTGTTGGAGAAGGCTCAGACTGACGCTGTCTGACACGGCCTGAACCAGCATCTCGTAGGTAATACAGCATCATACCAGACGCTCCCGTGAAATTTCATGCAGGATTCTGTCGATAGATTGTCCAGCAGGCTGAGCGGCGCTGAGATTCACCAGAATGGTTTGATTTCCCTCTGAACCGCTCTGATTCGGTCTCAGATCGAAATTGGTCCGAGCGGATCTGAGGGGCCGGCGGATTTGGCACCGGTTTCCGGCCTGTTTGGGGATGGGCGCTGCTGGCCCGTACTGCCACACGAACACTGCAATATTCTTTCTGAGGGCCGCAATTGCCGCAATTGATAATTGAACGATGCCGCAACTTGAGACGAATACTTGAGAGGCTCCCATTGGGGAATACTTACTTATACACACGCCGACTTATACACACGCCGAGGATGGGTTGCTTTACGGCCTGCGCGAAGCGGCGCGGCCTGGCGCGGCGGCAGGCGGCGGCCGTGAAGCGTGCCTGCCTTCTTTTATCCACCCTCACTCGTTTCGCCTCCGTGCATCGCGGTCCAGGGCTTCGGAAGCGTCCATCCATCGCTGTTGAGTCACGTACAGACGTCCCTTCCTCTCCCCTCCGGTACCTCAGGACGTGCTCTCGGCCGTTGCGCACCGACCGACGGCGCCTCGGCAGACCTCGCTTTAGCGTTCCAAGCCGTTCGTGACCGACCTCCAAGCAACAGACGGAGTCGACAGACGCCTTCCGATCGCCGCATAACCTACGCACACGGTTCCCACCTCTCATTGCGCCAAGCGTTCGCCTCTGCAGCAGGCGTCGCCCGACGAACAGCCAGTGTTTGTTTGCTCGAGTCGTCCTCGCCTCGCCTTCGTTGTCGAAGCTCCCGTTGTTCGCGTCGCCTTTCCTAGCGGCTCGCTCTGTCGATCGCTCTCCCAGCTCTCAAAGAAGCGGGTTGAGTGGGCTGATATCAGCCACGGGTTCTCCTCCCCTGCAACCCGCTGCGCCGTCCGAATCTGAGCAGCCACCCATCTTCGGAGAACACCTTTTGTCGATAAACTCAAAGATCACAGGTGTCAAGACCGCGACCGGAGCGTGCGTTTCCCATTCGACCAAAGACGGACAAAAGGTGATCGCAACCGGAGCCCGACCGTGCCAGGGCGTGTATGATCGCGCGAGGGTTTCTGGTCCATCAACTCAATCTTTCTTCAACGTCATCAACATGGCCTCCGTCGCCACATCTTGCCCGACTACGTTGAATGGCATGAACCGCATGCATGACGTTGATCAGCAACAACCGCCGGACCTGGCCCGGACCCCCATTCCGTCATCCGGCACACCGTCGGTAGCCACAAACTCGGCCCCAGCGCCAGAGCCAGGGGTGATGACGACGGCGGCCTCCACTTCCACGACCTCCCGCCTTCCGCGCCTGCCCAGCATCTCGTCGCTGCTCGCCGGTTTCCCTGGTCATGATGCCTTTGGTGAGTACCCGTATGCACTACGATCTATACACTACGTCATAGGGGAGAAGCGCATGACGCCTGTCAACCTGTTCTGCAGTGGCGTGCACCTGCGATTGAAGAAGGGGCCCGCATTGTCTACATTTGAGCAATTTGCTGACATACCCACCGACCACCTCCTTCTTCCTCTGTTTTGGCATTACAGATCAGAGTCCGACCTCCCGGCGGAGGTCTGCTCCACGAATTGATGAATACCCAATGTCGTCTTACAAGATGGGCGGTGGACCGCAACAGTCTCAATCCCCAAGTCGTGGTTTTTCTGGATGGGATCAGCCATCACCATTTTCGCAGTCACTTTCGACAGGATCTTCTGCCACTGCACCTCCTCTGTTCCCTCGACCGCCGATACCAACCAAGTCTGCAACTCAGCCAAGTTCGGGTAAGTCGGTACCTCTTGCGAGGTCCCACCTATTCAAAACTTTCAAGCTCACTCGATGCCTCGGTAATCTGCTTTACGTCTGGTGCAGATCAGCTCACATCACCGACAGGAGGACCGCTACATCCTCTGCCGTCCGGTCTCGTTGGTTTCGCTCCTCTTTCACCGCCCCAAGCGGACCGAGGACTTGTCTTCCGCCCGCGAAGCAACTCTTTATCGGTCCATCCCTATGCGAATCCGTATCACCATCGGTCGGCGACGTACGAGCATGACCCTCGTCGAAGAGGGAGTTTGAACGAAGGGATAGCCAGAACTACCACGAGCGGCACCTGGTCACCTACGACTGTGCCCGGGGGTCCCTTTGGCCAGTCAGCCGCAGCCGCAGCCGCGGCTCGCGCTCGCAAGCACTCAGTCGATTCTGGATGGACTCATTATCAGATGTCTGCTCTCGGGACGAATGCTTCCCCACGATCTCGTGCCGCTTCCATCTCGGCGGCCCCCGAAGATCATCGCTATTTCCCCAACTGGGCCGATCACGAACGAGACATGGCTATGCGCCAAGCTCGCAACGCCAGCGGGAGGGTCAACTCGCTAGCTTCGTCGGCCTCGTCGCCTCACGCCAGCTCAGAACTCGATGGGCGTCAGGAAGCGATGGAGCATCTCGAGCTGGCTCGAGAGCGACCTTTGGCGGGCTTGAGCTCGAGGGAGCCTGTGGGGGCAATCCTTGCGAGCAGCTCATCTCCAGACGCTCGCCTCGCTCTCGGTGAACGACCTCACGGTCGACTCTCGCTCGGAGGCGCACCCGATGTCACCGGTCTACACATCACCTCGCTGGACGGTCGACATCCCTCGATCCCAATGATCAACCCTTTCAACGGCGGTCCTGTCGGGCATGGGTTGCCATCTTCAGCTTCACACCCATCCGTCATGGCTGGCCACTTCCCGGATCACCAGAATCAGGCATGGAGTCGGACCTCCCCCAGTTTGCCAGGGACGGGATCGTTCCCGTCGCAACCTTATCTCACGCTCGGCGCTACTCTTGACGATGGGACGAACGAGAGCGGTGAGCACGGTCGGTACAGCTGCGAGCACTGCCCGAAGCGCTTCGCTCGACCATCGTCTCTACGCACACACATTCATTCACACACCGGCGAGAAGCCTTTCACGTGCGAAACATGCGGTCGAGGTTTTTCGGTGCAGTCGAATTTGCGGCGCCACTTCAAGATCCATCGTGCGACGCGCTTGGCCAATTCGATCGTTGGTGAGGACGGCGACGTCAAGATCAGAGGCTCCGACGATGAGGGGCAAGGCTCGGTATCCCCCTCGGACGAGGGCAGTGACGAACTAGAGCAAACACAAGCCGAATGAAGAGCGAGCTTTGTCGCGCTCGACTGTATCGACTGGATTTCCGTATACTATCGGGTGCCTGCCGGCGTGGAGGTGGCTGGCGGCGATCTGTTGATTTCTCCCACACCCACCATAATTGATCGAACCATGCATCGAAACCCAGTCGCCTTGCATTTTATTTTTCTTATTTTCGTTTGTGGTGTCATGTGCAGTGGTAACCCTTTGTTGTTCAACACATATACAAACACCCCTGATTTCGGTGCCGGGCCGGGCGCCGGGGGACAGGAGAGATGTGATCGGGTCGGCCGAGCGCCCGTTTGCGCGTGGGGGGTTGGTCCCTTTTGCTCTTCTTGCACACTGACACTCGATCCCCTGAAGGAAAAGGAACGATTTCGACTGGCTTTTTCCGTCCATCCCTCGCATTCCGATCCATGTCGAGCACAAGCGGTCGAACTGCGGCTCGGAGCTCGACTAGGCAACGCTCTGCGCAGCATGGGACTCGAGCTCCTTCGGAACCCAACGGCCGATCCATCAACCGCACTGCCGCTTCAACTTCAGGTTTCTCGGCTCAAGCGACGTCAGAAGATGAAGACTGGGTGTTGGCAGTGATAGATTCACGAGGTGTGGGACGTGAGATTGGCGTCGTCGGGATCGAACGCGCTCTAGGTCAGGTCGTCATCACCCAGGTTAGTCTGCCGGGCCCACGAGCGGCGGCCCCGAAAGTATCATCGGCGTGTTGTTTATGAGCCCCAGGCGAAACGACGAGCCAACTCGACTGCCCTCCACCTTGCAGTTCAGCGACTCGCCTACTTTCGTTAAACTTCTACACTACTGCACCACTCGACCGCCGTCATTGATCCTGGTACCATCGTCGGCTCTGTCGGCGCACAGTAGCGAGGGCCCCGGCAAGCAGACCGACGCCACTGGTCGAGGTGGGATGCAGCGCGTATCGAACGAAAGGGAAGCCGGAACGAGCATGGTGCATCTGCTACGTGACTCGTTCAAAGGGATTCCCGTTATCGGTGTGCTGCGCAAATACTGGGACGAGCAGGTGAGTACGGCCTATGAGCAGAGCCGAGTGAGTCGGCTGCGCATACCAATGTGGCTCAATGCTCATGACCTAGATAATTTTACTAGGCTGGCTTTGAGTTTATCACACAATTGATGGTCCGAGACGAAGGGCGACATGCGACCATACTCGCCGCTAAACCCAAGCAAGTGACGGCGTGGCCCCACAGACATTTCCGCGTAGTAGAGCCGGCGAGCTGACGATGGTCGGGCTCCTGGTTCGGAAGGTACTACGCTCTGGCGGCTACATCGGCACTCTTCAAATATCTCGAAATGACCTATTCAGTTGTGTTCTCACCTCGCTCGCTTCGCATCACCTACGCGCCGGTCGAAGGAACGTGTCTCATTGACGTCGAGACTGCAGCGAACCTGGAGCTCGTAGCCAATGTAAGCTCTGAACGACCTCATAATTTGCTCACTGTGTGAAAATTCTGTACTGAAAGAAGGGGCCACGATGCAGATGATCAACAAATATTCGCAGCAACATCTACTTGGCATGATGAGCTCCTGTTTGACACCTATGGGCCATCGTCTGGTACGTTGTCCTCTCAAGGGAACATGTTGGCGTAGCGGGATAGCTGAGAGTACTTGTCTGGTGGCTCTTGCTTCTCGAATACCAGTTACGTACCAACCTGCTATCGCCTCTCACAGACACCTCCGTGATCGACACCCGCCTGGATGCCGTGAGTTGATCTGAAGCATTCGCAGCCTCAAGGTAGAAATAATACTCATGTGACAGGTTGGGGGTCTCGAACAGGTTGAAGAATTTGTGAACAAAGAAGAGCGACTCACGTCCGTTCGCAAGTCACTGCAACCGTAAGGACCGTCATCTTCGAGCGCACCATTCAGGCTGGTCTCACTTAAACTGTCTGTTTATGCGTCTCTTCATATCATGCCTATCATGCCGCTAGACTACGAGCCCTCGACTGTGACAAGCTTGTGGGGCAATTGACAACTCCAAAGAGGGCAGAGAAGCGCGGGTGGGGCCATTCATCGATCTCAACGCCAGATCCGGCCCTGGACGCCGAAACCAAGATTGCTCGGCTTCTGTCACTTCGATCCGTGCTTTCCGCCCTTCCAGGGATCCGCTCGGCCCTCCGACACAGCGATTCGACGCTTTTGAAGTCGGTCTACTCGATACTGAGCGATCCTAGAGCTGTCGAAATGCTCGGCAACATCGCTGCGACATTGAACGACGACGCGGTCGGACCTCAACCAGGAGGTGCGCTCAAAGTGAGGAACGCTCGCATCTACGCAATCAAGGCCGAGAAAAAGCTGCTACTCGATGTCGCTCGAGAGACGTACAAGGAAGCTTTGAACGATGCCTTTGAACGCTGCGAAGAGCTCAAGAAGCAACACGGTATCGATATGACTTTGCAGTACTCGTCGGGCAACTTCGTCTACACGTGCCCCAACACGGAACTGGAGGTAAAAACTGCGCCTGCGGGCTTCATCAACCTTGTCAGTCGGGTTGCGGAAGGGGTAGAGCAGGAGCTACTCCCTGAGCAAGCTGTCCAGATACCTATCCACAGACGCCGAGAGGGAACAAGATCGAGTTCAGTACACTGGACCTTCGGGCTCAAAGCACCAAGATTCGTGAGACCGTCCAAGAGATCTTCATACTAAGTGACGAGGTGCTGGATGAAGTCCTCGACGAGCTCCGTGGATCAATCGCCTGCCTTTACCGCTGCTCCGAGGCAATTGCCATGTTAGATATGGTTGCCTCATTTGCTTTACTCAGCGGCTCGGGGGATTATGGTTAGTTCGATGCATTCTCTTCGAACCTACTGGATTTATCTCGCTCGGCTCACCTTCGACTCCGCCGTCCGCCCCGGTAGTTAGGCCAGAATGGACCGACACCCTGGCGATTAAGTCGGGCCGCAACCCCTTGCACGACCACTTTCGGCTTTCCGATGGCCCGTTTGTACCCAAGTGGGTGAACGAAATCGAAGATGCTAGCGTGCTTCCTGACCGTGCTCCCTCGATTCGCTCTCCTGTGTCCGCAGTGACACCTATGTCAGTGACGCTTCTTCATTCCAGCTCATCACCGGAGTCAACATGTCCGGAAAATCCACACTACTTCGCCAAGTCGCACTCCTGAACATCATGAGCCAAGTAAGTGCAGACGATTTCATCTTCCACTTGGAAGAGACAAAAAGTCAATGAACTGTGCGCTCGTCCAGGTCGGATGTTTTGTTCCTGCGACGTACGCCTCCTTTCGTGTGATCCATGCTCTACTGTCCCGATTGTCGAACGACGATTCCATCGAAGCGGGACTGTCGACTTTTGCCAGCGAGATGAGCACCATGGCAATGATCGTGGAGGCGCTCAAGATTTGCGGCCAGTGTCTCGTGATCATCGACGAGCTTGGGCGGGGTACCAGCCCGGAGGAAGGGGTCGGCATTGCTCATGCACTCGCAGAGACCATCATCGAGTCCAAGGTGCGTGGAGAAGACTCCGATCACCAGCGCCAATCTTTAAACGGAGATTGAATTATGTTCTCTGCTACCAGGCCCTTTGCCTCTTTGCCACGCACTTCAAGGCAAGTCGTATAGCAGTCTAATTCACCGCGCAGACGCTGCTCACCTCCGAGTTGGTCGTCAATGCATAGGAGCTCGCCGTGTCGCTCTCACGCTACCCAAATGTGGTCTCCCTGCATCTTGAAGCAGATGTAAGTTGAAATTCGTTCTTTCGCCTCGAAGATGGCAAACCTCACAGCCTGCATCTCGGCGGTCGCAGATCGATCGCAGCCAAGCCGACTACTCGCTGACTTTTCATCACCGCGTCGCCGATGGCGCGACCAGCCTCGTACATTACGGTAAGGACACCCTATGTATTGTTCAAATAATATACCTGCTAGGGTTCACGTTATTGTATACAGGTCTCGAACTCGCAAAGTTGGCCAAGATGCCTGCCGATGTGCTCCACAACGCGACGCTTGCATCGGTCACGCTTGCTGCACGAGCCGAAGAAGAGCAGGAACGAGCGCAGGGAACCCGACTTGCGCGGAGGAGACGCGAGTTGTTGCAGGTGCGTAGACACGGCATGCGACTGGCCACGGGCGTCGACGGTCACTGATCCCATCTCGCGCGAGTCGTCTCACGCGTTCAAAGCTGCGCACCTCCCTCAGAATGCTGTCGAACTCAAAGGGCATGAACGCGGCCGATCTGGTCGAGCATCTGCGCGAATTGCAGAGCGAGACTATTCAGACCTTGAGCCGAACGTTCGATATATCTCCCGAGGCAGCAGTGTAGGCTTGAGGGATGTGTCCGCGAGATGTTGAGGTGCAAACTCTGATCGACGGACCTTCGGCCCCCAATTTAAGTAACATACCATCCAGTTATTGTATAGAAATGCTACCCGACGTAGTAACTGCTGTGTAATAAGGCCTTCCCAGTGTCACGTTCTGCCCAAACTCTCACAAGAGCTTCCTGGCGAGTCATTCACGGAGGTCGACAACTGATCCAACGACCATCAACCACGTGTCGAAGTATGTTGTCGTCGACCCCTGATCTTCGCATAGGACCTCTTGTATGATGGCCTGGGTATTGCACGGATGCAAGAACCACGTCGGGACCCCGAGCGTCGGGTGGTCGGCTTGTGAGATGAACGGAGCCGGTGGAGGCGGATCGTCCGACTCGGAGGTCAATGCCGCCGGCTCAGAGGTGTCAGGTGCGATCTTATAGTAGATATGCTGAAATATGGTGGAGTTGAACAGTTCCGAGAGCTCGAGGGGTGCACCGTCTGTACGAGATAAGATTGAACTTGATCAGCACTGAGCTTGAAGGGTTCTGTCGGTCCGATGGTGTACACACTTTGTTTGTGCGCCATAAAGTAGAGAACGGGGACATGATACGTTGGGGACCAGCAGACATACAACGTGAGCGTGCACGGCTCGGTTGCTGTACTTTCATGGTCGACGACGAGCGAAGACGAGTCTTGTGGTTCGTCGAGGGTGGTGCCCACATAGTCCTCCAGAGGGTTCGGACGATCGTCTACTTCTGGTGCGGGCGAGTCAGCTCGACGGCGAAAAATCCGTGTTTTCAAGGGCGCACGTTCCAGGTATCCCAATTCGGGATATGTCTGTTGATTGGTAACACCAGACATGAGCCTTCACAGCCCTGAGACCGTCGAGTCCACGGTCTCTTTGCCCCGCATAGGAACTCACAGGGTGCTCGCGCCATGCCCATCCTTTCCTCGCCGAATGCGGTCCTAATGATGCATCTTTCGCGTCATGTTGACTTGAGAGAGGTTCTTGAAGCCATTGCTGCGCCGCGCGTTGGAACTCGACTCGAGTGAGCGACGCCAGGCTGCCCTGATCCGCCTTCGGCTCGCGGGCACAGAGCTACTTTGTGACGGGTTATTATGCGGAAACTTGACCGATGCGACGAGCTACTTCGCAGGTCGACTAGTTGCGGGTTGCGGAGGCCCGGACACTGCGTAGCGTGAGCGCTCAGCCGTCGCTCGATTGACGTCGCGTCACGGAGTTGACGTGTCGGCCGAGGGTGCTCGAGGCTGAGCCAGGCTGAGCCACCGAAATCGCCCAGCGGCAGCAGCGCGACGAGGCCGCGTGAGGGCCGGGGCGCGAGGTAACCGGACCGGCTGTTGCGCGGCCCGTCGGTTGGGAGGTTGGCTCGGCTGGCTCGGCTCAAAGAAGGTTCCGAAATGTGTGCTTCCCCCTCTTGACCGCCTCCCTGTCTCTATCCCTTTCCACTCCCCGAACAACACCCTCACGCTTGAAGCACTGCCCATATCGTGAGTCTTGGCGGAGGAATATGTGCCCCCCCAGCACCGTCCTCCCCAGCTTTCCCCCACACTCGCCCGTGTCCTGAGCTATTATCGATGGTGGGTGGCCCCGCAGATCATCGAAACTTGAATATCAGCCATCATGTCCGAACACGTCGTCACGCAATACATCTCGCCTTCGTGAGCACAGCTGGACCTTCAGTTCATGGTGTGAATCCTATGCTTCCCAGAAGACTGGCTATACTTACCAAGTATCTCTTCGGCGTACAGCGCGTGGGCCCTGATTGAAGACAAATTCTCGTCGTTCGCCAAAGACACGCTGGCCAAGGTCTGCAAGTTTGTCGAGGTCAGTTCGTTGGCGAATCCTCGCCCTCGTTGGGGCAGAATATATCCAGGTGGGAATTTGTTCTGACCATCAAACATTTGCCTGGCCCATCTCTACAGGAGGACTGCATCCCCGCCGAAGCCGTCTTCCATGCCCAGGTCGCGACGGACCCGGCCAAGAGGTGGAAGACCTACCCCGCCGTCATGGAGCAGCTCAAGACCAAGGCCCGCTCCATGGGCCTGTGGAACTTGTTCTTGTCCAAGGAGCACTACCCCGATGTCGGAGTCCCTTTGACCAACCTCGAGTATGCCGTCATGGCCGAGATCATGGGCCGAGTGAGTCCCCACCTCCGCCCGGATCGTGACACGCGGTCAATCCCCCAATGGATCAACGAAACTAACGCGTGCTTTGCTGTTCTAGGCTCCTCGTGTTGCTCCCGAAGCGTGCAACTGCGCCGCCCCCGATACCGGTAACATGGGTACGTTTCGATTGTCAAAGGCAGAGTGGGGGCGCGGTCGACCGCTCGCTGCTTCGCCACACCCGCCTCATCTGGTTGCCACCCGCAATCCCATACAATTGGCCACTGACAACCGACCGGATTGTTGTTTTGGGTTAAAATAGAGGTCTTGGCTCGATATGGATCGCAAGCCCAAAAGGACAAGTGGCTCAAGCCTCTCCTCGACGGCAAGACCCGCTCCTCGTTCGCCATGACCGAAGTCGGAGTCGCCTCGTCCGAGTGAGTGCATCATCCTGAGACGCGTGAGAGGAACAGGGCCATCATTTTCTGACACGGCTCTGTGCTTCCCCAGCGCTACCAACATCCGAACCTCCATTCGCCAGGAAGGCAATGAGATCGTCATCAACGGTCACAAGTGGTGGATCTCGGGTGCCGGTGATCCCCGCAACGCCCTCCACCTCGTCATGGGCAAGAGTGATACTTCCGCTTCCAAGCATCAGCAACAATCGATCGTCATTGTGCCGTCCAACGCCAAGGGTGTCAAGCTCGTCCGCCCCATGCAAGTGGTAAGTTCGTGAAAGTTCGTGACGGGGACGGACCGCAAGACGTGCCCCTTTATGAATTGTCAAGATATGCTCATACACCCTTCTTTCTCATTCTCTCACGATTATTAGTTCGGCTACGACGATGCTCCGGAGGGTCATTACGAGATCATCTACGAGAACGTCCGGGTTCCCCTCGACAACCTCGTCCTCGGGTGGGGACGTGGATTCGAGATTATCCAAGGTCGTCTCGGTCCCGGTCGCATTCATCACTGGTAAGTGCTCATCTTCGGCTCTGGGTAAGATAGCTTCAATACTGACTGTGTAATGTTCCTTTCCGCTCCTTCCAGCATGCGCTCCATTGGTATCGCTTCTCGTGCCCTTGAGGCTATGCTGATCCGAGCTACCGACCCCGCCAAGGTCGCCTTCGGCAAGCAGTTGTACCAACACGGCACCGTCGTCGCCGGTATCGCTCAATCGCGCATGGAGATCGATCAGGCCCGTTTGCTCGTCCTTTCCGCCGCTTTGCAGATCGACCGAGTCCGAGCCAAGGGTGCGATGAAGGACATTGGTATGGCCAAGGCCGTTGTGCCGATCGTCGTCGGTCAAGTCATTGACCGAGCGATGCAAGTTCATGGTGCCGAGGGTATCTGCCGTACGTCAATAATAACTCGTTACTATGATGGGATCCACTGCAGTAGTGCTAACAACCCCTTTTGACGGTGCTTTGTTCTTGCAGAGGACACTCCTCTGGCTGCTCTTTGGGCTGCCGTGCGCACCCTGCGCTTCGCCGATGGTCCCGATGAAGTGCACATCCAGCAAATCGGTCTCCAGGAGCTCAAGCGCGCTCCCGGGCTCCATGCCCTCAATCAGAAGAAGAAGGACCGCGAGGCGAAGCTCTTCAAGGCCGCTGGGATCAAGTCGAGCCACCTTTAAGAAGGGGTGCTCCGAGTCGACTCGGCCTTATTCCCAAAGCGTACTTCAATATTGCGTGATTTTGTTGGCTTGATCTGTTTTCTTGACTGGAATATGTGATCCGAAAAAATTACCGATGTTTAATACGAAACCAGGATGCCTGACCCGTCGTCCTTGAAGATGCAGGCAGTCCATTGCTTTGTGGTCAGTTCTTGGAGGCGCATTCCCATTGACGGCCCGGTTGCCGACTTCCCCCCCTTGCCCCTCGAATTGCCTGGGCCAAAACGAGCATATGCTGGTTCATGCCATCTATTCATCTGAAACAGCTCAAGCAACCGTTCCTGAGCATATTCCATCTTGATTCACCAAAGCACGAGATGAGATTCATCGTATTCGCAGAGCTACAGCAGCCTCGCGAACTTACACGCCCGGAGAGCGACCGCGACGGGCCCTCCCGCACTGAACCCCACATGATATCGATCGGAGCGTCTCCGCTCCTTCCAATCGTTGACGGGGTTCCTGGTCATCTCTCTGAGGGTAATAGTGGTAAAAAGAATCCATGAAGTTCCTTTATGAGCCAATGTAGCACCTCGTGAGCACCCATTGCCGGAGCCAGATCGAAGTTGCACTGTGCCTTAAACGCTTTTCCAACCCGAAAGGCCGAACGATCTTCGCTTCCCATCGAGTATGTATTCACGGTAGCCTTCGATCACAGATTTTGGATGGTGCGTCCCTCGCTCGACCAGGGTGGCAATTCACAGGTCCACAGCAGGTATTGCCACGAGTGGGCGTCTCAATAGTGAACTCGGCCTTCGAAGAGGAATACGTCGACGAAATGACAATCTGTCATGTCTGCTGGAACGCACATTTACTGGCCACAGCATCATGATGCTCTTCCAAGGTGTTGCTGCTGGTTATGGAGACGGATGTTGCATAGAGAGGGAGGAAGAGCGAAGGACAAATGTCTCGCGAGCTCAGTCGGCCCCGTGCGCTCGGACCGCTTGAGAGCGGGTCGACCCGAATCCGAGTCGCCGGGGAAACGAGTACTTTGCACTGCTAGAGCCGGTGACAACCTGATAACAAGACCTGTAACTGGTCGTACATTGTTTCTTCAGCTGTTAGAGCTTGGTACTTCCACTAGTGTGAAAAGTTCCTCCGTAGGTGCCGTGTGACTCCGGCTTCACGCACCATCCGCCCAAATTTGGCAGAATTTGGCCCGGAGCATGCCAGCTGCAGCTGCACTGCACGCTGGAATTATAAGCCCCTCCCAGGACCCCAGAAAGCCCAGCCGGAGGCGCATGTTGAAAAACGCCGTTTTTTGGCCTTTACTCTAATTACTCTAACTAGTAAAAAAAAAAGAGTGTGAGTTAAGGAATGTACCTAAAATCGCTGTTTTTAACTAGGTTGCGGCCCGGAGGGCCGCATGTGGTGGATGTACCAGCATACTATTGTGTCTGCCGCACCTGCCTGTGGTGTCCATGTTGCGATCAAAAGTCATGTACAAGCTCTGTGGCAACTTTTGTATTTTCCGCACCGTTCTAACGAAACTACAGCGTTCCCAGTATTTTCCTTCAATTTTTCGTTGACGTAAAACAGTGCTTACACTCATATTGTATTTAATGAACCGCAAGCGCGTGGCTTTGCATGATAATGCTTCTACAGCAGAGCTCCGCCTGATGACGCGCGAGGCGAGGGCTGGCGTCTGTCACGTGATGCGGTGCGCCGGCGGTATCAGTGTCATTCCGGCAGTCGACCAGCGGCATTAGGGGCTGAACAACAAATCACACCCCGTAAACAAACTCGCGCCACTCCCTCTAACCTTTTCTTTTTCTCTCCCACTCTCATCGAACTTTATGACACTCATTCAAGGAGAAACCCTCGCCACTATGCTCCGGTCCTAAGGTCGCCAAGGAGGGGCATCGCAACCTCGCCAAGTCTTGGCCGCGATGAGTGAAAAATAGTTTCTCTGCTGTCTTTCGTCATTATACCGTTCAATTCTCCTGCTATTTGGAATCATATTCCCGTTAATTTAACGGGATCCCACTGGTTTTGTCAAAGTTTTTTACCCTATTTTGGCCCCAAAATGTCAAAATTTCACATGCGCCTCAAAATATTATCAAAATGTGTTCTACATGCTCCAAAAATCGCTCGAAAGTCCTCGAAAACGCGTTCCGAGCGTTTGCGGACGCGCGGCGGCCGATCGAAAGTGGCTTGCGGCGCGCGTCGCTTCGGCTGGTGTCGCGCGTGGCTCCAGGCATCAAACAAGCCTTCCTTGCTTTGCTGGTGGGCTCGCTATTTCGTTGTCAGACCTCCGTTTTGCTGAACTTGAGCTCCTTGTATCCGCGGAGGCATTTGTGCGGCTTGTAGAGGTTCTACCGGCGGCATCTCGCAGGCCGGGGACGCTCCGAAGGGCGGCAAATCTTTGCTCGGCATGTGCGCACGTGCTGATTATGATAGAGAGAAATCATCATTTCAAGACCTTGTCGCGCTATAGCACATGTGATTATGCGCTCGTCGGGGTAACATGAGGTAAGGTCCGTGGTTGAACGATATGTAGTCGCTGGCGGGCCTAATGACTCGATGACCTGTCGACCATCAATCATGCGAAACGGCATAGTGCCATCAATGAGGTGAGTGGAATAGCATGCTTTCTTGATGAGGCGAAGCTCCTGTACGACGACATTTGAAAGTAGAACCAACGACGGGAGCGTGTCTCGGTTGCAGTGGTTTGTTGTCACTTTGCTGTAGATGTATCGCACTGTAGCAGACAAGACCTTTGTCAAATGAGAACGTCACAGCTCAACTGCCACTGCACTCAAAACAACGTACCAATTCCGATGGACAGCGTTTCTTCTCCATAAGCAGTTTGATCGCAGCTGAGTGAATGCATGCCACGCTTGAGGCCAAAGCAGATCAGAGATCCGATCTCCAATGGTGTGGCAGTGGTTACAGCTCCGTCAAGCGATCCAAAATGAGGATAGCGTTGTGCTAGCGCTCCGTACTGCTTGGTTCTTTCAGGGAGTTTTTCCTAAGAGTACAGGAATAACAAAACATTAGATCCAGTTGCCTTATTTCCTAATTTCAGCGACAACTCACTTGAATGCGGCCATCCTCAATATAGGCATTCTTCTGAATCTCGTTTGTTGTGAGCGCTCGGGCCACCTGGCCACCTCCAGTCCAGCGAAAGCTCCTGGCCGTGCCCGCCATGTCTTCAAAGCGAGATGGTCCCATGGACTGGACCAACCCTTTCAAGACGCGTGAATGTACTGCACTGCGTCCTTGCTCTGTATTGCTAATCCCTACGCCTGCCTCTCCGCGACTTGTGTGGCTCGATTCCATCGGCCTCCCTTTGAGTAGAACAGCTCTGAGGTGGCTACACTCATGAGCAGCTCGATGGGCAATCAAGTTGGCCCAGTTCAGCGAGAAATTGATATCGCGAGCATCGACAAGAGGCGGAAGTTTCAAGTGTGTGGGCTGTGTAGTAACGAGCACGCATGAGCTTGCTCTTGCCATTGCAGTCCGTTCAGTATGCGACGTGCGACAGCGATACGGTTGCGGTCAGTTCCGTTGATAACGACGAATCTGTCCATCCATCGTTGAGCTCGCAGCGCCCAGCTTTGAACATCTTCTGCTCGGTCGTGCTGCGACCATAGCCGATCGGCGCCGAGCGGCAAACGCGTCGACGCGACGGCCAAAGATCGAAATCCATTCTTGCGTGCGTTGATCAGAGCATCGGTGGCGAGAAACGCGTCTCTGGTCTGGAGAGTCGGGTAGGGTAAGGTCGAATACTGGTTGGGCTCGTCTTTGGACAACTCGATGTGAAGAGACGCGTCGGCGGGAGCGACATCGAAGGCGAGGAGCTCAGCGATCGTCATGTTGGTGAGCGGCGATAATCGATCGAAGTCATCGTCGTTCAAATAGTAGTCCTGGTCTTCGTCGAGAAACAAGCATGGGATCACGTTGTCGTGCTATGCTTCAATGTCAGAACGAAGTGAAGCGGAACGGAACCTGCGCCCCTTCAATCTCAGCAGTGGGAACTATTGGTACCTAATCCCTAACAGCCTCTGCACTAAAGTGATTACAAAAAATGACTAGTGACCCGTACAAGCGCGAGCACGAAGCGCGTCTCGAAGGCGAATGCGGGCCCATGGTCATGCCGAAGGCTGCTCAGGGTCGGCCAAAATTGCCTCGACCCCCGGGAAAAATGTCAAAATCTGCAAAGGCGCCTCGGGGGCAAAACGTGTTTCGTCCCAAAATGTCATTTTTTTTGCAATGCGCCTCGACGATTTTCAGGAATTTGGGTCCTCAAAATGTCAAAAAAAAAAAAGCGCCTCCGGCGGGGCTTTCTGGGGTCCTCCCCTCCCGGAGCGAGGAGCGAGGGACTTCGCCCCCACTTTACGCCGGATCGGGGTGACGACAGTGCACTCCCGAGCACGACTCCGGCCTCAAGATGTCGGCGATTTTGCCCCCAAAAGCACCACGAAGGACGCCGTTGAAGCTCAGTCTACTCGGGACACCCAACAGCGAAGCCCAAACACCGGGTATATCGTCTGCGCCCCCCGCTTTGAGCGAGTCACCCGATGCCACCAGCTCCAGCACGAGCTCGTCCGGAGCGAGAGGAGGAGGCACCGCGAGTGCACCTCCTGCCGCGATAAGGCCGTCGCTCAAACTTGGAGCACTGGGTGGTCCGACTAACTCGCTGTCGAACCTGTCCTTGTCGATCCCCAATGACGCGGGGCCATCGAGGTACCGATCATCGCTGCTCCGGGGACCCGAGTCATCCTCGGACGACGAGGGAGACGATTATGGCGGGAGAAGTGCGCGAAACGATGATGACGATGACGACGACGATGATGATGGAGAGGATGACGAGGATCGACATAAGTGGAGGACAGGACAGCAAGAACGCTTCACAGGAGAACTGCTCGACGTGATTCGTGGCCCGGTCGGGCTCGAGGATGAGCTGTCAGGTCGGACCAGACGTGCGATGAGCGCTGCAACGGTACGACGATCCCACTCGGATCTGACGAGGAAGCCTTCGTTCGAGCGCGCAATCAACGATGGATCGATACAGGAGAACCCCTTCATCGAGACCGAGGACGAACCAGGCTCGAGTAGACCGGCCACCCACGCTCACGAGTCGGACGGCGACCATACGGTCATGTCCCCGAGTCTGTTGGATTCCGAGACGTTGGAGATGACCGCGGATAAGCTCTTGGATCTGGGAAAGCTTGGCGAGGGTGCGAGTGGACAAGTCAGGAAAGTCAAGTTCCTGCCGACGGGGATGGTTATGGCTAAGAAAGTGAGTGCCGACGAAGGATGTTCTTCGGTTGTTGGTTACGGCGTACTGACTACGACCCGCTGTCGTGACGCGTAACAGACCATCTCGACCTCGCCAAATCCCAAAGTACACAAGCAACATCTGCGCGAACTCCTCTTCATGCGAGAATGCTCGCACCCAGGCATCGTGCAATACTATGGCGCCTATCTTGAGCTGGTGAGTCCCCGGGCGTTTGTCGGCTGTCGGCCGGTGAAGGAGTGAAACGAGTGCACGAGCTCACCGCATGAATCCCATGCCCGTAGCACAACACCCAAATCGATATTTGTATGGAGTACTGTGAAGCTGGGAGTCTCGACTCGCTCTACAAAAAGGTCAAAGCGAACGGCTGGAGGACGGGAGAGAAGGTCCTAGGCAAGATTGCCGAATCGGTAAGCATCGGATGGGCTGGTTTCAACGCCTTTAACATTGGCAAAGCTGACAAAGACTACGTCACACCTCACCTAGATGATCTCGGGGCTGTGCTACCTCCACAGTCGTAAAATCATCCACCGCGGTGAGCCACGAATTGCCCTGCTTCGTTTGGGTTTTCAAAAAAGCTGACGCCGAGCGATGTTGGCCTGAGTAGACATCAAACCGTCGAATGTCCTCGTCACGATTGATGGCCAGGTCAAGCTGTGCGATTTTGGAGTTTCGGGCGAACTGGTCAACAGCATGGCGAGCACATGGATCGGCACATCGTTCTACCTCAGCCCGGAGCGCATCAAGGGTGGCAAATACTCGTGCGCTGGCGTCTCAGTACGATGTCGATGTATTCGAAGTGCACGCGAACTGAGCCGCAATTTTCATCACTTCTATGAACAGAATCACGTCGGACGTTTGGTCGATGGCCGTGACCGTTCTCGAAGTCGCGGTGAACCGATACCCCTTCCCAGGGCCGGGCGAGGCCCCGATCCAGAGCCCTGTCGAGCTGCTGATGTACCTCGCGAGGGCCGACGTGGCCAAGCTCGAGGATGAGCCGGAACACGGGATCAAGTACACGAATGGGTTCCGGAACTTTATACAGTGCTGGTCAGTACACCTTTCTGCGGAGCGTTCTTTGGACATCGCGTACTGATCCCCTTCCCCGATCTTTCAGCCTCGACAAGGACCCCGCTTCGCGACCTAGTCCTCAGAGCCTCATGACGCATGGTTGGATTCGACGCAGTATCGAGCGACAGCCTCCACCCGACTTGGCTCGATGGGTACAGGATCTGGGCCCATGAGCCATGAACCCGATCCTTGAGTTGAACGCTCACAGTCCGACTTTTTCTTGCGCTCGAAGCCGTTGGTATTAATAGACATTCATTGTCATTTTTTCCCTCCCTGTTTCGTAAATGGACCACACATTGTTTGGTGCTATGAAGCGGGATCCCTGCATACCATACCTTTCATTCATTTTGTGGTCGGTACAAAGTGAGGCGCCAGCTGCTGCCAAACGCCGAAAAGGATGCCGATGTCGAGCTTCGATGATGCTAGGAATCAAACATTGAACCCTGCTGGTATGATCGTGACTCATGTCAACATACGATCATTGGTGTTCAACGTTGCACCCGACGAAAGGGAGCCGACCCGGCTCAGAGGGGTGTGACCGAAACCGCCTCGGCGCGCCCGCGGCTGCCAAGCGCCGAAGCAGGCTGAATCTGGCTGAATGAAGCGCGCCGTAAAGCGTTGGAGCTCGACTTTTTGGCTCAACTTGCTTTCCCCCTCCCCCGCTCCAGCAGCACATCCGACACCCCAACGTCGGTTGCGTTCCCGCGTTCCGTTTCCCGTTCGAGTGAAGCCGTTGGTGGATCAGAAAGACCGTGAGTCCCAGCTTGTGATGCTTCCCTACCCCCTCGCATGCTGTGACGGCCGCTCGTGGAGGCGGGGCCGACCGCGGTGATTGATGATGTGCTACGTGCTACGTGGTCCGTTCGAGCGGGTGGAGATGCATGCGCGCAATCGACCTCGACCGCCTCGCTATCCACGTTCAGGGCCGGCTGCTGACTAGTTCGCGTGTCCATACTGGCCATTGTGCACATACACAGATCTCTCTACCACCCAGGGGCCGAGTCGAATGAGTGGCTACGGTGGTGGGCCTCCTCCCAGGGGAACTGCCCAGCAGCAGCAGCAGCAGCACCAGCAATACGCGCACCAGCAGCAACAACAGCAGCAACAGTACCACCAACAACTGCCGCAACAGCATGGCCGTGGTCTGGCTTCGGTCGGATCGGCCAGTGCGCTCTTTGGTGACCAGCAACACCAGGGCGACGACCTGTTCAACGTGCAGCACCAGCAGCAATACGGCCAGATCGACACCGTCATGGAGGAGGATGAGCCCGACTCGCCCCAGATGAATCGCTACGGCCAAGCTCAACCGGCGCAACAGTCACACCAACAGCAATACCAAGCTTACGACCAGCAACAACGGGCCGGCTACGAGCAGCCACCGTTCGAACCGCCGTACTACCCCGGCTTCATCTACGACGCCGCGTCCAACTCGTACTTGCCTGATCCCCAAGCCCAAGCCGCGGCCGATGAGTCGTGGGGACAGGAAGGACAGTACGACCAATCAGGCCACTACGACCAACAGGGGCAATACGATCAGCAAGGGCAGTACGATCAGCAAGGCCAGTACGACTACTCGAACGGGCAGCAACCGCAGCAGCAGCAGCACGAGCAGCAGTACGGCGACTACTCCCGCGAACAATCTCAGCAAGGCCAGGACCCATCTCAACAAGGTGGCGGAGAATACGACGATCAACCTTTCGAGCCGCCCTACTACCCTGGGTTCATCTACGATGCCGCTTCGAACTCGTACCTGCCCGACCCGAACGCGCAAGCCGCGGCGAATGAGACCCAGGCTGATCAGGGCGGGTGGGACCCGAGTCAGCAAGAGGACTATTCGCAACAAGGCGAAGGCCACGTCGAGGGAGGAGACGGCAACGATGCTCCTGCTCTTGCCTCCGCCGAACACCAACAAGGCCTGCCCGACTCTGCCCCCTCTCACGAGGAGACGATCAACTGGAACGACGAATCGGGTGCCTCCGCCCCCGAAACGGATTCAGCACCGTTCGCTAACTCTGGTGACGCCCAACAGCCCGAGGAATGGGCGCAATACGATCAGTACGACGAGAGCAATGTCTTTGGCCAGGACGGTGGTGCGAACGCCTATGAACAGCAAGGCTACTCGTACGAACAAACGGAAAAACAATACGATCCCTATTCGCCGAACGAGACCTCGGACCAGCCGCTCTCAGCCACGACAGCGGCCGAGCCATCTCACGAGGAGCAACCGGCAGCCTCCAGCACTCAAGCACCCTCTCCACCACCTGCTGCGTCGCAGAAGGAACCAGTCGAGCCATCGCCGCCTGCGCATGCCGAGCAGGAGCACGACGCCTACAACCAGGGATCTTACGAAGACGAAGGCGCACAGCCCGACGATCTTGACACGACGTGGGGCCAGGAACAAGGTAAATACGAGGCAACGAGTTGGAATCAGCAGAATGCGCAGGGTCAGCAGGAACACTCGTTCGACCCCTACGCGCAGCAAGGCCAACAGTCATGGGATCAGGGCGAATACGATCAGGCGGGCTACGATGAGAGTCAAGGTCAGGCTCAAGCTTCGTACCTGGAGCAAGAGGACCAGCAACAGTACTCGGACCAACAGTACGATGCATACGCTCAGGCGCCTGTCGCGGCTCCAGCACCACCACCTGCCACCGCCGCAGCTCCGGCTCCTCCCCGGCAAGCAACGGCACCGCCGCCGCCTCGAGCTCAACCCAAGCCGACATCAGATGTCGCTCGAGCGCCCCCGCCACCACGACAGGCGAAGCCGTCGCAACGGCAGCTGGAGCCCCAGGCGGCGCAGCGACAGGAACAGCAAGCACACGCCGCAGACGCCCCTTACGACCCGTATGCGCCTGTCCGACAGCAGCCCCGGAAGTTCTCGCCCGTGCATGCGCCTTCGGCGCCATCGACGCTCTCGTCGACTTTCTCGCCGCCACCCCGGTCTTCCTCTCGTGGCAGCACGCGGTCGACTTCGTCGTCGGTCGCTGCTGCAGGTGCACCACCGAAGCGGAGCACGCAGCCGCCGTCGGCCTCGTCGACCGCCGCTTTGAGCAATGCCGCCCCGGCTCCACGGACGTCGGGTCCACCAAAGGCGTCTGCCGCAGTTGCACCACCACCCCAAGCTGCCTTCGAGGCGCCCCCTCGCCCCTCCTCGGCCGCTTCTAACGCCTCGAACCTGTCGTCGGTTGCCCCACCTCCACGATCCGATTCGCGATCTTCGTCGCGTTCGACGCGCTCGAACGTGAGCTCTGCGAGCGTGCAACAACCCATGCAACCGTCGCAAACCCGCCAAGCGCCGAGCGCCGCCCCTCCTGGCCGGGTGTTGTCTCCACCTCCGCAGGCACCAGCGGCAACAGCACCACCGAGGAGCCAGGCCATTTCTCCGGCGTCTGCAACGCGCCACGCCGGTGCGCCGCCCCTGAACAATTCTGCTGCCCCTCCCCGTGGCGCTCCACGCGCTGCCATCGCTCCGACAACGCAGTTTCAGTCGTTTGTAGCGCCTCTCGACGCTTACGAGCCGCAACCCGTTGCCTCAGCTCCGGCTCCAGCTTATCAGCCACCGCAGCCGCGCAAAGAACCTCCCAACTCTCAACCTCGCCAGCAGCAAGCGACGCCACCTCAAGCCGCACAAGCTCCGCCGCCTAAACAGACAGCAGCCCCACCTTCTTCCGCCCCACCTGCCCCCAAGAAGACTGCCGTCGCCGGCGGCTACGAGCCTTTCGATCCAGCCTTGGCTGCCCAGCGCAAAGCAGCCGCGAAACCTGTCGCCTCCCGCTTGCCCCCTCCGGTCCAGCCGCGTCGGGCACCCCACCAGCGAGGCGCATCAGCTTTCGCTGGCGACTCGCCTTACGCCACTTTGCCGGAGGATTTGCCGCCTATGCCTGGATTGAGTGCCTCGGAGAGCATCGGCGAGGAGGAAGAAGAGCCGGCACAGATCGACGCTTATAGACCCCCGCCCACTCAAGCGTCCTCTAGGAAGGCTCCTCCTTTGGCGTCTCGAGCGCAGCAAACACCTCAGCAGCGCCCGGCGCCTCCGAGTCAGTCACAAGGCCCGCGAGACTCTAGGGGCGAGCCAGTCCCCTCTTGGATGGATCTTCGAGAACGTGAGTCTCGAATCGGGCCGGCCTGTTACTGGCTTTTCTGGACACGGTACTCATTTGCTCCTTCTTTGCGCACTCCTTAGCACAACCCGAACAGCCAAGCGCTCAGCAGTACGACAACTCGCAGTCGTGGGAAACGTCATCGGTCTCGAGCCAGATTTCTTCCGCAAGTCGTGCGACTGCTCCTGGCGGCCCACCGAGAGCGCAACAGGCTCAAGCGCCACATGCCAGCTCGACGAAGCCGCCGATCCGGGGTGCTCGCAAGAATACGCCTCCGTCCGCCCCGCCGCCAACTTCGACGGCGCCTCCAGACGACGGTGTGCGACGAATGCCCAAGGTTCCCCCCGTTCCTGCAGCTGCCAAACCTGCACCAGCTCAAGGTCGACCCGGGCAACCGCCAATGTCGACAGTGCCGCCTCAACCGTCGGCGCCTCCTGCTCGTGCACAGCAGACCACTCGCCCTCCAGGCTCTACGGGCGCTGCTCCTCCTCGTGGTCCTCCCTCACAATTGACGGCCGCTCGCCCCCAGCCTGGACCAGCGGCGCTCAAGCCCGCCACAGCAACGCAAGGGCGCCCGCCTTTGACCAACAATCGCGAAACTGCAGCGGAGCCCCATGCAGTGCCCGCCCTCAACTTCGAGGCACCTAGTCCTGAAATCCGACCCCAGGCTGATCAAGATGACATGTACGCGTCTGAGCCGTTGGAAGAGGACGATGATGAAGGAACGGAGCGCGACCAGTCTGTGATTGAGCATCCTCCCGGTGCCCATGACGATAGCTTCGCCTATTCGCAACGACAAGAGTACGGCTATGACTCGCAGCAGGTGCAATACGGTGTAGGCAACAACTCCTACGAGCCGAGTCATCCCGATGACCAAGCCATGGACGATGCGCAGGTGTATGGCACGGGTGGAATGTCGACTAGTACCTCTGGGTCGAATTATGGTGATTGGAACGGCACTAGCGAAGCCCAGTCGGGTTATGACTACGTTTCGAACGGCATTGATTCACTTTGTGAGTTCGACCCCACTGTCTTACCCGGTCATCTGCCAGGCCAAGGGCTGATTTGCGATCTTTTTGATTCCTCAGCTCTGGCCGATCCTTACAACCCCAAGCAAATGTCGTACGACTATCCTCAAGCACCGTCGAGGGACTCGAACTACACGCCTCAGACGACGAGGACAACCTCGAACTACGCGTCTCCAGTCAAGCCGGCCCTAGCTCCTCAAGGCAAGAATCTTAGCTATGAGCCTAAACAAGCCCAAGGTGCACCATACAACCCGTACGCTGCGCAGCAGCAACCGCAGCAGGGTTATGCACCGCAAGCCGAGTTTAATGGCCCTCCTGCCGATTTGCAACTCGATCGCTCGACGGCGCCTGTCATCTCGTGGGGTCTCGGAGGAAAGCTCGTCACCGCGTTCCCCTCGTCGAGCCAGGCGTCTTACGGTTATGGAGCTCCGACCTCGTCAGGCGAGGTGCAGGTACGCAAACTCGCCGAAGTCCTTGCTTCGCCCGAGTCAAGCACTCCTTTCCCTGGGCCCATGTTCCTCGACGGTGGTAAGGCCAACGCCGGTAAGAAGCGCAAGGAGGCTGTCGCGTGGCTCGAAGCACGCACGGCCGAGCTCGAGAAAGAGGTCTCATACTTGCAGGGCGTTGGACCAGGTGCCTTCGGAGCGGACGTCGAAGGCAACAAGCGCAAGCTGGAGGTTCGTCTCATCCTATTCAAGCTCGTCAAGGTACTCGTCGAGAACGAGGGCAAGCTGTTCGGCACGCCCAAGATCGAGGAGGCCGTGCGCTCGATCCTTGTTCCCCTCTCGGAAGGCGCAGATCTTTCGGATACGGATCTACCCACGGCCTCACAACTCGCTGCCGCCGCTGCACCCCTCACCCCCGCTACGACCGGTTCGATCGCGAACTACACCGTCACTGAGTCAAATCTCGACAAGCTCTCGACCTTCCTCCTACGCGGTGAACGGCGCAAGGCAGTCCAGTACGCTCTCGACCATCGACTGTGGGCTCATGCCTTCGTCATCTCGAGCTGCGTCGACACCGATTGCTGGAAGGAGGTTGTCCTCGCATTCCTGCAGTCCGAGCTCACGCCTTCGATCGAGAACTCCACGGGAGGAGCAACTGGGCGTGAGGCAATGCGAGTCTCATACGCGATGTTCGCCGGCCTCGAGGCCGAATCGATTCAGCAGTTCGTCCCGCCCGTGTCTCTGGCGCCGTCGATGCTTTCCCCCAAACTGCTGCCCTCGACTTTGCCGACTCAATTCTCGCCGACGACCTCGCTGGCCAGACGATCCAGCAATGCGGCCGAGGACGTGTTGAATCGCAACTTGCCCGAGTCCGTCCTCGCGACCTGGCAAGAGACGTGCGCGATGATTGTTGCCAACCGCGCACTAGGTGATTCGGCTGCGTTGACTGCACTTGGTGATGCTCTGGCTGCGAACGAATGGACCGATGCCGCTCACGTCTGGTAAGTCGAGGCTGTCTAGGCTGTGCCCATGCGGGGCTGGACGCTGATTGCTTCCCCATCAATGTCATTCACAGCTACCTGCTCTCGCCAGCTACATCGCCAATCGGTGGACCTGGCAGCCCTGGAACCCGCTTCGCGCTGCTCGGTGCCTCGACTTCAGCCTCGAACGGCACCAGTCCAGTGGACATCGAGAGCATCCAACTGACGGAGCTTATCGAATTTGCCTTCTCTTTGCCGCCCACCGTCAAGGGTCAGGAGCCCTTCGTTGGTTTCCCGCACCTGCAGGCCTACCGCCTCGAGCACGCGGCACGATTAGCGGACAATGGGCGAATCGCACAAGCTCAAAAGTACACCGACGCCATCATTGCGACGCTCAAGCTTGCGACCAAGCCTTCACCTTACTACACGCCGCGCCTTGCTGGCGAAGTCAAGGCTGTCGCGGATCGTCTGCACGCCGTCGCCGGTCAGGACAAGAGTGGATCGTGGTTGGGCCGCATGGTTCCCAAGGGACCGACGAAGGAAGGTCTTTGGTCCACGCTCGAAGGCGGCTTTACCAAGTTCGTCGCCGGCGACGGCGAGACATCGCAAGCATCGCTTGCCGCGAAAGCCGAAGTAGCAAAGGCGGCAAACGGTGCGCCTCTGGGACCCTTTTCCCACTACAGTTCAATCGCGCCGGACAGCAACACCGGTACCCTTTCGCGCATCGCGTCCAGCGCCGATCTGACTGTCGCGCCTCCTTCGAGACCCCATTCATCGGCTGCACTCGTTTCGCCATCCGTGCCCGTGTCGTCGGTCAACAACCACCATCAGTCCTCACCAGGCCCGCCTCCGGTCAAGCGTGCGCCCTTCAAAACACATCATTCTCGATCGTCATCGCTCGGTGTCGCCGGATACAACTACGATCCGAATGCTCCCCCTCCTTGGCAGGTGGCCATCGCAGCTCGACAGGCTCCACCAGCGCCGGTGCCGGATGCGACACCGCGCGCTTCGGCACAAGAGTTTACTCGCACACCCCAGAATGCCTACGGGTACGGGTCTGCCTCGTTCGATGACCCTCCGCCGAATGATGGTGGCCTGAGGGCTCCGGCTTTCGCGCAAGTCGACCAAGGTGCCTTCTCGGAGGACGAATCTGGTTTCATCTCGCCCATGGCCGCGTACACGCCAGCCGTATCACCGGCTCCCGCTGGCACGCGAGCTTATAACCCGACGCCGCAGTCGCACCGACGCACAACGACGCAGGACGAGCTCGATGACTTGGGCATCAGCAACAACAAGTCGAAGAAGCCCGGATTTGACTCGATCGGCGAAGGAGAAGAGGAGGAGATGGGCGTAGGCCCCGGTCAAGTTCAAAACGAAGACGGAAATGGTCCTGCGGAGGAGAGCAGTGGAGCTCAGAAGGCGGAACGTCCTTGTGAGTAGCAAGCTCATTCGCTCTTGGCCTTGGCTTAGCTGACCAAATCCGCGTTTCCCTCTCCTGCAGCGATCCGCACGGCCCCTTCGCGGTCGTGGCTCGGTGGTTGGTTCAAACGTGATTCGCCCTCGCCAGTGCAAAACGGTCCCGGCCCCGTGCGAGCCAATTTGGGAGAGCAGACTTCCTTCGTTTACGATGCCGAGCTCAAGCGGTGGGTCAATCGGAAAGCTGGCGATTCCGGCGCCTCGACCCCAATCACGACGGTACCGCCTCCTCGTGCCTCAACGGCCTCACCCTCTCGATCATCTCGAGCAAGGTACAACACCGAGACGCCGCCGCCTATGCCTGCGATGGCCCCGAGTCGCAATGACACCAGCTCGGCGCCGCCACCTTCGTTGAATCGCTCGCAGACGACGAGTGACCTCCGAGGCAGCGCGGCGAGCGGAGCTGGACGCAAAAAGCCGAACCGGTACATCCCCGTGACGTGAAAGAATCACCTTCTATGTTGGTAGAGTAGTGCTACTCGCTGTGTGTGTTTTGTCAATATCGAAAGATTTTTTCTCCTTCCCTTATCTGCCTGTTTACGCTCCCTTCTTTTTAACGATTGTCCCTTATTGCTTTGGAAATGAAACATGAATTGGTTTTGGCCTCTCAATTGCGCGTCGCACACTCTCTTATCGGTGATTTGATATCTTACAGCAGCTGTTACTTCACGAGAGCATTTACCAGATCGTGATAAGACGCTACACCTTGAACCCATCAAGATCGAACCCACAAACCGATAGCGGCTCGACTTTGCGCCCATGGCTGACAAACTTGATCTTGGCGATCTTGACGACCGGAAGGAGCTCGTCCGCCTCTCCCTCCTCCATCAAATCAACGTCCTTCTGCTCCAATTCCTCATCCCGAGGATGCTGTCGTTCCAACTCGCCCTTGATCTCAATGATCCCGACCCTCAATTGACGAATCTTTATCGAGCCGACGAAGCGACGCGGTTCCCACCCTCCTACTTCATGAGGGACCGCGTGTTCGCGAGTGGTGAATACCTGCCACGATTCGGCTGTTTGATCGGGCGTTTCCCATGAGACGAGATTTAGGAGTGTGGTCGATCCGACGATGGTGAAGTGCGTGACGGCGCGGGGTCGGATGAAGCTCAGGCCGAAATAATCGTCGGCGTCGGGGGCTATGAGCGGAAAGATACAGTCAGACAGTCAGATCGTGGAACGAAAGTGTTCAAAAGTTGTTGACATTGGATGAAACGAACCTTTCAAAGTAGACCAGCACGTTTGATCATGAGGCTTGCCATCGACAGCAAGATGCCAACTCCCGTTCCTCGTCCACCACTCGTCCGTCGGCCAATTCGGCATCGCATTGAACCGCGCCTCATGCTCATGCATGTGATCGATGGCATAAGGATCGAACTTGGGGTCCACATCCGAGCTCGTCGAACTGGGTAGTCGATGTCGACTCTTCACTTCTCGGTGACGCGGCTTGCGAAAGAAGAGGTTGGCCCAGAAGGAGGGCTTGGTGGGAAGGGGGTAGATGAGGGTTAAAGGATGGGGGAAGGGTGTGAGAGAGGTCATGAACAGACATTCATCGTTCGCGCAGGGGGCGCGGAGTTGTGATTCTGGCGGGGAGGGATTCGTTGGGAAGGGGTCGGGGACGAGGTAGGTGTCTTGGACGGTGAGGATGTCGTGTAGTTTTCGGACGGCATCGAGCTGGGGGAAGGAGGGGATCGAAGCTCCGAGATCAGTGTACGCTGGACTTTATGCTCTGTCATAACTACTCACCACGTTCTCATATACGATTGCCCATTGGTCCACCCCTGTTGACCATCCTACGTCGCCACCCTCGACGTCGATGGGCACCAGATCGTTCGGCATCTGTCCAAAGTTTTAGGGATGGTTCGTAAGCGACTCGCCCCAGCGCAGGAACTTTCTTACGGACCTGTTCGGGATAAGTATTGGTCCATAAGGAGAAGAACATGTCGCTGACTAGGGTTTGGTCCCTGGTCAACATGACGGGCGCCGCCGATTGCTGGTTGAGGAATTGGACAGAGAGAGCTTTGGGTGCGAATGAACCGCATCCGATCCAAGTGAAACCCGTGTGTAAGTTGATGTCTGAGGGTATGACAATATGTTTTGGTTAGGATGATGAAGGGAGATGACCAAGGATTCGGGCGAGGTGACTCGCCTGGGTTAGCGAACCTCCACCGACGGTGCTCGAGGTGAATGACGGGCATGGTGTTGCTGACGATCCTCGGGACCGCGACGCTACTCGTCGACGCCGATGCTGATCCAGAGATGATACCAGACCTGGTATCAATATATTTGGTGTAGAGAGAATCGAGGTAGATGTTGAGCCAGTCATCGTCGTTAAAGTAGCAGTGCTCGGTCGTGGCCATGGAACAGGCGAAATGTTTGCCTGCATCGTGGACGTTGGAGGGCGAATTGAATATCCTCAAACGAGGTTGTGGAAGGTCGCTTGATGGTTGGGGAGAGATGAAAAAGTCCTGCATGCATGTTGTCGACGTCGCAGCTAAAGTCAGGACCCCGTCTCTCGGGCAAGGATTTTCGCTCTCGTCGAGGGATCAGCAGTACTGACCGAAGCTTTGAGGGATACCCCAGGATGGTTGTTCCAAACGATAATCTCGCGTATGAACGGATACTTTGACAGCTGCTTGAGCACCAACTGCAGCCCCCTTCTGCGCTTCCAGTGCAACACGACGGCCGTGACAGCGACGAGACGATTGCTCGGGTGTTGAAGCGCCATCTCCGTCAGCCGGCGGGGTGGGTAAGCCGACTTCCTCGTGTCGATGAGGTGGACCAAGCGAGCCAAGTTGTCCCTCTGTATCGACGAGACGGGCGGGGAGTCATCGTAGACGGGCACCTCATCCCCGTCGTCGGGGTCGCGCGATGAAGTGGAGCGCGCCGTGGCCGGTCGCGACAGAGACGCGGGGGCCGACGCGAGCGACATGTGGCGAGCGATGGCAAGTAGTCGAAGGGCCAAGACGCAGTAGAGCAGGACCAAGGCCAGTCCAACCCTGCGTCGGGTCGGATTCGGGTGCGTGAGCGCATTGAGGATCGAGTCGACGATCAGCAGCGGCACCGCCGTCGGCAGCGAGGGAAGAATGTCCTGTGCAGTCGCCATGTGCGGATCAGTCGGGGGTGCAAGTGGCTATACACTAACCGCGGTGTTACTCGCCTGGGTGGCCATGAAGGTCCGTCCGAGCTCCTTTGTACACTCGGCGCGGCGAGCGACGTACCGCAGACGTGAAGCCGGCGCGTGTCTGGTCGACGAAGGGCCGTCTCCGCCCGTCTCAGCCTGCAGTGTCTCAGCTCGGGAGTACCTTCAAGCCTTGAGAGAAAACGTGAGAAAGCTGGTTGCGATTGGGAACTATTTCTGCTGTTCAATACTCGTTACTTGGTAGCCTGCCCTCTTACTTGCCAAGATCGGCGGCCGATTATGGATCGATCGATCGATTCAACTTGATTGATCAGGGGAGGTCAGGGGAGGTCAGGGGAGGTCAGGGGTCGCACCTGGTCGCATCGCCCGACTTGGCGCCTCTGGAACTGCCTGCGCTCCTTCCTCGTTCCCGCCTGCTCACCCCACACGCGCACGAGCACGAGCACGAGCACGCCACCATGTCCGCACCGACCTCTGCGCCTTCGAATGCCGGCACGACGAGCGTGGCATCGACCCTGCCCGAGCTGATCGTGCTGTTCAACTCGACCTGGGCGACGCTCGGCGCGTGGACGTCGCGCATCCCCGGCAGCCAGGTCGCGTGGAGGTACATCAAGGCATCGCACCAGGACGATCCGTTCCGCACCGTGCTCGAGCTGCTGCTCGTCTTCTTCATCGTGCGCACCTATGCCCAGTCCAGGACCAAGGGCGAGCAGTCGGGCAAGAACTTTGTCAAGCTCACCGAGAAGGTCAGTGCCTCGTTTCGGTCCGAACAAACACGCCGCGCGGCGACGCCATCGCCATCGCCATCGCCATCGCCATCGCCATCGCCATCGCCATCGGCCAGCACCCCAGATCCCGGTCGAGGCGTCGCGCATACAGGCACACCCGCTCTCGGAGCTGACATGAGGTACTTGATGTCAACTTAGGAAATTGATGAACTCGTGCACGAGTGGCAGCCCGAGGCGTTGCTGCCCCCCGCGCCGAGGACGACTCAGTACCCGCCGGTCATCATCGGCGCGACAGGACCTCGGCCTCGCGTCGTGTTCCCGACGCCCGGACAGGACCCCCACGACCCTTTGCAGCCGTACGATCTCACCACCGGTGCCAACCAGGGCAAGGTCGTGCTCAACCTAGCCAGCTCCAACTTTGCTGGACTCGCGGGCAACGAGAGGATCAAGGACAAGGCCGTGGCGTGTCTCAAGCGCTACGGTGTGGGCAGTTGTGGACCGCCAGGCTTCTACGGAACGTTCGGTCAGTGCAGTGACGTGATGAGCAGTCAGCAGTCAATAATACCAAGCGGCTTATTTCGGGACCACGCGCAGATGTGCACATGGAACTCGAACGCGACATCGCCGCCTTCCTCTCCGTCCCATCCGTGATCATGTATTCGCACTCGTTCTCGACCATCTCGTCCGTGATCCCGTCCTTCTCAAAACGAGGCGACATCATCGTCGCCGACCGTGGTGTCAACTTTGCGATCCAAAAGGGGATCCAGATCTCGCGATCCAACATCCGCTGGTACGACCACGGCGACTACGAGGCGCTCGAACGGATATTGGAGCAGATCTACAAGGAGGACAAAAAGTACAGGCGCAAGGTCACCAACGGTCGAAGGTTCATCATCACCGAGGGTATCTTCGAGAATGATGGGTCGATGGTCGACTTGCCCAAAGTTGTTAGTCGGACCTTCGGCGCGAAGTTGTCTGCATCGTTGATGCTCATTAGGACCCTCGGTTCCTCGGTTCCCTCACAGATGGAGTTGAAACTCAAGTACAGATACCGCTTGATCCTCGATGAGACGTGGTCGTTTGGTGTGGTTGGCAAGACTGGACGCGGCGTGACCGAAGTGTTTGACATTCCCGTGAGTGCGCAACGGCATCAGCATCGTTCTCCCCTACGGAGCGCTGATGAGGACGCGCTCGCCGCAGACCGCCGAAGTGGACATGTTGGTCGGCTCGATGGCGAACGGCTTGAGCTCGACAGGTGGCTTCTGTGCGGGCAACAAAGAAGTTGTTGCTCATCAGGTAAGTCAAGTTCATTTGAGCGCGGTGCCCGGACCGGACCGGACCGGACCGCAAGCTGATGATCTCCAATTTGAACTCGCAGAGGATCAACTCGCCCGGCTTTGTGTTTTCCGCCGCCCTTCCTCCGCTTCTCGCCGTTTCAGCGTCCGAAGCCATCTCGATGCTCTCCATCCCGGCCAACATGACCTCGCCCGCGCATCCGCTGGCGCCGCTACCGGATAACGTTGCGGCGTTGCGCAAGATTTTGGCTTCGGTCAAACCGATCGAAATTCCTTCGGCCGAGATGTCACCCTTGATCCACATCTGCATCCGCGATGACGACAAGCTGTACCCTGAACCCTTGACGCGGGAAGAACAGGAGAAGCTGTTGCAGGACGTCGTCGAGCAGTGCGCGGAGAATGGGGTGTTGGTTACGAGGTCCAAGAGGAATTGGGCACAGGAAATGATGGAGCATCGACCGAGTTTGAGGATCTGCGTCACGGCAGCGTTGACCAAGAAGGAGATTGAGAAGGCGGGGAATGTGCTCAAATCGGCTTTGAACAAGGTCTTGGCCGGGAAGAAGAAGTAGAGCGGCCGCAAGTTAGAGGTCGTGGTTGGATGTCGCATCAGCTTGATCGCATATGGGATGCTCGTGTTATACAATACTAATTATAAATCTGCGATGTTGCCTGTTCCCGCCATTGTGTTGACGAGTTGGGACCGTAGGTGACGATCCCTTGACGTGACTCACAACTGCCCCGTCGTGGCCGGTGCAAGACGGTCCGAGCGGCTCGTGACCTCTCGTGACTGGCTCCCAGAACGTCCACGCGCTGCTCGCGAACGCGACGACTCCGTCTGCTTCCTCCCCTCCCCCGTGTCTTCCGCACCCTATCCCAACTCGTCCCGAACTCGAACAAGCCATGGGAATCGATCTGCATCTGCTCCAAGCCGAGAAGGGCGGCGACCTCGAGGCGGTGCTCGCGTCGGAAAAGAAACGTTTCGCAAAGGTCGACTATGTCAACCCAACCTTGGCGCTTTACAAGGAGTGGGTCAAACGTGAGTGGGGTCTGATGCGCTCACAGGATAGGATTCGTACTGATGATTTTTCGATCATGTCTCTACACCCGTCGACCGTGGACAACCTGATGCGGTGAACCCACTCTGGGTCCGGGGACCCTTGACTCGATTGCTTCGCGATGCGCCTGCTTGGGTATGGATCGATTCGCACGGCCGATAGTGTCGTTCGACAAGGCCAATCTGCAGAAGAAGATCAACTCGATCCAAAAGGAGATTGGTCTCAAGATGAAGGTGAGCAGCTGCGACGCGAGCTGATGGGTGCTGGGGCCATCCGTTCGTTGCAGAACCGTCGTGCTGACCCCTCCCCTGTGTTGTCCTTCATTCTATGGCATCTTCTTGACGACCAGGCCAAGGAGGACGCTACACAACTCAAGGCCGACAAGACCGCGGTCGAGAAGGAGGTCGCCGAGATGATGGTCAAGGTCAACGACGCCGAGGTCGAGATGAGGCGCTCGGCTCACAAGATTGGCAACATCGTTCACTCGAGTGTACCCGTCTCGGAGACCGAGGTTAGCTTGAATTCCTGAGCTGGGTGAACTCTAGTCTCTGGGCTGGGCTGACCCCTTCGTCTTGACATCCGCATCCGAACAGGACGACAATCGAGTCGAAAGGACTTTTCACCCCGACGGCACGACCCCTAACAACGAGATGACCAAGCCACTCAAGGGCGTCGGTCGACACATGTCTGAAAATATCCTCTCGCACCACGAGGTCATGTACCGACTCAACATCTTCGAGATGGAACGAGGTCAGTCAGCCTAGTCTTGTCAGGAAGCGAGCCGCCGATTGACTGAATCTTCGAACCGGTCTTCTTTCGTTACAGGTGCCAAGGTTGCTGGCCACCGAGGATACTACTTGACGGGTGACGGTGTTGACTTGAACCAGGCCATGATCAGCTACGGTCTTTCGTTCCTCGCCGGCAAGGGCTACAAGAAGATCCAACCCCCGTTTTTCATGAACCGCGCGACGATGGCCAAGACCGCCCAGCTCGAGGAGTTCGATGAGGCCTTGTACAAGATCGAAGGCAAGGGGGTCGATCTCGAAGATACGGAGAAATACCTTATCGCGACCAGTGAACAACCTATTTCGGCGTTGCACATGGACGAATGGTTCGAAAAGCCTAGCGAGCAGTTGCCGATCCGGTACGCCGGTTATTCGACCTGCTTCAGGAAGGAAGCTGGATCGAGTGGGCGTGATGTTTTGGGTATCTTCCGCGTGCATCAATTCGAAAAGGTCGAGCAGGTAGGTCAAGCCCACGTCCTTGTCTAGACGAGCCTTCGGGTAACTGACCGGAGCACATTCGCACAGTTCTGCATCACCGACCCTGAGTCGTCGTGGGAGATGTTCGACGCCATGATCGCCAACTCAGAAGATTTCTACCAATCGCTTGGCTTGCCCTACCAACTCATCTCGATCGTATCAGGCGCGCTCAACAATGCCGCGGCCAAGAAGTACGATCTCGAGGCATGGTTCCCTCACCAGGGCGAGTACAAGGAACTCGTCTCGGTTTCAAACTGCACCGATTACCGTAAGTCGACCTTCGAACGACTACGGTTCAGCATGAGGTCTAAGCTGATCCACTCGATCACTTCGTGAATGCAGAATCGCGAACACTTGAGGTCCGATGCGGTATCAAAAAACAAGGCGAGAACAAGAAGGTCTACGTCCACATGCTCAACGGCACATTGTGCGCGACCGAGCGAGCGCTGTGCTGCATCGTCGAAAACTACCAGACGCCCGAGGTTAGTCATTCTCCGTACGGGTCTCGCTTCAGGCTAGCTCTGACATAGCTCTTCGCCATATTAGGGGTTGATGATCCCCGAGCCTTTGAGGCCATACATGGGTGGTCGGGATTTCATTCCTTATGGTGAGTTAGTAGTGGCGTGGGACCGCTACTTTCAGTTCAGATGCTGACCCGGTTAAGCGCCTACCACAGTTCGAGAATTGCCTAAGCCGACGAAGCCGACTAAGAAGTAATGGCGTGATTCTTGGTTTTGACTAGATGGCCCGTCGGCAGAAGTAGCTTTGATTACTAAAGTGCTTGCAACAGTTTTTTTACGAACGTGGGCTCAGTGTGCGGGCCAAGAGTAAATCATCTTGGCGGGGCCTCCTCGGGAGCTCCTCGGGTCTCGGGAGCTGGAGTGCTCGGAGCCACGGCGTCACCGACTCGACGATTTCCGCGCCACTATGCTCGACCGCTATCTCCTGTCTGAAGTGGCGAAGCCCGAGTGAGCACTGAGCGCTCAGCACCGCATTCAGGGTGACAGCTCGGAGAGGGGCGTGGGGCGACGGACTTCGTTTCCCTCTGTCTTGGATCTTCCTTTCATCGTCGTTCTCGGCATTCTTATCGGTTCCTGCACTTCGTGGCTACCATGCCATGTCAAAGTGCAACACTCTTGGTATCGCTGGTCCTCGGCCCGGTCTTCGTCCAGGTCGCTTCCACACCGACCCCAAGGCTGGGGCCCCCAATTGGCCTAAGCTACCTCGATACCTCCGTGACCAAGGACCTGAGTGACGACTGCATGGTAGCAGCGGTGATGTTGATGAAATCCCAACTCGTGAGTACCACCGCCACCCTCGAACGATGAGACATGCCCCGACCCTCATCACAAACACCTGGCAAACTCAGCTGACACGTACCGCCGCTCCACTCGCTCGCGCGGCCCTCACCCAAGACACGCTGCGTCGACGTGCCGGGCTTCATGACCGTGCTCACCGCCGACAGAACAACTACCACCACCTCACGTGAGTCATTCCGCCTCGTTCTTCGCCCGCAACTTGTCCGATGTCATGCACTCGTGTCTCGGGCACATGTGAATCGTACTCCCGCGGTTCCTCGGTCCCGGACTTGTGCCTCATATCGCGGTCGAGGTGAAATCCCGATACGTCGGCGTGAAGGAGCTCGTATCCTTAATTGCAAATCCCAGCTAGTCTTGCTCGAACATACACACCCCGCCGCACCGGAATTCGTCTCCTGTCGGGCGGTAAGGGCGGTAAGAGCGGTAAAGTGGGCGAGTCCGATTTTGTTCGGCGAACGGGGTACCACCCGGAACTAGCGGTCTCTGATCGAATGGAGGTCTTGTACCTGATGCTAAACGCATTGGCCCGTGGATCTGATTCGCAGTACAACAATGGACCGAATCGTTCTGCAGCCGGACATGCAACCAAGCCGCCCTGAGCAGTACGAACGACACCGTGATGTTGGGGTGCTCGACCGACATTACCATGGATATCTCGCCACTTCCCGTACGTTCGATCGCTGAATGACTCAATCAGTGAAGTTGTCGTCGATGCTGATGTGCGGGCCGATTCACACACAGGGGCTCATTTTGAGTAAGCTCACCTGATGAAAATTCCTCGCTTCTGCTTGTCAGCTTGGTTCACACGGAGAGGCTGATACTTCGCTCGATCCTGCTGTTTCATTTCAATTAAATTAGTGGTTTTGAAGAACTACGCAATGACTAGAACCATTGCCTGCGCAGAGACCTTCGACGAGCATGCGAATTGTATCGTCACCTTGGTCCGAAACCTTCAGCAGGCGAACAACGCCGTTTACAGTTTCCATGACCTGCTCAACCTTGGGAAGCACCTCGATCAATTCCAAAAACTCCCTACCGCCCAGCTCTGCAGTGATTGCAACAAGGTGCTTTTCACCACCACCGAGCAAAACATCGCGGACGCCACGATGCGGCAGAACCTGTCCAAGCTCGCTCAGTCGAGATGCGGTCAAAGCTTCATCAATGGCGCATTACCATCGTCAGTGACGTTCGTTCAGGGAATTCCGAGCCCTCCTAGTCCCGGAGACTATGGCTCAACTGGTTGGAACGCAACTCCCACATCGGGTCGAGATCCGACGGTTGGCTCAGTGCGAGAAGGGACACTCACTTCGGACGGCCACCCCGTCGTCACGGTCCGGGTGCAGCTGGCGACTTTCGCAGTCGTTGCTGTAGCGGGGCTGTTAGGGGGGATCCTCGTCTTGTGAAGGTGAGGGGTAGATATTCCTGCTTATTATTAGTAACATAGTGAATATCTACCGTGTAGTGAGGAGGAATTGCTGCCCATTTGGCTTCTTAGCCAGAGTCGGAGAGCCGGTGGCACACCGGATTGCAACTTGCAAGTAAGAGCCGACCCTGCTTTGCTCCGCTTCGTCCTTGCTCGGTCATCCAGCGATGGGCCGCGGTGGATCGACACCCCCTGTTGAAGTCGCTCCGGACCGGTTAGGTCGAGCTTAGCGCCAGGGCTTGTCAGTCCAAGCCGCCGCTGGCGGGCTCTGGCGGGCCGAGCGGCGCCTCGCGGCGCAGAGCGGCGCAAGCTCAAAACTGGAGTCGTCAAAAGCGTCGTGTCTCTTCACCTTTTTCCACCTTCACCACACCTCCCTACACCTTCCACCTCTACAAATCTTCGTACCTAACCAATGCTGCTCCTCGCTCATGTGAACTTCCTTGCGGCGGTCTCGCTCGCAGTAGGCTCTACTCGGGCTGCCGCCGGTCCTGTCGATCCCATGACCGCTTTCATGAACAATCTCAGCGAACCATGTGCCGCCTCGGCCGCTCAATTGCTCGCCTCAGACTTTGTAAGCTTTACTGCCATCCGTATCCTCCTCCTCATAGGCCCTTTTGCGAGTCTGACTACCCCTCAGCAACGCTGACGCCTGCTTGATCTTGCGGGGACATCAGGCGGCGTGCAGTGATGCGATGGATTTCATGGCCGTCATAGGGGCCCAGTCCAACCTCACGGGAAGCCGTCAGTCTAACATTCACTCTTCTTTCAAAATTGTCTGGTACACGACTCGGCGGTAGAGGCACCGGCCGGCAACGTTGCGAAGATGCAAGTCGCCACGCTCGCCTGTCTCAGACAATCGCCTCCTTTTTCGCCTGATCACACGTTTCCCCTGTCCTCCCCAGCGATGCGCGGGGGACCAAAGCCACCGGACCTCAGTGTCGTTACGCGCCGGCCAAGTGTTGCGGGGTCACAGCTGACGTTGATTTTCGCTCTTCACACGTAATTTATCACAGTGATGGTCTGGTCCACCAATATCTGCAAAACCAACTGCTCAGATGAGGCGCTGAGCGAAGCGCGCGCGATCGTGACCAGTGGATGCAGCAAGGATCTTCAAGAGCCCAATTCACTTCCGGTAAGTATCAGAAGGTAAAAGTAGGTATTTTCAAACTTCTTGCTGAGCGTGTAACAACTCCTCCTTCCGATAGTCCCTCATCCTTGGTAAATACTGTCCTCCAGCACTTAGCTGGGGAAGTATGTGTGACTAACGTGATTCTGGACGTGGCTCGGCCGATGTCCGAACCATAGGTGCGATCACCAACTACCCCGCCCTTCGCCACGGTGGATGTTCGTTCGACAAACAACACAACACCAGCTGCCTCGCCAACTTTGTCACCACTTACGAGAAGTACTCAAGGCAAAGTTTGACGATCTCTTCGTTCATCGAGCTTGGCAAGAACGCCTCGAGCTTGAGCCTCATCCCTGCCGCAGAGCTCTGCGTCGACTGCAACAAGGTGCTCTTTACACTCGCCTACAGCCTTTTGGCGAACAGCACTCTGGACCAGAAGGCCCTCTTAACCGAAGCTACCACGGTTTGCCCGGCCACCTTTACCGACCTCAAGAATCCCAGCACCGTGACGTTCGAAGGAGAGACACCCGCGCCGATTTCGCAACCCTCGACGACCACGAATGTAAGCTGCACCCCTGGATCGAACGCATCAAGCGGATGCAATCCGGCGACATCGAACCCGGCCGCACCTGGTACCACCTCGGTAGGCTCGCGCTCGTCGGCCGTTGACGGTTCTATCCTCACGGTGTTCGCCCTCATCGGAGGGTTCTTCATCGGTTAGACCTTTTTGGTTCTTAGGTTCTCAATTCTTTATTTTCTTGATTCGTTGCCCCTATTATCTACATTGTTTCACATCCCCGCCCTGCGGGATTACTAGGCCTCCATTGCTTTCAATCTTGCTCTCTCCCATGCGATGAAAGGGCGCCATTTTGATCAGGAAACTCGTAGCGTCACATGATCCTTCCAATTGACGCATGGGCTACAGTACATGGCAGTCGGAAGAAGCGATGATGCGTACTGGTTGGGAGTCGTCCTAGGGTGCTTGACGTCCTCCCGCGTGCCGACTGCGGGATAATTCCTGTCCGTGAGCGGCGGATGACGATGGTGCCGTTCCCAGGTCTGTGTGAATTGATCAGAGTTTGATGCTGGCCCAATACGTAAGAAAACCCACCTCAGATTGTAAAGGAGCACTGTCCGTTGCTCTGTTCGCTGAGCTTTTCTATCCGAACTTTCTGAGAGCCTCATCTCTCGGGCGCATAGCAGGTTGAGCTCCTGAATCTTGACTTTATGGGCAATTTACATTTTTGATTGTGAAGGGGTCATGCCAGAATATCTAATTCCTCGAACTCCGTAACTGGGCTTCCAAGACTCCACAAGACTCAATGTTCAGAGGAACGTCTTGCACAGACCGCTCGGGCAAGATGGCGTTCCTCCGATGATGGTAACTGCGACGCCTAGACTGACTTCTAATCGATCCCTCTAGGGTCACCAGGACTGCCGTAATAGACTGCTGACGTGTTCGGGCTCCTTGATCGTTCAAATCGTCCAAGTTCTCTCCAGCAAAGAGAGGAACGAGTGACTATGTACTACCAGAGGGTACTATGCCCAATGTATTCAAAAAGGGAGAGGAGAGCTTGTCTCAGTTGTGGGCAAGGTTCGTGGGAGGAGTCAGAACGCGCAACCTCCTGGAGTATTTCCGTGTTCACTCGGTCCCACCCCCTTCACCCCAACACCCCCTTTTTTCCACAAAGCGACGGCTGATTGAAACGTGCCCACTACCCCGCTTCGCAGTTTATAACTCATCATCCAGTACATCTGCTCACCAGACAACAACACTCACGCCATCGTTGCATGTCGGGAAGGTAAAGCCGGCAACCATGCACTGCACTCGCCTCTGCCTGCTCTGCGCTGCGCTTTCGAACGCGCCAATACTACTCTCAGCACGGCCTCAGATCACCATGTCGGCCAACCTCAGCCTTGAATGCTTCATCGCTACCACGGGGTTACTGAGCTCTCCCTTCGTTAGTGGATACGCACCTCCCATCACTTCCGTCGCGCCCTAGACCGTTGCTCACCGCTCATGCTCCCTCCCTCCTGTCAGGCGCAGTGTGCTGATGCCAGCGGTTTCCTCGCTGCGCTAGACGCCAAAAGTGGCCTCGCGAATGCTTGTAAGCGACAGGACAGGAAACAGATACGGCGATTGCTTCAGCTAATCATTATATTCCAATAACGCGTCACCAAGTGTCGAACTGGTTAAATAATTTCTGTAGAGACACCTGTTCGGACGATGCGCGGACTAAGGCATGGTCTGGTCTAGAAGGGGGGTGCGCGAATGAATTAGCCAGGGAGATAGCTCTTCCGGTACGTAGTAAATGGCTCTCAGTAGGCAGGGCGCGATACCGAATATAAATTCTGACATTCACCTCCCTGCGTAAAACTCCTAGTCTGTTCTCCTAGGTACGGGTCATCTACGAACTTCGGCGACTGCTGTCCAGCCTCCTTTTTGGTTCGAAAAGTCTGTCGAGTCTGACCCCATCTTGAACGCTGACTCCACAGCTGTGGTGGCGAACTACGACGTCCTGAAACGTGGCGCTTGTGCAGAATCGGTCAGCCGGCAGTCCTACTGCTTCGTCGAATTCGTCAAGGATCTGGAAGAAGCGAACAAACGGAACTTCACCATGAGCGTGGACTTGCTCAGCCCTACGTGCGCCGAAATGGACGCCGTCCCCAGGTCGAAGCTTTGCACCCTTTGCAACCAAGTGCTGTTTGGAATGATGATCAAGCTACTATCACGACCTATAGACCGAATTACTCTGACCGATCACGCAAGACAGACGTGCGGCCTCGCCTTCGCGAGTCTGAGTGCGCTCCAGGCCGACGTCCCACTGCGACCGGTCGGCGGACGATTCGATCAAGCGGTCGCAAGGTACACTGCGGCGGCCATCAAAGACCTAGACCAATATAATTCGACTCCATCTACCCCCCCAACTAGTTCTGCCTACTCATCTCGAACGTTCTCGCGCCGGTCCGCCCTCGATACCGCAGTGAAGGCGGTCGCTCCGACGGCCGCGGCTACGATTCTTCTCTATGGATGGGTGCAATGACGGCCGGGTGAAGCCACTGGATGGGCCACTAACGTTCACGGTAGACCCTCACTGGGTATATATTTATGTGAAGTAGAAAGGTGGTCTGTGCCCCAGGCAATTCTTGGCACCCGTGTACGCGGACCGTGCGTGCAGGCACGAGTGTGCTTCGTGTCCTGAAATAGGTGCTCGGCCAATCCGACTGTGGCCACGAGCTCGAGGTGGACTGCTTTGCCCATCTACTTGCGCCACAAGATAATTTCCAGATATGGTATATGGCTAACAAAGACTGTTCCGAACTCCACTGACGCGATCGAACCAGGTACGAGTGTGAAAGGTTTTTAGGCTGGTGCGCCACTCTGCGCTCGGCCGCAGCAGCGCGTCGGGCCTTGGCCATGCGAAGCCATGCGATGCAGCGGTGAAGCCAAGCTGTCGCCGAGCCGTTCTGAGCCGCTTGTGTGGAATTCTGAGACCTGACGGAAGTCCTGATTCGTGATAAAGTTTGCTCACACCCCTTCCTCTCAGCACCACCAGACCCCTCTCAATTAATCACCCCACCTTTCCCTTCCTATATCATTCCATGATGTTGTTCCCTACCACGAAGCGCTCTCAGACTGCTGCCCTGACCGTCTTCGCCTTCGTCACCGTCGCCACAGCTGCGGACTCGGCCAGCATCGCCACGGGCTTGTCGTCGGCGTGCCAGAGTGCGGTCGTGAGCTTGCTCGGCTCAGACTTTGTAAGTCAGATTTGGAGGTTGTCGAGTATTCTTTCCAGCATCTGTACCTATCCTCTGAGTCTTGGGATACCACTCGAACCCGCAACCTATCCTCTCGTGGACTCGCTGCCGGACGCGGACGATCACGTCGCGTCGCGGCAAACACGCTGCCCAGCAGTTCCGTCGTCCGTCGTCCGCCGTCGTCATGCAACAAGCGTTTGCGAACAAGAGCCGTAAGCCGAGCACCACGCTGACCTGTGACTTCATTGTCTGTTTACAGGGCACTTGTGCTAGTCTTACCGGTCTCGTGGCCGTAGCTACGACCCCGGGCAGCATCATCACCCCAGGTACGCATCTTCCAAGCCTTCCGATCTGCCTGCCCGTCGGATTCAGGGCTTCACAGTGCCGCGAGTGAGATCGTGAGACGAGACTGTCGCAGGCGCACGAGACTGACCACTGCGCGATCGCCGCCCCTTGGACCCCTTTCAAAGTCAACACTTGGCTGGAAAACGTCTGCACCAAGACTTGCAATTCAACGACGCTCGTTAACGCACAGAAGACCGTCTCTACGGGGTGCACTACTGACATCTCAAGCGGTGTCACAACGGCCGTGGCACTGCAAGCGGTGAGTGGGGGTGGGGGGTGGGGGTGGGGGCCACTTGATGTGACCAGCCTGCGCGCACCTAGCGTGCATTCGGGGGGAACGACAACTGAGTGATGCCATCTCCGGAACTCCATAGGCCATCGCGTCGTACCCGACTTTCAGGTCTGCTGCCTGCATCGAGTCGACGTCCAACTCGACCCTCTGCCTCACGCAGCTCTTGACCGAAATTCAAGCCGTTAGCGGCAACCTTACGATAACCGAGGTGCTTTCGCTCACCTCGAATCTGACCTCGATCGAAAGCCTGTCGACTGCCGAAGCATGCTCCGACTGCAACAAGGCTCTTTTCACCACCCTCGAACCCGTCATTACAAACGCCTCGGGAACCGCGTCCTCAGAGTTGAGGGCGGGGCTTTCGTCCAAGTGCGGTGCCACTTTCGTCAACGGCATGATGCCGTCGTCCGTCAGCACCACCACTGGCAATGCCACCACCGGTTCCGGCGCGACCGCGAACGGAACCACCTCCACCACGAGCACTTCTCTCAGTGCAGGCAAAGGCTTGCGCCTTACGCCCACCGAACTTCTGGTCGCCGTTGTGGCCCTCGGCCTGGGCACGGCCGCTCTTGCTTAATTGGACGCAGGAGTCGATTCTACTGCTCGCCAAAGGCCAAGGCTGCGAAGTCGTCCCGCTGTCTCCTGTATCTCTATATGCATCACCCTTTATCCTATCCCGACGCATGACCGTCTTGTGCTAGAATGAGATTCCAAATATAGACACTCCCCGTTGGATTGGAAGTGCACATTGGAACATTCTGCGAAGCAATAGATGACCTGCTTCCAAACGTTGCTGGACAGGACACCAAGAAACCACGCAGCGGCCTTGGGCTTGATGGTGATAGCACAACATCATATGATTGCAATTTACGGTGGTCCTGGGTCTCCATGCTATATTTTTATGCTCAATCCTTCTAAACGCGATGCGGCGTCCTCCTCGTCCTCCCTCTTGGGAGCGACGGTCTGCGACGAGTCCGGCGGATACGAATCCTGTGCCGTTTCAAAAGTGGCGATACTGCTAGCATAAGTACTTCTTGCGGGTCCAAATCCCGTCGTCGATGAGGTGGAGAAAATCGATGCCGCCCTCGTCGAAAAAGTCCCCTTCGCCGGCGGTCGATGATATGTTTAAGAACTCGCCAATGCCGAGTCTAGAATACTGTAGACGTTCCACGACCGAGCGGAGCTGCCTTGGGTTGTTTTTTTGACGTCGCGGCGGCAAAAAGGCGGGACATACCTACTTTGGGCTTGTGGCCGACAGGGGTCGCAAATATCGACTGGGGGCCCGCTTGGCCCGCTGGAGTTGAAAGATATGGAGATGACTGGTAAGGGGAAGAGGTAGAACTGGGGAAACCCCGGAAAGAGGGTGCGGATGGGTTGACGCGTAGGGAGGATGTGAAAGTCGAGCTCGTGGGCGTAGGATCCTTTGACGGTGGTCTGTGAGGCAGTGACGCGTGGGTGCTGGATCGATTCGAGGAAGCTACGGACGCCGGCGGGGAGGGCGATGACAGATACCTCGGCGACAGGAGTGGAAATGTAGCGGTGGCCGCCGAAGCACGATCTCCAGACTCGATTTGTTCTGATGAGGGACCAGGGAGAGAAAGTTCCGACTCGCTCAACACCACGGACGCCCGAACGCTTTTCTTGTGCTTCGAAGGAGGTGGATTTCGGAGCGGAAATACGGAGCGCCGAGACGCTGAGTCGGCGGTGGGCGACATCAGAGATCCGATCGTCGAAGGCCAGCTCGAATTAGAAGACTGCGACGAGGCAGACGACCGCCGCACTTTGAGGCCCATGGGTTTGATATTAGCGATGACTTCATGGTCGTCCTCGAGACTGGCGAAAACCGCCTCGGACTCGCTTGTATTACGGGCAGACGGTGTCGCGGGTGAGGCCGACGCTATCGAGGATGCTTGACTCTGCTCTTTTGTATCCGTGCTTGCAATCAGAGGATCGTTTCCGGTACTGTTGCAGTCCCCTGCACGAGGTTGCCCTGCCGAGATGCCCGGGGGGGTTGAGGCACTCCCTGCGGTCGACGAGCTGACAGATGACCGAGGTCCGAGGGGGAACGTAAGTCGTGCGCTCCTTTGCTTTGTAGGCTGCTTATCAGAGTCTGAATGCGAAGTCCGCCGGGTCGGCCGATTCTGAGCCGAAGCTCGAGCGAATGCATCTGAACTCGAGACGAAGTCGAAAGCTTCCGGCTGAAGTGGCGCGGTTAAGGATGAATCCACGGATGTCGGTCAGCTCCGAGAATCAAGGTGAATGTAGAACCAAGACTCGCCGATAGAAATGATGATATCTCTCCCTCAGGTCCTGGTGTGATTGAGGTGTCTTGCCGTGGTGGTAGTGCCTCATCACCAAGGACTGGTGGGACACCACGCTCGGCCTCCGTTGCCATGGCGTTGGAAGGTCAGCCGTCTCTTCGGTCGAGAGGGGGTCTATGTCGTCATCAGGAATCAAGTTCGACAGAGTGAAGCATCGAAGGATGGCTTGGGTTGACTGCGGACCCTGTCATTAACGAGCTGAGCCGTCGGATGCCGCTGAGCCGGCCGGAACCCGGTGCCGAGATAGGTCCTAGTCGCGGTAGCTCCGCTGTCACGTTGATGGCCGATGAGACAAGCACTTGAGAGCCTGGGTCGAGCGGCGAACCCAAAGCCGCTGCTAATGTCCGACTCGCCGAGATTGATCTGGTCGCACTCGTTGCAGCGGATCGGCGGATTCGGAGCTACGCAACTCGAGGGCGAGCGGCTCGGAGTGCTCAATCGGATTTCATTTTGTCCGTATTTGGCTACTCAGAGGATTTGGTCACCGGCATCTGTTTGGACATATTTTACCTTGGGTTGTGGGTGGGGCCGGGTGTATCGTACCAACGGATGTATCGTGTATCCTGCCCATGCGTGGATCCAGAACCTGGCAAAACACTTTAGTATCAACATCCAGCTTACACAGTCTTCAGGCCATCTCCCAGCTCGGTGGACGAGGTCCTTTTCCCCTTTTCTGTTGCTTCCGAGTTCTGTAGCGAGGCTACGTGACCGGCGACTCCAGATCTGACTCCTACAACAAGCCTGCCCCGTGAAACCCTATTCTTCCCCAGGGCTTTTTTTTGTGTACCATAGTTTCGAGTGCTCGCATCGAGATGCGCATGCACCACGGATTGGAAACCGACAAGCCCTGCTCCGGAATCCTGCTCCGTGAAGCGTGGGCCCCGGAGCTAGTCAGACTGCACAAGTCTGCTCAAGTTTTATCGAGCATTGACACAACAGGCCCAGCATGGTTTCACCCTTCAATCGAGCTCTTCTACCTACCAACCCTGCGAATCAGAGTTGTCCCCCAACCCACCACCCCATCCTCAATCACGGAACCTAAGCATCTTGAACCTGAGGTTTGCCGAGATGGAGGATCTGCTTCGCGCGCTCAACCTCGGCAGCATCTCCGGTGTTCTGGCACAAATGGATGAATGGTACTTTGGATCAGGGAGAATCTTGTCTTCGGTATTCTCCTGCCACAAAGATACTACGGCCATAAAGATTCGGCTCACCTTTGTCAAATCGTCGGAAATCTTGATGCAGAATTTGTCGTTGATGCGGTACATCTTGATGACCATGTTCAGCGCCTTGCTCTTCTCACCTTGCTCTCGCACAGGTCCGGAGCCGTCGTCCTCCGCCGGAGCAATGGGCGATGCGGTCCGGCGAAAGTCTGTACGTCACACTGGTCAGTTTAGGCTAATGTTGAGTGATCCGCGTATTCGGTATGAAATCCTACCATTTGTCAGATTGGTGCCTACTCCGAACGAGCAGCCCACCCCGGCAAGGTCAGACGCTTTCTTCAACTTCAGGCAAGTCGGAACGTCCAAACCATCGGAGAAGACGATGACCTCTGTTTGGCGGAGCACTCCGATTCGTTCAGTGCCGTCATATCGCTATGCTGGTGTGAAAATCGAGCGCCCGCACTCACTTGTCTTCGGGTCAGCCCCCACTCTGAGGAAAGCCTCTTTGGCCATCGGAATAAAGTCGAGAGGATCCTGAGCACAACGTTTGCTGTCAATTTTACATTGAGCAGATCAGCCCATAAAGTATCATACACTCCAACTCACCCCCGAGTCTTGTCTCAGCCCCCTCCACGTCCTTGATCTCTCCGGGTCGGCAACAAAGTCATCGAAGAAAGGTTTGGTCGAGAATGTGTCCGTCAGAGCCACCGATAAAGCCTTGGAGGGGTAGCATTCGTCCCATAATCGCATGGCTAAAGCGTTCGACTTTTCGTAGCCATGGAGCGCGGCGATGCCCATGATCCATTCTGTGCGATTCATGACGCTTTCACGATGAGCACCCACTCCGCTTCTGGAATTTTCCTACCAGCCAGTCTCGTGCGGGCTCACCATGGGCGATCGTCCCAATCGGCATAAGACCGTACTTCATCGCAAGGAAAATGTTCGACGTCCCCGATAGCTTTCCTCGTCCTTCTCCAGACGCGTACTCGTCGTGCGCGGCCATGAGTCCTCGGATGATGATCTCTTGGGCTTTGAATGAGCGCCGACGGCGTGTGCCGAATTCGCTGGTCAAACACCCGCCGAGGAAAAGTTGTCGGCCTTTCTCTTTGGCTTGTTCTGAGGACGGAAGATGGCACCCCTCGTCAGTGGAAGACATCAAAGATCTTGAAAGTCTTCTGGACCAACCAAATTGGCCCCTGTAGTCCCATGCGGTGTCGACCTTGGTGAAGTACACCTCTGAGAGAATCGCCATCACCGGAACCTGATAAGGGGATGACACCGCAACGTGAGCTTGGCACTCCCAATTGAACCGAGGCAAGACCCCAACACCAAGCCCAAAGTCTTGCCATCGAAAAATCAGGACCTTACCTCATACAAAATCGTCGCCGCCCAGCCCCCTTGATCTCAATCTCGAAACGACCCGATTCGACACCCTCTTCATCCGTGTTCTCAACCACGAAATCGACCTTGACTTGCTGATCCGGATCAAACCGGAATTTGGACAGATAGTCGAGGTATTCGGGGGTAAAGTAGGGGCAGTTCGTTTTGAGCCATTCCACTTCGGACGAGGTCACGCGGAGTGTTCCAAGATCTGATTTCGAGCATCGCCGCGGGTAGTCATTGTCAGTCACGTTCCGGCAGTACAAGGTGTCTGCCCGAGCTCACCCTTGATAGCAACCAAGACTGCATCATGCATACGCCGGGTGAAGGGTGTGCGCCCTCGGTTCGTGAAGCGGTATTCGACTTGCGCTTGAGGGAAGTGGTGGCGCACCGCATTCTGCAGCGACAGCTTGTACAGGTCCGTGTCGAGGAGGGACTGGATCAACATGTCGGAAGGGGGCTGGTTTGATTGAAAGGCGTCGGTGCGTTGAGTTGAACCCCCGCCGTGGGTAGGCAGGCAATGTTTGGGACACAAACCGTCGTTCCTATTGACTCGACAGCGGCTCGGGGAGTGGCCCGGTCGAGCACGGCACGTGACCAGTCGCGGAGTCATCCCGTTTTGACTCCCGCTGGTGCAATTCGATCAACGTGCGTCACAGGCAGGTACATAATCAAGACCCAACATATGCAAATCAATCAAAACATACATGATCCACAACAAAAGTCATCCGTCCGAGTAAGAGTACCATCTACCACCTCACTACGTACTACCCGTTGAGTTCAAACCAGCGAAGCTTCCCTTCCTTTATTCGGCGGACCAGGGCACGAATTTGTCAACAACCTCCTCAAGATCCTCGCGCCTTCCTGCGCAATCTCCCACCTCGACGTCTCAATGTACTCCTGGATCATCTGACACAGATCAAGGACGTTGTTCTTGCCCCGAACCAACAACAAGCTCTCGGGCGAGTCGCAGCACAACGAATCGAGGAAGCGCAGCGCCGAGCCTTTGTAGTCGGCTGTACGGGGACCGGGGCGACCACTCGTTGCTCGTCCGTAACAGTACAGCGTCAACGTCGCGATGTAGACGCACCAACGGTGATGTAAACACCCCGCCAGATCCTCCTTGGCGTGCTCGTAGTGCTGCATCGAATCGCGCAGGAAGAACGCCGCATGCCACGACGCGGCTCGGGCGTCCTTCGTCGAGGACCACATCCGAATTCGCGCTTCGGTCGCATGGAACACGGCGGTCGAGACGAGTAGACCGAGCGCACTTTCCGCACCGGCGTAAATTTGCAGCTCGTGGATGTCGATCGAGAGGGTGATGTGCGCCACGGCGTAGAGCGAGATCGAGGCGCGGAGGAGCTGCGTAGTCGGTGCCGTCACTCCAGCGAGACAGGTGTCGAGGCGACTCTTCCACGAGTTGTACGACGAGGAGACTGCAGAAAGACACTTTTCTAGTCAGCTCTATCCTTTCCACTGGCTTCAGGAGGGTGGGACGTGGAGGTACTCACTCATGTCGCGCCAGTTGTGAGCTCGCTCCGACTGCGACAGCCCAATCACATGATCACGCCACTGAAGATCTTGCGCGACGCTCAACAATCCATGCAGGATAGCGATCCTGGAGAACGAGTTCAGGACCGGCGGTGAATGCCCAGCCATCAACGAAGCTTTCAATGCCGAGATGAATGGAACGGGCGCTCGAGCCTGCGCGTGCAGGATGGCCCATTCTTGTGCAGTCGTCGCTTCCCATTCGTCCTCGTCGCAAGGGAGTTGCACTTGGATTTGGAAAGCTGACAGCGCAGGCGAATGCCGGAACAGTGAGGCGTCTGCGAAGGTCGAGGAAAGTCAATAAGACGGCGTCTACCCTCTGCTCACAGGTGCGACAAGACGTACGTTCGACATCCAACGCGAAAATGATAAGCGCCGTCCTCTTGAGCGACTCCTCCTCGATCCAGGCCGCCCATCTCGCCTCGACATCATTCTCCTTCCCTTTCGGCATCACCGCCGGTGCACGTTGCGAAAAGATAGCGCTTCGTCGGCCCAAGGTGACGCACGAGCTCCAAAAGATATGCGCCATTTCGTGATGGAGGCGCGTCGAGCACAGCTTTCCGAATACCGAGATGAGGAGGATCGTTTGGTGCAGCCATAGCTCGGTGCGGGGCTTGAATTCGGCGGAGCAGATGACTTTGCCGCGGAAGAAGCTGTGCAGCTTTACTGCGAGCTGTTGCGACTCGAGAGGGCCGAAGTAGCACCCAAGTAAGAGCTGAACACGACAAATCGGAGAATGTCAGTTTTCAACGTGTGGAGGACAGGCCCGAGAGCGATCGACCCACCATCGAGAGCAGAAGCGGTGTCTTGGTCCTGTTCGTCTTGAAGGACGCTCGGTGAATACCAGGCACTTGCGTTTCGTGGATACGCAGCCAGAAGTCTTCCAAGTACTGCACCATCGCAGCACGAGACATTCTCGGATCGTTGCGCAGTGGTTTACCCTCGATCTGAAGATTCACGCCAGAAGAGAAGACGAGTGAGGAAGACTCATCACACGAGAGGACTCTGCATATCTGAACGCACCTCCAGATAGTCGATGACTTTGAGTCGTGTCCGCTCATCGATGTACGTCGAGCGATCGACGTTGCCTCTTGCTGCGGGGTTGCTTGGAGCCGGAAAGGTGATCGACTCGGAATCGGATGTCTGCTCAACGAAAGTGATTAGTCCCGGTCTCCACTGCACCGCTGCTCGAGTCGCAATACTCACAATGGGCATCGGCGATGGGTCGGTCCGTGGCGAAGGAGCAATAACAGGTGGCGGCGTCGGTTTCACCTCCTCCACTGCGCTCTGTGGAGTCGAGTCGGTTGCATTCTGACGTTGACCAGGCGAGTTGACCCCATTGATCGACTCCCATTCAGTCGCAATACGTCCATAGCCTCCATTCTGCACCTGCGCATGCAGATCCAGGCCTCTCGTCACCTCCTGCAAATCCTCGGGACTCATGCCCGACCCCGGTGTCCGTCCGGTCCCGTTTGAATTCGAAGTCTGACCACCTGGGATCGATCCCGGGCCATTAAAGGCGAGCAACTCGTGCCCAGGGCTGACGGGTCGCGATCGGGCAAACTGGATGTCGAAGCCACCGGTCGGATCGAAAAGCCAGCTGTATTCGCTAGCCGAGACGAAGGGTACCCCATACGACTGCTGGATAAAGTTGAGGGGCTCTTCGAATCCAGGGATCGAGGATTGTGGGCCTGGCGCATCGCTGTTGAAGGTGTCGAAGAAGGGTGTCGGGGCATCATTCGGTACCGAACCGGAACCGTACACACCGCCGGCCGGATTGGGTGCCCCGTCATTTTGGTAATGGTTGAGTTGATTCGCGGCTGGATGTGCCGAAGGTGGAGGGAAGGCATTGCCAGGAAAGGAGGTGATGGATGGAGGCGGCATCGGATTCGGGTTTGGGGCCGTGAAGGGATTGTAGGCCGACGGATTGCTTGGACCTGCCGCTGCCGAGCCCATGGCATGAGACTGCGGACCGTACAGATGTTGCTGTAGGCTGAACATGGCACTGTTCCGATGCTCGTGGTGGGTCGGCATGGCGGATTCACCGACAGGGGTCAACCCGGCGAGATGCGGGTACGATCCCGCGTGCTCGGGGGATCTCGTCGACGCCGATGCCGATGCCGATGCTTGCGGATGGGGAGTCGAGCCGGACGAAGCTGCGCCCGGAGAGACGCCATCGACGGAAGCCGACGATGCCGAACCACAGCTAGGTACCCTGTTGCGCCGAAAAGGTATCTCGGAAGGAATGGACCCGGCGTTCTGTAGTTTTCGGGCCGATGTGACCGAATTGCGCGAGAGGGCTCCTGAAGCGCCGGTCTGACCCTTGCGCTCGTGCCGACCTTCGTGCCGTATCAGCAGATCGTTGCGTACAAAAGTCTTGGGGCAACCTGGTTTAGAGCATTTGTAGATGGTAGCCGGTCTGTGATTGAGCTTGTGACGGTTGAGGTGATCGGGGCGGGAGAAGGCTGAGAGATCGATCGGTCGAGACGGGGCGAGCCAGCCGTGGATTGAGGAAGGAGTGGGCGGAGATGAGAGAGGCAATTCAGCAGCTGTACCGACACTGGCTCCAATCCTCCAGCAACCTTGCCGATCACAAGATATGCTCTGTCGAGCGAGACTTGTAGCGAAGCGAGCTAGCGCTTTGGCGAGATGGACCGGCTGCTGGCTTGCTCGCCGGACCGGGGAAGCGCGTCTCGACGGCCCACACAAGCTCACCTTTGCCACAGCCAGGCCAGTCGCATACATGAGGCTTGACCTCGGCTGCTCCTATCGCGTCGACGACGCCTGATTCGGCTTTCGAGGTGGATGCCTCGCCGGGCGTAGGCATTCCCGTGGCGGGGGCGCCCTGACCGCTGGAACGGCTGAGGCCTGCCGCGTCGTTGGCTTGACGCGGCTTCTTGAGCGCCCTCCGGTGCGGCGAATTATCGTCGTCGTCCTGCGCGTGGTGATGGCCGTGACGGTGGTGATCGAGCATCCTGTTCATATTGCCGTTCCCACTTCCACTCCCGACCGACATGGACGACGAAGCCGAGGCGGCTCCTCCATGAGCGAGGGCCTGCATCGAGGCGGCCGGGCTGGGAAAAGCTTCGAACCCGGGCGGTCCCCACAGCTTTCCCCAGCCTCAGAGCTCCGAGGCCGGCGAGCGCGGTAGAGCGCGGTAGAGCGCGGTAGAGCGCAGTAGAGCGCGGTGCAAGTCACGAGGACAACACACGCCGGGGGGTTCAACCCAGGAGAGGATGACGCAGCGAGGGTGGGCGGACCAAAGAAGGGCGTGGACCGACGGGCAATGGCAAGTAGACCCCAAGCCCAACGGAGGACGGACACAGGGTGAGGTCACTGAGGTGCTAGCCTCTAGGTGAGAACTGGGTCGGCGGACAGGTAAAAGCTCATCACCACCAACTTGGAGCCTGGCTTGCGTTGCCCCTGCCCGGCGTGATCGAGCGCTAGCGTTTTCCTGGGGCAAGGCAGAAAAAGGGTGCCTAAAAACCAGTGCCCGAGAAGAGCGGTCCCAGCCTAGGACGGACTTGATTCGACTCTCTGCAATTTTTGAAGAGATAGTCATGTTTCCTTGAAGATCGTGCGCCGACGTCACGGTGAAATCCTCATTCCGAGAGTAACTTAACGCGCCGTGTCGGGATGTGGGGTACTCTCTGCGCGCTGTGACGGTTCTGGCTGACTTCAAACTTGCCGGCTGCTGGCGCGCTGGCGCGCTGGCGCGCTGGCGAGCTGTTGCTGCGGTCGCACTTGAAAGCTTGAACCAAACCACACAGTACGGCTCGACCCGACCCCACCGTGCACCGACCCGGCGTCGGCGATCCACTTTCCCCATCGATCTCTAGCACCCATCATCACGTGGACGTGGTCACTGGATTTTTAATTGTCCACATCTCAAAGAGGCATCGTGAGTTGTTGGATTGGCTTGCTCGCTCGGGGATCGACGGGCGATACGGCCGATGTCGATCGGTTGCGAAGCTCAGCCGCGATCCGAGCGACCCTCAGCAGCGCTCACCGCATCAAGCGTGTATGCACATTCTCAGAGGAGCCAGCCCCCCTGGGTGCAGCCACCGGACATGACGTGCAGCACTCGAGTACCTCGTACCACTTGGTCTCACGGTACTCGCTGTGTGAAATATCGAAAACACTGTCGATGGTGATGCTGTCTTGGCATGCCGATGCATCACCGGCGGCCGTGCTCGTCGCGTCGAGAGCGTCGTATCGAGTGTGGCAACGCGCTAGGTTCTCGTGGCTGCCTCTGAAATCTCGCACCTCAAAGACATGTACTCTCACCCGAGTTCGCCGAACTGATCCCGCTTCCCGTCGCTACAGAAACACCGAATAAAGCTCGATCGGTTCCCAGTCGGCGGACCGAGGGCCTTTGTTGCCTCGCCGCCCCTTTGGGCATCCTCAACTGTACCCTCCCCACGATGGCCTCGGATCCAATTTCGTCGTCGTCGAAATTGAACACACCATCGTATACGGCGTCGCTAGCTTCCTCGTCGGCTGCGGCGCCGAGTGACGAGCCTTTTCTGGCCTCCATGTCCGGCACCTCTGCAGCGACCACCACCACCTTCTCGTCGTCCGTCTCACCCATGGCGAACCCGCTCTTGGACGACGATGACCAGCACGCCCTTTCTGGTTGGGCTAGGACGCTGCAATACTCGCCCCAGATCTTTCCCACCTTGTATTCGTCGTCGCTCGCGCACTCCGATTCAGGTCTCGGCAATTTCGGCCTTGATCTCGGCGACTCTGCCATGATGGCCGGACCTTCATCGTTCAAATCGGTTGTGGGGTTCGCTGACTCGCCCCTCCTCGGTCCAAGTTCGAGATCGAATATCGGCGATGGACTTGGTTCCCACCTACAACCGCCATCGCAACCAACGAATGCGGCGAATGGATCCATGTTGCCGTCGGGCGACACCTCCTTGTCCGACTTTGACTCGTTTGCCTCCTCCTTCAATTTCGACAGCTCGCTCTTCAACGCCGTCCAAACACCACAAACGATCGAAGAAATACACCGATTGTTGAACGAAGTCGCATTGACTACACCCGCGTTGTCATCAACGATCGCGAACGGGTTATCGGATCCGATTCTGCAGACCCCGCCTCGACCCAAGGATGACTCAGAGATCCGTGCCTACGCCAAGCTCGAATTTGCGACGTCGGATTTCTACATCCAGAAACTCAGCGTGGTTGTGGGACGAAGACCTGCTGCTGCGATGGGCACGTCGGCCTCCCCGGCTCCGCTAGGCTTGACTGGGAATGGTAGCAGCATCAAGCTCGAGGACTTTTCTATGGAAGCTGGGGAGACGCAGATTCTGTTGAGGGAAGGCACCGAGGCAGCCAAGGGGGATACCCTTGATGGAAGAAATGATGCATCAACATCGGAGACTAGTATTCCCGTCCCACAGATCGAGGTCACACCCAATAGCCCGGGCCCATCGATTGGAGCCTCGCAACCACAATTCGCAACCGGTACCGACATCTCGGCCACAGGTCCTGCCTCGACATCCAAGCCAAACGGTACCACCCCAATCGAAAGACAAGATTCGAACTTGAGCGCCAAGGGCATAACGACGCCCGCCTTGGCGGATATCGATCTTGGGCCTATTCGCGCCGTCTCGCGACATCACGCTCGGATTTACTTTAGCGAGAAGAAGGGGCGTTGGAAAGTTGAGGTGTTGGGGAGAAATGGGGTCGTTGTTGATGGGCAGTGGAAGGGGAAGGGAGAGAGAGCGACGTTGAAGCATCGGTACGCACTTCGTGTCGCGAGTCTTCGATCCAGTCTATCGGGCTCATTCTTTCCCGAGCACAGAACCAAGGTCCAGATCGCTGAGCGCGTGTTCCACTTCGTCCTTCCCGCTGCGGAGATTGCATCCTCCCTCGAAGTCTCGCCCGAGAAGAAGAAGAAAAAGGCCACTTCCAAGAACCGAGCTTCTGGCGAGCGTGCGGGCTCCGAAGGGGAAAGCGAAGGGCATTCGTCCTCGTCGTTGTCGGACGTCTCGGAAAGCGATATCGAACTCTCGCCGCTCCTCGATACTAAGACTGAACTCGTCGAAGAGGCGACAACATCGAATACATCACCTTCCAAGATCCGACTCACACTCAGCCTCGGTCCTGGTTCGAGGGCGTCGACTCCGGATTCTTCGAAGGGTACAACTAGCATGGCACCTCCACCGCCTCGGAAACTTACGCCAAGTGCTTCTCCGGCGGCAGGCGGTTCGTCACAGCTCACACTGGCCACCGATCTCAACGCTGCGTTGGGAAACTTGTTGGCTCTACCTCCACTGCCACCTCTACCTGATCTTCCTACTCTGCCCACGATTCTCGCGCCTTCGGTCCCCGAGCCCTCCAAACCCGAGCCTTCGAAGCCTGTGCCATCGATATCTGCGCCCTCGACGTCCGCCACCTCGACACCCGTCTCTATCACTGCAACTGCACCTGCACCTGCACCTGCACCTGTACCTTTGATTCCCATACCTCTCACACCTATGCCTTCAACATCTGCAGCGACTGGAAGTGGCGCAGGCGGAGGGCTCGGAAAGGGGTCCGGGCGGGGCAAAGGAGGCAAAGGAGTCACAGGAGGCATAGGCGGCAAGGGTGGAAAAAGCGGCATGGTCAGCATGCATATGGGAGGCAAAGGAGGAAAGGGTAAAGGGATGGGCAAGACCATCATCCCGGGCAAGACTAAGTTTCCTCATGGACTCGTGCGCGCGGACGCGGGATCAGATTCGAGCTCGGACAGTGATAGTGATGATGATAGTGACAAGGATAGCAACACGACTGCGATTGCTGGGGCGTCGTCGGATGATGAGCGGTCGGGGGTATTGCATGTCGGGAAGGGACCAGGCAAAATGCCGCTGCCTCGGAAAGCCCCGCGGAAGCATGGGAAGACGACTACCGAACCTGCGCCCATTGCTCTCAAGCAACTCACGCCTTCGACTTCGACTCCTGCACCGATTTCCAATGCTAGCACCGCGACCGCAACCCCTCTCCCAACCCTCCCGGATCCGTCGTTGTTCGCCTCCCTACCAGACCTACCGACTCTGCCATCCCTGCCTGGTGAGGCACATAATGCAACGGCGGGAAAGACGCTTGCGCAATTACCGACACCGACGACCTCGAATGGAACCGCTGCCCCCATCCGTGTCCCCACCCCCTCTCCTGCACCTGCCCCTGCCCCTATTCGAACCCCAGCTTTGAATACAAGCGCAGGTCCCGCCACATCACCCGCTGCGGCGGTAGATTCCACATCTGGTCCCTCACTCGTCCGCCCGCCCACAGACGGCGCGATCGATTCTGCATCCGCGACCGCCGATTCATCAGCTCCCCCACCCTCCTTCGTCCCGAAGCCACCCACCCCAGCTTACGTCGCCGCCGCCGCTGACCCCTCCATCCCGACCTCTCGTCTTCCACATACCCCGGCACCGATACTCAAGGCGCCCCCTCGACATGCTCCGTTCCAACCCGCGCCGATGCCGGAAGGCGACCCGCCTCACGAGGCGCCAGCTCACGACCGAAACATGAAACCCCCTTACACGTACGGGTCTTTGATCGCGCAAGCCGTTTCAGAATCGGAGCACAACAAGATGACGATGTCACAGGTTTACGATTGGATTGATCGAAGGTGGCCTTTCTTCAGAGATAATCAGCCTGGGTGGCAGGTAAGTCGGGGTGCCTCTTACAGTGCTCCACGATTCCCGAATTTCTGACATTGGATTCCAACATTTATCCTTTTGACAGAATTCTGTGCGCCACAACCTCACTCCAGCGCGTGGATTTGTCAAGATCGACCGACGGCCTGACGAGCCCGGCAAAGGTGCTTTCTGGACCGTCGATCCTGCTCAACTGTCCAACTTTGATGGCCTTCACTACAGAAAGAAGAACCTCGGCGGGGCTACCAGACCCAAGCCTGCGGCACCTCCGGTCATGGGCTCGTTCGCTCCCACGTCAGGTTCGACAACAGCTCCGACAGCGACTCCGACCTCCTCGGGTGTCTCTGCGCCGAGTACGAACACGGGCTCATCCCTGGGTATGGGCATAAATGCGGGCTCGGCCATCACTCGGCCTCCACCTCCGAACCCACCTAGCACGGGTCCTGCACTTTCGGTCCCGTTACCCATCGTCGTCGGCCCGATTCCCGAAACCTACGTCCGACCTACACCTCCACCGAGCTCAGCCCCTCCCGATGAAATCACCGCCGCTCTGCTCCGAGACCCGCCGATCGTACTGCACGAAGGCAAACTCATCATCAATCCGATCATCTTCGCGCACCTTTCCAAAGAACAACTCGCGAATCTCGAGACCCTACCCGCGAGTAATGCGCTACAAATCCTTCAGGCTTACGTCGTGCAGCATTTCAAAGAGAAGATGAAGCGCATTGCGGATGAGAAAGCGGCGGCCAAGGCACGGGCTGAGAAAGCGGCGGCGGAAAAACTTGCGGCTGAGAAGCTCGTAGCCGAAGCTGCAGCTGCGAAGAAGGCGCTCGATACAGCTATTACGAGTCCATCCCCTGCACCAACGACGACGAAGAAGGCAGGGTCCCCGACGCCGGGTTCGAAGGATGCTCCGAAGAAACCGACCGCTGCGGCTAGTGCATCGACACCTTCGACCTCCGGTAAGAAGCATCCTTCGAGCACGGCCGCATCAAAGCGAAAGGCAGCCGACGATGCCTCGTCATCCTCCCATGGGGCTAGCAAAGTTTTGAAGACTGAGGAGGGCCAAACAACGAAGAAGTGAACGGTGGCGGGAGTGTTTACGAGCTAGACGCAACCTGCTCGGAGCACGTGTCGGCAGAAGCTTTGAATCTTCTGGCGTGGAAATTGCGCAAAACTTCGCCTGCCAGCGCTTGCACCTCTATTGTAAGAGTCAACTATGCCTTCTTGCAATGAGATATTCAGAGCTACGGTCTCGTCTCCTTGTAAACTATAGTGTCGGGTCAAGCTGCAGGTCATCGTCTGACGTGTGACGGCCTCAACGGCGCCGCTCCCTTACCTAATTCCGATCCGGCACCGTATATCCGGGCCCAGGGACGCGCTCGTCTCGTCTCGGATCCGAGAGACCAAAAGTCCGTGACGTATCGGGAGCCTTCAATTTTTAACCAGAGTGCAACTTTGTACCAACTTGCCCAGATCGCCTATTCTTCCAGTTGACTGCAAGTCCAAGGGTCAAGTACATGGGATTTTTCAAGTTCTCAAGACCCCGAGGACAGCATACACACAGAGCGTGGGGAGTCGAGTCGACGGCGCCTGCATCGGAATCCGCTTCGAGACATACAATTTCATGAGGCGCCTGCTCCCGTCTCACGCAGAAGGCACGCGTGGGATGTCTGTCTCGGGTCGACGTCTCGGCTAGGGCAGACTAACAATTTTTATTTTTTTAAAGTTTTTGGGGCCTATCGCCGAGTATAAACTCCTAGGCAGGATTTCTCTTCCTCGCGTCTGTACTGGCAGGCTGTTCGTGTGACCTGGGCTCTGAACCAGAGGCAGGCACGGGGAAAGATAAAAGCTAATAACAATGTGGCCGGAACACATCTGAGCAGGCGGGGCGAACTAGTAATCTCGGGAATTAGGCAAATTCCGTGGACTAGCACGTTCGAAGTGGTGGGTTGTATTCGCAGACTTTTTTTTGTTTTTGTATCAAGCCTGATTAGATTTCACATATTCGGTTATCTACGCTGCGGCTGCGACATTTATGCACCTACCACCGGCCAATTGAACCCGCCAGTGCAGGACATGCGTCATTCACTCATCGAAGTCGCCAACTTGAAGGGGCGCAATCGCACTAAGGTTTGATCCACGGCGTCGAATATGAAACGGGCGTGAGCGATAATGAATGGTCCGAGGCACGCGCTTCGCCCAAAAAGGCAGGTGCCGCGACTGCAGCCATAAGCGGAGTTCTCAACGACGCCTGCGCGCCATGGTCAAGGGGGAGAATTGGTAGGCCACGTTGTGGTACGTGCCTGGGCTTTGTAGCTGCCCCCGTGGTGCCCTATTTATCCGCACTCGTTTCAGGTGGCCCATTGTCTGTTCAGCCATCCTGAAACGGTTGTCGATTGTCCAGGGGTCGTGGCGATCTATGCGCGGTACAAAAGAACTTCGATCCGCCGGCAACATCTTTCCTCGATCCACTGTTGCCCCACGTCTTGACCCACTGCTGTTTCTCTTCCCTCTCTCTGCACCCAGCTGGACTCCAAGTTTTATGTTTCACACTCCTGCTGCTGCTCGGACACCCTCGTTTCTCCTACTTTTGCCACCGAAGCACCATTGCCAGTCGACATCACCCGCAGCGCCGTTCCTGATCTACGAGGCGCCGCCGATCACGTTACGTTCACACGCCCAGACCGCCGCCGATCGATCGTGCCACTCGTGATTAAGGTTTTATAGAGAGCTGGCACCTCAGGCAAAGACACCTTTCCCTGATCTGCAGAAGATGATGCCCAATGTGAGTCGGAGATGCACGAGCGTTCGTTCGGTGTACTGGCAGAGAAGCGGGCGCGTGCAGGCCGCTGGTCCGGGAGCCCGGCGGGTCCCCTCCCTCCCGACTCGTCGGGCCTGCTGCTCCCTCCGAGTCCAGTTTGCGCAGTCGACCGACCACTCCACGTGCTCCGCCTCGACCCAGTCACGAGCACTCAGCTGCATCGCTCCTTCTGGTCTCTTTATTTGAGCTATGGCATCATATTCATGATCAGGCTGTACTCCTTTTACATTGCAGTCTCGCAGATCGCCATTCGCTTTGCTGCGCAAGTCAAGTCGCTTCGGTCGAAGCGTCTCTCCTCGCGAAACGGCCTTTACCGACATGAGCGTATTCGACCCCGTACTTGATCATCGTAACACCGGCAATGGCTCCGTCTCCCCATCGACAGGACGTCCCACGGCTTCCGTCAAGATGGGCTGGTGCTCAAACTCGTTGACCGGTGAGACTTCACCCGTGGCGAACGAGTCGACCAGTTTGAAGTCCCGGTCCTCTACCAGTGGAGCGAGCATCACCAGCAACAATCACAACGCGTCGTTTGGTCTCGAAGGCTTGGCAATTGTTGCGGACGACAAGGTGCTCCTTTCGCTCCCCTCACCCGCCGAGGTGTCGCCAGATTCTAGGCGACTTCCCCTTCGCCCTACGAAGCAAATCGCTCGTAAGCCAGTACCTTCTGCTTCTGCGTCGGTCGAACCTGCCGTGAAGCCAGCGAAGGTATTCAAAGCATATTCACCAATGACCCAAGATGACACGACTTGCGATGAAGCTGCCGCCAAAATTGACATCGTTGATTCTTACCCCGTCTTCCGAGACTCGGGGAGCGTGTTCGGACCTCGTTATTCGACCGAACCCCGCAACTCGTCATTATCGACAGCTTCCGACACACCCGCATTGTCCGATGGGTCCTCGTCGCGCAACTCTTCCTTCTCGTCGACGACATCCGAACAATCCGAGCCTCGGCCTTCGTCCGCCTCCTCAATGACCTACATCACCGGAGCCCCACGAGCTTCCAAACGCCTCTCAGGAAGCTTCAACACGCTCAACGGCATCTTCATCGTCGCCTCCCCGCACCGCCCCACAAGTCGATCCCCGAACCGATGCCTCTCAAAATCCTGCGACGTCGAGGCGTTCCAACTTCCTTATTTACCAACACTCTTCCCAGAGTCCCCCTCTTCCTATTCCTCGGCGGACCTCGCCGAGCCAACGACGAAAGGATCTATGCTCGCCCCTCGTACACTCGACGAGCTCGGTCCCGAGGTAGATCCTATCACGGTTAAGGTCACCCCGAAACGAAGGGCAAGCTTCGATTCGAACGCGATTCGTATCAGTTGCTACGATCGCGTCTTTTATGTGCATTGATTCCGTGGTCGACCTTCACCGACCCTGCTTTGTTGTCTCTGTAGCTATCTATCTAACACCCGTAGCCATCACTTCTGTTTTATTTGTACACCTTTGCAAAATCCATCATCTTCGTACCGTCCCACCAGCGCGATACCCAATGGACCACTGAGAAGAAAGAACATGAATGGCAGAATGCATGGCAACGAAAGGGAATGTGCTACAACAAAAAACAAATTAATGCCTCCAGCTGTACCAGCGAAGGAACATATCGCATCAGTACTATTGTCGATGAGTCCCCCGAGCCGAGTCATAAAGAAGGGCTTACATCTTGACCTTCTTGTCCCTCCCGCCGCTGGCGATCTTGTCCGCGACAAAATCGACGCAGTACACCTCGTCGGTATGGCCCGGTAAGTCGATGCGGATCTTGTACGTCTTCAGGTCCCAGAGCTGCCAGGCAGAGGATTCGTAGTATAGGGTCAGCCCCCTCGAGCTAGCAGACGATAAAGACAATTATCGTAGGAGCCTGATGCTCACTTTCAACGTCGAATCTTTACTAGCCGAGACCAACATCCTCGAGTCCGAAGACCACGAAATACGGTACACAGCCGCGACGTGACCTCTCAGACTTGCGATGAATCTGAGCAAGAAGGCGAAGCAAAGCATTCTGTCAGTCTGGGTAGTTCTTCCTTCTCCCATGCTAGCCGAGCCCCTCTTCACTCACTTCCCCGTCCTCCCATCCCAAAGTTTAACCGCATTATCGAACCCGGCACTGGCAATGAATTTCCCATCCGGCGAGAAAGCAACATGGTTGACTTGTTTCTGATGCCCCGTCAAGCGAGCCAAGGGCTTCTTGGGATTCTCGGAAGCGAGAGGGGACCAGAGGAATAAGGTGTGGTCATCGGAACCGGTGATCATGAGTTCGGGTTGGGTCGAGGTGAACTTTTGATACCGGGCGAGCGCGAGGGCTTGAGCTGCAGGGTGGAAAGTGAAATTAGGAGCTGTTCAAAGTGAGCACTGTGCCTAGATGCTCGATCGAGTGGTTGAGAGCTCACCCTCTTCGTCGTTGGCCGGTGTTTTGGCCTTTTGGTCATAGGGTCCGGATCTCAGGATAAAGTCGGTGTTGAGCGCCATGGTGTTTACCCAGTGGGCGTGTTCGGATAATGTTCGGATGAGTTTGCCCTGATCGAGAAAGGTTCACGGCATCAGTACGTGACTACTAACAAGAACCACTCGGGGGTCACTAACATCCTTTCCACTCCAAAGCTTGACTGTCCGATCACTACTAGCGGTGTAGATGACGCCTTCGCCACCCCATCGCACAACGTTGACACTCGCGGTGTGACCACCCAGACTGAAATCGAGTCGCTGCGCTTTGACGTTCCATACTCGGACCGTCGAGTCCTTGGAAGAAGATGCTAATCGAGGTTTGGCGACATTCCTGAAGCGAATGAGGAGGCAGGAAGGTCAGCATGTTGCGCAATAGATAATCTGCCATGCTGCGCGATGGACTTGCAAATGAACCGGTTCCCACGCGAGCGAAGTGATCCATTTGGAATGCCCTCGTAGCGCATCACCAATAGCCAGACCCGTTTTCGGATCCCACAGCCGTACCTGAACCAGAAGAAGGGTCGCAAAGGCGTGAGTAAGGCCGAGCTCTCAAGTGAAACTCGAGTTGCTCTTTTGAAACGTACCGAATTATCCATACTTCCCGTCGCGACCGTCCTCTCCAAGCCGTCCCATTCGACACAAAGCAGCCATCCGGCATGTCCCTTGAGCGTCGATTGAGGCGTCTCCGTGTCGAGGTTCCACAATCGACATGTGTGGTCGCCGGATCCGGTGGCTAAAATCCTGCCCGTCGGTGAGAAAGAAGCGCACAAGATTGGCGATGCGTGACCTGGGTCGCAGGGAGAGCACCGAGACGCATCGGGGTCAGCAGATAGTCATAAGAAGATTGGTCTAGTCGCCAAACTGACCATCCAGCGAAGAACTGCATCGCGTGATCTCCCTGACGCGAAAGACGGCCTCGGGTTCGCACTCGATGACGAAAACGTCCTCGGTCGAGACCTTGGTCGCATGCTTGGTCAACAAATCGACATGCAACGAGGTGGTAATGGCGATACGGGAGTCCTCGACGTTCTCCTCTTGGGTCGTGTTGGGGAGGTTCAAGTGGAAAGCGAAGGGGACCGGATCTTGTTCCTATTGAGCGAGCGAGCCGTCAGTCGGTCCTAGCGCTGTCACGCCGCATCCAGAACCACCTTTACAAGCGAGTCACTCACACTCCCCCTCAACGTATTCGCCAACAGTTCCAGCCCTTCCCGACTCGTATCAGCAGGCAGCGAGACCGCCGGACCGAGCAGACTCCCATCGAGCGCATTGCGAAACTGGCACACGATCGTCGCTACGGGAGCAGCGGCAGCGGCAGCATTCGCTTCTTTGGTCGGGTTGAGGCGAGCTCTTTTGGGCGTGGGGGGGATTTGGGTCGACATGGGTGGTAGGTGGTTCCTGGTTGGAAGTGGGGTTGTGGGAAGGAGCGGAAGTGGAGCCGAGCAGCAGGCGTGTGAGTGGCCTTCGCAGCCGGACAGACCATCTCGCGCCTGCCCCCCGCAAACTCCCGCAAAGTGATCGAGCCAGGACCAAGCTCGAGATATGTCGTCAAAATCAGACCGCGGTCATCGACTGCATCGATTTTAAGAAACTTCGATCTAGGCTCAAGGATTGCAACAAACATGCGTCTAGTTCAGGTGTAACGTTTCTTCGTCCCGGTGAAAGTTCCTTCCCGATGGGGGGGCGGGGGACGATCACGTGATTTGACCCCGTCGAACGAGTCACGAAAATTGAAGGTCAAATTGCAATGCAGTCGGGACAATGCCAAACGATGCGAATAGTAAAGTCAAAGATTCAAGAAATCGAACAAGTTCTCCCCACCCACCCCACTCCCCTTCGTCTACCTCACCGAAATGCCCGTCTTCCCCTTCCTCTGAATACCATGATCATCCTCCAAATCCTTACCGCTCAAAGACCTGCCTCCACCCCCCTCTTTCCCGACCCCCCTTCTCACATCGAACACCTTCCAGAATTTGAGGTTCTCGTCCGAACTGGCCGTCGCGACCGTCGTTCCATCGGGACTCAAGCACGAATGCAAGATCCTCGTTTCGTGCGCTTGCGGGATATCACTGACTTTGGTCAGACTGGGGTAGGCCCAGATCGAGAGTTGATGATCGGGGATCCCGTGGGAGGACATGATCTCCCTTGAGTGGGGGGAGAATACGAGGGAGGTGACTTGGGAAGGGGTGACGAGCGAATTGAGACGCGCTCCCGACGCCGTGTTCCAGAAGTGGATCGTACGATCCGACGAACCTCCGCCTGAGGCGAGGATTGAAGAATTCCAAGGGCACCATGCTAGAGCCTGGGTGAAGTTGAAAGTAGTTCGCATCAGTATATGCATGGGGAGATAAGACATTCCATTGATGAAGTGAACGTGCCTTGACAGCCGCGGTGTGATTGGTCTTGAACATTTTTGGGGCCGAGGTCATGCGACCGTCCCAGACGTTGACAACGTTGTCGTTTCCGCCGGACGCGAGGAGCTGCAAACAAGACATCATAGACGATGAGTGACCCTTCACGGAGAACGAAGGTCACCACAGCTCACCCCTTGTCCACCCCCACTCAACCCCCCCGCAATCTCAGGCCTCCATTCCAACCCACAGACCTCCCCTCGATGCCCCCTCATCTGCGCCACGCAATGATTGCCCACCCTAACGTCCGAATTCCAGATCTCCCCCGTCCGACACCCGCTACTCAGGATCGCTCCTGACCAACTCAAACTTGGAACGCGGGACAAGTGGCCCGACATGGTCCGAACCAACATCCCCGCTTGGACATCGTAAACTTGAATCGGACCTGATGACAGTCCTACGGCGAGATGGGTGCCATCTTCGGTGAATTTGACCGAACAGATGTATTCGTCCCCTTCGTCCAGAACGCCTTCGTTCGCATTCCCGACCGAACAAAGGAGGTTGACTTCCCCCGATTCGGCATTCCACACGTACACGCTTTCGCCCAACCCGATCGCGACGAGGTTGGTGACGCTCCAATCGAGCAAGTTGAGGTAGTAATCATCGACGAGGCCAGGGGCATCGAGGACCCTTTCGGGGGCAGTGGCGATGCGTCGACGCGTCTGCGCATTCGCAGAGGAGGTCGAGGAAGCCGCGGAGCCCTTGTTGGGTAGACGAGCAAAATTCGCCAACAAGCCCATCGTATCCGTCTGCGGCATCGGGGGCTCAGCGAAAAAGGAAAGAATCCTTCTGGAAGAATCGATTCCGAGCGTCGACGATAACTCGGCCGTGTCGTTGTTGTCGGCGATCAGGTTGGTGTAGTTGCCCGTGTTGTTGGCCGACGCGGTTCCGTTCGGGAGCAGGATCGCGCCCGTGTGGTCGCCGTTGCCCGTCGAAGAATTCGTGCGTGAGGGGATGTAGCGGTCCAGCTGAGAAGAGTACAGAGTTTGATGAGCTACTGCGAGGCGTTGCGACAGAACTTCGAGTTCGAATTCCCTGCTCACATTCCTGGACTTCTTGGACGGACTTCTCCTCGGATCGCCGTTCGGGCCATGCGCCGAACTCGACGCCGCCGGCCCCTGCCAATCATGACTGACCACCCCGGACCTCCCAATTCCACCACCCGCAGCAAGCGAAGAAGAACTCTTCACAGGTGAGCTACGACGACTCTTGGATTCCCCTCCTCCTCCTGCGCCATCGAGATGGGTCGCGGCGAGGAGGTCGTCGATGTTGCCGGTTAGGTTGGCGCGTTTGGTAGGGGACATTGAGCGCTTCTTGGAGGGGATTGAGACTGTTGAGATGTGGGTGTTGTGTCCGAGGGGTTTCTTGGAGCGTTGGAGTGGTGTGGTCATGATTTTGTTCGAGGTGCGTGGATGTGAGGTCGAGATGAGGAGACGGAGGGAGAAAGACGTGCCCGTTCGCGAAGGTTGAATGATCTCGCTCGCTCAACTTGGCCTAACTCTACTCTGTGCCTAACTTGGCTCAACCTGGGGTTTGAGCATGACGTAGCGGATCACACTACGCCGTTTCTCGATTTTTGTTTCGGTATTCATACCATCACCATCACACAGAACATAACACATCTCAGTAATTTTCGGATATTTCCCAACAGGAATGAAGGTGCCTCGCCGAGCTCATGACTGAAGAGCAGAGATGCAATTGCAAAGCCAACCCTCGGCCGCGCCAACCCATTCAAGCTCCTAACCTCTTCCCGACCAACTTGGCAGGTCGTTTATCCCCCTTCCTACCCAAGCCCGAGTAATATTCCTGGAATCGAACAGAAGAATCCAAGCATGAGCACTCGAAAGGCTCGGTCTACCCCCCAAAATCCAGTCAGGCGTCGAGACTCACCCAGGTCAATCTCATCACCTCCCCGTCGGCCTCATAAGGACTCGGCACCTCGCTCAACCCAGGTGCGGCCGTCGGATGACGCAAATAGATGGCCGAACAGGTCGTCCATGAGACTTCGAGGTAAGGAGGGATGAACAGGAAGGGAGCGGCGAAATCGGGGAGATCGAATTCAAGCGGTTGAGGACCGGTGGAAGGGGGTGGGGGGAGCTTGGAGGGAGCGGGAGGACTAGAGGCGGAGGTAGAGGTTTCTATTGGTGTTGTGGAGGGTGCAGAGGACGATTTGGATGTCGTTTCGTCGGCTTTGACAGCATCCGAGGCTTCGGTGTCTGCTGCAGGGGCGACGACGGGTTCCTCGACGGGTTTGGCCGGTTTGAGCGTCGTGACGGCCGAAGGGAGGACCGAGATGAGATCCCCGGGTTGTAACCTCGTGTTTGCATTCGTACACTGTACGCCATTCCCACCCATCAGATCAGTACCCCCCTTCCACCCATCCTCCCTGACCCACCCGTCACCGATCCAAGAACGTACCTTGACCCCATTGACGCTAACCTTGCCATGCACGACCATCATCCTAGCCTTATACACCGAATGGGCGAAACAACACCTAAAAACGACCGTATCCAACCTCTTCTCGATCTCGGCAAACATCAAGCTCGCCAACGGAACCCTTTCCGAAGTCTTGAGGTTCGAATCCCTTCCTCGCGCCGAAGCTGCAGTCCTCGTCCCGGCATTCCTCGCTGGCCCACCTACGGCCAAAGCCGATTTGACCCCAATGATAGGCGGCAACGAATCGGGTAGAAATTGCTTCTTGAAGGTGCCTTCGGTGATCCAATCGCCGTGATAAGCCCGGGCGAGTTGTTTGGCCTTCCATTTTTGTTGGAAGAGCGTCAGGCTCGATTTGGTAAACTTGGTGTCCGATGTGGGCGGGCCGTACGTGCGTTGATAGAGGTTGTAGAGATTCGCTGGGGCCCAGGACTAGGGATCAGCGGTAGGGGTTAGTGAATTGCTCAGAGGAGGAGGAGGAGGAGGAGGAGGGTGCGAGCGCTCAGAGGACTTGTAGGACTGACCATCCGGGGTAGGCATTTCGCAATATGGGTAGGGTTCGACGACTTGTGCGCCAACCAGACTGCACTAGGTCGCGTCATCGTCGCGGTATGGCCTGCTCTGGGTGTTGTGCGTTCTCGCTGAGGAGGCCAAAGACGAACGTCGAAATTCGAGCTTCGAACGTCGAGCGAATCTGCGGAGCGCGTATCGGCGGGAAAAAGAAGCGGGCCAACGCGGGCCAACGCGGGCCGAGGGCGCACGGGTCGAGAGCGCACGGACCTCGTCGGGCACTCGTCGGGCATTATTGTCTGGACTCCCTTTGCTCGACTCATCACGAGATCGGATCCTGGAAAGATCGACAAATCGACAAAATGCAATGCAAACGGTACACAATACACAAAACAGCCTTCCCATGTACTTGTGGTCGCTCAATTCCCCAACCGAGCCTGTTCCTTTACCTTCCACCTCACCAACTCCAAAGCCGCTTTCGAATCATCGACCGACGAATGCCCCAAAGCCGGATCGCTATCTTGGATGAACTGTAACAACAGTCGGGGATATATTTCACCGCTTCAGATCCTAAAGACGGACGTCTTTGCAGCAGTGAACAGCTTCCGGGGCCTACCTTTCCGAGAATGTCCTTGGTCAGGTTCCGAAGACTGTGGCGCCAGGTGCCACCGTTCGGATGAGGGAAGAGCTATGGGTCGTCGAACGTTGTCTCTATCGTCAGCGACCTAACACCCGAAGCAGGTGGGTTTTCCCACTCTTTCGTCGGCCCAACTCACAATTGCCGTATCCACCACCTTCCTATGCACGCATCTCAGCGCCTTCAAATCATTCTCCAACCCATGGCCAACGACCACCGTCTCCCGATCGATCAAGATCCCCAACGCCGTCCTCACCCCGACCACATCCAACGAAGCATTCTCAATATCCCCTTCTTGGACTCCGGAGAATCGCGTGTTGAGATCTAGGATCGCGCCTTGGGGTCGGACGTGTTCGTCCAGTATGATGGTTCCGGTGGCGTCGATCACGGTCAATCGAGCGAGGGACATCCCCGAGGTCGTATAGACCATCTCACAGTCGAGAGCGACAATGTCGAGTGCAGGACAGGATCGAGTGGTGCTTTCGAAGGAGGAGGTTTCGAGGAACCCAACGCGGGAATGGAGGACGTCGATGGCCGAGTCCTGAGAGCTCCAAGCTGATCATGTTCAGTGCCCCGAGGACTACAGGGTTTCTGGAACATACCAAGAAACTGACCCTGAAGATATGAGGCCCCTGGGAACACGTCACAGCCCCTACGGTTGGACAACATGACCATACCCGCTGTTTGATACCTGCGAGGAAGACAAAGAGACTGCTCAGAAGGCGCGGGTAGGCAAGTCTGTGTCGCGATCCGGACGAACCTCTGTGCTTCTCCGTGATCATCTTGCCAAAATGGTACGAGCAAGCGGTCCTCTCTGCCTGTCAGACGAGTGGGGATAAGTCAGCGCTTCCCGACCTCGACGAGGTATTGTCGCATTCCCTGGGACTGACCTCTGTCAACTCGGCCGAGACTTTGAATTCCTTTCCACACCGATCGCACGTCCTCAAATTGCCTTCTTCCGTCAGTCGATCCCCTCCTGCCCCCTCCGGAACTTCAACGACGTAATCGAATTTTCGCAACGTCTCGACGTCATGGATGAACTTCTGCACGCGATCCGTCGTCAGTCGTCCTCTGTATTCCTCCTCCCTCTTCTTTTGTCGCGCCAGATCATCCTCCAAGGTGCCCGTTTCGGCTTCGCTCGCGGGGGAGGGACGTTTCTTGAGTCGCGCCAAAGCGGAAATGACGGCGTTGCGGTAGGTGAGCTTGGTCGATTTGGAGTAGAGGGTTTGCTCTTGTTCTTTGGCGTGTTTCGAAGCGAGGGACGCGGCGAGGTCGGCGGAGGGGAGGGATTGGTAGTTGAGGAGGAATCTGTAGAGAGGGGGGGTCTCTCGGAGTCAGTTTTGAGTTCGGGTTCGGGTTCGGGTTCGCTTGGTGGCCAAGTTGATGAAGAGTCCATACTGTTCGAACAGGGTGTGGAGGAGCTTTTGTCGTATAGGGACAGGGGTATGAGGTATCCCTGGACTCGGGGTGATGCGAGGGGGTGCACCAGTCGAGGTGGTCTGCCCGACAAAGTGGGGGGGGGGGGAGACGGGACGGTCAGCGCTGGTCAGCGACGACTGCGCTCGAGCAGCTGAGGCGAGGGGGAATTGTGCCCACAGGTATCGATGGAGTGGTCTGTTGTTGCTTCTTCGATGGTGCCAAAGTTGATCGACTAGTTGAAGCTACAGCATTGGCTTGACTGCTGTTGCTCGTGGAGGTCGCCGTCTTGGGCCTCGTTGAGGTGGTCGTGGTGGTGGTGGTGAGGATCGTCTTGGGGTGCTTTGACCCAAGTTCCCGTTCGGTTTCCTCAGTAGGATTAGGTCTCTTTTTGAGTGCGGACTTGAGTGGGAGCTGGGTCGTGGACTTGGTCGTGATGGTCGTGGTCGTGGCCGTGGTTGTGGGCAGTGAGCGAGGATGTTCGTTCGCGGTGGGGGTATGGTCGAACAAACACGGTCGGAGTTGACATGTATCGAGGTCGGGGCAGGGTCCGAAGAGGCGTCGGGTGAGAGGGAACATGCTCCAGCGAGGAAGAGGAACGACAGGAGCGAGATTTGGGCCTCGGGAATGGCAAAAGAGGTCCAAGCGGGGAAGCGTGAGCTAGCGTGAGGTGATCGACCGTCATCATTCATAATTGGCGCCGTCTACTATGGCAATCTCGGAAAGGTAAGTCCCGGACTGTCCCGGAAGCTGTTCACTGCTTCAGAAACGTCCGAAGTCGAAACATGCAAGGGTGGCTCTCAGTCTCAGCCAACTAACAGCGCTTACCTTGGTCTGGTCAGTGGTCTGCATGCGGCCCAGCTCGTACCTCCGCTACAGCTCGAGCTTCACACTGCACCGCCAGCCGACCTCAGCCGCACGAGCGACTGCCATCCCCCCACCGCGCGTCTCGCTCGCAGCGCGTCACCAACCCTGGCCGAGCATGTCCAATCCTGCAGCATGGAACGCCGTGTTGGAGCAATACGCACGGTCCCAGAATCCTGAACGCGAATTGCCCAAAGGCGTTCACCTGTTGTCGAATTCGAAGTGGTCAGTCTTCCAGGCAGTCTTCAGCAGTGGCGGAGCCAGCCGGGGGAAAATCTCAAAAAGTGGGGGTCATGTCTGCGCATCCGGGCTGTGCAGTGTGACCATCTTTGATGGCTACGAAAAGGCCAAATACCACTTTCTCGTCATGCGTACGTGCCCTCAGCGCTTCCCCTTCATTCTGCCCCACTCGACACTGATCATCCACACCCCTCTGACTCTGACAGCGAGGTATCCCTTCCCCCTCGAGTCAAGTTCCAGTCCAAGCTCGGCCTCAACCTCAACCTCAATCTCCGTCCCATCATCGCACCTCACCTCCCTCGAAGCACTCCGCAAATCGCCGCACTGTATCCCCGTTCTCAAAGCGTTGCAAGAACAGGCACAACAAGTCCAAGTCGGTCCTTGATCTCGTTCACGGGAGACCGCAGCTGACCTTTTCTGCGCGCTTCACAGGAGATGATCGAGGAAGAGATGCTCAAGAAGGAAGGCTGGAAATGGCCGGTTCATATCGGGTTCCATGCTAGGGAATCCATGAGGTGAGCTCAGCGATGATATTCGAATTTTCACTCTCTACTGATTTAGATCAACCGGGATCATGTGCAACTTCAGACACGTACATCTACACGTCATCTCTTCGGATCTCATCTCGCCTAAACTCAAGAACAAAAAGTGAGTCTGAACTTTTTCTCCGGTCCTGTGAAGGTCTCAGGTTCCCTGCAAGCTTCTCTGACTCCTGACCCCTTCCTCGATCTCCGCAAGGCACTACAATTCCTTCCACCCTTCACTCGGGTTCTTCCTCCACCTCACCAAAGTGATCGAGCAAGTCGAAGCTTCACGAAAAGACGCGGTACCTACATTATGCCATCCCTTTAGCGACTAACAGGTCGTGACGAAAAGAAAAGAAAAAACTGATCACCACTGAGTTGCGTGCGTTACGTTCAGAACTCGACCAGCTCGTACGAAAACCTTTTAAAGTTACCTCTTCGATCGCACTATACGGGTCAGCAATACCCGACGATCCCCAAGTTGAAGGTACATTTGGAGGAGGAATGGGAGAGGAGAGGGAGGGAGGAGAGGAGGCGACAAGCATTACTGATCAAGGACGGGCTTAAAGCGCCGTCTGACTCGGAGGAGCGTGATCGAGGCGCTGACTCGGTGCAGGGGAGGGCGAAGAAGGTCAAAGTCGATCGGACCGAGGAGGATGTAGGTGCGAGTAGTGGTGATGAGACGATTTGAATTCCGTATAAGTACACTTGTTTTATTTTGCTTTGGGCTCTAGTACTACACAACAAGGTGGGGGTGGACTGGGACGTGATAAGAAAGCAGACGAGAAATTAGGGAGTGCTGTTTGAAGGCGAAGAGTTCAGTTGTCGTCACCAGCTTTGAGTCGGGTCCTTCTTGAACGCTTCGTACAGCTCGCGATTGAAGAAACTGATTTCGGCTTCGTTCTCTGTTTCGATTCGCAACGAAACCAAGACGTGTCAGCGATCAACCATGAGCAAGTTTTGCTGCGGTTGAGACGGACCTATCCCGATCGAAGCCAATGTGGCGGAATCGTCGTTGAGGATCCAGTCTTCGTCGTTATCAAAGTTGATGATGAGATTCGTCGTCTGAAGGAGTTCGAGGGTGAACTCGAAGTTCAGTCAGCTTTCGACGAAAGGGGTGTGTCGACGCCGACTTGCGACGTGGGCTCGGTGGAATGGGACTGACTTTGGATCCATGAGCTACGGTGTAAAGTTTGAGTGTGTCTACAAACCAGGAAAGCTCAGGCCATCAGCATATACCGGCCAAGAATCCCCGCCGCACCGTTCAAGCCCAAGCCAACCAAACTCACCCAACACCGTCGTCCGGAAAGGTTTGAAACCCGTTGCGACCAACACCTGCGCGCGACACAGCTCCTTCAACCCTCCGACGGTCATCGTTGTAGCATCGATGTGAGGGAGGAGCAGGTTCTTGGTGGTTCGGTAGGTGAAGGATTTGATGATGCGGACGGTCAGGAACACGTCGGTCAACGGTCGGAGGGTGTTGGTTAGGGCCTCGTGGGTGGTGGAAGTGGGAGGGGTCTCGTCGGTCTCGTGGGCTGCGGGTTCGGACATGGCGATGAAACAGGAATTGTAGTCAAGTGGGGTATTGGGGGTGAAGGTTGCGAGGAAGGAGCGATGCGCTACGATCGGCTTGCGCTCCTCCGCGCCGAATGGATTAATCCGCCACTTAATCCGCCAGGCGCGGCGTTCCTGAAAGCAGCGCTTGAGCTTGAAATCGACAGCTGAGACTCGAAGACGCGTTGGCACCTCCACAGAGGACCGACAAGGTGCTATGTGACGATCACGTTGTTCTTACAAAATCGAGAGTTCAAAATCAGAGAAAAAAAATGGGTTCCCCCCTCAGCACGACCTCGCCAAGTGCTCAGGAAATTAGGAATCCTCGGCGGGCGAACCAAGGACTCTGCCAGAGGCTGATCTCGGATGTCCCTTTCTTTTCACGTTTTGGGCAGCTGAGGAGAGCGCGCGCGAGAAATCGAGCATGAGCACGCGTCACGCCGTTTCGCTCACCTTAGACAGACGCCTCTCTCCCTTTCAAGACAGAGCGTCCCCCAAGTCGGAGCCGAGCCGAGCCCCAATCCGCCACCAGTCATCGGTGTGTACAGAGTGTACAGTGGCCCGTGATGGCCGAGGTGGCAGTCGGGGAGCACGAGTCGGGGTCGCTCCAAGACAACGCGGCCGGCAACCTCGCCAAACACGACCACGCCGTCGCGGCCAGGCACGACCATCATGACGGCGATCGCACTGGCCACGACGACGCCCACAGCGAGCGACCACCACGAGCTGGTCTAACTGCGACCCGCTTACAAGCCTTCACGCTCGCGCACCCGCCCAGCCCACGCAAGACGGTCCACTCCTACCTCCTCAGCCTCCAAAGGCCTTTCGAAGACCCGGGTCTCGAACCGCTCTCCTCCTCGCCTGCTTACACCCGCGATCGAATACCTCGTTCCCCACCCGTCGATCGGATCGAGACCGCTTTGACGCTGCATCCTTACGATGAATCGAAAGGTCGGAAGCAGAAGAAGGGAATCGAGGCGAAGGCGGAGGCGGAGCTGGAGGCGGCGGGGGAGAAGAAAATCAAGAAGAAATCTTTGGTCGCGGCCTTGCAGCCGAGGTTCTCGAACCAGCACACGGTCCAGCACGGGTCTTCACCGACATTGCCATCGACCTCCAAGCAAGTCCTCAAAGCCAAAGGAACCGCCGAACGACGCACCAAGACGAGTCGGTTCGTTAGGAATGATTCCTCCTCGTCTGAACTTGTTGCTCGGATCGACCAAGCATCCGATCGGCAGAACGAGCAGCCCGAACCGGGATCATCTCGGCCACGACCCGAGGCAGTGGCGACCCAGGACGAGCCGCGCAAGGTGGCGAAGACATCTCGACGAGCCCGCAAGGAGAATGAACCCATTGTGGAGTCCAAGCACAAGTCCAAGAGTGCACCTGAGGCGAAGAACGCTCGCGACTCGAAGCCGGACATGCGTAAAGGGAAGGGCAAGGCCGAAACCACATTTGAAGAGCAGGAGGAACAAGAGGCAGAGGAACGTGAGTATGGGATCTTCAATACTGAGTCATTTCAATGCATGGCTGAATCGTACGAGCTATCCTTTCACAGGCTTGCGAGCACGAAGAGAACGACGTCGGGCCAAGGCGCTGATCGTCAAGGATCGCTCCAAGTCAGCCACCGCCGTCGGCACCGCCGCGGCAGCCAAAGTCGTCGCCGCCGCGGAAGCAGCTTCTTCGCGCAAACCGAAACGGATAACACCGTCGACTTCGGACGAGTCCCTCTTACCCAAAGCTGCACCGACTTCGAAGCGACATAAGAAGACCAAGCCTGACGATGCGCATGGTTTTGTGGTTGAGATACCACGGGCGAAGAATCTGGGTGCTTCGAGATTGACGGTAAGCTATGTGCAATGAGTTTTGAAGTCACGGGCTGTCGCTCGCGACTTATGGTGTTTCTGCTATCTCTCCTTTCAACAGCTACAACCCCCTCACAAACTGGGCGTCTTCAAGAAAGGTGCCGCCTCGGGCAAAGTCAACGTCAGGAGGCCTCTCCCCGATCTTCCATTTTCCGAGCATGGTTTCCTCGACGGACCTCAACCATCCAACTCGAAAGTCGGTCGGAGCGCCAGTCCATCGGACATGTCATCGATCGGACCCCTCGCTGCACCGACACAACGGCCGCCCACAGCGTCGAAGAGCAAAAAGAGTAGGGGAAAGCAACCCTTGCGTCAAACCCGACCCGAGTCCGACCATACATCCCCTTCATCCGAGCCAGCTCCTGTGATTGTCGCACCGCGGAAATCCCCCCTCCCAAAAGGTGCTCGTCGTCTCGATGTCGCCCCGACCCCACTTCGTATCCCCCTCGGACCCTCCCGTAGACTGAGCAACAGCCAACCCTCAAGCTCGAATGCGTCGATGCTTTCACCCGCCGCTTCAGCAGTCGCGGATACGACCTCGCTTCATTCGGCTTATTCATTGCGATTGAGGCGGGAGCGCGCGACGAAGTTGACGGGTATGCCGACGCCGAGTAACCTTGGTTCGGCACCGGTTATTGATACGAGTACGTACTGGTCCCAGGCTGCGAATGTGACGATGAATACGACGACGAAGAAGTCGAGGCCTTCAAATGGTTCGGTCTCGAAGGAGGGCCAAGCCTCGTCACTCGTTCGGGCCAGCTCATCAGCCGACTTCATCCAACCCGCAACCCAAGTCAGCAACATCCTGACCCCTTCTTCATCCTCGATCGAACGTTTAATCCAAGATTGCGCCATGCCACTACAAAACCTTATATCATCTGACGACTTCGTTCATCTACCCTTCGATCAAGCGCCGACGTTGGAGGAGGGTTTCGAAGGGAGTACGCGATGGCGCTCGCCGGCTTTGGCGGCTCATGAGGGACAGTTGATTGGGTCTGTGATGGAGCAACAGGTGGGGAGAGATGGGATGATGATGTACGCTTCCAAAGAGCCGATCACCACTATCCACAATCCACTCGTCCAGACCCTGCCTTCATCGTCCATCTCCGCACCTCCATGTCTCCTCGGCCCAGCCGCACCTTTGAGCGACGAATCCCGCGAGAACATGAATGACGACGACAACGACGAACAAACCCCCGTCTTCCTCGAACCGACCGTTTTCTCCCCTCGACGAACGCGATCTCAACCCCGTCGTGCAGCTCAACGACAGAATCAAGATGATTCGATCGAGTTCCATGAGGCAATGAGGAAGTTTTGGCCGAGGTCCAAGTGCTGAATAGAGTTGGCTGCGGCGCGTTTCCGATGACCTTTCCCTTTGGCCTTTTGGCGTGAGTGTAGCTCTCCGTAGTCTTTGTTCTATTTTCGTACACCCTGCATTCGCATACCTCTAATAGACACTTTCAACCGAGCCTCTGAAAGCCATCCTACGAGAGCCCCTCAATCTCAGGCCCATCCATCCAACCGTCCCGCCTCGCTAACCGTCCTCCCCGTCCCAACTCCCAACCCCCACACCTCCTTCCTCACCATCTCCTCAACATATTCCGCAATTGCCAACGAACTCGTCAATCCGGGGCTTTCGATCCCTGTCAACGAGATGAAGCCTGGTTGAGGGTGGGTGATGGAGAAGTCGGCGGCGGGGTCGCCTTGGCGGGATAATTTGGGGCGGATGCCGGTATCTTTTTTGGAATGGAGACTCTGTATTAGCTTCTCGAAAACTTATACTCAAAGAGATGCATTTCTTCTTAAAATAAAATATCCTAGTTTCCGACTCACAATCTGGAGCAAAACCTCCGACCTCCACCCCCGGTAAGACCTTCCTCACCTCCTCAATCGCCAAACCCATTCTCTCTTCGTCGACCGCCAAATGCTTCTCCCAATAATCCAAGTCCTCCACTCCCCCTACTTCTTTTGGAGGTTCGATCCACTTGACGTCGGGTCCGAAACGGATCTCGTTATCAAGATTCATGGTCAGGTGAGTTCCGAGACCTCCGAGGGTGTGTGGGTCCGGACAGGGGTATATGAGGTGACGGATCGAGGACGTGCCGGGGCCTCGATCTAAGTGGGGTTGAGGGGAAGAGGGTTCAGTGAGGGGCGGGGTAAAGGATGAGGATTCGGAGCTGAGACCGACACGAGTAGTAGTTTCCTTTAGCGTATCGGACCTCGATTTGCTCTGAATCGGGAAGGATCTGATTGACGAGGTGGTGCGCACTGTACCGTCGAGATCTCGAAGAAACCCGATGAGCCTCCAAACCCTAACCTTCACTCCAAGTCCAATCCGAAAGCAACGCACCTCAAACCCGCAGCATTAATTACGACCTTGGCCAACACCGCCGATCTCTCCCCTTCGCCTCCTTTTCCATCCGCCGTAATCGTCTGCACGACCCACCCGTCCTCCGATCCATCGCCTCTCTTCCCGCGTTTGTTCGGCGCTTCAGCTCGATCAATCCGCACGACTCGAGTTCCATACACAAGTTCGCCCGTATCACTGTCCACAATAGCTGGTGAAACGAGCAAGACTGCCCTCAGTCATCACTCGAAGGCATCAAGCGGTGCGCCCCCGGACTCACTCTTCTCCATCGCCTCCATCAACGAATGACTATCGACGATCCCCGTCTCGGAACTGCTCAAACCCCCTACGATCCCCTCTCCCAAATCCGGTTCCAACTCCCTCAACTCATCCCCCTTCTTCCATTCCAGAGGGACCTTCCCCCCCACTTGTCGGCTTTCTTGACCAAGCCTTTCAAGTAGGGAATCTGGTCTTTGGACGTCGCGACGATGAGTTTGCCGGTCTTGCGATAAGGTATGGAACTGGCTTGACAGCGCTTGTAGAGGAGTTCTCGACCGCGGATGCAGAGGGTGGTTTTGAGCGAGTCAGAGGGGTAGTAGATTCCTGAATGAATGCTGTGATGGCCAGTGTTGGAGAGGGATGATCAATTTCGCGCGAGTTGAGAGGTGGGTCGCGGGGTAACGTACACTTCCGAGTTGCGCGATGAAGTTTCTTGGCCTGCTTGACCATGTCTGCCCGCGTAGCGTGAAAAGTATAAGAATCGACTCAAGTACATCACACCACCCCTCTCGTGTACGGCTACATTGCCATTCCCTCTACCCACAACTCACCGCTCCACAACGAACGTCGTCCTCTCCGCGAACTTGTTGACCAACCTCTCCGTTACAGCTAGACCCTACCATACAACAAAACCACACCGCAAATAAGCAAAGCCACCCAACTCGAACCCAAACACTCCCAAGCCCCACCCGAGCGCGGCGAGACGAGCCAAGCCTCCTCACTCGTGACCTCGAGCTCGAGGCAAGAGTCAACCTTCGTGTGGGGTAAACGAGCTCGTGCGAGCGTTGTTGGACTTCGTCGTTCTGGGCGGCGGACTCACTACGACCCCAGCGCCGACTACGAGATGGGAGACTTGTAGTTCCGGAGCGAGGAACGGGTACCGCTTTCTTAGGACAGCCGCGGCCATGGTGAGCCGTGCGGGTTAGGGCGCCTGGGTACGTTTCGCTCGGTCGCTGCGATGGGAGTTCGAGACGAGGTGGGGGGGGGGGGAGAAGAGGAGAAGGAGTGGGTGAGATAAGCCCGCACGCGTGTAGGCAGTGAGTGCGATTCGGGGTTCGAATTCGGCGAATGTCGGCGACTGCTTCGCAATACTGTACAGGTCTCTCATCTCCCTTGATCATACTCGGTATACACGTGCAACTCCCAGTGATGAAAGAAGGAGAGGACGAACAAAGACATGGCGTCCTGAGAGAGAAAAGGTAAAGGGTGTGCAGGACGAGGAGAGAAAGGCGACCAATTTGACGACGAAACTTATCTTCTTTCGGATGCGGAAAAAAAGTTTCGTCGCGTGAAGTTTCGTCGCGTGACAGAACTTGCGTGTGTATGCGTAAATGGTTTGTAAGTAGGAGCGATAACAAGCGAAACCAAGTTGCTGAGAAGGAGAGGCCCCCAAGAGAGGACCCCAAAAGAATGAGAAAAGAGAAGAAAGAGGAACAGATGCGATGCAGCCGCCGAAAGCTCTATACAGGTAACTTATTGACTGATGGGTCAACAAAAGAGCATGTTTGTCAGTTCGTGTTAAGACCAAAGCGAACCGATCCCGAAAGAAGACGTACTTGGCACATTGCACCTGAGGCCCCGCACCCCCCTCATCATCCTCATCCATCTGGTCCTCACGCATCGTCTTCGGCTTTCGATCGCCAGCATCAACCATTTCGACGTGATCATCAATCATGATCGAATCGGGGAACGTTGGCAATTCAGGTCGAGCGGGAAGGATCTTTTCGAGAGGGTCGAGGGTTGAAGGGTCGAGCGAGTCGGGGAATTTGACGTTGATTTGCACGATCAGGTCACCCATTTCGTGGTGTCGGTACGAAGGCATGCCTTGGTTCGGGATCACCTTGACGGCCCCTGGAGAGATCAGAAGGGATATATGTCGTCAGTTGAAGTCGCCTCCACCGTCTCGACCCAGACTTGTGCCACAAACTGACCAGGCTTGATGACATCCCCCGGCGGGATCTTGACCATCAACGCACGGTCGTCCAAATGCGGGATCGCAAAAGCACCTCCGCCCAAGGCGGTCAACAGATCAATCTCAACCTCAGCGTAAAGGTCATCCCCACGACGCTTGAACGTGTCGTGCGGCTTCTCCTCGACAACGATGACGACGTCCCCCGGTTCCATGTTGGGTGCCTGATCGGCCTCGCCGTTGAAGGTGATCGTTTGACCTTCCTTCATGCCCTTATCGATAAAGACCTCGAGAACCTTGCGCTCGTTGACAATCTTTTTGCCGTTGCACGTCTTGCAGCGGTCCTTGGCATTGACGATCTCGCCTTCGCCGTTGCACTCGCTGCAAGTCTGTTGGATCTGTTGCACCATCGGCCCCAATTGGCGCAAGACGACCTTGACACCTTGACCGTGGCACCCTTGGCAGGTCTTGACCGCGCCTTCTTTCCCTCCCTTTCCCTTGCACTTGGTGCATAGGACGTGCTTCTGCAACGCCAACTTGGTCGTCTTGCCCTTGTACAAGTCCTCGAGCGAGACCTTGATTCGGTGCACGAGGTCCTTGCCCTTCTTGGGGCCCGAAGGTCGACCCCCTCGTCCGCCTCCTCCTCCTCCGCCAAAGAAACCTCCTCCACCACCAAAGAGTTGCGAGAAGAGGTCCTGGGGGTCCATGCCGCCCATACCACCGGGTCCGCCACCGCTGAGACCTTCCTCGCCGTACTGGTCATAGATTCTTCGCTTGTCGGGGCTGACAGAGGGAAGAGGGAGAGAGGCTCAGTCAAGAGAAACGTTTGGACGGTGATGATGGGAAATCTTACTCTGAAAGGACTTCATAAGCTGTGTGTGATAGCCCAGAACCACAAAACACGCATCAGTACCTACGAGGCGACCGATCCGGCGCTGAGTAAGCCGAGACTGACCATGACTGCACGCCTTGAATTCGTCAGCTCCTGCGGGGTTTTTGTCGGGGTGCAATTGCAGAGCCTGAGGGAGCGGGAGCGACCAAACACGTCAACGGTTTGTCCCATATGGCGTGGACGTGATGTGCTGGTATCATGCGGGTCCGTAATCGCGTAACAATGGAAGCCTGCAGCCCAAGCGCCGAATACAGACAGAAAGCGCCGAGGACGATGGGGCAAAGTGGTGGCGACGAATCTTCCCAGGTATTCGACAAGTCTCGTACACGATTCCACGATGCTCCTCTATACGTTCGCAACATGGAGAAGGAGGTCCCCCCTGCCGATCACGGACTGCGGCGCTCATAGAACTGAAACTCTCTCCGGTGCTCAGCAACGTACCTTCTTCCTGTAAGCCTTCTTCAAGTCGGCCTCGGACGCCGAAGGGTCGACGCCCAGGGTCTCGTACAGCTCGGTGTGTTTGCCGGCTCGGTTCATGTTGGATGTAGTTGATTAGAGGTAAGGTGTGGGTCGTGAGCAACTCGCGAGTGGAGCGTATTACTGCGAATGCTGCAAATGCGATGGAGCAGCGGCGTGCGAGACGGGAGCGCGAAGTGGCCTTTCTTGAGCTTTGAGCTTTGCAAGCTTGCGGGGTGGAGCGGGGTAAGGTTTTGTACCGTACGCCCTTTTTTTTTTCGTTCTTTGAGGGGCTGTCTGATCGACGACGGAGTTCGACGAGAGTGCTGTGCTTTGCGGGTGATGTATGTGAGTGTGTGCGAAAGAGGGAGAAGCGTGTCCGGGTGATGGCCGAGCGATTGGGTGTGTCGCGCCACGGGCCCAGGGAGGGCCATGGAATCACAAAGAAGGATTTCGTCCGTTGCCGCGCCTGCGCCTGCGGTGAGGTTGCGCTCGGACCCATCTATGTTTACGCCACTGCGCGATCAGGGGCGCGCTCATGGGCTAGCATGGGCTCGGCTCGCGTTCCGCCGCCGCGGCCCCACCTGACCACCCAGTCCAGTCCTCCATCCCGCTCAGCGATTACAGAATGGCCCCACCCAAGAGCGACCGCTTCATCGCCTCTGACGACGATCTCGACGATGATCTAGATGCAGGATATGGGACCAAGAAGGTAAGTTCGCGCTTGACATCACATACCGACGCGTTGTACGACGTCGCGCTCATCGTAATTGACCCCGCTACGTTGTTCATCATTACAGTCAAGCAAGAAGGCGCAGGGGAAGAAGAAGGCTACTCCTACCAAGAAGACGGCGAAACGAAAGCCGAAGAGCTCTGATAATGATGAAGAAGACGAGGAAGACGATGACGACGATGAGGAAGACGACGAGGACGAAGCTGACCAGACCGACGAGGACGAGGACGAAAAACCCAAGAAGAAGAAGCAAAAGAAGACCTCTAGCTCAAGTGGAGGGATGCTCAAGAACGACTCGGGTGAACGCTACGTCGTGTTGGGCAACAACAAGCGTGTGACGGTGCGCAAGTTTAACAAGGCCAAACTGATTGACATTCGAGAGGTACGCTCTCTCATTGACGGATCGTCAAAGTTTCCTTGGCCCCAATCTCACTAGAGCTGATTTCTGGACGGAAATTCGTTGCTCAGACCTACGACAAGGATGGCAAGACGGGTCTACCGGGCAAGAAGGGCATCTCGCTCTCGCCCGAGCTGTGGGAGAAGCTCAAGGCCTCGATCGCCGACGTCAGTGCTCGCCGGACAGCACCGACTGGCTTTCAATCTCGCTCAACTGACTTTGGTTTCTTTAGATCGATGCGGCTATCGAAGCACTATAATTTTGGGGCATTTTGAGCGACGTCGGGCATCGTCTTGGACATCGATTGGTCAGGGATTCCGATTGGCTCCTTTGCATCGAGGAAAACCCTTGGAGCAGATTTGGTGATGATCGTCGCAGAAACGAATGAAGAATTTCGGACTATGACCGACACTTGGGGGCTAATATGATTTTGCGTGGAACGCCGATCGAGCAGCATGAGCAAAATTATGCACTAACTTTATTTCCGAGACCAATGCACGAGGCAAGGGGAGTGACAACGTGAGGAGGTCTCGTAGCACAGTCCTCTATAATGGCGAAGTGAATTGATATAATGAGAGACTGTCGAGAACACAGCGCACCGTCTCGTCCAGAGGATCGACCAAGCTCGGCCGATTCTTCCCCGCCGATATCACCCAAAGAGGTCCGTGCGAGCCAGCGGTGCGCATGCGATCGCCCGACTTGCAGCCTGCAGCCACGCCAACCGTGGCCCACCACGACTTGTTGGCCCTGCACCTTCCCCCGTCGTCGTAGTTCATCCGTTTCCGGTGCGTTGAGCCCACCCACGTACCTCGCTGACACCGGTTACCCGATTGCTGACTCTGTTGTGTTCCCTCACTCGTCTCGTTGTCCTGCTCGTGCGCCGTCGTTTTCCTGCCCGCCGGTCGTCTCCCTCGTCGCCTGGCTCGCTCACGCCGCCCCGGGCCCACACCACACGAAACTTGCACCTCGCACCCGCCCGTGGCCCACCTGCGCCAAAAACTAAAACTCGAAATCGCCTCACTCCCACGACCCACTTGGCCCACCTGACGCCCTCCTTGCAACCCAACCCACCATCCAACCCTCACCTTGACCATCTCTCCAGCCCACCCCTCAAGCAATACAACCATGTCGTCTTCCAAGGTCCGCGCGAGCGAGTTGCAGAGCAAGAAGCGCGACGAGTTGCTCAAGCAATTGGACGAGCTCAAGACGGAGCTCGTCTCGCTGCGTGTGCAAAAGATCACCGGCGGCAACGCGTCCAAGTTGTTGCGAATGTGAGTTGGACTCTCGTCGGTTTGGATTGGATTGGATTGCAGCCGTTGGATCCGAGTGCTTGGATGGACGATTCGGTCGACGACGCACCCATTTCGTTCAGGCGCGGGCGGCTGCGACTCTGAGCCTGGGCCCGGGCCTATACCGACGACGACGGGGCTCCAGCCACAGCAGCGCACTTTTCCCACGCGACGCTCTCAATGCGGGGACTATACCACTCTTGGACTCGACTACAGCATATGAGGACGTTTAGGAAGGTTGGAAACGACGAATGGGCTATTGCAATGTGGAGGAATGGCTCGAGGGTTGGCGCGATTCGAGGTTCATCTGGGTCATGCTTGGGCATCGCAGCCTCAGGCCCGGGCGAGCTGCATCGGCCGGCCCCCATCCCTCGACCCGGTTGGCCCATCGCGCGCGCCCGAGCTCCACCCACCCACCACCACCACCACCACCACTTCGCAATCGCCGCCCTTTGAACTGACAATAGCCTTCATTCCCCACCTCGCAGCTCCACCGTGCGCAAATCGATCGCCCGCGTTTTGACCGTGATCAACCAAAAGACGCGCTCGAACCTGCGCGAGCTGTACAAGAACAAGAAGCAGTTGCCCTTGGACTTGCGCGCCAAGAAGACGCGAGCGATCCGAAGGAGGCTGTCCTTGCACGAGCGCACGGTGCAGACCGAGAAGGCCAAGAAGCGTCAAATCCACTTCCCCAAGCGTCGTTTCGCCGTCAAGGTGAGTTGGTGCAGAGTGGTCGTCATCGTTGAGCTTGTGGGGTGGGGGACTGATCTTGGGAATGCTCCGACTTTCTCAGGCTTAAGCGGTCGTCTCATGTTCGGAAATTGGGGATCTTGTACGGAGTGAAGAGTAGGGGGAGAAAGGGAGTAGCACAACGAAGGGGGGTTTCGTTTCGAAGGGATGTTTTACACTGGAAGCATTTTGAGGGACTACATACTTCCAAAAATCGGACCCAAGCCTAGGAAGCTAGAATTTGGGTTTCATCCTCTTTGCCCGTCCGATGGGAATGCTAGCCATTGTTCGGCAAAACCTATTGCGTGTCTGCGGAGGGTGTTAATAGAGTGAGAGCAGTGTGGGCCCTGATGGGAGTGATGAGAGAGAAGTCGCAAAGATTGCTTGGTGGAAAGCTGTGCTTCAATTTGGCCTCGAGGAATCAGCCCCTCGAGATGACTTGGGATCCGCACAGTCTTGCGACGACTGGGAACACTTGTCTTGATTCTGGAAGAGTTTCTACAATGTACTTTGGGGGTGACTGCTACGGTGATCAACAGCCTTCGGCTGAGTTGTTCGACACCGGCATCAAGGGTCCATAAAAGACGTCGGCAAGCCCGGCCTGCAGGCCTCGGCATCATTCGAATCGTCAAACCGGAGTCAAAACGAATCACGATTCAGGCCAAGGGCGACGGCAAAGCGGATCGTGAAAGGTCCGAAGATTTGCGATGGACACAACAGGTGGCCCGAGATAGTAGGCCCGAGAAGCTCATAGACTGAAGCAGAGGCAGGAAATGAAAGTTTGAGCCAGCGGTGAACGGTAACTCATCCGCCTGGGAAGCGGTGAGCTCAAAAGCCTGCACTCTGAGTGGAGGGAATAATTGAGCTTTATGGCGCGCCGTGTCCTGCCGTGGTCGGCTGGGCTAAGTGCTGCACTCGGCTCCGCTGCCACCCCTCCGCGCCGCTCTCTCCCCCGTCTTCGCCCCACTCACACGAACCCCACGATGGCTTCCCTGTTGCGCCAAGCGATCCAATCGACGTCGAGGACGTCAACGCAGGCCGTGCGCTCCTTCTCGAGTGCCCGAGTCGCTCGATCGGACGCATTGATGGTCGTACGCCCGACTCGACTCTCTTGATGATCGGAGGAGGCGCGGAGTGGATAGCATAGCTTACTGAATTTATGTTTGCTTCCTGTTTGAACAGCACCGTAACTCTTCGCACAACAATCCTTCCGTACGTACCGAGTCTTTTATCTCGGTGGGATGAGGGAGCTCCTTGGCTTCTCCCCATGCATCATCCGTGTCCGCCGTGTCCGCCGTGTCAACCCAGTACGACTAACCCTTCTCATCAACCACTTCCTTTAAACCACCACAGATTCCCTTCTCCCTCACGGCGGAGAACCAAAAAGTCGCCGACAAGATTATCGCCAAGTACCCCTCTCAATACAAGAAGGCCGCCGTGATTCCTTTGCTCGAGTTGGCGCAGATCCAGAACAAGAACTTTACGAGCATCTCGGTCATGAATGAGGTTGCGAGGATCTTGGAGATGCCGCCTATGAGGGTTTATGAGGTCGCTTCGTTTTATACCATGTTCAACCGGTGCGTTGAAGCGGAGGAGATGGGGTTTGTGAGAACGGGCGGCGTCTAGCCGAAGATTCAGACTGATCACAATCTCTCTTACTTCAACCCTCACTCCACAGAGAACCCGTCGGAGATCACTTCGTCCAAGTGTGCACGACCACGCCCTGCATGCTGGGCGGAGCAGGCTCGGACGTGATCGTTGAAGCGATCCAAAAACACCTCGGTATCGGATTGGGTCAAACGACCAAAGACAACAAGTTCACTTTCATCGAGGTCGAATGCTTGGGCGCTTGTTCGAATGCGCCTATGGTGCAGATCAATGATAAGTTTTATGTACGTTCAAAAGAGACGATTCAGGAGAGATGGGCTGAACGAGCTGGACTCGGTCCCTTGCTTCCCAAAACAACTTCTTTCTGACTCATGTGATCCCCCTTCGCATTTGACAGGAGGACCTGACCCCCGAATCGATCGTCTCGGTGCTCAAGGACCTCTCGGCCGGTAAAGAACCCAAGACGGGCCCGCAGTCCAAGAGGAAAGGCAGCGAACCGGACGGACCGTTGACCGCCATGATAGGGGAGGTGAGTTTGTTTTGCGCACAGGCGCGGTCTCAAGAGGCAAGCGAACGAAGGACGGAAAACTGATGGCAATTCGTGATGTCCGTGGCTCTGATACGTACAGCCACCAAAGCCCGCGGATATCTTCGCGCCTGAATGGCGTTGATTGGACTAGGCTTGAGCGAATGGGAGTCGGGACGGTGGGAACGAAGTAGAATGGCGTTGATGAGGTTTGGATTTCTGACGGACCGGTTTCTTGCAATCGTAGTTGTTCTCTTCTTTGAGCTAACGTTCGTCGTGAATGAGAGAGATTGGGTAGGGACTAAAAGATCCATTTCAGAACTTAGTTCAAAGATCAGAAGAGTATGTGCGGCGGGGGGCGGTACAAACGTGTGTCCTATAGGTTCGAATGATAAGAAACGAGGACTATACGCTCGTGGGAAGACAAGAAAACTCGGAAACTAAAGGAGAATTCAATGTAGATCAATCAAACAGCCAATCTTTCAAACCTTCGCCATTCCTTGCTGCTGAGGATACGTTGCCTGAGGATACGTTCCCTGAGGAAGCGTTCCCTGAGGATGCGTCTCCGCACCCATGGGATATTGAACAGGGGCTTGGTGGTGAGCTTGCTCTTGGGGCACGTTGGGGTTGACGTTAGGGGTGGCGGCGCTTTCGCCATGGACGCTGTAAGGGGCTTTCCAGGTCTCGAGGTGGTTCTGTGACTTGGTACCCGATCGAATGCCGGCGGCGATGAGGTTCCCCAAGAGGAGGGTCAACGTGATCCAGCTGAGCCAACCGAAGCCCTGGAGAAGAACATCGTTGATGGAGAACATGAGTCGGTGCCGAAGAGTCTCGGAGCTCTTTGAGTGTTCGATTTTCTATTTTATAGTTAGACTACTTACTTGGGTGGCACGGGAGAGGTGGCAGAGGTTGTAGTAGCATCGGTAACCCGCGCGGAAGTTGCTGCTGAGTTCCGCGGAGCCGGCTGAGTGGCAGGGAAGCCGGTAGGCGAGATTAGTCACCAGTGAACGAGGTCGAACAGCGCAGCGTTCTTTTCCGAAGCGGGACCCACCTAAGAAGAGGATCCAGAGGAATGTAACCACAGCCGTCTAGATAGCAGAGTGGACGGAATGAGCGAGCTCGTCGAGCAAGTTCATGGGGCAGATTCTTCGCCATGCCCAGCGCAGAATGAGCTTACCTCGACGAGCAAAGAGCCGACGATGCTGGTGTTGCCTCGACGATGAACGGAGAAATGCCTGGTGTAGGAATGAGCCTCCTCATTAACTTAGTAAACGCTTCGTAATGACCTCAAGGCTTTTCAGACCCGCGCCGACTCACAAGCCAATCAACCCAAAGCCGAGTATGGACGAGGCCAACAAGAGCGCGGCACCATTGGAATAGAATTCAAGCTCGGAGTTGGTGCGGGCGATGAAGCTGCAGCACCGAATAGACAAGAGTCGATGTCAGCTTCTCTACGCTCGAGCACAGACCCATCAGCGAGTCGTCGCCGAGCCAAGAGATTTGAACCGGCACGGGCCGGGACTTAGTTTGGCACTGAAGCGGTGACGTCGACGCCGAGAGAATGGCGCGCGCTCGTTTCGGGAAGTATCTGGGACGGAACACCATCTCAAGAGCAAAGAGACCGGACTCACACAATGGAGACTATAAAGGTAAGGAAGAACCAAAGGATGAGGCTGTAGTAGAGCTGTTCGCGGATCCAATGCCAGAGGTGGAACATGGTTGCAAGCAAGCGGGGGCGGTCACTTTTGACGGCGAAGAAAGATATTCGCGAGGCGTGAGCACGTGATAGGATGTCAAAAAATCAGAGATATTGCGGAGCTTAGCTGTTGTGAGCGGTTGTGAGTTGGCTGCAGGACTTACCTTGAGTTGTGGGAACGGTTTGGGTGGATTGATTGACGATGAGTTGTTGGCTGGTAGTAGTGAGGGAAACGAAGGAAGAGAAAGGAACGCGAAAGAAGGAACGTCGTCCATTCTGGAGAAGCCAAGGCTCTCCAAGGCTTCCCCAGCGGCCCCAGCGGCGCTTGGGTCGAAACTTTATCAGGAACCGAAACCCCGGCCAAGTTTTCGTCGCGTGGGTCACATGATACCTTGCCCCTCTCGGTTAGGCATGACATCTTGGAGCGGACCCCGGCAGTTGCTCTGGTGAGTGTCAAATGACTGCTCTTCCACGTCAGCTTGCTTGGCTCCAATTGGATCGTCGGGCCGAGTGGCTGTGCAGATTCTGACGATTTGTCGAGTTTTGACTGCTGTCATTTGACAGTTTGTCCGCGAATTCAAAAGTAATGTCTGCATGTGATCATTCACTTGTGCGAAGATGCTGCACAGCCTCGAAGAAGCGCAGCCGCTCGAACGCTCAATGGCGCCGAGTGGCCGGGGGTGGTCGTCTTCAGGAACGGCTCCCACGAAAGTCACGAAAAGTCGGCTCACTTAAGACTGGCTGCAAAAGACTCTGCGCACCCCCGATATTATAAGCCCAGTAGCGGGACTGGAATGGTCATTATCATAAATGAAGAGAGACGTTTCAGAGAAGGGGTTGAACTAGCTATGTACGTTATAGAGGCGTGACAAGAAAATAAAGAAGATATCAGACAAAGGATGCCGGGGAACGTCATGAGCACTGATGGTCGTATGTGTTACCCAAGTACGTTTGGGAATTGCGCCTTTCACGTCTACGCTCCGATCAGACTTCGGTCATGGGGATCGGTGCAGTCGGGTGGGCGATAGCGGCGGCGGCGGGTTGACCAGCTTCCAGAGGGGCGCTCACGGACAAGGGCGTAGGAGCTTCGTTCGGGGTGAGTTGTTCTGGGTCGCTCCCTCTAAGGTAGACCTTGTAAGGTGCCCTCCATGCCGCGGTGTGGTTCTCGATCCTCACGCCATGGGTGATGCCCGCCACGAAAAGGTTGAAGAGTAGCCAGCTGAGCATGAACCAGGTGACCCACGCGAACGCCTGAGAAGGGAGAGCCATACTTGTCTGGTTAGTGCTACCCAAAGAGGAGAAAATGATAGAAAGGCTGGAATCATGCTTACCAATGTGAGACGAGCGAAAGCACAGATGTGACGAATGCAGACAGATCCGGAAGGAAAGTCACCAGAGAGGTCCGAGGCGCCGACTACGCTCAACAACGGTAGATGGTTTTAGCACAGCTGAAGACGCCGAGAGGGCGAGTGAGGATCTGCTTACCGAGGAAAAGGACCCAAAGAATCCAAACGCCAAGCGTCTAATCCAAGTCATAACTTGGGCTTGTCAATAAACCCGCCTTTGAATCAAGTTCAAGCACAATGGCTAGGAACTCACTTCAAAGAACAGCGAAGCGCTAAAGGATTCGTTGTTGTTCGCGTGAACGACAAAGTGCCTGTACAGCAGAAGCAGAACTTGAGGATTAGTACCGGAAGTACGCGAAACTACATTCAGGGCGCTCTTACAAGGCGATGAAGATGTTACCGATCACGGATGACGACAACAAGAGCGAAGCCGAGTTCCAGTGATAGCCGAACACGGCTTCGCTCCTGCCAATGAAGCTGAAGGGTCACAAGCAAGATGAACAGCGCGGTGTTTAGAGTCATGTGTTAGTTCGGGCATGGAGGCATGACGTAAATTTCGAGCCATGAACATCGCCACACTTGTGAACCAAAGGAGACGTTGAGAATGGCCCAGCACTTACGAAGCAGAGAAAATGGTGGTCCAGGCGAGCAGAATCGCGATGGTGAAGTAGAGCAATTGGCGAGCGGCGCTCCAGAGGGATAACATGCTGAACTACATGTGGGAGGAGTGAGGTTCGGCATCGTTCGATTGCTCAGTCAGCCTTTAATGATGGAGACCAGGCCCCCATAGCCATACAGGCGGGTGGGTGAAGCTCACCTTGATTTGCAATAGCTGAGTGTGGACGTTGAAGGTGTTGTTGGCCTCTCGATGAACAGTGAGTGGCAAAGAAGAGAAGGAGGAAGACGAACGACCGCAAGCCCCGGATTGGCGGCGCCCTCCCAGGTGCGGAAGTGTAACGCCGGGCCGGCAACAAGGGGCACTGCATCGAACGTCTTAGGAGACACCCGGCGAAACTAGCTAGTGGCAGGGCCTATGACTCGAGGCTGGGTAAGCGGCCCCGTCAACAGTGGCTGTGCTCTGATATTTTCGGGGAAGATCTAGAAGAAGATAGGCAGAGAGGTCATAGTATGGCATGCAGTCACAGACTGCAGAAATACATAGACATACCTGTTCTAACGGTGCCGGTTTTCGAGCCGGTGGGCCCCGCCACTCTCGGACCTCTCTGCGACACGCACCTGCAAATTCCAATGACATTGTTGGGAGAGAAATCAAGACAATCAGGCTTGAAGTAGGCTTGCCCTGTCGCGTCATTGAGCTCTAGCGCCGAACTGTGCCCGCAACTTTCTTGTTCCGCTGACTGGTCCGCCTGCTCTTTAGAGCCGTGTCATCCGGCGACTCGCTGTCGCCCAATACGGTCTTCGAAGGTGGAAGCCGGCAGGGAGGTAGAGCTTTGTCTTCCTGGAATGTCGGGAGCGATCTGCAACCACGCTAATAGTCCGCTAATCGAGCTGAGCTGGTGCCGCACAGGAGGTGCGTAGAGTTTTGTCGTTCGCTAAAACTCGGGAGGCCTGCGCGTAGAAACGAGGTGCCACCGCCATTCCTGTCCATAGGCATCTCGAGAGGTGACGTTCTGGCTCGTGAGATACAACCAGAAGGTTTCTTCCAAATTCGAGTGTCCCAAACAGGGGAACCCACGCATAGACAAAGATCACCCGCGGATGCAGAGTCATCTGACCACGTGACATTACCGGTAGATGTCGCCGACCTCTCGCGCGAGGGGGACTGATTCGATCCGAAGAACCTCTTCCTCCCTCGAGCTTCGACGCATACGAAGGCACTGTGGTCCGGGAATACCAGCAGAGGCTGCTCGAGATTCTACTGGAGCTGCACGCGATGTCCGTGTTGTCGCCCTTGCGGTCCCCTGGCGCCAAAGCGGTGCAGCTGTACTGGGTCGTCGCGATCGCCTCGACCTTGCTCTCGACGTGGATCGGCAGTCTGAGCGAATACCGGTGCGTTGGACCAAATAAACACAACCTGAACTCACTCGAAGCCAACTGACCAGAGCTGCCAATATAATAGGTTCCCTCACACGCTGCTCACGACGTCTCTGCACCTCTCGTTCGCGCTCGCAACGGTCGTCGTGCTGTCATCGCTAACCACAAAATCCCCAGGCACTCGATCTCGCCAACTCACCTCCTCCCCATCCAACGGCCCTCGAACTTCCGATTATCTTCTTCTCCCCCGACCCTTGAACCTCTCAACCATCCTCACCCCCGTTGCCGTGTCCACGGTCGTCTCGGCTCAAATCTCGGCCCTGCACGAGGATTCGCTTGCCTCCGTCGCCGAACAACCTTTTATGTCCTTCATCCGCATCTTGCCCATCTTCCTCTTCATCTGTCTCCCTCTAAAGGATTCGGCGAGCTGGCCTCGAATCACGGCGACTCTTCTTGGCCTCGTGCTCGGTGCTGGGCCCGCGGTTCGGATCAACGGGGGCAGCTCGACGGCGTGGTGGGGCGGCGGCGTTTGGGCCTTCTCGACTTGTGTCTGGGCATTTGGACTACATGCTGGTCTTGGTGTCAAAACACACCAGACCGTCGAACCAGAGGAGCGACAGACGACCGAGGCCCCTCCGACTGGCACAGGGTAAGTGCAAGATCAAGCTTTTCCCCCTTCGAAGCTCGCTCATCATGCCATCGCTCCCATCGCTCCCATCGCTTCCTCCCAGAAGCACCCCACGATTGAACCTTCCCATATATATTGGGCTTTTACTGCTTTTCAACCTGATGCTGCTCGTCTTCTCAGGAGAAGTGGGGCGCGCTTCCTCGTCGGGTCATTTCGGCTTCTTCACCTCCGCCGGGTTTTGGATCCAGGAACTCGTCATGGCGTGGTGCAGCTTGGCACGGCTCGTCGCGTTCTGGAATCTGTTTCATGTGAGGCCATGCGCTATGGTCCCCGGATTTCGACGAAAGGACACTGATATTCCTTGCGTCCATGGTTCAGCACCTCGATCCCCTCTCGATCCTTCTGGTCGCCTCCGTCAAAGACTTCTTACTCCCTCTCGCCACATCCTTCACCTTTGGCAATCCCCTCAGCACGCAAGAACAAACAGGTTCGGCTTTGATGACATGGCAGCAAGCGCTCATTATTGCTGGGGTAGGATGGAGTGCACTGAGTGAGGGTCAGGCTGGGACGAGGAGGAAGCGCGGTTGAAGCTCTTTAAGGTCCAGGTCTGGAAGTATATGTCGTTGTGCACACATGTTGTATTCGTAACAAGCTCTCTCCGCATGAGCCCTCAGCTGATCTCGGGAATCGTACCGTTCGTACCTCTTAGAGGACTTCGTCGTCTCTCGTCCGGCATCAGAACCTGCAAGACGATATGATTCATTTACTGTGTGTGATGTATCTAGACGCATGATGCCCAACACTGCGACTCGCTCATACCTTCATCCACAAACAAGCTCGTGAATAAAAACTAAAAAAGTACGTTACTAATGAAGAGAACAATGCTATGCTCAACCCGTCGGATGGTTCGTCTGCGAAAAAGTCGCCCTCGTCGGCGTCTGTTGACTCGTCATCGTATGATCCGGATCCTTGATGAAACCGTGGCTCAAGAGTTCGAGAGCGGAGGGCCGGGCTTCGTGGTCTATTTCAAAGGTTTGTTCGAGGAAGTCGTCGGCGTCGTTGGAGATGTCGTCTGGGATCGTCGGGCGGACGCTCGAGCCGATCTGAGTGGGTCGAGTCATCAAGTTACTGAGTCAGCTCACAGAGCCAGCGTCCGGGATAGACCGGGATAGAAACGCAACTCACTCGGAAAATGGCTTGCATCTGCGTCAAATTGGCCCATGGTGGAGCCCCAGTCAACATCTCGACGACCAGACAACCAAGCGACCAAATGTCGGCTTTGGACGTGTACGACGTCTGCTTGACGACCTCGGGCGCCATCCAATACACCGAACCCTGCAACGAAGGACGGTGCACTTTGGCTCCGGAAAGCAAGTCTAAAGCCCCACCTTACTTTGTCAGTGCTCTCGTTCCACCTATGTAAAAAACTGATGAACGTGCAGGCGAACGTACTGTCTTCCACCTTTTTCGAGATCCCGAAATCGGAGATCTTGATCCCGCCCTTGTTATCAACCAAGATATTCGCACCTTTGATATCGCGATGGATGATCTCCCGATCATGGAGGTACGCCAAACCCGTGAGGATCTGTCGCACGAACTTGGACACTAGCGCTTCTTCGAAGGCGCCATAGTTGGATAGGAGCGCGGCGACGGATCCGCCCGGGACATATTCCAGGAAAATGTTGAGGTGGGTCGAGTCCGTCGACGAGTCAAAGTACTGCACGATGTCTATGCAATCGAAAGAAGAAAAAAGTTAAATGAGTATATCCGAGACTTGGGCAGATTTAGAGTCACTCACTCTCATGCCTAAGATCCTTCAGCAGCTCGATCTCGCGCTCTAAAGCTTCGAGCATCGACTTTTTCCGTTCCTCGTTGTGCGAGTTGCCGGTCGGCAATTCGACCTGTTTGACGGCCATGAGCAACCCGGACATGGGATTCATACCCAAGAAGACGGATCCGAACGATCCGGCACCGATTAAAGCGCCCTTGATCCACTTGATCGCTGGTTTGCCTGTGAGTTTCCCGGCCAGCATCAGCGACTCTACCTAGCTAGAAAAGAAAGGCGACGCAAAAACTCACTCGATACATCATCAGCCTTGTCAACCTCTTCATCTTCCTCCTCGTCCTCCTCCAGGTCATCATCCTCGTCTTCGTCGTAATCTTCCTCCTCAACCTCCTCCTCCATCGACAAGGCAATACTCGGCGGCCTCAACCCAGCATTCACGCTCCCCTCCCCGCCCGCATCACTCTCATCCGACTGGGACTCCGCATAACTCAACATGCTCGCCCTCCTCGTCTCCAGCTCGGCCGTCACATCATCGACCGTCAACACGCTCGCCGCATCCGAATCGGCGCGCGACTTGCGTCGCTCGTACAACGACAACTTGGAACTGGCGACGCTCAACCGACTTCCTCTTCGATCGAGTGGCGGCGGTCTCGGATGCGCCATCTTGCCCACGTCCTCGTTCGACAGACCCGTCTCTGCGCTCTCCGCCATCGGTTCAAGCAACGAAACGACCGATCGAGCCGAATCGTCGGACGTCGTCCTCAATCCGGCTCCCAAAGCGGCCAAATCACCCGCCCCCACCTCACCCGCCGTTGCATTCGCCCCACTACTGCCGGACGAACTCGAATGTCTCGACGCCAAGCTTGCACGATCGTTCGGTGTCCTTTCCCAACTCGTCGAACCAGGCATAGGAGGCACAGGCCCACCATTCCCAAAGCCACCGGCGGTATGACCGAACGAAGCGGCCGAGTCGCGCCGGACCATCGATTTGCGCATCGATTGGCGTACCTGCTTCGAGAGAAGTTTGTTCTTCTCCGCTTTGGGGAAGTATTCGGTCAAATGCGTTGCGATCAACTCGCTTGGGGGACGTTGGCCAAAGAAACTGCGTAGTCGACGTCCCGAATTGAGCAGACCACTCGAAGCGGAAGGTGAAGTGCGCACCGTGTCGCGCGATGAGGGTGAGTCGGGATCGGCGCCTCCAAGACCGGACATGACGGAAACAACCGAAGCGCGATTCGTCATTCGCTTGTTGCTGTTATTGCCTAGTGAGAGCGAGTTGGGCAGTGTCGAATGGGAATCGGCTCGCTCCTCGGGGGAGATGGGAGAAATAACAGAGGAAGGCGAGGCCGGTTCGACCGAAGTCCATGGAATTTCGGATGTCAAGTGACCCGGTGAGGTCGGAGAAGCGGCGACGCCTCCAGGTCTATTTGAGTCGGGCGTGTTGGCTTCCCCAAAGACCCATCGTAGCTTGCGTCCTCGTTTACCTCGTGCCGACTGGTCGAGTTCGGCTTGTCGCACGCTGCGGACCCCCAAACCTCGCTGTCGCTCCGGCGCATCGGCTTCTTGACAGATTCGCAGCAGCTCGGACTCGTTCAACAGGCGGGCTGGCATTCAATACATGCATCCGTCAGTATACCAATATGAAGTCAGCACAAAACTCCAAACTGCACTCACACGACCCATCAGCCGCCAGTGCATAGACCTCCCAATCATCAAGCTCATCGACATCAAGCTGAGGTGACCCCAGATGGGCCGCCGTGGCAACAGGCATGAACTTCTTGACGACCCTTGTCATCACCTCTCGACCATCTCGACAATCTGAAACAGCGATCATCTTGCTCACGCCATCGTCACCGATAAACTTGACGGCCTTGCGCATGACGGCGTTGAGGCTCGAGGTGCTCGTCGAGGCTGGGATACTGGGCGCGGATCCTGGTCGGGCGTTGAGCGAGGCGGATCGGGAGAGATTCGAGACGGTCGGGTTGTCGAACCCAGTAGGTGAAGAGGTACCCATCTGCGCACCGCCAATGACCAGAGAAGGTAACAACTTGGGCGTCGTCGAAGGGGCCGGACTTCCTCGACCGTATGTCGCGATGCTGAATCCTTCCTGCGTCGGCGAGTTACCATGCGGAGGAGGCCGTGGTGGTACGGACGTTGACGACGATTTACGGTGTTGGGGAGAGATGACGGGTTGCGCGAGCTGTGCGGATCGTGGTCCTGCCGAGGTCGCGGGCCCCGTGCGCAGGTGGTAGTTTGAGGTCGAGGCGCCACCACCCGAAACGGTCAGAGTTGAGTTGGGACGAGATGGGCTTGCGGCAGTGGTCGAGATGCTCGGTGTGCGACCAAGATGGTTCAGCGACGAGGCCGAGGTTGGGGGAGATGTGCCCAATCGATGTTGGCCAGGCGAGGCGGCCCTTGCTGCGGCCAGCGAGTGTGGGGGTGCGCCCAACGGTTTTGAGGCCAATGAGCTGGATCGTCCCAGAGTCACCGTCGAGGCGGAATTGGAGTTCGGGACCGAAGCTTGCCACGCTTGAGGTACGTCCGAGTTGGAGAGGGAAGGGACCGTGTTGGAGTTGGCGAGGTGCAAGGGGGGCGGTATCCTGCCCGAGATGCGACCGCTGCCGACCTTGCGACTGGCGAGCAGCCCTCCGTTCGGCGGTGGTAGGATGGGACCGGTACGAGCCGGTGACGGAAGCGAGTGCTGTTGCTGTTGCTGCAGTTGCTGGGCCCTGACGCTGGCTCGCTCGTTGAAAGCCTGTTTGACGCAGCGCTGGCGGAGGTTCTTGATGGCGACGACGATCTTTACGCGGTCGCCGACGCTGCGCAGGCCCATCTCCTTGAGCGCGGTCTGATCGACGTCGAGCAGGACCGTGCCTCGGATGTCGTTCTGGCGGAACAGGGGTTCATACTGGGGTACGCGTATCTCGTTCAACCAGCGCGCGATGTCGTCGTCGTCCCAGCTGCGGATGAGCTCGAGGTAGTTGCGGCCGGTGGTGAGTGGGTCGTGGCCGTCGATCATGGTGGGGAGTGGGTCCGATCGGGTGGCCGAGTGGGGTGCGGTGCTGCCATTGCGCATGCTACTATTGGCGAGACTGGTGCTTGTGCTAGCCGAAGCGAGTACAGCCGATGCAGTGGCCGGTCTCTGCTGCAGCTGCTGCAGCTGCTGGCCACCCGTCGTCGTGGTCGAAGTCGAACTCGAGCTGGAACCCAAAGTGGGGGGCGCAAAGGTCGGTGTCGCCGGATTCGACTTGGGCAAGTTGTGCAGGCTGTGCGGGTGGTTCATCGCACTGCCTATGCCCGGGGTGTTGCCATTGGTGTGGTTCGAGCTCGAAGCAGCGAGCATGGCCACCGTGTGCTACTCCACCCCAGTTGCAGGCCCACCGCGCGCTGCCGGCTGCCGCACGCGAGCGTCGTCGCGTGGCCTCGACCGGGACAAGTTGACTTGGCGTTGTTCTGGCGGGCTGGCGGGCTACGAGCTCGTGCCTGCTTTGTGGCTCCGCAGCTGGCCAGGAATGATCGGAGGTAGGACCCACACTGATGGCAATGGCGAGGTGGATCCTCCTGGTGTCTGTCTCTCTTAGAGTGGGTGTAGAGATGGAACGACAACAAAGCCGCGATTGGGGATGCAGAGGGGGAGAGAGAGCTTGCGCACCTCCTGAACACGGGAGTGGACGATGAGCGCGTAAGAGGGTGAGGTAGATGGGGTGAGATTCGGACGGCCGATTTCCTAATCCGAAATTGGGCTCAATGAAATACGCGGAATTACAACGCGCGCGTCACGCCCTGTCACGCCTCGTCATGGGACCGAGGAACTACCACGGACCCCCACTGCTGCCCTCCCATCTCCTACGCCCATCCACCCGCCTCTCTTTTGGCGCCCGTCATCTCCATCACCGCGGGTCAAGAGAGCATCCCTCTCGGCATCGTCTGAGCAAGGAGAGAGAAGGTGCAGCAAGGACTCGTCCAGTCACCCGCCTCGCAACATGACGACGGGGTTGATGCAGCTGAGCCGACTGCAACTGTACGGGCTCGGCTCGACCGTCGTCTTCTGCTACACCGTCATCAACGCCTTTCGACAGCGCAGCAATTTTTATGCCGCAGCCGTATACCTAAGTCATTCGAATGCGTGTGTGATGGTACGTCCTACCCCTTGCCCTGTGCCTCTACGCCCCTCTGACGTGGTATCCCCGAACGAGCCCAGAACGAACGATGTGGAGCGCTGACCCCCACTGACTCGGTCTGTACTCGTGGCACTCCCTCACCGCGCCCCACTCTGCAATCACACACGCACACACACAACACACAGATCCTATGGAACCAGGCCATTTACCAATTCGTGCTCTTTGGCAAACTGCTGCAAAAGATATTCTTTGGGCCACTGCGCCTCATCGAAGTTGAGGTATGCCCTCCTCATTCAGGCTCTGATGCATCCTGACTGGATCTGACCCCCTCGCCCTCGCCCAACCCCACTCAGAGGTTGCAAGAACGCGCATGGTTCGCCATCACCGAGACCCTGTTGGCTCTGACCATCTTCAAGGACGAATTCGAGTCGAGCTTTGTGCTGCTCTTTGTCTCGCTCCTCTTCCTCAAGGTTTTTCACTGGCTCTCGAGCGATCGTGTCGAGATGGCAAGTCATCAAAGAACATATACATTCATTGTCGAGTATCCTATCATGCACACCGCTGACTCTTCTTCGGCATCTTCTCGCTCGCAGATGGAACAATCGGCCCAAGTTTCTCGCCTCGCCCATCTCAGGATGATCTCGCTCCTCGCCCTTCTCTGGGTTGCCGACGTCGTCTTGCTCATCTTCTCCGTCGAGTGCATCCTCATCGAAGGACCGACTGTCATGATCATGTTTGCCTCCGAGGTAGATCCTTCTATGCAAGCGATCTTTCGGCCCCAAGTCCAGAGGAACTGACTTCTCGTTCGTCCGGCAGTACATGATCCTGATCGCCAACGTCTGGACTGTGACGATGAAGTACATCCTCAACTGCATCGACCTCTGCTCTCAGGTTCCGTGGGAGGAAAAGTCCATCTATGGGCTCTACGTCGATCTCACCGCTGGTCCGTCACAGGTTTTTTAACGTGCTTCCCACGCCACCCTCGACTGACCTCCCACACATCTCCTCCCTCCCCCCTTTCCCCCACCTTACCAACGCAGACTTCTTCAAGCTGCTTACGTACCTGACCTTCTTCTCGCTTATCCTCACCTTCTACGGCCTCCCGCTCAACATCCTCCGCGACGTCTACATGACCCTTCGTTCCTTCGTGCTCAAGATCCGCGATCTCCGCCGGTACCGCCAAGCGACATCCAACATGGACACCTTGTACCCTAACGCGACGCTCGAAGAGATGGAGACCATGTCGGACAAGACGTGCATCATCTGTCGCGAGGATATGGAGTTCCGGGGACCGACGGCCGCACCGACGGATGGAGCGGCCGTGCCTGTTGAACCTGTTCCTCCACCGGCGCAACGCCAGGGTCCGAATGATACACCTAAAAAGTTGCCGTGTGGGCATGTGTTCCATTTCCATTGCTTGAGGAGTTGGTTGGAGCGACAGCAGAGTTGTCCGACTTGGTAAGTCACCGCTGCTTAGTTCAATCGTTCTAGAGATCCCCGCTGACCCCGAATCGATGCCTTCACATCACGAACAGCCGTCGAACGGTCCTGACCCCAGCCGAGCCAAGAAACGGAGGCAACAACGCCGGCCGAAGGGCCAACGGAGGAGGAAGAGGGCCACTCCCACCACTTCCTGGTCCCGCTGCTGCGCCCGCACCGAACGGCGAAGAAGCAATCCGACAAGCGCAGATCAACTTCGCTCGGAATTTGGGACGGGAAGCGTTCGCGGTCGTGTTCCCCGACGTTCCGTTCCCACCTGAAGCGTTGCCAGCACCTAGGACGGCGCCCCAACCTGCGGTGTCGGGTACCTCGGCGGCGGCTGGTTCGAGTCGGGGTGTCGCCGATGGACCGTCAGCTGCACCGACGTCGACCACAGGGGAACCTCGGTCGACCCTCCTTCCTCCACCAGGGCGCGTGGGGACTACGCCGCCCACGTCCCCCGATCTGTCGAATGCTAACCCCTTGTCTCGACTCGGTTCCGGACTCGGTTCAGCGTCTGCCGGACCACCTGGGATTTTTGCTCAAGCGCCCTTGTCAAACTTCCCATCCTTCGAGCTCGGAGGCGCCGGTGCAGGAGCTGGACTCTATTCGGGCCTCGGGATCGGTGGTTCGTTGCCTATTCGAGGAGCCGGTGCTCCATCGACTTTGGAAGCGAGGTTGCAGTACATCCGGAGAAAGATACGGGAGGCGTCGGAACCTGCTGCACCTATCGCGAGTATCTCGGCCGAGGGACCGGGTTCCCCCGCCGACGCTGTGCAGGGCGGCGAGGCAGAGCGGGCCAGAACGCAGGAGAAGAAGGAGATGACGGCGAGGGAAGCGGCTTTGGCCGCGGCGGAGAGAAGAGCTGCACACGCTGGGAAGGGCACCAAGACGACCGAAGCGAAGCCAGTCGTCGTCGAGGACAAAATATCGGCGAACGCCGAGACGGTATCGAGTTCGACTCTGCCGTCTTCGCCTCCGATCGCGTCGACAACAGGTTCGAACCACGATCATCCTCGTTTGATTCCCTTGTTCGACACGATCGCACCTTCCACAACACCCTTCTCGTCCTCCTACCCTCGTCTGTCCTCATCATCCGATGGCTCCTTCCTGCCCGATGCACCTACGACCGAACAATTGACCGAATTGTCTCACTTGAATCGAGGTACGATCGAAACTCGACTCAAGCTCTTGCTTCGATGGCGGGGCAAGATTGAAGGATTGGTCGAGGAGATGAAGGCTGTATTGGAAGTTATTCCTCCTTCGTCCGGGTCAACGGAGACTGTCGGCCAAGGGGAGGTGAGGAAGAAGGATAAAGGCAAGCAACCGACAGAAGGGATTCACGCGCCAGTGGCGGAGGCTTGATGGGGAAAAGGACGGAGTAATTTTGTCGATCATTGCTTCGAGTGTACGGAAAGTCGTTTGCACATAGCTTCTGGTTTTTAATGTTTGGATCGTCCACTGCACTTGCATCTTAGACACACGCGCCTAACATTTGGGTTCCAGCACGGCTGCGCGCTGGGACGAGAGACGAGTCGTGCCGCAATCAACGATCGAGCCGGTTGGGGCTCTCGTCACAGCGCGCCGGAATTAGGACCTCTTTGGCTTAAGATGCTCTCCGCTCGAGCTTGACCCTCTCGATCAGCGTTGAGCCCTAATACCCCGAGTGATCCGACACAGCTCCGAAGGTCTTCTTCCCGAATAGTAGACGTCGTCAGTCCTCAAAGCGTAGTGGGAGCCACCGCAGCTGACCGCAGCCGCCATCGGACGGACCCTCCGCCACATCGTCATGAGCCCGATCACCGCCGCGTCGGCATCGGACGAGTCGGACCAGGGTGCTTTGCCCGAACATGCTTACTACTGCTTCGACGTGATTGATAGCAAGCTCAATTCAACATCCCACCCTGCACCGGAGTTCGATGGCAAATTGCAATAGTCAGTTCCCGTCCCCTTGGAGATCCACACTGAACCGCTCAGGCCCCGTGTGGGGGAGCGTGGAGGGAGCTGATTCCCACCTTGTTTAAGCGCCTACACAGCCCCTTGTTCGTGACGTGGAACATCATGTCTCGCTCGAGTGATACGACTCGACTTCGAGGATGTATTGGCAACTTTGAGCCGATGAAGATCGGGACTGGGCTGAGGGATTACGCTGCGATTAGGTCCGTTATCCGTCGCTCTCGGCTGCTGACTCGGTCAAATGGGACCTGAGCTCGCTGGCTGCTTGGGCGGGGTTCACCTTCGCAGTGCTTTCGAAGATCATCGGTTCGATCCAATCACGGCGAAAGAAGTGCCTCGACTTGAATGCGGGTCAGTCTCGGTGTTTTCGATCTTCGCTCCGAGATGAGCTGAGCTTTGTTCTCGAGCAGAGTTTCCTTTCTAACCGACTTTGAGCTGTGCGACAACTACCTCGACTGGACGATCGGGACCCATGGCATCTACATCCAATTACCCAACCCCTCCGTCTTCAAACCCAAGCCTTATGTCCCCCCTTCACCCCTCAGTTCGACACCCTCCAGTACGGCCACCTCTTCGGCCTCTTCCCTCTCGCTCGATTCGAGATCCAGTTCCGCTTCCACTACTGCTTCATCCGTACCTTCACCCTCCTTATCATCGACCAAAACACCCCCCATTCGACCTACCTATCGATCCATTTCCCAACTCCCACCCATGCAGCTCGATAAAGCACCCAGGAGCTCATCACGTGCAATACTTTCAGCGACTTACCTCCCCGATGTCGCGAGCGAACAAGGCTGGACCCAACTCGAGGCGATCGATTCCGTCATTCGTAAGAGTGGCTACTCAGGACGTATCACGCAGGATATTAGAGATAGTTTGAGGTTGACGAGGTATCAGAGTAAGAAGGTCCACGTCACGTGGGAAGAGTGGAAGGCTGCGAGAGGATGAGGTGGGGTGGTTAGGGCTGTTGTGTTTGGTTTCAGTGTAGACTTTTGTTTCGTTAGACGATACTCCTTTTGTCAGGTTCGTTCCGCAACTTTTTTTGTAACGATGTGTCCTGACACTTCGTTCCGTCTGTGACAAAGGCCCTCGGGCCGATGACGCCCTATGAGGCTAACTAAACAGGTGCAAGCCCCTGTCGATCACTTCCCCCGTGAAAAGGTGGCCCGTGCGCGATTCGGCGAGTCTAGGCCAGCGGTCTCGAGAATGGCGTGCTCAAGGATTCAGACTGGATCGCCGAGCCCAGTTCGCGTCGCTTCCCTTTCCCTCCGCTCACGTCATCACCACACCTTCCGCCTTCCAAAACCACCTTGGTAACCCCCCCATCAGCCAACAACGTAAGTGACCACAGCACCGTAATACTGTCGATCTTGATTCTTCGACCGTCCTGTATTGCATCTTACCCGAGATAGTAGCTGACCTTCGGCGCTTCCTTGCCTCGATCGTCGAATTTGTGGCTCCGCATTTCACCTAGTCTAGCTCTCCCCCTCTCAAAAATGGCTGCCCCTCAAAAGCAAGGACTTCGTCTCGGTTACACCGCGCCCGACTTTAAGGCTGACACCACCCAGGTTAGTTGACATGACTTTGTACTCTCATCCTGGGTCATCGAGTACGCACGGAGCTTCGGGCGAAAGAGTTCCTGAAGCGAACCGCCACGTTCCTAGATTTCAGTTGACTGATGTGTCATTGTTTCCTCCTTTTTCCTTTCCGTTCCGGTCTATTTATCTTTATGACCGTTTAGGGCCCCATCTCGTTCCACGAGTACATTGGCGACAGCTGGGCCATCCTCTTCTCTGTGAGTTTGTCCCGGAATTTGAAGGGCTCGGCAATTCGTCACGCTCGCGAAAGCCGGCAACCCCGGAACCCGTGGTCGCTCGAAAGAAGCCCTTGACTGACCCAAGATTTCCCCCTTTCCCCCTGCGCCCGGTCTGAATTGTCGATTTAGCACCCTGCCGACTTCACCCCCGTCTGTGAGTATTCCTATCTTGTCTTCAACTGCTGCCTCTGATCTAAGGGCTCACCTGGACAACTCGACTCTAGGCACGACCGAGCTCGGAGAGGTCGCCAAGCTCGCAGATGAGTTCAAGAAGCGCAACGTCAAGACGATCGGTCTGTCGTGCAACGAGCTCAAGTCGCACCACGAGTGGATCGCCGACATCAACGAGCTGAGCAACGTCGACCTCAAGTTCCCCATCATCTCGGACCCGACGCGCGAGATCGCCAAGCTGTACGACATGCTCGACGAGCAGGACCTGACCAACATTGACGAGAAAGGCATCCCCTTTACCGTTCGATCCGTCTACGTCATTGACCCCAAGAAGGTGCGTCGGTCGAGCATTTGACAGAAGGGCTTCCTTTCCTGTTGCTCCTTTCCTGACAATGTGTTTTTGGTCCAACCCCGGCACAGACCATTCGTCTCACCCTTACGTACCCCGTAAGTTGTTTTGAGGTGACTCCTTCAGTCTTTGCGAAATTTCGGCACTGACGGGTCTTCGCTTCGCTCGACCCAGGCCTCGACCGGTCGTCAATTCAACGAGATCCTCCGAGTGATCGACTCGCTCCAGCTCGGAGATGCCAACAAGATCACTACCCCTGCCAATTGGCAACCCGGTGGAAAGGTCATCGTCCACCCTTCAGTCAAGACCGAGGACGCGCACAAGATGTTCCCCAACGGTGTCGAGGTCGCCAAGCCTTACCTCCGCTTCACCACTCTCTAACTACAGTGTCATATCGAGAGAGAACGAGAGGGCCTCCCGGCTGAATTCTAGTTTAGTAGTGAACGCCGAGATGAGAGATTTTGCGAATATCAAAAAATTGTCGAGACGACTGGTTCTGGTGAAGTCTTGGGATCAGCTTGCCAGGGGGTTTGATTGTTGCCACGCCACGTGGACGCGACTCATTTCATTGAAATGACGTAACAATGTGGGTACCGGGTATTGCGCGGACCTCAAGCCGAATCATCGGAAAGGAGTCATCCGGCCACCAGATGCCGTTGATGCGCTTGGGCCTTCACCCGCCGAGCGGGTTAGCCTCGTGACCAAGCGTTTGCCTGATCAGGCTCACTTGCGGTTCGCGGACAAGGTTCAGCTGCACCCACCATCATCGCGGAGCTCGACACTTCAAGACGGGGGCAACACTCGGACACCTCCATTGACCCCATGATCCAATGATCCTCGGTATCGGCGTGGACCTCCTCCACCTCCCCCGCTTGAGCTCATTAATCAAGAGGAGGGGGGCGGAGCGCTTCGCACGTCGGATCCTCACCCCACTCGAACTCGAGCAATGGCGCAAGACCGACAAAGACGAGCTCCAACCCCGTGGGGCCGAGCTGTCGAAAGGAGACCCTGGGACGACATTTTTGGCCGTCAGGTGAGTGGACACTTCTCCACATCGCAGGTGAACGACAGGTCTCACTTCATGCGCCAGGAGTGTGAATTCGATGACGTGACCGGCACGGGCGTATATGTGGCGAGACCGTGCTCAACCTTGACCACGTGGAGCTGGGTTTCTGAGTCTTCCGCTGTACCCCGGCATCTATGACGTGATCAATCTGACCACAGAGTTGGCGCTGCTCTACTGTTCGTGCTGTTGCTGATGCTGAAAGTCGGGTTTCCCCCCACCTCGGGTCACTCAGATGGGCAGCCAAAGAAGCGACGTACAAGGCCCTCTACTCCTCTCGACGCGTCACTTCATGGCAGAACGTTCAGGTCGAAAAATTACATGGTTCCAGACCTAGCCTAAAACTTCTCGACGGAAAGTCGAGCTCGTCGCTGATGTGCGAGGAGGCACTCGCAAATTCTTCATCCTACGCCGTGGGCGAGACATCGTCGTCGTCGTCGACCCCGCGATTGCACTTGTCCATTTCTCATGACGGGGAATACGTCGTGGCCTATGTCGTGGCCGAGGAGAGGTCGAAGTCGGGTTGATGTAAAGTCCTTGTTGTAAGTCACGTGCTTATCCAAGTTGGACTTCCGTGATCTTTCGGTAGGCAGTGCACCGAACTATCCCCCCACCCCGGGGCGGAAGTCTCGAAGTCAATCCGAAACGGGATCCCCTGTCGTCATCGACTCGTCGGTAGTGAGGTCGGTAACGCATCGATGTCCTTGGGCAAATGTTCGATTGTGTATGAGAGACAGCTTTGATCAACCGAAGTGAGAGTGGGTCCAGCAAGACAATGCCGACATTTGGCGCGTAAAGCGAGAGGCGAAAATGGCCCATGCGAATGCGAGCCGCAACCGCCCAGGGGCACGCCAGGGGCCAGACTCGGCTCCGCAATGAGCGCCGGACCGGTCAGGGCCACGGCGCGTGGGGTTGGGGGGGAGAAGAGGGGCGGGGGAGGGGGCAACAGGACCATTTTGATTAGACTGCAGCCAGCCAACTTGGTTGGCTGGGGCTGGGTCGACAAGGACCGACATTTATTGTCGAATAACTGCTGAAATGGGGTCTGAAAAAGCTATAACATTGTCAATAGTCCGATGGCTGGTGCCGAGGGGAACATGCTCACTACAGTGCAAGTACCGGTCCAAAAAGGTACAGAGCTTGGCTTGCGGAAATCTCTCGACCTTCGAGGTTCAATTCGGGAAAGCCGAGTAATTCGGCAGAGTGAATTCGCCGGTGCACCCATGGAACCCGACGACACCGATGACGATGCAGCGTTGGTTCCGTGGACGCTTGAAGGTGACGTGACGATGTCGTGACTGTCTTAGAATGAAGCTTAACACTACTGTGTATATTGATGTTATGCTTCATGCTGCGTCCACTGCGTTATTTTACGTGCTTGGCGTTATTGACAAACTAGTCGACAAGTTTCAAGCATTCTTGACAATATTGATAAGATTTTAGGATCGTTGACATTGTTGATGACGGCCAGCGACTTTGTTGACATTGTGACATGGACCTTCCGACCGGCCGTAATCGTTGACATCGCCGAATCAATTGTTGACCCGGCCATATGACCCAAGACCCAAAGCAACTGGAGCGGATCCTTTTCGAGCCGACGGGTTTGTGGCTTCACTCGGCTCTGTTTCAGCCGCTGCACTCGACCGCATGCGATGCACGCGTTCATGCCGACCGGATCGGCCTCGCCACCTCTACAACCTCTACTCAACACCACGGCCCCGTACATTGCATCTGTGAAGGCTGCCTCTGGTGCCGCCGTTCTAGGTGGGCAGCAGCAGCAACACCCGCACCAGGAGCAGCATCAGGCTCAGGTTCCAACTCCGGCCGTCGCGGAGGCGCGCCCAATCCAACCTCATCGGCTCAACTCGTCGAAGTCAACTTATGCTTCCACCTCGACCTTGGACGAAGCGCCCGTGTCCGAAGGATTCGAGCAGATCGCTGCCAAGAGTTGTCTCAGGGTCAGTCCACATTCTGCTTGTGTGCATTGCTTTCCTTGTCGACTGCTCGGGCTCGAAGCAGCCGGGCTGCCCGGGGTTGATGATTCATGACCGTCACCGGCGACAGGTTGTTCTAGCGCTGGTGTTGTGCACTGCCTGAGGCACGCGCGGCGCGCCGATCTTCCTGTCGGGGCGGTCGTGGCTCGCAGACCGACGCTTGGGCCTTGATTCGAGCCATGACTGAGGCTCTGAACTGGCGCGCTGTAAGGGGATGCCTTACAGAACAGCCCCATAAGTAGCCTCTGAGTAGCTAGAAATGTCGAGTTCTAGTTACGACTTGCTTTTAGCCTAGCGGTCAAGGCGACAGATTGTAGTTTATGCACATCAGAGGCGCATACCTTACACGCGCGCGCGCCCATTGTGGTATGGAACGACCATGTGTTTCTACGTGGAACAATTGATGATCTTTTTGGGACCTTGCTGACCTTGACCACGTTGTCATCGATTTTACCACCTCGATCCCTCCCACGAAAACCACTAGTGTCGGGATCGCAAAGTCAAATGCGACAAGATATACCCGAACTGCGGAAGGTGCCTCAGCAGAAAGGAGGCATGTGGATAGTAAGTCCAACGGGCCGACACCTGCTAGGCAGGCACACAGCAGCCGATTTCGGCGACCGCAACCACACGACATTCGCTAACATGTGATGCTCGTAACTACCTTGCCGCTTGCAGCAAAGTGGGGATGATCATGTCCGTATTCACACCGGGTCTTCCAATCGGCTTACCCCAGATCGAGCTTAGGGGTTGGGTAGTGCAAACTGCGGATAAAGCTGACCTCGAGGGCGGCGGAATCGGCTCATCCTACACTTGTTCTTCAGATCGACGAGACCCATTACGTCCAATGCCGACGAATCGGCCGAGGACAAGGAGAGGGACTCTGATACCGACTTCAGATCGTCCCGGCCCCGGCCTGCCGACCAGGACTTCGACCACCACCTTCGTCACGAGGTGGCCGCTGGCTCCTATGAGCTCGCTCAGGAGACACCTGGTAGGCCACCACCATCAGAGCCGGGCGCGGAACTACCGTCAAGGCCCATCGCTCGGCTTCCCCAGCGCCCTTTATCGAACCATGTCATCTACGCCGTCAAGTCAAATCGCTACTACGACAGTGCGCCGCCGCAAGGTGCCGCGTACGAGGACACCGCCTTCTATCCGCCGATGGCGGCCCAGTCGACTTCCGCCGACTACGCCGATACGATGCAGAGTACCCACACATACCAAGAGCGGTTGGACCTACCTCAGGATACGTTACTGGCCTGGCACCGACTGATTGGACGGGACGACATCGGCGAACGGTCCGTCGACTGGCAGCTCGCACGCCCGACGATGGCGACGTCCCTGCAGCGCCATCTTCTCGAGGCTTCGATGCACAGTTGCTGCTCGCATCTGCCTGCTTTCCGGCCCTTCGCATCGCGCGTCCTTTTCTTTAAAGAGAACATCGATCGTCTGGACCTGTCGAGCCAGATCATCGTTTCGGTACTCGTGTCGCTCGGAGCTCGCGCCAGTCCGCATTCGGCTCTGCTCGGCGTCGACGGCGTCGACATCGAAAGCGGCCAAACTCCGGTGTCGCTCCTACTCACGGCGGGACAACGACGCGAAACGGCGTGGCGGTCGATTGCGAGCCGTGCCGTCGAGCTTTGTTCGCGCCCCGAAATCGTGCAAGCCCCGTCGAGACAGAACGTCGAGAGCCTGTTGGCGATCAGTGCGATGCTCAAGCTGTGCGAGACCCGGCCGACACGCGCGCGGTACTTTCTTCGCAACGTCGTCGGCATGTTTGAGGATTTGCAGACTAGCGATATGATGAGCGAAGCCGAGGTGCGCGACTTGAAGGCGGCGGTTGGGCCGGCGGTGTACGAGTCCGACGCCCGCGTAGCTGCATGCCTTTCAATGCCGGTTCTGATCGGCAATCAAGATGTCGAGAGCTACTTCGACGGCGCCAACATCATTATTCCTGATCTCAAAAGCGCGAGTCTGATGAACGACCTCCTCGCCATTCTCAGCCCCGCCCGAGGGCCTCTCGATCGCATCAAGTTCGACGATGCTCTCGAGATCGCTGCATACTACGTGTGCGCGATTCAACGTAGCTATGCCGCGATTTGCTCATCCCGGAGTGCGTCCAACTCGCTCCTCGCCGAAATTCCGAAATTGTGGACATACATCGATTCGGCGCACAGCGCGGTGCAACACCTTCATCGTACGCTGGTCAGCCTCGATCTCCGCGACGACTACAGCGACCACGCGATCGAGTACGACCTGCTCATCTCGGTTCGCTTGGACACGCGCTTGATCGACGTCATCAACCTCACGCACAGCTTCCTCTGTCGACAATTGGATCGATCCTGGCCAGAACAAGACCACCTCGCGCTGCAGCAGCTCACGGCGCTGAGTGAGCGTCGGGTGCGCAAGGCGCTCAAGCTTCTTTCGTTCTACGCCAAGGTCTTTTCCGATTCGCGCGACAAGCATCTCGTCTACCACTTGTTCCTACAACTCGATATACTTCCCGCTTGGGCCGACATGGTCTCACAGCGTGTCGGAGAGCCGACAGCGTTCGGGCCCTTGAACGAGGAAAGCGCTTTGACTGAACAAGAACTGGATTGGTAAGTGCCCGCGCAGACAAACCGCGTTATCATTGCCTACGTGCCGATCAAAACCCCATCTCCTTGACGTGGTGATGCAGGTTCGTCAAAGCACTCGAGATGGCGTGCTTCTACACCCCTTCGGTCAATGCGCAGCTCGAAATCATCAAAAGAGGGCGTGAACAGCGACGGAGCGCCCCAGCTTCGCTTTACAATTATGATCGTGAGTGGCAGTCGCTTCTTCTTTCGTTGGCCTGAAAGGGCACATTGCAGCAGTCTGACTCCGTCCTTTCACTCGATTCTTACAGTCGCCCCTGCTGCCCCTGCTCACTACCACGAGGTCTCCTCCAGTAGCGGCGCTGGATCGTCACCGAGCGACATTGGTCTGAACGGAGAAGGACGTTACGATCACTCGAACACGAACCCTCGCCTCGCTGAAATCCCACCTGGCGCGCATGCCAATCGCATCGTAACGGCGGCCTCCTCCATCCTGTCGACAATACCAGCGCTTGCAGCAGATTCGACGTATACAATACCTTCTCGAGCCAGAGGTGTGCCAGACCGACCAGTCTACACGTATGGCCCGTATGAACCGCCAGCGAACCTCAGCGAGCACTCGTCGCGCAGTCCGGTGGATGCCGTCGTCGACAAGACGACCGCAGACCAGCAGCTGTGGGTTATGGACTCGGACCTCGAGTGCATGCTGTCAGGAGCGACGCGATCGTCCGAGGCCAGCATCACGGAGCTGTACGCGAATGGGACTCGAGGCGATGGAACGCAACTGCATGCGCTTGCGAACTCGTATTCGCACTCGTATTCGCACTCGCATTCGGATGCCGAACTCGTGCCGAACAAGCCCGCCAGCGACAGCACGATATTTGCGCGGCGCAGGAGTCAGGACTGGTACTCGGCGCTGATCCGGTACTCGCAGAATTCGAATTCGAACTCGACCGCCTCCTTTGAGCCTCCACACGCTGATCCCGGCGGTGTGTACCAGGAGAACGGACGATGGGCCGGCGCGATTTCGAATTGGTGATGGTGACAAGTCGAGAGGTGATCGTCTTGCCTGGCTCGGCCTACCTCCTTTCTGCATATTATTTATTCTATATCATAAGATGTGGGGTCTCGGCCCTCCCCCTCCCCTTTCCCTTGTTTGAATATTAATCTCCTTGTCCTATTCTTCAATCTGTGTTGCTTGATGAGGGTTTCGTGCATAGTTGCTTCAACCTTCCTTTTGATCGTCTGTGTGCCGTTCTTCTGGCGTGCCGGATTAGCGGTTGTTACCTATGCTTATTCTGTTTCTTTACGTGTGCCGGAGTTCTCCTTTTGGTTCTAGAGTGCTCCCTTGTGTAGCTTATGACACGTTGGTTGTAGTATCATCGCAGTCATATCGCCACCCGGCTCTTGAGGTCTGCGTAGTAGTCAGATCGGGAGAGGTGCAGCCAAGCGCTCGGCATCGGGCCGAACGCCACGGTGGGCTGTGTCGCGAGAAGAGGCCCAGCAAGTGCGTCATCCCGAAGCGGACAGCGCACGCGCGAGCCGACCCTGCTGGGAGACTGCTGGGCATGCTGGGAGCTGCTGGGCTCTCTGCTGGGACACCCACTGCCATCTCGAGACGATTAGCCGCCCCCTCATCACGCTCTTCCTTCCACCATCGCTTGTGCCTACTTGCTCATCCATTAAAGTCATCGACATGACTCACAGCTGTCTCTCCACCACGCCTCTAGCGACGCTCGCGCTCTTACTTCCTCTCATCACCCCTGCCCGTGCCCAATGTGAGTACTGCCACTGCCGCACTCATGCCCCACGCCGATCGTGACGGAGCCCGCCCAGGGACCGCCGCCACTCGCTCGCAGATTGGATTGCCGCCTCTCGAATGAAAGCGATGACGACCGGCGACCATGAGCACGATGACGGCGACGAATCCCGGCTTACGGCTTCGTACACGGACCAGCTGCATTGAACTGATTGGAATTGTATTGTCGATGCAACAGATGGTTACTACTATGGCAACGGGAGACCGTATGGACAGCGCATCGGCATTGGTGAGTAATCCAAGGCCGTCCGTCGTTGTTCGCGTCCTCGTATTGCGATTCTGACCTCGTATTCGCAATGTACTGCTTCACTAGGAGTTGGAGGTATGTCTCTCATCGCAGGCCCCGACTGGACATGAGATGTGGATTTCTCGATCGATTTACAAAGGCTGACCCGGAGTCCTGGCTCTCGATCCGATCCGATCAGTTGCCGTCGCTGTCATGCTCGTGAGTCCACACGCCATAGCCCGTTGTCGTGTTTCATGGGATGGGACCTAATTCAAGGTATTTTATTGTTCTGTCTTTACCACCAGGTCATCCTCGTGATCAGTTTCCTGCTGAGGCGTCGGCGAGCGCGCGCCTTCAAGCAAGCCTACCCCGTCCAGGCGTACCAACCGAATCAAGTCCAGGGGCAGCCGTCGGCGTCCAACAATAACGGCACATTTGAGACGGGTCAACAGGGACAGCAGCAACAGGGCTACCAGACCCAGCCTTTTCACCAACCTCCTCCCGGATGTGAGTCTGCTGAGGATCGAGACGCGATCGCTTTTCCAAGCAGACACTGCGCTGCGCTCCCGGTCGAGCCTGAGCTGACTCTGCATTGCCCGTCCAACCCCACTTTGTCATTATGAATGATACAGACTCCAACTACCGAGCGGACCAATCGACGTACCCTCAACCTCATCAACCCCAATACGCCCCCCCGACGTCGCTCCCTCCCGCCGCCAACCCGTCGAGTCACTACGCTCCACCGAGCGGGCCCCCTCCGACGGGCAAGTAGATGACAGGAATACGAGGTGTTTTGAAATGAGGTCCGCTGTTGATTGATGTCTCGCCATCCACCCCCCTTCCGTCTACCATGGGACCTCTAGGCTCGACGTCCCCCCCACGAGCCCTGGACTCAGTTCTAAGCATGCGCAAACGACCTGCGTCTTGTCTGTTCTGTAGAAATCAAGTCCGATCTTTAGTTCATTTAGCTTCATGATTGTGCGCCACCTGTAGTTTTTTTTGTAGAAATAATTTGATTTTGAAAGGTCAAAAGAGTTGTTGGAAAGTTCGATCATGCGCCGAGCCGGTTCACTCTCAACACCGAGGCACGCTTTGATGCTCGTTCGTATCGACTAGAACTGCTAGAGATCAATTGGCACACACCCAACTTCTACGAGGTCGACGTCGCCATCTGCGCATCCGCCGCCTCCTTAGCCGCCGCCTCAATCTTTTCAATGATGGGCTTCAACTCGGCCTCGTCGAGGATCTGGAACCCCTTCTCCGGTAAAACCTGCGCAAGTTGGACGTTGGAATGATCGAGCTTCTCCTCCATCACTTGTTTCAGGATCTTGAGGGCTAGGGAACGCGCTTCTTCCAATGTCAGGGACTAAGGGAAGTGTTGGGAAGTCAGCGGCGCGGCTCATTGGTGATGGCGATAGTACGAGAAGGATGAGAGCTTCTTGGGAAGGGTGACGTACTTTGTTGTACGAGTCTTGCAGTTCGTTCTGCGCGCCTTCCGAACCGGATCCGATCGCCTTGGCATCGTACCGCATGAACGTCCCCGACGGATCGGCGTGGTATCTGTGGAGTGAGGGCGTGCAAAAGTTTAGGTGCGTGCTTGAATGGTCAAGGATTCGACGAGATCGAGGAACGAACAGTTGTGGCCCATGTTGATCTACCCCCGCAATCAGCAATGCGACACCGAATGGCCGAGACTGGTTGGGTGGAGCAAGAAAAGATCGAATTCGTCAATTCTTCCGAGCTCTAAGCAAGAGCCCACCGAATGTTAACGGACCATAGTCGCCTCCTCCTCATCAGCACCTTCACCGAACCTCAACGCCAAATCACAAATCGTCTGGGTAATCGACTCGACCTTGATGGGTTCGTCATAAGTGAAGGAATGGTTCTGCGCCGTCACACGCGCATGTTCGACCATGGTCCTCGCGTCGGCCGTGAGACCGGACATGGCGCAACCGATGTGGGCGTCGATCTCCATGATCTTTTCGACGCTGTCTGAATCGAGCAGGGCGGATTGTGTCCGCTTTTCGACGGCGAGGACGACACCGTGCGCGGTCTGGATCCCGACGGTCGTCGAACCGAGCTGGGAAGAACATGAAGAGGACGTGAAGAGGACGAGCTCAGCTTCGAGGTCACAGGGGGGGGCTGAGCGAGGTGAGAAGATGAGGGGCATACTTTGATGGCTTCAATCGCATACTCGACTGTAGTCGTTCCATTCAGGTGCCGTTGTGAGTCGTGCATAGTCCAGGTGGGCCGTCGTCATCGTCATCGTCGTCGTCAGCGCGGGTCGTCCGAAATTGAAAGCGGGGTTGGGGAGCACGATATAAGCACACGACCCTCTTTGGGCGTACAAGGACGCGATTCTCACCTTGGAATAAGCGCCCTTCTGGTGAGAAGGTGTTGACGTTGCGTGAGTAGTCGCTCTTGCTGTGGGAAAGAGCCGATTCCAGAGTCGCACCAAGTGGTACGATGATGTAGGGAGTTGAAGGGACGGGTCAGCACGGACCAATAAAGCTCCCTTCGCAAGTGCGCGTACCTGCTGAACATGATGAGGTGGTGGGCGGTGAGTGGGGTAGTAGGTCAGGCAGCAAGCTCGAGCCCGGGTTCAAGCTCAAGCACGAGTGGAGCTCAGCGCGTCGTCAGCTCCGAGTCGGCGACGGCAGCACGGAATACTAGTCCTGACCACATCCCCGTAGTCTGGCTTCTCTTCGAAAGTAGAAATAGTAGTAATGCAACAACATTGAATTCAAAAATCTGGGCAAAATGGGAACCTCCCCCCTTCAGAACTTCTGCGACCTTCTCTCCGTCCCCTCTGCTCGGAACCCGCCAAGGATTTCGTGTCCGAGCTCAGCGGGTTCACTTCGTCGCAGTCCGTCGTCCCCAAGTCAACGCGCACACCAGCGGCGAGCAGGGTTGACTTTCGTTACAGCCCTCATTTGGTAGCCACAGCCAATCCGTCCAGAGCTTGTGCGAGCGCACTCCCCGATTTGGCCAATTCTTTAGGCGCTTCTTTCCGAACAATCAATGCCGTCGGTTCCTAACCAAGTGCAATTCAAAAGCAACATCAGCAACACACACACACACTCTCTCTCTCTTTCACCTTACCCTCATCGGAAACTCGTAACTTACCTGCTCCTGCTGCGGCATCAACTCCTTCCTCAGCTCCATCTCGTGCTTATCCAACTCCTCCCTCGCATCCCGATCATGAACCTTCTGACCCAGCCCATGCGATCCAACCACGCACGACATTTTCTTCCTCTTGGCGTTGATTTTGGCTGTCGTGGTGTGTTGTTTCAACGGGAGGAGGGTGCCGCTGGAGCGGGTTTTCGAGGTCCGTCCTCGTTTAGAGGGAGGGGCACGTGACGAGGCGCGCTTGGGGGGGAAAGCAGTGCTGTAAGGGTCAGTTGGGGTGATTTGCATGATCGAATCCAGTGAAGGGTTAGCTCACCTTGCCTGGCATGATGGAGCAAGGGGGAGCCTGGGGTAGCCTGGGCGTGTGGAGTGGGTGACGCGATAACAGGTTGACCTCGACGTTTCCTTACGTTGCGAAACGGTGGGCGAAAGCCTCTGCTCGCACGGACCGCATTGCGGTCCACTCGACTGACCGTAGGCCGACGACCTAGCCACCACCCACCAGTCACACTCCTCTGACGGTGCTTCATGCTCTTTCATTTTCCAAGTCGGCTTCACTACAATCTTTCCATTAACCGCTCGCTCGGTAAAGAACGTGATCAAAGCGTCAGAGGACATTTATTTCGGAACAGATTCAGCCATGACGAGGAGGAGAGGATCTATGCTACAAGTCTTTGGGGGGTCTGCTATGTGAAGAGAGTATGAAACACTCGAGGAAAAGTGTTTCAAGAAGAAAAACGAGGGGCTCAGGAAGAGCAAGAAAGAACAGAGGGGTATCATCGGCCTTTGAAGAGGGCCCAGGGTGAATCGTCACGGATGAACTGATTGAATGTCGAAGCGATGGGAGACACAAAACGACGATCGAGAAGAAAAGAGTGTTGAATGTGTTGTTTAGACACACTTGCCGTCCCTGTATGCTCACCCTCGGAAGCAGGAGGTGGCTTGGCATTCAGAGTTGTGGCATTGGACGTTCAAGGCGCCAGGACTGAAGGAAGATAGGGGCTTGGTCAGCTTGACGTGTTCTCCTTGTGGCACTGCTCCCATGCGAAGGGCAACGTTGAGGCAGGATGTAAGGGGATAAAATACTCACATTGCGAGGCAGTTCTGACCCGGAAGACCATCACCGACGAAACCACCGCAAGCGGTAAGAGCGTTGGTTGCGTCGATGCATTCGAAGCCACCCGTCTTGAGGCGGCAAGCCTTCTCGCCATCAGGGCACGTCTCGGCCTCGGGGTCGATGGGAGGTAAAACCGAAGGATTGGACGAGAGGACATCTTGCGAAGCTTGGGCGGCATGAGGGTGCGAGATCCACTTCTTCACCTTTCGGCGCGAGCGGGCGCTCATCGTCGAGGGCATGACACAGCCGTTGCCACCGTTCGAGACGAAGGGGGACACGCACTTGCAGAACGAGTTGCCCGAACCGGTCGGGGTGATGACGTTGGGGCTCGGGCAGTCACTGATCTTGACGCATTGGCCGGTGATGGAGTCCTGTAGATATGAGGTCAACGCCCATGGTTAGAGAGTCGGAGAGCAATGCCTGCGGCGCGCGCAGGCGAAGACGAAAAGCTCACAGAGTATTAGTCCGAGTCACATGCGCATGCGCATTGACCTTTGGCGCAGGTGGCATGCGAATTGGCCGGGCAAGGAGGGCAAATGCTCTGGCTTTGAAACTAAGAAGACGTGCCAAGATCGAAGTGGAGTCAGCGCCTAGAACGAGTGATGGCGAGCCTCGTCAAGGTCAGCGCGCACTAACGATGTTGTTGACGAGATCGAGAGCGTTGACGCAGGCGCACACGCGGGCGAGGGTGATGCCAAGAACGTTGACAACAGAAGTGATACCGATGGTGGCCGAGGGGCAGCGTGTTGTCGAGAGCACGTTGGCGAACGCATCGAGGTTGACGAGCGTACCGTCCTGGAGCAGTCCGAGATCGAGGTCGGCACCGAGGAGGTTGCCAGCATTGATTTTTATCGGCAAGCTGATGAGGGAGTGGGCCGAGGCGGCGAACAGAGAAGTAGCGACGAATACTACTCGTGAGAAGAGCATGGTGGCTAGGGGTGATCCGTGCGTGTTAAAAGACGGGAGTCAGGGGAAGATCGAAGATCGACGCAAGGGCAGGGTTTGCCAAGTGGGGGTGAAAGGAGTGTACGTCGACTTGGTTCAGTCGGGTTGTGGGAACGGGTTCGCCATCTTCGCGTGGATGCGGGGTGAAATTGGTGATGGTGCGACGTGGTGCGAGGCGAAGGCGCTTGACGGGGACCGGCGCGCTCCTGGCTCATCAGCTCGATCTTCTGACCCCTCAAAATGACTCCGAGCCATGGAGGGGTAACACAAGTAATGGGGCGTTCGGACTCAGAGTAGTACGAGCAGACGCGTTAAAATACGAGTGTCATTTTGCAACCATCAAGAACACTGCTTTGTTCATTGTGGCTGCTACAAATCAGGTCGACTTGGTGACCTCGGGTGACCGAGGGGTCTCCTTTTTCGGAAGACTGCAGCGCCGAGGGAGCTGCGATGCCGAGCGGCGGCGGCGCGGGCTGGCGTCATTGGCACCGATGAAGCAAGCTCGTAGAGCTTAACCTCGAGTCGCTTGATAAGCGCCAAGCCTGGCCTCAGGGCGAGTATAAAAGCGCCCCCCCCCCCCCCCCCTCTCACCTCTCTTTCTCCTTCCTTCTTCTTCGTTGATGAGTACCTCTCACATGGCTCTTCCACCACTGGGCCGTAACCGACTAGCGCATCGACGCAGCACCGAGGCGGTAGGTGGTGGAAGTCGGCAGTAGTGTACCATCAGCCACCGTGAGTTCACCCCTCCGACTCGTTGCAAGTACCACCGTCGCTGACTTGGGCCACTGCCCTCCTCTCGTCTTGACTCGGATCGTGACCAGCCTCCGATCGCACGCTCTTGATCGAAGAGGGGCCCACGGCAGTCCTGGTCGTCTTGCGAGGTAAAAAGTTTGGGAGAGGTTTTTGGTTGTCACTGTATCGGGTCAGTCCCGCTTGTGGCCACCTCCGAGCATGCCCCCCCCCCCCCCCCCCCCCCCTCCGCAGCTGCCATCGTCGGCCGGACCCGACCTCGTACGACGGACTTGGGCTGACCTTGCTCTCACCTTCACCTTTGCATGCCCGTTCATCTTCATCCACCTTCACATCACACCATCTTCACCATCACCATCTTCACCATCACCATCTTCACCTCTATATCGATTCTCGTCTTCACCTTCACCCTTCACCCTTCACCCTTCACCCTTCACCCTCCCCATCACGTTCGCTTCCACCTCGAATCTCCTCCACCTCACCACCTTGATCCCTTGTCTTCGCCTCTACGTCTGTTCCTCCCTATTGCACCTCCACCTTTGACTTACCCTCATTTCATGCTGCTCTTTCTTTGACCTTGATCTTGACCGTCAACCTTGCCTTCACCGCACCGTCAACCTCTTGCTTACGTCATCCACCTTCACCTCCACCTTTGCCTCCACCTCGGGATTTGGCGTTACAGGGGGTTTCCTTGCGGCCATTCGGCCGTTCAAGACGTCATGACCGGTAGCAATGATGAATCAACAACTTTGTCCACAAAAAGTGAGTTTTATGCACACCAAGTGTGACTACCTACTAGTAGTTCCCTCTGCTCGAAGGTAAAGTTGCGAGCTGCTGCTAACATGCATGGTCACCCGCTGCCAACAGCTGCTTCAACTGGCAATGCGGCGGGACAGATCAGACTCGAGGATGGGGATGATGGAGAGGAAGTGGGGATGTGTGGGGTTTCGCTGTGGTTTTTCATTAGTCTTTTAATCACGTGCACGTATCAGGCCGCGCTGCACAGCGACGCCGACGGGTGTCCTCTTCTTTGTTTTCTCATGGTTTGGGTAGAACAGAGTCCGAGGATTAACCGTACTGGAATGTCGACCGGGGAAAACGGGCCGAGACGAGTCGCTGGCGCGGATCACAGAGTAAACGTACACAACACTAGGTACAGCTTGGGAAAGTGCGAGGCATTCTAAGGTCCTGGTGGTGCCGAATGAAGGCTCTATCCTCGGGGGAAAAATCTCGCAGATTATCGCCCCAGTCTTGTCGATAGGCAAAGGCCAAACCACCGGGGCTCGCGACCATGAAACGCTCCTTATTGAGTTCAGGAAGATCAGAAGAGACCACAGCAAACAATTGGAGTCCACATTTTTGCGCATATGAAGTGTGAGGAAGCGACGCAAGCGACCGAAGGTTCATCCTCCATCAAGATCGCCCGGAACAAGCCGATGAGTCACGAAGCCATTAAGAAAGCGCGCCGATGCATGCAGGCCGCGTTGGAAACCATGGTGAGTCCATATGAAGTGCTCTGGGTCGGTTTTGAGGGTGTTATGATCCTTTCAGTTACTTTACTGTGAGCAGTATCAAATTGAGCTTGGACTCACCATGGTTTCCAACGCGGCCTGCATGCATCGGCGCGCTTTCTTAATTGCTTCGTGACTCATCGGCTTGTTTCGGGCGATCTTGATGGAGGATGAACCTTCGGTCGCTTGCGTTGCTTGCGTCGCTTCCTCACGCTCCAAGGCAAGCGCCGCGTCAAACCTCGCCATCACCTCTGCGTCATCCTTTATGTCGTTCCAATATGGCTTTGCGAGCTTAACCCTCTCCACCAAATTGGTCGGCACTAAAGCGGACCAACCCAGCCCGTTAGTCCAACAACAACGTAGTGCAATGCTATGCTAGAATTTAGCACGAGGTAGTCAAGAGCTGTGCCTACCTTCCAATCCATCTTGAACTGCCAGCGATTCGAAGTACTTGCTCTGCACAAAGTCATTCCAGGAAGTGGGAGAGCCAAGGCGAGTCACGGGCGCAACAATGCTCCTCAAATAATCGAGTCGAATATTGTGTCGGATACAATACTCGAGCTCTTCGTCGTGTCTTTTCTGGGCCCATTGCTCGTGCATAAGTCGTTCGGATTTGCGACAGTTGCGCTTAGGGATAGCCTTGCTTTGTTCGTGGAGGCGAGGGCCCATCGGCCTCTTCGTCAAAGGCGAAACTCGGATCGGTACGGTGGCAACAGGGACTTCGACGCGGGCGAACTGTTGATCCGCGGCGGAAAGTGGTGATGGATGCATTGTCGGGGTGCTTCCATCTACTGATGAGAAACTCGGCGAGGGTTGCAGGACGCCCGACGATGTATTGGCTTCGTCCATTGGCAATTGAAGGGGGTCAGGCAGCACTGGGCGATTGGCGGCGGAATCGGCGGGACAGGAGGGTCGACTTGATGGGTGCCCTGTGCTAGCTGTGCTGCCTAGGACAGGGAGGTCGTCTGGGAAGGCGGACGCGTGACTACCCGACTCGAGCGAATAGGTTGGATAATCGATGTTTGCGAACGCGGGAGCGTCAAGCGGTCGGCTGGGCGGCGCAGGACTTGGATGGTACGCATCATATTGCTCGCTAGACGAAATGGCATTAGAAGAGAACATCGTGCAGGCAGAGGCTGGAAGGCGAACAGGGGAAGGTCAGAACGACACGGTGCTGCATTAAACCAGTCAAACAGCGCGACGACGACCGCGCAGCCGCACTTCCACCACGCACCCAGAGACTTGTTTGTGAATGGTTATCCAGGAGGGAAGGAGCCCGCAATGTTCCGAGGCGACGCGATGAATCTATAGTCAAGACGTGGATGTCAGCAGGCCCTCAGAAGCTCGTTCTCTGGTAAAAGCCCGGACGACGATCGCCGGACATACACGTGGGGCTTGTCGAGCGCCGAAGCGTGGAAACTTGGTATGAGTTGGCGATGTGAAAGGATCACAAGATCAATGGAGATCAACGAGGGACGTGACGTGTGACGTGTATGCGGTTCAGCGATCGAGGACGAGGATATTCGCGGCGAGACCAATGGGTCTTGTGTTGAATGTACGGGCGAAAGGGGGCCTAAGGACAAGAGCTGTCAACGTATCAACAACGCACAACACGCGTCGATTCCGTCAGGTTCGGAAGCTTTCGGAAGGGTTCGGAACGTTCGGACGGGACGCGCCTGCGCGCGCCACCTCGCGCAACCCGCGTCAGGTCACGTGTTGCATTGGGCCAGACATACCACGGCTTCCGCAGTGCTGAGGCGTTAATGGATATACCTGGACTTCAACAACGTTTTTTCTAAGCTCTACAAGCTTCTCCCGCCAATGACTTACGTCATAGGGCCAAGCCGGAAAATCATTTCCGGATCAATTGTAATGACTTTGAACCATTGCGAGCTTGTTCCCGCGCCGAGTTGCTACCGTCGGTAGCAGTGTTGCTACCGGGCTCAGGTCGCCTATTTGCATAGGTTTTTCTGGCCGCGCGGCGGCGCTACTAAGACTGGTTACTTTTTAATCTGCCTGAGGTGGTCACGCCTGAACTTTCCCTGGAAACTCATTCAGAGCTTCGGAAGGGGTTTACAGTGAAGCACACACCACTAGCTGCTGAGGACTCCGGAGTTCTCGGAGTCTTCGCCGACACTCGAGAGAGATACATCCTTGCTACGATTACGAGGCTGTGCACGCCATATTTGATCAGATACTATCCGGTACCCCATGATTAAGACCCTAATTTTTCCAGAAGAACTCGACTCAGTCTTGCCTTGCGGCTAAGGCCTTGTTGTACGCTTCCCGGGTCAAGACGAACGTCCTCGGTTCCAGACTGATCGGCCAAATCGTCGCCACCACCTTGTCCAACCCGGACCTAGGTCGAGGATGCGTGGATTTCCCAATGATGGGGACCTCCAATTCGGATCCTTTGGGTACGGCCTGGTAACTGTTCTTCTTGAGGCGCCGAGCGAAAGCAGCTTCGGGCACGGGTCGGCAAGCGATGACGAGTTTGGTCGTCTCGGGGGATTCAAAGGCGTAGTCCGCGACGAAATCGAGCAGATCGTCTTCGATGTCCGCAGGTCGGAACGAGAGCGAGGTGGCGAATCGACGAATGTGGAGTACACCTTTAGGTAAAGGAGTCGAGGCGATAGGCTTGGTCGAAGGGGGTGTTCCGAGCGAGGGGGTCGGGGGAGTCAGAGAAAGGCTCGGGGCATCAGATATCTTCGAGTTGCGCTGACGAAGCAAGGTGCCCGTCGTCGCATCGGCAGCAGTCGACTGGGCCGATTCGGGGCCATCGATCTTGTCGTTGTTGTCCACGGTCAAGTCGACGACCGAGTCCAAATTCTGGCCTGGCTTGCGACCGTCGAGCGTGACGAGACCGATGATGCGCTGATCGTACTCGAGGACCCAAGCCCCCTTCCTGCCCGTTTCGGAATCGTTCGTCTTTTCGGCAGTGCCATAGTAGCCTTCGATATCACGCATGTCCTCCTCTCCGATCGCACGCTGGACCTCGTCCTCGAACCGGGGGCGGTGGACCATTTCAAAGAGCGCGAGCAGGATAATCGGTGGGGCGATGAACAGAGGCAAGGACGTGAGCCATTCGGTGCCGTGATGGATCAAAGAGCTGTCGTGATAGGCCGGTACGGGGTATCGACCCATGGATACGAGGTACCGCAGCGAACTCGGCCATCCTTTGCCGATCATGGTGACGAAGAATTGGGTCAGGACGGCCCATCCGAGCAAGCCGAGGGGGCTGAAGAGCGCGGCCGAGTTGGAACTGGCCGAACTGTGGAGGATTGGGAAAGCGGTGAATCATCTGTTATGTTTCATGTAGGATGCTTGGTAGATCCTGGACCTACGGCTCCTGAAGCTGGGCTCCCAGCAGGAATCGGAAAACCTTTAGGTCACTCGATGCCTTGAACGGTCGAATCTTGGCCGACGGTGTCGAGGATGAAGGAGTAGCTGCAATATGGAGAGAGTCAACTCGATGAGCTATTGCTGTCCGACAGTAGACCAAGGTGACATGGCCGGGGTCTGAACGAACCCATCTCTGCAATTGATCCAGATGAGACAAGACGAGACGGTGGTGTATGGTCGTGCAGATTCCTGTCGAATTAGAGAGATGTTTGATAAGTGGTGATAGGCATTGGGCCCGATGCGACTTGCCTGCCTGGTTCTGTGCAGCTGCGAAAGCCAAAGGCCGGAGGAGAGAGACGGAGCGAGAGCGAGAGAGAGAGAGCTCTCGAACTTGCAAAGTGCACGTGCGCTCGGTGACCGAGTCTGAGTTGGAGCTTCGGCAGAGGCTGGCTGACGGTCGGAACGATCTCGCGGGGGCCGCAACAGGGGCAAGGGACGAAGGACAGGGAAACGGATGAGCAGAAAAGGAGGGTTCTTGTGGTGGCAGCAAGAGAGAGAGACGTGCGAAGGGCGATCGGCGTGAAACAAGCTTCGCAGCCAGAAACAGAACTTGAAGTGATCGGCCAGGCCAAGGGCGCCGCACCCGCCGCACTCGAATGCCGGGTCGAGGCACGGTCGAGGCACGTGCGCCGAGCATCAGCGTGTGGGGCTCGTGGGGCTAATCCGGCCATAATCCTCCATAATCTGCCATAACCAAGTTTCGGAATTGTCAGCAACCAATGCAGGTGCGGACTCGGTCCTCTCCGAAACTCTGCGAGCCTTTCCCTCCACGCTGCGCGCACACGGTAGCACATCATCCGACCATGTTGTTCGACACCCCACTCCTCTCCAACCTACCACCCATCGCGTCATCGTCAACCGCACCGAATGGCATCAAGAAGCGACCGCGTGCCGAGTCGGCTGCGAAGGGCCAGGCGACGGCCGAAGCTGGGATGAACCTCGACAAGCTCATGAAGAAGATGAAGGGCATGGACACAGAAAAGGGAACAAACCCCAACTCGACACCCGTCAATCCATCCCCCCGACAGAAGAAGGATCCATCGACGTCGAACGCTGGTGGCGCGGGGGGTGCTTCGCAACCCCGCAAGGAGCGGTCTTCCAAGGGACCTATGGATGCATCACCTCACAGCAACAAGAACATCAAGAAGCACGAACAAGACAACTTGCGTGCTCACAAAGACGCTGCACCGAAATCTTTATCCTCTTCGGCGCGTCCACGGGAATCCTCCTCGAAGAACAAAAAGAAGCACAAGTCCCGACACGATCCTCAACCCGCTGCTACACAAGATTCCGAAGACGATTCGATATCCACTCCAATCATGCCTCGCACCCATGCTGCACCCAACTTTGACGAAAAGCCCGTCGGAGGCTCCTCATCCGCAGGCTCGACTGCGCAGACCTCGCTGCAGGCTTCGTTGAGGGCCAAGTTGGCCGGAGGTAAATTTAGGATGCTCAACGAGACGCTCTACACTACCACGGGTGAACAAGCTTGGTCCGCGATGAAAGAGGATGGCGCGTTCGACGATGTGAGTCGACCAGCAAGCAGATTCTCCGACTGCGATCTTCTTTGGACAATTGCTAAGTCCGTGTTCGTTTCACTGCAGTACCACGCTGGATTCCGTTCCCAAGCCGCAGGGTGGCCTGTTCATCCCCTTACTTTGATCAAGAAGCAGCTCTCGACTTCCTTACCCGCGCTGTCACTCGTCGCCGATTTCGGCTGCGGCGACGCGACCCTCGCTCGCGACCTCGCCAAAGACACGCTCAAGGAGCTCAAGGTCATCTCGTTTGATCTCGTGTCCAAAGACGGATGGGTTGTTGAGGCGGAATGCTCGAGCGTTCCACTTCCAGGTGGGAGACACGGTGGACAGATCGTCGATGTTGTTGTTTGTTGCCTAAGTCTGATGGGGACCGATTGGGTCAAGATGGTCAGGGAGAGCTGGAGGGTGTTGAAGCCTGGGTTAGTGGACTGACTTTACCCAAGGATATGCATGTGCAGTATACTTACCACCCGATTTGACACGTGTGCAGAGGTCAGCTCAAGATCGCCGAGGTCTTGAGTAGGTTCACAGATATTGATGGTTTTGTGGCGCTCGTCTCGTCGATTGGCTTCAAATCGACAAGCAAAGTGAGGAACTCGGACGAAACTTGGCACGAAAGATTCTTTTGCTGACTATAAGGGCTTTCTGTATTGCCAGGACACGTCCAACACTCACTTCATCATGTTCGACTTTGTCAAGGCCGGGGAGGAGGCCGTCTCGAAGCAGGCCGAGATTACCAAGAAAGCTTCGAGTCTGTTGCGACCTTGTATCTACAAGAAGCGATGATCTGAAACGAAGATATTGTCGAACTCTCAGTCAAGACACTGCCACCGCACTGACAAGATTCCCTTTTTCGGGAGAGCCAGTCGGCAGGACCAACTGAGAGTGACCATCTGTGCGCCGTGCCCGAGCAAGCGCGCTATTGTGACAGCGGACAGGCTTGTGGGGGAATTTCTATTTGGAGCATGATCAGCCCTACCTTAGGATGAGTTCAACCTCCATCGAATGCGACCATGTGCGCCTTGCACGGAGCACCGTTGTGATAGGGGCTACCCATCGAGCGGCACGCGGCCACGATAACGCTAACGAAGGTTCTCGGGCAAGGGCCGTGGTCTGTTATCCGGCGGCGATGAATCGATGATGATCACGATTCACAAATGGTTCAACAACAAGCCCCTGACTCTGTTGAGTCCATGGAGTGTGCCCGTGTGCTGTTCATCTATTGATCACGTGCCAAGCTCTTTATTCTGTATGTAGACGGTCGTGATAGTCTAGATGAATTGTTCGGATCCGGATTCGATTAGATTGGGTTCCCACCTGCCCGAAAAGACCAAAGACGTCAGCAGCCGCCGTGGCAGGCAGCAGGCGGACTGCCCGGGGCGGGCACCTGCGGGCACTCGGTGTCACGCGCCTCACGGCTCTCACAGACTCTCACGCCGTCGCCCAGAGTCGCCCAGCGTCTCCCCCGCATCGCGTTCGCTTCGCCGGGGTATTCGCCTGCTCTTGCACTCTTGTTTTCGCCCCCTACATCGATCGTCAGGACGGGATCGGATAGGCACGATGTCGAACTCGCCCAGTATTACGGTCGACTCACCGAGCGTACCACGGGACAGCGTCTCGGCTGCAGACTCATCGTTGAGCCCATCCCACATCGCAGCCGTCGGCGCGTTCGTCTCCCCACCGAGGTCTCGCAGTGTCTCCGGCTCCGGTTCAGCTGTGGAAGACGACCCATCCCACCCGCACCCTGGCATCCATCGCTCCCCACAGGACCGATCGGACTCACCGTCAAGACCATCAAGACCTTCCAACGTTTTGCCGGCGCAGATTCGATCTGTGTCGAGACCGTCACCCGTTGTGCCGTCGCCTTCGGTTCCGAGCTCGCCTGCTTCCTTCTCGCGGCCGACCTCGCCAAGACCGACGCCGGGGCGACATGGGTATTCCCAGGACGACGCGACCTCACCGACAAGGGAGAGAGTTCATTCTCATCCTCATCATCCCCACCATGAATTGCACGCCCCCGTCGCGTCGAACCCCATCAGTCGAACCAACTCGGGCCTCGATCTGTCCCATATCTTTGAGCGAGGTGGGTGGGGAACACGTTCCGATGAGTCGGACCTTGCTGGCTCGCTATGCCATGGTGACTGACCCCCGATTGTTGGTAATTCTGTCTCACCCTGGCAGATGTCGAGTTCAACGCGACACATCAAATCAGCCCTCAGGAGGCGGTCGACGTCGCCGTCGCTCCTGTGCTCGACGAAGCCGTCGTGGCCTTATCCTCGCCTGGGATGACACCCGACATCGCCTCACTCGTGCACGACTCGGAAGAAGCCGCACTAGTGGGCTCAGGCTGGTCCTCGCCCATTCATGCGGTCGCGATTCCCTCCTCGTCCTCGATTGGTCTCGGCCCTGACGCGTCGGCGTCGCGATCACCCGTGCGAAGTTCCCAAATGCGATCCTTTTCCCCCGACTCGACCAGCGACAGTGCAAGAGGCGCGAGTCCTGAAAGTGTCGCCAGCTTCAGTGTCGGCACCCCACCCGACGACCGCTCGACCTTTGTCCCCTTCTCGCAAACCCTTTCCGAGGCGCTCGAGCAAGAGGCCCAGAAACGGCACCCCTCCGAGATGGGACCGACCTCGTCGCCTCCTCTAGCGGCCGGGGTGAACAAGCTCGTGCCTCCCGTGCCTTTCTCCCTGGCGGCCGGTGGCGGAAATTTACACGATGCAGCAGGCGCGCAGATTTCGCCGAGTCCGTCATTCAACGCTTTGGCTGGTGTCAAGGACGAGCGTCGCCGACTGTCATTCGTATCCTATGCGGGTAAGTCAAGTGGAAACAATATTCCTAGGCTATGTGTACTTACTTGATTTGATTCGTCAGACGTAATCAATGAGGAGCGACTCGCCGAGTTGACGGGCGCGCCGCAGGGAGGCGAGCCGACGGAGAATGCCGTGGACCTAGCTACGGTGCTGGACCGCTTGGACTTGGCGAGTCAAGAGAGCCATTGATCTTGGGAACATATGACAGTCTGATATAATGATGAGGATATGTTCCGATCCAGTATCTTTGGTTGTCTTTGTGTGGGGGGCCCATAGTATCCACTTACGTTGAGATCTGAGGGAAGATTCTCTCCTCTCGTCTTTCTCTTCTGTACACCTACCGATCATGCTTGTGTTTTTTCTTTCTCTTTTTCTTCTTCTTTGGGTGGGAGGGAGAGGGCTTCTTTTCTTTCTGCAATTGGCCCAAGACGTTTTACCTTGCTGGTCACGCGGTCACGTGCCGTCGATCTGGGCTCTTACGTCACTGCACCTTGGGTGCTTGCGCGCGCCCGTTCGGGCGATCCTGCATAGGGGCCGATCCTCGACCTCAGCAACGCCTCTCAGGAGCGCATCAAAAAGTGGAGTCTGTGCCGGTTCCAAATCGGGCGAGAGTCATCCTTCGCTCCCAGACAAGAGTGAATGCTTCTGGATCATGATGGGCAGAAATGATTAGTGCGTCATCGTGCTTGATTCGTCCGAGCCCTCGTTGGCTCACTTGGCTGCGAAGGCAAAAAAAGGCAGAAAAGCGCCAGGACGTCTGCGCGTGGTTCACTGCAGTCGTATTCTTCGTCGTCGGTCCGGCTGCTCGGTCGATCGCCTTTGAGACAGCTGAGACAGTTACTTGGCCTTCCCTTTGGACAACTCTTCTTAGTACAATCGGCCTCTCCTCTTCCAGATCTCTTGTGAGTTTTGTCAACAAGGTCGTCTCGTTCTGAGCTCGGACTCTTTCCCCGCCCACCGCGACTCACGGCAAGGAGATCCCGTGAGTTGTCCCATCTGGAACGTGTGCTTTCAGCCCTACCTCGATGCCCTAGTGAGGAGAAAAATTGCCCTTGATCTCAGTGCAGTATTTCTTCCCACCCGGGCTGCAATCCTCACCCACCTCGCCTTTGCGGACGATGCGATCGTGCTCGTCTCGTCACCGGCAGCACTCGATCTCCTGAATGGTCTCGCCGTCGATTGGCGCTTGGCTACAAACGGACGCTCGAACACGGCCAAGACGACTGCTCTCCCTCTCGGCTTGGGCTGGACTCAGGACGAGCGGGCTAGCGGGATCGCTACTGTGCGCGCTGGTGAGTGCATGACTTGGGCTGGCTATCCGGTTTCCATCGACGGCAATCTCTCGCTCTTCTGGAGCACGACACTCAACCGAGCAAAGGCTCGACTGGAGGCAGCGGCGAATCGACGTGTTTCCCCACGGGCTCGCGCGATGTACGCCAACTCGTATGTCACTTCGAGGGTCATCCACTTGCTCTCGTTCGACATCCCGCCCGTCACTTTCGTCGACGCTTTTGAACAAGCGCTCATCTCCTTCGTGTGGCACAACGACTCCTTCCGACCCGTGACAAAAGAGGCGGTCTTCCTCCGTCGCGATCTTGGTGGATTGGGCCTGCTGAGCATCGAGGACATTGTTTGCTCTATGGCGATCCGGTTCTGGGACTGCATTGCCCATGGCTTCGAGCCGATCTGGGCTACACTCGCACGGATCAGCTGGGAGCGCACATATCCGGAAGAAACGTCGATTTGGTCAACACTGATTGCCTCACCTCGCCGCGCAACCCACGCGCGGTGGACGAAGGTCATCAACGTTGCGCGACTGGTGCTGCCCCATGTGTTCCCAGAGCTCCTTCGGTCGACCGAGGTGCTCGTGATCCCACCTACTCTGCCTTCTTTACACCCACAAGGCCTGTCGGACGATGCGCGCAAGCGGCTCAAGAAGTTTGGGGCAATCATCGATCTTTACCGGAGGCCTCAGACGACAGGGGACCCCGTCAACCCAGGCCTGCAACCAGAGTCGTTATTGGAAAAGCTTTGGGCCGATGTGAGTGCTAGCTCTCCGATAGCCTCTGCATTGCCCCAGCCCGCCGCCGTCCGGACCGCCATTGGCAACTGCTACTTCCTACGACCCTGCACCTACACGTTCCTTGGCGCGACCCGTCCTTTTACGATCAAAGCTCTGCGGCACTTCATCAATGAGGCCCGCTATCCCTCGCTGGATGACAGCTCTCGACTCAAGTGGCCAACAGATCTCACAAAGTCACAGAAGCAACAGTTCTGGATCTGGCTCAACAGTCAATGGGCAACAGCGGTCGAAAAGGACGTTCACTGGAAGCTGATCTTCGGGGCGACGCCGACATGCGTTCTGCAACATCACCATGGTCACGCTGCATCTGATGGGTGTCCACAGTGCGGCCAACGAGACACCTTCATGCACTTCTACTTCGAATGTGACCATTCACGTGAGTTCTGGCGCCTGACCTTGCAGCTGCTGAGGGTTGCACTTGGCCAGGCAGGTGACTTCCAACCTGGCGAAGTTGACTCTCCTCAGATCATGCTTGGCCTTCCTCGGGTGCGTGGCGAAAGTCGTGACTCTCGGACCTACATCGTCGTTCGGGTCGTTCTTGCGATTGCTTTCAACAAGCTCTACCTTGCTCGATGGCATCAGCACAAGGATCAAATTCCCCTACCGACCCCGTACTTTCTTACTCGCGAAGTCCGCTCGCATCTCAAATTCCGACTTCGACGTCTGCCAGACGGCGAGCTTCTGGACCAGATGATGTAACTTGACGTTTTCATGAGTACGGAGTTTCTGAGTTTTCCCTCCTGATTTTCCTCCCCTCCCCTCTCTCTCTTTCTCGATTGTGCCTATTCTTTAACACCGTGGAATAGGAAGGGTGGTTGGTGCTCACATGATTGGAATCACACTTTTGGTGGTTTCAGGAGTGTGGGGGCTGCATGGATCTAGTGGCTATGACTTTACATAAGTCCAACCCCCCTTTTCAAGAAACATTGATTTTGCGTAGATAACCGAATATGTGAAATCTAATCAGGCTTGATACAAACAAAAAAAACTCACGTGAGTGCGACCCCCCATCGCGCGCGAGCCAAGCTCCCACCCGCCCACCGCACCAGCTAACCCTGCCAGCAGCCGCCAGTGGCCAGCCAGGCCAGAATTCCAGCAGGCCCTAGCAGGCCCATCGGGAGGAGCATACATCCAGGCTAGTTGCGCCCCTCACACGCGAGCGTCTCCTTACCAGCCCCCGTACGCCCGCGTGGGTACATCACCTCTGTCTCACATCGTCACTGTGAGTCTCTAGAGCGTTCACCTGATCGAGTCGCGTCGTGGGCGTCACAACAACGATAGGGAGCAAACGGCGCTCGCAGCGGGCGGGCGTCGGGCGAGTCGTGTTTATTCAACCGTGGGCGATCGTCGGCCTCGCCCCTGTCGACGACATCGCTCGTGTACAACCTAGTGGCGCTACATGGCTACTCTGGTACTGTTGGAGTCCTATCGTGATACGTGCACTGACACCGCTCTTGCTCTGCATCCCGGAATGCAAACAGCTTTGGGGCTGGCTCTCAACGCCCCTCCTCCTCGTCGACGACCACCCCAGTCAGCCGCTGAATCGGCACCGCCACCTCTCGTGCGATGAAGAACATTCGACGATCGCTCAACAAGGAGCGCATCGGGGCACCAACACCGACCTACTCGTCGCTGCCGACCGCGAGCTTCCCTGCTTCCGGTCCAGCCGCGGTCGCGGTCGTTAGAGGTGGCGCATCGTCACCAGCACCCGCTGCGAACGCGACCACCCCGGCCGTAGCCCCGACACCTCCAAAGCGAGTCATCCGCGCCGTCGAGTCGTACCGGGCAAGGTCATCACAGGAACTCTCGTTCGAAGCTGGCGACTTCTTTCACGTCGTGAGCGACGAAGGCGGCGACGAATGGTTCGACGCCGCGAACCCGCTCACAGGGGCTAGAGGGCTCGTCCCGGCGTCGCACTTCCAGGTCCTCGGTAGGAACGTCAGGGAGAACGCCACACCGGGGCATCAGGTCAAAAAATCGGGTTCGGGGTCCAACTCGGGGTCGGGGTCGTCGTTCTCGAACGGACCGCCGCTGCCGGCTTCGACGAGTGGCTCGTATTCGTCCTCGTCGCAACCGGGGTCATCGAGAGTCATGAGCGTCAACAACGGCTACGTCGCCAGTCCGGTATCAACCTCGCATATGTCTGCATCTGCTTCGGCCCCACCGCAGCAACAGCCGCAGCACCAGCAACTACAGCAGCAGCAGCAGCAGCGTTCGTCAGGGTCAGCTCGGCCCCCTTCGCAACCGGCCCCCAAGCAGCAACCCTTGTACGGCATCGTGCAATACGACTTTGTCGCCGAACGAGCCGACGAGCTCGATGCCAAGCGCGGTGAACCCATCATCGTGATCGCGCAATCGAACCACGAATGGTTCGTCGCCAAGCCGATCGGTCGCCTCGGTGGACCGGGCCTGATCCCCGTCGCCTTCGTCGAGATCCAGGACATGACGACGGGCAAACCGGTCGAGAATGTCGAGGAGCTGATCCGGAGTGCGGTCGTGCCCAAAGTCGAGGAATGGAAAAAGATGACGGCCGATTACAAGAGCGCGTCGATCCCGCTCGGTCGATTCGACTTCGGTGGTAGCAATGGAGGGGATAATTCGGTGCAGTCTTCGGCTGCACCTAGCCCTGCACCGAATGCAGCAAGCTTTGAAGGGACTTCGCAAGCTGGTGCTTCGTCTTCGAGAGCGTACGAGGAATCCGACAATCGGACGCCGCAACATGCGCACCAGCAGAGGTTCCAGGAAGATCCGGCACCGCAAAAGGCCGAGACAGGGTACGAAGGCGATGAGCGGCGATACTCATATACAAAGGAACGAAAGCAGTACGGTCTCGTCACTTCGGCCTCGGTCGAATCTTTCCACCAGGAAGAAGGGTCGTTCTGGTTCCACCTGCGCGTCTTCTTCTCGACAGGCGCATCGCTCGTTCTCTACCGCCTTTACCAGGACTTTTACGACTTCCAGATCGCCCTCATGGACGAGTTCCCCGTCGAAGCAGGTCGCGTACCTGCACCTGGAGACCCTTCAGGACGTTTGGCCGAACGAATCTTGCCGATGATGCCCGGCCCTACTGATTACGAGGATGAAGTCGTGTGCGCGCAACGCGTTCACGACCTCAGCGTTTACCTCCACGACCTATGCCAACTCCCGGGCCATATCCGCACGAGTGGTTTGATGTACGAGTTCTTGGTCCCGAGGGCCGGGGACGTGGAAGTCTCGGCTGGGAATGGGAGGGGGAACGAACCCGGGGGTGGGGCGTCCAATTCGATCGAAGGACAATACGGCGAGTTGGTCGAGTACCTCGACCAGATGGATGGTGGGGCCGCACCGAATGGATCCGCGGGGCTCAAGAGATCCGGGGTGGAGAGTGATTTGGCGAGGTTGGATTTGAATGGCGCGCAGAATGAACCAAGGTCACATTCGAGTAGGTCCAATAGGTCCTCCGGTAGTCGTGAGTCGATCGGAAATTGCTGTGGGGGCACGCGCTGGTGCTCTCTTTACTGACCTGGATTTCTTGAGTAGAACAAGCCTCTTTCCAACAAGCCTATTACACCAACTCCTCCTCGCAACCGCCCGCATCACCTCTCGCCAACGCGTCCTCCCTCGCACCTCATTTGGCCCCCATGGGCAACGCCCATCAAGGCGCCGCCTTTATCAAGATCAAGATCTTCCACCGCAACACCGACGACCTCATTGCGATACGAGTACCCCCGACCGTGACGCACGGCGCCCTGCTCGACAAAGTGCGCGAACGTCTCGGCAACGATGTCGTCAACTTGCGGTATCGTGAGGAGGTCGGTTCGGAAACGTCCAGTCCCGTCCCTGGCGCTGTCGTCATGGCTGGTGGTGCGAGGTTGGTCGGGTTGGAGACTGATGACGAATTGGAGCGATGGGTGCGGAGTGGGAGTCGGTTGGTTTTGGTCAGTTCGCTCTCCATCTTCATGATCTACCACCGCAAGAGCTATATGCTGACTGCGACATCTTTTTTACAGTACGCGGATTAGTTTGTAAATCTCTTCCCACCCGGGACTTAGGCAGTGCATTTCGACGATGCGGGGCAACTTTCTCTTTTCTCACCTTAGTTCGACGTGTTTGGTTTCACGAGTCCAAGAATCGTGTCTGTTCGAGCTTGCAGCGGAGTGGCTTGCGGCGGACTGGCGGATTTTTCTGTCTTTCGTTTACGGGTGTACCCATCCTCTTATTCTCATTCTGCCTTGGTTTCTCTGCGTCTTTGTCTTGGGCTTTTCTTCTTCTCACTCTATGTCTCTCCCTTCTTCTTTCCCTGTGTAAGAGTGCCTGCAACATCTGGGGTTTTTGCTTGGTCTTTTCTCTCGATAAAGAAGAATATATGCACAAATATAATGGGGCATCCGACCTGACCATGCCAAATCTAACGTTGAAGGAGAGTCGTCAAAGAACTATGCATGTGTAAATGCTGCGTCATGGGTCATGAAAAACGTTGTAAGGTCGTGAAAAAATGATCTCGTCACTCGTCAGAAGGATTGGCGACCCTGCAACGAAGTGAAAAAAAGAGTTGTGTAAGTTGCGTTCGACATAGCAATCTGTTTTAAAAATTCAAACCTGACGTACCTCAACACTCGTTTCCTCGAATAATCCTGCCCGTCCGCCAGACTCTCCTGGCTGACATTATCATCCCCCTTGTAAGTTCTCGGTTCGATACGATCATCAGGCTTCGAAACGACGAAAGGGTTCTCCCCCGTCTCTTCCAGCGCCACCATGCGCTCGACCCCTCCTCCAGAATGTTCAGGCGATGATCGTTCAGTCGATACACCATTAGCTTGATCGAAGAAGCCTCGAGCCCACTCAGGTAGAGATTCTTCTTCTGCGCCTTCGCCTGAAAAGGCTCGCGAATGACCGAGGCTTGAAAAGCCACCGTAGGCTAAGGCCATGCCGTGCAAGGAGCCGTCGCTGGGGGAGGGGGAACAATGTCCTATTTCGGCCGAGTAGCGGTGTTGACGAGCGTGGTCCGAGTCGACGGAAGCACCGTAGCTGAGTGGTCGACGATACGGCGTGTCGTCGTGCGCTTGATCGTAAGGTGTTCGAGCGAGACCATAGCCAGCCGCAGCACCCGTTAACCCGACGGCACCATAACTCGACAACGTGGCTGGTGGTCCGAAACTCGACATGCGTCCGTCTGAGGTGCTCGTGGGATCGTAAGGGTTCCCATATCCATCTTCGCTATCGTCGTCGTTGAAGCGAGCGATCCCAGCTCCTCCGTCCCCTGCGCCCCCGGCCGCGACGCGCAAATCTTCATCGAGACGCTGTCGTCTTTTTCTACGGATGTAGAAGAAGCCGAGACCGACGGCGATGAAGGCGACGATCAAACCCACGGCGAGGAAGACGCCAACGACGGCGCCGGTCTTGGAGAAGAAGGCGTTACCCCCCGAGGCGTCGCCGTTCGAGTTGAGCGTTCGCGCCCCTGTCGTCGTCGCGGCGGGGACAAAGACGTAGGTTGTGAGGATCGTGGTCGCGTACACGACTGCGCCCCCCGAGCTCGTGTACGTGTACAGCGAGGTTTCGTACACTGCCGAGCGACTATCAGGAGTGCTACAATAAGAGTGGTAGGTCAGCTTCTGTGAACATTCAGATGGGCCCGCACGCCCTCGAAACTCGCGAGTTGGGCTAAGCCATGCCGTCGGTCGTTCGATGAATTCGGACCCCCCAAGCAAAGCATGAATGGTGTGCGGTGAAATCGACTTACGTGCTCTCCGCCACAGCTGCACTGGTCAAAGTATCGGCCGAGGTGGGTGCTTGTGTAGCACTTGCACTGGATGTCAGATTCAAATTGGTCCTACTCGTCCGTGCGGTGGTCTCGGCAACTGAGCTCGCTCTCGTTGCGCTCGACGAGAGAACCGAGTTGCTTGTGTCGAGGACGGGGACCGAGCTCGAAACCGCTGAGGCGGTGCTTGCTGCACTTTGCACTGGCGTTGTCGCCTGAATTGGGGTCGTCGTTGCAGACGAAGAAGCCTGGGGCGTGAACTGAGGGGTCGTGTTCGCAGCTGCGGGCGATGACGGGGTCGTCGTCGCTGAATCGACTGGAATCGTCGTCGCGGCTGCCGGAGTCGTCGTCGCTGGACTCGATGTGGCGGTCCCAGGTTCGCTATCGGCGGTCGAAGGCGAGCTGTTGTCGTCCGCAGTCGTCGTTGCTATAAGACAACCGGCACTGATATGAGCAACGCATGCCATGCGTAATTTGTCTATTAACCGTTACGCACCCTCACCAGCTGTAGTCTCCATCGCGGCGAGCGAAGTGGTGGAAGACGTCGGAGACTGTGGTGCGAGACCAGTCGTGGTGGTGGTGGTGTTGGTGGTGTCGCCGGCAGGCGCGGTCGTCTCCATAAAGGCTTCAGGCCGTGGTCCAAGCTTCCGCAATCGTTGCAGGTTCAGGCGATCGAACCCTGGCTCCCTCGAGGCCGAAGATCCACTGGTCTGAGGATGCGCAGAGTCGATGTAGGTACGACGAGGCGCACTCGACGTTCGACCCAAGGCGAAAGTGGGTGAAAGAAGCTTGGAAACCCAAGGGTGAACTGCTATAAAGAGCAAGCAGGATAAAGTCTCTAATCTCGCAGCGGCCACGTTCCGTCGAGCGCCTCTCTGTCGATGTTTCAAGGATGGTTCGGTCTCTAGGGTTGCAGGCGAAAATGTACCAATATTTTCCTACCGTTTTCTTTCTTCGCAGAAACACTGATTAGTGCGATGATACTGCTAGGACGAGCCTCGATTAAATCCGACTTGCACGTTGCCATGCTCCCCGAAGGTCGACTCCGTCGGAGCCCGTCTTGCATCCGAATGATGGGACGGGGGTTGATGTCAAATTTTTCCCACAATATATCCCTTAGTTTCATTTACCTCTGATCCGCTGATGCTTCTCACCTTGCAACTCTTTACATTTGAGACCTGGTCACGCTTCAGCCCCCTTCCGAGCAATGGGATCGCTCATCGGAGTCCGTGGTGGGCAAGTGCGTGCGATCGAACTTACTGAATATCGCCCGATCGATCGCGACCGACCGAGGCGCGGAACTCCGGTTCGAATTTCAGCGACGCGGGCGACGCGTTAGACGCTCTGTACCAACCGACAGACATGCGGCTGCTCAATACAAGAACCCCGAATAAATCAGAAAAATAGGTCTACCAGGACCACTAAGGCATACTACAAGTTCCGAATCGACATGATACAACCTAAATAAAGAGAAAAAGCGACTCCCTGGAATCCTCGCTCTACCAATATCAAGCACCATGCAGATCCTCAAAGTTCCTCGACAGCGCCGCACTCAGCACCAACGAATCCATCGACGCTCGTGCATCCGCACTACCACTGGTCGTAGTCAACACCTCGGCATGTTCACCGAAAGGGTTTGACTCGTCATCCCCATCCGTGTTCGGCACTGCCTCATGCCTCAACGAGCTCCCCGTCATCGCATTCGAGTAGGTTTTCCTCATCGACGTCGAGCGATGCAAGGGCAACATCTCAGCTTGCATGACTACGACATCCTCATTCATAGAGTCATCACCAGTGTAACTCGAGTCGCCCATCGAACTGGCGAAACTGCTGGGTCGACCGGTCCCATCGGCGAATACGTCGCCTTCGTCATTCGTTGCTGCGCTGAGGTATGACATCTTGCTCGTACGATCGGCGAGGGAAGGTTGCCCACTCCGAACATACTCTTCTTCGTCGTCGACGTCACCTTGAGCGGACTCGACACCGAGACTGATGACGCTCCCTCGATCGCTCAAGAGCATCGAGTCACGCAATCCACCGTCGAGGGTGAAGGGGATTTGACTGAGTCCACTGGAGAATCCACTGCGGATGGAAATGGCTTGACTCTCAACACGTGGCTTGCCTGCTCTACCACCATCTACGTCCGACGTCGCGGCGAGGGAAGCGGACGAGGTCGGGCGTTGGCCTGCGAAGGGCAAGAAAGGTGCTGGCAGGGGCGATTCAGGATCGGGGGATCCGTGGGCGGATCCATCCGATGAAGGAGAGGTGACGTCGATAACCGCCAATGGGCCCGAGTAAGCAGCATCCGCGTCACTTTCACCTTGTGATGAAGATTGTGCCGCTCGCAGCGTGCTGACCGGTCGTTGAGGAGGCATAGGGAACGAAGGGGTCTGAGAAAGCCTTGAGCCTTGTGCCGACGAAGGGGTGTCGCTCAAAATGCTCGGGGAGGAAAGACTCGCTGCGGGTGTCAAAAAGGTGACGGCGTCCAGCATCGACGGGCTAGACGAAGATCGAGGTGAAGAGTTTGAGACGACCGATGTGGTCGAGGCGTGGCGACCTGAAGCCGAGGCCGAGGCCGCGCTAACCCATTGCGAACCACCCGTCAGTGGTCGCGATCTCGATCCCGTCTCCCCGTCCCCATCGATATCCGAGTAAGCCAAATTGTGAGCACTCGATGGGATACCCAGACCTGTGGACGAAGCTATTGACAAAGGTGGGTGCAGCGAGCGGTTGTATCCAGGTGAAGGCGGTTCGGCGTCAAATTGGATCGAATGCGCCGACCCGCGATCACCTGCACCGCCGAGTTGAATCGATGATGCAGTCCAGCGAGGCGAAGAGGAGCCCACACCTCCGGCGGACTCGTCCGACCCATCCGTGATGGTTGAGAGCGAGTCGCGTCGAATGACAGGGTCGCGTTGGTCCAAAAGCGAGTCCTCCAATGACCGCCTCTGATCGTTTTCTCGTGCAATTGTCGACGCTTGACTCGCATCCGCGAACGGTTTCTGCTCGTTCGAAGCGACGGCGAAAGCAGCAGCGCGCTGGCCCTGCATTGTTGCCGTGACCTTGGGTGTTGGGGTTGTCCCAGGCGACCCAAAAGAACTGCTGGGAGTAGGCGAGCTTGCTGGAGCGGCGCTTCCTTGCAGTTTGACCAATCCGGCTTGACCACGCCCGAGGACCTCTACGCGACGCACGCCTTGAGCATTGACGGGTGTGATTATTTGCGGCGGATCGAGAATGTACGACATGGTCGAGCTCCTCGTTTGCGTCGTCGAGGTTGAAATGCTCGAAATGGTCGACAGGTGCGAGCCAGCGGGCATACTAAGGATACCCGCGGGCGAGCGTTCCAACAAGACCGACATGCCTCGGGACGAGGTCGGACTGGTGTTGGTGAAACCACCACTGAAGCTGCTGCGCGAAGAAGCGCCCGGCGGGGATAGGAGAGCGGAAGTAGGACGCATTCCTAGCGTGCTCGCATGCGGCGATGTGAGCGTCGGTGCTGTAGGCTGCGCGATGCTCGGCAGCTTGAGGTCGAGACCAGGCGATCGAGGTGGGCGAACAGGTGCCCCACCAGGTGCGGTCACATTCGAAGCAGAAAGCTTCTCGGCGCTCAGCACCGGCGGCAGAGGGTGCAGGTCGATGAGATCCGAGTTGACAAAGGACAACGAGTCGCGGCTGGCCATGCTGAGGGGCATCGAGTTTCGGACCGCGGCAGGGCGTAAAGATTCTCGCCTCGTGTCGTCGGACAGGACTTCGCCGAACGCACCTCGATTAGCATCGTCGATGGCCATCGAGTTGGAGTGAGGAGGGATGTATGCGATCGGGATAATGTTGGTCGATTGCGAGGAGCGGAACGAAAAGTCCGATGTCCGTGTCGACCTGGCATCGTGGTTGTCGGAGTCGAACGATCCGATCGAAGATCTGTCGTGATCGGCGAACGGGTTCTCGCTCTACAACGATGGAAGAGCGAGTCAAAAAAAACAAAAAACAACCCTCACTGCACAGCGAGGCAAGCACACTCACCTCGAGCGACGCCCTCGAATGACCTCCCAGTGCTCGTGTCGAGTCGCCAACTTGACGACCTACAAACGAGACGGTGTTGTTAGGACTGCTACGCCTGCGAGCCCCAAACTCAAGAATCTCCGGTGTACCGTCCATCCTAAGATGTATCGAAGTACGTTTGGCAATCGCATCGGCGTTGGCACTCCTTCTCTCGCTCGTCGCCGGCGGCGGAGGCGTCTTGGACTGTCGATTCGTGATATGTTTCGAATACCTCCTCCTCGAAGCCTCCAAACCCCTCGGCTTCCACCATAGGAAGTAGAGTAGTCCCAAAGCAACGATGATGCCCGCGACTCCTCCTACGGCGCCGCCGATCGTACTGCCGAGGTTCTGGCCAGACGAACCGCTCGGCGAGGACGAGCTGGCACAGATGTTCCTAGGGCAGGTGGTGCAGTTGCGTTGGGATTGGAAGCACGCGACGCCGGCGGGGCATTGGCATTTGGGAATCGGGTCCGTACATGCGAGACAATTGCTCATGGTGAATCAGGTGGACGTGTGGCTGACGCGAATCTCGGCGGGGGGTGAGACGCCACAAGCCTGTAGGCGACGTGACGGCGGAGTGCGAGGCGGTGCAGATCGCCAAGGATGCGATATTGACGAGCCTGAGTACTGGCTTGATCAAGTCAACGAGGTGATGCCGAACTGCGAGGAACCAAGTCGAAGGGTATAAAGGGGGGAGGGGGGATCAGTGCGCTGCGAATACGGCGGCAACGGCGAGCTGCGGAAACTGACTCGAGCCGATTCGTCGTCGGAGTGCGGAGGGGGGCGAGCGGGCGGGCGATGTCCGGAGTCGATCTGCACAAGTCGACGCGGAGCACACGGCAGGAGAGTGGTGGAAGTCGGAACTGATTAACGGTTATCGACGAGCTGAACCTTGAAGTTGCAGAGGAGAAGCAGGGACGCTTGGACTTGGCGTCACTCGCCGGCGACACCGAGGCAATCACGACTCGAGGCGATCTCGACCTTTGGGCGCGAGAGGCGAGGCGCGTGCACCGCCCGAGACACTGGCGCGAATCAAGATCCGGCGGGGTGCGCGAGCTGAGCTGCCAGGGGGAAGTGATGAAGACAACGATTGACTGGAGACGTGCTGCGGACCACGAAAACCTAGCAGAAAAGTCGGAGACCACGCGCAGAAAGAGACCAGCTCCAGGTGGGTGAGGGATGCGATGAGGAGTCGAGAGCTGAGTTAGAACCCAGCGGTGACGAGCGTCCGGCCGGGGTGGGGAAGCGACTGGGCCGACTGGGGCGCGCCGACGCCCGCCAGCCTGGCCAACGCCCGTGCAACCGTTTCGCCAACGGGTTGGTTGCGCGCGCGCCAGTTCACGCTCGGGCAATGTAGCGGCGCGCGACGGGCGGCGCGTCAAGCAAGCAAAGTCATTGCAATGCATGTACCCAGCTGTAGGGTTCCACAAAATTCGAAAGTGCCGTGGCGCCTCGAACAATGGGACAAAGTCACAAATCGACAGTCTCAAGAACGCTCACAGGCCACGGCCCGATCGACTGGATTACTGTACATTGCAACATGCATGTTCGCACCGGCCTTTCAGTCTTTCCAGGGGCTTTCCAGTCGGCTTGGACCTCTTTTTTTTCTCTCTCTCTCTCAGGGCGACCCTTTGAAACCCGATTAAAGGCGTTTGCACTCTATCTCATCCCCACTTGGTTTGAGCAAAACAATTTGAACGTTTGGGATGACCAGCCGAAAATTTATTCGCCTTCGCCCAGTCTTCGCGCCTTGGCTCCGCCGATCCTCATGTTAGCTCATGTTGGTCGCGCGACTTGGTGACGTATCTTAGTTGCACCTGTCGCCTCGCTCGCACTCCCCCTCTCTCGACGCCTCGCACCTCCTCACAAGATGCGACCCCGCACACCTCTCCTCACCTCCCTCCTACCCATCCCAAACCTCTCTCGACACCTCTCGATCCTCACCTCCGGGACAACCCCAGCATGCGCGACCACCCCTCGTCGTCGATGTCGACCTTTCTCATCCTCGACCCGCTCCTTGGCGAACGAGCAGGACCATTATGCCAATTTGGGCGTGTCGAGATCGGCTTCGAGGAATGAGATCAAGGACAAGTTCTATGAAGTCAGTTCTTCAACGAGGAGTGTGGATCGGGTTGATGCTCGTCGCCGTCGAGGCGAAAGTTTACCACTCGTGGCTGATGGGGTGCTTTGGTCGGCTACTGACTCGACTTTGTTCCCTCACTTACGACAGCTCTCTCGAAAGTATCACCCCGACGCCCCCTCCGTATCCTCGGAATCGATCGAAAGCCGCACAGCACGCTTCCAAACGCTTTCCCAATCCTACTCCGTCCTCTCCGACGACACCTCTCGAAGACAATACGATGCGACCCTCGGCGGATCAGCCTCGAGTCCCTTCGGCTCTCGACCCCGTTATAGTTCAGGAGCAGCACATGAAGTTGGAAGATCGGGCTTTGGAGGAGGGTCGGGGGCTGCATGGTCCTGGACGAGTGCGGAGAATGAAGCGAGGAGGGAACGAGCGAATTATGCGTGGGGTCATCCGACGAGGACGAGGAAGAATCCGCGTAACGATGGGCACTATCAGGAATATACCCAGGCTGGGTCAGGTTCGGGGAACCCGTTTCATCCGAACAGGGATACGAGGACGAGCGATGAACATTTCCAGACCTTTGCGGCGAGGGAGGCGAGGATGAGGGGGAGGGGTCCAGCGCCGATGAGTGCGAAAGCGGGGTTCAACTCGTCGGGCAGTAGTCGGTTCTCGACTGGAACGGCCAGTTTTGGGGCCAAGGCCGATGAGGAGAATAGATTGATCAACGATAGTTCGACCAAGAGGACGGGACAGGTCAGTGAAGGCCTCTTTTGAACGAGTGGGAGCTTTTCGGGTGCTGATCTCTCCTCTTTCACATACCAGGTCGCTCTGGTGTTTCTGACGACGTTCGTGATCGCCATCTCATTTAGTGGCAACAATAGAGTTTCGTCCACGATGCCGACGAATGACAAGCGAAGGCGATGAAGGAGCCGCGCAGAGAGGAATTGACTAAAGTGGAATATACATATATGCAGTGCAGTGACGAGGCTCCAACACGCTATACACCCTGAAGACCTCCTACGACTCGACCTGTTCAATCACGCCCTTCTTAGCCGGCTTGGGCTTGAGTTTCTCCCTGTCGATCCCTCTGGGCGCATGCTTTCTCCTATTCTCTTCCTTCTTCTTCCTCGCTTCGACCATCGTCCTCCTCAACGTCTCGGCATTATGAATCGACTTGGGCATGAACCTCTGTCTTTCCAACTTAGCCACATCCCCAACACTTCCCCACTTGTCCCTCAATCCATCCCTGTATTCCTTTCGAGCTTGTTCACGCTTATCTATCACGCCAAGTTTGTCGGATGCGCGGGCCTTCCAGATGCGCAGATTCGAGTCGTCCGAGCCGGAGAGGACGAATCGGTTGTCGAGGGTGTAGAGGGAGGTAAAGACGCGTTGCATGCGTTTGGTATGGTACGTGTCGCGCGATTTGCCTTCTCCGGCGGTCCAGAGGCGCACGGTGCGGTCGTAGGAGCCCGAGACGAATTCACGACCGGTGGGGGCCCAGTCGCATGACATGACGCTGCGTCAAAGGAACAAGGTTGTGTTTAGTTGTTTGGATTCCTGAAGGGGTGGAGCAGTGAGAATGTTATACTCACGCCCCGACATGTCCTTTGTACATCTGTGTCGTGGTCGAGAGGTTGCGCATGTCAAAAGTGTACAAGTTGTGGTCCTCGGAAGCGCACAGCAACACGGGCGGTTGCAGAGGGTTGAACACGAGTTGGTTGACGCGCATCTGTAGTAAGAGATGCGTAGATAAGGATTTTGCCAACAAAGATAAGCTCAAAAGTTCAAAAACGCTGCAGCTCACCGTCATCGATACCCTTCCGACGGCTTTCCCACTCCTCAGATCGTACAAACACACGGTTCGATCCGAACCGCTGCTCGCCAGAACAGACGTCTCGGACTTGTTGAATGCCACGCAAACAATGTGTTCTCCCGTCGACAGGTTCGATGTCGAATGAAACTTGAGCGTCGATAAGGGCGCAGTCTTGGTCTCGTCCCAGATGTCGATCGAGTGCGAGGCGGTGGCGAATACGGGGTCATAGCGATGGTGGGAGATCGAGTTGAAGCCTGATTTGCCGACGTAGGTTTGTAATGGCTGTGAGGAGATGGGTTCGTCTTGTTAGCTTCCCACACGAGAGAGTAGCAGAATGATGAGTTTGCTCTCACCTTGACATCGTTCCCCTTTTGCGCGGTGACATCCCACAACTTGACGGTCTTGTCCACACCACACGAGAGCAACCTCGGACTGCCCCTCGACACGGACCTGACGATCTCATCATCCTCTTCCTGATCGTCTGATTCGTCATCGGTATCGGCTCCGTGCCTGATCGGTGTCTTGCCCGTCTTGTCGCCCAACCTAGGCCTCTTTCTCTTTCTGTTCTTCTCGCCCTGGGCCCTCTCGATCCTGCCCTGCTCGCCCGCAGCAGGATGACTGAACGCCAAAGCCTTGACCATACCGCGATGCGCGCCCGTAGCGTACCAAACCGACTGCCTCGTTGCCAGATCCCACACCCTCACTTCGCCGTCTCCCGAGCCGGAAGCGATCCGGGGTAAAGCGCCGGCTTCGTCCTTGGTCATACAATACAACCCATCGCCGTGGCCTTCCAGTGCGCCGACGAACGGTTTGGCGAACATGCGTTCGAGTTTGGAGGCGGTGACGGCGCGGGTATATTCCCGGGAACGGGAGAAGGGGTGCAGGGACGGGTCGAGGTTGCGCGAGACGGGCGCGGTCGAGGACGACGAACTGGGGAGATGCTCCTCCAACGAACGGTGCAGGGTTTTGATTTTCTGTGCGCTCCGAGAGGAAGAGGGTTAGTAGCGAACCTCGGCGTCGACTGAGCGTGGTGACGTACAACCATGGGTGGGGAAGGCGTGTGGTGTGAACGGGGTGGGGAAGACGGCGAGAGATGGCTGCGGAGGACGTGCGGAGCTCGCCCGCTGCGAAACCGTGCAGTCACGAGCAGTCACGAGCAGTCACGAGCAGTCACGCTCAGTCACGAGCTGTCACGAGCCGCCGCCGGGCCGCGCCAAAGTTCAGCCAAGCTCAGCCAAGCTCAGCGAGTGCGCGCAAGTGATCGAGCAGGTCCGAGCTTCGCAAGGCCAAACTCGGGGAACTCGGCTCGGGCGCTTGTACTCGTCCTCACCACCGGCAACCCATCTCAACGCCACATTCAGCGTCATCTACGCACACTTTGAACAGTGAGTCGTCTACCTGCTACTACCGCACGGGCTGGTCCAAGCTGACGTACGATCTGCGCCTCACCCCGCTGCGCTCGCAGTGCGATGTAAGCCCAACCATCACCACCCATACCAGATTCCAACTGATGGACTTATGACCGCTCATCTCATCGGTACTTTTCGCACGAATCCTAACCCACACTCCTCTTGCCTCCCCCTCCTCCTTTCTCCTTCCCCCTCCTGCTCCTGCCCCTCGTCGCCCTCCCTTCCTCCCTTCCTCCCCATCGAACCCCGCTCTCCCGCTCCCACCACAGACGCCGTTCTCGTAACCGGTCCGGCAGGAGCGGGCAAGTCCACCTTCTGCGCCTCCCTCATAACCCACGCGCAATCCCTCGGCCGTTCGGTCCATCTCTTCAACCTCGATCCCGCAGCGGACAAGTTCGAGCACCCTCCTTCGATCGATATCAAGGATCTGGTCTCGTTGGAAGAGGTGATGGACGATTTGCAGTTGGGCCCTAATGGGGGCTTGATTTATTGCTTTGAGTGAGTGCGACGAGCGCGATCAGTCATGCCAGCTTTCGTCAGGCTTTTCTCGGGGTGGGGAGCCAGAATTGGGAGTGATTTAGGGGCTACATGAAAAAGAGCGCGGGAAGCTGATCGGGGAATGGCCGTGCAGGTACTTGATGAACAACCTCGATTGGTTGCAGGAGCAGATGGGCGATTACGACGACGATTATGCAAGTACCGTTCACCCAGCACACCAGGGCCCAACACTCAAGCTGACCCCAACCCCCTCATCGCAGTTGGTCATCGACTGCCCCGGCCAGATCGAACTCTACACGCACATACCCGTCCTGCCCAAACTCGCCAAACTGCTCACCTCGACCATGGGCATCCAACTCGTCTCCGTCTACCTCCTCGAATCCCAATTCATGGAAGATACTGCCAAGTACTTTTCAGGCGTGTTGAGTGCGATGAGTTGCATGGTTGGCTTGGAGGTGCCGAGCGTGAATGTGATGAGCAAGATGGATTTGGTCAAGAAGGGGACCACGGGCGCCAAGAGGCGGAAGCAGGTTGATAGGTGCGTACAAGATATTCCACTGCGAAATGCCTCGCGCTGAGTTGGCTCTTGTCGGATAGGTTCCTCGATCCGGACCCGGAACTATTACGCGAATCGGCAAACCGGACCACGAACCCCAAGTTCCATGCGCTCAATTCGGCCCTCGTCCAATTGGTCAGTTCAAAGTGAACCTCGGTCGTCAGCGAGACAACGTACTCACCCTGCGCTTACTCGATTCACGGTCTCGGGACCAGATCGAGGACTTCAACATGGTGCAATTCTTGCCTTTGGACGTGACCGACGAGGAATCGATCGGGGTCGTTTTGTCTCATATCGATAACGCTATTCAGTCAGTCTTGGAAGTACATGGAAAAGGCTTCATCTGATCACTTGCTGAGTGTGACTACCCTTCCTGCTGTTCAGGTACGGAGAGCACGAGGAGCCCAAGGAACCGCATGATGTGAGTCTTCGCGCTTCCTCTTGCTCTTGCCTGAAAGATGAAACTGACCCAAGCGAGGTTGTGTCTTGTCTAACAGATGGACGAGGGTGATTTCGACGTAGCAGAATAGTTAGACTGAAATGCTCCGCTTGTTGTACAATTTGTGAATCGCCGTTTCTGAGCTTGTCCCCCGCGTGCAAGTCACGTGAGCGAACGCGCCGCTGCTCGTGGCCGTTTGCGCCCCGACGAGACGCTAAGCTTCGCCCCGTCTTCTTGGACTCTTGCGACCTCTTGATCCCGGCGGGAGGTTCTCGCAGCGCTGGTCGAGTTGCCGGAGTGTTCATACTGGTTACCGGACGTCTGTTCCTGGATCTTGGGCTCCTAGACCTTGTATCCGCAGCCCGTGATGCTCGCTGCACCACCCTCGACGTCCCCTTCGCAGCCAGGGGATGCGCACACTTGCCCTTCAACGAGGCAACCGCAACCACCCCTCAAGCGCGCACACACCACCACGACCCCCACCGAGCAAACCACCACCACCACCACCCCTTCACCTCCCACCAAACGTCCCAAACTCGCCGCCCCATCCTCAGCAACAGCGAACCCGCTCGAGCTCAAGCCCCTGGGCAACCTCATATTCCGGCCCTCGGCACACCTGACTCGTACACAAGGCTTGGGCACACTTTCGACCCTCCCCGATGAGCTGTTGTTGAGCCATATCTTTTCTGCGCTTGATGGGGAAGATTTGGTCAGGGCGCAGGGGGTTAGCAAGGCCTTTTTGGGGTGGACGAGGGTGGAAGGAATTTGGAAGGGGTTGTATATCGAGGTCAGTTGGGGAAGCAAAGAGGTTGCGAGCGCAAGTGCAGCACCGCTCACTTTGATTTCTGACACCACAGAGAACACGAGGTCGGCTCCACCGCTGGCATGGATCCTGGCGGGCGTCCTACGTGCGGACCTTCCTTCTTCCTCCGAGCGAATCCTCCGACGGGGATGAACCCCTCCCCACCTCCCTCATCACGACCCCTTCCCACCACTCGGACGTCCTCTTCCAGCCGTGCCTTTGCGCCGCTTTCGACCCCTGTCGTCTCTTTCGATCCAACACCTTCGTCTCCAACATCCCTCGCATCTCGGGAAAGAACCTCCTCCCTTCCGACCTCCCTCAAGAACCTTGCATCCTCACAGATCTGATGACCACCTGGTCCGCGATCGACCCTACCTCCACTCATCAATGGACCTTACCCCGTTTAGCCCAACGATTCCCCAAGACTCTCTTTCGAGCCGAAGCGACCCTCACGACCCTCCCTTCCTATAAAACCTACCATGACCGCTGCGAACTGGACGAAAGTCCTCTTTACCTCTTTGATTCCGAGTACGTCAACAAGACCCGATTCCTGGATGCGGAAGGGAAGGATCTAGGTCTAGGAGGGGATCATGAAGTACCCCTTTGTTTTGGGGAGGATCTGTTCGGGGTGATGGAGGGGGAACGACCGGATTATAGGTGGTTGATTGTAGGACCGACGAGGTCCGGTTCGGTGAGTCGGAGCCGGACTCAAGGTGGCTTCGGACTCTTCGCAACTGATCGCTGACCTTCTCGTTCCTTTTTCCACAAGACATGGCATCAAGACCCTAATGGTACCTCCGCCTGGAACGCCGTCACCACCGGCTCTAAAGCTTGGATCATGTTCCCTCCTTCCCTCACGCCTCCCGGAGTTTATGTTTCGGAAGATCAAGGACAAGTGGAAGCGCCTTTGGCGTTGTCCGAATGGTTCATGAGTTATTGGGATTATGCGCTGGGGACTTATGGACCGCAGGGGAAGGATGCGGCGCTGAGGGATAGGATGAAGGTCGGGATTTGTAGAGAGGGGGAAGTGTTTTATGTGCCTAGTGGGTGGTGGCATAGTGAGCTCAAACCCACTCCCGACGATTCGGCCCAACAAACTGATGAGACCGGATAATACTCCTTTCTGAAGTCGTCGTCAACCTCGAACCCTCGATCGCGGTCACGCAAAACTACGTCTCGCAACGCGAACTCGCTTCCGTCCTGCGCTTCATGCGCGATAGACCCGACCAAGTCTCGGGCTTCAAACGACCGCGAACCGAGCAAGATCAGACTCGAGAAGTTGTCGAGGAAGAGGATTGTGATGAGATCGTTTCGGATGTATTCGAACGATTCGTGCAGGGTTTGAGGAAGGAACATGGGGAGATGGTCGAGAAGGCTTTGGAGGAGATTGGAGGGATGAAGAAAGCCGTCTCGTCGGGATCGGGGAGCAAGGAAGAGAACGGGGTGCACGGCGAGAAGAGCAGGACGAAGGGCATGTGGGAGAAGGTGAAGGAGGATCAGGAAGACGAAGGCGGGTTCTCGTTTGGGTTTGGTGGAAAGGAGTTTGAGGAGGACGAGGAGGGCGGTTGGAGGTCTTAGTAGCCCCATTTAGTGACTGCAATCCGCGCTGCTCTCGATCTCAGTCACGTCGAGGCAACCTCTGGGCAGGCGATCGGGTTCGATAGCGAATATTACAAACAACGTAGCTTACTGATCCAGAATCTCACATACGCACACACACACACACATGAAGGGCCAAGATCTACGCCACCCGGCGCACATAAGGGCTGAAGCGATCGCAGCGAATCAACGACGTCCAACCGAAAAGGACAGGATCTAAAAAGGGTAGGAGCGGAAAGAGAGCGAATTGGGTCTATGCGATGTAGACCAAGAGCTATGATGGGGGGGGGGGATTAGCGGAGTTTGCAAGAGAAGAAAGACAACGACGGTGTAGATGCGAAATGGGGAATGCGGCCGAATGGCTTTCGAGAAGAGAGAGAAAGGGTGGTATAGTCCTTCACGAAGGACTAGGGACTTGGCTATTCGTCGCCGAATGAGTTGTCGACGATGCCGAAGCGGCTTCGGCCCTAGCAGCGGTGGAGGGGTAAGGTCCAATCGATTGGCGCATTTGGACTCGAGAAGAGGATGAAGGAGTGATGGAGATTGGGGCAGCGGAAGCGCCGAGACTGTTGCGGCGCACGACGGATCGACCGTGGCTCTTTTTCGTGGCGGTCGGATCTTTAGGACCGCGGGCTCGGTTGCGTTTCTGGAGACGGACGAGCAGGAAGAGTCAGTCATCTGTGAGAGATAGTAATACAGCATGTGCGGGCTCGTCTCTCACCTTAATCACACCAGTATTGAGGTTGGCGGGACGATCAACGCCATGCAAATTCCTGAACAATCCACAGGCGTTGCACAACGGACGCCCATCGACATCACGACGCCAAAGCGGTGTGTTCGTCGTCTGACAGTTCAAACACTTGACGACCTCTGAATCGCCTCCATCCGCAGAAGGTGTAGCCGACGTGGTTCCAACGAGCGAAGGCGCAAGAGGTCGAGCTTCTGGAATAGAAGCTTGCACCGAGATGGTGTTGCTCCTCGAGTGTGTGCGCGAAGCCGAAGCACCCGGGACCTTGGGAAGCTTGGTTGACGTCGCTGATATACTCTCCAAGATGGGTGACAATGCCGCGTGGTGTCCAAGGCTGACAAGGTCAGGCGAGCTGGCAGAGACGCGCACGTTCGAGCCGGTTTGAGCCTTGGGTGCCGAGGGCTGTTTGGGTCGACGTGGCACTGCAATGGGGGATTTGATCGGACCGAGCTTTGACGGAAGACCACTGGCATCCGGTTTGGCGCCAGTTCCAGCTTGCGGTGGGTCCGGCGGTGAAGGTGTGCCGTGGCGCGACGCATCCCCGGGGCTGGTCAAGGCTAACGAAGAGTCCGAGTCGTAGGCAGCGGGGGTCTGTAGGAGACTCAAGAGATGCGATGGATTGACATGGGTCATCGAAGCCGAAGGATCGAATGTGCCTTGACCAGCGGCCGAGGTTCCCCCGAGGTAGGGCGATGTGAAGGCCGATCCCGCCGGTGTGCTCGCCAGGTCGGTGCGGTTGAAGTAATCGTAGATCGAGGCACTGTTGACATCGTGGGTTTCTTGATACAGCGAACCGATCGGGGAATTGATGAAGCCGTTGCCAGGGCCCGGCGCGGATTGAGGGTATGAGAAGGGATGGGGTGCATCGAAGAAGGGTGTTTGCGGTTGCGAGTTGTGGCCGCTGTCGTCACGAGGGGATATTGTGCCCGAGGGTCGAGCGAGACTGAGTCCTGAAGGAGGCGCGAAGGCGAACGGACGCGACGACTGCGCAAGTGTGGCCGCGTTGAGGTAGGCGCTCGAGGAAGCAGTCGAAGTCGAAGCTCGCCCCGCGTTCGAAGATTTGCGGCCCTGCAAGTCGCAACACCAGATCAAGACCCCGCTTTTGCCCACTAAACCCAACTCGACTCACCACCAAGGATTGCAGCTGCTGCTGCGCCAAAGAAGCATACGCGCTATCACCACTGGCTTTGCGCACTTCCGGTAAACCTGCTTCATCGGACACAAAGCTCTTGGCCAGCCCACGAAGACTCGAGCTTGGTGACACGTTCGCCGACTGACGGCCCGATGAATGGGACTTTGAGTGGTTCGAGTTGCTCAGCGACTGCAGGTCGATGAGCTGATTGAGCGTGCTTTCAATCGCAGACAAATTGGCACTGGCGGCGGGGTTGCCACCCGAGCCGGCCGCAAACGAGAACTGGGACCCCGAGTTGAGCGAGTTGCTTGTTGTCGCCGAGACCGTTGAGGTGCCCGAGATGGGGATAGCGGGCGCACTTGGGTTCGAAGGAGCGGCAGGGGACCCTTGCGAGCCACCAAAGTCGGTCGAAGAGAGGTCAAAAGAGCTGAACATGTCGTCTGTCGCGCTGAGGCCGAGGGATGCGGCGAGCTGTACGTGTGCGGTCTGAGCCCCTGGGGGGTTGGAAACCGGGGTGTTGTCGCCATAGAACCGGGAGAAGTTGGCAGTGGCAGTGGCAGAGTCGACAGTCGGAGGGGCGACCGAGACCCGGAAGTCGGGTGCGCGAGAGCGGGACCTCGAGGCCGCTCGCCAGTCCATCGCATCGGGGGCTCTGGAACGGGATCGGGATTGAGACTTTGCTCGCCAATCCATGAAATCACTGTGGAGGCAAGCACGGGTCAGCTAAGGCGTGCGAAGAGTGTAGGTTACGTTTGTGTCGGTACTCACTCCTCTTGCGCATTCTCGGGACTCTCACTTGCACTCGCCGAAGCTGTGCCAGGTCCTGATCTCCCTCGACGACCCCTGGCCTCCTCTTCCAGCACGTCCCCCGCAGGTCCGGACTTGTGCAGTCGAGTCGCTTCGTTCCGGCTGCGCAACTCCAAAACATCATCCTTGGCTTCTTCCCGTTCGGCTTCGGGTGTGCTGATCGTCACACCCGTCGAAGTCGGCGGGGGCATCGCTAGGGTAGCCGCCTCCATCGTCGCAAGGGCGTTCGCTTCCGCCTCAGCTGCGGCCGTCTCTTGCCTCCTCTTCTTCAACGTCATGCTCATCAACCTCCACGTCAAGTTTTCCATCCGCGCCCCGTTCGGCAACGTGTTCTTGGCCTTATTGAACATGCGCCAAACCTGAGCTGCGATCGGATCTTTACGACTCAACGCCTCTGCACTTTCGTCGTCGATGATGGTCGAATCGGTCGGGCTCGGCATCGAATCCAGACCCGTTGCGGCTGGACTGGCTTTCCGACTTGTCGAACCGGCGTTGGACGTCTGGAGCAAGGCGGCGAAATCGATCGGGCTTGCTTCGTTCGAACTCGGAGTCCGCGAGGCCGAGGAGGCAAAGACGCTCTGGCCCAACACCTCGGCAACGACCTTGGGGCTCGGCGTCGATTCGGCCGCGACCGCATAGGGTGATTGCGGTGATCCGTATCCACCGACCCCGTACGCGCCCACACCCGTATGTCCTCGACGCGTCCCCGTTCCGGTCGACATCGCTGCTGCAGCGGCGGAAGCAAAGCCCGTGGACGAGAACTGATCCAAATCGTGCTCGAGCGACGAAAAGTCATAGTCGACGGGTGGTGGTGATCCAGCTTGCTGTGCTGAGGTAGACGCCGAAGCGGAAGCGGGAGCCGAAACGACGGGCTTGGGTGATACCGGACGGGACATGGGCGGGGTGGGGACCACGGGAACAAATTGGGACGAAACGGATGCCGCGCGTGAGTGGGCCGGAGACGTTTTTGTCGACAAGGACCCGCGCGGAAGCGTTGGAGGATTGGGGCCGGCAAACTCTGTCGAGGGCGAGGTGATGGAGGGCGAGGCGAGGGGTGAGGCAGAGAAAGCGCCCGAGGTGCTGAGGCTCGGTGCAGTGCGTTGACGAGAGTGCGCGGCGCCACCATGGGCACCATTTGCACCTGCAGTCGAAGCTGACATACCTCTTGCCGCCTTGATAAACGAGCTCGTCCGTCGTGGCCCTCCCGCTCTCGAAGAACTCCCTTCGCTTCGGTTCGGCAAGTTGGAGCTTTGCGGGAGCGAACTGGACAGGAACGCAGCCCCTGCGCCATTGTCGGTCAGGGGTGAGCCAACTGGTGACTGTGCGGCCGAAGATGTAGTCGAATACGCCTGTGATCGTCGTTGGGCCAAGAGACTGGCGTGCAGGGCGTACATGCTCGGGTCCATCAGCGGGTTCGTCATCGGAGATTGTCCGGGTGCGCCAAAGGGCGAGGGGTATTGAGGTACGATTGGTGACGCATAGGGCGAATGGGAATGTGCGCGGGGATATCCGCTGTAGAGAGGGTACGGTTGAGCCATGGAAAGCCCTTGCATCGCCAAAGGCGGCAGCCCGCCGCCACGACCAAAGGCGGCGGCGTAGTTCGCAGCCTGTGCCTGGGCTGCGATCCACTCGGATTGACCGTAAGGTGAGCCCGCCGAGAGTGCCGAAGGTGTTCCTGGCGTTGTACTCGGTGGGGACAGACCTGCGCTGGAGAGGGAAGCCGAAAGGGCCTGCATGTATGCTGCTTGCGCTGCGAGCTGGGCGTTGTAGATTGCCGCAGCGTTGGGGTCGAGTGCGGCTCGCATCATGTCTGGCATCGGAGCGGTACGGGCGGAATTCTGCTGTTTTGCTGCACTTGTTGTGGTTGCTGCTGCTGCTCCGCCTCCGCCTCCGCCTCCGCTGTCGACGGTGAACGGTCCGCTCTGGGTGCCCGTTCGCCAATCGAGCGGCACGGTGTACGGTGGCACGGCCGATGTCTTGCCTGGCGCCGACGGTGGTGCACTCATGTCGCACTGCGTCGAGTTCGCCGGCAGTGGGGGAAAGAAGGCCTTGCTCGCGAACGGGGGCGAGGTCGAAGGTGTGGACTCGGAGGTGGTGGTGAGGTCGTACGAGTCGACTGTGGGGGCGCCGACGGAGGAGAACGGCGATCCCGAATGGTGAGGCGAGTCGGTCGAAGCGGATGACCCCTCCGGCGTCGCGCCCGAGAAGCGCGAGCCGAGCAACACCGACGAAGCGTTAGGGATCGACGCGAGGAACGCAGCCGTCGAAGCGTGGGACGATGACGAAGCCTGTTGGTGGCTCACGGAGTTCGTGTCCGAGCCTACACCACCTTCTACGGTCGTCGTCGGTTGGGCGCCGCCGTCGCGAAGCGAGTCCGTCGAGTCGTGAATGAAGGCGGAGAAATCGACGTCGCCTTCGTCGTCCTCGGATGCGGCAGCGTCGACGAACAGCCGATGCTCGTCACGAGTCGGCCGACCGACGCCCCAGCCTGATGGTTCGTACGACTGCGTCGCCACGATGTCGGAGCTCGAGAAAGCGGTTGCCAGTTGGAGGCGTTCGCTCGTCGGCGGTCGCAGCGGCGCAAGCGAGCAAGCAAGCTGGGCAAGCAACGGCAGTCAGGGCGGCGACAGTGGAAGCGGGTCAGTTCCAGTCCAGCTCCGACGTTGTTTGAGATACTCGACCGAGTCTCGGCACAGGCGGGTGCTCACTGTGTTTCAATCAAAGCCCACCTGCAAGGTCGTATGTCCTGGCCCAAGGTGATGTATGAAGAGCCTTCCGCGTTACTAATACCGATCGGTGGCCAGGTGAGACTGTGCTTGAGGTGGTTTGAGCATGACCGTTGCTCGAACCCATCGCCGTGGCCAGGCATCCAGGCATCTCTACCTGCCTGCATCTGCCAGCCTTACTGCCAGCCTGAGCCAGCCTGGAACCGGCTGGCGTGCCGCGCTAGCTCGCCCGCCCGCGCCCATGGGCCACTCGCCCGACTGCACGTAACAGGTGCTCTGTGCCTGGCCAACGGCCTTGATCGAACTTCCATGAAGCCGTGCGCATTGAGCGTGGTGGGAAGCTGGAGGTGGCCACTCCCAAGTTGGAGTTGTAGGCAACTTTCCTCTCAAGATGTGCTACTTTGAAGGCTGAAAACAAAAGGATCGCCTACTCGACCTCTTCTCGGGAAAAGAGAAAAAAGAATCGGGACTCCTTAACGCCTCTCTACGCCTGGTGGGGTTCGCCATCTCCAGAGCGCAGCAGAAAATTTAACCGATCGTCGGTTCCAGAGCTCGCGAGGGCGCCCGGGCTTGGCCCGACCGGCGTTTCCGGGGTCGGATACTTTTTCTGCTCGGGCTTCACGCATCGACTTCTTGCACTGGCACCACTGGTAATGACAAGAGGATGCGATTCCCATCACGTCATTTCCTCGGGTCGCCTAGTGTCTCTGTAAGCCACCAAAGGGGGTTTTAGTGGGTATGGTTGATCCTGGTTCAGGGTCAATGAGTCCTACACTACTGGATTCTGCCAGTGTGCGTAACAGCATTCCCTCCGACTTTTCCGAAGATTTCTAGGTATTAATATAACTATGCTGTTAATGAAGTCTATCAAATAAAAAAAAGAGGATAGGAATCGGGTCAAGCCGGGTATCTTCGACCGGGTAAATGACGGGCCATCCAAATCTACCATGTCTTGAAAAATTGGCAGTCCTCGAACCTCTCTACATCATTATGCCGCCTTAAACCCAACCCCATTTTCCGGTGTAGGTCTAGACTCCTGAGCTCTGGCTCGCTAGCCTTACTACTCCATGCCAATCGACTCGGGGGCCACCGGCAGCGAGGCAGCTGGCTCACCCGCTTCAATGGAACGGCACCTTCACGCCGACACCGAGTTGCTCCGCCATCTCGACCATCAACGCCGTGATCCCCACATCCATCCCACCAACCCCAACGCACTTGAACAACGACTTCCCATCTTGCCCACTCTTCAACCTGGCGATTAGATCACACGCGTCGGCCGTCAAAGGGTTGCCGAGGACATCGACGACCTGGCCGAGCTCGATGCAGTTCTCAGGTACTGTCCCGGCCGAGATCAGTTCGCCGGCTTCGGAAAGACAAGCGGGACGAGAGTCGACAAGGATGTAGGGGATGGGTGTCGGTGTTGTAGATGGTGAGATGAGCGAAGCGGGGAACTCGTGCATCGAGGGCATGTATGATCCGACTGCGCCGTCAGAGGAAGAACAGGGGAAGAAGCCAAGCGCAGGGGGGTCAGCCACGCGAGACATCGAAGGAAACGGATATTACTACCTGCAAATAAGAACAAAAGACGCAACTGGCATTGATGTGAACATTCGCTTTGAGATCGTTCGCCTCAAAGATCGGCGCTTTCGAGGGCACGCAGCTGAGCGAAGATATCTCATCAGCCGGAGTTGGGGGATCAGAGCTGGCCACGACTAACGACATCGCTCACCAGCAAATGATATCGGCTTGCTGTACATATTCGCTCGTCTTGTCGGTTCCGAGCACTTGGCTCTTGACGATGGGGAATTGCCGACCGAGTTTTTCTACCAGCTCGGATGACCTTGATGAGGGGGATCGAACGATGAAACTGGCATGATTGATGGAGGGAAAGAGCTCGAGGATCAATCGAGCATGATAGTACGCCTGCGTCCCCGACCCGAAAACAACTAGCTTCTGGGATGTTGGTGCTGCCAAGATCAATGTCGCGAGAGCGGAAGCAGCACTGCGAAACGCGCATCGATCAGCGCCTCGAACTTTGGAAAGTTGCGCTGTTTTCACTGACGCTGTTCGAAGTCCTGTCAGGGTGCTCGAATTGACCATAGCTTTGACCTGACCGGTCGACTCGTCCAGCAAGAGCGTCGTCCCAGGAAGGCCGACCTGGGCGTGGGGATTGGCTGTCGGGCACGGAAACGATCTTGACCGCGGTCATGGAGATGTTTTGCGATGTCGTCAATCGCGAAGGCATGTATCTGTAAGGAAACGGGGTTCGACTCTCGCTCAGTGTCCTACGCTGGTACTAAACCGAGGCCTGTCAAATTGCGAACAGGGTTTTGTGAAACTCCGACTGGGTAGCAATGCGGAGTGGATTCTGCACCGGAGGTACGCCTTCGACGGGGGTCTCGGCCGCTTTAGTAATGGCGTGCATCGTTCTCCCGATCAGGTTGGCCTAAAAAGAGAGTGCTGCTTCGTCGTCAGTTCAATGGTTCAATGGACCACGATGTAATCGGCGGTTCCGGGCACCGGCCAGCATCGCTCGACCGCCGCCGGGACCCGTGTGGAGCCACAGCTGCCGCGAGTCTGGCCATTTGTAGACTCAAGGTACGGGCATGTGGCGACTAACCAATGCTGATGCCGTGAGCGACTCCACAAGATCCGCGACATGTTGTGCGGAGAGCACCAGAACGGACATGGGTCGATGCGATGGTGTGGTGGTGAGCAAATCGAAAGCGCGCTGCCGAGATCGTCATCGAGCCAGATCAAGATTCTCGGAGCGCACTGTGCCACTACTGTGACGCGTCGCGTCGTGTCAGCGCTGGGCGACGGCCCAAGCTCAAGCTCACGACCCGCCGCCAGCCGCCGCCCCTTTATATGTGGCCTGTTCCCCCCCCCCCCCCCCCACTGGATCACCCTAGCTTCTTTTCATCCACGTCACAGCATCCACCGTCTTGATTCCCGAGAAGAAGAAGCCCAGCTCAGTCATCTCACAGCCATGTACGTTCCCGGACTGAACTCAGCCCCGCAGCTGATCTCCCCGGACCAACCTCGCCTTACGCGACCTCCGCCGTCACGCGCTCGATCCTCCTCCGCCGCAAGACCACTAAACTAAGCCATCTTTTCTCTCGCTGCTCGCAGGTCCGGATTTCTCTCTTCGATGGGAATCGGTGCGAACCGATCCAACTCCAAGTCCCCCTCGGTCCGACCTCAAGCGCTGCCAACAGGCAACTCGAGCAACGCGCCGTTCACCAACTCCGCCAACCCCGCCGGAGGACTTACACGGGGGCAACAGCAGAATGACCGACTGTACCTCTGCTTGCCCTTCGTCAAGGCCGCTCTCGTCAAGGGCAACTTCAAGACGATCGTCGCTCTGCCGAAATGTGAGCCGGCACCACCCCGCCTTACCCGTCGTGGCGCTGGGCAGCGAGGGCCGCCACGTATACTGGACCGTTTGCAAGTCGGTCCACTAATTCGGAGTAATTGCTTCTCTTTGATGTCAGATGTCGATGTCAATGAATGGGTTGCGGTCAACCGTGAGTGTGACAATGCCTCATCGTACACCTGTACCAGAGCTTGGTGGAGCGACGGTCGAAGCTTCTGCGCGCTGCCTTCACATAAAATAAATCAAAATTACTGACCCCTCCTTGAGCACATCTGATCGATGCCGCAGTCGTCGACCTGTTCAACAACCTCAACTTGTTCTACTCGGTCGTGACCGAATTCTGCACGATCGAGAACAACCCGACCATGTCGGCAGGCCCAGGGTCAGTGGTGAAGCTTTCTGCAAAGGCGGGGCGAGAGCCAAGCTGATCTTGCTATGCTCTTGAATCGTGAGGATAACAGGATGGACTACACGTGGATCGATGCGAACCGAAAACGCGTCAAGCTGCCCGCACCTCAGTACATTGACTACGTGCTCACATGGGTCGAAGGTTTGATCAAGGACGAATCAGTATTCCCTACCAAAGCAGGTCAGTACAGTACCCATTTAGCTCACGCGAATACCCATAGAGCTTGTGTTGACTCTGCCTCGCGATCGCTTCAGGACGCGAGTTCTCGCCCAACTTCCCCTCGGTCGCCCGACACATCTACACCCAACTGCTTCGCATCTTTGCCCACCTCTACCACGCCCACTATCCGATCTTCCTCCACTTGTCCTCAGAGGGACACCTCAACTCCTTGTTCGCCCACTTCTTGACGTTCGGCAGGGAGTTCGATCTCTTGGAGGAGAAGGAGACTAGGGCACCCAAAGAGGGCTGGCCCTTTGTGATTGGGGATCTGATGGATGTGAGTCGACCCCTTCAGTCTCAGACCTTGGCGACAGTAGGCGCAGTGAGCTGATCCCAAACCATGTCTCGGCCTTGCTCATCGAAACCGAACATCAGGCCTGGAAGGGACTCGGTATCCTCGAACCCTGACTGTCGCAAAAATTCGACCTGCATCCGTTCTACCATCTTCGCATTATACTACCTTATTCGTGTACTGTTACCTCGCAAACACTATCGTTCTTTTTCTCTTGGGACCCTGTGCGGCGCGTGAGCGCGTGAGCCCTCGCCTCGCTCGGCCGCCATTACCTGCGGTGCTGTAAAGATCGATCTGGAGTGACAAGGTGATTGCCTCGCTTTATTCCGTATGTCCGAGATATCTTCCGATCGCCTACCCGCCTGGAAACGATCGAGGCTTGTGAGCGGGCCCAGAACGAACTCCGTGAACTGGAACGAAATGATTGCAGTGCAGCCGCCGTGGAAGGTCTTGCCTTCCACAGTCGCGACTCGACCGAGCGGCCCAGGCTCAAGTTCGGAGGACGTGGTGGATACAAAGTCGCCATGGGGAAATTAGTATTGGGTGTAAGATACCTTCCTAAGTACATTATTTTGAAACAGGTTGTAATGCAAAGACCTGTCGTGTGTCTTAGCAGGGCAGTGGCACAGGGGCAGAGCCGAGATCCGACTTCGTAGCTTCCGCGACATTTCTTTCTCTTGTCCAGTCCCGCTCGGCGTCAGTCACGTGAGTGGGGCTCAAGGAAGCGGTACGAAGGGTGATGCTTGGGCAAAGTTTTCACTTGCTCCGGTACCCCCTCTGGCCTCTGGGAAAGAGCATGTACGTCGTTTCGACGATACCGGCGAGGGTCCGTCGATCGGACCACGTGCACGTTGCAAAGAGGAATTCGCTCTTCCTACGCCACAGAGCGAGGTGCCTGATTTTGCAGGCTTTTTATTTATGGACGTTGCTTCGGGTTTTTCCAAAAGTAGTTCCGTGTTGCGGTGGAGGACGGCCCCGGGGCTCGGTTGTGGATCACGGCTTACCGCCGAGGCTGACAACCTGTTTAATGGGCTTGGACCGCCATAACCGACGAGGTTGGCGGGACTGGTAACCGCAAGCAACCGCTGTGGCCATGGCCGCGATTGCGCAAACGCGACCCGGGGGCTATAGTAGCACGCCCGCCCGGCCTGACGCCAGGCGGTGGGCCGCGACTGGTCTGCCCCCTGACATAACCACGACGGTCCCCGTTGCCCGATTTGGATTCGAGGAGACTGCGAGAGTGGTCGGAACCCAACCCTTTGCCTTCTGTTGGATTCGGTGTAGCTACAACAGGTCACCCACGACATCTTCTTGTTCCTGCCTCTTCACCTCCCTCACCCCTTCCTTCCTTCACCCGTTCCACTGACCGTAGTATTCGAAGATGGTGAGTCTGCTCGATCAAATCGCTGCCGCACCTCGGCCCTTTATGGTGTTTGCGGACGCTTCGCAGGCGCAGGCGCAGGCGCAGGCGCAGGCGCAGGCGTTCTCGAGATGCTGTAGCTCCTAAGCGGCAACGCTTGGCGTTCCGAGTCCCGGCGTGCCGCTCTTCAATGTCTTGCTCTACTCCAGACCGAAGTTGACTCTTCGTTCTGTTTCTCACTCCCTTGTCATGCCTTTGCTGCGTGCGCGTACGCTTCGCCGGAACTGTCCGCACGGTCGCACTCCGCCGTCCGTCCTGGTCCTAATTCGACAACGTCCAATCAACAGTCGGCAGACAACTCCACCCTCACCGCCGACGCTACAGAGTCTTGCGCTGGACCCAACACCTTCAACGGCAAGCTGGACCTCCGTATCGCTTCCGTCTTTGTCATCCTTGTAAGTCGTTTACCCCTCGACCCTGGGCTCAGTGATTCGGGTCGAGCGCACGTTTAGGCACAGCTCCAGGCAAGGCCGGCCCACCGTGCTGAATGTGATACTGACAGGTCCAATCTTTCCACCCCAGGTCACCTCCCTTTTTGGTACCTTGCTTCCGATCGTGTCCCGGAGGCTCAAATCTGTTCCCGATGTTGCGTACCGGATCGTCAAATACTTCGGTTCGGGTGTCATTATTGCGACCGCCTTTGTGAGTTGACGTCAGATTCTTCTCCAGTGGTCCCTCGTAACCTCCTAGGCGTTTCTTGCTGACGCAAGCACATTACCAGATTCATCTCTTGGCTCCGGCATGGGACGCCTTAACGAGTCCGTGCTTGCAATACGGCGTCTGGGTCGAGTACGACTGGGCACCGGCAATCGCCATGATCAGCATGTTCTGGTGAGCATCGCAACTGGCTGGCTTACTCTAGACGTATCAGACTCAAGTTGCCGACCTTTTTCTTTTCTCAGCCTGTTCCTCGTCGAATTGGTCGCTCACCGAGCCGGTGCTTCCTATCTCGCCAAGCGCGGTCTCCGCGCTGTTGATGCCCACTCTCAAGGCAACAACCAGCCTAGCCACTCGACCCACGGTGCCCACATCGATGACCGCGTAGCCGTTGCCTCGTCACCCTTGGAGGACCTCGAAGGCGATGTACGCAAGGAAGGCCTGCTCTCCGATGACGAGAGCGATGAGACGGCGATTCTCACGGACGAGGCCGTAATGGCCCGCATCATCGGTGTCGCCATCCTCGAATTCGGTGTCATCTTCCACTCTCTGATGATTGGTTTGACTTTGGCTGGTGAGTTCGACTCGCCGAGTTGGAGTTGTAATGGACCAGATTCGTGCGAACTACACTGACACCGCCTACTTCTCGCCTATCTCAGTTGACCCCGACTTCTCGACCCTCTTCGTCGTGCTCATCTTCCACCAAATGTTCGAGGGTCTCGGTCTCGGTTCGCGATTGTCTGCCCTCCCTCTTCCCCGTGCCTACCGCTGGGTTCCGTACATCGCCGGATCCGTTTACGCTTGCGTAACCCCTCTCGGTATCGCTATCGGTCTCGGTGTTCGTACGACCTACAACCCCAACACGGCCACGGCCTCGATTGTCTCCGGTGTCCTCGACGCTACTTCCGCCGGTATCCTTCTGTACACTGGTCTCGTTGAGCTTCTGGCGCACGATTTTATCTTCAACAAGGAGATGGCTAGGGACGCGAGCAACGTCAAGGTCGCTGGGTCTGTGTGAGTACCTCGTGGATACTCCTCCGTTCCCTTCTGCGGTGACCAAGAAGCTGACTTCGACTCTTTGTTACCCCTCAGGCTCTGCGTTCTCGTTGGTGCTGGTATCATGTCGCTGCTTGGACGATGGGCATAGACTGCGAGAGCGCCTTGGCATCGCTTCAAAGGGAAAAAAGGGAGCAAAATCAAAAAATCCAGATGGTCTCTTTGCCAGACGCTTGAACCTAATTAACTTGTGCTCCCTAAGTACCGCATGTCGTCCTATAGACTTTCTTCCTCTTTCTCTATAATTTTTCGCGTAGATGATGTAGTACATCAATTCTTGGTTATTCCCTCGAGCATCATTTGCTCGAACTCGCAGCAGCCGTGCATTCGGAGCTTCGGAGAGAGACTGAGAGAGACGCCTCCGTCAGTCGGTGACCCACCCGTTCGCCGACGTCCAACGGGTCACCGCCGTCCCCTCTCGCTCCTGCCTGTTGTTGGACAGTGGAGGCCTGACGGGAGCTCGTTCTAGGGCACCTCGCAAATCAACGAATCAAAACCTGGCTCAAGACCAACACGCATCGTCTACCCATACCACTGGCTAGGACGTAAGGGATGGGCGTGCCCCTGTTGCTGTCCAAGACGACGGCCGGCGCAGCCCACTCGCTCTTGCGGCCACCACATGCACTCGGCACTCACAGTCGTCAGATCGTAGTTCGTGCAGATGGATCTGCATTTGCCACCAGATCATTTTCGTCGATGAAAGTGGTAAGTGTAGTTCTCCCGGCGTATTCTCCTCGCGCTGCTCGTCGCCGTCCACATGCTCATCTCCGAGCGGCTTTGCACGTCCTCAGTTCGCATCACGCGCTACCTTCTCGACCAGTACAGCGCCATGGCCATCTCTGAGATATTCCTTATCGAATGCTGGCAATGCAGCACTTTCACGCCGGCCCTTCTTCTCTCGATACGCGTGGGGAACGGTGGCAGCAACATCCCCGAATCGAAGCGCCTCGACTCTCAGACATGCTCCTCGCTTCTTTGAGCGAGCGATACCCCACGTCACCAAGTGTAGAAGGTCCAACCCTTGTACACTCCATCACGAACCCAATTCGCGCCCCAAGGACGACCGATGGAGATGCCGATTCCGATTCCGAACGCGTGGTGCCCACGCAAACTCGGACCGACGTCCCATCTCACTTGACTTCGATACGCGGCACAAGACCGAACGGTGGTTCAAGTATTTGCATCGCATGGATCGACTCCGTCATCGTCGACGCAAACCCCATCATCTCTCGCATGCGCCCAAGACGAGCATCGTCAATCGGCACAAGCCTTGGAAGCATTTCTCAACCGGTCTCATCTATTTCTCGACCACGACTGGCCCGCAACGAGGGCCGAGGCCGACGAGGAAGATCAACCTCAAATTCATGGCTCGAGGTCATCTTGATCAACCGAGGCCCCTCATGACAGCTTTTTTGACCGTAGAAAAGACCCCGCTTCCTCCTTCCGCCGTTTACATTGCCCGCCCTACTGGGATTTCACCCGGCTCGTTTTTTCACTCGTTTCGAGGACTTCTTCCCCAAGCACCCTCGATCTTGCCGCCCACTGCGTCTCTTGTGAGGATGTTCACTACTTCAAGACGAGCTCACGAGCTACCCGTGGATCCATTGCAAGCGCGCGAAGCCGGCTTCCCGCTCTTGCTCCCACTCGCTACACTGCTCAAGTCATCCGCCGCGCTTCACACCCTCAACATCGTTTCCCGCGTCGCACTCACGATCTTGCCCTTTTCCGTACGAGCTAAATACTTTGGTTCGCGCAATGCTGCGGTCGCGGGAGCCAATGTCGCGGCTGCAACCTCAAGCTGGGCCTCGCGAATCATGTCTTCGTCGGGTGCGACGGGTTCGTTCGGGACACGCTACCTCGCTCCCTTACTCGCTGCGATTCCTATCATGTTGCTCGGTGGAATTGTACTTGCTTCGTTGGAGCAGACGCCGATCACTGGTCGCTGGCGAATGGTCATGCTCTCGCCCGCCGAAGAAGCCGAATTGATTTCGTCTGTACTGGGCACGAGCGAAGATTCGAACGTCCAGAAACGGGACTGGGTCGGTATCCTTCGTTCGGTGCTGGAGCTTGAGGACGAAGGCGTCTCTCCGACGACGGGAAGAAGGATCCTGTTGGGTGGTGAGGTCCTGGATGAACGTGACTGGAGGGTGCGATGGGCGGACGCCGTCCTGCGTGCGCTCGAACATGGCGTACCTTCGCTAGGGATCGGATCGCTCGAGCTGGACTCGGCTGCGTCGGAGGATCCAACCCTCTTACAAGCTCCTCCGACTCGATATCCTCTTCGACCTCGTTCGTCGCCAGAGTCGGCTTCAGATATGGGATGGCTCGGTCACCTTTTCCTGGGGAAGCATGCGAATCAGTCACAGGAGGACGCGCCGGATGCCTCGCTCAACGTGGGGTACGATTTGATCGTCATTGACCGCGCGGAGGCGAATGCGTTCTCGTTCGGTTTTGCACCCGAGATCGCTTCAGGTTCTGCCTCGAGTGATCGAAGAGGCGTAATTGTCGTATATGCAGGCTTCATCGATCAGATCCTAGGCTCGAACGCACCGAGCCAAGAACAACAACCGCCTGCTCCCGCTCCGCGTTCGTCACTCTCGAGTTACTTTACCTCCAAGTCCCCCGAGCCAACGTTGCCGAACCTGGTTCCCACGACACTCCCTACGCGAGAGCAGACGCAGGCGATGGCCGTGTTGCTGTCGCATGAGTTGTCGCACCTCTTGTTGAGCCATAGTATGGAGTTGCAAGCCTCGACGTCGTTGTTGCTCAAGCACGTTTCCAAGCTTGCTGTCGATGGTGAGCTCCCTGCGCTATTCATATATGGGATTTTGTCATGTACTGAACCTATGATGTCTCCCCTCAGTGATCCGAACGATCACCTTCCCCCTCGTCGCGATGCTCGGCCCCTTCCTGTCGGACGCGATCCATTCCTCCACCAAAGTCGGCGTCTCGACCAGTTGGAACTACGTCGGATCGGCGATGCTGGCCTGTCAATCGAGGGCGTTGGAGACCGAAGCTGATCTGGTTGCTTTGAGGTTGTTGGCTTGTTCGGGGATCGATCCGAGGTTCGCGTTGAAGTTCTGGGAAGGGAGGGTTGAGAGGGATCGACAAGGGGAGGCTGAAAGGAAGGGGATGACGATGAAAGGAGGTCAGAAGGTCCAGATGCATTCTCCTGCTTCTGGAACTGCGACGTCGGAGGGGAAGAGGAAGGAAGAAGGAGATCCAACTGCTTCGAAAACCAAGACCACGGCGGCGTGTTGGATCATGGACTCGCACCCCGTTGAAGAGGAGAGGGTCGAGAGGATCCGCAAGGAGTTGGCGAAGTGGGAGAGGTATAGAGATGAGCAGGCGTTTGTGAATGGGAGGAGGGAGCAGAAGAAGGTGTAGAATTTGCTCTTCGAATCGAACGGGCTGTGTTTCTGTTGTAGTGACTTCATTTCCTTAGTTGTTGTGCAGGCAACCCTCATCTCGAGGCGCCTTTCCAGTTTTTCGTGTCCTTTCGTGACTGTCTCTCACCCCTCCATTCGCAGTGATCTACTCGTACAGCTTATCTCTATGTTGTATTTCCTATGCCATACAGTATACATCTATCATTCCTGCAGCACCCAATCGACGACCTTGTCGAAACTCTGTCCACACCATTCCGGATCCTTGTTCTGTCCATCGGAAGAAGAGAGACGGCGTTCGTCCCCGGGTCGGTATTTCCCTGTGTGGACGAGGAAACGATGAAGACCTAGGTTTTGGACGACGAGGCCGGTGTCTTGACGATAGTCGTCGCCGACCTGTGGGAGGATGAGGTTGGGTGAGATGGTTGGAGAGGAAAGAGGGTTCATCTCGAATCATGTGGGGGAGACTGACCATGCCTACTTGGGACCACGCGTCGGGACCTATCCCTTCATGAGCCAAGGATTCAAGAGCAAGCTCGAAGAATTTTTGTTCTGGTTTACCGACTTTTTGATGTATCGAGACGAGATGATATGTCAGCTGAGACGATAGGGTCATCTCGTTTCTCAAAGGATCCATCGTCCCAGCTCACCGACCTCCGCTTTCACCCCCGAACTCTCCTCCAAAGCAGTGACGAACCCACCGGGACCCAAGGATAAAGATCCGTCTTTATCCCTGACGTACAACGCTCGATGCGTAGCGATCAAGCGAGGCTGAGGTTTCTTATCGTCGATCGCCTTGTCCTCTTGTCCCGAACCTGCCGAGGAGGAAGAAGGATCCTTCTCACCCGCCAACAGGCGGAAAGCTTTGTTGAGGGTTGGGTAGTCGAACGAGGAAGGGGATAGACCGATGATGACGCTGTCGAGGTCTTGCAGGGAGGTTGAGGAGGGAGTGGGGAAGTCGGAGAGAGCACTAGGGGAGAGGAGGTAGAATGGTCTGGGAGACGGATCAGGGGATTTGGTATTAGTATGGGCGAGCGTATCGGCGGTAAATGCCAGGTACTAACTTGAGGTTCTCGGCAACGACAATTTGCCGTACGGCTGAGAGAGAGGTGAAGAGCTATGATAAGAAGAATTCGATGCCCATATCTCGCCACAAAGTTCAGTCCGGCTCCAATGTGCCCACATCAGGCGGATACGCGGTGTTGTGAGGCTGACCTCTGACTCTCTGACGTCGAGATTCATGTTGTGCAGTTTCGCGAGAAGTGAAGTTTCTGGTTGATGAACCGAGTGATTTCGTCGCATGATGGAGATGGATTCCGGAAAACGTTGCTTTTGCCGAGGTCAGAATCCGCTGATGGATAACTCAATGGGCCTCGATCGTACGCACTTGACTCTTTGGAGGTGTTGGATACCCATCTGAGGACGATGCCCGCCTTGCGCAGCCTCTGTATGGCCTGAGCGGCGTTAGGGGTCGGCTGATCCGAGACGTGGATCGTACCGGACAGATCGATCAGCAGCGCGCGCAGTCTACAAGGGATAGAGACGGGGGTTAATGACACGTGAACAAGTAAGGTAGGAGCTTAGTGGACTTGCCTCGCCATGCTGGTCGATGGGCCCTGCGGCAGTACTGTTCACTGATCCGGTGAGCCACAGTGGGAGCAAGTCGCTGGCTGAGCGCTGTAATGGAGACAATTGCCCGTTAGAGTACTCGTTAGTACTGCCGAGGGGATGCGCCCCACTTTTGGGGGGATTGCGACCTGCGCTGGTGCTCTCCCCTTTTTCGTTCCTCTCTCTCTCTCTCTCTCACCCGCCCACCCGCTTTGACCGCTTTGACCGCTTTGACCGCTTTGACCGCTCACTCCCCTCAGAAGCACCCAACCCAAAACATTTAACACCCAATCAACGCGGCCGAGAAAGCCACGCCCGTTGCCGCAAGCATGTCATCGTCCAAGGAGACCAAGGAGCCGTCGATCCTCACCTCGATCGCGCGCCACATCCCCGGCCTGTCCATCTCGTCCTCGTCCGGCACCGGCACCGGCACCGGCACCAGCTCCGGCACCTCCACCTCCACCTCGAGCGCCAGCAAGAAGAACCGCGGTCGTAAACCCAAGTCGCAGCCCATGACCACCTCCGTCTCGGCTGCCGCTTCAGCCGCGGACAAGCCTGATGATCCCAACGCCCAGCTCGAGCCAGCCGCCGCTCCCTCCGCATTTCAGGTGCCCGTCAGCGTACCCGAGGTCGAGGCGTTGGGAGAGGTCGAGGAGAAGAAGACGAGTGGTCAGTTGCCGTGTCGCCTATGCACTCCCGGCGATGAGCGATGAGAGTGTAGGCCTGCGCCGCGCACTCCGTACCTCGACTCGGCTCAACACGGCTCGCCTCGGGTCTCCTCTGTCCTGCCTCCTATTCTGCACATATCGGCTAATACCGGCATGCGTTCTCCGCTCTCACAGCCGTCGAGGCGTGCCAAAAGCGCATCCGCGCCGCCAACAAGAAGATTGTACGTGGCCCTGTGGCGCGCACCCCACGCGGGGAAAGGCGCAATCGCTTCCCCTGCGCGCACCTCCACTCGAACCATAGCTCACCCTGTCCACCTCTTTCAACAGCAACGCATTGTAACCTACGAGGAAAAGACCGAAGCACTCAACGCCGACCAACAACGCGCCGTCGCTTCAAAGCCCGCCCTCGTCGCCGTCGTCAAGGAGCTCGAAGAGCTGCTCGTGATCCTCAAGGTCAGTCGCGCCTCTATGAGCAATCTCTTCGTCTTACTCACCATCCCAAGCGTGATCCGCATTACAGGCCGAAGAAGCCGAGGATGAAGCCCGTGATCAACGCAATGCTGCGCTGGAGGAGAAGAGGCAGGCTCGAGCAGTTGAAGCCGCCGTCGCCTCGGCCCACTCCACTCCCGACTCCAAGGTCCTCATCCTCTTGCAATTCCTCCACCTCCACGGCCTCTACACCCAACAAAGCACCGGCTTCGCACCGCCCGTCCTCCCTCCCGTCGTCGCCAATGCTACGGGGCAAGAGGTCGCCGCGGTCAGGATGCTCAAGGAAAGATTTACTAGCGGCCCTCTGCTCGGTGGCCACGGCGATGCCGTCGAGGCGCTTAACAAGATCGCAGGCGAGTCGTCCGAGGAAGCTCTTCCTGGTGTTCCTTGTGAGTGTCAACACTTGAGCCTAGACTGGCCACGTTCTTGATCGATCCATGTCTTCATCTATTTGCGTGCTCCAGACTCGCGCATCAAGGAGCTCATCGCCGGACTCACCTCCACACCCGCCGACCAGCCCTTGGCCGCTTCCAACCATCACGACAACATTCTTCCCGAATCGAACGCTCCTACCGGCCCCTCGGATTCTGTCACCGCTCTCGTCGACGGAGCCACCGACGCCCCCGCCCACGACGCCCCTTCGTTCCTCAACGCGTCCGAGCTCGAACAGGTCCCTTCGTCCGAAGCCAAAGTCGCGTCCTGGGCCGACGAGGTCGAAGCCAACCCCGCCGTCGATCCCGTCGCTCACGAACCCGCTTCGACTCCTACTCCCGCTCCTGCACCTGTCGAAGAACCCGCTGCGGTGGCTCCCGCTGTCCTTGCTGCTGATGCATGGGGATCCACGACAGGCGGGACCGTCGATTGGGCGACCGAGGATTCGGGCGCTTTACCTTCGTTGCCTGAACTTCAACCTACGGCTGGGGTTGCACCCATTGCTGGTGCAGGACACGGAGCGACTTTGAGCGTCGATGCGGATGGTTTCCAAGCCGCTCGTCGAGGTGGACCCGCGCAAGGCCAAGGACAAGGACAAGGCCGTGGTCCTCGTGGTCCCCCCGGTGGAGGACGCAACGGGATGCGTGGTAATGGTGAGGAAGGTGGTCGTGGTGGTGGACGAGGTGGAGGGCAGTTCAGGGGTCGCAGTGATGGGAATTGGGAACGACGTGGTCCCCCTCCTTCTTCTCAAGGCCAGGGACAGGGCCAGAACGGACCGAGAGATGATGGGTTCATCCAGGTCACTCACCACAACGGAGGAGATGGCGGTCATCGTGGTCGTGGAAGGCCTCATCGTGGTGGAGAGGGAGGAGGCAGAGGTGGAGGACGTGGACCGAGAGAAGGTGGGTTCAGGGGTGGTCAGGGTCAGGGTCAGGGTCAGAACAAGGTCGAACGACCCGTCGGTGGGGATGCACCTGCTGCCAACGCGTCGGCCGCCGCACCTGCTGCCCCGACGAACAGGTGGTAGACGAACAATGATTCCCTACTCAAAACCCAAAGTGTTCCAACTTCAAAAAACTAAAAAGAAGAGCGGGCGGTACGTATAGCAACGAGTCTTGAAGTTCCCATTGCCTATTTGGAGCTGCGCTCGTATACAATCCTCGTTCTTTTCTTGCCTCCTCCTCTTTTTGGTCCCAATGAGCGCTCCTTTTTCTCTGAAATCAAGGATACCTACCTAAGCCTAGTTGAGAAAGATGTGTTCAGGTACGCCTATGCTGGACGCCGAACGACAGCCCGGAGAGGTCTTGAGGAAGGGAGTTTATGAGCGTTCATGCCCGACGAAAGCTCCCTCGGCAGCGTCGCGAAGCAAGCAAGGCATGACGTCAGGAGCGCGGGCGGGCGGGACAGCGACAGTAGTACCCAGCGCCGAAACAGAAGTTGTGAATAGAAAGATAGGATTTCGTGTTATTGATCAAAGATGTACAGAACAGTGTTGTGTGGGGTTCATGCTTTATACAAAGGGGCACAAATGTGGGAGAAAACGAAAGAGGAAGAAACGTGGACATTCCCTCCTGAAAGACAGAAACTGAACCTCCGTCCGGGAAGGAGGTATCTCGGGGGTCACCGAACGAATTTTTGGGGGACTGGTGCTGGTGGGAAAACACGAGGTGAATGTTGCGTAGGCGATGGGGAACAGACAGGATAAAGGCGAGGATAAGGAGAGGTACAGATGCCGACAGGCGCTCAACGTCTTGCGCGGTCACCCCAGACTGTGGAGGATCGTGACCAGGGAGTGTCCGAATAATTGCACGCGCAAGGGGGGTTGGTGAATCCGGGACAGAATACGGAAGGGTTGCGAGGGACGAACGAGCAAAGCGAACGAGATAGACATAATTACGTATGGACGTGTGAATAAGTGGCGCGAACGGGAATGCAAGGATTCGTGCGGGTACTAGGCACGGGACTAGAGGACGAACAAGCTCGCGGGTTCAGCGCGTTCTGCGCCTTCTCCCCGGGCTACGGAGGACCATGTAGGCACGGGGAGGCCTAGTCGTGAGGACGGGTGCGAGCTGATGGTCCCGGCTTGAGCGTCGAGAGGGACTTCAGCGGGCATGTAAAATGCGGGCGACGACGAGGTCTGCGAGCGCTTGTAGGCGTTAAGCAAGAGCTGCGTTGTGGGATCCGCCATGGCCGACTCGGGTCCGGTCGTGAGGCCGAGGCCGTTAGGCATCGTCATCATCGAGGGGAACGATGACGCGTAGGCCAAAGCGAAAGCCGAGTTTAAGGAAGCCGATTGTGAGCTAGGAGTCGAATTCGAAGGCGATGCCGAGGAGATCGAGACCGATGGCAACGTTTGGGGAAGAGAGATGGTAGGCGACGAGAGGTTGACTGGCGCGACCGAGGGGGAGTTGAGGTTCAAGAGGGGGATGTTGTACGGTGCGCAGGAAACGAAAGGGTTTGCGACCGAGTTGAGCTCGCCCAACGCTAATGGCACGACGCGCGCAGTCGGGACCTGCTGCGCGGCCTGATGGAGGAACTGTGCTGCCTCCTCTCGAGTCGCCTGCTCGCGACGCTCACGGTCTGCAGCCTGGAACGAGGCCGCGAAGTCGAACTCGACTGGCGGGACGTGAGGCTGGAGATGGGGCTGGAGAGCCGACGAGGGGGGTGTCGGGTACCGTTCCTCGGGCGACTTGACCCTACTTTCACCACCGAGCAGGTCATCCAAACTGCCGTGGCCCGGGTTCTCGACCGATGCCGCAAAGGAATTAAAGTCGAAGCCGTCCTCTGGGTTCGCGGCGCCAAGTCGGAAGTGGGTCGTGTGAGCCAATGAAGAGTGCAGCGGGTCGTTGGCAAGGATGGCCTCGAGATCGCTAAGCGTGTCACGATGTAGATCCACAGGCGAACATGACGTGAACACCGGCGAGGGATACTCGCTTGCGACCCGATGCTCGAACGACAGCAGTTTTCTGTCGTGACCGTGGGTTGTTGAGTTGGTCTGCGAAGATTCATCGTCACTTCCGTCGTCATCGTCGTCATCGTCGCTCTCCACATCGTCGCTGTCCGACTCGCCAGACGAGCTCGCGATCCCGTTCGACTCGGGGCTTCCTACGAGCGAGAAGGACCCCAATGCCTCGGGAAGTCCAGCCAGCGTATGGGCACGAGGCCTCCGGACGTTGGGGGGCATCGAGGCGAGCGTCATGACGTTGTCCGAATAGCGTCGCTGTGGAAATACCGTCGGCTCGTGCGCCAGGTCGACGAGGCCCGACAGGAGCTCCGCAGGCTTAGAGTAAGCCGGGAACGACGGTGGGACGACGACCTTGGGGACGAGCGGGAAATTGAAAGGTGCGAGGCACGGATTGTTCGGTGGTGGCGCCGGCCCGGGTGCAGACTTGTTCGCTGCAGCGGAGGGCTGAGTCTTGGTGTTGGCGCCGCTCTTGAGCGACGGAGTCTTTTCGAGTTTCTTGTTCGACACGGTCGGGGGTGACAAGGTCGACGCGCGCTTTTTTCGAACCGCCTTTGCTGCCGAAATGTCCTCGGCTTTCCGATCGTGCAGGCGGGCATGCCGGTTCAACGTGTCCCTGTGGGCGTATAAACCGTGCGCCAGTGTCAGTCAGGCCATGAACCTCGACATGCGCCATTTGTATGGGTGTGTTGGACGTCCTCGTGCTCTCGAGTGCTGGCGAGAGCGTAACATAGGAGCACGTGCGTCTAAAATGTCGGAGGCGGACCATGAAGCCCAATGGGTTTTCACTGATCTCACGCCCGCGCGCGGCCGGGTTTCGGCAGCTGACCTCGAGTCGACGATTTGGATGACGGCTGGGCGAGCGCGCGCGCTTCTCCACGAGATGGCCCTCCGAGGCCGAGCCCCCGACACCAGCCGCCAATTGGGCAGCGAAACAATGACTGAGGGCAGTGCCTGAGCACTTACTGTCGCGCAAAGGTCTTGCCGCACGTCGAGCAAGCATAAGGTCGATCAAGAGTGTCTGTAGGGGGAGAGAGTGCATGTTGTGAGCAGGTGTTTGGCGTGCCCATGTCCGATCAACAAGTCGACGGGCTTCGCGGCGGGGTGGTATGCACTGCGCGGTGGGTCTAGCTTCCAGCCGCGGGCTCGTGCCGCTGATCGGAAGTCGTTTCCCCCAACTTTCCTGCGGCGAAATCGGCCGGGGCCCCCTGATCTGGTGCGCATCCCCGACTGAAAAATGTGGCGGTCGAAATGCGAGTTCCGGAGCTAGTGTGGGCCCAAGGACGACAGACGAAGAAGAGACGACTCACGCGTTCGTTCGTGGCGTTGAGCATGCTCGAGCTTCTTAAAAGACTGTAGAGTGGTGTACCAATCGTCAGCGTCGGCTCGTGGCTCCCACGACCCCCACCGCGCTCTCGTTCGGCACCGGGGTCGGCCTGCGCACTCCAGAGAGAGAGCTGCGACGACGGCGGCGCGGCTCATGCGGCATCAAAGGGGGACTGACCATGGGGCAGTACGCGCAATATGTCATCTTGGGCTCTCGAGCTGACGAATTCGTAGTCCATGGACCCGACACTGTAGCCGAACTGGGGTCATGAGCGACAGAAGCCTTCGTCGCCGTCACCATACTGTAAGCGCCCACGAGGAGTCGAGTCGTCTTTCGGCCGATCGCGAGTCGAGGGATCAAGGGAGACCGGAAGGGGGCACGAGCAAAGGACGCCGAACGAGCCGTGGTCGAGCAAAGGTCGCTATTCGTCTACGTTGGCCCAGGTCGTGTCGAGTCGAAAGGGTGGTGTGTCGTCAGGTGACAAAGGTCAATGCAGCCCTGGTGCAGTGCCAAGTTGCGCGACGCACTTTGGTGGTGTGGAGGTGAGACCGGGGAGCGCCTGAGGCGCTTGGGGCAGCTTGGGGCTTCTGCTGCCCTGTCGCCGCCGTGCTCTGGCCTGCAAATGGGCGAGCGAGCAAACGAAGGCTCAGGCTGTCCAAGGGTAGGTAACCGACCTTCTCTCGGATCCGGTCTTCTGTGCGCGCGCAAGCACCTCGGCTTCGAAGACAGTTCGAACATCGCAGACTCGTCTGTCATGTCACTTTCGGCTGTTTTGTTCGGTTAAATCCCCGACCATTTCGGGCCCAGGCTCGGTTGCTTCTATCAGGAGTCGGAGCAAATGTAGCACTCCTGTTCCACGGGCCCACGGCGATCGAGTGGCGCCCGTCGCGATTTTCCGAGGGATTTCTGTTAGGCATCCCCTTACATCGATGCCTTACAATTTCGGCTCAGCAGCGTCGGGACGGGAACGCGCAACACGACTTCATGTGTGTCTGAGTTACGGTGAGCTTTCATTGACTGTACGACGGGCATCACTTGCCGATGGGTGTCTGCGGAGTCGTGCTGATGCCTGAGAAAGGGATTTTTTTTTTAGGTAGTTCAGAGCCAACTCGGCCGCTTCGCCTGGCCGATTAGCCGCGAGATCGACCGTCGAGGCTTCGCCATCGCTCGGACAGACCTTCTTAAACACGTGGGAATGTCGAGCTACCTATTGCTCACGACCAGGCCCTTCATGGCTCAGATAAATATTTTTTGTTTTTGTTTTGTCGACGCCTACCAGTAGAGTAGTAGTGGCGTTGCGACTCGAAGGCGAGCAGAATTTGTAATTGTCAAAGAGTTCCTTCATCAACGGTCGGTTTCGAACCGGTCAGAATTGCCGAAAAGGCCACGTTTTAGGTGCCCGCGCGACGCCGACGACCCAAAGAAAAAGAAAAGTACCAGGCACCCCGGACCCAATCTGGGAACGGCCCCGTGACTTGGCCCAAATTGAAATGATCGTCCGGCCTACGCGAGCGTCGCAAGCCTTGCTGCCTGCTACTGCAGCAGGAGCAGTGCAAGCAGTTGCAGGTTCGTACATTCTTGCCCCCTTGCTAATGCAAAGCTCCGAATTCAATTCTGAGCCGTCTGCCCCGAGGTCCAGAACCCCATTAAGCACCCTGCTTGATCTCGATTCTCTACAGGGCGAGAGGGTATACTGTCCGCCCTTGCAGACACCAGTAGACACCAAAGTATACTCTCAAATTGATTTATGGTAGGGTTTATCAACTTCAAATGGTAGATAATCTAAACCTAGCGAGCAAGATATTCTTTCGAGCTGGGGTGAGCGGACTTTTCCGCCCTTTTTGACGCTTACCAACCCTCGAAACTGCTACAGCAACAGGTAGGTAGTCAACTACTGGATGCAAGATCTCACACGAGGGTACCACAGGGCTGGAATCCCAACTGTGCCTCGTACCAAAGTATCTTTTGGCGTCCCCCCGGTTCGACGTCACCGACGTGGGTACATAACGGAGGCCGCAGCAAGGCTGTGGAACCGCTGACGGCGGTTCGGCTTCAAATTAAACCCGCCTTTCCCGCCTTTCACTTGGCCACGTCAGCCTCTCCGAGACGTCGTCGGACTCGGAGCCGAGGAGAACTTCTTTCTAAATAGCGACCTGGTACTTGGGTACCTAGACAGGCGGCATTCGTCTGCAGTGCTGGGATGTGCCAGAGGGTATGACGTCAGGCTGCGTCCGTTGCTAGCCACTACAAACAGTGGTCTCAAATGAATTGAATACACGTTGTCCCCACCACTGAACACGCTCACAGGCCACCTTTGTAGCTTGCATCACGACGGGCTCCCGATCAAGGCAATTAGGGTAAAGCCCACCACCCTGTTATAAAATGACCGACTAAGCACCACGTGCCTGGCGCGACCCGACCGGAACACTGGCAGGAGGCACAGGGGTTAACTTTCATTCTGATCCGGGCTCGCCGACTTGGTTCGTAGTGCAGTGCTACTCTGTAATCTCGCACTTTCTTGGCGCTTCGTAGCCTGAATTTACCAGCCACATACGGCATAGGCTATAGTGTATCTGCTCACTCCTCGTCCCGGATCGTCAATTCATCTCGAACGATCAATCGCAGGAAGGCCCGAGAGGGCCTCACCTGGGCGAGGTAGGTATCGCCAACAGATCCGAACACTTCTGTGTCACGTCGAAGTATCTAGCCCAATTCAAACATTATTGGAAGTGGGCACCGTCCTCGTGCGACCCCGAAGAAAACTCGGACCTACGGTCACCTCGGACGTACGGTAACTCGGACGACTGCGGAGTTTAGATTGACCGAACGAGCGGTGACTCTCTCGGATGCTTCCGAGGAACGATCCTGGCGCCGACGTTAGCACTTGCCTCAAAGCTCGTATTTTTGCACGTGATCCGAGACGCCGATCCAGAAACATCCCATCCAGGGTATTCTGTGGGAAGAACCTACCTGCTTTCACGCCTCACTCTGCGACGAGTCCCGACCTCTTCAACAGCGGATCACGGTCGCCGCCGGACTGCACCGGTACCCCGCGTCCCCGAACTCCGGTACCGCTTGCCGCCCTCTCAGCCCCCACATCGATTCCCAAGCACGACCTTCAAGTCCTCTGGCTTCTCGGACGTTTCGAATCGATTGCCTACATACCTCTGGTCGCTTGAAGTGATGTCGCTCGCTAAAGCTCCTGTCGTCTTCGTCTCGGGTGGTAGTCGAGGTATTGGACTCGCTGTAGCGTTGGCTTTGGCTCGTGTTGGAGCTAAAGTGACGATCGCTGCCAAGACGTGAGTCGCATGCGGGGGAAGTGGAATGCCTAGGAGTGAAGCAGGAACTGATTTCGAGCTTCTTGGTAGAGCCACTCCTCATCCCAAGTTACCGGGTACGATCTACACCGCTGCTGAAGAGGTCGAGAAAGCCGGAGGGCAGGCGTTACCGCTCGTCGTGGACATTCGGTCTAACGAGGCTGTTGAAGAGGTGAATGTTCACGGCTCGCCAGGAATTAGAAAGGATGGACTCTTGACAGTTTTCTCATTTTGCGGACAGGCTATGGAACAGACTGCATCCAAGTTCGGCGGGGTCGATATCGTCATCAACAATGTAAATCGCTCTGGACGCTGGTTGAGACCGACTGGGAAGAAGCGAACTGAACCCTGGGAACTTCTTTACGGGGTATACGAGAAGGCTTCGGCCATCTCCTTGACGACGAGTGACAAGACTTCAATGAAGACTTATGATTTGATGAACTCGATCAACTCGCGCGGAACTTATCTCGTCACCAAGGTCGGTCTTACCGAACTCGCGACGCCGAGGAGAACCAAAACTCTGACCTCCCATCTACCAACAAAACCCACAGACGGCCGTCCCTCACCTCCTAGAATCCGCCAAAAAGGGTCGCAACCCACACATCTTGACCTTCTCCCCACCTCTAGAAGGAAACCTTACTCCTGAAGCCCTAGGTCCGATGGGTGCTTACGCCATTGCCAAAGTCGGCATGTCATTGGCTACGTTGGGTTTTGCGGGAGAATTGAAGGGGAAGGTCGCTTCGAACGGTACGCCACATCGACGGGCGATTCTCAGTCCTTCCTAGATTAACAACTCACGCTGCCGGATGTTTTCGGAACTCAGCGCTCTGGCCCCTCACGTACATCTCGACGGAAGCGATCCGCCTCATCATGAGTGAGGAGGGCCGGCAATTGGCGAGGGATCCGACCATCATGGCCGATGCGGCGTTCGCGATGCTCAACAAGCCCAGTGCTTCTTATACGTCAGTACAAGTAATCGAGAAAGAAAATGGATGAAATTGGGGGCAGGAGGCTGATGGTTTTGGTGTTTTGGCTTGCGCAGGGGTCAATTCGAGATTGATGAGATCTTTCTTAGGAAAGATCAAGGGTACGTCTGTTCTACATCTCCTTACAAACCCGAAACTCAAGCTCATCCCCAAGCATCCCTTTTTGTCTCAGGTACAACTCCAAAAAGCTCTCCGAATACGGTCTCGTACCCTTCGTCGAATTACAGGAAGATTTGTTCATCCCTCAATGGGTGAGGGACAAAGTTCAACAACTTCGGGAGGACGATCCGACGTCCAAGGGGTTATAAAGGGACAATTGAATTTGATAACATATGTTATGGTTGGCAGATTTTGGTTGTTGCGATAAGGATGCCTCTTTTACTTCATTGCACGACGCAGAACCAGGAACTGCTGTCTGCTGAGAATGATATACAGGATAAACCAAGACTTCGTGCCATCACTCTAGCACAGCCTTCTTACCCATCGAGTTTATGTAAAGCGATGTAACAAAATATCTGATCCCTCGGTGGGGTGTAAGCGAGTTTTGACGTCTCGGTCACTTCACCTTCGATACTATCCGGGACCGCATCGAGTTTCTATGGGCCGAACCAAAGAGGACGTGGTCAGCTTAAGAGCAGAATATTGTAAGCTTGCCGCCGTACACCTAGTTGGTACTGACCATACTCAAGAAAGGTTGGAAATCGACCGCCGAATCTCGCTTGCACATCGCGAAGATTTGGTTCCGCACATGTTGACAGACCAGTCTCACGGCCCAACGTGGTTCAATATTGCGTTCCCCTGGACCGACTGTCATCACGAACAAAAGTTCGTGAGTCAAGTCAGTTCCTGGTTTGGGATGGAAGACCAGAGGGAGCATGAGAAGACGTACAAATTTGTTCAGTGTAAGAATAGGCCCGTTCGGCCGTGGTTGCTCGGTCAAAGAGTTCGGCCAGGGTCATGGAGACGCCTGCTCGGAGGTCGTAGATGAGAGCACAGTAAAGGAATCCGGGTCGTTCGGGACAGTCAAGTGGGAGGGTTTTGGCGGCTTGAGCGTCTGGTTATACGAAGGCCAGGATGAGGACTCATTCGTGGTCAGAAAGTGGAGAGCGATCAATGGTTTTGGTGAACGACGTACACATTTTTGCCGCGGCCAAACCCATCTCCTTATGATAAAACCAATAGGGCCCGACATGCCTCCGATTCTCCCTCGTCCTCGCCTTCTCAGCCAAGACATACCCGACCATAGCCCCCGCCGATGCAATAGGCATCGATTGGTAGCCGTAGAACTCTCGAGGGTCTTGTTGGGGGTTTATTTGGCCGGACGTGGAGGCGCATTCGTCGATGATGGCTTCGGCGACGACAGTGAGGTCTTCGAGGGAGATGGGGGTGCCGTCGCGCCATTTGCGGGCTTGACGATGCGCTTTTTGGAGGGCTTCTGTTCGATTCCTCGGGGGCGAGAGACGATGTATGGGTCAGTTCAAGTTCCGGCGGATCCGTGTGCGAGGAGGGAAATAGAGATGTGCACGAACGCATGTAGATGCATCGGACCTTCCTCCCCCACGTGTAATCGAAGACGTCTCTGGCGCCTCGCGCCGCCTCGGGGATCTGGGCCCATCGAGTCGAAACGGTCATGAGGATGTTGAGGATCTGCTCATAGATGTAGATGGCTTCGACGCTAAGCGAAAAAGTGAGACATGACAAGAAAGGTCAGAATTGAGTGTTGGGGGAGAGGGCGTGGTAAGCAAAGATCGGCATGCTCACAGATTGTTGTTAATGTCTTTGAGCCAGGCATGTACGAGCTGTGTTCGTAGATAGGCTTCGAGGACCGCTTTTGGACTGTAAGAGAGAGCACAAAATCAGTATCGTGATGCCATGAACCGCGCAATGGCCAGTACTGACTTTGTCCAATCGCCATTCGCCTTGTTGGCCCGCTCCTCGACGTCCTCGAGGATAGCCTCGACGGTATAAGGAGCTTGTGCCGGCGGTTGCGGTTGATCCTCCGTAACAAGAGGGCCCAATCCTGCCCAATCTGCCGTTCGATCGCCCATGAGGTCCATCCTGACCTGTAGGCTGAGGGTTTCGAAGAAGTCGTGCACCGCACTGACGGACGCTCCGAGAGGGGGATGGAATCCACGTGGGTTGATGATCAGGGAATGTGCGAACCTCGATACAGCTTGATGCGGGATGACGTGGAACCCTTCCTCCGATTTCTGCTCCATCAGTCGCAAAACAGCGAATTGACACCAATCAAAGGCATCGGCCATGGAAGCCGCTGCGGGAAGTTGGGACTCGACTCGTAGGACGGCTTCCAGGCCTTCGTCTTCGTTGACGAGTTTCCGGTAGCGACCGTAGGGGCTGTCTTCGAGATTGTCGTAGAGGATGTCGGGTCGTTGGGAGAGGAGGAGGGAGGCGCGGGCGTGTTCCTTGACGGCGCTTCGGGATTGGGAGAGACGAGTTTTGGTGGGTTCATCGGGGGCTCGTTTGATCGCTTCGTCGTCTGTGGGGGGCCGGCAAGCCCGAGGGTGAGCACGCTAGGAAGAATCGCTGATGATGTCGACCTACTTACACGCGGCTACTGCGTCGTCAAAGTCATGCAACTGAGCCAAGGCCTCTGCCCTCCTAGCCCACGGTCTGGCCCAGTCCGGATCGCAAGTCGCTGCCATGCCCGCACAGAGCAAGGCGAGATCATGCCGGAACGCATGCAAATCCGCCGCGGCCCTGTTGGACCAGAGCATGGACCTCTGCTTGAACAAGGCGACGCCGGTCTCAAAGTCCTCTCGCTTGTTGGCGTGGACCTGGACGTCGAGCACGGTGTCCGAGTTGAGTTCCAAGGCGGAGGTGTAGTGCGAGACGGCGAGGTCCCATTCGCCGCGGCGGAAGGCGACGTTGCCCCGTTCTTTGTGCTGCTCGATCGTCGCATGCGCTGCGGCGAGCGATGCTGCTGTTGGTCGAGTGTCGGTTGTGGGCTCCATGCTGCGTGGGGCGCGGCGGGGTCTTGTCTCCCCGGGGCGGTGACCGGTGATGCCGGTGATGTCAGGCTCCGGTGGGGGGATGCGAATGTGGTGCGGACGTCTTGCGAACGAGTCCAAGTCCAAGACTGAGCGGGCTATGAGCGAGCGGCCTCCTCGGCACGGGTTACGGGTATAGCTGCTTGTGACCTCTGATGGGAGCGACCTACTCGGCTAGGCATCAAAGCTCAGTTCCTGCGGGCCATCGATCACGGGTCAAGTTCCTATACGCGAGAGTACGCGAGCGGGGGAATAGGGGGGGAATGAAGGAAGAAGCCGTGAAGAAGCCACCACTGCCAGTCAAGTGCCCTCGCTCAGCGCTCAAGCGCTCATCTGCCTGCACTCGCCTTCTCCATTCGTGCCCCAGCTCGCACAGCCCCCCCCCCCCAGCTCGCTCTTGGACGATGTTCACGCTCGACACCTACCTGGGCCACGTGCAGCGACTGTACGTCTCGGCACCGACTGAGCTCGTGCAGCTCATCTCATTCGACAGCGAAGCGGCGATCGTCCAACAACTCTCGCAGTTGCTCAACGTTAGTACAGCCCCTCCTCGAACCTCACTTGAGCCGTTCAAAATGTTCAAACCCCAATTCTCACCCTCTGGTGTGATCGCCGACAGAGCACTCCGGCCTTACGCTCAACGTCATACACCTCGCACGCTCGATCATTCTTCTCTGACTCGCGGCCGTTCGCCGACTTGATCGCTGCCTATCTCTTGTTCTGTCGGGATGCCCCGCCCCCCGACGAAGCCGATGATCCGAATGCACTCAACACTTCCTATTCGCTACTTGAGGATTGCTACAAGTGCGTTCAGCGTCGCCCTAGCCCCGTCCCCTCGGCGGTTGCGCTCATGTGGGGGTCAGCTTTTTCCTTTTTCACAGACAAGCGGACAAGCTCTTTGCGCAGGGCGACTCGGCGTGGGTTGTCCCCATACTAAGGTCCTTGACCTTGACCTTGATCCAAGTCGCTCTCAAGGTCCGTTTTCGCTCTTTTAGAATACCCTGTCCCTCAAACTGATCACCGCCGAGTTTTCGACTTAGGCCGGAACGATTATGGGCGATCGCAAGTTGATCAAAGCGGGCGAAGCAGCAAGATTACTTTCCCGACCCATGGGAGTAGCTGCTTCCGATAGGTACATCAACGCATCTTATTAGTCATGCCCTTACCCCCACCATGCCTAAAGCGCCTCCCCCCCCCCCCCCCCCCCCCCCCTCCTTCCCCACAGGTCCAAAGAAACACCGTCCAAACGTTCCGCGCTCTTCTTCCTCGTCAACTCGACCTTCAAAGTCTATTTCGCGATGCACAACCTTCGACTATGCGACACCATCTTGTCCAACACCTCCAACGCGGTAGGCGGTTCGTTCTCGGAGGAGAGATATTACCCCAAAAGTGATCGGGTGACGTTCGCTTACTATAGGGGGAGGGTATGGTTGTATCAGAGGAGGTTGCCGTTGGCGAGAAATGAGTTGAGGAAGGCACTGGGCTTGGTCGAGGAACAGGCTTGGGGAAATACAAGGTCAGTGCGAAGGGAGGTGGTGGCTAAGAACATCCGAGGGGTATTGACTCCTTCATTCTTCTCCTAGATTGATTTTGATCTACTTGATCGCCGCTTCGTTACCGCTCGGAATACTTCCTACCGTCCATCTGCTTCAAGAGTACGACCTCGACGATCAATACGAAGGCCTGTTGCTCGCACTGACAGTAAGTGACGTTGGTCACTTGCTCTTCCCCGGACGGAAGAGCTGATCGCATCCCACTCTTTCCTCTCTACAGAAAGGCAACTATGTCCAAGTGCTCGCCGAACTGGACCGCCATCGCGCATGGCACCTCTCAAAAGGGAACTACCTCCTGCTAAAAGAAAAACTCCAAGTCATTTGTTGGCGCAACCTAGTTCGAACGACGTGAGTCGACAGGAGAGTCATCGCTTCCTAGGAAAGATACAGGAAAGCTGACGTGTGAAAGGACATCGTCACGACTGTCCAGTTTGTTGATCATGACCCATGGCAAACCTTTACCCCCTTCCGGACCACCTACCTTGTCGTTGAATGCGCTGGTGGTGACGGCTAGGATCGCGTTTGGGGATCAGAGTTTGGATCTGGATGATGTTGAGGGGATGTGTACTTCGTTGATGGATCAGGTGGGTTAAAGTTCGTGTCGGATCGGATCGGGGGGGAGGGGTTCGAGCTGACGCTGTATCGATTCAAATGCTTTTCTGATTGGCTCAGGGTTATCTCAAAGCCTACATCATGCACTCGAAAGCGTTGTTGGTATTGCAGAAGTCGGCGACGTTTGGATTCCCTCCCATCTCGAGCGTACATCCCTAGGACGCATTGCAGTGAGACGTCTTGGGGAGAGGGTGGTGGGGAGGGCAGACAAACGCAGCGAGTGGGCTGAGGATTGTTGCTATTACCCACTGGGTTCTACTTGAACCTGTCGGACTACTCTGACCAGGGAGGAAATATGTTGTAATCTTGTACCCATGAACGATGATAGCGAACGGTACCAACCATACCAATCGGAACGAAGTCACGTGCGGTGCCTCACTACTCTAACTTGATCGATGCGGCGCTCCACTTTCTTTCGCAGCCTCAGCCTGCGTAGGCCTGCGTTGGCCTGCGTCGGCCTGTTGAAGCCCGTTGAAGTCCCGTTGACCGCTCAAACGTCCGTCCGGTCCGCGACGACACCAGCCGACACCCCTTTCTTCCTGACCTGACCTGACCTTTTCTTGCTGCGTCGCTCTTTGCTTCCCTCCCACACCTTCCTCCTCTTTCTCGAGCAACACTCGGGAATATGGCCAACGTAGGCGATTTCTTCGCCTTTGGCAGCATCATCGTCCTCGCGACGCTGACAATTTACAGTGCGAGTTATGCGAGTTTGAGGATGCCTAGAGAGGCCAAGAGGAGGTGGAGAAAAGCGAGGGGGGAAGAGGACGATGATGAGGATGAGGATGATGATGAGGAAGATGAGGAGGACGAGGTTGTGGATCGGTTGACTGTAAGTCTTTGACGCTTGTTGGATGGGGAGGGAGAAGGGTCGTGAGGGGGTGACGTGTTCGCGACCCCGCCTTGCTTGGCTGGGCTTCAACGCGCGATGGAGCATGACGCACCCCCTACGACTCCACGCACGAAAAAATCGTTAGACTCACTATCTTACGTGTACCCTCCCCCAGGCCCAAGACGCCTACCTATTCCCCATCCTAGGCTCGGTCGTGCTCTTTACCCTCTACCTCGCCTTCACCTTCCTCGACAAGGAGATGATCAATAGCATACTCGGCGCCTATCTGGCTTTGATGGGTGTAGGAGCAGTCGCCAAAGTCTTAAGTTCGGGGATCAAGTTTGGGTTGGGGACGAAAGTGACGAAGGGTTTGGTCAAGGTCAGTTCTTGGCCGAATCAGGATGTAGATGCCATAGGAGAGGTGGGGTTTGCTGACGTGTCGAGTCGGCTGTGATCTCAACAGTGGAAAATATCAATGCACAAGGGCAAAAAAGGTTCGGACCGAGGACACGTTATGAGCCCACGTAATCTGTCGGACTGAACATCTCTCGTTTCTCGCAGAGTACGCCTCGCTGGGCTTCACCGTCCTCGACCTCGTCGCTTTGGTCTTGGGACTGGGTCTGCAAGTGCTGCAGCTTTACAAGCCTTTTTGGATACTTGTCAGTTCTTGCCCCCGACCGACCTTGCGGAGTATCTCGGGGTCTCACAGTCACCGAACTCCTTGGCGAGAATTTCTTCAAACCACGACTGACGGCCCCGTCCACGTGACCAAACAGTCCAACCTCGTCGCCCTTTCATTCGCTTTCGGTGCCGTCTCGTTGATGCGACTCGACTCATTCTGGACCGGATCGGCCTTGCTCGCGTTGTTGTTCTTCTATGACGTGTGGTGGGTCTTTGGATCCAACGCCGTATTCGGGGTGAGTCTCACTTCTCTCTCGGGGACCGGCTCCATCACGGACCCAAGAGGTGAAACTCGCTTGGACGATCTCCTAACCTAAATCCTCGCCCCTCACCTCTCCCAGGCCAACGTCATGGTCACCGTCGCCACATCCTTCGACGCCCCCATCAAAATCACTTTCCCCCGAACGTTCCTGTCCCCTCTTTACACACTTCAAGGCAAAGATTTCATGCTCTTAGGATTGGGGGATATTGTCCTACCGGGCATTTTCGTGGCGTTGAGTTTGAGGTGGGACTATCATAGGGCTCTGAAGAGGGTGGAGGGACCGCCCAAGCCGGAGATGGGGTGGGGCAGGAAAGGGAAGGGGTGGGGGAGACCGTATTTCAGGGCTACTCTGGGGGCTTATGTTCTTGGTCAGTTTGATGAGAATGGGCGTCGAGAAAAAGGTGTATGTTGATGAAAAGCCTGCTATGTCGGACAGGTTTGATCACGACCATCACGATGATGCATCAATTCAAAGCCGCGCAACCGGCCTTGTTGTACCTTTCGCCGGCTTGCATCATCGTGCGTCTCATCATGCCGAATCTTTTGTCTCCCAAAGTTTCGGACAAAGCTGATTCGAATTTTCTCCTCTTTTCCAGGCCGTTTGTTTCACCGGCTGGCGCCGCGGCGAATGGAAAAAATTATGGGCTTTTGATGACGCTTCGGATGACGAGCCTAGTAAGGACAAGAAGAAGGATGAAGAGGTCGAGGCAGAAGATGAGCGATCCGTCGAGCAGCAAGAGAGTGAGAAGCCGCGTGGGAGCGGTTTGAGAAATCGTGGTACTGGTGCGACAAGTGACGCGGAGGGGGAGAAGGAGTAGAGTTGGTCAAGGTATAGAGGTTGGGCCATTCCTTGGATCGTTGGTTTATATCCTTCCTTTCAACGCGATCGCACCCATGTGCATATCGTCCTTCGAGTTCCATTTGCTCTCCTCGTTGCCCTTTTGAATAAGTTTGGAGTCCATCCCCTCCGGAAAGGGGTCTCTATTTCGTCACCTGAGCATCAAAGAACTTCTTCACCGCCTCACTAACCCCCTTCCCCCCCATGTTGCCCTTCGTCTTCGCCAACACGACCTTGATGACCCTTCCCAAATCCTTGACTCCAACTTCCTCCCCTCCTTTCTCAACCTTAATCTCCTCCAAAGCACCTTTGATCACACCCTCCAAGTCCTCCTCACCCATACCTGAAAGACCCTCGTCAGTGTTTTGTACGAACTTTTGCAACAGTTCCGCTTCACGCGTATATTGATCGGCTAGATCTTGCCGAGGGGGTGTGGAGGTGGTGAATTGCGAAGCGGCTTCGAGGCGCGTCTTGATGGATTTCAAGAGGACTTTTTGGGGATTCGGAGGCGAAGCGAGGTGCGAGGTCGTTTGAAGGTCCGCGAGGATGGACTGCGTTGGGGAAGGGCGAGGAGGGTTAGGTTTAGATGGGAATACGGAGAGGATACGAGTCGGGGTTCGTTCCGGTTTCCTCTCGAGGTGGGGAGTGGGAGCGTGCAAGGGCTCACTCTGATCACCCCCGATTCGAACGACTGCCTCGACTTCATGTAGCCTTTCAAAGCTTGTCGGAGCGTCACATCCAAAGTAGGAGCTGCGCCTGGTGTTGCAGCAGCAGAGGAGGTGGATTGGGAGCGGAGGGTCAGAAGGACGGGTGATAATCGGGTGGTTTGGGGAAGGATGCAGTTGAGGGTGGTAGAGCGGAAGGCTCGGTTTGGGAAGAGGTTCTTGAGCAAGGAGGCCATGGTGTTGCATGCGAGGGCGGGATTGTGCGGGAGGGACGGATAGGGGGGCTCGAGGGGGTGGCCCGCTCACGCCTCGGGGCGCTCACCCGGTGGTTGCGAAAGCCGACGATCACGGAGAGGGTGTGGATTGCGATACACAGAATGGGGCCATGGTCTGTTTACTTTCACTAGCGAAAGTAGCAAAGGGCACTATGCAATGACTTCAGGAGGGCCAAGCGCGAGAAATCACCATCACTCCCGTCTCTCTGTCTCCCGATTGTCACACCAGGTCACACCTTCCCCCCCACCATACATACCAACCCTCCAAGCCACGCCCTCACGATGTCGTGCGCCTTGGCCCCCAATCACCCCCTCGAGATCATTCATCTGTACTTCGACGAGGAGCAAGAGGTATTGGCGAATTGCCTCCTCACGACGAACGAAACCGTCGAATCGTTCGTTGTAAGCATCTTGGACAGGCGAGTTAATTATCCGCGCCCTCGCACACGAGCCTCTGTGGCCCGTCATCCGCACCGCGTAGTACTCTGCCAGTATTCTGGCACCACATCATCCAAACAATAGGCACCGTCGTTCGAGGACCGGTCAACATGAACGCAGGCCAAGCCCGCGATAAAGCTCGCTGAACGCGGGAGATGGGAGGCGTCGCGGCCATGGCCAGGTATCGAATCGACCTGGAGTAGGCACGCCTGCACATCGTGGGCCAAAGGAGACGTAATCGTTGCCAGGAAATGGGACATGGCACGGTCCGATTGGGCGGAAATGTGAGTCGAGTCGAGTCGGCAGTCATCCAAGAACTGGGACATTACGTCCTGCCAGTCGCTGCGTTCATGTTGACCGGTCCTCGAATGACGGTGCGTATTGTTTGGATGATGTGGTGCCAGAATACTGGCAGAGTACTACGCGGTGCGGATGACGGGCCACAGAGGCTCGTGTGCGAGGGCGCGGAGGATGACGTCTCGCCTGTCCGTGGTAAGCTCCAATTCGATCATCTCACCATAATTTGATGCCACCGAGCACTTCATCGTACCACTTCGTATATGTAGCCCTATGATCGACGAACTCACCTACGCCATGATCGAATCTGATTTCCAAGCCAATCTAATCAGTCCAGACTATGTCTCATCTCTCCGACTCAGAACCATTCGAAAGTCTCTTCCTCAGGAACTGGAAGGTTTCGATGGTCACATCGCCTCGCCGATCACACATGAGACAGTCCCCACCGATATATTTATCGGCGACCACCGGGCCTTGAACAACGCCACGATCGAAAACAAGTATCCCTTGCCCCTAACTGGGGAATCCCTCGATCGACTCTCCGGTGCCAAGATTCTTTCAAAGCTCGATCTCCGCGGTGCCTACAATTAATCTTATCCGCATGGCCAAAGGCGACGAGTGCCAGAAATTCGCTTTCCGCACACGTTATGGGCACTTCCAGTTACGCTTCGGACTCACTTAGTACTAACGCTCCCGCGTCGTTTCAAAACCTCATCAACAACGTCCTCAGTCCATATCTCGATACCTTTGTGAGATTCTACCTCGACGACATTTTGATCTACTCCAAGTCGCAAGCCGAGCACGTCTTACACGTCCAAAAGTTCTCGACAAACCTCAAGAAGCTCAGCTATTAGCCAAAGCCACGAAAACCGAATTCCACCGCGACAGAGTCGAATTCTTGGGATATGTCGTTACGAATAACGGTATCACCATGGACGAAGCAAAGGTGTCGTCAATCAAAAACTGGCCTCTCCCAAAAAGCGTCAAAGACGTACAAATCAAAGCCGGCCCATTCGTAGACGTTCCTTTGCTTCCTACAAGCAACAACATCGTCCTTGATCCCATAGTCCCTTATCCCAAGCCACCTCGAGAGCCACCACCTTGACCCACTTCCATTGCATCACGGTCCTAACCTGATCTCTGATCATCTCTCACTCGAGACTCCCTCGCACCTCGTCTCCCTCGTCCACGCCGTCTAGCCCCGCCTAGAAGGTCTCCCTAGCCACGAGAACCGTCATATCGTATTGGTGCGGGTCTCGAAGACTTTAGCGTCTAGAAAGAGCCTACGCTGATTTTTATCTTGCTCGTGCTTCCTATCCAGCCTTGCTAGTCCTGAAGCGGCCTTGGACCCCGTGATGCGATGGGAACTTGAAACATCTTCTCTCGGGGCCGGAGGTGCCAATAGGCCCGCGCGGCATCAGTCTCGGGTGAAAATTGAAATGTGCCGTGCGCTGAGACCAGTTGGACGTTCTCTCACCCTTTACCAGCCGAGCACTCGATACTTGGTGGTATGAAATCACATGGTCGGCGAAGATATGGATTGCGCTTCAATCGCCAGCCGAAGAGCCGAGGTAGCCTCCGGGTCGATTGTGAAGCGGGATGTTCTTGGAGCGAGGTTATGTAGGGCTCATGCACGGATCTCCTTATGCTTTCTATCATGTTTCCACTAGGTTGGATGGACTGAGCTTTAGCTTCGAAAGTCATCCTTCACATCGAGGACACGACATCCTGCGGGGCAGGGGTCTAGAAAAAGGTGACCTTGAATCAACCGTTGACTAGGGACGAAGATGGTACACAAACGACTTAACGAACCCCAACCAATAATGCATAATCATACGAAAGACAGGCCACAGGATGTGCATCCTTTCTAAATCGTGTCACTCGCGCGCGTCTCGGTGTCGAAAAACACATCTTCCTGGGTTCCGTTCGTCGTGACCGACAACGAGGACGGCGCCCCCGAGCGGTACTTCGTCCTCGATCCGCCGCTGGCAAAATTAGGCGTCGGCGACGTCAAAGGAACTTGCTCGGGTGTACCGAAGACATCCGTCGAATGCGAGACGGTAGGCTCGGAATCGTCGCCCTCGCCACCATCCCGGTGGCCGAGCTCGCTCTCGTTCTCTGCCTCAGTGTCCAAAGTGACACCGCCGTTCATCTCGGCGTGTCGTCCCTCCTCGTTCATGGAGAGGTCGTCGTCCGCGGATTCGAGCATGGCGTCTACTTCTTTTTGTCCGCGCCTGAGCGCCCGCATCTTGATCGCAGCCGACAGGGCCTCGATGTAGGTTTGGTATTTGACGATCTCGGCGAGAAGGTACTGCGATTTACGTTCCCAATTGGCAAGGGACTTGACCGCGTTCGTTGATCGTGGAGAATACTGCACAGGGCACGGCCAAGTCCATCCAAGAGGTCAGCCAACGCATAACACCGAACTATACGACGTTTCAGCTTACAAGTCGCATCATCGGGCCTCTCATCACATTATGCTGCGCCAGATCCTTCTTGACAATCTCGGCATACTTTCTGAGCGCTTCGAGTTGACTCTCCTCGGACAATTGACTGGCGCCTCCAGGTTGGTTCGGCGGTGTCCAGTCATTGACGACGATGCGGTCGTTCGCACTCGTTGTGCCTGGCATGGGTGGAGCGTCTCTCCCGAATGCTCCACCCGTGGCGATGGAGAATCGGCTGGCTCCTCCGCTCGAGCGACCTGATCGAATGGAGGCAGCGTCGGTATCGCCTCGAGTGTTGTTGTAGCTCGAGGGTAACGTATCGATGGACACTCGACCCCATCCATAGTCCATGTTCGACACTCCTCCCGCCAGCGGCTCCTTGGACAGCCGAGCGGACCAGTAGTTGCACGTCGAGACCCATTCGGCGACGAGATCGGGCGTGCCGGCTTGGAAAAAATAGGAACCTCCCGAGGGCAAAGTGAGAACGAAACAGTGAGGCCGGTCACGACTGTAACCCGGTGGAGGCATCGCCGAACACAAGGCGTGTATGAGGGAGACTTCCCCAACGTTTTGAGCGTTTGACTGGAGTGCAAGCGAGGGCAGAATGGGTCAGTCTCGCTAGTCTTTTAAGCTCTCGACGACCTTCTAGGAACTGACTGTCCAATCTCCACCGCCCATTCCACCGCCCATCCCCCTCATGGATCCCCCACCTCCTGCATCAAACCGGAACATCTTTACTTGCCCGGCGGATATGACGACGAATGCGTACAGCCATGACTTCTCCTTGGACCTCTTGCCTGCGCTCTCCCAGTAGTGTTTCCTCCATAGCAATCCCTCCTTGGCCCACGGCGCACCCAACAAGGCCAATTCCTCGTCCGTCACGGACGTGACCGAGGCACCTCCGTCCGAAGCGGTGTCATCTTCTTGCTGTTCCCGAATGATGGTGTGCGACAACGAGTTGGCGAATCCTATCGTAGGGACGTGATGGTGTTGGTGGAAGCCATACGTTGAGGAAGAGTATCGATCGTCCGACATCGACGTCGCTGCACTCGGCGTAGGAGAAGTGCTCCTGACGTCCGCGCTTGACGTAGAAGCGCCAAGGAAGCCGCCAAAGCCTCGGATCGATTGGCGTTTGAACGCAACCGAAGACGACGACAAGGTCGAGTTAGCGCTACGACGAGAGGTCGTTCGCGCGACACCACCGGCCCAGGCTGAATAAGGCGAGTTGAGATGTTGTCCGGTCCCAGGGCTTAGCGAGGCAGACGAGCGTGATGCTTCGGCCGGTGGACTTGTCGAGGAAAGCGGCTGGAAGATGGGTTGGGCTTTGATCGCAGCGTACATTTCCTGTTGGAGAGTAAACAGATGAGCACATGGGGTACCACCTTCCTCCGAGGTCCATGGGCCGACGACTCACCTTGAGCATCGGTTCGAGCCCCTCATCAACGAGAGCACCCAGCTTCGTCGAGCTCGCACCAGCACTCTTGACCGTGTTCAAGCTCTGACTTTTGCTCATTCCAGGACTGTCCTCGTCCGCAGCCTTGACTGTCGAGCCAAAGACGTCCTCTTTCGCCCCGAGTCCTTCCCCATCCACTTGCGCTTGAATCGCACTGATCGTGTTCCTGACGAATTGCGTTCTCGTCATCCGATTCGTTGTATCGACAACATGCAAATCTGTGTTGAGTAGCAAGAGCGAGTAACTCGCCGCATGGACGACATCCCTGCTTTTAAACATCTTTCCCAAGTCGTCCGTTGCATGTTGCTCATAGTACCGTCTCGAGAACTGCTCCAGGATGCGATCGACCTGCTGCGTTTCGGCCTTGAGGTACAGCTTACCGCACAGCTTGCGGAACGCGAGATCGAGGCGCAGGTTTGTAAAGTCGAACCGATCAATGTACAGCGACAAGGTAAGAGCATTGAGGGGCGAGCCGGTACCTAACCACTCGGCATATTTCTTGGGTTGGAGAGCGAACGCTTCGTCCTCGTTCCAGATCAACTGGGCGAAGCTTTGAGCCTTGGTGAACAACTCGTCGGGTGTCTGGTAAGTTGTGTCGAGCTTGGCGACACAGGGTGAGCCATGGAAAGACGTCGGACCCTTGGACCCGGGAGAAGTGACGCCGAGAAGAGACGTCGACGATCCCGCCGCCCCGAAAGGGTACGCAACGACACTCGACCTCAAAGCTCGGTTGCGCTGGTTTGAAGGGCGCAGCTGATCTTGCGACTCGACTCGATGCGCTTGAGCTGGCGAAAGGGTCGACTCAGCGTTGAGCGTGAACGACAGAGCCGAGTTCCCTGATCGGACGGTGAGCGTAGGAGAGTCGGGGAGGGAGTGAGAAGGTGTCTTGATGGTATTATTCGACAGATCCCTCGAATGCCCCGCTTCGGTATAGATGACAGGAGACGAAGCGGAACCATCAGGAGACCAAGTCAGATCCTGCCCGTTTTCGGCGGTCACACCTGACCGCCATTCGTGCCCTTCCGCTTCATGGCCCGTCGCAGTAGCCGATACTAAGCGGATCGTCGGAGCAGCCTCAGCGCCGACCTTCGCTCCCGCATTCCTCATTCCATCGCTCGGCGCCGCCACGTTGGGGTTAGGTAGACTCTTGCTCCTCGTTGGTTCCGGTGTGATCATCAAGCCTTCGGCGCCGTCGCTCGACTTACTCCTGTGCATGCCGTGGGTCGATTCCTCGTTCCAACTGGGTTGTCTCCTCCCAATTCGGGGGCGGAACGCCGCTTCCCGAGTTGCAAACATTGGCAGCCCGCTCGCGACGACGAGCCCGCTCGGTGTCCCCGCAGATGAGCTCCGACTCATCCCCTCGGTTCTGGTCGGTGAAGGCTTTATCAACACAGGTGTTTTGGTATCCAAGACTCCGTCCGTATTCAACTTCCATTGCTGTAGCTCGTTGACGAGTCGCTCCTCCTCGCTTCGCCTCACGCTCGCGCTCACGCTTCTCGGAGTTCCCGTTCCGCCGCTTTTCTGGGCTGTTCGGTCCAATTTCGGCGAGGTCTCGGGCGAACCGATGCCCGAACGTCTTAGGTAGTCCAGGGCCGTGGCCCCGGCAGACCCAACCGAGAGTGACCGTCTCCGTGACCCCTTCTTGGACATCATCGACGATACAGGCGGCGCCGAAGGCGAATACTTGGACAATTCCCTCGACGACGACGAGGCGGAAGAGGACATGCCCGATTTCTTGGCCTTGACGGGTGTCCGCTTGATATCGAGGTCGATTGACGACGACTGCCTCTCGGCCGATGTAGCCGAAGCGGCGGCTGATGTTCCGTTCAAAGTCGACGGTTTGGGGGGTGTTGCATACGCCGCCGGCACGGCGGGCACGGCGGGCACGGGCCCTCGGGATGCGAATGTTGACGCGATAGGCGTTGTGGCAGTCATAGCTTGGGGTAGCGATGACTCGGACTGTTGTAGATGGCGGTCAAACGTCAGTATATGCGGCAAACCTTGAATCCTCCGGCGCGCCAGCGCGCACCTTCATACCCCTCGCACTCGTCCCAAAGTCGTTCTTCGCACCTGCAGCGCTTGCGCTGGCACTTGAACCCGTGACCATCCTGAAGAAGCGACTCGTCTTTCTCATCGTGTTCCCAAACGACGAAGAAGCAGAGGTCGACTGCTGCCGCTTGGCCTCCCCGCTCGAGCCCATTACGCCTCGAGTCCCTTTGTTCCCCACCCCCACTCCAGCTCCATCGCGAGAGCAAGCGTCTCCGATTGATCCTTTGCGTTGCTTGGAATGGTTGTCATACTGATTCCAATCCACGGGAGCTGCGGCCGGTTTGTCCGACGTCACCCTATTCTGCACCTGGATGTAGCGCCCGCTTGTCGCAGCCGAGATGGAGCGGGGCCGGGTCGGCGAGGTCGACGTGGTCGCTGTAGTCATTGAGCTTGAGATGGACGGGCTTCCATAGGCAGGTGGGTTCGGGGTATTGGACTTGGACTTGGATTGATATGCATCCGGATGCCGAAGATGGTGGTTCATAGGGGTCAGGTTTTGCGGGTCGCGATTCAAAAGTGGGGACCTGTCGGGAGTCGTACTCGACAGGAGAGGGGGTAGAGCCGGCAATGTCTTGATCGGGGAGGGCAATGGGATCACTCGCGGCTATAGATTCAACAAGCACTGAGGATTGTCAGCTCGATTGGACTCCGCGCGCAGTGACCGGAACGCGGCGGTAGAGAGAAGTCCGTTAAAGTCCGGCGCGCGACGCGTGACGCGTGACGCGTGACGTACCTGGGACTCGATTGCTGCTGCTCCGGGTCGGATCTCATCCGAATGAGGCAGGCGGGGTGAGCGCGACTTGGGCTGACCCTTGCGACTCGATGCGAAGGGTGAAGCGGTGGTCGCATTCCGATGGAAGCCTTGCATCGCTGCGCCCATGGCGGTGTTGGCACCCCTCGTCGAACGCGTGGTCCTGGCCGAGTCCGGTGACGAGTCGACATTCGATGAGTTCCACCCCTCGTCGTCGTCCTCTTCGTCCTCGTCGGTCATATTCCGGTTGGAGGACCCCCGCGCCGAGGGACTGGTCGATGATCGCCCGAGTCGACTTTCGTCCCTGCCCAGCACATGTCGCACAGGGGTCGCGCTGAGCCTCGTCAAGCCAGTGCTCGGATTGGAGCCGCTGCCACCTCCGCCGCCGGGCGAGGACGACGACGACGAGGTCGAGGCCGAGGACGAGGCCATCAGCCGATCAAACTCGAGCGTCGACAGCACGCGTGAGACTCTCTTGCCGCCAGCGCCATTGAGACTGGCTGTGGTCGAGGCCATGCCGCGAGTGGGGCCAGGACCGGGCAGAGAGGGCACTTGCGAGAGAGAACAGAACCGAACACGAGGCGCGTGCGCGGAGGTCGGCGCGCGTGATTTCCTTCTTGGGAGTTCTTGGGGACGGCACACTTCGTGGGACATCGAGAGGTATCATAGCGTCCACTGCATGCAGGCACCCGTCCATGCCGAGAAGATAATCAATTTACAGCTTGAGTAGCCTGTGCAAGAGGTGGGTAGGCGGCCAAATTTTTAGCTTTGGCGTTCTTCCATGCCTTCGTTCGCAAATCCAAGGAACAATTCTGAGTTCTCCACCGTCTTAGGCGGAAGAAGATGGCTGCCACCGCGCCCCCTGTTCCGCGTGGTGCAACGTCAGGATGGCCTCGATGCGAAACAGAGCCTGTATACATCCCCTCAACTCCCAAGGCCAGGTTCCTTCTTTTTCATATATCCAAAAAAAGTGAAATGCAATGCAGAGTAGCTATCATAACAGACTACACATGACGTCGCTCGAAGAATGAGCCTGGTCCCCTCGCTTTATAAACTACTTCGTTTCTTGGAGCGCTTTCCATACCTTCACTGGCCATTGCGTTCCAAACGACCAGGTGTCAAGGGATTGGCTGACAAATTGACAGCAGAAGAATGGGAGAGAGCGCACAGGGTCTGAGCGCCTTGTACTTGTCTTCCGAATGGACGGACTGGTGGCACGTCGTGTCAATCCGTCCATGCCGAATCACGTTGGGGGCCGGAAGTGCTTTCCCATCGCATTCTCCGATCCCAAGGCGGCTTCGGGACTGGCAAAGCTGGGGAGGAGGCACGAACAAGGTAAAAATCAACCTTAGAGGAACGCCAGCATACCTTGAAGCTGACTCGGCTGAGGAGAGACGCCAAGATTTCGGGGGACTCACAGCAGCACGAGCTGGCCTACTCTGCTCGCGCACGAAACGAGCGCCGCGTCCGTGCCATGCGCCAACAAGGTGATGTCCCGCACGAGGCGACCCGTATTAAGGTATACCAAAACTTACACTCGAAGCTGATTCATGGAGAAAAGGAACGAGGCGTGACTAGAAGCTCCTAAGAGGCCCAAAGGGAAAGAGACGGAGAGAGTGACCGCAACGGCCGAGAGACAGGGGGTAAGAGGAGAGACCGCGGGAGAGGTAGAACCGAAAACGAGACCGAGACGGAGAACAAAACTCTTGAGACTGGAGACCGGAAAAATATCCCGAACGTTGAGACACGCAGCGAATGAGAGCGGTATAAGAGCCGCATTGGTTCCTAGAAGTGGTCTCCCCGAGAACAAGGAGCACGGCCCCTCGAGACGTCCTCGTCATTCCGACCGCTTCCGCCCCCTTCCTTGCCCTTCACCTGCGTAAGCCTTCGACAGTCGCTCTTGTCGTTTTTCCCTCTTCCGGTCCGATCCTCATTCCGATTTCTACCCTGCTTTTCCGACCATTGCTCGTCGTTTTCCGAGGCTCCAATTCACAAAAGTGAAGGGCCTTTTCGTAATTACCTCCTCTTACTCCCGTCCGGCCCGGTCGTCCGCGTGCATTTCCGCCGCATGCCTTGTCGTTGATAGGGAGTTGGCCTTGAGAGGGAGCGTTGAATCTACCCGGAAGCGCTTTATCGATAAGATATCTGCCGAAACCGTCGTCGTCGACCTGATGGGCGGCTTCTCTTCGGCGGCCAGCTTGGGCAAGAGGCCACTTGGGCCGAGACGAACGGTAGCATTCGGTTGCGCCGTCGACGAATAGATGCGAGAAGTCGAAGTAAGAGGGTAACCCGCGTGCGCATTCAAGCATCGCCTTGGACAAAGCTTCGTCCGCCGGGAGCACACCCATCCGGGGTCTGCGCGCATGATCGAGGTCCAATTTAGTCACTTCAGTTCTGTTTTGTACGGGGAGAAGTACTTCCCAATCTCGTATCTCATGATAGTCATATGGTCGAAAGATAGACCGATTCGATCGGAACATTACATGCTCCATCTTTATGCTCTCTCCCCTCGTTTTCTTGATGTCTTGTATCAGGTAGCAACACAGGATCGCGGTCAAATGTAGTTCTCAGGTAGCTGACAGACCGCTGGATTGCAAATTTGGGCTACTCACGGCCGAGGAGAGCTCTCAGCTTCCTCGCGTGCCACACATTTCCTGAGCATGCACAGAGCACAAGTATCGGACCATCAATGCCCTCCTTAAGCTTGTACTACCCTCCTGGCCCTGCACTAATCTGTATTTCCGGGCCCTTCGAGTCCAGGGGACCCTCTTTCTCAGACGAACTCGTTCCTCCTACGAGTCGTAGTTGCTCGACTTGCCACCGCAGCAGAAGAACCCCCCCGACGACTTCTTGGCATTGTTAGCCGTAGCAGCAGGGACGGGGATCAGCGCAGGCGCAGCAGGAGCCGAATGGGTGGCCGTGGAAGCGGGGAGGGGCTTTTGTTGCGCCTCGGGCTCGACTTGGTAAGGGGTCGAGTCCGCAGCCGTAGTCGTCGTGGCGGCGGCAGCTATGGTGACCAGAGCATGACAAGATTGGTGTCAGTACTTTGATGTTCTGATCCACAGAGCCAAGTTTGCCACGGACCCGACGCGGGGATGGCCTTGGCGGCGATGGGCTCCTCGGCGGTGGAGGCTTCGGCGGACTCCTTGGCCAGACTGTGATTTGAGTGGGGGGAGAAGCGAGAATAGGAGAAGAAATGCAGTCATCAGCTTGCATGTCATAATATCGATCGTGCGCAGGAGTTTGGGACAGGGAAAATTGGAGTGTTGAATTGGACAAACAAAACACGATGCTACGTTCTTGCACATGCTCTATCCTTGTCCTATCCCTTACGCATTCTAGAGAGCTGAGCAGTGAGAACGCCAGGCGAAGCTTGGACACTTACGCCGATTTACCCGCGACGAAAGTATTGACGAGGTTGGCGAAAGACTTGCCCTGGAACTTGGCGATGGCGGTCTCCTTCTCGGAGATGGCACGCGAGCCATCACCGGCAGCGACACCGGCAGCACCCCAGGCCGAGCCACCGACGACCTCGGAGAGATCGGTCAACTGCGGTGCGGCGAACCCGATGGGCACGTACGAGATACCGTGGTGCGCGAAGAAGGGAATCGTCGTCAAAGCGGTGGTCTCTTGTCCGCCATGTTGAGAAGCCGAGCTCGTAAACACTCCCGCAAACTTAGAGAACAAGGCGCCACGGGCCCACTGGCCTCCAGTTTGATCGAAGAATGCAGACACTTGAGCTGGTGCTCGGCCCTGGAAGAACGGGCGAGATCGAATGACAGAGGCTCGGCGCGCATCAGTTCCAGTGAGTTCATCTACACGTGTATATCCCATAGACATAATCGGTACTGTAGATTAAGGTTCGAACTTACATATCGAGTGGGGAAGCCGAGCAAGAAGCCATCGTACAACTCGAGGTCGGCAGCAGAGACGGTCGGGTGCTCGGTGGACAGGGGTGCGGCGTGCATCTTGCCACGGATCTCCTCGTTCAAGGTTTCTGTTGATGGAATACAGGGTAAGATATCGAGACAAAGTATGCGTAAGCCTCAGATGCCCACCGGGGAATTGGAGGATGGTGACATCGGCTGTGGCAGAGAAAGAAGATCGGCCGTCTTAGTCAGAGGCGGTTTTCCTAACGCTGAATAACATGATCAAGCATCCAGTCACCTCCAGCCTCCTTAGCGCCCTTCGCTTCAGACTCAGCAAGCGTGCGAACATGACCGTAGCTGTTGGTTCGAGAGGTATGTAGTCAGCGTCCGCAGGTACAGGATCTCTAGGGGGTGTGGGGTAAGGGCGCCGCTCGCTCTCCGACCCGCCTGCACGGAGTCCAGTGTAAGCACCATGGCCTCGGTGACAGATGCAAAACTCACGTCGAATAGTAGATAACAGCGATCTTGGCAGGCATGTTGGATTGAAGCTAGTCTGGCTGGAAATGCGCAACCGAACGCAGTGAAGAGGACCGTAAAGGTCGAAAAAGCAGTAGAGAGCACCATGTTGACCGATCAAAGGTGGGGGCGGAGAGCGCGGAAGAGGGGTGCCAGGGGTGTACCCGGAATAGACTTGGGCGGTCAGTTTTTCATAGATAATGCAGCGCGTATGTTGTTGGTACGATATCGTGCTGTAGTCGGTCGGACTCACGTTAGGGCGAATGGGATGTGAGTAGGAAGACGTAAGAAGGTGGGAGAAGGCGTCACGTTCACGCCAACCTTCTCGCCCACGGGGAGAAAAATCACCGTCCAAATTGGCAATTCAATTTGATTGCGCTGCCGCATGACTCAGCGAGCAGCGGGCGCCGGCGCCCAGGCGCAATTTTGGTGCGCCTGGGCGTTTACGCGTTCAAGGTTTTGAGCTTGGTCACGCTCAGACCGTCGTCTAAGACATTGCAGTGTGTGATGAATCAGGCTCTGCAAGCTGGTTGCCAAAGTCGACGTGCCCACGCAGGCGTTAATGGTGGGGCGCACTTCGCAAGAGCCATTTTTTGTTCTCGGGTACACCGTACCTACATGGTAATCAAGCACAGTCAGCATCCTACTAACTCTTGTGACAACCTGGGCTAGAGTGCGGCCTGGAGCTTGAAGGCTCGTTACGAGTGTCCAGGTCCAGGAGCTGAATCGGGCCCACATGGGCCAGCAACATCTCATCTCATCTCATCCCATCTGTTCCAGGCGGGCCCCGGGGTACCGCATTGCAGGACGTAGGCACCACCTGGCCAGTCAGGGTTGCAAGGGAATAATGTAACTTATGACGGGTCAGCTTTAACCTTCGCGTCCGTGTCCATGGCAATACATTTGCCGCTCACAGTGCATTTGCTCATGCCGCCTGACTCGGAGTCCCATGGTCACGTGATCGTGGCTGGGCCGCGGCCCGTGACCTGACAATTACCGCACCGCGCATACTGCCATCGCATCACGCACTTGGGGAAACAATCGAATCTGGGCTCGACTCGGTGTCGCCTTAGGTAGTCATAGAAAGCCAAGCATAAAGTTCAGAATTGAAGGGCTTAAACATTCCACCACAATGACTACTCAGACGACTGTTTTCTGAAAGAAAAACTCGTTGAAGCTGCTGGCAGCGGCGGCTCTGGCGTGAAATTGTGAATCGGGGCAAAGAAGGAAAACACTTTTGAGCAACAGGCCGCTCAATCCCATTCAGTAGGATTAGAAGATCATGCCAATACCTCCTGGAGAGAGGTGTGGTTATGATGGACAAGTTGAAAGGAAGAGATTTCCGAGAGAGAGGCGACACAACTTTTTGACGGCCGGCGCAACAAATCGATCTGGGCTGTGCGCCGGCGCGCGCGCAAACCTTTCGCCGAGACGGCCCGAACGTACTGAACCCTCATCTCAGGCTCCCTCAGCCACCCGGGTCAAGTTTGACGTCCCCGCCCACTTCAACCTCGCTCAGACCTTCAGTTTTGCTTCTTGGCTTCCTCTATGCCCCTTGTCTTCTCGAATAGCATCCCAAATGTCGCCCGCACCTCCCGTCCCAGCTTCCCAATATGAGTGAGTCACATGGACTGATATCCAGCTTGTCAGAGTCCAGACTCCAGACTGAAGGGGTCTCAGCTTGAGTGGCTCGAAGTTCCGTCTCGTCGCCACTTGCTGAGATTTCGATCAGAGGAGCTGACTATGTCACTGACTATGCCACTTTACAATGACTCTGCAGCGTTATCGTCGTCGGTGCTGGACCCACTGGCGTTATGAGCTCCTTGTGCTACACCACATTCGGGCTCTCTACTCTTCACATTGTTAGTCACGGCGGGGCAGATTCACCCCCACATGTCCCCCCGCCCTCCCTGCGGCAACGCACTGACCCTTCTCAAGTGTCTCTCATCTTAGGACGATCGACCTCGCACGACCGAAGCTGGTCGAGCCGATGGCCTGCAGCCTCGCACACTCGAAGTTTTTCGCAATATTGGATCCGTCAAGGTTCAGGAGGGCAAATCGAGCTTGGCCAAGCGCATGATCGCACAAGACGTCCGCGTCTACAGCGTCGCTGTCTGGGTGGGTCTTTTTCAACGCTTCCGCCTAGGTTCCCCGATCCGGGTAGGTTGCTGACGTTTTTGCTTCATGTATCCAGGATCCCACGGCGACCGAGCAATTGTCTCGCACCTCGAGATCCCCCTCGTGCCCCGATTTCATCGATGTGTAAGCTTCCATCGACCCATGTCCGTAGCGTATGCGTACTGACATCCGACGATGCCTTCCACCCCCATACCAGTGTCGACAACTAAACCCTTTTGCTCCACCAAGGCTTGATCGAGAAATGCCTTCCTGGACGAGACAGAACTTCGACGCGCGCTTCTACCGGCAGAGAAGCTGATCCCAGCGCCTCCGAGTCACGGCGGTGTGTTCCGCCCTTACACTTTTGTGGACGTCAAGACAGACCTCAGTCCCGGTGTCTCGCACCCGGTCACTGCCGTCATCCGCAACACGGAGACGAACGAGGAGTTCACTGTTGAAGCCAAGTACTTGATGGGATATGATGGTGCGCGTTTCAGCGTCCGCAAGGCCATCTCGGGCTCCGAAGCGACCGATGGCGGTGAAAAGGGCAAGATCACTATGGACGGTGATACGACCAACATCATCTGGGGCGTAATGGATGTCGAGGTCGAGACCGACTTCCCGGACATTCTCTCAAAGTGGTCAGTCCCTCAATCTCGGTGATTCGGTAGCTCATCGCGAGACCTCGTTATCGCTGACAGTGAACATATCTTCTCTCGCGGCACCGAACAGTATGATTCATTCGCGGGACGCGGGATCCATCATGGTCATCCCTCGCGAGGATAACCTCGTGCGACTGTACGTCCAGCTTAAGGAAGGCGAAGCCGCCAGCTCGCACGTTGAGCGCACCAAAGCGACATTGGACATTTGTTTCGCGAGGGCGCGCAAGATCTTTGAGCCATTCGTTCTTAACTTTGGCCGGGTCGCCTGGTTCAGTGTGTACCAGATTGGACAGCGCATCGCGTCTAAGTACACGCTCGACCAGCGCGTCTTCCTCGGCGGTGATGCGACACACACCCATTCCCCGAAGGCAGGCCAAGGCATGGTGAGCACTTCCCGTGCACTTCACTCCACATGGTCTCTCTGTACTGACCATTGGCCTATGTACTTACCCACAGAACATTTCCCTGCTCGATGCCATGTCGCTCACATGGAAGTTGAACCTCGTCGAGACGGGCATGGCTGACGCAGACATTCTCTTGCCGACGTATGAGTCGGAGCGTAAAGAGATCGCCCACGCTCTCCTCGAGTTCGACACGGCCTACTCGCGCCTCTTTTCGGGCCAAGGCGCCCCCCAACTCGGACCCAATGCATCCGAAATGGAGTCCGGCGCTCCCAGCTCGAAAGTCAACGTCGCGGTCGATCCGCAGCTCTTCATCGAGACGTTCAAAAAGAACGCCTTCTTCACCTCCGGCTGCGGAGCCATTTACTCGGCCAACATCTTGAATGCGCTTGACGACTCGGGCCTGGTGCGAAATTACCCCAAGAAGGGCGTCTTTAACCCCGCCGGTACGAGGTTGATCGCCGGGCAGCGTTTGCTCCCGGGCAAGGTCACTCGCGCAGTCGATGCGAACCAGGTCAGGATTCAGCAAGAGGTGAAGCTGAACGGTCAATTCCGGTGAGTCTTTAACCCGGGCTCTCATCTGTCAGCAGTCTGCAGGAACATCACTGATCCCCGTTGCCCACACGAGTCCCTCAGGATTCACATCTTTGCGGGTAACTTGTCCAAGACGATGCCGCAGCTACAAGCCTTCTCGGAATACCTCGCCACACCCGAGTCGTTCTTGAACGTGCACCAACCTGCCTCAGGTGCCCGAGCCTCCCTTTACCCCGATGTGCCAGCTTCGTCCCGCCACATTGAGCACCAGACAACAAGCGTCCCCGTGAACCCCTTCTTCACCTTCCTCACGGTCGCCGCGGACAAGTTCGCCTCGCTCGACATTTGTCAATATATTGCTGTTTCATCCCACTGGTATTCCCGATTATGATTAGTTACTAGTTGTTGATATTAGTCGCCCCGCGCGTCTCGAGCCTGCCTCGCGCGCGCTCCCTTAGCGCTTATCTTCTTTCTCCAACTATCTTTACTATCTTCATCGGCTCTCGTACTTACGTACTTCGTGCCTCGGCCTCAGGTTAGTTACTGTGCAATTCTGGAACTATCTTTACTATCTTCATCGGCTCTCGTACTTACGCACTTCGTGCCTCGGCCTCAGCTCGTGAAAACATTGACTCGATCCCCTTGGGCCTCCGAAGGAATCGCGACCTCATCTACTCTGACGACATCTTTGATCGACGATCACCGACGCCGGACAGCGCGGCGATGCATGGCAAGTACGGTGTGAATGTGGAAAAGGGTGCAATCATTTGTGTCAGGCCCGATGGGTATGTCGGATGCGTTGTTACGCTTGGGCGCGAAGGCGCGAAGGCGGGGAGGCTTTGGGCCAGTACTTCAAGGGCTTCTTGAAGGTGCAGCAAAAGTAGGGAGAGGAGGGGGTTGCAAGTTCTCGAGACGGGATTGTTCGGTTTGAATGCGATATTCTTTGTAACATAGTGCAGCTTTTTCATACCCAGACAGCCCAAGTCGAAACATGTATTTCCACCACTGCACAAACTATCTGGTTCTACTAAATGGGGTTCGCCATGCCAAAAATCGATCCGAGGAAGCCTTTTCCACGAGGGGCAAGCAGTGCGATGTGTTTTTATAGCTCAGCTTTGAACACGAGGGTCAAAGAGACTACTGCGATGTTATCTCTTCGCACATCACGGCATTACGTACATGCCGTTCAGGTTCGCCGCGCCGCAATTGACCGAGTGCACAGGTTGCGAGGTCCGTGCGAGTCGACGCTGGCTGCGAAGCTCAAATTCGCGAGCGACGACGGCACGAGCAACGGGAGGCTTCACTTGCCCTGCTCCTTCAACAATTCGACGCCGCCGGCATCGTTGCTCCGAGCAGGATGCAAGTTGATTCGCCCATGCATGACGTGGTTTCTACATCTACAGCTCTGGCCACGATGACCGAAATGGCTGCCCCTAGATCACCACCAGCAGCACCAGCGGCGCCAGCTCCGTCGCTACGGTCATCCACGGTCCGCTTCCTGCGCGGCTTGGGCATCCTCCCCGACGAGCCAGCCTCCGATGCAACGACACCACCAGCTGGAACCGAGCCCAAGAGCATTCGCAACCGACGACACCTCTCAACCCAGGAATGGCTCGGCCTGGTGCCCACATCCTATGCGATGACCTTGCTGTCGATCGTTCCAGCCCATCTTCGACCTTCGGATACCGTAGCCTCGGCGGAAGCTGCCTCCTCAGGAGCGGTTCTGCAAGTCATCACTCGCCTTGCGCTCGAGCCTTCGTTGACGCTGGCCGTGCACCGCTTTTACCGCGCTTATGCGCCGCACCTGTGGGGTACTTGGCTCGAATGGCTCGGCTACGACTCGGCCGAGCCAGGTCAATGGCCAGCCTCGACTCAGGCTGCGGACCAGCTCGATATTGTCAAAGCGATCGATGCCATGGTGTGCGTTTTGCGCGTAGACCAACGGGTGTTCCCGTGAGTTTTGACCCCCCCATGCTCGCAGTGGAGCTATTCCGGGCTGCAACGCACCGAGATTGAGCGCAGCTGCTGAGCTAATTTGACTTCGCGCTCCGATCAGATTCTTGGTGACCTTGCTTCGGCACCCTGCCCTGTCGACTTTCCCCATCGACTCCTCCAATCCGATCCCTTCGCTCCTCACATTGCACTCGTTGCTTCACTATCTGCCGCAACTGCCGACGTCGCACCTTACCACCTCGGCGAGTCGTCCCCTGCCCTGGGCATTTCCCACTGAGGTCGAGAACCTGCTCAAGTCGCACCCCTTGGCCAAAGTGCGACTCTTGGCGAGCAAGTGCCTCAACAAGTGGTACGGTCTCAACTCCAATACGGGCAAGCAGATTGAGCGCATCTACGTTCCGACTTCAAGACAGGAGATGGAACTTGCCCCGATGCCTGATTATCCGAACGAGATCAAGCTCGACTTTGAGCAATCATTCGGCGTGCTCGATCGCGAGGAAGGAGATGAATGGATCATTTCAGACTGGGAACACGAACTCGTTGGCCAGTCCAACTGGGTCGAGGGGGGCGTTCAGGTCCTCGTCCGAAGAGGTGGCGTTGATCTTTGGGTCCTCGAGCTCCTCACGGACATCCGTGACCGAGAAGAGAAGGCTCTGTTTGCTCAGGAGCCCGAGGAGCAGGATTTTGAATCCCTCGACTGGGAGTTGAGCAAGATTGTGTGCGAGGTCGAGGGTCGACTGACGTATCGCGAAGGGTTGCTACCTTCCATCGGCGCCGTTACTTCGTCTTCATCGGCGTCGACCTCGAGCGCTCGGGAGTTGGCCAAGACACTCCGACCCGAAGCTTTCATCCTCACGCCGTCGAACCGACAACTTATTCGCTCACTCTCCACCCGCCTCGTGTACCGTCAACCGACCCTCATTACTTCTTCTCCCTCGTCGGGCAAGCTGTCGGCGCTCAACCACCTGTGGACGCTCGTTCATGCCTCAAGCTCCCCGGGGACCGGACCGACCCTAGCGGCGAGGCAACGCCAAATCGTCATCATCAACCTCGCAGATCGATCACTCGACTCCAAGTCGCTTCTAGGATCACTCTCATCTGCTCCGACAACATCCGAGTCCACAGCGGGTTCCTTCACCTTCATCGAAGGGCCCTTGACCCGTGCCTTGCGCCAAGGTCGCTGGCTCGTCTTGACCAACATCGACCAGGCTTCGGTCGAGGTCTTGACGGTCATCAAGAGCGTCGCCGAACGAATGAAGACCGCCAGCGAGACCATGCTCGGCGGTGCATGGGGCGATGGTGCCGACCAACACAACTTTGGGGTCGGCGTCAAAGTCGGAGGAGGTGCCGGGCGATGGGTCAAGGCCGGAGCGGGCTTCATGCTCTTCGCTACGAGGTCCACAACCTCTTCCGAGGGGGCCGAATTCTTTGGACAACACTTTTTCAAGGAATTGAGGTTGCCTGGGTTGGAAGGGGCCGAGTTGAAACAGGTTATAGAGGGGAGGTTCGAGAAGCTCGGCCAGGGGCTGGGACGAAAGATGATTGAGGTCTGGGAGAGCGTCAGGTCGATCAAGGGGAAGGAAGTGGGAGGGGGAACGAAACGAGATGGTGGAGTTAGGGATCTCTTGAGGTCAGTTCCAACGCGAAAGAGGCATCATCTGCTCAAAGCGACCGTGTACTGACCAGGCGCTTGGTTGACAGATGGTGCCGACGAGTCGAAGGTCTGCTACCGACCGGGGTCGTCATCAAATCGATCGATACGAACCCTACACTTCAAGAAGAGATCTTCATTGAGGCTCGCGACGTCTTTCTCGGCTCAATGTCCATACCTCGTGACCCCGGTGTACCGCAGAACGATCGTTATTCGGTCATCGCTCGCAAACTCGCCGAAGGCCTGAGTCTGAGCGACGAAAGAGCATACTGGGTGTTGCGCCGTAGGGTGCCCGAGTTCATCGAGCCCATCATCGACGTCGCCGACGGACATCTGGTCAACCACGACGGCCAGGGGCATGTGCTCAAGATCGGTCGAGTCGGTCTGCCCTACCGACCGGTGCTCAAGAAGGCGGCAGGCAAAACGTATGCCCACACGAACCCGAGTTTGATCGTTCTCGAAAAGCTCGCCGTCGCCGTTCGACTTTCGGAACCCGTCCTGCTGGTTGGTGAGACGGGCACGGGCAAGACGGCCGCGGTGGGTCATTTGGCCGACAAGATGGGCAAACGCCTGACCGCGTTGAACTTGTCGAACCAGACCGAGGCTGGCGATCTCGTCGGCGGATTCCGACCGATCGATGAACGGGAGGAAGCGAGACGGCACGCGTCGATGCTCTTTAATGCCTTTGTCGAGTTGTTTGGCAAGACCTTCTCGCTCTCGAGAAATGCCGAATATGTCTCGCATGCCAAAAAGGCGTTCGAAAAGAAGCGATGGCAGAGGCTGGTCGGCCTGTGTCGAGAAGCAGCGAGGATGGCGAGCGATCGCTTCAATGCGCTCGAGGGGTCACCCGAGGCGAAAGACATGGCGACCGACGAGGCCGAACCGAGGAAGCGACGGAAGCTCGAGTCCAAGAGCAAAGAGGATCTGCCCGGTCAATGGGACGACTTCCTCGTGCGCCTGGGCGAGTTCGATCTGCGGCACGTCCAGAAGGCCGTCAAGGCCAAGTTTGTCTTCTCGTTCGTCGAAGGCCCGCTCGCCAAAGCGATTCGGGAAGGTGAATGGGTCCTGCTTGACGAAGTCAATCTTGCCTCGGCCGAGACGCTCGAATCGCTATCAACGCTGCTGCAAGGTCCCGACTCGAGTCTGGTGCTCACTGAGCAAGGTGACCTCGAGCCTATCCCTCGACATCCCGAGTTCCGCTTATTCGCCTGCATGAATCCCGCCACCGATGTCGGGAAACGGGATCTACCGAGTGGACTTCGAGCCAAATTCTCCGAGGTTTGGGTCCCACCGCCTGATGAGGATCGCGATGCGCTCGTCAAGATCGTCGAGGGGTACATCGCTCGACACGCCACGTCGGACCTGCCCGTCATTCACCAGACAGCAGATCTGTACTCGGCCGTCAAGCAGCTCGCCATCAACGCGCAGCTCGCCGATGGCTCGAATCACCCGCCCCATTTCTCGATGCGCACCCTCGCTCGTGCATTGACGTTCGCTGCGGAATTTGCGGAGACCTTCGGTTCGCTACGTCGCGCGCTCTACGAGGGGTTCCTGATGTCGTTCACGATGTTGCTCGACCCCAATTCGCAAATTGTCGTTCTCGCATTGCTCAAGAAGCACATCGTCGATCCCGCGCGCAACGCCAAGTCGCTCTTCAGACTGCCGGTCAAGAAACCGCCTGCTTCGACACCGGCGGTCCAGATCGCCCCCTATTGGCTCTTGACGGGCGACCAGACCCCCGAAATACCGATCGACTACATTTTAACCCCATCGGTGCAGCGCAAGGTCTGCGATCTTGCTCGAGCAGCATTGACTCGCAAAGTGCCGGTTCTTATTCAGGGCCCGACCTCGGCAGGCAAAACCTCCGTCATCGAGTACCTCGCCCGACGAACGGGCCACCGCTTCGTTCGTATCAACAATCACGAGCACACCGACATTCAGGAATATATTGGCACGTACGTCTCGGATCCGGACTCGGGCAAGCTCGTTTTCCAGGAGGGTGTGCTCGTGCGCGCCCTTCGGCGCGGTGACTGGATCGTTTTGGACGAACTCAACTTGGCGCCGACGGATGTGCTCGAAGCGCTCAACCGACTGCTCGACGACAACCGAGAGCTCGTCATCCCGGAAACGGGCGAGCTCGTTCGGCCCCACCCTCACTTCATGCTCTTTGCTACGCAGAACCCACCTGGGCTGTACGGTGGTCGCAAGGTCCTCTCGCGAGCGTTCCGCAATCGTTTCCTCGAGATGCATTTCGGCGATGTCCCACAGGACGAACTTGAGACGATTCTGTGCGAAAGGTGCCAGATCGCACCCTCGTACGCCAAGAAGACGGTCGCCGTGTTTGTCGAGCTGCAACGACGACGACAAGCGGGGCGCGTCTTTGAGCAGAAGCATGCCTTTGCCACCCTACGTGACTTGTTCCGATGGGGTGGCCGTGGTTCGGTCGGCTATCAGCAACTCGCCGAGGACGGCTACATGCTTCTCGCCGAACGTGCTCGACGTGCGGACGACAAGGAGGTTGTCAAGGAGGTGATCGAAAAGGAGATGAAGGTCACGATCGACGCCGCTTCGTTGTACGACTTCTCCCGACTCGCCGAACTCGAGCTGCCCGATCCGAGGAGCGCCCAGGGTGATCTCGTCTGGACCTCGGCGATGCGACGACTCTACTTCCTCATCGCCGCAGCTCTCAAGCGCGACGAGCCCGTCTTGCTCGTCGGCGAAACGGGAGCGGGCAAGACATCAGTTTGTCAAGCGCTAGCGCTCGCTCTCGGCCGCCAGCTTCACATCGTAGGCTGTCATCAAAACACCGAGACGGCGGATCTACTCGGTGGTCAACGTCCACTGCGTAACCGAGCGGCACTCCAAGCGGATTTGAAGCGCCGCGCGTTGGCCTTGTTCGAGTCCGCAGGCCTTGCTGCGTCCGCCGCCGCCGACGACGACTTTGAGCAGCTCATCGTCGAGGTCGAAGTCCTTCTCCCAAACTTTAACGGAGATGATCTGATCGAGGCCGAGAGCGTACTGGATCGCATGCGCCAGGCTACGGCTCTGTTCGAATGGCACGACGGTCCCCTCGTGCAGGCGATGGTCGCTGGCGATTTCGTCTTGCTCGATGAGATCTCGCTCGCGGATGACTCGGTCCTCGAGCGCCTCAACTCGGTCCTTGAACCCTCTCGCACGCTCCTCCTCGCGGAGAAGGGTGGCAGGGATCTCGCCGACATTCAGATCCGAGGTGCACCCGGCTTCCAAATCCTCGCGACGATGAACCCCGGTGGCGATTTCGGCAAGAAAGAACTCTCACCCGCACTGCGCAATCGTTTCACTGAGATCTGGGTGCCCAGCGTCGACGACCTCAATGACTTGCGCCTCATCATCTATTCGAGGTGGCTACCCGATCACGAGCGCGAGCTGGCGCAGTTTGGCGACAAGATGCTCGACTTTGCGCAATGGTTCGCCAAAGCTGCTGGAGCTAGTGACGGTCTCGGCATCGGGTTGCGGGATATCCTGGCGTGGATTGATTTTCTCAACAAGTCGGCGAGGTGAGCTGTCCTTGACAGAAACGAGCACAATCGAAGTTTGGGGATGCTGACTCGAGTTTTCACTTTCATGACTACAGCTTTCTCGCCACGGTCAAGCCTGTCGTCGATGGCACATATGTCGAGATTGAGACGGACGAGATCCAAGCTCATGCGTAAGCTGTATTCCGTTTTGATGTGTTCGACACAACACTCATTGACTGACATTCGCATGTTCACTGGTGCAATAGGGCGAGCGTTCAACCACTTCACCTCGGTGACGCGTTTTGTCAAGGTGCTCTCATGACCGTCGTCGATGGGCTCGGTGCTCTGCCCTTGACCTCATCGATGTCTCGTGAGGGTCTCGATCGACTTCGGGTGGCGTGTTGGAGGTATCTCGAATCGCTTGTTAGCGTCACCGTGCCCCCCGAGGCTGTGCCGCTCGATGTGGTTGACTCGCCGACGAGATTCGCGATCGGCCCCTTTGGAGTCGAGAAGGGCGCTCTGCCCTCGGTCTCCAACGGCCACTCGTTGCTCGCACCAACGGCCCGCCTTAACGCGATGCGACTTCTTCGCGCTCTCCAATTGAAGAAGCCCGTGCTGCTCGAAGGTAGTCCCGGTGTCGGCAAGACGAGTCTTGTAACCGCCATCGCGGCTGCAACCGGCCATCACCTCGTCCGTATCAATTTGTCCGACCAAACCGATCTGATGGATCTGCTCGGCAGCGATCTCCCCGTCGAAGGTGGCCAATCGGGCCAGTTCGCTTGGAAGGACGCGCCATTTTTGGCCGCTATGCAAGCTGGTGACTGGGTCTTGCTGGACGAGATGAATCTTGCGTCTCAGTCGATTCTTGAAGGGCTCAACTCGTCGCTCGATCATCGAGGTGCCGTCTACATTCCCGAACTCGATCGTACGTTCGTTCGTCATCCCGACTTCCGCATCTTTGCTGCGCAAAATCCTCTTGGGCAAGGTGGAGGACGCAAAGGTCTCCCCAAGTCGTTCCTGGATCGATTCAGCATCGTTCACATGGAGGAACTCGACGCTGTGGACCTCGGGACGATCGCCGGCGCTCTTTACGACGGCATCAATCCAGTCTTGCTGAACAAGATGATCAGCTTCAACTCAACGATCCATCACCAGACCATGCAATTGCGCTCGTTCGGAGCAGAAGGTTCGCCCTGGGAGTTCAACTTGCGTGACGTTCTTCGCTGGCTTGCGCTCGTACATCAGTCCGGAGGCCTCGATCTGCATCCCGGCAATCCGATCGAGTACGTCGGCCTCCTCTACGTGCAGCGGTTTCGCAACGCCAAGGATCGAGCCCATGTTGCGCGCATGTTCGAAGAGCACTTTGGCGTTTCGATCGACCCTTTGCTGCGCCCGACGCATCTCATCACCGACGGACAGCTCCGTGTTGGGCATTCCTTTATCGAGCGATCGGATGGCGACGTCCTCGAGCGTTCGACGATCGCAAAACCGATCCTGCAGCCGTACTTGCAGACTATGGAGGCGCTCGTCAAGTGCTTCGACATGCGCTGGCTCGCGATCCTCACGGGTCCGAAGGGCTGCGGCAAGACTTCGGTCGTCCGCCAGATCGCGTTCTTTAAGGGCGTCGTCCTGCGTGAGTTCTCGATGAGCGCTGAGGTCGATACTTTGGAGCTCCTAGGGTCATTCGAGCAAGCCGAGAGGTCGCGCGAGCTTGAGAAGGTCGTCGTTGCCCTCGAGGCCGCGATGCGCGAGCAGCCTTCAACCTTCACTCCTACCTCGCTCGGCATCCCCCCTCACGAGCTTTTGGTTCAACTCCGACAGCTTCGCGTGGACCTTGGATCAGCCAGTGCAGAGGTCTCGGCTCGGCTTCTCGTGTCCTCCCTTCAATCGCTTGCATCGGGTGCATCGGTCGAGACGGCGGCGGTTCTTCACCACTTTGCCTCACAATTTGAACGCGCGATCGCTGTCACGTCGGTCGCGGCGCGCTTCGAGTGGATCGATGGACCGCTGGTGCAAGCGATGAAGCAAGGTCATTGGCTCTTGATCGAAGACGCCAACTTGTGCAGCCCCTCTGTCCTCGATCGACTCAACTCGTTGTTCGAACCCGAAGGCCGCCTTCAGCTCGCCGAGCGCGGCCCCGTCAACGGCGTCGTGCAGACTATCACGCCTCAGCCCGACTTCCGTTTGGTCATGTCGCTCGACCCTAGGAACGGAGAACTCTCGCGCGCCATGCGCAACCGAGGCATCGAGATTGCCATGCTGCCCGTTGAAGCCGACTCTACTCTGCAAGAACGCCCCCGCTCGAGCACCGTCACCCCCTCGGAGTCTATCGCCGACATGATCGAGATCGCCTCTCGTACGCAAGAGCTTTCGCCCCTGGTCGTGGCGCAGACGATGCTCTCGTACCTCAGCCCCTTCCAATTTGGGTTCGCCCTTCGACTCCTGCGCGCAACGAGACTCTGCGATGTTCCCACAATCGAAGCTAGTATGCGTGGCATGGCGGCGCACCCACTCGTACCCGGTATTGTAGCTCGTCGGAACGCCACCGCTCTCCTGCAAGAGGTTCCTGCGCCTCTGCTCGCCCTCGAGCCGATCGATATGTCGCTCGTGACGCATGAGGGCACTATCCAAACGCCTGCCAATTCGGTATTATCGCCGGCTCTGGATGCAGTGTGTCTACTCCTGCTGGTGTCGTCGAACCGCCCCGATCTGGTTTCGCACGTCTTGGCCAAGCCGAGGAAGAGTCTGAGCGCGTGGGAGCGCTCGCTGCTGGTTCTCCACGGCAAGATGCGACTCGATGAAGACGATGTTGCGACGGCGTCATTGGTTCCTGTATCGCATGCTTTGACCACTCTCGTGCGACATATGCTCGCCGCCGCCGTCGTCGGAGATTTGACCTTCGAACAACAACAGGTAAGCTGTGGCCGCGCCATACTGAGAGCAGGCCAATCCTTACTGACGATTGTGTCAAAATAACAGGAGTGTGTCGAGCTTGGCAGTCGACTCGGCGGATACGTCGCAGAGCTCGAGCATGTTTGCTCCAGCTCAGTGCTCGATTTTTCGAGTATCCAACACGTTGCGGCGTGGATCGCTTCAGAAGTCGGACGAGCCCCTGTGGAGGCCTTCCCCAGCGCGGCTGCCGTCCAGACGGCATTGACCCCACTGCAGACCTCGCTGGCCCTCACCAGCGGCAAGGCGATGAACAATATTTGGAGGGCTTGCCTTCCCTTTGAACCGGCTTCGCCTGCGATCAACTCGGCGTATCGAGATCTGCTTGAGCGTGGCGCAGGAACGGACGGGCCGGTTTGGGACCGCGCTCTCGTCGACCTGTTCCTCGAGATTGCGGTTGCTCTTGGGACTCCGCAATCGCAGCACGGCGTCGGATTCGGGGATGAGGCGTCTGTACTTGCGAGAAAACTCATTGCATCGCTACCTCCCGTAACGACCGAAGGGAGCAGCCTCAAGGACGAAAGTACCGCGCTGGTGAACTCGTCTAATGCTGCGAGCGTGCTTGTTGCAGAGCTGGCTGCTGTTGCCAAGGTCATCACAAATGACTATTCAGTGAGTTTCCACTCTGGTGTTGATGGTGCTACTGGAGACCTACTGATGCGCCGAATGTGTGATAACAGCATTCGGCCTCGACGAGCCTGATACGCGTTGTGCACAGGAGTCAAGCACTGTCCCTCGCAAGCATCGTCCCGATTCATCAACTTGCGTCGTGGCCCCGAGAATATGGCGAGTAAATTTCGTCATTTGAACGATATGCCATCAGTGACTGATTGGTTCCGCCCTCGGTTTCCGAGAACGCAGAGGGTGCCATCAGCAGCCAGTCGTCGGCCCAGTTCAAGACGTTGCTGCTGTGGAATGAGCACCTTGCACTTGGTCTTTCCCAAGTGAGCCCCTCGGGTTACTTTGGCAAATCAAAAAGCGCCAACTGATCACGGGGTCTTTCTTCAGATCACTTCCACCTACACCCCGGCCGACGTGACTCGACCTTTCTTGTTGCGTGAGGTCGTGCAGCTGAAGTGAGTACTCGGCTGTGACCACGATAGCATAACGACGAGACTCATCGATCGTCTACCTTCGCTCCCAGAACCAAAGACACATCTTCGCTCGGCAACCTCGTCGTTCTATCTGAAGGCCTCGGCCGGGCTGCGACAATTCAGACATGGACAGCCTCCCTTGACCTCGGCTCTCGGAGGCCTGCTTTGAAATCCGTGCTGCTTGCCTCTATTGGTCTGGTAAGCCTCCTCTGCATGACCGCTGCCTCTCTTCATTTGAACTGAACATCATAAGTACCTTTCTTTACAGCTCGCCAACGCGACCGAGGGGACCCAGCAGTGGGAAGCCTCGGGACTTGCAGGCTTGAGCGCCGCAGATGCCGACTCGCCGGCGTTCGGCGAGGCGTTCGATCGCTATCTTGCACCAGCCATGACGAGTTTGGCAGACCCCGTCGAAGCGAGTCTAGCTATACTCGGACAGGGATTTGTCGCATTCTCGAGATGCCTTTGGTATCTCTACCTGCCCAACTTGCCGCTCGACCCGGCCATCGGACTCCGAGCCCGCTCGGGGTACCTCAGCCGTCAGCTCGATCACCTCTCGGGCGTCCTTCAGTCGTTGCACCTTGCCGAGCTACACCGCACGGGTAATGCTCAAAACGACAAGATCGATCGGCTCAGCAAGAAGTTGGACGACCTCAGGCCCAAGCTCGATGAGGCCAAGGTCGTTCCCGTCCAGCGCGAAGGCAACCCTGCTCTGCTGTCCAGTCTCTTCCAAGAGCTACAGTCGTTCCGCGAGCAGATCATCAGCGAGGCGCAGCTCGATACGCTGACAAACGATCTCATGGGTGCCGCACCGACCGAATCCGTCTTGAGCCGAGAATTGAGCATGCAGCGATCGGTCGAGACCTTGCTGCATCGCTTGAACGCAGTCTACGGCGAGCTCGTCGACATCCTCGCGCCGTTGCGCCTGTCTCTCTGCTCGTTAAAGGTCGGCTTTGCACTGCTCTCCCAACTCGCTAGCCTCAAGCTGGCTAGTGCGTCCTCGCCGGAACCTTTTGTCGAGCTCCTTCATCACCTCGTCAGCTTTCCCAAAGCGGCTCACAAGCATAGGATCGATGCGATCGACCTCCCGCTCACGATCAAGGCCAATCAGACACCCCTCTCACCGACGCGCGCAACATTGCTCCAGGTTACGGCCCTCATCAGCCAGCTCACGCACAGCGGCCGATTCGATCGCGATGCTTTGCGTCGCCTCACCCAGCTGTACGATCGTCTTCACTATCTCTGGACCAGCGATCGTCGCAAGGACGAAGAGGCCGCGCGTGCCGCCGAAAGCCTCTACAGATCCAAAGCCGACGTGGAGCAGATTGCTACAGATGAGGAGCTCGAGGCCGCCGAATTTGCCCAGCTGTTCCCTACGTTTGAGGATGCGCTAGACTTCAACGACTCCGTCGACAAGCCGCCGGCGACGAATGGTTCGATCACCGCCGTCAACGGCGCCACGGCCTCAGCCAAGGTGTTCCATCACCTTCAGCCTCAGGACGAGGCGCTGCTCGCCAAACTGCACGTCGGTCTATTAGGAAACGGGCGGATTTACGACTTCGTTGGCAAGTGCGAGAAGGAATATGATAGTATCCGTACTTCCAGCATCACGACACTGTTGCCAGATCTTTACGCCCATCTCGAAGAGGGACTTGATCGGGCCTCGGCCGCGTACCGAGTTCGCTCGCTCGTCGAGCTCAGCCAGTCGATGAAGCCTTCGACATCATCCCACCCAGCTGAGTCGCGGGACCGCGACTTCTACACTGAGCCCGACGTGCAAGAGACGGCCAAGGCTGTTCCTATCCTACTCGCCACTTCAGCGCGTCTCTCTGATCTTATCGAGACGTGGCCTGACCAGATGGTTCTGAGGAACCTCCACGAGCGCTGCCAAGCGGTGCTTTCGCTTTCGTCGCAATCTCCGATCGCCCAAGTCCTCACAGCGATCGAGCAACTGTTGCAACACACCGAGGACTGGGAATCATACGCTAGTTCCGAACACTCGCTGGCGACAAACCGTGCCGAAATCATTAACCTCATCATCGAGTGGCGTCGAACCGAGCTCACGTGTTGGTCACGTCTGCTTTCAACGATCGAGAAACGCTTCAAGGCCCCCGTCGCGACGTGGTGGTTCCGGTTCTACGAAACAATGATCCGCGCAGCGCCTGGCGTCGACGAAGACCCCGCCACTCCGACGCACGAACAGAAATCGGCGGCCGAGTTCAACCGCGAACTCGTGGCCCTGCTGGATTCCTTCTTTTCGACCTGCTCGATCGGGCAGTTCCAGGCTCGTCTGGAGCTGACCTTGTCGTTCGCCAATCTGGCGAGCAAGCTTGGTTCTCAATTTTATGAGGATGCGGTGAGTTGCTGCCAGCCATGAACCGTGCCCAGACCCTCCGCTGACATGAAGCGGGTACTACTTTGTTTCTACAGATCCACGATGGTGCCCGCTCCTTGAACACTGTCGCCCAGCTCCTTTTGAACATCCACGCATTCTACGATCAGTTCACCCCTCGCATTTCTGCGTTCCTTTGCACCGAGCGAGCAAAGATCCACAAGGACGTCAACAGCCTCATCAAGCTCGCAAGCTGGAAGGATGTGAACGTGTACGCTCTGCGCCAAAGCGCGATTCGCAGTCATCACCAGCTCTACAAGCTCGTCCGCAAATTGCGAGCGGTTCTACAAAAGCCCGCAAGCGACTTTTTCACTCGCTCAGAAAGTGCGCAGTCGACCGAATTATCGTGAGTTTCTTGAGGTGATGCTAAGTGTGGCATTACGCGTTCCAAACTGACAGTATGTGACCTCATGATTTGAATAGCATCGCCCCCCACCTGGCGACCCGCGACTTGGCTTTGGTTCTTAACTCGATGCCTAGCTTACCCAAAGAGATCACCGCGGCAACGAGCGCGAGCCACATCGCCAATTTGGATCGCACGCTCCGTCGTCTCGCCGCGTGGCAGACGATGTCGCTCGGACCTTTCATCGGCGCCAACCGCGCTGGACAAGTTGATGCGTTCGCCGTAGAGATTATTCGCACGTCAAAGGACCTCAAGAGCGAGCCGCTTGGGGGGGAGGAGGGCCGCGACCAGCGCCTTAAGTCGCTCATAGCACGTAAGCGTCGCGCCTGGATCGAATTGTTGCGCGAGATGAAACGAGTGGGCCTGTCGCCCTCGCCCGCCCCGGCCATCGTCGACCGCCTGAAGGATGCTGGTCATGTCTACACGCTGCCATCGCCGAGGCGTGTCTTCTCCCTCGACGTCTCTCTCCTTCCCGAAGACCAACGACGCCTGTTGCGCGAGGTCGACGACTACCACTACAGAATGACGTCCGAGCTCCCTGCTCTTCGGGCGTGTCCCGCCAACCACCACGACGACGTTTCGACTCGCGAGGTGCAACGTGCGATCGGTTCGATCGAGTCCGGTGTCGCCATGAGCTTCGACAGTCGAGTCCAGCTCGTGCCAGCGATCATGTCTGCATCCCGCCTGAGGTTCATGGCCAGCAAGATGGAATCCGTCGGAGCCGAGCCGATCGGTCAGAGCGTTGCGACGACCAAGGCTCTCGCCGAGTTACTGCTCGAGCTCGTCTGCGAAGTCTCGAGCGGTCTGTCGGACGCACGCGTCGAGCTCAACAACCACCGTGTCGCGCTCGACGGTCGCCCGACTGACGACTTGTCGGTGGTCGCCAAGCTCATCGATGATTCCGATCGCGTACTCGTTGATGATGTCGAGCAACTACGAGAACTGGCCGCCATCGACTCGTTCGACCCAGTCATAGGTACCAAGCAAGAGCTCGAGATCATACGAACCGCGCACACTCACCTGCGGTCGATCGTCGATGCTTTCACCATTCTCGAAGCGCCGGTCTCGATTCGTTACCTCGTCGACCCATTGGGCCAGTGGATCCGATCCCTACGCCTTCCATCAGTCGAACCTGAGGAGGTCGGCCCTTCCAGCGCTGTAGCAGATCTCGGCAAGTTGAACACACAGCATGCCACTCTCATCGATTCGATCCTGGTCATCGCTCAAGAGCTTCGCACTCGTGCCGAAGGGATGGAGAAGGTAGACCCCGATGGCGAAACGCGCGACCACGCGATCAAGCTCGATCATCGCTCCTTGCAGGAGACCCTCGCGGTCTGGCGATCTGACGAGATTCTGGACCAAGCCGTCGCCCTTGCGCGTTCTGCCCATGCTCTCTTGGGCTCTTCGGTTGCTCTTCAGCCCGCTGTTTGCGCGCTTTTGCTACGCGTGGCCCCCTTCATTCGCCTTTTCGTGGACTTGTTGTCCGACCACCTCGTTGAGTACCTGCGCTGGATGCGAGCCATCCTCAAGCTCGCCTACGTCGCCTCCACCGTCGTCAAGGAGCTTGCCGCGCAAGGGTTCTGCCGACCCGTGGAAGATGATGGGAAAGGTGGTGAAGAAGCGGATGGCAAGACCTCGGACGGCACTGGAATGGCTGATGGCAAAGGCGCCAAAAACGTAAGCAATGAAATCGAGGACGAGTCACAGATTGAAGGTCTCGAGAACGATGTGCAGCAAGAGAAGGAGAAGAACGAGCACCAGGACGAAGAGGACGGTCAAGACGATGCTATCGAGACGAACATGGACTTTGAAGGCGATCTCGAAGACCGAGGTGATCAGGACAAGGACGATCAGGACAAAGATGACGAAGATAGCGACGAGGATGAGGACGCGCCAGAACCGGACGAGCAAATCACGGATGTCGATCCGCTCGACCCTTCTACAGTTGACGAGAAGTTCTGGGGCGACGAGGCTTCCAAGGACGAGCCCAAAGATTCTGCCAACGAGGAGCTCAACCAAGAGACCGAGCAAAAGTCTGGCAAGTCTGAGATGACCGCCAAGGATGATCAAGCCCCGGAGCCGAAATCAAAAGGCAAGGACTCGAGTGCTGAGAAAGACCAGCCCGAGCAGCCTGAGGAGGAGAAGAGTGGGCGTGAGGTGGAGCAGGATGGAAAGGACGAAGCCGAGAAAGAAGGAGACGAGGTCGAGAACGCGGAGCAGGATGACGACGAGGGGGAGGATCAAGATGCCCCACCCCAAGCCGACGACAAAGACCGACTGAACCACCAAATGCCCGAAGGCGACAATCTTGACTTGCCGGAGGACTTGAATCTTGACGGGGAGGAGGAGAAGGAAGATCAAGCCAAAGATTTGGACCTGGACGACATGGATGTCCCAGCTGGTATGTCCGGCGAAAGGCCTACCCCTTTGTGGATCAAATGGTTTGCTGATCTTTCACGTCTGAAACCTCCTACAGATCCCGACGATGGCGCCCACGACGACGGCGACGACCAGGTTGACGAGATGGGTGACTCGAACGAGGATCCCGGCGAGGCGGACGACGCACTGGTCGCCGACGCCGACGCCGACGCCGATGGTGAGCCACAACCCGACAACCCCGAGGAAGATGCGCCGCAGCCGGATCAACAAGCATCGCTCGATGACTCGTCTGGCGGAGCTCAAGATGGGGAACAGGGCGGAGAAGGATCCCAAGATAAGAGTGCCTCCGCACGTCCCGATCCTAAGCCGTCATCGACCGACGCACCCACCACTTCCGGCGCCCAGCAGGAGCTTACCGAGGCCATGGACCCGAGGCAAGCGCCAGCGGACGATGCGCAGGACCAGGAGATGAACGCCGAAGACGATGCAACCGAGGCTCCCCTTTCGGCCCCTTCGAATGCGGCGAGTGGGACGTCAAAAGAGCGATCGGCCGCCACCGACCCTCAAGCCCAACCGCAAGCTGATCGCTCGACGCCAGCCCAGCCCCAACGCAGCTTGGGCGATGCGATGCAATCTTGGCGCCGTCGATTGGAGCAGATCGCCGACATGAGCGAGGTCACCGAAGAGTCCCCTGCCGAAGTTGATCATGCCAGCAACGACAAGGACGGCGAGGTCGAGTATGTCGTCGAGGGACAAGAGCATGATGCAGACAAGCAGGCACTCGGACCGGCGAGCGAAGAGCAAGTCAAAAAACTCGAGCAGTTGCGACTTGGCGACGAGGAGGAGCCGCAAAAGCACTTTGACGCCGACGATGCAATGCAAGTCGACGAAGCACCCAATGCCGATCCGACTAAGCAGCCATCGTCGACGATCAACCTCGACGGATCTTCCCTTGCCGAGACCGACGCCAAGGCTATTCCTGCTGCCGATTTGCGGGACCAACATCCCGTCGACCCCGAGGACGGTTCTGCGCTCGACGAGAAAGCCGATCATCTCGAGGATGAGGACGACGAGCTTCGCTCAAGGACACTCGCCACCCAGGATGACGCTGAAGCCGATCACCAAGTTGAACAGGCCATGTTGCTGTGGCGTAGTGGAGATGACCCGACCATGACTGCCGATGGTGTGTGGAGATTGTACGAATCATTAACGCGCGATCTCTCGTATGCTCTCACGGAACAACTTCGTCTCATCCTCGAACCCACGCTCGCGACCCGACTGAAGGGCGACTATCGCTCTGGTAAACGCCTCAACCTCAAGAAGATCATCCCCTACATCGCGTCCGAGTTCACCAAGGACAAGATCTGGTTGCGACGAACTCGACCGTCGCAGCGCGAATATCAGATTCTGATCGCAATCGATGACAGCAAGTCAATGGCCGACTCGCACTCGGTGCACCTCGCCTTCCAGTCTCTGGCTCTCATCTCGCGCGCCTTAACCCGCCTTGAAGTCGGTGGCATCTCGATTTGTCGATTCGGCGACACGATGGACGTTTTGCACCCTTTCGAGGGCGGTCAACTCTCTGATGACGCCGGAGCCAAACTGCTCGAACAATTCACCTTCTCTCAACGCACGACCGATGTGCGCCTGCTGGTCGAGCGATCGCTCACTCATTTGGCCCTCGCCAAGGATGCGGCCCGCTCCGGCAAGTCCTCGCTGGCCGCTGGTGACCTGTGGCAATTGCAAATTATCATCTCCGACGGCATGTGTCAAGACCATGGTGCGCTCCGAGCTCTCCTTCGTCGTGCTGCGGAGCAAAAGGTCATGTTCGTATTTGTCGTCATCGACTCGCTGCACCGTCAGACCCTCGAGACCCACTCGGGCTCTTCAACCCCCGTTACTTCTTCAGCATCGTCCACAGTCAACCAAAACTCGATCTTGGCGATGCAATCCGTGTCCTACTCCAAGGGCAGTGACGGTCGACTCGAGCTCAACATGAATCGCTACCTCGACTCGTTCCCGTTCGAGTACTTTGTCGTTTTGCGCGACGTCGAGGCGCTTCCTGAGGTTTTGAGTGCCACGCTGAGACAGTTCTTCGAAAGGGTCAGTGATAGCTTTGCTTTCTTCGTCGCATCTTGCTAACCGGACCTTGTGCTGACTCGCACTCTTTATCTACACCAGGTCTCGTCGGATCGATGATCGTGGCCAAATATCCCAGTTGTTTTTTCCATTCCACGCAAGTATCTATAGAACGCAAAGTGAGTGCCAAGTCGCGCATTTGCAAAGGTCGCTGAGATAATGCACTAATCGACCTTCGCTGAGATCAGGTAACCGCAACATACGCAGATCATTAACATCGCATTTCGCATAGTATTTTGACTTTCCTATCAGTAGATTGTATCACCTGATCGACTGTTGTAACGCTGTTCTCTCTCTCGCACCGCACTCCGAACACTGAATCGTCTCGCACGAGAGCGCGAGTTGGCATAACAACAAATGTAGGGTGGGAACAATCACGATGCCTTTTCCCTAAGACCAACAAAACCAAGTGAGAGCTTGCTCTCCCTGAAAGCCATGTCCCTCCATTTCTTCAACCCTTTCTGGCCGTCGTCGCAGCGATGTACTTGCCCTTCTCTGCATCGAAGCGACCCGTGACGCTCGCTACGTTCGGGGAAGCGAGCAAATCGGCGACGCTTCCCGCGATGGGTCTCGAAGCCCTCGTGCCCCTTGCCCTTTCGCTGCCTTCACCAACACTTCCATCCACGACCAAGACCGACTCTGGCCGACTCAGTTCCGTCAATCTATTCGTCGCGCTCGAAGTCGAGGGCGACGCCATCGCCGATGACGAAGCCGGTGCTTGTTTGGCAGCAGCAGCGGCGAGGTATTTCTGACTAACGTATTTCCCTTTGGTCAGGTCGTAAATCCCCGTCACGGCGCCAACGCTTTTGGAATCCAACAAAGCCCTAAGGTCACCTTCCAAGGGGGCGGCCAGGCGCGTTGCTCTTGAATGGGTCGGGACCGAACGCGGTCGAGGAGGTGGGACGACGGGTGGGAGGAGCTGTTGAGCCGCTGCGGAGGACGTCGAGGCCCGAGGGGAGTTTGAGGCGCGAGGAACCGAAGCTGTTCGTGCGAGGTTGTGCGGTTTCCGATCCGCGAGTTTGGAATCCGAGTACCTCCTCTGCTTGGGCTCATTGACGATCAATCGACCTGGCAAAGACCTCCTCGGTGCGCCATTCGACGAAGTCGATGTCGAAGCCGACATGGATTGCGAAGGCGGTTGCGGTCCGAGCGAAATAACAGGCTTCGGAGGAGCAAGAGCGAACAAAGGTCCTTCAATGTCGACAGGGGCACCTTTGGCGATATAGCGTCCCTTTTCGGCATCGTAGCCTCCGCTGACTCGGAGGACCGCTGGGGTGGCGAGGATGTCGCTCAGGTTTCCGGCAAGAGGCGCACTTCGTCGTGTGCCTTGTTCACCAGGCTTGATAGGCTGCGGTGGGATGACGGGCTTTGGTTCGGCGACACTTTTGCCTGACTTGGTTTTGGACTTGGACGAGCTCGCACTTGGCGACGCGACAGGCACTTGACCTTCGTCGAGTTGCGAGTGTCGTCGAGTCGATCGAGGATTGGTCGAAGCGACGGGAGTCTTCGAACTCGAAGCGGATGAAGTCGACGGTGCTGCTCCATCAACGGACATTCGACTGCGTTTGCGTTGCGTCGACGTTGAAACCGCAGCTTTGGTCGAGGTCGTCGAGACGCGGGGACGGCGGGTCGCCTGGGCTGACGAGCCCGAGGCCGAGGAAGCCGGCGCGGAAGGGGTAGGTACGTTCGACGAGTGGGCACTGTTCGACGAGTGGTCTTGATTCGTCGAAGAATGCGGGAAACTATTCGGCCGACCGCTGAGTTCAGTTCCGATTCGAGTATCTGAGCCTCGTGCACGTTGAACTTACTTGAGCATCAACAACAGCGCCGCGGCTTCCTGCGTATCCGTGTCCCTCAAATCAAGCGCATCAATCGCCTGTCCGTCACCCAGTCCCAACATCTCCTCATCCAGCGTCTCATCAACCATCGTCGCGGCAACCCCCTCGTCTCCTTCTTCCTCCCCCTCCTCAACTTTAGGCTTCACATCCTCCATAATCACATCATCGACCTTCTCTCCGTGTATTCCATTCTGCCGTCTTCGACGCCTCTCATCATCCTCGTCATCCTCATCCTCATCATCATTTTGGCCCGCCCCACCACCTCCTTTTCGGGGCCTGGAGCCGAGCCGAAAACTTTGCGTCGCGCTGGCGCCCGCCGCGAGGGATGTTGAAGAAGAAGTCGACGTCGAAGCATGGTTCGAACCATCCCCATTGGTCGTCGTCGGCGAGGCCGACGATCCCGAGGCGTCATTGACGGCATGGGTCGTGACGAGAGCGCGTAATTTAGGTATGCGGATGGGCACGCCAAAAAAAGACGAGGTTGAGATGGTTGCTCGGACGACGTCCTTGTGGCTGTGGGAGTCGGAACCCATGTCTGAATCGAGCTCGGCCGTACTGGAGTCTCGAGGTGGGATCGAGGCGCGCGTCGTACCGGAGGTGCTTCGACGGAGGTAGGGTGGAAGCGGGGTCGGATCTCGAGGAGGCAGGCTTTGACGTCCTTTGGGACCGATCGAATCCTTGGACCTCTCTCTCGAAGGTGGCATGGGTTCCGATCCAACCTTCTCGTAGGGTGACGCGACACTTGAGGAATCGAAAGGCGTCTCCGGGACACGACCATACGCATCGTCTTCGACAGCGCTGACTCCGCCCGTTGAGTGGAGCCCAGCCTCGTCCATCGACAAGGCAATAGGTACGAATCGGCCCAATTCGACTTCGCGATCATCGCCATTCGCGTCCTTTTTTGACCTGTCCCTCGGGCGACCTATGACCGGTGACCCCTTGACGACGACAATCCCGACAAAAGGCTGTTCCTCGGATACGGACCTCACCTTCCGCCTTTTCGATGCCGGTCCACGAAGCTTGTTCTTGGTGGCGGCGGGCGTCGAGGATTTGCTCTTGCGGGGTGACGAGGTCGCTTTGGTGACGGTGACGATCTTGGTTGATCGGTTTCTTTTCCTCGGTGCCGGCTTTTGGACTTCCTCCTCCTCGTCTTCTTCCTCTTCCTCCTCTTCCTCTTCCTCCTCCTCATTCTCCTCATCATCAACATCCTCTTCATCCTCCTCCTCGGACGCCTCTTCATCCGCCTCTTCAGGTTCTTCCTCTACAACCTTGGGCTTCCTGACCCTGACCCTCTTCGGCTTCGGCTTCACAGTCGTACTGGCCTCCGTACTCGCTCTACTTCTCGAAGGCCCCAATCTAACCCTCTTCGGCTTCTCCGCCACCTGCTTCTCCCTCTGCTTCCCCTTCGCCTCCCCCTTCTCCCCCACCTCCTCAACGGCAACCCGTTTCCTATGGCTCCTCCTCCTCTTCTCCTCCTCCTCCCTCCTCATTTCCTCCTCCATCCGTTCCCTCTCCTTCTTCCTCTCCCTCGCCGTCAAGGCCTTCTTCTTAGGTTTCTGCGGAGCCCTGACCAAACCCGTATAAATCGCGATTTTCTTCCTTTCGTCCCATGCGTAATCGTCCTTGTAAACCGGGGGAGGCTTCATCTTGGGATGAATGAGCCGAGGTCCGGAACGCAATTCGAAGTCTGACAAGAGACGATTCGGGTTGAGGGTCGATGAAGAGGAAGGGGAAGAGTGGCGTGAGTTACTACCTCCTCCTGTGTTGAAGATGGGTGTAGGGGTAAGGGAGCGATTCGCTCCGTTCGAATGGAGGTTCAAGGGTAATGAACTTGATCGAGTTCGCGTCGATGACCTCGCTTTCAAAGCACTGATCAATTGATTCGTCACCGACGTCGAAGGGGTCGAATTCATTCCTCCACCACCAGCAGCACCATTCGCGGAAGTCGAAGCGTGGTTCCCCGTCTCCGTTGCTCGAACAAAAAACCTTCTCCTCGTCCCATAACGACTCTCCGGTCTGGGAGAACCAGGATGAGGTGAACTCGTCGAGGATTCCGCTTCTTCGTGATCCGAGACGATCGTGGTCGTGTTGGCGAGTTTGGAGAGAGGGATCACTGGTGGGTTCACGAGGGATGCTTGCGTCGATTGCGAAGAAAGTTTTTTGGCTCCTCGGGCGGGTTTGGGGGTGAAGAACCCGCGTTTGAATCTGAAGGAGTGTGGATGGGATGAGGACTCTTACGTATGGAAAAGCACAGTTCTCGTCGAACTCACTTCTCGCAGGTCGCGCACATGCAACCCATGTTGTCGCGTTCAAAGTAGTGGATGCCTGAGATCATAAAAAGGAGATCAGTGCCTCGTGCACACTCTGCGGCCCTCTTAGTTTTCATCCCGTCACTAACCATAATGCGTAAAGATCTCCTCGTCGGGTTGAATATCCTCGACGACTTTGAAGGACATGACGTTCCCGACGAGGTAAAACTCGACGTTGTTCCTACAATCGTGCTGTCGAGTCGAAAAAGCGCACCATCAGCTCCATCCACCTTTTCCCCCCCAGTACGCCCACCCCATGCCCCCGTGTAAGACCCACTCACATTAACGAACCTCGCCGGTCCCAGCAATAAACAAAAACATTTTTTCCTCTCCGACCAAAGGATGGAGAAATCGGACCTGCCTCCATTCTCCCTCATCTCATCGTCATCCTCGTCCGTCAAATCGGCAATACCCCCTTGTAACCTAATGATCTCCCCCTTTTGAAACGGCCGTGTGGCGAACACGCCTACTTCGATAAAGTTATTCTTGGGAGGGGTGGGACCGTGCGAAGTGGAAGGTTGGAGGAGGTTCAAGGCGATGGAAGAATCGGCGGGGGACAAACGGGGTAGGGCGACGACGCCTGCTGCGTTCGTAGGGAGGAGGGATCGGATCGAGGAGAAGGTTGTCGGTTTGCGTTGTTTCTTGGCGTATCTGTATCACGAAGGGTCAATCGCTCGAGCTTCGTTCCGAGGGGAATCCCGACGCTCTTGCGTATGCCTCACCTGTTCGTCTCGTGGAAGGCGATGCCCGTATCGGGTCTCAAGGCCGCGGCGTAGCGTTTGAGGTGGGTCTTGAAGATGTCATAGTCGTCGTCCTCGTACTTGTTCATAAAGTTCTTGAACACGTTGATGCTGAAACGTAGACCAATCCGGTTGTCAACGATCACGCTCCGGAGCGCGAACGGGGCCCGGCCGGCGCTTTCCTCCCCGCGGGCTGGTGAAGTTGAAGGCGTGGCTTGCCCGCCTCGCCCGGACCGGATCACTCCGATCAAGCGACTACGCTGCTCCCGCAAGCGCATTGGGTGTTGCAAACTCACGTGCATAGTTCCTCGGTCGCTTCCGTAGCCGTCAATTCGGCTTTCCTCAACTTTGAATCACAAGACAGATCTGAGATCAGTGAACCGGAGCGCGCGATTCCCGGGGATCGACAAGGCCGGTGATCAATGGAGCGGAGGGGCAGGGAAAGATTCGATCCCCTCCATCGTCGATCCTAGATCCTACATCCAACACGCCAGCCCAGCCACACCTTTCCCCACTCACCCTCTTGACGACTTTCAACACCTCTTCGAGATCGGGTTGCCTCAACCTCGTCTCGGCGCGATCGTGGCGATCGATCTTGCCCGTCCTACGCCCCGACACACGATCTTCTTGGAAGACGCAAATGTCCAAGATCACTCGACTGAGTACAGGGAAGATGGAATCAATACAGGTTCAGTCAAGATGCGCAGAGAGAGAGGGTTCGACAACCCCGTTCCTTCCCCCTTTCACCTCGCTCGTAGAGGGGGAAGAACTGGCTCGGGCCTCTGACCATTCGAAGAGACGGAAAAAGGAATCAAAGAAAGAGAAGAAGAAGAAGAAAACTCACGTGCAGATATCATCCGCATCAGCGAGGAACTTGAAATCCAACGCCGCGTTCGAGTGAAATCCCTTTTTGTGAACGCACGGAAAAAAAAGCTCTTCCCACCAGTCAGCTCCCGCCCCAGCCCCAGTGTGCCGAGATTCGGAATGGGTTGACAGGTCCAAAAGTTGATCGACGCTCTCCCTCCCTCCCTCCCTTTGATCGCCAAATAAAAGGACGTACCACGAGCGCCATGACCTGTTGACCTCTTCTCACGACAGAGTATTCCCGAGACGGATGACCAATGGGCGAAAGGGCGCAGAGGTCGACGGTCGAATGGATCTGAGCGTATGAGCCAAGCGAGAGTGAGAGAACGAAGGGAGAGAGGGAGCTCCAGCCTCTCGTCCTCAGCGGCCACGAAAGCCGAGAGCCGAGCGGGCTCGAGCGGGCCGTTGGCGCCCGAGCTCGGCCGCAGCTTCTTCAACTTACCCAGAGATAGCACAGATGGCGATCAGAATCACACAAGAAAAATACATAGCAACAGCGAGAAAGGAGAAGCTAGCACATTGTTTTCAAGCATGATCAAAAGTCGGATACTCGCGAACCCCTATCCGACCACCGCACCGCCTCCACCCAGCCCACTCCCGACCACTCCACCACTCTTCACATTCTGAATCAACTTGGTCACGACGCCCAGTGCCTTGGTCCTTCCTTCCCTGAACAAGAACCGATCCCCAACACGGATGAATTCGGCGTGTTTGATGAACCGGAATTGAACCCTGCGCGCAAGGATGGGTCAGTGCTTGGGTCTTGGTTCGAAAGCTCGTGTACGCGAACCCACGTCGCCCTATCCCCCGTCCTGATACAGGCCTTATCGACAATGGCCTCGATCTGTACCGTCTGTCGAATAGGCCCGAGGTGCATCATAGCTTAGGGACCACAACGAATGAGTCAGTCCTGGTGAGGTGTGACGTTCATACAAAGGCTTTGACGTACCTTGGTAATGGGATGAGATCAAGGTGTTGTGATACAGGATCAAGACTTGACCTTCGAACCTGGTTACCGCCACGGGGGGGATCTCCGTCTTGGCCAGCAGGACCATACCTGTCACACCAAACCAATCACGCATCAGTACCTTTGATCCCTCCACCCACTCGATCAACTTGAATCCACCCACCTTTCCTAATCTGACTCCTCTTGATCCTCTTCAACGCGAACGAGACGGACTGACCCGCCTCGGCCCTATTCACGTTGACCCTCTTCCTCTGAATACTCTTCACCGCCGTCGTCACAAATCCCCCCAACGAATCCGGGCCCAACAAGACCGTATCCCCGACGTTGACTACCCCACTCATGATGGTCCCACTTGCGACCGCGCCTACGAAGGGTACGGAGAATACGTCCGAGATAGAAAATTCGAAGTCGGCGTCGAGGGGGAAATGGGCTTTGGAAGCGATCGGAGCGACGTTGAGGAAGGTTTTGATCAGGTTCAGCCCTTGACCGGTGACGTTGGAGACGAGGAAGATGGGGCACGCTTTGGCTTGAGCGAACGAACAAGCCAGTTCACAGGCCATACCAGGGTCTTTGACGAAAACGGGGGTTTTGCGACACCCGGGAGAGCGAAGGATCTTGACGAGTTGTTTGATCGTTTGTTCGAGCACGTGCGCGGGGGTCGAGTCGATCTTGGTCACCACACACACGACGGGCACGGAAAGTGCCAACGCGACAGAGAGATGTTCTTTACTCATCCCGATCAATCCTGCGTTCGCACCGACGATCAAGAGCACGAAATCGGGTGAGGTCGCGGTCAAACCGAACAGGGTGGTCTTGAGGTACCTCTCGTGTCCGGCCAGATCAGAGAAACTGATGACTTTGCTCGCCCTGGCCGAGATCTCTTCCCACGACAATTGTTGCTTCCTCAAGCCCGTACCCTGTTGGAATACGGGTGTTTCGGGCTCGGGTGATGTCGAAGCAGCGGGGATGGTGTTGGTTGATTTCTCGAGGAGGGCCGCATGAGCAGCTTCGGGCATGACGGCTTGACCTTTGGAGGTGAACCCAAGCAATTCCATCCCGACCGACGAGGTCCTGCCCGATTCGATCTCATGCTTGTGACGAAAGAGCGAAACGCGAGCTCTCCCCCTCCCATCGTCCAAGCGTCCCTTGGTGAGTACGCCCAACAAACTCGATTTACCGGCATCGACATTCCCGACGACGGCGACCCTGACCTCGTTCAGATCCTGTGCGCTCTCGGCGATTTTGCGGACCAAGATCCTCAGGGCCTTGTTGCTCCATCTTTGGGTGGTGGCTTCGTCATTGACTGCGCTTGGGGTGGTGGTCACTTCTGGTGCATTTGGCCGCGTGTCGAGGTGTGCTCGGTCAAAGGGGTTGTGGAGGACCGAGGCATCGGCGCCGATCTCGTGCGCGAGGCTCTGGATCGTTTCGGCAATCTGCTTGACCTGATCGAGGGGGAGAACTTGAAGGAGCGGCGTGGGGGGAGGTGTGTCCGAGTCGGCGGGTAAGGATGACTCGGGAACGTCGAACAGAGACGAGAGGGACGTGGAGGCGAGGTTGTGTGATCCAAAGTGAAGTTCGAGTTCACCGTGCTGGAGATGGAGCGTACGAGCGAGGAGGGAGGCGAGCGCGGCGTTGGATCGCTCGGTGGGGGTCAGCAGTCGGTCCTGCGAGAAATGCAAGGTGTGTGAGGCGTGATCTCCAGGTGGGGTTTGGGGGAATCCTGACTGACCCTCAAGGATCTCGGATCGTCGTCGTCGTCGTCGTCGTCGTCGTCGTCGTCGACCACCTCCGTATTGTTGTTGCTGCTTTGCTCCAAGAGGTGGTGGTGCTCTGCTGCAAGTGGGGTAGTGGCGGCATCCGCGCCCACGTTGAGCTGGCCGGTTCCCCCTAGGCTCAGTTTGGCCAACTTGTCCTGCACGGTACTCTGATTGTGAAGATGGTGATGATGGGCCTGGACCCTCGCCAGGGCCTCCTTCTGATGGGCCTGTTCGAGTTGATCCTGGAACTGCTTGAGCGAAGTCCGTTCGGTCGGCGGTAAGGGAGTCGAAGAGAGCAGTCGTTTCTCGTGCCGTGTGGTGCGAGGTGGGTTGGGCGTGCTACTTGGTGTTGAGGTGGACATGGTGGGAGGGAGGTGGGAGGTGGGGTACGGTCAGGGTGTACGAGGGCAGGAAGGCAGGAAGCGGGAAGCAAGGAGACGAGGAAGAGGCCTAGTAGAGCGCGAGTTTGACTCGAGCACTAATCCGCACTAATCTCTACTAATCTGCTCTAATCGACGACCAGCGCCGGCCGCGCGCATCGAGTCAAACAGCGCGTGCAGTGTCACGGCCGGGTGCCGCGTGCCAGTGTGGGGCATCATTTTTCGATCTTGGCGCCTTTTTTCTCGGGGCCTTGTTTCTTCGTGTCAGAAAGCGTCTCATCACTAGAAAGGTCACCATTGATTCCACTGCATTAGACTCGCCGCGGTCGGATCCTGCAGGCTGCCCGATCGCGAGTGTCAGATATCAGATGGTGCTCCGATATCCCGCCCGGTCGATCACCCCCACACCGGCATCTACGGCTCACCCCGTCGTAAGCTCAGCTCCCGCTCTGCTCTGCTCTGCTCTGCCCTCCTAGCGCCCCCCTCCCAAATGTCATCACCTCCCTAAGCCTTCCTCCTCTCTTCCCCCTTTCCACCATGTCCCAACTCGCCCGCCGTACACCCTCTTCAGTGCGAGCGAGTCGATTAGCTCGAGCGAGTCAGGTCCAACTCGAAGCAGAAGAAGAGCGCCTTCCCGTGCTACAAGAGAGGCAAGAAGCGCATTCTCAGCCACAAGAGTCGGATCCCGATCTCCCCCACGACGACGGCGACGACGACGACGATCATGACGAGCAAGTACCTGCTCTACCTGCTCTCCCACCCGAAGACCCAGACGAAGCACCTTCGTCACCTGCCTCCCGCCCAGCAGAAAACCTTTCCCTCCCCCGCCAAGCCCTGCAACACCTCGATCACCAAGCCGGACAAGCCTTGGCGCTCAATAGGGCCTATCAGAAGAAATTGGTCGCGAGGATGTCCAAGTTGGCCGAGAGGGACGAGCAGTTGAATAGGTTCAAGGTGCGCTCAGGCGAGATGGGACAGCGATGTACGCGCTAGTTGATGTGTACCCTGTTTCCTGTTTGAAGCTCTTGTTGGACTCGATCGTCTACGACGAAAATCAGGAAGCACCACCTCAAAGCGAGGACGAAGAAGAAGGAGACGACCACGACCCCCAGGCCCATCCTCAAGTCCTTCCTGCCGCCCAAGTCAATATCGTCGCCAATGGCTTCAAAGAGGTCGCATTACCTTGGTTCAAGCATTTCCATGGACAGGTACGTCCGACACAAAAGCCCTGATATCATCCCGCCCTGGGAAAGCTGACTCTCTCTCTTTCTCGCACGACACGACAGTCCCTCCCACCTAATCGAGATGCCAAGATCAAAGAAGCCTATCTGACTTTGACCAAGTTTCATGCCTGTGCGTTCCCCAACTGTACCGATTTCATCGAGAGCTCTTTAAAGCTGAATGAGCCCGCGCCACACTTGCACAGGGTCCGCCTCGGATCGTCTTCGCCTCAAACAAGAAGTCGCAACTCAACTCTCGCGTCGCCAACATTTGCAAGACCAGGACCAAGAGTCAGTCCTGGACTCATGTCCGCGCGGCAACCCTTTTACTGACCATAGAGACGGCTTGGAGCAATCCAGCAGTGCCCCGATCGAACCTCTCGACCCCGAGTGGATGGCCGATTCGATCGATTGGGATGCGATTGCCCTCGTCGTAAGTCAGAACCGGCTCGCTCACCCCTCCTGCGAAAACCTAACCGCCTTCCCCTCTCCCCACCAGTTCCCACGCCACACCTCCATCGACTGTCGTCTCCAATACCTACAACACGACCACCCTCGAATCAACGTCGAACCCTGGACCTCGACCGAGCTCGAGCGTCTCTACAGCCTCCACGAAACCCTTCCACAACCTACCAACCTCTCGACCCTCAGTACCGAACTAGGCACTCACCGTACCCCCTCCGATTGTCTGCGCCAACTCCGTCGAAGACCTTACCACTCCCTTCCCCGACCTTTCGACGCCTCGGAAGATGCCAAACTTCTCCAAGGTATGACCTTGTACGGTCAAGATTGGCAAGCGCTTTCGGCGTACGTAGGACGTCCCGCCAACGCTTTGATCACACGCTGGACCAAGACCCTTCAACCCGATATAAAGAAAGGTAAATTCACTCCCGAAGAAGACGAATTACTCCTTCAAGCCGTTGAGAGATGGGGGACGAAGAAATGGAAGGAAGTTAGTTCGGTCGTAAGGTTTCGTACGGACGCGCAGTGTAGGGAGAGGTGGTTCAATCATTTGGATCCGGAGGTGAGGCAAAATAAGAAGAAGAGGTGGACGCAGCAGGAAGATGAGTTGTTGAGAAGGTTGAGAGCGGAGGGGATGGGTTGGAGCTTGTTGGCCAAGAGGTTCAAGGGCAGGACGGATAATGCGGTCAGTCTTTCTTTTGAGAGGGGTCTTTTGGCCGGGATGTTTCAACGTTTGCTGATGATCGTGGAGTATTGCTTTCCACAGTGTTTGGTGAGGATGAGAACCATCGAAGCGCAGGCGAAACGGGCCAAAGCGAAAGCGGAAAAGGAAGCAGCTGATCAATCTGCTTCGAAAAAGGGGACCAAGAAGAGGGCTCAAGAGGGGGAGGGAGGACGAGCGGGGAAGAAGAAGAAGAAAACTCAAGTGGAAGTGGAGGTGGAGGTGGAGGTGGTGGAGAGTGAGGAGCAGGAGAGTGAGTGAGTAGAGTTGGCTCACGGGAAAGGATTCTCTATGTTCCCTCGTGAGCAGCTCACTCGCTTGGTGGTAACTTCTTTCTTCGAGTTCTTGTTGTTTGTAAAAACTCGGCAAAGTCACGGGTCTCGTTCAAAAAAATGAAACTTTGCGTAAAACAAGAAAAAAAAAAGAAGAAGAAGCCCCTCTCCCGCTCAAACACTCAAGCTCCTCAACCCGCTCCCACCCTCAACGCGCAAAGTCGATCTCCCTCGATAAGCGCTCGGAAACACGTCCCCACCACCCACACCGCCCCCCGTGCCTGCCTCATCACTGCCCCGCGATGTCGTCGTAGAAAGGTCTAACCCCCTTCGGGGGTCGTACACAGTCCGTTTGGGTTTTTTGTAGGTCCAGCCCTGGTTCAGAAGCAAGTTGTATAAGAGTTCAGAGTCAGCCTCTGCCCCAAAGTCGTTTGGGGGTTTCGATTCATTCATCGTGTGAAAACTCACTTGGAACGCCAACCCCTTCCTAGCATCCAACAACATCCGCCCCTGCTCGACGTGCTTCAACAAAGGATCCCTCGTCGTATCGGGCGCGGGAATACCAGGAGCGATTTCAGGGGGCGGGAGAGGGTTCTAGGTTTGGGGTGGATGGGAAAGGATCAGATGGATCTTTGGGGGCTTCTTGGTATGGAAAGAAGTTGATAAGCTTACCGCATCGATGTCCTCCTCGAAATACCTCGTATCCGTTGACGAAGTCAAGCAAGGTACGAAAGGGGGTGTTTGGAGATGCAAGGTGGAAAAATCGATGCCTCGGAACCAAGGGTGAGCCTGTGGCAGAGGTCGAACTGGACTCAGCTCCCAGTGTGGTTTTGTTTCCCAGACCACAAAGGGGGTTCAAAAGCCATCAAGCCCCTAGCTCACCTTAATCTCCTCCGCACCATCTCCAGCGACACCCAGTTCGGCCTGCCCTCTCATTGCTGCTCCGGTCGGACTCCTCAAGGACTCCATCATTGAATTTGGCCTATCTTTCGACACGCTCCTCCTCGAACCCAGTCGATCTTCCCTTTCACAAATCAGACTCGTGATCAAATCCTGCGCTTCGCGGGAAATGCGAGGTGTCGATGGGAATCGGAGGTAGGAGCGCCAGTTTTGAATCTGGGGAATGGGAAGTGTTTAGAAATAAACGGGGGGTGAGTCGGGAAAAGGTAGAAAAAGGATGATGAAACTTTTTGTTATACCTTTTGACGAGTTTGAGTCCGGTTTTTGGAGACGCTGTAAAAATGATGAGGCAGTCATACTGAGCAAAGTTCTATCGACTGCATCTGCCATAAGAGCGGAATGGAGACCTCACAAGGGAGGGTAGCCATAGAGCATCTCGAACATGATTACGCCAAGTCTGAAACACTCGAAACAACCGGACATGATCCTTTAGCCAACTTCGACGCAGATCTACCTCGGTGTTGGACTTACGACCACCAATCCGACTCAGCGCCATACCCATGACCCCTGAGCACCTCGACGGACATGTAATTGTTGGTCTGGCGGAATCGAGCAAGAAGATCAGCCCGTGTGCTGGAACACAGCACATGAACCATCTTCCGAACTCACCCCAACGACCGAATAGGCCAACCTCCTTCGATTACGATCCCGCCAAGTCAATAAGCTGTCCTGAATGTCTTCGGCACCGTTCGACTCTTCTCTCTTAGGATCGAACAGGGGTTCGCCTCGAGGGAATTTGCGGCCTTTGATGTTGGGTTCTTCGAGGTTTATGCCGTGTTTGTAGAGCAAATCGCGACGTTGTTGGTCAAAGTAGGTGGCGTCGTGGGCCCAGTGGAAATCTGAGCGAGGAGGGGAGAAGAGAGGTTTAGCTTTGCGCTGGAAAAAAAAGGACCTTATGCGTAAAAGGTGTACCGGTCGCCAGGCCAAAGTCAGAGATGGCGATGTGCCCATTGGAGTCGAACAGAAAGTTGTCAGGCTTGACCTGTACCACCGAATCGCATATAAGCACCTCGGATACGACTTAAGCGCGGAGAAACACCCACATCACGATGGATCGCCCGAAGTACCGTATGCGTTTCTTGAATCGCGCAAATCATTTCGGCGATGTAAAACTTTGCGAACGGTTCCTTGAACGTATCTCGCTCGATCAGGAGGGTCAACAGATCTGATGCGCAGCATCATCGATGCGGTGAGTCTCGGAACGCAGGCCTTCCACAACCGACATCTCTTCCTCACCTCCTCCTCCCATGTATGTCATGACGAGATACAAATGATCGACATCTTGGAACGAGTAAGCGAGTCGAACCGTCCACCTCGTCGATGTTGAAGCTGTGGCGAGTAAGTCCCGCTCGGCTCGAACGTGCCCTTCTTGACCTTTGCGGAGCATGCTGCAGATGAAGACGACCACAAAATTCAGAAGGTTCTTTACAAGATTGCTCAATTCTCCCACTGGTGTGACTTACTCTGCTTTCCTCAGCTGCTTCATGGCAAAAACCCTGATTAAAGCGGAATACATCAGCAACCACGAACCCATGAACTTGCCCCACAGACAGCACTCACTCGCCGGTCCCCCTCTCCTTGACCAAACTGACGACCCCAAAAGCCCCATGTCCAATAGTCTTGAGTTTTACAAACGAATTGACCCCAACCCTCTGCCTCATCTCCCTCAGGTACTCCGTCTCACTCAACTTCCAAGCCTCCCTCACGCATTGTCGTTGCTGATCATTCAAGCTCAACCTCATCAACTCTTTCTCCAACAACAAGCGCCGCGTATCCCGATCACGAGGTTGTTTGAGGATGGCGTGGTATTTGGTCTCGAAGTAGACTTTGGCGGCGACGGCTTTTTCGATCGTCAACAGGGATGGGACGAATTTCGGTTCGGTAAACGGCGGGTTGAGTGCATCGGGGTCGTGGATGATTGTGTCGTCGTTAGAGGAGTCGTGTTCGTGCGAGAACGAGTGGTCAAAGTAGACTTCTTGTTGTGATGAAGGTGAGGAAGAACCAAAGTCGAAGTCGGGTAAGAGGGTTCGAGCGCCGGGCGAGAAACGAGTGGTGCCCAGTCCCCCTCCAGTGACGTTAACGTTACGTGGGGTAAGGTTCCGATCATGCATCTCCGGCTGCACGTCCCCTCCATCAAGAAAGGGCAAATTCTGTACCTCGAGCAAGCCCAAGAACGGTTCGTCCTCAATCGCCCCCGCCTCCGAAGGGACCGAAGAAGTGCTCAAAGGGAAAGGTGAAATATGACTCGAGCTAACGACTGAAGGCGGAAGACCGTTGACCACTTGGAGTCGACCCTCTGGCTGCGCATCGCTGCGAGCGGCTTGGACTTGGGCGATTCCGCGCGCTCGGGCGACCGTTCGCGTCGCCTCTTTAATGGGTTCGGCCCAGCCTCGTTCTGTCCCGAGATTGATCACCAAGCTGCATTCAGGGAACTGATTTGATGAGATGGAACCATGCGAGCGCACTCACGTCCAATCTTACCGACCCCGTCCAGCTTCCATCGGCGCAACAGGACCTCAGCCTGTTCAGCATCCGATGCATGCACCAGATGGCTGTATGGTAACCCAACCGGGTGCAGCAAATCAGTTGAAGCAGCACCCCTCTACCCTTTTAAAGGGAAGGAGGAGAAACAACGCCGGAGCCAAGCACTCACGTAAATCCCTCGGGCCTCCCAATCAAACCCTTATGAACCCCTTTGACCTTCCTCAACCCACCCCCATTAGGACCCCTCTGCATCTCCGGAGGCAGCGGGGCTTGATAATTCAGCCTCCTATAACCACCTTGATCCCATTCCTGATTAGGACCACCACCAAAAGCTGAAGGTGCGAGCGTCAGACCTGGTCCGACGATCCTCGAAAGGGGGTTGTAGAGCCTTGACCCAGTCGCGGCGAGCAGGTCCCAGAACCCAGAGTGGACGAGGATGGAAGAGGAGGCTGCGAGCGGAATGTTTGAAGTTCGAGTAATGGAGATTGGGGACTCGTATGCTCGGGGTAGGACGGTGGTCTCGTCCTTTGAGGGTGGTTGTGTTACTCGAGCGTTCGCTATGGCAGAGACTTCGGGTCGGACTGGTATCGTCGACGGTGGTGGTGGTGACGGAGGAAAAGTAATAGCACATCCTCTGACGGTCGGGATCGAAGGTAAAGGGGATGCATTCTTCCTCTGCGTCCTCGGAATGTTCGGCAAAGCACGATGAGCCAGCGAAGTTGAGCCTTGAGCGAGCTGTTGACCAACGAAGAAAGTTGATCGCGCCCCATCATCAATCGCACCTGACGAGAACCAATCACCCAAATCGTTTGCAGCAACACGAGGTGAGCCCGAAGTGCTGATTCCGTAGACCGATTCAAGCGCCGTGATGGGTCGAGGGAAGCCGGGCGTTTCGAGAGGCGGACACGGCAGAGGGGGTCGTGTCGACATGGTTTGGCCCGGCCTTGTGCTCGGCGAGGGACAGCGTACGCTAGACGAACCCACAGCGTTGCAAGCCGAAGTAGGGAGTTGAGGAAGGGGTCTCGAAGTGGTCTTGGGTTTGTGAAGACTCGAATTTAAGAGATCGGGAGCAAAGATGCGGACGTTCGGGTCCGTGGTGCCGTTCACAGCCTTAGAGGCCCGGGCTCCGCTTCGATCGTCTATCGTCGCCGCCGGACTCGATCGCGGACTGGAACTAGCAGGCCCGACACCGACCGTGTTCGTCATCGTCATCATCGGCGTCCGTCGTAGTTCACTCCTAGTCAAGATCCTTTGCAGCTGTGTATTGACCGAACTGGCTCCTGATGCGTCTCTTGTGATGTCGAGATCGAGGTTCCCCAGTCGGTCAGGTTCGATCTGGGGTGCGACGTGGACCAGATTTGGACGTGGGGAAGGGACGGGGACCCGCCTCAATCGCCGAAGGTTGGGAGTTTCCATCTGCAAGGGCTTGTAAGAGACGTGGGTGAATGGTTGTGAGCTTAAACTCCAGCAAGACCACAGGTCATGAGCTGAAGATGCAAGTCAAGGAGATGTCTCCACCGCAGACTCGAATGGCTCCCTCGCTCGATCGAGCGATGCAGTGCGGCAGTGCACGAGCCTCCTAACTTTGTCAGGGAGCTCCGAATACCCAAGACGCGACGCGTCGCGTCAAACGTATGATCAAGCACGACGGTACAAATACAACATACGATGCAACGACATTAAACTCTCAATCGAGCAACGGCGGTGTCGAGCCAGTCATCTTCTTCCTCCGGGGGAAAGCGTCCAAAAGCCTGACTGGAGACGAAGCCTGAACCTCCGGCGGATCCCGCAAAGAAGGGGTGGTCTATGAAGCGCAGTCGTCAGGTTTAGACCTTTAGCAATCGACAGTGGTTCCCAAGAGCACTTACTGAGCCTCTCTTTGTCGGATAGAACCCTGATCATCGCAACCTCGGTACCCTTCCCCCCCATTTGAGCATTCATCAGAGCTCCAACCCCCGATCCCATCCCCAACATCCTGACATGCTCGGCATTCATCTTCCTGACCGTGACATCACCTTCTTCAGCACTGGAGCTCTTGGAGAACAAGATCATACTACCCAACACGCTGCCAGCCCCAACGACGACGGGAGTGATCTTGTCATCGGGATTGAGGCGCACGGTGCGGAAGAGGACTCGAGTGCCTACTTCTGCACCGGCCATGTAAGCTGCCGAAAGCGTCATCAACGAGGGGATACGGTGAATTGCTATTGGAAGTAGAGAGGTCAAGTTTGTCGATCCGGTAGTATGAGATACGGGACCTTTGCGAAGAATTTGATTCGCTTCCTGACGGGTGACCAGGTTGGCCTGATGCATGAAGAGCGAAACGATGAGCAGTTGTGAACGAAATCCGTAAATCATCTGACACTGACCATGAAGAGAGTTGCCAGCAAGTAGTGGGTATCCTCCTTGCTCTGGATCTTGAAAAAGAACCACGAGTCACTTAGGCCGACGAACGAATCCAACACGCGACCCTTGAGTTGATCGTCGGGGATCTTGCCAATCTCCAACAAGAGCTGATCCGGTTTGCCCTGGGAAGTGATGGGTATGATGACGCGCAGACCGTAGACAATGTCCTGGCCCGGCTGAGGTGGGTAGGCGATGGCTTCGATGCGAGGTAGGGATGTTGGGCGAGTAAAGCTGGGCAGATGGAGGTGGTACACGAGAAAGAGGGCGAGCAGAAGCTTCAGGTAGGTTGACGGACGGGAAATCCACGGCGGCGTTGGGTGCTTCTCAGAGGCTGGTGGTGGTGCTGACTTGGCGGTGGTGGCATCATACTCGGGTGGAGGCGAGGCAAGTGGGGGTGGTGCGGGCGGCGATGACGTAGCACTCGGCGCATTCGCTGGCAGACCATCGCCCGCCATAGTTCCGAGTCAGGCCGGCAGGAAAACAGACGAGAGAGGTGGTAATTTATCCGCGATGAAGGCCAGGGCTACAGACGCGTATGTATGGTTTGCAGATCGAGCAGAGTCAAGCCGCGAGCAATCAGAGGCGCTTGGGGCGGTCTGCTCTGGCTCAGCCTTGTATGTCTGTGCTGAGCTTGCACAAAAAGTGAGCTGCGAATGGCGCTGCTTACCAGTCTCCCAGTTGAAGTCAGTCACCACATACACTTTAATTCGGATTGGAATGCTGACCTTCACACTCACCGTTCCGCTCCGCTCGGCACCGCACGACCGCATACACTCGCATCCCCACATCCATCTACGCAGCTCATTATCGAGTTCTTGTCGCGATTGGGATGGCACACCGCACACTACTCGGATAGAGAACGCCAATCGGATCTGGCTTCGGTCGCTTTGGTCAGTCGCCCCTGCATGTTCTACTACTCGGTATCACTCGGACTCGGACAGACTCCCCTGACCACCTCACTCCTGCTCTCGTGCGCAGACTCACCCTGCCTTTCTGCATGCGGCGCAATACCTGCTCTACTCTTCACCATCACTTACGATTCGCAACTCGGGTCGCTCAGCCTCCCTGGCCTCGACTGTCTCGTCCAAGCCCGAACTGGCCTCGCTCATCACCTCGCTCGTCGCCTTCTCCGACAAGGATGTTGGCCATCCAGCTTCGGTGACAACCATTCTCAACGCGTGCCTTAACGTATCCTCACTTTCTCTCGGAGTTGCCATATTCAACAATTCAGCAGCTTCCGACGCTCTAAAACTGGCGGCCCTACAGAAAAACCTCACCAGCTTCACGTGGGTCGGGATCGATCTGTGCCCCGTCGCCGATCTGCTTGCGGCATGGACCAACCTCCAAGACCTGAGCGTGACGGTCGAAACCTCGAAGGGACTTGAAATCATTCTCATACCGCGTTACCACCTACAAAGATTATCCGTATCGGGTAGACCAACTCACGGAATGTTGGTGCTCGGTGGGGACTACCTCGTGCACTTGCTCGGGTCAACTAGACCGGGAACGCTCCGGGTGCTTGAACTGCATCACATCTGCTTCGAAAGTTCGGATGACACCACCTCGGCCGTGCTCAACCCATATCTCCCCTTCGTACGGTCCTTGACCATGCGCCACCTAGTCCCAAACCCACTTCTGGATTGGCTCTGTGTTTGTGAGCCCCACACCTCGCTCCGTCGTCTCGTCTACTCGCCCACGGCTGGCACCACCCTGGAAACATTTGGAAACCCCCTCCCCATCCCCAAGTCGTTGCGGTTGATCCACGTCACGGGGCGAACGACATACCTCGAGATGGGACTCATTCCCACGCTCCAAAGCCTCGGGGTAGAAGACCATGCTCTGAGGTTGATCGAATTAAGAGGCCCCTTCGCGTCCGACCCTCGATTGGCAGTATTGAGGACGGTGTGCACGGTCCAAGGGATCGAGTTGCAGGTCAGGCGGGAATTTTCCGGCGTATCTGATTGACACTGAGAGAGATTCCCCCGTCATTCATGAAGCCAGATGAGATGCACGGCAAATATGTACAATTGCAACGAGTGTGCAGTGTAGCGAAGCGAAGCGGATCAAATCTTGCGCTCTACAGGGCGAATCGTCACTCCCGGTTTGATCAACACCGAAGGCAGAGTCTGGTCTCGTAGGACCTGTGAGGATGAAACATTTGAATCAGTTACCATATTTTCCCGCATTCCAAGCCGGTCATGGATCAGATAAGACCTACCGTACTCGTCGACCACTCGGGTCCCATCGGCGTTCTCAACTTGTGTTCGTGCTGCGCGACACTCGTATAAGGGAACGGCAGATCCTTAAGCAAATACTTGGACGCCTTCTTGTCCTTCTTCTCCGAGATGATAACGTTGGAGAACTTGGCGTCTTGACGATCCGAGGCTTTGATACCGGGGACGTGGGTGATGAATTTGCGTTGGGGTTTCTTGGATTTCTTGACGCCTTTGCCAGACCAGGCGCCCTGAGTCGACGCAAGACACAAATCAGCCGATGCTCGATGAACGGTCATCAACAGACGAATCACTCACCCATCCAGGCAACGTGTTATCAATCTCCTTCGGCGCATCTCTCTCGATCTCTCTTCTCTTCTCCTCCTCAAAGTCAGCAACCACATCATCGCCCGCAAAAGCCTTGGCGACCAACTCCCTCTGTTGAATCGCCGTCTTGCCTTTGCCCCTTTGGGCATCAACGTCTCCTTCCTCATCCGACGAATTCACCACCTCATCCTCCATCGTCAATCGAGCACTCGCCTCAGTCGATAATTCGATCCCGGCCTGCTTCCCCTTCGCCTGACCCTTCTTCTGCACCTTCTTGTCCGTCGAGGCCTCAGGTGCACTCCCAACGCCCTCAATCTCGATCCTCGCATCATCCTTCTCCGCCTCCCTAGCGTTCTCAAGTCGACTCTTCCGTCGCTCGACTTTGGATGCTAACTTGGTCGCGGCGTGTTCGTCCTTTCCGAAAGCGGCTTTGTTGGATTTGCGCGAGATCTTGGAGCCAGAGGCACCTTCGGCGGCGAGGGCGAGCCACGGATTCGATTCGGTCATCGAGGGGCCTGCAGCTGATGTGGAGGCGAGAGGAGAGGGACGGACGGATGCTACGGACAGAGGAGCCGATAGTTTGGTCGTGTGCGTGGACGATTTGGTCGAGGATGTCGAAGGTGGGGCCTGGGCGGAAGAAGTCTGGGTGGAGGTCAAAGGCTGTTTAGCTCCTGCAGAAGGCCTAAGCTCAAATCTTTACCTTGAAAACTGACCTGAGCTACCCCCGAAGGTCCGAAGACCATTCGCCCAGTATTACCCTGAACCTGCTGCGACTGCGCACCCGGTTCCTCGTCATCAGAATCGTCCTCATTATCAGCTCGGAGTGCACCACCCATCTCATCCATCCTCTCGAGTCGGGTTCGAAGTTCGTCCGTCGATTGCTGCACCTTGTGATCCTCTCGAGCGATGGCGTCCCTCATAAACTTCATGTTGAGCACACCCTTGAGCTGCGGCCCATTCTCGGCCTTGTCCTTCTCGCGCGCTTCGAGACTGGCAAGTTCGTCGAAGGCTCGTCGTCGGATCTTGTCGACACCGCCTTCGTTGTCGTTCTCATCTTCCGAGTCGTCCGAGTCGTCGTCGTCCGAAGATTCATCGCGATCGTCATCGCCGCGGCCTTCAATCCTCCTTGTCAAGGCCTCCTTGCGCGCTACCATCTCCCTCACGGCCGTGTTCCTCTCCTCATCCAGTCCCTCCAGCCCTCCAATATCCGTCCGACTCCACCTCCCACCCTTGGACGAATGCTTGAGCGTCATCCTCTCCTTAGCCCTCAACACCTCCCTCCTCGCCTGTTCATCCTCAGCCCTGGACCCACCGTCCAACAAGTCCAACTCTTTCAACTCGTTCAAACTCAACCCGTCCAGACCCTCCTTCCCCCCTTTGGCCAAAGACTTCCTATGGATCCTCCTAAACGCCTTGGACTTGATCTTGGCGACCCTCTTGGCCTTCCTCTCCGCACGGAACATCAAATCCCTCTGAGCCCTCAGCTCGGTCTGTCGCTTGGCCAAATCTTCCGGATCCAACGTCTTCAATGCCTGTTGTTCAGCCTTCTTCAAATCCGATCCCGTCATCTGTCCAGCAGCAAGCAAGCTCTGGATTGAAGCCTCGAGTTGGTTCGACGGCTCAAAACTGGCCGCCCATTCATTCGAGTTGGCGTCCCTTTGCGCATCCCCCGTAGGTGCCATGAGAGGGAGAGTCAGGCGTTCATGACGAGCGCCTTCGACGCCGAGGCCCGACACGCCCTTCATGCGTCGGACGGTCTCGTTCCACTTGTCCGTCTCTTCCTTGGTCTTGTCAAAAGCAGCTTCACGATCGATCTTGTCTTGCAGTCGGGCGGGGAGAGGAGCTGCAAGAGGTCCGGGAGCTTTGAGATGAGAGTTGGAGGAGGTGGTTGCGCCTGTCGAAGCGGTGGCTTTGAGAGTTTTGCGGAGCGCGACAAGCTTTGGGTTCTTGGACTCAGCGAACGAGGCGAGCAAGTCGTCGAGTTGGACTTTGCCTGTGTGCATGTTGAGTTTGATGAGTTCATGTTCCGGAATCGATGACATAAAGTGACGACTCACCGTCGTTGGCTCCATCCTTTGCACCGACAGCCACAAATTCGCCCTCGGGATAGGCTTCAGCTTTCTCCTTGAGCACGACCCTCTTCTTCTTCTTCCCACTCGCATTGGGCTCCCCACCCTCCAAATCATCATTCTTTCGCTTCTTGCCCGCTTCGAGTCCCTGGACGAATGCATCCAGCTTGTCGATCGCGCCTTCGTATTCCGAGTCATTGTCGTCGGAGTCGACCGAGCTCATGTCCTCGTCCTCATCGTCGTTTTCGCTGTCATCATCGGAGGCGTCCGAGTCATAGAGACCCATGTCGAGCATCTGAGTAGCATCATAGTAGGCCGCATCGTCATCAGAATCGGCTTGCGAGTCGTCCTGGTCTTCGTCGAGGTTGATCTCAAGCGATTTCGACTTTGAAGTCGAGGTGCCTTTCTTGCCCTGTCGCGCCGCAAGACAAAATGTTAGCCCCTCAGTGAGCATGGTATCGCCTGATCACTCAAATGCACACCTTCGTCGGAGGAGCCTCATCCATCTCAATCTCGGACTCTGTGCCCGCATCGTCCGAGTCGATGTCCTCGTCATCATCGCCACCTCGTCGCTGGCGCTCCTCATCCCCGTCCTGCTCCTCGTCCGAATCCAAGCCCATCTTCAACCCCTTGGGTTTGAACCCCGTAAAATCGACCGGTTGATCCCCATTGAACATGGCCTCCAGATCGTCCCTATCCTGAGCATCCATACCTTCCTCATCCTCATCGTCGTCATCGTCCCTGCGCCTTCCCTTCCCCTTCCCAGCGTTGGCCCTAGCGAGTGGATCTACATCTCCTCTGGCCTTCTTCTTTCCCGGTTCGAAAGAGTATACGTTCAATCCCATGCTTGCGGAGGTCCCATCCGCTTGGGACAAGGCCTTGGTCTGACGCTTCTTGCTCATCGGTTTCGACTTGGTCTTGCTTTTGGAGGACTTGGTCGAGCTCGAACCACCACCACCACCACCGCCAGTCGCCGTATTGCCCTGTGGGGCAGTGGGTGCCGAACGAGGTTGTCGACCTGTCCTAGCCATCTTTTGAAACGCCAAATGTGTGTTTTTGTGTGTAGAAGAAGCAACGATACAAGGAACTGAAGCGGAATGAGCCTCGCAATGAGTCGACCCCCCGATCGACGTTTCGCCGAAATTTGGGCGGAAGGCTGCGAAGCTCGCACGGACCCCCCTTCGGTTCGTTGCCTCGGCCGGCGACGAGCGCGCCCAGCAAGCCAAAAGATGGGCGGGCCGCTCTTCTGAAGTCGACTTCGAAGGTCACGTGCACGGCATCCGGCCACCCAGACCAACGGCAAGGCCCGTAACAGAACTTTCTTCCCGGCTCAACCAATCACAAAATCACTTGCCGTTACCAGCCGCGGACACAAACTCGTCATGAACTTTTTGGATCTGTGAATGTCCAGCGGTGGCAGTGTCTGCGTGGCCCGACCGGCGGAAATCAGCCGGGATTGTGGATACGTTACTTGTGGATATTCGACCGCGATGGGTGCCAAGCGACGACGGGCACGGGCGCCGCGGTTCCTCTCCTTCTCGCAGTTACCGATCCTTGCTACAGTTGAAGGCATGAATCGAATTAGCACTCAAATTCGCTCATGGGCCTCGATGCGCCCATCGTTACTCACATGCAGCTGCAACACGTCCACAAACGCCATCTACTCCACCTCCTCGTCGACCTTACTCAGCCGTCGTTCCCTATCCAGCTCCTCAGCATTTCGGTCGACCTCCAACAATGCATCACCCTATGTCTACACTTCGTTACCCACTCGCTCTTTGCTCCGTATCGGTGGAGAAGACGTCGACAAGTTCTTGCAGGGTTTGATTACGAATGACGTCGCTCGGTTGAGGAGCAGGCCAACGCATGCGTTGTATGCGGGCGTACTCAAGGCCGATGTAGGGCACCTTGTCACGAAACATATTTGTACCGTTCCAATTGCTTACGTTATGACCACGCCACAGGGTCGAGCACTACACGACCTCTTCATCTACCCCTCCCCCACTCCTTCACCGAGCTCGACCTACCTCCTCGATCACCCGACCGAAGTCTCCGACTCGTTCCGCAAGTACCTCAAAAGACACATTCTAAGATCCAAAGTCAAGTTGGCTCCAACGGCATCGACGGCGGAACAAGTCCAGGTTGCCTGGAAGCCGAGAAAGGGTGAGGATGCTGCGCCCGATTCGGAGATGGATCGGCTAGCTTTAGAAGCGGAGGAGTGGTTGCAGGCGAATAAGGCGCTGCGAGATCCGAGGGATAGTTCGATGGGTTGGAGATGGGTTGCAGAACAGGGTAATACCGATCAAGGTGAGTACTTTGTGATGGGGAAAATGTTTTCTCTTCTCGCGTCGAGTGCTCACTCCCTCCCTCGATCTCCAAAGTAGTTCCACCTCCCAAGCTTTTCCAACAAGTCACCCCACCCTATCACCACCTCCACCGTTTACTACTTGGAATACCCGAGGGGCAAGCCGATCTCGCCTCGCTACCTCTCGAAGGCAATCTCGACTTTCTCGGCGCGATCGACTTCAAAAAGGGTTGCTATGTCGGCCAAGAGTTGACGGCGCGAACGCACCACAGAGGAGTGGTGAGGAAACGACAGGTGCCCGTACGGTTGTTCCGAGAAGGCGAAGAGTGAGTTCGGGTTCTCTTCGTCCACTCAGTCTCTTGATCGATCACTGACGAGAACATATGAACACCATCCAGCGTTCCCGAGGAACTGTACCCGACCCATTCGACCCTCAAACCCTACCCCGAACTATTCCCCCTCCCACCTCCAGGTTCTTCCCTAACTCCGCCTTCCGTAATAGGCACCAAAGCTGCCTCCCGGCACACAGGTCGTCTTCACTCGACCCTCCCCATCGTCACTTCCTCCGGCTCGTCATTCGCATTAGGACTCGCCACCATCCGCATGGACAAACTCTCCCCCGATGCACAAGATGGTGGAGTGTTCGTGGTAAAGGCGGAATTGAAGGAAGGGGAAGAACAAGGATGGGGCGCGGGGAGAGTGAGATGGAAGGTGAGAGGTGGTTCGCGAAGGCTTTTTTGGAGGAGGGGGGTTGGTTGAGTCGGGGTTTGAAGGAGGAGAGGGAGAGGAAAGGTGGGGACGAATGAAAGGTGAACGTTCGTTGATAATAAAGGAAGGCAAACCTTAGAGAGCGGATGCAACTCAGTTGGTGAGACTGTACCACACAATCCGAAGCGCACTCCGAGTCGTGAACTTGCCGAGCGCGACACGGTGCGATCGGGAGCGAGAGAAGCTCGACCCCTGTCGTCGGTTTTCGAAATGGAATAGTCGCATCAGATGATCTTGGACAGTGGGGTCAATACCCCAACTCCCACTGAAGAGGGACCGTTGACTCAATGTCAGCGTTCTCCGAGGTGTTGCAAGGAGACCCGTTGGCTCGGAGGCGGTGCTAAGCGTCAGCCTTCGCCGGGCCGGAAATCAGGAGTCCAAACCGGTCTTGCTTATACATCCTCGGTGAGACGAAAAGTCTTTGGTCCCTCGCGGACAGCCGAAAGGGACTCGACCCCACACTCCTGCACCAATCCCCACCTCCAGCCTGTTTTGAGACGAAGTTTGCACCGCTCCGAGCTTGCGCGCCAGGGCTGTGCTGCTCCATTCTAAGATTTCTGGGCCGCCTCGATCGCCCGCGCGCTCGGGCACGGCAACAGTCCGACCGAGCTACGCCCTGCTACGCCGAGAAGCGCCATCATCGTCATAGCGGGGAATGCTCCTTGCGTTCGTTCTTTCCTTCCTGCTACACCTCCGTGCACACCCGTCCTCGAAAGCAAAGCCACTTCAAAGCCCAATTATCAAACAATGACCGTCACCCCATCCACAACTCCCGTCGACACGATGGCCATGACCGACATCAAGCTCGATTCGTCCGCTGCCCCCAGCAACCCGACCGCAGCCTCTCCCAGCACCGCCGGAAGCATCGTCTCGCAACAACCCTCCGCGACGGTCTCCCCGCGAACGGCCGAACAGGAAGATACGATGCGTCTCCAAGGTGGCGGGGAATGCTGTCGATTGATCTTTTGTTGCCCCTGCATTGAAGTGAGTTGGCTTTCCTGATTTGTCTCTTAAAGTCGCCACTCGTGATGAGGTCGTGATGGCGCCACGGCCGCGGAGCAAAGCGGGGTCAAACCCACCACCACCTATCGAGGATCCGAAACTGATCTGTTTCTGTGGATTCGTGTCCTTCGCAGTGCTTGATCTGCATCGTCACCTTGGGATGCGTTCGACCTCACATCGACTGCGGGTGCTAAACGACTTTTTACACTCGAATCGATCACCTCAACACTGCAAGACGTTCGAGACCACCCCCTAGAGCTCTTTTCGAGACATTCCACGCTCGAGAAAGGAGACCCCCGACCTGCGCCACCGACGATACGTCTGTTCATTATCTTTCTGTATCATATAACGAACAATATTGTTACGACCTTTTCTGGATCCTTGCTGTACATACGCTTTACGCATTACCTCGGGATCAATATGGGGAAAAAAAAAAAGGTCCGATCCCATTTTTCGGATTGCATCCCCATCGCACCTCGGAAAGTTTTTTTCTTTAGCCACCTCAAGATATTGAAAACAGTCTTGTAGGGTTTTACAAGCTCTCCAAGATTTTCTCCGTCACCTGATCGGTCGTCATATCCCCACCCAAATCCGGCGTCGTCGCCCCCTTCCTGATCGCCTCATCCACAGCATCATAAATCCTCGCAGCCGGTTCGACGTAACCCATGAACTCGAGCATCAAAGCGGCTGAACGAATCGAGGCGATCGGGTTCGCGATCGAGGGGACTCGGTCCGCGATGTCGGGCGCGGAACCGTGCACGGGTTCACCCATGATGAAGGAGTCGCCGACGTTGACGGAGGGGACGAGGCCGAGCGAGCCGACGAGCGCGGCGGCGCCGTCGCTATGGTGGAGAGGAGGGTGCGTGTCAATGCTTATAGTTTGATTCGGAATGTATTATGGTTTGGGGTGAGCCTTGTACTCACGAGACGATGTCGCCGTAGAGATTGGGGCAGCACAAGACGGAGAGTTTTTCGGGTTCTCGGAAGAGACTGCGCCACAAACAGAACGTACCGTTAGCTACCTAACTTTCCCTTCACGACACCAAGACCCTCCATGCACTCACCGGTAAACGAGCGAATCAACAATCTGCTCATTGACCGAAACGCCCGGATAATCCTTCGCCACGGCCCTGACACTCTCCCTGAAAAGCCCATCCGTAATCGACAACACGTTCGACTTGTGCACAATAGTCACTTCCGGTTCGCCTTGGAACCCATACGTCGTCCCACGTTGTTTCTTTACCTCGGCAGCGGCGAGAGCGATTTCGAAAGCCATTCGACCGATCCTCGTGGAAGCACGTTCGGAAATTTGTCGCATCGCACGCGCGACTTTCCCTTGCGGCGTATCCTCGATCGTCTCTTGCTTGATGTACAAACATTCGGTATTCTCACGCACGATCGTCATATCGACCGTACGACCCGAGGTTCCCTCGACAGATTTGACAGGTCGAACGTTGGCGTAAAGATCCATCTCTTTGCGGAGCGCAACGATAGGGGACGAGTAACCGGCGACTTTATGGGAGGGAGAAGACACGGCGCCGAACATGGCGGCGGTGCATTCGTTCTTGAGGATTTGGACCGTTTGGGGAGGGAGGGCGACGCCGGTTTTTTGAAAGTGTTCGAAGCCGGCGTCGAGTTGGACAAAGGTCGGGGTGGGGATACCGGGTGTGGCTTGGAGCACTCGTTGAGCCGCCTAAGGAATAATCCAGATCAATCATTCTGATGCACACTGTATTTTATTTTTTTGGTTCGAGACCACTCACGGGCAAAACGACTCGTCCGATACCATCACCGGAGATCATACCGATCCTCAAGCCCTTCTTGGCCGATTCGCGCAGAGAGTTCATGGCCATTGTAGTCTGATTTCTGAGGTATTGAGACGCGTACACACCAGATTAGCATGCTAGATCACGTTGAATCGTCCTCGATGTTGCTCATCGCCCGCGCATCTCGAGCACTCGAGCGATACGTTCCGAAAGCTCCGACGTGCGAACTGCTCCGGGGCCGCGGCGGACACGACACGACATGACGATGCTCCGTGTATGACGGCCTGGCCAAGTCGGTCGGTCGACTAGGCCGTCTGTATCTTGGTATCTTCTCCCCGAGTCGCCTCTTTGGATGCTGCAGTGTAGGAACTCACGTAGGGTTGGTGTGGACGTGGTGAGGAGAGAACTCGAGAGACGAACGGAGTTAGGGCGCGCTCTCAAGGCCAGGCGCTGCTCAAGCTGAGAATTCGATTGAGCAATCTTCTCACCCAATCATCAAAGGATGCCGCCTCCTTACTTGATTTACATCTGTCAAAGGTCTGCTTCAATTAAGTCTGCAAAGATAATACACATGAAGCAAGAACTACTTGTCCCCCTCCGTCCCCTCCTCCCCAACCCTCTTGACCCCCTTATCCGCCGTCGCCGTCGCCGGTGCCGAACCCCAGAAACTCCATCCACCCGGGGGTGTGACCTCGGCTTCCTCCCCTGCCCTATCCGAAAGCCCCAATTCCTCGATTGACGGAGGTGGAGGTGGTTCAATCTTGGGTGTTGGGGATGAGGGTCCGGCGGAAATGTAGGCTACGACGCAGACGACAACGACGACGATGGCGGCTGTGGTAGTACAAGGGACCGGTTCAGTACCAAGACGACTTACAACCTGGGTGAGACCGCAGTCCAGAAGTGTGTACGTACTCATGACTCGTCTCGTCGAGATCCACTTTGTCGCCTCAATCTCCGTTCGCACTTCCCCCAAGAGGATCGTGAATTTACTGTTCAAGTCCTGTACGAAATGAGTCGGCGTTCTCGATGAAGGGTCAGCGCATGCACCGATGGTAACCTCTTTCGGTCCTGCATGGCTACGCACCATGATGCTGACGTCCAACTGCTTCAACTCGCCGCTCGTCTCTTCCTTTCGCGAATTCATATCGAGCTACGGTCCAACTCGTAGAAAAAGTCATTCGCCAGCACTAGGATCGGTGTGTGCCAAGGAAACAGAACCGACCTGAATATCACTCTGCAGCCTTTGCATATCCTCCTTCATCTTTTGCGAGATCGCATCCGTTTCCCTCTGCAACACGGCCGTCATGGACCTAAGCGCGATCCCATCGTTCCTCGACTTGATCTGCGACCCCGTCTTGAGTTCCTGCAATGCGGCGGTGAAGAGGTAGGCTTCCTATGCATGCCGAACGCAACGATTGCTCAGTGAATGTTCTCAGTGAAGATTTTGAACGACGATAAAATCACGTACGTTCTCCAGTTCTTGTTTGCCGACCAAGTCCTTCATCGCCTGTTCCTCCTTGACGAGCAACAATTCTTTGGTCGCTCGCATCAAGTCGATCGCGAGGGCCTTGTTGATGGAGTTGTGTTCCAACTGACGAACGAAACGGTGGGTCGAGAAAGGGATCCGAGGGACGGGGATGGGTTGGTGTGGTGGAGGAGGGGGTGGGAAGGATGAGGAGTCCGAGGAAGAGTTTGGGGAGATAACCATGCAGGTTGAGGAGTGGGTCGGTGGAGTTCCCGACGTGTCCGAAGCTGGTATGGCCTTTGAAGCGTTCGGTGTCGAAGTCGACGTAGACGCCACAGGTTCTTCCACCGTAGCCGGCTCACTACCTTCCTGTACCGCCGATGTCGAAGCCTCGATTGTCGAAGAAGTCGTTACCTCCGAAGGCGTGCTCGGTTTAGCGAATCGTGCGCGATCCCTCGGATGCAACGAGCCGTGCGCCTCTCCCCTCGGTGTCGAGGTCGAAGACACGGGCGACGACTTTGAAGGTGGACCAGGTCTTGTCTTGCGCTGCGAGGGAGGGGAAGAGGGTGTGGGAGGTGTTGTGCCGTCGGACGTGGCCGTCGACGAGGAGGAAACGAATCGACGCGGTGTGCGACGCGTGATTGGGTGGAGAGGAGTGCCATGGCTTGCTGCGAGGCATGTAGTGGAGGAAGGTGCGGTCGAAGTGGAGGCGATACGGGACGCGTAGGACCATATTGTTCGTGAGGTGCCTGCCATGACTTGGTGGCGAACACGTTGAAAGGACGGTCTGTGCGATCGATCGAGAGATACCGCAACGTTGCAGGTGGTGTCACAGAGCCGGCAGTGGGACGCGTTCCTGGAGTCGGATAAGTGCGTGCCACGAGATGCGAGGTGCTGTTGCAGCGTTGTGGGAGGCGGGGCCGAAACGGGGGTGCGTTGGGAATCAGGGGAATCAGAGGACAAGGGCCGAGCGAGATCCTGGCAGTCACGTGTCGAACAAACGACGACGATCGATCCCGGCGACTCGAGTCAAAAAAAGAAATTGAACTCGGACGGGCAAGCTCCGGGTAAGCTTTCAAATATGGCACAGGGCTGCAAAGTGCAAGATTTTGCGAGTGCTGGGGGCGGATTATACCGTAGCACCGAAAGGAGCTTTTTCGGGGCGACCGGCCGGTTTCGGGTCCGATCGCGCTTTCGCTCTGTGCTCCTTAGCCTCCTTCTCGTCTCCTCTCCTTTTGCCAGCCGAACAACTGTGCACCGATCACCGATCACCGATCCCCACTTCCGCATTCTTTAGTAAGTTCCGCACTCTTTGGTAAGTTGACCCAGCCCAGCGCCTTCCTACTCAATTCACAAGGCCGAGTTTCCCTCCTCCCTCCTCCCTCCTCCCTCAGATGTCCTCTTCCTCCGTCTCGCTGCCCGCCCCACTGGGCGACTATGCCCATCTACTCCCGCCCTCTTGGAAATCCATCATCAGCTCTTGGCTGGCCGAAGACACACCTTCGTTTGACTATGGCGGGTTCGTCGTCGGTGAGAGCGAGCAAGAGGCGATCTTGTGGGGCAAGTCCGAGGTCAGTTGTTTCTTACCCCAGAGATCCACTGGACCCAAGCCCTGCAGATGAGTTTACGGGGATACTTTGACCTTTACGTACATCGATAGGGTATCCTGGCCGGAGTCCCTTTCGTGACCGAGATCTTCGCCCAACTGGGATGCACGTCAGTCCTCGCGAGACCTTTCTCCCCCCCACCTTCCACCCACCTGCCCGCCGCCCTCCAGCCCTCACACCCCTAACACCCCTTCGCCCTCCCCACAGTGTGACATGGCATCTAACCGAAGGCACACCCGTTCAACCTACATCGTCGACTCCCAAGATCAAAGTCGCGACCGTGACCGGACCGGCAAGAGCTTTGTTGTTGGGGGAGAGGGTCGCGTTGAACACGATCGCGAGGTGTAGTGGGATCGCTTGGAAGTAGGTCTTTGTTTCGGGCTGAGAGCACCAATCGGCGTATTGAGCTGATCGGGTTCTCCCTTCACTTTACAGATCGAGGAAGGTTCTTGTCAAGGCTAGGTCCTTGGGATTCAAGGGTATCATCGCTGGAACGAGAAAGACCACACCAGGTGAGAGAGGGACCCCCACCTTGACCGTTCAGGGTGAGGAACAATCGATCCAAAGAGCTGACTCTGCTTTCCACAGGTTTCCGCCTGGTGGAGAAATATGGCATGCTCGTCGGCGGCGTCGATCCCCATCGTTACGACCTGTCGAGCATGGTCATGCTCAAAGACAACCACATTTGGTCAAAGGGTAAGGCCCCTCACCCTCCGTACCCCGAACCAGACCCCAAATTCTAACCACAGCTTCATTCCCACCTACACAGGTTCCATAACCCAAGCCGTTCACTCCGCGCGTTCCGTCGCCGGCTTCGCCCTCCGCATTCACGTCGAATGTCAATCCCTTTCCGAAGCGCGCGAAGCCATCTCCGCCGGAGCCGATATCGTCATGTTGGACAATTTCACCCCCGATGATCTGAACAAGGCTGCGAGGAGTTTGAGGGAGGATGCGGAGAGCGTTGTTGGGAACGGGAATGGGGGTGGGGGTAAGAGGTGTTTGGTTGAGGTTAGTGGGGGTTTGACGGAGGAGAATATGCAGGAGAGCTTGTGCCCCGGTGAGGTTTTGAAAGCCTTGGTGCCTGGTCGTGTGTTATATGGGAGCTGATTGGGGTCCTGATGGTTTCATAGATGTCGACATCTTGTCGACGTCGTCGATCCACCAAGGCACGTCGATCGTCGATTTCAGTCTCAAGATACAACCCAAGACGACGACGACGGCGTAGAGCATGGACGTCCGAGTCGAAATTGCTCGCACAGTGAGCAATAGAAGGACTTGACTGCGAATAAGAATTGGGTTGTAAATGCAGACGAGTACGCGGGAACGACATTGAGAAAGGACTGAAGAGAAAATGCCGAGGTGAAGGCAAGGCACACGGAAATATGAAGGAAAAGAATGCGATCGAGAGAACTAGAGTTGTACAGACTACAGGTGGTTCGAGACGTCGACGAGAAGTAGGGATCATAGAGGGCATTCCCTGGTCCATCGGTCATGCATCGTCGATGACAATCTCGTCGTCGTCCATCCACGAAGCTTCGACCGTGTTGCGCACCCGTTTGACGTATTCCTGTGAGAAGAGATGGCACGAGCTTCGGTGAACTATCCTACAAGTGAGATTCGTCCGATTCCTCATTTTCTTCACCTTCATGTTCTCCCTGAACAACTGAGCCGCTTCAGCATTCGCGGGACTAAACCAAGCCGAGTCCAAAATTGATCAGCTTCTCCACTCCCGACCCCAATTCCTTATCAAACTTTTTTGTGTTGTCGGCTCACCTATTCGGATTCGGATCATTCAACAAACTCTGCACCGAAGTCAAGATCGCGGCAACATCGTACGTCGGACTCCAACGATTCTGCAAAATATCGAGACAGAGTTCCCCGGAGGCGTAGACGTTGGGATGGAACATCTTGGAGACGAACTTGACGGTTGGCGGTTTGTTGGGGTAGGATTCGTCGAAGGAGAGCGCGAGACGGAAGGTGCCGTCTTCGAAAGGGGTTTCGGCTGGGAACATTGAGGAGAGGCAGGATTGGTCAGCTTGTCGAGTCGGGGAGGAGGGTCGGTGAGAGAGGGTGCGACGTACCCGGTCCAAAGATGACGGCGTTCCAGACCATGATGTTATCGGCGCATGGTGAGCCAGAAATACCTCCTACAAGTGCGTGACGTGGTGGACGAACGCAGGACGATCAGTTCTACACCGATCAGAGTGGAGGGGGAGGGGGAGGGGGGTCTCATTGCCTCGATCGATGAACGGGCAACGCACCTGGAGGATCTGTTGAGAGCGCCTTGAAATCTCGGACTGGGTAGAGCAGGCATAAAAACGGGTCAGGATGAATCTCGCACTCCAGGAGCAGTGGTAGGCCCGTTCTCGGTGCTGGCCCCCCACGAGTCATCCGACCGATCGGGGCGTCGTCATGGTCAAGGTGGAGGTGACTCGATCGGATCGAGCCAAAGGCAGATGCACAGAGGAGGGTACGAGAAGACCACTTACCCAATCTCCTTCGTGCGGGTGTCGACATGATCAGAGCCAAAACGCGACTACGATACTGGGGGTTAGGAGCGAGAGAGACAGCGAGAAGCGAGCGCACGCGCTGACTTCGGCCGTGGCACGCGACTCAGCCTGACTCAGCCAGACTCAGGTCCGAGGGCTCGGCACCGGCGGCCAGGGGGGGTCCAAAGTTGTGGATCATTGCATACACCTCAGCCAGTCATCTCATAATTTCGTTGAACCTACGGGAGTTAAACCACTGGGAAGCTAGATCCAAGTCGTATAGGCGAGCACCGCATACATCGAAGTTCGGTTAAAGCTCGGCGATCCCGCCGCGGCGTGATCTCATCGAGTCACCATTGACCATCAAAAAGGGCGAGGCGAGGCCCGAGGGCGACTTGCAGAGGCCCCCCACTTCGCCTTTGCATTTCCATGGCAAACAGTGATAGAATACCTTAGTATTGACTACAGCCAAAGTCCCACTCTGATCCGAACTTTCTCAAACCCACTGCTCCGAGCCGACGATAGCGCCAGCCTCCCAAGTTCCCAACATCAAATCCCTGCATCGAAAGGTCAACGATCCAGATTTTCTCAGTCGCGGTGCTTCTCTCTGTCGTTCAAATTTCCAGCCTCCAGGTCTTGGCAACACTCGTAGAAAGAAGCGACCTCTGGTTAAGGGAAGTTGGGATGGCGCGATAAGCTGATGCAAAAAATCGAGGCAGCGTGGCGCAACTTCAAGAACAGCCCCACGAGCGCGGCGGCGCTATAAGGACCGTGATGATGCCCAGATTCCAGAACAGCAGTTGACGAGAGGGACGCGTTCTGCCCACCGGGCTACTGAGATCGATCCCTGAAGCTCATTAGAAGTTTTCCCTTGGAACATTTGGGGGTCCCAGGCTCGACAAAGATGCTACATATTTGAAAGGGCCCAAAGTGTTTATTACCCCTCACGCGCGTGGCTGTTGAAGTCCCAATAGGAGAGCCCGATTTTGGCGCCGATCGGTTTAAACATTGCTCCCCCGGATAGGAGGACCCGGCATAAGAGCTCCGATCACTAATTTTCATTGATCGGTGGCACCAGCCGGGTTGCTAATTAACCGGGCGCACTCTGCGAGTCGGCACTCAGCTTGTGCAGTGCTTGTGCCCTCTTGTGCCTCCGCCGGCAAGTTGCAACCGCCTGGCTAACGCACGGCCCTCTCCTTTCCGTCTCGCTGTACTCGTCTTGTTCTAACTTGGGCTGAGTTGCCTCCCATCTACAAGACACACTTTCACACAACCGTCGTCAAGTCGCTTCTTTCTGATCTTGCACACCTCCGCACCATCGAGGTCAGCCCACAACGCTCGAATCTCGACAACGTGTAACACCTCGCTTCCACCACTAGCGACAGCCGATCCTCCCGCCGCACCGAACACGCACACTATGCGTAATCCGGTACGTTCCTACGCAACAGTCCAGTGTCAGCACCCGATGATGTGGTTGTCGAATGCGGTCTTGGGCAACTCGTGCGCAGCAGCATCAACTTCAGCATGGGTTTCCCTAAAAGGAGCTTTGTCGGCGCACCACGTCGAAGGATAATCCAGGAGGAACCCGCTTGTGAAAGAGCTATTCCTACCAGCACTCCTTTAGTAATGCGACCCCAATTGTAATGCTTGTCCAAGTGGGTATGTCTTCAGACGGCAACAAGCCGCGAGTCCCGTGACTCCGCCACGTCGTCATTGCTTCCCCAACCACAGAGTGTACGCACCAAAACCTGCTGTGGTGCTTCAGAAGAATCGCGAGGAGGTTTCAGCGATCACAAACGAGCGATGCACAGACGTCCACTGCTGCAGTCCGAACCCGTCTGAAGACATACCCATTTAAACAAGCATTACTGCTTGTATCTTTCACAAGCGGGTTCCTCCTGGAGTATCCTTCCACGTGGTGCGCCCGACAAAGCTCTCTAACGAGATCCATGCTGAAGTTGATGTTGCTGCGCACGAGTTGCTCAAGACTACATTTGACGACTACATCATCGAGTGCTGACACTGCACTGTTGCGTAGGAGCGGACCGGAGTACACATACTGTGCGTGTTCGGTGCGGCGGGAGGATCGGCTGTCGCTAGTGGTGGACGCGAAGCTTAACACGTCGTCAAGATTCGAGCGTTGTGGGCTGACCTCGATGGTGCGGAGGTACTGAGACTCGATGGCTGAGATGACGGGGTAGAAGCAAGCGAAGAGAAGCCTTAATGCCCGCGCTCGTTGAAGGTGGCGGAGCAATTGCAGTAGGTTGCAGTCATCTAACTCTGCATTACAAGCTACAGTGACAAGTTCGGGCATGAAGCCCGAATGACAACATGGCGGTCCGTTGAATACTCCCGGGCTGCGGAAGTGCCATCAATCCCGAGTCTCGCACGTGGCCACGCGCCTCTTGTCCAACATTCAGGAGCTCAGGAGCCTCTTGTGGCACGACGGGGCTGACTCGGGCTGAGCGCCCATAAATTGCAAAACGGGTCGAGACTACTTACCTACTTACTACTTGATTTTTGTTTCGGATGATTAAGGAGAAGATGACTGCTCTTGCGTTCCAGAAAAGTGGCGTAGAGGACCTTTCACGGATAGAGGAGCGAACATTATAAATGCCGTTACGCAAAGCTCGAGCTTCGCATTGTCGGACTCGCAAGCACAGCCGTGAGGCGACTCAAACCGCGCCCGTTTTTTTGATGATACTGACGGTATCACATTTCATTAGGTACACTCGTAGGATATCTGGGTAGGGCTAGACTTCATGTCAACCGAGGACCCGTTCCACCGTCCGATTCGTCGATTCTGCCCTGACGCTGGCTACGGCTCGAGCCCTGATGGGAAGCTCAAGATGCATTTCTGAGGTGAATGTGCATTCGGTGAGCGGTGCCATGGTTCCACGGAGCTGGTTGTAGAGCCAAGAATAGGCTATCGACCCGTAAGAGATCTGGGTTCCGAGGTGACCTCCAAAAAAACCTTTCTCGGTGACAAAGTTGATCTTGGCGCCGTTGCGGCACCACGATTGAGCCGTCTTCAGGGCAGAGTCGTAAGGTACCACTTCGTCGCTCGTACTATGATACTGTTGTGGGAAATTAGTAAAGGGTCAGCGGTCCAGAGGGACTTGTGGCATTGGGAAGTTGGCGCGCGCGTGGCGCGGCGCCGGATGGAGGCAGATGGCGGTGTGGTGTCTTGATTGGACTCAGAGGTGGCTTGCACGCGGATACTATCTAAGGCTCTGGTTTCGTTCACTCTCTCCCTCTTCTTTAACACACACTCGATATCTATCTCGCCCATTCGCCTGCTACAAGTTGATTGACCTTGGCGATACTCTATCTCACAATAGGTCATCTATCAACGCCGCGTAGCTACAGCGAATCTTCATTCATTCATTGGTACTCCAAGTCCAAATCCACAACAGGTTATGAGTTCGACGACTACCACCAATGTATCGAATGAAGGGGACGTCAAGATCACCAAGCTCGGTAAAGATAACTACGAGCTGTGGTCGATCCGAGTCGACGCGTTCCTCGAAGGTCGTGGCTACAGCAGTGTACTTCAACACGGAGCCGACCGACCATCGAGTATGGATGTGCAAGCATGGAAGACTCTCCATGGCATCGACCCAAGTCTAGAGGAGGGCAAGGTCCCGACTCTAATCACCAAGTGGGATCGTAGTGCGCGCGCGATCATCATCTCGTGCCTCGACGATTCGAATCTCAAGATGGTCAAGAGCAAGTCGCTCTCAGCCAAAGACATCTGGGAGAAGTTGAAACAACACCACGAAGGGAACGCCGATCCGTTCAAGATTCGCACGCTACTCTACGAGATTTCGAATGCGTCGTACGATGAGGACACCAACCTCGGCGAGTTTCTCAAGGGCATCACGGACAAGGTCGATCAACTCGATGATCTCGGCCAGAAGTTCAAGGATGAAGCCATCGTCGCGTTTATGCTTCAAGCTCTACCTCCCTCATACGAGATGCTCAAGCAAGCTATAAAGCTCAGCGATAAGTGCTCGGTTGACTACGCCGTCAATCGACTTACCGACGAGTACAGTGAACGCAAGCTCACTGGCAAGTACGACAAGTTACTCAAGAACGCGGGAGCGTTAGCGGTTCGCGAAGGCACGCAAGTCAAGCGTGATCCGAACTGCATTTGTCGTGGTTGCAAGGGAACCGGTCATTACCAAATCGATCCGGAATGTCCCAAGTACGATCCGAACGCCAAACGCGGTCGTAACAAGAACCACAGCAACAAGAAGAAGAAGCAACATCAGCATTCCAAGGGATCTGCGGATTCGGAGGAGTCGGCTTCTTTTGCGTTGGTGGTCAAGTCTCTCGAGGAGAGCCATTCGCTTCACATCAACGTCGCGAATAGGGTGTCACAGAACGACCAGAGTGAGATCTGGATCCTGGACACCGGTGCAAGTCAGCACTACGTCGGCAACGCAAGTCTGCTTACCGACCGTCAACATGGAAGTCTGAACGTTCAAACCGCGAGCGGTCAGGTAGTACATTGCGACACGTATGGTACGGTACGGTTCAAGTTGAGAAGCGGGGCCTCGCTCTCACTTTCGAACGTCTACCATCTCCCGGGCGCTCCGGTGAACCTCGTCTCGACTCGTGCTTTATACCGATCAGGAGCTAGTTGCGGATGGGAAGATGGCAGGGATGTCATGACGATCAAGATCAAAGGGCTTACCGTAGCGAAGACGCTGAACGGTACCGGTTACACCCTCGACTTTACGCGCATTGTCGAGGACCAAGCTCATGTTGCAACTCGTGCGACAGTGGGAGCGCCTTTGATGGAATGGCATCGTCGCTACGGCCACATCGCCGTGAGCTCGCTCAAGGAGCTCGTCAAGTCAGGCGCTGTAGATGGACTAGTTCTCACCGACGAGAAGGTCCACGACTGCGAGCCCTGCATCAGTTCCAAGTCTCGCGCATCGAAGTTCTCCGAGTCGGTTACCCATGTCACCGACGTCCTTCAACGCGTATTCATGGACATCGGATTCGTCGCAGAAGATCAAGTCGATTTTCAAGGTCGAAAGGCGTACCTGGCTATTGTAGACCAGTACTCGACTGCGAAGTGGACGTTTCCGTTGAAGACCAAGTCGGCCGAAGAAGTCACTCGCGTATGGATCGCATTTCGACAAGGTGTCGAGAAGATGACTGGTCGCAAAATCAAGCGCGTTCGCACGGACAATGGCAACGAGTTCACCAACAAGCTCATCGGCGCAGATTTCCAAAGTCAAGGAATTCTCCATGAGACCTCAGCACCGTACACCCCGCAACAGAATGGAACGGTTGAACGCTTCAACGGCTCGTTGATGGCGATCGTTCGTGCGGTCCTTGCAGCCTCCAAGCTGTCCTGGAAGTACTGGTCGTATGCGATGGAGTACGCCACGTTCGTCGCGAATCGGGTCCTACACTCCAAGTTGGATGGCAAGACGGCTTACGAAGTTTTCTACGGAAAGAAGCCCAAGGTCTCGCACTTTCGTCCATTTGGATCGACCGTCTTCGCGCAAGTCCCCAAGTCGAAACGTGTCAGAACCCAATCATACTGATTCTCTTCTAATTCTATTTACTTCTCATGCCACTATTCCACTCCTACTTTGCACTCCTTCTTTAGCCTATTACCCTCTATGCCGGATCCCAGCGCCTGATCGAGACTCGGTTGACACGTTGGCTTGGGTTGAAGTCGCGCGCCTCGCGGGCACTCGTCTCTCTTCCTTCTTCATCCATCTTCCATCCTCGATCTTGCGCCCGTACTCAACCCCTTGAGTCGGGATCCAGTCCTCCATACTTCTCACAAAACGCTCTAAGCTCGAGCCGACTTCAGTCAGGGGAACGTTCATCGGGTATGACAACGAGTACAACTATCGCGTGCTCGTCGACTCCGATTCGGAACACAAGGTGATCATCACACGCGACATCGCGGTCTTGAACCTACAACCAGAGGAGGTCCGTGCACCGGAGGTCACGACTTTGCTCGAGGGGCCAGATGAAGATGAGGGTCCCGTCTTGGAAGGCAACGACGCCGGAGACGAACTTCAGGATGAGGTTGCTGGAGAGCAGATAGCCCCTGCTCGTCCGAACCGTCCTCGTTGGGAATACGGAGATCCCGCGGTTAGGGGTCGAAACCCAGGCAGGTTTGAGGAGATCGACGCAGGCAACGAGATTCATCAGCGTACTCGTGGCCAAAGGCGCATCGTGGAACAACAAGGTCTCTTCGTCACAGAGATACCCGAACTCGATCCCGAACCACCCATCATGTCTGGCTATGCGATGATCAGCACGGATCGTCCGGCCGTACCCAGCAGCTACGAAGAAGCGATGAACAGTGCCGAAGCGGACAAGTGGAAGGAAGCTATCCAGGACGAACTCAATGCGATGGATCGTCATCAAGTCCTTGCAGACTCGGATCTTCCCCACGGTGCTCGCGCTCTCGGGTCGAAGTGGGTTTTCGCTCGTAAGGAGAACGCTCAAGGAGAAGTCATTCGTTACAAGGCTCGATTGGTCGCGCAAGGTTTTGCACAGCGATCTGGCATCGACTACAACGAGACTTTCGCTCCCGTTGCTCGCTCTACGACGATTCTCTTTCTCATCGCCATCGCTGCATCCCAAGGACTGTGCCTCGAACAATTCGATTACGACTCAGCGTTTCTGAACGGAACGATGACGGAGATGGTCTACATGAAGTATCCCAAGGGTTGGGATCGTCCTCAGCTTGGCCAAGTCCTTCGTCTCAATAACGAAGCAAGCTCCTCGAGAATGGAACTCGGCAGTCAACAACCTCATGGTCGCTTGTGGTTACTCGCGATCTGACGCCGATTCATGTCTCTACGTCAAGCGTGTCGAGGAGATGTTCGTCTACATTACTCTCTACGTCGATGATGGACTCGCTGCCTCGAACGATCAGACGTTTCTGGATTCGGAGATCCAAGCTTTCAACAAGGTGTACCAACTCAAGCGACTTGGTCCTGTGAAGGTGTTTCTCGGTCTCGAATTCCTGCGCACGTCCAAGTTCATCTTCGTGCACCAGTCCAAGTACATCAGGAGCCTCGTCGCTACGTATGGCGGAGATCACGGATCGAAGCACCCAGCGAAGGTCCCGATGGAGCCCAGGTCGAACATGGAACACTCGACGGAGCCGTTCGACGACATTGCACTCTACCAGTCAGCAGTGGGAGCTTTGCAGTATGCTGCGCATCGTGCTCGTCCCGACATCGTCACTTCGGTTCGTGCAGCAGCTTCCAAGGTTTCAGCTCCTACCCAGGCCGACTGGATCGCGGTGAAGAGGATCATCCGCTACTTGCAAGGTACCATTGACTGGGGACTCAAGTACAACCTCGAGGGTTCGACCGTGTTCGAACTCTACTCAGATGCCTCGTGGGGAGACGACATGTTGACTGGCAAGTCGATAGGAGCGTTCGTCTCGATCATGGCAGGCGCAGCAATTTCTTGGCAGAGTAAGCAGCAATCGATGGTTGCGACTTCGACTACTGAGGCCGAGATCTTGGCTGCTTCTGCGGCAGCAAAGGAGGCCATGTGGCTTCGACGCCTGGCTGCGGATCTCAAGATTCAACAACCTGGATCTACACTTCTCTGGGAGGACAATCAGGCGGTGATAGCGATCGCACAGAACCCGGCTCATCATGGTAGGACGAAGCACTACAGTGTGCATCACTTCTACATTCGCGAGCGAGTTACGATTGGCGACATTCGAATCAAGTATTGCAAGACAGGAGCCATGACTGCGGATCTTCTCACCAAGCCGCTCGCTCGCAACTTGTTCGAACTTCATCGTGATGGATTGGGGATGGTATCCCTTGGAGCCTTGACCAGTGGGAGTGTTGTGGGAAATTAGTAAAGGGTCAGCGGTCCAGAGGGACTTGTGGCATTGGGAAGTTGGCGCGCGCGTGGCGCGGCGCCGGATGGAGGCAGATGGCGGTGTGGTGTCTTGATTGGACTCAGAGGTGGCTTGCACGCGGATACTATCTAAGGCTCTGGTTTCGTTCACTCTCTCCCTCTTCTTTAACACACACTCGATATCTATCTCGCCCATTCGCCTGCTACAAGTTGATTGACCTTGGCGATACTCTATCTCACAATAGGTTAGTTGTAATACATTAACACACACTCGATATCTATCTCGCCCATTCGCCTGCTACAAGTTGATTGACCTTGGCGATACTCTATCTCACAATAGGTCATCTATCAACGCCGCGTAGCTACAGCGAATCTTCATTCATTCATTGGTACTCCAAGTCCAAATCCACAACAGATACATGAACACGGATGGTTGCTTTGGTGTTTCGGTGGCATTTGAACCCATGACAGACAGTTGCAGGTATTTGGCGACCAAGGGTTGGTAGAGGAGCTCGGGGCCTAATGATTGGAAGTCGGTGGAGAGGAGGTCCACAAAGGCAAAGTGGACAAGATCCCACACCGCACAATGCTGTTTGGCTTTCGATAAGACGGCTGCCCCCTTCTTGGTGGCTACTCGTTTATAAAGTGGTTGCAGTTCTGGATATGCCGCAATGTGACCGGCCATTCCGCTGACCGCGAGCCCCTGCAGCGACCGAAGGCATGGTGCCATGGGGCAGTCAATACAAGCGCACCGGTGGTATGCCTGAGAGTTACTTACAGCCCACATGCCACCGTTAACCTTGATCATCGTTGAAGTGACGTTCGCTGGCGTGCCCCCGAAGGCAAGAGCTCGGATATTGAGCTCAGGGGCGTAGGTAGCGTGCAAAGCCGCGGACCAGCCGGTCCCGATCGCCCCTCCCGAGTACCCCGAGCCACCAATAATCACGTCTTTAGGTAGTCTCAGAAAGTTGATCGCGGCTCGATAGCCATCGAGAATCTGGTACCCTGCCTGGTGTCCCACCGAGAACGCCGAGTTGTTGCCTTCGAAATCGGTGACGATCACGGTCCAGTCGTACTTCATGAACGTCTTTAACTGCTCGTCTTCGAACGCAAAAGAATGAAAAGAATGAAACAAGTCATATCAGGTCCCGAAAGGGGCCGCCGACCTCCTCCGCCTGTGCTCACCTCCGTCCGGGCAAAACAGCTGCACCGAGTTTGTGTTAAAGCAATAGGAGGGTGCACATTGGGGTGCTGCTGCGTCTTGGTACATATTATAAGCAACAAGATACTGCGGAGAAGACTTCTCGTTCTGTAGAATCGTCGTGACGGTCGTAGTCGGACTGTGATGTGCATCATTGGTACGAAATAGAATCTGAGTGCCTGTTCGCCCCGAACCTGGGTTCGCTGCTTTGCGTGATCGATAGACGGTGCCAGGTTTGTCCTTCCGGATTGAGGCTGGTGGGATGTAGAAAGGGTCTTCATCCGGAGGAGCGAAGCTGGGCCCCTCGCCTAAGAGTGACGATGCAGTGATGCCAAAAAGTGGGGCCGAGCACGCCGGCGTCACGGAAGCCAGGCCCAGACAGGAGGTCAGTATCCGCGTGAGCAGTCGGACTGCGTCATGCCGTCGGACCATGGTGTCACGACCGATGGGTAACGATAACTCTGAGAAAAAGAGTGGAATGAGTCTGGAGCTGGGTGCTTGCACCGGAACGGTGAATGCACTGCCATTGCCACAAGGGCGGTCGCCGACGAACTAGGCCGGCAACCGAGACGCCGTGCGATTCAACCACTGACCGAACGAACTCGATCTGAAGACGAGCGACGGTGTTGAGTTATATATAGGCTTCCCCACAAATTTTCGCGTGTCAAACCGCCTGAATCAAGAAACTAGCTGCCCAAGCGTGCTCCCGCACTTGTATGCAAACAGGCGCCGCTCGAGCCCCGCATGCACTGACCCTGCGTCCGTGTCCACGCACGCACACGAAGCAGTCGCAGCTCAGTATGGTGGCTCGTTTTTTCACAGTGAAATAGGGTCGGTTCACAAGCAAACGCATCTTTTTGAGTTGTGGGGCAACGTCCCCTGTCGACTGCGCATAAATGACCACCCCGTCCTTTCACTCAACCTAAGTTGGAGTGAATTGAGTTGGTGTGTTGGGAATGAGGGTTAGGAATCGCGCGTTCATTGGTAATCTGTTTAGAAGCGCTCGTCTGTTTAGTGAAGCCTGGCGATGCGCACCAACCGTTGTCTTCTCTCCACGGTTGGATTACACGCTCGTCAGTCTCTAATTAATTGAATGCCTCTACACGGGTACAAAGACCAGAAAGCTGAAGTCTCGTGATCGACACTCGGTATCGCTAAGGTGAATTTCTATACGACGTTGTGGGACGAGGGTAGACGTGGGAATTATGTCTAAATCGAATACGGCTGATCAGGTCGATGACCAGGGTATGTGAGGGCAAAATTCCGGTTATTTCTAAATCTTGCGAGAATGTGATCGCAAAGTATGCGTGCGAGAGCGTTTCCTGATCGGCAACGAAAGACTAAGATCGGAAGTGAAGGAGCATTTCGTGAGGGGTGCGATGTCCCCTCGCATTTCGCCATCGAGCCAGGCGAGGGCGGTGTCGCCATAGGCCATCTGAGTACCCGTATGCCCGGAGATGCCATTGATGGTCACAAAATTGATCTTGGCGCCGCGGCGACACCAGGCATGAGCGGTCTTTTGCGCAGCCTCATACGGGATGACTTCATCCATGTTACTGTGGAACATGCAGATTGATGGTTTCGTGGGCGTTTCGGACGATTTGGTACCCATTATGGATCTCTTGAGGTATTTGGAGACCACAGGATCGTACAAGATATCTTTGCCCAGGGACTGAAATTTCGTTGAGAAGATGTCACTGAAGGCAAAGTTCAAGAGTGCGTAGTTTGCGCAATGGCTTTGCGCAGCACTGATCTTGGAATGGCCGAACCGTGTCGCGATTTGGTTGAAGCGTGAGTTGAGATCAGGGAACGTGGCCAGTTGTCCTGCCAGTCCGGTCATCCCAAAGCCCTGTGTCAGATCGTGAGATCACGGGCCAGACCAGACAGTGAGCTGGCGCGTCTAGTGATTGTGTGAGGCCGGGGACCGCAACTCACGGCGTACAGGCCACCATTGAGGTGCATCAAGGTGGAAGTCACATTCGTCGGAGTGCCGCCAAGCGTGATTGCTTTGATATTGAGCTCGGGAGCATACGTATTGTGCAAAGACGCGGCCCATCCTGTTGCGAGCGCACCACCGGAGTAGCCGAAGCCTCCCAGAATGATCTTCCGAGGCAAGGAGATAAATTTGATCGCAGCTCGGTATCCGTCAAGAATGTGGTAGCCGGCGAGGTGGCCCACAGAGAATCCCGAGTTCGTGCCTTCGTAGTCGGTCACGATCAAGATCCAGCCCTTTTGTATGTAAGACATCAACTGGTCATCTAAACAGCACATCATCATGGTGGAGCTTAGTGACTGCGCCTTTCCAGCTGACTGAATGAAAAAAAGCACATCAACTTGCCTACATCTGGACAGAAGGACTGCCCAGGATCGGTATTGAAGCAGTAGGATGGGGCACATTGTGGAGCTGCGGCATCCTCGTACATATTCCAAGCGACCAGATACTGTTCCTCGCCGGTCGGCGGGTTCGCCTGCAAGATCGTCGTTACCGTCGTCGCGGGTTTGCCCACGGCGTCGACCGTCCGAAACAAGACCTGAGTGGCGGTCAGATCCGAGCGACCGGGGTTTTTGGCATAGCGGTATTGATAGACTGTGCCGGGGGTATCATCCGCAAAGGTACTGGGTGGGATGTAGAACGAGTCGGCGTTGGGGTAAGGAAAGTCGGATGTCGAGCCCGCAATCGTTGGCCAGAGGCGGCCCAGCAAGGACGCGAGTGACTTGGCGCGAACGGGAGGCAGCGCCACTAGTAGGAGCAGGAAGATGAGGTAACGAGCGAAGGACCACTCTTGACGAGAGAACATGTTATGGTGGATGAGAGAGAGAGAGAGAGCTGTAGAAGAAGAGTGATTCCTGCCCATATCGAGCGGTGAAAACGTCGCAGACTGCACCGCCGCGCACACTCAGCTTCACGTGAGGATTCGGACAGCGGGTAGGCACTCGCATGTGGGGACTTTGAGGTGCTTGGCTCTAAGACTTCTCTGGGGTACTGCTGAAGATAACGTTTCGGCCTTGGTCTGGAGTGTCCTAGCTTATTCAGATCCCCGAGTCTAGCACACGGACATAGCGGCCTGAGCTTTTAGGCCCACTGCCTCGAGCGACCCCCCACCGGCCGGCTGGGCTGTGGATCCCGGGTTTGTCGGCGCCGGTCCGTACGACACCGCCATTTGACTTGTGTTGAATTGTGCTTTATTTCGATCTTACCACCTTGCTGGCTGTTGGTGTTACAGGATCCTGATTCAGAGGAGGATTGACCTCTGCGTTCGCGCTGAGTAAAACGAACCTAAGACCATTGGAATTGCGCTGCAGGCCGTCCGTCCGCGCCAAAACCGGACGCCTGTTGTAGTTCCGGAACTCAACGAACCCGACGAATCCGGCCCAAGCAGCTCTTTCAAGTTACTTTGTCCAGCCGACCACGGAGCTGAGCGAACGCAACACCCCGCGCGTGTTAGTGAGATAGAAGTCCCCTGCTCCTCGACCTGCGCAGAGCGAAACGATTCTTTTCTTTCCAAGTCTTCTTCGCAAGGTGAAAAGCAAACAGGTGTTCAAGGTCATTGTCCATGAATAAAGGGATACACACACGATAGGGGAGACGCGAAGAGAAAGAGAGAACACAAGCTCATAGAATGTGCTTAGATCGTTATACACAATGGGAGAATTGAACTAAACCCCAGCACCACCGACGCAAACTCCACTCTAATGTTGCAACACGACACGGCCTCGAGTCCTCGGTGTCCCGATCGCCTACTCATTGTTGGGCGATTCGCGGCGACCAAGATCCTTTGATCGGCGCGCCTCGACGGCTCTCGATCTGGAACCTGCAGCCTCCTGGCTGTTTGTACTCCGCGACGTTTCGAACGATCCACGGTCGACCAATGACTGACTGCTGTTAGTGAGTGCACCGAGTGCGCCCGAGTTGGTCGATCGACCGGTTGATCGTGAGATCTGCGATAGCCGTGCCGACCTGTTGTTCACTCGCAAGCGCGACGGATCGTCCTCTGGGTCACCCCCCATTAACATCGCACTCCCGAGCAGGCTCTGCCCGATATCGATGTCGCTCGTTGCAGGGGCCGTGCCACCACCGACCGACAATGCGGCCGGGTATGACAAGGGTCGAGAGCGTGAGGTCAGGTGAGCTTGATCACCCGCAGCAGCATAATCGGCGCTGTGTCGTTCACCCCGGATGCGTCCGTGAGAACGACTACGAGGTTGAGGCGCAGCATTGGCGAGAAGTCCCGAGGGGCTGCCGTCGAGGGAGGTGCGCGTGCTCGCTCGCTCGTCGGGGGTCGTGTAGCCGGTATCGTCGCTTGCGCCCGAAATCATGCGTCGGTGCTCAGACCAGTCCACGCCATGGTGCAGCGGCAACGGTCCGTAGGCCTCGGGATCGAGCGATCGTTGCGGCGACTCGGCATCCGGGTGGACAAAGTACTGGTTGTGGCGCCGCGGCGAGCCATGGGAGGCCACCCCACGTAGATCGGCAGGCGGCAGCGGGGCAGGGTAGTCAGTGGGACGGTAGTCGTAGTCGGAGTGCTCGTTCGGCTTGACCTTGTCCAAGTAGTGGTTCGACAGGATGCGCTCACGGCCATCGCGCTGTCCCGTTTGCTTCGCCGGCATGCGACTCGGGTGCAGTCCCGCCTTTTCGGTCTCGAACAGCATCGCAGCCGCAGCGGCCTTGTCGTTCCTAAGCTTGGATCGCTCGGTCTCGGCGTTGCGGGTGGTGTTCGAGTTAACGCGGTTGCGATGGTGTTGCTGACGTTCGCGCTTCCTTCGCGCCGCGCGCTTCCTCCAACAGCAGCAGGCCACGATCACCGTCAAGAGGATCGCACCACCGACACCAGCACAAACGGCGGTCGCCCATACGGGCCAATGAAAGCCGCCTTTGTCTCCGCTACTGCTGCCTCCTCCTGAGCCCGAACCGCTACCTGCCGTCGCCGTCGCCAGGGCTACCATCGAGGCGTAGCCGTTCGTCGCTTCGACGCCGCCAAAGGTGTTGGGCGTGCGGGTGTAGACGGGGACGTCGCTGAAGGTGTAGGCTAGCTGGACCTGGTGGGCATACTGCGACGGGAAAGGGACCACGATCTGGGGCGTCGCGAATGAGCTGAAGGCGGACTGGGTGATGGCCAGCGTCCGGGTCGAGGTCAAAGCAGGCACGGTGCCCATCGCATTGTTGAAGTTGTAAGCACCGGTGCGGGTGTTGGCGGTCGCTATCGACGCCTTTGCCCTCGAGGTGGGGTTGCCGACGGTGGTCGAGGCCATGGGGGTAGGAAGGGTATTGGGTGTGTGTCCCGGATCGAGCGCCACGCCGACGATGGGCGTCACGGCAGCCGAGCGAGCGGCGTTGGTATGGTGTTTGGGTTCAGAGCGCTGACCTGGGTCGGTACGATCGTCAGGGGGACCGTGTAACAAGCGCTGAGAGCACGTCAGACCGTCGAACAAGGCGAGGTGCTGGGGTATCGTTTGATCGTTTGCCTCGGTAGATGGCTAGCTTTGTAGATGACTGCAGGAGGGATCGAAGGCCGGGACGGGTCGTTCGCGATCAGTGCCAGACCGAGCGCGCGTCAGAGACCCTGAAAATCATCAATCCGCGAGCGGTGCAGTGGCCGGACGCCCGGCGCAATCGCCCCGTGCCATTGAGCCCAGCATTTTTGGCCCAACACGGCGCTGCAGCCATCGCACGAGCGTCGAGCAAGAGTGCCCATCAATCAACTGCACTCACCACTGGTCGATCGTAGGGGTCCGGTGCGGTGGACGATATAGGAGGCCAGTCAATAGATGCTCCAAGACTGGTGCGGAGAGTTACGGAAAGCACTTGAGGATCTGGTAGGTACGGTAGGTAGATGAGATGGTTGTGGATGCCGGTCAAGTGACAAGAGCGCTGATTGATGTGACAGCGCCGCGATCGCCCAGAAACAGTCCGAGCCCAGACAACGGCCTGCCTCTCGGGCTCTGCCTTGCCTTGCCTCGCCTCGATTCCAATTTGGGATTCGCGCGCGCGCGCGCGAAAAGGGCACCGCCGACACGCGTGCGGCGCGCATCTCGCCATCTCCCCTGGTGCCCGTCCACTCTAACCCTCGCTGCCTCGATGCAATCCTAGGGCCAAACACATTTTCAACGGCACACATTCTCGTTGCTACCGCCTAGTTCGTTCTGAGAGAAAATAGGAAACAGCCTTAAGTAGTATTACTGATATAAATCGACGAGAGCATATACCTGCTCCCAAAGCTTGACCGAACGAACACGAGAGAGAAAATCTCGAAGACCAAAGCTACATCCCAAGACCAACCGTCGAATTTTGCTTCGACGTTTGGTGAACATGAACAGTAATACACGATCGAGTTGACGCCACCCCAACATGCATGAAGGAAGGTCGTTGACAGCGGCGTGGGGCCTCCGCCCCCCGATTCTCGGACTTGTCGAAAACAGGGGCATGTGCAGTGATCACGCTGTCGTGGCAGTTTAACCTCAGCCTTCACTCTCGTATTGATGGGATCGGCACGTGATTTGTGCCACTTCCACGATCGAACCATGGAGACTGCATCGCAGGTGGCGTAGTGGAGTTTCGTTTAGGTGACGGTGGTGACTGCACTGCTGGCTGCGGTGATGGTGTTCGAGGTACTGTGGGCAGAACTGGTAGGGGCGGCACTGGAGCCGAAGCCGCCAGACCAGGGGCGGCGGCAGCTTGGCTCGTAGACGTGTTCCGGTTCGTCGACAGGTTCCACCCAGCGTTTCGAAAAACAAACTCGTTCGGATCGGCGAGGCCGATCGTCGTTGGCGTCTTCTCTTTGTCGCTCCCACTTCGCACCTTCTCGAGCATCAACGCCGAGTCGGTCGGGATCAGCAGCTTCGGCACGCTCGAGCGATGTGCGTGTCCCAAGCTGGTGCCCATGTCCGGTGAATCGGACCCTCCCCCTTCCGATCCACTCCCTGGACTTGCCAACTGCATCAACTCGACCGAACTGTCGCCCGCATTGTAATTGCGAGTCAAGGTGTCCGAATGCCGCGGTTTGCTGACGACGTGGGGCGGCTTCCTGAGCTTGTCCGGCATGGTGGTCTTTGGGTCAAACGTTCCTGCCAATGCGACGACAGTCGACAACGCCCCATGCTCATTAATATGCCCATTGCCGTGATGACTCGACATCTCCACCTTCGACAGTTGGATCTTGGACTGCGAGTGGACGGGCGTACACTTGCTGGGTAAGGAGCACGAGGAAGGCCCATCGGGTTTGATGATCGTTTCCGAGCCCGTCTGCGCTCGCTCGTCCAACATGCTCGAGTCCCGTGAGACTACACCGCGCCACCGCCTCACTCTCTGAGCGAGCAAATCACATTTCCTGATCGCGAGGACGCAGAGGATCAAACATATGAAGCCGGTCACTGCCGTAGGGATGATCAGCTCGAGGTGAAATTTCCGTCGGGTCGCCACCAAGTTCGAGTCGTAGAGGGAGTGCTCTATAATCGTGTCCATCGTATTGTTGCACGTCCCCGGGAACCCGAGCTTGTATTCACCCGTGACCTGGGATCGCACCAGATTCTTGTCAACGGCAAACACTATCGAGGGTGAGATCGGCTCGTAGGGCACATTAGTTTTAGCAGACAGAGCAATAGCAAGAAGATAGAGGGTACTAGACTCACTGACAATGGTGGACCCCGGATCGCTGATGTTGGTCAGTAGCACGGTCGATGTGGTGTCTACGGATATATCTGCCCATGTGGCTTTGTCCCTACGAATCCCAACAAAGTCGGAGCAGCATCCACAACGTGTCTCAGCATTGTGAGAAAAATTCTTCACCTCGTGATGAGCACGCCAGCCAGGCCACGCCCGCAACGCACGGATTCAATATTGTCAAAGTAAAGGGACCGTGCCCACCGTTGATCTGTAGCAGCAGATAGTTGCACGGGTTCGACGGAGGGTAGAGCGCGAGTTCAATCGGTGTCGATAGCTCGGTCGCCATTTTGCAAGGCGGGCGGGTGCTGTTCGACAGATCGCCAGTGGAGTTCGCTTGTGGTATGGGCTCGTTGGTATTTTTCAGGGCTGAGGTTGCACCGGTGATGACATCTGATGGGGAAAGCAAAGTCATTGGAGCTTGAATCAGCTGAATTCGATGCGCCAAAGTGGGAGGCACCTTCGTTGGATCCGGGCTCACATGGGTTTCTGGTCAAACCACCGTAGTGACCGTGGGCGTCGAAGAAACCGAACAACACTCGTTGACCCTGAATCGCGCATTTGATCAGAAACGAAAGCTCGCTTTGTTGGACTGGGTGGACAGAAGGCCGTCCGCAGGCAAAACTCACCACGGGCAGATCGGCCACCCAGTGCGCTCCGTCGGCGCATCGCGAATTACTGATGTATCGTGTTGGCTGCATAATTGGATCCGACGACTTCTCAAAATCAGCTTTCCGTTTCATCAAATAAAATACAAACCTTGACAGGCTGGGAAGAAGTGCACTTGCATATATCTCTGAATCGATGGGGACGACCATCAGGATCAAGGGCACAATGTCCTCACCGGAGACGCAATTGTTCTGCCACGTTATGAGGGAGCATTGCGGTACCGAGAAGGCGTTCGGTAAGCCCAGAGCGGAACTTGTCGACGGCGCCAAAGAGAACAACGAAGCGTTGGTGAACGTGAACATGAATTGTCGGTCGTAATAGATGGGAACGCGGGGGACCAGTCGCCCGTTCGCCACGTCCGATCCGAGCGAGCCGACTGGGTTGACTTCCTCGACATCGCAGGGACGCTGCATCGAGGTCATCTGCTCCGAGTCGTTCATTTTTGGGAGCGCCGACGGGAGGTCGACGAGCACAGATCCTGTTCGATGCTGCGGTCCCTTGGAAGGGCTAGTCTCGATTCAGGTCCAATAGAGCCTTCGCCTTCTGAAGCTTGGTAATCGGTAACGATAAGCACTAGAATGGCTGCCGCGTTTCAAGGGGAGGAGTCTGGATGCGGTCGCCCGTATTAGACCGGCGTCGCAACAGGTGAGTCCGCGTTGATTTCTTAGGGGCGCCTGCGTCAGCGCTAGCGCGCGCGCGGAAATCGCGCCTCGCGCCTCGCGCCTCGCGACTTGCGACTTCTTGCGAACGTGCACCAAGGTCGACGGGCGACGCGATAGGTAGTACCAGCGTTTGGTCAACACAGTCCAATCTGAGGGAATTGGGGAGTCGGGAGCTGGTGAGGAGAGATACACAGCAGCTTCGTCAGCAGATACAAAGCAAGGAACCGCCGCGTCAGCATCAGTTCTTTGACATTCAGCCGAGGCCGTCGCTGCTCTGCCAGTCGCACTGCATATCCACTCACCAAGCGACTGCCATCCACCCAGGGTATATGTGTTGAAGAGATCAAGTAAACCCTCTCACTGCTAAATGATTGATGCAAAGGGTATCGCGTCCCAGTGACGAAAGGTGAAGGGGGTGGGGTCGACTCCCGTCGGCTGAACAGTGTCGTGAGTCGCAGCTGACGGTGAGGGCGCTCTGGGCAAGAAACGAACAACCAGTGCCCTGCCGCCTCTATTGTTGAATAGTGACGGGTGACTTGAAATCGAAAACACGGCGAAGGGACAGAGATAAACCCGAACGCCCCTGGGCCCCAGACCCCGCCTCAGGTTGAAACGGGTCTTGCGACAGGGGTAAGGGCGGAGGGGCCCGCTCAACGCTGACTCTTTAAACGCCGAGCACGCCTTTGGTTTCGAAGACGCAAAATGCGAAGGGCGGCGAAGAAAATACACCGGCAAATGAGCGGCTCTAGTCCAGTGTGCATCTCCGTCTCGGAAGGGGAACTCTTTTCATTCGAAATCTAGTGAGTCGCCAGTCTCGGGTGGCTCCTCAAAGCGCGCTCGAGTGCATCCGTGCCAAAACCAGGCGTAAGGCTACGATCGACTACATAGACCGGTGCGGTGTTTTTATCGCCGGCCGGAAATCACCTCCTCGCCCTGGGAGCTCTTTGGTCCTGACTAGCCTGACTCCTGAGCGGGATCTGACGATCATCTCCGTCCACTCGCGGTTCCGGGGTCTGGCCATCGCAACGGTCAGGTGTGCTGCACCCGGGGCAAACCGCATCCGGGGCGAGGGGCGAGGGACGCGGGACCTGCTTCACTGGCTCCGACAAGAAGCGAAAAGGCCGTCGACGGCGCCTCGCGCCGACTGGCGGTGAAAAGCACTCAAATACGTGATTGTACTTCCAACATCATTAAAACTTATATCTGGAGCAAACCTTATTTAGTGGAAGGGGTACTGAAAACATAAGTCCAATGCCGTGTGACAGCCTGTTCAAAATATGAAGGTGACGAAGAGACCCTGCTGCTCAAGCGTTTCCTTCCAGTCAACGGGCCATCCCCGCTCATCCGTCAGTTGCCAAATGCGTTCCACTGCAGCCAGATTTTCGTCGGCCAACCTGGGTCGAGACAAGGTCGCCCAAGTCAGTATCTTTTCCTAGCCAATTTAGGTTTCTCGCACCCCTCAGACTCACTTTTGCGGCCGACACCTTTTGAGCGCCTCCCGACAAAGGCTCCTCTCCTGATGGGTTAACGCGACCGTAGCAGCCAAGAACCACGGTGCAGCGCGATGCGAATGAACGCTCGAGAAGTGCAGGTTCTCCTCCATCCTCCGTTGATTGTCCTCCTGACTTCTCCCTTCGCCCATTGGCACGGCCGAGTGGTGGATGTGAGGATCGGGGACGTCGCGGCACGTCGTCGCCAACGTCTCAACCGTCCGACTACCCAACGCCAAGGACTGCTGCAACGCGCGCCGAATGGGGACCGCCAAAGGACCCGCGCGATGAACGGTCTGGTGAAAGTAGATGATCGTCGCTTGACGCCACATCTCGTGCGTCGTCAGGTCGTCCATGCGTCGGACGGCGTCGTCCGTCATCGAGCCTAAAGGGATCCAGTCGTTGATGGCCACTTCGATCAGCATTGCCCGCCGCTGGTACTCGTCGGGGTCGAGTGAAGGTCGCTCGATTGAGAGATTGCTGGTCGCGCCGAGGCAGAGCATCAAACCCATCGGAAGGCCACCGAGTAGATGCAGAGCTTCTGTCGTGACGATCGGATCTGGTGGGTCGGGCGAGGTTGAGGAATTCGGTTCGGAAGGTGGCATCCCTGGCGCTCCGACGAGATGAAACAAGGTGGGATGGGATCGAAGGCAAACGGAGCGTAGCACGTCGGCGTATGCGAAAGAGCGAAGCAAGACTGAAGATGGGCCCGACAGGGTGTGCAAGTCGATCTTGGGCTTCGGTCCCATCGCCTCGCTGACAAAGTAGTCGCCCAGGAGCAAGATCGCATACGACGCAGCAGCCCCCCACTGTTCGAGCTGGTACATTTGGAGGTCAAATACGGCGAGCAGTTGCGCCTCGAGGGGAATACGGCTCGTTTGGAGGTGCTCGACGGCTTGCTGAAAGTAGGCGTTGGACTGAGCGATCAACCTCTCCCTCGTCTCGGTCGAACCTTGATCCTCCATCGTCTTGGCCCGAAACAGCAGGCACAGAGCGAGGCACGCCGATTTGCCGAGCGATGAAGAAAAGGCGACGTCGGTCATGCGATGCCGCAATATGTCGCGCACGGGCTTCGGCATCGACGAGAAGAACGCATCGTTGAGCGCGTTGTAAATTGGGATCGATTCGAGTTGCGTCAACGCCTCGGCGAGGGACGCTTCCTCTTCGACCTGGGCGGAACCTATCATGTTGGTGGCAGGCATTGACGACGGTGTCGTGTTCGCCGTTGGAGTTACGCTAGGGCTCCCGTGAGGTGGGTCCATAGCCGAGACCGTGACAGGAGTCGAATCCGAATCCGCCATCGAGCTTCCCACGGGAATTGACCAGTCGGCGGTGAGGTTCGAGGCATCTATGGCCGGATTCAACGATTCGAAAAAGGATTCGATGTCGTGCATCTGCGACAGGTCGGTGATAGGAGCGAGCGTCGAATCGAAATAGGCCGTGGGCGGATCCTCGGTGCTCTCCGGCAGAGTTGTTGCGTGGGGTGGCGGTAAGGGCTGAGGGTGGTAGGGGGTCACGACGACGGGGTAGTTGGTGCCATGGATCGAGGATCCGGCGTGTACGGGAGCGATCGGCGAAGACGGTGCGTGCATCGAGCCGGCCAATACGTGCATGGGAAGCGCCGAGGCAGGTACGCCCGCGTAGGCCAACGAGCGCGGTATCGGACCATAAGACGGCGGGGTATAAATGTGGCTCGAGGTCGATTGCACGGGGGACGCGCTCGACGAGGACGAATGGCGTTCGTAACGGGACAAGGCGATCGGTGTCGACGATGAAGGCTCACCCTCATTGCGAGCTGTCGCCGTCGCACTTGATTCGACTCGAGCGCGACGTCGTGATATCGGAGTTCCGTCGGACGGTGGCGCGGGCACGCACACCGAGTTGGTGTTCTGACATCGCTGACAGGTCCCTTCGTGATTGTAATTACCTGGACACCTCTTTGGGTAAGATGGAGCAAGTGGAGGGCACGCGAGGGCATTAAGTACAGGCACGATGGAGATTGAAATCGGGCAACTCGGCTCGTTCACGACGGCGAGCGAGCGGCAGCCAGCAGCGAATGCGGATACAACACCGACTCACCTTCTTCCTCCTTCGACAAGTCAAACAACCCGTTTTCGTTCGAGTGAATTTGGGTTTCGCTTCGGGCGAGACTCCAGCATCTGGACTCGACATGATGCTGCTTACAGCCGACTAGACCAGTTCAAGCAAGTTGATTGGGCGAAGTGTCGCGACGAGAGCGCGGGGGAAGTCTGCAGGCGTTCGCGGTGTGGGCGATCCCAGACAGACGGATATGAGAGCGAAAGTGCCAGTCGGTCGTCGTCGACTGTCAACCGGTTGACGACCACAAAGGGGTCAAAGACAGAGAGGGGTTTGGCCTTCGGGCAGCGTGATCGATTGCCGTACCACGCGGCCAATCGGGGAATCCGAGTGGGCTGTACGGCCCTCCCCCTCCCCCAAGGTCTTTGCCTGGAGAAACGGTCCACTAGCCGAAGAACGACACTGGACAGGAGAGAGAAGCGGCGACGGCACTGCGATGGAAGCCCCTTCGATCCGCGGCCGTAGCAAGCGGGGCCAAGCGGAGGCAAGTTATTCGCACCAGCCCATGCTCAGAATCCCCCAGATGCGCTCACGTGATTGGTTGACGGTGTTAAGCGCGCCACATGAGACCTGCACCCTGCCCTGTGCCGCGCGAGACTACTGCCAGAGTCTCGCGACCAAGTTGAAAGAGAATTATGAGAACTAGGGCTCGTAACGAGAATTTGAATTCCAGCCAGCGTACAAAAAGAGGCGACTCTACTAATGGAGCGTGAGCACAGCTGCCGGGCTCGACCTCGACCAAGCACGTCACGTCGCTCCGGCCTAAGTCCGCCCTTGCCCGACAGATCGACCCCGCTGCACCGCCTTTAGACGTCCGCGTCAACAGCGCCAAGTCCGCCCCCTTTTTTTTTCCGAACCTCATTGCCGAACTCGCCATCGCCATCGCGTTCGCGGTCCTGCCTTTGTACGGCTAATAGTCCGCTCGCTCTCAGACCTCGAGTCGTTGTCGGGGGCCACCTACGAGCTCCTGCATCCACGACCGCAGCTGGCACTCAGGTCGGCTCGCTTCCTGTTTCCTCACGTCAAAGCCCCTGGACGACCGTTGGTTAGCTCGACATCGCCTCCCTTGTAACGACATATCGACATGACGCTCGTCGACGCGCACCTGCAAGGCGTGTCCGACCTTGACAAGCTGTGGAACCTGCTCGTCGAGCTGTCATCGCAGCTGTCCCACAACCGACAGCAGACCGAGGAGTTGCACAGACGTGCAGAAGAGCTCAAGGTGGGCATTTTGTACTGGGATCTTGTCGACGGAGTGACGTGCACTGACCCTCGTGGCCGCTGGCGGCATTAGACCCAAGCGATCCACAACCAGACCGGCTACACCCTCCGCCGCTTCAACTTGGACGTCAGCAGTGGTCAGTCTATGCTCTATCTTGGATCAGAGACCCGCACCCTCTCATGTTCACATCGCATTTGGCTCTTGTGATGGCATGCGACGCGATCGCAATCCCACAGTCGAGTTCGACTCGGAGCTTGAACGACAGAACGTTAACCTCGTCAACGAGAACCAGGCACTGCACCAAGAGAACCGGGCACTATCGATACTACTCAAGGACTATGAGGCCACGCTGGAGAATGTGATGGGCAAATTCAGGGCTCATGCGGTCAGTAGAGATCCTGGCCCGCCCACGCCCCTACCTCGAGGGCGGGTTGAGCTGATCAAGTCGAGAATTGCATCTCCCCCCGTTTTATTTTTCATAGGCCGCAACGCAGCAACACCACCTCGATCTTGTGCGACATTACGAGTCGCTCCTCCTCAACCCGGACCCTTCGTCTTCGGCGGCACTGGACGAACGTGGCAACTCAATCGACCCTGGCTCGCCCGATTCGCACCCCAGCTCCTCGGGCGCTATTGACCCTCTGCACCTCAATTTGTCCCTCTCCCATGTTGCGTCTTTGATCCGGAAAGCCGTGCGAGCAATGAACGGCGAGGACCCGGAATCGATCGACTCACCTCCTCTATCCCCGATCGATCCCTCGGCCGCTCCCATAGCGTCTGCCGCAACCACCTCCGAATCCTGTGCTTCTTCTTCGGCTCCCACGTCCTCGGAGACGTCGTCCAAGAGCAGGATCCCCCAAACACGACCGTACGATGTCACAGAAGGAGGCTATATCGGGAAAGGAGCGACGAGCGAACCGCATTACCTCCCCACGACGTCGACCTCGAGTCTCGTCCAAACCCCCCCTCTGAACGCCGTCGACGCGCAACACAAGACCATGGCAGGCCATGCGTTGCACAGGAAAGAGGTGCTGGGACCCGTCGACGATGCATTGGAGAAGGAAATCGAGGTCGCAGCATTGAGAAAGGAGAATCGCGAGTTGAGGTATGCTCTAGGGATCGAGGAGAGAGAGAGAGAGCAGTCTCGGGGGGAGGATGAGCTTGTCGGTGGTCGGGGAGTGTTGAATCCGTGAGCGCGAACTCGGGTCGGGGTGCGCGTGTATGTATTGCTGTACGAAAATGGCAGGTTTTATCCCATCATACGTCCCCCATTCAGTGACGTGAGAGATCTGGGTACGCCTCTGCGTCGCTGAGGGGGCTCGAGTGGAGGTGCCTGCTGTAGCAGCTCGTCGTTTCGGTTGCGATTGATCTAAATTTAGGTGCGCGGTGATCGAGCGGGTCGGACGAGAAGGGACGAGAAGGGACTCGGCTCGGCTCGGTCTGGCCTGGTCTGGCTCGGTTCACTCCGAGGCCCTCGCGGAGAACGCAGTCGCGGTTCGCTCGCGGTTCGCTCTCCAGTGGCAGTCTCCACCGCATCTCCCGCTTGATCTGCCACCGACCCACCAATCGTATCAGAAGCCGCACACGTCTCTCGGATCGACTCGACAGACGCTCAGCAAAGCTGGCCTCGACTCGAGTGTGAAGCGCGTGTCCGTCACGTCGCACAGAAGTGGTTCGGCCTTGCGTCATCCGCGAACGACGAACGACGAATCGCCGCCAAAGCTCGGACTTGGGGCTCGCACGAGATCATCGCAAGCTCATCGACACCAGATCAGCCATGCCACCGGCCAGGAAAGCCACGAGTGAACCCACCAATTCTGCAAGTTGTCCACACATTACCGATTTTGTAAAGTAACTGACCATTGCTAACGCTCAACATCTGTTGTGAACCCCAAATCTCACCTCACGACGCCGCCCGCCGCCGCGCCCACCTTCGCGTGTGTCACAGGATCACGAGCATGAGACGGAGGACGACGATCATAGAGGAGACGGGAGCAAGGGCAAGGGGAAGAAGTCGACCAAGTCAAAGTGCGTTGCAATCTGGCGAATCGACATCTCACTGCGCCACGACATCTGGGCCCCTTACGCCCTCGGTTACGCTACCCGATCCCCGAGTTTCGCGGGGAGCCACCGGCTCAGCACAGGGTGACGGCTTCGAAGTACTGACACCTGCTTGCTTTCCTGCACTCAACCGAGTAGAGAGTCCGCTCAACGTAAACAGCAGAACCGACTAGCCCAACGTGAATTTCGTCAGGTTCGTCCACGCCTCGACCCTGTTCGGGGGGGAGGCGCAGCAGCGGTCAATTTCACTATCGCATCAATTCACCGCTAACGCCGATCATCCTCTCCTCCGCCAACCCCCCCTCTTTGACCTTGATCAATCTAGCGCAAGCAAGCCTATGTTAAAGAACTCGAAGTTCGGGTCAACCTCTTGGCTCGGTCCAAAGACGATCAGTTGGAAGGGATGAAACTGGTCGGTCCATCGTGGCTTCGTAAATTCCACGAACGACCGACTGATACGGACGTCTTGATGGGTCGCAGACGATTCGTACGCTGTTGGACGAGAACCAAGAGCTGAGGGAAGTGCTGGGTCATTTGGGTCGATTCATCGTACGTTACCGAGCATTCTCGTCGATATCATGGCAGGGCTTTCTTCCCTCCGGCTCCGAAGGAGTCGGTCACTGACCTCCACCTCTACATTGTCATTGTCGCGATACCGCAGGGCTCGGGACTTGGTGGCTGTCTGCCCGAAATTGGCCTTAGCCCAGAAGGTCAGTAACTGATGGGATGGTTGGACTGCAGATTTGCTCTCTAGGAACGTCCTGTATTGACCAGAGTGCGATACCCATATACAGAGCTCAAGAGGTTGGCCGCCCGAGGTCGATTAGATGCCGTTCACAAGATCATTGAGCAGATGGACCGAAAGGATTCGAAAGAGCAAGATCCATGGGCTCGCAAACGCAGTTCGAGTCAGAACGGGCGAGCAGAATCGTCGAACCCAAATGCCGCCAGCGGAACTTCCGGGCAGACCGTCGCGACGACGAGTGGTAGTGGCGATGCCACCGAGTCGAACAAGGCTACAGGGAAGAAGAGGGCCCGAACTTTGGATTCGACATCGAGTCTTTCTGCGCAACCCGGGGGACCCGATGCCATGAACGACATGAATGGGTACTTTTCTATTGACCCGACGTTCATGGCACCTTGGAGTCAGGGCTTGCAAGATGAACCGAATGGATCCCTTGAAGGGGTTTCACTGTTGTCGAGCAACGACCAACGAATCACGCCCCGGCAGGTCGTCCGAGAACGACGACTGCTGGAAGGGTACCCTGCCGCCACAGCGACGACAACATCAACTACATCAGCTTTCGGCAACGGAGGTATGTCCAACAAGAATACGACGGATCTCGGTGCGTCGTCGTCCTCGGTCACCGGTACTTCCTCCATCTCTCCTGATCCGCCCTATCACCACAACACCCATGAATCAACGTCGACGCTCGAGGACGTGCGGTCCGAGATGCGCCAACAGCACGAGGAAGCGAATGCGGTGATCAGAGACCTGATCATCTCGTTCAACTTGTCGAGCGAATTCTGGACCAGTACGGACGAGGATGGGGCCAAGATGTTTGTCCAATTCGTCAGTGCACTCTGAAAAAAGGTGGAACGAAAGAGGATATGAAAAGCTGATGCACTGGCGTATTATGCAGATACTGAACCTCTTGTCGCACCCTACGGACAACGCCAAGCTACAAGCGATCCAGCTGATAGCATGCAAGTCCTCTCCACAAGGCTCCTGCCCACCACGTCAAACTCACCATGGTTCGTTCTTCTGCCTCAGATCACGTCCGGAACAAGCTCGAAAACCCATCGTACCACCTCCCCCCGGCCTTACGAGCGACCGAGATTCAGCAATCGATCCCTCACCCCCCCTGGGTCGACGGTATCATCTTCTCTTCACTCAGGGATCGAGTGATCCTTTTACCCAAAGGTCGATGCGATCTACCCGTTTTATGGAACGATATAATGGATCATGTCGAATGTCATGAGAACTCGGATTGGTCAGTTCAAAACCCCATCTTTCAAATAGGAGCTTGCGTCCGTCCCTACTGAAAAAGATCCCACTTTCTTCTTCGCTACAGTCTCTCCCCAGCGAATTGGGAGATTTCGGAACACTTTATGAAAAAGTACTGGTACCTGATCGACGAGAACGTGTTGACGATCAGTAATCGATGGAGGATGGAGCGAGGGGAAAGAATGTTGGAAATGAAGGATCTCGTACCCGTTTAATAATTAGTGACTAGGACGCAAGGGGGGGGGAAGGAGGAGCATGGTCATGAATCGAATAATTTTTTGTTGCTTTTGTAAATGCATAGTTAGTTGTTTGTGCTTTGTAAAGCACCGCAGGTGAAATCTGTTGAACTTTTGGAAAACAATTAAGAGTTTGTGTCCCCTCTTTGCACAAGTCGCGCCCTAGGTGGTGGGTGGGGCCGCCGGGCTGAACTGTCATTTGAAAACCTGTCGTGTGTGCTTTCACATCCTCGCAGTAGAGTCAAGAGGCGTAAGGGATTTATGGGATTAGAAGTCTGGATCCCGACTCAAGCAGTTGAGTACGAGCGCAAGATAGAGGATGGCGGGAAGATAGATCTGATGACGTGGTTGCGAATACGATGGATTTGAATGTGAGTCGGGCTTGGTGACCACTTGCCAGTGGGGTGACTGATTTTTTGGTTTTGAGGTCTCGGAGTGCTGATTTGAGCTCGAAGTATTTGTTGCGGCGTTCGGCATAGGTTCACAACAAAACCAACACGAGACCACAACGACCCGGCCCAACGAAGCCACAAGTGCACAAGCCCTTGCCCCGTATGCGACGAGGGCAAGAACTGCCAGGCCGATCAATGCCCTGATGCCGAACGCCGCAACAAATACCTCGAGCTCAAATCAGACTTCAAAAACAAAAAATCGGTCACCCAAGCACCAGCCTCAGAACAGCTCCCAGCATTTGCAGCCATTCCAAACCCAGCTGAATCGCCCCGGCCTGCCAAGAACTTTCTCATAGGGTTCGGCAGAACAGCGGTATGACTCATTACACAAATTCGAGTACATATGTGAGGAACAGGTAGAGATCACTACTACTGCGCAGTTGACAGATCGACAAAGTAATGAGCCACGATCATAACCAGTTGCTTGGGGGGGTCCGCGAACTTTACCGTCTGAAAGTTAGAGTTCCGCCGCGCGTCCTGATTACTGATTATCGATACTCCGATTCATACCCCCCAGCAAAGCCTTCATCAGATACTCGACGTTCAATTGACCCCCCTGGACATCGAACAGTGTCGTATCGACGATATCCCGAATGCCGTGCTTCTCACGTAGGTCATCGTCGAGGGAACGCAGGGATTGAGCGGCTTCGTCGTCGGTACCGATTTGTACGAATTGGATACCGAGTTGGAAGCTGGAGGAAGAGAAAGAACGATGAGTGGTCAGCGAGGGGCGTTTTGAAATAGAGTCGCATGGCTCGATGAACTGACGGTGGCATGCGCATCTTGTCGAGACGTTGGGCCATTTCCACGATTACCGGTTCGGGCGCTTCGCCACGGTCCGGTGCACCATCGGTCAAAACGATGAGCTTTGGAAAGACAAAATGTTAGGCCCGCGTGACGTAGATGACCTGGGGACCCCCCACGCCGAGTGCGAGAACCTACGTTCATGGGCTTCGGTCGAGGGTATCCACTCGGCTTGCCCCTGTTTGGCACGACATCCGGATCAGCGACAGATTTGTTCTCCTCGCAGGACGAGTAGGGGGGTTCTACGTACTCGACGACCCAGTTCTCCAGATTGGAGACGTACGGGTCCAAGACCCTCCTCAACGCACTCGCGGTCGGTGTCGATTTCGATGGCCAGACTTTTTGGAACAACTGCAACAATTCAGGCGCGGAACGAGAGGTCGCGTGATGGCGCGAGTTGAAGAAGTAGATGTCGACGCCGTCGTCGTCGTAGCGGATAGCGGTCTGGATCACCGCGGCCAGAGCGGGGGCCAGTTGGTCTTCCTAGTATGCTCGGAGCAGGTGAAGGAATGTGAGCGGGTGGGGAGGGAGCGCCGCTTGGGTGGGGAGCAGTGAACGCTCACCCAGAACATCTCCATCGATCCCGAATCATCGACGAGGAAGACGGTGTCGTACTTTTTGAGAGCTGGGGTCGTGAGCATCGAGGAAGGAGAGTGAGTCAGACATGCCTCCGTCTGATGGGCCAGGCTGTCTCGACCGTAGACGGCTGACCGTAGACGGCTGACCGTAGACTGCTGACCTTGAAGGGGATCCTCCCTTCCACTCGCCGCTGCCGGCGGTTGGTAGTACTGTTGGGGAGGGGGTTGACTGGGAGCCGCATACGCCTGTTGTGGTGCAGGTTGCTGCTGTCGCTGCTGTCGCTGCTGTCGCTGCTGTCGCTGCTGGTACTGCTGATGCTGTTGCGGCGGCTGTGGGTACGCCTCGGGCTGTTGCTGGGGGTGGGGCTGTGCTCCTCCGGACGACGCTTGCTGAGGTGGGGGTGGCCCGGGTGGGGGCGCGTAGTGGGTCTTGCTTGCAGACGACTTTTTGGATGAGGAGGACGACGACAGCTTGCTAAAGAGGCCCATGGTGATGGTATCTTGAAGTGCGATTGGAGCAGAGGCGAGAGAAGCTCGGCTGCGTTGACCCGAGTCGAGCAGCTGAGGACGGCGGACTTGACAGGACTTGACTCGGCGAGCATGACGTCGATCGCCCTCCGCCAAGCCATCGAGCTCATGCGCATACACCCAGCTCTCCGGATCGCGCAGCTTAGTACGAGCTGTCACCTGATGCGCTTCATCAGCACACATCAACGGAGCGCAATTCGCATGTCGAAAACTGTGTCCAAGACATCTTTCGGGCATGTTTTGGTTGCTTGAAGCGATCACAGGCTATCATCCCCCAAAGGCCGTCTCATTGCAACATCTTCCGAATGCCTTCTCGGTGCGACATCCTCCCAAAGCCTCTATGATGGTCTCCCCTTTTCGTCCGTTGCGACAGGCGATACTTTTGTTGAAGCTGGTTCGATGCCACGGAACCGTTTCCTGGAAAAGAGTTACCGACGCATAAGGTACGAGTGAAAAAGTCAGTTTCTCGACGTGCGAGATCACGCCCCGCGAAGACTGACGGACCTCATGTCCAACTATGAGACGCGACGTATCCCCAGATCAGCAAAAAAGGGCAAACTATCTCCCCGTTCCCAGGCAGTGGACTGACCATCCCCCTCTTACACTCGAAGAAGGCCTTCCTCAACTGCTGGCACTCGATCGGTAACGCGTCGCTATGGTGCTGCAGGCATTCGTGCGGTGTTCTCGGTGGTTCGGATTTGAGTACGCAGTCGGACTTGAGGAGACAGTCGGCTAGGGCGGTACGGACGCCGTTGCAGGACATGGTGTCGGGCACTGGGGTCCGGGGTCCGCGTAAGGAGCTGCTCTGGGCGGAGAGGGGGGGAGACGGGATCGCGGAGGGGTGTGGGGAAACGTGGTCGGTCCTGCTACTGGAGAAGGTGTTTTAGTGTGTGTGTCGAATCAGATGGTGGCTCTGGAGCGCAGGAAAACGAGCGGCAGTGAGAGGCCAACACTAACTCGCAAAGCTTCGTGTTCGCGCGCTTCGTTCTCGTGCTCTTTCTCATTCACTCCACCAACGTCCAGCCTCCGTAGCATACGCCTTCTACACTGATTCGATCAGCACTACTTTGTTCCGATGGCCTGCCTCCCCTCGTGCTCAACGATATTGGTCTACTCGCTATCGTCGATCCCGCGCGAACAGGTCGACCAGATCATCCAGAGTACGTCTCCCATACGGCCAGGCACACCTTGATTTCAATACTCAGTTCTTGGAACCCACTCTCCAGATCTCATCCAAGCCGGAGCCAACGCCTCCCTCCCTTCACCCTCCGCGGCGACGACGCACGATTCGCACCCCACATCGAGGACCCCCATACGCGGCCCAAGACCCTGGACGATCCGAAACAAGTACTACACCTGCGACGTTCAGTTCGTACATGTTCCTCGAGCCGAGGACGAGGAAGGGAGCAGAGATGATCAGGATCGGTACCAAGTCCAAGGTGATGAGCCCGCGGTGATCGTCGTCGCTCCCCCCACCCAAGTACGTTCTTTCCCTTCTCGGGCGGGCGGGTCTGTCCCTCGGATACACATCCACCTTACCACCTCTCATCTTTTTCAAACAGACCCCTCCCACCGACCTCGCGAACGTCCTCTCCTCCCTAGCTGCAAGAGACCCCGAATTCGACATCGCCCTTTTGCTCACTTCTTCACCCTCCCCGACCGATCAAGATCAAGTCTCCTCACCACCGAACGATCAAGCCTGGGACGATCTCTGCCTAAACCACGCGTTCGAATACGTTCGCCCCTCTTCATCGTCATCTTCATCGGCTTTGAATTCGACCAGTCCGTCGACTTTCAAACCGGAGGCGGATGATGATGATAGGGGTGATAAAACAGGTACCGAACGCGTGATCGAAGCACTCCAATCTCGGATCTGGGAACGCATGATCCCCTCCCCGACTGAATTCGAAAGAACGGAACAAGAGACCGCAATCAAGTCGCACGAGTCGAGTTTATTCAACGTACGACTACCCCCACCTTCCTTACCTAAAGCGAAGGAATATTCACCCGTTCGAGTCGAATGGCCGGAGAGGTTCTTACCTAATCTTGTCGCGAAAGAGGGGAGTAAGGATCAGGGAGAGCGGGGAGGTTTTGACGATGATTTTGCCGAGTTTGTATCCGGACCCTCTGGAGCAGAAGTGGAAAGGTGGGATGAGATTTCGAGCGCGTCAACGTCGTTGCCTCCGAGGTCCAGCAGCGGCAGCGACGCGGAAGAAGATGCGGATGATTTCGCGAGCCTCGAACGACAAGATCAAGAACTTGAAAGCTTGTTCGCTCAACTCAGCACAGCAAGGGAACAAGCGCTGGGGATAAAGGACCTGGATCAAAAGCGCGCGTTCGCGGAGAAGACGGTGTTGAGTTTGTTGGGTTGATTGCATTATTGAAGAACGGTGGTACAGTAGATAGACTATGAGTTTGGGGTGTGTTGTGATATTTTGCATGAAAGGAACTGAGGATGCGAGGGGGTTACTACACGAATCAAGTAGACTTGCGAGCAAGAGAAGTGGAACCGGATAGGTGAACAGACGAAGATGCACCTAACAAGCCAATGGACAAGCCATCAAGTCACAGCGACAGTTCCCACGACTGCTTCGCCCGCAAGCACATCAATCGCTTCGTCCGGAAGCTTTTCCTTCAAAGGCCATTCCTTCATCGCCTCGGCCCTCTCATTCAACTCGGGGAACACCTCATCCGAGAAGATCTTGCCCATCCAATCCTTGATCTCGGCCTCCCCCTCCGATCCACGATCTTTGACCAAAGCGCCCAACATCGCTTCGAACAGATTCGCGAGCGCGTCTTGGTGGTGCGCGAACGATTCTTCGCCGTGCGCGACTTTACCGAACAGCATCAAGTCGCCGAGTCCGTAGGCCCAGGCGATGTAGGAAATCGTATCGTTTTGAATCAACATGGCCGCAAGGAGCTGGTGGAATTGATGAAAAACTCTTCAGTCCTTCGAGTACGATCGGTTGTTAGTATTAAAAATAAATAAAAAAATAAAAAAAGGCACTGACCGTGTAGCTGGCATGGGTCAAACTCGGGAACTTTTTGACCAAAATGTTGGCGACGTAATGCTTCAACTCGGCATCGCCGAACCATTCAAGAGGACGAAAACACTTGACGTAACTCTCTTCCTTGCTCAGGCGAACATTATTCGACCCGTTGAGGTAATAGCTTAGGTGCGTAACGGATTGTAAGCGCAGGTCGAGCGATTTGATCAAGAGTGGTGGGGGTAGAGCGGCCAAGTTGGGCTGAATCCCCGGGCTGCGCCAGAAGACGGGGTGGGGTGGGATCAACGTCGAGAAAGGGTTGCGACGGGGACGTAGCGCCTGCATGGGATCGTCGTCATGAGTCATGGACTTGCGAACTTTAACTTTGGGTTGGTTGGCCGGCTTGGGAGGTTTGGGAGGTTTGGGTCGCTTCCTTCTGGATTTGGATTTGGTGGGGGCGGATGATTGAGGGACGGGGTGCGTAGGAACGAGAGGAAGAGGATGGGCTAGCTGAGCTTGAGCCGCGATGACAGCTGCGGTCAATTCGGGCACGCAGTTTGGGTTGGGAGGGACCTCAAGAGTGATTGTATCCGTTTGAGACGAAGCAACGCGCGGCGAGTCATGACCGCTAGGACCGGATGCCGCCGGTTTAACGGGCAGTCGAGGCCGAGGTAAGAGCGCCCGTTCGACCTCGACTGACCGTTCAAAACTGCCTTGAGCTTGGATCGCCAATGTGTTCGTACTTCCGGGCTCTTGCTTGGCTTGTGGCTCTGTTTTGGTTGCCGCTTGAGCCATGTGACTGCCAATGGAAGGCGAGAGCTTGACGCGTTTGGCCTGGGGCGGTCCGTCGAGCTGAACTTGTGGCTCCGTGACCGGTCGTGTCATGGGTTCCGACTTCAGTTCCGGACCACGGTTGGCTTCGAGCTTGATGCGGTTGGGGTTGATATCCACTGCATGCACAGGGGAGGGACAGGATCAGCGAATTACTCGATTCGCAGCAGGTGGAGGTGGGGTGGGTCGTCGACGGATCACGTGCCGAGATGGGTCGCACCACCCAACAGCAAATCGCCTTAAACGCGATACTGAGCTAAGCAATATTCAGAGGCAAGGTAGCCTCGGACTACTCCGGTCCCACTTCATATCTCTGCAACGCCGGCATGTCGAGCAGCACGATCTGAAACCAGTCCTGTGCCAAATAATCGCCGGGTCGTACAGACGCCGCCGAGGAGAGCAGAACAAGTTGACAGTGTCAAGGCGAACTCACGACTATGGAGCCTCAGAGCTCGGGCTGAATAAGTGTTTATGCACGTTCCGAGCCAGACAAGCGAGACGACCGGAACTGAGCCGGTGAGGGGGCGGGGGTAGAAGACCGACCGGCAGTTGGGCGGCGCGTGCGACAAAGTGCGATGCAGCTGGTGCGACGCACTTTTGACCCGATTCTTAACCTTCAGGGGAAACGACATGGTCTGTTCACAACATCTTATTACGGCGATATGAAACAAGACTATAACTTCCTCGTTACGGGTACAAAATCCCTCCATGCTTGTGACATCCTGTCGGACGGCGGGGACATACGGAGACATCGTCAGCTTGGGAACGACAAGGTGCCGCCGAGGTAAAGCGACGCACATGATGGCCGACGAGGTCAATCCAGCCCAACTCTTGATCATTTCCGACATGACATCCAAATCAAGCACATCCCACACTGTCGACAAGAACAAACGCGGCGGGGTCAAAATCTGCGCTGCCTGCATTGACCGAAGAAACAGAACCCCAGCGGAACGGACCAGCGAACACGCCATCACTCGTCAACCTCAACCTCTCCCACCACAAATCGGTCAACTCCTCTCTGAGAGCCTTCAACCGTCTTCTCTCGTTCCTCACTCGCTCTCTCAGCATTTTCTCCTCCAGCCTCCGCTCCTGCCTCAATCCGTTCCGCAACTCTTCTCCGACTCCGACGCCTTCCGTACCCGACGGTTCCCCTACATCTACCACCTTCAAAGACGAAGGTTCCCAACACTCGAACGATTCGAGTCGTTCCTCCAACTTGATGGCCTCCTTCCTCGCGGCCCTGCCTTCGTCCCAAATTTGTTGCCTCGATCTCGCAACTTGGAGCAAGCCAATCAACGCAGCCATCAAGGTCGCGACATCAGCGATTCGATCGGCCTGACGCGTGCGTCGTTTTGACAAGGGGATCAGATTCAGTTTCGAAAAGAGGTAGATGTTGTCCGAAAGAGTCGAGACGAGGTCGAATGATTGACGAGTGAGGTGCAACAAGGTCGAAAGTTCGGGGACGAGACCCCAACTTGAGGACAACGACGGGTCATCATCGGGATGGGCACTTTTGCCTTTGCCTTTCCGCCGATTCCGGAGGTGGTGGAAGGGGTCCCAGGAATGGTAGATGTAGCGCGTAAGATCGACCAAGGCGACGAGTCGACGGATCGCCGAGAGCGTCGACACGAGCGCCAATAAGCGGCTCAACAGGGGCGTCGATAGCTTGTGTCGACGTAAGTAGAGGATGAAGCGGATGAAGCGGAGCGAGTATTGTAGGAATCTCTGACGAGGGTGAAAGCGCGTATCAGAGGTCGGGTTCCGGTGAAGGTTCAGAAACCTGCTCTCAACGTTACGACGACCAGACTGACCAAGCCGGCTTCACGGCCATCTGCTGTCGCAAAGAAGTCGACGGCGTGGAACACTTTGGTCCTCCGTTGGGGTTTGGTCGATGGAACAAACTGGAGATCAAGAGGAAGGGGACAGGGTCAGCACCAGCTGGTGCGCCGCACATGCACGACGGCGAGCTACGGCGAGCGGTGCGACGACTCGACGAGGAGGTCCGGGGGTTGGGGAACGGCGGACTGACCTTGGTCGTACTACTCGCTACACGGGGCAGCGCGATCGACGATGTAGGAGGAGTTGGAAGTGGAGCCACGAAAGGTGGAGCTGGGTCCGAGTTCGTAGCCAACGAATTCGAAGTGGGGTTCATTTGTGGGGGTTGATCACTTCCGGCTATCAGGCCTATCAGGACCGACGACGGGGTGAGCGTGTGGAGGCCCGAGCCTTGGGACGCTGCGCTCTTGTGGGCCCGGCTGCTCCCTGCTGCTCCGGCTGCTAAGTCGCTGTTCCGGCTGAACCGGTACAGTCGTCGGCGAAACTTGAAGCCCCTTGGCACGCGCGGTTTACTGCACTACAGCCGCGACAAGTGATCTGCCCAGTCATTTCTGTTCGGATCGATTTCCATCAGAAGTGTCAGGCTGGGGTTCCCTCCCCGGTATGTAGTCCAAACCGTAACGAGATGTGCCGGTCGCCGGAGCAATCGACATCGGGGCCCCGGGAAGGGATTGCCAGCTCCTACGTCAAACACGATACGATGTTCGGTCATAAGCACCCCATACCTGCCCTGTACCTACGTCATAATTCGGGGATCAAGTGAAAAATTACCGGCTTACGGGAAGGGACATCTTTTATCGACGTCGAAACTTTAATTGGTTATTATGCATCAGAGCCGACCGACGGACTTCGGCGCTGTCTCGACGCTTGCGCGGACCACCAAGGAGGCGAATACGAAATCGATCAACACAACCGGTCAAAGTTACGTGTACACACCGCGTCATTCCCATCATAGGGTTTCAAAGCAAGCAACCATCTTTAGGTATTCAAAGCCAGCAAAGCCTCCCATGATTTATCCGCCCAGTCATGAAGACCGAACCAGAAAAGAGCCTTGCCTCAGCTTCGGGGCCGCCGCGCCACATTGGTCGGCGGTACGCAGGAATGCCCAGCGCAAGCCGACCAGCCAAGCCGATCATTGGCTGCGCTCTTCTCCCCGGATCATGCTAGCGTCCCGCGCCGCCCTCTATCTGGCCACCTTTTCCTTGGACGGGCGGGGTTTGAACCGAAAGTCTGCCTACTACGATGAGGTGTCGTGTCGAGGAGTTCGTTCGGTGTTAAGAGGGTTAATTGATCGCGGAGAACCTTCGTTCGCGGAGAAAGAGATCAGCTGATCAGGGTCGACGGCGCACGCGGCACGCGGCAAAGAGAGGAGCTCGGGAGATCACGGGCAGATCAACACTCCTTCTGGCCCGGCGCCGCTAGAAACCTCCAAAAGGACGAGCAAAACTTTGCATGACGGAGTGAACCACTGAGCGCAGTTCAGCGTCGACGGTAAAATCACTCCGCGACCTGGATCACGCGGTTCAGCCGTGGTTCAGCCTGATTTCAATCCTGGGACCCCGCTAGCTAACCCCGCTTTCGCTCGGTCTGGTAGCTCTTCTCCATTTTATCCCCATCTTTCTCCAGGTCGTAAGCCCCTCCTTTGTGATCTCCTTTCTTACGCCTTCTCAACACTCTATTGTCCAGACACTAGGTCTCAAGTCGCTTTCTGCGCGCTTCCTCCTCATCACCTCACACTTCGACCCCACCGCAAATCCTCAAGTTGCCCTCAGCATGCCTATTGCCTCGACCACCGACCGCGAGTTTGACAAGTCCGTCGGGACCGGAATGGTCAGCCCGAACCAGGTCCACAAGACCATCGTTCCCGAGTAAGTTCACTACATCTTACTGCGCTTTCGTGTGTTCTGTGAAGAAGGAACCCCTGCAATTGCCTCCGGCCTAGCTAGACAAAAAATGTGTGATGTCATGGAACCCATCCTCACACGCTCGGCGATTACGCGCCAGTACTAGACTCCTCGCACTTCCTGCGGTCAAGGGGCTGAGCATCGGCTTTACTTGTACCGAACAGACCCCAAATGCTGGAAAAAGTCTCGACTCATCTTGGTGAAACGACCGTTAATGATGCCGCCGAGACGGCCAACAAGGAGCGTCACATGACCATGTGGCAGGCGGTCAAGGCATACCCCTACGCGTGCGGATGGTCCATGTTGTTCTCGACTGCAATCGTGATGGAAGGTTTCGACTTGACCATGATCAATTCGTTCTTCGCCCTCCCGGCGTTCCAGAGGAAATTCGGCGTTCAGCTCCCCGACGGATCCTATGTCATCACCCCCGAATGGCAAACCGGTCTCTCAAACGGTGTGCAAGTCGGTTCCATCTTCGGTCTTATGGTCAACGGATGGGCGTGTGATAGATTCGGCTACAAGAAGACGATCGCAGTCTCGCTCGTCGCCATCACACTGTTCATCTTCATTACGTTCTTCGCGGTCAGTCTCCCGATTTTGCTCATTGGTGAAATACTTTGCGGTGTCCCTTGTAAGTCGAGCGTCTTCGCTGTGCGGCCTTCCGATCTGAAACTGACGTGCTCGTTCTTCACTTGTGCAACGGTTTAGGGGGTGTCTTCCAAAGTTTGACGACGGCCTACGCGGCCGAGGTCTGCCCCGCCCCTTTACGCCCCTACCTTACGACCTACGTCAACCTCTGCTGGGTCATTGGCCAGTTCATCTCCTCCGGTGTATTGAAGGGTGTTTCGGGGATGAGTGAAGACAACCAGTGGGCGTATCGAATTCCCTTCGCTTTGCAATGGGTGAGTCTTCCCGCCGCCCACCGTGTCGCTTTTGCTGATTTGATCTGGTACACAGGTGTGGCCGCTGCCCATTCTTGCCGGTGCCCTCCTTGCGCCCGAGTCTCCATGGTGGTTGGTCCGTCAAGGTCGTCTCGGTGACGCCGCCAACTCGTTGAACCGCCTCGGATCCATCTCGGCCGAAGGCTTCATCGACGTCGACGCCAAGATCAACCAAATGATCTTCACCAACGAGATCGAGAAGGAGATCAACGCCGGCACTACGTACTTTGACTGCTTCAAGGGTACCAACTTGCGTCGAACCGAAATCGTGTGCATGGTCTGGATGATCCAAACCTTGGCTGGATCCGGTTTCATTGGATACTCGACTGTCTTCTTTGAACGTGCCGGTCTTTCGAACTCGAACGCCTTCTCGCTCTCGCTCGGCAACTACGCCCTCGGTGCCGTCGGTACGATTTCGTCGTGGTGGACGATGCAATGGTTCGGCCGTCGTGACTTGTACATGTGGGGTCTTCTGTCGATGGGCGTCGTCCTTTTTGCAGTTGGTGGTGCCGGATTCGGTTCCGGTTCGGGCGCTTCATGGGCCGCAGGAGCTCTCATCGTCTTTTACTCCTTCCTGTACCAATTCACCGTCGGCCCGGTCTGCTACTGCCTCGTCGCCGAGATCTCTTCGACCCGCCTGCGCGCCAAGTCCGTTGTCCTCGCTCGCACGGCTTACAACATCGTCGGTATCGTCAACAACATCGTCTTCCCTCGCATGCTGTCCCCTCTTTCGTGGAACTGGAACGCCAAGGTGAGAATCTCCCCTCTTAATGCTGCCCTCCTGATCCCGGTGCAGTGATGCCGCACCAGACTTCTCGATAGAGCTCGACGAACTCGTTGCTGACCATTGTCTCTTGTCAGGCTGGATTCTTCTGGGGTGCTTCGTGCTTCCTGTGCACAATCTGGTGCTATTTCCGTCTTCCGGAACCCAAGGGACGCAGTGAGTCCAGGCCGTCTTTTCGCAGCGCAACGCGAAGTTCTCGCCCCGCCGCTGCAGTGGCACCCGGGCCCCCCTTGCTAACTTCTACATACCTCTACCTCTACCTTTCTCCAGCATATTTGGAACTGGACATTTTGTTCACCGATAAAGTTTCTGCTCGCAAGTTCAAGACGACCGCAGTTGACGTACGCGCCCACGGACGCTCGAACGAGAAGCATTACGAGCCGACCGGCATCGTTCACTAGAACCGCCGGCGTTGGGCGGCGTGGTTCTTGGGTCCTGTGTGGAGATTGGAGATGGTGTTTGTAGCACGTTTTTAGAAAAAATTATGTTCAAAGTAATATCAGTTTGGGATCAATGAAGGCTAGAATCACGGTCGCAAGGAATGGGGATCGCGTGGAGAGATATTCTTCGGAGGTCCCCGACGTAGCGGGGCTTAGATCGATGCACCGACTTCAGTTGGACACGGGCAGGGAAACGGAAAGCGGTCTAGAGTGTTGGATGTTGAACAGGTTTGATCGAATTGGTACCTGCAGACAGTTGGAATAAACTAGTTGGAATAAATTCGGCGGCCATGTCGGAAGAAACCGATCCGGCCGACTGGTACGAGTCGTCACCGCGGCACCACCTAAGCTCGACGCCCCTCCCTTTGGGAGGGGCTTGTGAGTTATCGGCGCTTTTGGCCGAGTTGCCCGCCGAAATTTTGGCCCTGAAAAGTGCCCCCTTGCTGTAGCATGGCATATATTGGTGCTATCTGAAAACTGGAGGGATACGTATTTACTTCATCATTATTGATGAGGCTTCACCGAAGCTTGAAGTCTAGGAACGCTTGATCATCTCGCTACAGCAGCTTGAATCAACTGATTCCGAACGAGACGCAGGTCGGCGCACGGACCAGTCGTAGTCCAGTCCGCGTCGAAGGCTGTCGAAGGCCTTCGAAGGCTGCATAGAGCCAGGTCACTTAAGCCCGACTGCGCCTCACGCATCCTCTCTCTCCTCCACTCAACATCGCACCTCACCTCATGATGAGCCATGTCGGTACAAACACCCAGGCCGGTTAGGGGACCGCCCCGTCGCCAACCATCAATTGAGTTCAGGGCGTCTCCCTTGCGATCAGCTTCAAGGGCCAGTCCTACGACCCCAGCACCGAATCATTCAACCAATCCGACAGCCGTTCTCGGTCACTGGAGGCCACGTTTGACTCACCAGGACCGACGAGATTCCAGCGAATTACGCAAGAAGATCAAAGTGATTCTGGGCGAAAGTCTTGACGAGGACTCTACCCCCCGGCCTGTGCAGATCGAGGCCATTGCTGCCCTTTTCGAACTCGATCAATTTGGGAACCGGAATCGATATGACGCTGTGTTCGTCACAGCGCCAACGGTTCAGGCAAAAGTGTTATCTTCGAAGCAATGTATCTCATTCACGGACGCCGGGCCGTCACCATTGTTGTCATTCCACTGAATGCACTGAGCAATCATCAGGTGAGTTTTTCTGCCGACTGGGCTTGCTGGACCGACATTCGTGCTGATTTCCGCAGTCACATGCTTCTTTCAGGCTGCCAATCTCAATTGAAAGGGAAAGAACGCGATTGTCGTATCTGAGGAGACCTGGAGAGACGGCGAGCTGTACAGGCAGTTGGACGACCCCAGTCACAAGATCTCCTTCATTCTGATCGTATGTGCCGGTTGACCTTCTGTTTGAGTGAAGTACACATGTGTTGATTTTCCTTCCTGTTGCGTGTCAAGTCTCCTGAAATGCATATGAACAATGCAGATTGGGCAAAGTTGATCTCTAACGAGTCCTTTCAAGAGCGCGTCAAGTTGCCCGTCTATGACGAGGACAGGGGGGTGGTGTGCATCAAGAAGACTGAGGCCAAGATGAGGGACCAGTCGAGCAAGCGCTCGATATATCTGAGCTTTTATCCCGGTTGTAGATGACGAGTCGGATTGGGGAGTTGGGAGGAGATGCTGGAGATTGACTCGCGGTAAAGACGCTTGATGTGCAGAGTAGGCTCGAAGGTTGTAAGCGCCGGCAATATCTCCGTTCTGAATGTGGGCGTAACCAAAAGTTCCATGAAGCAGCTCAGTACGTCGATCCAATTGCCGATCGTTGACATGATGTGTGACGTCGATGTTGTCAACGGTCACATGGAGTACTTGTTCGAGCCAATCTCCTTCAGTTTCGTCGAATTCGCCTTCGTCAAGCTCGCAGCTGCCTGGAGCTGCCTGGAGCTGCCTGGAGAGTCGCCCAGCGAGATGTCGTCAAGCCGCAATCGTACAGAAACATTGTCAATCGGTCGTTCGCTCCACATGCGAGAGTCATGAGACCGTTGCGATGCTGCATGGCGTTGTCCCTTCGGTTGCAAGCGAATGCGATCTGACCCGTGACACTGCGGTAAAGCTGCGGCCAGCGTGTTGAAGTTTTTGGTGTCAGTTCGCTGCGATACCCAGCCGAGCTAGGGTCAGAAACACTCACAAACTCGATACGCTTTCTTTCGTGACCAGGCTCTTGTTCTTGCCCCGGATCGGAACCATTCTCCGGGGTGGCTTCTTCCATCTCGACATCAGTGGAAGCTGTTGGGTCCTTGTCGCGATTGATTGGCTCGGCCGGTGGAGGGTCTCCGCATTGTGATAGCAAGGTACGAATCCGTCCGCTGATTAAAGGGTTGTCTTCGGCGATTGCATCGAGCCGGGCGTCGATGTAATCGGATGCGAGGACTTCGGGAGTCAAGTCATGGCTAGCGACGAAGGCGGACTTGGTTCGCTTCATCTCTTTAATGATGATTGAGTCGGCCTGCACGCGGATAAGGCAAGTATTCAGTAGCTTTTTCGAATCCAGTACGAAGTGTTGCCCACCTGCTCGGCGATCCAGTCATTGATACAAAAAAAAAAGATTCGGCTTCTTGACTCTGCGCCATCCTCGCGTGCAAGTCGTAGAATAAGATCAAGTACACGCTTGAGGCTGGACCAGTTGCTGTTGAACAGCTTTGGTCGGTGTGTTTGAACTCCTACAAATCGTGTGGATGGGCTGAAGTACCACGATAGGTATGGACATAGCGAGAGATCGCGGCTACGAAATTCAGCGAACAGATCCGCCTCGCGGCGGTTGTTCTGGCGAGTTGACGAGGTATGGCGTCTGCTTGTTCGGGTCATTTTTGGTTTTAGATATTGTCGCGCTTGACGTGAACGACGGTGATCGTGAAAGAGGAGAATAGCGAAGCGTACGCAAAGGGATCAAGCCGAATTAACAGGCTCGTCGATGATGAGAGCGCCAATTACACGATGCGCTCGGACCATCTGAGGCCCGATCGACCGAAATCGCAGACTTCGGATCGCTGTAGCTCCACCCACAGCTTATGAAAGCTCTCGCCACTTGGGGTATGTCATGTTTAGAGCATAAAGAAAAATAGTACCCTTCAATTTTGCATGGATGCGCCTACTTGCCAAGTTACAGAGAACCACCCCAAAATGGCCCTGAAATTTCGGAGGGCAACTCAGCCAAAAGCGCGGATAACTCGTAAGCCCCTCCCAGAGGGAGGGCTTAGTTGAGCTTAGCACCACCCGTCTCGGCTCGGCTCGGCTCCGCACGCCCTCACCGCCCCGTCCGGCCAGGCGCTCTTGCGAGTGTGTGCGCTCGCCGCCGCACCGCCCATGATGCCGACTGCGATCAACAACCAGCCACTGGTGCAACACATCCTAACACGAGACTTTGCAGGCCTCGATCGTCCGTCCGCTCCGAACAGCACCGGCACCGGTACCGGAAGCGTTGACATCACCACAACGACGACGACGACGAGTTCCCCACCCGCTGCAACACGTCAACATGCGATCGCATCCACACCCGTGCTCGTGAGGGCGCTCCCGCCTTCATCTTATCTGGATAAACTAGGTCAACAAGCATCGAAACGAGCGAAACGGCAACACATCCTCACTGAATCACTCGAGAGCGCTCTCGAAACCCCGATCGACGCGTTCGCCGTACCGCTTCCGGACAAGGATCATCCACAGCATGCATTGGGGGACAATTCTGAAGCACTGGCGAAACAGAACAGGATGAAGGGGAAAGTGGCGAAGCGGTACGAGAGCTGGGAGTTGCTCAAAGCGATCGAGAAGAAGCAGCTCATGACCATCTACGACATCAAGTCGAACCAATTCGAGTTGTTACTCGAGCCGGTAGGAGGGAGTACACCCCTTGTGCATGCGATGCGACATGGGCCATCTTGTGCGTGCCTTCTTATTCGGATGCTGCTTACAATTCCAGGAGCTGACCCTCTTTTCCCCGGCTCGCTCGCTTGACCCAGATCAAGAAGTGGCCATCCTCATCACCGGAGCCCTCTCGAAGCAAGTCAACGAACTCGCCGACTTGCCACCCGAATCCTTCTCCCGCAATGATGCGACCAAAGCACTATTACGAGGGATCCGAGTCAACCTCAAACTCGCGATCACGCAGGGTTTGGTCTCGGAGGATACGTCGCTCTTGGCTTCGTTCTTGCAAGTGATCGTCATGTCCGAAGGGGAGAAATGGTTGCAGAAAGCGGGGCATGAAGTGGCTTTGGCATGTCGAGCGGTGAGTCCCCATGCCTCATGAACAAGTCGCGCCCTTCGTATTGATCCGAAATCTCTTCGCTTCTCACCTCGAAGGGCCCACCCGGCCGACCGGTGGCAGCAGCGACGACCCTGATCGACAAATGGGTTTCGAGGGAATTGCAAAAGACCCAAATCGCAGCTGTGGGGGAATACGTTTCCAATTCGATAGGGGACCTCGTCTTGCTGGGGCTTTGGTCGATCGTGATGGATATCTTGCCCAAGGAGGAGATGATGCCGTTGTACTTCTTTGCTAGGGATGATCGGATGACAAAGTGGGTGCAAAGGAATGGTCAGGCAGGTCGAGCTGCTGGAGTGTACTGACTTCTCTCGTTGCTTTCCTCCTTCATCTTACCCTCGTAGAGCAATGGAGGAACGCGTCGAGGCACTCAAACGCAATGGAGGGTGGACCAAATTGTCCCCACTGCTGCGGAAACAAATCGATGGCTCACTGGCGGAGTTGAGCAAGAGGACAATAGGAGGGAGAGAACGAGTGGCTGGGTTGAAGAAACTGTTAGATGAGTGATGAACCTTGAACTCACCGGATGGAGGGAGTGGTCGTCGCTTTCTTGGGTGTATTGTGACATTCTTAATTTGTTGTTGCATCTTGAAACATGTTGTACGCATTGACATCGCAAATCGGACCGCCGGAGTGCCGCATTATGACCGGCCCAAGCGGATCGCCTTGGACTATCCCCCTCCCATGACGTTCAATGTTGTCTCGAGACTCGGCAGCACGCGCAAGCTTGCCCACTAAACTTCTTGACTTGGTAATCCGAATTACGGAATGTAATATGACCGAAACACACTCAACCACATGTACTCAACCCACACCAGGACGAAGGGTCGAATCCTACCCCTCCCCTCCCGAAAACTCGAACCTGGCAGCCTCTCCACACCCCTACCATAGCTAACCGCTCTCAAAGCATCATGACCCAAACCCCCGTAAAACCCAGCATCACCGCCTTAACACTCAGATTAAAACCCCTGACCCGACTCGCCGAAGACGTACTTCCCGTCGTGGTCGTAGTAGGTGCTGAACCACTCGTCGTCGTCGTCATCGTCAACGCCGTCGTCGTCGCGTTCGGACCCATTGAAGAACTCGTCGAATTCAGTCCCGCTGAACCAGTAGAACTTGAGCCCATTCCCCCGTTCGAGAGCGAGGTAGATCCCGTCTGCGACGTCATAGAAGTTGCACCACTGACTGTAGTTCGGGGTGTAGCACCACCCGCGGTGGTGAGCGCGGTGGAGGTGGAGAGTTGGGAAGAACGCGTCGTCGAGGCGGTGATGACCATGGGGAAGGTTTCGAGGTTGCCGTTGTCGTTGTTGTTACCGTCTATGAGAGGCAAAAGAGATGGAACAGGAATGTGTTCGGTATAGGAGGGTTAGGTCAGCACTTGGTTCCGTTCAGGTTCCTCAACGCTTCGTCCTAATGGCCATGTGGGGGTTCGTGCACGCGGGCGATGCATTCGGAGACGACGCTGAACGCGCAAGCAAGCAGATGGACTAACTGTTTTGAGCGCTGACCAAGAGCAAAGAGGTGAGTAACAGGAATAGATGTGTGAGACGCATGGTGCGTTGGTGTAGGTGGATGCAGAAAGTACTTGTAGCGGTGCTCGTGTGGGAGCTTGTCACGACGACAAGACTCAAAGCCCTTCATCGCGGACTCCGCGCACAGGCCGAAGTTTATACCTACATACCTCGAAATAGCTCATCATGGCCAGCCCATGTGACGTCCCCCCAAAAATTCAAGAAGAAGTCGTACAAGTGTATATTGTTATTGCAAGGGAAGTTTTCATCGCGTCAGAAAAAGAACAGCAGATGATCAGTGCTAGGAAAGGGCTTGAATCAGGAATCGAGCTAAACCCAAAGAGTGAGCAAGGAGAGATAGAAAGATCAAAACTTGTGGAACCCCCCCCCGGTCTCGGAGCTGTAATGGGAAAGTGATGCACAAAAGACGAATAGGTGCATGCGGGATATCTCGTGGACCAAGAAGGGTTGCGTTGAGGCGACCTTGATGGATTGGATCTGAGGACCGAATGACGCTCAGACGGGAGGAGATTATCGTCGAAATGGGTCAAGAAGGGTCGTGCTTTCTGGGTAAAGAGTTCCTCATGCCGAGTGTGGTCGAAAGTTATGCGATGACTGTGATTGAATCAAGATGTGTCCGTTAAGCTTCCTTTAGAGTCCGTCAGGTAGACGATGTCCGTGTAAGAAGATTCAGGACTTACTCGTCATTACGGCCCAGGCACTGCTCGATGCGAGAATGACGAGAGAACAAAACCGAATGGGGCTGTCAGCAAGCCGAAAACTGGAGATCGAGAGCGACAGTGGACTTACATGAGGCCGAACAATACGGGCAAGGTCAAATTGTCGTCAAGTCCAAAGACGTCGATCGCCTCGGCGACGCCGGCGATCAACCCACACACAACCGACAAAGCCGGCAACGACAACGTACTGTACGGATTTTGTACAGATTCAAAAGGTCAGTGACACTCTTTGAATACGTCGCCAACGCGTCGCATCGCTCTTGAACTCGCCAACACGCACCTATTCGGACTCGGCAACCTCGGCAGCCTTGTCGGGTTCTGACTCCTCTGCAACACCCACGTCGACGCCTTTCTCGCCGGCAACCACGACGAATCACCTTCATCGCCCAACACGCTGACCGTTCCCCAAAAGTAATACGCCGCCAAGGTCCCCGTCATGACGGCGGCGAGCGTTCCGGCGAGGGACTTTTTACGCCCAAAGAGGGTGCCGGAGAAGGGTAGTTTGGGGGTGTATTTGCCGTACAATCGACCGAATACGGATGCGGTCGTATCGCATAGGGAAAGCATGACGCAAGATAATGTGGCGATGTCTGCAAGGGGATGACAGAGGGAGCTATGAGCATGCCATCCGGAGAGGGTCGACTGCCGAGCAAATGGCCTTACCTCTCGGGAGGAAGGTGAGGCAAAAGAGGACACCCCCAAAGTAGTAGATTGTCCCATTGACGGATTCTGGATGGTGATAAGCGGAGGTCAGTTTGGGTGTATCTCCCGAAGTGGTTTCCACAAACTGCACGTCGGACGAACCTCGCTCATGTTCCCTCTGTGTGACCCGAAATATTACCATCAGCAAAGTATCCCCCAAACCTCGGTCTGCACGTCCAAAGCACTGACCATCAAATACCCCAAATACTTCTCATACGTCAACTCGAAGGCGGGGCTCTTGAACCTGATCAGATCGGCGACGACGATGATGGTCGCGATCAAGAGCGACCAACGCAACAGGGTCGTGACGTTGGGGTGTTGTTGCCAGAGGTAGACGGCGAAGACGGAGATGCTCGAATGGAGGAGCTTGCGAGGGATCTGGAGCGCGGGTTCCAAAGGGAACACGTCAGTTCTTCTTGCTCGGGATGGGCTTGAGAGCTCGGATCGAGATCGAGCGTTGAGCAGGGGCCACGGGGCCACGGGGTGTAGGCGAGCGCTTACTTCGAGTCTGTCAAAGCGAAGGACCCGTACGTCCAGTCAGCGTTCAATCGCACGATGAACGTTCAGCAACCGCGCACTGACCCTGATCGAATCCTTCCGCGATCGACTCGTTCGGTGCTCATTTCACGTCGCACAGCCGAAGGGCGCGACGGCGACGACGACGGCGACGACGACGACGACGACACACGCGCTGCTGACGGCGGTGGTGTATCATGACCAGCTACGACGCCATTCGTCTTGCTCGACGCGTCTCCGTTCGAGGCTTTGGATGTGGTGCTTCGACTCCGTAGTTCGGTCATGCTGCTTGGGTTCTGGGCAGCGCGTGAACGGTTCCAAGTAAAGGAGCCGGCCTGATGCGAGAGCCGTCTCGATAACCCACGCGCGCCCGTGACGCGACGGCCCGAGGGCGGCGAAATGGCGCAGTATATCCGAGTATATCATGCGATGACCCGGACTTGGCCCGGCGAACGGATCGATCGGGTCAACCATCGGGCATCGGGTCGTCAGCGCTGCATTGCGTGAAAAGTATGGTACCGTGATGAACCAAGCGTCTCAACAAGTACGGAAAGATGTGAAAAGCAAGAGTAAAAAGACTTTGGCCAAGAGCCTGCCCAGCAGCACCTCGGAATCGAGGTGAAACGCCAAGAATTACTAGTCGTCACATATCCAGCACATGCAAGATATCGTCCAACTTCCTCACTGCATAGTCACGCACACACGCAAAAAGTCAGCGACTCTCCCATGAACCCTTCCAAGAAATCGAAATCCGCCAACGCGCAACGAACCTTGTACTTTCTGCCTCGCCTTGAACCCATCCTTGTTGCCCGAAAACGCCTCCGAGATGCGTTCGTTCTTGCGGTTCTGGATCTCCAACACCCGGTCCTCGACCGTGTTCTCCGCGATCAGTTGAAACACTTTGACTTCGCGCGTTTGGCCGATACGGTAGCAGCGGTCGATGGCTGGAAGCGGGGCAGAGATCGGGGAAGAGTCAGCTGGGGAGTGCGTGGGAGGGTCCTTTTTCTGAAAGCACGGGCAGCGCACCTTGCGTTTCAATAGATCTGTGAGTGATGGGTACATTCCTTAGCATGTGCAGCAGAGACTCGCTGAATCATGCCTTCCAAACTCACGCTTGCCACCACGGATCCATCAAGAAGACCTGATTAGCACACGTCAAGTTCAAGCCTGTACCGAATTCAAAATGAAATCAAGCTTCAGTCCACCTCTCTTCGATATCAAGTCCATCACCCCAAATTCAGATACACTGACCTAAAGCACCAGCCTTCAAAGAAATCAACATCACTGTCGGAGGTGGCTTCTCCCCCTTCTTGAGTCGGATCGACGCTGCCGGAGGCGCCTTGGAAAACGCCTTGATCATGTCCTCCCGCTTGGCTTGGGTCATACTTCCGTCGAAGCGGCAGCTCGTGATGCCCGCTTGCTCGAGCGCTACTTCGATGCAGTTCAGATGAGTGGTCCACTGTGGGGGCATCGTGCTGTTGGATAAGATGCGAACTCCCACAATCTTGACAACACGATTCGCTCACCTGGGAAAAGACCAAACTCTTGGCCGTCGGATCGGCCCGGAGCAATGTGATCAACCTCGCAATCTTGGGGGACGTCGCTCTGGCACCTTCCTTCTTTTGTCGTTCCAATACCTCGGCTTCGTCGACCAGGCTCGCCGTTTCCGAGACCGCACCGTCCAGTTCGATTAGTTGGTCGTAGTCGATGGTGGTGCGACACATGGGGCAGTCGCGTCGACGTCGTTCGTCGCCTTCGATGCAGGGCGAGCAGTACAAGTGCTTGCACAGCGTCAAACGAGGATCGTTTGGCGTCTCACCGCAGATCAAGCACGTGCCTCCATGCGCCAGCTGCTGACGCAGTTCCATCTGCAGCTCCGACAACTCGGCTCGATCAAGCTTGCGATCGAAGGCGATGCTCTTCTCGAGCGAACGAGCGAGTTGGCGCTCGCGCACGGCTTCGAGGAACGATTCGGGGCAGAGCGAAGGGTCGCAGGCAAGCTGACGAAGACGCAAGAGCATGACGAGCACGTCCTGATAGTGCGAGTTGATCGTGTCCTTCTTCATGTACGTGCGCACAATGTCCTTGAGCTGCGCTTGGATCTCATCGTACAGGGCTCGCGTGTCTGGATCGAGCTCGACGCGCAATTCGTAAAACAGGATCTTGGGCAAGGTAACGAGCAACTTGCCCGTCGAGTCCTTCATATCCTTGGTGCGACACAGCGTCGTCGAGGCGACGATGGCGCGCAAGATCTTGGCACTGCTTTCGGTCGCGTTTTTCCCGTCACCGACGTACTTGAGCCACTCCTCACGGTTGTCGAGGGGTTTGCACATGCGCAAAAAGGACATGATTGCGCCGAGATCGTCGGACGAGTTGACGATCGGGGTACCCGTGAGCACCCAGCGACGTTCGGCGATCAGCGTCGTGCACGCGATCGTCATCTTGGCCTTGGGGTTTTTGATGACGTGACCTTCGTCCAACACGACGCGGCGCCACTTGATCTGGTGCAACGTGTCGTGCTTCTTGGTCGGCACTTTGGCCTTCTTCTTGTCCGGACCACCGTTCTCCTCGTCGGCCTCGGCCGTCGTCGCACGACTTGAATTCGGGTCGGATATCTCGGCAGCTAGGGTCTGATACGTCGCGATGACGACGTCAAAGTTGCGCAGCTGCTTCTTCGTCAACGAGCGCCCGTCACCGTGATAGAGGTGCCACTTCAAACGCTTCGAGCCGACGTGGGTGTGCAGCTGACTCGTCCAATTCGAGGCCACCGAGAGTGGGCAGACTGGACAGTTGAAGACAGTTCAAAAGGGGTTTCAATCATCAGTTCCTCGTCCCGACCGAGTCTACAATTGTCACTCACCGATCAAGGTCATGTCATCGAACCTGTCATCCGGATCCTCCGGTTCGTCGAGCACGCCGTCCCCTGTATCATCCGTCGTGATGAGCGCTATCGTCGTCAAAGTCTTGCCCAAACCCATCTCATCAGCCAAGACGCCTCCTCGCTTAAGCAGAGGTTTCTCGCGTTGCATGAGTTCGGTCGCGACGTTGTAAAAAAAGGGTTCGCCATTCGGATCGATCTTGCGTTGCCACAGTTGCACGGGAGGATCGTCGACCTTGCGAGGGAGGCGAGGATGCTCCATGCGGATCATCCAAGCTAGACCTTGCTTTTGGAACGGCATGAGGTCAGTTCTCATCGTCTTGTCCTTCTTTCCCGGCGGGCAAGGGTGCATCGGCAGTCGAGAGGGGTCCAATCCGCCTTCTTTGAAGAGCTCACTGAGCGGGTCACCGCCGACGGCGCGCCGATCTTTTTCAATCATGAGCGCGTGCATCATCAGTACTTCTTGTTTGAGCTATGAAGCAGAGAAATGGACGAGCATCAGTCTAATCGCCTGTGGTGTGAGTTCCGAGCCCGCACAGAAATTGCTAACCTTCTCCTGATCGCTCATCATCGGCCCGCCGTTCGAACTCGCCGTCGATCCTCCTCTCGACATCTTGAGGTCATTGGAATGGTTGTTGTGATTGGCAAGGACGCTCTTCGTAGCGCGTGCGAGCATCGTCGCTCGCTTGGCTCGGGACGGGAAGAGCCAATCGAGGCGGGGGTCTCGACCCACCGATCGCTTGCCCCAGATCGAGATGCAGCACGTGATCGAGGTAATCATATGCGTGCCTTTCGGATCAACTGATGAAGGGGCACGCCTTGCAAGTGTCAGTTTGCGCACACGAGCTGGATTGACGAGAAGGGATAGACCGACCTTCACCGGCCACACCTTCGAGCTCGATCAGGTTTTCATCGAGAAGAGGAGCAAGTCGGGCGGCCAGACCTTTGGCGACCATGCCGATCTTTGCACCTCGTCGAGCGTGACTGACGGCGATGGCATTTTGAGGATCGACCAAGTTGGTTCGGTCCTGTTTGTGCGGGCAAGTCCGAGCGACGAGGTCAGTCTGAATTCGGCGAGCAAGTAGCCGGAAGCTTTAGCTCAGGAGGCGTACCCTTTTGAATTCGAGCTTCATTCCGGGCTTGACTGTGAATCAGGAAAATTTTCGACGATCAGACCCCTCTGGTGCTCCATGAGCTGGCGGTGGGCCCCACTCCTGCGAGCTCACTCTTGACTCACGCGTCTTGACCCCGCCATAATGTTGGGTTCCCTTGACATTGGCCAAAGGGATCTGGCCAATCACGATGTCCTCGTCCTCATCCAAACCATCCTCAACACGGCCAATGTGCTTCTCGTCCTCGCCTAGCTCGTTCGCGTCGACGGGATCGGCTCGCTCGTCGTCGTCGTCGTCGTTGTCATCACGATGGACATCGTCGTCATCGTTCCCGTCGTGCGAGGCCAGCTCTTTGCCCTTGTTGCTCGGAGACGACTTCTACAGAGGGCACGGAATGGTCAGTGATGAATCGTTTATGATATCCGATCCAAGTTCACCTCACCAGAGTCAGATCCAGCACCCGTTTGTTCGTCGGCTTGGCTTTGAGCACGAGCTGATCCTCGATCTTGAACTTTGAGCTCGAAGCCACGACCAACACCTCATCATCTTCCCCAGCAGCGTGGCTCAGATCGATCTGCATTCGGTCCGGATTGGACGAACGAGTTGGGCAGGACGAGGACGAGGACATGGCAGCGACCATGCTCGCTCGCTCTTGTGCGTGAGAGAAAAGAGGGAAGCTGCTTAGTATGAACGTGACTTGCGCGACCGAGGCGAGCGGCCGCGTCTGGCCGCGTGCGAAGTGCCCTAAAGCCGAGCTGTGCCGAGCGCCGAGCGAGCCGACAGGGAGATCACACTAAGAATCTCTCCAAGTACTGATACTTTCCCGGCATTATATTCACATTCACTAATGAGGGTACTACTAATAATATTATGAACATGTTTTGACAAAGGTTTTTAGACGGCCTCCGAAGTGGATATATACGAAATGTACGGACGTGTGGCGAACAGCTGCCTAGACAGGCGGGTCATCCTTCTTACCAGGAATAGAGTCAAGTTTTATACCTTGCCTTGCACTTTCTCCCGTCCTCAAAGGCTGTATCCCAAACGTCGTCTCCTCCGGCGACCGTTCCGTCGCTGTCCGCGCCACCCGGTTCGGAGACTTGACCCCGATGATCATAGGGATGTCGCTCCTATCCTCCTCCAAAGTGACTGTCTCGACTCGATTCAACGAATCCGGAGCACTCCTGACGAGCGGTAGACTCCTCGTCACAGGCCACTCTGTCTCCCCCATCGACACATCGACAAATTTCGAACATACTTGCAACCCACTCGAAGAACACCTCCTTCGAGTCCTGCTGGCACCGCGCGAAACGAACCGCCTTGATCGATCACTAGGATCGTCCCCTCCGCCGATGGCGTCCATATCGATTGTCATAGGAGGAGGATATAAGAGTGTTCGAGACTGGACCGCCTATGTGTCAACTTCCTCGTCGGAAGGGGAGGTGAGGATGAAGAAGCTTGTCGAGTTGGTGCCACCTTTGGAAGGGAGGTGAGGCAAAATTAATCAGAGGAGGAATCTCTCGAGGCCGCGCTTTGAAATCTCCATCACACTCACTATCGATACTGTACGCACTCAAACAAACCCACCCGACCTCACGTCCATGCAACGAAGCAAGAACCACGTGAAGCCAAAGCGGCGACCGAAGCGATACAACTCCGATGCGCCAATCGTCGCGCCCGGGAAAACTTCGATCGGTAGTAGATGGGGGTAATGAACGCGGCAGTGAAGAAGAAGTTCGTCGACGCATCGATAACCACGAGGGTTGGAACTGGAGAAGAGCTCAAGTCCGATTTCGCAGGTACCTTCGCTTTGCCGTATGCGGTGCACTCGACCGGCGATGAGGAGACCGGTTCCGGCACACCAGAGGATGAGGAAACCACAACATGCGAGGTACCAGCGCTTCTTCCAGCGAGACTGAAGACCTTGTTCCGAAATTGAGTGGACGAGGTACACGCGCTCCACTATCCGGAAAGGTGATCCAAGAGCTTGAGATCAGTCTCTTCCGGTGAGGGTACGTTCGAGAACAGGAGGCGTACTACTCAGGAAGACCGTGATCAGCACCTTGCCGGAATACACGAGCACGCACCACCTGTCAAGTTCAAAAGACGAAGAAGAAGATCTGGTGAGTTTCTAAGCCCTCATGGAAGGCAGGCTAGCGCGTGTGTCCACCAGATTGCAACGGCGCACGCTGCACTTGACGACGTTCCAAGCAACTGGAACGCCGACGTCCAATGCCTAACACCAGCCTCATACCGATAGAGTACATAAACAAGAACACAGCCAGCAGGCTGAGGAGCACAAGGAGTGGGTTGAAGCTGAATCTGAATCAGGCGTCCGTCCTCGAAGAACCAGGAACTCGGAGACTATGGAGGTGAGGGTGAGTAAACCGAAGGCGACGAGCGGATGCCCTTCGGGTTGATTGACAAGCCACATCCTATGCCCAGGTGGGGTGGCGGACCTCGTCATGCTCATCGTCAAGCAAATTAGACGACAAGCCGTGGTATAGAAGAAGGTACTGCTTCAATAATGGCTGGGATGGACTGCGCAGTCGACTGTCGAGTGGGCGAGATGACCACGGCAGCGCACGGCGAAAGCCGTCTCCGCTCGAGCGGCGTCCAGCCTATGGTGAGGGGTCGCTCACGAGCTAGACGAATAAGAGTTGGTACTCAACGAATATATGAACTTTATAGGAAGCGGGAAGAGACACAGACGTAGCATTCCTACATTTCAGCGAATCAAGACATCGCCGATGAAGTCGGGCCCTGTCGGGCGCGCGAAGTTTAAATGCAATCATGTGGCTCGCCGATCGTCGATCTGCGGATATTGTGGCCGGCTGAAGTTATTCTCGCTTTCGTCATGTGGCTTGCCAACGAATGCGTTTCTTGAGAATTGGGATGGATATCTTCACATTTTCACATGGATCATCGCTTTTAATTAGATTGAGTCGACTGAGATTCGATACAAGTGATACAACGCCCTACTCCAGAGGCTGGAAGGGTGGCTCTGTCCGCTATGCTTCGGAACGACTCCTGAAAGACTGGCGGAGAGGCCCGATAAGACCGGCCAAGTCCGCCGCAGGATCGCACACCACGCTGCCTTACCTATCTCTCAAGCCGCAGCCAACGATGCAGAGAGTATCTGTTGTCCCAAATGTCTACCTAGGTAACTAGGTATTGAGGATATGCGCAGGTCTTGAAGGGAGGCTTGAAGCGGCAAAAGGCACGAATCTCGATGTTTCCCACATTTTGTGCCTGTCGGACCAATTTCTCGAGCCCGGCCGCTTGGTTCCCACGATCCGATCCGCTGCACTCAACCAGAGCAAGATAGAGACACATTTAGCTTCCTCAGTGCTCAGATGGTACCTACTCACCTACCTACCTAGCAGTAGCGGTACCTAATCGCTTCCGATTTTTTGAATACACTGTGCGCATAATCTTCGTCGTAGTCCCACTGCACGCATGCGGAATTTCCGCTCGCGATTTACAGTTGGAACCCGCGACGTCACGGAAGCAAGTTTTCCTCACCTCTTTTTACGAGTTTCCAAAAATGGACCTCATTCTAAATCTGGCAAGCAAAGTCCCGAGAGTGGATACTTTTTACTCTATCAGGTGAGAGCAGCATGTGCCTAGGGATGTTTTGACGATGGTTCAATTACACATTTTATTCGCAGGCTCCACAAAGCTTCGCTTCCGAGGGGCGGTACCGAGCCTTCCCCTCAGACTGGTGTCGACCTGAACCCGCCCACCTGGGCCCATCCTCACCATGGCCCGACGCTTTGGCGCATGCTCAGGCAACGAAGCTGATGAAACCACCTTTGACTTTTCAAACAGTTGACTTGATTGTGTTCCATGACGGTGGTGACATAAGCACAGTACTTACTAAGGTAGAATAGGTAGCCTAGAAAACGGTTTCGGTCCGCCGATCAATCAAACTCCAGCGGAGGTGGCGGTGGAAGTGCCGAGAAGGTCGCATGTTCACCCAACATTACCCCATTCAAGTCCCTTGTCTTTGTTCCTCGACCTTCATCCGCGAACATCTCACCCGTCCCTCCCCTGCCTTGTGAAGAACCCCACGGCGCCAATAGGTTCGCCGTCGAAGCCGCCGAGGAAAGGGGTAAAGCCAACGTCGCCGTCGAAGCTGCGGCCGAGCCATGGGGTGAAACGGGAGGTCCGTTACGGAGGATATCTTCGGATGGGTTGTCGTTCGAGTTGCTGGTCACGTCGACGCGTTGCCAGAAGGAGCTGCCTTCGATGAAGGGTTTGCGTTCGTCCGCGTCGGGATCGAGGTCTTCGGATTCGGGATCGGTAGGGATGTCTCTTGGATCGTCGACGTAGCTTTGAGGCAGGCTTTCCTCCTCTTCGTTCGGCAGTTGGTGAGTTGGTACGATTGTGTATGAGATGTTGTTGGACCCGGATGCGAAAGCTTCACCATCGCCATGATCAGGCGAGGTGACCCGCATCCTTTGGCGTGGTGGATCCTCCCAAGGTGAAGCTTTCCGTTTCCCCCTCGCTTTCATCGACATGGACGAGGTCCAAGGTGCATCCTCACGCATCCGAACGTCGTACAGCTGATCTTCCTCTGCTACGGAGATCTTTGGCGCAGCGTACGAGGTTCCGATACTGCCATTGGGCGTACGACCTATACGACTCGTTGACGCCTCAGATGTCCCGAAATTGAAGTTGTTCGCCGAGGTTTGCAACTGAGCGTTCCGAGCTACGCCCTCATCATCGGACCCGGGTTCGTGATCGTCGTACGCCTTGCGTCGTTTGGCTTGGGCTTCGAACCTCGCAAGTCGGTCGGCAGCGAACGGGCTGTGGGTCGGTGGGAGCTCGAAGTTTTGGTCAGTTGAGATTGTGACTGGAACAGCTTAGGGGCCTGTGCGACGCGTCTGTGATGACAGCGGCCAGATGAACGTACCCAAAGGTGAGGTACTCGACCTGATGGTGGAACAGTCGATGATCAAACGTTGTATGATAGATGTAAGGACCAAGGTCGGCTAAAGCTTGACGTACCATGGCAAAGGGCAGCTCAGCCCATCCTCTTTCGATCTTGTACTTTGCGACTGCATGCCGCCGAGGATATGGGGGCAGGTACATCGTCAGGACGTGAGTTGAAGGTGTTGACAAGACTTTTAAAAGCTCACTCACACTCTATCCGAGTCGTCATCCTGTTGAGAATCTGTGATAGAACACGGGCGAACAGGCCCAGTTCGAAATAGGTCAGCGTGTCCGCTCAGTGATTCGCAATCGGGCTATCGAGATACCTACCTCCTCACTTCGTTGCTTCCTCGCCTGAATATCGGTCTGCGTACTATGAATCACACGGGGTAAAGTACCCGAGAGGAACGGTGATGGGATATAGCAGCCTTGCCGCGTGTTCAAGGGGTCGCACGGGAGAGAGACGTGCGCGCCAGGTTCCTCCGAGGTCGAGGTCGACTGAGAGCCCTGGGCTGGAGGGGGCTCGACGCTGGACCCTGCCGTGTCGTCCATCGATTCGGTTCCGGTTGGGGTGTTGATGGGCGTGTTGCTGCCAGTTGGCGTCATTGCCCTGGTGAGGGGCACACAGCACAAAGCGCGAGACGGTCGCCTCCTCCTAGCGCCAAGTTGGCGAGAGAAAGTGGGGGTGAGACAAACAGCGCGCGTTGCTCTCACCGCACGGCTGGCCAGCGCCCCGGCCCGAGTCCGGATAAAGGGCTCAATTTGGCAGGGACGACCGAAGAGGAGTAAGTGAACCCATTGTGTGATAAAATTCGAGACACGAGAACTCGCTGATTTTCAGGTTCAGGTGTTTCGTCTGCTTTCTTCTCAGCCGTGGACGGAAGGAAGAAATATGTGACTCTGGACACGTGCAAGCACCCAAAAGTAGCCTAGTCTTTCTACCTCCCGCCGATCGTTCCACTGAAATTCGCCGCGAGTTGCAGGCAAGCAGATCGCAGTAGGTACATTGGCAAGCTCAAATGGGCTTGATAATTCCTTTTCGATTTGTATTGTGTCAATTGATTTTTTGCAGACCGAGATAAATGCGACTCGAATATCGCACGAAAAGCTCAATCGAATCGATTGCGAACGGAAGCTCGTCGACGAGCCTGCAAAAGCGTTGATACTGCGTTGATCCGACCACGGCGTTGATGTCCCTTGACTCGCCTCGCGCTTTCGCCGGTCAGCCTCGACACACCCGGTCGACACCGAACCCTCGTTTTGTTCTCTGGCATACCCGCACAAAGCTTAGCCATCCCTTGCCGTCCAGAATCGGTCTTTAGTATACCACCGCCCGCCCGTCGCCCAGGGCTTGGCTTTGACACAGCCGCACGCCGCCTCCGCTGCCCTTGGGTCCTCCGTCGTCCTTGGGATCCTCGTCTTTGACATCCTCGTCGCGTCCTCCCATGGCACCATCCAACATGCTCAAATTCTTCGGAGGCGTCTCAGGACCGCAGGACCAAGTCACGCCCAAGGCGTCGTCGCAGTCGCAGACGAACCCGTTCGATTTACTGCCCAGCTCGGTGGTCGCGCCTACTCCGCTGGCGGCGCAGCGCTCAACGTCGTTTGCCTCACTCGCGGCGTTGCTGCCAAGTGGGGCCAGGACACCCACCCACAAACGTGACTCGACCTCGACCGCAGCCGGAGTCCAGGCTTCTTCGGGAGTGATGGCCTCGCCAGGGGGCGGAGGGGCGCAACAGCAGCAGTCGTTCTTTGGCCGAGACTCCGGACCGGGAGACGTGACCCCCGGCGGCCCAGCGACCTTGGGCGCCGCGCCTTTCACTCTTGGAGGCGTACCCACCACAGGTGAGAGCAGCTGCTTCCCATTCACATCTTGCGGTTCCATCCCTCCGCTCCCCGACCAAGCCCCGACCGAAACACGAGGAAACCGACGGGCAATTTTGCATATTCCCATTGAGAGAACAAGGACGATACGGGACTAAAGAGCTCGTTCTCCTCTTCGTCTCTCCGCAAGCGCCTTTCTGTCGAGAGGCTGCTCCGAGAACGAGCGAACGAGGTCGTGACGGCACTGACTGCGGGCGAGAGCACTTTGGCGTCATCGTCCTCTCGACGTGTCTCGGGCGCGCGGCCACCGGCTCGGACCGGAGACGGCGCGCGCAGGCTGGCTCGCGGGGCGTGTGCGCCAGGCGCGTCGGAGCGACTGGCTGCGTCATGCTCGCCCGGCCCATGTTCCCGCGACGGGGTCGACCCGCTCGGGAGCTTTTCGGTGCTTCCTCCTGATCGCAGCAACTCGTCACTGACCACCTCGATCCTCTTCTGCCTTCCGCTCTTCCCATCTCTCCGCCCCCCTCTCTGCATCCGCACCTGCACCTACGGTCTCGCACCATGCCCTCGATCCCGTCCGTAGCCATCTCGCGAGTTGAGCCCGACTTCTCCTTCAAGACCCAACCTGCTGCGCTTGCTCGACGGAGAGACAACACCTCGGCACCCAAGGGCAAGCTGTTGATCAAACTCATCGCCGCACGACAGATCTCGGCCCCTTCCTCCGGGTCAAGACCTTACGTCGTCGTCACCTTTGACCAGAACGAGTTCGTCAGTCGGGAACCCGTCCACGAGCAGGAGCGCGAAACGACCGGGTCGGCTAAGCCCAAGACCGAGGCCGCCACCGTACGACTGGCCCATTCGCCTGGTCCGACCGCTGCAGTCGCCTTGTCGAAGGAGGGTCCGCCACGCACCGACAGCCCTTCCCCCGCTTCGTCGTCGTCGTCGTCTTCAGACGGACTTCCAGCCGCGGCCATCTCGGCCAACATGTCACCCAACTCTTCGGCACTTAGTCGAGCATTGCATCAGAACGGAGGAGGAGCGATGTTACACCCTGCACCACTCTCACCGGCACCGAAAACGACGGCGACCCCGATCGCCCCCGTCGCACTGGCGCCACCCGCGGAAGAGAATGACGACGCCAAAATGATGTCCATCTCGCAGCCGATATCGAGCGAGTTGCTCAGTTTATCCGCCTGCAACCCTACATGGAAGCAGGAAGTCTTGTTGTGAGCTGTCTTTCGGTCGATGTTGGTCGTATTCTGTCAGCAAGAGACTGAGCTCATCCTTTGGTTCCCTCGCGCAGCGACGTTATGAATGAGAAATCGGTCGTGCAGGTGCAGATTTACGATCGGGCAGTCGAGGAAGAGATGTTCTTGGGATTATGCGAGATCCGACCAAAACTCGTCAACAACCATATCATTGACGAGTGGTTCCCGTGAGTTCTTTTACATTTCGGGGCTGGATCGACAGGCACTGACCTGTTTGGTGTGGCCGAACTAGACTTCGACCGCGGTCAGAGGACGAACTGGTCACAGGAGAGATTCGGATTCAGATCCGATACGAGAAGTTCGATGTAAGTCTCCAGGTTCTTTTACTTTGAACTCTTTTCGTGGTGACTGGGAAGCTGACCAGGTTTACCTCCGCTCTTCTTCACCCAGTTCAAGAAGGGTCTGTCCGTACACGATTTTGACTTTCTACGCATGATCGGCAAGGGCACCTTCGGTCGAGTCTTCCAAGTGCGCAAAAAAGACACGAAGCGCATCTACGCCATGAAGGTTCTGTCGAAGCGAGAGATCGTGGCCAAAAAGGAGGTCGCGCACACGATTGGCGAACGCAAGATCTTGCAACGGTCGTCGGACTCGCCGTTTTTGCTCGGACTCAAGTTCTCGTTCCAGTCCGAGACGGATCTATACCTGATTATGGACTACAAGTCTGGGGGAGAGCTTTTCCATCACTTGCAAAAAGGTTTGTCGTGCCCCTTCTGACCTATGCCAGTGCACGCACGCAGCTGACCTTCCAATGTCTTCGTTCACAGAGGGTCGATTCACGGAGGACCGAGCAAGATTCTACACGGCCGAAATCACCTTAGCATTCGAGCATCTACACAAGTTCGACATCGTCTATCGGTATGTTGCGTCGAATCAACTCCTTGCTTTGTAACTTGAGCGCTGACTTATGGCCCTTGCCGTGTAGTGACTTGAAACCCGAAAACATCTTACTGGACGCGACAGGGCATATCGTGCTGTGCGACTTTGGTCTCTCTAAACCCGACCTGCCCTCCGACGCCCTCACCAACACCTTCTGCGGTACAACCGAGTATCTCGCTCCAGAAGTTCTGCTCGACGATCATGGCTACTCGAAACTGGTCGATTTCTGGTCGCTCGGTGTCTTGCTATTCGAGATGTGTTGCGGTTGGAGTCCGTTCTATGCCGAGGACACGCAGCAGATGTACAAGTTGATCTGCTTCGGCAAGGTCAAGTTCCCTCGGGGCGTGATCGGTGAAGACGGTAAACAGTTCGTCAAGGGGCTGCTGAATCGTAACCCCAAGCATCGATTGGGGGCGCAACGGGATACGGAGGAGTTGAAGGAACACCCGTTCTTCAAATTGATCGATTGGGAAGCTCTAGCGGCACGCCAGATTCCCCCGCCGTTCAAACCTTACGTCGACTCGGACGAATCGGTCGCCAACTTTGATCCCGAATTCACCGAAGCGAACCTGCTCGAGGAAGCGCCCGTCGACGTTCAATTCGACGAGGACGACCCTTCAGCCGATTGGGTCGATACGGCTTCGAGAACACGACCGAGCATGACGAATCGAGCGACGCCGATGGAGATTCGAGAGAAACGAAGAGCCGCGCCAAACCCCGCCGATGCATTGACAAGTAGTGTACAGGAGAACTTCAGAGGTTTTACCTTCTCTGGGGAAGGGGAGTCGATGATTCATCATGCGGCTGGGTTATTCGCGACGACACAGATCCATCCTCCGTCACCGGATGGACTGAAGGGTGTGAACGATGCGGATGAATGGGAGGACGAGGCGTTACACCCGACACGCCGCAATGGGAACAAAACATCGAACCCCAACGGATCGGACATCCTGATGCGATGAGGCGGTTACGTTTTGGGCGACCTCTCCAAGCTATCTTATTGAACCCTCCCGCGCTTATTGTAGGAAGGGGTCAAGTTTTGCTGTTGTTTTTGATGATGATGAAAAAGGGGGCGCGCGCAGAGGTTTGTTGTTATCGATTCGGGAGGACGAAGGGTGGCTACCATGTGTTTTATACTGTTGATCTTACCACAGTGACGCCCGTCTTAGCTTTTTTTTTCTTTCTCTTCGCGTAGAGCCCTCGCAAACCCTCCTGCTCCTCCCTGCCCCACCCCCTGATTAATTGCGATTTGTGTTCTCTCTCTTTGATGTACTCTTCGTTTTGTATGCATCGAACACTGACAATGTTTTATAGCAGCTACGGTTTTCTCCTCTTTCCCACACTTTTGTCCCTGAATCTTGGGGAAAAGCAATGTTCTTGTCTGTCATGCATACTGCCTGCCCTATCACTGCGTCAAATATTGGATGGGACGGGAGGAGCTGGGACGGAGTGAGCAACGATGGCTGGCTGGTCGGAGATCATATCGATCATAAGGCGAGACGGACAGCGGAGCTCAGAGTAACGTTGAAGAGGTTAAAATTGGGGCGGGCAAGTCTAAAGAATGTCTATGACGTGAGCAAGAGCGGCTTGAACAGACACACACACACACACACGAGACTGGGGGAGGCAAAGGAGCTCCAGAGCACAAGTCTGAGGGCGACATTCATCACTGACGCACGGGCAGCGATAAGGTGAACTTGGTGACGAAGGAGCAAGTCCTCAACGGGGGTGAAGTGCCTCGCAACTGCGCATCCAACCAAGTGAAGACCCTCTCGCCATACAAAACTTCCGTTCCGGCATGACCTCCCCCTCCGATCTCGGTCGTGAACAAAATCTTGGAGCCCCTGCCGCACCACGTCTGTGCTGTTTCGTGCGCGGAGGAATAGGGGATGACCTCGTCCGTCTTTGAATGGAACATGTAGATGGAGGGCTTGGTCGGGGTTTCGGTTACGTTGGCCACCATGTCGGAGAGGACCAAGTACCTGGCGACCATTTCGTCCGAAAGCAGCCCTTCGCCGATGCTTTGGAAGCTGGTGGCGAGGACGTTGGTAAAGGCGAAGCGGACGATGTTGGCGGCGCCACATTCGTTGCGGGCAGAAGCGATCGCGGCCTTGCCTTTGGCGGTCGTGAGCTTGTCGAAGCGAGCTTGCAGCTCCGGGAACGCGCTCATTTGACCCGCAAGACCAGCCACCGCGAATCCCTAATACACAGCATAAATTTTGAGTCAGGTTTAAGCCTTGAAACGTTGAGATTGCGGGCGATACTCACGGCGAAAGCACCACCGTTGAGCTTGTTCAGCGTCGTGGCCAAATTCGCCGGCGTCCCCCCGAAAGCGAGTGCCTTGATGTTAAGCTCCGGAGCGTAAGAGTTGTGCAAGGCAGCTGACCATCCCGTTCCGATTGCGCCTCCCGAGTATCCGTAGCCACCCAGAATGACGTCCTTGGGCAACCTGAGGAAGTTGATCGCAGCGCGATAGCCATCGAGGATTTGGTACCCCGACTGATGGCCGACAGAGAAAGCGGAGTTGGTGCCCAAGAAATCGGTGACGATTGTTGTCCAACCACGGAGCAAGACCTCGGTCAGCTGGAGATCTTTGATTGTTAAGACATCGTAGGGTGAGTATAGAATTGGGTGATGCATGCCTGGGGTCCGTCATGACCGAATCTTAGCCAAGGACTCACCTCCGTCAGGGCAGAAGAGTTGAAACGGAGAGGTGTTGAAGCAGTAAGAGGGGGCACACTTGGATGCAGCTCCATCCTCGTACATGTTGTAAGAAACAAGGTACTTGGGTGAAGACCGCGCTGATTGAAGAATGGTCGTCACAGTGGACGCCGGCTTGCCCAAAGCATCGGTCGTGCGGAAAAGAAGCTGAGTACCGGTTACACCCACTCCTGGGTTAAGTGCCAATCGCGAGCGGTAGACTGTTCCTGGAGCATCGTTTGCGAACGTTGAAGGTGGAACGTAAAAAGGATCGGAATCCGGGGCGAGGAGAGCAGCAACACTCGTAAGAGTGGCGCACAGAGCTAGAACGCCGGTAGCTGCGCGCAGGATCGTTGATCGGTGCAGGTCCATCATGGCGGAAGGAGTAAGGAAGATAAGATGAGAAGGTATGGAGAGGAAGCAAAGAAGGGTGCACACTCAACCTGAAAGAAGTCGCTCGAGCTGGCGGGAATGATTATCAACTGTAGATGGCTTGGCACCGGCGAGCTTTGTCGATTTCAAAAGGAAGTGAGTGATACATCGTGGCACAGTCACGCTGACCCGGGCAACACCGCTCCTATCTAGGCTACATTAGTGTACGCATAGCCGATGCTATGCTAGGACCAAGGTGATTGGCGCCCTGAGCGCGAGCGACGGTGTCAGATTTGAGCTCCTCCCGGTGTCGGCGCCAGCAGGCTCACCAAGCTCGGACTCCGTGCACGGGTGGCGCTAATGAAACGTCCGAACGACCGGCGACTGGGCTTGGAACGAGCTTAGGCACAAGTGTGAGCGGTGCATTGACTAGCACGAAGTCAAGCTCTGGCTTGCTATTTATGCACCTCACTGGTGGTGGGTATACCTGTCGCCCTAGATGTTGCAAGGGTATAGGTTCCTTGGACTGCTAAGTTGAGCCCCTAAGCCGGTCTGGGGAAGCAAGCCATTTTCCAACCGCCTGACACGGCCAAGCTCTACGAATGCAGAGTACAAGCAGGAGAATGGACAATTCCAGAAGCGTATCGATTGAAAGATTTAGGAGAGGCTACGCGGCAGCTGGGATGTCCTCGCATTCGCCTGGGAGAACATGGAGGCCGTACAGCAGCGCTAAGCTCTGGTGCCTGCACAGCTGGACGCCCGGGCCGTGCAAAAACCTCGACCTCACAGCCGAGAGGTCCGCGTCCGTGCCGATGAGGCGTTGATCTCCCCTCCGGTAAGAGTCATTCGGCTTAGCAATTCTTCAGGCGAATAAGATGTGATCCTGGCTTGTTCTGGACATGGTCGCCGGATGTGTTCGAGCGACGAGCAGAATGACGAGATCGAAGTCTCCGTCATGAGTTCCCAGTTTTTGAGGGCACACCTCCAGTAACACCTGAAATGTAGATCGTATGTTATTCATAGCCAAGGAACATAATAACCTGAACCATCATAGGCAATAGCGTCCCTTAACCGGCACAATGGAGCACCTGACGGAACCTCTTGTGCGTGATCGAGAGAAGGAGCCGAGTCGCATCCGCGACGACCGTCTAGTCCGAGATCCCATCCACCGACCGTCTAGTAGCCAAGTTCTCGGACAAGTGATGGATAAGCATCGCTATCTTCCTCGAGGTATGCTTGTTTTGGGAATTTTTTTTGAGGAAAGATTGTTGGGTGGCTGCAGAGTCCAGCCCAACGACATCATATGCGATCGCTCACACTCGTTATTCGTCGACTCAATCAGCGCGACTGGCTGCAAGTACTCGGCAGGAAAAGCCGCGCGAAGGGTGGATTGACTAATAGGCCAGGGCACGATTAGCATAGATGTCAAGATGATTTCGAACAAGGGACAGGCTTTTACGGATTGTTCTCTGGTGATGATAACGACTCAGTCCAATGAAAAGGGACGAGAACAGAGTGGCCAGAGACTAAGGGACAGACTCGCGGAAGGCTAACTGGTAAAGCGCTGCAATAACAGAGGGACTAAGACGATTAGAGCTGGGAGATTGAGATACCAACGGGCCAAATGAAGGCACGTTGGGCTCAATCCCAAGAACCAACTTAAATGCTGTAGTCGGATGAAGACGGTGAAACCAGCTATCCTTGACACACGCTTCTCCGCCGCGGACGTCGCAAATGCATTACACTGAGCCGGCCGATGTTGCTCGACGATCAGTTGAGCCCCTGTCCCTGACTTGCGCCCGTGCGCGCGGTCAGAACGCGCGATTCTGAGGCTTCAATGACCCACTGATAAAGACGTTCTTCGGAACTGTGCAAGATCTTCAAGTAAATGTATTCCATAGCTACATGGGACCACATATTCGTACAATGGACAAGATCAAGAACCTAACCCTATCCGGCCGCTGTGCAATCGCTTTATAGTCGAGACGACAAGGCGAACATCCCATTCTGTACACGACAAAGCAGCACTACATTCGCACGGGAAGCGCCGTCATCGACTGGGTCTCGAACGAACAACTCGTGATCGGTGCCGAGGTGCCCCTCAACGAGTTGTCCAACCAATCGATCGTCATGGGGCCATACAAGAGTTGAGTCCCCACATGACCACCACCACCAACCTCAGTAATAAAGGTGATCTTGGCTCCATCGCTGCACCACGTTTGAGCGGTCGTGAGTGCCGAAGCATAAGGGATCACTTCGTCCGTGGTCGAATGGAACATGAGGATGGAAGGTTTGGTCGGCGTCTCGCTCGCGACCGAACCCATCGTCGACATCGTCAAGTACTTGGTCACGATAGGATCAGAGAGGAGTTGACTACCTAGGGATTGGAAGTCGGTCGAGAGGATGTCGGTGAAGGCGAATTCAACAATGTCCGCGGCGCCGCATTGGGATTGGCCGGTGATGACGGCGGCTTTGCCCTCATCTGTCGCGATTTGTGAGAAGCGAGCGTAGAGCTCGGGGTAGCTCGCGACTTGGCCGGCGAGACCACTAACAGCAAAACCCTGAATTGACACAAACATCTGACGAAGTTCAGCGCGATGGGACAAAGAACGAAGCGGTCAAGCAGCAAGGAAACTCACAGCGAACGCGCCGGCGTTGAGCTGAAGAAACGTCGACGTCATATTCGACGGCGTACCCCCGAACGCCAACGCCTTGATGTTCAACTCGGGTGCATAGTCGTTCTGCAACGCCGCGGACCATCCCGTACCAATCGCACCACCCGAGTACCCATATCCACCGAGGACGACGTTCTCGGACAATTTGAGGAACTTGATCGCGGCGCGGTACGCGTCCAGGATTTGGTAACCTGATTGATGCCCGACGGAGAAACTCGAGGTCTTGCCTTCAAAGTCGGTGACAATAACAATCCAACCCTTGGTCATGAAGTAGACGAGTTGACCGTCTGTAGGAAGCGAGGAAGCGAAAGTAGGATGGCGAGGGAAAGATCGGCGAGTCAGCGATCCGGATCACGTGACCGTTAGGCCTTCGAGAGAAGGGGCATCCGGCCCGGCAGCTGGTGGACGCCGAGAGAAGGGTTCAAGAGATAGGGACCACTCACCACCATCGGGACAGAATCCTTGCTGAGAAATGGTGTTGAAACAATAGGAAGGAGCACACTGAGGTGCCGAAGCATCCTCATACATGTTGTAGGCCACGAGGTAGTTTTCTGACGAATTCGACGTTTGGAGGATGGTCGTCACCGATGTCGTCGGCTTGCCGAACGCGTCGCTTGTGCGAAACAGGATTTGAGTACCTTTACGACCAAAGCCGGGGTTGAGGGCAGCTCGTGAACGGTATATGGTTCCGGGGGCATCTTTTGCGAAAGTTGAAGGGGGACGGTAGAATGGGTCGACGTCGGGTGTGGGGATGAGGAATGTCGCTGGCGAAGTCAGATCCAGGATCGGTGCCGCGGAAACGAGTACGGTGAGAGCGAGGATGCTGCTCGTGACGCGGGTGAACCAAGATGGACGCGAGGACAACATCTTGACGAAGGTATGAAGAGGTATGAAGAGGTATGAAGAGGTATGAAGAGGTATGAAGAGGTAGGAAGAGGTAAAGAGAGGTAGGAAGAGTATGAAGATGAAAGACGATGGCAGACAGAACGAAAACAAACAGAAAAGCGGGGCCAGTCCTCCCCTGTCCTCCCCTGACGGCGTCCTCCGAATGATCAGCGACGCCGAGGGAAGTGCAGAAATTCGATCACCTCGAGCCTTCTAGTACTTTTTCGGGGTTGCATCTCGACCGTGCTCAATCAGGTGAACAATCTCAGGCTTAAGATGATCTCGAGCTTGAAATCAAAGATCCCCGCACCGAGCGCTTGACCAATTACTGATGCCGAAGATGTTTTAGCTCCGATCTCGGATCAGGATTTGAATTTCAGCTGGTCTGCAAAAAGTGGCGATCCTGAGCAACGAGGCGCCATTATAATAGAGGGTCGAGACCCGTCCATCATTGCGTTGTTATCAACGAGTTGGCCGCTCGGACGCCAATGTCCGAGTGTGTCCACGTGCCTCCTCTTCACAGATAGGGGCTTGACACGAAGACTCCGCAATTCGAACTCCTAGTAGAATTTGTTAACTCCGAAAGGGTTACTTCCCACCGTACTACTTATAAACATAAACGCCAAACAGCGTGTCCGACGTCCGACGTCGAACGATCGGCGATGAGCTCAATTGAACAATGGGCAAGCATCTCGCTTCCGACGATCTTTCTCCGTCGGGGCCACCCCGCCTTTCCTTCTTCGGTACCCTTTGGTTCATCATAACCGAGCCAATAACCCCTTTATGACGGGGTGACGGGGGCCACTTGTTTTCTTGTTGCTCTGGCGTTGCCTACAGAGGGCATAAAGAGAACAAGGGGTGCATCAGTCCAGTAAATCATCCCAAAAATGAAAAGCTGATCAACCGGCCAATTTGGCAAGAGTGCGAAACTCACCCTGTGACCAAACCCTCCACCCCCGCTCATCCTTCAGCCCCTTCACAGCCCCTCCTTTCCATTTCTCCACCTTGAGCACTTGATCGTCTTGCAAGGCCGAGAACAAGACCTCCCTCAACCGTTGAACCTTGTTCCCCTCCCCCCCAACATAAAGTACGATTTCCCTCGCGTGCACCGCTTTCCCTTCCGGGTTCTCCTCATTGGATTCGGAGAAGGAAGTCAGAATCGCCGCGAAGGAAAGGTTCCTTTCCTTCATCCAACCTAAAAGGTCCTGTTCTATCCCCTGCCACCCTTCGCGTCCCTGCGCTTGATCCTTTTGGAGCCATGCTTTTAATCCCAAAAGGAACGGTCGAAAGACCATATTTCCACCCTGATTCTTGATACTGTTTGTAATCCCTGCGTAAGAGATCTCTACCACTCATCGAAGAGATATCGGTCTTTTTCCTCATGAGGACTTGATGACGAGCGATCAAGGCCGTCATAGAAGGTCCGATGACGGCACCAGTGTGTTGGAACGGACTGCGCGAGCAGTAATGGCTAGGAGCGTCTTTGGGGTTTTTGGGAAATTTTAGCCATTTTGGCCAGGGAGGCGCGGACTGCGTCAGCGGCGGTGCGGAGTCCACTTGATTGGCTCCTCACCAATCATTGACTCTGCTATCGACCGTTGACTGAAGTTCGTGTTCTCGTCTCCCTGGACCAAAGATCGCCTCGCACCGAAATTTTAACTTGGTAGCGTCTGATCAGTTCAACCGTGAACTCAATTGCGGTGGATCTTTCAGTCACCTATCGAACAAGCACCGTCAACGATGTCAGGGAAGGCACACACCCTCGAGGATATCGGCCTACTCAACCGTATCAATGGGCCAGTTTGGGCGCCTGCGAAGCGCCTGGCGCTGCACCCCTGCGGAAGGTATACCCCGCCTCTTGTCTTCAGCCGAAGCGAAGCCGCCCGCCACGCAGCCCCGGGGTCAATCGCTCAAGGACTACACGTCTTTGTGCAACGACTATGACTCGAAGGACGCAAAAGGGAGGACGCTGATCCGAAGCCATGTGGATGGCAACACCTGGTTCAAGTTGAAGGGGTCCGCCGTAGGCGCCAGCCTTCGCCAAGTCGCTCGACCTCGGTAATGAAAGTCGTTACGCTCGTCCCGGGTTCGTATCGCAAGTTCCAATAGGCCCTGACCGTCTTGGTTCCCACGAAGGGAACCGAGTTCTTGTCATACATTTTGACCAGGTCGGTCCAGACTTGACGAAGGCTGGCGCCTACGGCGGACCCCTTCAACTTGAACCAGGTGTTGCCATCCACATGGCTTCGGATCAGCGTCCTCCCTTTTGCGTCCTTCGAGTCATAGTCGTTGCACAAAGACGTGTAGTCTTTGAGCGAAGCCTTCGTCAAGTCTGGACCGACCTGGTCAAAATGTATGACAAGAACTCGGTTCCCTTCGTGGGAACCAAGACGGTCAGAGCCTATTGGAACTTGCGATACGAACCCGGGACGAGCGTAACGACTTTCATTACCGAGGTCGAGCGACTTGGCGAGTTGTGCAACCGCCAAAAGATTGCGTTCTGGTTGCAACAACTAAACATCGACCGGGACGAGCTCGACGGCATCTACGGTACGATCATATCCGCCCTAGGACAAGAACGCGGTGAAGCGCTGCGAGAAATGATCTTACACGTCGACACCTTCGCCGTCAAAACAGTACTCACGGAGCAGCTGCCCGAGAAGTACACCTTCGCGTTCCGCGAAGAGAAGAACATCGATGTATTCTGCGAAAAGGTCAGGAACGCCTACGAGGAGGACGTCGTCATGAACGGTGCCGACGTCAGCCCACGCGCCGAGCAACCGGCCAGCGCGTTTTCCGCGTCGCGCCAAGAAACTGCCCAGGCCCAGGCACCGTCTTGCAACGGGAACTGCGCTTGTGGCAATCAAAACCACGTCTTCGCTGCGATGGGACAAAGCGGAAGCCAAGCCGGACCCGCCAGGAACAGCCACTGCTCGATGGGCAACCATCGTAGTAGAGGAGCCACGAAGAGTTGTGCGGAGCATTACGCTAACGCGGAGAAATGGGGAAGAATCGTCGATGGGAAGTTCGTCTGCGCGAACAATCAATGCCTCAACTGTTTCGGGTTCGGCCACCGCAAGGCCGGCTGTACCTTGAAGGACCTGGCGGGAGACAGGATGCGATACCTTCAGTCGCTCCAAATGAACGTCCCGTTGCAAGGCCACGCGTTCTACTTCGTGGAAGATCCTATCCCGATGAGCCTTGCCGACCGAATGGATACCTCGTACCATTTCACAAACTACGTGTCGGAAGTCAACGAGCAGACAGTATTCCGCGTGACCACCTCCAAGGAGAACCTTGAGCTCATCTTTGATACTGGAGCCACCACGTCTCTCGTCAACGATAAGTCGCTGCTTTGCGATTACGAAGAATTGGACTCCCCTACCGTGATGGTCGATGCGACGGGGAACCGCACTCCGGCAATCGGGCGAGGTACGCTCAAGGCCGAGTTCAAGCTCGCCGACGGCACAGTGTCCAACATGTCAATCGCTCGCGTCCTGCACGTTCCGGGATTCGTTGTCAACCTCATCTCGGGACCATCACTTTGCAAGCAAGGCGTACGCATCGAGATGGAACACGATCGTTGCAAGTTCGTCCAAAATGACAAGACGTTCGCGATCGCCAAGCTCGTCGGCTCGAAATACATCTTCCAGGCTCGTCTCTATACTCGCGACCCAGTTGAAGCCCACACGCTGACGGTCTCCGAACGTTCCAACTCCGCAGATCGCGAAATTTGGCATCAACGATTCGGTTATTTGAATCTGCCCTATCTGCTGGAGATGGATCGGAAAGGGACTGTCATGGGTTTGAACATAAAAGGGGGGGATTTTGACGTAGCTCAATGCGCGGGTTGCATGCAAGGAAGAGGTTTTCATGCCAACATTCCTAAGGGCCCTGCTTCTCGCGCCGACAAGCCACTTCACACGATTCACGCCGATATCTGGGGTCCCGTTCGTCACGAGAGTGTAAGTCTCTGACCACTCTGTTCTCTGTTCATTGGAGTGAGTCGTGGTCATCATCAGGTCAGCTCCTTAGTCGTGGTCATCATCAGAGAACAATCCGTAACACGTCTTGGCACAGTCGCGCTGACCCGGGCAACACCGCTCCTATCTAGGCTACATTAGTGTACGCACAGCCGATGCTATGCTAGGACCAAGGTGATTCGCGCCCTAAGCGGGAGCGACCGTGTCAGATTTGAGTGTCTCATGGATCCCGGACTTCCGGGCTCAACGCCCGTGTCCGGCCTACTAGCGGTGATGGACTTCGAGAAGGCTTACGATCGTCTTTCCCATACGTACCTTGATGCAGTCCTCTGCGCTGTTGGCCTCGGTCCCAAAGCCCGCAAATGGTACCGAGCGACGTACACCAACCAATCTGCCTCGATCTTCCTTAACGGTTGGCTCTCGGCCGCTTTCGACGCCCTGTCGGGTGTTCGGCAAGGCGATCCTCTGGCTCCGTCTCTCTTCGTTCTGGCGATCGAGGGTTTCGCCTGTCAGATTCGATTGAGGGTCAAGGGTATCGCGAGCCCGAGCCTCCAAACGATTCGAGAACTCCTCTTTGCCGACGACGCTTGCTGCGCGCTCCATAACCTCTCGGACCTCTGTCAGAACCCAATCATACTGATTCTCTTCTAATTCTATTTACTTCTCATGCCACTATTCCACTCCTACTTTGCACTCCTTCTTTAGCCTATTACCCTCTACGCCGGATCCCAGCGCCTGATCGAGACTCGGTTGACACGTTGGCTTGGGTTGAAGTCGCGCGCCTCGCGGGCACTCGTCTCTCTTCCTTCTTCATCCATCTTCCATCCTCGATCTTGCGCTCGTACTCAACCCCTTGAGTCGGGATCCAGGTCAGTCCCTTTGCAATGCTTGATCCATCTTCCATCCTCGATCTTGCGCTCGTACTCAACCCCTTGAGTCGGGATCCAGGTCAGTCCCTTTGCAATGCTTGATCCATCTTCCATCCTCGATCTTGCGCTCGTACTCAACCCCTTGAGTCGGGATCCAGTCCTCCATACTTCTCATAACCTCGACCATCTCAATCGGGCGATCGAGCTGTACGAACGGGCAAGTGCCACCAAGCTCAGCAACGCCAAATCGTTCCTCTACCCCCTTGGATCGTTTAGGGATCGGCCGATCGCCCCAGGCCTCGGGACCTGGCGTCTCAGCGACTCGCAGTTTCGCTACCTTGGTATCCAGGTCGGGGTGGAGATCGCCGAGGATGCGGGTTGGGAGGAGGTCAAGTCCTCGACCATCGCTCGTATACGCTCTATCCCGATGTACGATATTCCTTACGCAGCCAAATGTTCAATCATGAACATCTACTGCTACACGAAGATCCTCTTCTACAGCCGATTCCTCCCGGCTCCCAGGAGCGATGTCCAGGAAATTGAGGATGCGGCCATGCTCGCCATTCACGGTCGAGCGTCGGATGGTACTCAGCGACGTCCGAAGGTCTCTCGGTCGCGCCTCTGCACCCCTCTCGATCACGGCGGCTTCGGTTTGATTGATCTGCCTCGGCGCCTAGCGATCGATCACGCCAAGTGGGTCTTCCAGCTCCGGGCCCCAGACGGCTGTTTCACCCGCCACCTCTTCGACATCCGCATTCGCCTCCAGGCGGCGAACCAGCGCACCTCCTTTACCTTGTCCAGGCCGGTCCCCAACCAGCATCGTCGCCCATGGGTCTAGATCTGGTGGGCATACTTTTGTCACCCTTCCCCAAAGTGGGACCACGCGGTGAGAAAGACGAGGAAACTTCTCCCTCAACGTTGGATCCGCTACTTCGAAGCCTGGGCGTCGGTGACAACGCTCAATCCTCCCGAACTTTCCAAGAGCCAGAACCTCGAGCGATGGGTGACACACGTTCTCTTCTTCCCGGCGGGCCACGGAATCCAACTCTCGGTGAACCCGACGCTCTTTCGAGGGCCCGATGGCGAGGTGATGACTCCGTCTTCGTTTGTGAACGCGTCCAAACGCCACCACGCTTTCCTGTACCCTCCTATCCTCCCCAATAGACACCAGAAGGTTTTCTCTCTGCCCGAACAACGTTGGAATGCATGGTGGAAGGCCTTGCGCAAGGTTCGCAGGTTCACTCGGACGTTGAGGATAGTGCCCATCTCCTCTCCTTGGGATCCCTCCATCCAGGTAGCCAAGTTGCATCTCCAAACAGCCCACACCCCAACAATCGATCTGCCTCCTGTGTGATGTGCCTCTCGGAAGCACCCGAGTCTGTGGCTCACCTTGCGGTCGGCTGCCCATTTGCCCGCCATCTCTGGTCTGCTCTGTCTCCAGCCCCACACCCCGACATCGTTGCATTCGTATGTCCGGCCGTCTCTCGTTCGGAACGCCAACTTGTCGAGCTACGTCTCCTCTTCTGCTCGACGATCAGTTGAGCCCCTGTCCCTGACTTGCGCCCGTGCGCGCGGTCAGAACGCGCGATTCTGAGGCTTCAATGACCCACTGATAAAGACGTTCTTCGGAACTGTGCAAGATCTTCAAGTAAATGTATTCCATAGCTACATGGGACCACATATTCGTACAATGGACAAGATCAAGAACCTAACCCTATCCGGCCGCTGTGCAATCGCTTTATAGTCGAGACGACAAGGCGAACATCCCATTCTGTACACGACAAAGCAGCACTACATTCGCACGGGAAGCGCCGTCATCGACTGGGTCTCGAACGAACAACTCGTGATCGGTGCCGAGGTGCCCCTCAACGAGTTGTCCAACCAATCGATCGTCATGGGGCCATACAAGAGTTGAGTCCCCACATGACCACCACCACCAACCTCAGTAATAAAGGTGATCTTGGCTCCATCGCTGCACCACGTTTGAGCGGTCGTGAGTGCCGAAGCATAAGGGATCACTTCGTCCGTGGTCGAATGGAACATGAGGATGGAAGGTTTGGTCGGCGTCTCGCTCGCGACCGAACCCATCGTCGACATCGTCAAGTACTTGGTCACGATAGGATCAGAGAGGAATTGACTACCTAGGGATTGAAAGTCGGTCGAGAGGATGTCGGTGAAGGCGAATACGACGAGGTCCGCGGCACCGCATTGAGATTGGCCCTTGATGACGGCGGCTTTGCCCTTGGCTGTCGCGATTTGTGAGAAGCGAGCGTAGAGCTCGGGGTAGCTCGCGACTTGGCCGGCGAGACCACCAACAGCAAAACCCTGGATTGACACAAACATCCGACGAAGTTCAGCTCGATGGAAAACAGTACGAAGCGGTCAACAAGCAAGCAAACTCACAGCGAACGCGCCGGCGTTGAGATGAAGCAACGTCGACGTCGTATTCGACGGCGTACCCCCAAACGCCAACGCCTTGATGTTCAACTCGGGTGCATACTCGTTCTGCAACGCCGCGGACCATGCCGTGCCAATCGCACCGCCCGAGTACCCATATCCACCGAGGACGACGTTCTTGGACAAGTTGAGGAACTTGATCGCGGCGCGGTACGCGTCAAGTATTTGGTAACCCGATTGATGACCGACGGAGAAACTCGAGGTCTTGCCTTCAAAGTCGGTGACAATCACGGTCCAGCCCTTGGTCATGAAGTAGACGAGTTGACCGTCTGTAGGAAGCGAGGAAGAGGCGAGTCAGCAAACTAGATCACGTGACCGTTGGGCTCTTGAGGGGAGGGGATCTGGGTCGGCAACTGGTCGACGCCGAAAGAGGACAAAGGGTCCAAGTGATAGGGCGACCCCTCCTGCGCTCTGGCCGCGCCAAGGTCGTTATCGTTCGCACGATCCCCGGTCCACTCACCACCATCTGGACAAAAACCTTGCTGAGGAATGGTATTAAAGCAATAAGAAGGAGCACACTGAGGTGCCGAAGCATCCTCATACATGTTGTAGGCGACGAGGTAGTTTTTTGACGAAATCAAAGTTTGGAGAATGGTCGTCACCGATGTCGTCGGCTTGTTGAACTCGTCGGTCGTGCGAAACAAAATTTGAGTACCTTTACGACCAAAGCCGGGGTTGAGGGCAGCTCGTGAACGGTATATGGTTCCGGGGGCATCTTTTGCGAAAGTTGAAGGGGGACGGTAGAATGGGTCGACGTCGGGTGTGGGGATGAGGAATGTCGCTGGCGAAGTCAGATCCAGGATCGGTGCCGCGGAAACGAGTACGGTGAGAGCGAGGATGCTGCTCGTGACGCGGGTGAACCAAGATGGACGCGAGGACAACATCCTGATGAAGGTATGGAGAGGTATCAAGACGAAAGACGATGGCACACAGAACGGAAACAGCCAGAAAAGCAGGGGCAGTCCTCCCCTGATGCCTTCACTGCATCATCAGCGAGGTCGAGGGACGTGCAGATATTTGATCACCTCGAGCCTTCTAGTACTTCCTCGGGGTTGCATTTCGACCGTGCTCGATCAGTTCAATCATCTCGGGCTTATGATGATCTCGAGCTTAGAGAAGATCCCCGCACCCTGGGCTAGGAAATCGCTTCGGCGACAGCTCCGAAGGCTGAATTGCACCCCCGAGTCCCGAGCGCTTGAGCACTTATCGCGATGCCGACTTTTTAGCTCCGATCTCGAATGAGAATGAGAATTAGAATTCCTGCCAGTCTACAAGAAGAGAGGACACTTGTCGGGCGACGAGGCGCAATGAGAGGGATGAGACCCGTCCATCATTGCGTTGTCATCAACGAGTTGGCCGCTCGGAGACCGATCTCCGAGAGTGCGTCCACGTGCCTGCTCTTCATAAATAGGGGCTTGACACGAAGACTCTGATAAACTCCTAGTAGAAATTGAATATTCCATTTAAAACTTTGACAGGGCTACTACTCCACCGTACTACTTAACAAAAACGCCAAACAGCGTGTCCGACGTCCGACGTCGAACGAACGGCGACGGGCTCAATTGCACAAAGGTGCAAACTTCTCGCTTCCGACGATCTTTCTCCATCGGGCCACCCCCGCTCTTTCTTCTGAAGTACCCTTTGGTCTATCATAACCGAGCCAATAACCCCTTTATGACGGGGGCCACTTGTTTTCTTGTTGCTCTGGCGTTGCCTACAGAGGGCATAAAGAGAACAAGGGGTGCATCAGTCCAGTAAATCATCCCAAAAATGAAAAGCTGATCAACCGGCCAATTTGGCAAGAGTGCGAAACTCACCCTGTGACCAAACCCTCCACCCCCGCTCATCCTTCAGCCCCTCCACAGCCCCTCCTTTCCAATTCTCCACCTTGAGCACTTGATCGTCTTGCAAGCCCGTGAACAAGACCTCCCTCAACCGTTCAACCTTGTCCCCCTCCCCCCAACATAAAGTACGATTTCCCTCGCGTGCACCGCTTTCCCTTCCGGGTTCTCCTCATTGAATTCGGAGAAGGAAGTCAGAATCCCCGCAAAAGAAGAGTTCCTTTCCTTCATCCAACCTGAAAGGTCCTGTTCTATCCCCTGCCACCCTTCGCGTCCCTGCGCTTGATCCTTTTGGAGCCATGATTTTAATCCCAAAGGAACGGTCGAAAGACCATATCTCCACCCTGATTCTTGATACTGTTTGTAATCCCTGCGTAAGAGATCTCTACCAGTCATCGAAGAGATATCGGTCTTTTTCCTCATGAGGACTTGATGACGAGCGATCAAGGCCGTCATAGAAGGTCCGATGACGGCACTGGGCGCTGCACTTCCGGAGCGGAACGAGCTGAGGGGGAGCAGGAATTGAACGGCGGCGAGGTCCTTGGGTGTGGCTTTACCTCCGTTCGTCGACGGTTTGAGGGAGGTGTCGATGGCTATTGTGGAGAGGAGGAGATCGGCGAGCGGGGTCGGCACCGAGACGGCGTATTCGGGGGGTAGGAGGGGGGAGAAGTAGGAGAGGACCAAGGAGGTGCAGGATCCGGCGGGTTCGATCAGACGAGGTTCGGCGGAGGCGTGCTTCCCTTCATCGGCGTGGTGGTCGATAATGGCCGTAACGGAGCTGTCCCATGACGGTTTGCCTGATGTAGAGGGGGTCTTTGATTCTGAGCGAAACACGGGCAAGAGGACGTTGTGGTCATCGAGGGCAAAGTTGGCGCCTCTGGCTGCGAGCGCGGCGGGATCGGGGATGTCATCGATGCAGAGCAAGGCCTCAGCGGGGACGTTGGCCTGTTCGAGTGCGAACTGATTCTCGGGTCGGAGGTAGAGGTCCGATCGGGCGGTCATGATCAGGGGCACCGAGAGCGATTTGGGTGGGGTGATGATGTGAAGAAAGTAGGCGAACGCGATCGAAGAGACCAACGAGTCGAGGTCTGTACGAAACGGGATGGCTTTCAGGTAAGGGCCAAAGACATTATACACCACCAGTCGGACTGGACTGACCTCCTGCTTCATTGCCGACTGCGATGGTCCACTCGGACAAGTCGGCGCCGGGCTGGTGGAGCGAGTCCAAGAAGGCCTGCTTGGACGTGGTCAGGAAATCGAGCAGGGGCGGAGTGGTGGGCACGGCTGATTTGGGCATGGTGGTGAGACTGGAGGAAGCAAAGTGTCGCGAGGTGGAACAGGGGTAGTTGCGGAGGTTGAAAGCGTCGAGGTAGTTGCGGAGGCGGAGGCGGAGGCGGAGGCGGTGGGGCGCAACGGCTGCGATGACGGATCACGACGAGCGAGACGCAGGCGATCAAGGCTCAGATATGCTGACCGGTGTGATGCAAGCAAGGTCAAACCTCGCGTCGTGGGACGGTGCGTGTCTGGTATCGGGTCCGGGTGGTAATGGGAACCAAGATGACGAACCGAAGGAGAGGCAGAGAGAGGAGAGAGCCGAGCACAATCTGGTCGAGTCGAGTTATTCGAGTGAGCGATTACTAATCAAAGTTAGTGAACGTTTGAACTATTACGAGTCACGACTGTGCGCGCGGGCAGTGCACGGCTTGCCCGTTCGAGCGTGGCAGGCTGGCAGGCGGTGTCGAGGCAATTCGCATTAGCGAATGATCAAAGAGTTCAACCCAGAATTAAGTAAGCTCCGAATTGGCCAGCGGGCACCCGCACCGACCCACTCACCGGGCACCACGCTTCAGCGCTTCAGCCACCACCAGCCCCAGCCGCAGCCGCAGCCGAGCCACCATGTCGCACGCCGAGATTGACACCGACTCGCACATCACCGTCGAGCAGATCGATGGCGAGGGAACCCGATCCAAGGGAGAGACCAAGTCTCGCAAGGGTCAGTCAGTAGTACTTGGGGGCTTGAATTCACCCTAGGGTGTGCCCCCTGGGCCCTCTCCTTTCCCCCCCGCCCGCGCCCACCCGCCGCCTTCTCCACCCACGTCTTGGCGGCCCCACTCCCACACACCACCTCACCGTGCAGACGCTGATGATCCGACCCTTCTTCGACTCGTAGCCCTCTCCAAGCTCGGACTGGTCGCCGTCCCCGGTATCAAGCGAGTCGTGATGCGCAGACATCGTCAGGTCAGTCCAGTTCCCCACCGACGAGCATCGAGCAGACGCAGCTCCCCTCGAAGGAAACCCCTACCACCGAACTGACCCTCGACCCTGTGTCCACGAATTACGCTCACTCCACAGCAACTCCTCGTCGTCGCCGATGCCCAGGTCTTCAAGTCGTGAGTAGGAGGAGCTCACTGCGACAGCTTTCACTCTGCACGAACTGAACTCGAACCCACACACCCCTCGTTACCAGCCCCTCGTCGGACTGCTACATCGTCTTTGGCGAAGGGAAATACGAGGAAACCGGCACCCGCGACTCCGAGTTCGCGCGTGCGATGCAACAAACGGAGATGTTGGAACGCCAGCAGCACAAATCTGCCGCGTTGCCGCCTTCGAGCGAGGCTGGCCAGGTCGCCGGGGATGGATCCGGGGACCCCGAGGGGGAGAATGGCTTGGATGCTGAGGAGAGTGAGTCGAGAGAAGATGGTTCTTATGGATGAAGAGCCTTAAAACGAACTAGGTTTCTGATCAAGCCCATCCTGCCGGGCCGCGTGCCTTTTTTGCTTTCTCCCTCGCAGTCAAGGTCGTGATGGAGCAGGTCAGTAATCTAGACCACGAAAGCCTCAGTTCGGCTTTCCATTCATCATGCTGATGCTACAGGAACGTACTTTCTCAGGCCAACTGCTCGCGAGCCAAGGGTTCGTTTTCGTGACCTCACGTCGGTCCGGCCCCCGCACTGACCACGTTCCCACGTCCGATCTCTTTCCCACAGCCGTTCAAGCACTGAGAAGCACAAAGGGTGATCTCGTACAAGCCATCATCGAGGCCAACTAAAGGAATATCCGGGCAACGAACTCGGCGAACATCTTTGCAGGAGAAGGGAACGAAGAACACGCACCATAACCTGCTTGGAGATGTCATCATCTGATCAATACAAAAATCCAAAACGAGGAAGAACCTTAAAGCTCAGCGCTTTATGAACCGTCCTATGATTGGGACCCGATTCAGCCCCTTCATCTACTTGGACCTGTTGAGACAACCGAGGGGAAATCCCGGCGTCGAATGATGTGGCGTGTACGTCGGCGCAACATTATTTGCCCGAAATGGTGTCCGTGTCTGCCTGAGCTCCTACGCACGGAGCTGTTGAGGGAGCAGGGTCGAAACAGAGCACACCATTAACATCGTGGCCAGACCCATTGCATTCGATCGACATGCTGTCCATCCGTGGCCACTCGAAAGCTGCACAACGTCACGAACCCTCGTTCATCTCACGACATTGCGGGCACGACATTGCGGGCTTCCTACAATACCAATAATCATTTACTGACTCTTCAAACTGTATCAAGCTGGTGCAAATTCGTTCTAAAACCTGTGGACTCACCGTAAGCGTTGTAAAACATGGCATTTTGGCAGGGGCGTGTTTTCGAATGAGGTGAACTCGACGGTGTCGCCTCCTACCGACTTGCAATCAAGCTGCTGCCGCCGAATCCTCCTGCCGCACACCTCTTTGAGACTACGTCCCTGAGCCCATCTTCCTTCCTTAATCATGTGAAACTAACAAGTTTGGAGTCCGAGTCTTGGCCTAGGTTGCAGCAACTTGCCCGTTAACCTCAACCGCGGAGTCCACGACGATAGCAACGGCGCGAGCAGCTCGTAATTTCCCCGTCGGCTGCGCGAACACGACCCCGAGTTGACCAGCAACGAGCCACTTCATGATCAAGAAGTCCAAAATGCTCGAGATCGAGAGCGTATCGGTACGATCGCCATGTGGGTGAGCTTGCAGACCACGTAAAGGAGCTCAGATTACATAAGGGGTGAAATAGAGTATATTTTATGATTCGCCCCCCCTAACGACTAACAAGTCTCGCGGCCCGGGGGTCGCCACCCTACCAATGCATCAAAACATCCTGGCAACCATCCACTCCAGCATGCTGTGACCCTACAAACCACGAGCGCGTAGTATCGGCGCAAGTTCCGAACGTACCGAAATCGAAACCGTCAACATGGATGGTGTCCGTATTTTGAATTGGTACGAGGTTGAGCCCCGCTTTGTAGGTCCAGAAACAGTACTTGTGCGTCGGTTGCCACAGAAAAACCGAATCGCCCGGTTTTTGATGATAAGCTGCGATGGCGCAGTCTCGGAGCGTTTGGGCGTTGTAGAGCGGGAAGGAAGGGTCCGAACCTCCTAGGGTGTATCTTCCTTGCCCACCTAATGAGGAAGGTGGATGATTGAACGTCAGCGGGAGGATATTTGGGTTTCAGCCTCAGAGCCGAGCTCAGCTTCGACTTACTACCATAGTAAGATGAAAATGGTCCTTGGCAGAGAACGGTCCCATTCATGATTCCACCGGGCTCATACCCTTGAACACATGAAATCGATAATTTTGTACCGTAACACGCAGTTGCGAAGGGGTCGACACAGCAATCCGTCCCTGTTTCGAGTCGAAGCCGGTAGCAGTCAAACATGACAAGTGAAAAGGATATCTCCGTCAGGACGGGAATCCGCATTGAGCGTGGGCTCTTCTTGGGCCAGAACTCACCCTGGGTGTTGAGTGCTGTACCATTGCATGATGGAGGAGTGCAAAACCCGTTTGCGTCCACTGCACCGTACGTGCATGCTGTCGCTCGAACGTTGTTGTCGCATGTTGTCGCGTTGACAGGGCAAGGGTAACATGTCCCATCTGCCAAACGACCAGCGGCCAAGGGCAGAAGACGAGCCATGAGCATCTTCAGTGGAAATGAGGAGCCCAGTGTTCACATTCACGTACTATTGGGGAGTGAATACCCGCTAGGTGCCGAGGCGCCGCATTCGACAGGCGTGGGACATATGCCCGACACAGGGGCCCCATATCGACATGTGAGAGAACCAGACGAGTCACATGATCGTGCCAGGGCGTCTTGACAGCAGGCAGTACCTGAGAACGCCATAGGCATGCAAAATATCAATCGTCTTGGTTCATACGGTGTTTAGCGGCACCCGTGCAATCCAGCTCACCGTCATTGTTGATGGCCGAGTTCGGGCAGTTGACTTTGACGATGCAGCGGCCATTGTCGAGCATCCCATACGAACAACCCGTTGCTTGACCTTGACTATTACAAGAGGTTGAATTCGTGGGACAGGCGAGACAGTCTGTATCCTTAGGATCTGATTTGAACGCAGTCGTTTAGTATAGGGACAAGAAAAGGCGAGCAAGTCTACCCTACTCACTGCTTCCCGGAGCGAGGTAGCGGGGAGGAAAGCCACTGCAGTCCCCGAAGTCACGACACCAACCCCCATCTTGGACAGGCTGACCGTTTTTGCACGTCAACGACCCCGAGGGATCACACGTACTTGCAAAACCGTCCAGACAGTGAGCACATTGGTCACCTGATAGTCGTCGGCAGGGGGGTAATGATGATGATGAAGAGTAAGGGGTTCCGCGAGTGAGTTGGTTGTTCCCAGCAAAGAAAGAATTCAAAGAGTGTACGCACTATCAGGGGATGGATACATGCCCTCTGCGCATGATTGACACTTTCCGTTGAGGACGAATCCGCTTGCGCAGACCGAGACACAATCTCGGCCCGTCGTAGTATTGAGGGTCTGCTTTTCTGAACACACTTTGGCAACGCATTTTCCAGCGGTGACGATCCCGTACGAGCTGCGATACCCATGTGCAAGGGTTAGTATTTAGGGTTGAAATTGATCTCGCCCAGCGAGCGTAGCACTTGCCAGGATTTGGCTTCTGTGGCTGTGCAAGCCGTCGAGTTGGGGAAGATGGAAATGCAGGCTCGACATTGATTGGCTAAGAAGGAAATCGGATCAGATTTCGTTGACCGGGACAGCTGGGAATTTTCGGAATTGTCTCTTACATTTTTTGTCTAGGTACTGGGTGCTATTGCACACAGGAGTAAGGCAGGTTTTGGATCCCGTCTGGATCGTTCGCGCCAAGTTCATATTGAAGCCGGTACCATTAGGGAAGAAGGCGAAAAGCTGACAGACCGGGAACGACATCCAAGAGAAAGTAAGTCTCGCGAATTCTGCTCTGCTCGTGCAACACTCCCCAGAACGGACCTCGACGGTGTCGCCTCGCTGGTGATGGGGGGTAAACGTATAAGGCGAGCCGTCCTTGTTGCGGATTTTGGTCAGGAACTCCACTCCCGGTGCTAGTACCTCGATCGATTTCAACGTCGTCTTGGCCCCTGCTTTTCGAAGTGCCGGGAGGAGCTTTGCTTGGGGTACTATTGCGACGGTCAAAGGGCGCACGTTGCCAGAGTTGGAGAAGGTAATGTTGGCTGGGGTGCACTGCCACAGCCGAGAGGGGACTGAAGAGCATACGAACGATGTGGCGTTAGCTGTATTCACACATAGGCTTTCTCTAGAAGCCGCCACTGAAAAGTGATGTGACTGTGAAACGTAATACGAAGGCGCAAAGTGTCTTCAAGATTCGACCTCCACGGGGCTCGTGAGAGCAAGCTTCCAGTTTCGATGGAGGCATAAACAGGGGTGGTGCACGCCTTGCGAACTCTCCATACCGCCCACCGGACGACTCTGAGCTAAAACGAAAAATCGAACCGGTACTTCCTACAGTTGGTACTTACGTGATGCAGATAATTTGGGTGCGCTCGCAAGTATGGCCCGATTGACATTCCGTGTGGATCCTTCGTTGGCTGATGGTCTCGGAGCTTTTTCGCTCGTCGGGATCGCTAGCACGCCGCATAGTAGTTCACCGCTTGCGAGGACCCAAACGGCGATGAGCCAGCCGAACATGGTTTCGTCGAGATGTCCCTTGGCGTAAGGATGGGATGGAAGTTAAGAAGGACACTTTGATCATCAACGAGGCATGCGCGCCTCGATTGACTCGTTCGTCGGTTTCGCAGATTCGACGCGCGCCCGTGCCTGATTGCGCCGGCCGAAAGGGGCTGCGAAACTTTCCGCATGCGGAAGCCGCCTCCACCGCAAGCTAGATCGGGCGCGGCGCGGCGCGGCGCCGATCGGATTGATTTCAAACCGGCTCGAACGCACCTACGTGAAGCTTTTCAATCGACCAATTCGCTGATTGGCGATGAGATACGATACGAACCAATTGTCCATACCTTTTCAAATTTTGGTATTTTTACGCGCCGCCGCGGGCGAAGGGCCGCTGGATTTTAGGCGAAGTGAATCTGTTCTTACTTTTTGGCGCCGCCACCGGCATAGGGTCTTTTCAGGCAAAGAGATTCTGTTCTTGTAGCCGGTCTTACAATTGATTGGTTGAGTTCGACGCATCCCGACACGATGTCGCTTGCCGATCCGCGTAGCTTTCGTTGCCTACTGTAGTAAGGAGCTTATGGATGATCAGCCTCCTAGGTCACTTTCACTGATACATTTACTTTGCAGGTCGCCTTGATATGTTGGGCGCACTTACCGCGCCCGCTGACCGATAATGCACTGCAGATAATCGACTTGCACTCGCCCTCGGTGAAGATCTCCTAGGTGCAAGAAGGCGCCTTGCCCTTTTGAGTCGCTCCGAGCCGTCGAGTTTGTTGGACAGCGCTGAAAGGCATGGACTATAACCTGTACCATTGAAAACACCTACCACACAATGGGAGGGGTTCATCACTCTTCGGAAGTCTCAGCGAGAAATCTTGTATTCGGTACCCGCACCGTCCCCACATCGCCGAGAATTCGAATGGCGAGGTCGTTTTCAAATCGAATACGTCCACTTACAAGCCCATGTAATTCTAATGCTGAATCCGACGCGAACCCTCGTCCCCGCCTCGCCCCGCCTCGCCCCGCCTCGCCCCGCCTCGCCTCGCCTCTTGCTGTCTCCTCCGCGCCAAAGCTCGCTCAGCACCACCTCGAGATCATGTTCGGCAACTACCTCGGCATCGGCAACAAAGGTGGTCCCTCCGGTAAACGTAATTCGAGACCTTCCAAAGCTTCCGTCAGTACCTTACCTGGCCGACGGCTCAGAGTGTGCTGCGGTCTAGGTGAGCTGACTTGCCTTTGACTGCACTCGATCATGGTTCGTATCGTAGCCGGATACGAGGTGTCAGAAATGTGAAGGTCTAGGACATTATACCTACGAATGTACTGGACAACGGTACGCCTCAGACTCTCTACCCTCCCTTGCTCGCACCTCCAACCCCGCGCTGACCTTGTTCTCGCAACCAACCCCAAACAAAAAATAGACAATACAAAGAACGCCCTACCCGAACCCAACAACTGAAGAACCCCAAACTGTTGACCAAATTGACCGGTCAAGCACCGCCCGCTGACGTGGATCCTAGGAGGGCTGCGAGTGCTGCCACTTTGAGCGCGATCGAGTCGTCGTCGTCGGCTGCTGTTGACTTGCCACCCAAGTGAGTAGCACACCTTCGATTTTTTGTTGTTGCTTCAGCTAAGGTGGGGGACGTTGCTGACTTTGTTGGTGTGATCGATCAGACAAGGAACGGCGGCGATGATCCTCGCTGCGAATGAAGCCAAACGAGCTCGACGACTGGCGAGGGAAAGGGAAGAAGCTTCCAAGCGGGGAAGGTCCAGCAGTAGGAGTTTCTCGAGTGGGAGTAGTAGTGGCTCTAGTTCGAGGAGTGGGTCTTATTCGAGTTCGAGCGGTAGGTCCAGGAGTAGGAGTGGGAGTGGGTCCAGTCGCTCGAGGTCGAGGTCGAGGGATAGCAGGAGTCGTAGTCGATCGAGGAGTATCTCGAGGAGTAGGAGCAGGAGTAGGAGTCCAGCGAGGAAGACGAAGAAAGGTCGTCGAAGTGTGAGTAGGAGTAGGAGTAGATCGCGCTCCGTTTCGAGGTCGAGGTCGAGGTCGCCGCCTGTTAAGAGGAGCCGAAGGGATGATCGAGGCACGGCGTGAAAGGGAGAAGGGGTGTTTGGTGTGGTATTGAGTTCGACGGGTGTACAAGTACGAACAAAAAGTGTTTGCAGCTTTTGCGTCAGGTAATGCCAACTCGAAAGGTTCCCAAAGATTCTTCCGTGTGTGCGATGAGAGGGAGAGTGACCGAAACACCTTGGAACATGTCTCTCCACACACACACACACACACACACACACACACACACACACACACACAAACAAACAATATCATACAACATCCCCTACGATATTTCGTTTCCATCTCTTCGCAATGGTGCCTTCAAAACTACTTCAGCCCGACCAATCCAGGCCCCATTATTCCGCCTTTCAAGCCGCCCTACGACTAACAATAGATTTACCCACCTCCTCGTACTCATCCTTCCCAATCCAAAGCTGATGGAACGTACCCAAACTAGCCAAGATACTCGCACCCAACCAACTCGAATGAACCCTCTCACTCGGACTCGAAGCCGCATGAATCTTGACCTTTGCATTGCCCGCCACCAATCCCATTTCCGCGGAAAGACGATCGACGAACCCTTGGGAGAGCGTTGTTCCACCTGTGACGACGATGTTGCTGAAGAAGGTGGAGTGGAGATCGGGGTCGATCTGGATGAGGGACGCGGTGATGAGTTTTTGGAGGGGGAGGAGGGAGGAGTAAGCGTGCGAAGGGATGGTCGAGGCCGAGCTGGGGAGCGGGAGGGAGAGGAAGGACGAGGGGAGGTATTTGGAAGGGTTGAAGAGGACTTCGGGGACGGTGTTGCGTGGTGTGGGGCCGAAATACGAGTTGAAGCCGTTGGGGAACTCGAACGGTCGCGTCGGCTTGGTCGCGAGCAGTCTGTGCGGTGGGGAAAGGACGAGTCAGCACGGGAGGGCGTGGGGGGATATGATAGCTCTACAACGCACTCGTCGCTCCAGTTGGGTGTGGTGAGGAACTCGCAGGTGGTCTCTTTGAACTCGTGCATGACGCGCATTTCCTGCGAGAGGTGGTACGAAGGCGTGGTCGGGCACGAGGGGTCCTCCGGATTGGGCATTCGTTCGTCCCTGTGGTTGGTACCATACACAGTCAGTTAGTGTGCTATGTATGCCCAACTGGACATGATGGCTCACCTGAGCTGAGCCTTTGCTGGCTGGTTCGGATCGACGGCGGTCTTTTGTTTGACGAGGTAATGCGGCACAATCTCGACGGGCGGTTCCTGGCTCTTGAGGTTTTCGAGCAGCAATTGCGACAAGAGACGACCGCCGGTCGGTTGTTTTTGTATAGCTGTGCGATGCCAACCAAGCTCAGCTTCACATTCGGTTGGTCTAATCGGTTTCCGCGTGCGCACCTTTTCGGAGCACGAATCCGTCATAGATGGGAGTGATGGTCGTGAGTTCGTGTCCTACGTCGACGACGAGTGCCGATCCTTTTCCAGAGGCAAAGCTGTGCAGCAGATTCGCCGTCCAGTCAGTGAACAGGCTCACGAGCTTGTCTGTCACAAGCTTGACTGACGCGGACATGACGGCCTTGTCGACGGCATAGTACGCCGGCGCGTGGTACTTTTCGAACGCCAACTCGCACATCTTCTCCTTGTTGCCCTGCGTATTCCAACTCGGTTCGGTCGTCAAAAGGGGGAACTCGGCGAGGTTCTCGAGGCGCATCCGGTCGAGGAACGCATGGTCGATCGCCCTCTCCGCCGCTTCCCAATCGGTGACCAAGCCATCCGAGACGAACGTCGAGTGCACGGCGTGGGGGCGGTACAGGTGCACCGAGTTGCCGTGGATGTAGGAAGGGGTCGGATGGGCCTCGGACGCGGGTACGGTCGAGTAGACGGAGGGGAAGATCGTCTTGGGCGTGTCTTCGCCAGCGTAACCGGCGCGTATCGTGTCCGAGCCGATGTCGAGTACGAGCGCGGATACCTCGTCGCCACCGTATTGCACGGGTGGTACCATCGTAGACGAGTGGGGTGGGTGGAGGCCGGGGGTGAGTGGGTGGGATGCAGGAGAGCAAGCGCCGGAACGCGACACCGGCGACCGTGATCGCGCGGCGGCCACAACTTCCGCCGCTTGTTTGCGCTTGGACCTCTTGCTGCGACTTTCACCTGGGAACCACACTCGACTCGAATCGAATGCCGGCTTTGTTTTCTCCCCCAACGGTCACCCACGCTTTCGGAATACGTCTACACGCGGACCATGTCATGACCCTACCTCCAATCACTAGCCCCCGCAAACCCAGCACATTGCAGATCCATGCCGTACACGTGCCCACCACATTACCCGATCACGAGGCCTACCGGTCACACCTGCACCTGCTCCGCCACGACCCGGAAGCCGTACAAGAGATTCAACGATACCGCTTGATCGACGATTCGAAGCGTGAGCGTTGCCCTCAGTCTTTCACGACCGGAAGCAGCGCACTTTTGTTCTCACTAGCATTGTAACGTCAGGCGCTCTCGTCTCTCGACTCCTCCCTCGATACGTCCTCGCCTTACAGGGACTAGACTGGCGTCAAGTCCGCTTCGAAAAGGGCGAATACGCAAGACCTCTCGCCGTGAGTCGGTTCATAGCCTCCGAGCCATCGACGAAGTGCAGCCCGAGCTCATCGCGGTTGACGTACATATCACAGATCCATCCCAATCTACCTAAAGGCTTCCAGTACTCTGCTTCCCATGATGCAGAGTGGGTCATCTGCGCTTCGACTTTTGGGACCGATCACGGCCAAGATTTGCCTCGAGTCCAAAATATAGGCGTCGATGTGATGCGTCTCATGATCCCTTGGGAGAATGTCGATCAGAAAGGGATGTTGGACATCATGAAGGATCATGTGTGTTACCTATCCAAGAATCTGACGTTCTTGTGGACCCTTCTCTGACACCACTGAGAATCACCTTACCAGCTCTCCTTTACCGAACTCGCACACATCCAATCTGATCCAAACCCCGACCTCGAAAAACTCTTCTCGTATTGGGTCCTCAAAGAAGCCTACATAAAGGCACGCTCATTAGGTCTTCGTGGATTCCCCGAGTTGAAGAGGATCGAGTTCCATCTCGATGCAAAAGCGCCGGATGGATGTTGGGGGTGGAAGACGGTCAAGGGATCCCTGGATAGAGTGCAATTGGATGGGTGGTGTTTCGGTTTGAAGACGTTCGATGGAGGTAGGTATTTACTTGGGATGGCTTTGGAATTGGATGGGGGTGGAGAAGTGGAGGAGCCGAGTTGGGAGGTGGTCGTTTTGGATCGGGCCACGATATTGGACACGCTGCAGTGCGGATGAGTAGTACAGATGTGAGCTACATACAGTCTTCACTCCGAATCTTTGGGCCGGAGACTGAAGGACGATGGGATTAATAAATGTGCGCGCCCGAGCCAAGAGGAATTATGATCCAGCACAAGCGAGTCCCCAATCCGAAACCGTCCATTCGGCAAAAGGCGGCTCGTCGGATCCCAGTCAGGAAAGCCGCTTCGGTCGCGCGCCGCGGCCTCGAACGCGCAGATCCGGTCCCGATTTGGGAATTGGTCGGCTGCGACCAGATCGACATTTTCAACTCGGTTCACTCGAGGCTGTTCTGTACGCGTCTTCAGCCTACTCTTGGTCGAGCTCCAGCTATCATCGTCTTCTTCGCTCTACCGGCATTCCGTTCCACCAGGGTTACGTCAAGCGATGAAACGAACCGCCTCCGGGACGGCTCGTCTCGCCACCGTCACGCTGCTCCTGACCGCACTGCTTCTGGCCCAGTGCGGTCCAAGCCTCGTCAATGCGATCCCCACACCCGCCGGCGAGGGACAGGTTGTCAAATTCGCGAATGTTCGACCAATAGATTCGATAACGCCGGTAGTCAAATTTTCTGCTGAACGTGAGTGGCTTTCATCATTCTTTGGGTAGGCCCTGTCATGTGTTTCGGTCAGCCTCCCTCGATTTACGAGCTCGGGACGCGGAGCTTTCCGACGGAGGCGGTGCGGCGCCGCTTTACAGAGATAGACGGTATTGAGCAATAATCGCCCCATACCCAAGGAACGCAAACCAACTGACAACGTTGATGATTTACCTACCCGGCTCGCGATTCCACTAGTTCCGCGACGTCTTCCCCAATGCGGATCGGCATGGATCAAATTCAGCAACTTGGGCAACGTGCGACCGTTGACATTGGTGCTCGCCTTGCAAAAGAATCTACCTATCGCTCTCTTGAAAGCGAATGCAAAAACGACGCTCGATGAGGTGAAAGCGCTAGCCCCTGTTCAAGTGATCGATAATATCCGCAGTCTGGACGGAATTGTTCACCCGTTCCAGCCTCACCGTAGAAGAGGCGATATCGTCGAGGTTAGTCCGCTCCGTTCTATCCGAGCAGATTGTGTGTCTGTCTCTGAATTAAGTCGCTCTCTTCCCTGTACAAACAGTTCTTCGCATTCTTCCCCAACGGCACCGGCTACAACATGAACCTAAGGCGCGTAATTCAAACGGGATCGGCGAGTTGTCTCACGCCGAAATGCAAGAAGGATCAATACCTGAGCGCGGCTAGTAAGTGCAGCCCTGAGATCGTTCCAAACCGAAACACAAATTGAACCAAGAACAGTTCGGCTAATGAAACGCATCTCTCTCCATCTTCGTATTTCAGCGAACGAATGCACGTCCTGTCCACCCAACGCTTCGGCGTGCGATACGTCCGGTCGAGCGACCAAATGTAGTTATGGTATTCTCACCCGTGGCGAGTGCATCAAAAAGTTTTGTCAACGCTCGACCAACATTCGAGGTGGGTTCCGAAAAGGCTAGAGCAGTCTATGCTACTAGATCAGTGAACTGGATTTGACGTCGTGTCGCTCTCGTATTAGGGGATGAATGCTGTACCGATGGGATGGCCGAAACGTGCGCGGATGCGAATACCACTCTGACGTGCAGGAAAGGCTGGAAGCTGCTCAAACCTTCGAACGATACCGTGATCGTGGCCCTGGACGGTTTTCCCAATGGAACCTTGGTCGATACTGATCGCTGTCAGGGACCGTATGCGGCTCACTTCGGCGGTGAGTCTCCCCTCGAGAGGACCCGTACCCTTTAGTCGTGTTCTCGAAGCGAAGCTCATCAACTGACCCGCGAGAGCGATAATACACTTTCGCTTCTTTTAGGTTCGAAACAGCAATTCGTAACCCCCAAAGACGCTCCTTGGAACTGGAAGATCGGCAACGAGTTATCCATTGAAGAATGTGCATTCGCCACTCTCTTCCCTTTCTTACGAAACAACGATGCCGTCTTCTTATACCAACGAAGGAACGGTCATTTCAATTGTCGAGCTTTTCATCGACAGGAAATCAAGTTGGAATTCAAGGAATCGGGGGGGAGGTACGATTTTGGGACGGGGGGGACTTGTGCGGAGGCGAGAGCGAGTTGGCCTTTCGCGGCGGAGTATTTTGATCGGGTGGGTTGCGAGGACATTTTGGTTCGTGAGACCCGTCAATGGGAGTCATAGCAGTTTGGGAGACGTCAGGCGAGCTTGGTATGAATAAGCATAGTGAGAGCTTGGTGTAGGCGGTCTGAGAATTCATGACAATCCGTCGATCATGTTGGTGAGGGGAACAGGGGCACATTTGAGTAATCCGAGCCGGGAGTTCAGAACGGCCCGTAGCGCCTACAGCACAAGCACACGCACTAGTCCGGTATGGAGTCCTAGTCCGAACGCAAATTTTTGGGGGAGACGGACGTGAAAATACAAGCACGGACAGAGGTAGGGTAGAAAAGATGATCCCGGAGCGTTTTTTACCGACAGCTCTAGCCCAACCGCGACACTAGGAGAGCCAGGGGTGAAGAAGGTGCCCTAGGAAATGGGTGCACCAGACTGGCAACCCAGGTAGCGAGCGAGATAGATCTCTAGATGGCCGTGTATACATGCAGGAAATTGGCGCAGGGAGGTGAATTTGCTGCCTCCACTCAGGGGTTCCACAAGGCTCTGACCAGCTTCCGGCAAGTCGGCGTTGGCGACCAACTCGATCACTTACAAGCCGCCCCCCTGCGATTGGCAGCTTCGCAAGACCCGCCGTGCTGAAGTGCTCGCGCGACGAATCACGTCAGTCCTCTCTCTGACCCGCGCTCGCACTCGACTATCGTTGCTTCCCCACAGCGCAGGTGTCAAACGAGTACACCATCGGAAGCATGGCTCCACCACGACGCTCTTCTTCGCTAGGGAGTAAACCCAAGTCACAACGTCTCCCCGCCACGAACTTCGCTGCCCCTTCATCTACGCGGAGTGCTTCGCAACGAGCGTCGACCTCGACTTCGAACGCGCCTACTACTTCTACGGCTGCATCGTCGAGCAAGAAGAGGAGAAATTCTTCGTTCTCTGGCTCTGGAGGGGCCAAGTCATCTACTGTGGATGTCGCTGATTCGCTAGGGTTGGATGGGGAGGCGTTGGATTTCGGTTCGGACGAAGAAGGCGACGATGAGGCCGAGTTCACGGGCATCGCCGATGATGAGGACGACGAGGACGATGGTGATTTCCCCGAGTTGGATTTGGAAGAGTCCGAGGAGGATGAAGACGGGGACGACGATGAGCAGGATCTGGATTCAGACGAGGAAGCGATCCTGGCTGAACTGCGAGCCGAGGACGAGGACGGGGGCTCGTCATCACAAAATACCGACGACGAAGATGGGTCCGATTTAGATGCGTTGATGAAGAAGTACACCAGCAAACCGGATGAAGCCGATCGAGCCGCGTTCGAGACGACCTGGGACGAGGATGAGTTGCCGGTCGATTATATGAAGAGGAGCAGGACGGTCAAGAGTCGGATCACGGGGCAGGACAAGACCGAGTGGGACGATGAGATCGAGGCAGAGTATGCTAGTGATAGCTCGACCGAGGAGGTGAGTGACCTTGTCGGATGATGCTACGAGGTGGTCACTGACTCGTGCGCTACGAGCTCAAACAGACCACGAACCGAATTGGCAACGTACCGGCCTACTTTTACGACGAGATGCCCCACATCGGCTACGACATTGACGGCAAAAAGGTCATGCGGCCTGCTCAGGGAGATGAGTTGGACAAGTTCCTGGAGGGCGTCGAGGATGCCGATGGAGGATGGTCAGTGGCTACCGTTCTAGATCAGTTTTCGGCGAACGGTTGGCTGACGGTCATTTGTGGGGACGATATAGGACCACGGTCAAGGACAAGCTGCATCAGCAGAATGTCGCGCTCACTGAAGAGGAGCTCGACCTCATTCATCGATTGGCCAAGGGAGAGAACCCGGATTCGAGTTACGATCCGTGAGTTTGGGATCTGGGTCGGAGTCTTGCTGAAAGCCAGAGCTCACCTGTCATTTCCTCCTCTGCACCATCAGCTACGCCGATCAAATTCCTTACTTCTCCTCTCAAGTCATGGCCACGCCTTTGACGCGCCGACCCGAACCCAAGAGTCGATTCTTGCCCTCCAAATGGGAGCACAAGAAGGTCATGAAGATCGTCCGAGCGATCCGATCGGGTCGCATTGTCCCCCGGCGCCCGGGGGCCCCTTCGACTTCGGCCAACAAGGACGATCCGGCCAAACGCTTTTATGGTCTTTGGTCGCAGAACGATGCCGAGGCTGCTCCTCATCCCATGCACATGCCTGCTCCCAAGATGGCCTTGCCTTCACATCAGGAGTCGTACAACCCCCCGGAGGAATACCTGTGGACCGAGGAGGAGAAGGAAGAATTCCTCTCCAAAGAGAAGGAGGACCGAAGAGGGCAGGTTATCCCCGTCAAACACGCCGCTTTGCGACAAGTTGGAGCTTATGAGAACTTTGTCCAAGAACGCTTCGATCGTTGCTTGGATCTTTACCTCGCGCCAAGGATGTTGCGGAGAAAACCGAGGCTAGACATTCAGGACCCGTCCGAGTTGATCCCCAAGTTGCCTTCACCGCAGGAATTGAGGCCGTTCCCGACGACTGCGAGTGTCGAGTACCGTCATCCCAACGGTGTGAGGATTCGATCCGTCTCGATCGACCCGACTGGGATGTGGGTCGTCACGGGTGCCGAGGATGGAGAGGTCCGACTATGGGAATGCGCCGTCGGTCGATGCACGATGAAGTGGCAGTGCGGCGATGGTGGACCCATCTACGACGTCGAGTGGTGCCCCGATCCCGAGAGGTCCATCTTTGCCGTCGCTTCGGCGCACAAGGTTCACCTCATATCCCCGCTTCCTCTTTTAGGTGAGGAAGTCGCATCCAGGACCAAGACGTATGCTCTCGCTGGATTCAATGCTGCTAGCACGGGCGACGACGGGGAGAAGAAGAAGCATGTCCAGCCTCAGGAGGTGAGGTGGTCCAAGCCGAAGGGCGATTCGGAGAGGGACGAGGGGAGGTTGGTCGTCGTCGATGTGCCGGGGACGTTGAAGCAGGTCACGTGGCACAAGAAGGGTGATTACTTTGCGACTGTGGCTGCACCTTGTGAGTTTGGTCTACTGGATAGGGCTGTGTAGTGAACGGATATACTGATGCGTTTCCCTGAAACCGTGCTCACAGCTGGCGCGCGCTCGGTCCTCATCCACCAACTGACCAAACATCAAACCCAAGCCCCATTCACCAAGATGAAGGGTGACGTGCAATGCGTCTCGTTCCACCCTTCGCGCCCCCACTTCTTCGTCGCGACGCAACGACACGTGAGGATGTACGACCTGATGAAGCAAGCGTTGGCCAAGACACTTAACCCGGGTGTCAAGTGGATCTCGTCGATCGATGTTCATCCTCAAGGAGGTGAGTGCAAAGTGTAACGTTGATAGCAACTTCAGAGTACTCACTCATCTTGTTCCTATCTTTAGACAACGTTATTGTCGGCTCTTACGACCGTCGTCTCGTCTGGCACGATCTGGACCTGTCCTCGACTCCCTACAAAACCCTGCGCTACCATGCCCGCGCCCTCCGTCAGGTTCATTTCTCGCGTGCCTACCCTCTATTCCTTTCCACCTCCGACGACGGCTCCATCCACGTCTTCCACTCGACCGTTTACTCGGATCTCCTGACGAACCCTTTGATCGTGCCTTTAAAGGTGTTGAAGGGCCACGAACCGAAGGAGAGTTTGGGTGTTCTGGATGCGGTTTGGCATCCGAGGGAACCTTGGATCGTCAGTGTTGGCGCGGATGGAGGGGCCAAGTTGTGGTGCCCTTAGGCCAAGGAGTAGAGATCTTGGGGTGTGTGATTTTTGTGGGGTTGTTGGTGTGATGTATTCCACAGTTCTCGAGCACAGAGTCTGCCGTGGAGAGAATTCAGAACTCAGCCTTGAAAATGAGGTCTGCCATAGCGAGCCGTGTTTATTGGATTCTACGTACCTGACTGGTCTTTGCTTGGATCATACCTGACATATCCCATCCAGATTGCACGACTGGCCCGAGGAAAATAGAAGAAAACGGCCTGCCGATCTCAAGCATGTTTTTCTTTCTTGGCGCGCTACTACTACTGAAACATTGATGAAGAAGCATCCAAGTCGTCGTCGCCGGCTCCGAGGCCGGCTGAGCGCGCCCCGCGGCTTTTTAGGCTCATCAGAGGAGGGTTCTTGCTTCTGGCTACAGACCGCTCTGCTTCCCGCCTCTTGCGGTGCCTTGCGTTGGGCTGCGATGCGACGCGTGAGATGGATTTTGACGGTGGCGATTCTGCTAGCTGCTGCTACGACGAATGCCGAGCTCACGAAGGAAGGAGAGTCGTCGAGTGATCAGGTACGTCCTCGCATCTCTCGGCCCGTGATGAGGTGGAGGGTACACGTCAGAAAGCAACCGCTGCTCTCTTTGTGGAGATCCGACGCGGAAGCTGATCATCCTCCACCTTCCATCCACCAGTCATTACTATGGGGAACCTATCGACCAGGTCTCTACTTCGGTGTACGGCCGCGTATCCCGGCGTCGTTGATGCACGGCATCATGTGGTTCGGGCTGCAAGACTACGCCTCGTCCCAAAACGCTCGTCATCGGTGCTCACAGGACGATGGCATGGTCTACACCTACACAGAACACGATGCGAGGACAGCGGCGAAGCAGTTCATTAAGGATTACATGAACAATGTCGAGCTGACGACCGAGTTCTTGAAGGTTCCCGCGGGGGACAAGGGTATGTCTCACTCAGGTTGCGACACCGGGTCGGGGCCCTTAGTTGGCCCGGTGTCCAGGGCAAGGGATCGGGTAGCGACTGATGGCGCTTTCGTTCCATCTAATCGTAATCGGTTTGTAATTCGTTCAATAGGTGGCAACTGGGCCGTACGCATTTCAGGCAAACCTCTCGATGATCGTAAGTCACAGGCCTCATCGCAGGCTGAGAAATCATTTCCTGAGATGCTCGGTCCCCTTTGATCAGTCAAACCATCCCGAATATCGCTCTTGAACTATTTCGGGAACGATGCTAGTCTTGGCTTCCTGGATCTGGAAAAGCCTGATCCCGAGGTTTGTCGCTGTTCTCCAGGAAGGTCCGAAGGAGGTGCTGATCCTGATTTACTGATTTTCTGATTTTCTGATGTTGCGCCGAACTTAGGGTATTGTCGGACCCATTACTATTCGAGGAGAGACCCAAGAGTTAGGATCGTTCAAAATCACCGTCGTGGACGGTGAGCTATTCTCAACTCCGTCGTCGGGGTTATTGGCGCGAGAAACTGATTGTCGAATTTGCGTGCGTGAACAGGTGAATCGAACGAGGCCGTAAGCGAGGGCAAGCATGCCGCGGATTTTGGGGACAAGTTGGAACGGACCCATTTTTTGGGCCTCAACGTCCCCCCAGGCGAGGTGTGGAAAGCCAAGTGTAAGTGGTTGCAAAGCCACGGATCCGGATGCTCATGTGGACAGCCGCTCATATTCTTCTGCGCTTGTGCTGCTACAGCCGAGGTAATCCCGGTGATGATGGAGAACGCCGTACGCATTTTCACACCCTACGGCAAACGCAACGATCACCCCGATCCCGCCTACGTGTTCCTGCTCCCCGACCAGGTCCGCTCGGCATCCAACTTGATCACGCTGCAAAAGACGTACGAGGGGACGTGGTCGGTCGACATCTTTTACGACTCGGACGCTTCGCCCTCCAAGCTCGACTCGGCGGCGCTCTCGCTCGGTCTTTCGGCTGCCTCTCGGAGCTTCATCGATCGATTCGAAGCAACTTTCCCCCTGAGCAAAGAGTTCTCGGCGTCGCAGCGTGCATTCGCTCAGCATATCACCGCGAATCTCATCGGTGGTGTGGGCTACTTTTACGGGTCTTCGATCATCGATCGTCAGTTCAAGAACGAGTGGGACCTCGATACCGATGACGACGATGTCCTAAGTACGATCAAGAAACCCGAGTTGACCCCGCCTCGCGAGTTGTTGACCGCGACGCCGAGTCGGAGCTTCTTCCCACGTGGTTTCTACTGGGACGAAGGGTTCCACCTCTTGCCCATCGGGATTTGGGACAACGAACTTAGTCTCGAGATCGTCAAGAGTTGGGTCAACCTAATTGACGAAGATGGGTGGATCGGGAGGGAACAAATTCTCGGGGAGGAAGCACGGGCGGCCGTTCCGGAAGAGTTCCAAGCCCAATACCCTTACATCGCCAACCCTCCTACGCTCGTCATCGCTATTCGAGCCTCGATCGAGAGGGCCCACAAAGCCGCAGCGGGTGAAGCCAACGTCGGTGCCGATTTCGTGGATCAAGGATCGGCACTCGACAAGGCCGCTATACAATCGTCGGCGGTCGCGAGGAAGTTCTTGGCCTCGATCTATCCCAAGTTGAGGTTGCACTATGAATGGTTTCGCTCGACTCAACGCGGTCAAATTCGTGAATACGATCGCGAAGCCCGTTCCTCGACCGAAGCATACCGTTGGAGGGGAAGGACCAAGGACCATGTCCTTGCGTCTGGCTTGGACGATTATCCGCGTGCTCGACCACCCCATGGTGGGGAGTTACAGTTGGATCTGCTGTCATGGTTGGGCGAGTTTGCGAGGATGATGGAAGAGTTGGCTGAGTTCTTGGATGAGGAGGATGATATTGATGATTATCAGACGCATCACAGGGATGTGTTGAACAATATTGAGGGTCAGTTACGGATGCGAAGCGACGGTCATTGGATAGTGAGCTGATCTCGGGTCTTGCGTCGACAGATTTGCATTGGAGCGAGAAGGACCAGATGTACTGCGATGCCAGCGTCGATGAGAATGGTGCGTCCGGCGAGTTTTCTCGACCCACATAGGTTTCCTGACTAAAGCGTTTTTTGTTTTTGTTTGTTTTGTTTTTTCCCGCGTTCAGACGAGTCCTACCATGTCTGCCACAAAGGCTACCTCTCCCTCTTCCCCTTGCTGCTCGCCCAAATCCCCGTCTCGTCCCCCAAACTCGGTGCGACCCTCGATCTCCTCCGGGATCCGAAGCATCTTTGGTCTCCCTATGGCATCCGCTCGCTCGCGAAGAGTCATGAGCTGTATGGCAAAGATGAAAACTATTGGAGAGGGCCGATTTGGATCCAGATGAATTACATGGTGTTGTCGGCGTTGCATAAGGTAAGGCTTGGCGTTGCTGGTTTAGACTGGGAGACACTTTGCTGATTCGTTTGGGAGTTCGTGAGCACAGACCTACGCCAAGCAACCTGGACCTTATCAGACTCGCGCAGCACAGATCTATGCCGAGCTCAGAAAGAATGTTATTGACAACGTCTACAATGTCAGTCCAGCCTCCGAAAGGCACCCCATCGCGGTATTGTCACTGACCTCGGTCCGTTCGTCACACCAACCACAGGAATACGTCCGAACAGGAGCGGTGTGGGAACAGTACGATCCCGAAACTGGGAAAGGCCAACGCTCCAACCCTTTTACGGGATGGTCGAGCCTCGTCACGTTGAGTGAGTCGGATCTGTAGTTTCGGAGGCGACTGGCGATCGCGCCTGAGCTGATGTCAAAATTACATCGCGTACAGTCATGACAGAACAATACTGAGCGCGCTTTGCTTGGAATTTCATGTTGAGTTTGTAGTTATTTGGGATTTGTCATCGCAGTCGTTCCTCTCTTTTGCCGGAAAGCATCGCCATCACTTCGATATCGATGAGACCCCCCATCTTCTCTGGCCTCGTAGGCGACCCATGAAGCGCACAGGCGCCGCGCGTTGATTTTGCCCGAATCGAAGAGCTCCTGTTCACGAGAAGATACGTCTCCTCTCTCCATAGACTTACGGGAATGAAGTGGGCAAGGATTATTTTCTGCACTTTGAGAAGACGTCAACTGCCTTGCGAAGTGTTGCACACAAAGTTCTTGCAACCCGAGGACTGATCGAGCGTCGGCGCCCGCCGTCCAATTGGTGATTTGTGGTGAGACATTCATTCGCGCGCCTCCCCCCACACCGCCCACACACGCGCTGGGCGCAGGCACGCCTCCGAGCGTTCGCTGACCCGCTGACTCGCTCCTGCTTCGCTTTTGCGTGGTCCCCGTTTCCAAACTCGGGGCCATGTCAGCTCCACCCCACAAGAAAGCTCGCATTGAGGCTTCTATTGCTTCCCTTCCTTCTACTACTACTGCTGCTTCGACTGCTGTCGCTGCACCCGCCGCTGGATTTGCAGCTTCGTCGTCTTCGAGCATGGGAGCTGGACAGACCTCGTCGTCGGCAGCGTCGGCAGCGTCGTCGTACGCGACTCGGAGCCGAACCAAGGTCGCTGCTTCACCTGATATTGACTTGACCATGAACGAGGACGAGGATGATTTGGAGAATGCGGGTGCGAACGATAATGATAATGATGATGATGAGGAACTATTCGAATACGAGTCGTACGACGAGCAGGAGCACGATATTGCCGTCGCGAAGGCTTCTGCGTCACGCTTAAAGCCGAAAGCTCAAGACGAACACGAGCAAGACGACGACGACGATGAGGATGGAAACGTTGGCTTTGAGTCGGAAGATGAGACAACAACTGTTCATGGACCTCGGCCCATCATCGACTCGATCACGCTCAGTGACTCGGCAGAGGAGGAGTTCCAGATCAGTACCCCACCTGAGCCCAAGGCCGGCAGCAGCAGTTGTACCGAACCACTCAACGGCGCAGCTCCCGGAACTCCCAACGTCGTCGGTGGAGGCAAGGGCAAGATGTCTTCGAGGAGGCAGTGGCAGGCTGATGCGCAGGCTATGGTTAAGAAGTTTGGCGCCAAAGATGGGGATGCTATTACGAGTGAGTTGCCACAAGGCTCCACTCGGCCCGAACGGACGATCATCCAAGCTGAGTTGGGTCTTTGGGACACGAACAGACTTTCGCAAGGACGAGGACATGGTGCAGTTCACGCTCGCACATGCGGGGAACAAACTCCGCTTCGTCATCATGTTCCCTGAACTGGGAGGGTATCCTCGCTCGCATCAGTGCGTTTGCTATAGCGAAAACGAGGCGATCGAGGGCGAGATTGAGCAGGTCATGTCCGAAATAGCAAAGTGAGTACAAGGATCGTATGGACGTGCCCCTAGAAGATAGTGCTAGAACCAAGTCCTCCTCGGCAAACAGTCTTCCATCTCAAGCCGATCGATCCATCGCGGGTCTGATCGAATACCTCGTCGGTCGAATCGTCCATGGCCAGCCATCACCGTATGCCGACCTCTCGCAGACCCAACACGATACCGATACCGAGGACGAAGACATGGACGACTACATCGAGGATGACGACATCTTCCCGAACGGCCCTGGATTCGGACCTCGATCGGCGTTGCGGGTGGCCCTGCGCAAGGACTTTAGGGAGTTGCTCGCTCAAGGCTACCGACCCGGGTTCACGCGACTGTCGGAGTTCGACAATGTCGTGTCCGTGTCCAAGAAGGTCAACGAGCTCGGTGTTCCCGTCGGAGCGTTGCAGGCTTGGGACTCGGAACTGATCACGGGCAAGGTCGTTTACCTCGTCCTGCTCATCAAATTTGGGTGCAAGTACCCCATCGACGCCGACAATGCGACGCGCGGGCAGGTGCAGTTCAAGGTCGCCATCGCACCAACGTACAAGCCTTCCAAGGCGTCTATCGCGACCGCATTCAGTATACGTGGTAGCTCTGATACGTTGAGACGTGGGTTTACTCTCTTATCAGCGAGCTGAAGTATCGTTCACCTGCTGACCGGTCTATGATGCTCACACAGAGGGCGATATGCAAGCCATCTCGCTCAGCGCCCCGCTCGATGCGCTCTTCAAGGAGAAGTTCCAGGAGATTCTCTTGACGAGGCGTCAACAACCCAAATGTGGATGGGCTGCCGCTGAGCATCATTGCATGGCTGATAACCCGCATGGCAAGGCTTACGATAGTAAAGCTGGTCGAGCGGCCGATAAGGCAGAGGCAGAGCTTGCTACGTCGGGGTCGTACAATGTGGGTATTCCAGGGGGAGGAGGAGAAACTCGAACGGTTGAACTATGCAACTGATAGTGATGGGGTTTGAACAGCTTCCCGTCGATCCCATGGCGAAGGATGTGACGGACAACTACCCATGGCTGGCGATGGCTTACCTCGTTCGTCGCTTCGTGATGTGCCCCCGATTTTGCCTCATCTGCTTTAAGTGAGTGCCATGAAGGGTGTCGGGAAGCGACAGTCAGTTGATGCGCCTCCTTTGGCTCCGACTTCCCAGGGAGGTGAACCACAAATTTAGCGCGCTCAAGCCCTTCGTTTGCAGCTCTTCGTTGTGCCTCTACCAGCTCATTTCGCTCGGTCTCGGACCTTCGCTCGAGCACGAGATTCGCACGAATGGACCCGCAGTCGATCTGCTCATCCAGCTCGCTTACACCGCCGCCAAGGACGACGTACTCAAGGGCGAATACCAACCTATCGGTATCGCTCTGCAGGTGCCGGTGACGACGCATCATGCGGACGGGACGTCGACGACGGTCTACAGAGATTACGATCAGCTTGGTGATGCAGACAAGTGCTTGGGAGTCACGGGACTGATCTCTGACTTGCCTTCAGTCGTGAGTCACCCTGTGTCGATGTGTTTGCGGTATAGCCGTCGCTGACCTCGTTCGAGGTACATCCTCGTGGGCCGCAGACCGAGATGAAGAACTGGCTCGAAGGCGAGGGGATGACGGACGAAGATCGTATGCTGCGCCGTGTGCGCAAGCTGACCGATCTACGCTCCGATGTGATCAACCCCTCGTGTTGGAGACTGCTTCGGTGAGATCGGGTTGACTCATTGCAGGCGGGGGGTTGCTGACTTGTGTACCTTGTGTGTCGCAGCTGGATCGTTGCTTCCAACACGAGTTACCTCAAGGCTATCGATGAAGATGACGAGCTCGTGCAGCAGGTCCCCAAAGAATATCGTCAGTTCCGCCTCGTGGTCGGGTCTCCGGCCAAGGAGCACGTCTTTTCCGAGAGCGTGAAGGACGCCAAGGCCAAGGATGCGAATGCAGCTAGGTACCCGACCCTGTTCGCCTGGCATGGCTCGTCGGTCAAAAATTGGCATACGATGTGAGTGACCGTATCGAGTGAAGCTCATCTAGTTCTGCGAGTTTCGTTGACGAAGCGACCATCACAGCCTTCGCGAGGGCCTTCATTTCCGACAGACCATTAACGGTCGCGCGTACGGCAACGGTCAGTACAGTTCGCAAATCTGTCTCTCGTGCTTCTCTTGGTGCTGAAGTGCTTTCCTTGATACCTATAGGTGTTTACTTTGCCAAAGACGGGGAAATTTCTCTCGGCCACTACGCTACCCCGGCAACCTACACGTGGAAGAACGCCGAGTACCCCGTCGCCAAGCTCGCCGCGCTTTGCGAGATTGTCAACTTGCCCCATTCTTTCGTGTAGGTTGCATTCCGATTTTATTTCATTGAGTCTAGGAAAGTGAAAGCTTCTGGGCTAATGTTTGTTAGAGACTCCTGCAGGTCGCAAAAGCCGTATTTCGTGGTCAACCAAGTCGACTGGATCCAGTGCCGCTACCTCGTCGTTGAGCGCACGGTCGCCCCAAGTACCGCTGGCAGCGACGTCAAAGATCCGAAAGCCGTCACGACCGGGGTGGTGCACGAAGTTGAACTTGACCCCGCCCATCCCATCACTTTGGGTCACAAGAAGATCGGGGTTCCTGACCTCATGCCCAAGCTGGAAGCGATTAGTCGTCGTATCGATGGCGATGTCGAGGAGTTGTGAGTCTCGGTACTAGTGCGCTAGTTCCTCCGCCCTTCCGCGGTGTCTGAATCGATGGCTTCTGGGTGCAGGAACCTTTCGGACGTCGAGATACTACGCGAGCCCTCGTCTGTTGTCGACGTTTCCACCACGAGTCAACCCAGATCGTCCCGAGCGGCCACTCGCAAAGGGTCGGCAGCGCAGGTCAAAGCTAGTAGTCCCCGCAAGAGCAAGGAGTCGACCAGCATGACCGATGCTACAGCAGCCGCGACGACTTCGATCTCAGCCGACCCTGAGGACGATCCCTTCGAGCCCGCCGATGATGACCGATTGGCATTGGTGCGATTACTCCCTCCACCAAAGAACCCGAGTCGATCGGCCATGTCGACGATCCAAAAGGAGATGAAGGCGATGCTCAAGGTCCAGAAGGAGAAGGGACCCACCGCGGCGGGATTCTACTTTGATCCGGAGCGCAGCAACGATAACATGTTCGCGTGGGTCATCGAGTTGATGGGTTTCGATCCGGACTTGCCGATCGCAAAGTAAGTCAACCGAAAACGAAGTGGTCGCCTGAGCCGCTGCGTTGTACTGACGTGGGATGATTTTGTCGCCTTGTAGGGACATGAAGGCGAAAGGGGTCAAGAGTCTGTTGTTTGAGATCCGCTTTGGCGATAGCTACCCTCTCTCGCCACCCTTCTTCCGAATCGTTCACCCTCGCTTCTTGCCCTTCATTCATGGAGGTGGCGGTCACGTCACTGGCGGAGGCAGTATCTGCATGGATCGTGAGTCGAACGTTCTAGCCTGACGGCGTCTGCCATTGTTTCTGATTCGCTGATGGCTTCTCTTGCACTTGCGCAGTCTTGACCTCGACAGGATGGTCGCCAATCTACCAAATGGAGGCAGTCCTCTTGCAGATCCGAATGGCCATGTGGGTTTAAGTGGGGACGGCGCCAACGAATCTTGAAGCTGAACTTATTCCGTCCCCTTCCCGACAGCTCCAACCTCGAACCACGTCCGGCTCGCCTCGACCCTCATCATTGGGACAAGAGCTATACGATCCAAGAAGCCGTGGATGGCTTCAAACGTGCTGCAGCGACACATGGCTGGACTGTTCCCGACGATTTTGCGGTCATCACTCGTGCCGGCTGATAGACCATATTTGGCCACCCCTATGGCCCTCGGTGTTGTTTTAAGAACGCATCCTCCTTCGCATTTTTCCTTCAGTAACTTTTCATTCTGTTTTCTACGGCTCCTCAGCTGCAATCAGTACTTTCAATCGTATCAGATTGCCTCGAGGGGCTGGACCAGGCACCTGTGCATGTTTGGTAATCCGGAGGGACAATCAACTTTCGCCCATCAGGCACGAGTCGACAAATGAGGTTATTTAGGTGTTGTAGGGTCGTAGAGCTCATTCAAGGCTCTCATATATATTGCATACCTTTTGCACAAGCTGCATCCATTCACATATACCGCAGGGCAAACAACCCTAGGTCAAACCGTAATGTTTTGTCAGTCTCGAATCGGATACCAGTGCGTCGAACGACGACACCAAAGAGGCGAAGCTGATCCTGTAAGTGCGGTCCTCAACAACTTCCAAACAAAATTTCCGAATCGAGTTTTAACGACGCGAGGGTCGCGACGTCTTGATCCCACCATGACGAGGCATGACCGGGGCAAGCTGATCCGTCAAAAAACTATCGCTCGCGACGAGGGTGGGGGGGGGGGGGGGGGGGGCATAGCGTCAGTTCATCCTCGGACTTGCGAAAGCAGGTACCTGACTGACCTGCGGCCCACCGATGTTGGTCAAAGTCATGCCCGATCTTGTACTCGTCCTCGAGGTATGCTTCGGCTGCTGCTTCCGCGCGAATAGTCGAGAATAGTCAAAACAACGATTCACCTCAGCTGTTTCGCAAAGCTGTTCGGCTCGGACTTGGGTGAGTGCTGTTCAGCTTTCGGCCTGTGCAGTCACGTCGCATCAAGGTCGAAACTGAAGTTGCAGTCGAGTGGTGAAGTAATAGTATCAGTCAGAGCCTACGATCTCCGCGATGGTGGTAACACAGGGCTGCACCTGCTTGGCGAAAGGTCGTGGCAACTCAAAGGAGCCAAGGCGCACGTCAACCCAGCGCCACTGCACGTCTCGCGCGGTCTGACCGAGGCAGGACGCTGCAGGACGCTGGACGATATGACTCCCACTGCCCCCGTCGGAGGAAAGCTCGATTTGTTCCCCAGTTGTCGTGAGACCTCCGTTGACATCTTGATTCCGAGTGGCTCATCGCTGGACTCGGAGGGCACTGGCTGCGCATCCGTGAGGAGTGGCCGACGGACTCCACCTCGAACATTCCCCACCACCTTCGAGAGCATCTGCAGATACCTTCATTCGAGGAGACACCGTTTCGAGCAAAGTGGGTGCCCATGAGTCACTGACTCCAGGGCGGGGCGAAGGAGAGAGGATGGGGCTCCTATGCAGTGCTCCTCAGTCGAATCCTGAGCGCGCTGAGCTGAGCGCTCCGAGACTCAGCGCCTGCGGCGGCCGCCGCGAGGGTCGGGCCCATCTGTCCCCATGGCACTGCCAACTCGCTGACTAGCTACCTTAGCTGCCTTAGCTGGTACAGATGGACCGTGAACTCTAACGCGACGACCGAAATGTTTCGGGGCCCGTATAATACACCGTTTGCATCTGCATCGATATGGCTCGAAACAGCAACTTCTGCTCACTCGGCGGAACGGCTATTTTTCTACTAACAGAAGCTGTACGGCAAGCTTCTTTGGCGGGCACTACGGATCTGGTAACCCCATACGGATACTAAGAGGAAGCGTACGGCAGTCAGAAAAAGAACCTCGATTATTTCCCTCCCTAGGGAAGACATACGGCGACTTCTGCCTTTGGGGATCAAGAAAGTCTCACGCGCATTGCTGGCTGGAGAGCCGAGTGGGGCAGCCGCATACATCCCACCTGACTCGAAAAGCTTAAAACGCCGTGGCAGTGGCAGATCGGACCTGGAGGTGGAGGAACTCTAGTGCCGATGGAAAATGAACAGTGCATTCCTTGGTGCACGTGGGACGGACAATTGAGTTTGCGATAGTCCCGAGAAGCCGAGTGCCATCGGCTTTTCGACGGCGGGTCGAACGAGGTACTTCATTGAGGCTGGTGCAGGCAGGTGGGTGCCGTGCGCGCTCGGCTAAGCGCTGCTGCGCTGGTGCGCGCCGCTCAGTATTCTACCGCCCGGAAGCAGAACGTAAATTACGATCACTAGTCGGATCGGATCGGTAAGTTTTAAGTTTTAAGTCATAAACTCCAGCTAGTCTTGTTCAAAGACAGAATCAAAAAAACGCTAGATCCGCTGGAACACGACCTAGCCCCTCAAGGGTGCTCTTACTCCTCTCCTTCTGACACACGACCTGGCAGCTAGCTCAAGTATCTGATCTACGCTCTTGCATCGTCGCACTGTCCCCCGCTTGGACGTGTGGGCAGCCGAGGCTTGCGATCCATCTAGGTTGGGCATTTGTGTGAGTGTGCGTGTGAGGGTCGACCGGCGCCGCGGCGCGCCCTTTGTTGCCACGGGGTCGTGGGTCGAAGAACGCGGGAGAACGGGGGAGCGATCGCCTTCCCTCTCGCTGCCGTATTTAGCTGGGCCACGCCATGGCGCCGCCAACGCCAACGCTGCCCAACTTGGATCTGGCCGTGGCTTCGTCGAGGCGAGATCCCATACGACGACAGGACATGGGTGAGTCACCGTGCTTGGGGTGTGCTTCCTCTATTGCTGGAGCAAGATTAGGGTTTGGATGGTGCTAGGGTTGAGCAGGAGGGGCGCTAGGCATCACGTGCTCGCGTGGCAGCTACTTCTAGCGGTTCTGGCCCCAGCGACTCAGCCGGCAGGTGGGCTCATAGGACACGAGCACGGCCAGCGGCGGAGGGAGCCACCTGCGGCTTGTTGCAGCGCCCCTGAGCCGTTCCAGACCTCTATGGCATCACGAGTGATGTACCCCTTGTGCACCTCTTCTTCGGCTTCCGTCAATCACAGCGGCACGTACGAGCGAATGCGAAGTTGAGCTGACCTGCTTCGACTTCCTCCGTGTCTCAACGTCATCGATCGCTTTCGCCCGCACGCAGACGCGCTGCAAGACCTGATGGACGCAATGGAGGGTAGTTCCAAGTTTGCCTACAACCGTCCACCAACTCGAGCGACCGCAAGTGCGTCCCCTGAATCGAGGACCCGGCCCATGTCGGCCGCGTTTCCAGCCCGTCCCGGCTCAGCTGCCTCGTCCGCTTCTGGACAGCTCGTCGATGAAGGCGGCGGTCGATCTTCCCCTTCGGGTAGCACCGACGATGGGGGTCGTCTACGGCACAAAACCTCATCGAGATCATTACGATCACTCGTCAGCAATGCGAGTGCAAGGGATAGGGCCCACACGAGTGGCTCGACCAAGTCAAGTACGTCGCGTCGCGTGCCGCCGCCCGTCGATGTCCGAAGCGACTCGTCGAACCGCGCTTCGGTGGCGCTCGACGACGACTTGACCCCTTCTATGGCCCAGGGCGAGTGGGCCTTTGCCTCGCGAGTGTCGTCTCGGAGTCTTCAACGGGATGGAAGCCTCCTGGTACCGACGATGCAACCTATGCAACCTAGACCTAGCTCTCCGTCGAGTGCGTCCATCGCCACGACCTCTTCGTCGACTTCGGGAGGACCTTCGAGTCCGGCTCGATTGATGCCGAGATCTCCTATGAGCGACCGCGACCCCCTCGACGACTTCCACTTTCTCAAACAAATGGGTATTACAGACGATCATCCGAGCATGCACTTGACTCGGAAACGGACCGACTCGCCCGTGCCTTCAACTGGCAACCACCCCGACAGCCCTTCCACGCCATCGAGCCTTCGGAGCGAGCGCTTACGAGAGGAGATTCAACGCACCGCCGAACGGTATCGCTGGCTCGGTGTCTCATCGGAACGAGTTGGTGCGGATGGGACTGCGAATTTGGGTAGCGCCGCGACCGGGGGTCGGGACTTGGGTTCGACATCGAGTCTGCCGCTTTACCCCGGAGCGCCTCCGCCCCTCCTTGGTTCGAGTAGTGGTGGAAGGAGGATGTCTTCCGACACCCAAAACTCGCCGTCGCTCGGCGCGAGTAGTAACTCGGTCAGCCACGTGCGGTCATCGAGTACGGACATGCCGGCCTCGCTACGAGGCGTGTTCCATACTTCACCATTTATATCGGCCTCGGCTTCGGCAGCGGCGAGGCCCACGCCATCCAGCGCGTCTGCGTTCGCCGGTCGCACCAATCTCGACAACACATCCAGTTCCATCACCCCCAATGGAATGCCATCCCTACCCACCACAAAGTCGAGCAACCCCAAACCTCGACCACGCGAGTTGCGCGAATGGAATCAGGTATGCCTGTTCTGGCAGCGCGAAAAAGCGAGCAGCGGCGTGTCAACCGTCGCCGGCGTCTTCAACAAGGCTAACAAGTTCGGCGACGTGCCCGCGGCGATGAAGCGCAAAATTACCAAACGCGATTCGTCGCAATTGCTCAGTCCGGCCGAGGCGGTCATGTTTGGATATGACGATCGGAGCAAAGATCGAGATCGGGATAAGGAGAAGGAGAAGAAGGAGAAGGATAGAGAGAAGGAAAAGATCAGGAGTTTTGCAAATGGTGTTGACGTGGGCAAAAAGGACGGGTCGTGGAAGAAGGTCACGGCGCTGTTGAAAGAGGATGGGACGTTTCGGATACTGGGCGAGGTACGTGCTGTTGCCATCTGTCTGCAGCAGGGAGCCTGAATTCTTTGCTCACGGTCGCAACGTGTGTGCACAGGACAAGACCGTCATACGGACTGTCAATCTTGGAACAACGCCTCGAAGCGATGTTCGGCTTGTCGATCCCTCACTGTTTGGGGCCTCGAACTGCGTCTCGATTCGCATGCAGTCGACCCTCACCCCGTTCCCGCCTTCGCCGTCCGGCATGAGCCATTCGAGCTCCTCGCTCGGCCTAGGGCTGTTGTCTTCGTCATCCTCGTTCTCTTCGAGCCGGCTCGGAGGGACGAACATGTCAGCTGATGCTGAAACGCTCTACCTGCGGATGCCATCCATCGTCGCTACTCAGATTTGGTTCGGCATGGCCCATTGCTGCGCAATGCCTGATGTTGTTCAAGGCAATACGCTCGATTCGACGTACGGATCTTGCGGTGGGCTGGGTATCGAAGAAGGCGTTGCAGGCGGGAATATGGGGTCCGAGGTAGATGGCGCTGGTGATAGGAACGAAGGGGGTTTCCGCGTCTTCCGCAGCTTATCGCTCACCATCTGTGAGGGGCGGTCGATAGGGGAACCTGGGACGGAGAAACTGCGAGCGACGCCGGGTATCGAGCACGATACCTCCTTGTCCGAGATGTTCTCTGGGTCCGAATCGACGACCTCCCCGATCAAGGGTAGTGCATCCTCCACGGCCAGCTCGATTCAACGGATACCGGGCCGGACGGGTCAAGGATGGCATGAGAGTAACAAGGACGCGGACAGCTCGCCCGACACGTATTGCGAGATCATCATCAATGATGAGGTCATGGCTAAGACGACGCTGCGCAAGGGAACTGCATCACCGTTTTGGAACGAGACGTTTACTTTCGAGTGAGTTTGTGGAAACGGTGTGTTCTGATTGAGATGGTTGTTCTGGTCACTGACCCGTTTCGGTGTGTTGCAGACATCTGGCGGGTTTCGTCGAGCCCATCACGATTCGGGTTTTCCAGACACACAAGCACTCCAAGACGAGCCTCGTCGGGATTGCCACGGTTCGGATTGCCAACCTTCCCCGCGGCGAGTCAATCGAGAATTGGTGGTGTCTTAAGCCGATCAGTTCCGACTCGCGCACCCGATCCTACGACACCGTTGGCGAGCTGAGCTTGAGCATTCGGGTTGGCGAGGAAGTGATCCTCCCCAGCAGCGGATACGGGGAGATCCTTAACCTATTGAAGGAAGACGAAGCGGCCGAGCTCGTGACCGATATCGCTTCCGAGTTCCCAACCGAGCTCGAAGAGATCGCCAAAATCATGCTCAACATTTACATCTCGCAAGATCTGCTGCTACCGCGGATCTTCAAGCTCGCCGATCTCGAAGTAGAGAAGGGTGCACAGTCCGCGGCGATTCTCTTCCGCGGAAATTCGATCCTGACCAAGGTGATCGAGATGTACATGCGCAAGATTGGGGTCGACTATCTCGAGGCTTCCATCGGAGAACCGATTCGGAAGCTTTATGGCGACAAGGTTGAGATTGAGATTGATCCGAGTCGACTCAAGCCGGGGACGAAGGAGAAGGAGATTCAGGCCAACATCAATGAGTTGTTGCAGTGGGCGATGACCACGTGGAACTCGATTTATGAGGCGAGGGAGCGGTGTCCGCAGTAAGTCACGTTTATGTTGTCAAGTGTGGGAGGATCGCGAGGTGGTACTGACATGCGGGGAATATTGGAACAGGGATCTGCGGCAAATCTTCTCTCACATTCAAAAGATTGTGGGCGAACGGTACGGCGAAGATCACAAGAACACGCGCTGGACCTCCGTCAGTGCCTTCATCTTCTTGCGCTTCTTCGTGCCGGCCATTCTCAATCCGCGGCTGTTTGGCCTCGTGTCGGCTGCACCGGATCCGAAGTCGCAGCGCACGCTCACCCTCGTCGCCAAGACATTGCAAGGGCTGGCCAACTTTTCGTCGTTCGGACAGAAAGAACCTTGGATGCTGCCGGTGAACACGTTCGTGCAGGACAACACGTCGGCGTTTGTCGATTTCATCGAGCACATTTCGCGGCACTCGGCTTTGGATCCAGCCGTGGCGAAGCAGGAGTGGACGTCGGCAGCTGCATCGGTCTATGCTACACCCAACGACTTGCGTGATGCGCTCTCGCCTTTGGCTCGCGATGGGGTCCCGACCTTGCCTCATCTGATCGATTTGCCGCGCAATCTCGGGCTACTCGCGTCGAACGTGAACCGAATCATCATCGAAAAGGCGCACTCACCGGGCGGTGAGAATGGCAAAAGTGCTGCTCCGTCGGTCGCGTCTCGAGGACCTGTGCGCTCGCCAGGTTTCTCGACCTTCATCGAAGCCTGCGCCGATGTCTGCGATGCGGCTAGGCGGCGTGGTACAGGGAAGATCTGGCCCATCCAGGGAATGCTACCCATCGTCAAGCCTGACTTCCAGACGAGGGCGCAGCCGACGATCGTCCAGGTCGCCGCCGCCGCCGCGCCGTCGTCGTTCGTGTCGGCTCCGTTCGCCCATGACTCGGGTCCACGACCGAGCACGAACCGGATCGAACGATCGCAGACGCTGTCTTCCACCCCTCCGCCGCGCTCGAACTCGAACGGAGCAACTCGATCTCTTTCCGGCGCAGAGGCAGAGGATGCTGATGGCCCTGCTGAGATCCACATCCGCGCCAAGACCAAGCCGCTGGTACACTCCCCGAGTGGCTCAATCGCGTCGCGCCGCAGTACTCGAAGCAACACATTCTCGGGTGAATCACCGCGCGCAGGAATGACGGCGGGTACGGTCTTCAATGCGCACGACGGCTACACGGCGGCCGAGCTGAGCTTTGCTCGATCGCACGGGATCGTCGTCGCCGATAGCCCTTTCGCGGACGTACCCAGCAGAACGAACGAGAAGAGTCCTCGACTTGATTCGGCGGAGAACGACGTGTTTGGTGGTCCCCAATCTAGTCGAGGGCCACCGGTCACGTTTGCTCGCCGGCATCGGCACTCGTCCTCGGTCGAAGGCGGGTCGATGCCGCCCCATGCCGAGCTCGACGAGCGCGAACCACCGCCGCCGAGTGCGAGCACGAGTTTTGCAGGGTTCGTACCCATCGAGGATTATGAGGACTCGTCGCGAGCTATGGCGGATGATATCCTCGATTCGTACGCCTTCCCCGCTCGCACTCCCCTGGCTGCGGTGTTCCCCACAGCTGGGGAGGAGTCGAATCACGCACTAACCGAATCGGCGACCCTGTCAATCCGAGCCGTTGAAACGTCGTCCCTCGATCACACGCCCACCTCGGCATCGTCGTCGTCTCCAAGCGTCACCAGCGAGCACCCCGTGGACGATACCTCGTCGTTATTCTCCGTCGGAGCCGCGAACGAACGTGGGGGAGAGATGACCCCTCAAATGAGACGAGGCTCGATGCAATACAGCTCGTCAAGCAAGGACTCGTCGTCTTCCCCCTTCTCATTCGGCAAGTCCGTCCCCATGGCGCAATCTTTGTCGGCGCATTCAAACGCCTCCACAACGAGCGATACGTCGAACGTCTCGGATTCGAAAGGAAGTAGTGCCGGTCGAAGAGGCTCGCTCAATCTCGATAAGGTGATTGGCGAGAGTCGAGCGGGACAGAGGAGGAAGAAGGGTTTGTGGGGTCTCGGTGCTTCATTGTCGAGTTCGTCGAGGAGTTCAAAGAGTTCGACGGCATCATGAGCGAATTTGATCGTTGGATTGATTTGGAAAGGGGTTCGGAAGTGGGTTCAGTTCATGGACAGGGGTTTAGGGTTTTTTGTCTCCTGGAGAGTAGCTTTGCTGGTGTGGAATGGGTGGGGGACGATTTTATAATATGTCCTGGCGGTTGCTTTTCTTCTTCTTTTGTTTCATCACACAATATGAACTACGCCATTGATGTTATGAAGCTTGTCGAATTGGCGGTGACAGAGCGCCACTAGGTTGCTTCAGCTCTTCTGAACCGCCTGGCACTGGCTTACCAGCTTCCGCTCTTCTGACTCATTATCTTGTCTTTAAAGGGTCATGACTGGTGGGTTTTGCGTTACACATCGACCCAATGCCCGGCCCCTGCGAACGGCCTCTGTCGGCTGGGTGGCGGGCCATTATGTCGATCTATGTCGATAGATGTCGATTTGGCACCGGCTACTATTCTCGGCGCTGACCACCCACGTCCCGGGTTCCCTTCTCCCCACCTTCGCAGAACCTGACGTGGCACCGTTTGACTCGTCGGAGCCAGACGAGGCCTACGTATCAGCCTCATCGGTGAGTTAGGTTCATCTGACGAGATGTACCGCTTCTCAGCGTACAGGGCATCTCGCCCCGTCGACTGGGCCGCTGCTGCGTCTGCCTTGGCCCAAAGTGGGGCGACGATCGCGCGCTTACGGATCGCTGACGATTCCCGGCCACGGCCACGGATACGGCTTGTTAACAGCTTCATCCTCCACAAGCGTCGACTCTACGACGCGGGTTGAAGCCGGGCTGACTTGATCCTGACAGAGAGTCACAACGTCAAGCAGTGACGACCACCGGAAGCGTTGGCAGCAGCTCACCCTCGGCGCTCGGTCTTCGGCCACAATTGGCGCACCATTTGAACTCACGTCAAGCGTCGCCCGGGCTTACTGCTCGACCTCCTCCGTGGGCCCAGCAACACACGGCTAGGATACTCCGTCAACCCTTCCCCGGCGTGAAGTAGTACACCTAATTCGGCATCGCACCCGGCTAGCGCTGTCCCAGACTGCGGTAGCTGCTGCTTTCCTCCCTCGGCATCTACCTGCTGGTCAATCTTTGTAGTCCAACAGCCCTGCTCTACGGACATGGACTCCGAGTCACCTCAAGCTTGGCTCCGAGACCAACAGCAACAGATGGACCGCTCCTCACGATCGCCTCTCGGGTCCTCCGCTCCATTTTCGCTGCCAGCTCCAACTCACACCGGCCCGGTGCCCGAAGACGGCGAATCCCGTGATGGTAAAGCCGACGACGCCCCAACCGCAGTTCCAACAGCTACGAAGAGACTATCCGGTTTCGGCACAATTTTTTCGGTTGCTGCACTCGCACCAGGCCTGCCACCTTCGACCCCGGACCAGCAGCCGCCGAAATCGGTGTCGCCTCCACTTGCCTCCACTTCCGCCGCCGCCGAGGGTCCCAGTTCGGTCACAGCCGCACCAGGTCGAAGCGCCGTCTCGACGCACCAGAGCCTGTCAAGCCCTTGCTTCGTTCATTCACATCTCGATCATTCCCTAGGTAGCGCTTCAGCGTCTCTGAGTCCCCCGCCTTCAGCTCGGGTCCAACTCAAGCATCGAACGACCGAGTTGGCGCAGCAAGTTCGGGATCGGATCGAGGTCGACCAAGAGGTCGTCCTTGTCGATGGGGATGGGGAGGGTGGGGAGGGTGAGGAGGAAGGAGAGGATGGGGAAGGGGAGGAAGGGAGGAGTTTGACGAGGCAATTGGCCGAGACCGCTGTTTCGGTTAGGCAGATGAGCAAGCAGTTGGGTAGGTCGACTCTCTCGCCGGGCCTTTGGTTCGGGGAGTCGGTGTTTGCTCATGCTTCGGACTTGTCTTTGACCCAGGGCGTGCTCGCGTGGTCTCGCATATTCAATCGGTGCTCATCATCACCAAGGTATGAACCTTGGTTGATCTCGCGTGGCTTGAACCTCTCGCTAATCAGAAGGATCGTCCACTAGGCGCGAGACAACCACTTGATCCGTCTGACACGGGAACTTGCCCTCTTCTTGATGGAGACCTCACGCAATGGTCGGGATCGTGGACTCATAGTGTGCGTCTCGATACCTCGTCAGACTTGCTTGCCCATGTTCAGAATGTTGCTAATTGTAGTATGTTTTCCCACAGTTACGTCGATAGCCAACTACGCAAGTCGAAACGCTTCGATGCCGAAGGGATGGAGAGGTCCAACCCCAACTTGTTCCGCCCTTTACAGCGGCGATACTCCCGCACGTCATCGTCCGCTTCACTAGCTACAACCGGTCCGAATGGCTCGGGCTCGAATGAAACGCCCCTCAAGCGCATGACACCTTTGAGTCAGCTCAACGATGCGATGAGACGATCGGGCGAATCCGGATCCAGTTATCGGCGCGAACCCAGCTGGAATAACTCGACAGCGTCGTTGAATTACCAGACGGATGAGGGGCAGTTGAGGTATTGGACGAATGAAATGTGTTCCAAGAGCCCGCATTTGTTTGATTTCGTCATCACGGTGAGTGATGTTGTCGGGGAAGGTCCGATCAAGGAAACTGATCGCTTCTCTGACCGCTCCTGCAGCTCGGAGGAGACGGGACCGTTCTTTATGCGTCGTGGCTCTTCCAACACGTCGTCCCACCCATCATCCCCTTTGCATTGGGTTCCCTCGGCTTCCTCACTAATTTCGATTTCTCCAACTATGCGTACACACTCAACCACGCCATCGATCACGGCATTCGTGTGAACCTGCGCATGCGTTTCACCTGCACCGTTTACCGCGCGATCGAGGACGAAACGTGCAAACAACGTCGCGCGGTACGAAGTGGGAGAACGGGAGGGATCTACATGAGCAATTTGAGTAAAGATGGGTGGGAGGCGATTGAGAGTGGGGGTGTCGATCAGGCGAGGGAGAGGATCAATAGGGCTGATAAAGGGGGCAAGAAGACGAGAGATAAGGAGATCAAATGCTTTGTTACCAGACCGGCGGAGTCGTTCGAGGTTTTGGTGAGTTGGGTTGAGCGGACGTGATGAGAGATAAAGGCTGATCGAAGTGACGTATGTTGTGCAGAATGATCTGGTCGTTGATCGAGGACCCTCGCCTTACGTCTCTTTGCTTGAACTCTTCGGAGACGAGCACCACATGACGACTGTCCAGGCCGATGGGCTAACGGTCTCAACACCGACAGGCTCAACGGCATACTCTGTATGTTTCATCGAAGCTCCCGTCGACTTTGATTGGAGCTCACCCCCCTTACTCTGTCGCATCAGCTCTCCGCCGGAGGTTCGCTCGTCCATCCCGAGATCCCCGCGCTCCTCATCACACCCATCTGTCCCCACACCCTCTCCTTCCGTCCCATGCTCCTCCCCGACAGCATGGAGTTGCGCATCTGCGTACCCTACAACTCGCGCAGTACAGCCTGGGCTTCGTTCGACGGTCGAGGACGCGTCGAGTTGCGTCAAGGCGATCATATCAAGGTCACGGCGTCGCAGTACCCCTTCCCCACCGTCTGCGCGGAGAATCAGTCGACGGATTGGTTCCAGGCGATTTCGAGGACGCTCAAGTGGAATGAGAGGGAGAGGCAGAAGAGCTTCGTCGTTGTAGTGAGTTGGGCTGGTGTTCTCACTCTCACTTGATGCTTCTTTTGGACGTTAACATCGCTTGTGTTCGGGCCCTGACGTACTTGCAGGAAGAGAGTCGGAAGAAGGCATCCGCCGACGCTAGCGAGAAAGCCGCTTCGACCGCACGGGCTGCTCGTAACGCCGTGACAGAGAAAGCCCGCGCCAACTTTGGTGACGAAGAGGATGAAGTCGACGAAGAGGAAGAGGATGATGACGAAGAGGACGAAGAGGAAGACGAAGTCGATGCGATGGAGGAGGAGTTTGATATTGATGACAGATCTTCCGAGAATCAGACAACGAGCTCGTCCCCCAACGTCATGGCGACCGATCCGACATCGACGATTCCGGCACTCAGTAGCTCACAACGGCCAAGACCTGCTTCACGAGAGAGGGAACATTCCACTGCTTCGTCCGTCGCGGAGCTAAGGGACGACTATACCGAACGCTTCAAGGATCCTGCCCCTCGACCCCCAAAGCTATCAGCAAGACATTCCTTTAACCAAGTCCCGAGCGCCAAAGGTCCCTCGGGTAGCGCTTCTCCAACAGGTGCTCAAGGCCTGACGATGGCGACAACGCGTTGTCGTGAGCGAGGTGAAGAAGGCGATCGCGATCATTTGAGGGAAAGCCTGAGTGTCAAACGGAATATTGGCGGTCAAGCAGCGCGAAGGTTCGGTGCGAGTTCGAGTCTGCTCAGCCCGACGAGTCAATGTGCCGAAAAGACTTCGTCGAAGGGTGGGGACGAGGACGAGGACTCGTCCAGGATGGAACGCGCTTTCGCTGTCGTTGGTGTTGATAGCGATACCTCTGCTGTGAGTCGGGAGCATTTTGACTGCGCATCCTTTAGGTGCAGTGCTGACTCGCGGTTCCTCTTTCGTTTTTACGCAGAGCGAATCTGAACTTTGAACTGACACCTCTATATTATGTAGTACGATTGCTAAGCACTGTTGCGTAATTTACGAAACACACGAGAAAATGACGAAGGGAAAGACCTGACCAAGCGTCAAGAGCGGACATGTATACCACGTGACAAAGCCTGCTGACGAAGAGAGGCCATGCTTAAGCATCAGAAGAGATCACTCAGACGACGCGACATGGCGAGCTAGACTTCAATAGTCCAATTCGGTATCATCCCACAACTCTAGCAAGTGCATCATCGTCTGAGTTCGACGATCCTGGGAAGGAGAGGCGAAGAGATGAATTTCCGGAGATGTGCCAAATGGTACGAGATTGGTCACTTACCCCTCAACGCTTCACCGCTCATCAATCACTCACAATCATGCGCGCCCTGGTGCGGCATGCCAAAATTAGGGAGTCGACTCTCCTGATCATGCTTTCATCATACATCTGTCTAGCGAAGAAGGATATCTAGTAGTTGCAGCAGGACTTGAGAGAAAACCGGAAGGGACCGTAGTGCAATGCGATGAAAAGAAAAAGCAAAGAAACAGAAGACAAAAGTACTACAGGGAGGATCGTTTTGCGAGGCGTAGCGCAAGCGTCAAACATCGCAGAGTGGTCGATTGTATCAGGAATACCAAGGAAATCAAGTCTGACCTCCTAGGGACGAGCGAGCCGCTATCTACACAATCACCATTCAAGTCCTGTCCAGCCACCGAACGTGAGCGTCGCTCAGCCGGGCCCATTTCAGTCAACAAGAGCGAACCTGGGCGACCCACCAAGTCCAAACTCGTCCTCAGAGTCGTATCCATCTTCCGAGTCGTCACCGTCGAGACCGTCAGCGTAACCCCAATGGTGAAACCCTTGATAGCGGTAAACGTCCCCAAAGTTGTCCTCGTCGTCGCCCATCTCGTCGTAGTACAACTGCGCGTCCAGGTCCTCTTCTTGATAGTCGTCATCTTCGTCCTCCAAATCGGAGTCGGGGTCCTTGATGACGAGATCGATCCCTTTGTGGAATACCAACAGCTCGAGACTTTCCATTTGCGCCGGGGTGAGGAACGAGTCTTGAACAACGATCAAGCTCTTGAGCGTCGACTCATGCGTTGTGATGAAATCTTCGATAGTAGAGTATCCGAAAAGCTCGCACATCCCGAGCTCAAGCTGCTTGATGGGGCAATCATTGAAGACGGTCAGGATCGCAGGGTCATGATCCGTCTCGAGGACGAGCGTATCGAGTTTGGGCAGCTTCCACGGCCGAAGGAGCTGCTCGCGTGGACCAACCCCACCCTCTGCGTTCCCTTCGGTTTGAGCACTGTCCAAGAGATCCGCGAATTCAAGAGCAAAACTGTCGAGATCGAGCACCTCCAACGTCGCCGACATTTTCTCGACGGCCCGTCGCAGCGCCTCCCACGTGATCTCTGTCGCATCGGATAGCGCCATGATTTTGAGCGGGCCTTTGAACTCGTGGCTGGCGAAGCGCGTATCGAGCCAATACGCATTGTCGAGAGTGAAGCTTTCAAGGTACTTCATCTCGGCCAAAGCCCTGTACAAGCATTCGGGACCGTCGTCCTCGTCATCTTCCGAGGTCGGCTCAAAGCCAAGGTGGAGTCGCTTCAAGTTCGGGAACGCGCCGAGCATCACTTCGAGTTCGTTGAAGGGTAACATCGAATTTGAGTCGCCGTAAAGGGAGAGGTCGATGATTTGAGGGCTGACCGCTCCCTCTTCCAGCAATGAGCCCGGGAAGGAGTCGACGACCGGCACCCTCCTCGGATCCGAAGGACCATCATTTCTCGGGAAATGGGCCAACAGGTCGAAATCGAGCGTCGTGAGTTTGGGAAGTTTCCGAAGGATCTCCTCGAAGAGCAAAGCCCTCGCTATCGCGTATTTGTGCCAATACAAGGTGTGCTCGGTTCGGGGACAGATCCCTGCCGCAGCTAGGGCGTCGAGAACTTCGATGTAGTCGGCGTGCATGCTGCTCTTCTTCTTTGTGGGGCCCACTTTTCTTTTCCGTTGCGCACCTTCCGCATCGGTCGAAGGCTCGTGGTGGTCGGCTTCGGGTTCGTCGTCGCCGTCATCGAGCTCGATGTCCTCCCAATTCGTGTCGTCGCCTTCGTGTTCGCCATCCGGCCCTTGTGTGCAATGTTCATTGATCGAGAAGCTGAGAGCTTCAATGTGGTGCCCATGTCGAGGTATGATGGTCGTATAAAAGTAGTAGATATCCGGAAGGGTCTTGGTGTCCATATGAACGGCCTGTATAGTCCATGGAGAGGGTAGAGAGGAGCTGCGTGAGTGTTGGGTCCGAAGCGGTCGCATAAGAAACGGGACTTACGCTCCAAATAAAAGGCTGAGCCAGAGCGGCAAATTCCCTATTGACGAGGGAAAGCTGGCACATCGTCCTGTGCACTGAAACGCGAGCGTACCTGCCATCAAAGCTGCTGTCGTCGTCCTCGTCGTCGTCATCATCGTCGTCATCATCGTCGTCGTCGTCATCAACTGGCTTCCGCTCCGCTATAATGGCTTTCGGCGGCGTCTCGACCGACTTTCCCTTACTCGACGTCTTGTTCTTGCTGGCTTGCTGTACATTCTCCTTCTCCTCTTCCACAACAACTTCCTCGACCAGATCGTCGTCGTCATCATCATCGTCCTCCTCAGCTGCGAGCGCGGCTTCGCAATCGACCTCGTGCACCATCGCGACGATGATCGCCTTGAGTTCCGGTGGCAACGTGCCAAGCGAGGGTTTCGGTCGCTTCGTAGGGGACGATGTAGAAGCTTCCGCTGAGGATTCCAGGTGGCTCATCGTGGCGAGGTCTGTCGAAGAGAGAGTGAAAGCACTGCAAGGCGACGAGTTAGTCGGCTTCGGCAACTGGCCACGTGCGATGAGGCACATGCCGAACGAGGTATGCAGCATGACTCGTGTAGGCTCACAATAGGCCCGAGAAATTCACTCGAAACAGGCAGATACGGACCTGCAGCCCAGAGCAGACAGGTGGTGGTTAAGAGAAGGAAGCTGGCAGTGCCTGGCACGGCTGCCTCGGTCGAGTGGGGCCGAAGTGAGCCGTCAAAATCGCACGCCCAAGTCCAAAGGCAAGCAACGGCTAGCAACGGGCGCGCCAAGCGAGTCGAAAGGCGAGCTCAGTGCGGTGTGAATCACTCCCTCTGGCTATAGGAACCAACTGTTTTCGCCTGTTGCTCGCTCGAAACTTCAGGTTTTTTTCTTTGTTTTTGCTTTTCCCGCCCGCCTCCCCGGTTTGCCTCCGCTTGCTTACGCTGCCCCGTCGGTTTCTTCGCGGGGCCGTGTCGTGCACGTGGGGAAATTCGCCCCCAAGCCCAAACCAAGCCATTTATTACATATTTATACTCATCAACAGAGTTCGGCACAACCGTCGTTCAGTCAGAGACTGCTCGTCGCATTACTTGGCGCCGACACTGCACGAGACGCTCGACGAGTGACCAATACCAAGCGTCTGGCATGATCTTATGGGCCGCCCGTTCATCCAACTTTCTCATGATGGCAGTGAATCAAGAGTCGTTATGTAGGCGGGGAATAACCCTTCTATCTGATGTTTCACAGGTTACGTATCACGCGATTACCACCAACAATTACATCGAGTCTTGGCATAAGATATCTTGGCGCCACTAGGCTGGCCCGGCGTTCATTGTGAGGGTGTGGATGAGCCGATCCGTCCGCTGTCGCTGCCCGGCCGATGTAGCCTTACTTCAAGATCTTATGCCAAAGACTCGATGTAATTGTTAGTGGTAATCGCGTGATACGTAGCCCATGAAACGCCAGATAGAAGGGTACCATGAGCCAAGGGAAATATCTCGAGGCCAACGCGCAGGCCAGTCTTGGGCTGACTTTGCGATGGTTCGCGACGATTGTCGGGATCTGTGTGGAGAGGAGCAGCGGTGGAAGGACAGTCAACAAAACAGTCAGCATAGGCATCGAGCACAACGCGCTGTTTGCGAACGCGGCGGAAACCTACTCGACGGTTGAATGGGTGGACCTGCGGTCAGGAGCTTTACTCTTGTAGCTCTTGCTCTGGTGGCGTTGCCAATTGATGGTCGCACGTTGGCTCGCCAGCCAGTCAGGGAATCCGGCGGCGGGAACCACTGTTGTTTGCATCGATTCGGCGTCAAGCGGCGCAACGAGAAGCCGCAACGAGAAGCCGCGTGGTCTGCAGTGGTACGACATTGATGAGTCCAAGAGGGGGGTTTGACGTCATGGTGTTCGAGTGGTGAGGATGGCATAGGCCTTGCAAGCGCATGGAAGGAAGGAAAGAGAGAATCGGGCTGAACAGCCTATTTATTCAGGCGCGCGGCCAATATCTACGAGCTTCTACGAGCGGAGGAAACAACAAACATTGAGCATGGACCGGACCCCGCGCGCGTGTGAGCGTTGGTCACGTGCTGTGGCAACCACTAGAATCAGGCGGCGAAATCGATCCAATACCAAACTCGCGCACGAGGACAATAAAAAGTTGGGGCGAGTGGATAGCCCGCCGCGCGCCGCGCTTCGTCGCCGGCCGGGGTTGGTTGCTCAAGATTTTTCTCACTCGGAGGTGGCGCAGAAACACACAATGCACCGCGGAATGGACAAAGTAAGACAAATCTCGTGCGCGGACTCAACCTGGGACCACCGAGGCGACAGAAGTTCGAGGGTGGTGACCCGCTGCCCAAACTTCGCGGTCGGCTCGAGCAAGGCAAGGCGAGAGCCTGGAACGCTTCCAGAACGGGGATGGGTTCGATATGGCCAAGCTGCTTTGGCCGGCTCTTACAAGCTTCTGATTCATCAACGCGCAAATGAATCGAGTGGAAGCAACTTGAGCTGCATCGTCCACACAACATGAAGCAGCGCCATTCATCGAGTCGCCCATTGGCCTTATCCGACGACCGTATTGTCGGGGCTCCTCTTGCGGAGTCCCACGGCCGCAAGGGCCAGAGTACCTGCTTCTGTATTGGCCCCACTGAACAACGAGTGGTAAGTGGGATCGTGCGGAGCGCCGTACCCTTCTCGCAGCTCTTTCTTGAACTCCGCGCAGTCTCCATTTGCGGCTGGGTCAAAAATGCGCTGCTGAAATCGAAGTTAGGTCTTGACGTATTGACCACAGTAGGCGGTTGTAGAAGAAGGCCAAATCGCTGAGTTAGTGGCTCGCGCATCCGACTCTCTGCGATAGATCATGGACGGTGAGCTCGACCGTAAGCCCTTCATTGTGATCCCGCAGCGAAAGCTCTATTTAGACTCCCTGTTGACGAGCGAGAGAGGGTTCATGACCGGATGCTAAGCATTAAGGAGCGAGATCGACTTGGTGCACTTTATTTGTTTGATGTTGTCATTAACTCCACGTGAATCAAGACAGAGACCAATGTCGGCCAGGATCTATGGTATAGCAAAGCGGTCGATCAAAGATGAAATGTAAAGATAAGGGGAAACGATGGAACCGAGACCGAAGACGAGGGAGACGAGATACGAGAGAGCGACCGGAACGGCCAAGAGACGAGAGACGAGAGACGAGAAAGGAGCCCAAACCGAGAAACGAGACCGAGTATGAGAACGAAACGCTGAGACCGGAGACTGGAGACGAGAGACGAGACTTGAATCACGCAGAAAGTGAGAACCAGCTAAGATGCTGTATTGGATCCCAGAAGTGGTCTCCCTAAGAACAAGAAGCAAACTCTCCTCAAACGTTCCGGTCATTCAGGCCGCTGCGCTCCTTTCATTCCCCTTCACTCCTTCATCCGCGCATCCGGCCCGGTCTTCCACTCAAATCCTGCCACATGATTCGTTGCTGACGGTCAATCCTTGAGTCATCGAAGTGCTGAGTTTACTCGGGACCGCTTTATCGCTGAGAAATCTGCCGTAACCGGTGTTTGATCCTGCCCGAACCGGTGTTGACCTTGACAATTTGAAACGACTCCGGAACTCGGTCCCGCTACAACCGAAATGACTCCTGGAACTCGGCCTCGCCACAACCGGAATGACTCCTGAACCGGGCCGGCTACATCCGCTGCTTCTGACGGGATCCCGAGTACCACAGAACGAAACGATGAATGCTTTCAGCTCGGTCGGGAGGCACGTGATCGAGGCCGATGGCATGGTCGTCATCTTCGCGGCGGGTGGGTCGGGGGGAGTGCGGACGCAATGATGATTGATGATACGCGAGGTGAAAGCTCAGGGAGCTGAAAGAGGCCACACAAGCAACAAAATAATCAGTATCAACGTTGGAACAGTCCATTTTTGACTTTCATGCGCTCGAAAGGTATGCTGATCGACGAACTTGGCGTTGCCTCTCACACCACCTGCGCACCCGATAAAAACCAGTCTACGCCACCGTCGAAGTCGATCGAAGTCGGGCTGCGAATCGCGGTCAGGGATGGAATGGAAGGGAAAGAATAAGGCTGCTTAGGGATCTGTACATGGTGTCAGCATAATCTGTCTTCTCTCCGCCCTTGCTGCCAAGTTTGCGACGGTGAAAATTCTCCACTTGGGTCATTCAGAAGGGGAGGCGGACCCACACTTCAATAGATAATATAGCAATACAACCCCTTCCAAGATGGCCATCAATTATTCCAGTCTCTAATCACATCACCACACACCCACACCCACAACCCCCCTTTTTGTCATTTCCTTCCGCCAAGCCGGCCCCATAACTCATGCTCGCGTTCCGATCCAACCCCAAATTCGGGTTCTTTTTCCTCGGCGGTCGCTTCTCGTCCGAGACTTCGACACGTACGGCCGGTCGTTCCATCATCGCGACATTACCACTGAAGTTGCGGTCATCGCCGCGGTGCGTTCGTAACCATTCTTCGCGGGCGAGTTTGGCGCGGGCCGTGGAGCGCACGATCGATTGAAAGGCCGAGTCGACGTTGACGCTCATCTTGGCTGAGCATTCGGTAAACTGAGTGATCCGACGTTTGTGAATTAGTCGAGCTGAATTGGGATACTCGAGAGCATGAACATTGGGCTCACAAGTCCACCTGCTGATCGTGCGTATGCCATCGCCGTCTGCGCCGATACGACCCTTTCTTTCGATGGCTTGTCGCATTTGTTGCCTGGGGAAGAATCGCCATTAGGGGCTACAGTCAGGCTTCGGTTTACTGTCGAATTTAATGAGAAGTACCACTTACCTAGAATTAAGAACGGAAAGGGCGTGTTTTCGGGGGTGTCTTCGTTCGTCGGATCGTCATGAGGCGACTTGACTCGTCGGATGCTATCGAGTCAAGGGTCGCAAAAGGTAAGCGGACCGATCCCCAAGTCGGATACGATGGAGGGTCGTCTTACATGTGTAGGAAGGTCGGGAGTTGCTCGAAGGAGCTATGTGAATCTATAGAGTACCTGTGGGGTGCCTCGACAAGAGAGAAGTGAGCTCATGAAGTCATGACTTCCTCGATTTGGCAGAGACTTGCGCCACGATGAACCCATCTCCTTCCCTCGCTGTTGCCTCTTCCCAAGCTCCTCGGTACTCTTCTTGTCCCTGGATGCGAGAGTGACATGGTTTGTGTGATACCCATCAGTCGAGTCGTCAAGGCTGACTGGTTGAAAGCCGAATCGTCCAAAGGACGTACTGCCGTGTCGACGATGTCAATCGAGTACTCCTGTCCGTCGACCGTCAACTGTGTCGTGTAGCAATCCTCGACCGTCGGATCATAATCTTCCGAGAACTCTCGCTTGAGCAGAGCAAGTACGAGTGACGACTTTCCGACACCACCGTCACCTAGAAATTTGTTCGATCGAGCGTTTGAGGGAGAGGGAGGCAAGAGAAGGTATCGTCATTCGTGTCAGGATACGTCAATATCTTTCCGTTACGCGCAGTCGCTTCGAGATCAAAGCTGGGTGAAAGCTGATCATGATAAATTGAAAACTGAAAGATCGCCAGTCGAGGCCGACATTGAAAGGATGATTATCATCGATTGGCATGTTTCATGTGCTCGACATGGCCTTGATGGGAACAGTGCGGCGCCAAGCTTCCCGTAAGGAGCTGGAACGTAGGCTCGAGCTGGCAAGTGTCCAACATCAATGGCGGTGTAACCCATCGACCAATCCTTTCCTTCTTCTGCGGTGCCGTATGTACCTTGTCGAGCGTGTAGTAGGGGAGATACTCGACCAGATCGGCGCGTCCTCCCTGCGTTACACGCGACGGAGTCCGACCTCATCCAGCGCCTTGTCCTCAGGGAACCAAAGCTCAGATGAGCACGACTCACCAACGACCACAATCTTGAGCTTGATCGGACCGGAAGCCATCTCTTGGTCTGAGGTTCCGGATGCGGGGGGAATGCTAGGGAGAGGAACTGGTCGCTGGTCAATCACTCGTCGTGATCGAGAGTTTGGAGCTCAGAGCTCAGAGGTTTGCCGTGCCGCGCGGCCGTTTGGAAAGATCAGAATCTCTGCGAAAATTAAGAAGGTCTGGAGCGATCGCTCTCCAGAGAGTTTGCGGCTCGGCGCTTTCTAAGCTGGGGATTGATCACCACTGGGATCGACATTACACATTTTTCGAATTTTGAGCCAAGCCGGTGAAACTTATTGTATTTTCTGTGCCATAATACCCCGGCTTTGTTCTACAATTGTCGCACGTCTTCTTGATTCCCGCTTGGTCAAGTGCGGCGATCATTAATCGGAGAAATTCGGGAATGGGAAAACCGCATGCGAAAGATCTGGGTAGTGCCACCTTTCCGAATCCGATCTATCGAGCTGAAAGAAGTAGCTAGAGCTCTTGAACGATCCCTAGGGTGTTGCTCAACTTGAATTGGTTTTGAAGTCGCCGACACCGGCCGGTACCGGCCGCCTCCTTTGCTCCGAACGATTTGCCCGAGCCGACTTAATTCACGCGGAACATCATCGGCGAGTAAACGCTGCAAGATATTCGGTATCTGCTGAAAGTGCAAGTAGTTGGGATTAGCGAAAACATTTCCTGGTGGATGATCACTGCATCAGCGTTACAAGTGCTCTCGGCCGGGCGTCGGCCCGTCGGGCACTTGTAATAGCCGCTGGCTGTCGATTTCATTTTAGCAAATTGTGGTCTCAAAACGAGTTGGGGAAGCGCGGGCTTTGAGAATTTGAGAAGCCGCTGCTGCCAGCTCTATTTCGACGGCGGTTCCCACTCGTCTGCTTGCGTGGAAAGCATTTATCCGCCGCCGATCGTCTTCGTCGCGTGAATGCCTAGCTCCAGCTCCAACTCCAACTCCAGCTCGACCAAGAAGACAGCGGGTGCAGCCGAGTCGAATCCTGCCTCTACGTCTAACCCTTCGAACGGTGCTCAGCAGGCGCTTCCCCTCCCCAGCGGCCTCAGCAGCGGCGAGTCCGGCAAAGGCAACCTCAACCCCACCACCACGGAGACCACGACGAACGTCCCGGCCTCGTCTGCGTCTGCACCTTTGCCCAGCCGCACCAGCTCCAACTCGTCGACCTCGTCGACCTCACGCTCACGCCCGCCACTGGTCGAAGGCACGCCGGTGCTGAAAAGGAGCGGTGCGACGACCGTCGTAGGCATCGTTGTCGGCCTGGCCGCGATCGCGCTCGTGTCGATGCCGGCCTCTGCTCTGTCCCTGTCTCTGTCACGCCAGTCCAGTCTCGGCCTCGGCACCCTCGCCATACCCTTGCTTCTCTCCAACTTCAAGATGTTTGGCCGCGTGCGCTACTATACCCGTCTCACCTTTTTTCTCCTTGGTACGTAGGAGGACGCGGCGAGGTGGGGGGCCAACGGAGGCGCGGAGGAATGGCCCACCCCGTAAGTTTATATACAGCACGCGGCAGCTCACCCCGCCCACTCTACCACGCACAGGTCTCGCAACATGTTCGGCATGGGGCGTCGTCGTCTCGGTCGTCATGGCCCTGATCGGGAGAGCCTCGGACGTCAACTACGTCGTGGCGAGGTCGTTCCATGCGCTCGTCGCCCCTCTGGTCGGCGTCAAGTTCACCGTCGAAGGCGAGGAACATCTCAAGCAGACCAAACCCGCCGTCGTCATCGGTAACCACCAGACCATGATCGACATCCTATGTCCGTGCGAATCAAATTTCAATCGCGTATCTTTGAAGACCCATACTAATGTCGGGCTTGTTCCCACGCTGCGCAGACCTCGGCAGGATCTTCCCGAAAGGCACCTCCATCATGGCCAAGAAGGAACTCAAATGGACGCCCTTGCTAGGCCAATTCATGACGCTCTCCAACGCCGTCTTTGTCAATCGATCCAAGCGCACCGATGCCGTCGCGATGTTGGCCAAGGTCGCTCAAACGATGAAGGAGAAAGTGGTGAGTCTGAACAAGAAACGAGTTCTTTACCGAATTCGCATTGAAATCACCGCACCGCACCCCACAGCTCTCCCTCTTCATCTTTGTCGAAGGCACCCGATCGGCCTCCCCCGTGCCTTCGATGCTGCCGTTCAAAAAGGGACCGTTCCACCTCGCCGTCGCGGCGCAATTGCCGATCGTCCCCGTCGTGTGCGAGAATTACGCCGCCGTCTACTCCGCCAGGCGGAAGCGGTTCGATGGTGGCGAGCTGGTTATTCGAGGTCAATTGCCGAATCAGAGAAGATTAATAGGAAACACACAAGACTGACACCTCTGGGAATCGTTCTTTTCTTTCGCAGTCCTCCCCCCCATCTCAACAGAAGGTATCACCTCTTCCTCGGAGGATATCAACGCCCTCGTCGAGAAGACCCGGAACGCGATGTTGGAAGCGATCGAGGATTTAGGGAGGAGGAGGGCCGAGTTGAATCGGTTGAAGGGGGTGTTTGGAAAGAATGAGACGGGGAGGATTACCATTTCATGAGCGGAGGAGTTTGAATGGATATCTGAAGTGAAGAGAGCTCGGATCGGAGTTTTGCGAGCATGTTTAGTTGGCCAGAGGGCCAAGATGGAGCTTTGATGCCGTTGGATTTACGAGGGGATGCATGATCGATACCCTTCTCGGGGAGACTGATGAGGGGGCAACTTGGGACCTTTCGGGGTTGACTCTCTCTTCCTCTCTCTTTTCTTTCTCAATGTACCAACACGGAAATCAAAACAGTACCCAAGATTGTGTAGTTGTTGGGGCTGAAAACCATTCCATACCGGATAAATGCTCGATGGTTCCTCTCTTTCCCCCCTGGCCCACGAGTAGCGCTTAAAATTGTGATGATATTAACAAGGGCAAATTGCACACTACTTCACTCCACCACTGTAAATGTCTCAAAAAACGAATGATTTGTCTACACCACCTTCCTTCAGCCGCCAGAATCACTTTCAGGCCCACCCAACCCCCGAGGTTCTAGAGATACTTTCTCTCGTCCCACACGGCGTTATTCCTCTTCTTGACGAATTGCCACACCCCTCCGACAACGACGACAATTCCACTGACCCAAGTCCACAGAGGGATCTTTTGCGCGCGTTTCTCAATCGCTTCGATCGTGTCCGCTACGGTGTGCAAGAGTTGAAGGATCTCGTAGTTGCGCGAGGAGAGGGCCGAAACGGAGACGGTATTGGCGTTCTATGTTGGGTGTGAAAGGGTGAATCAGTCGGGTTGTAGGTGATGATGAAAGGAACGCAGGGGGATGCTTACGGATGAACTCTCGAGCTTCCTTTCTAACGCGGCAAGTTCAACCAAGATCTTCTCCTGCTGTTGCGTCATCAGCGCCAAGGTCTCGTCCTTGGCGGAAGAGGATTGACTGCCAGCACTGCCGGGGGACGAGGCGTCGATGTGGCGCGAGGTCGAGAGGAGACGTAGTTGGCTTTCAATACGAGCCAGTCTCGAGTCGACGCTGGATCGGAGGAGGGAAGAACGTAGAGGGTCAGCTGAGTCATTCGCTAAAGAGTCTGTTGCGTCTCAAGGAATACTCACCCAGCCGAATCTACCGTGCCCGCCACATTACCCGCTGCACCACTCCCCGGCGTCATCCCCGTGAATTTCCCAACACCCTTGGCCAAAAGATCAACCCTCCTCGTCAATGCATCGATTGCTTCAATCATCTTGGACTGGGACACGAAGATTTCGGCGACGAGCGTCATCTCGGCGTCGTTCGAGGTGCCTTCGAGAACGTGGTGCTTGTCCTTGATGACGGGCGAGTCGTCGACGACCGGTTTGTTCGGGTTCGCTTCTTCGCCCGGGGTGACGGTGAAGATGTCGACCTGTTTTAGTGGAAATGAAAGGTGGTGAGTTGAGGCTCGATGCAGCGGTAAGGCGGTTCGCTTTGTTCAACTCACGGCGTAGATGTCGATTGCATCCGGCTCCGGGTTGCCACCGGCAAGACCCGACTACAGGACGCACGAAGGGTATCTATATCAGCATCAGCAGATTCAAGTGGGAGCTTAAACATCGCACTTACAATACCGAGGTAACCCTTGGGAGGAAGCTTGATGCCCTCCATGAGGAAGCAGTTGTGCGCATAGTCACGGCCTACTTTATCCAAGGTCGTGTGGGGGGCCAGGTCGAGGTCGACCTGTAGAGGAGGGGGATTACATCATCAATTCTAGCTCGCGAAAGGGATGATTTGCTTGTCGGCAAAGACGTACTCGGACAGTGTGGTTGAGGTAACTAATTCGAGCCCACAGGAGACCTTGAGCGTTCCTGTCCGCTCGGCAAATCATCGGCATCAGTATGAGGAATTCGCGTCCAGATTTTCCTTGCGCATTGATTCTTTACCTAAAGCTGGCTTCACATTCCCCAAATGCCTTTTCCAGATAGCCCGCCTCCTCGTCCTGCTTGATGTCCCTCGAATCCGGATCCAACCACCTCCCGTGTCCATCGTCCATAATACCACTAACGACGCCCGTCGTCCCCACGCCATAGCTCATTGAAGAAGCCAAGTTCTTGATCTGCGTGCGACGGTACAAGGGAGCGGCGGGGGAGGTGTCGAAGATGACACCGAGACCTTCAAAGGTCGTGCGCGAACCGAAGAGCGAACACGATTCGTCGGTGCTGCCTTCGCTCGGGATCGGGAGCGTGTGCGGCGGTTCGTGCGTCTTCGTCTTTGCGTTCGCCGAAATAGTTACCGGTCCTGGTAGTCCTTCCTGTGTGGTTCGGTTCACGGTAGGAGTATGCAGGAGAAGAGAGCGAAAGGATTTTGGTCAGCTCGGTGAATCGAGCTGCCCACCTCCTTCGAGTAAAGGGAACAGGATGTACCTTTGTGAACCAGAACGCCAAGCCTCGACCACCCTGTGACAGACCATTCTTCGGTTAGTGGATGTTGAGAATACGTTTGTGCATTTCGAATGCGCGCTCACCTTGTTCATCCGCTTCGTTGTGCCGTCGGCCAAGGTCTCGACCAGTCCGATCGCGGGTACACCGTGTACGCGGAACGCGACTTCGACGACCCATTCCGCCGACTCGAGGGGTTTTGTGGTATAGATGGCACCATGGGCCAAAGGGAAGGACTAGCGATGGAGGAGGAGGAGGTGCGAGGGAGGATAGAAGCGAGGGTTCGAAGAAAGGAAGGGAAGCGAGACCACGTCAGCAGGCTCGATTGGAGGCACGGAGGTGATCGAGGGGAAGCACTGGACGGTGCGCGGTACAACTTACGGGTATCAGTCGTAGGAAATCATGAACTGCTGGTAAAGGTGTACTGTCGAATCAAAACGACACTCGCGTCAGTCCAGTCGGCCATGGAAGGAAAGCGAGCCTACGAGCCCAAGTGCAAGTGGGGGAGGTCCGCGAGGGCTCGCGCGAGGGCGACTGGAAGAGCAGGCAGATTAACGCACGTGTGACCGGACATGTCAAAGGTCTTGATCTTGTAGTCGGGCGTGAGTCCCCGGAACGACAAGGGCGAATAGTGCAGTGGCGGACTGGAGAAGTTGGGCGTCACTTTGGGCTCGCTTGCACTCGCGGCCGAGGAAGCTGCCGCGCGGGTCGCCGGCGCCACAATCGCACAGCACCACAGCAGGCCGATGGTTGGCAACGTCCATAGCGCGGAAGTGTTCCTCTTTGGGTGGTATGACTTGACCATGGCGGCGCACTGCGGTGGGATGCGATGCGGCCGGAGGGTGGGGGTGAAGAGGGACGGTGAGAGCAGCGACCCGTTTGGACGTAGGGACAGGAGCAGCGAATCGAGAGCGATTTGGTAATTGGTGGCTATGCAGCGAAATGGGCAAGATGGCTTTTCCCTTTGCCGCCCAATTCACAACAGCTAATTCATTAATTCGAGGTTGTTTCGCGAAGACATAAACTTCTTCTACAGCTGTAATAAGACAAAGGTTGAGTTGAAGTTCGAAATTACAGGTGTTGTTCTGTAGGATACGTCCTCCCTCGTCCTCCCTCAACAGGTATTTGACCAAGGTCGGGAATTAGCGAAAAACGAGACCGGCGCACGGACCTTGTTGAGTGAGGATTCCCACCCGATCGAAGCGAGAAAGGCGCGAGAGGCGGAGCAAGTGACTTTCGCCCTTCTCGTTCTCTCCGCTCATCATCCTTCGCACCCAACCGCATCTCACACCGCGCCTCACCAAGACTACCTCGCACATACACCCAGTCACCCCCCCATCACCACATCCGCTCCACGAAATGAACTCTTCCGCCGCTCCTAGCATCTCGGTCTCGTCCGCCCCGGCCTCGATCGAAGCCATGCACGTTCAACCTTCCGAACAGGCCCAGGTCCCCCAGAACGCCAACCAGGTCGAACCGGGACATGGAAAGATGACATTGGGTGCCAAAGGATTCTTGATGAAGAAGATGGTCGCTGGAGGGTGAGTACTTCCTTTGGCCTTCAGCAACGGGTTCAATGGAGGCTCGGTCGGTCAAGTGAGGACTCATCATCGATTTAGAGCGGTCACGCACCTTTTCAATGCATCCCACTGGAGAAAGCCCTGCCCCGTTTCCTGGATGAGGTTACTTGACAATCCTCCGCCCGATTTGGCATCCATTCGCCGAATTTAAAATGACGCCGTCGGGTCCGGGTTCACTCAACGCTGACTCACCTCATTTCATCCCCACTCAGCTCGTTCTGCTCACCGACCGACACCATGGTCTCACCGTGCACCAAGAAGCTCGCAGAAAGCAAGAAGCGTCACTACGCCAAGTGAGTGTCTGCATCTTCTCGCTCCGGGGGCCAGATATCGTTCGGTCTTGCCCCTCACTGCGACCGAGGCGAGATACCTTGCTTCGTCGACCGGACCACTGACTCTCACTCCTCACCATCAATGATCCAGGGGCAAACCGCTATCACTCTCGTCGTCGTTCCAGTCCGCACAAACCGGCTCGCAACTCGTACCAGGACCGAAATCGTCCGGCCTGCACCAATCCTCGACGCCCCATTACGGTTCCGAGAACGCCCCGATGGGATTGTGAACCCACATCTCTCCTCGGCTCTGCCAGACCCATTTTTTATGAATCGGTCTTGACTTTCTCTGTACAAGCGCTCCTACATGGGCGTCTTCCTCTCTTCCTCATTTCACGATCCCGTATGATTCTCGCCTTTCTCTTTGCATGTACCAGTTGTCTTCCTCTTCTTTTGACGTTGGCTCCCTCGACAGTATGTAGTCGCTGATGCTATCCGATCGAGCCTATATTCTCGGAACCCACCTTTTGCTCCCGCCCGTGGGCCTGACGGCGTCGGCGCCCTCCCCCCGAACTGACTGATCACCATGGCCATCCGACCTCTGATGAGTATACATTCTTCAACGCTCTTGATAAGACTGACTCTGAAACCTCGAATAATGTTTTGCCACACCTTCTTGCGTACGGATCCCCAGACGATCGTGAAGAAAGATTTGCGTCAGACCAACCCAGATTCGGCAAGTCCTATGGAACCTTTGGCCCAAGCGCGCGGCGCTCCCCCGTCGGCCGACAAGTACGCCAGGCGGAGGAGTTTCACATATCCGATCATCTACGCAGAATGAACCGTTGCTGAAAAGGGTGGTTGCACTCGTATGAATCCACTGAATCTATAGCCCTCACATTCAAAAGAACCACCAAAGTTGTGAATACAAAAATGCGAGCACTGAGCGCCCTTGGCCTTCCTAAGAGGTCCAAGTGGGCCGAGGGGGGCGAGTCTACCAAACCCGGGTCGCGCTCGCTCGTTTCGTCTGAGACAAACTTCATTTCTGAAACCTCCCTGACTCGGATGGATGAGGGAAGGAGGGATCGCGCGGGCGTTCCTTTCGGCGCTAGGCAGATTGGGTAGGTCACTCTAGACTAACTTAACTTACAACTCATTGCGTTTTGCGTTTTCGGTAGTGCGTCCCCGCCGCATCGACACTTGTTACTCGTACATCCCCCTTCGACTCTTCTCGAGGCATCTACACTCTTTTCCCCCAACTCGGACACTTTCGTTACACACCACACTCGCTTGGAAACCTCGCTTGTCAGGACTTTGGAGCGCTCAGCCTCCCCTTGAAGTGCTCCCTTTCGAATCGACTTTCGGCCCGCACCCCGCCTCCCCAAAGTGAGACCTGCAACCCGCACGCCAATTCATTGCGTTGCACCGTGCTGCCTGTAGGGACTTGAAGAGGGTGGGTCGGTACGATGATTGAGACTCGCTATGTTGAATGGGAACTGATGTGATGTTGGTCGTTGGTATGGGCCCTATAGTCCTACAGCTCTCTCAGGTCATCTGAAACCTCCCTCCGGCCGATCCAGCCCACCTCTGCGGCGGCCGCACCCGCCCCCTGAATCGAGAGCCGATCCAATTCCACCTCGAGGCCAACGCGCAACCATGTCGCACGACCTTCACCACAACAAACGTTTTCTCATCCACCGTCGAGCTTTGCCCGTGCTCTCGGATGGGGCAGTCGTCCAGGGCGCCACGCCTGCGGTCGAATTGACCGCCCCGACGTTCGCCGCTGATTCGGGGATCGTCCTCGCTTCGGCTTCCGATGCTTCGTCGGCGGTTGTCGGCGCCGCGGACTCGGTGGGTTCGACGACGCTCTTGACGACGACGACCACGACGACGACGACCACGACGACGACGACGACGACGACGACCACAGCTCCGGCTTCACCTTCCGCCACAGATGGGTCTTTCGCCACCTCGATCATCCAGGATGAGCCGTCTGTCACGAGTGCGCCGACGACGACCACGCAAGTTCCGCGCTGTGCCCCCTATCCGCGCGCTTCGAGCTCTTCTGACTGAGTTTGATCACCCTCGCAGTACGGCGGCGGCTGCATCCGTTTTCTCGGCCGGACCGGCTTTGGTTGCTGCGAGCCAAGATGCCTCTGGTGGGCTATCGACGGCGGCTCGAGATGGATTGATTGGTGAGTTCGAAGAGCAGGTGAACAGCTGACCACCTGTTTGAACTCGCGCTAACTGGTAAGCGTCCTTATCTCCCACAGCAGGCGCAGTGGCCATTGGCTTCATGCTTATGGCCTGGGTCATCTACCGAGGTTGCCGACGTCGTCGAGCTCGAGCAGCTCTCACCGCGTCCATCACGTCCGACTCGAGCTCCTCTCTTGACGGGATGTCCGAGAAGCCGCGCAACGTGCTCTTCCTCTCCCCACCTTCCAAAGCCAAGACGACGAGGGACTTCAAATCCTCCTTTGAAAACTACACGGCGACTTCACCCGGTTTGACAACGCCCGCAGGGTGGGCGACGTTCTCGAACACTTCGATCCCGGGAGCGATCCATACTGGAGTCAGTACTCTCCCCTCTCTTCCTCAGCCGCAGCCTTCGCGTTGGTCGGCTTCGACCTACGGTGATTCTCGTATCCCCATTAGTCCCACGACGCCTTCTACCCCTCCTCGATCACCTCCCCCCTCGACTCCCTCGACTCCCCCTATGGGAGTACCTATGACCATCAACCCTTTCGACGATCGTCATATCTCTCCTAGTACGCCTTCAACCCCCAGCCCTTCAGCAAGGGGCAACTCGATCAAACGCAAGTCGCCGCCGATGTTGCCCGAGATTCGTATGTCGGTTTCAGATTCCGAGTCAGAGGAAGGGGATATGGGTTTCATGAGGACGGCTTTTAGGCCTAATTATTCGATGGGGACAGCCGCGCCTGTGGAGGCGGCCGAGGAGATGCTCGAGTCGCCCAAGTCGGGGTCCAAAATCGCGACGGCGACGCCGAAGGTGTTGAGGGTCTACAACAAGGGAGATATTTCGGGCGATGAGTAGGAAAGTCGTTGTTTTAGAGAGTGAGGTCTCTTGTCTCCTTTTTTTTTTTTTTTTGAGTATTCGTTATTTTCTTTGCTGCCTCAGTAGACGTGATCTACGGGTCGAGCCTTTTTGCGTTTCCGGTTTATAAAGCTTGTTTGCTCAATTGCTATCCATACCAGAGTTACTGCTCAACCTCGCTTGTTCCTATGGATACTCGAGCATTAGATCCCAATGACTCGATGCAACGCTTTCTTAGAGCTCCGCATCAACAGCTCTCCACCCCTTTGGCAGAATATTTGATCACCGTCCTCATCGCCCTCTGCATCTGACCCAACCAAGGCCCATAATGTAAAGCTTTCTCCACCTCTCGACTGGCCTTATCCACATCTTCGTTCAGTGCGAATGCGAGACCGCTCATACCAAGACTTTGGAAAGCTCGAATCCCTTCTTGTTGCGCTGTGGGTGGGATCGGTGGAAGTAGGCGCATGACGACGGGAATTGCGATGGTGGGGGAGGGGATGGTCGTCGTGTCTTTTGGATCGGAGAGAGCTTTGGGGAAGTCCGTCAGGAGTCGAACGAGACGCGCTCGATTGGGTCGTGTCCATGGTGCGACATGGAGAACTCGACTGGTCAACCGCACAGCACCGTGAACATCACCTTGCATCAGCCGACCGAAAGCGGTGAGCTTGGTCGACGCTGGCGAGTATTTGATGATGGGGTCCGAACGCTTCATTCGACTGAGCATCTCGTCCAGTGCTGGTGTGCGAGTGATGATGGAGAGAGCTTCCAGAGTGAGCTTGATGAAGAGCGGGACCGAAGATTTGGTGCTATCACGCCACGCCAAAAAGAATCGATCAGTCTACGCCATTTCCCCCGCCAGGTAGCGAAATGAAACGTACATATCAGGTGAATCCAACAAAGCTCCCAACGCCCTCGTCTCATCCCCTTCGGCAAAATAAACCCTCGCCAACGCAGCAGCGAGGTGAACCGTCCGATCATTCTTGTACAAATCCAAGTCGTCATTCGCTTCTTCCAGAGTTCGTTCAGCCATCGAGGTGTCCTCAAGAAAGTAGTGCGCCAGTGCCGAACCGAGCTTGCAATGGGAGAATAGGATGACGGCTTGGTCCTGCGTCAAGGCGTCCTTCTCGGTTGGTCTGGCCTCGAGGTCGATGAGGGACAACGCAGCGTCGAAAGCTTCGAGGGCATCTTCGTAGTTCTCACTTGCTAGTCGGACCCGCCCCAAGTTGGTCTGGGCAATGACGAACCTCCCTTCGACGCTTGCGCTCTCGTCCTCTTCGTACAACTCCTCCAACAACGCAGCAGCACGTTCAAACGACTCGCTCGCGGCTTTCCGATCACCCAAATGTTCCAAGATCAACGCATTGACATGCAAAGCCGAAACGTCATTGGGTCGCCGGGTGAGGTATCGAGTGATGGCGAACAGAGGTGCGGTCAGATTCTTCGCGGCGTCTGGACGAGCGGGGTCGAAGCGGTCCGCTACCAAGTCCGGGTCGACCGACGTTGAACGACGATACTTCTCCAAAGCATGGGAAGCGAAAGCGATATCCGCTTCGGGCGTATCCGCTCCCAGGGTGAAGGCATGCTCCAAGAGGACCGAAGCTTCCAGTGCATGACCGGCCATGTCAGCCAAAGTCGCTTGTCCGATCCATGCGGCGGCCCATTCGGGATCGATAACTTGGGCTTTAAGGAACGCTTGGTTCGCCAGATCGTCGTCGTTGTGCACGAGGTAGAATAGGCCGAGATTCGTCCATGCGATCGCATTCTGCGAGTTGTGCTCGATCGAGCGGATGAAGCAATGCTGGGCAAGACGACCACTGATGTCGAAAGTCAATACACCGAGAGCGTTCCAGAAGGTCGAATTGAAAGGTTCGTGATGGAGACCGAACTTGAGCGCTCGAATGGCTTGGTGTAGAGCAGTCTCTGGCGAAAAGCGAGGCGAGAGCTTCGACAAGTGAGGGCGGAGATTGGCGACGCTCGTTCCTAAATCTGCCCAAGCCGACCCGATTGCTGCTTCGTTATGCGTATCGAGGACCACGCGCGCTTTATGTGCCAGCACTGCGACTCCAGCAAACAAGATCGGTGACTCGGTCGATTGCGCGACGTCGAGGAACGCGGCTACGGTGACGACGTCGATCCCGTCGACTTTGGTATCGACATCCATCTCACCCGCTAGTTTGACGAGCTGAATCGCAAGGCCCTTGGAGCGTTCGAAATGAGCGCACTCGCTGATCTTGACCAAGTTGCTCGACGCCTCCCCAGCGAGCTTCCAAGCGACCCTCTTTGCACCACCCGTCTCAATGACCCGAATCGCTTGCACCAGTGTCTCGACGAAGGATTCTTCTGCACGCGAGAGGAACCCCGTTCGGAGTTGTTCCATACCGGCGCTCAACAACGTCTCGGCGTATACGACTTGAACGCCCAACTCGTCTGGCCTTTCGACGAGCAATTCTTTGAGGGTCGTGAGAGCCGGTTCGAACAAGCCCATCTCGCGTTGAACACCGCCGATGGAGAACTTGGCGAACCAATTATCCGAATCGATGGAAAGCACTTTAGAAAATACCTTGAGCGCGGCAACGTGCTTGCCTGAACCTCGGTAGGCAGCACCGAGGCGAAGCCAGGTATGCACGTCCTCGGGTTCGCCGCGGAGAGCCGATTGAAAAGCCACGATCGCTTGCGGGTACTTTTGAGAGTTCTGAGTACAGCCGCGCAACGAGACAGTTGAGTCAACCCCAAACAAGTTCAGTGCCAAATCGCAAAGTCACTCACCATCTCACTGCCCCCGATAGCCTTATAAGCCCAAGCCAACTTCTTAGCCGTTGATACACCGACAGCTGCCTTGGCCGCCGCAGCCTCAACGACCCTCCTCGCCACCTTTTCAACCAAACCCCAATCGCCGATCTCGGCAAACTCCTCGGCCATGTAGCGAGCCGCAACTTCTTGTGACCGATCGAGCTCGAAGGCCCTTTGGAAGCATTTCAACGACCGCGACCAGTCGGGTGGTTCGATACTTCGGTAATAGATGCCGAAACTCGTCCACGTGGGAGCAAAGTCGGGAAAAGCCTTGATTGAATCGAGATAGGCTTGGAAGGCGCGCGGGGTCAAACTCTCGTCTTCCTCTGACAAGACCCAGTCGCATTCACCCAATCTCCACAACGCTTTGGCTCGTTCCTCGGCCTCTCGTGACGATTCACCTTCTTCAAGTCCGGGAGATTTTTCGGTCCCGGACTTAGACCGAGCGATCTCGTTCCGCCGCTGTTGTTGGAGTTGGAGCTGATATCGTGCTTCCAGTGCGATGACGGCGTCGTGCAAACCGACTCGAGCGGCGTCAAATTGCTTGGCATTGAAGAGTGACCATCCACGTTCGCTTTGAGCGGTAATACGAACGTTCTCGGCGAGCGTCGAGAATGAGAGAACTTGGTCCCAGAGATCGACGGCTTCCAACCACTTTTCTGAACTCTGGTAGACCAGCGCTTTGGCGACCAAAAGGTCGGAAAGTACGACCGCCCCGTTCTGCTTCGCTCGATCCAAAAGCGAGTCGAGCAACCTCAAAGCCTTGACATGGTGCGTCGGGCTTGAGTGATGAACGAGAGCGATCGCCAGATGAGTCTCGAGCGTAGTACGAGAGGAAGGGAGTGCTCGACCGATCTCGGCTTCTCGTTTGCGCAGTAGGTGAAGCCCTCCTTCGCCAAGGGAAACGACGGTGGCGTAGTCTTCTTGATCAGAAAAGTACCGAATCAGCAAGAGGTGCGAAAGGATCGAGTCGTTAGACTTTTCAAGGCCGGACTGTGTGACCATGTCGTATCAGTATGGTGTGGGCCTGATGGATCACCTGTCACGTCATGGACTCACCTCTGCAACTTCAGCAAATTCTTCCGCCGAGGGAGCGACAATTTTGTCCTCGTCGTCTTTGTCAAGATCGTCCAGAATGTTGGAGGCTTCGAGGAGAGAGAGATGATACCGATGAGCCACCGAGATAACAGCTGCCAAGCCCGTACTGCGTGCGTCAACCAACCGGCAAGTCAGTTCAATTCAAACGAGCGCTCCCTGCTCATGGCAAACTCACTCTGGGAACTTCTCGTCGAATTTGTTCAACAATCTCCAATCGATCTCTTCCCAATTCCCAAATCGATCCCCCCAATCCAATTGAACCTTCCACGCCAACTCATCTTCGACCTCAATAAGGACCATCCCTTTGGTCAATTGTTCGATCTCCCACCGCACAGAATTCTTGACCCGGTCTTCCTCCTCCTTTCTACCGGCGACAGCACTCGCTTTGCCTTTGCCCGTTTCCCCCATTTTCGAAATCGACGGATCGAGAGAAGCTTCATCGAAGGACGAGGGTAAAGCGAAGAGTAAGGTCTTCCAATGCCGCAACAATTTGCCTTCGACTTCACGCCTAAGTTCTTCCCTTTCACTCGCGTCGGGGTCCTCCAAGATCACCTTGTACAATTCTGGAAGTTTGGACGAAAGCATGTATTCCCGTTCGACGAGTTTTCGAGTCTCCGACGCGCTCAGAGATGGACCACCGAGTCGCTGACGACGTGTCTTGATCTCGGATTCGATGAGGTTTGTTTCTTGCGCTTCGGTTAGGGAAAGGAGTTCGAGGAGGGTCGGGAGAGGTGAGAGGAGAGCCATTTGGATCGAATGGTAGGTCGTAGCTGTCGGGTTCGTCGGTTGAGGCGGTGGAAGGGTTTGTAGGAGTGGATAGAGGGGTGAAGAAGGGAGTAAGAGCGACAACACTTGGGCGAGCTGGAAACGGGTTTCTCCGAGATGTCAGTCTCCAACTCGATTCGAGCTCAAAGGAAGGGAAAAACCCACTTCTGCAGCCGTGCCATGCGTTTTTCGAACCTGAATCAACTTGGCCAGAGATTCTGCGCATTTCGGACCATCCCATCTGTGAGATGGCCATGATCCACAGCTTGAGCTTCCAACTCGAACAATAAGCAGCGCGAGGGGACCCACGCTTCCTGGGCCTGTTGAACGAGCTGATCCAACGCTGCGGCATATTCCGTCCATCGTTGTTGTTTCTCATAAAGTGAAGCCAGGCCCTGGTCACAAGAATACGATCATCCGCTCCAAAGGTGATCAGCTACCGAGTGAATGTTCGTTTGTACGACCGACACGAGAGCTGAAACTGACCTGTCGGGCCAAGAACTGCGAAGGCGCCAACTCGATCGCTTTCTGGTACTCCTCTTGAGCTTGGTCGAAGCGTTCGAGGTTCGTACATGCCAAGGCGAGGAAGACGCGACTGGTTGGAAGGTGAAAAAGATGGCGAGTAGAGGGTGAGCTCGTGTGGCTTGGTCGGTGTGGTGTGGGGTGGGATGAGAAGGGAAAGGAGATGGGGACTCACGCGTTGTAGTTGCTTGATTCGAAACTCAGTACGGTGCTATTCATACATAATGTTTCATAATAAACGTCAAGGTAGGCGCACCGACAATTCGACAGCACAAAGAAAGGAGACGTGAGTATGACGTAGCCGATCCCTCGCATCAATCCCATATCAAGCACTGCACATACCTCGCATGTTTCTCAACATTGACCCAATCCTTGGCCTGTACTGCCGCCTTGAGCAGCTTTAGCTTGTCCTTGATTAGGGCCGACATGTCGGAGGAGGGGGGAAAGCTGCGATGGCCGAAGCCGAGGTCAGGTGCGAAGAGGAGACAGAGGGGAACAGGAGGGAACAGGAGGGCCTCGATCGAAGTCGATCGAAGTCGTACAAGGTCGTATGAGGTCGTACGACTTCATACACCGTCAAGAAATGTTCTCTACCGCCGCATCAAAACAGGATAATTATCTCGAGTCTGACATGTAGTTGGGTATGGATCTGTGTCGGTACATATTTGCACCAAATGATCATAAAGGCGACCCCGGTATTTGGCCACACCGTCCCATTGCGAAGGATCCCCACTACAACACCCTATTCCAACGAACCGACTCATTGCTAGATAAAAGACACCCCCAACCCATCCTTCAACTTCTCCTTCCTCTGTCCTCCACGTGCCGACCCAACTCCTTCCACTGCACCTTGAAGTTTCTCACCCTCGTCCATTCGGTCTGCGACATCCCTACGTCATACCCCAACCCTTCCCACCACTTTTGACTCTCATCCTTACCCATCACCGAGTCCTCCAACGCTTCCTCAATATCAAAGAACCGATATTCAACATCCAACCCACTTTCCAACCACCAGGTCAAACTCCTCGTTTGGCCGTAACGCGTGGCGATGAGAATGACGTCCTTGTCGTAGTCCATTTTGAAACGCGAGTGCTTCCACCAATCCAAAAGGGCGATGTTGCCCATTTGCGAGATGTAACGCAAGGCGGCTTTGGAGTAGGGGCAGGGTAGACCCGAGTTGGCCCACCAGTCGAGGTACTCCAATGTGCCCTCTTTGGAAGCGTAGTCGAGCTACAAACAAAGTGTTGGTCACAAAGTAGAGATAATTGACAAAGTTTCGATCAAACTCACCACTGGACCAATCTTGAGATCCAAACCCGAATTGCGCCACCATTCCAAGCTCGCCTTTTGGCGCTGGATCGTCGCCGAGAGCAAAGCCGCCTCGGTGTAGGCTATGGATCTCCCCAAAAGATGTAAGTGAAATGGTAGGTCTTTATTAAACCGCATCCGACTACCCACATGGTGTCAACCCCGAATCTTTCCAAAAGTCGAGAGCTGAATGCAGAGGGAGCGAGCGAGTGATCAGCCTTCGGACAACTTTTGTGAACGTCCAAATGGGAAAAAGTACCACTCACCCGCGACTTGACCATGACGACTGGCCTCATCCATCGACTCTGCAATCGTCGTACTGTCCGGATCGAGACCATACGCTCCCTCCCTAGCCCACTGCAACACGTTGACACGTCCCCAAGCGCTGGCGACGACGGGTAACAACCGACGACACTGGCGGCGTAGTTGGTGTGGGTCGTGTTGGAGCAGGTATTCGAGGACGTGGATGTAGCCGAAGCGGATCATGACGCGGGTGCCCCATTGGGAGAAACGGGTCGAGGCGTGCGCGATGGCGTAGCGCACTGGAGTGATCGAGGTCGAGGAGCGTAGGATCGCTTTGTCCTGTGGACGGGGGGTGTCGACTTCAGTATTCCATGAGATGGTACAAGAGGTGCCCGGACTTGCCAGCGGAGTAGCAAATTCCTGCCATGGTGCAGTCATGTTGAGACTCGGACAACGGACGCCCAACGTGGTCGCCAGTTCCCAGTCGCCGACTTGTTCGAGGAAGAGTCTAGGTGAGAGTTGAGTAGGTTCAGTCTGCACGCTCAGAAGATGTTCGTGAGCGTGCGTCCGGTCGAACTGACCTGACAAGTTCCTGCGGCAACTCTACAACACCGGAGCCCCGTCCCGACGGCGGCGGTGTCGTCATCGCGCTTCCGAGCTCCTTGTTCGTGCCATTCGTCTCCTGGTGATCGGCTTGGAGAGCGGTGGATGCACTGGGTGGTGGTGGTGACGAGCTGAGTGACAGCTTCTCGGCCTGTACGAGTGTCGCCGTGGACGAGTGGCCACTCGATTGGTCGTACATGTGGCCCCGAAGCGATCGTGCTCTTGCTCGGTGGGAGCGGGTGCGAGACCGTGTTCGGTGAAAGCAAGCGCATCCACGGTCTAACGGTGATCAGAGGCGGAGAGGGTCCGTGCGCGAGTCGCGTGCGCCTACTTCAAATACCGATAAGCCAGCCCGGGTCCAGAATCTCCAGATCGATTAGCTGGGTGGAGTGGAGCAGCTGCCTGCCTCCTCCTCTTTGACCAGTCCTTCCTCACGACCCCCTCTCGTTACACCGCCACCTTGAACCGCCGACACACCAACCATCAACGTACTCTCAACTGTTTCTCTTCGAGTGACTCGTTCTCACTCGTGTAGTGCGTGCGTGGCCGTGTGGCCCGCTCCCCGGCTGGTCTGGTCTCAGCGCGTCTCGTCGTCGTAAATCAGCCCGTTTCAAAACGCCGCCGCGGTCGCCTGTCGCAGCAGCAACGCATCATCGATCCGCTTGCCGCCGCCGCCCCGCCTGCCCGTCCCAATCGGCCGTAGCGCTCACACAGCGTCTACTACGACACCCAACTTGCTCAGCAATAAATTCTACTCCACCTCCTCCCACCTTCCACCTCCCACCCCGCCAGTCTACCAACATGTCACTGATGGAAGGCGCTTACTCGATGCCAACGCAACGGTTGCAACCCGTGATGGGCGCCGATCGAACCCCGCTCGTGCTCGTCGCATGCGGATCCTTCTCCCCCTTGACGTTCTTGCATTTGCGCATGTTCGAGGTGGGTGCTACTCTTACTTCTGGTGGGATTACTGGGTCGAGGTGTCTGGGTACTGCGATAGAATGGTAGGGTGGTGCAGCGCGGGATCGCACTGCCCCGCTTCGGTCGCCGTCGAACGGAGATCGCGTGATTTGACTCTTTGCCCGCTCCCCTCGGTCAAGTGACTCTTTGCCGGGTGTGAAACGCGTGATCGTTTTCACCGCGTCGCCATAACGGAGTGCAACTTTTGAAAAACACATGCTGAACCCATTAAACACTTTGACTACAGATGGCTAGAGACCACGCCCATTTTCACACCAACTTTAGCGTCATCGGCGGATACCTCTCCCCCGTGAACGACGCCTACGCCAAACCAGGCCTCGCCTCCGCCTTGGACCGCGTCAACATGTGCGACCTCGCCGTCAGGGACACGTCCGAATGGATCATGGTCGACCCTTGGGAAGCGCGACAACCGACCTACCTCCCCACCGCGCAGGTGTTGGATCATTTCGATCACGAGCTGAACACCGTTCGAGGAGGCGCGGATTGCTTGATCGTCGATCCGGTCACGGGTTTGACCAAGGTCGAGAAGAGGAGGGTGAGGATCATGCTTCTTGCGGGAAGTGATTTGATCTTGACCATGTCCGAACCGGGCGTATGGGCCGAAAAGGATGTAAGTTCGCGTGCCGAAGGCGCGGTCAGAGAATTATGCACCTGAATTGACCCTTACCCCCCTTCCCAACCAGCTGCACCATATCCTCGGTCGTTACGGCTGCTACATCATCGAACGCTCCGAATCCGAAATCGACAAGTCCATCTTCTCCTCCTCGTCCGTTCACTCGCGATCCCCGCTCGCCTTGTACAGGGACAACATCCACATGGTCGACCAACTCGTACGCAACGACGTATCGTCGACCAAGGTGCGCATGTTCTTGAGGAAGGGCATGTCGGTCGAATATTTGATACCCGGGGTCGTGATCAAGTATATTCAGAGGCATGGGCTGTATAGGGCTTCGGATAGGGTGAGGGTGGAGCCGAATAGGAGTGGGCAAGAGGTTGGTGCGGGAGGGGAGCGGGAGGGGAGGGAGAGGGAGGTCGAGGCGGAGAGGGAACGAGAGAGGGCTAGAGAGAGGGAGAGGACACGGAGGGAAGAGGATGGTTTGGCGGAGAGGAGAGATCGATGAGTGGACCAACGAGGAAATACTCTCTTCTTGGTGGAAGAAGAAGAGAAGGAAGTGGGGTCCGGCCGGATGCGGGTGTCGTCAGGTTCATCCTTCATCGTCGCCCTCGTACTCGTCCTACGAAATGGTGGTCGGTTCGGAATCATGTTCTCATACAAGACCAAGCGTCATTCGTCGGCCCAAACTTCATCAACAGCAACAAAACAGGCGTTGCTCACTTGTACCCTGATCGTGCCTCATCGTGTTCGCCTTAGCCCGCAACTTTGAATGAGCGATCATCTCGTTCCTCTCATCATGACACCGGTCGACATCAAAACCACCACCAAAACACGCACGCACCCAGACACATAATGTCGACGTTGCGACCCCAACTCCAGTACGACGTTTTCCCTCGGCACTCCGGCGTTCGCGTATCGGCGTTCGCGTATTTTTTTAGTTCTCCTATTTAGTGATCGGTCCCATTTGTGTTGGTACGGACCGTGCAGTGATGTTGTTTCCAGAATGCCAGTTCTCTGATTGAAGATCTTCTCTCTTGGGGCTTCGTGAGAGTTAAAAGTGTTGCTTGACTAAGTGTGAGCGGGTTTTTGCACCGAGTCGAAGTGAGGCAGGCGGGGTTGCGCGACTCGGGATCACTTTCCTCCTTACTCTCATTTCACAAACCCGTCATCACACCCTCTCCCCGACCTCCCCAACCATCAATGACTCCCTCCTTGGAAGAAGAAGAAGATATCGACTTCGACGACCCACGCTTCTTAATCGAACCCGCACCCAACGCATCCACCTCCTCCTTCGAACTAACCTACGCCGATCGTCGAAGACGAACGGTAGGAAGAGGAAGGGAGAAAGCTTGGGCTTCGAATTTCGAGCAGAGTAAGGTTGGGAGAGCGGAGAGGGAGAGGGAGGTGAGGGAGGAAGGGTTGAGGAGGGATTTGATTAGGGAGGAGGAGGAGGAGGTCGGGCAGGTGGGGAGAGGTGGGAGGGGGAATGTTGGGTTGAGAATGATGAAGTACGTTTGGGTACCTTTTTTTTTTGGAGGGGATGGACGTGGGGGTTCAAGGGGGATACGGTCGCTGATTAAGGGTCATTTGTTTTTGCATGGTAGGAATATGGGCTTCGAACCGGGGCAAGCCTTGGGTAAGAAACGAACGTTCGCTCAAGCCGAGTTGGAGACGGATGCGTCACGTGCCTCGGGATCGGCGTCGGGATTGGGCGAGGATGATCGACCGAAAGGGTTGGGGTTTCGAAATGAAGCTGGGACGGCGAATACGGGGACCGGTGAAATGACGGGGCTAGGGAAGAAGGGTGGGCATCAGCCGAGGTCGGAACCGATTGGGTTCGAGATTCGGCAGAGTGAGTGACGAGGATCTTTCTCTCTTCCGACTTGAACCTCTTTCCCTCAAATCAGTTCACTGACGACCCTTGACGAACAAATTCAAAAAAGAACGAACCGGCCTCGGTATACCCCAACCCAGTACACGACCAAACTTCTCCTTCCTCAACCTCAAGAACGGCTCCTCCACAATCGATCCCCGCCCATTGGAAAACGTCGACTCGTACCTCGCCAACGTCAAAGCCATCCTCGACTCGCGAAGAGCATTCGGATACCTACGATCCTTGAGAAGGACGCTGGAGACGTTGGATAGAGGAGCTGGAGTGGAGGATTCGGTCATGTGGAAGGATCCGGACGAGGGGGAGCAGGATGTGGAGGAGGGCTCGGGTTTGGCGAAAAAGTCGATTTTTGGAAGGGAGAAGATTTTGGGAAGGGAGAAGATTTGGGCTTTGGGCGATCGGGAGGAGGAGGAGGAACGAGGGGAGGTCGGACGGACGAAAGGTGGTGGATCTTTGGCGTATGCGAGAGGACTCAACAATGTGGTCGTGGAGCTGGAGGAAGACGAAGAAGCGGGGCAAGGGGAAAAACCTGACCCTGCGGCAGTGGAAGAAGCCCGTGAACGAGCAGAGTGGATGGCACTGGATACTCGCACACGACTGGCGTATACGCTTTCGTACCTCAGGAGGGAGTATCAGTACTGCTTCTGGTGTGGGTGTAGGTATGAGGGAAAAGAGGATCTGGAGGCGAATTGTCCGGGGGAGAATGAGGAGGATCATTGAGTTTGTTTCCCTTCTAGCGATGATTGGGATCCGTGTTGTATAATTTCACATGCATTGCTTCAATCGTAGATGTACATCCTGCTATTCGTCTATTTCAAGACTTTCATCCAACGCTCTCGGCCAAAGTTCAAAAAGCAGCACCTAAGAATCTTGCTTCCTCAATGTGACGTCCGAGTACACGTCAAAGCGTCGTTGTACGGTGACCTAAGAATTGGTCGGAAATTGATGTCAGTAGGCATAATTGCTACCATGCCCAAGGCCTAGGCCAAACGGCCAACTCACCGGGATCCCTGCTCGAGCCTTGTTGATGACGTCCATATCTAAGACCAGGCGAAGGTGTCAGCCATGACGAAGCTTCACGATAGCATACAGTGAACCCAGTACTCACCAATGTCGGCAAACAAGATTCCTTCCTTCTCCTCCAACTGCGCCACGATCTTGCCCCTACAAAGCGAAAAAATTGTCAGCGAGACGTCAATCGTCAACAGCGGAAGCACTTACATTGGATCCGTGACACCCGAGTAACCCCATGCCTTGTATCCATCTCCGTCAGTCGCTCGTGCAGGGGAGCACATGACGATGTAGAATTGATTGTCGACAGCTCTGGTCCAGGCGGGAACAAGGTCCGTGATCAGCATGGATTGGTTTTGCCGATGTCTGGGGGTTAAGTAACTGACCTTGCGCGCTGAAGAAGATCCCAGTGCAAAGGGCCTGTTGTGCAGTTGAATGCGGCGGGGTAGATCATCGCCACACATCCTAAGTAGGCGATGGGATCAGAGACACTCAGCGGATGTTGACCCCTGAAACTGAACCTCTCCCATTCGACTCGCCTTGACGAGCCGCATGCATCGCCAACTCGGGGAACCGAAGATCATAACAGATACCAATAGCAATCTTGCCGAACTCTGTGTCGAGGAACAGATCAGCTCACCAGCTTGATGCAATCTTTTAGCTCCACTCGTTGCCCACCTGTCTCGAGGATTGTCACGTGATCGCCACCCGTCAACGTCTCGCTCTCTTTGAAAGTGATCCCTCCTGGAATATCGATATCGAACAAGTGGACTTTGCGATGCAGGGCGACGAGTTTACCGTCTGGGGAGAACGTAGGGGACGAGTTGTAGATCTTGTCGTCTTCGGCAAGCTCGGGGATCGAGCCTGGAGGAAGCAAGGTTTTTGAAGTCCACTTCTTGAGAGTCAGCTCATTCCAAGGGATCATACTCGGCCACAATCTTTTCCCCAAAATAGTCTCACCTCCTACGAGCCAAGCATTAGCATCCTTGGCTGCCTGACTGAGCATGCTCAGACTTTCGCTCAATGAACTCTCGGCCTGCTCCGAGGATGCCTTCGAAGGGTCGAAGGGGATCCGTTCGGCGTACTGTCGAAACGAGCCTGTTGCGTATGGACTATTGAAGATTTCCTGTGAAAGAACTCGAGTTGATCAGTTGAACTGATCGTCACTCGCTTCCCGTCCAACGGATACCTTGGCTTAGGTGGGGCGCTTCACTTGAACCCTGGGTAACGTACAGGAAGCACAATCATATCCGGTTTCCTCCCCTCTGTTCCACCTTTGACAGCTTCAGAGATCTTGACCCTCGCTCGTTCCAAATTAGCCGTCTTGTCGGGTCCTACACCGCCCAATTGGATCAGCGCGATACGGAACGACTTGCCCTCAATGGGTGGGGCTGCCATGGAGGCGATGGTACGGGGTAGGGATAAGTGAGAGTGGAAAAAAGGTGCGATAGGCAGCTTTCGTGTGGCTCGACTGAGGTGTGCGAGCATGCAGGTGGTGAAAGTGGAGAGTCCGGAAGGGAGTGGTTGGAACGAGCTTGGAAGGGCGAGCTACCAATAACTTGACTCGGCTCGACGCTGCGCCCCGGAGCTCAATAGAGCCGAATCAGTGCCGAATCTCGCCGAATGCTAGGGCCGAGGGTCGCTGCTTACTTGAACGGTTGCGTGTTTGTGTATATGCTATTGCTTGGTATATCTGATAAGAAGGACACGCTACAACAGGTAAGAAGGGGAAGTAGATGCAAAAGCTACAAGGCGGCGGCGGCCGCCAAGACCAAGACGATTCAAGATAAACTGCTACTCAGAGGAGAACCCACCGCACCTGCCGGGGTGAGCGACAAAACACCCCACTGCAAAATCCAACCGTGTTCACAATTTCCGCTTACTGCTCTGACGAAGCTGCTCGATCGGTAAAGCCAAATTGTTCGATACCGTCCCGCCTCGGATCAAGTCCTCGACAAAATTGGCGTTGAAAGCCGGCAAACCCAAGAGCTGACGCTCGAGCGCTTCGTCAGCCACGTCTTCTCCGGCTTCCTCATCGAAATCGGTCGTATCGCCATAATCGCTCGTATGACTGTGAATCGATTCCCGCCTGGCCGGGTTTGACGCATCCGCCTTTCTCAATACGGTCGTGACATTGGAGAAACCTTGGTTGATATGCCCCCTTGATGGCGATTCGACCGAACCCGAAGCCGAACCCGAGCCAGCTGTCGAGGACGAATCGTGCTGCGTCGTTTCTGCAGCAAGATTCGACTTGGCTCGACGTTGTCGCTCGTAGCGAGCGATGCAGTCATTTTGAGCCTTGTGAAGAGAGTACGGGATCCAGTTCAGCGGCGCCTTAGCGAGATTTACGGCCGATGGGACGACGGCCTTGAGGCAGACGAGGTAGGCATCCGCGGTCAACCCGTCCGCGCCGTAAATCGGTCCTTGGTGAGTTGTTAAGGGGATCAGAGTGGGAATGACGACAAGGCGCGGCAAGAGAAAATCCATGCATTCGGAGGAGAAGACGCGGTCGAGGAAGGGGCGCAGCATATGGACCAGTAGAGAATGGATTTGCGCCGACTCGGGCGTGAACGGTGTCGTGGATTGAACGAGCTCGAGCAATGTACGCCCTTGGAGCTGCCTCACCGTCTCAAGCATCCCATCGAGGGTCGCCAGAGGCAGCGAAGTATGCTGTTTCCACACCCTCTCCCCACTCGATCGAACAAGCGAGGCCAGCTCAACCATCGGGAGTGAATGGTGTTGCTTCTCGTCAACGACGAGCTGTAGACCTTCTCCCGGCAAGGCCTGTGCGGGAGTACGTTGTGCTAGCATCCAATCAGTAATCGCTTCACGCTGCATGTCAAACACGTGCAAATCAACGCACCTGAACGACCAATGCCGCTCCATAGAGCCGGCCGCGGGTGTATCGCCTTGGACTCATGAAACGGGCAAAGCGATGGGCGTCACGGAAGTGGTCGTAAACTCGGTCGGTCGGCACTGCGAACGCCGTCGCTGTCACTCGGGCCGCTGCCGCGGGTTCGACGAACGTGTAGCTCCTGGCCAAGAGCGCATCCCGCTCGGCCCTCGACCGTATCCGGCGCGTCAACATCAACAGTTGACCTTGGGTGACGGTAAATCTGTCGCCCGAGTCGCGTGATGAGACCTCAAAGTGACCTCTACAGCAACGAAGCGGAACGTCAGCAAAAGAAAACTCGCCCATGAGTCGAGAACTTGGCAACTCACGTGTTGAGAATCTGATCAAACAAGACGCCGTTGGCGGACAGCACGGGCGAGCCAACGAGCTCGGTCGCAATCTCTCGCCCCGCTACTTCGAACCCCAAAACGGCGCTACGCATACGATGGTATGCATCATCATCGAAACCACCTTCCTGGCTCTTCAGACCGTAGTGCCCCTCGTCCTGATCATCGGTTTCCAGGTCGACCGGCAACGAAGGACGGCCAAGCGGCGCCGAGGCAGCTTGTGCGACAAATTCCCTCGCGCCGTAGTCTCGAGCATGAACGTCGGCTTGGCTAGAGGTGGTCGAACCTCTTCGCGCACCATGAGTTGCACCAACCTCGGAACCAACTCGTGTGACCGTTGCGAGCGATTGCTCCTTCCAGGCCCACGAGGCACGCAAGAGGGCGACAAAGGCGTGGTCGAAACGTCCGAGCTTCTTGTTGGACGACTCGAGGGACAATCGATTGCGCAAGCCAAGCCACTCGAGAAAGCCCGTCGGTTTCGACTTTTCGGCCTTGGGAAACAGAGTGGAAGAAGGGAGGAGGCCGTCTGCCTCGCGCACCAAAAGGCGACCGTGGCCGTCCCAGACGGCGGTAGCGACGACGATGCGTTGACGGGCAGCCATTCGTCGAAGCAATCGCTGCTGGCCGATGACGGCAAAGACCAACAGGGAGAGACAGCATACGGGTGCGACGACCGAGACGAGGGCAACTATACAAGCACACAGATGAGGTGATGGTGGGTCAATACTGAATGGGAAACCTCGGGGCAGAAACGCAGGCACGGTTGGTGGACTTACGAATCAAATTCCGTGAAGTGGTCGCTGGTTTCGACGTCAAACCCTGAATGGCGTAATACTGTGTGCCAAGAAGAGCGACTGAAGGAATGTGGATTCTCTGGTGTAAGTACATGCTGACATTCAGGCCGGATTTTGAGTAGATTGCGCCCAGCTCACCGAAATGCATTAAGGTTGTGCCAACGGCGAGAATCATGGCGATGCCGGCACGCTTGTACCACCGATGTTCCAGTTTGGGCCGGAGTACGACAAACAGCAAGAACAGTCCAACCGAGACGGCGACCATGGCAATCAGGATGGAAAGGAAGATGAGATACGGGGTGTTGGTAACCCGAGGCACACTGTGAGCAACGTCGACGCCTTTCAGCCTGTCATTCCCAAGGAATTTCCAAAGAAGTCGCCATGCACAAACCTATTAATAGCGAGCTGGCCGACGTAATCTATGGAGTGAAAACTCGAAAGTCAAACTTTGTACTCGCAAGGCTGGGCAGAAGAATCGTCGAGGAAGACGAAAAACTCACGCATCGCGGCGATCCCACCACCACAAATACATCCCGCACCAAGGATCTTGGCCACTCCAACAACAGAGACTGAAGCGGGCACGACACCGAACTCTCCGTCGTCTTCCTCCTCGTCCAAATTCTTGTTCGACTGCTTCCTGGAGCCTCGTCCCTTTGTCCGACCCGGTAAGGAGATGTGTGACAGCTTGGACACGCCGTGCTTAGGGGTCGTGTCGGATGGGTGAGCTGTTTCGGCTCCACCCGGGAGCCCTGCGGTGGCCCTCTCTGGCGGCTCACTACGTGCCTTGTCGTCCCCTCGGGATATTCTTGATTTTGAAACCTCGAGCTCGAGCTCGGGGGTCCCGAGAACGTACTCGTATTCTTCATCAGTCTGTCCGACGTCGCTGCCACTTCGGTTCTTGCGACGTCCATCGAGGCGCAGACCGATGAAAGAGAATGCGATCACCATCGACAGGCATGCCACGACCAGCGATAGCAAGGTGTAGCCGACATTGTACGAGAGAGGCCTCGGCGGCTCGCTCGAAGGCGGAGGGTAGTGCAATGTAACCGCTTGATTACCCACCTGTTAAGAGTAAAAGGAATCAACACAATGCAGTGATAGCGATCAGTACAAGTCCGCACAGTTCCGCCCGTTCGCGAGAAACCTGATGAGGAAGAGAGCGAGCCCCATCTCCGAGATTCGTCTCGGTGTTCCTGCGCTCGCTTGCGCAGCAGCGACCCCATCACCAATTCTGTGGTGCAACTTACAAAGTGCATACCCCATGTCGCTGTGGATCCGAATGAAACGCCTGCACCGACAAGAAGGACGGCATTCCATTTCGCGGAACCACCGGTTCGTCTCAGAAGAAGCTCCAACGTCGTCCAGGCGCCGACCACGGCAATCACGTAAGCCACGAACCTGTGAACCAGACGAGCAGGTGAGCTTGGTCTGCTACGAGGTGTCCATGATGGCACGGTGTACATGAGATCGGACGGGATGGTTTCGAGAAAGTTCCGGTGGGTCTCGAAGTCGGCGTCACGCTCCATCGTCATTGCTCGTGGTCACCCCCGCACGGGTCAAATTAATTGCCTCCCCGCCCCGCCAGCTGAAACAGGCGGCCGTCTCCAGTCAAGCGCCGCGGCAGAGATTCCTGAATTCATGCAGAGTCCAGTTCAAGTACGCACACGTATATGCCGTTGTAATGCGTCTCGAGTTGGACATAGTCCGGTCGAGCGGTCGCTCCCGATGCCATCAGGTATTGGTGGCTAGTTCAAGGCCTGCTTCGCCGTCGTGCTGCAGCAGGTCCGTCTCGTTGGTCGGTCGAGGTCGTGTCTCGCTTGGGTTCCGGTCACCGCGGTGTGGCGCGCGAGACGGCGGTGATGGCAGCGAGTGGTAAGACACGCCCGTCCACGCCGGACTCGAGAGAATGAGCGCAAATCGAGTGGGCGAGGTGGAAGGTGCTGTGCTGGCGATGGTCCGTCGACGTCGATGTCCGAGTGGGGTGACCAGCAAAGGCCAAATTCACAAGTGCTCCAGATGCAGGGTTCACTGCAGATGGGCAGGGCGATGAAAGTGGAGCAGAGCCAGCAAGCCCAGCCTGCTGGAAGGCATTAATTACGCCATTATTAGACGCGGCCTTGCTGGATTGCTCGGCGCTGTCCCTGAGTGCAGGCCGGGTCTGGGCTCACTGCGCCCCAATTTCTTGATTTATCGCTGGTGCCTTGCCTGATGGACCTCCCTCGCTCTAAGCCATATGACTAGTCTGACTAGTGTTACTCATATTTGCGATTCACTTAGAACCCAAAACTCGGTGCGTCTACAGTACCCAAGAACTTGACGTGCCACCTGCCTCTTCGCAGATGTGATCGGTGCCGTGCCAAGGGCAATAGTAGTAGTGCACCCCGACCCCGACTCCCGAGTTGCTTTGAATTTTTTTGGTTGACGAGAGACCACTGCCTTTCCATTACTGAGCCTAGCTCAATGAGTGCTGGAAATAGCACGATCAATCGCTATTCCTGGTCCAGTTCTTAATACGGCTTGATCGATTTTCTCCGAAGGACCAGAACGGATCGCCTTGTTGAACCCGCCGCCCGGGGGTGCGCGCCGTAGAGCCGGAGTCGGAGTCCGCGGCGCGACTCCGAGGAGGAACGGTCCGTTGCAGCACATGCTCTCTGCATGCACATGTCAAGTGGCGGGTTGATGAAGAAGCCCCCTACTGCCGGGCAGACCTTCCCAAACATTCTAGCGGGAAAACCTTGGATATGTTGCCTTATTAGGGCTTGCGCGCGAAATTAATTGATTTCGATCATCACTCACGACATAATTGAAACCACCCCGATGCGGGTAATTTTCTTGGCCGCCCTTTTTTTTTTTTGTAGAAACCGTTCATCATATTGCCCCCAATTCCTGTTCCCCCTGATTGGCCTACGGAAAAACTAGATGGAAGTCGACGATGATAACACAAACCGCCCGCAAGATGCGAGAAACGGGCCAAGTCCACCAATCCGATACTTCGGATTCAAGTGCCCCAGCCAAGCGGTTGCTCCCCCCCAGGAGACGAATGAGAGAGAGAAGAGAAAGAGAGAAAATGAAAAAGAACTGGCGTACTAACGACAAGAGGCCCACCCCGCACCCACTTCCCAACTCGGTCGAGACAAAGACAGGAGAGCGACTGCGCAGCTACCCTGACCCGCGAAGTCCCCAAGTCTATGCTCGGTCACAACAAGACGCGGTGGAGGCCCCTCAAAACCTCCACCTCAGCAGTCCCTGGCCCCTCAAAGCCGACTTTCTGCCTGTGTCTGCTGATCCCTCCCTTGACTCAGAACCCCGAAGCCAAAGAGCGCGAGCCACCGTCGAGTCAATCCCAAATCGCGAGCCGGTCCATGAGCAACGGAGGCAGACCTGTAATAAAAGAAAGAAAGATGAAGAAAATATATTTAGTATACAGTTTTTGTAAGAGGATGTGTGATGTGGGGTGTGTGAGTGTGGGATGGGGTGGGGGGAAATCGAACCCAGCCTCTACTGCCCTCGCCCGCCCCTTGCTCCCCCCGCCCTCAACTTCATCCTCTCCTCCAGTACCACCCTCCTCCGCTCCAGGCTTTCCATCCTCGTCCCGTGCTTCTGCATCCTCCATCTCCCACTGCTGATCATCTCCAAGACCATCCCCGTGAAGATCTCGATCGTCCTGCCTGCGCCTTCCTGTTCGCTGAGCTTGGCCTTGAGCTTGGGGAGGCCAAAGAGTCGTTGTAGTGTCGTGTACTCGGCGTCCTCGATCGTGTCGCATCCGAGCGCGTCGCAGAGCACGCCCCTTGCCGCGGTCCAGACGTTCCGCGAGTCGACGCAGCCGAAGAAGTAGTGATCGGTGTCGTCCACCGGCGCTTCGCACACGAGGCACGCGGGAGAAGTGACATGCTTTTGCTCGTGCTGGAGCTTGCGCGTCGGGGTGAAGCGGAGGATCAGCTTGAACCAAACTTCCCTCTCCCTCGCCGTCAGTGCCTTCGAGTTGACTGCCTTCCAGAAGCTCCTGAGGTCGTCCGGCTGCGGTGGTCCCTTTAGCCCGAGCGTGTTGGTAAATGCCTTCGCGTTCAGGACCCGGCGGATGCGACGGACTGTGTAGGGGCGAGCCATGTTCAGCAGCGTATACTGGCTCGCCTGTTGTGGAAGCACCGGGTCCGGAAGGCGCTGCTCCATTGCGAAGCGGGCCACGGGCTTGGGGATGATCGCCTCGAGCGGTGCGCTGGTGCCGATCCGGGGAGGCACGTTGAGTCGTCCCGCCGCCACCGCCGCCGCCAAGGGGGTGTTCTTGTGTCGATCGACAGTGAACTGGTACCAGGCCGCGATTGCCAGTCGCTGCGGGAGCCCGCGTCGATCGTACTCGCTGTTGTCGCCGAGCACATCCGCCGGCGGCGTCCAGAGGTGAAACCCCCCACCCGCATACAACTCGCGTCGATAGAGATCCGCCACCTTCGGGTAGCCCTGGAGACGAAGGTAGTCAGGTACATGAACCGCGTCGATGGTCTGTCTCCCTCTGATGGGGGTGTGGAGGCTGCCGAGCAGGGTGGGCAGCGCGAGCAAGTTCGCGGTGGTCAAGGCCCTCGGGTTGACCTGCGCGTCGTGAAGTTTCGGAACGCCCAGTGCGGCGTGCCATCGGGGATGAAGGTCGTTGGGGATGGGAGTGGATGGATGTGGCCAGAGATCGGTGGCCAGGTCGAGGTCGGGCTGAGCTCGCTGGAGTGCTGCGCGCGCAAGTCCTTGCCAAATCGCGCCGGAACCGCCGAGAAGAACGTCCCAGAGCCGTGCCGCAACCGCGTCCACAACGTCCCGCATCCTTATCACCCCGAGTCCCCCCTTGTTCTTGGCGGTGAACACAATGTCTCTGCCGTAGCTGGTCCTGCCCTTGCCCCCACGGACGAAATCGACGAGCATGTCATCGAGCTTCTTGACGACTTCGGGCGGCGGGATGTCGGCTGCAAGGAAATGCAGGATCTTGGGAAAGGCGTACCGATTGACGTAAAAGGCACGGGTGTGGTGCGTGAGCCAGCGATGCTGAACCGCTTCCAGCGTCGCCTCGAGCCGTTCGATGAGATTCGCGTAGGCGAGTTCGGTGTCGCCGCTGGGGTCGAAGGGGAGGCCGATCCACTCGAGCGACTCGCCTGCGGCCTTGACGACGATTGGCCGTTCCCCAGGGTCCCAGCGACGTCCAATCGGTAGGACGACCGTCTTGTCCGTGTTGAGCCGGCCATTCGTTGCATGCCTCCAGTCGAGCGCCAGGTCATCGAGCAAGTTGAGTGACTCCAAGCCCGCGACGGCGACGACAACGTCATCGGCAAATGCAAGTGATGTAATGGCGCGGCTCTGTGGGTACGGATGAAGTGCAGGTATGGAGAGATTCAGCGCGATGTTTCGACGGTGTAGAGCATCCAGGAACGGCTGAAACACGATGTCCCAGACCGACGATGACGCCGGGTCCCCTTGGCCGAGCCCACACGTCAGTCGCACCGGCGCCGTCAGGAACCCATTGATGATGTAGCGCGCCGAGGTCGAGTCACCCGAGTAGAGCATCCTCAGCACGCGAAGAAAGGTGGTAGGAACGCCCAGAGCGTCGAAAATGGCAAAGATCCAGTCATGCTCGACGAGGTCGTAGGCGGATGATTGGTCAAGAGACAAGAGCGCGGCCGCGGGGAACTCGGTCCTGCGCGCGCCAAGTTCCTCGATCAGGAGACGAAGGTGTAGTGCAGCGTCGGCCGATCGGCGGTCCTTGACGAAGCCGTGCTGCTGCGGCGGGAGGAGATCGGGCAGAATTTGGTTCAATCGGGCGACGTAGACCTTGGTAAAAATCTTGTAATCGCACTCGCGCAGGGTGATGGGGCGATACGACGAGAGTTCGGCGCGATCGGCATTCTTCTTGTGGCGCTTGAAGATGAGGCGCACGAGTCCCTGGCCCTGCTTGGGAGAGAGTGAACCGCGCTCGATCATCGCGTTGTAGGCCTTGGTCAGCACCTTGGACCACGCCTCCGGTGCGGTCTGATAGAGTTCGTAAGGCACGCCCGACGGGCCCGGCGATCGCCCCGGGTGCGTCGTCCCGATCGCGGCCACGACCTCGTCCTCGGTGATGGGTTGCTGGAGGAGATCAATCTGCGCTTCCGAGAGTCGGCGCAGAAAGAGCGGATCTGAGCGCGGGTCGTCGCAAGTCCGTGCCGCCCTGATCGGCACGAGGAGTTCGTCCCGAAGTCGGTCGACGCGTTCCGGATCACGAGGCTCGATGTGGTAGAGGCGCTGGAAATGCGCCTGCGTGTGGTCAAGAGCGACATCAATGTCATGCGTTAGCTCTCCGTTGCCCAAGCGCAGTGCTGTGATCTTGGAGTCCGAGTTCCGCGCCGCGAGCTTGGCGTGGACCGGCCGCGACAGTCGTTCCTCGGAAGCGATCTCGGGGACGTGGGCTCGGATCCGGAGTAGGCGCGCGCGCTCCTCGACCGCCCGCTTGAGTTCCTCGGACGTCCTTGTCCATTCTGCCGTTTCCGCCTCCCCCCATACCGGTAACGCCTCCAGATCCTGCACCCTCCCCACCAAATACTCCATCCGTTCCGTCCGCTCCCGATGCAGCCTCCTCGCCATCTCCCCACCCCTGTCCCTGCACGCCTCCAGAACCTCCTCAAGCTCTCGCACCGGATCCTCCCCGCTTGCCCCTTCCAACCATCCTTCCATCATCCGCTGAAATTCCACCGTCTTGAAGGTTGTGGTATTGATTCGATGTAGTTGGTTGGATGTGGTAGGTAGGCTGAGCTGTGGGAGAGCCGCATCAAGATCGTCTGAGAGAGCCAGTACGATCAAGACCGGTCGGTGATCGGAAAGATCCTTGGGATAGTCGTAGATCGTCGAGGCCTGGTCGAGCCTTTTTTGGTGAGCTCTTTGTAGGAGAAAGTAGTCAAGCCGGGAGAAGGAGTTGGGTCGCTTGCGATTGGGATTAGGTCGAGTGAAAGATGGGGTGATGGGGTGCTTGTAGCGGATGCAGTCCGTGTAGGCCGAGTCGAGCTTGCCCATCAGAATCGGCCAGTGGTGGCCGCGCCGACTTTGGTTCCGCCGATCGACTTCTGGGCGCGGGCAGTCGTTGAGATCGCCGCCAAGGAGTCGGAGGTGGGATTTCTGTGTTTTGTGGAGGATCAGTTTGTCGAAGAATTTTGCTCGTTGTTTTGGGTCAACGGGCGCGTAGAGGTTATTGATTTCTAGAATTTTGATGTCGCCCCGCAGACGAAAGGAGGTGACGAGGAGCCGGCCGTCGAGTGCCGAGTGGGTGCGCAAGAGCTCGGCGTCGATCAGGGGCGAGTCGGCCGGGATCAGGGTCAGGCAGTGCTGGTTGATGAAGAGCTTGCCCTCGTACTCGTCCTTGATGAGCTGCCAGAATTGTGGTCTGATGAAATGCTCTTGTAAGAGAATCGCGGAAGCTTTGAATGTGGAAAGGTAGGTGTAGATATTACGTCGTTTTTCCGGGACCCCCATGCCCCTTCTTACGTTCCAGGTGATGATGGTGTGCTTGATCATTAATGGGTAGTCGAGGTCGAGGCGCTCTTGGCGGTGGTGACGTCCTCAAAGAGGGGAAGGGCGGGCAGGACATCGTCCTCGGGCTCGTGGTCGGACCATCGTTTTTCCTCAGCTACCCCTCTTCCTTTCCCTCTGTCCACCTTCGTCACCTCGACCTGCATCGCCGCTGCCGCCGACATCGACCTCGTCACCCTCCGCCCCTCTATTCCATCCTTCACCACGACGCGGCTCTTCCCTTTGATGATGACTCGCTTGGCGTCGGTCGGTTCGTCACTTGGGTCACTGAGGTCCGCCGCAGTCTGCGACCTCTTCATCACCTGCTTCTTGAACTTCGCAGCGGTCCCCCTGATGTTGATGGAGCGTATCTCACCGTCCTCGTCCCACGTGGCAAAGTTGTGACGCACCAGAGGGGTTTCAGCGTTGAGCCTCCTCTCGATGCTTTGGTCCCGCTCAAGTCGTGCCTGCTCAACCCAGTTAGCTCTGATCCTGTCCCACTCCTCCCCCTCGCGTAGCGACTTGGCGAGAGTTTCGGGTGACAGAGGTGGGGTTGGTTCATGCGGCGTCGATTCGCGGGAAGCGGTGGCGGCGGTTGCTGTGGCGTCGCTGTCGTCGTCATTGTCCAGCCTGTTCGTTTCCCCTAAGTCCGTCGCTTCCGCATTCTCCGCTTTCGTCGATCCCCTCGCTTCGTCCACATCGCCCACCTCCGTCGCCACCTCCTCTTCCTCCATCTCCGTAGCCACCTCTCCTTCCGTTTCACCTCTTTCATCCGCCATCACCTCATTCTCATCAATCACCTCTCCATCGGATCCGCTGCAGTCCTCCAAGACCGACTCGTCCTCGCTTTCAATTTTGATGACCTCCGTTTTCGCGGCCGCCTCCGATTCCATCTCCGAGTCCTCCGAGTCCTCGTCATCCGCCTTATCACCAGCGTCTTCCTCCCCCGATTCCTCCGGTCCCTGTTCGCCCTGGCCAGTTACCTCTTCCTCCTGTCCCTCCTCGACCTCGAGCCCGGCGAAGTGATTCTGTGATGCGATCCTGTTAACAACCAGCACAGGAATGGGGGCCTCGGCCTCCGCGATGTTGGTGTTGTGGGTGATGGTGTTTTTGTTGCTGTTGATGATGCCGTTGTGAGCCTCCTTCCGCTTCCTCTCCTGATCCAGTCCGCAGGTTCCCACGTGACCCACAAAGTGGCACCTACCGCAAGCCGCCTCCTTCTCATAGTCATGGCGAAGGGCGGTAACCGGGATGCCTCGAGTGGGAAGGTCGATCCTCGAAGGTAGAATCTCCTTCAAGGTCGTGTTGGGGCGTTGGAATAGGGAGTCGTCATCGAAGTGTAGGAAAGCCGAGTAGTCTCCGGCAACGTGGGCGAAGGCCGAGGCGTTGTCCACGCTGATAACGCGCAGAACCTGCACAAGTTGGCATGAATGTCCCTTGCCTGACAGGTCTTGCACAAGTGATTGGAACGATTTGATGATGGCATCCATGGAGGGCACTCCTTGAACACCGACGTTGATTCGAAGCTCGACCATGTTATGGTGGAACCTGTGAGACCCGACAGCCTTCCGAGTGGCCACCACCACACCGCGCCCGCCACGTTGGCAACAGGTGAACGGCTAGGTCATCGGACTGCTCATGTACCAAGGGACGTCAGCGTGAGAAAAAAAAATAAAAATTCAAGGTCAGGTGTTCCTCGTTTGAGTAGGCCCCTTTCGCGATGGACGTCGTTTAAAAAGTCCCAGCAGTTGTAGTGGAAGTGGAGCCAACCTCGGCGCTCTCAGCGGCAAAGCTCGTCCTATCTTTCGTGTATGACGCCCAAAGCACGGTTCTTCAAATGGGGACACTCAAGTGTTTTTATGATCCACCATTTATCTACAACGACCAACGTATAATCGGTCAGCATCAACGATGGGTCGTGGGTCGTGGCCGTTGGACGCAGGCGTCAAGGTGCGATTATCGTGGTGTGCACGGGAGGCGAAGAGCCACTTTGCGCAAACGCAAACTCACCGCAATTGAGCCAGTACACCGATCCGCACTTCGACCGCATGGTTTTGAAAGAAGCGAAACGTACACCACCCATAGACCATTGTGCGCCTTGAGCATGACCATCGCAATGAGGTCAGCTCGAAAAGGATAGAGCAATCCCCGAACTCGGGACGGCAAAGATAGAAAGATTTACTGACGATATAACGTCCTCACGCAGTTCTTTGCGACTCTCGGTGTGCATTCGAGCTGGGTGACCTCCTGTGGGGGCCCGTAATGAGTAAGTGTAAGATTTTGGCTTACTCGAGTTGATCAGCGAGTGGAGCTCTTGCGGACAGGCTCGTTGCGCCGCTGGGCCGGGAAAGGAGGCACAGAACCAGACCTGGCTCACCTCCGAGAGGACGGAGAGTTCGGAAACGAAGGCCGGGTCCCACGGTGAATCGGAAACTTCCTCGGTAAAAGAATCTCGCCGTACATCTCTCCAACAGGCAGAGGGACCTGCGGTCGAGGAGTTGAGGATGCAAACCTTCCACTTCGTGAACTCGGGCGCAGCGAAACCCCCTCTCAATGATCGTCGGTCCCTCCTTTCGATCCGAACCAAGGTGAGCTCTAACCGGTATCGGTCGTAAGCGCTATGGACCACGCCGAACTGGCAGAGACCAGGGATGTGGGAGTTGTGAAAAAAAGACTCTGATGTTACAGCAATGAAAACTCTTTGAGGGGTGGAATGCTTTTCGAGAAAGACAAAAAAGAGCAAAAGGATAATCAAGACGTCGCTGACAAGAAGCGATTACGTCCTTCATGGGGGATAGAAAATTCCTCGGGATCCGGGGGAGGTTTCCCTTTTTTGTACGAGCGAGAAGAAGAGGAGTGGTGGGGTTTCGGGTTGGTCGTGATAGGGATCGGTTTCAGTCTAGTCGGTTCATCGTCGATCGGTTAGAAGCCCATTCCGCCTCCCATCTGTTTGCCCGAGAGGTGTGAACGACGTCAGTTCATGGCCAAGCAGCAGCCGCCCGAACTATCGAAAACTCACTCCTCCCATTCCGCCGGGCATCCCCGGCATGCCACCGGCGCCCTTCTCCTCCGGCGCATCGACGATCGAGCACTCCGAAGTGAACAAAAGCGAGGCAACACCCGAGGCGCGCTGCAGACTCGTCTTGATGACCTTGTAAGGGCTGGTGGGAGAAGACGCAAAGATTCAGAGTCAAGCCTCATCGTGAAGTGTAAAAGAAAAGTTTGCACGACTTACTCCAAGATACCAGACGCGATCATATCAACGTACTTGCCCTCGGCGGCATCGTACCCCCAGTTGAACTGGCCCTCGCCCGAGTACTTTTCCAGCAGGTTACCGACAATGACGGACCCCTCCTCGCCGGCGTTCTCGACGATCGTCCGTATGGGCTTGGAGATAGCGGATCGAATGAGGTCCACGCCGAGCTTGTGGTCAAAGTTGGGCGAGGGCAAATCCTTGAGAGTTTGTGATGCCTTCAACAACGCCGTTCCACCACCCGGGACGATGCCCTCTTCCACAGCGGCACGAGTGGCGTTGAGCGCGTCGTCAAAGCGGTCCTTCTTCTCGCCGACTTCGACTTCGGAGCTGCCGCCAACCTTGATGACGGCGACACCGCCACTGAGCTTAGCGAGGCGCTCCTGCAACTTGGTGCGGTCGTAGTCCGAGGTCGTGGGGTCGACCATCGAGGCGCGAATTTGTTCGCATCGGTCCTGCAAGATAGCGAACCTAAGTGATCAGTAAGAAAGTCCTCGTGAACCTCCCAATCAGGAAATTTTGAGCTCACCGAGATCATGGTCTTCTCTCCGGATCCGTTGAGGAGGATGGTGTCCTCCTTGGTGATCGTGACGGAGCCCGTCGAGCCGAGCATGTCGGGCGTAGCCTTTTCGAGCTTGATGTCCAGTTCGTCGGTAAAGACGGTCGATCCGGTCAAGATGGCCAAATCACCGAGGATCGACTTGCGGTTGTCACCGAAGCCGGGGGCCTTGACGGCTGCGACCTGGAGTTGACCACGGAGCTTGTTGAGGATGCAAGCTGCGAGGGCCTCACCGTCGATGTCCTCGGAAATGATGAGGAGAGGTCGTCGAGCGTGAGCCGCGGCTTCGAGAGAGGGCAGGATGTCCTGGATCAACGAGATCTTCTTCTCCGAGAGCAGGATCAAGGGCTTTTCGAATTCGACACGCTGGGACTTGATGTCGGTGACAAAGTAAGGGGAGATGTAGCCTCGATCGAAGCGCATGCCTTCGGTGATCTCGATCTCGTCCTCGATCGTCTTGCCCTCCTTGACGGTGATGACGCCTTCCTTGCCGACCTTCTCCATCGCCTGGGCGATCAGGTTGCCGACGTGCTGGTCGCCGTTGGCAGAGATGGTCGCGACCTGGGCGATCTCGGCCGAGGTGGTGATGGAGCGCTTGTGGGCCTCGAGGAACTTGATGACGGCGTCAACGGCGGCCTGCGAACCTCGTCGAAGGTCCATCGGGTTGCACCCGGCGGCGACATTCTTGACCCCTTCGGAGTAGATGGCGCGAGCGAGCACGGTCGCGGTCGTGGTTCCGTCACCGGCTTCCTCGTTTGTTCGGTTGGCTACGTCTTGGATCAAGCTGTGGCAAATGGAACGAGTTGTGTTCAGTGCGGGCTCGTATCGTGCTTTGGATGCAACAGGAGGTTCTTACCGAGCTCCGAGGTTCTCAAACTTGTCCTGGAGGGTGATGCTCTTGGCGACGGTGACACCATCCTTGGTGATCTGTGTGGGTTGAGCCGTGAGGTTTGAGTTTTGAAAAAGAAGGGTCAGGCTGAGGTACGAGGCGCACGCACCTTGGGTCCGCCAAAGGCTTGTTCGATGATGACGTTGCGTCCCTTGGGTCCGAGAGTGACCGAGACGGCCTTCGCAAGCACCTCGACACCGGCGAGCAACGCCTGGCGACCTTGGTTGCCAAACATCAACTCCTAGATCGGGGTGGCGCAATGAAGTTTATTGCCATTCGGAAGAGAGAGAGAGAGAGAGAGAGAGTGGAGTGGGGTCAGCTGGGAGGAATGTTTTGGGGTGATGGAATTAATTGGCTTACCTTGTGTGCGAATCGACGGGTGGTGAGGCTGCCCGAGGCGTGGTTCATCCTCGGCTTGACCGTTCGGACGGCGGATGATCGCAGCATGGTGGTAGACTGTGCTGTAGTTGGATGGTACAGGGTGCGAAAGAGTGCGCGCTGGTGCGTTGAGAAGGGGAGGGAAAGCAAAAGAAAGTGTCGAGATTCGGGATGGCGATCCGCGCGAGCGTCCACGACAGGACAGTCCACGAGATTCCACGAGCTTCTCTGTGAGAGCCGCGCGCGAAAGGCAACAACCCGTCCAACTTTCCCCGAGCTTCCCAACTCATCTGCCTTGCTCGTTGAACATACGCACTCACGCACTCACGCATCCACACACCACCATCATGGTCAGTACCGATTTCCCCTTCAGATCCCGCTTGACGTTCCAGACCCGGCCGAGGTCGACCGCTTCGCACCGTATGCTAACCGTTTGCAACCTCCTGTCCGACCCGCACCCGCACCGCTCACAATGCAGTCGCTCACCATCAAAAGCATCAAATCCCTTGCCCCCTTGCTGGACCGCGTCTTGATCCAACGTGCCAAAGTAGTCGAGGTAAGACCATGCATGCCCCTCTACTCTCCATCCTGTGCTCATCTCCCTATCCGTCTAAACCCCCGTTCCTCGCCTGAACGCCTACCAGAAAACCGCGTCGGGTCTGTTCCTCCCCTCGGCAGCCAACAGTTCTCCCCCACCTGAAGGTCTCGTGCTCGCCGTCGGTCCCGGTGCACCAGGGAGGGATGGCCAGATCGTACCCGTCTCCGTCAAGGCCGGCGATCGAGTCGTCCTTCCCGCGTTCGGTGGCATCGGCGTCAAAGTTGGAGATGAGGTGAGCTTTATCGAAATATCTACCTGCATCTGCAACGGTAGTGCTGACTACACCATCATTCGCTCATTCAGGAATACCAACTTTTCCGCGACTCCGAGATCCTCGCCAAGTTGAACGAGTGAAAAACGGAGGCCGTTCGGGCCAGACAAGTTTCAGTTTTTTTTTTTATTTTTAAAAAAGGACGCAAAAGCAGAGCGTCTCTCTTTTGAATAATGTAAAAAAAGGAATAATTAAGCCATCGTGATTTCCCCCCTCTCAACCTTTGGCCGCGATGGCTAGAGTCGGCGGCTTTCTTCAGGTCACGTGAGAGAAACTGGCTTGGCCGTCGCGCACAGATTTCACTGGGTGTTCTTGATTTGACGAGAGCGGCAGTGACTTTGAGAGAAGTAGTAGCGAGCGCACGTATCTATCTGCTACGCGTCACAATGTCCGCTCGGCCGATTGGTGCGACGGCCGAGGTGAGGCTGAACACCGCACGAAATCCTGAGGACCGAGGAGACAGGAGGAGACCGTTCAACGATGTGGGGGGGGCTGACGAGCGACACTCTTCTTCCTCCTGTCCACCGTCCTTCACCGGTGCGCTGAACCCCACGATGGAGCCAGCTGCGACCTACCTCGAGCCGTTGGGTAGTGAACTATCCTATCTTACTTCCACAGCTCATGACGCAAGTGAACTCGGCCTCTCGCACGTCGACGACATCATCGCTCGCCTCGAACGCGCGAGGGCCCCGCTCATCAACGCTCCGGACATCTCCACCTTTTCGATCGATGACGACGCGACCATGACGACCGATACTCCTTCAACTACCTTATCGGTAGCGGATCACTTGTTGCCATTGTCGATGATGCTCAAGTCTTCGGCTACGGCCGCCAGTGCGGCGCACAAGGAGTGGTCCTCCGCCGTGTCCAAGCTCGCCAAATCCGTCGACAAGGTTCGTAGCTCTGGCTTCTTGGTGGTATTGAAACTTTCTCTGAAACGATTGTGTTCCGAACTCGTACAGAAATTCCCTTCGCCTCCTCAGGCGTTGTTTCCCCCCGCAGCTCAGAAGCAGCTCGCCACGTCATCGAACAGCAACTTCAGCGAGGGTCTCGCACCGCACGGTGCCACAGCACCCTCAGCACAGGCATCTCTCTCGATATCCACCGCTTCCTCCACATCCACTGCTTCTCTCCTCCCCTTCGGCTCTGCCGAAACGACCGCCGCACTCAACTCGACCATCGCGCTGCACCTCGCCCGGATAGGCGCGTTCGACTCCCTCTCCTCTTTGAACGAACAAACCCACCACACCGTCCAGGATGCCGTGCCCTATCAACTTCTCGCTTCTTTGAAAGAGCTGCATCGGATACTGGCCCATCTCAAACAAGGAATCTGTACGAGTGCGCTCGAGTGGATCGAACAAACACGACGCTCATCAGAGAAACCAGGCTCAATCGACGACGCGGCGCGCCAAGCCAATTCGGATCCCGACCCCGACTCAGATCTCGAATTCGAACTCCGAAAAGAAGAATACATCCGTCTCCTACTCTCCACCTCATTGGACGACAAAGACATGGCCGAACGAGAGCCCCTCTTGGCGCAAAACTCTTCCCCTTCTTCCCAAGACAAGCGTCAGCAAGGCTCGATCAATTTGGCCCTTCGTTACGGCGGGCATCATTTCCGACGCTTGATGACGCCCTCTCGAAGAAGTCACATCGAGGCCTTGTTGACCGCACCGATCTACATGCCTCTCGAACGCCTTCTCCACTCCCCCTACGCACCCATCTTCGAACCCTACGTACCGACGGAATCGACCCTCCTGCCGGCCGAATCGACACCGACATGCGCCATGTTCACCGCCGCTTTCCTCTCGACCTTGGGGTTGCCCAGAGATAGCCCCCTCACGGTAGTGACCGACATCGGTGGCAGTGGCGCGATGGCCAAGATCCATAAAGTGCGCGCGGTGATGAAGGAGCAGAAAACGTCGTGGAGCGCGATTGGGGAATTACCGGTACGTTCTTTTCTTTTTCGGCAAACCGGGCTGGCCCGAAATGATGCCTCTGATCCTTCTGGTGGCATGCTATTTCAGGTCGAAGTCCCCCTTCCCACCAATCGTCGCTACCACTCCATCTTCGCCTGTCCCGTCTCGAAAGAACAATCGACACCTACGAACCCACCAATGTTATTAACCTGCGGCCACGTGATCGCGCGAGAGAGTCTCGTTCGTTTGGCGAGAGGGACTCCGTAAGTTCTCTGTGGGGCTGTGGGGGAAGAAGTGCTTGGCTTTTGATATTGGCTTGCTAACACATTCTTACATTCGATTTTATTATTATTATACCCCCTCCTCTGAAGCAGCACGCTTAAATGCCCCTACTGCCCCGCTATCTCGAATGCCAGTGCGGCTGTGAGGGTCCACTTTTGAATGATCGACCGAAGAAGGTAGTGATCGTGTTTTCGTGTCAAGGTTTCATGGTTCGTAAGGTCTTTTTTGTAGTGCTCCGCACCTTGTTTTGTAAATCAGAGTTCATCGATTCTACAGAGGGGAAGATGGAAGATCACAGGGCCGATCTTGACCAAACCTCGTAGGTCGGTTACACCTGGGAGTGTGCTAGAGGCTACGACTACGAGGTACTGAGATAGAGTGCTGTGGGTGCTGCTGAGAGGTGAGTGATGAAACGCCTGACGGTCGAGGACTTTGGCCTCGTAGTTGCCGGAAGTACCGACTCGGACTCGTGTACTTCTCCGAGACAGTTCCGATTCAAGCGAGTTCGTCGACAAGACCGCCGGTCTGACCGTGATTCTTGATCCGTACGGTAGATGACCTGGAGAAGGTCGTGACACTCCATCCAAAGAGCATGGCCAAGGAGAAAAATTTGCCCTTTCCCACGCGACTCAGGGCGGGGGGCAAGGGGACAATTGCATCTCAAAGACCAGTACCGAACGCTCAAGGGGACCAAGCACGTCGGCCGATCCATCGTTATGGGTCAAGGCAATGGCCCCTTTCAAACGGCTCGCTATCTCACATCTCAATAGTTCAAGGGTTTGCCTGAGACCGAGAGCGGGTGTGCCCATTCGAGGAATGTTTTATATGATATACAACCAGCCAAGACCACTATAATGATATGGCAGAGAGTTCCTTACGTCACTCAAGTCTTGTCAACTAGGCTTGAAATGTTGTGTATCGTTGCGACACTTGAAGGCGCGAAGGCGCGCTTGGGCCCCAGATCCGGCAGAGGCGATGGAGCTCAGGAGGTCGAAGCGCGCGTGCCGCCCCTTCGGTCGTTGTTGATTTCAGTCTTTGAACAAGTCGAGCAAGAATTTGGGACTCAAGATTACTTCGATCGAGTTCCATAAGTCGCCGAATCCGCCCGGTTCGGCCCAAGAATTGCGGTACTCCGAATCGTGCCCAACAACGGCAAAACTCGACTACCGTGTCCGGCGTAGACCCAATTGACTGCCGAGCTCGATGGTTCGGCGTGCACCCTCCACGGCGCCACCTGCGACGAGTGTGACCTTCTTGACCCAAGCTTTCGATGGCCAGATCTCCCTGTGCACGACCGACGACTCACCGACTACAACTGCGACTCGATTGACTCGGCGCCGGATGAGGAAATCCTACCAGCGCGCGCGACGACTCCCGACCCTGTCTCTGAGCGCTAGTCGACTCCTGGCTCTGGCTACCGAATGCATCGGAAGGAGAGAAGTCTCAGATTGTCCGAACGACACCTTCGGTACAAGAGGCAGAGGGTCGAACGAAGGGCGAGTACAACTGGTTAATCGGAACTTCTCAGCGATCGCGTGTCTCATCGAGTTCAAGAATCCGGGTACATCAGAAGGGGGGGGGGGGGGGGGGGGGCGGGGGCGGGCCGCTTCAGGGCAGCGCAAGGGCAGCGCAGGGGCAGCGCAACGGGCAAGGGGGACTTGGGGACTTTTGTGGCTGGGACTCGGTTTGCTCTCTTTCTTAGGTAGATCACTTTTGGAGGAATCAGGCCATACGGTTGGTGCTGGTTAGATCTCACGGTTTCATTGTTGGGAATTTGAGTGTGTGTGTGTGTGTGTGTTCAAGTGTTCAAGCGTCCGAGTCCCCAATTCTTTCGTCCCCGTCCCCGTCCCCGTTCAAGTATGTGCGTTACCGTCCAGGCCATGATCGAAACCGAAGGACAGCGACGCGAGGAGATGGACGCCTTTCGCGAGTGGGCCCAGCAATACGTCGAACTCATCTTGAGTAGTCCCGTCATCATACAGCACTTCCACGACCATGGTAAGCAAGTCGTTCATCCTCCCGCGAGCCAAATTCCTCCCGTCATGCCCGACCCCGAGCAATTGCGCCAAAATGTCGTTCGCAACAACGTTGAGTACCACGGTCGTGGAAGTGCCGTATGATGACGGGACTACTCAAGATGGGCTCGACGTATTGCTGGCCCACTCGCGAAAGGCGTCCATCTCCTCGCGTCGCTGTCCTTCGGTTTCGATCATGGCCTGGACGGCAACGCACATACTTGCGATGAGTCTACGGGACTCGGTTTGCTCTCTTTCTTAGGTAGATCACTTCAGGAGGAATCAGGCCATACGGTTGGTGCTGGTTAGATCTCACGGTTTCATTGTTGGGAATTTGAGTGTGTGTGTGTGTGTTCAAGTCTTTTGTCCCCGTCCCCGTTCAAACTCTCTCACCTTCCCTTTCTCCCATCTCGGTGCGCCAACTCACGCGCGCTGTGCGCTAACTCACGCGCGCTGTGCGCTAACTCAAGTGCGCTAACTCGGGCGCTCGACTGCGCCAACTCAAGTGCTCATTCAATTGCGCCAACTCAATTTGGCGCGCGCGAGTTAGCGCAAGCGCACCCCCCAGCACCGGTACCGCCCCCGAATTCTAAACTTAGAATTCGCCGCGCGGCAAATCGCTGTTGACATGAATAACTCCTGAATCCAAAAGCCCTCCCCCCCGCCTCGCTCGCAGTCCGGTCGTTTCATCACCTCCGGCTCACTCAAGTCACCCGATAGCCCGCTGACTAAAAATCACAAGTTGGCACACCACCATTAGGGAACCACTGCAGCCTGCCAAAATGAGGTCGGTATTCACTACATACCACACTCATCATTTTGTGCAACATACTTCGGTTAGAGAGATTACTAATTTCTTCCTGGTGACGGTCCGAGTCAGCCGTCACCGAGCTCCGGAGCGGCCGGCGGAATGTCGGATTTGAGCGCGGACGAGCCGGACGAGGTCAATTCCCGCGCGCATTTCGGCGCAGCGCGACAGGCCGCGACTATAAATGGGGGCGCGTGTGGGGGGAAGACCTCTCTCTCTCTTGCTTTCTCTCCTTCTCTCTCTTCCACATCCACATCATCCACCACCCGTCCTTACTACATCGCGTCTTCAACACCCTCTCAATTTATGCTCAGTGTCTTACGAACTTGTAGGTCCATGTCCCACCCCGCCACACTGCCCTCAAGGTTCGACGTGCTCATCGCAGCCGACTTGATGTTGAACCCACCCCCACTGACATCGCACCGGGTCTTCCGCGGAGTTCACACATTCCCAAGACGCTTACACCACCTCACAGGTAGGACGATGACGACCAAGACCACCTCAAATGCGGGTGGGAACGAGTTTACCAACTTTGCCAAGGACAATTTCAGTCAATCCGGTACGTCGCCCCGTCGCCCGAGTAGTAGGAGTGGGGAGGCCATCGACGACGGTAGTCCTAGGCGTGCTGACCACTCCGGTGATAATGATGATGTTGATGTACGACCAGGTGGTTCCGGCCTATACGATGCTAGTCGACCTACGTACCCCAAGCAAGCTATCAAGGACATTCTCGCCCAACTTCCCCCGCGCTCGACCGTTGTCGAGTTAGGAGCCGGTACCGGCATCTTTACGAGGAACTTTATCGAGGCCGTATCGACGGGGACTGATGGGCAGAACGCGATTGAGAAATGGATCGCTGTGGAACCTTCGGAAGGGATGAGGAAGGGTTTCGAGCACAAGTGGGATCGAACGAATGGGGTCGACATGGAGTGTGTGGATGGACTGTTCGATAAGATTCCCGTGGAGGATGCCAAGGCCGATTTGGTACGTCCTTGGGGGTGTGATATAGCTTTCATCGTTATATCTTACTAAGCTTCAAGTTCCAACCCGTACAGGTCTGTATTGCCCAAGCGTTCCATTGGGTCGGCACTGACGGATCCAAAGCCATGAAAGAGATCGCGCGCGTTTTGAAACCCGGTGGATTGTGCGCCATGATTTGGAACCTCGAAAACAGGGAACAGCCTTGGGTCGCTAAAGTTCGGGAGATTTATGAGCATCATGAAGCGGGTGAGCAGGGGAGTGGTCGAGTGCAGTTTGTGACGATGGCAAGGACTGATATCTGGGTTTTCCGACAAAGGTACCCCTTAATACCGCCTGGGGCTGTGGAAGTCCATCTTCCAAACGGACGAATACAAGTCCTCATTTTCCGAACACTCTTTGAAGAATTACTCCCAAACGTTGACGACGAACGAAGACCTTGTCGTTAATCGTGCGCTGTCCAAGAGTTATATCACCGCCTTGCCCAAGGAGAAGCAGGATGAGCTGGCGGGGAGGATCCGGGATCTTGTCAAGGGCGCCAAGGATAAGGTCTGGATCGACGAGGGGAAGGGGACGTTTGGTGAGTTGCTGAACTGTGATACGCCGGAGAGCTACAAGGACTTGACGAGATTTTCTGACTTTTACTCGTGCGGACCGACAGAATATCCCTATACGATCGATCTCTTCACTTTTACACGCAAATAGATGATGCGTTCATTCTCCGATCTTGGTTTAGTTCTCCGTATACATTGCAAACAAAAAACCATAACTATCCCTTCAGGTCCTGCAACAGATCTTTGACTTTTTCGAACGCCTTTTCGTCCCCGAACGAATCCCTCGTCCGCCCCATAAAAGTTCTCACGATCGACCTCGCCTGGAATTTCCAATCCTTGGCCACGAGCTCACCATCGGCTTTACTCTTCGGTCCAAGGTTCTCCAACATCGTGACGACCTCTTCGACTCGCGTCGTGGCGGCGAGGAAAGCCTTCTTGTCGTGCGTGATGGATTCGTCGGAGCCTACGACTGCGCGATAGGCTTTGAGGTGGCAATCCAACGCACCTGCATAGTCTGATTGGAAGAGGTACAATCGGGCACGGGCGAGGAAAACTCGAGCAGAGCTAGAGCAATGGGGCAGGATCGTCGTGTCGATTAAGCGTTCGACGCGGGGAAGAAGACCTTTACCCGAGTTGGGGTTCACGTAAGGGGTGGAGGATTGCGCTTGATCCGGTTCATCGTCCAATTGACGCGTCACGGCGTCGACCAACCTTTCGAGCACTTCGAGATCGATCGCCCCTTCCCCATCTTTGGCGATACGCATCTCAGTGATACGGGTTAGGGCGCGACAGGCCTCGGAGAGCTCGCCGACGTCGACGGCGACGATCATGTAGTTGTACCACATGCGCCACGAGTCGTACGAGTGCTTGATCGCTTGTTTGAGGCAGTGGAACGCGGCGCGCTTGCGGCTAAAGGGGAGCTTGACCACTTCTTCCGACTCGGTCTGTTTTGCGGTGCTCGCTGTAGGTGCAGTCATGGGGGTAGTGGTTGAAATTTGATCGTCATCGTCGTCGTCCAATGCGTCCCATGTCTCTTCGGAATCATCGTCGCCTTCGGTCTCCCCTCGACGAAGATGACAACTCGCGAGATTGCTCCAACTCTCCGCATCATCGTCCTCTAGTGCGACGCACCGTCCAAAAGCCTCCTGCGCGCCCGCCCAATTGAGTAACCTCATCTCCGCACAACCGAGTACGAACCAAGAGCGAGGGAACAGGGGGTTGATCGCCAGTGCGAGTCGAAGCGCATCGCGCGCTTTCTCGTAATCGTTCGCCGCCCAGTAAGTTGCCCCAAGGGATCTTTGTGCGAGCGACGACGTCTTGCCCGAAACGATCCACGCCTTTTCAAAATGTTGGGAATCCTTTTCCAATTCGCCCAAGATGCACCACATCTTGGCTTCTCTCCTCGGACCACCTCGAAGGATCCTCGAAGCACCATCGGTCTTGCGCGCCTCCATCACCAATTCCGTTTCGACCTTCTTCCCTTCGAGTAATTCACGAATGATCGCTATCCCTCGGTCCGCGCGCTCGAGTGAAGTCCAACAACGCGCTACTTCTTCCCACATCTCAAGACGGGTGAAGATCTCCAAAGCGGATTTCGTAATCCCGAGCGAACCGTATCGCGTTGCAAGCTCACGTTCCATCTCCCACCAAGGCGGTAGATTGAGCGCGTGGAAGTGGGCGAGTCGATCCCGCGCTGGGGCCATATCTTCCGATTTGACGGCGGAGGAAATGGCGGAGATGTCCCGCGGAGAACCGTCTTTGAGTTGATCGACGAGAGCTTGCATTTGTAGTACACCGCGTTCGACGGTGCGCGACCGACCGGCTTCGGCTCGGCAACGTAGGAGGAGGGCCATCGAATGCACGGACCAGTTTTGGGGTTGGAGAACGACGCGCGAAACGAAGGAGGAGACTTGGGAGGTCGACAGCACGTCCGCAGAGAGATTCATGAGTGAGGTCGGGGCGGGTAGGGTCGCGAGGGAGAGGGCGAGAAGGACACTCTGAGAAAAGGGCGAGATGTCGGGTTGCGAGGTCGGGTCCATCGACGAGAGACTGTCGGGATCCTCATCGACAGGTTTCGGCGCCGAAGAGTCCTGCGTGAAGGCTGTCCGCTCGAGCAATGTATCGTCGTTCAATGCGAACGCTTCCGGAACAGGAGTGGGAGCGGCTGCGGTCTCGACCTGCTTCGACGTCTCTTCATCTTTGGCTTGTTGACTCGTTCGATCGCGCGCCAGAACGACGAGTTGGGTCTTTTCGTCGACTTGCCATTTGGTCCTCTTGCCCATCCTACCCGTCAATTCCCATTCGAGACCAATCTCCTGAGCGGCTTGCACCGCCAAAGCCGAGGCTTCCTTTTGTGCAGTCGAGTGGGGGGAAGATCGACTTAGAAGGGTCGAAAGGAGAGAAAGGGAGAGGGAGAGGGAGGCTCGGTCGGGCGAGTCGTGCGGGAGGGCCAGACGGAGCGTCGAGGCCTCGGATGCGATGGACAGGGGTAAGGGGACAGGTTCGTCGAGGATCTTGAGCCAGACGAGGCCAGCTCGCAGACGCCAGATCTTGACAGATTCCAGGCTCCATCTCAGACTTGTGGGGATGGTCGAGACCAAGGTTGACGAGGTCGAGGGCAGGTTCTCCTCCGAGTCGGCGGTGTCGTAGGGCGACCGGAGCAGACCAAAGATTTGCAAGGCCAGCACGAGTAGGATGGCGTGCTTGGTCAGATGGTACGCCGGTTCTCCACTGTAGGCCAATTCTTCGATCGCGGTATCGTTGATTTGTTCGGGTGCGAAGGTCGATGCTCCGTCCTTGCTGTCGAACAAGTCCCGAGGATCGAGCTCGAGCGTCGGTCCGGTCCAGTTGATTTGCACAAACGCGTGCAGGGCTGCGACTCCAACCGAGAGTAGATTGAGCTCAAAATTGGGTTCATCTCGCGTCGGTAGGGACGCGAGGTCTATCCCAAAGCGAGGTGTGGCCGACGACGATAAAGCTCCGGAGTCGATTTGCCAGCATGCGCGTGCGAAGGGCGAGTGCAGCACCTTGAGCGCTTCGGCGGCACAGGCATCCTGTACAAGCCCCGAGGTGGACGCTTGGGGCTCGTTGAGGTGAAGTAGAGCCGACTCGGCTGCGGTGAGAGCTACCATCGGGTACGTTCAGACGGAGGGAACGCTGTATCGGAACAAGTCAAGCGAGGCTCGGTCAGCATCACTTTGTGGGAGGAGAGCAGCAGCGAGTGGGGGGGGGGGAGATGTGCTGACCCTGGTGTACCGCAAGTTCAGACCGCCGAAACAGGAGCAGCAAAGGACGAGACGGAACTTTTGAGTGGGAGGGATGATGCAACACGAGCCGAAAGAGAGAGCACATCCGAGTCAACCCCGACGCATCGAGGGAATGGTTGATTAGTAACCAATCCGTGCGATCGAAATATTACTAATAGCGCCGCGCAGGCCTCTCCCTCCTCTCCCTAATAGCTCTCTCAGGCTCTCCCTCGAGGCGCGCTTGCGAAGTGGGAAGTTGGCTAGATTTGGCTGCGAAGGTCATTCGTTCGCCTGGTTGCGCTGGCCGTGTCGCGCGCTCGTTGCCCTTACTTGCCCACCCTCGCAAGACCAGAATACTACATCCCTCAGTCCCCCAATTCCACCATGGTCGACCAATTCTTCAACAAGGCTCGACCGTTCACTAAACGGCAACGCGAACCGACCCATGGAGATCCAGCTTCGTCTGAGTCGTCGAGTCGTCGAGCGGCGCGTGGTGCTGGTCGCGGCGGCGCATTCGGGGGGCGTTCAGCGGCTGGTGGTGCAGGTCGATCGGGGAGAGGGAGGAAAGATGATGGTGGTGGGAGTGGGTCGGCGTTCCACAACAAGAAGCCGAGGACGGCGAACGGGGCAGGGAATGCAAAGGGCAAGGCGAATGCTGCCAATGGCGCATCGACGGGACGACGACGGCGCGACGAAGAGGACGATGACGACTTGAACGACGACAAGTTCGACTCGGATGACGAGGATCACGACGACGAGGATGAGGAGGATGAGTTTGAGGAGGAACAGGACGATCCGCTCGAGACGCCCGCACAGAAGAGGTTGAGGCTTTCGCAGATGTACCTCGATTCATTGGCCAAAGGAGCAAAGGGCCAGGGTATGTCACTACGATCGCGTACGTGACGTGTGGGGGGAGACACTGACTCGACTCTTCCATGGCGATCAGACGAGTTTGGGTGTGACGCGGCCGAGGTGGACCGAGACATCATCGCCGAGCGGCTGCAGCAGGACGTCGTAAGTCACAACGCAGCTGCTTCATCTCTGAGTGCATCGCTCACCCTCTCTACGACCCATCGCAGCTTCAACACTCTGGGAAACTCCACCTCTTCGTAGCCAACACGGTCAGTCTATTCCCTCTTCGCGAAGCCATCCGATTGCCGAGCTGAATCGCTTTACTCCCCTCCTTAGCTCATCTTCCCCCTCGACCCGACCCAAATTCACCAAACGCCGCGCAAAGCCCATCGTGGACCTTTGACGAGCGCGATCGCTTCCCAGGACGCGCAATGGCTCTACACCGCTTCCAAAGACGGGAGCATCATCAAATGGCACCTCGGCCCACGCGCTCATACGGTGGGATCCGCGCTCAATCAGATGGAGGACGGGGAAACACCGTCCGAGAAGAAGGGCAGCATCACCAAGGCCGTTTACCTTCCCAAGAGGAAACGCGACCCGACGCAAATCGCGAACAAGGAAGAATCCGCCAAAGCCAAGGGCAAGAAGAAGGCCTTGAACAATAGTGCGACCGCTGTGGGACATGCGGCGGAGGTGTTGAGTTTGGATTTGAGTACGGATGGGACGATCTTGGCGAGTGGGGGTGCGGATAAGGTCATTGGGGTTTGGAACGTTAAAGGGGAGGGGGCCAAGTGGGTTAGAGGGCTTTCGGGGCATAAGGATCGAGTGGCGGTGAGTTGGAGCGTTGGTCGGGCAGAGGACTGCAGAGCCGTTGACTGATCGATACGAATTGGCAATTCGCAGTCCCTCGCATTCCGTCAAGGCACCCAGGAACTCTACTCGTCTTCCTTTGACCGAACCATCAAGCTCTACGACCTATCAACGCTATCCTACGTCGAAACTCTGTTCGGCCACCAAGATTCGATCCAACACATCGCCGCGTTGAGGGGCGAACTCGCCGTTTCCGCAGGCGGGAGGGACAAGACCGTACGGTATTGGAAAGTCGCCGAGGAGTCGCAGCTGGTCTTTCGCGGGGGTGTGGTCAGTAGGGTCAGGAACGTGCTTGATGGGGCGTTCGAGGAGGATGATGTGGCGCAGGTTGAGGCCGAGAGGAGGAAGAGGAAGGAGAGGGGCGAGGTCAAGTATGTCGAAGGGAGCATCGAGTGCGTCGCTATGGTCGATAATACGACTTTTTTGAGTGGGGGTGATAGTGGGTAAGTTGATTTGGTTGCCAAGATGCTCGGCGTAGGAGACTGATACCCGTCTTACTCACCGGGCCCACAGCTCAATTTGCCTCTGGACCACGACCAAAAAGAAGCCCATCGCTTCGCGGCAACTCGCGCACGGCACGCACGACACCCAATCCGCGACCGAAGGCCTCATCGCCACACCTCGATGGATCACCGCCTTGGCCTGCTTACCCTATGGCGACGTATTCGCCTCTGGATCGTGGGACGGCTCGATTCGGTTGTGGAAGATTGATGAAAAGATGAGGTCCTTCGAGGTTGTCGGTGAGATCCCCGCGGTTGGATACGTCAATTCGTTGCAAATTGTTTTGCCGAACGTCGAGCAGACGGACAAGGAGGGTGACGAAGACACTTTGAGGGGGAAGAGCTTGATGGTCGTTGCTTCGACGTCGAAGGAACCGAGGTTGGGGAGGTGGAATAGGCTCAAGGAAGGGAGAGAAGGTGCACTTGTGGTCGAGATCCCTTTGCGAGAAGGGTAATGTAGCTCTCATAGGAATATTACCATACCTCAGGAACTGCATTGCATTATTTTGCGTTTCACACGCATTGAGCTCATGAAATGTCCATCGTCCTCTGCCGCTCGCGGTTAGCTCGAGCCCACTCCGAGAGGATCCCAATTGCTGTCTTTCGCTGGCTGCGGCTGTGTCGTTGGTGCCACTACTGGGACAGCAGCTGGTGTCGCTGTAAACATGGCCTCTGTCCGTGATTTCGGAAGGTCTTGGATCCCGGCCGAGGACGACTGCGCAAGCGCTTGTTGCCTACGACCTGCCGACGCAGGGGCGTAAGGCTGGTACGAGTGACCGACAGAGAGACCGTCCACCTGACCAGCCAGGGTTGTTGCCCCGTTGGGTGAGGGTACCGGACTCTGAGTCCGAGCCGGGGAAGCCGCGAGGAGAGTTTGGGAAGGAACTGACCCTGCGGCAGCACGTGCCTCGAATCGCTGCGCCGCATCCTGCCCGTACTTTTGGACCGATTTCCATGCGGACCAACCGAAGCGCTGGACCGAAGATACGGCCTCGGCTACTTGGGCTTGGGAGGGGACCTCGAGGGGTAGAGAGCCGCCGGAACGTAGTGGCGTCGCTGAAGTCGGCGACGTCGGGCTCGCTGCGGTCGATCTGCTGGTCGGCCTTGGGTCGCGGTCCGTGATACTCGTGTCGACCGTCGCACTTGCGGTCTGGAACTGTTGGGGACGAGACCCGTTCAATGAAGCACCACCACCGGGTTCGATCGATGGTTGCGGAACAACCACAGCGACAGCTTCCTCGACCACTTGGGGATGTATTTCGTTCGGTGAGCCGTTCATCTCCTCGTCGGAGCGATTGAACAGGGCATACCACCATCGTACATCTTGGGGGTCCAAGAAGAGCACGCCTTGATCCGCATCGGCGCGTCTTGCCGTGGGATCGTCCAAGGAGGGGTCGTACAGATGATTGACGAATTCGGCTTTGAGTCGGAGCTCGGTCTCACCGTTGGGTCCGGTCGAAACCTCTTCGAAAAATTCTTCCCAAACGCTCGAAGTGAGATCACGCGCGTTGAAATCGGATCGATCCCTTTCGGAGTTGAAAACAAACGTGCCGGATCGACCGGTGTAGCTCTCGTAGTGCAGTCGTCGGAGCAGAGTGTCGTTCCATTCGAACCGAGTCGGAAATTGTCGTTGGATTTGGTAAATACAGTCCAAGAACTGCTGAAACACTGGGCAGACCTCCTTGGCGTTGGAGCGAGTTGCGCCAAGCGACTTGGAGACATTGGCGAAGAACGCCTGTTGTGGCATCGAATCGTCGCCCCGAGCTTGGACGAAGGGGATACGGTCACCACACAAGAGGCCCGTGCGGTCCGTGAAGCGGTGGCCGTAGGACAGCCAGTCTTTTTCGATCAGCACGGCCAAGCCAGCAGCTGTTCGATAGTACGGGTCTAAGCATAGCTGTGGGAGGGCAGAAAGCTGGGAGGTGCGATCCCAACCGTCCGAGCAATGGACCAAGACGTGGGAGTTGTAGAGGTGAATAGTGCGCGTGATGGTGCGCACGCCGTCAAGGATGTTCGTTAGATGGGCCAGCCAATTCGTTTTCCGCAGAGCAAGTCGGTCCAGGGTGCCCGTCAGCTCGGAGTCTCGCAAGGCTGAGACAACGAACGCGCATCGGACGTGTCAGGCACTGTGTCGATTCAAAAATTGTAGCGCATCACACTGACCGTCGAATATGCCATTCAGACTGGATCGCATGACGTGAATATTGTCGATGCCAAGATATTCCTTCCGGCAATTGCGATAGAAAGACATGTTCTCACTCCCTGCGCCTTTGATCGAGTTCGCATACGCATTCTTGGTCGGCCGAGCATCAATGATGATGTTAGTCGCTTGAGCACCGTACACAATTTCGGCATTTCCTGCGGACCCATCGTTCGTGCCCCGCGTAGAACTGCCCCGCATTGCCTGACGGGGATGCGAGTGCTGCGAGTGCGAGGTAAAGATGCACTCGACGAGCTTTTCGTCCTGTATCGATCGAGCACCTTGTGTAATGCCGACCATGGGTTGTGACGATCGAGTGATGGACCCCTGCGGGGAAGCGCGCCTCAGGAGGTTAGCCAGGGAATGATAGTAATCTCCGTATGGACGAACCAGATTTGCCCAGTGCAGGTACACCAGGCCAGGAATCCGGCCCTTGCTACGATATTTGACCGCATAGTTTAGCGTCGTGTCCGAGATCTTCTGCGGCACCACGATCTGGGGCGGGTAAGATGGACAGAGCTGTGCAAGACAAATAGGTGATGCGGTCGGTTCGAGTTGTGGACTGTCATGTTCGCATTTGCTTGCACCTACATCGTATTTCTCGTTGAGCGCCGTAAACCTCCAAGCTCTACTCCGGGTCCCAAGGCCCATGCGAGCAAACTCTGCCTCGGGGCTGTAGATCATCCACCCCGCTTTGCCTTTACCCTTTGCGTCGGGACCGTTCACCTTTGAAATGTCGACCGTAGCATTGTCGGAGAAGGCGTAAAGGCCTTGTATGCCGTGTGCCGCGACCTCGGCGCACAGCGCTTTGAGCCTGTCCCAGATCCCATTCGCCTCGTCAGCTTCGCGGAAAAACAGATCGTATACGAGAAAGTCGCGGGTCCGAATGGTAATTGCGGATGGTGATCCATCGTGGTTCGGTGGTCCGCGAGATACGGAGTGGATGAGCGAGAAGGGGAGCTAGCGGAGCAAGTAGGTCGAACGCGTACGGCACACGCAAGAGAACATGCTCTTGTCAGTCACGTCCACAGTGTGCACACCTGAGTCACACTGATGTGGTGAGCGCACCTTGATCACGGTGTCTGATGCTGCGTGGGGCGCATCGCTGCTTCCGGACCGAAAGACGAGGCCATGTGGGGTGAGCTGCAGGGAGCCCTTTTGCGGTGACGCGGTGCTTCCGCCCGTTCGAAAGGACAAGTGGACATGCTCGACCTGTGACATAGATGATCGTATTGCTGGTAAGCTTGGCTTGCGATGAGATATGACGACACGCCCGGACGGTACGACGTAGCACCACTCGCCCCGTCGATCGATCGTGCTTGTTCCCCGGACTCACCGAGCTCAGTCGCAGCGAGTCCACGGCCATGGCAGATGAGCAGACGATACGGCCAAGGCTTCCCTGGAGTATGTATCAGGCGCGTGATCAAGCCGAATGGGAGCGAACTGTGCGTGCTCGGTCGCGGGTCGTGCGGACACGAACAACGGCGCCCGAGGACAAGCACGCGTTCGTGCGTCGAAGGCGAGTCTCGTTACCGAGCGGATTGGACGATTAGAACCAGCTACTAAGACGGTGTAGCACAGCAACTTCCGGCCCCCTACTGATCGAGTATTCGACAGAGCCATTTCGACTCTCTCAGCGTTAGCTTGAATCGGCTATTTCTTGCTTAAATCTGTAAATGTAGGTGCAGGGCAGCAGTCATGTGTAATCCGGTGGGGCACCGAGTACTACTAGTAGCGTTAAAAAAACCGACTCGTATGCTTCGAGTCGACTTGAAGTTGGGTTCGGCAGCACGATTCGCCCGGAGACCAAGGTGACAGGAAAGCAAATTTAGAGAAAAAGAAAAGAAAAAGAAAAAGAAAAGAAAATTATATAGTACTAAGACGTTCAGAATTTATGTCCCACTCTGCTGATTGCAATGTCGCCGACTCCCAAGAGCCGCCGAGCTTAACGCGGCAAACCGTCCCCGCTTAGGTAGTAGGTACTACCAAGTGGAACAGCCCAGAGTCCCAGACACGGGACCGCGCTTCCGTAGGTACTAGTTGTGGGTATGAAGGTTTCGAGGAATCGAGTATGGAGGACTCTAGCTGAGGCAGAATGTCGAATCTCGATTGAACAGTCAAAGACTGTCGAGGATGATCCAGTCGCTCGCGATCTCCAATCATCGATCATGCTGAAGCTTCAAGACTTGTTGCCTCGAATCTACCTACCCACAAGAGACCTAAATCGCCCTTCCCACGCATTAATCGCACGTCCTTGTGCTTCTGCTACCGCTTGCCTGCACCTCATTGTCCCGCTTGGATCAGGTTGGATTACTCGGTCGTCGGAGAGATGCAAGAGCAAAGACTGCGCTCTTGTGTCACACATGCCATGTGCGTCTCTCACCCTTCGTCTGTGGACGATGCATGTATGTGACAAAAGCTCAAAAGCTGTTGATCCGAAATATTATTGCCCCAAATCGAAATGGTACCAGCTGATCGTGCACAGGTTTTTCTCATCGTCTAAACATTTCGGTTTGTGATGTGAAGCTTTACCCCTCTGTCGCAAACGCTGCAACGCACGTCTCAAGGAATTTGCTCGTCCTCGTACAACACCGGCTTCAAGAACTTCAATGGATAAAGCATATGCGACGTAGAATAGTGCCTTACTGTGGCGAATGCTGCCCGCGTGTTCGTGACTTCGCGAGCATGCGATTTCGCTTGCCAGGAGGGCTTCAAAAAGGTCGTCGCAAGTGCGCAAAGGATTGCGACAAATATACTCTAACTAGGTTCGGCGGCGCGCTCCGCGCGCCACCTCACACCGTAACCGTTGACCCGCTGAAATGTGATGTACTTTGCTGCAACAGCTGCGGTACTGTTCAGTGATGGTCCAAGTCGGGAGAGGACCGCGGGACGACGATCAAATGTAAAGAGCCTTCATTTCAGGACGTTTCTGACACCGTCCACATAGTTGCTCAGGACAACGCGACATACAACTGGCCGTGACAAAAGATGGGCGTCTCCAGACACACTCCTACCTGCGCAAGTGACTGCTCTTGCAACTTGCTGAACGTCATAGCCATTGCCGGCCGAATTGGAAACTGCGTCCGATGCAGAGTGAACGGAAGTTCAGCTGATGACCCTGTCTTCAGCGTGATCCGTGGCAACAAAACTGGCTGTCCAGCATGATCTCCTGTGAGAATGATGGCCTCGAGCAGGTGGGTGTGTAACCGAGTTGACAACAGTCTTGTGCCGTTGCACAGCCCCGCGGCGGGGTCCAAGTTTCCACTTTGAATCTTGCAGCGTGAACGGCATCCCGGCGATGTTGAGACTCTGAAGGTACTTGATCGAGAACAGTGATCCGTCTTCATTTTCGACCGAATCCGCGCTGTAGAACGTTTGAGCGTCACCCGGCAGCAGGTCGGGCACCATGTCGTTGATCTGTGCGAATTTTTGGGCGCCAGAATTGCTCGATCTCGAAAGTATTCGACTTTTTCGCCTATCGACGTATTGCCTTTGCCCGTTCCGTTTCGGTCATGCGGTCTGCAGCGGCCAGAAGACGCATGTCTGTCTGCGCTCGCACCGTGGGCTGTTGTTAGTATAGGTCTAAAAGTCAGGCAAGGACTACTACTTACAGAGAGATCCCCCCAGAAGTCGCCATTCATGATGCAAGCGTCGACGATTTGTGCAGGCGATGACGTGGAATAACGGGAAGGCATCGCTTCGGAACCCCTGTGATGTTACAGTCCAACCGGTCAGTTAGTCCTGCTGCCCTGCGGTTTTTGAAAGATTGGCACACACCTGCCAACACGACGGTCACTCCACCGAACCGAGCCATGGAATAACGGAAAGGCATTGCTTCGGATTTCCTGTGATGTTACAGTCCAACCGGTCATTAGTAATGCTGCCCTGCGTTTTGCTTTTGAAAGATTGGCACACACCTGCCAAGAACCGAACCGAGCCGTTGAGGATCTGCCACGGGATGGTGAGCCGCAATTCACCCGACCAGAGGCTGTTTTCTGGCGTGATTCGTTACAACTATCAGCATTATTGCTGTTGTCCATCTGTAGCAATGGCAGTGAAGACTCACATTTAGTGTCCCAATGACCCGGATTCTCAACCGTACGAAGTCAATCCTTCCGCTGTGTCACTGACGTTCAATGTCTGTTCTTCGTATCAATTTTTCCGTCATATCTAAGACTGACAGCCATGTCAAGGGATAACTCAAGCATGCCGTATCACCAGCTGACGGTGAAGAAACAACTCGAGGGTTGACATTCAAAGAGGACGTGTTGAAGGAAATTGCTGCTTGGTAGTTCTCCATTAGCTCCTGAACAATCCCACACCGGAGAGCACAGTTCATGAAGTTACTTACTCGAATTCGTAGCTATGTTGCATGCGGCAGGCATTTCTTGATCCCGTATTCGTTGCAGAGCTTCCACGACGACCGCTTCGGACGTCGCGAGCTCGAGGTGGCGATGGGATCAGGTGCGATGGGTAAGGTGTGAAGAGCAGGAGGGAGAAGAATGGAGAAGCCTGCGCCTCAGTTTAAATCGGGTTCATAGAATGTCGCGGAAGGCCGCGGAACGACGTGGAGTGAAGCCCAGTGTCGGCAAGCCGTGACACGCTGGCGGGGCCCCTAACGGCGGAATTGGCGCACTGGTCGACACTACCGGACGTGACGTGCTGCCGGTGCAGATTGACTTGACGAACCAGTTTGCGCGACGTCGTGTTGATCGATTGGGGGTGGCGACCGTGCGATTAGAGCAGGAGTCGGGTTGTACGGAGGAGGCTCAGCTCGCTCACGATGCCGACGTCTCTGCTGCCCTCTGCTCTCCGTGCGGCGTGAAGATTGTCGTACAGGAGACGGGACGTGAAAGTTTGCAGATGACATCTCGGCTCTGGCAGGAGCTGGATGATTGAAGGAACTACGCTGCGATGTGATAGACACGCAAAACAGGTCGTCGCAGTCTGCTTCAGGAAGCAGAGTCACGTGCTCTTCAATGGAATCTCGGCGAACGTAGACGAAACGGACTGTCGCCGGCCGACCCGTGCTGAAACAGCGCTAGCTAGCTGGGACGCGCTGGACCGAGAGCTGCCTATGACGTCACGCCACATGGTTCCTGTTCTTTGACGTTCTTTGACGTTCTTTATCTCCCTGGTTTGTCTCCCGTTCTCTGACGTTCTTTGACGTTCTTTAGCCACACAGACGTTTTTATAGATTAAGGATGCCCCACGTTCCCCAACTCGGTCTCGTGGTGCACCACTATGGTATAGCAAAACGGTTTATCTAAGATGATATAAAAGGATAAGGAAAAAAGTGTGACTCAGAGCTAGAGACCCAACTTGAACTTGTGAGAGAGACGACTCCTCGGTGCAGTGCCAAGAGAGCGACTCCGAGTCCCGGAGCGGCCCAGAGACAGGGCCCGGGGCGAGAGGGGCGAACACGAGAAAGGGGTAGATACGACAAGCGAGACCGAGTACGAGTACGAGATTGATATTGGAGACTGGAGACGATGCCAAATTGCTCCCAACCTCGACGCCGCGACCGCCTGGCTGGCACTGCGAAGACAGCCCCGGACACGACGACGCCACGACACTTGCTGAGACATCATGGCTGCACCTCTTCGTGGGATTCATGATCTGAGAAAAATCAAAGTCTTCTCAAAGTTAAGCTTCGTCTACATGTCACCCAAACAGCACGATGATGGCTCTATCCCTCAGCTCGAGACCTGATGTGATACATCACGTGATTCCCGTCCCGGATCTTGAACCCTGGCTCCCACCGATCGTGTATAAGTCCGTGTTGGTATCTTGATGCGGATGTGGTGCAGTAGTTCGGTTCTTGCTGCATCGGCTTGTGATCAGCCAGGACTAGCTTCACTTGCTTGGAGGGACCTTGACTCGTGCAGTCGAATCATACGGCTACGAACCTTTTGAAACCGAAGTGGTGCTCCACCTGAGTCTGATGTCAAATCCATTTATTACAGCGCGTTCGGCGTCTCCTCGAATTTTTGGGCCCAAAACGTCGACCTCCAAAATCGCAAATATTGCCGTGAGGCGAAAATCGTCCGGCGGATTTTGACGATCAATTCGATCAGTCTTGATCTGCCCGGCTCGAAAATCGCGTTCGGTTGCGCCTCGCGCCGGAGCGCGCCGGTTCCCTTCCACGACGCGTCGGCGTGCCAGTCACGTGTTGGGACGAGTACTTGACAGGTTGCGCTGTTTGCCTCACTTTCCGCCGCGGTCGGCTCGTAGAACAACGTTCTGGCTTCCACTTCTCCACACGCATTCCAAATCGCAGCACCGATTCACTCGCTCTCGACAATGTCTTCGCAGGACAATATGCGCCTAAAACGACGAATGGCAATCATCATTGTTAAAGAACATCTGCGTCAACAGGCTCAAGCACTAGCACTAGCGCAACGGCATCTCATTGAATTGTTTGCGGACGACGACGACGAACCAGTGGCCCGCCCTCCCCCCAGACCAATGCACAACTCGCCTTACACTGGGCGCCATCACATTCAGTTTCTCATCAACAGCCATCCACAGAATATGTCGGACGAACTTGGCATCACACCCGCCTGCTTCACCAAGCTCGTGCAAGATCTCCGAATCCACACTACTCTCACGGACTCGCGCTTCATACAACTCGAGCAGAAGGTCGGATTTCTCCTGCAGGCACTTCGACACAGTGATGGTGTTCGGAAAGTGGGTCATAGGTTTCAGCACTCGACTTCAACCATCGCTATGTGAGTGGAAGCTATCGTTTGCGCAAAGGCCTCCAGTCCTTACCTCGTCTTATTTTGCAGCGAGCTGATTGGTTGCTACTGTCCCTTGTGCAGGTATATTCACGAGGTGGTCGAAGCGATTATGACCTCCAAGCTCTATGGCATATATGTGCATCAACCGAGACCCGACGAACCTACCAGCGGAATCATCACGCGTAACCCGAAGCTCCAGCCATATTTCGGCCATTGCATTGGCGCTCTAGACGGCACTCATGTCCCCTGGAAGGCGCGCGCTGGCGATGATCGTCGCTTCCGAAATCGAAAAGGATTTCTATCCCAGAACGTGTTCGCGGTGTGCTCGTTTGAATTGCTATTCCTGCATCTACACGCGGGGTCTGAAGGCAGCGCACATGACCAGGAGGTTCTCGCCTGGGCGATAGAGAAAGGCTTCCAAATTCCTGGCCCGGTCAAGTACTATCTTGGTGATGCGGGATACACCATGTCGGAGAACATCATGGTCCCTTACCGCGGAGTTCGATATCATCTCCGCGAGTGGATCGCAGGTGCTCGATCTTCGTCGCGCGAGACGTTGTGAGTACCATCCCCTACCGATTGCGGAAATGCGCCGATCGCCGCAATGTACGATCCCACAGGCCGCAATCACGCCAGTCAACCGACGACAAAGATGTGTATTGATTCGTACCGTTTCCCCCTGTCTTAGACCTTTCACCAAGCAAGAGCTATTCAACCTCCGCCATGCCCAGCTCCGCAACGTGGTCGAACGTATTTTCGGAGTGGTGCAGCGCAAGTTCTCAATTCTCACCGGTTCCGCGCCAGAGTACAGCTACAAGATACAGGCAATGATTCCCTTGCTTTGCGCCTTTTTGCACAACTATGTGCATATCAACGACCCCATCAATTCATCGACTGGCAAAGCGCGAGCGGCGAGGATGACTCTGGAAGCAAAACGTGCTCGTCTAGAAATCATCTACAAACGAATAGAGGAGGCTTTGCAGAACCCAGGGGTAGCGGTGGACGAGGAAGTCGATGACCCGCCAGAAGACCAAGCTGAGGGTCTATCCATGGAAGCCACACGCAATGAGATTTCTGATCGAATGTGGATCGACTATTTGAAGTACAAGGAGGGGCCGCGGCGTCGGCAACAGGTGCTTGATCACCTGGACGAGCTTCTCCTCGCGTTCGATCACGAGGGGCCTCTCCTGCGATAGTGTGTACGCGCGTCCCAAGGCTATGCATTTAAGTTGATTGCTGTAATCTACTTCTGATCCTTTGATCTTGCGACGTCCACGGTCTGAGAGCACAAATGTTTGAGGGCGAAGGGTGAGTTCAGAGCCAGCAGGAAAGACAGTCTTTAAATTCCAGTGATAAGAGGCAAGGATGCAAAGCTTTCCAGCAGATGTTCAAAGAGTTGACATCACAAATCGAATTGAGCAAATTGGATAGTATGCGGCAGTTTTACAGGCCAGATTATTGACAGAGCCTGCATGTTGTTCATTGCATCGGATGCATCATCAGAGGCAAATCAAATTTATGATTGCCACCATAGAAGGCCGCGGCCTCCTTGGCACTGCGTGCTTCGACAATAATCTCCGAAGCGGCACTCCAATCCGGCTTCCACCGAGTCTTGAGGTTGGCCAAGTACGTGACCACTGAGACAGGGAGGTTGTCCCCACAGGCAGCCGGGATAGGCCACGACTGTATCCCACCCCGGCTGGTCGAGCTCCTCGAATTTGTAGAAGTGCTCGAGGAACTTCTCACGATCGCTTAACATCGCGCGGTCGAGGTGCCCTATCATACGATCGGTCAAATCCTCGTGCTTCTGTTGAAGGACAGCGAGCGTGTTGTCCAGGTGCTCCCTTCTTGCCTGCACGATGGCACGCTGTTGCACAGAGGCACGGTCGCGAGAGAGCCGCGGTTTCTTGGTGGCGGAGGTGGACTGGGAAAGGAACACGGCAAAACAAGTCAGGGAAAGGCCGGAATGACCATATGGGCGTAGCTCGCGTCTACGCATTTACTTACAGACTTCGCTCGTAAAGCTGGCAAGGGCTGTAAACGCGGTGTTGGAGATTACTCGAGCCTCCGCACGCGGTCGACGAGCCGATGGTTTCGGGCAACATCTAACACCTACCGTTGCACACGCCGCGCGAGGGTCGATATCTTCATCAGATTCACCCGCACTTTCCGAAGCATTTTCTTCTGAAAGCTCGAGGGTTCCAGCTTCCGAGCTTTGGCCCCGACGGGGTTCGCGTCGTCTTCGACGCGTCGTCCCCATAGCTGAATCCATCACTATCTGTGGCGTAGTCCTTCCCCAGGATCACTAACGTCAGAGGGTAGTAGAATTTCGATGGTCGTTTCTCGATGATCGCCCCTCTGGGGCATTTGGCGATTGCCTGGTGCAATCGGAGGATGAGTAAGCGACGCGTCGCGACAAACCAACCAGAGTAGCTCACCGTCTTCCATTGCTCCGCGTTTTGAATTGGGCGACAATTTTCCTCGTCCCATCCGATGCCAGTAGCGGTCCTGATATCGTTGATAAGCTTGGCGTCACGCGTCTGGCAAGCCGCGCCTGTCGCCGTACTCCATCGCACCTCACTTCCCCAGCGCTGCCCTGCGCCGCCGCTCGTCAAACATCAATCATGACATCTACGGTGCGGCCTGACTGGAACAAAGCTACACCCGTCACCCACATCGGCGCGCTGCCGTCACCGTCACTGTCGCATCCTTCGTCATCACGACGAACGACAGCACGAACGACACCACGAGCGGGATCTCTATCAACAGCTCCGCCGACAGCACCGACGACATCAATATCTGGACCATCATCAGCATCGACGTCTTCATCAATTTCGACACGCAGATGCGCTACCGCCGATGTTGTCCCGCCCGAGCTTGCGTTCAAGCCAGAGAGACTCGACGTTGCTGTGAGTCGCACCCGTGAACAGGGCGAGCCGAGTCGACACAGGACCCGGGAAAGCTCAGCTCAATGTGCGTCCCCGAAAATGTACAAATCGGACCCTCTGAACCCCAAACTGCGACTCAAAAGTGGTACAAATCGAAAAATGTGGCACTCCAGATCTTGGATGTACGTCCTGGATGTGGTACAAATCGATGTACCCCGACCTCGCACCTCCCTGGTCGTCCCCTGCTCGGCCGATGGCCGAGCACGTATCAGCGGCGGCGGTCTGGGATCAGTAGGCGCGCGCCGCGGGCCAGCTGGCGGTCCATTAGTTTGAATGAGTTTCGGAACGAAATTGGACGCGCACTCGGAGCCGATTGTAATGCAAAAAAATGCGCTTCACGCTCAGAGAGCTCACAGACGCTCACCAAATCAAGGGCGCTGGAAGTGAAACAAATGCCAATAGACCCCCCTGACAGCCTCTGACCACCCTCACCATGTGCCACGTCGCGAGCATCTTACCCTCTGCGCACTTCCCTGCGTGCCCTTGCTGAGGGTTAAGAGGACAGCATGTCATCTACAGCAGCCCCTCCAAATGCACCAATTCAAGTGCTCTTAGACGACGTGCTCGAGATTCCAGATGAGCAATTCGCCGCGATGTCTCCTGTTGCCGAGCTCATTGTCGGCGAGCTTCTTGCGTTCGAATTTACCCGGCCTGACCTGACCGCAACCCTCGCCGTATCCGAGTTCGAGCCGACATTCCATGAGCCTCAGATTCGCCCCGATAGCAACGCCCGTGTATTATTCAACAAAGCTCACAATCTTCGAGAATTGTACGCCTCCGGCTATCGATCCATCGAGGTTCGATCCCCTTGCACGTCGATAGTGGAACACATGCCAATCGGTTCCGAAGCATTCTGGCAACATCTGGACTCTGTCGAGCAGCTGAAGTCAACCATCTCGGATAACGTTGATTGGCTAAGCAATGTTGAGGTCAATGACAAACGCGACGCCGCGTACATCAAGCTGGCAAGCGCCTTGCTTGTTGCATTTCGAACCCCTTCACTGCAATCGAGAAAAGTTGCTCATCACGTCGGCGTCTGCATGCACCACAGTGCGCTATATTTACACAAAGCCGTCACCAGCAATGCCTCACTGCAGTGTTGAGAGCACCGAATCCCTCGGACTCGTCTCCAACATTGTGATTCAGGAGCTCTTTCCTACGCAAGCCAGTTCCGGAGTCTTCACCAATCGCAACAGCCGCGGCCAAGCTCGAATCTTCTTCTTGAATGGTCACCGGGTCGTCAGCTGCCTTGACACTTACAACTCGAGCATGCAGACCGTTGAGCCCCCAGCTGGTTTTGGCTTCGACGGCCACACTTGGCGAGTCCTGGACCCACAGGCGTAAGCGCGATATTACCAGCTGCAAAGCTTCAAAGGGGTCCTTGTAGCGTCGTTGGCCCCGATTCGAAAGGGACTTGCGCATGCTGGCGAGGAGAGGGGTATTAATGCAGACGGAGGGAGCGGAGCCGATAAGCGGTCGGGATCTTCGCAGGGTCCAAGCGGCCGGCTGTCAAAGCGGACGCGACGTTAGTACCGGGTCGTCGGAGCGATTTTTCGTATTTCTGGCTGTTGGAGAGCGATTTTTGGGCAATTTCACGACATTGAATTTTCATGTTTCGGAACTCTTCCAATGTACGACCGAAAATAGGTACAAATCGACCCCTCAGACACCTCATCCCGATGTACAAATCGGCCAAAAATCGCCGTTTTTTCGGACGCACATTGGGCTGAGCTTTCCCGGGTCCTGTCGACACGGAACTCGAGGGCTGAGCCAACTCTTGCGATCGCAATTCTCCGCAATGGACAGGGCACCCCACAGAGACTGTCTGCAGCCGCAGCGTCGGTCAAGCCAGCGTGTTCAAGTTCTCAGTCGACCGCATTCAACCCGGTGATGCCGGTCGTCGAGGCCCTCCGGGAGGGCTCTTGGAAGAGAACCGACTAAGCCATGCTTCGCAACGAGATCGTGCCACGTGTGCTACTGAGGTCGACCACTGACCTGATCGAGGAGGTGTTTGACGTACCGAGGACCCACTTCGAGCTGTTGTGGCACCGTGCTGGCATGTCGGGAGTAGCGCAAGACGCTCAAGGATCGCATCTAGTCTGCTTTCGAAAAGATTTGAGGGTCTGTAAGGGCAAGGCCAAAAACGTGCCGACTGTGAGCTGGATTGAGGGTGTTGCGCAACATGTGGGTCAAAACGGCAGTTGAACTCGCGATTCAGTGAGATTTTTACCTCCCAGCCGAGGATACTGAACAGCTGTCCCTCTTCATATGGCCTCGCAGTGCCATGCTCACGACAAGCGACCGCACGAATTCAGACTCTCTGCCGCGGTGGCTCAGCGCCCCTACCGGATTGGGGTGCACGACGAGCTTAACGACTACGACGAGTACACTGATGCGAAAGACCTGCCCTCGATAACGACCACTTTCTTGACCTGCGCAAGAGATGCCCCCTCACCACCCTCTGGTGCCAAGTTCTGGAACCGAGTCATGGTCATGCTCGCGGTCGGTCGCTCGCCGCGGCTTGCTTCGCCGTACGACGCGGGTGACGAGGTGCATGCGCCTGAGCTGGTCAGGCTAGTGTTTGATCTCGTCGAACACGTACTTGCACAACCGAGTCGGCTGTATGCACCCGGTTTGGCGATCAACGAGAACGTTGCGTACTTGGTCGTGCTCGACCACGAGACGTGTCGAGTCGCCACCATCTCGGACTGCTGGCAGACGGGCTTCGGCGAGCTAGCAGCGGTGCTCTCGGTCCTGCTCGACCTCGACGTCTACGCGGCTGGATTCCCTTCCTTCCTCCGCTACAAGTGCTTGCCTTCGAGTGGAATCACGGCAGTGTCACTGCTCACGTCAGTTTTTGACTCATCGGCGGGGCGCACCGTCCAGTTCGAGGAGGAGGAGCCGATCGCACTCTTGTCCGGCCCGGCCGGGAAACGGGGCTCGGTCTTCTCCCGGAGCACGGCGGTCTTTCATCTCACACGTCCCAGTTTGCAATGGGAAAGTGGGGGTCCTGGAGATTCGTTGGGATCTTCGTTCGTATTCAAGATGAAGTTCGTCAGCCCAAGCACTGCGAAGGTTGAGCTCGACATGCTCGAACAGATCACCCAGGCGCTCGACGGGGGTACACTGCCGCCGACTGTCGCGAAGCATCTCGCTCTACTCGAGCTCGCGGCCTCGCTTTCGCAGTATCAGTCGCAGGTTGAGGATGCTCGTATTCCTCCTCCACCTCCTGCGCCCGAAGACTTTTTCCAGCTGGTATGGCCACCCCCACGTGGATTGTTCCGACGTACGCTCGAGCTGCTCGTGCTGCGCAATCCGACGCCCTTACCCGCGCCGCTCGTGGATACGGCGCTACCCGATGAGGCACCAACACTCTCGCTCTCGATCAGACACAGTGTACAGGTCTTCGACCAACTGCTCGCCGTTTTAGCGACGTTGGCCGAACACCAGTGCTATCATCGTGATATATCGGTGGGTCACATTCTGCACTACCAAGGGCATCTCGTGCTGGTCGACTGGAGTGCAGGGATTGTGGCACGCCTTTCGGCGTCAGAGTCGGTGTCGGTGGGCGCCGAAGAAGCCGGATTCCTGAGAGGATCACCTGACTCGGCTCCACTGGACTGGCTCAATTGGAACGGCAGCCGGCTCAATTGGAACACCGACCCCGAACTGCGACCTCCGCCGCGCTTCAAGCTTGGGCATGTGCTCGAGTCCACGATCTACTGCTTCCTCAACGTCTTGGCCTACCGCATTGCGCCGCAGGAGGACATATGGCGCTTTCTGCGCCATCAGCACCAGCCAGACGAAGTTGAGCATCCAACCGACTACTGGCATCTACGAGGCGTCATCTGGAAGTGCGGCCCTTCAGAGGTGTTTTTCCGGTTTGAGAAACGAGACGAGCTCCTGGCAGCGATCCGCAGCGAAGATGCCGAACTTGGAGAGCTCGTTGACGATGTGACGAACGAATGGCCACTGTGGGTGACAGATGACGATGGTACTAAGGCATTATGGGCAGCGGTGCAAGCCAAACTTTACTACCTCTCTTTGCTATGAAAGTGACACCCGGTGGGAACAGGAGTTCGGCCCCTGGCTACTCGGCCCGGAAAGCCAAACTAAACCCCGCTTACCCTATCAAGCCTTGGCTCAAGGATCGTGCGTGCCGACTCTGTGGCAAGTGTTGGCTTTGTGTCATCAGGTCCGCTCGTCTTGGCCCATGGAGTCGGACCCGAGTGCAGTGCGCTGTGCCAAAGTGAAGCGTCATGACGATGGGGCAGCTTCTGTTACGTACAACGTCGCGTTGTTTCGGTTTTTCGATCGCTGTTGACTTGTTTTGTATTTGTGTAGTGATATGATGCAATGCAGAGCGATAAGAGCCGCTGAACGTGCACGATTCTAGCGGCGAAGAGCAAGCTTTAACGAAAGGGTTGTTTGAGAGTAGTCATCGTATTCGAATCGCATGAATTACATATGTCGATTGACACCTTTGGATGCGACGCTTGCGTTCGGGGGCGTTGTATTGGGCCACAGAGTCTGCTCCACAAGAACGACGTGCGTGGCCTGGTCGCGAGTGTACGATGGCGGCTCGGGCCTGTTTGACAGCTATCCAGCAGCTCCTTGCATACTACCAATTGCGCGCAATTGGATCTTCATGCCGAATAGGAAGCGTCCGTGTGTGTGCGTGTGTGAATGATGACGAGTCCTCTGAGCTGGGTCGCTCGGTCATGGATGGCGGAAAGGGAGCTTCTCGACTCTCATGGCCGAACATCGAACACACCGGTCCCCTTGTCTTGCCCTGCCTTGAAATCAATGCTTCCTCGACTTCCTCCTCTGCCCCTTCGACTTGCTTGATAGAGATCAACGCAAGATGACGCCTTGACCGCGGTTCGCGAGGTAGGACTGAATGACCCCGGGTTGGAACGTCTTGATGACTTCGTACACCTCGGGATTGTGGTAGCGTAGAGTGGAAGCTGGGTCGACGTATTTCGCCTTGATAATAAGGGTAGAGACGAAAAGATCAGGAAAGAAAAAGGAGAATATCTGATGCCGTGAGCATCACCTACCTCGAGGCCTGTAACGTCGCAGTACTTCTTCGCGGGAAGAACCGAAGGCGCGGCGTCGATCGACATGTCTACAACGAGAGGGATGCCGCATGAGCGCCTTGGTTTGAGGGAGAAGCGGACTCTGCACTCACAACTGTCGACATCCATCAAGCCCGCCGTGGTGGTCGTCGCGGACGTGCCGCCGTTCGCAGCTGCAGCGGGCACGGCTCCTACCCAGGTCTCGGATCGAGTCTTGATGACCTTGTCGACGCGTTCCTTCTCAAGCGCGATGACTTGTTTGAGGTTCTTGTTGCGTCGCGAGGACGAGCGTTGGGCCCATTGGGCGGACTTGAAGGGCTTGGGAAGGTGGGCGTAGGAGTGCTCTTCGGCGTAGTTCTGTGGACGACGAGTTGGACAGTGAGCGAGCCGAGAGTCTCACGGCCGGGTTAGGTACAAGGGGTCAAACACTTACAGTCAACGGCGTGCTGTAGCCACTTGCCATGGTGGAAGAGGTGGTCGAAGTGACGGGATTGAGGAAAGAGCTGACACTGGGGGAACCGGGTTCGCGTGAGAGCGAAGGCGTGGAGCGAACGACCGGTGCGGGTTGATGGGTAGGCTACCAGCAGAGTGACAAGGTAGGACAAGGTCGAGTGAGGCCGAGTGCAGGAGTCCTGTCGATGGCGATGAGCGAGTGGGCGTCCGAGTGGATGATCAACGCGAAGGGGAGACTTGGGGAGACTCTGGGAGACTATAACGGGGAAGAACGGGGAGTACAACCTAGTACAACCAATCGCGTGACCGACGGCACAGGCCTCCTACTACTGGCCTCCTTCTCTCTCCTTCTCTCACTGCATCCGATCCATCCTTCGCTACTTTCCAATTTTATTCGACAAGAACTGGTGTTTCCGATTCTGTCGTCTAAATTCCAGACGCGCTGAAGTCTTGTCCAAACTGTCGGCCTTGATTTTTCAACCTTTCCGAGTGATTCGACCGGCACGCTCGATCTCGTTCGATTGCTCGACCTCGTCCGAATCGCCGGGTGCGGACATGCGGACATCTCCCAGCCATGCAGTGTCTAAGCTCGACGCCCTCCCTTTGGGAGGGGCTTGTGAGTTATCGGCGCTTTTGGCTGAGTTGCCCTCCGAAATTTTGGCCCTGAAAAGTGCCCCCTTGCTGTAGCATGGCATATATTGGTGCTATCTGAAAACTGGAGGGATACGTCTTTACTTAATCATTATTGATGAGGCTTCACCGAAGCTTGAAGTCTAGGAACGCTTGATCATCTCGCTACAGCAGCTTGAATCAACTGATTCCGAACGAGACGCAGGTCGGCGCACGGACCAGTCGTAGTCCAGTCCGCGTCGAAGGCTGCATAGAGCCAGGTCACTTAAGCCCGGCTGCGCCTCACGCATCCTCTCTCTCCTCCACTCAACATCGCACCTCCCCTCATGATGAGCCATGTCGGTACAAACATCCAGGCCGGTTAGGGGACCGCCCCGTCGACATCCATCAATTGAGTTCAGGGCGTCTCCCTTGCGATCAGCTTCAAGGGCCAGTCCTACGACCCCAGCACCGAATCATTCAACCAATCCGACAGCCGTTCTCGGTCACTGGAGGCCACGTTTGACTCACCAGGACCGACGAGATTCCAGCGAATTACGCAAGAAGATCAAAGTGATTCTGGGCGAAAGTCTTGACGAGGACTCTACCCCCTGTGCAGATCGAGGCCATTGCTGCCCTTTCGAACTCGATCAATTTGGGAACCGGAATCGATGTGACGCTGTGTTCGTCACAGCGCCAACGGTTCAGGCAAAAGTGTTATCTTCGAAGCAATGTATCTCATTTACGGACGCCGGGCCGTCACCATTGTTGTCATTCCACTGAATGCACTGAGCAATCATCAGGTGAGTTTTTCTGCCGACTGGGCTTGCTGGACCGACATTCGTGCTGATTTCCGCAGTCACATGCTTCTTTCAGGCTGCCAATCTCAATTGAAAGGGAAAGAACGCGATTGTCGTATCTGAGGAGACCTGGAGAGACGGCGAGCTGTACAGGCAGTTGGACGACCCCAGTCACAAGATCTCCTTCATTCTGCTCGTATGTGCCGGTTGACCTCCTGTTTGAGTGAAGTACACATGTGTTGATTTTCCTTCCTGTTGCGTGTCAAGTCTCCTGAAATGCATATGAACAATGCAGATTGGGCAAAGTTGATCTCTAACGAGTCCTTTCGAGAGCGCGTCAAGTTGTCCGTCTATGACGAGGAGAGGGGGGTGGTGTGCATCAAGAAGACTGAGGCCAAGATGAGGGACCAGTCGAGCAAGCGCTCGATATATCTGAGCTTTTATCCCGGTTGTAGATGACGAGTCGGATTGGGGGATTGGGAGGAGATGCTGGAGATTGACTCGCGGTAAAGACGCTTGATGTGCAGAGGAGGCTCGAAGGTTGTAAGCGCCGGCAATATCTCCGTTCTGAATGTGGGCGTAACCAAAAGTTCGATGAAGTAGCTCGGTTCGTCGATCCAATTGCCGATCGTTGACGTGATGTGTGACGTCGATGTTGTCAACGGTCACATGGAAGTACTTGTTCGAGCCAATCTCCTTCAGTTTCGTCGAATTCGCCTTCGTCAAGCTCGCAGCTGCCTGGAGAGTCGCCCAGCGAGATATCGTCAAGCCGCAATCGTACAGAAACATCGTCAATCGGTCGTTCGCTCCACATGCGAGAGTCATGAGACCGTTGCGATGCTGCATGGCGTTGTCCCTTCGGTTGCAAGCGAATGCGATCTGACCCATGACACTGCGGTAAAGCTGCGGCCAGCGTGTTGAAGTTTTTGGTGTCAGTTCGCTGCGATACCCAGCCGAGCTAGGGTCAGAAACACTCACAAACTCGATACGCTTTCTTTCGTGACCAGGCTCTTGTTCTTGCCCCGGATCGGAACCATTCTCCGGGGTGGCTTCTTCCATCTCGACATCAGTGGAAGCTGTTGGGTCCTTGTCGCGATTGATTGGCTCGGCCGGTGGAGGGTCTCCGCATTGTGATAGCAAGGTACGAACCCGTCCGCTGATTAAAGGGTTGTCTTCGGCGATTGCATCGAGCCGGGCGTCGATGTAATCGGATGCGAGGACTTCGGGAGTCAAGTCATGGCTAGCGACGAAGGCGGACTTGGTTCGCTTCATCTCTTTAATGATGATTGAGTCGGCCTGCACGCGGATAAGGCAAGTATTCAGTAGCTTTTTCGAATCCAGTACGAAGTGTTGCCCACCTGCTCGGCGATCCAGTCATTGATACAAAAAAAAAAGATTCGGCTTCTTGACTCTGCGCCATCCTCGCGTGCAAGTCGTAGAATAAGATCAAGTACACGCTTGAGGCTGGACCAGTTGCTGTTGAACAGCTTTGGTCGGTGTGTTTGAACTCCTTCAAATCGTGTGGATGGGCTGAAGTACCACGATAGGTATGGACATAGCGAGAGATCGCGGCTACGAAATTCAGCGAACAGATCCGCCTCGCGGCGGTTGTTCTGGCGAGTTGACGAGGTATGGCGTCTGCTTGTTCGGGTCATTTTTGGTTTTAGATATTGTCGCGCTTGACGTGAACGACGGTGATCGTGAAAGAGGAGAATAGCGAAGCGTACGCAAAGGGATCAAGCCGAATTAACAGGCTCGTCGATGATGAGAGCGCCAATTACACGATGCGCTCGGACCATCTGAGGCCCGATCGACCGAAATCGCAGACTTCGGATCGCTGTAGCTCCACCCACAGCTTATGAAAGCTCTCGCCACTTGGGGTATGTCATGTTTAGAGCATAAAGAAAAATAGTACCCTTCAATTTTGCATGGATGCGCCTACTTGCCAAGTTACAGAGAACCACCCCAAAATGGCCCTGAAATTTCGGAGGGCAACTCAGCCAAAAGCGCGGATAACTCGTAAGCCCCTCCCAGAGGGAGGGCTTAGTTGAGCTTATGCAGTGTCCATCTGCCGTTTCGTCAGCGTGCGCGCCAACTTGGGCCCCGCATCCACCGCACCACCGACACTTCAAGCTCTGACACCTTCCTCAACCTCAGCGGCCACGTAGGAATCACCACTTGCAGCGCCTACACGACTTCATCACATAGATTGGCCGCTCCGGAAGAGATAGAGAGCATGAACACCGCCACTCCACCCCTACCTCTGAGCCAGCTGCACCGGATCCTCGCCCAGGATGCCGCTGACAAACACCCGAGTCCGACCGACACCGCCGATCAAGGTGGGTTCTCATTGCACTGCGCTTGTTCTGAGCATTTCTTAAGACTGTTAAGCCTATTCTAGGCTGGGATCGAGCTTGGGCCACAGGATGTACCCCATGGGACTCCAAGGACGTGCAACCCGCGCTCAAGGAACTGGTCGATTCAAACTGGCACAAGGTCCAGCTTGGTGATGTCGCAAAGTGGGGCGAGGACTCGGTCACCACTCCTGGATCCAAGGCTCTCATCGCGGGTTGCGGAAGAGTCAGTGCCGCACCTTCAGCTACACTCAACACATACCGAGCTGACTTTGAGGTTGAGCTTTCCCAGGGGTACGACGCCACCTTCTTCGCTGCCCGGGCCTCGACTCGCTGGGGCTTGATCTATCCCCCACCGCCATCAAAGCCGCTCAAGATCTGTACAAAGCAACCGAGAACGCACCAAAGAACGTCGAATTGTGCGGTTCCCCCCTTCATCTTCCTCAATAGATTATCAAGGACGCAGCTGATAGTCCCTGAATGCTTTTCTCCCCCACAGCCGAGCCGCAGATTTCTTCAAGTTCCCCCCACCCGTCGCGGGCTTCGATTTGGCGTACGACTACACCTTCTTCTGCGCCATTCCTCCCGAATTGAGACAATCGTGGGCCGACCGGTACGCCCAGATCATACGAAAAGGAGGAGTCCTGATCACTCTGATGTTCCCCATCGGTCAGTCGATGGGAAAGTCTCAGCTGCCTGAGTTGGGTGGATCGCCGAACTGATGGGTTTATCGATCTTTCGCTTGGCGCTTTGAAAAGATGGGGACAGAAGCTGGGGACCCCCTTTCAGCGTATCTGAAGAGATGTACGACCAGTATCTGAGCAGAAGTTTCGAGTGAGTCGTCCATCCATAAAAATTATGAGAAGGCCCAGCTCATGCATGCGCTTTGGACCGTTCACAGGAAAATCCACTCGGAGAATCCTGGCGCTTCGATGGAAGAGAGGAAGGGGAGAGAGAAGATGGCAGTCTGGAAACGACGATGATGGCAAGGCAGGGGGATCCATCTCGGGCTCGAACGCATTCTCTAAATTCACACCGAAGACGTCTTAGGCGTCGGCTTGTATCCCAAGACGGTCACGGTGCACTGGATCAAAATCGCGGCAATGTGCATTTCATCATCGTGGCACTATTGTTTCCCCCCGCTCTAACTTCTCCCCCTCCTATAGCTCCTCAAATCGGCGTCGTCCTGTTGCCACTTCTTCGAGATTTCAGATCATGATGACCCAGATAGCAAAGGCACTGACACCTCGACCTCGGTAGATTTGACTCACATATTTGGCTTAATAGAGCCTTTTTCGGGCATTCAGCATTCGTGGTCGCCCTGGCATAGCTTGAGTGCGTCTTGGCGCCTAAAGGCAGGCGAGCCGTACGCCACACCTCGTGAGCGCGCGGCACGTGGCAGCGATGATCTGTGGATTTTGCTGGACTTACGACAACCACGGAGTTATAGCTTGCTTGCCCCTGATGCAGTTACTAGCAGGCGGCGCCAGGCCCGTAGCCAGTTTGTCAGTATTGTGACACGTGACAAAGAAGCCGAGCCGGCCCCGGATCAATCAAGCTTTGCAAGAGTTGACAATAGCCTTCCGATCCTAGCACGGTGATTGACCATGTGCGTCAGGCAGAGATTATTTCTCGGTGTACTCACTCGCATCCTGAAATCGGAGAAGGGCGCCGCCTTCTCTTGAAGGGATTTTTGCAGTGCATGCGGGGCAAGTGGAACTTGGAGGGCATTTGGTCGGACTGGGAGCTGAGGCGGCTAGGTTTGCGAGTAAGTGCACAGGAACAAACCGTTTATGATCTTCTTGATCTATAAAACAACACTCGAACGCTTGAGTGGAGTAGGGAGTCTCTTACCCCCTATCCGGACCTATGGCGAGCGCTAGAGCAAGGCCGACGAAGGCTATGAGAAGAATCAAGACGAGGACCTTGCGCATAGTGACGTGGATTTTGGCGTGGAGGGGTCTTATTTAAGCAAGTGATGGGAAGGAAGCAGAGAGCAATGATCCGGATGCGAATCGTAGGTTCCTAGTTCGGAAATGCGGCTTCGCCCTGCTTCGGTCAACCCGGTGTATTTGGCGAATGGGCCGCCTAACGAACGGTACGTGCTGGCGCAGCTCCTGATTCGGTCCCGAGCTGTCGCCCGCGTGACCGCATGCTTTGGTCATGGTTTTTTTTAGTCACCAGTGGGAACACATAGCAGGATAATCGAACAGTATACAGTATACGAAGGGACTTCAGCAGAGGATACAAATCTAGCAGAGGTAAAAAAGCCCAATACGAAGTATCGCAAATAAATTGTTCTGCATTCATCGCCCCGAGAACAAGGTAAAATACTGGAATTGAAGCAGGTCCCTCTGTGGAAGTGTCGTAAGCGCGTTCGGTTTCGGTTCAGTTTTAATGTTTTAATCCATATATTCCAGCTAGTCTTGTTTAAAGACAGAATCTAACAAATTGCTAGATCCGCTGGACCACCATATTCATGTCACGTAGGCCGTCACCTTGCTGTCACCAGGACCGATGCCCCCCATTCCAGGGCTTACATCAGTCTTTCCCTCGTCCAGCTCAGCGCCCGCCCTCAAAGGCAGGTGGGGAATGCCGCCACCACCGCCTCTGTCACTAATGCGAATTCCTTTGCTCCGTGTTCCTTTGCAGTGCCCACCACTTCCTCATTCTCGCCGCCCATAACCGTCCGGCTCCCTTTATAAGCTCATGATGCCATGTCCGATCCAGCCGCGTCCGAGATCGCTCATCGAGGGCCCAGTAGATGTCAGGTTTTGGGATCATCGGCATCGCATACCACCATAGATGTCCCGTTACTAGCCCTGCAGCGAAATTGGAAAGCTCGTATACTTGTGCTCCCGTCCATTCGTGGTGTCTCATCTCCAGTTCCCTACGCGTCATCTGAAACAAGTCCTGTCCAATTCTTTCCCGCAGTCCACGACCTGCCTCGCACTCCCTGAAAACATGTTTCTCTGTCTCCTCTGCCAATCCACAAATAGTACACAAAGACGACGTACCGAATCGTTCTGAGCATCGCGAGGCGGTGGGAAGGATGTGTGCCCGCAGCTGGAGTTGTGTTTGCGCTGCGTACGTCGAAATTGCGCGAAGGTAAGGATACCGTCCTGCGGAATGAGCGACTTGGAGTAGCAATTGAACGTCGTTACCGATCTTCTGGGGCAGCGATTTGATTTGCCATGCTTCTTGTAGGTCGTAGATTTTCTTGATCACATCACCCTCTATCCAAGCAGTTTGCTCGCCAAGGGATGCCTGGATTGTCCATTGTGGGAGTGCAAAGTCCGGGAAAAGCACGAAGAAGTCAGGTTGAGTGTGTGCCGATTTCGCCACCTCATCTGCTCGAGTGTTTGCACGCGATGCTTCGTCTCCGCCACCCGTATGGGCTTTAACGTGCCGTATTTGTATCGAATCACTCGTTCTCAGCAGGTGTTCGAGCCAAGTGTAGTGTGCAAATGCGGCCCTCGGTTTCTTTGGTGCAACTTGATCTTTCTTCAGATTCTCAGCGAATTTGACGGAGGTAAGGTGATCTGCGACAACCTGAATTGCTGACCCAAAATGTGAGGTCTCTAAGTGTGAGGTCAGTGCCGCTATGATCAGGGCTGTCACCTCTGCCTGCATGATAGTCGCGCCCGCCGGTAGTGCCGCACGAGCCGCCGAGTATGGCCCTACAACCGCTGCCGCCGCAGATGTGAGTCCTGTGGGTAACACGATGAGTGAGTCATCCGTAGCCCAAATATTCTGGTCTTGTTGGCCTCGAAAATTTATCAGGGAAAGGAGTGTGATTTTGATCTGCTGCTCGGCGTCGTTTTGTCGCTGTGCTCGCGTCTTCAACAACCTAACCGGCCCGTCCGCCAGTAAAGTTTCATCAAAGCGATTAGACCATTGTCGCACCAATCTCGTGTTCGGGTGCAGCCATCCAGCAAAGAGGTCGGGTCTATCGCGCTGTGGGCCTCTCCGTAGCACTTGGAGGTCCGTCAGGCCTGCTGGAAGCGCCGCCATGGCTTTTTGTAGTTGCGGTTCGTTTCGTTTGGCCCCTCCGCTTTGGAGGTATGCATGTTCCGCACTAATACCTGAGTCGGTGCGATTCGACTGGTCGGTTTCGAGTACTCGGAGGTTCCCGCAGTGTTGTAGCGCACCTAGTGCCGTATTCCAGATCTGAGGAACCATCTGCTGCGAGTGCTTGAAAGACAGGGGCTTAGGGTTCAGGAGCGGCGATATACAGCCATGGTGTTGGCATTGTAGGTCGGCCAGCGTTATTCTTGCCATCTGTGCGAAAGCTGGAATATGATGGTTCAGGTCTCGTAGTAGTCCATCGACTGCCATAGCCCCGTTCAGTCGCCACAGACTAGTAAGCTCGAATCCAAATTTAGCGACGGGGAGGGTGACCAATTTAGCGCTCGGTGTGAAAACCCATCCATAGTACTCTTTGATCCGCATTGCTATAAGCTGGTCTAGCTTAAGGGCATCGTCCGGTCGGATAGGACATAAAGCCAGTCGTGGCCTCAGCCTGCTAATTAGTTGTTGTTCGATGAATCGTCGTAATGCCGAGAGCGGGAGTCGCCTCGTTGGCGTGCTCGGGAACCCGATCGATCGCACAATACTTTCCAGCTGAGTGTATTGTCGGTCCGGCGCAGCGAACGGTGTTTTGAGAAAAACGTGTGCTGGGTCGACAGTGACCTGTCGTCTCCCATGAGGAGTGGCAACTTGGACTGTCCCTGGTGTATCAGACTGGTTGCCGAGGCCCATTATGATGGCTCGAGTCTTTGTACCCCAGTCGGTTTGGGCTCCGTAGGCTTCCTGGAAATGCTCCATGTAGAGAGTCATCGCTGCCAGCGTCCTTTCACTCTTGGCCAGTAGTATGGTGTCGTCCATCGCAGATACCTGAGTAATCTTGAGGGTCAGTTCATCCGCTTGTGTATGGTTGTTTGAGCGTGCCCTGTTCTGTGTTGTGATGAGTAGTGGGTCCTCGAACGCTTGTTCGTCCAGCCAGTAAGAGCCCATAGCCATGGCCAAGGAGAAACGAAGAGGATTCGGGGGATCCCCTTGTTTCATCTGCCCGTCCACTTCGAAAGGTTCCGCGAGGCCGTACGGTGTCTTGACGATAAAAGCGCCGTGTGCCAATCGGGCTCGGTCAAAAGCTTCTGCGTTTGGGCCAAAGCCGAAAAAATGGTAGGCGTCATACCCAGCTTCTGGTCTGAGCAGGTCGAAGCCCTTCTTTTGGTCTCGTACTAGCCCGTAGATCGGAGTTTTGGCCCGGAACGCCCAGGCTTCTAGGTTCGCTAGGAAACTTGTGAGGTCGCGCTGTTGTACACCGCTCTGGACGGCCACCTGTGTTTCTGGAATCATGTGGTGTTTCATTGCGTAAGCTTGCGCCTGACGTGTAAACCATCCAGCCGCTGTGACCGCCAAGAAATTGCCAAAACAGACCGCTCGGTAATTACTCAGTTGGGAAGACAGTCCGCGATTTTTGAACATCGGAAGCAGATAGTGGTCGCGCAGCTTGTCGAAGTAGTTGTGCACCAGTACATAGTTCAGGAGTGCCAGAACAACAGACATCGCTTGGTCTCCAAGTATCGTTACTGTCCATTTCTCCCATCGGTCCGGACCGGGGGATGGTTCCCTATTGCCTTTGCCGAGGAGCGCCCGGAGGTCGCTGAGCATCAGGGGCCTAGGCCAGACAAATGGGTCGCGTTGCGTAGCCTCCCGAAACTTCCGGGAACTTTCCGTATTCATCCAAGGTTTGTCTGTCAGAGCATTGTCATCCTCTTTTTGGAATAAAGCGCTAAAATACTGCTTACACGTGTTCCGTACCTCTGTGGGGTCAGCGGTAAGATTTCCATCCACAGTTTCTACCGCACGTGGTATCAGGATTTTCTTCACTGAACCTCCGTTGATGACATTCTGTATCCGAAAATTATCAGACCTCTGTGCCAGTTCTTTACGCTCCCGCTTCTCTTGTGCGTGTATTCTTTTGCAGAGTTGGCGGCGCCAGACAGTCGCGGTTTCTAACGCTTCATCCTCGGGGGGGTACCACACTGCTCTGCCTGTTTCTTGTTGGAGACGTTGCAATGTCGCCGTTTCTAGGTCGGTATGGAGCTCCTCGAACCATCTTCTTGTGTCCGGTTTGTTTCTCAATATATGAATGGAGTTAGTCTTGAGTGCGTATATATAGCGATTCATATGGTGACGGTCCTGACTCAATTGTCGTAACTCTGGCGATCCGACAAACTCGCGTTTCCCGACCGCTGGCGATCTTCGTTCGCCGAATATTTGGAGGGAAGTGTTTACTATTAGATTGGAAAATTCATCGTAAGTCGCATTCCAAGCCTCTTGTGAGGCTACTGTTCCATCCTTGGCAACTCGATTCAAAGACTGCGAATTAGCAACGCCCTCTTCCATCTCTTGCCGAAATTTTGGCCGAGTGTCGCTATTCCGCGGCGGAACTTTAACCCTCCGAGGTCCGTCGTCGCTCGCCTCCTCAATTGTCGCACAGAGACCCGGGAACCATAGTCTGCAATGAATTGGTCTGTGATCAGTGGCCATAACCTGACGCAACGTATGGATATCCGCATTCCCCGCCGGCGCTGACGTTGCGAGACGGTCTATGATGCTGATGGTTTGCGCATCCCCGTATGCCTTATGTGTCCAATTTTCCGCGAGTGAAACCGACTCCATTTCATTCCACACATCGTGGCCGTTGGTCTGGCGTAAGAAGCGGCAGTATTCTACCGCGGTGGGTCTGAGTCGTGGGAAAACCATTGCTGTGGTCTCGCGAGCGTCGAGCACTGCATTGAAGTCACCCACTATGGCCCAGTTCGGTGGTCCTGTTCGTATGAGGTCCTGGAGGGCCGCCCAAAAAGCGTTGATCGCATTACCGTCACCTTCCGCATTGCGTGCGTATCCTCCATGTGGGCAGTAGGCGGATACGATCCGGATTGGCACCATCCTTGCTCCTCCTTGACTTCGAATCAATACGTCCGCAGCTGCTACCCGTCCTGCCAGCGGTCCATCGGTAAAAGTATAGGAAGCCAGTAGCGGCAGATTGTTGCGAATGAGAAGGAGCGTCCCCCATTTCATGACGGAACCCGCCCGGATTGATGGGGTGAGGACCGGTTGGAAACCCCCAGTATTGAGAGGAAGCTGCGTGTCAGTTCTGAATTTGAGCTCAGTAAAACTGATGACATGGTGTTCTGAGTGTAGCAGATTATTCTGGACTTGTTGGAGCTTGATGGGATCTGCGATTCCATTTATGTTGAGGCTGGCAATTGATATTGGCGTTGCTGCGTAGGCCAACTTATTGTTCAAAACGATAGCGAGGAGAACGGTGAGGCATTTCGCCGGTGCTGGTATGGTGGAACTAAAAATCGTCATTGCAAGTAGACCATACGTGCTGAGTTTGCTATACACCCCAGGGTGGTGGCGGAGGTGCCAGCTTCGGAGTTCGGTCTCGACCTTCACGAATCCTGCGGTGGTGATTGTATCATCAGGCGAGCGGCGTTGGAGAACCTGCCACTAGTCACTTACTATAGACATTCCTTCATGCTCGCTGCGACTCTGTGGCTGGGGGCTTGTCGTGTGCACGTCACCTTCTTGATTGTGTCGTCCGCGCTTGCTCGGCGAGCCTCCGGATTCTTCACGTTCGTCCATCGCGTTATCTGCGGCGCCGCTCGCATTGTTGCCATTGGGGATGGTTAGACCGTCATGGGCCAGTTGCTGCAGGTATACGGGACTTGCTTGTCGGAGCGCCAGGGTGACTTGGTGTTGCGTTTGCTGGTATGCCGCCTGTGCGTCGCACACCGTCCTTCGTGCCTCTTGAACTTCTCGCGCGAGTTCTTGGTATTCCTGACTGTCCTTGGGATGATTACTGAATAGGAGCTCCATCCTGAGATTGCTGAGTTGGGTACTGGCGGTCATCACAGCGAATTGCGCTTGACCTGACGCTTGTACGCCCGATAGAGATGAAAAGAGCGCTTGATTGCTCATGTGGAGCGCATGCATCATTTGCCGAGTTTCTTGCGCGATCTGTTCGTTCCTTCGCTTGTCCTCCGCGTACGTTGTGGCGAGGGTCTGGAAGACGTCCTGGATCATGTCGATCCGATTTTCGATGTGTCGAGCACTTTCGGCGATAGCCCCTTGCGACTCCGACGTGGCCTTATTGAATCGGGCAGAGATAGCATCAGCGCGCTCGTTGTCTAGGCAGACCTTGATGACTACACGTTCGTCGCCATCATGCCAACTCGTGCCGAATCTGTTGTGGGCCGGCAGAAAACGTACCATCTGCACGATGTGTGTTGCCAGGGCGGATGTGGACATTGAAAACCGAAAGACCGCTTTTTGGTGCTGGCCCGGGCCGGTAGCCGGCTCGTAGTCCGTCGTCACAATTGTGCCTTTGGGTCGCGTAATGGGATCCTGGGGGTACTCGGCGGCATGTCGAGTCTCGGCATCCTTAAGGCAGCTCATCAGGTACGAGGCCACACTCTGGGGGTCCCTGTTCGATTTGGCCCATAAGACGACGATTGCGAAGGGCTCTCGCATCCCTCGCGTTTTCACGATGCGTTTGAAAACCCCGGTGATGGTTTGTTCGACCAGCAGTGGTTCCGTAGTCACTTGTGGCGTCAAACGAGACGTGGGTCGCATTGGGATGTTGACCTTTGCACTGAGGGTAGACCGGTCCTTCGTGGCTGTGATCTTGTCCACCATAAAAGCACTCGCCATACGAACCGCGACCAGGACCTTGCATTGATCGCCGCGTGTACCTGAATCGTTGGTGACCGAAATGCACGACTCGGCGGGGACGTTCTTCATGTCTTCGAAGTGTTTGTCCAAATGCGCTTTTATCGCCTTTCGAATTGCTTCTTCCGGGGCTCGCTCGATGGTGTCGTAGCTCTCCTTGCCGGAATGCTTTACGGAATCAAAAGCTAGACGGACCCATCGTACTTCGTCGTTCTCCTTCACGTCGGTGAAATGAGCGAAAAGACGAGGCCAACGGTGATTGTTTTCGTCGACTAGCTCGGATTCGAACGAGGAAGGGTCTGGACGTTTGGAAGTCTGGGCTGTCAGAGGCTGTTGTAGTGAACAGGAGAGGGTCGGCGATCTTTTGTTCCACTCACAGTACGGCTTGCTGTCGTTATTCAGAAAACTGAAGATCTTGCTGGTGAATTCAATTTCGTCCTTGGGCCCGATGATCTCAAAATAATCCGTGTTTAGGGCCTTGTATCTTGATTGGGGAGGGTCCGACAGCCCGGTGAGGTTAAGGACTTCGTGCGACTGAAAGAAAACTGGCTGCTCATTGACGCTAATGCCGGCTTGGACAAGTAGGTGTTCAATGGTCCCTTCCGCCGTCAGTTTTGCGATGTTATCAGAAGTAGCAGGAAGGTTAGAGATGACGAGTCGATGTGCCAGGGGTTAGGTAGTCCGAATGGCTCTGAAGTCGGTTTCTACGTAGGGTCTGGGGACCATCGTGTCGTATAAGCGGTTGTTGTGTGGGAGGGGGCAAGGACGAGGTGAAAGGAGTATGGGGTTCAAATTGCACCGGACGGATGGAGTATGAAACGCTTGGGCTTCCCAGGGGGCACTCGATGACGTGCTCAGGGGTGGAGAAAATGGGCCGTTATTCGTTACCAGGCATTGAACGGGTGGGAAATTAAGCGCTCGGGCTTTACAAGAGGTGATCAATGACGTGCTCAGGTTCGGTGTCAGACAGGGGTAGCTTCTCCTAGTTAAGTGAGTCGCGCGCTGATTCAAGGAGTAGGTCTTGGGCTCAGCGCCCGAGGCGGTCCCTCGTGGAGCGAGGGCGTGTGTGGCAGGCCTCAGAACGCCTGCTCCGCGATACAAGTATGTTATGATCGTGCTGGATGACCTACAAACCCAGAAAGAGGACGTTGTCGACTTCCAGTCGAGGTGTGGTGCGGGGCTCTGTGATTTATCTAGGGTGTGGGAATCGTCAGGCAACCAGGTGGTATGGAGCCGCCGGATAGCAGTGAGTTGGTGTTTGTACGGGTCATGAAGCAGGTCAGATGCGCGTTCCGTCCGGCGAAGGTATCGTAGAAAATATGTCTGGGTGGTACTCTCGGCCTCGAAGAGGCATCTAAGGGGTCTCCTATCCTGTCCTTCGGGCAGCGCTGGCAACAGTAGTCCTCGATAGTGAACATAGGATGTCACAAGAAAGGAATGAGGGTATGTTAGGACGTGCGTGTGTATGTATATGTTAGCGGGTAGGGTAGGGTTGGGTAGTTTGAGGTGCGCATAGCGTCCGTGCAGTACTCGTCGTTTTAGGAGGAGCGCTTCGAAGGCTAGCATGGGTGCATAAAGCAAATGATCAATGGAAGAGAGACGGTTCATAGATTGGCTAGTGGTTATGTAATAAGGTGGAGTCAGATAGCACTCGCCACCTCTGGGCAAGGTTCTGTCTGCACCGCTAATCGATTGGTGGGTTTCCCCGTCCCTTTGCCAAGGTCGGCAAGGGGGTTGAGGTGGTGCTACGGCACTAGGCCATATGCGATAGAACGGCGAACAGGTCCTATAGAGGACGGTCGAATGCTGCTGAGGAGATGTCAGCGTGTTGTTGGGTGGTGAATAGCGCGGGCGCTGGGGCTGGGCTGGGGTGGACGGGATCACCGCGTTGGTTGCGAGGACACGTGTCGCGAGACGCCTAATGTGCATGTCGTTGTCGTGGTCGTAAGGTAAGGTAAGGTAAGGTCAGGTCAGGTCAGGTCTCGAGTATGCACCGCCTGCTCGTCGGCCCCTGTTCGGCATAGCGGCTAAGTGCTTCGGCTACGTATTTTTCTCCGAGCGTTAGTGCCGGGCCTTGCGTGCACAGCACACCAGGGGTGGATACCCCGAATGTGAGACTCGGGATGCTCGGCAAGATCGTAGCTGGGAACATACCTGCGGCTGTCTTGTCGATGCCGAATTCGCGGCAAATTTTGTAACCTTGGCCCGCGCATGCTTTCACCAACTTTACGAATGTCAGCCTACGGCGTTCCGGCCTGATTCGTATCACCGCGTACGAGAACACGATACACCCGTGAGACGACAGCTGAATCTGCCGAGCCACTGTGCTCGTTAGTGGCTCACGGGATACGGGGGCAGGGCGGTCCGAGGTCACACAGCGGTAGTCTGAGGCCGAAGCCGAGCCACTCAACGGCCAAGGCTCCCGAAGCACACTTCAGTTCACTCATCACATTGCACAGTCCCCATCTAATACATCATATCATCCCCTTTTAATCAATCCGTCTCCATCGCTTCGCCACCTGCCGCGGCTTCAGTTCCGGTTGCCGTCGTCGGTCCTTCACTCGAAGCTGGCCCGGTTGCAGCCGTCGCAGTCGCCGTTGCAGACGATGAAGGCAGAGTGTCCGCATCGAGCGACTCCTTCGGGTCCATGCTCTCCAAGTAGGGTTTGAGATCGTCTCCCTCGATGATGCGGAACTCTTGGAACCCTTTCGGCACCGAAGTCGTCTCCGATTCCGAACCGATGGGAGCGACGGGAGCGACGTGGGACTCTGTTGTTGTGGAGGAGGAAGAAGACAGGCCAACGATACCGATCGAAGTGTTGAGTGGGGTGAGCTCCTTGTCCTGTTGGAGCGTGTCGCGCAATGCATGGAGGCCGTGCTTGATCAGAGTCGGGAGGTCGCCTGCTCGAGAGGAAGCGAACCAGACCGTCACGTTACTTGGTAAGCACTGGCATTTGGGAAACGGTTGGAAAGGAAATAAACTCACAATCCGGGAACTCGTCGTGATGAGCTTCGAGGTAAGTTTTTGCGGATTGACTGCGGGCACCGATTGACATGGCAAAATACTCGAAGCAGTTGCCCGTGGGCGAGAACTCGTACAAATGAGGCCCGGTAGACTATTGGGAGAATACACGGGATGTCAGGCCTAGTCAACCACACTCTATGGTCTTGTCGCGGGGTCAACTCACGTCGTAGCCTGCCACGAGGAAGCCGACACCGTAAGGCCGCTTGCCGTAGTGTTGCGTGTTGACTTGTGCCTCTGTGCAAATCAAAGGCTCCAGAACTTTAGTTTTCATCCTTTCTACAGTAGTATTCGACAGTGATGGAATACTAGACTTACTGTCGGCGATCGCATTGACGATTCGGTTGACGGGCATCGGTCGGTTGTAGAGCATCCTCGACGACATGGCTTGCGTCCTCATAAAGTTCCTTTGGGAGTCAACAGTGGGCGTCAGATTGTGTTTCGTTGTAGTAAGCAGGTGGCGTACTCACGACAATACCCTCGCATCCGAGGTGAGGCCGGCGATGGCGACACCGATGTGGTCGTCGATGCGGATCAGCTTCTTCTGATACGAGGCGAGCTCCCCCGTGGAGCGCTGGAGTGGGTATAGAATGAACACACCATGTCAGCTGTATGTCGAGGGAGGGATAGGGCGATCGAGCTCAATCTGACGGGGGCGCGCTGACGCGTCGATCTCGCCGCGGTGCTTACTTTGAGCGCCAACAGGATGACGTGCGTCTTGGATCTGAGTCCGACAGAAGCCGACCCTTGCTTGACAGCTTCAAGTGCGTATTCGACCTGGTTAGTAGGAGGTTGTGGCATGGGTAGTACAGGGGAAACAGTAGGACGTCGTCAGCTCCACTCCACCTTGAGCTTAGGCGCTCGTCATCAACTGAGCTGGCCCATTCGTCCGGTATTGTTCCAACTGACCTGGTGCAGTCGTCCTGCTGGACTGAGTGTGGTATTGTCCGAGTCGTACGAGTTGCGATGCATCTGTCGAGCACGATCGATCAAATGATCGGTCGGTTGTACCGGGCGATGCGAAGAACGAGGGGCCGACGAGGTCGGGTTCGAGTAGGGGAACGCACAAGGGAGCGAGGTGAGAGTTCAACCAGCGTATGCACTGGTCAGCGTTGGACTTGTACGTGGTCAGACGATATCGAGGCTCACCTTTGGGGAGTCTGCTGTCCGTTGGTGTCAGGTGGGGGAGCGAGGTGGAAGCGTCGTCACCCACCACAGCAGCGCATGCCAGGCGCGCCAATGCGCGAAATTGGGCATTAGTCTCCATCTCATCCCACCTCTATCTGCTTTAATTTTCCCTGGAGAAGGGTGTACCTATAAAAACTAAATTTTCGACCCCCTAACGTCGATATCTCGAGTCGGATGTGGGAGATGAAAAATGCGCTTGAGCGTGCCGCTGTGGGAAGTAAGGATTTAATTATGTAGAGCACAATGAGATAGGGGGCTTTTGCAAGTTCTGGAACTACGCGCCTGGCGATACGGCTGCCGTGCAGTGTGCACCGGTACCGCCAGTGCCAGGCAAGTGCAGCCTTCATCACGACTCGGATACGCCCTGGGCCTGTTCCTGTTCCCAAGTAACCAGCCGTTCAACCGTGAGTAAATATCACCTTTGACTCTGCGGTGTAGTCGCTACCACCAGTTTGACGCAGAACTGTCGCGGTTCGTCCAGCGCTCAGAGTCTGGACTCCGTCACTCCGTCTGCTGTGGGGCTCTTCCAAATTCCGAAGCGCGCACGGACCGTCCGCGTGGGGATGAGCTTCGCAGCCGGTCGCGAGCGCGTGAGCTCGATCGCACCTCTGGCCCTTCCGGACTCGCGCAACCTCCGACCGGACTCACATCTTCCACAAGTAAGTCGAGTACTCAACAGCAAGGTGAATGCTTAATACGAGACTGATGACCTTGGGTCCGTTGTGTATAGTGCGCCCTCTTACCGAATCCGAGACTAAGACGCTCTTTAGCAAGTTGGCCAACTACATCGGCTCCAACTTGGTCCATCTCGTCGACACACCCGATGATGTAGGTCGAGTGAGCATGCCTTGGTACTGAGGAAGCTCTGATGACTGACACTACACCAACTTTTTACCCCCTTGTTGCATCGGTAATTCGACCTGAACTCGCCGCGCTCGTTCGTTCGCTCGACTCTGGTCCGTACCCAGCCCCACGTCTTCCGTCTCCACCGATCGAGGGTCTACTACGTACGAGAGGAAATCATTCGTCAAGCTATCTCGGTCCCACGGGCGAATCTCATCTCGCTCGGCATCTGCCTCGGAAAGTTCTCAAAGACGGACAAGTTTAGATTGCACGTTACGGCGTTGGATCTACTGGGACGATACGCCAAGAACAAGGTGCGGGATCGAAGTTCATGTTCAGCAGGTGTTAGATGCACGGTGATCTCACGGCCTGTACTTGCGATCGCGCAGATCTGGATCAAGGCGAACGGAGAGATGCCTTTCTTGTACGGCAACCACGTCGTCAAGGCCCATCTCGGCAAAATTACGGAGGACACACCCGAACACCAAGGTGTCGTCGTCTACAGTATGACTGACATTCCTCTTGTGAGTTTTAAGTAATATGATCAAGTCAAAAGTGCTAGTCCGCTAATGATGTGTCTGCTTTGACTATAGGGCTTTGGCGTGACTGCTCGGAGTACGATCGACACGAGGAAGCTCGACCCTACCGCCATTATCGTCTTTAACCAGGCGTGAGTCTCTCTCATGTGGGGCAACTGCACTCTGAGACCCCACACTGACATTTCATCTCTCCTTTCGCTCATGTGGGTCCTTCACAGTGATGTCGGAGAATACCTTCGCGAAGAGGTTCGTTAAGCGCTATTTCACTGCCGAAATCGAACAAACTGTGCTGACCTCCTCTTTATGCTTTCCCTACAGGACACCCTGTTCTGAAGGGTTGGATTTTCGGAAGACTTTGTACTTCGTACTCACCATCGTTGTAGTGTCATAATTAACGCAAATTCTATAAGGGCTTTATGCTCTTCTCAAAACTAAGCCGAGTGAGGCCATCCCACCTTATGTTAATCGTGTGTCTCGAGAGGGGACTGGATCGGCAACCAGTAAGTACACGAGACACAGTACGAGTTGTAGGAAGTATATTGGAGTGTTAGGATTGCAACTAACCTGGATCGGCAACCAGTAAGTACACGAGACACAGTACGAGTTGTAGGAAGTATATTGGAGCGTTAGGGGGAAGACTAAAGAGGCTCGCGGTGCGAGTGCGCGAAATATCTCTAAGTCCAAAAGGGGTCCGAGCGGCGCGCGGCTGGCTAGGCTGGGCGCGGGCTGGAGATCAACCTAAGCAAGAGTGTATGGAATTCAACACCTTAGATAGGGAGGAGACCCACTCAACTGGACGATACGATACGGCTCCCGAAAAACGTGGCCACTTGGCACCCGAACTAGGAAAACTCTACGGTCAACGTGCTCATTGCCGAGATTCGAGCGCCAAGCGTGGAAGATTTGCTATTGATCGGATAAGCTCGACGGGCAATTAATAGAAAGCTAGCGAGCGCACCGCCAAAGAAGCCGCTACTGTCTCCGCTACTGCTCCGCTTCGGACTGCTTCGGAAAGCCAGCCCTGAGGCGGCGGGCTGCGCGTTCTCGATTGACGACGTCCGCTGCGTCCTTCCACACAACCCTCGGACGGACTTTGATTCTTGATTCCGGATAAAAACCCATGACGACCCCCTCAGGCAAGATCATCCCGCCACGGCAACGCAAGATCGCCTTGTTGGGATCGAGATCGGTTGGTGAGTGTTCCGTTGAGGCCTGGTCGGGTCGGAACGATTGATGATGATGAGGTCACGAGATGAGCGGGGGACGACCACGACCACGACCACGACCACGACCACGGCCACGGCCACGAGGCGGCGGTAAATCGGCGGCGAACGGTCTTGATGCCGAGATCAAAGCCGCGTATCGAGTGCAAGTGGGGCGATCCGAGGGCGCACCAGCCAGGACGATAAGATCTTTGCCAACCACAGAACGGGATGGAATGCGTGGGCAGGCCCTGGTGGAGGTCCATGCAGGCCATTTCCGAGGGTGGGGGAAGGAGCGGGCGCGAACGACGCCGTGGTCACCGCTGGGCTCGAGACCCGCGATCGCGCGCTGGGCCGTGGTGTTGGGCATGATGCACACTTGACCACAGCTTTCGATTGAACATCAGCATCGTGGTTCCTACGCCATGTGCGTGCCACGCAAGGGCTAACCCCACTCGCGTCTCATCCGACCCGTCGCCAGGCAAATCGTCGCTGACGGTCCAGTTCGTCGATTCGCACTTTGTCGATTCCTATTACCCGACAATCGAGAACACGTTCCAGAAGGTCGTCAAATACAAGGGGCAAGACTTCAACCTCGACATCATCGACACCGCAGGGCAGGTAAGGCATCACCGGCTCGATCCGAGAGCGATCGTGGGGCCAGGCATCGGGATCGACAAGAGGCGCCTTCGTTCCCGATCTCGAGGCGGTCGATGAGAAGTATGTGAAAGACTAGCAGCTGACCTCGAAGTTCAACCCATACACAGGACGAGTTTTCAATTCTGTCTTCGAAACATGCCGTCGGGCTTCATGGCTGGGTGCTCGTCTACTCCGTCTCGTCGCGTTCGAGCTTTGAAATGATCCAGATCGTCCGGGAAAAGGTCCTCAACTACACGGGGCGGGAGAACGTGCCCATGGTCTTGGTCGGGAATAAGAGTGATTTGGCAGTGCAGAGGTCAGTCTCGGGCCTGCGTCTGGGCTTAGTGCTGTAGAGGATGGAAGCTCAGATTTGTCTCTTCGTGCTCGCGATCTTCAGACAAGTCCCACGAGAAGAAGGTGCCGCTCTGGCCGCGTCATGGGGGATGTGCGGCTTCACCGAGGCCTCGGCGCGCCACAACGAGAACGTCAGCAAGATCTTTGAACTTGTCGTCGCTCAGATCGAGAAGGACATGAACCCCGAGCCAGAGGAGCCCGCCAAGAGTGGGTGTCGGGTCATGTGAGGGACGGTCCGTCCGAAATAGATCACGGCGACCGCGCAGCGCTCACTTCTTTGGTTTTGACGAGCAAAACCTCCTGTTCCGACCTTGAGGGGCAGATTATCTCATTCGCCTTCTCAACATAGCGGTCCCGCCTAGTTGCTGTCTTCCTTGATGCTAGCGCTAGCGCCGAGGGATAAGTTGTCGCATTGTTTCCGCTCTCTTTCGCTCATTTTCTCTTTGGGGTTCTGCTCCGTGTCTTTTTCCTCTGTGCTGTTTACTTCTTTTCCCTGTGTACGATGCTGCCCCTTGCGATTTATGTCATTAGACGACCTTGTCGTTCGAAACTACGCGCCGCTTGGGACTCGACCTGCGAGCAAGTTTTCGCACGAGCAGACTCTCCATGGGCTCGGCTACAATCCTTCGGATAGGTGCGGTATCGAGAGAAGTTGGGATACTGCGAGCTCAGTTATATGTTTGCAAGCACAGCGTCTATGAACGGATTCGATCCCAAGGCAGAAGCTCATTAAAAAAGAAATTGGCGGGCAAGCAGTGCCTCTTAACAAGTCATCAAAACCTCTAAGACCATCCTTCCAAGCTAGCTCTTGGTAACCATGTTTGAAATGCGGAGGAACGTGTCGCGTTGTAGGTCCCGCTCTGCCGGGGTACTACCTTTGCTGAAAAGTTGCCAGACCCCGGCGAGTGCGAATCTAAGGGCGTCGACGTCGGGCGACGAGTCGGCGCCGACGAGTGAGGAGGTAGGAAGCGTTGGGATTGTCTTTTCCTCTTCGGGATCAGGGCATTGAGCAAGAGGGGTCCCATTTGTGGTGGAGATGCCATCACTGCTCGAAGTGATATTGGACGGCGTGCGGGATGGACTGGGCCGTATTGCTCCTGCGAGTCTGAGAGCGTCCATAACGACCGGGGCGTCCGCGCCTCGAATGGTTGATGATCGTCGTGAACGGGTGAAGGGAGAACCTGGTGCAACAGCACTGGCTCGTCTCGAGAGGGAAGCAAAGTCCGGATCGTCGGCGTCCATCGGCAAGAGTTGTGCGTCCGACTCTTGGTGATGGGTATTTGTTCGAGTGCGGTCGTGCGCATCATCGTCGTCTCCTATCACGCTCCCCGAGGCGTCGCTGCCATAGCTCTCCCAGTAGCTTGATTCTTGAGCCGCTTCCTTCTCTTCCAGAGTCAGCGGTCTTGTACCGTAGGCCCCACCGACCGAACCACCGGGTACGCCTGATGGGTGATCTCCTCCTCCTCCCTCGGAATGATCATCTTCTTCCTCCCATCCCTCCCAGAAATCTTCAGGCGCACCATACGCACCCGGTGTCGTCCCTTCCCCTTCGGCCATTTCTTCGCGACTCTGGATGGGAACCTTGGGCGTCTTGATCGTCATCGGTCCCGTCCCGACCGATTTCTTCTTCGACCCCCCTGTTCCCGCGGCCTCGACGACCCCTTCCGAGAGTTGTCGCGCTAGACCGTCCAATGCCGTTCGAAGATCGGTGGACCAATGTTTCGCACTTGGCGAATCGGGATCGATTCGATCGAGAGTGAGGAATCGCCAACCGGCTAGTCCTTGTTCATCCTGATCTTCGGAACGGGCGAAAGCAGACGAGGATCCGTTGCCGAGATCGGCGAACGCGCCGCCAAAGGGATGAACCGATTCTTCCTCCCATACGAGTACGACGGCGAGGGAGGATGATCCGATAGGAATGAGCGCTCGGATCGCAGATGCATCCGCTGCGTAGAGTGGGTCACCCAAGGGCGGATCCGAGATCGCTAGAACGGGCGAAGGAGGGTTTTGGGGTGTGTGATTCGGACATGGGAAGAGAAGAGTACGGAGCAGCCCAGGGCCCGAGTGGGACACGATCGAGGGAGATCTGAATCAGCTTCTGAACGTCACGCATTCGGCGCCAAGACGGGCCGTACATTCAGTCAATTCCTCCCTCAGCCGTGTGACCTCGTAGTCGACTTGGACGGGTTGTAAGTAGGCGGGCGACGTGACCGGAGTTGAGAGGTAGTGGTGCGCTGACCGAGTCAGTTGGCTCAACTGCGAACCCGGAATCGCTCGTGGGGTAGGCGAGAGCAGCACGGGCAGTAGAGCGATGCACGCAGGCTGCGGTGGCGGAAGGTCCATGCTCGCGATCACTTGAGGCGATGCTGCGTCCTAATGGAAATCGTGAACTCGTGTGACTCGTCGTCGGCCTCGCAACAGGGGTGAGATGATGTGTCGAAGCGCAAGCTGTTTCACGCTTCGCGTCTGCCGCGCCGCGCGCTTTGCCCGACTCGCCCGAAGTCCGCGCCGAGGGGAATGTGGGGCAGCCGAGCAAGCCGCGACCCGCTCCGACATCTCCTCGGACCACCCGGTGAGCCTGCCAGACCCGGAAGCGAAACGGAACCGCAGTCACTCTCATCTGCAACACGTCTACACTTCTCAATTCATTTTTTTATATATAATTACACTTTGATCAAATCCTCCGTCAGTTCGCTGCAATCCCGTCCCCCTTCGGCGGCGGGTGATTGGCGAAGAACTCCTTCGCGTGACCGCACTTCTCGTTCGTGCACCCGGGGCATCGCAGACCCATTTGAACCGAAGTCGCTTGCGGACTCTTGAGGTGCTTGGCGGCGATGTCTGCGATGGCGCGGATGAAGTGGGGCGAGTCGTTGAGAGATTCGCAGCGTCGGACCCCTGTCAGCCCCATCTGCGCGATAAGGTTAAGGGAGTTGGGTCAGAACCGGCAGCCTGGGATAAAAGCTCAATTTTGGCTTTTGCGCACCTCTTTTGCCTCCTCGAGGTACTCCAAATCCAACTCGAACAAGGTCTCGATGTGATCACTGGTGAAAGCCACGGGAATCAAGAGCATGTCGTTGTGTCGTTTTCCCAGCCCCTTGATTGCGTCGCTGGTTTGAGGACCCAACCACGCCGAAGGGCCGACCTGGGACTGCCATGTCAGCCGGTACGGGTTCGTGTGCCCCAGTCGAGTCATGATCGCCGATACGGTCGCTCCAACTTCGGCGGGGTAAGGGTCGCCGCGGTTGACGACGGACATTGGGAGGGAGTGGGCCGAGAAGAGGAGCACGACCTTGTTGCGCACTTCGGCCGGGTAGTCCGCGAGAGATTTTTCAATATTTCGTGCCACCGCCTATATTTTTATCAAAAGGTCGAGTGTTAGTGCATCGCACCGTCCAGGAGTGGCTAGAGTATCGAACTGACATCGACGTAGCCTTCGTGCACCCCCCATCGATCGATGACACTCCACTGAATCGGCTTTTCGTTACCAGCCTTGGAGCGTTCCTGCAAGACCCTCCACATCTCATTGATCGAACTACCCGTTGTCGAGCACGAGTACTGAGGGTATTGCGTGAAGGCAACGGCGCGCTCTACACCGTCCTTCCTCATCTCGTCGAGGCAGGTCTCCGTTAAAGGGTTGGCGTATCGGAAGGCCACGTAGGCCTTGTGGGGTGCCGTCCCGGGTGAGAGCTCGTCAAGGAGCTTGGCCATGCCTTCGCCTTGGATCCGGGTCCACTTGAGGATCGGGGATCCACCTCCGATCGCGGCGTATTGAGCTTCGATCTTGGGTGTTCGGCGTTTGGCGATCAAGGGGGCGAGGTAAGACTGGAAAGGAAGCGGAATGAGATCGCCGTCGTGAAAGAGTCGAGACAAAAAGTCACCGGTTTCCGGGACCTGGTAGTGCATGAGAGTATTGCAGGGTCAGCCAAAGTACACCAAAGCCTGTGTCTGGAATCGGGCTGGCTACAGGCCGAGCTCAATTTTGACCGCTAGCATGCCCATGTCCGAGTGTAAGCCGGAACGGAAGTGCGATTATGCGTATCGTTTTCCCGTGGTATTTTGGCAAAGAACTGGAGGGACGAGTGGCGTGTTCGAACCGCATGCTTTAGTGAGGTGGCAGCGTTGACCAAGTCCGATTCGTGGTGCGAGATCGGCGAGTGGTGATTGGACACGACGCGGGCAAGCGCAACAGAATGGGAAAGGATGTGGCCCTTACCGTGGAAGGACCACCCATGTTCATCAGAACAACGGCTGTGGAGTTTGGCAGATTGTGGGCGAGGGGAGATAACCCAGCGATTTGGTGGGATGGGATCGTACGATCGACGAGGCCGAAGGAGTGAGCCGGACAACATGACGACACCGGCGCGGAGGAACGAGATCGAGAGGGAAGTGGAGGCGGAGACCAAGGGCATTGGGGTGAGAAGGTCAGTAAAAGTTCCGACGCGAGACGTGTGCTGTACTCGGTGCCATACCTGTGGGTCTACAGGGTGTGCATAGCGGTGAGGAGCTCAGCTTCCCAGAATGATCCTCGTCGAGCTCGATCACCGAGAGTCGAAACGTTGCGGACTTACGGCTTGCTGGCGGCCACGGTGGCCAGTCCTCGTCGGGCGGTGGCAATTGATCGCAGGGCGTGCATCGTGGAGGATAAGCGGCGGAGCAAGAAGAAGAGGGGGTGGTGCAATGCGATGCGACGTGGCAGTAGGTCGGTGCGAAGGACAAATTCTGACAAATTGCAACCATGATTGGCCCCGTAATTGGCCGGATTACTCGCGCCTATTCTCGCGCCTATTCTCGCGCCTATTCTCGCGCCTATTCTCGCAACTTTCTCGCGCTTCGCCGGGGAAGCTCGATCACTTTCGCCTCACAACCCACGCACGCTCACGCACGCTCACCCACGCTCACCATCGTACACCTCGACTCGTCGCATCATGGCCGCCGAAGCATCACAGGTGCCGACACCCGAGCAGATTGAGAAGAACCAAGTCAGGTTCGAGACCGAGCTCGAGGTCGGTCATCATCGCTTTCAACACTGCCGAGGTCCCCCCACCCGGCATCGGCGAAAAGGGCAGATCTCTACATAGTCTTTCGCACTGCAAGCTGATCATATCTATTCAAACTCTTCTCCAGTTCGTTCAAGCTCTCGCCAACCCATGGTACCTTCACTCGCTCGCGCAACAGGGGCATCTCGACGACCCGACCTTCCTCAACTATCTCGCCTACCTCGCTTACTTCCAACGGCCGCGCTATGCCCGCTTCGTGCACTACCCGCTGTGCCTGCAACACCTCGATCTGCTCAAGCTCGAGTCGTTCCGCCATGCGTTGAAGGATAGCGCTTTCATCACCGAGCGGTTGGCCGCGCAGCAGTTGGGTCAGTGGGCCACGTGGAGGCAGGGCAAGATCAACGGGACTGGTGGCGCAGTTGGGAATATGAATGGGAAGATCAATGGGCACGGGAGTCATGCAGAGACAAAGGAGGCCGTCGCAGGGGTATGAGGAGCACCTCTCGAGGCAGTGATGGAGCCATGAGCTGTTGTCGGGTCTAGGCAAAGTGAGTTGGAATTGAATGGCTGTCTGATCTTACAACTGTCGATTCTGACCATTCTGGGACATCCTGGCCCTGTCAACAGGCAGTAATCCTCCTGCTTCATCCAAAGTGACGAACGGCCCGCTTTTGCCCACAAGACTCCGAGAAAATGACGACACGACCCTACGGCCCGACGAGCGTATACTCGCAGCATCGTTGGAACGAGGTCTACGGTCGTTCAATCCGAACAAATGCCTCGGGACCGCGGTGCTTGGGCCGCATCTTGGCGCCACTGACAATTATCAAGTCTCGGAACGTTGAAGATGTTTTCGATCCCGCCGCGTGAAGTGCTTGGGTGTTCACTCGTATTCGAGGCCGAGGGTCCAGCACTTCTATACATACTAGACGCATGCTTTGCAACAGCTTCCCGCATGCAGTCCGATTCCGAGCCGGTCCATCCTGTTGGCCTTAACGATCTCGGGCTCTCCTAGGCCTGTCCTCCCCTCGCTAGCACTCACTCCGCTCGTTCATCTTTTGTAAATACAAGAGAATCCTATCCGAATCTCGCCATTGCAAAAAGCAAAAACACGTCACCGTAACCTCCTGCTGCTACCTCCATCTGCCGCTACCTCCTCTTCAGGATCGCTTGGCGATGGTCGGCTCCCAAGCGTCGACCTTGGGCTTGGTCGTCGAATACGTCTTGAACGCGCCTCGCGTGCCGGTCAAGTTCTCCCAATGGGGCTGTCCAGAGAGAGTACGAGAGGATATTAGAATCTCGATCCGGAGTGGCATGACTGCATGCTTACGCTCTGCCACGGTTGTTTGCTCGCTTGCACGACCGGATCCTGTGGCGGGGGCAGGTGTCGGATGTGCGAGATCCACGAGTGCCATTCGGGCGTGATTTGCGACGCGTTAAAGTCGTGCTAAGAGGTGACGAGGAATGAAGGCTGATGAGTTTGACAGACCTTCTTCGAGGATCCGAGACGGGTTGAGGCCTCGATGGCTGGATCCCTGGTCCGGTCTCTCCAGTCACTTACCGAGGCAAAGTCGACCCAGCGATGCCTCCACAGTGTCTCGTCCTGGTTTTCGTAAAACTTGTTGCCGTGTCTGCGCGTGGAACATGTCGTGTCGAGTTGAGGCGTTAGTCCGACGAGGAGACATTGGATCGCAAAGGTCAGGTGAGCGGCGACTGACTCGTCTTGGCCTACGAATTGACCCGCTTTGAGGTCACCAATGTACTGCAGGTCCCTCCATGCCTCTGAAGAGCCCAGAATGAGACGAGAGGTGCATGGAATCAGTTCCTGTGCCGGTGAGATCGTGTCCTGAAGGGATCGGGAGAGACTGACGGGCGAGTCCGACCTGGCGGACGTTGGCGACCACTCGCCTGATCGATGGTGTCAAGATCATCTGTGCAGCGAACGGAGGGTCTCAGACTGCTGTATTCGATCGGTCGTAGACGGAGAGGGTGAACTGACGATGTGGCAACGGTTGGATGAATTGGCGAGTGGACGAGACGAGCGGCGCCTACAAAGTGCGGAGCTCCCCAAGCCCACCCAAGCCCGGGTCAATTGAAGGACGCGCTGCATTACAAATGGAGCAATCTCGATTAGCACGGAATCTGAGGACTCGGCGCGAGTCGGCGAGAGTGCCGCGCGCCTCCTTTGGCCTCTTTCACCGGCCGGTCAGTAGCTTGGCGTAGCTACTTTACTACCACTTTGGTTCCCTTCATTAGCTTCTACACATCCCAACCCACCGCCTAGCTGCGTTCCCACCGGTTCTCGAAAGTTGCGATCCGGTAGCGGTCGTAGGCCTACTTCGCCTGCGTCGTCATGGTCGCTGACGAGCATTCCAACGCGGATGTACCGGCCACAAACCAGTCCGACCAGGAGCAGGAGCAGCACGGCCGGGGTGAGGCTGTCGAAGCGGCCAGCGACGCCGATCACCACGACGACAAGCCCGTAACCCATGCTGACGACACCGCCTCTCCTCCACCGATCGCCAAGGTCAAGCAACGACACAACACCAACACGTCGACCGCATCATCCCACAAGGGCACCGGTGGGGGTATCAATGACGAGAATGCGACCCTCGCCGCCCTCGCCGCGGCCTCGTCGTCGTCGTTGCCCATCTCGCCCTCGTCGGACAATCTCCTACACAGCATAGGCAATGGGAGGTCATCACCGACAGTACAGGACCATATCGACGACTCTTCCCCCTCCTTCATGCTCGTGGCGTCCCTGCGAGCTCAGATCACCGACCTCAAGTCCCAGGTCACGTCGCTCAACTCCAAGCTCGTCACCAGCTACATCCGCCACGGCGATCTCGAGGACGAGCTGCATGACTTCAAGGCCAGGGACGCGGTCACACGGCAGCGGCTGCAAGAGTTGGAACAGAATAACAAGCGATGGGAGAGAGAGATTGAAGGCGGCGGATGGGTCGAAAGGGTCAGTATTACTCTGTCCACGCTGATGGCGCACCGCCTCTGAGGAACTCGTCAGCTGACTGTCGATAGATTGTGACTCTCGCCGCCCCTCTCCACAGGATCACGTCCAAGGTGAAATGCAACGGTTGATGACACAAGTCTTGGCCGAAACCGCCTCCCGCGAAACGGCCGTGCAAGCCCACTCGGCCCTCGAGACCGAGATCGAATCCCTCACCTCCACCCTCTTTGACGAGGCCAACAAGATGGTGGTCCACGAACGCATCGCCCGCGCCAAGGCGGAGGAAAAGATGGTCAGCTTCGACGAGCAGACCCAGGCCATGCAAGGCGTCATCGATGGAGTACAGACCAATCTACGCGAGACCGTCACTCGCCTCGAGGAGAAGGAGGTTGAGGTCAAGATGCTGCGCAAGAAGCTGGCCGACGCCGGTATCTTGGTCGATGAAGCGGAAGGATCATCTTCCACGACTGACGCAGTCGACGGATCCGAATTGGCCGTCATTGTCTCCGATGGCGTCAGTGTCACACCTGTGGTCGGATCTGGCACACCGACGGCCCTCACCTCGGCCCGTGCGCCCAAGTTGGACGTCCTGGCGCCACGACTCCTCAACTCGGTGCAACCCTACCACGAATTCCTTGCATTCGTCACCTACTTGCGTCAATTGCGTGTCAGCGTTCTTTCCAAGCCGCTCGACTCGCCATCTTACTCGCATTCCCTTGCGACCCGCTCTTTCAGCACCGGCGCAAGCACACACACCCCGACCAACTCGGCGGGGTCTTTGCCATCCGCTCACCCCTCCCAGCTTCTGGCACCTCACCTTCCACTCTCAACACATCTCTCACAACCGTTCCTCAAGCGATGCATCGAAGAAGATTCTGACCCTTCTCTACGCCTCGACCTCGCTCCCGGACTGGGCTTTCTGTCGCGACGTAACGTTGCGCAAGCGATCTACGACGGCCAGCTCGTCATCGAACCTCTCTCTTTCGGCGCTACACTTCCTTCGGCCAACTGCGCACTCTGCGGGACCGGTCTGGAACGCTGGAGCGCAGGCGCGAGCGTCGCGAAGCCAACCATTCTGCCCTCGAATGCGGCTTCCGTCGGAGCGTCTGTCAATTCGACAATGCGCAAGGTCTGGGGCTCTGGAGCCTGGATCACGGGTGGAGCCTCCTCGACGTCTTCCTCGGGGACAGCGACGCCTCCGCATCAACCCGAGCCCGTCTCGGCATCGACGATCAAAGACTTCACCCTTCCGCAGCCGACCACACTCGATGGTAGACGGCTGCACGTCCACGTCTTCCGTGTGAACGACAGCTCGACGAGCAAGTATGCTGTGTGCCCTTTGTACTGCCTGGGTCGATTGAGGGCCGTCTGCGAATTTTGGACCTACGTTCGTGCTTTGGAGAGGGGCCTCTTGGTCGAAGAAGGCTTCAAGTTCGTCAGAGGGCGAGGATCGAGCATCTTGGATGCGTCGACGTCATCGGCGAATTTGCCGGAGAAAGTCAATATCGCTGTCGAGGAAGAGCAGGGGCAGATCGAGGAGACGCAACAAGGGACGATGAATGGACTCGGCTTGGCCGAGGTCGAGACGGGACCTGCGGACAAGGTAGTCAACGTTGAGGATGAGACGCGCAACGATGCAGAGCCCGCCAAAGAAACCGAAGCAGCTACGGATTCCGAGCGGGCCAAGGAGAAAGGCGTTACCGAGGAGGATGACAAAGATGATGAGTTTGTCGATACGAACGAATCGGAGCCAACTGAAGCCGAGACCGACGGGGAAAATAAGGAGGCTACGCTCGAGGAGAAGAATATCGAAGATCCTTCGGCGTCGAAATCAGAAGCCCCCGATTCTACCAAGTCTACATCGCCTGCATTGACCAAGCCGCCACTCCCCAAACGTTCCGCGGCCCGCTCGCCCGTCCTCACACCCGCCTCACCTCAGTCTGATCGACCCACCTCTCCAGTTCCTCGAGATAGCACCCAGGCGTTTGATTTACAATCCTTGCCGCCGCCACCACCACCTCGCCGTCCCGCCGGCCCTCCCCCTCGGCATCCCTCCACCGCTCCGAAGCTCATCACAACAGTCGAGGACGTACTTGCTTCGGCACCGGGTTGGGAGGATGCGTGCTGGTCCGAGGTTGTACGGTTGAAGGAAGCCGTCTTTTGGACGCGTATGGCTGCATTCGGGCGCAAGGGAGAAGCCTTGGAGCCGCGGAAGGTCGAGGTCGGAAGCATCGAGTCTTAGGAGCCCGCTGTTGCACATTTTCGAGGGGACATCCGCGAACTTCGACGTATCGAGCAAGCCTCGACAGCCTCTGATCTGGTATTGTATGATACTAGTACACATGCATATGATACTTTTGTGTTTGAATTGGATTAAGCAACGATCACGTCATGCACGATCAGGAATCGATGGCCTCGTGTTCCTCTCACGGGCCTGAGCGCTGACGTTCTTCGCTGCGCAAGAAATTGTTCGACGAATGCAAGAGGGTTGCAGACGATCTAGAACGTGCCCTTTGGTGACGTGAATTTGATTGATCCAGCATGCGTGACCATGAAGTCCAGATAGCCTGCATCGTGTATGACGAAGTCGCGCTTTGACTCCGCGATGATTTGTATCCGTCGGACGAACGTTTCCAGCTTCGCTAGCGCGCGCACGGACTCCGAACAAACACTCAGCGAGCTCGACCGAGAGGGCCCATCGGATAAACTGCACTCTGGGTAATATGGGGTCACTGCGTGCACGGTAATCATCGCCGTTTACCCTGTCCTTCAACCGTCGTCCGCGACTCTCGGACCGCGGTCGTCGCGAGTGATCAAAGGCTCGTTCACTGGCGTTCGGCAATATCATGGTTCTGTCCTTTGTAGTCCGCAGGGCACGACGCCGCGACGGGTTGCATTTCGCCCCTTCACTTGTTATACCCTTTGTCCTACGTTGCCCCTCGCTCATGGCATCCAAAGCCCCGGTTCAGCTCGAGCGTCGAGCAAGTAGCTCCCGTCGGCTTCAACGGCTCCTCAAGCCCCGCGCCGGATGCGATGCATCGCCATCTCTGCAGCCGGTGTCGTACAATGCCGACATCACGCCAAGCTCTGGATTGCCCATGCTGATCGGTGTGTCACAAGTCGTCGAGATCGATGTGTCGGGCCGGAACAGTGATGTTGAGCGCAAAATCGAGTCGGCTCGGGTCATTCAAACATGTCCATCTGGCAAATCCTCGCCAGCCATCGAGCGCCTGGATAACTTCAACATCGCCGACTACATCGCCTCTCTTTTCAGCCCTCGTGTCGGCGAAAGAGAGCTTGTTCGACTAGACTGGTCCCCATCGTGCGTTTCAAAATGTCATGCCGGGCATGGCTCATTCCCGCCGCCGCCGGCGCGGACGCACGGCCCCTGTCCGGGTACGCTCCATTTTCGGCCGTCACGTTTTGGCGGCCCCTATGACTAAATGTAACACACATGACCAATTACGTGTAAAATTTGCAGACTCCAAATTGAAGGGTTGCTCTACCTCATCGCATTCACGGTCTCGCTCTTTATCCAAGATGTTGGCCAAAACCGGGGTTCAAGCACGGCCCGCCCCTGTCGGCCCGATCGTCACTGCATACTGCCCTTCGCCGACCTTCCCATCGCTTGTACGGCTAACCGTTCAATCGCGAGAAGAAATCGAAGGCGCGTCGACCAAAGAGGCCAGAGGCTTGGGCTCTTCAGAAGGTGTTACAGTCGTTCAGCGAGATGCGTGCCCCATGTCCTCGAGCGACCCGAAAGCTGCAGTGGCGACACTCCACGAGGCGAGCAGCGAGAGCCTCCGCAATATCAAGAATGATCATCAACACTTTGCTATTCAGCTATCGACAAATACTAGGACCTCACTTGATGCAAATTTGGTCGACACAACCAGTCCTTTAGCAGGGCGATCTTTCTTGGCGCAATTGCGACGCACAAAATCCTTCCGAACGCCAAGGCACATCGAGCTCATGCTATCTCCGTCGCAAGGAACAGATATGGCAGCCTCCCAAGCATCAGTCACCCGATCTCCCATGGCACATCGACCGAGACAATTCGAGTGCGAATACCAGTCGCAGACATCCAGGACGCCCACTTCGGCATTGTGTAGCCCGAGGCCGTCACCAAGGTCGGACAACGTACAACGACCCCTCGGTCGGGAGTGCAGGCTACCACCAATGTCTGCGTTTACCGAGCGGTTCAAGCCTACCTCATATCCGGCGCCACCTACTCAAGAGGGTTGCATCATAGACTTGAAAAGGTCGAAGTCGTTTCGAATGCCTGGGGACCGGAGAGGGCCTGGCGAGACTTCATTCAATCTGGAAGGATCACTGCGCCGGACCCCTAATCTTCCTGTTCGCTCCAATTCGGAGCCGAGGAGGGCCGATGCGCGCACCAAGCATCGAGCGGGAGAGTATACGCTCCTCGCGTAAGCTCAGTATCGAGAGCGGTGTCGGAATGAGCAAAGCATATACCCGATTGCGCAATTGTAAATCGACCTATCCTATTTATTCCATTTACACATTGCAACCTGCTTTGGCGTGCATACACGCAGCCCCCTCATCAGTATTCTGCGATCTCATCTACCCGTGAAACATTTAGTGCGAACCCAGGACAGATCCAAGCCCCACACGAGCATTCTGTGAGCCCGAACGAACGAGAACGGATCAACATATGTTTTGAACCGAGTTGATTCTGTCAACTGTGCCGCGATAACTTACGCGCGCCTGCCCAGTCGAAGCTGCCGAGTTTGGCCCCACATTTTGCGTTCGGACACACAATCTTTCCCCCAAGCGCACCAGATTCCAATATGGGCGACATCCAAGACAACGGCTCGGTAAAATAGCTCGAGCAAAGGTGAGAGGGCAAGATCGGGGGATCGAAGATTTCCCGAGCTTTGACCTCAGCTTCCGATTCTTTCGCAGCGTCCGAAGCCGAAGCGGAGTGTGATGACTCTGGTGCTTCACCCGACCCCGGTATTGAAGTCGACGACGTGGTCGATTCGTTTACCGTAGATTCGGGAGCTGATGGTGGCCGCGGTCGAGACACTGTTGGTCGCTGTACCACAGCGCGAACTCCAAGGCCTGGCAAAGGGCGCGAAATCCTCAAGCCGGCCAAAGCAGTCGCCGGCGACTTCTCAGTCTTGTCAACCGAAGTCCTGATGCTTGTGTCAGTCTCCACATTTGGAATTGCTCGCTCGCGCTCCTCCTTGTCCATCTCGTCGCGCCGCCTGGCCTCCATCTCCATCCTGTGCGCCGCCATATCGCGCCGATGCGGGGCAAAGGCCTGTTGGCCCTTCCCTGGCTCGTGCGCCAAGACGTGCTCGCGGGCTGCAAGCTCTCGCCTGATTGACCAGGCCAATGACAAACCCATCCGAATCAGCACTTGACCGTGAATGACGAAGGATATAAGGAAAGCGGAAGGCACGAACCTGCACATCTTGCACCGTATCCTGCGCCCGCTTATCACTACCTCCTGCTTGTTGCCAATTTTCTCGATCGATGGAATTTTACGCATCTCGGCAGACTGTCGTTCTGTCTCGCGTTCCGCTTTCCGAGGGGTAAGTCGCTTGCGAGGTACGGGAGCGGGTGTTGGAGTCGTGGTGGCACCCAACCGATCCGAGAGACTAGTCGAGGTACTGCTTTCGACGGGAGGAGAGGCCCCTACAAATTTGTATGCGTCCGAGGCCGAGGGATCGGCTGTCGTCGGCATCGGCGTCATGGTCAACGGAGTGCCCGGTGCGCTACCCTTAGGCGAAGGAATAGGCGAGGGCGTCGGTGAGGGGTAGTACGCTAGAACGATGGAAGGGGAGACACCGCCTGACGTCGAGTGGTAACAAAGCGGCGTTAGCGGTGAAGATTCATTTTCGCCTCTGAGACCCATTCACTGACCCATGATTTCATTTTGCGCAAAGCTCATGAGAAACCTTCGTTCCTCCGCGTACTAATGAAGGAGGAGGGCAACAGAAGAGCCTGTCAGTCGATCGATAAGCGTGTAAAGCACAACTCACTCTTACCTTGACGGGGTTCCACTCGCAGTCGCACCTTTCGAACAGCTCAAGTTGCAACATGAAGAAGTCGCTTGGCTCAATCTGTAACCTCGCCTTTCGCACCCGAGCCAGCGCTTGTTCGACCGTGAGATCCATCTCCTTCATCAGATACGCCGCAACGAGAGCCGATGATCTCGATACACCGGCTTGGCAGTGGACCAAGACGGCATGAGACTTGAGCCGAGCTGACGCGATCGCCCTGCTGACAGGCACAAAGTGCTCGATGATGTTGGCTGAGGCAGTGTCGTCGATTGGGACGCGGTGCAGGGTGGTCCCAGGTAGTGGTTCATAGGTTTGTCTCACTGTAGATGGAGGTCCACGATGTCAATCGGGCGTCAGTCTTGCTAGGCGGCGGGAGTTTGGGACCGGGAAAGAGCGAAGTGGGGGCTCGCGGAGCTGGAGACGAACTGGCTGCCACGACGAGCTTGATCTTGTGCTTCTCCAGCAAGTTGGCATCCTGGGAAGCAATGTAGTCGCCTATCCAGAGGTTCGACATGACCTGGTGCATGTGTGCGTCCGCCATCTTTTGGTGACGAGGAGGCGACGCAACTGCGAGCTCTGAGGACGAGGGCGAGGCGAGAAGACGACCTGCGGTTACTGACGTCGACGTCGCAAGTCGATGACCAAATGTGCAGGATCGTCAGGGATCGTCGTCTAGAATCGTGCGTTTGGCTCACCCACCCGCGACCGGTACGATTTCACATGTGACCAAGACGGCCATCGCGTATCACCCGTTGGTTATTACAACACGATACCGATAAGACTTATGGTTACACACATACTTCGGCTTGGCCAGTGCAAAAGGAAAAAGTATTCTGCGAGCGCGAGGGTGGATATTCGAACCGGCCAAGTCGATCGGGCCAGGACAGAGAACAATGTCGAGGCCAGAGCGCGACGATCCCTCTCCTATCTTGCTTTAAAGTATATTCAACTGCTGATCTTGGCCTTCGCTTCGTCCTCAAGTCTCCGAGTGAGGATCTCTTCCTCGCCTTCCTCGAGCGGTCGAAACGAGATGGACCGAAGGGGGTCAAACCGGATCGAATTTGCGTAGGACGAGCTTGGTGTGTATAGTGATTCGGGGGTGATGGACAGCGCCGATGTCTGTGACGCTAACTTGGCGAATAGAGCCGTCTGGTCATGGTATCTGCGACCAGTAGCGAGAGTATTCATATTCAGAGTCTTTGGTCAGGGGCTGAATCGGGCACGTGGAGGGGCAAATCAGTGATCGACATCGGAGAGGGCCGACACCCACATCTTCCAGGCTTCGGGATTTCCGCAGTTCTCTTGCTGCACCGCATCGAGACCTTCCCTCTTGAACGCATTCTTGACGTGGTGCAGCACGTGAAAGAGGTAGTCGCGCCCGGGAGTCCAAGGGCTGAATCGATCGCCGAGGTGGAATCGGCCTGTTGCTGGATCGACTAGAGGGTGGAACACGTTGGTGCTAAATGTGATCGTAGGAGGGAGGCGGGACGGGTACGTGGGTGCCATTGTCATGGAGAATCTGAGGACCGAGTCGCGGAAGTAGCCCCGATGAATGAACAAGACACACTGCCATGCTGCCAGACAGGCTCCATAGGCATTTTAGTCCAGGCAGCGCTTCGGCGAAAAATACGAGTCCTGCACGTACTGAAGACATCGTCGCTTGTGGGCAGCACGTACATGCCGAGAGGACACGTGGACGAAGCTCCGAGCGTTGCGAACTCGAGCATGACCGCTTGACGCGCCGCGATGGAGCCAGTCATGACACTATGGATGCTGGACGTAGAAATGGGCGTCGATCAGACACTGAGACGATGCAGATTTAAAGGGCGACGCGTTGAATACAGGGTGCGGCGCAAAGGTATACGTCAGGAGCTGAGCGAGGTCCAGGGTCAGGAGGTGGAGCGCTCCTGGGTCACGTGAGCAGGAGAGAAGGTACTACGAGAGAGCACGAACAAGCATGAGCCCCAGCGCTGCGATCGGCGCCGACTTCCGCTGCAGATCTGCTCTTTCGGTATGCGGTTCGTGCGCACTGGTATGCTAGAGCGTCCAGATTATGCCTCGCGGTCAAGTTGTGACACTAACTGAAAGAAACGGCGTCTTGCTTGCTAGCGGAACAGAACCAGATTTCAAAGGGTAAAACTCTCGCCTTGAGTGTTATGCAATATCACTACAAGGATTCACCATCATATACAGTCCTTCTACCTTCTACCGCACCCTCTTGCCGTTCTGCACCTTCGGACCCCAGCCTCGAATCTTGCGCTTGGGTTTTGTCGGCACCGCTATCTCGGCGATGTCGAATCCGGCACTGTGTGCACACACAACATAATCGAAGAGATGTAGGTTCACATGGACAGGCGTAGGGCGCGGTGTCAGTCCTCGTTGACATGCGAAGAGGAAAGGAAGGATTGGGGGATACGTACCGGTACTTCTCGAGTACCCACAGCAGATACCGTCGCTCCTTGACGGCTAGACCTAGCTCGGACAGAGAATGAGACGTCGAAGCGAACAGGGCTTCCCACGTCGGGAACTTGTCGGTGTGCTGCTTGAGATTCCGAGAGGCCGACTCGAGGACGGCGGCGGGTGTGGTGTAGGGAGCTGGAGTCAACCGGCGGGCAAATGCAAGCGGCCAGTCAGATGTGGTGCAGTTGGGAGCTATGTCGTACGTGCTGATACGGAGAATGACTCACTTCTTGTGGATGGGATGCGGCGTGGTGCGAGCGCCGGGGCGTGCAAGCTGCGAAGCTGGGAGGACGAGCTCGCGAGCGGTGTGGTGTGCCAGGATGATGCACTGGCTACCGTCGAGCGACCAGGTCTTGTCAGGCGCAAGCTTGTTCGGAGGGTTGGCGTGAGTGAAGCCATGCGTGAGGTGGGGTATTGTGGAGGGTGAAGGACCGTGAGCGCTGTGTGGGCCGAGGCTTGTGTGGACTTGTGGACTTCTAATGGACTTTCACTCTTTGGCTCAACCAGTGGGAACCCGTTAAATTAACGGGAGGATGAAATTCAAAAAATAGCAGGATAATCGAACAGTCTACATGATATCAGCGCAGAGGTTAAGAAAACACAATACGAAGTACAGCAAAGAAACAAAATCTATTCATCTTACATTCATCGCCGAAACAGCCTGCATGTCGCTTGTTGCCGGGCTTGGCTTCAAACACTCGTGCAATGAGATCTGGACGGTTGCATGCTTTATCGGCCCCAGTGCAGCCTTGATTTCCGGTGAGTCGGGGGTCGTACGTCATCGTGATGAGCAGCGGAGGCTTTCCATGTTTGACAACGCAAGCCATCGCATCCTGGTATCGCTGCGTGATGTCGCGATTTGGTTCGGGGTCAAGCCGTTGATGCCTTGGGTCGTGGTGAGGTGTAGGTTCTCTTGATGCAACCGGATGTGTTGAGTCAATCGGTCTTGACTTGGGAGTACATCCGTAAATCACAAACTCCAGGAAGGGACGTTGGGTGCAATGCGGGATTGAGAAGTACTTGTCGCCTTTGGCAAGTAGTGCGCAAAGAATTGTGAACGCGAGACTCGCCACCTCGACCTCGACCCCTTTACTTGACCTTCGTCCTAGGTGTTCAAAAGTTCAATGTCAGTCTGTGCTTGCGCCTTAGACAGAATGGAACATCCGAGAAAGAGCCGAAGACGCGTACGTTCACCATCACCATTATCTTCGTCCCCTTCCTCGCCGTCTTCATCCTCATCGTCGCGGTCTTCGTCCTCCTGTACGTCTTCGTCATCCAGACCGAGACCGGCAAGTACCTCGCGCAATTGGACACCATTGTCGATCTGCTCTCGGTTTCTGGCGATTGGCGGCCCGGCTTGGTGGAACCCGCAAAGAGGAATGTTGGGGTGGAAGCCATCTTCCCCTGCAGGAAAAAGTAGTGGGTAACGGAGAGGCATCGCGGACGGATGGAGCGAGCTAACGACTTGGTATTTGGGCCGACCCTCGGGACATCGATCACCGTGCACCTGGAGAATAAGGTCTTGACGTCCACGATCTCCCGTGTTGGTGTCGGAATCGCATATGAGTATCGCCATTTCCGTGCTCGACGTAGGAAGGTTGTGGGTGCGTCGGTCTCAGCCTGGCCGGAGGCAGAGGCGCAGGATCCACTATTTGGCCGTATTCCAACCTGCACGAGCTTTGGTCAATGCAAACAGCCTCACAAAGCGATTGTTGGTACGCAACTTGGACTCGAGCTTGGTCAACGTAGATCTTTGTATGCGACGGTCTGGGCTGTTGGGTCCAAGTCGAGTGTCGGTGGCCTCGACCGGGTCGATGAGCCATGTCTGAGCAAAGGCTGGGCGTTGATTCACGGCGGGGATCAGGGCACCGAGTCGATGATAGAGGTGACCGAACACGCGAACACGGGGGTCCTAAAGTGCCGAGTCGTATCTGGTCGAAGTGAGCAGCAAGCGAAGTGAACGACAGCGCGTTGTTGTACGACCGGGCATTCTCGCGGAACGCTTTAGCTTCTGTGTGCGTGGGAAAATTGTCGCACAGTTCGGCATGTGGGTCTACTGTAGACGAATGTTGTTGGACGGAGCAACTGACCGCTATCCGAGCCTTCGAGCAGCTTTCGACACTCGGGATTGGGCTGGGGAGGGGGAGGTAGCCGCACCTTGCCCTGCGAGCAGCACGTGCTGAAGTGTCCGGTCGACTTCGACCTACTTCGACCTTTCGCACTCCCAGTGCGGAGCCTTGCAGTGGGTGCACACGGCCGTCGGAAGCCGAGGTCGTTGCGGATCGAAACGTGGGGCTTGAGGGATTTGAGCGCCATTCGAGCCCGGCGCAAGCGCCTTTGCGCATGAAGAGGTGGTGGTGGGGCAAGCTCAGTGTCGGATCGGCCATCGGGCTGACCACGCTGCCCATTCTGCACAGCTGCACGGCGTGCTCGTATACGTGTCGCAATACCCGGTTGGGTTGTTGTCATGACGCGCGGGAGGCTGATTCTGTTGATCAGAGCGGGAGGAAGAGGAGGGTCGAGCCGCGGGGCGCCCAGCAGCTGGCGCTCGAGCAGGCCCATGGTCTCCCATGGTACGGCGCTACCCTCGCGCCCAAGACTTTTATAGCTTGGCGAGGTTGCGATGGCCCTCCCTGGCGACCTTGAGACCGGGGCATACTGGGGCAAGGGTTTGTTCTTGAGTGAGTGTCCCAAAATTCGATGATAGTGGGAGGGAAAGAAAAGGTTAGAGGGAGTGGCGCGGGTTTGTTTACGGGGTGTGATTTGTTGTTTAGCCCCTAATGCCACTGGTCGACTGCCGGAATGACACTCACCGCGGCGCGCCACATCACGTGACAGACGCCAGCCCTCGCCCCGCCCGTCAGGCGTCAGGCGGAGCTCTGCTGTAGAAGCAATGTCATGCAAAGCCACGCGCTTGCCGTCCATTAAATTCAATATAAGCACTGTTTTCGTCAACGAAAAAAGAGAAGGAAAATACTGGGAGCGCTGTAGCTTCGTTGGAACGGCGCGAAAAATACAAAAGTCACCACAGGGCTTGTACATGACTTCTGATCGGAACATGGACACCACAGGCAGGTGCGGCAGACAAAACAGTAGGCTGGTACATCCACCACAGGCGGCCCTCCGGGCCGCAACCTAGTTAAAAACAGCGATTTTAGGTACATTCCTTAACTCACACTTTTTTTTTACTAGTTAGGGTAATAGAGTAAAATCCTAATCGGATTGGGCGGTCCAAAGCCCGCTGCGATACTGCTGCGATTTGGGCTCGCGCGAGTCGCACAGAGTCGCCCTCCTCCCTGCGCCTCTCTGCGCCTCTCCCCACATCCGAACGGACCGCCGGCGTAGACTTTCGAGCGCTCACCTCTACCGCACGACATCGTCTTATCATGGCCAACCCAGGAGCATCTTCATATGCAAGTGTTTCGGACTATTGCAGCAAGTGGGCTCCTCTGACGATAACGCTCACCTTACCTTCGCGCAGTCGTTCTCACTGACGACGTTCTCCCCGTCGGGCAAGCTCATTCAAATCGAACATGCACTCGCTGCCGTCGGGCAAGGCACTACAAGCTTAGGCATCAAGGGTAAGAGTCGAAGCTGAAGAGAAGTAGCTCGCGGGTGTCCGCCCACACAATCGAAAGGAGCAGCGTCCGTCGACGTCACCCTCGTCGTTGCCGGCGTCGTCATCGTCTTCACCCGCCTCGACCCTCGTCCGCGATCAATAACATGGCCGGCAGTTTTGACGACGGCCTATCATCTCTTTAGTTGAGAAAGTCTTCATCAAATGATCAACACCTTCTTAACCGGGTTGTCGCCTCTGCGGCACCCCGCACCGCGCCAGGAACGACGCGTCACCCCTCGTCGCACTCGACATTTAGCATCCAACTTCCATTGACTCACTTCGACCGTAGCCACAGGCTTCGTCGTGTCCGATGGTGCAGTTCGCTGATACTGTTGATCGCCCGCACTCTTCGTGGGCAGCTTCGAACGGTATCGTGTTGGCAACGTCCAAGAAGCCTCCGTCGCCTCTAGTCGATGATTCCATGTTGGAAAAGGCGAGTCCTATCGGACCATCTTGTACAGGATGCCGATTCCTTGCAAGATCTCACGCTTATGATTACCCATAACATGTCCTACTATGTTACCTATGCCGCTTCCATCCTTCCCGCCGCCGGTTCCATCGACGTGCATAATGCCAATGCTACACGACTGCTGGCCGGCCGACGTCTACAGGTGTCTCTCGTCTGCCCCAACATCGGTCTTGTCTACTCAGGGATGGGACCCGACTTCCGAGTGCTCGTGGCCAAAGCGCGCAAGTCGGCGCAGTCGTACTGGAAGATCTACGGCGAGTATCCGTCGACGAGGGTCATGGTCGGCGAAATCGCGAGTGTGATGCAAGATGCGACACAATCAGGGTCAGTTTACATCGATACAAACTGTCGCCCATTGGTACGCCACAAAGGACCTGACACCCCGGATGATGCCTTACAGCGGTGTGCGACCGTACGGCGTATCTTTGCTCGTGGCCGGCTACGATAAAGCCAAGGGCCACACACTCTACCAGGTCGACCCATCAGGTGCATTCTGGGCATGGAAGGCGAGCGCGATCGGAAAAAACCAAGTTAACGCTAAAACATTCTTAGAAAAACGGTCAGTCGCTCGATCACGCCGTCCTTCCTCGAAAATGGCTTTGCTGATATCTTCCTGCTCGTCGGTTCCCGCAGCTACAACGATGATCTTTCACTCGAGGACGCCATTCACACAGCCCTCTTGACGCTGAAGGAAGGATTCGAAGGTGTCATGACGGAGAAGACGATTGAGCTGGGTATCATCTCCACTGCCGGGTTTGAGGGCGCTCAGCATGTGCTCGGAGCACACGGAACGGGTTCGACCGACAGCCCTTGCTTCAGGAAGCTGACGGAGCAGGAGGTGGCAGAGTGAGTTGCGCATGTCTTCTTTGATTTTTTCCCTAGAACCAATAAGAATACTAACGATATCTCGCTCCGTTTTGCGCGCCTGTTGGTGGTACAGTTATCTTCAATTGTAGACGTGAATCGCGGTCTTGTAATTTGCAATTTCCATTAACCGCCCTTGGCAATTGGTTCCAATGTTGTTGACCGCATGGGCTCGAGTTATAGTGAATGCATGCTGTAGTCTGTGGTCGGTGTGTTTGTTCCAAATGAGAAAGAAATGATAAAGGAATAATACGTTCTTGGCATGCGCCCTCACCGCTGCCGACTGACCATCTGCCGAAGCCTCACGAAAGGCCTGGGTCATTAGCCGGCCCCGGCACTGCCCCAGCTGGTCCGGCGCCCGGCGAGTTCAAGGCCCGGTTCGGAACCGCTCTGTGAGCCTCTCGGCTTCTCCGCATCTTTCGCTCTCCAGCTTCCCTCCACTTTAGCGACATCACCTCCCCACACCCACCGCTATCATGACCGCAACTAAGTTGGTGGAAACTCAAGGTGCCGAGTATGGTGCCATTAGGTGAGCGCTTGTGCCACCCGGTGTCCTGTCGTCCATCCGGACGTCGTCTTGCATTGGTGGGGCAGGGCAGTTGAGGCGCCCGTTCCCAGGCTCGAGCATTGGCCTGCTGAGCACAGGGTTCGCATGGCTACACGGGTGTGGAAGCGACGACGAATAGTTCGATGTGGCAATCAGGTGAGGTGTGCTAAAAGGCTGCTTTTGTGCACTCCTTCTCGACCGCAGGACGGAGCTCGACCAAGAAGCCGTCGAACGCTACCTGGTCACGAACATGCCGGGATTCAAGTTAGGGAGCATCCACCAGTTCTCATTCGGACAGTCGTGAGTTCAGTACATGCCTTTGCCTCAGCTCTGGGCTCTTCCTCCAAACACACCACTCATTCGAACCGCTATACGGATCTGCATCGCGATCTGGCGGCCCTGCCCGGTCCCAACCCCACATGCCTCGCCCCCCTTTCTGTGAATAGGAACCCGACCTACCTCATCAACTCGGCTTCGGACGCACCGCAGCAGTATGTTCTCCGCAAGAAGCCGCCTGGAAAGCTCGTATCCCAAACAGCGCATGCCATCGAGCGGGAGTACAAGATCATCAAAGCGATCGGCGAGGATGGGACCGTGCCCGTGCCCAAGGTCTACGCGCTGTGTCTCGACGCGAGTATTCTTGGCACACCGTTCTATGTCATGGAGTACATCAAGGTAGGTTTCACTGCGTTTGTGGCGTATTGGATGTTCAACAACCTCATGCCCCGATGCCTCACTCTTTGCAGGGTCGAATTTTCACCGACGTGCGAATGCCCGAGATCGAGACCAAGGAGGAACGAACCAAGTGCTGGATGAGCATCATCAAAACGCTTGCATCTTTGCATAAACTCAACCCAGACAAAATTGGTTTGGGCGACTTTGGGTCAAAGGCACCGTTCTATCCTCGCCAGATCAAGTACGCGAGTTCCTAGGCTAGCGTAGTTCGGGTACAAATGACACTGGTTTCCTGACCCCAATTTTGGCGCGTTTCTCACTTTGCAGATCCCTCAGTCGTGTCTCAAAGGCGCAGGCGCTTGTGAAAGACGATGCCACGGGGCACGAAGTGGGCGAGATTCCCGGCTTTGATTTCCTCATCGACTGGTACTCCAAAAATGCTCCTGAGGGTCGCGGACTGGAGGGCGGGGTCATTCATGGCGACTTCAAATGCGACAACATGGTCAGTTTGAAAGAACCGAAGCAAAGTGACAATAGATAAGCGCAATTTAAACGTACCTGAGCGCTTTGCAGATCTTCCACCCCACCAAACCCGAAGTTATCGGCGTTCTTGACTGGGAGCTATCGACCCTCGGACACCCGTACTCTGATCTTGCCAACTTGCTTCAGCCATTCTACGTCCCTGAGCAAGAAGGTGGCCCCCGACCATCCGCTTTGTCGGCCCTTCGGGACATTTCCGAAGCCGATCTCCCGATCCCTTCGGCTGAACAACTCCTCAAGGCGTATTGCAAGGAGATGGGCCAACCGTACCCGCTTCAACGGTGGACTGCCGCGGTATCTTTCGCCTTCTTCCGGGTGAGCAAAATCAGATACATCTCATGTCTGGACACGAACTTGCGACGCTGAGGCCAACCTATGCTCGACCGCGTTCCCTCAGCTCGCCGTCATTACTCAAGGAATCGCTGCGCGAGCCGCCAAAGGTCAAGCCTCGAGTGCCAAAGCGAAATCGTACTCGACAATGTTCCCGCTTGTTGGTATGCTTGCTGTTGACACCATTGAGCGTGCTGGACAGACAGGAGGCGATAGCAAGTTGTGAGACGCCCACCGAGAGCTTTCATATGTGTATCAGTGTGGGAAAGCAGCTGTACCTCTTTTTGAAATGTCATTTATTTTGCATATTCACTTCAGCCCAGCGCTTTGGTATGTGAATGAAAAAGCTTGGAAGAGCTTGAATCTGAGTCCATGTCTATTAATCGAGCTCATTAGGCATACTAGTATCTTGCTGTCGCCCTCCTTTCGGCTCGCTTGTCCCGGTCTGATCTAGAATCTCTGTTGTCTCAAACTGTGAGACGTAGCTACTATGTCAGCTCTTTGAAGGTCCAAAAACATGTGTACCTGGAAGGTGTGCAACTCACCGAAAGAATTCCGGCCTCTTGGAGTTTTTTGACAACATCTTCGGCGTCCTCCACGCTCATCTTGCCCAAGACCTTGTTCACCTTCTCGAGGCTTTTCGCCTGAAGAGCTTTTTGCAGGCCTGGCGAAAACGAGCTGAAGTAATCCCATCGACGCTGAAGGAATTCGCGCACGAGGTCAGGATCGAGCTCATCGGCGTCCTCCCCGGTGATTTCGAGAGTCTCCGGAGGCGGGCCATCCGGCACTTCGAAGGTGATGACCGTTGACGGATCGGAGGCGACAAGTTGAATCTGTTCTTTCCCGTCAGGATTCCTAGCTCGATCTGCCTCCTTCTCGGCGGCGACGACGTGCGCTCGTTCAATAATCCGTTTGGCAGTGCCGTTGACGTCTTCAAGGAACATTTGCAAGGCCTTAGGATCGCTCGATGTCATCCTGTGGCCACGCGGACATGATTTCAGTGCACAAGCATACCGTTGTATCTGAGCAAGCCAGCGTACCTCTTGAAGTAGAGTGCGACTCCATCTTTTCCAAGTTTGAGGCAGTATTGGATCATTAGTGCCTTCTCAACGCACTCGCGAGCCCTCTTGCTGGCCCCCTTCATCGCCACCGAGAATGCCTCTACAAGCAATGCATCCGTCGTTTCTTCTGCCAAAAGTGATGGATCTTCCGAAATGGCGGCGAAGCACGATGCGAAATCAAGAGGTTTGAGCTTGGAGAAGCGCAATGCTGAGCCCGTGAGATCGGGAACATCTTCGTCGTCTGAGGAGTCACTGCCGATCGCTGCCGCTTCCTGTACGACGGACGGGGAACAAGGAGAAACGCAATAAATATCGAGTCACGCATGATGCAGACCAGCTCAGGAAGAAGGGTACGAACCGCTTCTGCTGCGAGGACTGAAGGGGAGTTGATGGTCTCGATGTGAGTCTCGGCCTTCTTCGCTTTCAACTTTGTGCCAGCTGCTGACGTTGATGAAGTAGCTGGGTTGGGCTGCGCTGAGGGTTTGTTGGAGATCATCTACAAGTTGGGAAGACCCTCGAAAGTCAGCGCTCGACTGGGCCATACCTTGATGGACTCCTTCGGCAAGAAGATGCGTCGAACTGACGGTCTTTGACTCGAACCCAACGTGAATGTCTTCGCTCGTGATGTGTTTTTGCTGTTCAGCGATCTCCGTCTTTCGTTCCTCGACGATCTCGGCTTGGCGTTGCACCAGTCGCTCCTGATGGCGTTCCAACTCGGCGACGAGTCGATCGTTGCGCCCCTGTTCGCCGCTGCCGTCCTTCTCCACGGCGTTGACTACCTGGGTGAGCAGGGCGAGGATCATGTGGTCCTGGCTGGGTTGCTCGCCGTCCTTGAATTGCTTGCCATCGAAATCAGGTACGGCCACGCGTAGCCGAGCAATCTCGCGTGAGATGAACGGTGCGCCTTCGTCTTTGGTTGCGGTCGAGAGCGCGCGCATGCGCTCGAGCAGAGCGATGTTCATCTCGTTCTCAAGGTCAAGGTGATGAAGCTTGAGTTTGCGCAGTTCTCGTTTTTCGTGGATATCGCGTTGCTTCCATCTGTAAAAGGTCACGAGCGAAGCCGCGAAGGATGACGGGGCAGCACGCAAGTGGGGTGAGCCTCCTCGGTCTCGAAGGTGCGCGAGCACTCTGCGGAAGCGGCAGGCAGAATCCGGAGCGGATCACGTACCTGATCATGGACTTTTTGTCGACGTTGGGGTGTACCTCAATGTCCGAGTCATCCGAGAGCTGGTTGCGAGGTCGAGCGACAGCGGCCGGTGAGCTGCGGCACGGCGGCAAGACGAGCCACGGGAGAACTGACCTCGAGAGCGTCCCATTTGTTGTAGTTGAGACGCGACATGGCCAGATCGAGGCTCGAGAGAGGTGGGAAATGAAAAAGGGTAGCTGGTTGAGGCGTGTAGGAGCCTATTCTACGTTCTCCGGCTGAGTGCAAGAAAGTGGGAAACGACTCACCGCCGGTGGGGAAGGGGAAGGGAAGCCGATCGAAAGAAGCAGTCGAAAGCTGACGGCGCTTCCTTGGGCTCTCTGGCGAAGCCGCGACTAATAGTAAGCCGCGTACTAAGCAGAGCTGAGCCGCGTACTACCTCGTACTAATAGTCGCGTCAAAGCTCGCCAAAGCCCGTCGAAACGGGCTCGCGGGCCGCTTTCACCATCTCGACAAGTTCTTCTGCCTCATACTGACTGCACCCGTTACACCTCGTCAATGAACCGAGTCACACCCTGAACCTTTCAAAACAGGACATCACACTTCCGCTTTCGCCCGCGCCCGGTGCCAAGTTGCTACGACTCGACACGTCGCGACGCGTTCGCACGAATCGTTCAGCTTCGCGACCGGTGATCGGTTCTCAACGGTGCGGCAACCCTTGGTTCGGACGCATTACCGGTGGCGTAGCCTGTGGTGCTCATGCATGCGCCGAGCTTGTCTTTGGCAAACGACTATAGACACCCAGCTGCTCCGCAACAGGGTCGACCGTTCGTCTCGACCGCCGATGCGACTGCGGCGCACCATGCTCAGCTCGTTGCCCACTACTGGCACTTTGCACAGCAAGGCGTCGTCGCGCCGGTGATCGAAGGCGACCTCTACCAGTGGCGTGCAAGGGAGGAGGCTCTTGAGTGGGCTCAACGCCATGGCATCGTTCTTTCGCACCCTGAGAACTCTCCCACCCCCGCGACGGTGCACGGTGGGGCCGCGTCCGTATCGGCGGCGACTCACCAACTGCCGACTAGCCCGGCCGCACCTCTTCCTGATGGTAAGTACCTGGCAACACAGCGTCTCGCCGTTTCGCCAATGCTGCCTTCCAAATATTACAGGTGCTAATGCCGAGGATGCCCGAACGCAGCAGGCCCTCGCTCGGGCCGTCCACTTCCGACTCCAAAACCCAACCCCGTCCCACTTGCTCCATCTGTCTTCTCTCTTCCGGACTCGAATCGTCCCGCACCGTCATCAACATCATCTGTCGTGCCCGCTGTCTTCGTGGAAGGCAACGAATGTGTCTCGACACCATCTGCTGCGCTGTTGACCGCGTTCCCAATAGACGAACCTTCACCAGGCCAGGCGGACGACACCAGCGGAGTTCCGACCTTCACTATGGTATTGGAAGATGAAGGGCCCGAGCCATGGTCCGCAGTCAACCTAGCCACAACCTTTGATTCGAAAACTTTGACATCCCCGCTACCGCCACTCCACCCTCGATTCGATCCGAGCCATCCTTCGCACTACCTTTACCACCCGAGTTCTTCTGCTCCGGCACTATTTGACAACGACAACGTCACCTGTCACGGCTGTGATGGGACGATACTAGGTCGTAAGTTGTTGGCGATGGGGAAGCAATGGCACCCTGAATGCTTCGTGTGCTCGCTCGAAGGCTGCGGGCAACGACTGGAGCACGTCGAATTCGATGGAAAGGATGACCGGGTTTATTGCATTCTGCACTTTGAAGAGGTAGGTCTGTTATTATCCTTGCCTGCAGCATCTCTCCACGCTGATGAAGTGATGGAAACTCGGATTACGCTGTGCAGCTCTTTGCCGATATCTGCTATCATTGCAAGACACCCATCACAATTGATCAAGTCATTACAATCGACGACCCGCGACTTCTGCCACCGACCCGACGAACCTACCATGCTTTGCACCTCTTCTGCAGCTCATGCGGCGATCCCTTCATCGAACCCAAGCTGCTCTTTCCGGATAAAGACGAGGCTACGCCAGACCCTTACACCATTCATGAAGGCTTTGTGTACTGTGAGAACTGTGATCTGCGACTATGGAAGCCAAAGTGCGCGAGTGCAAAGTGCGGGCACTCGGGCATTGCAAATGGATGGATTGAGATTGGGGATCAGAAGTGGCACGAGGAATGCTTCTGCTGTAGAGTAAGTCTTCTTCTCTTCTCTACCTCTCTATTGCGAATCAATTAGGATTAATTTACTGACCCAATCTACTTTCAGATGTGTGACACACCCTTGACAGGATCATACATGGTGCCGGAGGGAGGACAGAACGAAGTGCTTTGCCTTGCCTGCTTTGATGGTTGAGAGACATGGGCATCATTAATTCAATACTTGTATACCACCAAAAAGGCACTGCATTTGCTGCCTTCTTCCTGATGAGTTAACTCTCAGCTCAACAGGGGCGCTTCAGCCTCTCGGGACGCAACTCAGCCCGAAGGCCTACATCACCTCGACATTGACGCTTCGTCCTCTCCAGAAGTCCGTTGCAGCAGATGAAGGGCCCAAAGCCAAGCGTCAGTGCGCCCGACGACCTGGCGACGCGACTCGAGAAGCTCACCAACCGCAAAGACCTGACGTGCGAGAGAGAGAGAGAGAGAAACAGAGATAGAGATCTTTATGAAAGGCTGTATCGCGCTAAAGCACATGTGGTCCGCCAGAAATATCTGAACCAAAATATAGGGGGTTATTGGGGAGTACTGTACAGTTGGGAATGTTGTGTGTTAGAAAATGGCGACCTCTTGGAGTTCTTGAAGTCGTTGATTTGGCTAAGTCCCCTCTGGGTCTGGAGCAGTCCCCTCACTTTTGTTTTGGCACCTTCCCCCGGAGCCTGGTCCGTTCATCATCTTTTTTGACCCTCCTCTTCTTGCCGATCGTTGGAATTAAGTCCGTTATACTTGATTTCCTGCGAGCTTCTCGATCGACACCCCTCCTCGGTCGCTCCCTCGTCGACTGCCGTCGCCACAGCCGTCGCCACAGCCGATCCTCAACGCCCCGGCCTCTCGCGTGTAGACGACGATCCCCGCCGACGTCGCCTGTCACTTTTCCCAAGTCCGGCTGGCAAGCGACGTCGGAGGGGATGACGTCGTTTACACGCGTTGGTACGGGGGGGGGGATTTCAGGAAGCGTCGGCTGTTGCGGCGGCAGTCGACAAGGGAGCAACCGAGGAGGGGAGTCGGTCGAGAAGCTCGCAGGAAATCAAGTATAACGGACTTAATTCCAACGATCGGCAAGAAGAGGAGGGTCAAAAAAGATGATGAACGGACCAGGCTCCGGGGGAAGGTGCCAAAACAAAAGTGAGGGGACTGCTCCAGACCCAGAGGGGACTTAGCCAAATCAACGACTTCAAGAACTCCAAGAGGTCGCCTCAGGGGTAAAAAGGATTGCTCGCGGGAGCACCGGTAAAAACCCTGAAGCCGCGCCTCGGCCAACAAGAAGATAAAAAAACCGAAAGAAGACTGCGGTCTGGGCGCTTCGAACCCGCGACCACCGAGTGCGCGCCCGCGCGCCTCACGACTACGCCATCACACCGACAATGCTGTGAAACAAGGCAAGCATCTGGTCAAGTCAACTCTACCCGCACATGGCCTTGGGCGGCCTATCTTTCGACCCCACCGGCAACACCGAACTCGCCAACGTGAATCTCGTCGCACGGCTCGAAGCGGTGCTCGATTCGGCACGGGACCGAGGGCTCACACACCACACCCGAGCGTTCTACGTCAACCGATACGCCATTCCCAAGATTCTGCACATCCTCTCCGCCGACATCCCACCGCTCGAGGTCGTCAAGGAGCTTGATCGCATTCTCGCCGACTTTGTCCGCGGCGGCAAGAGGAGGTCGTGCTATGGCAAGGACGTCGTCTTCACACCGAGGTTCAAGGGGGGTCTTGGGGTCATGCGGATGCAGGACGTCGTCGACTCGGTTGCGGCACGCGTCTGGGACGTGCTTCTTGGCGGTTCGGATGCGATCTGGCAGGGACTTGCGCGCGCGGCGATTGTACGAGCCCATCCCGCCCCCGACTTTGACTTGGCAACCGATGCGTGGCCTTGCGACTACACTCCGATCCGAACCGATCTACACCCAAGATGGCAGGCCGTGCTGAAGGTACCATCGACGCACAATGCGCAAGTCAAGCCGAGGACGTTGACGCTCGCGAACCTTCTCGCTCTTCCGATCAAGTTGCACACCCTTCACTACCTACCGGGAGCACCAGCTGTGTCGCGACCACCCTACGACGCCGACTATGCTGCGTTTGCCATTTACGCCAAGGTAGCGGACCTGTTTCGACGCGAGCTGTACCCGGGCGGGGGCTTTCATTTCTGGACGCCGCCGACGGATGTGGTCGTCAGCAACAGCGAATACGATCAACGGGGCCGCCCACAACGAGAGCACATCGTGGCATGGTACCGACATGCGATCAATCGATTGAGGTTCACACCAATAGCTCAACCGGTGGCGGCAGTACGAATCAACGGGCCTCCCCGAGTCCGCCCCACCACGCCGCTCGAGTCGATCCTGCCCCATCCGATCGACCCGCCGCAGCGCCTTCCGAGACCGGCTCTCCCAGACCAATCAACACAATACAACTTGCTCAGCATGGATCGGCCATACACCATCCGTCGCGTCCGCCGAGTCTTGAATGCAAAGGCCTTCACCGACACGATCGGTTTCAGGGACTCGCTGCAGCCCGACGATCTCAAGGGATTCTGGAAGGGGGTCAACTCGAAGGCATTGACGGCGAGGGAACGCGAGGTGTGGTTCAAGCTCGTCAGGAACTTCACCCCGACTCGGAGTCTGCAGTTTCATCAAAAGCACGACGACTCGCCCGCGTGCCTCGTCTGTGGAGCGCCCAAGGACGATCGGGAGCACTACTTCTTCGACTGCGTTGACTCTAGGAACGTTTGGATCGCGGCAAGGGGCGTGCTCTGCGACGCACTGGGGCTCGACACGATCGACAACACGCATTACACGGCCGTTCAACGCATGTTCGGACTTCCGAAGCTCAAGGCCAGTCTGCGCGATCAAGAAGGAGCGGGGAGGACGATCGAAATATTCACCGGGCTGGTCTTGGAGATGATCAGCAGCGGGAGGTGGGGGATGCAGAAGTGGGGGACGAGGATGGAGGGTGTTGGGAGGAGGAGGATAATCTTGGAGGAGAGGTTGAAGCTGAGGGCGGGAGGAGCTTGGGGGAGGAGAAGGCAGTAGAGGCTGGGTTCGACTTTCCCCCCACCACCACACACACACCAAATTCTCGTGACATCATTTTCTCCTACTGTACACTAAATAGCTCGCTTTCCTCTTTCTTTTGTTACAGGTTCACCGTTGCGGATCATGGACCATCTCGCGATTTGGCGTCGACTCGGTGTGGCTCGCGCTCTTCGGCTTCGGGGTTCTGAGTCAAGGGAGGGATCAGCGGACACAGGCAGAAAGTCGGCTTTGAGGGGCCAGGGACTGCCGAGGGGGAGGTTTTGAGGGACCTTCACCGCGTCTTGTTGTGACTGAGCAGAGACTTGGAGCGTCGAGGGTCGTGGTGGTTGCGCAGTCGTGCTCTTGTCTTCGTCTCGACCGAGTGGGAAGTGGCTGTGGGGTGGGCCTTCTGTCGTTAGTACATTTCTTTTCTTTCTCTTTCTCTTCATCTCTCTTTCTCTCTCTCATTCGTCTCCTGGGGGGGAGCAACCGCTTGGCTAGGGCATTTGAATCCGAATCTCGGATTGGTGGACTTGGCTTGTTTCTCGCACTTTTGCGGGCGGTTTGTGTTATCATCGTAGTCTTCCATCTAGTTTTTCCGTAGGCCGAAACAGGGGGAACAGGAATTGGGGGCAATATGATGAACGTTTTCTACAAAAAAAATTCTACAAAAAAAAAAAAAGCACACACACACACACACACACACGCACGCACACAAGTGAGTTTCTGTGGTGTAGAGTGAGTGGTTGACCTCCAAGCCCGTTAAGCTTTACAGGTCAACACAAACACGCGATGCCGGATCCGCCCGGCGCCGATGCGCCCCCGCCCGAGGACCTATTGGGTGGTAATGGCGCGAGTGATTCATCACTCAACACGCAAACGCGTGAAGCGGTCACTGGAGGAACCGCGAATCCTCCAGCTTGGTCGCCCGAGGCAACTCAGGTCCGGTTGGACCATGAGAAGCTGATGAAGAAGACCTTCCAAGTGCTCGGGATTGTTCCCTCCAGCAAGTCGACCCGCCGACTGATGGTCCTGATGCACGACGCCTCGACCCCGCCTTCGCAGGCGCCAGCGCTCGCACGAGCCGCCCAAAGAGCGGTGCGAAACGACGCAGCCCCGGCCTCCAATGTGATTCGAGTCATTATGGATGGTCCTGGATCACCCAGAGGTCCTGTACAGACCGCGCTGCGCAAGCACTTTGGATTGGCCGAGACACCGTTCATGTTCGCGCGGCCCGAGGGCGTCGTGCTTGACCCCGAGGTCGAGAAGCTTTTCTCGAAATGCGTGAAGCTGAACCCGATTGTGACGAAAGCCACGAAGAGGTTCCCGATCGCTCGTCACATGTACGAGCTTGTATTCGAATCCGAGCAAGCTTGTCTTGAAGCCGCTTCAGCGGGCCCATTCCCCTACCACGGCAAGGAGATGGTTACCGAGCTCCCCAGCGCCTCTCCCCTTAACCACGTCGTGCAGGTGCGATTCACCTTGCCCTCCTCCTCCAGCGCGATCCCCGCTTCCGTGCTCCGAAAATCTCTCGATGATGCTATCACCCTTTCGTTCGGCCGCGCAGGTCGCACGCAAGGTTATACCCTGATGCAATTACAGCGGGGCCTCGCGGTCGATCCGAATGGCGATCCGATGGCCATGACCGAAGACGGGTTCCACTGCGCGTACCTTCGCTTACATGCTGATCTTTTCCAAGGCTCCATCGAGACGCAGAAGGCTGCGCTCAACGCCGCTTTGCCACAAGAGATCGAGATCCTGGGCGCCAAGTACGGCTTGCGACACGAATTCGAGACGCACTACTGCGCGGTGTGCGATCGCGCCGGACACCAGTGGGGCGCTTGCAGGAAGCCGGTTTCGACTTCGGCCACCGCCGCCCCTGTTCCGGGGGCCTCGACCTCGACTTCGACTTCGACCACCGGCTTCTGAGTTGCTGGAAAGAATGGGAAGCACGGTGGGCCTGCCGCATTGAACTCTCGTGTCTCTGGCGCGAACATGATCCAGCTGGGACCTCGTGCTAACCCCGCAGGTGCAGTAACCGCCAACAAGGACGACGCGAACGACGGCGACGACGAGTCGGTCGTTTCGACCGAACCGGAGGGCGGTGACACTGGGGAAGAGACGTCGACGCGTGCGATCCTGGGCTCAACAAAGGAGACGCAGACGACGACGGCGGCGCCCGTTTCGACCCCGACCTCTCCTTCGCCTTTGTCCGGTGGCACGTCGGGATCATCGGCAACCTCGACAACCTCGATAGCCTCGACGAGTCCTCGACGCCTTCGTTCGAGCTCGGCACCCGGCAACCGACGTGTCACCCGGGCGGGATCCGCCATGATCCTCGGTGCATCAGGGGGTGATGGCTCAGGGGGTCACAGGTCCAAGGTGACCGAATTCGAGGGGGGCGGCGCTGAACTGATTTAATCATGATTGAGTCACTCACCGTGTTGACGTTCAACGTCCGATCGATGAAGAACGCAGTCAACCAAGTCAAAATCATCCGTTATCTCAAAACCCTTCGGCCGGCCCCTGCGGCCATCCTCCTGCAAGAGCACCACCTCAGCTACAACGCGTCGCGCGAAGGCTTCGAGAGTGCTTGGCCGGGGGCTTGTATTCGTTTCACTCCTCATGTCCTTACCCTCATACCCGATGGCTCACCTTTGGCGGGCCATCTCCTTTCCTCTACCCCGGTCGTCTTTGCAGGAGCTCCTCGTTTCGACGGTCGGATTCTGCACTCGGTGTTTCGTCTTGAGGAGCTCGATGTCGAGATCATCAACATGTACGCGCCGGTGCAGGAGGACGATCGTCGCGACTTTTTCGGGCTTCTGCACTTCAGCGCCCCGAGACCCAAGATTCTTCGGATCTTGGCCAGCGATCTCAATGATTGTCCGGATGTATTGGTCGACCGAGTGTCCATCACCGATCGCGCTTGGACTCCTGTATCGCACTGGCAGACCTTGCTGTCAAAGATCGCGTTCAAGGCACTCGACACGGTCCGACATGTCCATTCTTGCACCCCTGCATTCACTCGTCCTCACTACCGTGGTAGAGGGGAAGAGCGAAAGATTTGCTCGTGGTCGCGGATCGACTATATTCTTGTCCAATGCAGTTGGGCGAACCGGTTGTTGAGCGCTTCTACGCTCTTCGATGCGCCCTGTTCGGACCACAGACCTGTAGTTGCGACTTTCGCTTTGCCTACATCGAACGCTGATGCCGAACCCCCCCTTTCTCTTCCCTCCACGAGCGATTTCATTTCGAGGCTCAACCCAATGGTCTTTAACGATCAAGACTTTGTCGCATCGATTCCCGGGGTCGTCGACGAGGTCTATCGAAGGCTCGAGGGGACCACTCCGCTCGGCGACGTCTATGACGCCGCTCTGCGGGCGGTTGCAGTCGCTGGCCATGCACGATACCGCTCGACTCGTGCCGACATGCGCCGACTGCGGGCCGAGAGCCAATCCGTCATGGAGGCTTTGGAGGCACGCGGTGAGCACATGAATGAGGCCGAGCGCGATGCGTATGCTCATGCCAAGTCGCGGTTGGACCAGTTGGCGGTAAAGGAGGCTCAGTGGCTGCGCATTCGTGCGCATGTGCCGTCAGTCGACTCGAGGGAAGGTCAATCGGCAAGCATTCGCACGCGCCTCAACCGCCGGAGTCGCCAGACGAGCATCGTCTCGCTGGAGGATGTGGATGGCACCGAGACCGTTGACATGCAGGAGGCGCTGGGTATTGCTTCACGGCACGCGCAGCGAAATGCTACGATGACGACCGCTCGGACCCTACGTTCGGTCGTCGGCTGCCTCGTCAAGCGAGAGTGGCGCTTGACGAGCCCTTCACCCTCCTCGAGGTTGAAGCGGCGTTGAAGAAGACGGATTCGGGGCGATCACCGGGGCCCTCGGGCATTCCGTACGAGCTCTTCAAGGCGCTGCCAACCTACTTTGCTCCCAAGCTGTTGGACTTGTTCAACTCGATTTGGGAGGGCGGCAAAATGACGGTGTCCTTGGCAGAGGGGCTGGTGCGGCTCTTGCCCAAGAATAAACCGGGGGCCAATCTGAAATCACTGGGGGCATACCGACCGATCACATTGCGCGAGACGACCTACAAGGTCCTCAGCAAGGTCTTGGTGGCGCGACTCAATGGGGTGCTCGGCGAGCTTTTGCCGCCGGCGCAACACGGTTTCATGCCATCAAGACGTTCAGCGGACGCGGGAAGTCATCTCACTCTCCTTCTCGAAAAACTCAAGTCGCTAGGCACTGATGTTTTCCCCGAGGGCGCCCTCTTGTCTTTGGATCAGCAGAGCGCGTACGATCGGGTCGATCACGCCTGGATCTTCGAGGTCTTTGAGGCCTTTGGGTTCGGTGAGCGTTTCATCTCGCTGCTGCGCGCTCTCTACGATCCCGAGACTCTGGGGGTGCGCTACCTTGTCAATGGGTTCCCCACGGACTTGGTGCGGTTGCTGTGTGGTCTCGGTCAGGGGAATCCCCTCTCGTGCCCGGTTTGGAACATCACGTTCCAGCCCTTCCTCGACGCCCTCGTTCGGCGCGGGATCGCGCTCGACCTGCAGAAGGTGTGGCCAGGGGGGCCGCATGCGCAGCTTACGCATCTGGCGTTTGCCGACGATGCTGTGGTGGTGGTGGAGTCACCGGCGGCATTGTCGAAGCTGCAAACGCTGTCGCAGACGTGGTACGAGGCTACCAACGGGAAGACCAACACGGACAAGACGCTGGTGCTACCACTCGGACCGAACTGGCTTCGGGACGAGACTGCGCAGGCGCTGCCAACGGTGCAGGAGGGGGAGAGCTTCAAGTGGTGCGGCTATGCCTTCTTTCGCCACGGTGACTCGAAACTGTTTTGGACCCATGTTCTTGACAGGATCAAGGCCAAGGCCCGCGCCGCTCGAGACCGGACACTTTCGCCGAGTGGGAAGGTTTTCTATGCCAACGCTCACATCATCTCGACGGTCCTCCACGTGCTGTCCTTCGACATACCGCCTCAATGGTTCATTAAGGCGGCGGAGACGGCACTTACGGACTTTGTCTGGGGAGGAGCAGGGCGAAATACCGTCGCTCGCGATTTCGTGTTCCAGGCTCGGGAGGACGGTGGCTTGGGTTTGATTTCGATTGGCGACATCGTTCATTCGGTGGCGCTTCGATTTTGGGATGCTGTGGCGGGCTCGGACGAGGCGATCTGGGCGCCCCTAGCTCGCGAGAGCTGGAGGTCCCTCGTCGCTGCGACCCGCGATTTCAGTCCGTGGGGGTTCTTCAGCAGCACGGCTCGGGTCGAGAAGCTGTATCGCGACTCGACGCGCTGGGGGGCAGTCGTTGCAGCGGCCAGGGTCACAGTTCCAACCATCAAGTCCGAACTCCTTACGCTTCCCGAATTGCTCTCGCTTCCGCCTCGCCTCCCTTCACTCTATGCTGAAGGTGCCCAGCACGCATATGACGATGCGGACGCGGTGGCGAAGTTTGCGCAGATCGCGGACCTGTACTGGAGGGACGAAGGGAAGGGATGGGCTCTGGTTGGTCATCGACGCGGGTTCTGGCAGCACTCTAAGGAACCCGCCCTACAGCACGAGCACGTGTGGTCGCGCGTGGGTCAGTTGCTCAAGGCGAAAGCGTTGCTGCTCAAGACCGCGTTGCGACCTGCTCGGATACCTCTCAAGGAGGCTCCCCGTCCTCGGTGCTTCAACTTCTTTGGGCTCTCCCGACCTTTTACAATTCGCAAGCTTCGTCGGCTTGTGAACTATGAAGGAACAATATACCACTGCACCAAAAGGCGAGGCACCTCTACTTCAGTGAGCGCATATTGTCCTAGAAGTGAGATGGAGCGAAGTTCAACACCCCCCTGTGCGCGAAGCTGAAGAGCTTGTGGCAGTGGGTGCGGCTGTGAGGCAACTGGGCATGTTGATCAGGTCGCTTGGGCAAGTGCAGCTTGGGCACTGTGAGCACTGTCGATGCGCCAGGGTGCTTGGCACGCCGCTGGGCAAGTGCGGGGGCCGGGACGCTGAGTGTATGCGCGCAAAATTGCCTGACCCCAGGGGGGATTGAACTCATGACCTGCTGGTTGCTCTGGGCTCATAACCTATGAGATGATCACCACTACTGTCAGGAGAAGTCGAGAGTCGAACAGAAGTGATCTATTTCAGCGTACCTATGAGATGATCACCACTACTGTCAGGAGAAGTCAAGAGTCGAACAGAAGTGATGAGAAGGAAGCTAAGAAATGGAAAGGTGGCCCGCGCTGGGATATGCCCAGGCGCGGGCGAAATCGCTGGAGCGCTGAGGCAGTCGCGCGCGGCTAAGTCCCCACTGCAAGGGCGGGCTAGCGGCGCGCGCCCGAAAACCGCCGGCGCCGGCGCGCTGAGGCACTCGCGCGCGCCTAAGTCCCCACCACAGGGGCCAGGCTAGCAGGCGCGCGCAACGACCGAGGCGCCCCTGTCGAGCTGAGAGTGGACTCTTCACATATGAGATGATCACCACTACTGTCAGGAGAAGTCGAGAGTCGAACAGAAGTGATCTATTTCAGCGTACCTATGAGATGATCACCACTACTGTCAGGAGAAGTCGAGAGTCGAACAGAAGTGATGAGAAGGAAGCTAAGAAATGGAAAGGTGGCCCGCGCTGGGATATGCCCAGGCGCGGGCGAAATCGCTGGAGCGCTGAGGCAGTCGCGCGCGGCTAAGTCCCCACTGCAAGGGCGGGCTAGCGGCGCGCGCCCGAAAACCGCCGGCGCCGGCGCGCTGAGGCACTCGCGCGCGCCTAAGTCCCCACCACAGGGGCCAGGCTAGCAGGCGCGCGCAACGACCGAGGCGCCCCTGTCGAGCTGAGAGTGGACTCTTCACACCCCCCCCCACGCGAATGCGAGGCAGATCCAAGCCGTGGGTGTCGAGTGCGAAGGCCTAGTGCGTAGCAGTGTGTCGAGAAAATCTTTGGGCCAAGAGCCTTTGTGAAGATGTCGGCCACCATGTTGCTGGTTCCCACATGCGAGAGTGAGATATCGCCCCGATTCACCATGTCCCGAACAAAGTGCTCGCGCAAGCGTATGTGTCGAGTGCCGGAGACGCGGACAGGGTCGTGGGCAACTGCGGCAGCGGCTTCATTGTCAGTAAAAATGTGAGCCGGTGCAACAGGTTGGACATGGAGCTCCTCGAGCAGCTGACTGAGGTAGATCCCTTCCTTGCCAGCATGCGAGAGGGCGAGGTATTCAGCGTCGGTGGTAGAATCGGCAACTCGAGATTGACGCTTGGACGACCAAGACACGGCGGATCCGGCAATGTAGAAGACGTAGCCCATAGTGGACACCGACGTATCGACGCAGGCCCCCCAGTTCGCGTCGGAGTAGCCAACCACGCCCGTGATGCGTGTCTCGCCGCAAGCATAAACCAGTTCGTCGCGATATGTGGCCCGGAGATAGCGGAGGATGTGCTTGACCGCGATCCAGTGACGACGTCCAGGGTTGTTGGCGAAGCGGGCCAGGTAGGACACGGCGAAGGCGATGTCGGGGCGGGTGCCGAGCGAAATGTAGAGGAGCGAGCCGATAGCCTGCAGATACCATGACCTGATCCGTTCGGTGCCTTGACCCGGGATGGCGGTGAGCGAAAGGCCGGGGGTCATCGGGACTGTAGTGCCGCGAGTCGTGGTGTCGAAGTGGAACCGAGCAAGCACGTCCATGATGTACCGTTCCTGGGACAGGGCAATAGAACCGTCTTCGAGTCGCCTGATCTGGATGCCGAGGATGTACTCTGCCGGGCCGAGGCGCTTGACGCCGTAGCGTTGTTCGAGGCCCGAGATGACACGTTCAATTTCGGCCAAGTCGGGGCTGATCATCAGGAGGTCGTCGACGTACAGCGCGATGTAGTGTGGGCGTCGCCGATCGTCGATCCGAGAGTACACGCAGTGGTCGGTGCCCGTCGCCGTATAGCCGAGATCTCGAAGCGATGCGTCGATGTGTCGATTCCAGATTCGGCCAGCCTGTTTGAGTCCGTAGATGGAGCGTCGCAGACGAAGCACCTTGTCGGTGGGAAGGTCGAAGCCGCGCGGTGTCGTCATCCAGATGTCATGGTCAAGGTCGCCATGCAGATAGGCTTTGTCGATGTCCGCCTGGTGCACGTGCAAGCCGTTGGCGGCCGCCAGCGCGAGGAGTGAGCGTATCGAGGAGAAGCGTGCGACTGGTGCGAAGGTTTCGTTGAAGTCGATGCCGTCGCGTTGCCGATTTCCCTGCGCCACGAGCCGTGCCTTGTGGCCGGTGACTTCGCCGAGTGCATTCCGTTTCGTTTTCCAGACGAACTTGGATGTGACGATGGTCGCACCCGCTGGTACCGTGGATCGGTCCTCGATGGTGAAGACCTTGAAGTCGTCGCGCATGGAATTGAACTCGTCGGTAGCGGCCTTGGCCCACACTTCGCGCTTGTCACTCGACATTGCCTCGCGCCATGTCTGTGGGTCGCTGGTGATGGACTTGACTGGTTGAATGGCTTCTGTGTCAGAGTTGTCGTCGTCGGTGGCGATGAAGGCGCGGTGGTGTTGGGTGAGGAAATCGATTTCGTCCGGCGATTCATCGCGCGAGTGGCGCCCAATGATGTCGAGTTCGTCGGGCGACTCCTCAGCCGATGCGGGCTCACGGTACGTGCTGAAGTCTGGGCGGTGCACGTCCGGTGGGCCGAGGCGAGTCGGGGTCTGTGAGCCGATGAGGTCCAGAGGGTCGGCGGAGTAGTCAGAGTCGGTCGGTAAGGCCGAGGGTGACGATGACGCAGCCAACGACGGTGACAGCGCAGGCGACGGTGACAAGGGAGTTGCGGGCGACGGTGACGAGGACGGCTCAGGAGACGGTGACGAGGACGATTCGGCATCTGTGGAATTAAGTAAGGTTCCGCCAGTGTACCCTGGGGCCACGTCAACGGCGCTCATGGCAGAGTCATCAAGAGAGGATGAGACGTCCATGTGCGCCGACCTTACTAGTGGGGTCCATGTCTTGACAACGGCTTGGGATTCGGTGGTCGGGCAAGCGCTGGCGAAGTGCGTGTCGGCGTCTTGCTCGGTGGAGTCGCTACGTAACCCGGGAAATTCGTTGTCGAGGAACCTGGCATTTCTGCCCAAACTGATCTTCTTGGTCGTCGTGTCGTAGAAACGGAAGGCTTTAGAAGCCAGGTCATAGCCGGTGAAGAGAACGCGAACCGCTTTCGGGTCGAGTTTCGAGCGAAGTTCAGGCGCGACTGTGAGCCAAGCCGTGCAGCCGAACGGGTGAAGCGCCGAGGCGTTGGTGCGGTCGCCCTGCCAGGCGAAGTTCGGTGTTGCCTTGTCCAGGGCCGAGTGTTCGCACAGGTTCTTGCAGTAGACGAAATAAGCTGCTGCCTCCTCCCAGAATGATTTGGGTAAGTGGGCGTCTGCAAGGAGGGCAAGGACACCTTCGACGATAGAACGATTGACTCGTTCGGCACGACCGTTCTGTTGAGGCGTTCGAGGGATAGAGTATTGTCGACGTGTGCCGCGTGCCTTACAGAATTCCGTGAACGCTCTCGAACAGTATTCGCCACCATTGTCGGTTCGGAGGACCTTCAGTTTTGCATCCGTCTCGAGTTCGACCTCGGCAAGCCATGTCTTGAACACGCCAAAGACTTCGCTTTTGTGTCCGATCGCGTATGCCCACAGTTTGCGCGAGAAGTCGTCAAGAAACGTGACCAGGTAACGCTTGCCAGTCAAGGACGACTCGGGAAAGGAAAGCACATCGCTGTGTACGAGGCCGAGTCTCTCTGAGGAGTGCGAGTCCGAATCGGGAAAAGGAAGACGATGGCCCTTTGCACTGAGGCAAGCATTGCAGACAAACTTCTCTACCTCTTCGTCACTATATCCGGCCCCGAGACCTTCCAGCAAACCAGCGGCAACCATCTTCTGTATGGACGACGGTGCGAGATGGCCGAGGCAGCGGTGAAGGGTCAGCAGGGGCACGGAAGACTGTGAGCGAGAGAGGAGAGCGAGATGCTGACATTTGGAATGATCAGCGTCCAGCAAGTAGAGCCCTTCCTCGAGTCTTGCGCCTTCAGCGATAGCATTGCCGTTCTTGTCGATATGGATGCCGTGCTTCGTGAAGGCGACACGGACATCGTCGGTGTCGCAAAGTCGAGAGACCGAGAGGAGGTTGACAGACAGGCCCGGGGTGTGCAGCACGCCGGTAAGCGTGATCGGGTGACCGGAGGCGGCAACAAAGGCGATGTTTCCCGTTCCGACGGCGTTGATGCCCCCTGCAATACCACCAATCTTCGTAGGAGCGATGTGGCGATAGGCCGTGAACAGCGACTTGTCCGAGACCATGTGCGAAGTGGCACCCGAGTCGACGACGAAGGAGTTGTTGCGAAGCTGACGACGATGTGCGAGAAGACCGGTGGCGAGACATCCGACATGGTGTTGCGCATCAGAGGTGTCGGGCGTTTTCCCGTCCTCAAGAGCCTTTTTGCAGTCGAAAGACCAGTGGTCCTTCTTCTTGCAGGAGCGACACGGGCCTGGCGGTGGATGCTGGGCCCTTGTAGGGCATTGTGCGACGCGGTGAGAAGGGCTGCGACAGGCGAGGCACTTGGTACGGGTAGAACGTGGCGACGACGAGGCAAGGAGGGCCGATTGATCGTTGGAGAGGTTCGTTGACCGGAGTTGAACTCGCATACGGTCGGCCACTGAATCGATGTCAGGGAGAGTTCGTTGCGTGCGTTGTTCGTCGGTGAACGTTGCCTTGAAGCTCTCGAGTGACGGGTGGGCGATCGCGAGGAGGAGTGTGGCAAGGACGTCGTTGATCGTCGTTTTCGTATCGATGATCTCTTGCGCGACCGACTTGAAGTCCATGATCCAACTGTCAAATTCGCCAACCGTTCCGGGCATGGGTCGGAAGCCCCAGAGTCGCGAGAAGAGCTCGAGCGTGCGAGTGGCGTCATCAGGGGCGTATCGCGATTTCAGCGTCGAGTAAATCTTGGGCGCTGTGAGGTCGGCCGTAGGGATCTTGTCGAGGACTGCCGAGACTTCGGCCGAGTCGATTGAGTTTGCAAGGATCTCGCGTGCCACGACGTCGCGGGCGGAGCGTTGCGAAGGCGTCCAATCGTCGGGGGTGATTCCGTCGAGGACGTAGGAGCGGATGTCGTCCGCTAGGCACAGGCGAAGCTGGCGTGTCCAGTTCGCGAACGTCTTCGGCCCGTCCAACCGCGCATGCTTCGGGAAGGCATTGCGATTGGAGCCGGATGTCGTGGCGGGTGCGGTAGTGCCGGAAGCGGCAGCGGTGAGTCCCGACAGCAGCGATGTAAGTGCGGCAAGCTGTTCGGCGGGAATTGTCGGGGTGGCGCTCGTCGCGAGGGTTGACGACGTGTCCATGCCAGCGGTAGCTCGATGGGCTTATAACCTATGAAGGAACAATATACCACTGCACCAAAAGGCGAGGCACCTCTACTTCAGTGAGCGCATATTGTCCTAGAAGTGAGATGGAGCGAAGTTCAACATGAACAAGGTGCGGTTCCCAGGGAGGGAGGACCGTGTCAAGCGTTTCCCTGATGGGACTTCTCAGAGCGATAGGAAGCGCTTCTGGAGATGGCTTCATGACCGGTTCGCGTCTGCTGTCGAGCAGGACACCCACTGGCGGCTCATGTACGACGTGACGCCGACGCGCAAGAGGCAGCATACTCAGGGTCATGCCTCTTCGCCGACGTGTCTGTTCTGCGGCAACGATGCAGCGGTCATCGAGACGGTGTCCCACTACTTTTTCGAGTGCGCGTACTCGACCAGCTTCTGGGGTGGGGTGCTACGCATTCTGCTTGACAAGCTCGGCATCGAGGATACCGACGTCGATCCGTCGACGTTCACTCCGGAGCAGCTGACTATGGGGCTCCCCCTTTTGCGGGGTCGTGGGAGAACGACCTCAAAATGGATGTGGGTTCGGCTGGCCTGCGCGATCGGCTTCCAGCGGCTGCACCTGCTATGAAGGAACAATATACCACTGCACCAAAAGGCGAGGCACCTCTACTTCAGTGAGCGCATATTGTCCTAGAAGTGAGATGGAGCGAAGTTCAACACCCCCCTGTGCGCGAAGCTGAAGAGCTTGTGGCAGTGGGTGCGGCTGTGAGGCAACTGGGCATGTTGATCAGGTCGCTTGGGCAAGTGCAGCTTGGGCACTGTGAGCACTGTCGATGCGCCAGGGTGCTTGGCACGCTGCTGGGCAAGTGCGGGGGCCGGGACGCTGAGTGTATGCGCGCAAAATTGCCTGACCCCAGGGGGGATTGAACTCATGACCTGCTGGTTGCTCTGGGCTCATAACCTATGAAGGAACAATATACCACTGCACCAAAAGGCGAGGCACCTCTACTTCAGTGAGCGCATATTGTCCTAGAAGTGAGATGGAGCGAAGTTCAACACCTGCTCCGCTGGCGCGTTCATCAGCGGTTCGAGCTGGACAACGTCGTGGCCTCTCCCTCGCTTCCCAGTGCGCTCAGAGCGTTCGAGCGAGATTTTCTCTCTCGAGCGGGCTTTGTGCCTGGGGCTCGAGATTGGGAGGTGTGATGACCGAGTTAAGTCCTTCCTTCCCATTTTCCTCCCCTGCTCTCTCTCCCCTCCTTTCCTCCCTTCCTTTTTGGAGGTCGACTTTTCTTTCAGAAGCTGACTGTCTTGAAACTTGTTGCGCAGTGGAAGGCTGCGCACCTCTCCCTCTCTCTACTTTGTGCAGTAGCGGTTTTCGTTCTTGGATGGATCGGCAAGCCGGGTCGATCGTCGTTGCGTTGGAGGCTTTGTGAAGTTCTCCCCTCTCTTTCCCCCCCTTTCTCCCTTCTCTTCCTCATCTCGTTCCTGTTGCTCGGTTGTTGACTACGCTTCAGCCACTTCTCCTTTTATTCCTAAGCCGTGTGTTGGATTCCGTCGAATAGATCGTTCGTTCGCGTTGGTCAAGATCTACGGCATGGATCGGGAAGAAAGGTCGCTCGTTTTTTTGGTCAATATCCTCGCGTCAAGGCGAGGCTCGTTTCGTTGTATTGGATCGTTTTCGCTCGGCCCCGACGGCTCAACAGCCAGCACTCGAGACTCAGCCAAGGGAGGACATCAGGCGCTGTCGGGGTGACGAGTAGCTGGGGCTTGGCTGCGGCCTGTCAGTCCCTGGGGACCTCTAGCTCTGGCTTCGACCCCCTCCCTTGGCCCCTCGGGTGTGTTCCCCTCCTCTCTGTCTTAGTATTCCTGGTTCTCCGTGTTTCCAGTCGTGAATTTTTGTATATTCTCCCCTTTTCTTTCTCTAGGCGCTCTTGCCTGGTTTTCGAGTATCTTCGCTCCCGCTCTTGGGACGTGAAGCGGCAGCAGTACTCACCGCCCGTTGGAGTCCGCGTTAGGTGCTCGGCGGGTTTTGATCTGCGCAGCGCTCTTTGCGCGCAGGGGTTTGACTTTCACCCAATTGCTTGCCGTCGTTGCTTTATAACCTCTTTTAGCTCTTTTTGTAGCGGTCCCAGCCAACCCGAAGGATTGCAATTTATGAGCCCCAGTAAAAAAAAAAAAAAAAAAAACCGGCGGATGTGCTCGGCGACAACAGCGAGTACGATCGACGCGGGCTCCCGCAGCGACTGGCAATCGCGGCCTGGTACCGGTTCACTGTCGATCGACACAAGAACACCCCCTTGGCGGCGGCGGTGGCGGCGGGACGACTCAACGTGCCTCCCCGGATCGGCACCAGCGCACCACTCGAGGCGATCATCCCCAAGCCCGTGGCCCGCTTCGCAATGGAGCAGCGCCTTCCGGACCCGGTGCTTCCACAACAGGCGAGCCAGTATACGCTGCTGAACATGGCTCGCCCCTACACAGTCCGTCGCATCCGCCGGGTCCTGAACGCGAAGGCATTTACCAACATGCTCGGGCTCAAGGGACCACCGCAGCCGGACGACCTCAGGAGCTTCTGGAAGGCAGTCAACTCGAAGGCACTGACAGCGAGGGAGAGGGAAGTTTGGTTCAAGCTGATCCTCCGCTTCACCCCGACGCGCAAGCTCCAGCACGAGCAAAAGCATGTCACTTCTCCCGCGTGCCTCGTGTGCGAAGCGCCGGTGGACGACACCGATCACTACTTCTTCGGCTGCGTCGACTCGCGGAACGTCTGGACCGCGGCAAGGGGCGTGCTCTGCGACGCGCTCGGATGCGACACGATCGAGGACGCCGAGTACACGACACTACAACGACTCTTTGGCCTCCCCAAGCTCAAGGCCAAGCTCAGCGAACAGGAAGGCGCAGGCAGGACGATCGAGATCTTCACGGGGATGGTCTTGGAGATGATCAGCAGTGGGAGATGGAGGATGCAGAAGCACGGGACGAGGATGGAAAGCCTGGAGCGGAGGAGGGTGGTACTGGAGGAGAGGATGAAGTTGAGGGCGGGGGGAGCAAGGGGCGGGCGAGGGCAGTAGAGGCTGGGTTCGATTTCCCCCCACCCCATCCCACACTCACACACCCCACATCACACATCCTCTTACAAAAACTGTATACTAAATATATTTTCTTCATCTTTCTTTCTTTTATTACAGGTCTGCCTCCGTTGCTCATGGACCGGCTCGCGATTTGGGATTGACTCGACGGTGGCTCGCGCTCTCTGGCTTCGGGGTTCTGAGTGTAAGGGAGGGATCAGCAGACACAGGCAGAAAGTCGGCTTTGAGGGGCCAGGGACTGCTGAGGTGGAGGTTTTGAGGGGCCTCCACCGCGTCTTGTTGTGACCGAGCATAGACTTGGGATTTCGCGGGTCAGGGTAGCTGCGCAGTCGCTCTCCTGTCTTTGTCTCGACCGAGTTGGGAAGTGGGTGCGGGGTGGGCCTCTTGTCGTTAGTACGCCAGTTCTTTTTCATTTTCTCTCTCTCATTCGTCTCCTGGGGGGGAGCTGTGAAGAGTCCACTCTCAGCTCGACAGGGGCGCCTCGGTCGTTGCGCGCGCCTGCTAGCCTGGCCCCTGTGGTGGGGACTTAGGCGCGCGCGAGTGCCTCAGCGCGCCGGCGCCGGCGGTTTTCGGGCGCGCGCCGCTAGCCCGCCCTTGCAGTGGGGACTTAGCCGCGCGCGACTGCCTCAGCGCTCCAGCGATTTCGCCCGCGCCTGGGCATATCCCAGCGCGGGCCACCTTTCCATTTCTTAGCTTCCTTCTCATCACTTCTGTTCGACTCTCGACTTCTCCTGACAGTAGTGGTGATCATCTCATAGGTACGCTGAAATATATCACTTCTGTTCGACTCTCGACTTCTCCTGACAGTAGTGGTGATCATCTCATAGGTTATAAGCCCATCGAGCTACCGCTGGCATGGACACGTCGTCAACCCTCGCGACGAGCGCCACCCCGACAATTCCCGCCGAACAGCTTGCCGCACTTACATCGCTGCTGTCGGGACTCACCGCTGCCGCTTCCGGCACTACCGCACCCGCCACGACATCCGGCTCCAATCGCAATGCCTTCCCGAAGCATGCGCGGTTGGACGGGCCGAAGACGTTCGCGAACTGGACACGCCAGCTTCGCCTGTGCCTAGCGGACGACATCCGCTCCTACGTCCTCGACGGAATCACCCCCGACGATTGGACGCCTTCGCAACGCTCCGCCCGCGACGTCGTGGCACGCGAGATCCTTGCAAACTCAATCGACTCGGCCGAAGTCTCGGCAGTCCTCGACAAGATCCCTACGGCCGACCTCACAGCGCCCAAGATTTACTCGACGCTGAAATCGCGATACGCCCCTGATGACGCCACTCGCACGCTCGAGCTCTTCTCGCGACTCTGGGGCTTCCGACCCATGCCCGGAACGGTTGGCGAATTTGACAGTTGGATCATGGACTTCAAGTCGGTCGCGCAAGAGATCATCGATACGAAAACGACGATCAACGACGTCCTTGCCACACTCCTCCTCGCGATCGCCCACCCGTCACTCGAGAGCTTCAAGGCAACGTTCACCGACGAACAACGCACGCAACGAACTCTCCCTGACATCGATTCAGTGGCCGACCGTATGCGAGTTCAACTCCGGTCAACGAACCTCTCCAACGATCAATCGGCCCTCCTTGCCTCGTCGTCGCCACGTTCTACCCGTACCAAGTGCCTCGCCTGTCGCAGCCCTTCTCACCGCGTCGCACAATGCCCTACAAGGGCCCAGCATCCACCGCCAGGCCCGTGTCGCTCCTGCAAGAAGAAGGACCACTGGTCTTTCGACTGCAAAAAGGCTCTTGAGGACGGGAAAACGCCCGACACCTCTGATGCGCAACACCATGTCGGATGTCTCGCCACCGGTCTTCTCGCACATCGTCGTCAGCTTCGCAACAACTCCTTCGTCGTCGACTCGGGTGCCACTTCGCACATGGTCTCGGACAAGTCGCTGTTCACGGCCTATCGCCACATCGCTCCTACGAAGATTGGTGGTATTGCAGGGGGCATCAACGCCGTCGGAACGGGAAACATCGCCTTTGTTGCCGCCTCCGGTCACCCGATCACGCTTACCGGCGTGCTGCACACCCCGGGCCTGTCTGTCAACCTCCTCTCGGTCTCTCGACTTTGCGACACCGACGATGTCCGTGTCGCCTTCACGAAGCACGGCATCCATATCGACAAGAACGGCAATGCTATCGCTGAAGGCGCAAGACTCGAGGAAGGGCTCTACTTGCTGGACGCTGATCATTCCAAATGTCAGCATCTCGCTCTCCTCTCTCGCTCACAGTCTTCCGTGCCCCTGCTGACCCTTCACCGCTGCCTCGGCCATCTCGCACCGTCGTCCATACAGAAGATGGTTGCCGCTGGTTTGCTGGAAGGTCTCGGGGCCGGATATAGTGACGAAGAGGTAGAGAAGTTTGTCTGCAATGCTTGCCTCAGTGCAAAGGGCCATCGTCTTCCTTTTCCCGATTCGGACTCGCACTCCTCAGAGAGACTCGGCCTCGTACACAGCGATGTGCTTTCCTTTCCCGAGTCGTCCTTGACTGGCAAGCGTTACCTGGTCACGTTTCTTGACGACTTCTCGCGCAAACTGTGGGCATACGCGATCGGACACAAAAGCGAAGTCTTTGGCGTGTTCAAGACATGGCTTGCCGAGGTCGAACTCGAGACGGATGCAAAACTGAAGGTCCTCCGAACCGACAATGGTGGCGAATACTGTTCGAGAGCGTTCACGGAATTCTGTAAGGCACGCGGCACACGTCGACAATACTCTATCCCTCGAACGCCTCAACAGAACGGTCGTGCCGAACGAGTCAATCGTTCTATCGTCGAAGGTGTCCTTGCCCTCCTTGCAGACGCCCACTTACCCAAATCATTCTGGGAGGAGGCAGCAGCTTATTTCGTCTACTGCAAGAACCTGTGCGAACACTCGGCCCTGGACAAGGCAACACCGAACTTCGCCTGGCAGGGCGACCGCACCAACGCCTCGGCGCTTCACCCGTTCGGCTGCACGGCTTGGCTCACAGTCGCGCCTGAACTTCGCTCGAAACTCGACCCGAAAGCGGTTCGCGTTCTCTTCACCGGCTATGACCTGGCTTCTAAAGCCTTCCGTTTCTACGACACGACGACCAAGAAGATCAGTTTGGGCAGAAATGCCAGGTTCCTCGACAACGAATTTCCCGGGTTACGTAGCGACTCCACCGAGCAAGACGCCGACACGCACTTCGCCAGCGCTTGCCCGACCACCGAATCCCAAGCCGTTGTCAAGACATGGACCCCACTAGTAAGGTCGGCGCACATGGACGTCTCATCCTCTCTTGATGACTCTGCCATGAGCGCCGTTGACGTGGCCCCAGGGTACACTGGCGGAACCTTACTTAATTCCACAGATGCCGAATCGTCCTCGTCACCGTCTCCTGAGCCGTCCTCGTCACCGTCGCCCGCAACTCCCTTGTCACCGTCGCCTGCGCTGTCACCGTCGTTGGCTGCGTCATCGTCACCCTCGGCCTTACCGACCGACTCTGACTACTCCGCCGACCCTCTGGACCTCATCGGCTCACAGACCCCGACTCGCCTCGGCCCACCGGACGTGCACCGCCCAGACTTCAGCACGTACCGTGAGCCCGCATCGGCTGAGGAGTCGCCCGACGAACTCGACATCATTGGGCGCCACTCGCGCGATGAATCGCCGGACGAAATCGATTTCCTCACCCAACACCACCGCGCCTTCATCGCCACCGACGACGACAACTCTGACACAGAAGCCATTCAACCAGTCAAGTCCATCACCAGCGACCCACAGACATGGCGCGAGGCAATGTCGAGTGACAAGCGCGAAGTGTGGGCCAAGGCCGCTACCGACGAGTTCAATTCCATGCGCGACGACTTCAAGGTCTTCACCATCGAGGACCGATCCACGGTACCAGCGGGTGCGACCATCGTCACATCCAAGTTCGTCTGGAAAACGAAACGGAATGCACTCGGCGAAGTCACCGGCCACAAGGCACGGCTCGTGGCGCAGGGAAATCGGCAACGCGACGGCATCGACTTCAACGAAACCTTCGCACCAGTCGCACGCTTCTCCTCGATACGCTCACTCCTCGCGCTGGCGGCCGCCAACGGCTTGCACGTGCACCAGGCGGACATCGACAAAGCCTATCTGCATGGCGACCTTGACCATGACATCTGGATGACGACACCGCGCGGCTTCGACCTTCCCACCGACAAGGTGCTTCGTCTGCGACGCTCCATCTACGGACTCAAACAGGCTGGCCGAATCTGGAATCGACACATCGACGCATCGCTTCGAGATCTCGGCTATACGGCGACGGGCACCGACCACTGCGTGTACTCTCGGATCGACGATCGGCGACGCCCACACTACATCGCGCTGTACGTCGACGACCTCCTGATGATCAGCCCCGACTTGGCCGAAATTGAACGTGTCATCTCGGGCCTCGAACAACGCTACGGCGTCAAGCGCCTCGGCCCGGCAGAGTACATCCTCGGCATCCAGATCAGGCGACTCGAAGACGGTTCTATTGCCCTGTCCCAGGAACGGTACATCATGGACGTGCTTGCTTGGTTCCACTTCGACACCACGACTCGCGGCACTACAGTCCCGATGACCCCCGGCCTTTCGCTCACCGCCATCCCGGGTCAAGGCACCGAACGGATCAGGTCATGGTATCTGCAGGCTATCGGCTCGCTCCTCTACATTTCGCTCGGCACCCGCCCCGACATCGCCTTCGCCGTGTCCTACCTGGCCCGCTTCGCCAACAACCCTGGACGTCGTCACTGGATCGCGGTCAAGCACATCCTCCGCTATCTCCGGGCCACATATCGCGACGAACTGGTTTATGCTTGCGGCGAGACACGCATCACGGGCGTGGTTGGCTACTCCGACGCGAACTGGGGGGCCTGCGTCGATACGTCGGTGTCCACTATGGGCTACGTCTTCTACATTGCCGGATCCGCCGTGTCTTGGTCGTCCAAGCGTCAATCTCGAGTTGCCGATTCTACCACCGACGCTGAATACCTCGCCCTCTCGCATGCTGGCAAGGAAGGGATCTACCTCAGTCAGCTGCTCGAGGAGCTCCATGTCCAACCTGTTGCACCGGCTCACATTTTTACTGACAATGAAGCCGCTGCCGCAGTTGCCCACGACCCTGTCCGCGTCTCCGGCACTCGACACATACGCTTGCGCGAGCACTTTGTTCGGGACATGGTGAATCGGGGCGATATCTCACTCTCGCATGTGGGAACCAGCAACATGGTGGCCGACATCTTCACAAAGGCTCTTGGCCCAAAGATTTTCTCGACACACTGCTACGCACTAGGCCTTCGCACTCGACACCCACGGCTTGGATCTGCCTCGCATTCGCGTGGGGGGGGGTGTGAAGAGTCCACTCTCAGCTCGACAGGGGCGCCTCGGTCGTTGCGCGCGCCTGCTAGCCTGGCCCCTGTGGTGGGGACTTAGGCGCGCGCGAGTGCCTCAGCGCGCCGGCGCCGGCGGTTTTCGGGCGCGCGCCGCTAGCCCGCCCTTGCAGTGGGGACTTAGCCGCGCGCGACTGCCTCAGCGCTCCAGCGATTTCGCCCGCGCCTGGGCATATCCCAGCGCGGGCCACCTTTCCATTTCTTAGCTTCCTTCTCATCACTTCTGTTCGACTCTCGACTTCTCCTGACAGTAGTGGTGATCATCTCATAGGTACGCTGAAATATATCACTTCTGTTCGACTCTCGACTTCTCCTGACAGTAGTGGTGATCATCTCATAGGAGCAACCGCTTGGCTGGGGCACTTGAATCCGAAGTATCGGATTGGTGGACTTGGCCCGTTTCTCGCATCTTGCGGGCGGTTTGTGTTATCATCGTCGACTTCCATCTAGTTTTTCCGTAGGCCAATCAGGGGGAACAGGAATTGGGGGCAATATGATGAACGGTTTCTACAAAAAAAAAAAAATGCGTTGACTCTAGGAACGTTTGGATCGCGGCAAGGGGCGTGCTCTGTGACGCACTGGGGCTCGACACGATCGACAACACGCATTACACAGCCGTTCAACGCATGTTCGGACTTCCGAAGCTCAAGGCCAGTCTGCGCGATCAAGAAGGAGCGGGGAGGACGATTGAAATATTCACCGGGCTGGTCTTGGAGATGATCAGCAGCGGGAGGTGGGGGATGCAGAAGTGGGGGACGAGGATGGAGGGTGTTGGGAGGAGGAGGATAATCTTGGAGGAGAGGTTGAAGCTGAGGGCGGGAGGAGCTTGGGGGAGGAGAAGGCAGTAGAGGCTGGGTTCGACTTTCCCCCCACCACCACACACACACACCAAATTCTCGTGACATCATTTTCTCCTACTGTACACTAAATAGCTCGCTTTCCTCTTTCTTTTGTTACAGGTTCACCGTTGCGGATCATGGACCATCTCGCGATTTGGCGTCGACTCGGTGTGGCTCGCGCTCTTCGGCTTCGGGGTTCTGAGTCAAGGGAGGGATCAGCGGACACAGGCAGAAAGTCGGCTTTGAGGGGCCAGGGACTGCCGAGGGGGAGGTTTTGAGGGACCTTCACCGCGTCTTGTTGTGACTGAGCAGAGACTTGGAGCGTCGAGGGTCGTGGTGGTTGCGCAGTCGTGCTCTTGTCTTCGTCTCGACCGAGTGGGAAGTGGCTGTGGGGTGGGCCTTCTGTCGTTAGTACATTTCTTTTCTTTCTCTTTCTCTTTCTCCCTCTCATTCGTCTCCTGGGGGGAAGCAACCGCTTGGCTAGGGCATTTGAATCCGAATCTCGGATTGGTGGACTTGGCTCGTTTCTCGCACTTTTGCGGGCGGTTTGTGTTATCATCGTAGTCTTCCATCTAGTTTTTCCGTAGGCCGAAACAGGGGGAACAGGAATTGGGGGCAATATGATGAACGTTTTCTACAAAAAAAAAAAACCTGTCTCGCACACAAGTGAGTTTCTGTGGTGTAGAGTGAGTAGTTGACCTCCAAGCCCATTAAGCTTTACAGGTCAACACAAACACGCGATGCCGGATCCGCCCGGCGCCGATGCGCCCCCGCCCGAGGACCTATTGGGTGGTAATGGCGCGAGTGATTCATCACTCAACACGCAAACGTGTGAAGCGGTCACTGGAGGAACCGCGAATCCTCCAGCTTGGTCGCCCGAGGCAACTCAGGTCCAGTTGGACCATGAGAAGCTGATGAAGAAGACCTTCCAAGTGCTCGGGATTGTTCCCTCCAGCAAGTCGACCCGCCGACTGATGGTCCTGATGCACGACACCTCGACCCCGCCTTCGCAGGCGCCAGCGCTCGCACGAGCCGCCCAAAGAGCGGTGCGAAACGACGCAGCCCTGGCCTCCAATGTGATTCGAGTCATTATGGATGGTCCTGTACAGACCGCGCTGCGCAAGCACTTTGGATTGGCCGAGACACCGTTCATGTTCGCGCGGCCCAAGGGCGTCGTGCTTGACCCCGAGGTCGAGAAGCTTTTCTCGAAATGCGTGAAGCTGAACCCGATTGTGACGAAAGCCACGAAGAGGTTCCCGATCGCTCGTCACATGTACGAGCTTGTATTCGAATCCGAGCAAGCTTGTCTTGAAGCCGCTTCAGCGGGCCCATTCCCCTACCACGGCAAGGAGATGGTTACCGAGCTCCCCAGCGCCTCTCCCCTTAACCACGTCGTGCAGGTGCGATTCACCTTGCCCTCCTCCTCCAGCGCGATCCCCGCTTCCGTGCTCCGAAAATCTCTCGATGATGCTATCACCCTTTCGTGTGAGGAATCCACTCTCCGCTCGGCTCAGGACTTAGGCGCGCGGAGCGAACCGGGCGCGGACTTAGGCGCGCGGAGTGAGCCGGGCGCCCCGGCCCAGGACTTAGGCGCGCGAAGCGAGCCTGGGACTTAGGCGCGCGGAGCGAGCCTGGGCCATTGGCTCAGCCCCAGGCTCGCTGGCTGTGGACTTGGGGCGCGCGGGTCTCTTATTGTTAGCTTCCTATTCATCACTCTTGGCTATAACTACATCGCTGACGTAGTAGAGTTGATTGAATAGGTATGTTGAAATGCATTCATCACTCTTGGCTATAACTACATCGCTGACGTAGTAGAGTTGATTGAATAGGTTATAAGCCCACGAGCTACCAGCCCCGCCGCTTGAGGCTTTTTCGCTCGAGCCCAGCCACTCGAGCCGCACACGTCCATCGCACCATCACATCATGGACAGCTCTCCCGCCTCGCCTTTGGCCCCCAGGGATCCCAGCTCCCCTGAATCTTCGATCGGCGAACAAATCGCCACTCTACAGGCCCAGCTTGCCGCTCTGCAGGCCTCGCAACCCGCCGTCGCCGCAGCCGCCGCACCCCCGGCCGTCACCGTCGTGCCGGGGAACGCCGCCACCGCATCCAAGGTCGTGTTTCCCAAGCACGCTCGTCTGGACGGCCCCAAGTCGTTCACCAACTGGTTGCGTCAACTCCGTCTTGCACTCCCGAACCAGGTTCGTGGTTACGTTCTCGACGGTGTCGTTCCCCCGACCTGGACCGCCGACCAGCTTGCCGCACGTGACGACGCCGCCCGGGAAATCATCGTTGGCTCTATCGACTCCGCCGACGTATCGGCCACCCTCGACGCCATCCCCAGTATTCGATCAACTCTACTACGTCAGCGATGTAGTTATAGCCAAGAGTGATGAATGCATTTCAACATACCTATTCGATCAACTCTACTACGTCAGCGATGTAGTTATAGCCAAGAGTGATGAATAGGAAGCTAACAATAAGAGACCCGCGCGCCCCAAGTCCACAGCCAGCGAGCCTGGGGCTGAGCCAATGGCCCAGGCTCGCTCCGCGCGCCTAAGTCCCAGGCTCGCTTCGCGCGCCTAAGTCCTGGGCCGGGGCGCCCGGCTCACTCCGCGCGCCTAAGTCCGCGCCCGGTTCGCTCCGCGCGCCTAAGTCCTGAGCCGAGCGGAGAGTGGATTCCTCGTCGGCACCGCGCATCTTTGCCGCTCTCAAGGCTCGTTTTGCACCGGACGACGCTACACGCACTCTCGAGTTGTTCGCTCGCCTTTGGGACTTCAGGAAGATGCCTGCCTCCGTCGAGGCCTACGACACTTGGCTACGCGAGTACATGTCGATTGCTCAGGAAATACGCGACGCCAAAACATCGCTCAACGACGTGCTCGCCACCCACGTGCTCGCCATGGTCCCGTCTTGCCTCGACAGCTTCCGACTCACGTTCACGGACGAGCAGCGAAACCGACGCGACCTTCCCGAACTCACGACGCTTACGGACCGCATTCGCATCCAGCTTCGTTCGGCAGGACTCTCGACCTCGCATTCGGCCATGCTTGCCACCAGCTCCCCCTGCCCCGCCTGCCGCGCTCCCGGTCACCGCCTGCGCGACTGCACTTCACGTGCGAAGCACCCGCCCACCGGCCCCTGCCGCCGATGCCACAAGAAAGGTCACTGGGCACTCGACTGCAAGAACCGGGGTGAACAGGCACGTAGCAGCGACGACACCCAGGACGACACGTCTTCCTCCGCGGCCTCGCAACCGAACGTCGGCTATTTCGCCTCCTGCCTCTTCGCTCGTCGCCAACTCCCAACTGACGCCTTTGTAGTCGATTCGGGTGCCACGACACACATGGTCGCCGACCGATCTCTATTCACGACTTATCGTCAGACGGCACACACCAAGATCGGCGGCATCGCGGGCGGCATCACGGCTATCGGCATGGGGGACGTGGCATTCGTCGCCAAGACTGGACACCCGATCACGCTCCGTGGTGTTCTTCACACGCCTGGCCTACACGTCAACCTCCTCTCTGTCTCTCGCCTCTGCGACACCGACCGCGTTCGTCTCGCCTTCACCAGCGACGGCATCGACATCGCCAAGGACGGCCGGGCCATTGCTCACGGTACCAGGGTCAACGACGGTCTTTACCTTTTGGACGCGGATCACACCAAGTGTCAGCATCTTGCCTTCCTCTCACGCTCTGAGTCTCCCGTGCCCCTGCTTACCCTACACCGCTGCCTCGGCCATCTTGCCCCATCCTCTATACAGAAGATGATTGCTGCAGGTTTGCTGGACGGGTTTGGGGCCGGGTACAGTGACAAAGACGTAGAGGAGTTTGTTTGCAATGCTTGCCTTGGTTCCAAAGGTCACCGCCTTCCCTTTCCCGACTCTGAGTCGCATTCCGCCGAGAGACTTGGCCTCGTGCACAGCGACGTCCTGTCGTTCCCCACTCCGTCCTTGACCGGGAAGCGCTACCTTGTCACGTTTCTAGACGACCACTCTCGCAAACTCTGGGCATATGCGATCGATCACAAAAGCGATGTTTTCCCGACCTTCCAGACTTGGCTCGCCGAAGTGGAGTTAGAGACGAACGCGCGGTTGAGGATCCTTCGAACCGACAATGGCGGGGAGTACCGATCAAACGCATTCACGGAGTTCTGCAAATCCAAGGGCATTCGTCGTCAATACTCTATCCCTTACACGCCTCAACAAAACGGTCGCGCCGAACGTGTCAACCTCTCCATCGTCGAGGGCGTCCTCGCTCTCCTTGCGGACGCCCGTCTGCCGGCCACCTTTTGGGATGAAGCGGCTGCGTATTTCGTTTATTGCAAAAACAGGTGCTCACACTCAGCTTTGGCCAAACAGACTCCAGAATCCGTTTGGAACGGCCAACGCACCACCGCCACCGCCCTCCACCCGTTCGGCTGCACAGCCTGGCTCACGGTCGCCCCGGACCTTCGCAGCAAGCTCGACCCCAAGGCCGCGCGCGTGATCTTCACAGGTTACGACCTCGCCTCCAAAGCTTTCCGTTTCTTTGACCATTCCATCAACAAGATTGTACTTGGTCGCAATGCCACCTTCCTCGACGACGACTTCCCCGGCCTGCCAGTCACCACGCCCGTCGATGCAGACGACACCGACCGTCAGTTCGTCGTTCCCGCCGACACGCCCGCCCCTGCCGTCAAGACGAGGACCCCACTAGTAAGGTCGGCGCACATGGACGTCTCATCCTCCCTTGATGATTCTGCCATGAGCGCCGTTGACGTGGCCCCAGGGTACACTGGCGGAACCTTACTTAATTCCACAGATACCGAATCGTCCTCGTCACCGTCTCCTGAGCCGTCCTCGTCACCGTCGCCCACAAACCCTTTGTCACCGTCGCCTGCGCTGTCACCGTCGTTGGCAGCGTCATCGTCACCCTCGGTCTCACCGACCGACTCTGACTACTCCGCCGACCCTCTGGACCTCATCGGCTCACAGACCCCGACTCGCCTTGGCCCACCGGACGTGCACCGCCCAGACTTCAGCACGTACCGTGAGCCCGCATCGGCTGAGGAGTCGCCCGACGAACTCGACATCATTGGGCGTCACTCGCGCGATGAATCGCCGGATGAAATCGATTTCCTCACCCAACACCACCGCGCCTTCATCGCCACAGACGACGACGACCCCACCCTCGACGCCATCGAGCCCGTCAAATCGATCACTAGCGACCCCCAGACCTGGCGCGAAGCAATGTCCAGCGACGAGCACAACATCTGGGCTGAGGCCGCCGCCGCCGAGTTCACCGCCATGCGCGACGACTTCAAGGTGTTCACCATCGAGCCTCGCTCATCTGTACCGCCGGGCGCCACCATCGTCACCTCCAAATTCGTCTGGAAGACCAAGCGCAACGCAAGCGGTGAAGTCACGGGGCGGAAGGCACGTCTTGTAGCGCAGGGTAACCGACAGCGCGACGGCATCGACTTCTCAGAAACCTTCGCACCCGTCGCCCGTTTCTCCTCCATTCGCTGCCTCCTGGCTCTTGCCGCTGCCAATGGCTACCACGTTCATCAGGCCGACATCGACAAGGCTTACCTCCACGGCGAGCTCGATCATGATATCTGGATGACGACACCACGCGGTTTCGACTTCCCGAGCGATAAGGTTCTCCGGCTGCGACGCTCAATCTACGGTCTCAAGCAGGCCGGTCGCATCTGGAATCGTCACATTGACACATCACTCAGGAATCTGGGGTACAAGGCAACAGGCACTGATCACTGCATTTACTCTCGCATTGACGATCAGCAGCGGCCTCACTATATCGCCTTGTATGTCGACGACCTCCTCATTGTCAGTCCAGCCCTCGACGAGATCGAACGTGTCATCTCCGGCCTTGAACAGCGGTACGGCGTCAAACGACTCGGCCCCGCGGAGTACATCCTCGGAATCCAAATACGCCGCCTGGACGACGGTTCCATTGCTCTATCCCAGGAGCGCTACATCATGGACGTGCTGGCCCGTTTCCACTTCGACACCACGACACGCGGCACTACGGTGCCGATGACGCCCGGCCTCTCGCTCACGGCAATTCCGGGTCAGGGAACGGAGCGCATTCGTTCGTGGTACCTACAGGCCATCGGCTCCCTCCTCTACATCTCCCTTGGCACTCGACCCGACATTGCCTTCGCCGTCTCGTACCTGTCCCGGTTCGCCAACAACCCCGGCCGCCGCCATTGGATTGCCGTCAAACACGTCCTTCGCTACCTTCGCGCCACGTACCGCGATGAGCTTCTCTATGCCCGCGGCCCAGCAAAAGTCACGGGTGTGGTTGGTTATTCTGATGCGAACTGGGGCGCCTGCGTCGACACATCCATTTCAACGATGGGCTACGTATTTTACTTGGCAGGCGCCGCTGTCTCTTGGTCGTCGAAGCGTCAGACTCGGGTAGCGGATTCCACCACTGATGCCGAGTACCTGGCCTTGTCGCACGCGGGTAAGGAAGCGATCTACCTTAACCAACTCCTCTCCGAGCTCCACGTTTGCCCAATCGCTGCAGCTCACATCTTCACCGACAACGAGGCCGCGGCCGCCGTCGCTCACGACCCCGTTCGCACCTCCGGCACCCGGCACATTCGCCTCCGCGAGCATTTTGTCCGTGACATGGTCAATCGAGGTGATATCTCTCTCTCACACGTTGGCACAGCAGACATGGTTGCGGACGTATTCACCAAAGCGCTAGGCCCCAAGATTTTTGGTACACATTGCTATGCTCTAGGCCTCCGGACGCGACATCCACGGCTCAAGTCTACCTCGCGTTCGCGTGGGGGGGGTGTGAGGAATCCACTCTCCGCTCGGCTCAGGACTTAGGCGCGCGGAGCGAACCGGGCGCGGACTTAGGCGCGCGGAGTGAGCCGGGCGCCCCGGCCCAGGACTTAGGCGCGCGAAGCGAGCCTGGGACTTAGGCGCGCGGAGCGAGCCTGGGCCATTGGCTCAGCCCCAGGCTCGCTGGCTGTGGACTTGGGGCGCGCGGGTCTCTTATTGTTAGCTTCCTATTCATCACTCTTGGCTATAACTACATCGCTGACGTAGTAGAGTTGATTGAATAGGTATGTTGAAATGCATTCATCACTCTTGGCTATAACTACATCGCTGACGTAGTAGAGTTGATTGAATATTTCGTTCGGCCGCGCAGGTCGCACGCAAGGTTATACCCTGATGCAATTACAGCGGGGCCTCGCGGTCGATCCGAATGGCGATCCGATGGCCATGACCGAAGACGGGTTCCACTGCGCGTACCTTCGCTTACATGCTGATCTTTTCCAAGGCTCCATCGAGAGGCAGAAGGGTGCGCTCAACGCCGCTTTGCCACAAGAGATCGAGATCCTGGGCGCCAAGTACGGCTTGCGACACGAATTCGAGACGCACTACTGCGCGGTGTGCAATCGCGCCGGACACCAGTGGGGCGCTTGCAGGAAGCCGGTTTCGACTCCGGCCACCACCGCCCCTGTTCCGGGGGCCTCGACCTCGACTTCGACTTCGACCACCGGCTTCCGAGTTGCTGGAAAGAATGGGAAGCACGGTGGGCCTGCCGCATTGAACTCTCGTGTCTCTGGCGCGAACATGATCCAGCTGGGACCTCGTGCTAACCCCGCAGGTGCAGTAACCGCCAACAAGGACAACGCGAACGACGGCAACAACGAGTCGGTCGTTTCGACCGAACCGGAGGGCGGCGACACTGGGGAAGACACGTCGACGCGTGCGACCCTGGGCTCAACAAAGGAGACGCAGACGACGACGGCGGCGCCCGTTTCGACCCCGACCTCTCCTTCGCCTTTGTCCGGTGGCACGTCGGGATCATCGGCAACCTCGACAACCTCGATAGCCTCGACGAGTCCTCGACGCCTTCGTTCGAGCTCGGCACCCGGCAACCGACGTGTCACCCGGGCGGGATCCGCCATGATCCTCGGTGCTATGAAGGAACAATATACCACTGCACCAAAAGGCGAGGCACCTCTACTTCAGTGAGCGCATATTGTCCTAGAAGTGAGATGGAGCGAAGTTCAACACCCCCCTGTGCGCGAAGCTGAAGAGCTTGTGGCAGTGGGTGCGGCTGTGAGGCAACTGGGCATGTTGATCAGGTCGCTTGGGCAAGTGCAGCTTGGGCACTGTGAGCACTGTCGATGCGCCAGGGTGCTTGGCACGCTGCTGGGCAAGTGCGGGGGCCGGGACGCTGAGTGTATGCGCGCAAAATTGCCTGACCCCAGGGGGGATTGAACTCATGAGCAGCTGGTAGCTCGTTGGGCTCATAACCTATGAAGGAACAATATACCACTGCACCAAAAGGCGAGGCACCTCTACTTCAGTGAGCGCATATTGTCCTAGAAGTGAGATGGAGCGAAGTTCAACAGGTGCATCAGGGGGTGATGGCTCAGGGGGTCACAGGTCCAAGGTGACCGAATTCGAGGGGGGCGGCGCTGAACTGATTTAATCATGATTGAGTCACTCACCGTGTTGACGTTCAACGTCCGATCGATGAAGAACGCAGTCAACCAAGTCAAAATCATCCGTTATCTCAAAACCCTTCGGCCGGCCCCTGCGGCCATCCTCCTGCAAGAGCACCACCTCAGCTACAACGCGTCGCGCGAAGGCTTCGAGAGTGCTTGGCCGGGGGCTTGTATTCGTTTCACTCCTCATGTCCTTACCCTCATACCCGATGGCTCACCTTTGGCGGGCCATCTCCTTTCCTCTACCCCGGTCGTCTTTGCAGGAGCTCCTCGTTTCGACGGTCGGATTCTGCACTCGGTGTTTCGTCTTGAGGAGCTCGATGTCGAGATCATCAACATGTACGCGCCGGTGCAGGAGGACGATCGTCGCGACTTTTTCGGGCTTCTGCACTTCAGCGCCCCGAGACCCAAGATTCTTCGGATCTTGGCCAGCGATCTCAATGATTGTCCGGATGTATTGGTCGACCGAGTGTCCATCACCGATCGCGCTTGGACTCCTGTATCGCACTGGCAGACCTTGCTGTCAAAGATCGCGTTCAAGGCACTCGACACGGTCCGACATGTCCATTCTTGCACCCCTGCATTCACTCGTCCTCACTACCGTGGTAGAGGGGAAGAGCGAAAGATTTGCTCGTGGTCGCGGATCGACTATATTCTTGTCCAATGCAGTTGGGCGAACCGGTTGTTGAGCGCTTCTACGCTCTTCGATGCGCCCTGTTCGGACCACAGACCTGTAGTTGCGACTTTCGCTTTGCCTACATCGAACGCTGATGCCGAACCCCCCCTTTCTCTTCCCTCCACGAGCGATTTCATTTCGAGGCTCAACCCAATGGTCTTTGACGATCAAGACTTTGTCGCATCGATTCCCGGGGTCGTCGACGAGGTCTATCGAAGGCTCGAGGGGACCACTCCGCTCGGCGACGTCTATGACGCCGCTCTGCGGGCGGTTGCAGTCGCTGGCCATGCACGATACCGCTCGACTCGTGCCGACATGCGCCGACTGCGGGCCGAGAGCCAATCCGTCATGGAGGCTTTGGAGGCACGCGGTGAGCACATGAATGAGGCCGAGCGCGATGCGTATGCTCATGCCAAGTCGCGGTTGGACCAGTTGGCGGTAAAGGAGGCTCAGTGGCTGCGCATTCGTGCGCATGTGCCGTCAGTCGACTCGAGGGAAGGTCAATCGGCAAGCATTCGCACGCGCCTCAACCGCCGGAGTCGCCAGACGAGCATCGTCTCGCTGGAGGATGTGGATGGCACCGAGACCGTTGACATGCAGGAGGCGCTGGGTATTGCTTCACGGCACGCGCAGTCGCTCTTCACGCCGGACCCAGCTCGTGGCGACCCGACGAACGCACGCCGGTCCCTGCTCGACCCTATTCGCGCAGCGAAATGCTACGATGACGACCGCTCGGACCCTACGTTCGGTCGTCGGCTGCCTCGTCAAGCGAGAGTGGCGCTTGACGAGCCCTTCACCCTCCTCGAGGTTGAAGCGGCGTTGAAGAAGACGGATTCGGGGCGATCACCGGGGCCCTCGGGCATTCCGTACAAGCTCTTCAAGGTGCTGCCTGTGAAGAGTCCACTCTCAGCTCGACAGGGGCGCCTCGGTCGTTGCGCGCACTTGCTAGCCCGCCCCCGGCGGTGGGGACTTAGACGCGCGCGACTGCCTCAGCGCGCCAGCGCCGGCGGATTCATGCGCGCGCCCGCTAGCCCGCCCCCTTGCGGTGGGGACTTAGGCGCGCCGGCGATTTCACCCGCGGCTGACTTAGGGATGTACATTGTCACGCGCCTGGGACTATCCCAGCGTGGCCCCCCCCTTTCTGTTTCTTAGCTTCCTTCTCATCACTTCTGTTCGACTCTCAACCTCTCCTGACAGTAGTGGTGAACGTCTCATAGGTACGCTGAAATAGATCACTTCTGTTCGACTCTCAACCTCTCCTGACAGTAGTGGTGAACGTCTCATAGGTTATAAGCCCACGAGCCACCAGCTGGCATGACCACGACACCACCCCTCGCGACGGGTGCCAACCCTCCGATTCCCGCCGAACAGCTCGCCGCACTTACATCGCTGCTGTCGGGTCTCACCGCTGCCGCTTCCGGCACTGCCACACCCGCCACGACGTCCGGCACCACTCGCACTGCCTTTCCAAAGCACGCACGCTTGGATGGTGCGAAGACCTTCGCGAACTGGACACGCCAACTTCGCCTGTGCCTAGCGGACGACATCCGCTCGTACGTCCTCGACGGTATCGCACCCGACGACTGGACACCTTCGCAACGCTCCGCTCGCGACGCCGTCGCTCGTGAGGTCCTTGCGAATTCGATTGACTCGGCCGAAGTCTCGGCAGTCCTCGACAAAATCCCTACCGCCGACCTGACAGCGCCGACAATCTACTCGACGCTGAAATCGCGGTACGCCCCTGACGACGCCACCCGCACGCTCGAGCTCTTCTCACGACTCTGGGGTTTCCGTCCCATGCCCGGCACGGTTGCCGAATTCGACGGGTGGATCATGGACTTCAAAGCCGTTGCGCAAGAGATCATCGACACAAAGACAACTATCAATGATGTTCTCGCCACACTCCTCCTTGCAATCGCCCACCCGTCCCTCGAGAGCTTCAAGGCGTCGTTCACCGATGAACAGCGCACGCAACGAACTCTCCCCGACATTGATTCGCTTGCCGACCGTATGCGAGTCCAACTTCGGTCAACGAACATCCCCAGCACTCAATCGGCCCTTCTTGCCTCGTCGTCGTCACGTTCTACTCGTCTCAAGTGTCTCGCCTGTCGCAGCCCTTCGCACCGAGTCGCGGAGTGCCCTACGAGGGCGCAACACCCGCCGCCAGGACCCTGTCGCTCCTGCAAGAAGAAGGATCACTGGTCTCTCGACTGCAAGAAGGCGCTCGAGGACGGCAAAAAGCCCGACACCGCTGACTCGACCGTCGACTCGCAACACCATGTCGGATGTCTCGCCACCGGTCTTCTCGCTCGTCGTCGCCAGCTTCGCAACCACTCTTTTGTCGTCGACTCGGGCGCCACTTCGCACATGGTCTCGGACAAGTCGCTGTTCACGACCTATCGCCATATCGCTCCTACGAAGATTGGTGGTATTGCAGGGGGCATCAACGCCATCGGAACGGGAAACATCGCCTTCATTGCCGCCTCGGGTCATCCGATCACGCTTACCGGCGTGCTGCACACTCCGGGCCTGTTTGTCAATCTTCTCTCGGTCTCTCGACTTTGCGACACCGACGATGTCCGTGTCGCCTTCACAAAACACGGCATCCACATTGACAAGGACGGCAACGACATCGCTGAAGGCGCACGACTCGACGAAGGGCTCTACTTGCTGGACGCTGATCATTCCAAATGTCAGCACCTTGCTCTCCTTTCTCGCTCACAGTCGTCCGTGCCCCTGCTGACTCTCCATCGCTGCCTCGGCCATCTCGCACCGTCCTCCATACAGAAGATGGTTGCCGCTGGTTTGCTGGAGGGTCTCAGGGCCGGATATAGTGACGAAGAGGTAGAGAAGTTTGTCTGCAATGCTTGCCTCAGCGCAAAGGGCCATCGTCTTCCCTTTCCCGATTCGGATTCGCACTCCTCAGAGAGACTCGGCCTTGTACACAGCGATGTGCTTTCCTTCCCCGAGCGGTCCTTGACTGGCAAACGTTACCTGGTCACATTCCTTGACGATTACTCGCGCAAACTCTGGGCCTACGCAATCGGACACAAAAGCGAAGTCTTCGGCATATTCAAAACTTGGCTAGCCGAGGTTGAACTCGAGACGGGTGCGACGCTGAAGGTCCTCCGAACCGACAACGGTGGCGAATACTGTTCGAGAGCGTTCACAGAGTTCTGCAAGACACGAGGCACCCGTCGACAATACTCTATCCCACGCACGCCTCAACAGAACGGTCGTGCAGAGCGGGTCAATCGTTCCATTGTCGAAGGCGTCCTTGCCCTCCTTGTCGACGCCCACCTACCCAAGACATTCTGGGAGGAGGCTGCAGCTTATTTCGTTTACTGCAAGAACCTGTGTCAACACGCGGCCCTGGACAAGGCAACACCAAACTCCGTCTGGCAGGGTGACCACACCACTGCCTCGGCGCTTCACCCGTTCGGCTGTACAGCTTGGCTTACGGTCGCGCCCGAACTTCGCTCCAAACTCGACCCGAAGGCGGTTCGCGTTTTTTTCACCGGCTACGACCTGGCTTCAAAAGCCTTTCGCTTCTACGACACTACAACACAGAAGATTATACTTGGCAGAAATGCCACGTTCCTCGACACTGAATTCCCCGGATTACATGGCGACCCCACTGAGCAAGACGGCGACACGCACTTCGCCAGCGCTCCCACCACCGAATCTCAAACCGTTGTCAAGACATGGACCCCACTAGTAAGGTCGGCGCACATGGACGTCTCATCCCCCCTTGATGATTCTGCCATGAGCGCCGTTGACGTGGCCCCAGGGTACACTGGCGGAACCTTACTTAACTTCACAGATGCCGAATCGTCCTCGTCACCGTCGCCTGCGTCGCCCTCATCACCGTCGTCTGCGCCATCGCCTGCACTTTCACCATCGTCGGCTGCGTCATCGTCACCCTCGGCCTTACCGACCGACTCTGAAGACTCCGCCGATCCCCTCGACCTCCTCGGCTCACAGCCCCAGGTTCGCCTCGATCTACAGGACGTGCACCACCCAGACTTCAGCACGTACCGCGAGCCCGCATCGGCTGAGGAGTCGCCCGACGAACTCGACCTCATTGGGCGCCACTCTCGCGACGAATCTCCGGACGAAATCGATTTCCTCACCCGACACCACCGCGCCTTCATCGCCATCGACGACGACACCTCTGACACAGAGGCAATTCAGCCAGTCAAGTCCATCACGAGCGACCCACAGACCTGGCGCGAGGCGATGTCTAGCGACAAGCGTGAAGTATGGGCCAAAGCCGCCACCGACGAGTTCACCTCCATGCGCGACGACTTCAAGGTCTTCACCATCGAGGACCGAGCCACGGTGCCCGCGGGTGCGACTATCGTTACATCCAAGTTCGTCTGGAAAACGAAACGGAACGCACTCGGCGAAGTCACTGGACACAAGGCAAGGCTGGTCGCGCAAGGCAATCGGCAACGCGACGGCATCGACTTCAACGAAACGTTCGCACCGGTCGCACGCTTCTCCTCGATACGCTCACTCCTCGCGCTGGCGGCCGCCAACGGCTTGCACGTGCACCAGGCGGACATCGACAAAGCATATCTGCATGGCGACCTTGACCACGACATCTGGATGACGGCACCGCGCGGCTTCGACCTTCCCAGCGACAAGGTGCTTCGCCTGCGACGCTCCATCTACGGGCTCAAACAGGCTGGCCGAATCTGGAATCGACACATCGACGCTTCGCTTCGGGCCCTCGGTTACACGGCGACGGGCACCGACCACTGCGTATACTCTTGGCTCGATGATCGTCAATGTCCACACTACATCGCACTGTACGTCGACGACCTCCTGATGATCAGCCCGGAACTGGCCGAAATCGAACGTGTCATCTCAGGCCTGGACCAACGCTACGGAGTCAAGCGCCTCGGCCCGGCCGAGTATATCCTCGGCATCCAGATCAGGCGGTTCGACGACGGCTCTATCGCCCTATCCCAGGAACGGTACATCATGGACGTGCTCGCTCGGTTCCACTTCGACACCACGACTCGCGGCACTACAGTTCCGATGACTCCCGGCCTTTCGCTCACTGCTATCCCGGGTCAAGGCACCGAACGGATCAGGTCATGGTATCTGCAGGCTATCGGCTCGCTCCTCTACATTTCGCTCGGTACCCGCCCTGACATCGCCTTCGCCGTGTCCTACCTGGCCCGCTTCGCCAACAACCCCGGTCGTCGTCATTGGATTGCGGTCAAGCACATCCTACGCTATCTCCGGGCCACGTATCGCAACGAACTCGTGTATGCTCGCGGCCAGGCTCGCATCACGGGTGTGGTAGGCTACTCCGACGCGAACTGGGGGGCCTGCATCGACACATCGGTGTCCACCATGGGCTACGTCTTCTACATCGCTGGCTCGGCCGTGTCCTGGTCGTCCAAACGCCAGTCTCGAGTTGCCGATTCGACCACCGACGCTGAATACCTCGCCCTCTCGCATGCTGGCAAGGAAGGGATTTACCTCAGTCAGCTGCTCGAAGAGCTCCATGTACAACCTGTTGCACCGGCTCACATCTTTACTGACAACGAAGCCGCTGCTGCAGTTGCTCACGATCCTGTCCGCGTCTCTGGCACTCGGCACATACGCTTGCGTGAGCACTTCGTTCGGGACATGGTGAATCGGGGCGACATCTCTCTCTCGCATGTGGGTACCAGCGACATGGTGGCCGACATCTTCACCAAGGCTCTCGGCCCAAAGGTCTTCTCAACGCACTGCTACGCCCTCGGCCTTCGCACTCGACACCCGCGGCTTGGGTCTGCCTCGCATTCGCGTGGGGGGGGGTGTGAAGAGTCCACTCTCAGCTCGACAGGGGCGCCTCGGTCGTTGCGCGCACTTGCTAGCCCGCCCCCGGCGGTGGGGACTTAGACGCGCGCGACTGCCTCAGCGCGCCAGCGCCGGCGGATTCATGCGCGCGCCCGCTAGCCCGCCCCCTTGCGGTGGGGACTTAGGCGCGCCGGCGATTTCACCCGCGGCTGACTTAGGGATGTACATTGTCACGCGCCTGGGACTATCCCAGCGTGGCCCCCCCCTTTCTGTTTCTTAGCTTCCTTCTCATCACTTCTGTTCGACTCTCAACCTCTCCTGACAGTAGTGGTGAACGTCTCATAGGTACGCTGAAATAGATCACTTCTGTTCGACTCTCAACCTCTCCTGACAGTAGTGGTGAACGTCTCATACTGCCAACCTACTTTGCTCCCAAGCTGTTGGACTTGTTCAACTCGATTTGGGAGGGCGGCAAAATGATGGCGTCCTTGGCAGAGGGGCTGGTGCGGCTCTTGCCCAAGAATAAACCGGGGGCCAATCTGAAATCACTGGGGGCATACCGACCGATCACATTGCGCGAGACGACCTACAAGGTCCTCAGCAAGGTCTTGGTGGCGCGACTCAATGGGGTGCTCAGCGAGCTTTTACCGCCGGCGCAACACAGTTTCATGCCATCAAGACGTTCAGCGGACGCGGGAAGTCATCTCACTCTCCTTCTCGAAAAACTCAAGTCGCTAGGCACTGATGTTTTCCCCGAGGGCGCCCTCTTGTCTTTGGATCAGCAGAGCGCGTACGATCGGGTCGATCACGCCTGGATCTTCGAGGTCTTTGAGGCCTTTGGGTTCGGTGAGCGTTTCATCTCGCTGCTGCGCGCTCTCTACGATCCCGAGACTCTGGGGGTGCGCTACCTTGTCAATGGGTTCCCCACGGACTTGGTGCGGTTGCTGTGTGGTCTCGGTCAGGGGAATCCCCTCTCGTGCCCGGTTTGGAACATCACGTTCCAGCCCTTCCTCGACGCCCTCGTTCGGCGCGGGATCGCGCTCGACCTGCAGAAGGTGTGGCCAGGGGGGCCGCATGCGCAGCTTACGCATCTGGCGTTTGCCGACGATGCTGTGGTGGTGGTGGAGTCACCGGCGGCATTGTCGAAGCTGCAAACGCTGTCGCAGACGTGGTACGAGGCTACCAACGGGAAGACCAACACGGACAAGACGCTGGTGCTACCACTCGGACCGAACTGGCTTCGGGACGAGACTGCGCAGGCGCTGCCAACGGTGCAGGAGGGGGAGAGCTTCAAGTGGTGCGGCTATGCCTTCTTTCGCCACGGTGACTCGTAACTGTTTTGGACCCATGTTCTTGACAGGATCAAGGCCAAGGCCCGCGCCGCTCGAGACCGGACACTTTCGCCGAGTGGGAAGGTTTTCTATGCCAACGCTCACATCATCTCGGCGGTCCTCCACGTGCTGTCCTTCGACATACCGCCTCAATGGTTCATTAAGGCGGCGGAGACGGCACTTACGGACTTTGTCTGGGGAGGAGCAGGGTGAAATACCGTCGCTCACGATTTTGTGTTCCAGGCTCGGGAGGACGGTGGCGCTTCGATTTTGGGATGCTGTGGCGGGCTCGGACAAGGCGATCTGGGCGCCCCTAGCTCGCGAGAGCTGGAGGTGCCTCGTCGCTGCGACCCGCGATTTCAGTCCGTGGGGGTTCTTCAGCAGCACAGCTTGGGTCGAGAAGCTGTATCGCGACTCGACGCGCTGGGGGGCAGTCGTTGCAGCGGCCAGGGTCACAGTTCCAACCATCAAGTCCGAACTCCTTACGCTTCCCGAATTGCTCTCGCTTCCGCCTCGCCTCCCTTCACTCTATGCTGAAGGTGCCCAGCACGCATATGACGATGCGGACGCGGTGGCGAAGTTTGCGCAGATCGCGGACCTGTACTGGAGGGACGAAGGGAAGGGATGGGCTCTGGTTGGTCATCGACGCGGGTTCTGGCAGCACTCTAAGGAACCCGCCCTACAGCACGAGCACGTGTGGTCGCGCGTGGGTCAGTTGCTCAAGGCGAAAGCGTTGCTGCTCAAGACCGCGTTGCGACCTGCTCGGATACCTCTCAAGGAGGCTCCCCGTCCTCGGTGCTTCAACTTCTTTGGGCTCTCCCGACCTTTTACAATTCGCAAGCTTCGTCGGCTTGTGAACAAGGTGCGGTTCCCAGGGAGGGAGGACCGTGTCAAGCGTTTCCCTGATGGGACTTCTCAGAGCGATAGGAAGCGCTTCTGGAGATGGCTTCATGACCGGTTCGCGTCTGCTGTCGAGCAGGACACCCACTGGCGGCTCATGTACGACGTGACGCCGACGCGCAAGAGGCAGCATACTCAGGGTCATGCCTCTTCGCCGACGTGTCTGTTCTGCGGCAACGATGCAGCGGTCATCGAGACGGTGTCCCACTACTTTTTCGAGTGCGCGTACTCGACCAGCTTCTGGGGTGGGGTGCTACGCATTCTGCTTATGAAGGAACAATATACCACTGCACCAAAAGGCGAGGCACCTCTACTTCAGTGAGCGCATATTGTCCTAGAAGTGAGATGGAGCGAAGTTCAACACTGCTTGACAAGCTCGGCATCGAGGATACCGACGTCGATCCGTCGACGTTCACTCCGGAGCAGCTGACTATGGGGCTCCCCCTTTTGCGGGGTCGTGGGAGAACGACCTCAAAATGGATGTGGGTTCGGCTGGCCTGCGCGATCGGCTTCCAGCGGCTGCACCTGCTCCGCTGGCGCGTTCATCAGCGGTTCGAGCTGGACAACGTCGTGGCCCCTCCCTCGCTTCCCAGTGCGCTCAGAGCGTTCGAGCGAGATTTTCTCTCTCGAGCGGGTTTTGTGCCTGGGGTTCGAGATTGGGAGGTGTGATGACCGAGTTAAGTCCTTCCTTCCCATTTTCCTCCCCTCCTTTCCTCCCTTCCTTTTCGGTCAGAAGCTGACTGTCTTGAAACTTGTTGCGCAGTGGAAGGCTGCGCACCTCTCCCTCTCTCTACTTTGCGCAGTAGCGATTTTCGTTCTTGGATGGATCGGCAAGCCGGGTCGATCGTCGTTGCGTTGGAGGCTTTGTGAAGTTCTCCCCCCTCTTTCCCCCCCCTTTTTTTCCCTTCCCTTCCTCTTCTCGTTCCTGTTGCTCGGTTGTTGACTACGCTTCAGCCACTTCTCCTTTTATTCCTAAGCCGTGTGTTGGATTCCGTCGAATGGATCATTCGTTCGCGTTGGTCAAGTTCTACGGCATGGATCGGGAAGAAAGGTCGCTCGTTTCTTGGTCAATATCCTTGCGTCAAGGCGAGGCTCATTTCATGGTATTGGATCGTTTTCGCTCGGCCCCGATGGCTCAACAGCCAGCACTCGAGACTCAGCCAAGGGAGGACATCAGGCGCTGTCGGGGTGACGAGTAGCTGGGGCTTGGCTGTGGCCTGTCAGTCCCTGGGGACCTCTAGCTCTGGCTTCGACCCCCTCCCTTGGCCCCTCGGGTGTGTTCCCCTCCTCCTCCCCTCCTCTCTGTCTTAGTATTCCTGGTTCTCCGTGTTTCCAGTCGTGAATTTTTGTATATTCTCCCCTTTTCTTTCTCTAGGCGCTCTTGCCTGGTTTTCGAGTATCTTCGCTCTCGCTCTTGGGATGTGAAGCGACAGCAGTACTCACCGCCCGTTGGAGTCCGCGTTAGGTGCTCGGCGGGTTTTGATCCGTGCAGCGCTCTTTGCGCGCAGGGGTTTGATTTTCACCCAACTGCTTGCCGTCGTTGCTTTATAACATCTTTTAGCTCTTTTTCTAGCGGTCCCAGCCAACCCGAAGGATTGCAATTTATGAGCCCCAGTAAAAATATAAAAAAACCTTCACTTTGACTTTCACTTTCACTTTCACTTTCAAAATCGCGCCACCCACCACCTTCGAAGCTACAAGTGATACATCAGCCTACATTAGCATGGAGACCGGCGAGACCGGCCCACCCCCACCATCGGCGTCCGCGGCGACGAGCGTCCCGATTGGGACAAAGGAGACGCAAGTCCCTATCGCCGCCGCGACCTACGCCACCGCCGCGATTCAAAAGACCAAGCAGACTCCCGAGCAGCAGACCCAACAACAACACCGTGCCAAGGCTTTGACCCAAATGTTCGAAGTCATGGGTGCTGTACCGGGCAATCACACCGACCGGTGGTTGCAAGCCACCTTCGCCACCGACGAGTACCCTGTCGCTACCGCTACATCGCTCAAGTATTCGGCTCTCAACGCCAATCAATCCATTTGAAACATCTTCGACTTTGCTCTCGACGTCACTTTGACCGTCCAAGGCACCTCAAAGGCCTCTCCCGCGGACAAGGCCGATCTGCTCGGTTGCGTCACGAGACTGGTCTCCCCGCAATCGCCCCTGTGCTTCGATGCCAAGGTCACCCTTCCCGAGCACCTTGCGGCGTTTGCGCCCCAGATTAGGGGTATCCAACACTCGTCTTTCGTCAGGGCCGGTGTGGTCAACCACTGTATCTCCGTGGGATTCGTTTCGGCGAAGGCACGTGACTCGGCGCTTACTTGGCACTCTGCAAAGGCTCACTTCGCAAAGGCCCACCACTTCTACCACAACATGGTCGAGCTGCGTATCAACGTCGGTGTCGCAGCGGTCCCATCCAGGGATGCCATTGTTGACTCTTTTAAATCAATTGTCACCAAAATCACAGCCAAGGGACACCGTTGCGAGCTGGTACAAGTCTTGCGCGTGATCCACGTCAATAACGACTCAGCCTATGCACACTTGGCCGGCGAGTTTTTGGCCTTTATCCGCTTCGACAACGACGCCCTTTTCAAAGCCCCTAACAACACGCTGAAGGAGCTCCTACCGTCGAAGGTCTCTCTAGCCACTAGAGGCAACATGCATACGGCGGTTCGTCACGACTACGAACGAGAAGCGGCCTGTGCTCGGTGCCACTTTGTGGGGCATGTGGAGACCTGCGCGCTGGAACAGGAGAGGAGGCAGAAGGAAGCGAACAACAACACCGGAAGGCACAACAAGTACCACAACAACCCAACCAACACCAACAACAACAACAACGACACCACCAACACCAACAACACCGACAACGACACTTCCGAGGTTGTGGCCCCTAGCCGCGCCCTCGGAACCGACCAACTCGAATCGCGGAACCGATTTGCGGGGCTCGAGGTCGAAGGAGGACAGAAGGATGACGTCGAGGAGGAGGATGCAGGAAAGGAGGGCGAGGAAAAGGAGACGAGGATTCGGACTCGGATGGGAACGCCGGAGCGGGCATCGACAAGGCGGGAGGCGACGACAAGGACAAACAGAACGACAGCTCGGAGGGAAGCGAACAAAGGGAGGACGAAGGAAACGATGGGGATGACGTGATGAAAGATGGAGCAGAGGAGGAGGACGAAGGGACGGAGACGGAGGTGGAAGAAGAGGTCGAGCAGGAACAAGGGGTACAGGACGACAGCATCATGATCATCGACGACGACCAAATGACGATCACCACGGTTTCCCGCGAGTCGACTCCTTGGAGTCCCTCGTGGCCTCCACTATCTCCTGAGACGTTGGCAAAGTTGCTGCGCGAGGGTGCGGAGTGGGATCGAGCTAACGCCGAAGCTGCTGCACGTGTCCAAGCAGAAAAGGAGGCGATCATCAACGCCCAACTCGACGCGGAGGAACCGCTCGTTCGCCACCAATTTGCAGAGTGTGGTCAGGAAGATGGACAACTACGATTCATCAACATTCGTGGCACCGGCTCCGGGTCGAACAAGAAGATGAAGAGGTCGCAAACGGTGGCCGATCTCAGCGATCCGAGCGACGACCCGGTCGATATCAAGCGCGTTCTGAACAGGGTCAAAGGTCGAGCAGGAAAGGAGGTAGCGGGTCAGGGGAAGAGGGTGACGAGGTCGATGTCGGCGGCGGCGGCGATGCAGGTCGAGGGGGCCAAGGCGAAAGCGGAGAAGGGTAAAGGGGTGGAGGAGGAGAAGCGCTGGTCCGACCACGAGCCCGAGGATGACATTCTCCCCGAATTCCCACTCTTTGAGGACGACACTACCGCCAAGAGCACGTCTACATCGTCTATCCAATAATGATCAAGCACACCATCACCAGCTGGAACGTGAGGAGGTGCATGGGGATCCCGGAAAAGCGACGCAACATTTACACCTATTTATCAACATTCAAAGCATCCGCCATTCTACTACAAGAACACTTCATCAAACCGGAACTCTGGCAATGTATCAAGGACGAGTACGAGGGCAAGGTCTTCATCAGCAAACACTGTCTGACTCTGATCCCCGCCGACTCGCCCCTGATCGATGCCGAGATTTTGCGCACCCACTCGGCACTCGACGGACGAATCCTGGTCACCTCCTTTCGACTTCGAGGCGACATCCGGATACTCGAGATCAACAACATTTACGCACCAGTCGATACAAAACAACGACTCACATTCTTTGACAAACTACATTTCCACAGGACGCAGAGCACCCACCTTCGACTCCTCGGCGGCGATCTCAACGACTGCCCGCTGCCGGCGATCGATCGGCGGAACCAAGGTCGGCACGGCCATCACTGGCCGATCCTGATCGGCAAGCTCGACTCGCCCTACACCGACTGCATACGATTCAAACACCCGCTCACACCATCTTTCACTCGACCCAACATTGTCCGCAAGCGACCAAAGTCCTTTTCACGACTTGACTACTTCCTTCTGCAGCGCACCCACCAAAAGCGACTCGTCCAAGCCTCGACGATCTACGACCACCCCAAGGACCTTTCGGATCACCAACCGGTCTCAATCATCCTAGTTCTCTCGGATGAGCGAGGAGACGCGGCTCAACCCAACAACAGTTTACCAACGACATCAAACCAATTACATCGTATCAACGCGGCGACCTTCAAGACGGCGGAGTTCCAGGGGATGTTGGAAGGATGGTTGGAAGGAGCGAGTGGGGAGGAACCGGTGGGGGAGCTCTGTGAGGAATCCACTCTCCGCTCGGCTCAGGACTTAGGCGCGCGGAGCGAACCGGGCGCGGACTTAGGCGCGCGGAGTGAGCCGGGCGCCCCGGCCCAGGACTTAGGCGCGCGAAGCGAGCCTGGGACTTAGGCGCGCGGAGCGAGCCTGGGCCATTGGCTCAGCCCCAGGCTCGCTGGCTGTGGACTTGGGGCGCGCGGGTCTCTTATTGTTAGCTTCCTATTCATCACTCTTGGCTATAACTACATCGCTGACGTAGTAGAGTTGATTGAATAGGTATGTTGAAATGCATTCATCACTCTTGGCTATAACTACATCGCTGACGTAGTAGAGTTGATTGAATAGGTTATAAGCCCACGAGCTACCAGCCCCGCCGCTTGAGGCTTTTTCGCTCGAGCCCAGCCACTCGAGCCGCACACGTCCATCGCACCATCACATCATGGACAGCTCTCCCGCCTCGCCTTTGGCCCCCAGGGATCCCAGCTCCCCTGAATCTTCGATCGGCGAACAAATCGCCACTCTACAGGCCCAGCTTGCCGCTCTGCAGGCCTCGCAACCCGCCGTCGCCGCAGCCGCCGCACCCCCGGCCGTCACCGTCGTGCCGGGGAACGCCGCCACCGCATCCAAGGTCGTGTTTCCCAAGCACGCTCGTCTGGACGGCCCCAAGTCGTTCACCAACTGGTTGCGTCAACTCCGTCTTGCACTCCCGAACCAGGTTCGTGGTTACGTTCTCGACGGTGTCGTTCCCCCGACCTGGACCGCCGACCAGCTTGCCGCACGTGACGACGCCGCCCGGGAAATCATCGTTGGCTCTATCGACTCCGCCGACGTATCGGCCACCCTCGACGCCATCCCCAGCGACGACCTGTCGGCACCGCGCATCTTTGCCGCTCTCAAGGCTCGTTTTGCACCGGACGACGCTACACGCACTCTCGAGTTGTTCGCTCGCCTTTGGGACTTCAGGAAGATGCCTGCCTCCGTCGAGGCCTACGACACTTGGCTACGCGAGTACATGTCGATTGCTCAAGAAATACGCGACGCCAAAACATCGCTCAACGACGTGCTCGCCACCCACGTGCTCGCCATGGTCCCGTCTTGCCTCGACAGCTTCCGACTCACGTTCACGGACGAGCAGCGAAACCGACGCGACCTTCCCGAACTCACGACGCTTACGGACCGCATTCGCATCCAGCTTCGTTCGGCAGGACTCTCGACCTCGCATTCGGCCATGCTTGCCACCAGCTCCCCCTGCCCCGCCTGCCGCGCTCCCGGTCACCGCCTGCGCGACTGCACTTCACGTGCGAAGCACCCGCCCACCGGCCCCTGCCGCCGATGCCACAAGAAAGGTCACTGGGCACTCGACTGCAAGAACCGGGGTGAACAGGCACGTAGCAGCGACGACACCCAGGACGACACGTCTTCCTCCGCGGCCTCGCAACCGAACGTCGGCTATTTCGCCTCCTGCCTCTTCGCTCGTCGCCAACTCCCAACTGACGCCTTTGTAGTCGATTCGGGTGCCACGACACACATGGTCGCCGACCGATCTCTATTCACGACTTATCGTCAGACGGCACACACCAAGATCGGCGGCATCGCGGGCGGCATCACGGCTATCGGCATGGGGGACGTGGCATTCGTCGCCAAGACTGGACACCCGATCACGCTCCGTGGTGTTCTTCACACGCCTGGCCTACACGTCAACCTCCTCTCTGTCTCTCGCCTCTGCGACACCGACCGCGTTCGTCTCGCCTTCACCAGCGACGGCATCGACATCGCCAAGGACGGCCGGGCCATTGCTCACGGTACCAGGGTCAACGACGGTCTTTACCTTTTGGACGCGGATCACACCAAGTGTCAGCATCTTGCCTTCCTCTCACGCTCTGAGTCTCCCGTGCCCCTGCTTACCCTACACCGCTGCCTCGGCCATCTTGCCCCATCCTCTATACAGAAGATGATTGCTGCAGGTTTGCTGGACGGGTTTGGGGCCGGGTACAGTGACAAAGACGTAGAGGAGTTTGTTTGCAATGCTTGCCTTGGTTCCAAAGGTCACCGCCTTCCCTTTCCCGACTCTGAGTCGCATTCCGCCGAGAGACTTGGCCTCGTGCACAGCGACATCCTGTCGTTCCCCACTCCGTCCTTGACCGGGAAGCGCTACCTTGTCACGTTTCTAGACGACCACTCTCGCAAACTCTGGGCATATGCAATCGATCACAAAAGCGATGTTTTCCCGACCTTCCAGACTTGGCTCGCCGAAGTGGAGTTAGAGACGAACGCGCGGTTGAGAATCCTTCGAACCGACAATGGCGGGGAGTACCGATCAAACGCATTCACGGAGTTCTGCAAATCCAAGGGCATTCGTCGTCAATACTCTATCCCTTACACGCCTCAACAAAACGGTCGCGCCGAACGTGTCAACCTCTCCATCGTCGAGGGCGTCCTCGCTCTCCTTGCGGACGCCCGTCTGCCGGCCACCTTTTGGGATGAAGCGGCTGCGTATTTCGTTTATTGCAAAAACAGGTGCTCACACTCAGCTTTGGCCAAACAGACTCCAGAATCCGTTTGGAACGGCCAACGCACCACCGCCACCGCCCTCCACCCGTTCGGCTGCACAGCCTGGCTCACGGTCGCCCCGGACCTTCGCAGCAAGCTCGACCCCAAGGCCGCGCGCGTGATCTTCACAGGTTACGACCTCGCCTCCAAAGCTTTCCGTTTCTTTGACCATTCCATCAACAAGATTGTACTTGGTCGTGTTGAACTTCGCTCCATCTCACTTCTAGGACAATATGCGCTCACTGAAGTAGAGGTGCCTCGCCTTTTGGTGCAGTGGTATATTGTTCCTTCATAGGTTATGAGCCCAGAGCAACCAGCAGGTCATGAGTTCAATCCCCCCTGGGGTCAGGCAATTTTGCGCGCATACACTCAGCGTCCCGGCCCCCGCACTTGCCCAGCGGCGTGCCAAGCACCCTGGCGCATCGACAGTGCTCACAGTGCCCAAGCTGCACTTGCCCAAGCGACCTGATCAACATGCCCAGTTGCCTCACAGCCGCACCCACTGCCACAAGCTCTTCAGCTTCGCGCACAGGGGGGTGTTGAACTTCGCTCCATCTCACTTCTAGGACAATATGCGCTCACTGAAGTAGAGGTGCCTCGCCTTTTGGTGCAGTGGTATATTGTTCCTTCATAGGTCGCAATGCCACCTTCCTCGACGACGACTTCCCCGGCCTGCCAGTCACCACGCCCGTCGATGCAGACGACACCGACCGTCAGTTCGTCGTTCCCGCCGACACGCCCGCCCCTGCCGTCAAGACGAGGACCCCACTAGTAAGGTCGGCGCACATGGACGTCTCATCCTCCCTTGATGATTCTGCCATGAGCGCCGTTGACGTGGCCCCAGGGTACACTGGCGGAACCTTACTTAATTCCACAGATACCGAATCGTCCTCGTCACCGTCTCCTGAGCCGTCCTCGTCACCGTCGCCCACAAACCCTTTGTCACCGTCGCCTGCGCTGTCACCGTCGTTGGCAGCGTCATCGTCACCCTCGGTCTCACCGACCGACTCTGACTACTCCGCCGACCCTCTGGACCTCATCGGCTCACAGACCCCGACTCGCCTTGGCCCACCGGACGTGCACCGCCCAGACTTCAGCACGTACCGTGAGCCCGCATCGGCTGAGGAGTCGCCCGACGAACTCGACATCATTGGGCGTCACTCGCGCGATGAATCGCCGGATGAAATCGATTTCCTCACCCAACACCACCGCGCCTTCATCGCCACAGACGACGACGACCCCACCCTCGACGCCATCGAGCCCGTCAAATCGATCACTAGCGACCCCCAGACCTGGCGCGAAGCAATGTCCAGCGACGAGCACAACATCTGGGCTGAGGCCGCCGCCGCCGAGTTCACCGCCATGCGCGACGACTTCAAGGTGTTCACCATCGAGCCTCGCTCATCTGTGTGAAGAGTCCACTCTCAGCTCGACAGGGGCGCCTCGGTCGTTGCGCGCGCCTGCTAGCCTGGCCCCTGTGGTGGGGACTTAGGCGCGCGCGAGTGCCTCAGCGCGCCGGCGCCGGCGGTTTTCGGGCGCGCGCCGCTAGCCCGCCCTTGCAGTGGGGACTTAGCCGCGCGCGACTGCCTCAGCGCTCCAGCGATTTCGCCCGCGCCTGGGCATATCCCAGCGCGGGCCACCTTTCCATTTCTTAGCTTCCTTCTCATCACTTCTGTTCGACTCTCGACTTCTCCTGACAGTAGTGGTGATCATCTCATAGGTACGCTGAAATAGATCACTTCTGTTCGACTCTCGACTTCTCCTGACAGTAGTGGTGATCATCTCATAGGTTATAAGCCCATCGAGCTACCGCTGGCATGGACACGTCGTCAACCCTCGCGACGAGCGCCACCCCGACAATTCCCGCCGAACAGCTTGCCGCACTTACATCGCTGCTGTCGGGACTCACCGCTGCCGCTTCCGGCACTACCGCACCCGCCACGACATCCGGCTCCAATCGCAATGCCTTCCCGAAGCATGCGCGGTTGGACGGGCCGAAGACGTTCGCGAACTGGACACGCCAGCTTCGCCTGTGCCTAGCGGACGACATCCGCTCCTACGTCCTCGACGGAATCACCCCCGACGATTGGACGCCTTCGCAACGCTCCGCCCGCGACGTCGTGGCACGCGAGATCCTTGCAAACTCAATCGACTCGGCCGAAGTCTCGGCAGTCCTCGACAAGATCCCTACGGCCGACCTCACAGCGCCCAAGATTTACTCGACGCTGAAATCGCGATACGCCCCTGATGACGCCACTCGCACGCTCGAGCTCTTCTCGCGACTCTGGGGCTTCCGACCCATGCCCGGAACGGTTGGCGAATTTGACAGTTGGATCATGGACTTCAAGTCGGTCGCGCAAGAGATCATCGATACGAAAACGACGATCAACGACGTCCTTGCCACACTCCTCCTCGCGATCGCCCACCCGTCACTCGAGAGCTTCAAGGCAACGTTCACCGACGAACAACGCACGCAACGAACTCTCCCTGACATCGATTCAGTGGCCGACCGTATGCGAGTTCAACTCCGGTCAACGAACCTCTCCAACGATCAATCGGCCCTCCTTGCCTCGTCGTCGCCACGTTCTGTTGAACTTCGCTCCATCTCACTTCTAGGACAATATGCGCTCACTGAAGAAGAGGTGCCTCGCCTTTTGGTGCAGTGGTATATTGTTCCTTCATAGGTTATGAGCCCAGAGCAACCAGCAGGTCATGAGTTCAATCCCCCCTGGGGTCAGGCAATTTTGCGCGCATACACTCAGCGTCCCGGCCCCCGCACTTGCCCAGCAGCGTGCCAAGCACCCTGGCGCATCGACAGTGCTCACAGTGCCCAAGCTGCACTTGCCCAAGCGACCTGATCAACATGCCCAGTTGCCTCACAGCCGCACCCACTGCCACAAGCTCTTCAGCTTCGCGCACAGGGGGGTGTTGAACTTCGCTCCATCTCACTTCTAGGACAATATGCGCTCACTGAAGCAGAGGTGCCTCGCCTTTTGGTGCAGTGGTATATTGTTCCTTCATAGGTTATGAGCCCAGAGCAACCAGCAGGTCATGAGTTCAATCCCCCCTGGGGTCAGGCAATTTTGCGCGCATACACTCAGCGTCCCGGCCCCCGCACTTGCCCAGCGGCGTGCCAAGCACCCTGGCGCATCGACAGTGCTCACAGTGCCCAAGCTGCACTTGCCCAAGCGACCTGATCAACATGCCCAGTTGCCTCACAGCCGCACCCACTGCCACAAGCTCTTCAGCTTCGCGCACAGGGGGGTGTAGCTCGATGGGTCGACCGCGCTACTAAGTGGCAGCAATCGCACTTGTGGAAGGACCGCTCCACCTGGTTTTCCCCGGCGCCCAGCGGGGTACCCACCAGCATGGCTTGCTTCAACTGCGGACGAGGCGGTCATTTCTCGCAGCACTGCACCGCGGAGCGTCAATCCCCGGTCGCCGTCCAACTCTCAGCGGTCGCTGTGGCCGACTTGGATGACGAAGATTGGTCCTCGGTCGCAGGTGGTGACGAGGATCCCGAGGTGAGAGTCCCCATTTCACTCGAGCGTGTTCAGACTCGACCTTTGAGTTCCGTTTCCGCTTCAATGACGCGCCCTTCTTGCCCTCCCGCAGACCCCGTTGGCCGAATGAAAGAAGGGGCTTCTTCTTCAGTCGACGTCGAAGTCTCATCAAGTAATCCGCAGCCAACCGCGCCGGCAAGTGATGCAGATCTACGTCGTCTTGCCGATGACTCGACCGACTCTGCGTTTGACGCGGTGGAAGACGTCCCCTCTTATGCTGATGCCGCGTCGCGAATGCGGCGATACTGGGGGCCGGAGGTGGTGTCGTCGCGCAAAGCGGAGAGGACTGCATCGGTGAGCTCTGTTCGTGTTCCGGTGCCGTTGGGGGTTTCTCTCTTGGAGTCCGACACGCCCCTGATCGACGTCGACGACTTCGCCCGACCCGCCGAGCCCGCGATTGTGCGCGCCCGCAATATTATTGCGTGGACGTTGCCGTCTGGGCGAACGCTGCGTTGCCTCGTCGACTCTGGTTCGGAAGTGGACTTGGTGGATCAGGATGTCGTGCGAACAGACCCGAGTTTCACGACGTCCCGCCTTACCGCGCCGCTGCACTTGCGCCTCGGCACTCGCGACAAATCTGACCGCTGCGCCGTGTTTGCCAACGCCCTCTTCACGTCCGGTTCCCTCGACCTCGGCTTGCGGGCGTTTTTCATTTGCCGTGTGACGGCATATGATGCTATCCTGGGTTTGCCGTTTCTGAAGGACACCGGCATGCTGGTAGGCTGGGGCGTCTTCACCGTCGCACGGCCGGGCCCTTCGCAGCCGGTCGCCAAGGGCACTCACGAGTGGGATCGCGCAGTCACGGTGGCGCCCATCTGCTCCGGCTCTGCCATTGGCTACGATCACCCAGGGTTGCTTCCTGACGACGAGATCATTGGCCTCGAGCCGCACAACCCTCTACTGGATGTCGTCGACGACCCGGCGCTCGAGGATTTGTCTGAGTCCGAAGCACGAACACGATTGGCTGCCTTACTCGAGAAATACTCTGATGTGTTCGTAGATTCGCTCCCAATGGACCGACTCCCGCCTTATCGACCCGTCAATCACGAAATCCCTTTGATCGACCCCAACGAGAAGGTCAAGCCGAGGGTCTATCCCCTTGCCGACAAATATCGTAGCCAGTGGGCGGAGCATTCAGCTAAGTACACTCGCGGTCGCTTCTGGGTTTCTGGTCCGATCGACTCTGCGGCTCCGGTCTTCGCCATTCCGAAAAAGAACTCCCAGACCGCTCGCTTTGTGATCGACCTCCGCGCTCGCAACAGCAACACCGCCAAGCGTTTTTCACCTATCCCCGACATGACCAGTGTTCGCTACGAAGTGGCACGTTCGCGCTACCGGTCCAAATTCGACGTGGCCGCAGCGTTTGAGCAGGTGCGGGTCATACCCGAGCACGTCGATCGCACCGGCTTCGCCACGGTCACGGGCACGTACACGTCGCGGGTGATGCAGTTTGGGGACACCAATGCGCCCAACACCCTGAACTTGTTGACATCGGCGATGTTTCAGCCGTGCCTCTCGTTTGCCAAGATCTTTTTCGACGATGTTCACGTCCATTCCGATACTCGTCGCGCGCACTTAAGACACATCGAGATTTTGCTGATGACACTGCGACATTATCGGTTCTACTTAGGATCCAACAAATCCGAGTGGTTCTCAAAGTCGTTAGATTCCTTGGGCGCGATCATCTCCGACGACGGCATCGAGGTCGACCCGGCCAAGTGGGAGCGTATCCGACAGTGGCCGACTCCACACAACAAGACCGACGTTCAGCGTTTCCTCGGCACCGTGAATTGGATGCGAGATCACCTGCCCCACCTCTCGATCACCTTGGAGCCCATCACCGCATTATTAGCGCAATCGACGTCGTGGCGTTGGAACGAGCGCGAGCAGCAGGCCTTCGACACCGTCAAGTCCCTCGTGCCAGCAACACTGCGACCGATCGACGGCGCTAAGGTCACCTCCGGCGAGCACAAAATCTACTTGTTCACCGATGCCAGTCGTGTTGGCATTGGCGCTTGCCTGGCCTCGGGCCCCACTCGTTCGCAGGCCATTCCTACGCGATTCTTCTCCGCTAAGTTCAATGGCGCTCAGCTCAATTATCACGTCACTGATAAGGAGTTCTTAGCCGTCGTTTCGGCGTGTCGGGCGTTCGAGCAGCACTTGATCGGTTACCCCTTCGTCATCGTCACCGACCACCAAGCCCTTCGCACGATTAAAACGCAGAAGTTACGCCAAACACCCCGGCACATCCGCATGTGTCTCGAACTCAGCCGTTTCGACTTCGAATTCGAATTCATTGCGGGCAAGAACAACTCCCTTGCCGATTCGTTGTCACGCTTGTGGGAAGTCAAGGAGGGATCGCCCGAGGATCAGGTCAAGGAGAATGAGTTGGAGGATATGTTCTTTGATGGAGAACGCCACGGATTCACTACACACGGTGAGAGCCTCCCTGAGGAACGTCCTTACACCTCACCATCTCCCGATCGGTTGCCTCCTGTTGATTTTGCCTTCGGGCCCCAACGCGACGATTGCGAGGCAGGCTCTCCCGGATACTACGCGCTCAAGGACGAATCGCAAGACGAGGACGTGAATGGACGGGATTTAGGGAATTTGTTCTTGAAGGAAGAATGCCACGAGTTCACTACACCTGGTGAGAGCCTCCCTGAGGAACGTCCTTACACCTCACCTTCGCACGATCGGTTGCCCCCTGTTGATTGTGCCTTCGGGCCCTGGGATCACGGCTACGACGCAGGCTCTCCCGGTTCCCATCGTCTGGCCGAGAACATTATGGACGCCGTCGACTCTTCTACCGGTCCCCTTTCTCCTCCCATCGCCGTCAATCGAGTTCATGCTATCGCCGCGGCCCCCGCCAACGACGCGCCCATTCCAGTCGATGCCGACGCCGATGAACTCGACTTACTGGGAGCCGCCGCCGATGAGGTCAACGACGCCCCTGTAGTCCATCGACCGCCCGACCCGCTGCCGCAACCTTTCCTCGACGCCGTCATCCGAGCCTACGCCCACGATTCGCAAGCCCAAGTCATTGTTGACGACCCGCTGTCATGGCCGATGTTTCGGGTGACCGAGGAAGGGAGGATCTTGCGTGTACATCCAGATGAGTCTCTTTCCCTGTTTGTGCCTCGCGGTCTCGCTACCGGCGTTGTCGACTCCGACAAGCTCCCATCGCTGCGCGAGCTCGTGCTTTCGGAGATCCATCGGAGCGTCGGGCACGCGGGACATCGCATCACCTTGGCCGCCATACGTCCTTTGTATTGGTGGTCGTCCATGTCTGCCGATTGCGCCAAGTTCTGCCATTCATGCGAAGATTGTGCCCGAGGCAAAGCGTCCACTCAAGTCCCTTATGGCCGACTGCATCCGATGCCGATCCCTTCTGGCCCATGGGAACAAGTGGCCATCGACTTCATGACGGGACTGCCTCCGGTCGAGTTCGAAGGGATGATGGTCGCTCAAATCATGGTGGTCACTGACACTTGGGGCAAGATGGTCCACCTGATTCCCCTCCCAGCCGACGCCGACTCCGAGCTCGTTGCCGACAGGTACTACGCCACCATCTTTCGACTGCATGGGACGCCTTCCGCCATCGTTTCCGATCGCGATCCCAAGTTCACCTCGCAGTTTTGGCGAGCATTGCAGGCGAAGGTCGGCACCGTCTTGCGGATGTCAACAGCGGCGCACCCAGAGACCGACGGATCGAGTGAGAACCGAATCAAGATGGTCACCCAAACCCTGCGCATCATGGTGTCGTCAAACCACGAGGCTTGGGCATCTCGTCTTGTTGAAGCTGAGTTCGCTCTTAACTCTTCCGTTGCTGTTTCCACGTCTCTGTCGGCTTTCGAGGCGACTTACGGTTACCTTCCTCGACGCTGGCCCACCGATTCCTGGTCTGTCTCGGACGTCCCGCGTGCGGAAGCGTTTGCCCGAAGGCCAACAAGCATCGACGCCCGGATGATCCCGCCTTTCGGACCGGCAGTTATGTCTATCTTTCGACCAAGAACCTGGCAGTTCCTGAAGGGATGAAGTCGAAGTTGTTGCCGCGCTACATTGGTCCTTTCCGTATCCGAGCGGCCATTCCAGCGACGTCCAGTTACGACCTCAAGCTTCCCCCAGCAATGTCGCGAGTGCACAGTCGCTTCCATGCTCGACTGCTTCGCCCCTATGTTGAGAACGATGCTGAGAGGTTCCCTGGGCGTGACCCCGCAGTTCTTTTTGTTGAAGATGTAGCCGACGCGGCCGACAACTCCGCCATTCCGGAACGGATTGTTCGCGATCGTCGGAACGCTCGGGGCAATCGTTCGTTCTTGGTTCGATGGATTGGCCGTAAGGACATCGATGACACTTGGATGTCAGAGCAGTCCCTCCGCTTCGACCATCCATCCCTACTCGACGCCTACCTGGCACAACTCGATCGCTCAAATCGCCGCCTGTCCTCCCGGTAGACTTCCTTCTGGGGGGACAATGTCAGGCAAACAGCGATACACTGACAGCAACACTCGAAGGAAGTCCCTGAGGTAATGTGCAGGTAGAGTTGAGGTCACCAAATGCTTCCCTCCATTCAAGCATTGTGGGCGTGATGGCGTAGTCGTTCGGCGCGCGGGCGCGCACTTAATGGTCGCGGGTTCAAGGCGCGCAGAGCGCAATCTTCTCTCGGTTTTTGTTCTTTTTGTTAGCTGAGGCGCGGCCTCAGGGTTTTTACCGGTGCTCCCGCGAGCAATCCTTTTTCCCCCTGAGGCGACCTCTTGGAGTAGCTGAATTGGCTAAGTCCCCTCTGCGCCTGAGTGCCTCCCTTTTGTTTTTAGCACCTTCCCACTCAGCCTGGTCCGCTACATCTCCCAAGATCCCTTCACCTTCATCCTTCGTTTTCGATCTCGTTGGCAATAAAGTCCGATATACTTGACTTGCTGCGAGCCTCACAACCGCGTCCCCTCCTCGGTTGTCCCTCGGTCGCCTGCCCCCGCCCAGTCGACCTTCCTTCGGCCTGATCCCCTCCTCCACGTGTAGTCAACGTCTTCTGAAGAGGACGTTGCCTGCCACTTTTTTGAGCGAAGTTCAACACCCCCCTGTGCGCGAAGCTGAAGAGCTTGTGGCAGTGGGTGCGGCTGTGAGGCAACTGGGCATGTTGATCAGGTCGCTTGGGCAAGTGCAGCTTGGGCACTGTGAGCACTGTCGATGCGCCAGGGTGCTTGGCACGCCGCTGGGCAAGTGCGGGGGCCGGGACGCTGAGTGTATGCGCGCAAAATTGCCTGACCCCAGGGGGGATTGAACTCATGACCTGCTGGTTGCTCTGGGCTCATAACCTATGAAGGAACAATATACCACTGCACCAAAAGGCGAGGCACCTCTGCTTCAGTGAGCGCATATTGTCCTAGAAGTGAGATGGAGCGAAGTTCAACACCCCCCTGTGCGCGAAGCTGAAGAGCTTGTGGCAGTGGGTGCGGCTGTGAGGCAACTGGGCATGTTGATCAGGTCGCTTGGGCAAGTGCAGCTTGGGCACTGTGAGCACTGTCGATGCGCCAGGGTGCTTGGCACGCCGCTGGGCAAGTGCGGGGGCCGGGACGCTGAGTGTATGCGCGCAAAATTGCCTGACCCCAGGGGGGATTGAACTCATGACCTGCTGGTTGCTCTGGGCTCATAACCTATGAAGGAACAATATACCACTGCACCAAAAGGCGAGGCACCTCTGCTTCAGTGAGCGCATATTGTCCTAGAAGTGAGATGGAGCGAAGTTCAACACGTTCTACCCGTACCAAGTGCCTCGCCTGTCGCAGCCCTTCTCACCGCGTCGCACAATGCCCTACAAGGGCCCAGCATCCACCGCCAGGCCCGTGTCGCTCCTGCAAGAAGAAGGACCACTGGTCTTTCGACTGCAAAAAGGCTCTTGAGGACGGGAAAACGCCCGACACCTCTGATGCGCAACACCATGTCGGATGTCTCGCCACCGGTCTTCTCGCACATCGTCGTCAGCTTCGCAACAACTCCTTCGTCGTCGACTCGGGTGCCACTTCGCACATGGTCTCGGACAAGTCGCTGTTCACGGCCTATCGCCACATCGCTCCTACGAAGATTGGTGGTATTGCAGGGGGCATCAACGCCGTCGGAACGGGAAACATCGCCTTTGTTGCCGCCTCCGGTCACCCGATCACGCTTACCGGCGTGCTGCACACCCCGGGCCTGTCTGTCAACCTCCTCTCGGTCTCTCGACTTTGCGACACCGACGATGTCCGTGTCGCCTTCACGAAGCACGGCATCCATATCGACAAGAACGGCAATGCTATCGCTGAAGGCGCAAGACTCGAGGAAGGGCTCTACTTGCTGGACGCTGATCATTCCAAATGTCAGCATCTCGCTCTCCTCTCTCGCTCACAGTCTTCCGTGCCCCTGCTGACCCTTCACCGCTGCCTCGGCCATCTCGCACCGTCGTCCATACAGAAGATGGTTGCCGCTGGTTTGCTGGAAGGTCTCGGGGCCGGATATAGTGACGAAGAGGTAGAGAAGTTTGTCTGCAATGCTTGCCTCAGTGCAAAGGGCCATCGTCTTCCTTTTTCCCGATTCGGACTCGCACTCCTCAGAGAGACTCGGCCTCGTACACAGCGATGTGCTTTCCTTTCCCGAGTCGTCCTTGACTGGCAAGCGTTACCTGGTCACGTTTCTTGACGACTTCTCGCGCAAACTGTGGGCATACGCGATCGGACACAAAAGCGAAGTCTTTGGCGTGTTCAAGACATGGCTTGCCGAGGTCGAACTCGAGACGGATGCAAAACTGAAGGTCCTCCGAACCGACAATGGTGGCGAATACTGTTCGAGAGCGTTCACGGAATTCTGTAAGGCACGCGGCACACGTCGACAATACTCTATCCCTCGAACGCCTCAACAGAACGGTCGTGCCGAACGAGTCAATCGTTCTATCGTCGAAGGTGTCCTTGCCCTCCTTGCAGACGCCCACTTACCCAAATCATTCTGGGAGGAGGCAGCAGCTTATTTCGTCTACTGCAAGAACCTGTGCGAACACTCGGCCCTGGACAAGGCAACACCGAACTTCGCCTGGCAGGGCGACCGCACCAACGCCTCGGCGCTTCACCCGTTCGGCTGCACGGCTTGGCTCACAGTCGCGCCTGAACTTCGCTCGAAACTCGACCCGAAAGCGGTTCGCGTTCTCTTCACCGGCTATGACCTGGCTTCTAAAGCCTTCCGTTTCTACGACACGACGACCAAGAAGATCAGTTTGGGCAGAAATGCCAGGTTCCTCGACAACGAATTTCCCGGGTTACGTAGCGACTCCACCGAGCAAGACGCCGACACGCACTTCGCCAGCGCTTGCCCGACCACCGAATCCCAAGCCGTTGTCAAGACATGGACCCCACTAGTAAGGTCGGCGCACATGGACGTCTCATCCTCTCTTGATGACTCTGCCATGAGCGCCGTTGACGTGGCCCCAGGGTACACTGGCGGAACCTTACTTAATTCCACAGATGCCGAATCGTCCTCGTCACCGTCTCCTGAGCCGTCCTCGTCACCGTCGCCCGCAACTCCCTTGTCACCGTCGCCTGCGCTGTCACCGTCGTTGGCTGCGTCATCGTCACCCTCGGCCTTACCGACCGACTCTGACTACTCCGCCGACCCTCTGGACCTCATCGGCTCACAGACCCCGACTCGCCTCGGCCCACCGGACGTGCACCGCCCAGACTTCAGCACGTACCGTGAGCCCGCATCGGCTGAGGAGTCGCCCGACGAACTCGACATCATTGGGCGCCACTCGCGCGATGAATCGCCGGACGAAATCGATTTCCTCACCCAACACCACCGCGCCTTCATCGCCACCGACGACGACAACTCTGACACAGAAGCCATTCAACCAGTCAAGTCCATCACCAGCGACCCACAGACATGGCGCGAGGCAATGTCGAGTGACAAGCGCGAAGTGTGGGCCAAGGCCGCTACCGACGAGTTCAATTCCATGCGCGACGACTTCAAGGTCTTCACCATCGAGGACCGATCCACGGTACCAGCGGGTGCGACCATCGTCACATCCAAGTTCGTCTGGAAAACGAAACGGAATGCACTCGGCGAAGTCACCGGCCACAAGGCACGGCTCGTGGCGCAGGGAAATCGGCAACGCGACGGCATCGACTTCAACGAAACCTTCGCACCAGTCGCACGCTTCTCCTCGATACGCTCACTCCTCGCGCTGGCGGCCGCCAACGGCTTGCACGTGCACCAGGCGGACATCGACAAAGCCTATCTGCATGGCGACCTTGACCATGACATCTGGATGACGACACCGCGCGGCTTCGACCTTCCCACCGACAAGGTGCTTCGTCTGCGACGCTCCATCTACGGACTCAAACAGGCTGGCCGAATCTGGAATCGACACATCGACGCATCGCTTCGAGATCTCGGCTATACGGCGACGGGCACCGACCACTGCGTGTACTCTCGGATCGACGATCGGCGACGCCCACACTACATCGCGCTGTACGTCGACGACCTCCTGATGATCAGCCCCGACTTGGCCGAAATTGAACGTGTCATCTCGGGCCTCGAACAACGCTACGGCGTCAAGCGCCTCGGCCCGGCAGAGTACATCCTCGGCATCCAGATCAGGCGACTCGAAGACGGTTCTATTGCCCTGTCCCAGGAACGGTACATCATGGACGTGCTTGCTCGGTTCCACTTCGACACCACGACTCGCGGCACTACAGTCCCGATGACCCCCGGCCTTTCGCTCACCGCCATCCCGGGTCAAGGCACCGAACGGATCAGGTCATGGTATCTGCAGGCTATCGGCTCGCTCCTCTACATTTCGCTCGGCACCCGCCCCGACATCGCCTTCGCCGTGTCCTACCTGGCCCGCTTCGCCAACAACCCTGGACGTCGTCACTGGATCGCGGTCAAGCACATCCTCCGCTATCTCCGGGCCACATATCGCGACGAACTGGTTTATGCTTGCGGCGAGACACGCATCACGGGCGTGGTTGGCTACTCCGACGCGAACTGGGGGGCCTGCGTCGATACGTCGGTGTCCACTATGGGCTACGTCTTCTACATTGCCGGATCCGCCGTGTCTTGGTCGTCCAAGCGTCAATCTCGAGTTGCCGATTCTACCACCGACGCTGAATACCTCGCCCTCTCGCATGCTGGCAAGGAAGGGATCTACCTCAGTCAGCTGCTCGAGGAGCTCCATGTCCAACCTGTTGCACCGGCTCACATTTTTACTGACAATGAAGCCGCTGCCGCAGTTGCCCACGACCCTGTCCGCGTCTCCGGCACTCGACACATACGCTTGCGCGAGCACTTTGTTCGGGACATGGTGAATCGGGGCGATATCTCACTCTCGCATGTGGGAACCAGCAACATGGTGGCCGACATCTTCACAAAGGCTCTTGGCCCAAAGATTTTCTCGACACACTGCTACGCACTAGGCCTTCGCACTCGACACCCACGGCTTGGATCTGCCTCGCATTCGCGTGGGGGGGGTGTGAAGAGTCCACTCTCAGCTCGACAGGGGCGCCTCGGTCGTTGCGCGCGCCTGCTAGCCTGGCCCCTGTGGTGGGGACTTAGGCGCGCGCGAGTGCCTCAGCGCGCCGGCGCCGGCGGTTTTCGGGCGCGCGCCGCTAGCCCGCCCTTGCAGTGGGGACTTAGCCGCGCGCGACTGCCTCAGCGCTCCAGCGATTTCGCCCGCGCCTGGGCATATCCCAGCGCGGGCCACCTTTCCATTTCTTAGCTTCCTTCTCATCACTTCTGTTCGACTCTCGACTTCTCCTGACAGTAGTGGTGATCATCTCATAGGTACGCTGAAATAGATCACTTCTGTTCGACTCTCGACTTCTCCTGACAGTAGTGGTGATCATCTCATAATCTGTACCGCCGGGCGCCACCATCGTCACCTCCAAATTCGTCTGGAAGACCAAGCGCAACGCAAGCGGTGAAGTCACGGGGCGGAAGGCACGTCTTGTAGCGCAGGGTAACCGACAGCGCGACGGCATCGACTTCTCAGAAACCTTCGCACCCGTCGCCCGTTTCTCCTCCATTCGCTGCCTCCTGGCTCTTGCCGCTGCCAATGGCTACCACGTTCATCAGGCCGACATCGACAAGGCTTACCTCCACGGCGAGCTCGATCATGATATCTGGATGACGACACCACGCGGTTTCGACTTCCCGAGCGATAAGGTTCTCCGGCTGCGACGCTCAATCTACGGTCTCAAGCAGGCCGGTCGCATCTGGAATCGTCACATTGACACATCACTCAGGAATCTGGGGTACAAGGCAACAGGCACTGATCACTGCATTTACTCTCGCATTGACGATCAGCAGCGGCCTCACTATATCGCCTTGTATGTCGACGACCTCCTCATTGTCAGTCCAGCCCTCGACGAGATCGAACGTGTCATCTCCGGCCTTGAACAGCGGTACGGCGTCAAACGACTCGGCCCCGCGGAGTACATCCTCGGAATCCAAATACGCCGCCTGGACGACGGTTCCATTGCTCTATCCCAGGAGCGCTACATCATGGACGTGCTGGCCCGTTTCCACTTCGACACCACGACACGCGGCACTACGGTGCCGATGACGCCCGGCCTCTCGCTCACGGCAATTCCGGGTCAGGGAACGGAGCGCATTCGTTCGTGGTACCTACAGGCCATCGGCTCCCTCCTCTACATCTCCCTTGGCACTCGACCCGACATTGCCTTCGCCGTCTCGTACCTGTCCCGGTTCGCCAACAACCCCGGCCGCCGCCATTGGATTGCCGTCAAACACGTCCTTCGCTACCTTCGCGCCACGTACCGCGATGAGCTTCTCTATGCCCGCGGCCCAGCAAAAGTCACGGGTGTGGTTGGTTATTCTGATGCGAACTGGGGCGCCTGCGTCGACACATCCATTTCAACGATGGGCTACGTATTTTACTTGGCAGGCGCCGCTGTCTCTTGGTCGTCGAAGCGTCAGACTCGGGTAGCGGATTCCACCACTGATGCCGAGTACCTGGCCTTGTCGCACGCGGGTAAGGAAGCGATCTACCTTAACCAACTCCTCTCCGAGCTCCACGTTTGCCCAATCGCTGCAGCTCACATCTTCACCGACAACGAGGCCGCGGCCGCCGTCGCTCACGACCCCGTTCGCACCTCCGGTGACAGGCAACGTCGGAGGGGATGACGATGACTACACGCGAGAGACGAGGGAGAGAGCGAGAGAGCGCGCGAAAGCGCGAAGGAGCGAAAGGGGTGTCGACCGAGGCGGCGGCAGTCGACCGAGAGGCAACCGCGGAGGATACGCGGCTGCAAGGCTCGCAGCAAGTCCAGTGTACCGAACTATGGTAGCCAACGAGGTCGGACAGAAGAGGGAGGGCAAACGATCCAAGAAATAGCTGACCAGGCCGGTGGGAAGGTCGAGTCGGCTGGGCGGCGGAAGTCGACCGAGAGGCAACCGCGGAGGATACGCGGCTGCAAGGCTCGCAGCAAGTCCAGTGTACCGGACTATGGTGGCCAACGAGGTCGGACAAAAGAGGAAGGGCAAACGATCCAAGAAATAGCTGACCAGGCCGATGGGAAGGTCGAGTCGGCTGGGCGGCGGCAGTCGACCGAGAGCAACCGAGGAGTGGATTCGGTCGGAAGGCTTCGCAGCAAATCAAGTGTAACGGACTTAATTGCCAGCGAAATGGGTAAAAAGAGGGAGGGTACGAGTCATGATAATGAGTGGACCAAGCTCTAGGGGAAGGGTGGCAAAAGCAAAGGGAGGGAAGTGCTCCCAGCGAAGGAAAGACTGAATCAAATAACTACACCACGAGGTCGCTTCAGGGGTAAAAAGGATTGCCTGCAAGGCACCGGTAAAAACCCCGAAGCCGGGCCTCGGATAACAAAAAGGAAAAGAAACCAAAAGGCAGATCACGCTCCGGGCGGATCGAACCCTCGACCACTGAGTGCGCGCCCGCGCGCCCTCACGACTACACCATCGCGCCGACAATGCTTGCAACGAACAAACCGGTAGCTGATGTCGACTCCGGCCGCAAACTTGGGAGACTTCCTTCGAGTATTGATGGCAGTGCAGGCTGTGCTCCTGACATCCGGCACCCGGCACATTCGCCTCCGCGAGCATTTTGTCCGTGACATGGTCAATCGAGGTGATATCTCTCTCTCACACGTTGGCACAGCAGACATGGTTGCGGACGTATTCACCAAAGCGCTAGGCCCCAAGATTTTTGGTACACATTGCTATGCTCTAGGCCTCCGGACGCGACATCCACGGCTCAAGTCTACCTCGCGTTCGCGTGGGGGGGGGTGTGAGGAATCCACTCTCCGCTCGGCTCAGGACTTAGGCGCGCGGAGCGAACCGGGCGCGGACTTAGGCGCGCGGAGTGAGCCGGGCGCCCCGGCCCAGGACTTAGGCGCGCGAAGCGAGCCTGGGACTTAGGCGCGCGGAGCGAGCCTGGGCCATTGGCTCAGCCCCAGGCTCGCTGGCTGTGGACTTGGGGCGCGCGGGTCTCTTATTGTTAGCTTCCTATTCATCACTCTTGGCTATAACTACATCGCTGACGTAGTAGAGTTGATTGAATAGGTATGTTGAAATGCATTCATCACTCTTGGCTATAACTACATCGCTGACGTAGTAGAGTTGATTGAATAAGCTCGAGGTGGTGCTGGGGAACTGCGCGAAGGAGGGTCGGGAGCTGGCGAGGAGGGAGCATCGGGAGCGGGTGGAGCGGATGGCGGTCTTGGTGGGAAGGGTGCAGGATCTGGAGGCATTGCCGGTGATGGGGGACGAGGAGACGGCCGAATGGACGCGGACGACGGAGGAACTTAGGCGAGCGGTCAACGAGCGCGCGCGCCAACTTCGGATCCGAGCCCACGTACCTGAAATCTGTGAGGAATCCACTCTCCGCTCGGCTCAGGACTTAGGCGCGCGGAGCGAACCGGGCGCGGACTTAGGCGCGCGGAGTGAGCCGGGCGCCCCGGCCCAGGACTTAGGCGCGCGAAGCGAGCCTGGGACTTAGGCGCGCGGAGCGAGCCTGGGCCATTGGCTCAGCCCCAGGCTCGCTGGCTGTGGACTTGGGGCGCGCGGGTCTCTTATTGTTAGCTTCCTATTCATCACTCTTGGCTATAACTACATCGCTGACGTAGTAGAGTTGATCGAATAGGTATGTTGAAATGCATTCATCACTCTTGGCTATAACTACATCGCTGACGTAGTAGAGTTGATCGAATAGGTTATAAGCCCACGAGCTACCAGCCCCGCCGCTTGAGGCTTTTTCGCTCGAGCCCAGCCACTCGAGCCGCACACGTCCATCGCACCATCACATCATGGACAGCTCTCCCGCCTCGCCTTTGGCCCCCAGGGATCCCAGCTCCCCTGAATCTTCGATCGGCGAACAAATCGCCACTCTACAGGCCCAGCTTGCCGCTCTGCAGGCCTCGCAACCCGCCGCCGCCGCAGCCGCCGCACCCCCGGCCGTCACCATCGTGCCGGGGAACGCCGCCACCGCATCCAAGGTCGTGTTTCCCAAGCACGCTCGTCTGGACGGCCCCAAGTCGTTCACCAACTGGTTGCGTCAACTCCGTCTTGCACTCCCGAACCAGGTTCGTGGTTACGTTCTCGACGGTGTCGTTCCCCCGACCTGGACCGCCGACCAGCTTGCCGCACGTGACGACGCCGCCCGGGAAATCATCGTTGGCTCTATCGACTCCGCCGACGTATCGGCCACCCTCGACGCCATCCCCAGCGACGACCTGTCGGCACCGCGCATCTTTGCCGCTCTCAAGGCTCGTTTTGCACCGGACGACGCTACACGCACTCTCGAGTTGTTCGCTCGCCTTTGGGACTTCAGGAAGATGCCTGCCTCCGTCGAGGCCTACGACACTTGGCTACGCGAGTACATGTCGATTGCTCAGGAAATACGCGACGCCAAAACATCGCTCAACGACGTGCTCGCCACCCACGTGCTCGCCATGGTCCCGTCTTGCCTCGACAGCTTCCGACTCACGTTCACGGACGAGCAGCGAAACCGACGCGACCTTCCCGAACTCACGACGCTTACGGACCGCATTCGCATCCAGCTTCGTTCGGCAGGACTCTCGACCTCGCATTCGGCCATGCTTGCCACGCGCTCCCCTTGCCCCGCCTGCCGCGCTCCCGGTCACCGCCTGCGCGACTGCACTTCACGTGCGAAGCACCCGCCCACCGGCCCCTGCCGCCGATGCCACAAGAAAGGTCACTGGGCACTCGACTGCAAGAACCGGGGTGAACAGGCACGTAGCAGCGACGACACCCAGGACGACACGTCTTCCTCCGCGGCCTCGCAACCGAACGTCGGCTATTTCGCCTCCTGTCTCTTCGCTCGTCGCCAACTCCCAACTGACGCCTTTGTAGTCGATTCGGGTGCCACGACACACATGGTCGCCGACCGATCTCTATTCACGACTTATCGTCAGACGGCACACACCAAGATCGGCGGCATCGCGGGCGGCATCACGGCTATCGGCATGGGGGACGTGGCATTCGTCGCCAAGACTGGACACCCGATCACGCTCCGTGGTGTTCTTCACACGCCTGGCCTACACGTCAACCTCCTCTCTGTCTCTCGCCTCTGCGACACCGACCGCGTTCGTCTCGCCTTCACCAGCGACGGCATCGACATCGCCAAGGACGGCCGGGCCATTGCTCACGGTACCAGGGTCAACGACGGTCTTTACCTTTTGGACGCGGATTACACCAAGTGTCAGCATCTTGCCTTCCTCTCACGCTCTGAGTCTCCCGTGCCCCTGCTTACCCTACACCGCTGCCTCGGCCATCTTGCCCCATCCTCTATACAGAAGATGATTGCTGCAGGTTTGCTGGACGGGTTTGGGGCCGGGTACAGTGACAAAGACGTAGAGGAGTTTGTTTGCAATGCTTGCCTTGGTTCCAAAGGTCACCGCCTTCCCTTTCCCGACTCTGAGTCGCATTCCGCCGAGAGACTTGGCCTCGTGCACAGCGACGTCCTGTCGTTCCCCACTCCGTCCTTGACCGGGAAGCGCTACCTTGTCACGTTTCTAGACGACCACTCTCGCAAACTCTGGGCATATGCGATCGATCACAAAAGCGATGTTTTCCCGACCTTCCAGACTTGGCTCGCCGAAGTGGAGTTAGAGACGAACGCGCGGTTGAGGATCCTTCGAACCGACAATGGCGGGGAGTACCGATCAAACGCATTCACGGAGTTCTGCAAATCCAAGGGCATTCGTCGTCAATACTCTATCCCTTACACGCCTCAACAAAACGGTCGCGCCGAACGTGTCAACCTCTCCATCGTCGAGGGCGTCCTCGCTCTCCTTGCGGACGCCCGTCTGCCGGCCACCTTTTGGGATGAAGCGGCTGCGTATTTCGTTTATTGCAAAAACAGGTGCTCACACTCAGCTTTGGCCAAACAGACTCCAGAATCCGTTTGGAACGGCCAACGCACCACCGCCACCGCCCTCCACCCGTTCGGCTGCACAGCCTGGCTCACGGTCGCCCCGGACCTTCGCAGCAAGCTCGACCCCAAGGCCGCGCGCGTGATCTTCACAGGTTACGACCTCGCCTCCAAAGCTTTCCGTTTCTTTGACCATTCCATCAACAAGATTGTACTTGGTCGCAATGCCACCTTCCTCGACGACGACTTCCCCGGCCTGCCAGTCACCACGCCCGTCGATGCAGACGACACCGACCGTCAGTTCGTCGTTCCCGCCGACACGCCCGCCCCTGCCGTCAAGACGAGGACCCCACTAGTAAGGTCGGCGCACATGGACGTCTCATCCTCCCTTGATGATTCTGCCATGAGCGCCGTTGACGTGGCCCCAGGGTACACTGGCGGAACCTTACTTAATTCCACAGATACCGAATCGTCCTCGTCACCGTCTCCTGAGCCGTCCTCGTCACCGTCGCCCACAAACCCTTTGTCACCGTCGCCTGCGCTGTCACCGTCGTTGGCAGCGTCATCGTCACCCTCGGTCTCACCGACCGACTCTGACTACTCCGCCGACCCTCTGGACCTCATCGGCTCACAGACCCCGACTCGCCTTGGCCCACCGGACGTGCACCGCCCAGACTTCAGCACGTACCGTGAGCCCGCATCGGCTGAGGAGTCGCCCGACGAACTCGACATCATTGGGCGTCACTCACGCGATGAATCGCCGGATGAAATCGATTTCCTCACCCAACACCACCGCGCCTTCATCGCCACAGACGACGACGACCCCACCCTCGACGCCATCGAGCCCGTCAAATCGATCACTAGCGACCCCCAGACCTGGCGCGAAGCAATGTCCAGCGACGAGCACAACATCTGGGCTGAGGCCGCCGCCGCCGAGTTCACCGCCATGCGCGACGACTTCAAGGTGTTCACCATCGAGCCTCGCTCATCTGTACCGCCGGGCGCCACCATCGTCACCTCCAAATTCGTCTGGAAGACCAAGCGCAACGCAAGCGGTGAAGTCACGGGGCGGTGTTGAACTTCGCTCCATCTCACTTCTAGGACAATATGCGCTCACTGAAGTAGAGGTGCCTCGCCTTTTGGTGCAGTGGTATATTGTTCCTTCATAGGTTATGAGCCCAGAGCAACCAGCAGGTCATGAGTTCAATCCCCCCTGGGGTCAGGCAATTTTGCGCGCATACACTCAGCGTCCCGGCCCCCGCACTTGCCCAGCAGCGTGCCAAGCACCCTGGCGCATCGACAGTGCTCACAGTGCCCAAGCTGCACTTGCCCAAGCGACCTGATCAACATGCCCAGTTGCCTCACAAGCCGCACCCACTGCCACAAGCTCTTCAGCTTCGCGCACAGGGGGGTGTTGAACTTCGCTCCATCTCACTTCTAGGACAATATGCGCTCACTGAAGTAGAGGTGCCTCGCCTTTTGGTGCAGTGGTATATTGTTCCTTCATAGGCGGAAGGCACGTCTTGTAGCGCAGGGTAACCGACAGCGCGACGGCATCGACTTCTCAGAAACCTTCGCACCCGTCGCCCGTTTCTCCTCCATTCGCTGCCTCCTGGCTCTTGCCGCTGCCAATGGCTACCACGTTCATCAGGCCGACATCGACAAGGCTTACCTCCACGGCGAGCTCGATCATGATATCTGGATGACGACACCACGCGGTTTCGACTTCCCGAGCGATAAGGTTCTCCGGCTGCGACGCTCAATCTACGGTCTCAAGCAGGCCGGTCGCATCTGGAATCGTCACATTGACACATCACTCAGGAATCTGGGGTACAAGGCAACAGGCACTGATCACTGCATTTACTCTCGCATTGACGATCAGCAGCGGCCTCACTATATCGCCTTGTATGTCGACGACCTCCTCATTGTCAGTCCAGCCCTCGACGAGATCGAACGTGTCATCTCCGGCCTTGAACAGCGGTACGGCGTCAAACGACTCGGCCCCGCGGAGTACATCCTCGGAATCCAAATACGCCGCCTGGACGACGGTTCCATTGCTCTATCCCAGGAGCGCTACATCATGGACGTGCTGGCCCGTTTCCACTTCGACACCACGACACGCGGCACTACGGTGCCGATGACGCCCGGCCTCTCGCTCACGGCAATTCCGGGTCAGGGAACGGAGCGCATTCGTTCGTGGTACCTACAGGCCATCGGCTCCCTCCTCTACATCTCCCTTGGCACTCGACCCGACATTGCCTTCGCCGTCTCGTACCTGTCCCGGTTCGCCAACAACCCCGGCCGCCGCCATTGGATTGCCGTCAAACACGTCCTTCGCTACCTTCGCGCCACGTACCGCGATGAGCTTCTCTATGCCCGCGGCCCAGCAAAAGTCACGGGTGTGGTTGGTTATTCTGATGCGAACTGGGGCGCCTGCGTCGACACATCCATTTCAACGATGGGCTACGTATTTTACTTGGCAGGCGCCGCTGTCTCTTGGTCGTCGAAGCGTCAGACTCGGGTAGCGGATTCCACCACTGATGCCGAGTACCTGGCCTTGTCGCACGCGGGTAAGGAAGCGATCTACCTTAACCAACTCCTCTCCGAGCTCCACGTTTGCCCAATCGCTGCAGCTCACATCTTCACCGACAACGAGGCCGCGGCCGCCGTCGCTCACGACCCCGTTCGCACCTCCGGCACCCGGCACATTCGCCTCCGCGAGCATTTTGTCCGTGACATGGTCAATCGAGGTGATATCTCTCTCTCACACGTTGGCACAGCAGACATGGTTGCGGACGTATTCACCAAGGCGCTAGGCCCCAAGATTTTTGGTACACATTGCTATGCTCTAGGCCTCCGGACGCGACATCCACGGCTCAAGTCTACCTCGCGTTCGCGTGGGGGGGGGTGTGAGGAATCCACTCTCCGCTCGGCTCAGGACTTAGGCGCGCGGAGCGAACCGGGCGCGGACTTAGGCGCGCGGAGTGAGCCGGGCGCCCCGGCCCAGGACTTAGGCGCGCGAAGCGAGCCTGGGACTTAGGCGCGCGGAGCGAGCCTGGGCCATTGGCTCAGCCCCAGGCTCGCTGGCTGTGGACTTGGGGCGCGCGGGTCTCTTATTGTTAGCTTCCTATTCATCACTCTTGGCTATAACTACATCGCTGACGTAGTAGAGTTGATCGAATAGGTATGTTGAAATGCATTGATCACTCTTGGCTATAACTACATCGCTGACGTAGTAGAGTTGATCGAATAATTCGGTGGTCGGGCAAGCGCTGGCGAAGTGCGTGTCGGCGTCTTGCTCGGTGGAGTCGCTACGTAACCCGGGAAATTCGTTGTCGAGGAACCTGGCATTTCTGCCCAAACTGATCTTCTTGGTCGTCGTGTCGTAGAAACGGAAGGCTTTAGAAGCCAGGTCATAGCCGGTGAAGAGAACGCGAACCGCTTTCGGGTCGAGTTTCGAGCGAAGTTCAGGCGCGACTGTGAGCCAAGCCGTGCAGCCGAACGGGTGAAGCGCCGAGGCGTTGGTGCGGTCGCCCTGCCAGGCGAAGTTCGGTGTTGCCTTGTCCAGGGCCGAGTGTTCGCACAGGTTCTTGCAGTAGACGAAATAAGCTGCTGCCTCCTCCCAGAATGATTTGGGTAAGTGGGCGTCTGCAAGGAGGGCAAGGACACCTTCGACGATAGAACGATTGACTCGTTCGGCACGACCGTTCTGTTGAGGCGTTCGAGGGATAGAGTATTGTCGACGTGTGCCGCGTGCCTTACAGAATTCCGTGAACGCTCTCGAACAGTATTCGCCACCATTGTCGGTTCGGAGGACCTTCAGTTTTGCATCCGTCTCGAGTTCGACCTCGGCAAGCCATGTCTTGAACACGCCAAAGACTTCGCTTTTGTGTCCGATCGCGTATGCCCACAGTTTGCGCGAGAAGTCGTCAAGAAACGTGACCAGGTAACGCTTGCCAGTCAAGGACGACTCGGGAAAGGAAAGCACATCGCTGTGTACGAGGCCGAGTCTCTCTGAGGAGTGCGAGTCCGAATCGGGAAAAGGAAGACGATGGCCCTTTGCACTGAGGCAAGCATTGCAGACAAACTTCTCTACCTCTTCGTCACTATATCCGGCCCCGAGACCTTCCAGCAAACCAGCGGCAACCATCTTCTGTATGGACGACGGTGCGAGATGGCCGAGGCAGCGGTGAAGGGTCAGCAGGGGCACGGAAGACTGTGAGCGAGAGAGGAGAGCGAGATGCTGACATTTGGAATGATCAGCGTCCAGCAAGTAGAGCCCTTCCTCGAGTCTTGCGCCTTCAGCGATAGCATTGCCGTTCTTGTCGATATGGATGCCGTGCTTCGTGAAGGCGACACGGACATCGTCGGTGTCGCAAAGTCGAGAGACCGAGAGGAGGTTGACAGACAGGCCCGGGGTGTGCAGCACGCCGGTAAGCGTGATCGGGTGACCGGAGGCGGCAACAAAGGCGATGTTTCCCGTTCCGACGGCGTTGATGCCCCCTGCAATACCACCAATCTTCGTAGGAGCGATGTGGCGATAGGCCGTGAACAGCGACTTGTCCGAGACCATGTGCGAAGTGGCACCCGAGTCGACGACGAAGGAGTTGTTGCGAAGCTGACGACGATGTGCGAGAAGACCGGTGGCGAGACATCCGACATGGTGTTGCGCATCAGAGGTGTCGGGCGTTTTCCCGTCCTCAAGAGCCTTTTTGCAGTCGAAAGACCAGTGGTCCTTCTTCTTGCAGGAGCGACACGGGCCTGGCGGTGGATGCTGGGCCCTTGTAGGGCATTGTGCGACGCGGTGAGAAGGGCTGCGACAGGCGAGGCACTTGGTACGGGTAGAACGTGGCGACGACGAGGCAAGGAGGGCCGATTGATCGTTGGAGAGGTTCGTTGACCGGAGTTGAACTCGCATACGGTCGGCCACTGAATCGATGTCAGGGAGAGTTCGTTGCGTGCGTTGTTCGTCGGTGAACGTTGCCTTGAAGCTCTCGAGTGACGGGTGGGCGATCGCGAGGAGGAGTGTGGCAAGGACGTCGTTGATCGTCGTTTTCGTATCGATGATCTCTTGCGCGACCGACTTGAAGTCCATGATCCAACTGTCAAATTCGCCAACCGTTCCGGGCATGGGTCGGAAGCCCCAGAGTCGCGAGAAGAGCTCGAGCGTGCGAGTGGCGTCATCAGGGGCGTATCGCGATTTCAGCGTCGAGTAAATCTTGGGCGCTGTGAGGTCGGCCGTAGGGATCTTGTCGAGGACTGCCGAGACTTCGGCCGAGTCGATTGAGTTTGCAAGGATCTCGCGTGCCACGACGTCGCGGGCGGAGCGTTGCGAAGGCGTCCAATCGTCGGGGGTGATTCCGTCGAGGACGTAGGAGCGGATGTCGTCCGCTAGGCACAGGCGAAGCTGGCGTGTCCAGTTCGCGAACGTCTTCGGCCCGTCCAACCGCGCATGCTTCGGGAAGGCATTGCGATTGGAGCCGGATGTCGTGGCGGGTGCGGTAGTGCCGGAAGCGGCAGCGGTGAGTCCCGACAGCAGCGATGTAAGTGCGGCAAGCTGTTCGGCGGGAATTGTCGGGGTGGCGCTCGTCGCGAGGGTTGACGACGTGTCCATGCCAGCGGTAGCTCGATGGGCTTATAACCTATGAGATGATCACCACTACTGTCAGGAGAAGTCGAGAGTCGAACAGAAGTGATATATTTCAGCGTACCTATGAGATGATCACCACTACTGTCAGGAGAAGTCGAGAGTCGAACAGAAGTGATGAGAAGGAAGCTAAGAAATGGAAAGGTGGCCCGCGCTGGGATATGCCCAGGCGCGGGCGAAATCGCTGGAGCGCTGAGGCAGTCGCGCGCGGCTAAGTCCCCACTGCAAGGGCGGGCTAGCGGCGCGCGCCCGAAAACCGCCGGCGCCGGCGCGCTGAGGCACTCGCGCGCGCCTAAGTCCCCACCACAGGGGCCAGGCTAGCAGGCGCGCGCAACGACCGAGGCGCCCCTGTCGAGCTGAGAGTGGACTCTTCATTTTCTTCATCTTTCTTTCTTTTATTACAGGTCTGCCTCCGTTGCTCATGGACCGGCTCGCGATTTGGGATTGACTCGACGGTGGCTCGCGCTCTTTGGCTTCGGGGTTCTGAGTCAAGGGAGGGATCAGCAGACACAGGCAGAAAGTCGGCTTTGAGGGGCCAGGGACTGCTGAGGTGGAGGTTTTGAGGGGCCTCCACCGCGTCTTGTTATGAGATGATCACCACTACTGTCAGGAGAAGTCGAGAGTCGAACAGAAGTGATCTATTTCAGCGTACCTATGAGATGATCACCACTACTGTCAGGAGAAGTCGAGAGTCGAACAGAAGTGATGAGAAGGAAGCTAAGAAATGGAAAGGTGGCCCGCGCTGGGATATGCCCAGGCGCGGGCGAAATCGCTGGAGCGCTGAGGCAGTCGCGCGCGGCTAAGTCCCCACTGCAAGGGCGGGCTAGCGGCGCGCGCCCGAAAACCGCCGGCGCCGGCGCGCTGAGGCACTCGCGCGCGCCTAAGTCCCCACCACAGGGGCCAGGCTAGCAGGCGCGCGCAACGACCGAGGCGCCCCTGTCGAGCTGAGAGTGGACTCTTCACACCCCCCCCCACGCGAATGCGAGGCAGATCCAAGCCGTGGGTGTCGAGTGCGAAGGCCTAGTGCGTAGCAGTGTGTCGAGAAAATCTTTGGGCCAAGAGCCTTTGTGAAGATGTCGGCCACCATGTTGCTGGTTCCCACATGCGAGAGTGAGATATCGCCCCGATTCACCATGTCCCGAACAAAGTGCTCGCGCAAGCGTATGTGTCGAGTGCCGGAGACGCGGACAGGGTCGTGGGCAACTGCGGCAGCGGCTTCATTGTCAGTAAAAATGTGAGCCGGTGCAACAGGTTGGACATGGAGCTCCTCGAGCAGCTGACTGAGGTAGATCCCTTCCTTGCCAGCATGCGAGAGGGCGAGGTATTCAGCGTCGGTGGTAGAATCGGCAACTCGAGATTGACGCTTGGACGACCAAGACACGGCGGATCCGGCAATGTAGAAGACGTAGCCCATAGTGGACACCGACGTATCGACGCAGGCCCCCCAGTTCGCGTCGGAGTAGCCAACCACGCCCGTGATGCGTGTCTCGCCGCAAGCATAAACCAGTTCGTCGCGATATGTGGCCCGGAGATAGCGGAGGATGTGCTTGACCGCGATCCAGTGACGACGTCCAGGGTTGTTGGCGAAGCGGGCCAGGTAGGACACGGCGAAGGCGATGTCGGGGCGGGTGCCGAGCGAAATGTAGAGGAGCGAGCCGATAGCCTGCAGATACCATGACCTGATCCGTTCGGTGCCTTGACCCGGGATGGCGGTGAGCGAAAGGCCGGGGGTCATCGGGACTGTAGTGCCGCGAGTCGTGGTGTCGAAGTGGAACCGAGCAAGCACGTCCATGATGTACCGTTCCTGGGACAGGGCAATAGAACCGTCTTCGAGTCGCCTGATCTGGATGCCGAGGATGTACTCTGCCGGGCCGAGGCGCTTGACGCCGTAGCGTTGTTCGAGGCCCGAGATGACACGTTCAATTTCGGCCAAGTCGGGGCTGATCATCAGGAGGTCGTCGACGTACAGCGCGATGTAGTGTGGGCGTCGCCGATCGTCGATCCGAGAGTACACGCAGTGGTCGGTGCCCGTCGCCGTATAGCCGAGATCTCGAAGCGATGCGTCGATGTGTCGATTCCAGATTCGGCCAGCCTGTTTGAGTCCGTAGATGGAGCGTCGCAGACGAAGCACCTTGTCGGTGGGAAGGTCGAAGCCGCGCGGTGTCGTCATCCAGATGTCATGGTCAAGGTCGCCATGCAGATAGGCTTTGTCGATGTCCGCCTGGTGCACGTGCAAGCCGTTGGCGGCCGCCAGCGCGAGGAGTGAGCGTATCGAGGAGAAGCGTGCGACTGGTGCGAAGGTTTCGTTGAAGTCGATGCCGTCGCGTTGCCGATTTCCCTGCGCCACGAGCCGTGCCTTGTGGCCGGTGACTTCGCCGAGTGCATTCCGTTTCGTTTTCCAGACGAACTTGGATGTGACGATGGTCGCACCCGCTGGTACCGTGGATCGGTCCTCGATGGTGAAGACCTTGAAGTCGTCGCGCATGGAATTGAACTCGTCGGTAGCGGCCTTGGCCCACACTTCGCGCTTGTCACTCGACATTGCCTCGCGCCATGTCTGTGGGTCGCTGGTGATGGACTTGACTGGTTGAATGGCTTCTGTGTCAGAGTTGTCGTCGTCGGTGGCGATGAAGGCGCGGTGGTGTTGGGTGAGGAAATCGATTTCGTCCGGCGATTCATCGCGCGAGTGGCGCCCAATGATGTCGAGTTCGTCGGGCGACTCCTCAGCCGATGCGGGCTCACGGTACGTGCTGAAGTCTGGGCGGTGCACGTCCGGTGGGCCGAGGCGAGTCGGGGTCTGTGAGCCGATGAGGTCCAGAGGGTCGGCGGAGTAGTCAGAGTCGGTCGGTAAGGCCGAGGGTGACGATGACGCAGCCAACGACGGTGACAGCGCAGGCGACGGTGACAAGGGAGTTGCGGGCGACGGTGACGAGGACGGCTCAGGAGACGGTGACGAGGACGATTCGGCATCTGTGGAATTAAGTAAGGTTCCGCCAGTGTACCCTGGGGCCACGTCAACGGCGCTCATGGCAGAGTCATCAAGAGAGGATGAGACGTCCATGTGCGCCGACCTTACTAGTGGGGTCCATGTCTTGACAACGGCTTGGGATTCGGTGGTCGGGCAAGCGCTGGCGAAGTGCGTGTCGGCGTCTTGCTCGGTGGAGTCGCTACGTAACCCGGGAAATTCGTTGTCGAGGAACCTGGCATTTCTGCCCAAACTGATCTTCTTGGTCGTCGTGTCGTAGAAACGGAAGGCTTTAGAAGCCAGGTCATAGCCGGTGAAGAGAACGCGAACCGCTTTCGGGTCGAGTTTCGAGCGAAGTTCAGGCGCGACTGTGAGCCAAGCCGTGCAGCCGAACGGGTGAAGCGCCGAGGCGTTGGTGCGGTCGCCCTGCCAGGCGAAGTTCGGTGTTGCCTTGTCCAGGGCCGAGTGTTCGCACAGGTTCTTGCAGTAGACGAAATAAGCTGCTGCCTCCTCCCAGAATGATTTGGGTAAGTGGGCGTCTGCAAGGAGGGCAAGGACACCTTCGACGATAGAACGATTGACTCGTTCGGCACGACCGTTCTGTTGAGGCGTTCGAGGGATAGAGTATTGTCGACGTGTGCCGCGTGCCTTACAGAATTCCGTGAACGCTCTCGAACAGTATTCGCCACCATTGTCGGTTCGGAGGACCTTCAGTTTTGCATCCGTCTCGAGTTCGACCTCGGCAAGCCATGTCTTGAACACGCCAAAGACTTCGCTTTTGTGTCCGATCGCGTATGCCCACAGTTTGCGCGAGAAGTCGTCAAGAAACGTGACCAGGTAACGCTTGCCAGTCAAGGACGACTCGGGAAAGGAAAGCACATCGCTGTGTACGAGGCCGAGTCTCTCTGAGGAGTGCGAGTCCGAATCGGGAAAAGGAAGACGATGGCCCTTTGCACTGAGGCAAGCATTGCAGACAAACTTCTCTACCTCTTCGTCACTATATCCGGCCCCGAGACCTTCCAGCAAACCAGCGGCAACCATCTTCTGTATGGACGACGGTGCGAGATGGCCGAGGCAGCGGTGAAGGGTCAGCAGGGGCACGGAAGACTGTGAGCGAGAGAGGAGAGCGAGATGCTGACATTTGGAATGATCAGCGTCCAGCAAGTAGAGCCCTTCCTCGAGTCTTGCGCCTTCAGCGATAGCATTGCCGTTCTTGTCGATATGGATGCCGTGCTTCGTGAAGGCGACACGGACATCGTCGGTGTCGCAAAGTCGAGAGACCGAGAGGAGGTTGACAGACAGGCCCGGGGTGTGCAGCACGCCGGTAAGCGTGATCGGGTGACCGGAGGCGGCAACAAAGGCGATGTTTCCCGTTCCGACGGCGTTGATGCCCCCTGCAATACCACCAATCTTCGTAGGAGCGATGTGGCGATAGGCCGTGAACAGCGACTTGTCCGAGACCATGTGCGAAGTGGCACCCGAGTCGACGACGAAGGAGTTGTTGCGAAGCTGACGACGATGTGCGAGAAGACCGGTGGCGAGACATCCGACATGGTGTTGCGCATCAGAGGTGTCGGGCGTTTTCCCGTCCTCAAGAGCCTTTTTGCAGTCGAAAGACCAGTGGTCCTTCTTCTTGCAGGAGCGACACGGGCCTGGCGGTGGATGCTGGGCCCTTGTAGGGCATTGTGCGACGCGGTGAGAAGGGCTGCGACAGGCGAGGCACTTGGTACGGGTAGAACGTGGCGACGACGAGGCAAGGAGGGCCGATTGATCGTTGGAGAGGTTCGTTGACCGGAGTTGAACTCGCATACGGTCGGCCACTGAATCGATGTCAGGGAGAGTTCGTTGCGTGCGTTGTTCGTCGGTGAACGTTGCCTTGAAGCTCTCGAGTGACGGGTGGGCGATCGCGAGGAGGAGTGTGGCAAGGACGTCGTTGATCGTCGTTTTCGTATCGATGATCTCTTGCGCGACCGACTTGAAGTCCATGATCCAACTGTCAAATTCGCCAACCGTTCCGGGCATGGGTCGGAAGCCCCAGAGTCGCGAGAAGAGCTCGAGCGTGCGAGTGGCGTCATCAGGGGCGTATCGCGATTTCAGCGTCGAGTAAATCTTGGGCGCTGTGAGGTCGGCCGTAGGGATCTTGTCGAGGACTGCCGAGACTTCGGCCGAGTCGATTGAGTTTGCAAGGATCTCGCGTGCCACGACGTCGCGGGCGGAGCGTTGCGAAGGCGTCCAATCGTCGGGGGTGATTCCGTCGAGGACGTAGGAGCGGATGTCGTCCGCTAGGCACAGGCGAAGCTGGCGTGTCCAGTTCGCGAACGTCTTCGGCCCGTCCAACCGCGCATGCTTCGGGAAGGCATTGCGATTGGAGCCGGATGTCGTGGCGGGTGCGGTAGTGCCGGAAGCGGCAGCGGTGAGTCCCGACAGCAGCGATGTAAGTGCGGCAAGCTGTTCGGCGGGAATTGTCGGGGTGGCGCTCGTCGCGAGGGTTGACGACGTGTCCATGCCAGCGGTAGCTCGATGGGCTTATAACCTATGAGATGATCACCACTACTGTCAGGAGAAGTCGAGAGTCGAACAGAAGTGATCTATTTCAGCGTACCTATGAGATGATCACCACTACTGTCAGGAGAAGTCGAGAGTCGAACAGAAGTGATGAGAAGGAAGCTAAGAAATGGAAAGGTGGCCCGCGCTGGGATATGCCCAGGCGCGGGCGAAATCGCTGGAGCGCTGAGGCAGTCGCGCGCGGCTAAGTCCCCACTGCAAGGGCGGGCTAGCGGCGCGCGCCCGAAAACCGCCGGCGCCGGCGCGCTGAGGCACTCGCGCGCGCCTAAGTCCCCACCACAGGGGCCAGGCTAGCAGGCGCGCGCAACGACCGAGGCGCCCCTGTCGAGCTGAGAGTGGACTCTTCACACTTGTTGTGACCGAGCATAGACTTGGGGACTTCGCGGGTCAGGGTAGCTGCGCAGTCGCTCTCCTGTCTTTGTCTCGACCGAGTTGGGAAGTGGGTGCGGGGTGGGCCTCTTGTCATTAGTACGCCAGTTCTTTTTCATTTTCTCTCTTTCTCTTCTCTCTCTCATTCGTCTCCTGGGGGGTAGCAACCGCTTGGCTGGGGCACTTGAATCCGAAGTATCGGATTGGTGGACTTGGCCCGTTTCTTGCATCTTGCGGGCGGTTTGTGTTATCATCGTCGACTTCCATCTAGTTTTTCCGTAGGCCAATCAGGGGGAACAGGAATTGGGGGCAATATGATGAACGGTTTCTACAAAAAAAACAAAAACACACACACACACACCCGCACACAAGTGAGTTTCTGGGTGTAGAGTGAGTAGTTGACCTCCAAGCCCATTAAGCTTTACAGGTCAACACAAACACGCGATGCCGGATCCGCCCGGCGCCGATGCGCCCCCGCCCGAGGACCTATTGGGTGGTAATGGCGCGAGTGATTCATCACTCAACACGCAAACGTGTGAAGTGGTCACTGGAGGAACCACGAATCCTCCAGCTTGGTCGCCCGAGGCAACTCAGGTCCAGTTGGACCATGAGAAGCTGATGAAGAAGACCTTCCAAGTGCTCGGGATTGTTCCCTCCAGCAAGTCGACCCGCCGACTGATGGTCCTGATGCACGACACCTTGACCCCGCCTTCGCAGGCGCCAGCGCTCGCACGAGCCGCCCAAAGAGCGGTGCGAAACGACGCAGCCCTGGCCTCCAATGTGATTCGAGTCATTATGGATGGTCCTGTACAGACTGCGCTGCGCAAGCACTTTGGATTGGCCGAGACACCGTTCATGTTCGCGCGGCCCGAGGGTGTCGTGCTTGACCCCGAGGTCGAGAAGCTTTTCTCGAAATGCGTGAAGCTGAACCCGATTGTGACGAAAGCCACGAAGAGGTTCCCGATCGCTCGTCACATGTACGAGCTTGTATTCGAATCCGAGCAAGCTTGTCTTGAAGCCGCTTCAGCGGGCCCATTCCCCTACCACGGCAAGGAGATGGTTACCGAGCTCCCCAGCGCCTCTCCCCTTAACCACGTCATGCAGGTGTGATTCACCTTGCCCTCCTCCTCCAGCGCGATCCCCGCTTCTGTGCTCCGAAAATCTCTCGATGATGCTATCACCCTTTCGTTCGGCCACGCAGGTCGCACGCAAGGTTATACCCTGATGCAATTACAGCGGGGCCTCGCGGTCGATCCGAATGGTGATCCGATGGCCATGACCGAAGACGGGTTCCACTGCGCGTACCTTCGCTTACATGCTGATCTTTTCCAAGGCTCCATCGAGACGCAGAAGGCTGCGCTCAATGCCGCTTTGCCACAAGAGATCGAGATCCTGGGCGCCAAGTACGGCTTGCGACACGAATTTGAGACGCACTACTGCGCGGTGTGCGATCGCGCCGGACACCAGTGGGGCGCTTGCAGGAAGCCAGTTTCGACTCCGGCCACCGCCGCCCCTGTTCCGGGGGCCTCGACCTCGACTTCGACTTCGACCACCGGCTTCCGAGTTGCTGGAAAGAATGGGAAGCACGGTGGGCCTGCCGCATTGAACTCTCGTGTCTCTGGCGCAAACATGATCCAGCTGGGACCTCGTGCTAACCCCGCAGGTGCAGTAACTGCCAACAAGGACGACGCGAACGACGGCGACGACGAGTCGGTCGTTTCGACCGAACCGGAGGGCGGCGACACTGGGGAAGAGACGTCGACGCGTGCGACCCTGGGCTCAACAAAGGAGACGTAGACGACGACGGCGGCACCCGTTTCGACCCCGACCTCTCCTTCGCCTTTGTCCGGTGGCACGTCGGGATCATCGGCAACCTCGACAACCTCGATAGCCTCGACGAGTCCTCAACGCCTTCGTTCGAGCTCGGCACCCAGCAACCGACATGTCACCCGGGCGGGATCCGCCATGATCCTCGGTGCATCAGGGGGTCACAGGTCCAAGGTGACCGAATTCGAGGGGGGCGGCGCTGAACTGATTTAATCATGATTGAGTCACTCACCGTGTTGACGTTCAACGTCCGATCGATGAAGAACGCAGTCAACCAAGTCAAAATCATCCGTTATCTCAAAACCCTTCGGCCGGCCCCTGCGGCCATCCTCCTGCAAGAGCACCACCTCAGCTACAACGCGTCGCGCAAAGGCTTCGAGAGTGCTTGGCCGGGGCTTGTATTCGTTTCACTCCTCATGTCCTTACCCTCATACCCGATGGCTCACCTTTGGCGGGCCATCTCCTTTCCTCTACCCCGGTCGTCTTTGCAGGAGCTCCTCGTTTCGACGGTCGGATTCTGCGCTCGGTGTTTCGTCTTGAGGAGCTCGATGTCGAGATCATCAACATGTACGCGCCGGTGCAGGAGGACGATCGTCGCGACTTTTTCGGGCTTCTGCACTTCAGCGCCCCGAGACCCAAGATTCTTCGGATCTTGGCCAGCGATCTCAACGATTGTCCGGATGTATTGGTCGACCGAGTGTCCATCACCGATCGCGCTTGGACTCCTGTATCGCACTGGCAGACCTTGCTGTCAAAGATCGCGTTCAAGGCACTCGACACGGTCCGACATGTCCATTCTTGCACCCCTGCATTCACTCGTCCTCACTACCGTGGTAGAGGGGAAGAGCGAAAGATTTGCTCGTGGTCGCGGATTGACTATATTCTTGTCCAATGCAGTTGGGCGAACCGGTTGTTGAGCGCTTCTACGCTCTTCGATGCGCCCTGTTCGGACCACAGACCTGTAGTTGCGACTTTCGCTTTGCCTACATCGAACGCTGATGCCGAACCCCCCTTTCTCTTCCCTCCACGAGCGATTTCATTTCAAGGCTCAACCCAATGGTCTTTGACGATCAAGACTTTGTCGCATCGATTCCCGGGGTCGTCGACGAGGTCTATCGAAGGCTCGAGGGGACCGCTCCACTTGGCGATGTCTATGACGCCGCTCTGCGGGCGGTTGCAGTCGCTGGCCATGCACGATACCGCTCGACTTGTGCCGAGAGCCAATCCGTCATGGAGGCTTTGGAGGCACGCGGTGAGCACGTGAATTGTGAAGAGTCCACTCTCAGCTCGACAGGGGCGCCTCGGTCGTTGCGCGCACTTGCTAGCCCGCCCCCCGGCGGTGGGGACTTAGACGCGCGCGACTGCCTCAGCGCGCCAGCGCCGGCGGATTCATGCGCGCGCCCGCTAGCCCGCCCCCTTGCGGTGGAGACTTAGGCGCGCCGGCGATTTCACCCGCGGCTGACTTAGGGATGTACATTGTCACGCGCCTGGGCCTATCCCAGCGTGGCCCCCTTTCTGTTTCTTAGCTTCCTTCTCATCACTTCTGTTCGACTCTCAACCTCTCCTGACAGTAGTGGTGATCGTCTCATATGGCGGAGTCTTCAGAGTCGGTCGGTAAGACCGAGGGTGACGATGACGCAGCCGACGATGGTGAAAGTGCAGGCGATGGCGCAGGCGACGGTGACGAGGACGATTCGGCATCTGTGAAGTTAAGTAAGGTTCCGCCAGTGTACCCTGGGGCCACGTCAACGGCGCTCATGGCAGAATCATCAAGGGGGGATGAGACGTCCATGTGCGCCGACCTTACTAGTGGGGTCCATGTCTTGACAACGGCTTGAGATTCGGTGGTGGGAGCGCTGACGAAGTGCGTGTCGTCGTCTTGCTCAGTGGGGTCGTCATGTAATCCGGGGAATTCAGTGTCGAGGAACGTGGCATTTCTGCCAAGTATAATCTTCTGTGTCGTAGTGTCGTAGAAGCGAAAGGCTTTTGAAGCCAGGTCGTAGCCGGTGAAAAGAACGCGAACCGCCTTCGGGTCGAGTTTGGAGCGAAGTTCGGGCGCGACCGTAAGTGACAGGCAACGTCGGAGGGGATGACGATGACTACACGCGAGAGACGAGGGAGAGAGCGAGAGAGCACGCGAAAGGGGTGTCGACCGAGAGGCAACCGCGGAGGACATGCGGTTGCAAGGCTCGCAGCAAGTCCAGTGTACCGGACTATGGTAGCCAATGAGGTCGGAAAGAAGAGGGAGGGCAAACGATCCAAGAAATAGCTGACCAGGCCGATGGGAAGGTCGAGTCGGCTGGGCGGCGGAAGTCGACCGAGAGCGACCGAGGAGTGGATTCGGTCGGAAGGCTTCGCAGCAAATCAAGTGTAACGGACTTAATTGCCAGCGAAATGGGTAAAAAGAGGGAGGGTACGAGTCTAGAAGAGTTGACCAAGCTCTGGGGGAAAGGTGGCAAAAGCAAAGGGAGGGAAGTGCTCCGAGTGAAGGAAAGACTGAGTCAAATAACTACACCACGAGGTCGCTTCAGGGGTAAAAAGGATTGCCCGCAAGGCACCGGTAAAAACCCCGAAGCCGGGCCTCGGATAACAAAAAGGAAAAGAAACCAAAAGGCCAATCGCGCTCCGGGCGGATCGAACCCTCGACCACTGAGTGCGCGCCCGCGTGCCCTCACGACTACGCCATCGCGCCCACGATGCTTGCAACGAACGAACCGGTAGCTGATGTCGACTCCGGCCGCAAACTTGGGATACTTCCTTCGAGTATTGATGGCAGTGCAGGCTGTGATCCTGACAGTAAGCCAAGCTGTACAGCCGAACGGGTGAAGCGCCGAGGCAGTGGTGTGGTCACCCTGCCAGACGGAGTTTGGTGTTGCCTTGTCCAGGGCCGCGTGTTGACACAGGTTCTTGCAGTAAACGAAATAAGCTGCAGCCTCCTCCCAGAATGTCTTGGGTAGGTGGGCGTCGACAAGGAGGGCAAGGATGCCTTCGACAATGGAACGATTGACCCGCTCTGCACGACCGTTCTGTTGAGGCGTGCGTGGGATAGAGTATTGTCGACGGGTGCCTCGTGCCTTGCAGAACTCTGTGAACGCTCTTGAACAGTATTCGCCACCGTTGTCGGTTCGGAGGACCTTCAGCGTCACACCCGTCTCGAGTTCAACCTCGGCTAGCCAAGTTTTTGTTGAATTCCATACACTCTTGCTTAGGTCGATCTCCAGCCCGCGCCCAGCCTAGCCAGCCGCGCGCCGCTCGGACCCCTTTTGGACTTAGAGATATTTCGCGCACTCGCACCGCGAGCCTCTTTAGTCTTCCCCCTAACGCTCCAAACTACTTCCTAACACTCATACTGTGTCTCGTGTACTCACTGGTTGCCGATCCAGTCTCCTCTCGAGACACACGATTTAATAACTGAAGTAGAGGTGCCTCGCCTTTTGGTGCAGTGGTATATTGTTCCTTCATAGGTTATAAGCCAACGAGCCACCAGCTGGCATGACCACGACACCACCCCTCGCGACGGGTGCCAACCCTCCGATTCCCGCCGAACAGCTTGCCGCACTTACATCGCTGCTGTCGGGTCTCACCGCTGCCGCTTCCGGCACTGCCACACCCGCCACGACGTCCGGCACCACTCGCACTGCCTTTCCAAAGCACGCACGCTTGGATGGTGCGAAGACCTTCGCGAACTGGACACGCCAACTTCGCCTGTGCCTAGCGGACGACATCCGCTCGTACGTCCTCGACGGTATCGCACCCGACGACTGGACACCTTCGCAACGCTCCGCTCGCGACGCCGTCGCTCGTGAGGTCCTTGCGAATTCGATTGACTCGGCCGAAGTCTCGGCAGTCCTCGACAAAATCCCTACCGCCGACCTGACAGCGCCGACAATCTACTCGACGCTGAAATCGCGGTACGCCCCTGACGACGCCACCCGCACGCTCGAGCTCTTCTCACGACTCTGGGGTTTCCGTCCCATGCCCGGCACGGTTGCCGAATTCGACGGGTGGATCATGGAGTTCAAAGCTGTTGCGCAAGAGATCATCGACACAAAGGCAACTATCAATGATGTTCTCGCCACACTCCTCCTTGCAATCGCCCACCCGTCCCTCGAGAGCTTCAAGGCGTCGTTCACCGATGAACAGCGCACGCAACGAACTCTCCCCGACATTGATTCGCTTGCCGACCGTATGCGAGTCCAACTTCGGTCAACGAACATCCCCAGCACTCAATCGGCCCTTCTTGCCTCGTCGTCGTCACGTTCTACTCGTCCCAAGTGTCTCGCCTGTCGCAGCCCTTCGCACCGAGTCGCGGAGTGCCCTACGAGGGCGCAACACCCGCCGCCAGGACCCTGTCGCTCCTGCAAGAAGAAGGATCACTGGTCTCTCGACTGCAAGAAGGCGCTCGAGGACGGCAAAAAGCCCGACACTGCTGACTCGACCGTCGACTCGCAACACCATGTCGGATGTCTCGCCACCGGTCTTCTCGCTCGTCGTCGCCAGCTTCGCAACCACTCTTTTGTCGTCGACTCGGGCGCCATGGCAGGCAACGTCCTCTTCAGAAGACGTTGACTACACGCGGAGGAGGGGATCAGGCCGAAGGAAGGTCGACTGGGCGGGGGCAGGCGACCGAGGGACAACCGAGGAGGGGACGCGGTTGTGAGGCTCGCAGCAAGTCAAGTATATCGGACTTTATTGCCAACGAGATCGAAAACGAAGGATGAAGGTGAAGGGATCTTGGGAGATGTGGCGGACCAGGCTGAGTGGGAAGGTGCTAAAAACAAAAGGGAGGCACTCAGGCGCAGAGGGGACTTAGCCAATTCAGCTACTCCAAGAGGTCGCCTCAGGGGGAAAAAGGATTGCTCGCGGGAGCACCGGTAAAAACCCTGAGGCCGCGCCTCAGCTAACAAAAAGAACAAAAACCGAGAGAAGATTGCGCTCTGCGCGCCTTGAACCCGCGACCATTAAGTGCGCGCCCGCGCGCCGAACGACTACGCCATCGCACCGACGATGCTGTGAAACGAGGCAAGCCTCTGGTCAAGTCAACTCTACCCGCACATAGCCTTGGGGGGCTTCCTTCGAGTACACGCTGTCATCCTGACACTGTCCCCCCAGAAGGAAGTCTACCGTGCGGCGAGGCGGCGGTTCGAGCGATCGAGGCGCGCGAGGTAGGCGTCGAGGACGGACGGATGGTCAAGGCGAATGGACTGCTCTGACATCCAAGTATCGTCGGTGTCGTTACGGCCTACCCATCGAACCAAGAACGAACGAGCGCCCCGAGCGTTCCGCCGATCGCGAACAATCCGTTCCGGAATCGCAGAATTGTCGGCCGCGTCGGCTACGTCTTCGACAAAAAGAACTGCGGGGTCACGCCCAGGAAACCTTTCAGCATCATTCTCAACGCAAGGCCGAAGCAGTCGAGCATGGAAACGATTGTGCACTCGCGACATCGCTGGAGGGAGCTCGAGGTCGTAGCTGGACGTCGCAGGGATGGCCGCTCGGATACGGAAGGGGCCGATGTAGCGCGGCAACAACTTCGACTTCATGCCGTCAGGAACTGCCAGGTTCTTTGTCGAAAGATAGACGTAACTGCCGGTCCGAAAGGCGGGGTCGTCTGGGCGTTGATGCTTGTTGGCCTGATGGGACTGGTTGAGGCGTGCTCCAATGATCGCATCCGTCACGTCGAGGTTCCGTAATTGTCGGATCCGAGCAAACGCTTCCGCACGAGGGACGTCCGAGACAGACCAGGAATCCGAGGGCCAGCATCGAGGAAGGTAGCCGTAGGTTGCCTCAAAGCCGACAGCGACGTGGACACAGCAACAGAAGAGTTAAGAGCGAACTCAGCTTCAACAAGACGAGATGCCCAAGCCTCGTGGTTTGACGAGACCATGATCCGCAGGGTTTGGGTGACCATCTTGATCCGATTCTCGCTCGATCCGTCCGTCTCCGGGTGTGCCGCGGTTGACATTCGCAAGACGGTGCCAATCTTTGCCTGCAATGCCCGCCAAAACTGCGAGGTGAACTTGGGATCACGGTCGGAAACGATGGCGGAAGGCATCCCATGCAGTCGGAAGACGGTGGCGTAGTACTTCTCGGCAACGAGCTCCGAGTCGGCATCGGCTGGGAGGGGAATCAGGTGGACCATCTTGCCCCAAGTGTCAGTGACCACCATGATTTGAGCAACCATCATCCCTTCGAGCTCGACCGGAGGCAGTCCTGTCATGAAGTCGATGGCCACTTGTTCCCAAGGACCAGAAGGGATCGGCATCGGATGCAGTCGGCCATAGGGGACTTGAGTGGACGCCTTGCCTCGGGTACAGTCTGTGAAGAGTCCACTCTCAGCTCGACAGGGGCGCCTCGGTCGTTGCGCGCGCCTGCTAGCCTGGCCCCTGTGGTGGGGACTTAGGCGCGCGCGAGTGCCTCAGCGCGCCGGCGCC